AGCCAGGGACTAGTAGATCTGCCAAAATAGCTATAGTCAATCAATTTTTTGATAATGTAGGTCCAGTTCTTAAGTTAGGACCCATCCATATCGAAATCCATAAAATCCATCAATTCCATTAACTCCATGACTTCCATTGATTCTAGCCACGCTAGACAGTCAGCGAGCAAGCATACTTTCTTATAGAAATCATTGCATGAGCCCATCAAAAGATGTTATTTTTCCACGTCACTGGCAACATACTTGCAAATTTAGAGATACCGATGTGTCAATGCCCAACTCAGAGAAAGATTGTTACTAGCGCGGTTCACTGAACGGTTAGGGCTGTTTCTACTCCGCACAGTACAGCAATATTCGAAATCGGCTTCCATGTTTTACACAGGGGAATTATCTCACGCCCCACTGCCAAGACTATGTTGAAACTGTCCAGGCCTAATTTGACTAGCCTGTAGATCATCCTTGATCATCGGAATGGAAATGTAAATTACCTGACAAGACAGATACGCCGAGATTGCTGAACAAAATGCGTCCTGCTAAGTTATTTAAACGCTTTCTGCCCTTCATCTCACCTCGCACCACAGAACACACACGCACAAAATGGCTTCAAACTTGCCCACCTCGACAAGAGATTATTCGCGACATAATTTTGGGCAAATCGCTGACCACATCCCAGATCGCCGATGCCGCTGGATGTAGCCCGCGTTTTATCACCGCTATCCGTAGCAACCTACAGCAATTCGGTGATACCAGAGCCCCTCCTATTCGAGCAGGTCGGCCCCGTAGCGTCCCACCCCTGATGCTGGAGGCTCTTTGCGACCATCTGTTGAAAAAGCCCGGCCTCTATCTCGATGAAATGTCGCTTTTCCTGTTGGATGAGTTTGGTCTATACGCTACAACCTCTAGTATCAGGCGAGCACTGATCTCTAAGAAATGGTTCAAGAAGACATCTCGACAGAAAGCAAGCGAACGGAATGCAGATCTACGAGATTGCTATCTACACAACTTGTCCGAGTTCTGCTCGTACCATCAGGAGAACAGGTCAGTCACCGCTTGGAATCACACCGATTCAAATTTCTAAATTCCATCGCGATCAACGGTACCAGATACCATCAGTATACCCCTAAGATGGTATTGTTATATCACGAGGATTTTTGGGTTCGACCAATACATTGGTTTTTAAGGACTTTGTAGAGGCGCTTCTGCAGCATTACAGAAGGTGGCTAAAGCCTAGGTCTCTTTTAGTTATAGACAACGCCTTATTCTATTATTCTGACCGCATCAAACAAATGTGCTCTGATGTAGGAGTGAAGCTGATATACCTGCCTTCCTACTTGCTGAACTTAAATCCCGTCAAGGAGTTCCTCTCCAAGCTTGAAGCCTTTGTTCGAAGATATTGGGTATTATATGAAGAGAACCATAACTAAGGCTTTGATAATTTTCTAGAGTGGTGTGGGGAGCACGTAGGCGAGAAGGGATAAAGTGCGAAAGGAAATTCTAGGTATGTAGGCGTTAATGTTAAGGAAATATAATAAGAATGATCTGGTTAAACATATTGTTATTGTTTGGGCTGTAGTGTATCAATTGATGTATTTCAAAAGCTAGAGATAGTTAGTGAATATGGTGATTAATATATATATTCTATAATACATCCATACTTTATAGTATCTCTATTATATCTCTGTATCATAACTCAAGCATACCTGTTGTGTATAACTTTGCCCATTGAATTATCTCGGAAACAAACCAGCGCGCTATTCCCATACTGACAGTTAAGTTAACGTAGTTCCCGGCCGACCGGAACACCCGGCCGTGCGGAACACCCCATCGAAAAATCGCGTCTTTCAACCATCCTCCCTAATTCAAACACCTACCATGCCACCAATTCGTAACTTTCCGGCTGGAAAAAATATCAATCAAGAGGGCAAGGTCCTATTAGCCCTTGACGATATCGAAAATGGCCGTGTCACGTCTCTCCGTGCTGCAGCGAAGCTATACGGAATACCACTTACCACACTACAAGCACGTACCAAAGGCCGAACCTCACGCGTTGATAAACACCCATCTGGTCATAAACTGACCCAGCTAGAAGAGGATTCACTTACTGAATGGATTATCTCTATGGATACACGTGGTGCAGCGCCTAGGCCAGCTACTGTACGTGATATGGCCAATATTCTATTAGCTGCACGCGGTAGCGACCCCCCACCTACAGTTGGCAAGAATTGGCCATCAACCTTCATAAATCGACGTGAAGAGATTCGGACATGCTTCTCTAGGCGATATGACTATCAACGTGCCCAAAACGAGGATCCTAAGTCTATACGAGAGTGGTTTACATCTGTACAGCGTGTTATTGATGAGAATGGTATTCAACCTGAGGATATTTATAACTTTGATGAGACAGGCTTTGCAATGGGTCTTATTTCAGCACAGAAGGTTGTAATACGAAAAGAATACTACGGTCGGCGATCCATTTTACAACCTGGAAACCGTGAATGGGTGACGGCAATTGAAGCTATCTGTGCAGATGGCTATTCGTTACCACCATGTGTGATTTTTAAGGGAAAGGTTGCTATCGCTAGCTGGTTCGATAACCTTCCAAAAGATTGGCGATTTGAAGTCTCAGCTAATGGCTGGACTACTGATGAGATTGGTTTACGATGGCTAGAAAAGCTATTTATCCCATCAAAAAATTCACGTGTCCGTGGTCGTTTTCGGCTATTGATTCTTGATGGCCATGGAAGCCATCTCACACCCCAATTTGACCGAATCTGTGCTCAAAACAATATTATCCCACTATGTATGCCTGCACATTCATCACATATTTTACAACCATTAGATGTTGGTTGTTTTGCAGTGTTAAAACGTACATATGGTCGTTTCATAAGCGATCTTGCACGTACAGGCTATAACCACATCGACAAGCTTGATTTCTTAACTGATTTCCAACGTTCCCGGCTAGAAGCTTTTCAGCCAAAGACTATCCAAAATAGCTTTTTAGCTACTGGAATAGTACCAATTGACGCTGAAAGAGTTGTTTCTAAGTTAAATATTTCTCTTCGAACACCTACACCACCAGGTAGCCGACCAAGCAGCAGATCTAGTCAATTTACACCTAAAACACCTAAAACTGTGGTTCAGCTTCAAAAACAAGCTTCGATGCTTAAAGATCTTTTGAAACAGCGATCCAACAGCCCTCCAAGTCCATCAAAAGTCATGCTGGATCAGATCATCAAAGGCCACTCCATAACACTACACAACACCGCGTTACTAGCGCATGAAAACGCCAATTTACGTGCAGCGAATGAGAAGAAACGACAGAAACGCAACCAATCAGCTAGACAGATACCATGTGAAGAGGGGCTGACCGTTGAAGAAGGCCTACAGCTACTTGCGCAGGTGGACTTACCTGTTGAAGCATCTATGGTCGAATCACACACCCAGGTTGAATTACCTATTCAGCCGAATCAGCCAGTCCCTAGGGCTCAGCCTAGGTGTAGTGGATGTAGAGAGGTTGGAAATAAGATCAATGTATGTAAAAATCGTATTTATAACTGAATTTATTGGTGTTGGGTTAAAATATTTGAATTTGAATTTGTCTAATGGTGGTGGGTGTTCCGGTCGGCCGGGAACTACGTTAGTTACCTATTTGATGAGATAATCAGGGTCTTGATCACTGTGGATCTGCTGGAGATCAAGCCCATTTATAAACACTAGTTTTACATTTTACTGATCTTATCCTTAAGAACGGCTCTTCTCACCTATAATTGCTACTAGTTACTATACTCCTCTACTGCAATGTTGTGAAGACTAGGTCTATTAACTATATCAGGAATAGGAGCTATCAAGATAGAGGAATATTTTGAGTTTGCCAAACTAGTAGCAACTGGTTGTGATACCTAGTTAGGCAGTAACATGATATTAATTGGAGAGCACACTAACCCGGGTGGAGATGTGGTTCGCTTGTTGTCCTCAGTGTAGAGCTGCTCATGAAGGTTGTCCGGAATATCATTATGGGTTTTAAGCCTTTCTGTACGTATGAATTCAACAAGACTTCTCAACTGATGTGTTCGAAGTTTGTAGTGTCCTTTATACATCGGGTCTTTCCAGTAATATTGACCATCGTGGTAGCATTGTGGCCTAGGACATTATATTATATAATATACCTCTTGCCATAACGAGGGCTGCCCAGAGGTATCTTTAGTATTAAGTTCCGTATCCCGATCGGCAAGTATTCGTTTAGTGACCCAAGCTTTGCCCCTTTTGTCGGTCCTTGATAACGGAGTTCTATCTTTGATATAGTTCACGGATATCTTAAGCCGAAGCTCCTTACCCTGGCGGTATTATCTGGCCTATATGAGCATCAGCTTTTCTATAGCAGTCCAATCCATATACATGCCGTCAAAGCGTTTAGTTAGGTCCTACTGGGATCGGTAATTTATAGAGACCATAACGGTTGTACCATCCGGTCTAATCCGATGGTCGCACGAGAGCTTGGCTCAAAGGATTTGAAATGCTCTGGCCTGGATCAGTAGCCAATGGTAAGACCCATGGACTTGAATCCAAATTCCTGTTGAGGCCAGGTGGGTGTAGGCCACCTGATCCTTTGTAGATATCATCTTTCTCCCTCACTCCGACGCACCACACAGATATATCCCATCCCCATTCAGATCCTCCCTATTCCAGCTTCTTCCGAGTCCGAGTCAATCCAACTCAATATTTTTGATCAGGTCACATAAATTGCTTCCCGGGGTCTTTTCCCTTTCTCCTACATCTACCATGATGCTAAGATATCAATGGATTCCCCCAATTGAGGAAGATTTAGGAATTTATTATAGGCTTAAATGGGCCAGGGCGACTACCAGGTGTCACTAGTACACTGTTTTCGCCGCAAAATCATACCCCAACCTGCAATGTTTCAACTTGGTGCAGTATATCTGAATGGGTTGATATTCTAGTAGTATAGAGCGGTATTGAAGTTATATCCACGTTCATCCGCCTTAAGGCAGCTTGGGAAGCATCTTCATATCAGCAAACTCCTCAAAGACCTTGAACATAGACTCTGTGCTGTCAACGAAACCGAAGAACCCGAGCTTCTTCGCTTTTGTGGCACTGTTATTTGTTAAAATGCATTTTCTTTCAGAGCAGAGCTCGGGGATTATGGGGAAATACCTGAAGTGAATAGGGTATGGCCACGAAATGGCAGCATCCAAGAAACCAAAGATACGCTCAACATCTCCCAAGTCCTTGTTGACCAGTCTATTCTTCTCAGCAATCTCCGCCCAAGCATCTTGAACGTACTGTTGCTTGGCCCACTCGGTTAGAGTGAATCGAGTGCGCACCGTGCCAGGAGGACCGAAGCCACGAGGGGGTGGGTTGTATGGGGTTTGAGTCTCGGTATATTCTGAGTCGTTGTTGGGACCGGTCCATTCAAGACCGTAAAGAGCAGCAAGCTTGGGCCAGAACTTGCCCCAGGTGAAAGGACAGTCGTCACCTGCATTGAAGTGTTCGTTCTCAGTTCCATTTGTGAGGACGACCCACTCTGTAATGTATGAGTTTAGCTGGGCGCTGGACATAGTCTGGTTGGCTTCCCAAGCGGCCAGATCAGATGGGTAGTCCAATGACTTGCCCAAATGCTTCTGGATGGTGGCATAAATGGCGATAGGGAGACAAATATTCATGGCTGCATCGGCTGCAGCACCTGGAATCCAGGATGGACGAGTGACGTTCCAGGGAATGTTGTGCTTGGTGCAGAAGGCGCGAAGGCAATCCTCCTGAGTGTAGTAAAAGTTGGGTTCAAGCAGCACCCGTGGGTCTGTCTCTTCTTGTGGGACTGCAGCAGGACCCAAGTGAACACCATAGTACTTGGCGCCCAACTGGAGGAGAATACGCTTAGGCAGAGCCTTTGTCAAAGCCAATCCTTCCAGGAAGTTGTTAAGCAGGAGAGCTGTGAAGAAGGTTAGTATAATGACGCTGTTGTGTCAATGAAGCAAAACTTACTGTTGATACGGACGAGCTCGTCAGCGGCACTCCAAATGGATCCTTCACCTTCGGGCTTCGCTTGAATGTAGGCGAAGAAGAATGCATAGTCAGCCTTCACACCACGCTCCTTCATTTGAGCGCCAACAGCCTCAGGGTCTTGGAGAAGATCGATCGAGACATGCTCAACCTGTGCGGGCCAGTCTCCAGGGGGAGGTCTACGGCAAAGAGCGTAGATCTTGGTCCATCTCTTTGGTGACTCGCAGAGAACACGCATCTATTCGAAGTTCAGTCAGTTCAGAATTCACCTTTTGCCGTAAAAGTTCACTATCTGCCACTTACCAAGTGGCTACCAGAAATACCATTCGCACCAGCAACAATAGCTGTGAGTCCGATGACGTCTTCGGAGAAGGTGGGTAATCCATGAAAGATGCCCTTTGACTGAATCTGCTGAACTTGAGACATGATGTAGAATCAGATATAAAGTCCGGAAGGTGTATCCGGGTATATCGGCTGATATCTCAACTTAAAAGACCTTATTTTAGCTGGGGATGAGGGGGCTTTATACTACTGGGGCATCAAGGTCAAAGCTTATTAATGAGGCAGTTATAGAGAGTGAAAATGTCTCCGAGAGATCGTGTAATGTGCCACCATGTTCCCCACTTTTCCTTTGCCTTTTTACTTTTCTTTCCCCCCGGGGCCCTTGAAGACTGATGGATGTAATAGAGTGGGGTCTTTGGGACCTCGCTCCGTTTAAGCCTTTGAGTTGTGCCTTAGCAAATATTAGACCCACTACAAGGAGTTCAGTTAAGCCGAATACTTCATAAGTCTCCGAGGGCCCTTTCAATCCAGATGTCCGCTGGATCCGATTTTGGAATTACTCAAGGAACAAGCATATTTTAACCTTGGAACCCTAGGGCATGTCAGGATTTATGTGGGTAACTTAGGAGATCATAATTCATCCTTTAATCACTGGTAGTAATAATGCAAAATTGATCATGATTCTTGTATTGTCTTATGTCAACTGGTACTTATGTGACAGAACACGGGTGCAGAACTAGCCCAATTGGGTTAGTTCAAACCACCATTGAATGGAGAGCTCTGATTGGTCGAACCAGAATGGATCACATGACCGATCAGGTGATCTCCAGGCAGAATTTATGTGCGTAATTATCAGAATGAGAAAACCAGACCTGTTGAGACATCCCATTGGCGACCGCCTACTGCATTAGACATTAAAGTCTGTCACATATTTTGCTGCCTCAGGTTTAGATCACATGATCTGTATGTGGTTGCCTAATTTCTGAGGATCAAAATGATGTCCAACACATCATGTTTGGTCCTAACGTGGTCCACAAGCGAGCCGATCACCCACCCAACTAGAAATTTTTAAAATTCAAATATTTCAACTAACAGTAATAAATTCGACTAAATATAACGCTTTTTACATACATTAATCTTATGTCCAACCTCTCGACACCCACTACACCTAGGCTGAGCCCTAGAGGCTGGCTGATTCGGCTGAATAGGCAGTTCAACCTGGGTGTGTGATTCGACTATAGGTGTTTCAACAGGCGTTTCCACCTGCGCAAGTAGCTGTAGGCCTTCTTCAACTGTTAAACCCTGATCGCATGGTATCTGCCTAGTTGATCGACTGCGCTTCTGCCGTTTCTTCTCAATTGCTGCACGTAAATTGGCGTTTTCTTGTGCCAGTAGTGCTGTGTTGTGTAGTGCTATCGAGTGGCCTTTGATGATCTGATCTAAGATCAATTTCGACGGGCTTGGAGGGCTGTTTGATCGCTGTTTTAAAAGATCTTTCAGTATTGAAGCTTGCTTTTGAAGCTGAACCACAGTCCTAGGTGTCTTAGGTGAAAATTGACTGCTTCGGCTGCCTGGTCGACTACCTGGTGGTGTAGGTGTTCGTAGCGAAATATTCAATTTAGAAAGAACTTTTTCAGCATCAATTGGTACTAATCCTGTAGCTATAAAGCTATTCTGGATAGTAGCTGGTTTCAAAGCTTCAAACCGGGCGCGTTGAAAATCAACTAAGAAATCAAGCTTATCGATATGGTTATAGCCTGTACGTGCAAGATCACTTATAAAGCGACCATAGGCACGTTTTAATACCGCAAAACAGCCAACATCCAATGGCTGTAATAAATGTGATGAATGCGCAGGCATACAGAGTGGAATGATATTATTCTCTGAGCATATTCGGTCAAATTGGGGCGTAAGGTCGCTTCCATGGCCATCAAGAATCAATAACCGAAATCGACCACGGACTCGTGAATTTGTTAATGGGATAAATAGCTTTTCTAGCCAACGTAGGCCAATCTCATCAGTAGTCCAGCCATTAGCTGAGACCTCGAATCGCCAGTCTTTTGGTAGATTATCGAACCAGCTAGCGATAGCAACCTTTCCCTTAAGAATCACACATGGTGGTAATGAATAGCCATCTGCGCAGATAGCTTCAATTGCTGTCACCCATTCACGATTTCCAGGCTGTAGAATCGATCGCCGACCGTAGTATTCTTTTCGTGTTACAACCTTCTGTGCTGAAATAAGACCCATTGCAAAGCCTGTCTCATCAAAATTATAAATATCCTCAGGTTGAATACCATTCTCATTAATGACACGTTGGATAGTTATAAACCATTCTTGTAGTATCTTTGGATCTTCATTCAGAGCACGTTGATAGTCATAACGTCTTGAGATACGTGTACGAAGCTCATTCCGACGTTTAACAAAGCTTGATGCCTAATTAACACCAATAGTAGATAGAGAGGTTGTTCCACGTGCAGCAAGAAGGATATTAGCCATTTCTCGTAAATGAGCTAGCCTAGGTGCTGCTCCACGTGAGTCCATAGAGACAATCCATTGAGCAAGCGAATCCTCTTCTAGCTGGGTCAGCTTATGACCAGGTGGACGCATATCAACACGCGAGGCTCGGCCACTAACACGTAAATGTAGAGTGGTAGGTGGTATTTCGTATAGCTTCGCCGCAGCGAGGAGAGAGGTAACACGGCCATTTTTAATGTCTTCAAGGGCTAATAAGACCCTGCCCTCCTGCTCGGCTGATTTCTGCCGAGATATAGCGCGAATTGGTGGCATGGTAGGCGTTTGGAAAAAGACTTTAGGATTAGGTCGGGTGGTTGAAAGACGCGATTTTTGATGGGGGTGTTCCGGAAGGCCGTTAACAGTAACATGATGTAACTAACGTAATTCCCAGTTGAACAGATCACCCGGTTGAGCGGGTCACCCCATCAAAACTTTCAACCATCCTTCCTAATTCAAACACCTACCATGCCACCAGTTCGTAATTTTCCGGCCGAAAAAATATCAATCAAGAGGGCAAGGTCCTATTAGCCCTTGACGATATCGAAAATGGCCGTGTCACGTCTCTCCGTGCTGCGGCGAAGCTATACGAAATACCACTTACCACACTACACGCACGTACCAAAGGCCGAACCTCACGCGTTGATAAACGCCCATCTGGTCATAAACTGACCCAGCTAGAAGAGGATTCGCTTACTGAGTGGATTATCTCTATGGATACACGTGGTGCAGCACCTAGGCCAGCTACTGTACGAGATATGGCCAATAATCTCTTAGCTGCACGCGGTAGCCACCCCCCCACCTACAGTTGGCAAGAATTGGCCCTCAACCTTCATAAATCGACGTGAAGAGATTCGGACATGCTTCTCTAGGCGATATGACTATCAACGTGCCTTAAATGAAGACCCTAAATCAATACAAGCATGGTTTACAGCTGTACAACATGTTATCGATGAGAATGGGATCCAACCTGAAGATATCTATAACTTTGATGAGACCGGCTTTGCAATGGGCCTTATTTCTACACAGAAGGTTGTAACACGAAAAGAATACTTCGGCCGACGATCTATTTTACAGCCTGGAAACCGTGAATGGGTAACTGCAATTGAAGCTATCTGCGGAGATGGCTATTCATTACCACCATGTGTGATTTTCAAGGGAAAGGTCGCTGTTGCAAGCTGGTTCGACAACCTACCAAAAGACTGGCGATTCGAGGTCTCAGCTAATGGCTGGACCACTGATGAGATTGGTTTACGATGGCTAAAAAAGCTATTTATCCCATCAACGAATTCACGTGTCCGTGGTCGTTTTCGGTTATTGATTCTTGATGGCCATGGTAGCCATCTTACACCCCAATCTGACCAAATGTGCACTGAAAATGATATTATTCCAATCTGTATGCCTGCACGTTACGTCTTATGAATCTTTTGAGCTCAGCAAAACTCCCGCTTCGGTACAAATCTGTGAAATCTGCTCAGAGTGGTGGAAGGATGCATTATCCATGACCAAGACAGACCTCGGCTCCGGTCATCTTCCTCAATGGTGAAGAAGCTCATCGATGAAATCATCAAATACGGAGGCATCTGTTGAGCCACGAAAGATGCGAGAGAACACGATACCATCTTGAGAATATGCAGAATTGGTACCTCTCATTGCGGTGGAATTGCGCCACTTGTTTTGGTGCGCTACACCGAGTGGTGACCAGCCCGACCGTCGGAACCCAACCCGCTTATCAAATCCAGATTCATCAACATAAACAAGGTAGTATGACTAAAATTTGGAGATATTATAGAGATACATTTCTCGCAATTCCACATTTTGCTTTTTGACTCTTTGTTGATAATTCTTTCTCGACCAGCCTTTGGATATAAGGGCTCTTCTAGTAACAGAGGTTATTACCAGGATCTGGAATTCATCCCACAGAAATATCGCCATCTCATCAAGGTATACATTAGGACTCTCGAGCAGATGATCGGCTTCTAGCATTAGTGGTTTTACGCTTTGTCTTCGACCAATACGATTTGACGGGGTATGGACGCTTCCGAACAGTCGTAAATTCCTGCGAATATTTTTGATCGTCTGTTCGCTGCATTCAGCTGCTTCGGCCATTTGAGACCTAGTCAATGACTGGGCTTGTATCATATTATGAATGAACTGTAGTCTTGAGGAGGATAATCTTGGTGCCATAGCGTGCATATGATAATAACGTATATGGAGAAAGAGGGTCTTTGTAGCAGGACAGATACCAAGGTAGTAAAAGCGGGATAGAGGGGCATCAAGGTACCAGTGCATAACGAGTACTTGTAACATACAGTATTTTGCGTTATTTTGTTGTTCAGGGTTTTTAATTATAGGAATGGATTATTTACGGCTTTCCTCATATGGACTAGTGTATACTTGGGTACAGGCCGAGAAGCAGCCGAGAAGCAAAACCACAGTGTCAATGGGGTAATCTGTTTTCGAAATCGACTGTATCAGTAGATTAGACTGGTAAAAACATAGAGGAAATAGCCAGGCTCCAAAAAGAGCACCCGGTGAAAAATACATCATCAAAAATGGACGGTTGCTAGGTATCGTGGTCTCACGAGCCTTTGGTAATGGCCAGTGGAAGTGGCCTGTTGAATTCCGGCAGGATGTGCAACGGAGATTTCATGGTCCACCACCTCTGGTGCCAACATATAACATTCAAACGCCACACTACCTGACAGCTGAACCGAACCTGTCGTGAAAAGCACCAAGATTGACCCTCAAAGCCCTTTTTTCCTGATCATGGCAACAGATGGCTTGTAGGATATGCTCTCCAGTCAGCAGGTAGTCGATCTAGTGGCGAGATGGTTGGAATCAAAAGCAGATGGGAAGAGGAACAGCAAACTGGAGCCAGCATATGAACCATTCGACTTCGGTCAATTCTGGACAAAAATGAGCTGGAAATTTGTGGAGGGGAGAACAACAGTCCAAGATGACAATGTCTCTGTGCATCTGGTATGTACAGTACGTAATTCACTAGGTGGAAATCATGACGAGTTAATAGCAGGTCGACTTGCCTTCAGCTCTCTATCTTCCCAGCGTCTCAATGTGCGAAAGTCTTTTACACAATCATCTACCTTATTGGCTTATCCAAATTGATCTGCAAACAAAGTACAACTTCCACTAGTATATGAAAACGAAAGATTTCTTTGTTATCTAGCATTAGGAACCTTCATTGAATGTCCACTTTGATAGTACAGAAAGGAATAATTCATGGATGTGGCAATTGAGAAAAAATTAATCTAGTCAGTGTCATATTCCTGTATTCCCAAACTATTCACATGAGCTGTGAGTGACCAACATATAGATCTAAGGTTGTGTCAGATTGATACTATAAACGGCCAATTAACCTTATGGACGCCATTCATCCCCGCCAATACATCTCTGAAGCAGAACCTATCCTAGCTTCAACTTTTCCACGCCTTACATTTTCCCCGAGGAGCTATAAGGATCATTTGTAGGATAAAGTACTTATCACGATATGAATTAAATTTGTAAGTTTCTCGGAGTAGGTAGGCTCAACAATACCTTTCAATTTTCGAAACATATAGACTGTGTCAATCAAGAAATTTACAAGTGAAAAGTATCATCTGTTTTTGGCATTAATTAAAGTGGTGAGAGGACTCATTCCAGCCTCATAGAGCGAAACCGGCATAAAATGGCAAGAACTTCCAATATTGGCTCAAGTGTAATCTATTGAGCATGATCGAGTAGGAGATTCATGTAGATCACCACAAGCTAAATCATGTATCAAAGCACCGTAGTTCCTTCGCAGTTTTAAAATTCGTGCCAGGCTGTAATTGAAATGATCAGAAACTTGCTGGTTTTCACAGCATCCGCCATAACTCGAGAGATAAAAGTAGATTTTTTAGACCTATATAAGGCTTAGCCAAAGCCTGTGGTAATTCCTCGCCTTAAGATTGCTTGAGAATCCTTTCAAAAGGGAAAGCAATATAATCGGACTTTAGTGTTCCTGCCAGAGGTAAATACCTTAAAATTAGAAAATGCGCTAGGATATACGGATACTATAGCGGATGAGGCGTCAAGTACAGTTGAGAGTGCAGCAAGCAAGATTTCTACGGTAGCAGATAAAGTGGTCAGCCAAGCTAGTACGTCTTTAAAAACCTTGGGAAAAGAGCTTCAGTCGGAATTACCAGCATTTTACAAGGTTGGCCTTTGGGGATACTGTAAAGGTAACGACACTCAAGTCAGTTCTTGTTCTGAGCCAAGCATCGCATTCACATTCAATTTCTTCAGGATCTTGGAGTCCTTCTCGAGTAAAATAGAAGACCTAATTTCAGACATCGATGCAAAAGTCTTGAACGGATACCGTGATGTGTCAAGGGCAGCTCTTCAGGATCTGTGCGCACATGTCCTTTGTTATTGGCAAATGCTTATCTTTATTTCCGATTGCATCCTCCTTTGCATAGGCGCCAAACACGTAGGCATTCTGTATCTGTCGGTTTATCTTCCTGCGTTTGACAAGATCGTCGTTTCCGGCAGCAGAAGATTTCCTTTTCAGAGTCGGATGCATCCTTCAATTGAGCTCCGGTGACACTGAAGATGTTGTTTGATCTTAATGGCAAAGCTCGTAGTGAAGAATGATCATTTCAGAAAGGAAGTCTTAGATACGATGAAGACAAAATGCAGGAGATATCAGCATTATTTATATTGGTAACTAAGACAATTAGTAAAAGAGATATAGATTATATGGTGGGTATGTGCCATAGTCTAGAGCTAATAATATATTAAGGATATTGAGATATAAGGAATTGACGACCATGTGGAAATGAAGGGCCATCAAGAACTTGATGGAAAAATTAATCGGCCTGGTTGATGATTGATACTACTTTTGTGATGGGTAAGAAGTAGCTTGGGTGCCGTTTAGATGCCCCCTTTCAGCCAATGCGATGAATCAGCGAACGATCATGACCAGGATCACTGAGCACTTACTGAGCACTGAGCACTCACGTGACCTACGGACTCGCTCAGTGAGCCTGAGTCTGAGCGCCCTCATTAAAGCGGCGGTCACCAGATTAGGAAAGCCCCACCTGTCGGGGAAAATCCAGTACATACAGGTACCTAGGTAAAATTTCCATGTTTGACGATAAGCATACTTACAGTATCTCCAGTGGTTCGATATTGGATGTGAAAAGAATTGACAACAGTATCCTCATTGTGTAAGGGGCTATTAACACCCAGCCCTCGGTCTTCAGTATTCTAATTTCAACGGAGAGCTGCCTAGGTGATAAGAGGGAGAGCTCATTTGGTCGCACAGAGCCTTGACAAGGATAAGTAGGATCATGAAATAAAAAAGGAAAAAGGAAAAATGTATCATAGCGACGGCATCCCGAGGTGTGAAATAAAAACGGAACAGCAAAAAGATGGACTCGCGGGGAATCGAACCCCGGACCACTCCCATGCTAAGGGAGTATTATACCACTAAACCACAAGCCCAGTAGATATCAGAAGACTCAATTTTTGACACCATTAACCATTAGTCTAATAGTTCCCATTATAAGACTAAAAGCACTCAACTTTCGAGATCAGTGAATTGATCAGATACCAAATCTGAGTCTAAATGCACACAACATCTCTGTAATATCTCATGTAATCTCCCCTTCAAATATGACTGTTCATTTAATCTATCTACACAGTCTGAATCCAAGTCACAGACATCTCGACGGAGTGCTAAGCATCATCCGACTGGAACATTGCCATGCATGGTTGTATATATATGTAGTACTGCCATTCCTTGCCAGATTTTAGGGTTTCAAATAACGGTCAAGCGACAGTACTTGAACTCCAGGGCTGTATATTGAATATAACAATTCTTTAAAAAATTTCGAGGTACCCTCATTGTGTTTATTGATTAGTTATGAGAAATCTAACGGTTGTGAGAATTTAACAGTTATGAAACGGGTGTTAGATAGTTATCAAATACCCAATACCCGTGGACAGGAATCCATACAGGTATTAATTTATTTCAAAACAGATCAATATTATAATTTACATATTAGTAAAATTAAGATGTAAATACTAGCTCAAAAATATTAATAGAATCAATATACATAAGCACTTACTATACTTTTAGGATGATTGGGATCCTATGTAGCCGCGATCTAGGCCCCTTTCCTCCTCTTTAACATCTAGCAACCTTGCTTCCTCGAGAACCCGGTTGGTGGTCTGAATAGAGATTATAGCATTAAGCTTCCAAGGCTCAGGCCATCATGATTATGTTTGGCTATCTGCTCCAAGTAAAGACTGACAAGGTCCACGCTAGAGATCTCTCCTGCATCCAGAAGAGTCTTCATGTTACTTGCGGTTGCTGTAAGCAAGTCAATGAAACGCTTAGTTGTCATGTTTGGGATCACTGGCTTTTTGCTAAAAGGAAAGAGCTTTGATGTAATTGAAAAAGAGAGGCAAGGCCGGCGATAGTGGAAAAAAAGAACTTTTATCATAAAGTGGTTTTCTTTTACTGTTCTTTGTTTGTTTGCCAAGAGCCTCAAAAGTAGTTACCGTGGGACAAGAAACGGAAAGTGCACACTTTATCGAGACGTTCCGTCAACAAACTGAGTAGCTTCGTATGCTAACGTCATCTGCAGCAAACGAACAAGGTATGTCTTCACTCGCCATTTGACCTTGAGGTGGCTGAAGAATCATTTCAAATGTTGTGTAAACAACTTATGCAGTTTACCAGGAAATTCAATATTTAAACATGATCCGTACAATATGTAGATTATTGGATTATTCCTGTGCCTTTATGAAGATGACTTTATATTGAACTTATCGAACCCAGAAAGACCTCCTTGACTTCCCTCGGGCAATTCCACAGGTATTCACTTAACACAGAGAACTCCATATAAAACAACAAAACTCTAAACCAGACCTCTTACATATGGGTTGGGAGCCGATACATGCATACCGAAGAAGCAATATTACCAAATCCCGGGCAGCGAATGACGATGTTGCTGGTACCTGGGAGCTTGGGGCCTCCAAATCTGTTGAAGTTCGGATAACACATCTCTATCTGGAGCTGAGTGACCCATTCCTTGAAAGAAACACTGGCCCTCTCAGAATCAAAATAGAACTCCAAGTTCGAGCCAGGAGAAAGCTGTGCGTCCGGCTGCCCGCGTTCCATATATAAGGGATCTTTCAACATTATAAATCTTCCTCGATACCCAAGATTGGACATTTGGACGTATTGCAACTTGAGATGATCTGCCCAAGATTTGAAAACACGCCGCCAGAGCTCCTGCATCTCAGTCTTGACTTCAGTGGACAATGAAGAGACCCAAATTCGACTGTCTTCCGTTAGGGGTCCTGGATCTGGTACAGATGTTATCTCATCAACCAGACTGACCAACCACATAGTCAGTCGTTTCAAGGTTGGGGCTGCTGTTTTCAGAAATTCCTCGAGGCTATTCACTTTCACCTCGACTGAATGAAGATGAAGTTCCTCTAGCTGGGAAAATTGAACTTTCTGGGCGAGATCCTTAAAGTAGAGAGGAGATAATTCTTCTGCAGGACTCCATTGGGCAAAAGTCAGGGTCTTCAGTGTCGGCGAGACTGTGATCAGAATTTTGTGGAGGTTATTGAAGGTGCTTTCGTTGAATGTTTCATTTTCATGATCTTTAAGGCGAAGGCACATATGCAGACTTGTCAGATCCTTCAAGATTGGAAGCAGCAATTGATACTGGGCCTCTGGCAGTTGAAACTGTTCCAATTTCATACCGCAAAATGGAAAGAAACGGCCGCAAGTGTGAAGGGCTTGGACTTTTCGATTGGATTTGATTATGGCGTTGAGAAGTTGTGAGAATGCCAAACCGTAAGGCATGTACGGCATCGGCTGAGAACGCATTGGACCATTCTTGTATTTGAACTGGCTCTTCAATTCACGCAAGCCCAGACAGGTGAAGTCAGTATGGGCTGCATTCTTAAGGAGGAAACTTGTGTCGTATGTTCGTAAGCCAAGGGTAACTGCGTTTTTAAGGCGCGGTAGGCATTTTTCAAGGCTGTTAAAGAGCCCCGAGAATTGCAGAATGGCATCGTGTTTTTTCATTGCAGGTTCGAAGACGGCAAATAAGGCCTCAAGCTCAGCCTCGATTTCTTTCGATTCTTCCGTTGGTGGAAGACGTGTCGGTCTCAATACATCTGTAAACGATGCCCTATCTAATTTTGCCCAATTTTCGAACAAGTTTGGGATGATCCAAATTTCTTCAACATAGCTGCGAAGAGTTTTGCTAGTTGTAATCTGCTCCAGCCGTTCAAGGCCTTCAGGTGTGAGTAGAAGGGTGATTTTTCTAAAATATCGCGCTGTATAGGCTTCCAGTGTGTTGTCGTGGATTTGGCGGCAAGTGACCCTGAACGCGCCCCAATCTTTAGGCTCCAGGTTCTCACAGATACGAGTCAATAACTCCAAAGGTAAGTTTGTGATTGACATATTGCACCTGTTGGGTAAAGCAAAGCCACTCTTTGTCACCTTGTATTTGCGATCATATAAAGAGTGAGGGATGTGCATGTGACAAGGAGAAGGGGGAATGGAAAAGTCCGGTTAAGCAGGTACCCGCAAACTCCATGAGGGGTCAGTGGCGTGGGCAAATGCGTACTATAACTAGCCCCTTTGTACGGCCCACATTTAATCAGGCAAGAACAAAAATAAAATACAAATAAAATGTTGAAAAGCGATTTTGAGTAAACTTTTGATTAGGTTCCAAGATTTCTTTACCCGGAACTCCCTCTAAAGAGGAATTTATATTGGGAAATCATATAATTGCAATACCAATGTCCTGATTGATTGTCCGCTAGTAGCAGAGATGATGATATACAAAATTTGAATAGAACCGCCAATTCCCCACTGGTAATTTTCAGTTGATGCTGTATCATTAACAACTTCCAGAAAGAATATCTAGAAATCAGTCCATGGCTGGAGGAATCCAGCATAGAAGGTGGCCGGTGTCGTGCCTTGCCAATCCATTCTGCTATTATAGTACCACCAAGCCAAAGCAAAATAGACATAGTTTTCAGTATTACGATAAGCATATGCCGTCACATCAACACCATTCATAATCACTTGTTGAGGTTGTATCGCGAACTCGAGACAGTCAAACATGGCGTCTGTAGTAAGTGGAGGATCAGTGTCTGTGCAAGGCCGCAAGGGAATAGGGGAAATAATCAAATGATACTCACAGCTATAATCCACAATCATAGTTGCTCCGTTTGCCGCATTTGTTCCATAACCATCCCACCTGCTGACCATGTGTAGAATTTCGTGGAGCAACACAGCAGAGTTAGGCCTCACTTTATGAAGTTGGACTGGGGAATTGGGGTCCACGGTAAGAAGGGGAATATCACTCAATGTCGTATAACCATCCGACCAAGCACTGGCTACGCCGTTACTCAACACATTGGGGCAAATTAGAACAAAATCTGAAATGGCCTCGCGCACAACATCATAAATTTTCCCTGTGGCGGGTATAGTGATCGTACTCTCAGCCCCAGGACTACCATACGAGTTCAGTCCCTGCAATCCACCAGGGCCGCATAAATCAGTTCCTCCATTACCCAATAAATGCTGAAGACGGCATCATATAATACTTGTTGATTGGATCAACATAGTATGGTAACTGGACGCCTGGTAAATTTGGAACCCAGTCACTATAGAAATACGCGACGGTGATACCTGGCTGCATTTGGTTCCCTTGAGAATCCTTGATGAAAGAGTTCCAAGGGTATATGTCTCCAAAGTCATTACAAAATAGGTTTGCAGGAGAGGTGGGAGCCTGGTAATCTCCATCGAACGAGACTAGAGATACGAGACGTGAAATGTGATCTATTCAAATTGCAAGATATAACTCTGGTAAGTAACCATCTTCATTTGAGTACTGGTAATATACACTGGGCACGGATGACTTACCTTGTACAACGGTCCACGCAGTCTCACTTGCAGTCTGGACGGTTCCATCGGTGTTGAATCGAATGCCAAACCAGGCAGTGAAGAGCTGACGTGCGACCAATTTCGCTTGCGTCTGCCCTGGTGTTTTAGCCAGTTGAACTGCATTGTCCAGTTGGGTACAGAGTGTTGTGAAGTCCGAAGAATATGCGTTCAACCTTGTTAGGTTGTTATTGCAGGTCCCATAATCTGTCGAGGTGGTTGGGAGGTTGAACAAGTTATCAATAGTGACCGCTGCAACATTGCTAGCCACCAAGCATAAGGTAAACCAAGAAAATATCGCCCTTAGTCCCAGCATGGTAGCGGAGAGTGAGTTGGCGAAAATGGGACTTCTTGATTATAATATTTTGTACAAGTAACCGAGGGGCCTCTTTATGCAAAAGAGAGAAAGACGAGCCTTTCTCCCTCCTCCATCGATGATTTTATTTTTATTCTTATTTTTATTTTTAATTTTAATTTTTAATTTCCGATATAGTCCTCTGGCCCCCTTGCCCCTTCAATATCTCTTAGGTCGGCATTTGTGGTTATTTTAGTGTGTTTAGTAAACTCGGAGAAAGGTAATGATTTCGTTATATTTGCAGACCACTTGGTCAACATATGTACATACAACATTTGAAGCATTTGAGTGGGTCTTAAGGATCGCTCGGCACAATGCTTGCCGCAACGCCATCCCGAGGTCACAGCCTTGACCCACACTAACCTTGGAAGTCTTTCCAGGGTTGTAGCACCTCATTCTCAATCGCATACTACAAGTAGCCAAGTTTTTCCCAATTCGCAGGTGCAAGAGAAAGAGAAAGATATCGGGTTTCGAGTTGCTCAGGCTCCAGGGCTGCATTGAGGTTCATTATTGGAACCCCTGACCCACACAGACAAAGACCCCGGGTGCCTAGTAGACGGACAAACCCCAATCCAACTTCAAGTTGAAGATAGTAGGTACCTAACAATGAGTTGGTTTGATTATTTATTGTGCACTGGAACTTGCTCCACAAAGCGTCTGTATGCATGCGGAGTCTACTCTGTCACAACTAGTATTCCCTGAAACTTGAATTTGAAGACATTTATATATGTACTTCAAGTCACTAGCACTAGTATACTACTAGTAGCACTTAAATTTGCCTTCTATGTGTCAGTGGTCCGGCGCGTTACGCGTGTAGATATTGGACCACTGCGGCCATATACTCTAGCTCTCACTTGCACGTGGAGATCCTTCCCTCCTCACGCTTCCTTCAATACGTGTTTCTGGCCTTCTTCACTTGTAGACATCCAAATCCAAATCCTCCAACAGGTTATGAGCCCGGCAGCACATACCTGACACCTGATACTTGATCACCGTCACGAGCGAATACAACAGAAAACACCTCGCCGGCCCTGAGCGTCGGGCCGGATCTCTTACTTTACTTCATATCACCCACCACCAAAGACACACACTCTCCGGCACGCCGACATGGCGGATCGCCACAATTTTGATGGAGACGATGATGATGCAGATGGATGGGGTGCAGAACTATTTCGGACAGCAGAAAACAGGACACAAGCGGATCGGTTGCCGACGAAGACAATCACTTATCCGAAGCTGACCACCTGTCTAAATAGCGATGAGAACTTCGAAGAATGGGACAAAGATCTTCGGCTGATTCTAGCAAAGGATGGTCTATTAGACCTGATTGATGTGAATATTCCCAGACCGACAAAAGACATTGAAAATGAGAATGCTATGAGATGGAGGGATATCTCTGCCGACATGGCTGTGTGGTTGAAAGACAACATCATCCCCGAACTATGGCAAGAACTCGAAATATCGACTACCCGTGTGAAGAGAGGCTACGCAGATACACTCTACAAAGAGATTGTGAAGCTAGTGGAGAAACATAACACACTGGCAAGAGCGAAAAGAATTAGAGCCTGCCGCCTGATGTCAAGTTCTGACTTCCCCCTAAAGTCTCACTATGTCCGTGCATACGTACACAACGTTATTGAGCTCCGGAAACAAGGAATGGGGCCATCCCCATACTGGGCGTTTATTACTATGCTTGACGAGGTACCGGATAAGGTTAGAGAGAAGTGGTATGAGAAGCTAGACCAAGAGGATATCAACCCGAACGATTTCACCGATACAATGTTAATCCAACACTCAAAGAGCATTCGACAGCAGCTAAGGCTGAATGATGAAGATGGCGCTGTTCCCGCGATGCAGGCAACCGGCCGAGACCGCAAAGACAAGAATAAGGACAAGGAAAAGGATTCTAAGCCATACAGAACACCTCCAAAGGACAAGACAGAAAAAGAATGGGTCGAAATCGTCAGAAAGAGAAAAGACAACAGATCTGGAGGGTGTGGACATTGCAATCTCAAAGGCCATAAGGCCAAAACATGCTGGTATCTATGTCCGTGGCTACGACGTAAAGGATGGACTCCATTGGATAAATACTGGGCTTACAAACCTGGTCTGGACTGCGAGACATGTAAACCTCTATCAGAGACTAAGTCTACAGAAGAAACTTCTCCACCACCACCCCCTACAGCAGCAACAGCCGCAGCTGCGATAGCTACAGACGCCTATCTTGATGATGTCTATAACCGCCACTACCATGTGATGGCTATTGAAACACCTAATTTGATGATCCCTGATGATCCCTATGATGAATACATACAGTCAGTTTACAATCGTGCATGCATCTCTCAGAACGAAGGTGACAATGAAAACTTTACCGAGGAGTGTGACTGTCTCCTAACCACTTCTGACGCGGAGATGTTCGATCAACAGGATGAGATTCTGGATGAAATTGCAGATATGGCTGTGGACCAAACATCCCCTTTAAAACAAGGCTTATCAAGTGATCCGGACACCGAGGAAACTCTCATTAAGATCCCAAATGAATTGGAAGCACAGCAATGGCTCCTAGACACGGGCTCAGGCAATCATTTGTGCACAAAAAGAGATTGGATATTCGATTACGTCGAGTTCAAGGATGGTATGAAATATGAATGGGAAACCTCCTGTCCGGGAAACAAAGGGACTGCATGCGGATATGGCAAAGTTAAAATCACCTTATTACAGGATGATAACAGCCTACTGGATGTCATAATTCCAGTTATGTACTCTCCAGTTATTAAATATAACCTGTTGGGAGCTTGTAAACTACGCCGTGACATGCAATTCGCCTACAACGATGACACTTACGCCCTACATGACAGAGCCTCAAAGGCAGTAGTGGGACGCGTTTTCTTTCACTCAGGAGTGCCGTTTCTCAAACACAAAGACTGTGGCTTACAACAAATTGGCCTCTCCATGGCAAGTATTTCAGCCAAAATAGCCCACCGCCGCCTTGGACATGCTGGTGCCCCGAAAATAAAGGCCACTGAGAAGGATCTTGACGTCGAAGTGGACCATTCAGAACCATTTAATTGCACCGCATGCAAGCTTGGAAAATCAAAGAAAAGAATCTCTCGCATACCACAGGTCCGTGCAACGCGCCCAGGACAGATGATCCATGCAGATCTACAACAAATCCGCCCACAGGCTCTTGGTGGCTACAATTATGCTCTAATCATGACAGATGACGCTACCAGATGTCGATTTACGTGTCTTTTAAAACATAAGGATAAAGCTTCTCACGAGATGATTAAATTCGCTACGCAAATCAAGAATGACACTGCCGCCTATCCGCAGGTGTGGAGATGTGATGGTGGATCAGAGTTCTACAAGTTCACGACATGGGCAAAAGAAAATGGACAACGAATTGAGCCTTCCGCCCCCTATGCACAGCAGCAGAATGGTCTTAGCGAGATATCAGGTGGCTACATCGTACAGACTGGACGGACAATGGTTATCGACGCCGAAGCCCCAGAATACATGTGGGGAGAGGCTATTTTGACAGCAACCTACATCATTAACCGGCTACGCCAAGCCCCTGGCTCACCATCTCCGGCAGAGCTATGGAATAAAGGCATGAATTGCAGAGAGCAGCCAACGTCACTAGCTCATCTCCGTGTCTGGTATTGCAAAGCTTATGTGAATATCCCTCCAGAGCGGCGTGTGAAGAGCCAGAAGATGCGTCCACGTGCATGGCTAGGCCACCTCGTAGGCTACATTGGAGAGAATGGTCACCAATTCCGTATCTATGACCCCTACACAAAGAAAGTGTCAATCCACCGAGATGTTATGTTCTGGGAGACCAAATCTGATACCCTGGTAGCTGGTGTTGAGGAGATCAAGATCTCTCAGCTAGGAAATGAGCAAATCAACCGTCAAATTGTAACAGGAGCAGTGAAAGACACAGACAGAGAAGATATTGCCCGCCTGACAGAGCTCTTGAAAGGTGCTCGCAATACATACAAGTCTCTACACCGTGAGACAAGCCGCTTTTACAACAATCAAAACAAAACAAATAAGGATCTCGAAGCCGCAGCTCGCATACATCAGCAACGTGCAGATATGTTGGAAAGACGAATTAAAGACCTCACTAAACAGCTACAGCAGTACCGTGAGGAGACACCAGCGACAGTGACATCAGAGTCCTTAACACCTAAAGTAATTGGACAATTCCCCCAAACAAATGCGCCTCTTAGAGAAAAGAAAAAATTCCATAACGAAATCTCTGGAGGATTTAACGCAGACGAATATGATGATGATGACCAGACACCAACACCAACTCCACAAACAACGACTAGTCGGTCTCAGTCAACAACTAGTCAGACCCAATCAGAAACTGAGCAAGCTCCAAGACGTTCCGGACGTGTCACAAGGGAACCGAAGCGCTTTGGAAACTTCGAAAATTGGAAGGATCTTGGCAGAAGCGTCTCTCAACCACCGCAAACTGATGGTGCAGACGATTTCGACTACATTGCAGGCCTTGAAAGTGCAATTGCGATGGCAGCTTTTACAGATAATGATGATGATTATGGCGAATCAAGACCTGAGACGGCAAAGAAAAAGGACTGGCAGATTAAGCGACCTACCACCCATAAGCAGGCTATCACCACTCCAGAAGCCTCATTTTGGCAAGCTGCAATGGATGAACAAGTGTCGAAATTGGAAGCTGCAGGTGCCTGGATCGAGGTGGATGAGATAACAAAGCCAAAACATTTGCAAATTCTACCAGGGAAATGGGTCTTTGACACCAAGACAGACAAAGATGGCTATATCACACGCTATCGAGCGAGATGGGTAATCTGTGGCAACAGACAACGTCCCAGCATTGATTTCGATGAGAATTTCGCGCCAGTAGCTGCTGACCAGACCGTGAAATTGTTGTATGCACTGATCGCTGAGAAAGGTTGGAAAGCTCGCCAATTCGACGTGATAACCGCTTATTTGAATGCGGAAATTGATAATCGACGTGTCTACATGCGCCTACCGACAGGCTTTGCGAAAGAAGGAAAAATATGCCTGATTCAGCGTGCGCTGTATGGTCTGCGACAGGCTGCACATCTCTGGTGGACGAAATTTAGCGAAATACTATGCAAATTGCAGTTCCGACGATCACAGAGCGATCCATGTCTCTATGTCCGCGGGAATTCGGCCGAAAAGACCCTTTGTATGATTGCAATCTACGTGGACGACGCAAAGATGGCCAGTATGAGTGACGAGATCAATTCTAGTGTGATCAAAGAGATTGAAAGACACATCGAGATCAAAGACCTCGGTCTACCAACGAGGTTCCTAGGCTGCGACATCAGCTTCGAAAACAATGACATCTTGTTCTCTCAACATCAGTACATTGACGGTGTTATACACACTGAACATATGGCCAGTGCAAATTCAAATACAATTCCGATCGCCACAGGCTCCGACACAAGCTTACCAATGGAAAAGACTCTATCCAAGCAAGACGCTCAATCCCTTGCAGAGATCACTGGAAAGATTGGATGGATTGCAAAGAAAACACGTCCTGATATTGCATACGCTACAGGCGTCTTACAGAGGTGTAGTGCTTATCCATCCACTGAAGCCACTGCGCTTGCGAAACATATTATTCGATATCTCACAGGGACACCAAGACTAGGATTGAAATTCAGAAAGAAGGCCCCTATTGCAGTGAGTGAAAAGGTGCCGCTGAAAGGTCTAGTAGGCTTCGTCGACAGCTCTTTTAGCAATGACCCTTGGACAAAGAAATCTGTGCAAGGCTGGATATTCATGTACAACGGGACACCGATCTCTTGGTCTACAAAGCGACAATCCCTCATTGCGCCGTCGAGTACGGCAGCCGAATACATTGCATATGAACATGCATCGCAAGAGGCTTTATTGTTGAAGAATTTGCTGGTGGACATGCAGCAACTCGATCAATCCCCCGTGATAATCTACACTGATAGCGACAATGCATACACTCTTGCACACGGTATCGGCTTTAAGCCAGCGACAAAGTGGTTAGATCTACGCTATCACATCATCAAAGAGAGAATCGAACTCGGCAAGATCAAATTGGTGCTGATCGACAGCGAGGACAACGTCGCCGATGGCCTGACAAAGGCCCTGGACACCACCAAGTTCAAAGCTTTCCGGAAAGGACTGTGGATGGTGGATGCATAAAGAAGAACAAAGAAAGGAAGGCAAATCATGTGATCTATTATTTCCTAATTGGGTAACTACACCTGATTTTATTTTATTGCAGAAATGGACATTTCAGGAGGTCTCGGAGGTCTCCGTGCTGCGAGAGCTACGGGGGGTGTGTCAGTGGTCCGGCGCGTTACGCGTGTAGATATTGGACCACTGCGGCCATATACTCTAGCTCTCACTTGCACGTGGAGATCCTTCCCTCCTCACGCTTCCTTCAATACGTGTTTCTGGCCTTCTTCACTTGTAGACATCCAAATCCAAATCCTCCAACACTATGTACCGAGATTCAAGTTACTCAGACTCGAAATCAATTGATTATACTGAAACTTTTCGATGTTAGTTTCCATTTCGGTTTGCCGGCATTTCATATTTCAGTGGCAACTTGAAGCTCGCACTTAGTCTTGAACCGAAAAAATAGCTGCCGGGTCCGTCCGGGAGGTGGAACGTCGTTGATTAGGAGAAAAAACGCTTCTATGTAGGGACTAGTCTAATCTAATTCACGGTTCAGATTTCTTCCGAAGGTCTCCGTGCAAGCTCCTAGTCCGAGCTAACTTAGCGATGTGGATGCAGGTGGCTATGCAGCTCACTAGATCTGGACTAGATCTGGACGAACTATCAAAATCTTGAATTTCAAGGGCAGGCTGTGCCCCACCAGCAATTTACATACTAGCCTTGCTGAAGTCTCTAATTTGGAATTCCAAGCAATATGCGTTTTCAATGCGTGAATCGAAAGAAATATTACCCGAGCACCTAGTTTAGTGAGCACTAGCGTAGAATGAATATGACCCCGATGCGCAGTCCACTCTTCGTGTCTGTGCTTCTGGTGATCTCAAGAAACTGCAAAATTCGTCCACTGTTAAAACAGCCCCTTCCACAACCTTAGTCAAAAATTCCGTTCAATACCAAGTGGGCGGTTGGGGCTCAACTTCTTCTGCATCCACGGAGAACGATTACTCTTCGCTTCTGGAGGCTTTGAAAACTTATCTGATTTGCAATCCTCAAAAACCTGAACTTTTTGGCTACTCGAATGAAGTGACCGCTGGAGTTTACCTGGGAGAAAGCATCCAACAGGCTGCCAATGTCGAATCTGCCATTGAAGAATTGCAAAACTTTCTTTCAAGTTCAGACTACAGCACTGGTGCAATTCAATACTGTGGTGTCAATGCCAATGAAACGATTGGCATAGCGGTCGATCTGAATGGGAATATCTCAACAATTCAAGAATATGTCCAAACCTGGCACAAGGGGGGATGTTTGTCTAACTTTGATACGAAGACAACTGTCAGTGTTTTTCTTACCTTCCAGGCTGGCGTCAACAAGGCAAATGGAACCGTTTTAACCTATTCCCGGCTATCGCGTGGATTGCATGGCCATCATATTTCTCACAGCCACAAACACAAATGCACAACGGATACATGCTCATATGTTGAAGTGGTTTCTGGGGATTCTTGTGCATCGCTGGTCACCGAATGCGGAATCACCGACACCGAGTTCTACGAGTACAATACTGCATCAGATCTCTGCTCAACACTCGTTGTGGGCCAATACATATGCTGTTCCTCGGGCTCATTACCCGACTTTGCACCATCTGCTTATGAAAATGGCACCTGCTACACGTACAATATACAGTCAGGGGACAGCTGCTCGAGTCTGGCCGCTACATATAGTCTCACCGAAGCCGAAATTGAGTCCTATAACAACGAAACATGGGCCTGGTATGGGTGTAGCGACTTGCAAGCGGGCCAGAATATCTGTTTGTCTTTGGGAAATCCTCCCTATCCCGAGTCAATTGCCAACGCCGAGTGTGGACCTCAGGTTCCAGGCACTATTTTCAACAGCACCGATTCGGGCGACTGGGAGAGCTATAACCCTTGTCCGTTGAATGCCTGTTGCGATGCCTATGGTGAGTGCGGTATTTCACCAACATACTGCACTCGCACTTTCGCCGCGGATAACAACCCTGGAACAGCGGGAAATGGAACGAATGGATGCCTTTCTAATTGCGGAACCACGATCACCAACTGGGCAGTTTCCCCTTCTTCATTCTCCAAGGTCGGCTACTGGGAACCAAGTAGTCTTGAGCGCCCATGTCTGCAGATGGACGCAGATTCAATCGACACATCTCAATACACCCATGTCATGTTTGCCTTTGGCAACATCACAGCCGATTTCTCTATCAATGTTTATGGGTATGAAGACCAACTATCAGAATTCCTAGCGCTTGAAAATATTAAGCGTATGATGTCCTTCGGTGGCTGGGATTTCTCTACCGGCGTGGACACCTATATGATCTTCCGTGAGTGTACTTCTGCTACATACCGGTCTACTTTAGTGACAAATGTGGTTAATTATATCACTGACACCGGTCTTGACGGCGTGGATTTTGATTGGGAGTATCCAGGTGAGACAGATACTGAAGGTATTCCAGCTGGAAGCAGCGATGAAGGTGACAAATTTCTTGCATTCCTCAAAGATGTTCGAGAAGCATTGCCCAGTGATAAAATTCTGTCTATTACGGCTCCAGCTTCATACTGGTATCTACAGAACTTTCCTATTGCTGAAATGGCAGAGGTTGTGGACTTTATCAATTACATGACCTACGATCTGCATGGAGTGTGGGATAAGGGAAATGAATGGGCAGAGGATGGTTGTCCAGCCGGTGACTGTCTCTTCTCCCACATCAATATGACAGAGACCGAATGGGCTCTGGCTATGTTAACTAAGAGTGGAATTGGAACCAGCCAAATCATGGTAGGCGTTTCCAGCTATGGTCGTTCGTTCGAGATGTCTGAGGCAGGCTGTTATAATTCCAACTGCACGTGGACTGCTGCAGGAGAAGCAGGTGAATGTACTGAAACTGTTGGATACATTTCAAATGCAGAGATCAACCAAATCCTTCTAACAAACACCAACTCAAATCTCTACTCGGATGGAAATGTGACCAATTTCATCGTCTATAATGATACCCAATGGGTTGGTTATATGACTAACGAGACCAAGGGCAAGCGCGCAACTTATTACGAGGGCTGGAATTTTGCCGGTACAGCAGATTGGGCCATTGACCTCGCGGAGTTTGTGGATAACGAGATTGCCGCTGCAGCTGCCTCAGAAAGCTCAGGGGCTCAAGCAACAATTACGATCGATCCTGAAGTTTGGGGGGAATCAAGTCCTGCCGCCACTTGTGCACCTCCTTGTCTGATGGTCATGCCTCCTCTGCCTCTGACGTCAAACACTACCATTTCCTTCGACCCATGGAGCACTCATGTCACTTACAGTTCTGTCGGAACATCCACTACCGCCTTGAGAGATGGAAGTTCCACTACATTTAATTATTATAGCAGTGTTTTAGTCCCATACGTGATCAACCTTGGTCCTGGTATGTATCATGTTACCCTTCGGATCGTACCTTCATGGAGAACCAAAATACTAATGTGGCGATACAGTGAGAACTGACTACATCAACGTCTGGAATCAACAGATTACCGGCGGTCAGAAAAATGTCGTGCAGACTAGCTCGATTGTGCCAACGCAAACGCCCATCACTTGGACCCCGTGAGTTCCATACCTCAATTTTACTCTCTCTAACCTAGAAAACCAAGCCAAGCTAATCTGAGAAGAACGGTTGGAGGTAACACTACTATCATTGGCGCCACCAAAAGTGTCATGCCCGGTTTCACATATTTCTCTGGGAACGTGACCTACAGCACGACTGCATGGACTGGCATTTGGGGAGGGACCACATATGTCACCGGCGGGACCACTCTGCCTCCGCAGACGTCGACTGTGACACCCTTTGCGTACCCGACAACTTCAGATACGACACCTGATCCAACTTTGAACACCGTAACAACTACGGTGAAATCTGTTTCTAACTCTAAGAGCTGGGTTCCTACGCCGACTTCATCCAATGAGCACACGGGCTCACTCTGTATGTTTATGACACCGACCCAAATACCGTATTGACAGACAATGGCTCTAGAATCATGGTACTAATTAGATATTCAGGCGTGGAAAACTGCAATGGAGGCTGCAAGCTTTGTCCTCCAGGCCTCAACATTGATATTGATATTAGTGGTGGTGGCGGCGGCGGCGGCGGCGGCGGCGGAGGAGGTGGTGGTGATGACGATGACAACAATGATCGCAAGACCACCACTATTACCGAAAGTGCCTCTACAACAACTATGACCGAAGATGGCAAGCTCACCACTATCACCGAAAGTGCTCGCACAACAACCGAAACTGAAACTGAGAGCAACAGCAGTACTGAGACCTCTATCACTCTCACGGCTGGCATTGCCGTTGGAAGTCACACAGCTTTCGTCGAGTCCAGTGGGTCATTAGAAGCCACAACAGAGCCCATAGAAAGCCTCCTGTCAATTGCCACGATTCTCAACAGAGAATTCTCATCTCTTTATTCTGCGAGATCTCCTCTCTCATAGCCGGTCTCTACACCACAGCGGCATCGACATCGACATCGACATCGACAACTTCCACATCGAAAACCTCCACGTCAACAACTACCTCCACATCAGCAACTGCTACACCAACAGAAGAGCTCATCATCTCTCTCAGTGAGGATGCTAATCTTCTTGAAGACCAGTATACATGGGTTTATTTTGTCGAAAAATATGATGCTAGCTACAGTGTCTGCGATGCCGTCACGGTGGAGACAGGTTCCACTGCTAGCGAAGATGCCACCTATCCCGATGGCAGTATTACATTCCCAAATGATGTTGACGGAATGAGTGATTGTGTCTATGACGGCAATAGCTCTGGTCCCGGTACATTGACCTGTTCTGCGCTCTCATACGTCGTGCAATGCGAAGCGGTTGAAGCAACAACAAACACTTGCTATACCTCCACAGCCCCCATTGAAATTACTGCCAAGGTTATTTGCTTCTGGTAGATTGGATGTTTGACTAGTCGCTGGCACTAGTATGTTTAGAATGAAGATTCTCCAATTTCAAGTTCAAGCCCTGGAGTGAGCATTATCTTGCGTTGACAGAGTCGAAAACCTGCCACTGAGTGCGAGATGTATCGATCAATATAGTTTATTCCAAACCTTGGAATGAAAAATCAACCTGTATTCGCCTGGCCAATTGCTGCACTTTGTTAAAGAATAAATCTCCTATGGATGATCCACTGCCTTCCATTGGGATCATCCAAAATTCATGGCCTACTAAGTTGGCAACTTCAGTTCAAGTGCAAGTTGAACCTCAAATTTGGAATTCGAAGTGGGGGCCAACCTCGAGGGTTGAACGATCGAAGGATGTCACCCATGATGTCAACTTGAACTTCAACTTGAAAATTTGAACGCATAAGCGTATAAAATTCAGAAAGTTAAACTTGAAGTGAACATGCCCACTGGCAGGTGGCACCAGTTGACCTGGGCACTGGCAGTAATGTCCATGTGAGAACCCGAAGGATCCCCTGCCCAGGTGGCAGTTAAGTCCAATCTAAAAAAGTGCCCCCGAGCTGCGGGGCCGAGTGCCAGTGGCTTTCTCTCTCTCTGAGTCCCTGCATCCATGATGGGCATCTAGAGGCTCAAGCATCGATATTTAAATGATCACCCGGATGCCACCCGGCGTTGGGGGAAAATTGACGATACGGGCCGGTGCAGACGGGGGTAAAAGGCCTGGGGCATTAAACACCGACGGTTCATTTGAATCTAAATGCGACTCCCTAATCACCTTGTGAGATTCAATCATTTGAAATGGCCCCATAAATTACTTGGTAGGACCACCTGATCTTTTACTCCTCTAGGAAAAGCTCGAAGCATACCTCTTTTGGAGTACGGAGTGCTAGAGAGATTTCCCCACACAAGCACTCAGCCACCCTTTTTGTACGAGAACTTAAAACAAAAGGCAGTAACATTATCTTGTCGCCTGATTCCTCTGATTTAATTTAAAAATATCCTGTTTTCCCTCTTTGATTTGATTCTATATTATGTATCTTTTGTCCTATTCCCCTTTCAACCCCCTAAACTTGGACTACCAATCTCATTGCTTGCTCCCGCATTGAGAAGGGATCCACCGGTGGACTCTAGTGCTGAAATCTAGGGATCGTTGCTTAGCGCCCGTGAAAGCAACGCGCAGGAATCCGACGTCGCATTCTCGATGATCAATTTCACATAGAAATTATTACTGCCAGAAGAGTTGGGAGAAATCAAATTCAACCTCGCCGATATGGGTCCTTGCCCTCAAGTGGTCCAGGGCATATCAAAGCTCGTGCTGTTCTCTTACATCATGGATTGGGTCTTTATCATGTATGGATGCGGAGTCTCCATGTGAGAGTGAACCTCTTTACCGAATGCTAACACCGGAAACCAGCGGAGTCGCCTTGATCGGATATGGCTTCTACAAACAGACTCCTAACCAACACCCCTTCTCCCTGACCGACCCGGGAATCTCGTATCCCTTCATGCAAAAAGAAACCGTGACAACCACGACCCTTATACTAGTGTCACTTCTTGCACCCGCCGCGATCACTCTGATCGGCGCGTTTGTTATCGTCCCCGGAACCGCCGCACCGACAGGTCCCAAACCTACCACATCCCAGATACTCCGCCGTAAATTTTGGGAATGGAATGTTGGATGGATGGGGCTCGGGGTGGCTTATGCCGGCGTATTTATGGCTACACAGGGACTTAAGGTTCTGATCGGAAGACCAAGACCGGACCTTCTGGCGCGTTGTGATCCAGATCTTGACAAGATATCCACCTATGCAGTCAGTGGACTTGGTGAAACCTTGACAGGAGCCACCACAATGGTGAGCTATAAAATCTGTCAGACTCAAACTTCCACCCTGACGGTGGAGGGATTCTCTAGCTTTCCGAGCGGTCATTCATCATGTAAGTCTTATCTGGTCACCAAATACAGTATGTATGCGATTGCTAATCTGTTGTTTTGAATTAGCTTCTTTCGCCGGACTGGGGTATCTCACACTGTGGCTGAGCGCGAAGTTGTCAGTTGGATTTCCATATCTTCCAACATACCCCTTCGAGGGTAAAAACCACAACGATGATAAAACCTCTGTGCGGAAACGCGGAGCTGCGCCACCGGTACTCCTTATGGTCCTTACCTTTTTCCCAACATGCACCGCATTTTTCATCGCCGGATCTCGGTGGTTCAACTGTCTTCATCATGCCTTTGATATTGTATTCGGATCTCTCATGGGTGCGTTTTTCGCTTGGGTTGGATTCAACATGTATCATCTTCCCATCCGACGAGGTGCTGGATGGGCCTGGGGACCGCGAACTGGTCGACGTGCTTTCATCCGAGGCCTGGGTTTTCCTAGTACGCTTGGCATCGACAACTGGACATATACGCACACGCAAACAGAGTTCAATGACAACTGGCGTGAGTCTGACATTGCCGCGGAAAATGGAGAGATGGGAAACTCGTATCAAATGCAAGACAGCCAATATACGAGACAGAGACCCCCGCCATCACCGGTGTCACTTGCTTCTGAAAGACCACTGGGAGCATAGAGAAGACTGTTTCTGATTCTTTGAACCTATATTAATGACTGTTTGATTTTACTGTGCATATATGGATTAGATCTAATATTAAGGCGTATATTCATTTATTTTGATCCAAATTCTGCTTGACAGATTATGTCCATTCTATGATAAGCTGTTAATGCGAGTGTTCTATATTAATATTCGGTCTGACACTTACGAGAATCTTCCATCTGATAAGCATCAGAATTTGATTCGTAATACATGGGGAAGACTTAAGAGGACATAAGGTATACAGTTCTGGAGGATTCAGTTGCGTCAACGGGGTTAGCGGAGTTAAATTATTACGTAGCTTCCCCCATATTCATCACTAATCAAAGCTGCGGGGATGAAGTGACACCTGCAGGCATTCTTATAAGGTACCTAGACTGTGTGAACTCGAACAAGGAAACCTTTACACTTGAGATTACGAATTTTTGCGTCTGCTCTCAAGCTCTTCCAAAATTTGAAGGCTCTTACACTATGGCTTCATATTTGATTACCGGTGCCTCTCGAGGTCTTGGACTGGCATTGGTCTCTCGATTGGCAATGTTACCCCCAACAGAAGTGGGAAAGATCATTGCCACTGCACGCTCTGATAACTCGCCTACATTGAAGGAGCTCGTGAGTAATTCACTCGGTCGGGTCGAGTGGGTTAAGTTGGATGTTTGCGATCAGAGCAGTATACTGGCAGCTGCTGGCGAAATAGACGCCAAATTAAAAGGCAAAGGACTCGACTACCTTGTGAACAATGTTGGCACGGCAGATTGGGGCTCAAAGGGACTCGAGGGAATGTGAGAGCATCCTGATTACATCTTATACAGAGCTGATTGCTAATCTCACAAAAGGAATAACATCGACGAGGTCTTTCATACTAATGTTACTTCCACTCACATGGTGACACAAGCATTACTCCCTCTTTTGCGCAAAGGGACTAAGAAAACAGTGGCCAATATGTAGGTCAATATCTACCAGATGAGTTCATTACTAGGACGCTAACACCTGATAGATCGACTACTGTAGGCTCTTTCGCCAAAGCCAAGGCCTTCTGGGCGTCACCTGTCCCTGCTTACAGAGTGACAAAAGCGGCCCTGAATATGTTGACAGTACAATATGCTCAGGAGTACGAATCGGAAGGATTTACAGTGGTAGCTGTTAGTCCTGGTGTAAGTGCCCCTTAAAGAAATCACCAATCTCTGATTGAAGTTCACTCTTTTGCTAATTATGAACAGTGGCTTCGCACTGAACTCGGTGGCGACCGGGCAGATCTTCCCGTTGAAGTTGGGGCCGAAAAGACAGTGGAAATAATTCAAAACTTAAGACCGTCCGAGAATGGGAAGTTTTTGAATATTCATGTTCCAGGATGGGAGAATGCACAGGGCAATAACCAGTACTCGGGTGGAGAGACTGGATGGTGAGACCGGAAGACCAGTGTCTTAAAGGATAACGTGAACTAAACCACTCATGATTATGAATTAAGGCATAACAGGTTGAGGGTTATTCAAAGATACTTGGAGATTAGATTGGAAAGGCCAAATTAAGTACATTAGTGGCGTTGGACGTGATCATGAAAACCAGTATCCTCCAATATCATGATTCAATATTCATCTCAAGTGCTATTCAAGAGTCAATAATGATCATGCGATCGCTTAAAAATAAGATGAAGATAACCTACGCCTCGCATCCGTGGCTGCCCTCCTGCTTGGGATCCTGGCATCCACTGCTGCAGAGCTTCGGGTGGCCAACGATGCCTGGATTCTTGCAGTGAAAGAGAATGTTCTCCAATGGCTGATCTGCCACATCGGTGCCATTAATAGCATCCTTCAGATCGGCCTCAGTGAAGCCTAGAACAATCAATGACTGGAATCAATATCAGACCAAAATTAACATACCCTTATCCTTCAGTAGCACATCGGAGCAATAGTCAAAGCTGGGAGTGCATGCCCTGTCGGCCACGCCGGTTGAAACCAGGGCAAAGACAGCGAGAACAACTGAAGAGAATTTCATTTCGAATAGTATTAGGATTGTATGATGAAACTAAGATTGAGAGGTGAAATGGAAGAAGGATCTTAAATAACCTCCACAAACAAAAACAAGAACTAACATTCTTGCCTATAGCCGCCCGCAAAGCTTGCACCGCATGTTCCCAATGGAATGCTCGTTGGTATGTAACGACGCCATGGTGCATACCACACTAATAGAGCCTTACACATTACTTCCGAAAACTTGAAGCGAGTCATTTAAGCCGAAGCTTCAAGTTCGGCAGTCCTACCAGTTGACGGTAGGCCAGCTTGTATGTGAGTAATTTATCTCACTGTCATAAGACCAAAAGCCAGGGAATACAAAGAACTATCCAGACAAAATCAAGCGAAACTCAATTGATTGATAGTAATTTCAAGTTAGTAATTTCAGTGTTTGTACTTGGGAAAGCCAACTGGTTGATTTTGACCAATAATCTTAAATTGGATTTATGCATATCGGACAGAACCCAGTCATGTATCTGCACCTACAACAATGTTTGATTTTCCGTCGAAAAACATTGACATGCATCAATCTATTCAGATAGGCGGCTTAATGTCCGTCATAACATTTGAAAGACATCTAAACCATGCCTAACGGGGCATGTCCATCCGTAAAAGATAAGAGATAGACCCCGCACAGCAAGAAATCAGACTTTTATACAGAAATATCACCATATATCTCGACTTTGACACTTTACTTGCCCTGAGTTACAATATCTTGTAGAGAGATACACCATCTGGATCTTCCAAAGTTCAAGTTAATATGGAGCCAAATAAAGACCTCGGTATGTACCCTTCATCGGCTACCCTGGCCACGAGGTTCCTATCATGCCATGCTGTTTGTATTCTATAGAGAACTGACATGGTATTACCATAGTCGCCAAGTTGGTGAATGCCGATCCAGGTCTCCCAAGAATCAATCCAACCCAGTCTTATTGGCAGCATGTCCCTCACGCGTTGGCGAACGCACAATCTCCCACTCTACCCGCCGAAAGAGATTATGTTATCATTGGATCTGGGATAACCGGACTCTCTGTTGCAAAGAACCTTTTAGAGCGGCACCCAGCAGCAACAGTATCTGTTCTGGAAGCTCGAACGCTATGCTCTGGAGCCACAGGACGAAATGGAGGCCAGATGGCTGCTAGCGTGGGTGAAGAATACTCCTATCTAGCAGACGCACATGGTCCAGAGATGGCTGGGAAGATTGTCTCATTTACTTTTCGCAATTTGGACAAAATGCAGGATTTCATCAGAGAATATGATGCCGTTGAGGCGAGCGAAATGCAGAAATTGCATAAGCTGCGAGCTTTTCTGACCGAAGACACTTTCCAGGATTTCAAGAAAAGCATTGCGAGACTTGAATATGATCATCCTTCTTGGAAGGGTCTATATAAAATACTTGAAAAAGATGAGCTTATCAAGGTTTGACTTGTTTCTTTACCACTTGAAGATTCTAATTTCTAACTGGCACCTATTCAGGATCATGGAGTCCACGGCGCAGCTGGGGGAGCTTTGCTTCCTGCCGGTACTGTCTGGCCCTATCGACTTGTTACAAAAGCGTTTGCGGCATTGATGGCCAAGTACCCAGATCGATTGACAATCGAGACAAGCACGCCAGTGACAGCTGTCGAGTACGAGTCCAACTATGTCACGCCCGTCTCATCCGTGTTTCCTTATATAGTCAGAACTCATCGCGGACCATTACGTGCCGAGAATGTAGTTTACTGCACAAACGGTCATACTGGACATCTCATCCCGAAATTACGAGGACGTATCCATCCATTCAAGGGGACAATGACTGTTCAAGACCCGCAAACCGAAGTCCCAAATCGAGGAGAACTTACATCATGGGGCTTCCATTACCCAATAAACTATGATCCCGCAACAAAGGAATCCGGCCATGGACTATACTATCTGGGACAAAGTGTTAAGACCGGTTATTTCTACTTTGGAGGCGAGAACGCTCGCATTGAGCATGTCGTCACTGCCGATGATAGTTTCGTGACTAAGAACTCAGTCAAACATCTTCAATCAGTTCTTCCAAAGTTCTTCGGCAGTGCTACGCCTGAATGGAACCTGGTTAGTGCTTGGAGCGGGATCATGGGCTTTTCATCTGATGGTGTCCCGGTGGTGGGACAGCTCTCTGAATCACTAACAGGCCGCGCGGGTGAAGGTGAATGGATTGCTGCAGCCTTTAATGGATATGGTATGGCCAATTGTCTGTTGAGTGGTGAGGCATTGGTCTCTATGATTCTGAAAGACCGTGAGAGTGATTGGTTTCCTGGAGCTTATACACTCAGTGAAAAGAGATTGCGTGAGACTCTTACTGCGCCTGAGTCAATTAAGGCTTTGACTGCAAAGCTATGAGTTTCAATGTTCAACTTGTCATATGCTGTACATAATAGCATGGGGTATATTCAGTGTTATCAATGCATCCATACGTGACCATCCTCGTGTAACTCCAGGCCAGTAGTCATGGGGCCGAGTCCCGTAATCTACTCTGCATATAGATGTTATATTAATTTAATCAATGTTCGCTTTTCACACCAGAAATCGAAGTTGAAGTAAGGGGATATTTTATTGAGAAAAATAGGTATTCTCCCTGCGCCTTTTAATGCATGCACATAATGTGAAAATTTTTTTCTTGAAGCTCCACCCGCGGTCTACCCACACCATGAAACTTCTTCGCCTCATCCAACCTCACTCAACCCTTCAGTCAGACAATTCAAAAACATCAGGAAGCAAAAAGATGGACTCGCGGGGAATCGAACCCCGGACCACTCCCATGCTAAGGGAGTATTATACCACTAAACCACAAGCCCAATTTGATGTGGGTCGGATCCAAGAAGTGGTTGACATCGGCTCGGAGATGGAGGGTGGGGTGTTCGGCCCGATCAGATTCGAGAACCGAGCAACTTATCTGGAAGCTTCAGCAATGACAAAGTCCATCATGGAATGATGTTTTTGACTTTCAGTTGACGATGGGAGTGAGCTCCAAGTATTAGGAAAGGAGTTCTCAGATCGTAGTTCGCGGGCTCCACGCCCAACGCCATCAATGCCGCGCACAATGAAGGTTGAAAGAGAAAGCTCACGGCGGGTCAATACCACTTTCATCTTTCTGTTACTCTCGGGATTCTTGCTACCAGATAGCAGCAATTCACCGAGATGAGGATAAATCGCATCCCATTTTTTCACCGTCCCACCTGAACTGTTCTTGGGTAGTTGATCAGATGAGATTTGGGAAACCACATCTAGTAGGAAGATATGTGTGATAGCGGCCTCAACCTCATCCCTGAGACTAATTCGACCAGGAGACTTGAGATCAGGGAAGGAGGGGAAGTTGAATGACAGGTCGTAATGAGTTCCGAAGGGTGGTGCCGATAGGTTTGTACGAATCGTGATACTGAAGGAACTCTGGGTTGTGAGAAGATTTCCTCGGAATACGGACTCAATCGGCATAAGGAATTTCTGAAGGAATTTCTCGACTGAGGCTGGTGAAAGAGACGATAGAGGAGGATCGCCGCTAGAAAACGAATTTTTGTTCAACTCGGGCACGTTCAGACCAGATGATCGGAGGACAGTTAGAATCTCCTTGAGATATGATTCCAGCCAGCGGAGCTGTACAAGGTGTTGGAAGTAGCCAAGGGCAGGGCGAAGTAAATGATACTCTGGAGTAACTCGCTTCCTTGAGGTCAATGGCGGCGGGGGTTGTGTACGTCGGCGTAGATTTTGGCGATGCGCAAAGGTAAGAAGAATTCGGATTGAGTGGGCGAGGCCGTCTGCAAGAAGCTGGTCTGTTGCTGTAGATTCCTTCTGCTCAGTATCAATGCTCTCACCATCGGCATCGACCAAATCCAGCAAAATTTCCGTATCATCAGAGGCAGGGACTTGAATTAGATTCTGACGAGTTGTGACACCACTGCTTGCCATGGAGCGGGCTTCGCGAACCAATTCATGGAACAGCTCTTCCTCGAAGACAGAGTCACGCGCTTGCAGAATACGATGCTCGATCGATTGAACATCATCGGACGGCGACATGAAAGGTTTCGAGCTGCTGGAGATGCGGGTACCTTGTCTCACTCGCACACGGACAAAGCGCGCCCCAGAGGGAATGAGCCCTTTGTCTAGGATCAGGCTTCCATCTTGCGACCGTCGCAAAGAAGCAAGTCCACGGTCGCGGAAGACTGGTGTAGCTTCAAGGAACCCATATTGTACACCCAGTGCTTGTCTCTCACGCGGCAGGCGACAGATTTTCCAGCCTTTCTCCTTGACCGCTAACACCTCATTCCAGTATCGAGTCTCCGATGCGACCTCGGTGTCCAGCCTGGAGGCAGCTTTCAATAGCTTGTTGGATGCCGAGTTGAAGTTCTGAATTCTCCATCCCCTTGACACCGTCGATGTATCCTTTATGGCTGATTCTGATTTCGGCAGTGGGTTTACCACTTCGGCGTCGAGTGAACCAAGAGGTGCGACTTGCTTGAGGTATGCGGACATGGACGTTTCGGCTTGGCGCGGCGAGGTTTTCGACAACAGGAGCGAAATAAAATCAAGGGCAAACATGGCTTCCATGTGAGATTGTCTAATCGCATTGATTAGCTTGCATTTGAATAACTTCATGAGAGATAGGTCGACTTACACTGCGAATTGGGTGATATCGGCGCGTTTCTTGTACAATTTTTCAAGGCGCTCTGTTGTATCAGCATCGCTCATCTCTTGATCGCCATCCTCCGAAGCTGGTGCTCCATTGCGCTCGCTCTCTTCGGCGATCTTAGCGCGGAGAACCTCCTCATTGACATCTCGAAAGGAACCCCAGTGATTGTTGATCTGAGCAATCTCGACTGGCAAAGTATCGGGCCGGTCCTGTCGCTCTAAGACCGGCCGAAGGGGGAGAGTAAAGGAGTCGGCCATGATTTAGCTCATCGATTGTGTCGACTGCGACGATGAGGGGATTCAAGAAACCGGAGAGGAGGAGTGGGGATAAGAGCTATGTAATGGCGCGATAACGGGCACGGTATCACGTGAACGCCGGTGTATGAGTGCCAGTGAAAGTGAATGGTTTGTTATGCCATGTAAAAGATTATTTGGGGGTAATTATTTAGAGGGAATTTCTGTATGCCAGTGAAGTACTTAATCCATGGATGGATATTTGAAATGTTGACCAGTTGACATTTGCGACTAGTTTCATTCACTCGTTGCTCCAACCTAAAATTGTATATACATCTAGCTCCCTCCAAGTCACAGCTTGAAAATTAATTTTGCTTCGATGACTGGCGAGTCTTGACGAAATCCACCAAATCGAAGAAGCTCTTCTTATAATATCGCTGCTGAGTGGTTCGGTTCACCTTCTGCATACCAAACTGTTGCGAGTAGTCTCCAAACTCCCAGTTATCAACAAAGCTCCATGCGAGTGCACCCATAACATGCACACCATCCTTGTAAATTGATTTCAGTACCTCAGACATGAACGAGAGATAATATTGACTGCGAGGGGAGTCGAATAATTGATCCGGGAGCTCTTTGGTTGCCTCGGCATATACAGGAAAGCCGAACTCGGATAGGAAGACCGGGTGCTTCCAGGTATTGTAGATATCGAAGAGGAATTCCCGGAGACTAGGAAAATAATCAGTCAAGGCAAAGTTTGGGAATAGGAGAGAGAGAGAGAGGGTCGCTTACTAGGTTGGTGTGATATACACATATGACTCCGACCGATATCCAATATTCCAACCATAGATATTCGTGGTCTCTTGATTCACACAGTAGGGAAAGAGAGAGTTTGAGGATGATGAGTCCAAAGCACAAGCATCAATGCCTTCATCAGCAGGAGATATCACGGTAGCTGTATACGCATCAATGCCGAAAAAGTCCGCGGTGTTGTTCATATATGCCAGCTCGGTGTTATTCAGCCGTTTCGCACCGGGCATAGTGTTAAGAACGGAGTCCGGATATTGCTTCCCCAAGAAGACTGGGTTCGCAAAAAAGCCAACTTGCATTTCTTGGAATCGATTTGCAGCTTGGACATGACTAGCGTTCTTCGGGTTCTTGGGCACACCGAAATTATCATTGAACTTGAGACCCATCTTACCCGTACCTTTGAGCTTGTCATGATAGAAATGATATACTTGTGAGTGAGCGCGGATGACGTTATCAACGCCCTGGAAGTTGAAAGCATATAAAAGTGGCTCATTAAATGTGACCCAAATCGGCACTCGATCAGCGAAATGAGTCAGAACAATCTTGCCATAGTTCACAAAACTAATAACACAGCAAAATTAGTAATTAAGATAGAAGGTGAAGGTCATGTATCAGATAGAAATCACTCACGCATCCACGAATGTTTCATTTTGATAACCGGCGTTGTTGTAACCGATATCCGGATGCCTCGCTGCAATAAGTCAGATATTGGCAAAAAAAGACAAAAGAATAATTCAAATATTGATCGAGAAAACTCACTTATATTGTCGCTAGCAACAAACATCAAAGGACTGTCAAAGTGAAGCATAGTAACGATAGGCTTCATTCCCGCATCAAGAACAGTGTCGATCAAGTCGTTATAGTGGTCAATGGCTTGCTGATTTACAGGAGTGCCAGGTAAGACGAAGGGCAAGATGCGTGTCCATGGGATGGTAAAGCTATAATACTCCACCCCCATCGCAGCTAATCGTTCAATATCCTGCTTATATAGGAAATAGTTCTCGTTGGTGACATAGTCTTTCGGCTCGTCTCCACTGATCAGTTTTTCCAACAGCGACGGAGAACGTCCATCAAGTGCAATGGCACCTTCGATCTGAGCAGCACTTCCTGCAACACCAAATATGAAATCATCAGGGAAGTCATAGCAATCAGTAGGGCCGAAGTAGTCGCGGGGTGGGAGCACAAGTTCGCTGGTGGGAACCGCAGTAGGACTGATAGTAGTTGAAAACATTCCGGTCGTAGTCTATGAGAGATCATTCATTAGTTTGCGAAAATAATTGAGCATATGCATATTCAGTGACTGACATAGTTCTGGAGATCAGCCTCCAACCACATTGATGACCATGCTGCCTGTCCATAGGGATCAGCGGTATCAGTTGCGCTGATCACGGACTGTCCCGGAAGCCAGCTTCCCCATGTTGATGTGGAGAGACTTGTACTCAAAAGCTTAGCCGCTTTAGTATATGGAGGAGCGTACATTTTTGTTGTTGATGGTGTGGGAACCGAAGTAGCATATCTTTCCTCCGTTTAGCAAGGGATATAATAGAAGCGGGAAAGCAGGAACTCACCGTACAGTCTCGTTCAATGTATACGAGAATTTCTGAAAGAAGTAATCTGGAGACGACGTCACATGTGTACACAAAGGTCTGGCAGATGTCCCATTGCGTGTAATATACAATTCTTGTGCCCCGACAGTTGCTGCAAGGGCTATAGCCCAGATCGACGGGGATAGCATAACTGACTTTGTTCAATGCCTTGAATCTAGATCCAGCTTGCCAAATACCGTGCTAATATGGCTAAATCTCGAATCAAAGGGCTGCTCGATATTTGTAGTTTCATGCCCCGCAAAGTAACCCACATAGATTCGGATAATTATCGGTAGAAGGGATCATGATGAGGTAGAGAGTCTTGGCCATGGGGAAGACAGCAGATAGAGTGCAATGGATTGGCTAGAATCTGGTTCAGGGCTCATAAAAAATGGAGAAGATCAGCGTTCCTGACTGAAAACGGAATGATGTGCAATAGATGTGGCTTTTGGTTACAATGTTTAGTCGCAAGAACCAAGAAATGAGATCCCGAGTCAATTATCTCCACATCTCCACATTCGTCAACTCCATACTTGCATGTACATCATGTACTAGTGTTAGTATGTACTTCCCCGCATTACTTTAAAAACTAAGACATCCGAGGCATATGGTAAGATCAAAGCGCTTCTAGTCTACATGTATGGTCCCGGGTGCAGATCGCGGCACTTGATGTCATTCCTACAACTATTCTAGCTATCTCTACTACCCAGGGAAAAAGAAAAAGACTATCAAAATTAGATCCAGCTCAAGTTTCGATTACTTCGTCGCAGTTGTTAAAGTCTCTGAAAATCAGCTCATTTCTTCATCCTACTCCTCCAAATTGAAATTAACTACAATACGTCCAGCGACTTCTCCCCTCCGCAGTCTCTCCACCCCTTCAGGTAACCGGTTTATCGGATACACTTCACAAATCTGATGAAGCAAGCCTCGTTTCGCAAAATCCAAGGCGCAGGCAGTATCTCGACGACTGCCCACCAAAGTTCCCCGAATCGTCAAATTCTTCATAATAAAACTCATAGGATCAGCTCCCAGTGTCATCGTACCCAATGCAGGAATGCCAATACACATGACAATCCCACCAATACGATCCCCGATATAGGATATGGCAGTCTTATATGCTGCCGGTGCTGTGACAAAAACACCGTGTGCACCAACTCCATCTGCAATCTGAATCACTTCTCCCGCAGGGTCGGCTGTTTCTCTGAAGTCCACGAAGGCCTCTGCACCCATTCTCAAAGCCAATTCTCGTTTAGAATCGCCGGCATCAACAACAATAGGTCGCATACCCATTGCCTTGGCTAGCTGAACACCTTGTATCCCAACACCACCTCCACCACCTGGGAACACTGCCCAAGAGCCGGCAGTGAGACCCGATTCGATGAGGGATTGATGCATCGTGCTTGCACTGCACATAATAGGGGCGGCGATTTCATCAGGTACACCTTCGGGTATATGAGATGCATATCGCGCTGGAGAGATTATGTATTGCTGGTATGTCCCTTGAAGTGATAGAATAGTGAGCTTCATCCGAAAAATTGCCTCCGAATGGTACTAACTCACCAGAGCTCATCACGCCAGAATGAATAGCATGCGTGCAGTACGTCTCTTTACCGCTCCAGCAATTAGTGCACCCGTGGCATGTATCAAGTAGTGGCGTGATGCCTGCTCTATCTCCAAGTCTGAAATTCTTCACATTGGCTCCGACTTTGACCACAACACCAGCGCCCTCGTGACCAGGAGATCGCACGCCAAACTTTGACATTGGGGGAAAACCTATATCTCCTTTCATGAGGTGGATGTCTGATGCACAGAGTCCAGTGAAATTAAGGCGAATGAGTATATCATCAGGCCCTGCAAAACTTTTAGGATAGGGACTATATTGCGACGAAATGTCTATTCACGATCTCCTACCTGGCTTGGGAACTGGTACCATCTGTACCTCAACATGAAAATCAGGTCCCTCATTCACTACCACACCGGCCTTGCAGTGGGTGGGAATCTCGTAAAGTGGTGTTACAGAACTCATGATTGCTACCCAGGTGGTATGTATACGTGATGGAAACTTGATGCAGGATTACTGTCAAATTCCCAGGCTCTTATAAGAACTAAACAGCTTACCGAGGAAGCACCGAGGTAATCACTTTGAGGAGTTTGGATGACCCCTCTTTTAATCTGCAGTCGAGCAAAAGGGACAGTAGAAGCTGTATGTGTATGCGGATTCCCCACTTTCCCCTTACAGTGAAGGTGGAGAAGTTGAGATATCCTGTTTCATCAATTTTTGGGTCGAATTAACCTGAGTATATCATAATCGTGAAGCGTACCAAAGAGGCCAGACGGAAGCACTTGAGGGTACTTGGAAATTGTTTGCATCATAGAATATTTCAAGTTCTTGTCCTATTTGGGAACTTGTACTACAATGCCAATGCTAGGATCTGGTATACTAGGTAGAATGTAAAATGTATCACGACCGATGCGTTACTGGTCCTCTGCACCTGAGTGAATTAGTAGTAGGCCGATCAAAAGAATTTATGAATTTGATAAGACCTGCAGCTACGTGTTCCGAATTTCCTATCTCATCCATATCTAACATTCCTTGACCCCTCACTAAACCAGTCATCCTGAGCTAGGGACTCGTCACTGGTCGCAAAGTTCACAATTGTGCTTTTGGTCATCGAGTAAGCATGATATGAATCGATGCCATTTTCACTTCCAACACCACTTGCGCTCTTCACACCTCCCCATGGGCTGCTAGGGTCGTTTCGGTGATGAGTATTTACCCAGACAATCCCCGCCTCGATTTGCTCGGAGACCCGGAATGCTTGTCCAAGATCCTCCGTCCAGATTCCCGCTCCCAAGCCAAATTCTGTATCATTTGCTAGGGCAATAGCTTCCTCTTCGGAATCAAACCCCACCACAACAATAACAGGGCCAAATGCTTCTTCTTGCCATATAGCAGAATTGAGAATGCTGTTGCCTTCAGTAGAGACGAGAACGGTCGGTTCATAAAAATATCCCTTCGAGAAATTGAACCCATCTAAGGAGCCAGACCCGGTCATGCGTTTAGCTCCGATCAGCGCTTTGGCATTATTTTCCAAAGCATCCGTGACTAGCCTTTCGACATTTTGTAATTGTCTCTTGGATATCAGTGGCCCCATCATCGACTCAGGGTTGCTAGGATCCCCCATTTGTCGCGTGATCCCATCGACTTTCGCCGTCAGCTTTTGCAAAACTTCTTCTATTATGGTGTTGGCCACAATAATTCGTGTGCTGGCAACACATGTTTGCCCACTGGCAATGTAGCTTCCGAAGGCAATTCCGTTCACCGCGACATCAACATTGGCCTTTTCAAATACAATCAAAGGGGCCTTCCCACCCAGCTCTGCGGTGTACTTGGACAAATTTCCACCAACTATGCTTCCAATTGCCTTCCCAGCAGCCGTGCCCCCAGTTATATCGACCTTGCGCACAAGTGGATGCGAGACTAGAGCCTTGCCGGTAGTCGCTCCATAGCCGGATAACACACTGAGAACACCAGCGGGAATTCCTGCCTGATGGACAATCTTCGCTAGAAGGAGGGAACTCAGAGGTGTAAGCTCACTTGGCTTAAGGATGACGCTGTTTCCCGCTGCGAGTGCGGGTGCTAGCTTTTTCACTGCAATCAGGAGCGGATGATTGAAAGGGGTGATTTGAACCACCACGCCCAGTGGAACCCGATCAACAAAGTTGTGTAACTTTCCAACCGTTGGTAAAACAGATCGCTCTTCCACACGAAGAATGGCGGCATAGTATTTGAACCACTTGATAAGGGAGGGGACCTGGGCCTTCATTTCACGGATTGCCCGACCGGTCTGTTTTACTTCCAGTGCGATGAGCTCAGGTAGGGATTCTGTGAGTAAAATCGCACACTTCTCCAAGACATCTGCGCGCTCGTGGCGACTTGCTCGAGACCAGATGCCGCTCTTGTATGCCGCATGAGCAGCCTGGACTGCGGCTTCTACATCTTCTTCTGAGGCTGCATGGCACCTGCTGGATGTTAGGATAAGGCAGCGGGGATTCCAGTGGCTGGTAGCTCTCTTACTGTGCAAAGATCTCACCAGTAGAAGGATCCTCAACAGGAATCCTGGATTCATTTATTAGCTTGCAAACTTGATTAATGACTGAGCTAGACTTACAGAGGTTCCCTTCCCTGTTGCTCCTTGCCTCCAAGCCACAAATTATAAGGAGCTGCCATGATATTGAGAGGATATTGTCGAACTTAGAGGAGAGACCTGTAGTAGGTAAAGAATACAGAAGAGAGTAATGGTAGATCGAAAGAAGTTGTAAGAAGATGGTGTTATCAACATGAAAGATAACAACTTGAAAGTGACCCCGCATCGGAGTTAACCTGGAGCTTTCTTTCCCCTTTTCTCTCAAGTGCTGATCAACTTGAAGTATTCCATATCGTCCCATTTTAACTTCTATATACTGAGAGTACAAACTCGGAATACTTTAGATACTTAACGATATTGACGCCTCTACTAGTGCTTCCAAGGTTATGATCGCAACCTTGCTAACAAACAAACCTCCGGTTTATTCATCCAATATTTAATCTTACATTTCATGAATATCGACAATAAGGCTAAATGAGAAAAAGAGACTTATATGCGAATTAACATGTTCAACAGACTAATTTGGTACTTGAAGTTCCAAGGCTGGCCTCATAGGTTTACGCATTCCAAGGTTGTCGTTATCAGTAAAGAATTACAATTCTAAGCTTCAACCAGATACATCGTACCAATTAGAAGAAAAGAAAAACCAAACTGTTCAAAGCAAAGATTTCATACAATTGAATTGATCTGATCACATTCAATCATCGGCGCTGATTTAGGGTAGTTCATGTGCTACATTTGAACCGGGGAACCTCTTCCTTTACCGGTCCTAAAAGGTCTGCCGACAACAGAATAGTATATGCCGAGAAGACCATACAGCTGAAAAGTGCAAAGTAGAAGTCGAGTCCCACTGGTTGTACCATTTTTGGTGGTTTTGTCACATCATGAGATCATAAATTAAATGCGGAGGTATTAGAGGTAGGATTCATTCAAGTTTCATGCATGCGAATAAATGGCAATATTTTCTCTGAACAAATACAATCTCCATTCAAAAGCTCACTACTTTCTAAGGTTATGATTTTGATAGCTCAACTACCTCAAAGTTGAGAGAGAGAACAAAAATGTATCCTCACCTTCCAAAGTTAACATTATCTTTGCTGGCAATCTACGCGGTCGGCTCTCATGCCGACCCGGGACCTCTTGTTTCAGCAGCAGGCGAAGGAGCAGTTATTCCAGGATGGAACTTACAGTCAGCAACGTTGATAGAAGATGACATGTCAAAGTTATCTCAGCCCGATGCTAATATCACTTCATGGCACCGAGTCGGCCCTCGTGACACTGTGATGGGCGGTCTCCTTCATAATGGCGTGTACGATGACAAGGCCCTCTTCTACTCAAATAACATGGAAAAGCTCGCAGATCAATCCATATTTCAAGCCCCATGGATCTACAGAGAAGAATTTATCATGAACCCTTCTGATGGACAATACTTCACATTGAAAACTCACGGCATCACTTCCAAAGCAGACATTTACCTGAACGGTGTGCAGATTGCATCGAATGAACAGCAGCAAGGTTCATATGGTGGCCACAAGTACGATTTAACTGGAATCATCAAATCTGGATCGAACTGTCTTGTGATCAAGGCATACCCGACAAATTATTTGCGAGACTTTGCGATGGGCTTCGTGGATTGGAATCCATACCCACCTGATAATGGGACTGGTGTCTGGCGAAATGTGGAAATCTTTCAGACGGGCCCTGTATCGATGTCACCCTTTCGAGTTATCACGGATTTTACTGATCCTACGGTGAACGTGAATGTCAACGTTACTTTGAAGACTGAGCTTGTCAATCACACCCCTCGAACAGTTCATGTAGAGGTGAACGGTACGATCACAGGACCAATCCAGGCGGACTCCAGCGTCATAGCTGGTATATTTGAGCTCAACCCAAGTGAGAAGCGAACCATATCAATCGAGGCTTCTATTCGAAATCCACAGATATGGTGGCCTGCAGGGTGGGGCGAGCAGCCGATGTACACCGTTCATGCCAGTGCGATGAGCCGAGAAACCCAGGAAGACCAACTTATTCTGTCCGACTCATCAATCCAGGATTTTGGAATTCGTCATGTCTCGTCTTATTTGAATGAGCATAATGATACCGCATTTGTTGTGAATGGCAACCCGTTTCAAGTCCTCGGTGCGGGTTATAGTCCGGATATGTTTATGCGATTCGACAAGGAAAGAATTCTCAATATCTTTGGATACATTCTAGATCTGGGGCTCAATACAGTTCGACTGGAAGGAAAACAGGAGCATCCGGAGTTATACAAGCTTGCAGATTATATGGGATTGATGATCTTGACTGGTTGGGAATGCTGCGATAAATGGGAAGCTTGGGAGGTAAGTCCGAGTCCACGAAACAAACCCCATTAATTTCAAAATTTAAATATGAATTAATTTTAATATTAGTACAATCATGACGCTGATGGAGTGAAATGGGGAGAGAAAGACTACGAAATTGCTCGAGCAGCAATGCTTCATGAAGCTGAAATGATGCAGGCACATCCCTCCCTCCTTGGCTTCTTAATTGGGTCGGATTATTGGCCAAACGACCAAGCGACCGAAGTTTTTCTCGATGCATTGCAGGAGATGGACTGGACAAACCCAGTAATCGCATCCGCAAGTAAACGTGGATATCCTGAAGCCCTAGGACCATCGGGAATGAAGATGAATGGACCTTACGACTGGGTCCCACCAAACTACTGGTACGGCGATGAAGAAGGTGCAGCTTTTGGATTTGGCTCTGAACTGGGCGCAGGAGTTGGGACACCTGAATTGAGCAGCTTGAAAAAGTTCATGTCAGGTGATGATCTAGTAATTCTCTTGCAAGAACCTGACGCGGGCCTTTACCATATGTCCAACAATGGTTCGTCGTTCTATACTCGCTCAATCTACAACAAAGGGTTATTTAGTCGATACGGAACGCCTGGAAGCCTCGATGATTACATTGATAAATGCCAAATGGCTGATTATGAAACCACTCGTGCTCAATTTGAGGCTTATTCTGCTCGTCAGAATGCTTCCAGACCTGCGACGGGTGCTATTTACTGGATGTTGAATAGCGCATGGCCAAACCTACATTGGCAACTATTTGACTACTACTTGAATACCATGGGATCATACTTTGGCACTAGGACTGGAACTCGAATGGAGCATGTTGCGTATGACTACGAGTCTCAGAGCATCTGGCTGATCAACCACTCACTCCAAAATGAAGGTGAGAGAGAAATCTCAGTTGATCTAATTCATGGGAATGGAAAGAAGATCTCCAGCGCGAAATTTAAAACAAAGACCACGCCGAATTCATCTAGGGAAGTGCATAGTGTGACAGGTATTGAAAAGATCAAGGATGTTGGATTCCTTCGTCTTACTCTGCGCGATGTCAAAGCAAAGGAAGATCTCAGTCGCAATGTCTACTGGTTATCCCCAAAGCCAGATGTCTTGGATTGGTCAGAGTCCAATTGGTATTATACTCCAGTCACAGACTATGCGGACTACACAAGTCTCGATGACCTCCCTCAGGTTAATGTCAAGGGAGAATTAAAGAAACCCTGGCCTAACACACCGATTGATGGTTGGTACTTACTTGAAGTCCAGTTGGAGAACGAATCTAAGGAACCAGCATTCTTCATACACTTAAAGATTATCCACAGTGATGATAACTCCGAGATTATACCTGCATACTGGTCTGATAATTATGTTACTCTTTGGCCAAAAGAAAAGTTGCTGCTTACAGTCGCATATGAAGGTGAGGTCATGCATGATATCCATGTCGAAGTCTCCGGGCGCAATATCAAATCTCTAGTATTGGAGAACCTTGCATTAGAAGTTTTCTGGCACGTATGGCGGGGAGTTAAGAAACTTTTCTCATCATGATGAATTAGAAACCAGAAATATCTTGCTATTTTTGATTGTCTTATCTAGCTATTTCAAATTGATGATCTCGAATATTGCTGATGATGAATACAATGAAAGAATCCGAAATGACGTATCCCCACAAAGCGTAGGATATTTTAGCTTGTAGTGCTACTGGCATAGCAACTTGAACTCTCATACTATAATGCAAGATACGCAAGCCTTCAATAACACAAAACTAGGTCGCGGTATCATACAAGTAGACAGTCGTTGTCTGTAACAAGCTTAAGACTTGAGACATGTTCGATCCAGAGTATTCAACTCCTAGCGCAGTTTGAGTCTTCTGGCTTTCAGTGTAGAAAATATGCAAACGCTGGTCGGGAGTCTGGCAAATAACAGGTGACTTTTCAAGACCTGGAAACGATAGCAGCTCCCCTTTGGGGAAATTCGACCATAGATAATATAGTGAAATCGCTGTCAAATTCACAAAACCTTGACTGAGGCTTTTTAGAACCGATGACCAGTTATCTTCCTGAAGTACGGAAATGCGATAAAATGTGAGTATTTTTAATGTATCTTGAGCGCTTGTCAGCAGCTTCATCAGGTCCTTCGCCCTTAATGCAGTCCTGAACAGAGCTAGTTCCTCTAGTTGGGTAAACGAGACAGTCTCTGCTAACTCGTGCATGAATTCAGCGGCCAAGTCATGCGATCCCAAGTTAAGTAATAGGGTCTTGAGATTGGGTGCGCAAAGCACCAGTTCAAGGAGAAATCCAAAGTTATCCAGAGTCAAATATTGCTCCAATGACAGCTTTTGGAGATTTGACCAGACCATGTGAAACTTCGGTTGACGATATAGGAGCTTGGGCACTCGTCGCATATCCATCATCAGAGTGCGAGAACTTCTGTTCGCATATACCAGGTGAAACGATGAGACTGGCAATTGTGAGTCCACGACGAGTGCGAAAAACACGGCAACTGCATCGGTGACTGTAACACGATTTAAATCCGGATGACCTTCAGGGTATCGGCAGACAATGAAGAATGAACGACAATTTATGAGATTGTTGACAAGATTATCACGAAGTCGGCGGATTTGCTCGATCTCCATAGGCGATGACAAAGAACCCCATGAATGACGATTCCATACCAAGCCACGACCAATACCATTCTGTAGCATAAATGCTAGTCCTTGAACGTGGGGTCGGAGCTCTTCATGACGGGAGAGCGCGTTGATTCGACTGAGACTTTCTTCTGAGAGGTCTGTTCTAATAGATGAAAAGAATCGACGAGCGAAATGGTTGAAAGTTTTCTTCTGAAGATCTCGACAGACAAGACGTAGGTCTAGTAAGCTATCGGAGTCAACTGATTCAACTGATTCTGCAATGAGCTCGATGAGTTCCACGGGTAGAGTCGGGAAAATGGCAGCAGTTGAGGGTTTCATTGTGACATATTTAATATCATGAAAATTTACAAAATATTGACTGGAAACACTGAAGATTCTTTAGATGAAGGATATCATCTATGATGAGGTGGAAAGATGTGGAAAGATGTGGAGTTGATTCCCGGATTTCCGGGGTTCAGCCACCTATTACACCTGTTAACCATGTCACTACCCCTCACTTGACCAAGTTAAATGCGGAGATGACCGGAATTATCATGAATATCATTGATAATTCGAAAAAGCTGACCTCAGGCTGTTATTGTGAGAATGGCGAGCAAAGCTATAGCTCTATGCTATACTAGTATTTCATGAAAGAAGGTTGAAGGGATATCCCGGCTATTATAAGGAAAATGACTGACACAAGAGATATGTGTGTTAGATTAAATGAATTAATAAGAATAACTATGATAGAAGCCAAACCCCGCTATGTGCAGCATTATTTACAAACATTTGAACAATCACAGCTCCATCGTCGGAGCCAACTCTTCCCACATCTCGCATCTCTTGATCTGTGCCTGCGGAACAGCTTCCATCGCTGTGGAGTTGGTCTGTAATCTCAGACGCTCCCCAGTTCCAGAGCCCCATGGCTGCCAGAAAGGTGCGTTCTCATTTCTATACACATTTGGATCAAGTGCCTTGACAAAACTCAGATAGTAGTCCATGATTATGGGAATCATATCAGCGTTGATAGTAGCAAAAGACTCGGTTGGTCTATTTGTGCTATCGATTCCAAAAACAGCAGGGAGCTCGAATACATGAGGCACTCCATAGCCATCTGCGATCTCAGTTGGATCAAGAATGTTGCATCGATAATTCCAAACCTTAGTGGAAGACACAAACTGAGCCATGGATGAAGACATGTGGTTTCCTGGACAGGTGAAGGTCGATTCACCATATGCTGCAGATGCGGAGGGGAAATAGGCCGCGTGCTTGGGCAAGGGCGCCATGAGTGGGTACTCCTTGTTGATGGTCTCGAGCTGGTCTACATTAAGATGAGGATAATTGCTCTTTATGAATTGAGCCACTTGGGTGATGTTTGTCGCGTTGACTGCAAAGGCGGAACCTTCGTTGGTATCATCGGATACCATCACTGGGACCTTAACCACTTTTCCCTCATTGAAAAGGTTATAGAGGCCATCTGTGAGTAATTCGCCATCTATGACAGGAAGAAAATACCACAGAGGGGTACCACCACCGCCAGGGAACGGCTCATCCACATTGTACTCGATAATCGCCGAGATATTGACGGCGCGTAAGCATGTCAAAACATCCTCAGCATCATCGCAGCCAACATCTTTTGCAAAACGGGTATATTGGAATTCCATCTCCGCGACAGTGCGCAGGGTCGGCCAGAAGTTCGACTCGGCGATACCACCAACAAAAAGATTCATATCGCGGCCACCGTATGCCGTAATGTGATGTGCCACGGATCCAGCTCCAGCAGAGTCACCATGAATCACGACATGGTCCGGATTTCCTCCAAACATATGAATGTATTGCTGTACCCAATGCAGTAGCTTACGCTGATCGAGTAAGCCAACATTCAAATCTCCATTCTTGCGGACGTCTTCACTAGCAAGAAACCCCAATGCACCGACCCGGTAGTTGAAGTTCACTTGTACAATATCGTTTCCAGATGTTTCCACGACGTGACTGCCATTGTAGTTGTCATTGGCGAGATCTGCATATCCACCCCCTTGAATAAAAATCCACACCGGAAGTTTCGCGTTTGTAGACGCGTTATTTGGTCGCCACACATTGACAAATAGACAGTCTTCATCGTAGGTCGGCTCTATAGACTGTCCTACACCTATACAGACAGGTCCAAACTAGGACTAGTTAGCAAGATGCGGTTAGAGCGTCTTGGCAGACGCGTCGATAGAATCTGGATTCTTACCGAGGAGGCATCTATAACTCCATCCGTGCTCTCCGGATCTTGGGGTGCTCTGAATCGCAAATCATTGACTGGTGATTTTGCATATCGTATACCAAGGAACTCGTCAACCCCATTGTGTAAAGATACCCCTTGATACTGTGAGTAACCAAGATCAACGATGGCAGATGGTGGTAGAGATGAGGCAGATGCAAGGCCACTTACGGCCAACATGCCAATTACCAATGAGACAGCCATCTCAAGATAATCTTGCTGCTGGCCTTTGATGCTTTGAATTGTTCATTCTGACTCCATTTGATCAATTTATAGCCATTATTAACCCCTTAAGTTGCTGAATCATCGGGATTACGGACTGGTATCCACCGAATTGCGGGGGTGATCGACGGGGTCTCATGAGGGTATAGATTGCCCTCTGCAAAGTAGATATACATGCAGATTTTGCATTGGAGGAGATAATCCTTCTAACTACGGAGTAAATACGTTAATTTTGATGTTCCACCAGTAAGTCTCTTTCTATTGGGCTTAAATAGACTGGATTCGTGCATATTCCCGCCCCGCATATGCAGTCAGGGTCCATGAATGTGCACCGTGACATTCAATAGTTGAATTATTTTTGTAGCGTATACAACATATCGGTCTAGCATTTCCCGAGTATGATCTAATGTGGAGTTGAAACTTGGTACCTCAATAACTTTTCAAGATTTTGAGCTATTCATTCCCGATCTTATTGCCTTTTTCTATTGTGGAAATTTTGATCATTACTGAAGACTGACTTAGGTAGAAGGAACTTATCATAGGAATAATATCGACTCGGAGCTATAATTACATGATTGAATATTGGAGTAAACGCCAGTGTCCAAATTATATCGCGTGTTCTTCAAAATGGATTCGCATCATCAAGTCATCAGTTCATCCTTATCATCTTAGTAAACGTGATGATGACTCCCGCGGCCATCGGTTCCATGCATTCGTCGAGTTCCAGCAGCCTATATGATATTTCAAATTAGTTATCTGAATTAAACTGGAGGGTTATGATTGAAAGAAGAGTATAGTAGTCCCACTTACCTTGACACCAGGTCGACGGGTAATGCTGCCCTTCATCTTCAACATAGCGCCAGAGACCTTGTCGCCAAAAGTGACCTTTCGCTTATGATGGTGTGCGCCAGTGGTCATGCCTCCATGACGTTTGTTCGTGCGATAGGAGGTGGCAGGTTCTGTCTTCGTCGTGGTCTTGACGGTTTTGGTTCGAGCATTTGGGCCTCGAAGTCGAGTCATCAGCGTTGGCTTCGTTGTTCTCGTTGTTCTGGTGGTGCGACCGCGGTGAAACATTTTGGTAAATGGATTATACGAAGATTTGTGTGATTTTGAATCAGGATCTTGGATTTAGTTAAAGTTCTTGAAGTGATTGCTTCAATGTATTTCAGAGTAATCGAATTTGCTTGGGATTAAACAGTATTACGAAAGGGATGGATCAGTCGCATTTATAAACCCTTGATCCTATCTAATATTTCCTCACATCAATTCTATCAGTTAAGCACATGTACGAGAAGCAGGATAATACCGTGACAATGACATCGTAAGCCGGGATCGTTATCGCCTTCGAAGGAAGATAATAGCTGCTGTATGGGTCGCCGCTAGGAACCGCACGTCATTTTTTAGAAGATCGACACATATGATGAGACATGAGAAGACGCCACATCTGACCGATATATCATATGTGTGCCAGGTGGCTTATGGGAGAGATGATCTGCATTGTAGGGTAATCGCATCAATATGAATGCCCGGAATGTGCCATGACGTCACTAAAATTGGCTGTGCCTAACTTGGACCAAACGTCACTTATCAACGTCAGACTTCAGATTATCGGGTGAACGATGATCAAACATTGAAACAGCTTGAACGATTAAGATCATTGATACCAGTTAAGACTGAGCTAGTTTTAAGTTCCTTCAAATGGCCAAGAGTTCGAGTTTCCTCGTTCATCCCACTCGCGTGGAAAGTCACCAGTTACGAAACTTGAACTTTGGAATATGATAAACTGAAGATTCTGCCGTGGCTACATAATTCTCAAGGGTAGCGACAATGCGTAAATATACAAGTATAACGCCTTACTATCACGAGCCAAGCCTCCGGGGTCACTGACTAGTAGTACTATGTAGGAGAACTCAATGTGTTCGTTCATAAAAAATTGGGATTCTTCTAGTCCAGAATATGTGCTATAGTAAATTCATAAATAAAAGGCCTAAATAATACTCTTAAGGGCTCTTGTTAAGCCACTGTGTTTGGGAGTTGCAGTAGGCGAGAAGACCAGACAGTCCCCATTCAACACCCATGCCGCTCTGCTTGTGGCCTCCAAAGGGAGCATTGGGTGCAACTTGGAAGTGCGAGTTAACCCAAACCACGCCCGACTGCAACTGATCCGCAATACGAGAAGCCCTGTCCAAATCACTGCACCAAACTGAGGAGCCCAATCCAGTCTCCAGCGCATTGGCCCGATCAATAACATCTTCCTCGTCAGACCACTTGAGGACGGGTAGGATAGGAGCGAAAGGCTCCTCGTGAACAACTCGTGAATCCTCAGGAGGGTTATCGATGATAGTTGGGTGAATGAAGTATCCGGTAGAGTCTTCAATGGTTCCTCCGAGTGCAGCTTTAAGGTTCTCGGTAGTGATAGAGCCAAAGAGTTCCTTGGCCTTCTCATACTGCATCTTGTTCTGTACTGGACCAAAGAAGATATCTGCTCCGGTGCCATCACCGACCTTAAGTGTCTTGACAAAAGCGACCAGTTTCTCCATAAATTCGTCGTAGATCTTTTCGTGGACATAAAGACGTTTGATCATCATGCAAATTTGAGCACTGCACAGATAAGAGAGGATTCCAACCTGTCGAAATATTAGTCATAGAACAGGAGCCGAAACAACAAGATAAATATACCTTAGGAATTACCGCGTCGATATCGACATCCTCACAAATAATTGCGGGATCATTTCCACCCAGCTCAAGAGTCACACGCTTGAGAGTCTTGGCACAGCTAGCCATAACCCGCTTTCCTGTGAGGATAGAGCCAGTAAAAGAGATCTTATCAATCCCAGGATGCTCTGTAATCATAGGACCAAGGGTATCATCTCCACTAAGACACTGCACAACACCGGGAGGGAAGGAGTGTGTAGCTAGTTCGACAAGCTTCAGGCCACAGTAAGGAGTGAAGGGAGAAGGCTTGACAATCACAGTATTACCAGTGTAGACAGCCGAGACAATTTTTCCAATTGCCAGAAGAACCGGAAAGTTCCAAGGCACGATAGCGGCGGCAACACCAATTGGGGTATATCGTTGAATAATTGTCTTCTCCTCAGTTTCCTCGATGACATTCCGGGGAATTTCCAAAGCGCTGAGCCCACGAATCCAACCAGGTGCCATACCAACCTCCGCTGAAGACTGAGTCAAGGGCTTTCCCTGCTCCATTGTGAGAATTTGGGCGAGCTTCTCGGCATTTGCCTCAATCGCATCGGCGTAGGCATGCAGGGCCGCGCGACGTTCCTCGAATGATGTTTTCGACCATATCTTGAAAGCCTTCTGCGCAGCCTCTACGGCTTGATCAAGGTCTGCTTGTGTGGAGATGGGAACTTCTGGGTTAGGCTGAGCGTTCGCGGGGTTGATGCCATGACGAGTGATGGCTGTGGAGGTCAACTTGTTATCGATGATGTTGTAATATGTCTGTTTGGGTCAGTAGGAAGAAACCTCGGTAAGAATTGTCTTTCTAACACATACACTGAAATCAAGCACATGAGACGCCATTTTGGATCTCAGGTGTAAATATGAAGGGATTGATTGAGTATGGTTTCTTTATAAAAGTGAAGAGGTGGAATGAGAAAGCAGAAGGACGGGTCTAATGCAAGAGGCACTAGCACTAGTCTCTCTATGCAGTTGTCAAGTTGTTGGAAGTAGTTCTTGGAGAACAAAAACACACGATAGTGATTATAAAGATGACTCGGAGCACTGTAATGATGATCTCAGCGGTAGTGGATAGAGTTGGTACGCGACTCAATTTTACTCAGATAAGACGAAACTCGATGTGGATCGTAGGACTGGGGTTAGCAGTATTTATAGTATTTACTCTGCACATGAATTTCTAATCAATAAGTTGAGACTCGGGGCATCCATGGATCTCTTTTCAATTATTCTGCGGCTGCGGCCGCAGCGCCGTATTACAGCCACCCCGCAGAGATCATAGACTTCAGCTGAATTCGTATCGCCAAGGTGCAGAGGAGTCAGCCCCGAGGTCCGTGGCTATGAAGCTAATCCATTTAGACTCGAGTTAAAATATAAGCCAACTAGATTTCGACATAAGAGTGTTTTGAGATCCCACATGTGGACCCTTTGGATGCCTCATGTCCCGAGGTCGTATGCCGAAGTGCGGAGTACATGATTATGAACGGTTCATGTCCGTGCAAAAACAACTGCGGGGGCTCTGAAGAATAACGATGTTTGGTTTTTGCGTCGGCTATTATAGACACATCTTGAGCGGTGAAAATTTCATAGTGGGGGTTTGATCTTTTGAAGAATCTCAAAACGCCATTAGGCCTGATGTGGATCTGGTGGCGGCATCTTGACGGGATGTGTTGACTATGCAAGTATTTCCGAGCGCCATAGTTGATGACCAACAACTCTAATTATATCTTGGGATATGCGCAGCTGAAATTCAAGAAATGCCAATTCGAACGAAGTAAAAATACTGGATCTAAACCAAGAATGACAGAAACAAAAGGAAAATTCCAGAGAATTTCGATACTTCCAAGTTGATGTTAGCGAATAGCTGAAGAGTCAACTAGTGCTAACGCTAGCTACGCCATACCGACCCACATAGAAGGCCCTGAATCCATATCTAGTGGTATAGTCTGGGATTATCAGATTATAGGTTTAATCCGAATAGAGATTCGAGCATTCAAATGATGTAGAATGTTCCAGGTGCCCGTCAAGTTACCGGCGACAGTCAGCTTAGAAGGTAGTTGAAGAACATGGATCCAAGTATGGCTGTTATACTATAGTCCTCTGGAATAAAATGACTCAATAATGTTACTAATGCTAGTATTCTAGTCTTAGAATACTATCTATCGATTATGTTTTCCCACTGGCCAGCTACTGCAGGGCTGGAAAGACCCCGCTCGTTCAGCGCACAGAACTCCTGTCTTTCTTGAATCAAAAACAACTTGAAATTATAACAAAAGAACCTTGAAAGCTTTGGAGTTAGCAAGCAAAATGCGCTTCGCCGTGATGGCAGGATATCACAATGACAAACCACACCATTCGGCCGCTTTTTATGACAATTTTTCTGGAATTTGACATTATCAACCAGTTGGCTAACATATAAAATACTTGCATGGAGCCCGGAGCCCAGCGTCTTTTGGGGCTGGAACGGACCTTATTCTATCTCAACAAAGGATGTTTTATTTCAAATCTTTCACCATCTCAAAAATCCTAATCCTGCGCTCCAATGCCACCTGGGCATACATGGATGTATTGGTCTAAATTAAAAGAAGTAAATGCGCTAAACCTGGAAGGGAAAGAGGGGCTGATTCTTTCAAAACTTTTGGCTGCACATTCTCGCAAATGCAAGACGCCATGTGAATATTAGAAAGGAACCTTGAAACTTTGAAAGAGTGCTGGGGCTGAAGTATGTACTACCTAGTACCTAGGTATTGCCCAGGTTGCCCAGGTTGCCCAGGGTGCCCAGGGTGCCCAGGTGAAAGACTCTTTTCCCCACTACAATATGTACTTATATGTAGGACCTTCTTCCTTCACCTTGCTAGCCTGAGAGCTGTGGATCCGAATCTCAACTTGAAGTAGAGTTCCAACTTTGAAGTTTATCTATCTGTTTATGCACATCTGCCAGCATTTTCAGGCACTCAACTTGTTGCTATGATGGCCTCAACGTACTCATCAGGACAGCTCAGTCAATACCTTAACCATATTTCACTCCCCACTCAGTACGAGGCATATTCTCAAGATCCACAGGACCTCCCCAAGACTGAAGAAGCTTTGACTGTTCTATTTCAAGCCCAAATAACGAAGTTTCCATATGACAACCTCTCGAGTTTTCTCTCAGAAACAAGATTGGTGGACATCAACCCACAGAAAATCTACGGAAAGCTACTGGGAGCTTCATCAAAGACAGCTGGCCAAGTTGGACGTGGAGGCTATTGTCTTGAGTGCAACATCTTCTTCCATCATGTTCTCCAAGGCTTAGGTTTTGATGGATATATGACTGGAGTGCGGAGTCGAATTCGAACTGATAATGTACCAACAGGTGATTTCAAAGGATGGTTCGTGTGCACATATGACTAGGCCTTATCCCGGAAGAGCTCAAATTGCTAATGATCCGTTATAGGAAGCCTATGGTGAATATAGTGAAGCTCCCTTGTGGGCAAGAGTACCATCTTGATGCTGCATTTGGTGGTGATGGTCCTACAAAGCCCATGCCTCTAGTGTCTGGGCAAATTTGGAGATAAGACTCATTCATGACAATATATCAAAGCAGACAAGGACGGATCAAAAGCTTTGGATTTATCAATATCGGAATGGATCTGAAAAAAAATGGGAATCATTATATTCCTTCGCGGAATTAGAGTTCTTCCAAGATGATCTCGAAGTCATTAATCACTTTACAAGCTGGGAGACTTTTATTCCTGGACCATGATCATTGTGAAGTCCATTCGAGGCAGCGAAACAGACGGCCCACCTTTAAATGACCATGAAAGGGAAGGACAATCGTTTGAGAGTGGCCAGATCTCTATTGTTGGCAAGATTATGTTTATTAGTGGAAGTCCTGATGTTGTCAAACTTAACATGGGAGGAAAGTCGAGGATTATTGATTCATTCCAATCAGAGGAAGAAAGAGTGAGTGGTCTCAAGAGATGGTTCCAAATCCAAATCTAGGAATCTGGCTTTGGTATTAGATGGAGAGGTTAAGGCAAATTGGACTGGATGGCTGTGAATGTTATTTTTTGGCAACCATGATGTTTCTTTGTCGTCGTACTTCTGTTATTGGAGTATTCGGGAATGAGATTCTTAGCAAATGATTTGTATTTCGTACATTGAGTTACAACGGATTCTGTAGTATGAATCACATCATATTGCCTGTGAATCCGAGTATTTCCAGTCATGCATCAAAAGGGCAATCTATGCTGCTATAGCCTGAGAGAGTTCTCTCACACTACACCAGAAGCTTAAGAGGAAGTCAAAGTTGAAAATTTACAGAGAAGGAAGAAGAGGAAGACTAAAAATCAAAGGAAGTGTTTAAGGCTTTTAGAGACAATGAAAGCACGCATATGTAAATGAGGGGTAACGCGTAGCTTATTTGTATTTAGACTTTCCAACCGCCTCCGGCCATAAGGACTTCACCAAGAGCTCTACTAAGCCTTAAGAGGTGTGCATCATGATATCTGGAAGTAACAAGCGATACACCAACGGGCATGCCGTGGGCTCCAATGAATGCAGGTATATTGACAACCGGCATATGAAATCCCTGTTGAATGTCAGCGAGAAAGCCAAGAGAAGTGGCAATTTTACTCGTGGGAGGCACCCACTGTCCAGAGAGTGTTAAAGGTAGCGCTTCCCATATCTCCAAGTCCTAGGGGAGCTTCATCTACAGCACTCGGAGTGAGGATGACCGAGTAGTTTTGAGCCAAATTATTCACCAATTCGCGCATTCTGGCATATGTGTCAGGCTTCCACCAGCTCTTTGTGTGTATGATTGGAAATGTTTTCGACGATGTTCTGTATTTCAGGAGACAGTTCCGCTTTACCGACTCGGTATTCCCTTAGAAAGGACACCCGAGCCTCGGCATTGGTGATAATTTTCTGAATTCGCCTAAGGTTTCCGGCATCCAAAACCTCGGAGGGCAAGTTGATTTCCTCAACCCGGGCACCCGAGTTCTGAAGAATTGCCGCAGCTTGTTCCATAGCCTCGATAGTACTTGGTCCTGCTTGAGACCAAATGGGGGTCTTGATCAAAGCGACCGAGACTTGGTCAATTTGTATATCTTCTTGCGGAGGAAGCTCGTCGTCATGAAGAGCGAAAATATCTGCTAGCAGCTGCAGATCCTCCGCAGTTCTGGCAAAAAAGCCAAATGTATCAAAAGTAGGGGCAAAAGACTTCTGCCCTTCGAGCGAAATCGTATTGTAAGTCGGCTTCATGGCGAAGACCCCGGTGTAAGATGCTGGGCGAATGACACTGCCACCAGTCTGTGCCCCAAGGCTAATAAATCTTGGAAGTCGGCTACAGCAGCAGCAGAACCGCATGAAGATCCCCCTGGGGTGCGGGTCGGATCAAGAGGATTAGTGGTTTCTGGCCCTGAATTGGTTACAGTGAACTATGTCGTGGTTTTCTTGCCTGCACATGTGCGAAGAGGACAATTAGATGCATCCAATCTTGGGAGTAACTTTATGAGCCAACAAACCGAAAATAAGAGCACCAGCATCTCGCAGGACAGCAACGGCAGAAGAGTCGAAGCACGACTGATGACCTTTATATATTGGAGAACCATATTGAGTGGGCATATTTGGGATACATTAGTAGCAATCTACTGGTCAAGTGAGCCATGCGTAATACCTTTGGTACTCATGATATCCTTCACGCCTATTGCTGGGCCATGTAATGGTCCTCTTTCTTCGTAGGGAACTTGATCTAAAGCTCGGGCTTGGCTCAAAACAAATTCTGTGTCTATTTCAGGAGTCAGAATGTATCTTAGCATACACAATAACACATGATTAATCCCACCCAAATAGGCCCAGGCCTTCACAATGGCATCTCGTTCCTCGATACGGCCCAAAAGTGATTGGGCAGATTGTTCGACAGAGATAGTGTTGTCCCTGAACATATCAAGTACTTGTGTAGCATTCAAGAGGTATGGCTGTGGGTTCGTCTTGGATGCGGTTCCAGACGACGAAGCATACAAATGTGAGGGACAAAGATGAAACTGATTGGAATTGAGGGGTTGGCTGAAGGTGACGGGAAAAGCTGGATGAGAAAAGGTATTTAGGCCCCTTCTTGAACAGACTGATGATAAGGCGACAAAGGAATAAAAAAAACCACGGTCGCATACTGAGAGAATAATCCACGACACAACGCGGAGAAGACAAGGCGTGGAGGCCCAAAAGTACCCTGCCCAGGTGGTAGGACGGGGCGGGCCGGGGTCAGTGATGAGTCATCAATAAATACATCACCTGGGCAATATGGGTACCTATCTACTAGGTACCATACCTAAGGTGTTGTTTGCCTGGCAGTCCATTCTGACTTTGGGCTCAGCTGAAATTGACGCAGGAACGGGGCCAGCCCAGGTCAGCAATGGAAAACAGCGAGGCGAATGGAATGTGGAGGAGCAAGGTAGTGTGGAGCCGCGCGCAGCGCCATAATACCCCTTTGATCCGCTACGGAGGTATGAAGTGCCGAAGACCGCAGGGCGATGTCTGTTGCATTTGGATGTACAGAGTACCTAGCCGTACGGCAAAGTCTCAGGAGTCATGAACGCCATTCTGTCGCTTCATTTTTCAAATTCTCAAGGCTGATCTACCCTGATCTAGAAAGTAAATCTCTGTGGCCCTGCCTTCCAATGACCATCACACCCGGACTTCTGCCTAAACGGCATGCATCACTGCTTGCATATCAATACAAGGATGAAACAGGGAATTGCGTATACATGCAAACTTTCTCTAAATTTTGGCATCTAGTCCGTGGAAATTCAAATTATTTGATTTTAACGTATGTATGGAGTACCTGGGTGGTACTACCGTACTAGTGAGATCTTGGCACCAATATCAAACAGAGTATGAAAATTTAAAGTGGATCAACAACAAACAATTCCTTCAACGACTCCCAGCACCCAATGTTGAGCAGGCTCACCAGAGGCAACATTGCTTCCGATGTGTAACACTGAGTGTCCTGACCCAAAAACTGACCCCACATCAATGTCACTTGCTTGGCCCACTGAAGTGACATTGTCACCTACGCGGCCCTGAAAGTGCTCATTCGCTTGAATAGACTTCACGAAGATTTTCCGGTTGTTGATTTCCTCGCATATGTGATGCTGTAGAGCTTGGTCTTGGCTGCCAATGACATTACCCATCGATCTCAAGGCATCAGAGTCCATAGACTGGGCCTCCTCCTGACAAAGTCGTGCTTGTTGATCAGCCGTTGAAGGGAAAAGCTCTATAAGGCTCTCTTAGCTTTCTCTCTTGTGCAAAGTCCACGCAATTCTATCTCGTTTTCGAGGCTTCAAACGCCCGTCGATGATTGCGCGCATAGTTTTGTGCAAACTGAAGTAAGGTTCATTCGTGGCGTTAGTTGCAGGACTCTGGTCCAAAAGGGAAAGTTCTTCTGGCGTATAGCCCTTCTTGAAACCAAAGGGGGGCTCGAAGGCAGTGGTGAAGGCTGTCGGAATTTCCTTTAGCCAACAGTAGGCTGTGATGATCTCATACTCTCCGTAGAGACTGGCGCTAAGCTGAGAATCTGGACCCGTTATCCCCATTGCTTTCCCCCATCTGGTTAAACGTAGCTCACTGGCTTCCAGTTTGCACAGAATAATACCAAAATTCCGTTCAAAGGCTCGTCCAACTTGAACATAGTGGTAATAATCCACGCATGATGTGAATATTGCCGGAATACCAGCGAGGGCGAGAGTAAAGCTAATAGGCTCCATGGCGACAGCTTGAATTGAAGTAATGGTGGTAGTAGCTGCAGTGTATAGTGTGTGGGAACAGCAGAATCTGAATACACACTCTACCTACTCGTCTGAAGAAAACTTCTACCTATTGAATGTCCGGAGATCTTGCGGGAGATACGGTCTTTGGCCACACAATTCCTGTCCGTCGTCGAGGTCTGATCCTCGTGGCCTTAGCAGCCCAGTTTGAATCACCGAGACCTGTATCTACTCCATGCACCCAAAAAGATACATATGTATGCGTTGGCGCAAATGGCTAGCATTCGAATGCCGAACGAGGGAAGCTCGTCACCTGGGCACATGCAGCATTGCAGCCACCACCCGGGTGCTCGAGATAACCTTGGATCAACATTTGAATGCGGGATTTGATCCCAACCCAGGTGAGAGCCATTTCTTCAAATGGCTAGTTGCATATATAGGTATGTACTAGGCTGCAAATGATACTTATAAAAAACGGTGAAAGGTCCAGGTCATCGTGAAACCTTGGAAGACGCTCCTTACCTGAGGACATGTATCTTTTATTCCATACCTGCATTTTGGAGGCTCTAGCCCAAATATAAACTTGTCCATAATCAAACCCACCAGTTGACCAGTGGACAATCCAAATCAGCCAACATCATGGCCGCTAGAAGTCCAGAAACACATACGCCATACATCAACGTACAGTCCGTCTCAGCCAGCAATGATGCCAATATTCAGATTGGTTTTATGTCTCACGAAAAAGACAGCTTGGAGACTTCATTAGCTAAGCTGCCTATTGCTTTCGAAGCGGCCTTCAACTCAAAGCACAATCAGAGTGAAGCACTCTGTCTTTTGAACACCCGCTTGGAGCTTCTTGACAGTATATCGATATGGATTGAGCATGATAACGAGAAGACAGTCTTTTGGCTTACCGGAATGGCTGGAACGGGCAAATCTACTGTCGCTCGTACCGTTGCTCGAAAATACTATGATTGAGGTCAGCTAGGTGGAAGCTTCTTCTTTTCAAAGGGCGGTGGAGATCTCAACAATGGCAACAAGCTAGTTACTACACTTGCATGGCGGCTAGCCATCAGAATACCCTTGACAAAACGGCACGTATGTGACGCTGTTAGGACAAATGAGGATATCACCACCCTGTCTCTCCACGACCAATGGGAGCGACTCATAATCAACTCGCTCTCACAAATAAGTTCGCAATCTTCGTCAACCATAATCCTATTCGTCATCGACGCGTTAGACGAATGCGATAGTGAAGGTGATATTTGGATCATCTTGAAATTTTTGACAACATCGAAGCTCTCCGCAAATATTCGACTGAAAATCTTCATTACAAGCAGACCGCATGTTGCAATACGTGGTGGGTTTCAAAGAACTGAAACCGAAGAGCACCAGGTTTTTATTTTACACGAGATCCCTTCTGCTTTAATCGACCGCGACCTGCAAATTTACTGATTGGCCAGGAAAGAAAATAATCAAACGCCTGGTTGAAATTGCTTATGGGCTCTTCATTTGGGCGTCCACAGCCTGTCGTTTTATTCGCGAGGATAAACGATTTGCGATCAAAAGACTCAAAAAATTGATTCATAGCCATCGCGTGAGCAAAGGTCCTGAAAAGCAGTTGGATCAGATATATACCACCGTTCTTCAAGAATCTATTGAACAAGGTACCGAAGATGACGGGGAGAGGGAGGAGCTGTACTCTATGCTCAGAGAGGTTTTGGGAAGTGTTCTGATACTTTGCGCTCCGTTGTCAATGGAATCTTTGTCAAGTCTACTTGGTATCCCTCCACAAGATATCAAAGACACGCTTGCCGATCTCCATACCGTCCTCAACATCCCTAGATCCATGGCCCAAACTATGCGATTGCATCATCCCACATTCCGAGACTGTTAGACAAGAAGCGCTGCAGCGACGCCAAACTTTGGGTTGACGCTACGCTAGCGCACAAAGAGTTCTCTGAGCGCTGTGTGGATTCGATGTCAAAACACCTCAAGAGAAACATTTGTGAGCTTAAATCACCAGGCACATTTGTCAAGGACATCGAGCCTACTCAAATCGAGCAGCATATACCGCTCGATCTCCAGTATCCCTGTCTCTATTGAGTCAGACATTGTCAACAGGGTGGAATCCACCTACGAGATGGTGACAAGCTCCACAAATTCTTCCAAGAATTCTTTCTTTACTGGCTCGAGGCAGTCAATCTCATGGGTAAGGGTGATGAAATGGGGGCAATAATTAGGCTTTATCATGCCCTTCTCAAGGTAAGTATCTTTATCCACCCACGCAAAATTCCCTTGTTAATTCCAGGAATATTTTAGCCAGCAGATAATAGGCGTCAGCTTGCATTTGCCAAAGATGCACGACGGTTCATTTTCAAATTCCAGAACATCATCAAACAAGCACCTTTGCAGGTATACTGTGCGGCTCTTGTGTTTATTCAACCAACAAATGAGCTTAAAATCATTTTTGGCATCTAATGAAGCCCTGGATTCAAAATTTGCGGATTGCAGAAGCAAACGTACTCAAACCGAAGGACGAGTTCAACTATGTCAGTGATCTTGCCTTCACCCCAGACAGCAGTGGAATTGCCTCAGGCTCCAGCTTTCAGGCTGTCTGATTTTGGGACATCAAAAAAATTCCCGAGTCTGCGAATTTGAGGGCTCAATAGACAAAATGAGCTCTTTTTCCATTTCCCCGACGGTAAACTGCTTACCGCCAGGTCGGATGACTTCACAGTTATGATTTGGGACCCGAAGAAAAGAACATTGCTTTTCTCCATTCAGGGTGGGTCAACTCTTTAATATTCTCTCCAGATGGAAACTTCCTCGCTTCAGGTTCAATGGATGAGACTGTGGCATTTTGGAATGTTGCAACAGGTCAAGAGATGGGAAGAATTTCAAATCAATGCACCTGTGTGAATTCGGCCACTTTCTCGCCAGATGGGCGCTTTATAGCAACTAGGTCTGTCGATAACTTGGTCAGACTATGGAAATTTCCTACTTCCTCGCAAGAGATTGAAAGGATTTTTGATGGTCATTCAGGTTGCATCAACTCGGTCCGGTTCTCCCCGAAGGACAGTTCGTCCTTACTGAATCTGACGACATGACAGTGAGGCTATGGCAGACGTCGACAGGAGAAGAAAAGCAAATATTCAGAGGTCATACCAAAAAGATCATGGCGGTTGCATTTTCCTTGGACGCTTCTTTGGTTGTGTCCGGCTCAGAGGATAAGACTGTGTGAATTTGCGATGCCGGCAGTGGCAGCACACTGCGTACGATTGAAGCTTACAGGAGCGGCATCAACTCAGTATTATTCTCTCCAAACAACCAGATTATGGCATCAAGCTCGTTTGATGAAGTTCGAGTTTGAGACACGAGCAATTGGACTTTACTGGGGAAGCTTGAGGACTTCGAGGAAGATGTCAATTCTGGAATATTAGCAACACAACGACCATTTTTCGAGGATTGGGCCATATTGTCGCAAAATTTCAATCCTTGAAAGCTCATTCCAGCACCGTGACCTGTATTGCGGTATCTCACGATGGTAAATGCTTTGCCTCTGGGTCGCAAGATACGACCATCAAGCTATGGACATCTGGTGCTGAGAGTTGGACCCTCAAAGGTCATACTGATTGTGTCAATCATCTCTCATTCTCTGCAAATAGCCTCTTGATTGCGTCTGCACTGAATGATTGCACGGTCCGATTATGGAATACAGGCACAGGAATATGGGATCCTGACACGGGAATGGCCCTATACACACTAAAAGGTCATTCAAGTCCAGTGGTTGGTCTGCAATTGTCCCCTGACAGTCTTTACGTTGCAACCTGGTCAGCGGATGCCACAGCTCTTCTTTGGAACAGGCAATCTCAGAAATCAATGAGTCTAAAAGGCTATTCTTCAACTGTTAATTCTGTCACTTTTTCACCAAAAGGTGACATTCTCCTTTCGTCTTCAGAAGACAACACAATGCGGCTTTGGACGAGAAGCGGAACGGCATGTGGAATCATCAAAACCGGCCGGTCCCCAATTCAATCAGCCGCATTATCCCCAAGCAATCGATTTATCGTATCCTGCTCCATGGATGGATCAGTACAGCTATGGGATTTGGAGATAAAGCGTGTTCAAGAGCTAGCCAAGTTCGATGTCCAGGTTCGTGACTTGTCTTTCTCAAGTTGTGGTCGATACATTGAGACTGATCGAGGACTGTTGGATCTTGATGCATTTGCCCTCCCTTTTATGTTTTCCCCCCTCCAAGTCTGATTCTATGAATGCACTTTTTGTTACCCAAGATTGGATTTTGCGTGGTTTGACGAACATACTTTGGCTGCCGGAGGAGTATTATTCAACTTGCGTGGCTACTCGTGGCTCACAGATTGCCATTGGTCATTATTCTGGGGCTATCTCGTTTATTGAAGCTTGATTTATTCTTGATACGTCTGATTATATTCTACAAGCCATGGAGAAGATATCTGATTATTTGTTTATATGCAATGCTATCCAAGTTGTTCAACCTGCTCTTAAAGCCTTTCTTGAGATGCCAGTGTCACCTTCCTAAAACAGAACCCATTAAAGATTAGGCTACCGTGTTTGATTTAATATTCAGTACACCATTCCTCAGCTTTGATAACAGCCTCCACACTAAGCTCATACTTCAAATCAACCTGTTAAAGAAATCAGGTAATATTTCAGCCTACCTACAGTGAATTAGGCTGGAAAATGCCTAATAAGCTCTACTTTGGTTCCTCCAAATTTATCAAGGTCCGGATTAAGCTCATCAATCATACGCTTTAGCTGAGCGCACATATATTCGATAGGGTTAAGATCAGGTGAATAGGGCGGCTAGTCGATTGTATTAGAACTCGTCTTAAATAAGCAATTTTTAATAGTATTGGCTGTGTGAATAGGGACATTATCATACCCAATCTTTAGTTGTAATTTAAAGTAAAATTTCCTCGAGGACCTTAAGATATTGGGGTTGGAAAGCGTGGTTGCGAAAATGTGTATATGGGGCCGACCGTACGAGAACTTATGATGAGTGTATGTATTTGCCCCCTTCTTGGATTAAATCTTCGACTAACTTTAGCTTCCAGGTCCCTATAAATCGCCTGGCACGCTGGTAATTTCACTCGCGAAGCCTTTCTACCACTGACCAACAGTCCTTTGATTTGCTTCGCGAAGCACCTTGTCAACAACTTTGTCAATCTCATAATAATACATCCAGGATGGGGAACTCTGCGATATTCTCCTGACCCGCTCCGAAAGTTCCTCATCAATTGAGAGCCGCTCGTCCAAGAGAGCCTTTTTGATTGACGAAAACTCGCCAATGGCTTCAACAAGGCGCTTGTAATGGGGAGATCTAATTTTGTCAAACATCTCAAGCCCATCGCACACGGAGATCTCCTGTTGCCACCCCCAGTCAAGAATTCTTCCCAATTTGTATACATCTTCTAGTGCAAATCCAGCACCCGACCCAAAGTTTCCTTGCAAGGGATGTGAAGCATCGCCGACGAAGGCGGTATTGCCATTGCATACAATACTCTCAAGCGAGGGCCAGAAAGTAATGCAAATTCTTGTGTTTCGCTTTTACCTGCAAGTCGTAGTATTCCTCGCACCGGGACACAAAAGTCGTCAAATTCAAGAAGTAGATCATTCAAGTCGAAAGGTCGACCCCAACTGACAGCATCTTGATCTGGCTTTGGTCGGCGAATACGGGCTGTCACTTCAAAGTTGTCATCTCCAAGGGGACAAGTGTAGACGTATAGGCCGCTGGTGCTCTTCCAAAAGACCGGTGCCGATGGGATTCCGCTGATCTTTAAGGCTTCAATCTTGCTAACGACAGTGCGGTAGATGAGTCGTCCGTCCTGTCTGAGGCTGTAACTGGGAAAGGTAAACCTTCGGACAACCTAACAGAGGATAAAAGTTTAGCTTCACCCAGATCAATATGCAATTTAGCGCCTTCAATATGTATCCTACCGATCTGATGCCGTCCGCTGCCACCAGGCTGGATGATTTCTACGCGACATGCTTATGCTGCATTGATGTTAGAGCAGGGTCACATCAAGAGGCTGCCCAGGCGTACTCAGAGGATCTCGGACTAGATGGCTCACTTACGCGAGTACATCAACATCCCTATAATGTTTGGGCATTGCATGGCTATCATGAGTGTTTGCTGCGTCTCGGGAGAAAGCCAGAAGCTCAAATCATCAACCAGCAGCTTGAGCTTGCATTGTCCTTCGCTGATGTTCCTATCAAATCCTCTTGTTTCTGTCGGCTTGAAGTTCCCTCCATAAACGAGTCAGTTGTGTGCCACAAATGATTGTGTCTAAACCCTTCGCTCATAGCCTAGTCGCAGATTACTGCGTTGCGTATCCCAAATTCCTTCTTTCGTATCTAATAAGAAAGAAATTACAAATTTACCAAAACGATTTCGTTGTATCTGAATAATCTACTCGCTCACTATTCGACCAGGGACTGATAATAGGAAAGCTGTGACTGTAGATTGCAACTATAGGTTTAATATCAAGAATAAAATGAACATTTGAAATAACTCAAGATGCCCCTGCCTTGATCTCCAGGTCCTGGAGCGATAATTTGTCTCTGATCTTTATCAACGGAAAACCGGGGATTGTTCCTTCTATCGGGCTTTGATCGATGACTCGATTTTTCCGCACTCCACATCCTTCGGCCACTCTCGGCCAGCGATCCATACTTAAGACTAACCGCCAGGGCGCGATACCATAGATAACTGTCAACGTCTTTTGATTTCATTTTGCACTCTTGGCAACTGTTACCTGACTTGAAGGGTTTCATTCTGGACCGAATCTGCCAGCATGACTCAAGAAATGATCTCGCCCGTTCCGGCTAGTGCCGAGTACTATGATCTTTGCTCGTTTGGCCATACCATTACTACAACCAGTGTCGATACACAAATTTGGTTCAACCGCGGCTTGACATGGGTCTACCCATTCAATCATATCGAAGGTGCTTATTGCTTTGAGCAAGCTATTGCTCATGATCCGAATTGCGCGATGGCGTACTGGGTCTTGCGTGTGATGTTGGTCCCAATTACAACAAGCCATGGGAAAAGTTCGACTTGGGCGACCTTCATACTTCCGTACAAAGAGGTTACGATGCTTCCCAAAGGGCCAAAGAGTCTGCTGTGAATGCTACACCTCTCGAGCAAGCTCTCATTGAAGCGATCCAGTACCGATTTTTGTCCAGTAAGCCTGCCACGGATTACCCGGCTCTGAATAAAGGCTATGCCGATGCCATGAAGCTGGTTTATGACAAGTTTGGTCACGATCTTGACGTTGCAACAATTTATGCCGATGCGTTGATGAATATTACGCCTTGGGCTTTATGGGATCTTTTTACTGGCAAACCAAATCCTAATGCCCCCACCCTACAGGCGCAAGCCGTACTAGAGCGGGCACTGGCTCAAGAGAAAGATGGCGCGGATAAAAACCCTGGATTAATTCATCTATACATCCACTTCATTGAAATGTCACCCAATCCAGAGCTTGGCATCAATGCCGCCGACAAGTTGAGAGATCTTGTTCCAGATCCTGGTCACATTCAACATATGCCCACTCACTTGGATATCTTGGTGGGTTATTGGCGACGTTCTACCGTCTTCACGACTATCACTCCTTGATTTATGCGGCCATATTCGCTGGTAAATCAAAGGCAGCTCTTGACGCGGTCACCCGCATGGAATCAACTGTACCTGAAGAGGTTCTTCGCATCCAGTCACCTCCGATGGCTGACTGGCTGGAACAATTTATGGGCATTTGTCTTCACGTTATGGTGCGATTCGGCATTTGGGAGGAACTCAAGCTCAAAGAGCTACCCCACGACCGGGAATTATTTGCAGGTACCACAGCTACGACCCATTATGCCCGAGGTCTCGCATTTGCAGCTACAGGTGATATCGCCTCAGCCCGGACAGAGCAAAGCCTGTTCCTTCAAGCTTGGGCTCAAGTTTCAGAAACCCGTCGAGCCTATAACGGCAAGATGGTGGACGTTCTTAAGGTCGCAGCTGCTATGATGGAGGGAGAAATTGATTACCGCTGTCAGAGTTATGACAAGGCCTTTGAATCCCTTCGCCGTGCTATTGATCTTGAAGATAACCTTCCTTACAGTGAGCCTTGGTCATGGATGCAGCCAGTTCGTCATGCCTATGCTGCGTTGCTCATGGAGCAAGGCCATCTGGAAAAAGCAGAGCGCACCTATCGCGCTGATCTAGAATTCGACACGACTGTTATTCATCCTCGCCGCCATCCCAACAACGTTTGGTCACTTCAAGGTTACCATGAGTGTCTTATTCGACTGGGCAAAACGAACGAAGCTCTCATGATTGAGCAGTCGACCAAGCTAGCTCTTGCTGTTGCCGATGTGCCGATTAAGTCCTCATGTTTTTGCCGTTTGGATACCACTGGAGCGCCCAACGTCAACGGATGTTGCTCCACTCAAAATGAAGGTTGAAACACCAGAAGCCTCCATTCCAAGATCGACACTCGAACCACCAAAGCTCTAGACCTTGATATCTCATTTTTAACCACGGGATATTAGGCCTTTAGTGAATTCAACAATTCATATAAAGTTTTGATAAATGATGGATCGGTGCATAACGACCTGATTACATATTTTTGAATCTGATAGGGCAGGTGATCATTATAGATAGTATGATGAAAATAAAAGGCAGCGACAAAGTGGAAAAAAAATGTAAAGACAGGGGAAAAAAAAGAAAGGAGGAAATGAGTGTGGGAGGAGTAAAGACCGTGTGAGTTCAGGGGAGAACTTGAAAAATAAGGAAACAAAGAGGTGAAAAGGAGTAAGATCATTTTTAGTCTATAGTAGCGAGTGGCGGATCCTTCAGATCGGCTATATTCACCTTTTTCCAGCGCGACTGAATAATTTGAAATTCTAGTGTCAAAATTGTTTTGAATATTAGTTCTATCATTGTTATACCAATTTGATGGTCGGATCAACCGGTGGACAAATTGAAAGTATATAAGGTAGATGAATTACAATATATTATGGTCAATGATACTAATACACCCACATCGAACATACTATTTTCGCCCAGGTCCGACCTAGGCATCATTTTAAGCAGGACAGGCCAAGACTGTCACAACCTCTGTCACTTGAACGGTCAGAGTGACACCGTCATCTCGAGAGCTGGTTTCCACATCGATAATTGCACCAGTAGGGATCGGTGCTTCTACTGGAACTCGAACTGTAGTCGTATAAGCCTCGCTAGTCTCAGTGGACACAGAGGTAATCATGTCAGACGGCTGGCATTTCTCTTTCCACGGTGGACACACACTAATAGAATGGGTGCGGGTTTCATATACAGTAGAGGTATGAATCGAGTAAATAGACGTAGCAGTGGGAATTGTGTGTGTCACTGGGGAGGGAGTCTTTATGGAAAAGGGGCAATCTTTCACTGTCAATGGGCACTGGTAGACGGTCGAGATGACAGTGGTATAGCTAGTTTCGGTAGTGAGGTCAGCGCTCGCTGGTATGCGACTAGGAGCGTTGCCTGGAATAGATGTAGTCTGAGCATTCACAGTACTACTGGTTGAAGCTTCAAAGGGCTTGGTAAAGGCGGAATTGCGGAGAGAGGAAGGCTGCATTTCCAAGGAAGACGATTGAGATGCAACAATAACTCCCAAAAGACTCGTAGAACTGGTTGAGGATGCTTGTAGCGTTTGTGAGGATACCAATGATGATCGCAAACTCGTCGAAGGTTGGTGAGGTGATGAAGAAGGGGATATGATTCCAATGGAAGAAGAGGAGCTCGGTAATGAGCTTGAGGATGACCCCTTAGGAGGGATGGATGAAGCCTTGACAGATGCAGAACTGGAGGATGAGTTTGGGGAAGCAGTGTGTGATGATGACCAAGAACTTGCAGCAGAAGACTTGGAAGGAACAGATGAAACCTTGACGGATACAGAGCTGGATGAAGAGACTGCCGAGGCGGAAGATTGAGTCGTGCTAGATGTCACTGGCGATGAAATCCGTGTCTGAGAAGGAGTCGGGGTCGGGGTCCGGGTCGAAACAATAACAGTTGAGGTAAAGAGCGTAGTATAGTCAATTGTCAACACCACTGTTTCAGTGGTACGTGTTGTTGAAGTGACCATTTCCACAGCACATGGATTGGTAGTGAAAATATCAATGGCTGAGATCGACGCAGCAGCTGTCACTGGGGTTGGTGAGCCGCTTACCAAGTAGCAGTAGGTACTCTCAGCGCCGAGTCCTTCATAAGTGTAGAGATAGAGTCCTGAGCAAGAGGAAACAGCGGTGCAGAATTGATAGCATTCCGAATAAGGGATATTTGAATAATCGCGGATTTGGGTTGCGCCGGAAAGAGATATGCCTCCACAGCTCGCAGAGTAGTACAGAGAGCCCACACTCCAGACTCCATTCTGGCAAGACTTGGTCAGAGGAGTGCTTTCCACCGAACAGGAGCTGGTAGTGATGATGATGGGATAAACGCTGGTAGTGGTCTCGGTCACGGTGCTCTGGCCAGTCTCCGTGATGGTTATTAGGGATGTGGATGCCTCCACAGAGCCCAGCAGAGCCAAGAATAGAAATGATATCCAGATCCGGGGCTCTTTCATTTTGAGATGATAAAGGAAAGACGAGGGGTGAGAAAAGAATATGAAAAACCTCAGAAATAAAGCAAAAACCCCTTATTTATTGTGTTTTCGGTGTTCATGTAGTGAACCGATCGGCTAGTATCACCGCTTATAGTTCACAGATTTTGTTTTTATTTTATGTTTTTCTATTTGATATGAGGCTAGCCGGAAACGCTCTAGTTTATGCGGAATTGTGAGTCTTATTTGGCACTAGATTATCGTGTCCACAACGTCTCCACTGCTCAAAGAAAGTTGTTCCTGGTCAATTTTGCCGGGCCAACCAGAGCTCCCTGAGAGGCTGAAGAACTAGATTTTCCGAGTTTTATGTTGAATGTCGTGGGAGTCTTGAACGGTAGCGGCCCGTTCTGTCTGACACCCTGTAGTTAAGATATCTGGGTTGACTTGTAGAACAGCATTGAATTCGGAAGCTTCCGAAATATGGGTGATATATGCTTTGATCAGTTCCAATGATGTAAATTCGCCAGCTCTGAGTCCTTCCTGCGCTCTCTCAATGGTGATATTAAGCAAGGATAGCTCCGAGTCAGTTGAGCCAGGACGAAGGTTAGCTGTCACCGAGACCATAGGACCCAACATTTGAATCTGTAAGAACATACTCAGAGTAATTTTCATGGTCACAGCTCTTCTGTATGGATTATTCAAAATGATGTGAAATCTCAGTAAAATCAAGAGCAATGCGACCGTGCGTCGGAATTTATATACCATATACAAGCACAATTGGTCCGTCGAGCTTCGGTGTAATCAGGTAGGAAAGTCCAGGACGTTGGCTAACATAAAGCGAGAACTGAAAGACTCAGAAATATGTTCTGACAAGAATCCTTCCACCGAAAGACCGGGGATGCAAGAATTAGTCAAAAGCAGATAAAAGTCACTAGCGATCGACTGAGAGAATGCACGGCTTCTCTCCTTGATGAGGCTCTGGTAGTTAGCTACCACACCTCATGCATGGCCCAGAATCAGGGCGGGAAAGCCTTCAAGTTACGGTCTTCCAGGCTCTAATTGCCTGGCATATATCACCCACAAATAACATGCCAGACCATTTGCAGGAGTTCTTGCCATCTCGGGCCATCAAGTTGAAATGGACCGACGATATCCAATCGCTCCGGCAATGTGGGCTCCCTCATGCAAGTGTGTACGGAATGCGATAGCGGCCACAGCTCACATGCCTATTTTGGAATAGATTACAGACCGCCTAGGCTACCGCTCTTACACAGTTTTGAAATTCAGGCTAATACTAACAAAGACCCACGCTCCCCGCGGCATCACATCTCACTGCCAGTGACCTGCCTGGACCACAGCGTCACCTGGAAGACCCTGGTGCCTTAAATTAAGACGTGACTATCGTAAAATTCAACTGAGCCATCTTAAAATTATCTTAGACTGCCTGAAATCCAAGTGGTTTTTTTAGGCTAAAATAATAATCTATAATCCTGAACTTGTACTATTATAGATCTACAGATAGATATAGCCCAAACTCTCCTTAACACCACTATAGCACTGCCCATAGAGAGGTTAAACGAGCTGATATTACAGTCACCATTTCTGCATATTTTAAACTCAGCTGCCCAGGTACCCACCTGGGCAGCCTCTGTCTACCTATTTAGGAAGCGGTGGCAGATCATTGTAATAGCAATTCTGGTAATAATCGTTTTCTGCCGCTCAAAAAAGTCATTTTTTAATTCCCAAACAGGCATGTGAGCTGTGGCCGCTATAGGATTCCGTAAAGTGTGTCCTATTTGGAACACAACTGCCCACCATGCGGGAGGAGGGGGTTTTTAAAAATGGGGTTGAAATAATGGAAATTATAAAAACTGTAATTATACTATTTTACCTGTCATTATTATATTAGGATAGTCTTAGATGTAAAATGTGTTTTAGTCTGAAATATTTTATGTTAGAAAAAATGTTTTATTATTAAATTATATGTTATGGGGGTTTAAATGATAGAATTTGGAAATATGTTGATATAATTTCTATTTTAAAATATGTCTATAGAGTGTTGATATATGTTAATATGTATAGTCTGTGTTGTAGTCTGTGTTGTAGTCTGTGTTGTAGTCTATGTTATAGCCTGTTGAATTATCTGTGTGGAATTGCTTGTTATGGAATATGTAGTCTGTGTAAGATGTGATTTGGGGTGTGAAGATGTTAAAATAATGTAGATGGTGTAGTGGTAAACTGTTGTAAAATGTAGCCTTGTAAATTGTAGCCTGTAAGCTGTAGGTCCTGGGTTTAATTCCCCTGTAGATCAAAAGAAAAAAAGATGTATTGTAAAGCAATAAGGGAGGAAGGGCGGTACCTAGGTATGAAGTGTGAAGCAACCCCCTTCCTAAATAGGTAAGGTGAAAGTTACCGGGCCTGTATCAGGGTAGTACCCAGAATCTTTTTTCGGATATATTTTGTAGTAACACATCTTCTAGTCTGACACATTTTTATAATTAAAATATTTTATATTTTTCTCTTATATGTCTATCCTGAGAGATATGTTTTAGTCCTGAATATATAACTATTGGATATAGTAAAGCATGTCTTTTCACCTAAGAAATATTTTATATCCATGTATGATATCTACACTGTGTTAACACCATTTTCAAAATCCCCAGTCCTCCCGCATGGCAGGTGATCGCTGTATTATATCTGCTCAAAATATGTGATACCAGTATTGCAACCATATTACCAAACACAACCAGGGTTATCCCCATTTTTCTGGGTCCGATTTCTGTAGACTGGTTTGCTGATCATTGAATGCAATTGCTTGCATCGGGGAGGTATGCTTCCAGATATCTTGTGAATTGATATTGACCTGTGAGGTGCACAGAAGAAGATCCATAAGCTGAGGTTTCCGATTGACTTTTTTCCAAGCAAGAGGGTCTTTCCTCTTGTATCGTGCAGATAAGGAATAGGCAGGTCCTGCTGCTCCGTGTAGGCCATTACTTATCGCCTCTTGCTTTCTTGTCCGTAAAGCATGAGCATTGTCTGAAAACCTTGGAGTCGAGTGTCATCAAGTTTTTGGAATGAATCTGCTCCCATTGTCGTCCGCTCTTGCTCATCACGGGCCATCACCATTCCAAGGTCTTGAGCTTGTTCAGGCGTAGACGCCGATTCCTGATTCGGAAAGGTGGGATGCCGAACAAGGGTGGACGTTCATTAGCCTCTACTGTGGCGGGCTTTCGCTCGCGCGGGAACGGATCATTGAGGTAAATATGAGAGCACGAAAGGGGGCTTGCAAATTCCTTCTTTTTCGATGCTCCGGATTGGATGTCGCTCCAGACTACGTTGCCAAAGCCTTTATCAGCCCATTCCTTCACGAATGACTCACCCTTGAACGCTTGGAAAAGTCCAGCAAGAGTATCCTCTGCCACATCTCTTGGCGGAAGCTCCTTAAGAGGATAGAGGAATTGCTTGGCGGAAGAAAGTTTACGTGAAGCCAAGCATTGCAGGATCATTGGATCGCATATTGACTGTGATATCATGGATTTAGTCACCTGGACAAACAATTGCCATGTCTTCCTCCGAATAGATGGCAATTTCAATTGGTTTCATGAGCTTGGCACTCACCCCAATTGAGCTAGAAGACGGAGAGTTCCCCGAAGTGACATACAAGGGGGAAATGTCAAAATGTCACGGAACTACGCTATAGCCTGATAACACGGGACCCTTCATTTTAGCCTATATGATGCATGTGAGTAAAATCAAGCGATTGGGATTTCGCTTGGGAAAATGAGCTCTGTACCTGAATATAAGAGCTGAAAGGTTCGTGGGTTAGGCTTTAAACTAAGGTGAATCCGGATGAAACTCTTCGCCAAAGCGGAACAGACGAAATACATGAAGCATTTGAATAATCTCCAAATTCGCAACCTGCCTTTGAAGTTCATAATGTACGGATTTAGTTAATGGTCACGTAATTCGGATAAAATCGAGGCCAAGAGTACCAAGGGTATCGTATCCTCCGAGTCAGTGGGACCATATCCCAGAGTGATCGACAGCGGGGACAATAAGCCTAAATTGATTTTCTTCAGGGTAGCCGCGCCCGCCACGCCACGGGGTATCTCCCCGAATTGATAGCATAATCTGACACACCATTGATGGTGGAATCAAGTTGAGAATCCACTTCATTTTTCTCCAGGCTAATCTCAGGACACACTGGCTGCGACACACCCCCTTTCTATTTAATCAGCTCAGCTCCCGCCAAAAAAAATCATGCCAAAAAGTCGAACGTCACTGCGATATCTTCAAAATGGTTTGTTTATCTGTCAAAGCAGTGCTCTTGGGGGCGGCCACTCTACCACAGCTGTACGCAGATTAATTCAACCACTTCGTGTGGCCAATAACTGACATTTACTTAGTGCCCAATCCGCTGGTCTTGATACAGCTGCCGTGGCTCTCGGGAAGGCGTACTTTGGAACTGCCACAGATAATCCAGAGTTGACAGACACGGCCTACGAAACCCAATTAAATAACACACAAGACTTCGGTCAGATCACCCCTGGAAACTCTCAAAAGGTATGATCGCGCACTGAACTTGATTTGTCTTTTGAACCGAAATTAATAAAATTTCCTCGACTGTTGATAGTGGGATGCTACGGAGCCGTCGCAGAATACCTTCACCTTCACCAATGGCGACGTGATTGCCGATTTGGCAGAGGCCAATGGCCAAAAACTGCGGTGCCACAACCTTGTGTGGTATGAACAGTTACCAAGCTGGGGTAAGACTATCTTTACATGAATCACTTGCTGTCTACTTGATCTTTTTTGCTAACAATGAGGTTTGTGTGACTAGTCAGCAGTGGAACCTGGACCAACGCGACACTTCTTGCTGCAATGAAGAACCACATCACCAACGTGGTGACTCACTACAAAGGACAGTGCTATGCGTGGGATGTTGTGAACGAAGGTCTCGCCGACGACGGAACCTACCGTGACAATATCTTCTACCAATACATCGGCGAAGCTTACATTCCAATTGCCTTTGCGACAGCCGCTGCTGCCGACCCAGACGTCAAGTTATACTATAACGACTATAACATCGAGTCCGCTGGATCCAAGGCCACTGCTGCGCAGAACATCGTCAAGCTGGTCAAGTCATACGGCGCCAAGATCGATGGTGTCGGTCTCCAGTCCCACTTCATTGTCGGAAGCACACCCAGCCAAAGCGCGCAGGCAAGTCAAATGGCTGCTTTTACAGCACTTGGTGTCGAGGTTGCTATTACGGAGCTGGACATTCGCATGACACTACCTTCCACGGATGCTTTACTTGCTCAGCAGAAGACGGACTACGCGAGCACTGTTGCCGCTTGTGCACAGACCAGCGGATGTGTCGGCATCACAATTTGGGACTGGACTGACAAATACTCTTGGGTCCCAAATACTTTCTCGGGGCAGGGTGCGGCTTGTCCATGGGATGCAAACTTGGTTAAGAAGCCAGCTTACACAGGCATCTTGACTGCTCTGGGGGGAACTGCAACTAGCACCTCTACAGCTACATCTACTACTACTACGACCTCGTCTGGGTCCTCTAGTACTAGTGTTGCGCAGAAGTATGGACAATGTGGTGGGAGTGGCTGGACTGGGGCGACTACTTGTATCAGTGGAACCACTTGCACCTATTCCAACGATTGGTACTCGCAGTGTCTTTGAAGGGGTATCGTTGAATGTATTCTCAGAATTCTGAATTGCGGATGGTGATCCAGTTTAGCAATATTCACAGGTACTTTCAATCGTAGAAATCGTAGAAATTCTAGCACATTAGACGCACACAGCTTCACCCTGAGCAGATGGAGCACTTGCTTTCATGGACTTTGAGTATCTCAGTGATGAAGATGAAAGTAGCGAGAGATAATGGCTTGCCATAGAGGGATTGACGTTACGCATCTTCGATGGAGGATCAGTGACATACAGAAGACTGCCTGGAGAAATTGGAAATGGCGCACCGGGGTCCGGGTCATATATCTTGATCGATCGATGAGATATTAGAAATTGGAGGAATAAGAACTGCGTTCTCTGGGGGTAGGTCTCACCGGGCATGTGCCTCCCGTCCTCTCACTTCTTTCAAATACTCGAATGCGATGAACTGTATTTTCCATTTCGAGCGCTGCAGATGCAGCTGTGCCTAGGTAGGAAGCAATGTTATGTCAGCCCTGACCATGCTGAAGTTCCGATAGCTTGAAACCCCCGCTCCGATTATTGCGACCGATTTTATTTGAGCCATTCTGAGGTTCAGTTGACAGTTCTGCGGAAGGCCCTTTATCCTATGTAAGCCGGTCTAGCTCAAAATACTAAAACTGACTCTTTGATACATGGGCTGAGAATTCAGGTGAAGGAAATCAGGTGGGTAAGTGTCTGTCTCTAGTGCCCTGAAGAGGGCTGAATAGAGCGGCGAGCCGCCCACACCCGAATCGTGGGCGCTAGCCCTGGAGGTGAGTCAGGTGACCACCAACTTAGACATGCTGTTGTATGTTTTTGTCTTTTTTTTCTTTGGCCTGCCATGAGAAATATCTCTGTGTTTCTTGCGGCAATTGCCGGTGCGTTAGCCCTGCCGGCAGTCGGTACCATCGTCGAAGAGCAATATTCCGAGTGCGAGTTGTACGATATCTACGATGCGTATGAGATTCTGTCCAGTATCGATGGATACGGGTTCTGCTCAGCGCTAGTCGACGCTTCCTCGACTACTACAACAACATACACCCAGCTTGCGACTGGAAATGCGGTGACTGCAACTGAAATATATGTCAATACTGTCACCGACTATTCCACTACAGTGACATGAGCTATGTTACCGCACTGGCCACAGCTGTGGACAAGAATGTAGTCACAAATACCATCACATATACCAACTATATCACCACGACGGAAACCATAAAACCCACCAGCACTGTCATTGGGGGAACCAGCACGGTCGTGGAGCCGAACCCGACGACCGTCATCATCACGAGCGTGGATACCATGACTATCGAAAGCGTGGCCACGGACACTGTCATAGATGTCACCTCCAATACTGTCACCGCCACTGTGACCGCAGAGGCAACGTATTCGGATTTTGCGAAACGTGATGTGGTAGTTCCGACTGAGCTAGACTTCTTTGAGCCCTCGATTCTCACTGCCGCGTGCTTGGAGCTCGGTGTCACGGGTTCGACAACGGAAATCGTACAGACGGCGTATGTGACGGACACAGCCAGTCCGGCTACTGTGACTACCGATATCACTGGGGCCGTTACGACTACCTTGCTAGCAACAGTGATGACCGAGGATGCAGCGACCGAGACTACCACTCAGACAGCGTTTACCACTATTAACGACGTAGTGACCACAATTGTGACCAACACGATTGATGTCACATCTGTGTTAAGTGTCACCTCCACTGCCGTGGTGACTGTCACAGCTACACCTTCAACGCTTTACACTGTGAGAACCTCGAAGAACTATGTGACCAGCACCTCATATGTCACAGTGACGTCCGATGTGACCGTCACGCAGACCGAGACGGTCAGCGGGACAACGACAGATTTTCCGACGACGACGTGCAACGCAGTGCGTAACCCCGACTTTGACAATAGCCTCGGCGGATTGACGGTGACCACAACCGGAAGCGGAACTACTGCTTTCGTTGCCGGTGATAGCACAACTTATGCTCTCCAAGCCTCAATCGCGTCTGGCGAAGCAGAGACAGTGACCATCTCGCAGACCATCGACGTGGAAGCAGGCAGGGAGTATTATTTCTCGCAGTATCTGAGGAGCAGCGACGGCGTATCCACACAGTTCTATGTTATTGAATCCGGGTCCACGACGCATACGTATGCTGCATCGGCGCTGGCAACCGGCTGGTCCCACTACAGATGGGTTTTTACTCCCACAACATCGTCGGTGACACTCACGCTTAAATTGACATCGACTGCATCCTCGGCTAAGACGTGGGCCATTGATCTTGACCGCGTGTTTATTTTTCCGTGGTCTTCATACTCTCCCTGTGAGTCGAGTATATAATAGTTACTTCTCTATCAGCATCATTCCCCTATACCACCTCTATCATAAATATGATAAACTTACTCTACCAATGTATCTTCCGCCTTAATGCCTTCCTTTCCTACTACTAGGTTTGAAGAGGTACTACGTGTCTCATGGGCAGCACTGTGTATATTAATTCAAATTTTATGATATACATTGTGCCAGTGATCCAACATTTGAAAATCCCTCATCTGCGAGCCACTATCTCTTTAATATTATCACCAAATCCAACCATATATCCATATCGTGGCCCATCCATGGATGCCGTAACGCCAATGCGAGGGATAACACTACAGAATAACCCTTGAAGCCGAGACAAGTATGTGCAGAAGTTTTAATTATACAGCTTAGTGAACATTAGGGCCAGGAAGAAGACCAGGCTCCTTTTATAAATACTATGGCTAAATTTCTTGAGAAAAGCGGCGGATCATTGCGCAACTGAGTGTGCCTCTTCTTCAGGGAGATAGACTCGTCAACCGATCGAGTCTAGCACTTGAGCGCACTACCGTAACCTATATGGTAAAAAGGCAATTACACTAAACCTTAGCGTTAAATTGGATGATGGAGTGTTGCGTGATAATGCCAGTTGCTTTATGATTATATATGAACGGCTTAGACTTTAAGCTGCTCGTGCGATAAAAAAGCCAATATCTTATGGTCTGCGTGATAGCTTCAAGTTGGAATTCATTCATTGAAACATTGGGAGAGATCAGACCAGTAAATTTAGTCGATTTCACCGCTAAATGTACGCTCCTAGTCTCTTTAACCTCACCATCCTCTCTATACACTTCTACCTAGTGATGAGAGGAACAATACTCTAAGCTATACACTCAGCGGTCCACGGGTCGATCCAGCCTGAGCTACAATGAACAAAACTACAACCAAGATGCTAATGCATGGACACCGAGGCCACCCCTATGGGTACGAATCAGAGATAGTATGTACTATGTAGTAGGAATGTGTATTCTCAATCTGTAACGACTGGCAATCTTGTAGGTACAATTTCCGGAACATGAAATAAGGAAAATTAAATTTGTAAAGACAGACATAATACCATGATTTGAATATTTGCGGGCTTTAAGCCTTCCGAAAGATAAAATTTCGGTCAAATGGCAAGCCATGAGCAGGAAGCTGTTCTATCATATTCAGGATTGACATCTCTGCTGAGTGATTGAAACTAGCGAGACCAGTGCCCTTCACTTCAAGCGATACACATTGAGTCACTCCTCCCATTATAGAATTCGAGCTGAGAGTCACCCTAGACTGCCTGACTGCCTCTAACATCTTTTTGAGCAAGTCGGCATCGCTCAATCGGCTGTCAGTGCCTGAGAAGAAGATATTCACAAAATTTTGAGGGATCGGGGCCATGTTAGTGGTAGCCAGATGTAAAATGTATCTTAAGGAGAAAAGAATAGCTTTAACCTGAAGTTGGATGTGAGTTTGGGGTTCCGAGTTCGCTGATGTCTCGAGGATCAAGCACTATGCTTTGGTAGTGTTTACTGTGGATGATTACAAAAGGTGCATTTGAGGTAGCTTGAACGATCTTATAGCATAGAATTTTGGACAAATATAGCTATACGGGGGATGCAAAGTTATTTTGAAACCATGGAAAGTCCAAATACTTCCAAGGTTGACTGGACAGACAAAGGGACTGGAGAGAGACAGAGTGACCGGAATAGACCGCTTAAAGCGCTGTCTAAAGACTTCCACATAGATCTGAAACAAGCCATTGTAAATTAGAAGTCACAAGTCAGTCATCCCTAACTTTTAATTTTTTTCTCTTTCATAGATTCTTTTGTCCAGCTACAACCTTCAAGTTACTATCAATGCCCTTAAAGAACTGGCTATCTTTGTTAGAGCTGAAAGAGCCCAGCATTATTACCCGGACAGGGTAGTAAAGTGGTCTTAATTCAGAAGCTGAATTTTGACTAGTATGAGTTGCGTGAGAAAAACATTAAGCGACTCGAAGACATCTTCGAAAGCTTGGAATTAAGGGCTGTTAAAGCCTCTATCTATAGTATCGGATTCCAGAAGTAATCAATCAATCCGCTCTGGATCTTTACTTTGCAGCCGGCGAAATTTCACCTGAAAAGCTTCTTAATCCTAAAATTTGAATGAGTAAAAGTTCCTTGAAGTCTCGGAAGGTAGGAAGCTATAACTTGAAATTCCAATACTCTGGTGGAGAGCTTTCTGAATATCTTTCTCTCAGACTATCCGTATATTAGGTATACTAGATTGAATAGGTGACCTTATAACATCCCAGATCTTTAGATAGACTTATATGTGCCCGTGGACATATCTTCTAAGGCGGATTTACAGGGGAATCTAGGGGATGATGTTTAGTGTGTGTGGATACTCCCTGAGTGAGTTTGATAGTAGCTCACCAGGTTATCACCCAATCTAATATAATCCCTACTCACCTCAAGGAAATTCCATGCCGCTCTATGCTAAAAACGCTCTATAAAAAGTCAGTCATACTGATCTGTGTGGCTTAAGTACGGCTAAGCGGACGGGAAGCCGTGTTCTCCACACCCTGTGGTCGTATGTACTTAAAATTCCAAAATATATATTCCAAAATAGATGGTTATATAGTACCTACATACTAGTGAGGAATGCTCTAAGCTGTGCATGCCACTGAAGATGCACGGGTCGTTTCAGCTGCAATTGATGGTCGATGACGCTATGAATAATCCAAGGAGTGTACTAACTTGAAGTATTTGAAGCTTGGCCCCCGAATGTACATTTTGAGCGGGCCCCCGGGGCCAGCCCCATCCAGGAATCATGCACATGTGCATTTGCATGCAGCTATAGCATTTGCTATCCAATTATAATGGATTTCTAGATACCATCCCGTGGGCTCCAAACTTTGTGGCATTTAGCGAGTGACTAAATTAAAGACTCGACTCATATACAATACCCCGCTTTAAATTTGGCATAAATAGTCAAGGTGCCGATGGAAATTGGGCAGTGGGAGATTTTTTGGACTCAACACCTGGCATCCATATAGCACTGCGACCTACGGTCATTTGCATCCTCTGCATCTTTGACTGCGTACAGGATTACTATTTCTGCTGCTATTACTACTTACCCAGTAAGATATTCGCATCATTACAAGAGAACCAAATCTCCTTCTCAGTTGAACCTTCACCTAACAAAGTATTTTCTATATTCATAGGTAGCCCGTTATGCCAGAAGCCGATCAGGTTCCACTCCCCGACAGGGGTCATATGCACCTTTTACTCCGCAGCCCGCAGGGGACAATCAATCGCTTCCACAACAGACCATTCCGATGGGATTCTGCTGGGACGGGAATAAGCTTAGGTCAAATGCCTCCTACCACACCCGCAGGAGGTCAACGGAGTGGTCGGTTGATAATTGCCAGTGGCGCAAGATTCGACTTTTCTGGGGTTTACATTACGGCGAGGAATGGCCTATGGTACCTTAGGCATGGCCAGGGACTACCGCGGAATCCCTCAGTCTACGGATAGTCATACCGATTAGGTATTGGTATATAACATTTGAATATTGGGAGAGGGGAGAGATGGAAGATTCCAGAATTCTTCAGCAGAAATGGGCCGGTGGTTGTTGTCCTACTGAATTGACCCTCACATCTCTGAGTTTGCTGCCTTGCCCGATCCTGTCTATATAATTAATGGTTTCACTAACGATACTGCCGGTCATTTCATATGTCTAAACGTTGCGCGAATTAGAATTTTTTGATGGAAATGGATTATCTAAGAAAGCAAACCCGATTTTGAACATAGAAAGCTTTACATCAAGATCTTTCTAAAATTCATATCCTGGGTCCCATGTTCTAAAGATAGAGAAGTTCGAGGAGGGAAGGTGAGAGCTAGAATTTCAAGTTTATACAATGCGGTAGCCTGGAGCCTGAACTATCCACATCTACAGACTTTCACTTCTCGCTGAAAGTTTCCTCAACAACCAATAGCACACCTACGTAGAAGATATCAGGAGGGTAACCTACCCCAGGCTAATCACAGCATTATCAGCCGTGTTCTGTTTAACGTCTGCTCCTGACCTCTCTCACACCAAATTCTCTCATGCTTGAATTCCGGACCACTGTTACCCATGCCTAGTCCCTTCCTGGTGCTATACCGCATAGGTCCTTACCTCCCAGATTGACTGTGTTTCAGCGCCGAGGACAGCGCATTTTGGCTGGGCCGGCAACTAGTCAGATTACAGCTAGTTCCCGGCACTCCCTGGCAGACAGAATGGGACATATCCTACATCTCCACTAGATCGCCCTACCCGGGGAACTCACAAAAAACTGAATCCAGGTCGGTCATGACTACCTAAAGAAAGCAAGTGAAGAAATCCACGACTTTCCAGGTTCTGACAAAAGGCGTTTACAAAATGAATTCTTCTGTCAGGTGCATTTGATCCGCGTTCTAAAATTTGCCATTGGCTAATTCAGTTTTTTATGAGGATCTAGGTCTGACTTTCGATTTCGAGGCCCATAAGGATGAGAATGGTTTTGATTGCCGGCAAACAAGCACCCAGTGCAGGTAAGAAACAGCGAGGAAGCACAGGAAATCGAGAGAAAATAACATCAACAACCATATTTTTCCATGATAGCTCTGAATGACGGGTCCTGCAGAAGCTGTGTAGCGGTCAGGCGCTTTTCTGGGCAGTAAGTAAATACCCTGGACATAACAGTTTGCACATGTTTTCGCTCAGTCGGATCAGCATCGGGACGAAAGTATGCAATTGTTGATTCGAGATCATGCTCTGGATCAGGAGTTTGACGCTGATCATACCAAGAATCAAGGCGTCCAGGGTGAGTGTAAAGGTCCTTCCACTCCTCAGGTAGTGGACCCAAACATATGGCAAGACTAGTTACTATTCCACCGTCAAGGAAGGAATGGAAAAGCAGGTAGCCAAAGTAAAGCTCCGCAAAGATGACCATGTAACTCCACATGTCGCAGACAAAGCTTGGATGTTTCCCATGAAGACGATCTGGTAAGCGAAATTGCACAGGCGGATAGCCGCGTTGAGTTATAGGGTCACCAAGTTTCATCCCTAGACCAAAGTCACCGAGATAGAATGCCTCGGTACGCAAGTTCACAGGGACTTCAACAGACCGAACAAGCTCTCCATGCTTCCAGAGGTCGACACATGGTATTACTTCCTTTAGTGGTCGACCAAGTGCTTTATATTTAGCAGTCCTATCGAGATTATGCAGAGGAACCATCCCCCACATACAGTTCCTTTCATTTAGATCTATTGAAAATATATTAGAATACAGACGAATAGAAAAGGGAGTCGAAGGCAGATTCCACTTACCACGGTGTACAACCCCAGCTTCATATAAAAGTTCCAAGGCCTCTAGTAATTGCTGAGCAGCAGACATACGAGTAGACATGGATATCTTTCCTAGGATGATTCTATCAAGGCATGGACCCATTAAGGGAAATACTAGAACCCTGTGATGATAGTTGTTTCTAGGGAGTAGAAAGGTTGCCAGATATGTCACAAGGTGAGAGGTATCCTGTACATTCTGAACGATTTCATCCTGAATGCGGGTTTCTTAATCTCCATATTCTCCCGGAGACATGACTTTGAGCGCTACATCCCTCTTTTCGTGAAGGTCATGGGCCATCCAGACAGTAGAGAAACCGCCAAAGCCAAGTTTATGCTCTACCAGATATCTCTCATTAAGCACTTTTCCAACATGAATAGGGTAGAAGACACGTGGAGTTTCCTTCACATCGTACTTCTGCCAGGGCTCGACAACCTCTTCGAGGTCAACTTCCTCATCTTCAGTGCTCACAAAGTCGCCGAAGTCTGCCGTGTCATCACCCTTGGGGTCTTGGGGTGTTGATGTCAGTGGTGTCGCCATGACTGGTACGCCACCTGGGAGTACTTCACTACCAACCATTTAATGTGCGTATGTATCGATGTCAAAGAGGGTGGTAGTGAACTAGTTCAGGGAGGATGTCACACTGTTATCGCGAGTTTGGTCCCCGCAAAGAAGAAGGCCCCACAAACGCTAAGAGGGCTTAAGAATTCAGTGTGAGAGGAGGTCTGATCTGAAGATACATGCATCCCAAGCGCGTTCGGACTTGAGTGAACCCACAGGAAGAGTGAAGCGTGTATGTTCACTAAAGTCCAAAGGCGCTGGGGGAAAACAAGAACATACAACAGTCAGGATTCGCATATGGTCACTCACCATGCTACTAACTGACCAGCGTGTGGCTTATACGCGGACAGGTAGTCTGGTGGGTGCTCTGGTGCCCAGGTGGAAACCTTGGAAATGGGTGAAAGCTTACGTCACCGGGGTGAGATAGACCCGTGGACATCGGGAGTGACGCGACACGACGCGACGCAACATTTGAAAGCTGACTTGAATTATGCCATGAGATAATAAGACCTTTCCGGCCATAATGGATTTGGAAAAGAACATATCAGCGTGCCAGCCCTGCAACATCTTTTTCGTTAAAGACATAAACTTGATAGCCTTCTAAACCGAAGAGATACTCCTCCGGCTCACTGAATGGAATTCGACTGGAGGTACGAGGGCGGTATACACTTGGTCAACAACTATAATTCTCCGCCAAGAGAGGCATGGCAATGTCGTGGCCCAAGAAACTTCCGATCGATGATGTGCGACAACTTGTTTCCGGGTCATTTGTCTGCATCGCAACAAATGAGGAAGTTGACCTTCAGTATATTGCTAGTCAGGAAAGGCAAGGGGAGCCACGGGGAGATGCTTCTCAGCTATGCTCTTTGTGCTCGTAACCCAAAATACACTGCTCCTTGCGCCAGTTTATGGCTGTTTAATATTAAACATCGCCCTACGCCGATAGGGACCATTAAGAGGATCATCTCTGGTTGAAATTGGTCATGCCGAGTAAGGCTGTGCTCGATTGCGTCGTGCATTAGTACAAATTTGCAGATCTTTTCGCGAAAGATAAGTTTTGTTTCCACTGGAAAAACACTGCGATAACATGTTTTAAAAATCTTCACATATACATAGGAAGTCATAAAGATCGAAACTGATTATTCTCTGACTCGATTCTTCATCGACATTTCTCCCGAGGTCTCACACTCCATGTGGAAGTTTCAATGATGTCCATATGTATCATGATTTATCCCGAAGAGTAACCTTGTAAGGGAATCCCTGAGCCGGATGTCCAGACCCCTTCTGAATCATATAGACTCTATCATCAAACATCGTCTTCAAGCCACTCGAAGAGTTCAAGGAATCATACTCAGCATACGCATCATGGAAATCCAATTCGCGCAGAACCATAGCAAGCGAAGCTTTAACACCCATCAAGGAGATATTCTGACAAATACACTGTCGGGCCCCGTGCTCGAATGGTCGCCAACCTCCAGCAGGGGGGGTACAAGGGATGATCCTTTTCAACAAGCCACCTGTTTCAACTCCAAATTGTTGTTCAATGATATCTCGCATTGTTGCAGCAATCGGATTATAAGATCCTCTTGGAATCGGAATCGTGTGTTCCTGAAAATCCAGAAATTAGTAATGAGGCTGGATTACGAGGAGAGCCATGTGTTTTTACTCACAGGGTGATGTTTCCAATGATATCCATACCATAGGCGCAAGTCAATGGATCAAGAAGGAATGTATCTGCTCTTTGTGCGTGGTCCCTCAGAATTCGGACATAAACTTTAGCTTCTTCCAGGATACATTTCATATGTCCCAGAGAAGAATACGACAGCTCCGTTGGCCTAATTGGCTTAAGGCGTGTGGCTTTTATCCTTAATGTTCTGGAAGTTCCAGACGGAGCGAAACCTCAACCTTGGAAGATTCTGGTCGAGTCTCAGGCGGAGCAAGCCTTTTTTTTCTTTTTTTCTTCTTTTTTTCTTTCTTCCGTTCTCAGCGTTCCTCAACCTCATATAAAGTATTTACCCGGGTGGATTGGTGGTTAATGAATATATTACTAAAGAACAGACTATTTATTGTTTGGTGCTTTTGAAGTAAATTCCATTCTCAACTTCCAATTCAAGCTCGCAATCATCAGATTGATCTTAATAAACGTAACGAAAGTTGAGGTTTTCCTGGTCCGTCTTGTCCTCAAAGGCATGAATCAGGTTTGGATCTGCAGTTGTTACTCCTGCAGCAGCAAGCATTTCATCCTTCTTCTTGTTCTGTCGAATTAAATAAAATCGGAGGAAGATCACAGCAGCGGTCATACAGGCATAGCATGCAAGGTGTACGCTCCAAGCAATGTGATAACGTGGCGCATCCCAATCAAGAAATACTTGGGGGCCTAAGAGTGTATGGTCAGTATGAATCTGGCAAGGCTCGATGTTTGAGACATACCGATCGCATTTCCTGCAGCCCATGAGATAAAAGTTGCAGCCACAACTGTGGCTTTCTTGGTCTGCCCTGCAATGTTGCGAGATACCATGGAGAGACATAGGGTCTGAGCAGACCAGAATGATAGAGTGATGTAGTAGCTGATTAGAAGGCCTACCTTTGTAGCCAATGTGGTATTTGGAACTGTCATCAAGACAATAGTTCCAATATATGATCTGAATGAAGTTAGAAATGTGCAAGATAGATCCGAGATGGGGAGCGTACGGAATGACAAAACCCAACATCACCAAAAGATTCTGCTGGTACTTCTTCACAAGCCACGCAGAGGTCAGCAAGATAACGATTATATAAAATCCCAGAACCATAGCCAGCAGTTGACTCTGCAAGGTTGTAAAGTGAAATCCTGTCATAATAATCCCGGCAAATGCACCTAGCCCACTAGTCGGAAGGGTGGTGAATATCTGGATGCAGCAGTAGCACCAAGTTTGGGGATCTCGAAGCGCCTCCCATACCTGATAGGAGCGGAATTCCTTATTTTGAATACCCGTCTGATTGGAACGCAATCGCTCGACCATCAAGTGTTTGTCCTCTTCGCTGAAACATTTGGCTCGCATCGGAGAGTCTGGCATATACCAAATAACAAACAAACCCCATAGCACAGATAAACATCCATATGATAGGAACAGCGCCTGCCATGATTTGAGAACCTTGTCACCACCGATAAGTGTGAAGCAATATGCCAGAAGTCCTCCAACAACCTGCTGAGCACCATTCATCATGTACCTGTAAATTGATCAGCAAAAATGAATAAGCCCCGCGCGCTCTGCAGTAGCCAGTCGAACTCACCAGTAGGTGACGGTGGCTGCCTGTTCCTCCCTCTTATACCACATGGACGAAAGAAGAACGAATGTAGGTTGACAACATGCCTCAAAAATACCCAGAAGGGTCCGAACGGTCACCAGCCCGGTAAAGTTGTGGCAGGCTGCATGCATCGCCAGGGTCGTGCCCCAAAGGCAAATGTTGATACCCAAATATTTGGCAATAGGCACGCGCTGGATGATCCAGTTGGTTGGATATTCGACTGTAAGAACGGCAATATAGATACAAGTAGTGAGCCACGAGTACTAGGATCATGAAAGCAGTTAGTGCTTGTTAACGATTATCATTCTGAGGGGATGTCACGAACCTTCTGTCCATCTTCCAAACCTGCATCAGTTTTGATACCCATAATTGACGCGAAAGACATAGTTCCTTTATCAAGGGCTTGCAGGAAGTACGTGCAGATCATGATTACCAAAACCCGTCGATCAATCATTCGTTTCAACCTCTTGTTGGTGGCCTCGTCGATATCCACCTGTCCCCGAGAGACATACATCTGAATCTCTTTATCCACTCGAGAAAAGTCCATATCTTCCTTTTTCAAGTCATCAGTTGGGGATAGCACCCGCTCGACGTGTGCGATATCCTCTTTAGCCTTATAATGTTCCATCTCGAGTTCAGGCTGTGATTGTTGGGGATGAATCCCATCACGCATTTGAGTGTCGTCTTGACCCATGTTGAATAACTGAAGTCATTCAAGGACCTGATTTGATTAATGTGAATATAACCTGGAGTTTCAGAATGTTAACAAACACCGGGAGAAATCATGGCCTTTAAGCACCTCCCGCGCTTGAGAGCGTAGTCAACATGACTCGCCCATAAACCCCCGCTGGGACCTCCACTGGAAGCCAAGACTCATAATCAAAGCTCCAATGTCAAAAAGAGTTCGTAACTCCAAGCCAAACGAGGCCAAGAAAGTTATATTAGCCGAAGATCCAATAAATGGAGCGGGACTCATTTTTCCCTGGCTCTTGGCAACGCGGGAGAATCTCCCATCTTATCCATTTCACATGATTTCTTCCCTTAACCCCCACAGGGAGTTGAAGTCCGGGGAAGCAATCCCCCGAGAAAGGATCCATGGGGTAAATACCTGGAGTGGATGGATTTGCTTGGCAATTGGGTCAGATGAGCTTCGGGTGTCTCTTTCCCGATAATATCTTGGCTCGCGCGTAGATAATCACATATTCTAGTGGAAGGACTTATTTGGAGCGGAGAGCTGGCCCATGTCTGGAAAGGAAGCTAAAAAAGTGATGGAAATGAAAATGAGGAGGCTCTCTTTGAGACCTATTAGTACTACAGGATGCTATGGAAAATTCATACTTTGCTCATGCGATGGAATTTCATTTAGTGAACAAGGTCAGAACTTTTATGTTATCGATCATCTGAGAAGAGATAATTCTTCTTCCAAAGGCATTGAATCACCAACGAGGGTCAACACATCTCGCAATATCGCAAAGAGGCTCTGCCGGCATATCTTCCAAAATAATACCACGGTCACGAGCAATTTCATAGAGAGTTTCACACTCCTGACGTACTTGTCGAAGCAAGCCCGTTGGAGCCGGACACTCTTCTGAATACCACTCATGGTTCTCTGTGACCGGAAACTTAGGATCAGGCTCTCCATAATGAAGGTCAAGAACAAATGCAAGACGTTGAAGTTTCGGTAGAAAGCTCAGCGATCTGAAAGCGTTTAGCCAGTCGGTCCAATATTCCGAAGTGGCCAGCCAGACGGGTCCACGAAAGTAGAGGGTGGTCAGATTTGTTGGAAGAATCTTGTAAAGAGTGAGTAAGACCTCATCATCTTCAAAGGCCTCACCCACAGTGAAGTTGAGCACTTGGAGATTTTCCATGAGCGTGAAGAACTGGCAAAATCTGTCTTCTGAGATACATCCGAGTTCAGCGACTCTGGTAGACTGAAGTTTCAAGGTAGGAAGGTTGTGGATGATATGCGGAAGGGCACCGAACATGCGACAGAATGTGGCAATTGCATCGCTTTCGTAAATCCCTAATTTTTTCAGGTTGATGGGACCGGCAGGTGGTTCGTTCTCGGGGTCAAGCTTGCGATTAGGGTCTGCGTAGACCTATTCCATGTATCCGTCCATGAATTCATGTAGACCAATGCGAAAAGGTATATCTTCTTGAATCTGGATGGTTCCTTTGGGGTTTGCTTCGTCATAGAGTCGAATATGCTCTTCGTTTTTAGGGCCCTCAAATCGAAGATGTCCAGTCAAATAGAGCTCCAATCGCGAAAACAATCCCTTGAATGGGTTTTGAATGAGATCACCACACGAGCAGCCCAGGCCGAGCTTTTTCAGAGGCCAATGAAGAGGGATGTTCTTGTCATTTACATCTTCGTACAATCCGCTGCTTACTTCCAGCTTCTGCAATTCTTCAGATGAGCGCCAAGCAATGCCCATTCTGTGTCTGATGGATTGCTCTCAGCAATGAACAAAGCTGTAGCTGTGGGAGAGATGGAATTCAGTTGATCTTTAAGATGAGCCTCATGGTCAGGTGCAGATTCTTTCCAAGGACCCTGGGCCTTAATAGGTTTTTTGGGTTTTCAGCCATAGCGGAGGCGAGTCGGGTAGACCAGTGAAAAGGTTGGTTGTGCTTGGGTAGGAGGTTTGAGATAGGCGTTGAGTTCACACTGCGAGGTGATGTGAAACTTCCGAACACCGTTATTGGAGTGAAAGGAATCACAGTCGCAATGGACCAAAGGGATCCGTAATTCAGCCCAGGTGGTGTTGACAACTCAACTTGGTAGCAGAGGCTTATCCGAATGGCGCACCTGAACAGAGCCTCAAGCCAAGAATGACTCTAGCAATGTTGCAGGCAGCCTGTGGCCGCTTTGCGATCTTTTCCTGTGCTGCGAGGGAAATGGAATCCTGGGGATTGAGAACAGAAAGATGTGATTGAGATGTCCTGTGAGGACTGTTAAGAAATGATAAGAAGGGAGAACTGAGCCTGTGGGGGAAAGGCTGTGTGTTGGGGAAGAGTGTGAGGAGAAGTGTGAGGAAGAGAAGTTCTACAGGCATGGTAAGAGCTAACACCTACGCGTCTACGACAGTGGTCTGATCTATATCAGCCACATAATCTACATCATAAAGAAGGCAAAAGTTTGAATGAGTACCGGAACCTACCTAGGAGACAAGTGAGACTAAGAGCTCATACAGGTGCTGATTTGACTACTGGTATAAATGGGAAGATCCATGGATATTCAGGAGAATGATCACGACTTCTCAAATTCTTATGAAGAAGATGAATAACATCTAGGAAAGTGTCTATCACAATATAGATTAATTCTGATGTGAGCTTGATAAAATTTGATGTAGACCAAAGATAAAGTGATGAGGCCTCTCAGTAGGTAATTTCCGTTAGATGGCGTCAACTGGTCAATGGAATAGAACATTGGATTGGACCTAGTTTATGTCCCTCATCAATTCTCTATGTTCAAAATTTCGATGCTTTTATACACGCTTCATGTTATGGTCGCCCCAGAGATCTTATCTTACAGTTGACTTGCTTTACTAGTATTACATGTTTGTGCTGAATGTTGATGTAAGTTAGTATTGCCACAACCTGAGAGAAGGGAGCCGCTAAATCCCACTGCAATCGTATAGAGGACTCGGAGTATGCTGAAGTACAATTAGGCAACTTGAACAGACATCTGGAGCAGAGTCTTGAGTCAAAATCTTCAAGTTCAAGTTGGAACCTTGCGGTCTTGCACTCTTACTACAGCTGAAATGTAGCTCAGTTCCCAAAAATAATAACAAGGATCAAGTTTTGTTGAGTCAGGCCACCATTCCCAGTGCGAGTGAACAAAAACCAGTAAAGCTCGGCAGCATCGGGACTATGTCCGAAAGTCAGCTCTGGATCCCCTTCTAGATTCTCCAAAGTACCAGTAATTTTACTGATCATCGCTCTGCTTTCCGTTCTTTTGACATGAGCCCCGCATGCAAGATCCCGTGGACCACGCATGGAGTGGAGTTCACGCACTATGCACAGTTGTGGGGTAAAAGAAAAAACTCGAAAGTACATATGACAATAATTTGAAGTTGCTTTTGAGACTCGGAAAACCTTCCCTGATGATAATTGTAGACGTGGAACAATGAATGCAGTGAGAATGCAAAAGGGTCAGCTGAGTACTTTCGTACTCCATAATGGTATCCACTTGACCGCGGAATAACCGCCTCCTCCGCAAGGGGGTTCAAATGTTTGATGTTCTGTTGTACAACGAAAGAAAAAGGACCATAACAAGAAAATACACCGAGCGTGGGGGCTGCGGGGTTGATCAATCGCTCAGACTCCGATGTGGCATCATATAAGGAGAGGGGGCGTGGGACACAACCCGGCTCGAGTGATAAAAGTTTCAAAAATCACTCTGAGTTGGCTTGAGTCTCTTGTTCGCCGTGAATCCCTCTCATCTCAATCATATCCTGTCAATATGAAGACTAAGGCTTTCTTCAATGATCCGACTCGCATAGTCGATCATATGTGTAAATCGCTGGCGCAGCAAAATCCCAGTTTGCGTTATGATTCTACCAACAAAGGTTAGTCCAGCCAACTGATCAAGAAAAAAAAATTCAAATTGACATTGATATTTCAGTTCTTTACCGTCCAATCAATCAAAGCAAATCAAAAGTCAGCATTATCAGTGGAGGTGGCTCCGGACATGAGCCTGCACATGCAGGATATGTCTGTGAAGGAATGCTTGACGCGGCAGTCTGCGGAAGAGTTTTCGCCTCCCCTAACTTCGACCAAATTATTTCTGCTCTGGAAAGAGTGTCAACACCTCAAGGAATTCTGATCGTCGTGAAGAATTATACTGGTGATAGACTCAACTTTGGTCTTGCTGCCGAGACATACCAAGCTCAGACCGGAGTCCCGACTCATATCGTCACAGTAGCGGATGATGTCTCTGTGCCATATTCACGAGGAAAACTCGTGGGTCGTCGAGGTTTGGCCGGTGCTGTGTTGATTCACAAGGTCAGTGGCGCTGCTGCAGCTCGTGGATTTGACTTGTCCGATGTCGCCAAGATTGCTCAACATGTATCGGATAACATGGGAACAATCGGATGTTCTCTGGACTATGCCAATCTCCCTGGTGGTGTGGATCAACCATCTATCCCGGAAAATACTCTTGAACTGGGCATGGGTATTCACAATGAGCCTGGTGCTCAGCGAATCTCACCACAGCCTACCATTGAACAGCTCGTGAGCAATATGGTCAAGCTTCTGCTCAATGAAGATGATCCCGAGCACGGATTTCTGAAGTTTCATGGCATTCCTCACAAAGATGCACCGTTAGTTCTGATGATCAACAATTTGGGTGGTCTTTCTGTTCTGGAATTACAGGCCATTGCCAACGTCGTGCTGGAATGTCTGAGGGATGAGTATGAAATCCGTCCCGTACGAATCTACGTCAACACATACTTGACTGCTTTGGACGCACCGGGATTTAACATCACTCTCGCCAATTTCACTCCTCAACTATTCCCCTCCATTGATTTGTTGTCCCTGCTGGATCAGCCAGTCAAGTCGAATGTTTGGGCATCGTGCCAGCCTTTAGAGGCTGCAGAGCGATCACTAACACCCGAGGAGAATCAGCGCGCTCCATCGCCCAAAATGAAGGAGGAAATCCCATGTAAGTTCACCTTTCAGTAACTATCCTTCAGGTTGAGAGCTGTCGCTAATTATTACACTACTTCTACAGGTGACAAACAATTCTTTAGTACCATTCTCGCCAAAATTCTGGAACAAGTCAAACTAGACGAACCAAAGCTCACAGAATACGATACACTCATGGGTGACGGTGACTGTGGAACGACCCTTCTCGCAGGAGCCAAAGCCGCATATGCTATAACCGAGCAAAGTGGCGAGAGCCTCTCCAGCCTATCCAAGGGCCTTATGAAAGTTGCATCCTCCGTGCGCAGCGGTATGGGCGGCACATCGGGCGCTCTTTACGGAATTTTCCTGAACTCATTTGTTTCGGCCGTTCAAAAGAACTACGCGGAGACCAAGCAAGTCAATGTTCAGCTTTTCGCTAAGAGTGCGAACTCCGCATTGGAATCTCTTAAGGCGTATACCAATGCTCGTGAGAACAGTCGTACACTGATGGATGCGCTCATCCCATTCATCAATGAGCTTTCAAATGCGGTATCTACTGATAATGAGAGTGCTGCAAATGCTTTGCAGAGAGCATTGAAGGCTTCGGAGCAGGGAGCTGAGGCGACTAAGTGGATGGTATCTTCATTTGGTCGATCGACTTATGTCGGTGCTAGTGAGGGAGACGATAATCCTACTAAGGGTATCCCTGACCCTGGTGCTTGTGGGATTGTGTCTATTATTCAGGGTATGAATAGTGCGTTCAAAGTCTGAACTGCTTGAAGCACTTGGGGTATGCTGCGCGATCCACTCATTCAATCATTCTATGTCTATGAAACTTGAATATCCAAATGTTGGTGCTGCACATCAGATAGTATGTAATGAAGTTCACATAATCAAAAGAAAAATCTTAACTCTTTATAATATTAACATCAATGTCGCTGATTAGAATAATCAATCGCTCAAGTTAACTCCATGCTGTAAATGTCTTGAATCGACCAGCGATCTAGACTCGGTACCTCGACCATTCAAGGTCAATCTCTTTCTCCGTATTATATCTAATAATTACCAGTTAGCTCAACTCCAGGAGAATGAGAACGAAACTTGAACTTACCCGTAGCACCACATTTGCGTGGTCGGATCACTCCACTGATTCGGGCTGTGAGAAAAGGGTTGCCCCTTGACCTCGGGCATCATGGCCAAATCCCGAGCCTTCTGCAGTGGTCCATCGGGGAAATGCCAGATCTTCCCATTGAGAAGACTAGCTTCCTGCATCTGGTTTGCACGTTCAACGCGCACTTTCTCGAAGACTGAGAGGGCTAAGGGGATTTGTGTTTTGGAGGTGAGTCTGCCCAGGCTGTGAGCAAGAGCCAAGGCATCTTCAACAGCCATTGCCGGACCTTTTTATCTTGCTGTCAGAATGAATCCCAAAGAAGAATAGTGTTGAAATTGCTCACCTTGCCCCATATAAGGCAGAATTGTGTGCGCTGCGTCTCCAAGGACTAGAAATTTGCCTGACACCCAACGCTTCAGACGTGAGCCACTGTACATGGGACACTTCTTGGTATGTTGGACCATATTGATGATCTTGGTCAACCTGAGAAGGTTAATAAAGGAATTCGAGAGATGTGGAGATTTGTTGAATGGTACTAACAGTGGGTCCCAGCCAGTGAACTCTTGTCGCATATGAAGAAGAGCAGTCACTGGGTCGGCGTTGCTGTCCTCCATACCAGCCGAGTCATCTGGATAACTCATAACCATATGGAATGTTTTCCCTGGGCCGATCTTATAAGTTTGTACATGACGATTATCTCCCAGCCTGCAAATAATTTTATCAGCATGATATTCCAAAGAGGCCTTCAGACCCACTTACCAAAGGTTCATGGATGATCTGTCTACAAGCTCTGCTAGTTCGGGATCCTCCTTCATCCGATCAATATCGATCTCTGCACGATAGGTAGCAAAGCCCGTGATATGAGGCGTGGACTCCAAAGCTCGTGGGATATTTGTTCTAGCCAGAGAGTTGACTCCTATTAAGCGCAGTTAGTAGATGTAAGAGAGAGAAAAAGGATCAATGAAGATACCATCAGCGGCGACAATAAGATCAGCCTGAATAACAGTCCCATCCTCTAGTGTAAGAGTAGGAGCTGCAGTGTCGTACGATACAACCTTCGAGGCCATTTCAATTTTCACGCCCAAAGCCCTCGCCATGTCCTGCATGGCTTTATGGAAGTGAGCGCGATGAATGACCCAGTAAGGCGCATCGAACTTTTGTCGAAAATCGTATCCTATCTTTGTGCGCCCGATGACTTTACCAGTTTGCCACCGGCGGAGGAATACATTCTCTTGCTCAGCCACATATTTTTCGAGATAGGGACCTAGTCCCAGCTTGAGTAATAGGCGAGCGGCATTAGGTGGGATCTGGATGCCGGCATCATCCTACATACGACATTAGTTTTGATGCAATCGCGATGGAAATGCAAGATGATATGATAAATACCTCTGATAATTGCTGTGCCTGCTCATGGATAGTCACAGTATGACTTTGGCGTGCTAGTGCAATAGCAGTTGTAAGCCCAGCTGTACCAGCCCCAACAACATGGACATTCAATTTGCTCCAAGCGGACTTTTTGGTAGGCTCAGGCGACTGAGATTTCCCAAGAAGCCTCAAAAAATGTAGACAGTGACTTGGATAACTTGGGCTCTAAAATTGAGTGGAGATAATTAGCTGGGTCCGATCGTCACGATGATGATCACGGCATTTGCCCACATCGTGTCCCGGGAAGTGGAGAAAAGCGTACCTGGAGACGAGGATCATCCCGATAACCAAAGTAATTAATAACCATTATTGAGATGTACCGTTTAAGTCTATTGAACCAGTCACTTATGGGTATGGAAAGCGAATCATAGTGCTTCAATGCTATTACCTAAAAGTGTTTTGGAATGTTCCAAGGGATGAATCAAAGGATTATTATGGGTCTGATTCAAATAGAGGAGAATGTTGCCACAGGGGAACTTGAGACTTGTTAATGTTATAATGTAGAGAATTGAGATCTCAAAATCGTGGACTTGATTCTATTTTGTATGTAAGATCCAAACTGCCCCCACTTCTGAATTAGTTGCCACCATCTATTATAATCTCAAAATTGATCTTACATACCTGTTTAGGTTGAGCGAGTGGTTCTTCTTAGTATAGTAAGGCTATTCTGGAAATGGGGGCTAAGGGGTTTAGGGGCTGAGTTCAAAGGGGGCATTATGAAACCAAGAACATTTGAAAACTCCAAATTTCCCCTTGAAATTCATTTACAACTTATGATTTGTTATAATCATTGTGAATTTCCACATTATCAACTTGAAATGGTTAGCTTAATCCCCCCTAATCCGGGGCAAATCAATCCGGGGCAAATCCCCGCAACCATGGAACGTTCGATGACCGTTAATGCATCATGACTGGTGCAAGAAGTGCGATATGTGGAGTCAAACCACGTATCTTCCACGGATGTCCTCATTTTTCAGTTTAGTCTATGATCAAGGTGCATTGACCCAGTGAACTACTACTGGTCATTGGAAAATCGAGAGAGAATCGATCCTAGTATCACGCACGGGGCATCTCCCACTGTTCTCAAATTTCCGATCCCTGCAGGTACAGACCAATACATAGGCCTTGTATATGAACTGGGAATTCTAGAACCCACTCTAAAATCCATGGATATCCCGATGGCTGGACTTTGGAACTCTTCCCCAGACGCTGTTCGCGGAGAAATCCCCCCCCCCTCGGTTCAATTTGTGGACAGAGGCATTTTGCTCTCGTGCGAAAAACCTTCGTAAATTAATTAAATAAGAAGCTTCTTCATTATTTCTCTTGACCATTGACCGATCATTTCTCTCTATGGATATTTTGCTCCCTTGGCTATTCACTCGTTTTGTCTGGAGTTGAGATTGAGATTATGACAAACTCAGCAGCACAAGCGTCACTAAATAGTAGTGGCAAGGGACTTGTGATTCTGACTGCCATTGAAGGCAGTGTCGCACTTTTCCTTATAATAGCGCGCGTTTATACAACATGGCGGATCACTCGGCATATTCGAAGTGATTTATACTTGAGTCTACTTACCTTTGTATGCAATCTCACTGTCCACGCATCATGCCATTCCCCACCCCAACACGAGCACTAATAATGGGTTTCGCAATAGATCATCGCCTCACTTGGATCCATATTCCTCGGAGTCGGTATCAATACCGGCCTCGGTGCACACAAAGCAGATCTCACTTCGACTGAAATCAAGCACGCGATCAAATGGAACTGGATTAATCAATCCTTGGGCATCATCGCCGCAGCTACCGGAAAACTCGCCATTGTGGCATTTCTGCAACAAATTCACGGACCGGAAAGTCGGAAGAGAGTCATATTCCTGTGGGGAGTTGGGCTTGCGACCTTACTACTCAATTGTATCACAATTGCTTTGATTTGGACTCAATGTTCCCCGCGTGCAAAGCTATGGAATGATGATCTCCCAGGGAACTGCGATGGGCGAGCCCGGAACATGCGGGTTGCTTATTTCCAAGGCAGTAAGTCATATCTCACCTAGCAGTATGAAATGTGTATTGACCTCAGTTCCTTTCATAGGCTTCTCCGCGTTATGCGATCTGACTCTCGCACTATACCCCATTACATTCTTCTGGCACGTCCAACTCGACCGGAAAGTGAAAATCGGTCTCTGTGTCTTGATGGGCTTGGGTGTTGTCGCCTGTGTCTGTGCGATCGTGAAAACAACCTTCCTCAAAGTTCTGGATGACACCAATGATATTACATGTATGCATGACTATACCCACATTCTCGAGAGTATAGACTAACAAATTCCAGATTATATGGCCCAATTGATCATTCTCAATGAAACTGAGAAATGGGTCGTCTTTATAGTCGGCTGTGTTCCTCCTATCCGTCCTCTTCTTCTCATCGTCTTCCGTCGCCTCTTGAGCTCAGCTCGTTCTGCCTCTGGTCATACTCGTACCCATTATCATGGCCGATCCACTGAACTCCACTCATATCCTCAAAGCTATAATAAACGTCCGCAGATGGAACATTTCACTCCGACCATGGGGAGTATTTTGCAGGCGAAGGATAGTGAAGAGAATATCCTGGCGGCTGAGGAGGGTGGTATAGTCAAGACAACTGAGGTCAGGTTGAGTTATGAAAATGGATCGTCAACAGAGGGCGCTTCTTCCACACATCAGGAACATGCCCCACCAGATGACGCTCATTTACCAGACGAAAGAGTCTGATGGCTTCTATTTCATACTAGTACAATATTCAATTAAAATTTAATAGATCTTTCTCAATTCCTTCTTAGCCTAGGTGACTACTAGCAGTATTATATGTAATGATACAGTGCCTGGGTGGTTCTCGTTGAAGATTCTAGCCAATCGTTTAGAAATCCAGCTTTCCAATTTGAGACTCGGTATGCTTTCTGAAATGGCGATATAAGGAAAGAAACAAAGAACTCTAGAACTTCCAAGGTCAGAAAAAAAAAGCATCTACCTCTCTTCAAATCAGTGCATGATTCCAAGGCTACGGCGGATCCAGACTGTGCACATAGAGTGGTGGCTCAGGTTGTTTGTCAACTATTAACTCGATCTTGAATCTTAGAGTCAGCCTTGGAGCTGGAGCTGCTTCAAAAAATATTTGAAGGTCCTCAAACACCAAGCATCTTCCACGCATCTGCAACCTTCCTGGATCATCACCTGAAAGCCCTCGTGAAAGCCCCCTTGACTTTTTGAAGTGTCAACTTGAAGGGTTAAATACCCTGTCCTCTTTCAAATCATCACCATCTGCTAATATAATTTCACCAAAGACATCATGCCGGATATCACTGCCACCATTTTTCAACACATGCCCGTTCTTCTTAGGAATTGCAATCCCTACTATCAATATCTAGCTCGTGGCCACACCGAGCTTTCCTATCCCCCGTACAAAAAGGTGAGAGGTATTCCACGGAATAAGTAGTATGTTGATGATGCTGATCTATTTGCTTTTAGAACTCGGATGGCCAGGTAACACTTATTCCTGGAGAGGTTTTTTGCCGAGTCCGTGATTGCGAGAAAAGCAGAGTGAGCTCTACACTAGCTCATCTATTAACGATTGGAATGCTTACTGGATGCAGTCTCCCGTCTCTTCTACAAGCTCATTACGCAGCCATCTCCGTACACATGGCTACAACGTTGAAGAAGGAAAGAAACGTTCTCCTGCCTTGGCGGACCAGACCGCTGCTTTTCAGTGGTTTGAGCAGTTGATGAAGAATCAAGATAAGAAGATCAATGGTGAGAAAGCTAAACGTGAGCATGAAAATGAAAACAAAAACAAAAATGAAGACAAAGGGGAAGAGGGCGAGGACGAAGATGGAGATGGAGATGAAGATGAAGATGAAGATGAAGACAAATATGAGTGCTACTAGGTTTTTGAGGGTCAAAGACGCCGCATAACGACAGCGAGCTTTCTGAGTTGATGGAGCTCATTTTCTCATGATAACTTGATTTTTTGACCGTTCTACTGCTGGCTTCTCTCATATTGTCATCTCCTAGCAAAAGCCTCAATCATGGATGGTTATCAGTGAAATTCCTGGGTCTGTCATTGCATTACATCTGTTCCTAGCTAAAAATGAATTTGGCCAGTTGCCGCTTTGAAGTTGTAGGTTCTCAAACATCTTCTAAGCGTTTTCGTATCTTCAGGACTCAGATTATCACTTGAAAGCTCTCGTGAAAGTCTCGTGACTTCGCAAAACAAGTATACTTTAAATACTGTTTCTTATTTAAAATCTTTTCCATCTTCTTATATTATTTTATCACAAGCATCATGCCGGATATCACTGTTTTTCCAGAAGTCCCCGCCTTCCTGAAGACCTGCCCTTGGTACTTCTTTTATCTAGCCCGTGGGCAAATCGACCTTGTTCATCCCCCCTTCAAGAAGGTAATGAGTGTTCCATGGAATAAATTCTGACCTAAAACTATCTTGGTGATGCTGATCTTTTCATTACTATTCATATGACTAGAACTTGAATGGTGAGATTATCGTTACTCTTGGAGAGGTCTTTTGCAGAGTTCCCGATTGCAAGAATGGCAGAGTGGGTTATATTACCTGGTCGATTAAATATTGAAATGCTAATTATATACAGTCTCCCCTGCCTTCGACTTCCTATCTACGCAGCCATCTCCGGGGACATGGCTATGTTGTTGAACAGGCCAAAAACGGGCGTCTTAACAAAACCGAGCAGGTCGCCGCTATGGAGTGGTTTGAGCATTTGATGAGGAACCAAGAGCATAAGAAAGGTGGAAATGGAGATGGCCATGGCCACACACATGAAAAGAAACGCCAGGGCAAAAAGAAAGGTAACGAGAAGGAGCACCATGAAGATGAAGTCGAAGAGGAAGACGAAGACTTGAAGGAATATGAGTGTTACTAGGCTGTGGCTGATTCGAATACACCACCGTGACAGGACCATGGTGCTTTCTGAGGTAATGAAGCTCATTTTGAGTTTCTCATGATGATAAATTGTGTCTGTCCAGCCCACTGCTAGTGCTGGCTTCTCTCAGCTAAAAATAAATTTGGCCAGTTGCTATCTCTATTTATCCTCCTGTACCAGAGTGCTATTACTGGTTAAGCGGCTTTCAAAGTGTTCTAACCTAATAGAAAGTGATAAAGCATAAAGAGTTATACATGCACCTAAGCAAGACGAGATTTTTCTGAACGTTTCCTGCGTTTGGTAACTGGTATTATAATGACACAGTAGTCTAGATGTCCGAGTTGCGAGAATTTGGATCTTACTACTAGTAACTACTACTATCCAACACTAGGACCAGCCCTAGAGCTCCACGCATCTCCTGCCTGGATTATCACTTGAAAACATCAATCGTGAAAGCCCCGTGACTTCGTGAAGCGAACATGACTTGAATGCAGCATTTTCTTTCAAATATTTTCTACCTATCTTCTAGTATTTGATCAAACATTTTGAGCACATCATGCCGGATACCACCGTTTTTCCAGAAGTCCCCCTCTATCTCAAGAACTGCATCGCCTCCTGGCAATATCTAGCCCATGGGCAAATCGACCTTCTTTATCCTTCTCATAAGAAGGTAAGGATTGTTCTATGATATATCATCTATCGACGATGATACTGATCCATTCATTTATATCCGCATCTATAGAACTCCGATGGCCAGATTATTTTGATTCATGGAGAGCTCTTTTGCCGTGCTACTGATTGCAAGCATGGAAGAGTAGGTTATATCCATGAAACCTTGAAACCTTGGGAATGCCTACTGACATCTGGAATGCAGTGTCCCATTTTTGCTACAAGACATTTACGCAGCCATCTCCGTACACATGGATACAATGTTGAAGAGGCTAAAAAAGGGCGTCTTAACAAAGCTGAGATGAACGAGATTGTGCATGGTTTGAGCGATTGATAAAGGACCACGAGAATAAGAAAGATGGAGATGGACAACACCACGATCATGGAAACGAATGCAAAGGCGAAGATAGAGAGGAACTTGACGAACTTGACGAAGAGCAAAATGAGTGTTGGTTACATATTTGTGGATGATTCGAAGACACCGCAGAGTAATGGTGAGCTTTCTGAGGTGATGAAGCTCATTTTCTCGCGCTGCCAGTGATAAATGGTGTCCGTCCTGCCGCTGCCTTCTCTCATGCTGTCATGGATTGTTATCACAGAAACTCCTCTGGTATTGCAAAGTTCAAATGTTACCATTATTCCTTAGGTCTCCTAGCTAAAACTGAATCTCAGGTTGGCCAGTTCCAAGGTTGCTACTATCTTAACATGCATTTGAATGCTGATTCTAGTCATCATGATCCTGCTGTACCATGATGCTAGTAGTACTAGTAGTAGTAGTAACATTGGAGGCTTCCCACTTAATATATCGTGGTAGAACTCTAGTGCTTGTATATAGCATACTGGTGCCAGTGATCTAATTATACATGCCAGTGCCGGACCCCGGGCCAGAGCATAAGGTTATTATGTAGATTTCCCGAACTAGTAGGTTCCTAAGTAAGTAATGCATAATAAGTCGGGGGCTAAAAGAATCTGTGAACATGACTATATAATTCGAGCACTCGAGAATAATTGAATGCCAATTCCAGAGCAAAAAGTGCAAGTCAAAATTGAGTGCTAATACAATAGGGGCAGCATTTGAGCCAAGTTGACGGTGCGTTGAGATCAGGCAGAACAAATTGTATAAAAGCTATTTACTGCTTCGACTTTCCACGCTTGGATCGGCGTACGGGCTCGGGCCGAGTCTCGGCCTCTTCAGGCTGCGTATCCTGAATCTCCCCATCACCGGAACCTTCTGATTCATTACTGTGCTCTTCTTCAGTTGAGGGTGTTAGCTCCTCGAAATCTTCACCCTCAGAAGGCTGAGATTGTCCATCCGCCGCAATAGCTGGACCTGGTCCCCAAGAGCTCTCTGCGGCGACATCTTGACGCAAGGTAGAGAGGATCTGAGTCGCCTCACTTTCGACTCCGTTCCATGATCCACAGCTTCCGCAGCGCCAGCGACCGAGCTCTTCCGGGGTTTTAATACCAGGAGGTGCTTGGCCGTTGACAAGGCGACATGTAGTACAGATCATGGCCATCCGGTTGCGCGGCTGCATCTCATCTTCGCCCAGAAGTACATCTAAAAGGCGGTCATACCAATGCGGTTGCTCGATGTACTGGCCTGGGCCGGAACTCGGGAATGCGTTGGGCGCGAAGCCAGGCTCGTCGGCGGATTGTTGAGGAATCGGAGAAGGGGTAGCGGGTAAAGGTTGGTGTTGGGGGTCAATCTGATAAGGAGGAGGAGGTGAGGTGGGGTTCACTGGCCCAGCTGGTGATTGAGGAGGACGGCGAATATTTGCGGTGGGAGGAGGGGGCAGTCCAGTTCGCTGGACTTGAGGATGCGGTGTAGCAGGCTTCGCTTTTTTAGACTCGGCCTTGGGGCTCGGAGACTGCTTTGAAGATTCGGCTCCGTACTTCTCTAGCAGTTGTTGCGTAGAGTTGTATTTGGTGGCGACCTTGAGCTTTTCGATGGTCTCGTCGCGTTGCTTTTGGAGCTCATTCAGACCGCGCTGGGTTTTCGAGATCCGGTAATCGAAGAGACGGGCACTAATCGTGCGCACCCCGTAAATTCTATTTTTGAGATTGAATATTAGTGACCGCTATTCCTGTATCGGCGAAATAAGCAAGGGTAAATGTTCGCATACAGAACGGGACCACCAGCAATGGCGGCATATTCCTTCACGCCCCAACTCTCCCATCCTAAAACCAGTGCAAGCACGATGGAATAAAAGAGGTAGGCAAATGTCGAGTAAAGGGTCCAGAGTGCCTTGAAGCGACGTGAAGTTGATCGCTGTTGATCGAGGCGAGTAGTAGCCTGGGCAATCTTGGTGGAAAGGGTGGACAGCGTCTTTTCGAAGGACGCGGGTGAGTTGTCCTCGCCCTAGAGGGGATCGAGTTAGCAATATATCTTACAAAGAAATAAGAAGCTTTGAAAGACTTACCTTCCAGGGCCAAAATGAGACCATGGTGAGTGACAAGCTCCAACTTATCAATTACGATGAAGGCGCATCTTAGTTGACGTATGTTTGGTTGGTTTGCATGGGCACGGACCACCTCGAGGACTCGACTCCAACTGGAATAAACAGTTCATACTTGATACCTCACACTCGATATCCCTTTTTCACATTGCCCTCAATTTGGAATCGGAACGAGATAGATGTCACGAATTGAAGGCTAGATTTGGAATCTGTCTTTGTGGACTTCAAGATGATCATTCTCCATAACTCTATTCCATGACAAAGTCTTCATTGCCACCTGGCATGTCTATGCAGTGAACCTCGAACTACATTACAAACCAGCTGAACAAATTCCAAGGTTATTATTAATGGCTAAATCACGCACCAGGAATCGTGTTCACCATGAGGCAACGATGCAACCTATAACAGGGTCTTTAAGCCAGTATAGTTCAACGCCACCAACAAACCTCGACAGGTCTACAAGTTCTCGCATTTCTTTGTTGAAGCCGCCAAGTGCCTTTTAATCCCTGTCTGGCGCCCCGATAGCTTGTCATTACGCTTCCCCGGGGACCCGCCTCGGTTATGTGCACCAATCATTACGTTCATAAACTGAAATCTGAGTGATGAAAACGTCTTTCACTGACGGGATCTGGTGGAACTCGATATTTGAGATCAACAGATGTGCGCGGTGCTATGGCAAAAGTCGGCAGGCATTTATCATACCGATTCCCGAATCTGGTGCCTTTTTCCATTTCCCGATGCTGGGATGAATGTCCGAAAATCTTGTTGGGCGACAACTAGGAACCCTGTTCTCCTGTTTTTCAGTTAATGGATGTTCAAATTGACATGGCTGTCGACTTGGAAAATGGATATAGATCCAATTTGATACTACCTGCCAATCTCATAGCACCGATGCGATCATGTCTTATATTTGAAATTGGACTGGCGGCCTAGCGATCAAACAAATGTGATTCTTTTTTTGGGGACCAAAAACTTGAACCCTTGTCTGATCGGAGTTCGCCCCATTTTCATGCTAAGATTCGCACAGGCCCATCTAGACGGCCCGCGCCATGACTCGCGATCCACGCGCCGGCTAGGATCAACGTTGCTTTCCACGCTGCACCCCCCCTCAACTTTATCACTTACCCACCAGTCAACTTATCACACTGTTCCCATTGAAGGCTTTTGCGTGTCCACATATACCGATGGGGAATCATACATGACATTCCGTGGGCGATCCTAGATTTATTAGACAGTATGGCGCACCGTTGACGCTGTCACTGTGCGTCAGGGGATTAGATCAATCTCTCAAAAACCCCCTAGGTTCCTAAATTGACTTTCCTTTCTTTTCTTTCTCTTCCTAATTCATCTGGTTTTGGTTTCTTCCCCTCCTTTTCAATGCTGCCCATGGTTACCATCCACCATGGATACTCTCATGAGAAGTCTGCCCTCGCAGCTGGCCGACTTCGTCATCAATCACCAGTCCCTTCTTGAGATTGTGTCCATGTTCTCAATAGGTGCATACAATGCCATCGAAGTCGGTATCTCAACGTTCAACTATTTTACTCGGTACCGTGGCACATACTTTTGGAGCATGCAAGTGGCATCATGGGGAATCTTACTTCAGGCACTCTCTGCCCAAGTTCACTACCTTACCCACGTACCTGCTTTACCCTTGTGCATTTTTTTCATCATCGGTTGGTACGGAATGGTCACCGGTCAAGCCATGGTACTTTATTCTCGACTTCAACTCGTCGTCCCGGATCGATCCGCAGTCCGTTGCGTTCTGGGCATGATAATCACCAACGCTATAATCCTACATATCCCCATGACCGTTCTGTTTTTCGGTGTGAATCTCGGCGACGAACGCTTTCACCGCGCGGCCCACATTTACGACCGAATCCAACTTACTGGATTCTGCATCCAAGACCTTATCATCTGCGGAATATACAGTAACCAAGCCCGCCGATCTCTCAAACCCGTCATACCAGCTCGCGGTCGTGATGGCCAACGAGTACTAACTCATTTGATACTTGTCAACATCCTGGTCGTGTTAATGGACCTAGCACTCGTTTTTGTTGAGTTCAAAGCACACTACCTCGAAGTTAGTATCAGGACGGTCATATACAGCATCAAGTTGAAGCTGGAATTCGGTGTTTTAACACGCCTTCGCTCGTTGACACGAACACAACCCTGCGTTTGCACAAATGATCCTGGTAGTCCACGCCGGTCCAGCGATATCAACATCTTCGATATAATGCGTGCGAAATCGCGTGTCTCTCCCGATATCGAAGCTCCGTCCCTTTTTGTGGATCCTGACTCTACTCAAAGACGTCGTTCGTTACGGAGTGGCACATATGATTTCCATCAAGCGCTACGTGATACCGCTTCCACTGAAAATATGGTTTCTCCTGCCCATTCCCGTGTACGTTCTTGTTTGACTTCCGACATAACAGAAGGAAGACCAAGAATTGGGTCTGCCGATACAAGGTGTGCTGTTGAGACGGTTTTGAGCAAGTCGATCAAGTGATACAGAACTCTAGACTGCATTATGGAGTTTGTTCATTGCCTCAGGTGGTTCAACTGCATATGTTTGCTTTGGTTTCATTATTGTGTTTCTCCGTTTTTTTCGCTCCTTTTCAATTCCTTTCTCTTTTGTCCTGGGTGGATAGCGCTCGAAATTTGACTACAATTTCTTGGGTCGGTTCTCTCTCTTTCAAGCTCTATACCCTTTTCTTGGATACTGTGCATTTCTTGAAAGTTCAAGTTCAAGTTTATATTCCCTTCAGCACACGCATATATTATATTACTTGAATACTATTTTACATTTGAAACTTTTCATCAACAAATTTAATGGACCGTGAATTTCATTGTTCGTATGCAGGGCAAGAGTCTGCCAGCAGAGTATGATACATGAAAAGCAGATCGGGGTATCAAAGACACATACCCATCCACAGACCAGATTGATAATAGCCCTGGCAGGCGACAACGCAGATAAAACAAGATTGGGTATAAATTTATTTGCCCGAAAAAAAAAATTCAAAAATAGAACCCCCAAAAACGCCAGGCATCATACGTTTACAGGCCTGGTCGTACAGGTAACAAAATATGACAAAAGCAGAAAAAAGAAAATCGTATATGCATGAAATGGCCAATGCAAGGGTATTTCAGTTTTTATCGTACCAAGAACATCAGGGCAAGGATTGAGGAAATTTGTTTGGTCGAGGTGAGGCGTAGAGGATTCAGATATGAACGGTGGAAGAATCCGTCATGTATGTCAATGTCGTGAGAGGGAAATTTCAAAAAAAAATGCGAAATGGCGAATTATTGAACGGATGATGTTGCGCGAGAGAAAAGCGACAGCAGATCATGCAATGAGAGATGACGAGAGTTAAAAATGCCAAGAGAGAACGTTGGAAGGCCTTAAAACCATCCACCATTCTCCCATTCACCGGGGTTGTATGTAGCTTTCTTTCTGGCATCCACATCAACAATACCGCTGAGCAGTTCATTCAACCTGGTAAAGATGATAGGCTTCATAACCCAACCATCGAAACCGGTGTCAATATACTTCTGCCGCTCTGACTCCAAGAGCGAGGCTGAAACGGCGAAAATCGGAACGCGAGAATTAGGCTTGGCTTTCTGGGAGAGTGAATCCGTCCCTGCTTTGGATTCGAATTCACGAATCATCTGGGTTGCAGTATAGCCATCCGCAATGGGCATCTAAAGTAGGTTAGTGGGATGATCATTTTAATATATTGGAAGTTGGAGGAGACATACTTGGATATCCATCAGAACGACATCAAACGCTTGGCTGTGAGTTCGAAATGTGGTTGCGCAATCCTCGCCATTGCTGGTGAGCTCTACTGTGTGTCCCAATCTAGTCAACCGTTTGTGTATGATCTTGCTGTTGACCGGATCATCCTCTGCTACTAGCACATGCATTAGCTGCGGGCTAGTTGGAGGTAACGAAGTTGGTGTGGTAGATGGTGCGATCTCTGTGGAAATAGTCTCTACCGTTTCGACGCGCCCTGGATAATCGGAGACAGGAGGGAAGTAGGATGTTTCCGACTGCATAGATGGCTTCTTCCTCGCTCGCTCGGAGATTCGAAGGGGACCCATGGGTACACCCGAATCCGTGATATTCTCCGTGCCTGGCGCAGGCGGAGTTGACATTGGTTGAAGGCCTAGGGGAGGAGTGTGCGTGACGGTAGACAGAGTAGAAAGAGGGTCTTGGACACTCGATGACCATCTAACGTGCGCTGGACCTGGGGGCGAACCCACTGATGCCGACATGCGACTCAGACTTTGAGGGCTAGTGGAGTACCTGAGTCGGTTCATATCCGAACCCTCGCTAGGAGCTTTTTGCACAAGAGCAGGCTCTTGCATCGCACTGATGAGTCGATCCGCTTGGCTGCGCCCGCTGCGAGAACTACCCCCAGATCTCAAACTCTCCGAGCTTCGTCGTCGCGTTTCACGTCGCTCCGTCGATCCACGGGTCAAAGTAAACTCCTCATTCGAGATCATCGGTGTAGGGGGAACATCAGTGGAATGGGGCGAAAGAACACCTTCGGTTGTGCCTGCTTCAGATCCTTCGGGTAGACGAAATTGCAGGAGAATCTTGAAGCGACTTCCACGACCCTCTTCAGATTTGACGCCGAGTTGTCCTCTCATGCTGTAAACAATCCTCGCCACAAGAGCAAGCCCCAGACCAAGGACACGTTGCTGAGGCTTTTCCTCTGTCATGTACTTTTCATCTTCAGGGTAAGAATTCTCATCTGTTGAGACTTGCTCTAACTCAGAGAATAGCTTTTCCAGTTTGTCTTTCGACATTCCCACACCAGTATCCACCACCATCATTTCCACGGCAACATAGTCACTCATAGTCTGATTAGCGGACCGCCATAGTTCAACTGTGACAGCTCCTGACTGGGTCTGCTGGATAGCATTTGAAATAACATTGGAGAAGACCTGGCGCACACGCCGCTGATCACCCAGAACTTTGGAAGGGATGCCTGGCTGTGTAGACATAGAATAGGCAATATTCTTACGCTTAGCCTCTCCGGCCAGCATATCAAATGCTTCTTGCAAAGTGGTGTTCAGCTCGAAGGTCTCATCCTTGATGAGCTCTTGGCCCGTTTCAGTGTTAGTAAGGTCCAGAAGATCATTAATGACATAAATGAGAGACTTAGAGGCAGAGTGAGACTTGGTCAAGCTTTCACGGGTTTCGGCGTCAAGAGCGCCCTCTAATGCAATCTCCAAGTAATTGATTATCGCATTCAACGGGGTGCGCACCTCGTGGGCAGAATTGGCAAGAAGTAATCGAGTAAGTTGAGAGTTTTGCATGGCAGCTTCCTTCTGCCGCCAAACCCTGATGAATTTACCGTAGACAAGACACAACACCGCAGCGGTTTCAACGTCTGACTCGGACCACTCTCGGGACTGGCTGAGAACGGTCTCTTGCCATGCTGCAAAGCTATGGCGAGGTTCCAAGTAACCTGCAGTCTCTTTCCGTTTCGCAATCTCGTAGGGGTTACCCGCCCATTTGATTTGGGTAAGCTGGCCCTTGCGGAAGAAGACGATAAAGTCGCTACCGCCAGTTGACAAGGGGACATATAGCAGACCAGAGATTGCCTTCAGTCCAGGAGAATAATGCAGATCAGGGAAATCCTTGATGATGTCATGCGATGCTAGCACCGAATTAAGTTGGCGCATGCGAAGGAATTCGAGTAAAGCCAGAACCTCCTGTGAATGGGCATTGCCACCTAGGATTTTCGTTTCATCGCGAATCGAAAGAGCACCATAATCTGCATCAAAGAGCTGGAGCAAATCGTCCGAGGAGGCGATAATGTAACCGGAAGGATTGGCTTCGGTAGGGACTGTGTTGATTAACTTTCGGGCTTGCAGTCGCGATGCATAGGACAAGCGCTCAATATTTCGTGATACAGTGTCACCGAGTAAACGGCACATCTTACGGATGGGAAAGGAGACACGCATTCCGGCAGATCCATAAGAATGACACGAGATCAGCCCCCAAAGATCGTTGAAAGCATTGACACTGATCGACATGGAGGACCGAACTTTCATGTGAGCAAGGTACTTGACATGGATAGGGGACATCGCACGCAAATAGGCATGTGTCATATCCAACGGAGTTTCGAGGTCTTCTAATGTTCGACACACGAGGCGAGACGTGGTATGGTCTCGATCGTACAGCAGACGGACTTTGTTGATCTTATAAAGCTCCCGGGCCTGTGCGGGGATATCCGATGCTGGGAAGTGAAGACCTTTGTAGAGATCAATTGCAGTTTTTGGGTCGACTAACTCTGCAACTACCAGTCCATTCCAGCTACTGTCGAATTGATAAATCAACACTCGATGGAAACCAGTAAGTTCCTTGACTAGACCAGCGGTAGTGTTGAGGAGCTGGTCTAGATCATTGGCCCTGCCTAATTGCTCTTGAATTTGTGTCAAAATGCTAAAGACATCCATCGCGGCGGCCTCGCCTCTTCTCCGTCGTGCATTTCGCAGGACACGTAGCGGCTGGCTGATGTTAATGGTGCTCGCAGCGAACTGTTCGGCCGATGGAAATATTCCAAGCGTCTCGGCTGGAATGGCAGGAGTCACTTGTCCATCAACATTCAGAGGGTTGACCTCGTCATCCTCCAACTCAAATTCGCAGATGATCAGATCCTTTTGAGACGGGCTGACATGCGCGGCACACCAAAATCGACGGGATTCTCCCGATGGAGTCTTTATGGTCAAGATAAAAACCTCAGGCCCATCCACGCTGGGGTCATATGCATCGTCACGGACAAAATCGACATGATCAAGTAATGTATCGCCTTGATCCTCACTCAAAATATCGCAGAAGTTGCCCACTTCAAAAAGCTGTTTTGGCGTATACCCCAGTAGTTTCTCGGAGTTCTCGCTCACTATTCGAACGACAAAATTGTTCGGCGCTTCCTCCCTCATCGCTATCATGACGCCAAAGCACTGGATGGCACCAGGGATGCGGATAGGCTCATCCTCGCAGTATTGAAATGATTCTCCATCTCTTCCGGTGATTACTGCGTGGCCACTGTCTGTCACGACATGGGTGAATCTACTTGTCATATGATTATAGGGCTCGTTGGAAGGCATTAGCTGCTGAGATATCGGCTGTGGCGTTGTCGAACTTCCTGTCTGACTGGGACTTTTAGGCTTCGCATATAGTTCAGGATGTTGAGCGACATGTGATGCCATCGAGTGGCTAGCCAATTCTGTTTTATCATCTGTAGCGTGTGTCTCATGTCGAATTGTATCTCCCGGGATGATTGGCTCGTAATTGGATCGAGGGTGGGACGAGGGCGAATTGGAGGGAACTTGCAAGGGCGGAGACTGGGATCTCGATTGTAATTCATTCCAAGTATGCGTATCGATGATCGGATATTGACGAGCGCCAGCAGTTTCACGGGTAGGTGAGATGGTCGACCGCGCATGGGTAGCATGTGAGGCCGCATGGGGATCCACGGAGACAACTGATCGTATGGGAAATACTCGGTCGATACTATCAAATCCAGCACTGGGGACCTGCGGAAGATCATGATGAGTGACCGACTGTGAACGGTCTCTCCCTTCTGGTCCACTATGGAATGACTGCATCGATCCTGGCCGCGGCGCTGTTGTAGCACTCTCCGACCGTTTCCGCGGTGTACTGGGGCGGGAGTCTGAGGTCTGTCGCGCGGGCGATGACATGGTAGTCCAATATGATTCGTTCGTCGAAGGTGAAAAAGGCACGATTCAGGCCAGCCCGATGAGGGGCTTTAGGGCGTAGCACTCCGATCAAAACCGGGTTGGGTATTCGGATGGAGTCGTACAAGGGTTAGGGGGGACTCGTTACGATTGGAACCTCCGGGCGGGCGTAACGAGGACGCACTCTGGAAGCCGGAAGGTAAATTATTATTATAGGAAATCCGCGAATTACTCGTAATGGAGATCATCAAGCGTCCAACAAGTGAACAGCGGAGATTGGAAATCGGGTGGGTCTTTGGAGTTGGGGGCATGAGGAAATCCACAAACTGGGCGAAGATCCAAGAAGGATGTATACCAGAATAGACCAAACAAATCAGAATGAAAAGAAAGAGTGACGATCCCCAGAGAGGGGGAAATAGGAAACTAGAAGAAGAAGAACTTGTACAGTATGTGGAGGGGCAGGAGGTGGAGTGTAAGGCGGTCAAAGCCAGTTTTGACATTTCATGTGGAGGTGACTACTCTCATAGTGTAGAGTGATGCTCAGGTGCTCAAGTGTACCACGTCTTCCCCCGGAACAACATCCACCTACCGTTATCCAGTATTGGACTGGCGCTTTCGTTTACACGCCCATACCCTATCTTGCCCCTCTCTCCACTAACTACCTTATTCGGTACTTACTGTCGCGTCACGAAAAATCTGGGATCTGAAACAATCCACATTGGCTTTCTAGTGGCTGAGCTAGTGGATTTCTTGAACGCCTCAACCCTCCTCGCCGAGTCCTCGGTACCGGGTAAGGTGTGGCAAAAACTGCAGGGTTTATCCGCACAATGAACGTTGGATCAGTGCCAGTCTTGTACCCAGAGAGAGTGGGGCTGGTCATCATCATGATTTGACAGTGCAGATGGGGGCTTACGGGGACATTCTGGATGACATCACAACAGATGAGATTTCTAAATGATCGTTCAAGGTACAATGCACGATGACATCGTGGACCTTTATCGCTTCCTTTTTTAGGGAACCGGCCGAACCATCGGTCAATTCGCCCAAAGAGATCCACCATGGGGATATTCCAGCCCATTTGCCACCATGCATAGAAGGGCATAGTCTAATACAGAAAATCGGATGGCTTCACCACATCATCGTCACCTCCACATGTTGTATCTGAAAGTATGTACCAAGCCAGGGGAACGTTCATGGGATCTCCATTTTCATCTACCTACTATTTCTACAGGGAATATTCAGGATACGCCCAGGTGCCATCCGGTTATGTGCGGATAATCGCGTACCGCGCAAGTAGAAGCATGATTTGAATATCAATTTCTTTTTTTTTATTTCATTGCAAGTCAGATTCAAGTTCATGTCGGTACAGTCTGTTATTCTTGACATTGTGAGCACCAGGCTCTTATTACTATCATTATAATTATTATCAACTTGAAGTCAGCAGAACAATTTGAACTTGAACTCCAATGTGTCATGGCAGAGTCGTGTTCATGGGTCTCGATCACCTGGCCATCATATGGATATGTCTGTCACGCGAGAGGATTAATTAGCAAACAAACCAGCACTGGCACAAGATTGATGAAGAACAGATTGAACAACTTGAACTTACTGTCGCACTGTAGGTAGTTTGCTGTCATTTTGTCATGGATGATCTCTCGAGAAAAATATCAAAGATCCCAAGATCTCTGCTATAAAACTCCAGCCCTGGAGGGCTCCGAGTCTGCCCCAAGTCATATACCCTCAAGTGCTCAAGTGCTGGGCATAGGGATGGATCTGTCGTACATGTCGTGATATCATCCCCATGCATTATATTCTTCCAAATTTGTTCCAAAATGATCCAAAATCTCAGTAAATCTGTTTATCATGGTCAACGTACATTCTCAAGACCACATTCCCCGAAATTGAACACGTACACCAGAGATTTCAGAGAGTCGATGCTATGATCCGCCTCTACCAAGATCCAATCGAATAATTCTCCAGCCACCGGCTCATCGGTCGGATCATGGTACTTGCTCAGATATTCACGAGAGAGGGCACCTGCCGCGCTCAATCTTTGACTCGGATCCCATACAAGCAATCTCTCCAGGATATCGAGAGCTATGAAATAATTGTCAGCAAATTTTCAGGATTACCTGTCAGTAGACCTTCTGCACATACCCGCCGGGTCCGCTTTTTTGATTCTGTTCCTGAATGGTTGTCTTGCACGAGGGGGCAGCGATTCAACAAAATGCGATGTCTTGTAAGCAGTCAGCACCAACCTTGGAACATCCACATACATTATAATAACACAGTTAAACTCACATTTTGAGACGCGATTTTCCTTATTACATTGTTCGGAACGGAGCCAAGAAGATCTACAATGATGAGAAGTTGGTCTGGGTGACTGTGGCCTGGGAAGAGAGGACTTCCTTCAATCATTTCAGCCAGGATACACCCAGCGCTCCACATGTCAATCTCAACATTATACTCTTGCCAGGTAAGCATTGTCTCAGGGGCTCGATAGTACCGGGTCGTTACATAGCCCGTCATAGTCGAATCCACGATCCTGGCCAAGCCAAAATCACAAATCTTGAGATCGCAGTTTTCATCTACTAAAATATTGCTTGGTTTCAGATCTCTATGGATCACGCCTGCCGAGTGAATGTATTTCAGGCCACGCTAGAATTTAGGTCAGTATATGTGATAAATGGTGTAGAATATTCCAAGTTTGCCGATGTGGTTGAACCATGAGAGCATACCATTATCTGATAGAAGAAATATTGCACAAATTGATTATCCATTGGTTTGGACCGAATAATATGTGCCAAGTCCGTACTGAGGAGCTCAGTGACAATATAGCTAACAAATCGTCAGTCCATCGTTGTCCAAATCTCCAAATCTATGGGCTGGCTCACATATCTTCAAGACGCGAGACGAAGATGTCACGTAAGTATATGACCTATAAACAAGTCAGTAATATGCAAAGCACAAGTGCATCCTGATGTGATACATGTAACAACCTCAGGGCTTGGAAGGGACAAACATTATCATGATTTAGATGTCTCAGCAATCTAACTTCTCTGAAGATTCGCTTGGCATCCTGGCTCGTCTTGAACGGCAAGTGAACCTTCTTGATAGCAACCCCTTCATTTCTCAGAAGATCAGTGCCGGCACTATGACCAAAGGTCAGTTTATAAACTTTGTTTCACAGCTTGAAATATCCGGGCATTCAGCTTTACCAGACAACACCATGTGCTCCAACTCCTAAAAGTTTTAAGCCCGCGTATCTAGGGAGGGGGTCAGCATTTGATGGATCATGAAACGCGTAATGGGCGGAATACCTAGTTGTAAGATCAAAGGTGCAACCACCAACCCGATGGTAGTTGATATCAATCTCAGCCATGATGATTCAATGTTCCACATGGGGGATCTATGATCCAAACGTCTATGGATAATAATAAAGTGTACACCGAGCGGAGGACCATCAAGTTTGACGAGAGGCCGGGGAGTCTTGGATGGGTGTGGATGAGTGATCCAGGTGGGTGTGGATCATCTCCACAATTAGCCGTGCTCGGTAAGATCTAGCCCCTGCAATTGGCTCAACATTGACCAACTTCCATAGAAAAAACAAGTTTTTGATACTCCTGCCATGGGCCTACACATATTTAGGCCCGTCGCTATGCCGCTACGGAGTATTTGAAAGAAAAGAAATAAGAAAATAAAGGAGGTTTGTGCGGAGTTGTACCATTCTTGCAAGGGCCGGCCCTAGGATTTCTTTCTTCCCACCAGAAAGGGAATATGGTCAGAATAGTAAAGGTTTCTCTAATGATGAGATTATATTAAAAGGCTATTAAAGGACGATCAATGTTCCTAGAGACTCTTATGGCCCCATAAACTTGAAGGATTGCCTAGACTCTCAACATGCACATGCACATATTTCAACTCGGGTCACAAGGATCAAGGGGGACTTATCACCTTACCTCGTATAAACTCGTACTGTACTTCACCGAATCTAATCCTTCACAGGAATCTTTCTCCGGAGACCCACTGTACCTGCGCTATTGGTTTCTCATCCGCGGGGGTTTCCGGCGCGGTTCAAATTTTCGCGAATTAAACCCACGAGGCTTTATTGGCTGCGATTGTGATAGACATGGCTGATTATGGCTGATTATGGCTGAAGATGGCTGGCCATGGGCTGGCCCATGGCTGGGCGTGGCTGGACTGAGTAAGACCCACATAGATTCGTTATCTGAAGAATGTACTAGAAGATCTATGCAACTTTATAGTCCACTGGGAAGTAAACACAACATTTGAAGAGAAGAGAATAATGCACGGGAGTAATAATGATACAGAGAGAAGACTGAAAATATGAACCGTGACTCAGGCTCCTATGTACAAGGCTGACTGGTTACAATTATCCATGTAAACCTGTTTTGTCTACGTAGATTTCAGAATTGACTAACTAGCTCTACTCCGTAGTGCCAGCGCTTATGACAGCCAAGTGGCGCAGTAATATTCCCCAATATAGGTGGGGACATAATCTCGACCAACATCACACTTGGCATTGCCGACCACTGACAAAAATCACTATAGTAAGTACCTAAAACTCTCGATTTCCCTATCGGTCTTGTTCGAGAGTTCATCATGCAACTCTGCACCCACCGTCATTTCTTCAGGAGAGCCATACAGATGACCCCTTCGACGATTTTCCCAGATATAATAAGCAAGCAGACAAAGAAGGAAGAAGATGCTCAACACTAGTCCCGACATAGCTGCCTTGATACCCGTCTATAAACCGTTAGCCGTATTTATAAAAAATAAATTCCAACAGTCGGGTCTTACAGGATAAGAGGGCTCTTCCGACGCAAGGAAGAACTGTGGGCCCACAATATTCCCAATGCAATATGCAATGAACAAGAGTGCGCTGGCCACACTCTTCTTCGAGAATCCAACAATATTGGACGTGACCACACTCAATGAAATAGGAAGGTTGATGGCATAAACAACGGCCAGAGTTAAGCCGACCATTCGACCAGCTTGATCTGCTGAATTCAACTTCCAGATCAATATTAAGCCAACCACGGAGACCATGGTATTTAGAACCATCGAGATAATTCGGGAAGATGGGATGAAGGTACAAGTAAGAGAGGTCAGGATAAGGAACACAATTTGTGGTCCACCCTGGGGCATTTGCATGAGAAGTGCCTTGAAATCAGTATAGCCAAATCCTGCCGTGATAATGGAGGTAAACTAGACGACAAGGAATTAGCGAATGATATGGAGAGGATGAATGCTGAGGACGCATACTTACCGTTGTGAGACCACCGTTGCATAAATTAGAGATGAGAGAGTTCAAGACAAGGAACCAGACCTGCGGATCTGTAAGGGCATCTCGTGCTTGTGACCATTTGAATTTCCCATTATCCATCACTCCAGTCTTATTTTTGAGAGTTCGCTGGATTGCAATTGCTCTTTCATTCGATGATAGGAAGACCGCCTTCGTTGGAGAATCTGGAAGCAAACAGAAAAGCACAAGGCCATATGTCGAAGTGATGGTGCCCAAGATAAGGAACATGAGCTTCCAGGTCTCGATTGGGGCTGAACTGATATTGCCGATGCCATAAGCAATGAGAGGACCGATAAGAACTGCAATGCAGTTACCGAAAAACCAGGCAGATTGACTAAACTGTTATCACATATTCATCAACAGGCTAACCTTGGAAATAATGCATACCGAACGGGTTGCTCAGCTCGTGTATAGAACATACCTGTCAGTAAGGTGAAGCCAGGGGCAATGGCAGCCTCACCGATACCAAGAAAGAATCTGGCAATCATGAGACCAGTGAAATCAGTGCAAGCAGCATGACACATCAGGATGCCACCCCAGAGAAAGCTATTCAAGCTCCCAGATGTTGTCATAAGTAATAATTCTCAAATCAAGATCGTGACTAGACTCACACAGAGATTGCCAAGTACTTTCCAATAGGGAAGCGAACAATAATGTAAGAGCTTGGCTTGCTCCAACAGAAATATCCAAAGTAGAAGATGGTGGAAGTCCAAGAATATTGTGAGCCATGCAGATTCTACTCTCATCAGCTTAGTTCGATCATATATAGAGGTAGGAATATTTACCAGATCCTCGCGTAGGTTGAACAAAGTGGCCTGGCTTAATGATAATTTGTCCAGAAATTGCAAGAAATAAGCCGTGCTCATCAATGGAATCAAACTATGTGATTCATTAGCTGGTAAATCGATAGCATAAGGTTGTTCACTCACACGAAATCCAATTTCCGCAGTACTTTTCTCTCTTCTTCTGGCATAGATGCCACAGAAAGCAGTTGACCAATATCAAAATCATGCACCGGTGACTCAACGCCATGTTTGAGATCGCTTTCATCTGTCATTTTGATATAGATTCAGACCAAATCACACTTCCAATCTGAGAAAAGATGTACGAAATTCAGAGAAAAGCCAATTCCAAAATAGACCATAAAGTCTACCCCTTATGAAGCAAATCCAAACCATGATTGTAAGAGCTGACCGGCCAACCCCAAAAGATCCTCAATTGGACCAAACCTCTATTACACACACGTAGCTTCACGATATCGCTTGAACCTACCAATATAGAAGTCGGGACTCGTTCCGCGGTGGATCCTGCCATGACACATGGGGCAAGCTTAACGAGCAAGACCAATAGAAGCGTGTTTGGAGAATAGTCACGATTTTCATCTGCTAATAGATTCGTTTCTCCGCAAAATGGAATTCGCGGGGAGATGCGCGCATTGTCAAATCTGGGGTGTTCAGACCCGCCACGGAGACCGGAGTGCGTCCGATGTTATGGAGTAGGGTATGATGATCCCCTCTTCGGGTGATAGTCGCGGCAAATCCATGGGATAATCACTCTAGGGGTCTCTGAAGTACCGAGTCTTCTAAGAAAGGAATTTCTGTTGCTAATTAGACTTCGAGAGGCCTTGATGAGGCTGCGACCCATCTGACTACACCGTGATCTTCGTTCACATGGATAGAGGTCTCGCTGACATCTGGGCACTAATAATTGGCTCCAGGAAAGCGCTACATACACCTGTGCTTAACTCCAGGGCTAGGAGCACGAACTTGAAACTAAACATGGAAGATACAACCTCGGCTATGTTTTCAGATTGATGTGCTTTCATTCAGGTTTTTAACAATGATGTAATGGATTTTTCACTATTGCTCCTTCTGGAAATCAGCCTTAATAGCTGCTGCAAATCCATCATCAACCAACACACGGCATCCTACTACGGCCATACCAGCTGCACAATACAGACTACGCTGGAAGCTCTCTTCGGAGCCTGCACCAGCAGTAAACTGGGGGGTGTGGTTGACACCATCTGTATGGATGTAGAAACCGCCATGGAAACCGGGAAGCTCGTATGACACGTTGCCTAGATGGATATTAGAAAGAATTTTCATACTAGGAGGAAAGAGGAGATGAGTAAGTACCCATGTCTGTAGATCCTCCACTAAGCCCACCCTCCTGCCCTGCCGCATCGTAGATAGTGCTGTATCCCATGGCATTCATGGCAGAGGTATAGCTCTCGCAGATAGGTTTGTTATACTTCATATCCGTGTATGCGGGCTCCCTATCCAAACAATTAGCTATCATTCATTCTCACATATTCGAACTCTTTTCATACCATTCAAACTCAACAGTACACCCAGTCGCAGTCGCCGCAGCCTCAAAGCATTTCACCACTCGTTCCGTCAATGGTTTCAAGGTCTTCTTCGTCGGCGATCGAATATAATACTGCACTGTCGTAGAAGCAGGAATAACATTCGGTCTCTCACCACCCTTCAAAACAACACCATGAATTTTCTGCGTTGGTAAAATCTGTTGACGAAGCATAGAGATATTAACATACGCCGCAACAACAGCATCAAGCGCATTAACACCTTCCCAAGGCGCAGCAGATGCATGAGCCGGCTTTCCTGTATAAGTCACAGAGACTTTATCATTCGCCAGATACTGACTCGAATCCGAACTCGAGCTCAGTAAATCAGGCGCACCCGTAAGAACCGGAAATGGATGAACCATGAAACACGCATCAACATCCTTATAAGCGCCCGCATCGATGAGTCGCAATTTCCCACCTCCGCCTTCCTCAGCCGGTGTACCGAGTAATCGCACTGAAAATCCCTTGGTATCGGAATACAATGTCTTCATTGTTTCTGTTGTGGCGAGGAAGGATGCAACCGCGCTTGTTGCAATGAGATTGTGGCCGCATGCATGTCCCATCCCGGGTAGAGCATCGTATTCGGCATTATATGCGACGACGCGACCTCCTTGACCATATTGATAGCTCACTTCGAGTGCGGTGCTCACGCCGTACGCTTGTCGCTTTACGGTATACCCGTCCTCGGAAAGCGCTTCGAAAAAGGTGCAGATGTTATCGTGTGCGGTATGTTCTTCGTATGCGAGTTCCGGTGTAGACCAGATCTGGAGTTCAAGTTCTTAGCTCAAGCCAATTTTACTTCGAGTTTTATTCTTTACCCTTCGCTTCGTCTTACCTTTTGATTGATCTCGCTTAGTCGCGATTCATACTTCTGTAAGACCTCGCGGACTTTCTGAATGGTATTTTGTTGAGCTTGAACCGACTGCATCTTGTCATGAACTAGAAAAGACAAATCAAGACAAAATCTTCAATTGGAAGAAGAAAACACGGACAGAACACCGCCTCTATTTATGACTCCATTCACATCATCACTGATAACCGGAGACCGATAGGCCTCCGTTGCCGATCAGCAATGAATCCCCGCAAAGATAAGCCGGTGATATACCCCAATCCAAAAGCATCAAGTCGACGCGAAGACTAGACCCAATCTGTATAAGAGTATGGCTTTCATTCCGTTCATTCCGCCATGCTGACCACTCACTCCACTTGTGTCTCCCGTTGCGCTTCCCCAAATGCCGATTCCATTTGTAATGAAGCAGCGCGTGCTTGAACAGGTCTTGCATCAAGAAATATTCGCATCTCTGCTACTTGGAGATCATCATTACTTGGACCCTCAAGGTCGAGGATGTTGAATTCGCGGATTTTAATCAGGAAGTCATCTGGGTCATCTTTGAATATGGTTTCGGAAGTTGCTTCGAACATAACGGTGCGTTTCATGGGAGATTGAGAAGATCCGGAGCTATGTGGATTTCCCGATTCAAATTTATTGATCTGGGATCGAGGGTCTGAGCGATTGGCGTCGATCGTGGCTGTATGAGTGGCTGCGTTACCCAGATCCATATCCCAGGCTATATGGACTTCATGTCTGAAATACGTGAGGTGTCGGCTTCGCACTTCGAGTAGTGGAAGTGCGGAAGATGCTGGATTCGGAGGGTTGTTGTCGATGATTATAGGTGCATTTGGGTTGAAGAACTTCTTGATCGGGTGCTCTGACCCTTGGGGACTGATCTCGTCAACGGCGGGCATGAAACGACTGAGGAATTGCAAACCTGGAGATGCATTTTCGGGAATAGATTCATAGGGTCCATGGTGAATAAAGACAGACGAGCCCTCCATGCTGGCTCAAATTTCATTTTCGGAGTTGTCTAGGTCTCTTTTGAACTAGACTATGGGGATGCCGGTTGACTGTATTTCGTCATAACGACGTTTCTTCGCCTGTCAGGTGAAAATGGGAATAATAATAGACGCCACCTGGATATTAGGTTCAGGAATTGGGATTATATGTCCAATAGACGGTATGTATGCAACCATAATGGTTTTGATGTAATTATACACATATTAAGAACTTAGGAAGTCTTTCAGATTTAGATACATGAAGATATGAACAAAAGAATACAATATACATGGCTTAGTCAAGATGAGTTCCATATCATATGGACTCAGGAAATGCGCGGATGCGTAAATTTCGTGTTTTCATGCCTCGGAGAGGCGTCGTGAGGCTCGCACAGTTGCGAAGCTAATAGGCACGTCGCTGGTGGATATGGGTGCGACTGAGTGCATTGCACTTGGGAGTGATTGTTAATCACAAGTTGAGAGAGATATAAGAAGAATTGCTGAAGTTTTCAAGGTGGATTGGTACTCTCGCTAGACACTCGCGACCGTGTCGATGGGCGCATTCGTCGCTCCGACATAGGTAGACTTTCCATGGAGATATTATTCCAGGCTCGCATGCCACGAGGGACACGCTCGATGGGAGCAGCATGCGTGACGTCAGAAGTGAGCTGAGTCGGGTCCACAAATTGTGGGTATTCATCTTGCTCTGCGGAGGTTGGCTGTGACCGAGAATTGTGGACAAGTGAGACAAGTTTGCCCAGCACACCGAATTCCAGTTTGAGCTTGATGCTGTACACCATGGGCTTCAGTGTAGTCTGTAGGGAATAGAAGCCAATGTACTCGACCACCAGTAGAGCGACATCCAACAAAATGATGACAAAGTTAATGGCCAACAGTTCGTACATAATCCTGGTCCGTCGATGATCTTTATCCGGCATCAGCCGCAGCAATTTGACGGTCTCGAAGATATAAATTCCTGAGATGACAAACTCTTGACAGCAGAACCAGGCTAATTGCAGACGTTCCATCACGTTATAGCCTCGAATGAACGGATCGGTGCGGATGTATGCGGTGGAGAAGGTCAAAATGGTCGTTGGGATGAGGAGGATGACGGCATCGACGATGATAAGCCAAAGAACGAAGCGCAATATTTGGCGATTTTGCACAACCAAATGGAGTCGTGAATAGAGGACCATGGACTGACCCGGGACCATAACGTAGAATCCGATGGTTGAGAGGGTCAGTGAGAGCCACAGCGGCGCCAGCGCAAAGAACTCCAAAATATATCCAATGGTATGGGGAATGACACCGAGAACGACGGAGAGGAGCATAGTCCAGAAATAAAGGCCGCGATAGGACTGGAAGGTTAAAAATAAGAGAATGAACAGCTCGATGGCATTGTACAGCGCGATCGACGAGAAGACAATCATCAATATGCGTATAGTTAGGCTGTGGCCGTGGTAGCCCCCGATGAGGCCATCGGGCGGCTGGTCTAGAGAATCACCCATGCTCAGGCGATTGACAATATGTGTATCAAAGAATGGGCACCCCGCTTGGTTGAGACCCCGGTCGTATCCGTAGATTCTTCCAATGGATCAATTTCAATTTCATAGCCATGATCTAGCATTGGCGAAGCATTCGTGCGATTGCCACGGGAAAGGATTGTGTATAGTTTGGACAGGCTCGAGGTTCAGTGCTGAATTTGAGTCTTGTACTCCGTAGTCGCAATGGGTTCCACCTGAAGCAATTTACCGAGTTGTTGCAATGCCGATGACGAATGAAACCTCGCGGTGGCCGAGAGCGGAGGATAAAAGAATATAAGAAAATAAGTTGAAGGAGGGGAGAATCTCTCTGATTAATTAGAAGAGAGTAGAAAGTGGCACTAGTTCGCCCCCCAGGGCGAACGAGAGAAAAAAGATGGAGTCAAGTGTGGGTTCACTGGGTTCACTGGGTTTTCTCCATTGAGGGTCCAAGCTGCCGATCGTTACACGGCCAACAGGTCCCAGGTCCCAATGTGATATGTGATATGTGATATATGATATGAGAAAGATATCTCAACTCAACTCTTATAAGTCCCCAGAGAATATGAATTATAGTAAAAATGAGATCTGAAGTTCAAATGAAAAAGTGGTAAAATCCGGGGGACGCTAAGATGGAATAGGAAGCTGAAGTGGAAGATTTGAACAAACTCTGTTTGCTCCGTTTGCCAAGTTTGCCACTTCTATTTCCGAGGTTCAATCTTCTCTCCAAGCATCTCCAAGGAGCTTTCTAATGGGGTGATTACGAGCTCCCAATATTGGATTATCTCCTGGAGTTGGGCCCTTTACCGACTCGGAGTACTCCGGATGAACTTTTTACCTGTGTCCGCGACGACATCACTATGGAGTCCCAGGTGTACATGTGACCGGGGACCTGCGCTAGGGATTTCTTGGCCTTTGCAATATACAATTGGTTTATAATTGGACTATAATTGGTTGTATCGAGGACCATTACTCCGTACTGACATTCGGGATCTAGCGGGACAACGGTTGACTACGGCGATCCTCGGCTAATGCAAATGGACTCCCACTGCATTCAAGCACTGAAGTGCTGGCAGACATGAACTCCAACTTGAAATAGTTCAAGTTTGTGATGATATGACGATTTGGCGATCTACCCCCTGTATGATCATCGATTACCCCTGGATTCCCACGACAAACGTGGCAGATCGACTCCATATTGAAATTTACGCAGATCCCTTCAATGTACTGGTCATCCAAGGACCCGACTGATCGGCTACTCCGGACATACTAGACGCGGCATATAAGCATCGGCAATACACACTGTCTTTCATTGGATGAATCAATGATATTGTCATTGAAACATTAATCATTCTTCATACCCAGTCGACTCCATCAATCAAACTTGAAGCAATTAATAGCTTTCTACTTGGTACATACAATATGCTGTGGATCACTCACGTGCCACGTACAGCTCCTCGCACCCTTATATGATCTCCACCCATCACCTATGAAATCTTAACTCTGTCCCTTTACTGGTTATTAGAGAGTAAATTTCACTCTGATGAAAGAGCCTGATCTATATGTCAGAACGGGATGTTATTGATCTTGTTGGCACATAAGACCTCCTATCCCGCACGGGCCAAAACGGCTCCAATGCCCCGCTTAGAGGGTCTTCGGATCCACATAGTGGAATATCCAGTCAGACTTAATATTGCGATTACTCCTTCAAATATCTCGTCCATATAACTTGAAGCATTAGGTTTTTGGTTCAAGTGATGAGGAAAAATCAACTTAGTTTGAATAAATCTCAGTATAAACCGTGGAAGGATTGGCATCATGTCATAATAAAGTAGCTCCACCCTGGCAGTATCTTGATATTTCCACTACATGAAGATATCAGACTAACGGAACTAGCAGAAGCAAGATGACTTTTGTTTAGGCTGAATGATATTCGACTTTGGAGAAAAGACTAACATTCAAGTTTCTCACTTAAACCCCAAACTCCTCTACTATCAACCACGTGTTACTACTAGTAATATAAAGCCACCGCCACCTGGACAGTCTCTTCTCAGACCGGGAGTAAGCAGAACCTACATACTACCTCAATCTCACCTGCATTCCATATCCCCACATTATATCCCCACATTATATCCGTACGTACTTCGTATAGCCTTTTAACCATGGTGCCAAGTCCTCTAACTCATCAGCATAGACTGATATACCCAATCTGCACATATTAACCGAGACTCAACTGATTCCAGACCTATTGCGATAATCAGCCACCATTCAAAATTTTCACCTTACCTTCCAACTAACCTATTCCAGGAGTCTCTATGCACTCAATTGCCTATTCTGAAGACCGAGATCCATAACAATGGAAATCAAGGCCCCCCACGAACCACGGTTACACGGACCCTGGGAGGTGCATACATATGATGCACGATGCATCAAATAGAACCTTTTCTTACAATTTCTGCGACTAATCCCACATAATCCCAACGCCGCAGGCTTTATAAAGCACGGTGATCATCTCCGCAGTTCCAATGTTTCTTCTCCAAGTTTCCTCCAACCAAACCTGGGAACACTGAATTTCACCGTGGCTTATCGCGCAGGTTACCTATCATCCTACGAACATGACGTCTGAAGAAGATACATATGATTTCATCGTTGTGGGAGGTAATATTGGAACCTATCCGGAACCTGAATCAATGGTGCTCGTCAAGAAATACTTACATTTTATATAGCCGGCCCAGCAGGCTATGCTCTCGCCGCATCTCTCAGCAGAGCAAAATCCAAACCACGAGTCCTTCTCTTGGAAGCAGGCGGAAAGAACGACGATGAAACAAAACGCGTAGATGGAAAACGCTGGACAACCTTCATGGAACCAACAATGAACTGGGGTTATAAAACAGTACCACAAGAAGGATGCAGCGGTCGAGTAATAGATTATTCACGCGGAAAGGGTCTAGGTGGGGGTTCGGCGATCAATTTCGGTGTTTATACCGTTGGTGCAAAAGACGACTATGACGCATGGGGTGAGAAAGTTGGTGATGAGGTGACCTTTGGATGGAAGGCTATGCAACGACGATTTAAGGCATTGGAAACGTTTGATGGAAGTATCGAACTTCCTGAGCATCAGAAATATGCGCGTCCGGATCCCGCGGATCATGGTCATGATGGACCGTTGAAGATTGGGTATGCGAAAGAATGGGAGAAGGATTTACCTCTTATTCTGGATTCGCTCGAGGAGTCCGGTCTGCAGCGGAATTTGGATCATAACTCCGGGAATCCTCTTGGGATGGCATTGATGATCAATTCTGCGAGTGGAGGACGTAGAACCACAGCTTCTCTTTTTGAGCAGCGCCAGGATTCAGATTGGCCTATCCCGAACTGGATGATAATCCATGCACCTGTCACTCGCACGATCTTCCACAACAAGAAGGTTATTGGAGTCGAGACAAGGAGTCAGTCTGGGTCTGACCCCAAGATATGTAAGCGCAGCTTGCCTCTCACATCCCTGCCGGTGAACTAATGAGATATTACCAGATTATGCTACAAAAGAAGTGATCTTAAGCGCTGGCACCCTTGACACGCCTAAGATCCTCATGCATTCCGGCATCGGCCCACGCGAAGACTTAGAGAAGTACGGCATTCGGGTAGTTCAAGACCTACCTGCTGTCGGCCAAGGAATGAAAGACCATTTCAATGTGCCGCTCGTTCTGCGCAGAAACCCAGAAACCAATGACCGTAACTCATTCTACGGCTCAGAGGAAGCCATGAGCGCAGCTTTGACACAATGGAATGAGGACAAGACAGGACCATGGACGAAATACGGATGCCAAATTGTATGTGGATGGTTCAAGTCCGATAAGATCAAGACTTTACCAGAATTCAAGGATCTGGATGCATCTGTTCAAGATTTCATGAACAGAGAGACAATCCCGCAGTACCAAATCATCAGTGGATTTCCAATGCATATTATGCTCCCTGAGTTGTTCCAAGACCATAGTTATATCTGTTTGCTCGGTTTCTTGATGAACCAGCAGTCTTCGGGTGAAGTACGCTTACAATCATCTAACCTTGAAGATCCTCTCCTCTTCGATCCTAAGGCTTTGACTCATCCATATGATCAACGGGCTGCCATTGAGATTTACAGACATTTGCTTGAGATAGCCAAGCATCCCGCCTTTGCAAAAGACACTGTCTCCACCATCCACTCGTCACCGTCTGAGTCGGATGAGGATATCTTGCAGTACTGGAAGGATAACACCACTTCCAGTTGGCATATGACAGGTACAGTGAAGATGGGTAAAGAAGGGGATGTTGACGCGGCAGTTGATAACCGATTCCGGGTATTCGGAGTCGAGGGTTTGCGAGTTGCAGATATGAGTGTTGTGCCTGTGATGACCAACAATCATACTCAGGCAACTGCCTATGTGACCGGTGCTACTTGTGCAGAGGTTTTGATACGCGAGTATGCCTTGGATGAGGAATGAGATACATCATGTGGATAGTTATACAGTTTGAGGTTGGAGATGAGCTGCATGCTATGACCGACAAGGCCATGGCTTTTCTGGAACTATATGAGACTAAAGGAAGATGGATTTGAAATGTTGAATTGAGAAAATAGACCCTTGGAGGCTTACATATGATCGAACACTGTGCTCAAGTAGTAGTCACCCGTACAGGGACGGTTAACAAAGGCACAAAAATAGAAAACACCGCCCAGCCACAAATGAAAATGTGTCGAAAAGAAAAGCCACGTATCACGCCACACACCGTTACTGGAAAGCGAAACATGAGAAAAGGGGCATCAGATGAGCAGAAAGTAAAAATAAGAAGAAACCATGGTAAGGATATCTGGGCGGTTGCTTGAGCTGCAAATGAAAAGCAGAAAAATTCAAAGCACGTATGCTTAAGCCATCGGGAGTCCATGAGGGTGTTGTCCCTCCTGCTTGGCAACAAGGTCAGGGTCCGTTGTGTTCTCATCAGGACGGGCACGCTTGTTCTGCTGGAAATTGTTTCCCATGAAGTTGGTCTCATCTGGGTGCTTGCGCATACCAAGACCGGCAACGGCAATCCGGTTCAATGAGTTCATGTCGTCGTTAACAGTGCCAGGGTGCTGGGCTTGCTGAGGCTGACCACTGGTTGCAGTGACACTTCCTGGTCCACCGGTCATACCAGTAAGAGCCAGGTCGTGACGAGGCTGCTGGTTCAGATCGATGTTAGGAGGTAAGTCTGGGACCTCAACTTGGGCCTCCATCAGACGAGTCTGGAGAGTGATGATATGGTCACGCAGAGCATAGTTCTCATTCATAAGCTTGGACATGGTGTCCTTGTAGCCGTCGATGTTCTTGTTCTCATCCTCAAGCTTGCGGATATAGGTCTCCTTACGCTGGCGGAAAGCGCGCTAATATATTGTTAATTGGGGAAACTCAAGACAGAGCAACCTAGTGTGGACAGCAACAAGTCACGACATACCTGAGCAGCACGATTTTGAGCGGCACGCTTCGAAGTTGACAGTTCCCTCTTACCATATGACTTAGGAGTTCCACTCTCAGGCGAGCCCTGCTGGGGCTGGGTTGGGGTCTGTGGTGGAGGGGCACCCATCATGGCCGCCCCCGAGATGGCAGGGTCAATGTTAGCCTGGTCACGAGGGCTAGCTGTGTTGGGCGCCATATGTTGCTGAGGACCCGGGCCGCCCTGGTGACGACTTTGCAGCTGGTGCTGCGCAGCCAGAAGCTGGTCATGAAGGACTATATACGGATAATTAGTTTTGTTTTTAAAACAACTACGCGTCATAAACACTGGGCAGGTGAAAGGGCTGAGGTGGTTTTTTGCCACAAAGCAATGGTGTTAAGACCAATTGCCCCTGAGCTGGTCATAAACCACCTAGCCCTGACTTGATGTATAGCACAACGGTGATAAGGATATCAAGCAACTAGATAGTGACATACCCTGGTCCGCGTGGTCCTATATGCATATTGTTAGTGATTTGGCCACATACATGAGAGCCCGGGAGGGCGCGGAAAGGGTTCTAGCGCGCAGCGACGCGTCTTCATGACGGTTGCAAGTATTAACCCATGCCATCTCTTATACTACACCAGTCCTGTATACTTGGCGCGGGAAGACGATCTGATGATGACAAACGCGTCGAGGATAAGTTGCTTACCTGAGCAGAGGATTGCATACTGGGATGCGGCGCTGGCGCCAACGCAGGTTGCATTGAAAGGGAAAAGAGGGGTTCAAATAGACAGAATTGGATAGATACGATCCCGTAGACCACCAATTCCCAAAAGCTTCAAGATTATGGGGATTTTAGATGTAGATGCTGAATGAGGTAAGCAGTTGAAGATGGATGCTGTAAGCAGGACCTCGCGGGAGGAGAGGAGATCTGAGTCAGGCGTGCGTGCGGTAAGCGAATCATGGGGATTCTGCCATGTCCGTCTTCGGTACGACTCCGTATACAAGAAGCCTTAAAGAACTTATAAGGTTATGAGAAGTAACTAATTTAAGCTTAGAGTGGGCTATATATAGAACATATTCAAAATACTACTTGCTCATTCAATCGATCATTTCCCCAAATTTGCTACTTTTTTTATTCAAAATTTATTTGACATTCTCATGATCACCTCAGTAATTGATGGGGTACGGGCTGGATGGGAGAGGGGAAAAGAAAAAGCGGTGTCGGTGTCGGGATGTCGGCAGGTTGACCTCCGATGGGTGACTCAGCATTGCGTCATTCACTTCACGTGGCAATTTGCCTTCATAACATTTATCAATAGATCCATCCATCCATGGATGATATAGAGATTTGCACTATCAAACTCAAGTCGTCCATATACTTGTTTAATTTATGTACTATGATCCTATTTTTTCATGATAATAGCTTGCTACAATTAATGGTACCTCATGAATGGCACTACTCCGATTCGGAGGTCCATTGCTTATGCCAGTGGCTGACTCGAACCCAAGCTGACTCCTGCATCTAGGATATGCAGAGTCGATGTGACACAAGACCAGGTACTATCGAAACATGTTGCAGATAGAGTTAGCCAATTACTTGAATCACAGCATTTGAGCAACCTTAGCATCTAACTGCCATTGGCAGATAAGTGATACACTCGATTATCTCACGAAGAGCCTGAATAAATGCTATAGCGACTTTCGAAGAATGAATATTATACAAAGTAAAAAAGAAAAGTTGAAGTAGACAGGTCTGTTGAATTACAGACAAGATGTGATGGGGATCATTTAGACATAATGGCAGACATCCACTTTTGTTCGTCCGTTCTGTATGAAAATTAGCACATGTGTCCGCGGAATGAAAGGGCCAGGGAACTAACCGGTCAAAATGAAGCAGCATGCCCAGAACAGGGATCAGCTGCTTCTGATAATTCTTATCCTTCTGCTCCAAAAATTGTAGGAGCACGTTCTTCAGGTACATGTAATCAACTGATGGCGTAGTGGCTGTACCAGAGGGGGTCTCGCTACGACGACCGGACGCACCGCGGTCCTGTCCGGATGGAGAAACAACACCACGTCGAGAGCCCGAGTCGATCGATGATCGGGATGACTGACGACCAGATTCCATTCCCCGAAGACGGACATCTTCACCAAGTGTCTTGTGGGATTTGCGCATTTTCTCAAGACGATTGCTGGTTTCTTCCACGGATCGACGAAGCTCAGCCTTCTCCTTCTCAAGGTTGCGAACTTGTTTCTCGCTTTCATCCAGGGCCTCGCGCAAGCCAGTCATGGCTTGTCGGACTTCCTCGACTTCCTGGGTAGATCGCTCAGTAAGAAGTTCAAGCTCGTCACGACGACGTCGCCAGTCCTTTTGAGAGTCTTCGAGCTGCTCTTTGTCTTCTTCAGCCGTGCGCAGAGCTCGTTCGGCTTCCCGAACCTTGGCCTTCAACTCTTCCATCTCTCGGGCGCGACGACGGCCCTGGGTACTAGCCTCATCCTCAGCACGATCCCGCTCCTCGACAGCTGCCTCCATGCGTTCTTTAAAGTCGCGGACTTTGGCATCTGCGCGACCCTCGATGTCGTTCAGGAGGCGACGCATCGTCTCACCTTCCCGGGTACGTTCGCTCAATAGCCGGTGAGCATCGGCTAACTCCTCTTCCAGGCTATCGCATCGTTCACGAGCTTCCTTCATTTGCATAGCCACCTCGGCAGTCTGGTCACGCATATTGTTCATCAGACTTTGAGCACTTGTATGCTGGGCTGTCTTGAGCTGAATCTCTTCGCGAAGGCTTCCAAGTTCCTTGTTCAGCTGGGCGATTTGGTCATCCATTTCACGCATCTTGGTGCGAGAACTCTTGAGATTATCTTGCGTCTTGGCCAGATCTCCTGCAGTCTTATCCTTGGCATTGATGGCATCTTGCTTTCTCGACTCGGCAGACCGAAGGTCCGATTGAGCAACATGAAGAGTCTCTTCTGCTTTCAGACGGCTGTCGGTCTCCTGGCGAATCTTCTTGTTTAATGTGTTGACTTCTGAATCGCGCTCAGAGATCTTTGTCTTGGCGGACTTGAACTCTGCGCGCAGATCTTCATGTTTAGACTCGAGGGCTCTCAGCTCGCTGTTCTTGCCTGTAAGGGTTTCTTTCAGGGTCTTCAACTCGGAAGCTTCAACCCGGAGGTTGCGCAGCTCCGGTTGGACCTTTTGGAGTGTCTCACGCAGGTCAGTAAGGTCCTTGAATCGGGTCGCAGCCAACTGTTGCGCAGCTGAGAGATCAGTCTCCAGGGTAGCGGACTGGATCTTGAGGCTCTCAAATTCTTTCTTGAGATCCTTGTGCAGCTTCTCTGAATCAGCACTAGTCGAAGCCGTACTGGTACGGAGATCAACCAGTTCCTTCTCCAGTTTGCTGATTGTCTCTTGCAAGGCGGACTTCTCGGCAGTGAGTACCTTGATTTTGTCCTTGGATTCCACATGCTCCTGGCCCACGTTGATCAGATCGTCGCGCAAGGACTCGATTTCCTCCTTCAAGTCTTCTTCGCCCTTCAGCTTAGCGCTCAGACGGTCAATAGCTTCCTCTTTACTGGACAATTGTTTGGTGAGAGTTTCGATCTTTTCATTGAGCTCTTCCAGCTCCGCTGATGATACTGTGGTCTCTTCCTTCGAAGGCTGCTCGGGCTTCTCGGGCTGCTGAGGGGTTGCATCGGCTGCCTTAGCTGGTTCTTCAGCTGCCTTGCCACCCTTCTTCTTCTTTTTGTTCTTCTTCTTGTTACCTCCACCACCTCCACTGCTGGCGGCCGGCGCTGCAGCGGCAGGCTGTGAATCCTGTTCAGGGGCAGCAGCTGGGGTAGACTCCACATCCTTCTCAGTGGGTGCCAGACTCTTGCGGATCTCCTCGAAGTCCACAGGTTTTCCAGCAGAGACGCTTTCTTTGGCAGTCTTCCAGGCGCTGTTATCCTCCAGGTTGGTATCAAGGAAGTCAACAACCTTCTGAAGTTGGGCAGAGCTTTCCGACTTTTGGCTGATCTCCGACTTGAGTTCGGACACCGTAGATTCGGCATCCCTCAGTTGGGACTTTAGATTATCAACCACACCCTGAAGAACACTAAGGCGCTTCTCGCTAGTATCCTTGGCCTTCTTGGCTTCTTCGAGTTGTGAGATCACCTCTGAGCTATCCTCACTCTTCGTAGCCTTCTCTGCCTCGGATACCTGAGCTTGAAGCTTCTCGATATTCTCACTCTTCTCCTTGAGTTCGGTTTTGAGCTTCTCGACTTCGGCTGTTGTGCTCTCGAGGGAAGACTCAGCAGTCACGAGCTTTGCCTTAGCATCGTCGATCTCGCTCGATTTGGAAGTCTTCAGGTTTTCGATCTCCGCATCAAGCTTATCCTTGACATCTCGTAGCTCAACTAGCTCCTGTGTAGTGGACTCCAAGTTTTGGACCATGCCCTCTGTAGACTCCCGAGTGACAGAAAGATCCTTCTTGAGAGTTTCAACTTCGGTCTTCAGTGTCTCGACCTCCTCCTGCTTCTCCTTGAGTTCGCCTTCGAGACGAGGGATCTCGTTATCAAATGAGAAGAACTCCTCGCTCGTTTCTTGTTTATCTTCGGAGGGTTTCTTCTCCTTAGCAGCATCGTCGCTCTTCTCCTTTTCTTTCTTAAGACCGGTGACTTCATCCCATGCCTCCTTTGCAGACTTCTTAGCTTCATCCATCTTCTTTTTGTAGTCATCCCGTTCTGTTGCTACCCGCTTCATCTCTTCCATCACCATATCGGTCTTCAGCGACATCTGATTCAGGTATTCGGTAAAAGCCTTGGGTTCACTGATCGAGGCAAGAGGGGTGTTCTCGCGCAACGCCGCTTCAAATGGTTCAATCGAGAGGACGCGAGAATGCGCCACGCGGTAGGCCTTGAGAAGTTCTTCAGAATAGTCAGCACAGAGGTACTACAAAATACCAAATCTATTTCACAACACCCAGATCGATCGATAAAACATACCATGGTATCGTGATTCTAGCTTATCCAGCCGGCGCAACTTGGCCTTCACCTCGGCAGGTAGCTCCGCAGAAGTCGATTTACCCGGGTCCGTCTCCCCAGATGCAGCTGACTCCTTTTCCTTTTCAGTTGTCGTCTCCGACGCCTCAGTCGTCGAGGGGGCGGTCTCTTTTTCCTCCGTCTGATCACCTGCGGAACTAGCCACCTCCGAGGAAGGCTCCGGCGTCTCTAGACGGGGTGTTCCCGAGCGACTGGAAGCATCATCTTCTCCGATCGCGAACTCGGCCTCGAACTCCTTGGGATCTGGGCCTCGTACAGGGGTACCCGTGTTGCGGCGTGGACGGGAGCGCTGGCCGGGGGAGAGGTTTGAGGGCGGGCGCCGAGCGGAATTCGAACGGGAGATATTGTCTTGAGCGGATTTTTGGCGGGCCTGTTCCTCTGCGATACGCGAGTCAATGGCGTCGCGGAGGCGCTATAAATGGTTGGAGGTTAGTCTGTTAAACTTGTATTGTAGTGGTCTTGTGCGGGCATTGCGCGGCCTCCGCAACAGGTCGGGGGTAAGCGCTGGATTACCTGAAACATCACCGCGACAGGTCTCTGGACCAAGACCAGCCAGTGTAAACAGACACAAAGAGAGTTGACTAGGTGGAGGACGATGAGGAAGCAAGGGAGGGAAAGCGGCGTGGGGAGCATGGAATAGATGACAGCCGTAAGTAACTAATCATAGAACATACCAGTGTTGGCCAAGACCAGAAGCTCGGGCCAAGCGGCGGAGCGGACTCGGAGCATCACAGTTCCAAGGTTCACATAATATTTGAACTTGATGAAATCTATATATGCCTACCTATAGTATAATGTTTTATACTAGTAAATCATATGTCTACTACTTTATTATTACTATGTATGAGCCATTTATCTGAACATTTGAATGTCCAAATGTTGATACTTAGTAGTAGTATTCAAAGCTCCCAAGCTGAGTGCGGGCAGTGGATCAAATATATAGCTATACCTCCAGGACTCTACACACTATGTACTCAAGCTACTAGTACTAGTACTACTATACTATACTGTTAGTAGGTTCAAGTTTGATGGCATCTCAGAAAATTTGAAGCTGATATTCAACATTTGAATGTTTAACTCGAAGTTCAAATGTTCCAGTTAACCTTGTTGATGGCCCAGATGACCTGGGCAGGGTGAAGCACTTGAGAACTTCCAAGGTCGAACCACATCCATGGATGTGCACCTGCCCAGGTGAGGAAGAAAAATTACAACTTGAACCTACTACCTACATATGGATGTATGTAGTAGCGCTTTAAGTATACTTTAGCACATGCGCATAATTCAATCTCTCTATTCTAGTCGTCGCGAACCTCGGTACATGTATAAGATGGATTGAGTACTAAGTTAGCATTAATACTAGATTCGGAGCCAATCTCGCTTTAATCGCATAAAACCATTTTATAAATCTTACTAGGTATAAGACCAATAAGATTATAATAATTCAAAGGAGACTAAAAAAATTCATATTTCAAATTCCACACCGATAATTGACTAAATATGCTTCTCCATAGTTAACACTGTTCCTGTACTAGTAGAGTGGACCCATCAACGCGATTACTACGGGTGGGCCACTGCACGTTGCTCTTACTGGACTTTCTACTGGTAATTAATTGACAAATTCAAATACGACTCTAAATTCTATTCTATTTGATCAATTCATTGCAGAGTTGTCTTATTGTGGATATTGTTCTTATCTCTTTTTTATATAGGACCGTGACCTTTCATTGTAGTACGGAGTACCTCCTACCTACAATGTAGCTCCTGCAGGTCATCCGAGACCACCTGCCCGCCTCCCCTCACCTTCATTCCTCCATCCACTGGTGTCAGGGCCCGCACGTTTTTAATGTCCACCTTCATGGTGGCCCAGGGTCATTTTTGAGTTAGTGTGGTTGGGCCCTGGGATACCCTGGTTTTGTCCATTCTCATTCTTGGTTTTGGTTTTGGTCTGGCCTAAAAGCGGAGCTCCTGTCTCACACGTCATGCCTAACTTCGCGCCGGCTCTTGCTTTAAGCCTAACGGCCACTACGGCCACACATGCAAGAACACTGGCATCATCTGTTCCCTCTCTCGAGTCTACCGCTCTATCCGCAGCCGATCTCTCTTCTCCCCCGCCCTCCCTCCCCCCCAATCCCTTCAACCATGGCGGGGTGGATCGCTTGGGTGTTTACCTTCACCTTCCAGGTCATTCCCCGCGGTCTGTACTGGTTGATTACCTTCACCACTATCACATTGCCCACATGGCTTTTTACGCTCTTTTCAATGAGCTTGACCTTCACCATGAATTTCACCACCCTGTAAGAGCTTATCCCTGTCCGGCCAGATGCAATTTGAGTGTTGGCATTTGATCAATGCCGGAGTAGAACTAATTTCCGCGTTACTATGATAGCATGTTGATCTTCCTCGGTGTGGTCTCGACAGTGAGCTGGTTCATTCGTTACCGGTTCATGAACATGTATAGTCGCCTGCCCCCGGAGCCCCAGCGCAAAGAAGCCCAGGTCGATCTCTTCCCCGATATCCAAGAAGGAGACTCCAAACCAGGATTGGCCAACTATCTCGACGAATTCCTAAGCGCAATTAAAGTCTTTGGATACCTCGAACGACCGGTCTTTCACGAATTGACCCGGACGATGCAGACGAGAAAACTCATCGCGGGAGAGACATTGATGCTGGAGGAAGAGAAAGGGTTCTGCTTGGTGGTCGATGGCTTGGTCCAGATCTTTGTCAAGTCAACCCGCGAGGGCAAGAATGGCACGGAAGAGAACCTACACATGAATGATGGGACGTCGGATGACGAGGAGCATAATCTGGATGGTCGCCAGGGATATCAGCTGCTGACGGAGGTGAAGAACGGCGCATCTATGTCGTCGCTCTTCTCTATCCTGCAGCTATTCACAGAAGATATCCAAATGCGAAATGTGCGGAGCTCTAGCTCCAGTGCATCAAGTGTCGCAACACCTCATACACCACGAGCTCCCGATTCTGTACCAGTGAGTCCAGGTGTCGACATGATGGGGAGTCCACAGGCCATGGCAAGAGACAATGCCGACTCGACCCTTGGTCTGAATGGGCTTACCAGTGATGCATTACCAGCAGTCCCTCCATTGCATCTGGGGGAGAGTCATGCTCACCTCCCTACCAACCCCCTACAACCCCCTTTCATAAAGTCGTCGTCTAAGCGACGAAAGTCAGTACATCCAGATATTGTGGCTCGAGCTACAGTAGATACAACCATTGCTATTATTCCTGCTAGTGCATTTCGCCGTTTAACTCGAGTCTATCCAAGAGCGACCGCACATATTGTGCAAGTTATTCTGACACGTCTCCAGCGCGTGACATTTGCCACGGCGCACTCTTATCTGGGCCTAACTACCGATGTTCTGGGAATTGAGCGACAGATGGCCAAGTATACCACTTGGGACTTACCAAATGACCTTCGGGGGAGTGCCTTGGACCGGTTGAAAAACAAGTTCATGCAGGAGCGGGACCGCCTTGGACCTGAAGAGGTTGTCAAGGGTATCGCGCTACATAATCCAGCCGTGGGACGGCGTCGCCGATCGAGCAGTTCGCTCCGAAAAGAAGCCATTTTACAAGCACGTATGAATGGCGGAAATCAACCTGTCGCTCTGACACCCCAGCGACCACCAACACTTCGTCCTATTGACAGAGACTCCAATGGAGTCAGCCCTGGCGATCTTTTATCCACAATTCAGCTCTCCAGGTTTGGTCCACGCTTCGATCATCTGGGTCCTCGTATTCAAAGCCCGTTGACGGAGCGAGAACGTCCTCTTTTCCGACCTGCTGCGAGAATGGATGGCACTTCGTCCTCTCCGTTCCAGCGCAAAGAATCTATTGACGAGGACACACTATTCCGTGAATCGATACTGGAATGTATGATGAAGGGAATTGGTCTGACTGAAAGCACGAGCGATGCTCTTCGCAAGGGGAGCCATGCCTCAGGCGATGCATCTCCTAGGTTACTATCTTACGATTCTCGGCGCCAAAAAGCCGTTTTCTCCAATGCATTTGGTTTCATTGATCCCTATGAAGGATCTGGGGATGGTGAAACAGAATCTATGATGTCTATGTCTGTCACTAGTGCTGGTGGAACCTCTCCAGTAATCAACCTGCGGGAGGAGCTGCGCCACGAGATTGAAGTCGTCTACTTCCCACAGGGCTCAGTACTTGTTGAACAGGGCGAGCGCCATCCGGGTCTTTACTATGTGATTGATGGATTTTTAGATGTTGGAATCCCTGTCAATGAACGAGGCGATGACCTTGTTGGCTCGTCGCGTCCTTCAGTAACACCCGCACAGGAGGAGCTTTTCCCCAAGCTGGGTCGCAGTGCCACAGGTTCTTCTTCTCGCACCCCGGGCACGCCAGGCACAAATGAGTCTCGCCGTAAGCCACAGTCACGCAAGTCCCTCTATTTGATCAAGCCAGGTGGTATGCAGGGATATGTGGGTGCCCTCGCATCCTATCGCTCATACACAGACGTTGTTGCCAAAACGGACGTCTACGTGGGATTTCTGCCTCGTGCATCTTTGGAGCGGATCGCTGATCGGTACCCGATTGCTTTACTGACGCTGGCCAAGCGACTGACAAGTCTTCTCCCGCGTTTACTGCTGCATATTGACTTTGCGCTCGAGTGGGTACAGGTAGGCGCCGGACAGGTCATTTACCACCAAGGAGACGAAAGTGATGCGATCTATCTTGTATTGAATGGCCGCTTGAGATCTGTCTTGGAAGGCCCCAATGGCAAGATGAATGTGATTGGTGAATATGGCCAAGGCGAGAGTGTAGGTGAGCTGGAGGTCATGACTGAATCTACTCGACCAGCCACTTTACATGCTATCCGAGAAACCGAGCTGGCCAAGTTCCCTCGGTCTTTGTTTAACAGCTTGGCACAGGAGCATCCTGGGATCACTATCCAAGTATCCAAGTTGATTGCCCAGCGTATGCGGGATTTGGTGGAACATCCTCTTTCTGAAAAGGGCCTGGAACAAGGTCATGTCGGGGGCGTCCAGACTGCGACCTCAACAGTCAATCTTCGCACGGTCGCTATTCTACCAGTCACTGCCGGCGTTCCTGTTGTTGAGTTCGGCCACCGACTTCTTAATGCTTTGCACCAGATTGGTGTGACGAGGGGCGTTACCTCTCTCAACCAGGCTGCGATTCTGAACCATTTGGGCCGACACGCTTTCAGTAAGATGGGCAAGCTCAAATTGTCTCAGTATTTGGCGGATTTGGAAGAGAGGTACAGTCTGGTCCTATACATTGCAGACACCAATGTCAATGCGCCATGGACACAGACATGTATCGCACAGGCGGATGCCATCCTGCTTGTTGGTCTTGCAGAGGCCTCGCCCAGAATTGGAGAATACGAACGATTTCTGCTCGGCATGAAGACGACTGCTCGTAAAGAGTTGGTCCTCTTGCATTCAGAGCGGTACTGCTCGCCCGGACTGACCCGTCGCTGGCTCAAGAACCGACTGTGGATCAATGGAGGTCATCATCACATACAAATGGCGTTCCGGCTAACAGCCGAGCCCTCTCATCCTCAAATCAAGAAGTTTGGAACCGTTCTGAAGCAACGTGTTCAAATCCTGCAAGCCGAGATTCAAAAGTACACCTCACGACGGATTCAGCAGTCGCCGATGTATTCACCACAGACCCCATTCAAGGGCGATTTCCACCGTTTGGCCCGAAGACTTTGTGGTAAATCTGTTGGACTGGTCCTCGGCGGAGGAGGCGCACGCGGCATAGCTCAGGTTGGTGTGATCAAAGCACTCGAGGAAGCTGGCATTCCGCTCGATATTATCGGCGGTACTTCAATTGGTTCATTCATTGGAGCTCTGTATGCCCGCGACGCAGACGTGGTACCCATGTACGGCCGCGCAAAGAAATTCTCAGGGCGCATGGGAAGCATGTGGCGATTTGCGTTGGATCTGACATATCCCACGGTCTCGTACACCACAGGCCACGAATTCAACCGGGGAATCTTTAAGACCTTTGGTGATAGTCAGATCGAAGATTTCTGGCTCGAGTTTTACTGTAACACGACTAATATTAGTCGCTCTCGCGCGGAGTACCATTCATCTGGCTATGTTTGGCGGTATGTGCGTGCTTCGATGTCACTAGCTGGCTTGATTCCTCCTATCTGCGATGAGGGCAGTATGCTACTAGATGGTGGATACATCGACAATCTCACAGTCGCACATATGAAGAGTCTGGGTGCAGATGTTATCTTTGCCGTGGACGTGGGTTCCCTCGATGACAATACACCACAGGGGTACGGCGACTCGCTCTCTGGGTTCTGGTCGATGCTCAACCGCTGGAACCCCTTCTCATCTATCCCGAATCCACCTACGCTGTCTGAAATCCAAGCCCGATTGGCATATGTCTCATCTATCGATAATCTGGAACGAGCTAAGAATTTATCGGGGTGTCTCTACATGCGTCCGCCAATTGACCCATATGGTACTTTGGACTTTGGCAAGTTTGATGAGATTTACCAGGTGGGATATGCATATGGAAAGGAATTCCTGGATCGGCTCAAGAATGAAGGATCCCTTCCGATTCCTGAGGAGACTGAGGAAAAGCGGAAGTTACAGCGTACCATGGCACCTCGACGAGCCAGTATCTGATCTTTGGCTGTTCGATTAATGTATCTTCAATTTTGGAGCTCCCAGTTCCAAAGTCTCATATTTTGTTTTAGTGACCAGGTCTTGAGCTATACCCGTGTCAGGTGTGAATGAAATGGCATTTTTGTCCTGATCTATCTCCATTTTCTTTTATCTGATGATGGGCTTCTCATTACTAGCTAATGATCACCCCGAAAGGAACATAAACGTATTCAAGTAGTGTAAACCTTGGAAGCAGTATTATTTAATAGATTAAGTGATCCAAGCATAAAGAGTCCTAGCCAACACATTATCCAAGTCCGTATGTATGTGCAAACCACAAAATTCCACAATTAATCCAGAATCATCAATATCATAAGCAGGGTATCTGAACCCGAGTTGACATCTCAAAAACATCCATCCACAAGTGATACAGAGAGCGAATTAAGACCAGGTCAGGTCAGGAGACTCAAGAAGCAGCACAACTTGAACTCACAAATGCAAATTTCCATGTAAATATGCATACGGATCTGCATTCAAGCCCGACAAAACCGATTGGAGGGTTTAGTCCTCAACCAGAGCCAACAACGCTGTAGTACATGTGGTACTCCTCCAGAGCCCAATTAAACAGCTGTAGCCGGGGCAGTCGTCTCGGCAGGGGCATCAAGAGGAGCACGAGTACCATCATGTTTCTCAACAACAGGTTGAACGGTATTCTCCTTTCTGTAAGCCCAGAGCGAAGCGACTTCGAGGAACATTCCGAAGAAGGTGAAGACACTAGAGACAAGTTAGTACCAGTACTCATGCATGGACTCGGAAATATGCAGTGCACGTACAAAGCCAGGAAGATAAACGATTCATTCGCCTTCTTGCGGCCACAGGTTACACCAGGCGGGGAATCAAAGTAGCACGAGTGCTCGTTGTAGTCCTGCGCCGAGAAGATGAATGCGGTTAACCAGCTGAAGAGTTTGTTAGCATGTAATCGGATGTATGTTTTTGGATTTTCAGAACTTACAGGTAGGAGAAGATGACGTCGATTAGAAGCACGAATTTGCTCAGTGCGCTTGGTAGGAATGGAGAAATGAATGCTGGGAGGAAGAATGCGACTGATAGAGTGGCCTATAGTAGTTCAACAGTTAGTATGTATTCGAAAGGACTGGTGAGTAATTGAGGACGTACAATAACTTCCTGGTATATGATGTGCTGTCCGCGAGGCCCTTTGCTGATAAAGTATGAGGTCAAGCCCATGACAATGACAGCACTAGACCACTGCAAGGTCCTAGTGACCAACTGCAGTGGACGGGCAATAGTCGTTGAGAAGCGCATGGCGATGGATGGAGTTAAATGATGATAGAAGACCAGTGTATAAGTTCAGGCTTCGGATCAGATAGAGTATCAGGTGGATTATAACGCACAAGGAGAACAAGGAGAATCAGGATATTGGGATGAAGTCATGAATAGAAGAAGTAGAACGCGGCAATCTACAGGCTTTTATAAGGTTATTCACCCACCTGGCATCAGCGCATCAACAAGCATGAGACACAAACAGAACTAGCGCCGAGTCAAAAAACCCAAAATTGGAGTTTAAATTATTTTAAAATTGAGAAAATCCAGAAAAATCAGAAAATCTATAATCTATAATTTACTGCAAGCCAGGGTCTCGGCAAGGATGGACAGGAATGTGGGTTCGCGCATCATGATCCTATACGAAAAGCCGAATATCTACTATCTACTTCATGTTTGAAGTGCATTTGTATCAATACAAGAAAGTGAATAGAATGATACTACATGTAAATACCTACAAGTATAGGCTTGAGTACTACAATCAAAATTCAACTTGCTCTATGCTGTACGAGGTTCAGATCCCAAGCTGGACCAGTAGATATCATGTCTCATACCTCTCCACATCACGAGCACAGTGGATTTGGGATCAAATTAGGTCAAGATCATCACGTCAAACTTGAACCGTCTCGTGCATATACTCCACCGCTTGATTCGCGATAGATGCTAATGATCATAAATAAATCTGAAGCAGGAAATCACCCTTCGGCATACCGCGGAAAACCAGAGTTCACTTGAGAGAGTTGATATCATCATAGAGAATTGAATCATGAGATCGATTCCCATCATACCATCTCCAGATGTCAGAATCAACACATGAACTTCAAGTTGAACGTACCATATTGATGTATGTATCAGTCTTGGAGTCAATAGCGGGGTTCTCCCTGCATGATGATCGACGTAGGTTCAATGTTAGTCTTGGAGCTTGGACTAATTCAACCTTGCTAGGGATATGCATCTTCAAATAACCATGAAATTAGTACTGATTCTTGAACGTTGGACAAAGTCATGAATATCCCTAGACTAGTTAGTATCCAGATACTGGTCAAGTCAACATGATAAACATTTCTATACAAGTGACACATCAATAAAATGCCAAATAATGAGGATTCAAGGTTGATCAGACTGTCACAAACCCCACTTCATGCAATTCGGGATCGACAGTGGGATGATCTCTCACATTTAAATGGTGTCACATATAGAACATTGAGCTCGTATTCTGAATTCTTGTACAGAGTATGGAGTATGGAGTATGGAGTAGTGATGTAAGAATTTCAGTCCTGTCGGTGTACGGAGCACGACATTTGAATGGTCAATTCGGGGCTTGATGCTGTGGCAGTTTTAGTCCACTGGCATGATCCTGTTGTTTTGCCGAATGAGGTAAACAATCTACTAGTAGTAGAAAGTTATGCGGGGTGCATGAATGGACCAAATTTGGTCAATGGCTCTTCAGGGATAAAAGCGTTGAATGTCTCAGAGACTCAGTGTACCTGAGAAGTATCCAGCAAGGGTGATATCACAATGCAAGGTCAAATCCCGACTCGGTTCAATTGACCATAATCCTAATAGAGAACTACACTGAGATGGGTTACTGCTTGGCAGATATCTTGATTAAAACAGAAAATTTTCATTGAACATGTAAAGACGCTTATTGCCAACCCATAATCCGTTGCAACTTGACTCCAATGCGCCTAAGGCCTTCTCATGCTCACCATGTGGCATTGCCGAGATCGTGCTCCTGTAGATAAAAGTCAGATAAAACAATACTGCAATGATAGCTGATAAAAAACTTACCTTGATGTACTCGCTGCCCTTCTCTAAGTATTCTTGGCGAGTCACAGATGATCGACCCCGGTCAGCTCCTGATGCCCATTGTGCCGCACCCTTCCAAGCATCCAGAACAGGATCGGAAGCATGGCGTGTATTGAACTCCATATCAATAGGTATATATCCACGGAGCTCGTTGCGGAAGCGGTCCTCAAAACCCTTGAACATAGTGTTACCACCAGTCAAAAACACATCTTTCAAAAGGCGCGCACGGTCCTGGGTGCCTGAGAAACGCTGGTTGACAATGTCGGCAGCAATCTCAATAAGACCAGCCTGGTCCACACCGGCAATAGAGGGCTTGAACACAACCTCGGGAACACGAATACGCTCAACATTCAAATGAATCTGATGAGCTTCCCGCTGACTTTCAGGGTCAAAGGGCCAGGGACCACGCAGGAACGCGTGCACAAGGCTCTTGGTCCAGTCGGACTGTGCGGCGAGGGTGTGATTTTCTGTAAATTCAGGATCGTGTTCAAGAAGCTCTTGCTCAACACTGTTCAGCATGCCACCAAGGTCTTCCTCTTCTTCTTCGTCACTTTGATCGCCTGTTGCAACAGTGCGGTAGACACCCCAGTCATCGTCATTGGCACCAAAGTCGTCGTCCTCTCCCCCACGGCGGCGCTTCTTGGGACCATCGGCGGCAAGGTTGGCAAGCGTCTTCATACGCATTTGACTGGCGAGGGACTTTCGGTTTCCGAGGTCGGCCTTCATGCGATCGCGATCTTTGATTCTTTGGAGGATACCCTAATAAATGTGAGAAACCGGTGCATTCTGCGGTCTGTAGAGGGTGCAACTTACCTGACGGTTAATTCGTCGTTCGGAAATCCACTCCTCGAAGTGGTTCTCGCGCTTCTCTCGGTCAAGACGTTCCTCTTCATCACGTCGAGCCTTTTCAGCTTCCTTCTCAGCCTTAGCACGCGCTCGTGCTTCGACATTAGATTTCATGAGACGTTGGTGGCGTTTTTCTTTCAGACCAGCCTCGTCAAGTTGCTCATCGGGGATATCAAGAAGTGGGAATGTCATCTCTTCAGGCTGTTCCTCAGTCTCCTCAATACCAAGATCTTTATTACGGGAGCGTTTGATGGACTTCTCCAAATCGCGAATCATGCGTTCAAGATGAGCCTCATCCTTGAGGTCTTCTGACTCAAGCACGCGGCGAATCTCTTTCTTGGTTTCGGTTGCCAGTTTTTCCTGAATGCTCTTCCAATACTCGAGTTCTTGCTCTTTCTTCACCAGTTTCTCGAGTCGCATCTTGGCTGCTTGCTCTTGTAATCGGCGACCGCTCTCCTTCTTGCGCTCTGCAATTCGAGCTAGCTCTTCCTCACTCTTCTCAACAACAATGTGTTCGGTAAAGGGGTACTGGATAACATGGTCCCGGTCTTCCAGGCCCGTCCAATCCAGATACCCATTCAACTCACGATCGTAGTCTTCTGAGATGTAGCAATGCTTGCGCACCAAATCTTCCATTTGATGATCGGTCATTCGTACAGGGAATGTCGGGTACTTGAGTTTCATCAACTTCATAAGGTATTCGGCATTGTGCAGACCACCCCAGTTGAGTCGGGAGCAGTTTGATAAGAGTGGTTTTCCGCCGAGGACAGGAATAACGTGCGTAGAGGTATGTGATGAGGAAACGACCAGTCCATCTCTTCCTTTGTTGTATCGGTATGCGAAAAGCGAATCAATTCCGTAGGAGACGGAGGGCGCGGAGTAACATTCAAAGAGGATCTCGTTCATTACTAGAAGGGTTAGCTTTGCCCGGACGTAGATCAACGACTGTAAGAAGGGACTTACTCCTTCTGGGATATGCCAGGTTGGCGATCGGTTCAGTCATGACGATTGGCCGATCAACACCACCATTGGCACCGTCCACACCCAGCTTGAGGAACACATAGTCGAGCACACCCTCCATGACATCCCAGTTGCCCACGACGCTGGAACCAGGATCAAAAGCATAGCGGAGCTGTCCCCGAGTAGTCGCATCGGCGTAGGCATCGTATCCGATAAAGTGGCACTGGCGGTTTAACTTGCGATCGCGGTAACGGCTCATGACAGGAGGGAAGACGAATCTGGGAGTTTTATCGAAGGACCAGCCGGCCTTGACGAGGCTTGAACCTGTGTTCAACAGAGATCAGAATGAATCTCATTGACCGTATATCTGCATGACTTACCATTGTCAATGACGATGGCGCTGGTGTCAGGATGGGCTTTGCTTTGCTCGAATCCATCTGGTTGAGGAGGCTGATAGCCCTTGAAAGGAAAATCTGAAATTGTGTAGGGTTCTGGTTGAGGTTTAACAACACGCTTTTCATTGGCATTGATCGCATAGCGACCGGACAGGACTGTCTGCACAGAAGTGATAGTCATGCTGGGCTGTGCCGGTGGAAACCAGGAGCTTTAGGATCGAGGATCGGGGATTGCGTTGGAGAGTTTACTGCATGGCAGATGCACAGAAAATCTTAGTAGGAGAGTATATTAAAAGAAAAAGAGATTGAGTGCGCCAGAGTATATAGCGACAAAGGGGAATGAGTCGGGGTGGATGGAGCATTCAATGTTGAAGTCCGGATTGCGCCAAGAATGGGGAAGCGGTGATGCACTATCATTCACTCCAGGGCTGTCACTACTATAGAGATACTTGACTACAAGTATCTATAACACATTATATTTTATACTGGTGACTTCAAATGTTCAGACTGGAGAGAAGAAAAATTCATTTGAATTCAAGTTTCAAGTTGGTATTAATGGCTGATTCATACATTTCATTATCATCAATTGTTCCTATGAAGAGCCTTCGGTCGTGGGCTCCTTCAGGTTCTCCGTAGCTGCAATATATATATACATTAGCACTTCATACATCGCTGGATCGATTGATCGGAACAATACCTTCGAGATGGAAGAGAACATTGGACTGGTAGTTCTTGAACATTTGAGCAACCAGCTCTACATTCATGTTCTGGATGTTGACTTCCTGGGCTGGGGTCAATAATGTGTCATTTCAGCATCAGAAGGAGATAGATACCTGGAGACTCTTGTTCATGACCATGACAGCCTCGTTGAGTTTTTCCTGGGTTAATATTAGCCTATCGGTTCGACATTGAGCACGGTATCTGGTGGTTGCAACTCACAACATTGGTGATGATACGCGATAGCAGCACAGTCTGCTGGTGCTCATGAGGACTCTCCTACACCGAATTAGCCTTGCTTAAAAAACAATATCTGGAATCGTCAAGGGATACCAACCATGATTGTAAAAGTGAACGTGGTGATTCGAGTTCCAGAATCCAAAGTGGTTTGTTTGGGTGGTGGTCATGTGAGACCCGAGCCTCCTTCAATGAACATTGAACTTCCATTGAATTGAATCTAACAAAAAGTCTCATCCCATCTTATATACACAATATATGACCTCCAATCTTTCTACTCTTCATCTTCTTCAATACCTAAGATCCTCCACGAAAAAATAACTTTGACATCGCAACAATGCCTCCTGCCACCCCTGCCAATGACGAGTCGCACCAGCTACTTCTCAACCAGCTGGATATCGCCCATGTCCACAAGCCATATCGAAACTCCCACTGGAGACCATCCCAGCGTCGCAACCGCAACCTGAAGCAGATTATCTCTGAGAGTACTCGCAAAGAAGCCTCTGTGATGGCCACCCAGGCCAACTCCGGTGCCACCACCCCCTTCCCCGGCACATCAGGAACTACGACCGATGAAGCGCAAACACCAGCAGAAGGCACTGGCAAAGCTCCAAATCTAGCGCAAGCTGCTCAGAGTCTCTCTACGCTGGTATTGGAAAAGAACGCCCGTGCGAATCTCCCGACCGGCCCTGCAGTTACCTACACAAATATCGAGTCGGCACCATCACTCAGCGCAGCTCATCAGCGACACTACTGTGATATCACGGGCTTGTCTGGTCCATACACCGACCCTAAGACTCGCCTTCGATACCATGATAAGGAAATTTTCTCGGTCATTCGCACTCTCTCTCAGGGTGTGCCAGAGATCTATCTCGAAGCTCGTGGTGCGCACACCATCTTGAAATAAAGAGCCAGATGAAAGTCAAAGAGCTTCGGAAATAGCAGGACTATTTCTTCAGCTTGGAGATCAAGTGTATTGGGTGACGGGTTAGGTTCGGGAGATGATACGATTTTCTTAATTTGATATTTTTCTCTATGGTTTAAGAGTATGTCAACCCAGGAGTGAGCATCAGGTGAATCCATTAAATTGAGCCTTTGCTAACAAGCTATTCTATCAGTTTACAGTAATGTCCGACCAACACAGTCAAGCCCTTTCCATCCCACCATGCCCCTTTCGAGACAGGTTCAAGAAAGCGCTCCGGCTTATTCGTGCCCGTATTTGTTCTTCGCCTTGTGCCAGGATGCACTCGACTATTACCGACACTCCACGGGAGGGTGTGTCAGTTACAATATCCGAGGATATTGTCGTCGCGGCGGGGGTATGAGGCATATATGCCTGTGCTAAGGGGGGGAAGGAGTCGAATCTCAGCTCAAGTGACTAACATCAAGTCAGAGCTTTCGGATGTGATATAATTTTAATCCTCATCTCAAGTCTTTCCAATCCCATGGTGGTTCTTATGAAATCCACACATTCTGTATTCTGTATTTTGTAGTTGTTAGGAGAAAGAAAGATCAAAGCTCAAAACGCGGCTAAAACCACTTCTCCAGACCGCCTTCGGTGACGGGCAGAAAAAAGGGTTTCTGTTTACGGCGATTTCATTCCTTTTGTGAAAGTCACGATTCCATTTGTATTCAATTCCGACCTGTTTCAATTCATTTTATTCTCCTTAATATCAAAAAACAGAAAAAATAAACCGTCAAAATGCCTAGCATGTGGCTTTCTGAGCACCAGAGTACGTTTCCTTCTCTGGATATCTGTCGCGCGACACTTGTCCGAATTGCGCACATCGCGCCGCTCTATTATTGCGCTCTTTATACAGGCCCTTGACTAACATTATGTTCTCTAGAATTTGGAGTAATCTTCTGCTGTGCTGGTATGCGACTACACTAGCGATCCGATCATGACCTGGTCCTAAACTAACCATGACTCGGTATAGGTGGCTTATTCCTCTTCGGCGGTGTCCTTATGTTTTTTGACCGATCATTGTATGTCTCTCCCTATACTAAGCATGATGAGCATAATATTTTATGTGAAAATGTTCTAACAACTCCGCAGATTGGCTATGGGCAACGTACGGCGCAATCCCACACCTCCATAAACCCTCCCCCACTCACACGAATCACAGATCCTCTTCCTTATCGGTCTCACCCTGATCATCGGCGCCCAGAAGACACTAGTCTTCTTCTCTCGTCCCCAGAAACTCAAGGGAACTGCCGCCTTTGCCGCTGGAATCCTCCTCATCCTTTTCCGCTGGCCACTGACTGGCTTCCTGATCGAGTTATACGGCATCTTCATTCTCTTCGGTGATTTCCTCATTACGATTGGTCAATTCGCCGGAAACGTCCCTGTCGTTGGTCCTTATATTCAACGTGGACTGGAGGCTCTGGCTGGTGGACGCAGCAATGCTGAGTTGCCTGTATAAGGAACTCGCATGCCTTGTCAGATTGCCTGACTTGAGATTCGAGTTCGGTATATCATGATACATGACACTGTTTCTTTTGCATAGACTTGTTACGATCAGAACCTCTACCTGTGCGGGATAGGTTCGGTGTGGTGTATGGTCTATATGGATATTATGACGGCATTTCCAAACCTACTCGCATGTAATTACTAATGATTTCTCTTTTTTTCACATATTCGTCTCAGCATGTTTTTGTCTCATACATATAGAATAGACAGAGTTGACACGACCGTGGCGTTTGTAGAGAAATATCTCACTAGTATGTAAACAAGTAATACTAATAATATGGCAGGAACTGGACTCGGAATGATAGTTCATGATATCTACTTAAGCATGATGGATCCTAACCACATACAGATTGCAACAATCGCGCAATCCAAACCGAACTTGAAAGAGAGATAAACCAGAAATTCGATGCTCCTTTGTTTGCTATTCTTCACAACGTCTCATATTCTCATTTCATCACATCCAGATGCCCGCATCGATCACTCATCCCATTTATTGGGGGTTGTTGAGGTAGTCAACAAGGTTCTCGACAACGGTGGCGGCATTGGTGGTCTGAACGCTCTCACCGTGGTGAGCGATCATGGTGCAAGAGGAAGCACGAACAACGATGACACCCTCCTTACCCTAAACAGAGAAATAGTTGTCAGTTATCAAATATTCAGGGGCAGGTAATGTACTGCCTCATGCGATCATTTCCAGGTGGGGTCTCGGGTATACCTTCTTTCCGTATAGGGAGCGAGCATCAGCGCGGATAGTAACGAACTTCTCACCACCAATGGAGAAACCGCTGGCGAAAGCAGTGGCATCGGAAGTGAAGGCAGCAGCCAGGGAGTTGATGTCCTCCTGGGAGAGCTAGAAACCAGTCCTGTTAGTTTCAGGTTCGAATGTCGTGCCACCGATAACCCCGCATTCCGCATTCGGGTTCGTTTCGGGTTCAGAAGTATTGCAATCTGTCATACCTGGAAAGTAGGAGACTGAGCCTCGAGACCGGAGAAGTCAGCGGCCAGGATACCGGCCTTGTCGAATTGACCGGAGCCCATCAGGCTATTTGGGAGTCAGCATGTTGATTCGGGGGTGTACTCCCTCTCTCGCCACATGATATCATCGAGGAGTGTTCTCGTTCTGGTGGGTAGGATATCGGGCTTTAAGAAGCGAGAGGGACGATGGGAAAATTGGGAACTGAAGGAATTCAAGTATCAAAAGTCATACCTCGAGTCGACGTAGCCTATACAAATAGAAGAAGGTTAGTAAGGGGATGGAGGATCATAAGAGGTTCAAGAGCTAACCTTGCCAAACTGCAGAGTGAGCACCCATTATGTAAATTGTGGAGGGATGAGAAGATGTGTGAGAGAAGGAAGATTATAGGAGTTGGGAAGAGGTCAACTTGAAGTGGGGGGGTTTAGGTGTTTGGCGGTAAATAAGACCCCGCCAACTCGTCGATCTCGTTGGGTCACCGCTGTCTGTTATATAAATCATATTTTAGTTCTTAACTTATGTGTACCGTGGTTATTCTACTTATTCTACTTTGGTTGACCGAGCCTCATGCATAATATACTAGTAGTATTTAGGTATATTTTATTAGTATATTTTAGTATATTTGCAGGCAACGATGATCACGCAGGCACCGATTATTCTATTTTCATGTGGCCTATTATCATCCTTGGTCGATCCGCAGGCACTGCTCTAGGCACGCATGTCACCTTATCCACGTCACCACGTGTCCTGTCCCTGACTCTCAACTCAAGGTTCCAACGTTCTAATCCCTGATTTGCAAGGGATGAGTTCCCCCATGATCAGTCTGCAGGTTATCAGGTGCAGGTTCCCCGTCGGAACGGGCCTGACATGGCGGTGTGCAGAACCCACTGATCGACCCAGCTCTGACGCGGAATGAGAAAGCAATGACTGGGGTATCAGATGGTATTTGCAACATGATACTCAATCTGGGTCAATCTACTTCGCACTTTGGAGTGTTGAGCTTTGAGGAATCCTTTATGTCGTGCGTTGCAAGGATCTGATCCGAGACTAACGCGGGCCCACTAAAAACTGGCAACCTTGAAAGTCCCTGGACGAATGACAAAGTTGCCATGGCAATCAAGCTTCACTGTCACAAGTACTAGTACGAGGTCAGTCTGGACTTGAATCAAATAGACTACTACTGGATATATGCCAGATGCAACTTGAAGTTGTCAAGTCGAGTCTGGCCTAGTCCGAGTCACAGTTGTGATATTGACAATACGACAAAAATGCAAAAATGCATACAAGGTGAAATTGAAGAAGTTATATAAATGATATTCGGTAAATGCATCTCTATCAAATCATGATCGATATCCCTTCTTGCTGGGAAGGAATGCCATCCCTAATAATCCCACCACCCAAGATATCATAGCTAAAAATACACATCAGTATGAGATCAAAAGAACCTTGGAACAGACCAAAGGAGACCTAAAATAAGATGAATACATACCACAGGTGAGATTCATATAATAATAACCCACTGTTCGGGTCAAAAAGCCTGACAAAATAGGCCCAATAAGCATTCCTGCAGTCCAACAGAAATTCGTCATAGAATAGCCAGATGAAAAATTATTCGAACCAAACTGGCCAGCATGTTGTCGTTGATATTCTTTCATCAAATCTAATACAATGTTAGCAAATCCAGAAATATGCGAATAGTTCAAAGGCTGTCGGTGTCTTACTGGTAATCTCAATGGTACCACACCCACTGATCATCGTTCGCGCCATTCCAATACCAACCACAGCTACCATATAAGTAGCTTGACCTTTGCTCCCACTTCCAACAAATGAGAGTCCGTCTGTCCCTGCTGTACCTAACAACCACATGAAGAATGCAATGCAGAAGAATCCAACACTGGTGGGCAGCTTGGTACCAACTTTATCCTTGAGAGCTCCAGCCGGCGTGGCAAGTATGAATGATGGAATCTGAAGAAGCAGAAACATCAAACTAACTTTGGCAGGGGTCCAACCAAATTCATTACTGCAATGGAGAGGTAAAGTAGTGTCCAAGCTCACCAAAATGACACCCTGAGTGAAATTGCATGTCAATGCTGCAACAGCTCGTGGATCTGATAATATCATCTTATAGAAATTTGAGGACCGCGGCAAGGATCTCGTCGTATCGCTTGTATGTAATGACTGAGGCTCGACTTCGTATCGGCTGGGAGGATGCAAAGATGGACTGCTATGAAGAGCTGACTGTTCATCTCTGTAAAAGCCTATCTCTTCTTCCGGATGATCGTAATATGGCCGAAACTGATCCTCTAATTCATCGTCGGCCGAATCGCGATACTCGTTCATATCGGTGCGCTCGTCAGATCGTGAGTTCTCTTCTGAATCCCGGTATTCGCCTGGTGAGTTCTCTGTTGTTGGAAATTGCTCCATGGGAACATTTGTGCCGTTCTTGTTCTCGATCATGACAAGTCGCATAATCATATCCACGACAAGTAAAGCGATAGGTACCATCCAAGTCATCCAATATCCAATCAAATCGAGCAGAGTTCCTGCAGCCATCGGGCCAAACAGTAAACCCGAAACAAAGAATGATGAGATTCCTCCAAGTACTTTGCCTGTATCTTCTTGTCCCACTGTATCGGCAACAGTGGCCAGTCCAACAATCCATACTGCATTTCCACCAATAGCTTGAAATGCGCGTCCGATAAGAAGAACCGGAACTAGAGTTCGTTAACAATTATTTATTGGATAGTCCTAATCAGGGCAACATACCTGAAGGTGCTACCATGATTATTATTGTGCCGACCAATTCTGCGCCGAGTGACGCAAGTAGTGGTAATTGTCGATTTGAACATTTATCCGCCAAATAGCCCGTTAAAGGGCCGGAAACCAAGCAAACCAAGGCATGAACGGTGAGCACGAGAGATGTGGTGGCTTGTGTTTTTGATGCATCGACGTGAAGCCTTTGCTCCAGAATCACTTGTAGGATAGGGACGATATAGCTATAAAGGAAGTTTTCTGTAAATAGTGAGATCAGTATTTTTGTTCTCATCAGACCTTGGGATTCCCTGCTCATTATAGATACTGCGCACCTGAAAATAGAGCAATCGCAATGCAAGAAACGATGAACCAGTTCGCAGATCGCCATTTGTACCCGGGGATGCCATTTCCCCCTGACATTTCGCGGAATCCTCCAATGTTGAATGTTGAATGTTATATTTAATAAGAGGGAATGTGAAAGCCGAAATTATTTAGTCGCATCCATGGAAGAATTTCAAATCGAATATTTGAACGTTTCAAAATGTTGAATAGTCGTGGGGGTTGGGCAGCTCATAGGTGATGGCACTAATGGGTCTGCAAGACCACGGTCTTTGCATCGAGACTAAGACAGCGGTCAGAGATGAGGTCCATGACTGGTAGATGGTTCTAGGTCCTTGAAAAATGAATCTATTGGGGTTCAAAGGAGCAAATGAAGTGGAGACTTACATATTGTACAATGCACAGTAGATCAACGAGCTTTTGATTGTTCACCGCTTGTTTTCAATATTTCCTTTACCACCAGGGTAACTGATACTTCATAAATCACCAAAAAATAAACACAGACAAGAAAATAAAATGGGGGAAAGCTAGCATTCAAATTCTCCAATGTTATCTACGGACCTCGGACATTGACTACGTTTCTGGTCTGAGTTATAGCCCCACTTCCGCGTCAGCTATTGAACACGTCCACGTAACTTGAACAAGCATTGGAGGCGAGGGCGCTAACAGATTTGAAGAACATGATCATCCTGGTTTTTCATCAAATGAGATATTAAGTTGACATTAAATTGCGGGTCATAAGGTACATCGGACAAAAATGTCATTTTGAGCTGTAAGCTCCGAGCTATTCAACGGTTTAAACTCGAGTTTTATCTGATTTTGCCACTTCATATCAACGGATGAGCATTTACACGGTTACTGATTTACCAGTTGACAGTTATGCCCTGCACATTTTATATAAACATTGGAATTTGGAACAATCACACTTCTCTCAACACTCAAACTTGACCGGATAAAACATTAAACATGAAATATAAGAAACTCGACCAATAAAGGCGACAACATATTTCAGAATCACGAAGACGCGAAAGCATTGGCAGCGACCTTCTCTGCGAACTGATTGGCAACCTGTTCGATAAGATCAGGTTTCTGCATCTTGGAGGTCCAAATAGATGGAATACATTCAACCCCATAGTAAGCACCTGCAAGAGCCCCATAGATTGCACCGACACTGTCTGCGTCGCCAGCCAGGTTGACTACCGCTATAGCACCATTGGCGAAGCCATTATACCTGAAGAATCCCCACAGCACACATTCCAACGTATCTATCACAAATCCAGTACTGGTGATATCCTCAGGTTTTGTTGCCTTCCACTCCTGAAGGGTTTTATACTTCCTTATACGATTAGCAAGTTGCGGGTTAGGATTAATGAATTCAAAACTCTTAACCCTCTCAAAGAGCTGCTCCTTTGACTCGCCTGAAGAACATTAGCATTAAATCCAGGTCTATAAGAGGCTCGGATAAAAGGAAACTCACCAAGCATAACTCCAGTCATAAGATCCGTGTAAAGCTGGCAAGCCTCCATACATGAGCGCATAGGATGAGTAACTTCACTCTGCACTCCTGCAACGCGGCGTGCAATCTCAGGCTCTCGATAAAATCCCACTCCAATAGGGGGAGATTCTCATAAGACTGCCATTTCCCTGGTTGTTAAATCCAGAACTAACTTTCCTGACAGTCTGTTGTGTTTTTTCGAGCTGTTTTCTCTCTCCAATTTTGGCGATGTCGGTCCTCCAGTAACGTAACGATAAGCGCGTCGTTCCTCCCCAATCAAATGATTTGTCGGCTGAGCTGAAGCGACCAGTATCTAACCAATCGAGAAAGTATCCAACCGAGGTAGCATGGTCATACCCGTCAGTATCGATCATACTTTGCGCCAGAGCAAGGGTCATGGAACCATCATCTGAAAAAGATCTATGTTTGTTAGTTTCAAGTTGGCTTCAGACATCTGTAAAGCGTCCATCAGGACATAGAAACATGATGTCGACATACCCAGCAGGCTTTTGAAACCTGTTTATGTACAACATGGTTGTAACCGTAGGAAAGGTTCCTCGATCGAGAAACTGACATGATCCACCGAGTGCATCAACAACGCAGTTTCCCCAGATTGCGCCTTTGGCGCGAGACTTTTCCCGGACATTCATTTCGTAATTATTTGGCAAATGTGATGACTTGAAGTTTCAAGCTTGTAAAGATGGAATATTCTAAAGTTGATAACATACTATGTAGTAAGCCTAAGTGTCTCAAATATATAGGCGCCTTTATCGAAACGACTGACTAGAATTCATTCAAATGTTCACCTGGGCAAGTTTCCGTATTCAAATCTCAACTTGGAACCTTTCATCCATATTAGCCCTGGAGAATAAGTTTCAATGTTTATTTTTGGAGGAACTATTCTCTTTGAAAATACCACTGCTCACTAGATACCCGGTCTTCGGTAGGAATTTGAATGTTCCAAACCAGAAAAGAACATTGAAACCAGAACTTGAAAGAACTTGAAGGCAGCCAGGTGGAGAACAGTTGAAAGATTAACTCAAAAATTATAATCAAAAGGACATCTGGACAACCATGGGTTGAAAAATAATCCACCTGGGCAGAATATAAAAAGGAATATCATTGAGAGATTTGCATGAATGAAATTTCAATATCAGGGTAAAGATTAGCTTGAAAGAAAACAGCCACATATTGAGGCAGATGGCCCAAGAATTCACTTTAAGCTCAACCTGAGCACTCCAGCATACAAATTGAATGTTTAGAGCATCCAAGTTACTAACTTGAAGCTGCCAGTGGGCAATGGATTCGAGAACCATTTGAATTATGTAGTATCTAAAAATACCCACATGCACTGGCATTCAACTGAACCAAGGCTCTAAGGAACGGGATGGAATCAGTCTCAAGTTAATTCATACAGTTTGGTGGGATCTTGACAATTTGAAAGGATAGTACATAATAAAGCCCTGGAGATCAAGCTACATGTAACATGCCAATAGTGTCAATTAAACCTAGGAGATGGAGATTACTACTCGACACTAGCAAGTTAAAAGTGAAAGTCTCTCTAGTTATCGGTAGATTTCCCTTGAGATTTCATACAATGTCCACTAATGACTCGAAGTATGCTTAACCAGTGCATTCAATGCTTTAGAAGACAAAGGCCCGATATTCCACCAAAGAAATGCCTTCAGCATCAAAAAAAGAGAAGAAAAAAGAAAAATCAAAACCAGATAACGGCTAACGACAGTAGTTGAAGAGTGATTTGGAATGCTTATCGTTTCAAGTTCTTCAAGGATACTGCATCTTCACCTGGGCACTCATAGATAGACCCTGGGGCCGACCATTTCCGTGGACATCCGCTCCCACCTCTCCCGTGTGAACGAGCCAAAGGATCGAAAGGATTATGGAAAATCCGTGACAATATCTCTGATAGCCATCCAGGAACACCAGCTCTCACTCGCATAATCCTGCAACCTAGGTATACGTCGATGCTGGAAACTTGAACTTAAAATGAGGTAATCTGGTATTCTTCAACCTTAGGCCCCCGTTTCATCTTCCTGGCAAGCACCTCACTGGACGGAGCTGTTCGGTGGCAAGTTCACGCAACTTGCGCAAACAAAGCTGAAGCATTCTAAAGTATATGGCCCCGCGGCTTAGTTCCCAAAATATCTATGCATACCGCACTCTGGAAATCTGGATTGTTCTTTGACCTCCAATGTTGGACCCACTTATAAACTTGAACACAACATTTGAATATACTGTACATCCTTGCACTCGCAGTGAGCATTCAATACGATAAGGGATCATTATTCGAAATTCAGCCCATTTTGTTGGACATTGTTTCTTTGGAGTTTATGGTTTCTTTTCGAAGCTCGAAGCTCGAATGTAACTCTGACATGGGATGAAACATCTGAGCTTTATCTAACCAAAAGACTTGAATCAGACTTAACAAGTAACGAAAATTATTATTCTTAGTTCTATGTAATGTACATAATTTATGACCCTGCATGAACTCATTCAATCCAATCTCTGCGCGAATCGCAACTCATTCTTCCCAAAATCGTAAACTGACACCACATTTTTCAAAAACGGTACGCCTAGAATATTCAACACGATGCCCTCATACGAGACATTCTCTGACGCCAAGAAACTCGAAACACAGAGCCCATCGTCGATCTGAAAGATGAGATCTTGTCCATAATGGTAGAATATCTGACCTCCAATCTCAAACCCAAAGATAGGCGCTTCCGCATCACAGTCCACGATAGAAGCTCCCAAGGCTTCATTATAGACAGCCGGCGGATCAAATAAAGCATTTATGGGATTGACGATTTCAGCTGGCAAAATACTAAAATCGTTCCCAGTATCCGTGAATACCTGAAATGGCGTTCGATTCGTAGTCATTGAAGTGGTGCTTGTATTAGATTTCACTTGTGTGGATCCATAGGTCACTGCAGATACAGTAAAAGCCCAGTAAGATCGAGTCCGTTTCCCAGAGGTAAAGGCAGGTGGAATATTTTGAAGGATCTCCACCGGAACTATAGAAAACTCCGGCTTATAAGCCACAGGTGGAAGGTCACCCAGAGTGAGGTAGCCACCGAATGTTGGGGCGGAGGAATTGCGCGGAGTATGAGCGAGAGCGATACTGAAATAAGGTTCCTCGACGAGACCTCGCTCATACATAGTGTTGAATAGTGGACTGTACACTTCCCGATCGAAAAAGAAAGTTGTATTATCTGTACTTTTTCTCGGATGCGCAGATGTGAGGGAAGGGTATGCTAGACCCAATACGCCGCAGTTAACACCATCACCCATTGGAGTGCTGTGATCGGCGATTCCGACAACCTGTTCTGGAACAGTGATTCCTGCTAGAGTGACATCTTCGTAGGCCATAACTCCGGAGGCGATGCCGTTTCCATACTGCACACCAAATGTTTGGTTTGGGATCACGTGGTATGTGCTGGATTCAATGTATGCTTGAGAACCATACTGGCAAGCTTCTTGGGCGATCTCAAGGTTGGTTGTCTGGTCAATGCATACGAAGCCTTGTTTCACAACGTATGTGTCGCTACTTCCGGTGTCAACAAGAAGTTTGAATGTCTGATTGGCTAATGTGACATCCACGTTAAAGGTCGTGCCATATTCAGCTGAGAGTAGCGAGGCTGTATGATTGGAAGTGGGGGAGACAGGATTCAATGTTAATGGAAGGGTCAGTTGACTTCCTGCGAGAAAAGATGAGAGCCTCATAGTATCGATGTTATTTCCAACCTTGGAACATTTGAATATTGTTGCCTCGGCGGGTCCGGCCTAGTAAACGAGTACGAAGCTGCGTTAGTTCCAACAGTTGACCTTAAGTTGAAGCTTGACCTTCGTCATGAGAATATATGAACAGGGGTATAGAAGAGTGGAACAATCGACCAAAATGGTCCTATGTAGCGCGCAAGTTCTCCATAATGTTTTCAAAGCTCGGGCAGTTTACCCATTTGGGCCAGGGGCTTTGGGGCCTTGTGGCCCTTGACAGGGATTGAATTAGACGAATAGACCAGGGTATGAACGGTGTACCTACATATACGCAATCTGTTACGTAGAATTTTCTCTTGAACTCCATAGGCCCAGAATTAATCGACTGAAAGCGGAATACGTGGCCATGTATTCTTTGTATTTTCAACGTCCCGCTTGTGATGTCCACTTGGGGCCAAATCCTTCGGTTCAGGCATCTTGGTCTACACGGATGATTCTCGCACGGAACTGCCGCTGCGTGGGGATAGGGCAGTAGCCTTGGCCTATGTCAGCTCATATCTTGTGGATCGGGGGTGGGGAGAGGGGGTCCACGGGCCGGGACCGATGGGGGCTGAATTGAGCTGAATTGAAGGGAGGCTGGTCCAAGCACTCGCAAAGGAACCCACCTGGCCCCGGGGGGAACGGGGCGAGGCGGAATAAAGAGATGTACAAAGTGTAAAATGTGCACTTGCAGCCCTGGAGGTGGTAGGCGAGTACGAAGTATAAGGATCCGGGGTCGTGATCGTTGTACATATCTACTTTTCAGCTAATTACCATCTTGGTCGGAGAGCCCCAGGGGTCCAGATCAAAGAATTTTCAATCTAACATAATTATGATATTTCTGGAAATTAAAAGTACCTAATTAATATTCTTTTTGATGAACTGTCTCCGTTATAAGTCCCGCTATGACGTTGAACCTGCCTTTTAAGGCTTTGAGACGGTTTATGTCAACAGTGTTTGCAGTGTTCTCCACCTTCAGTCTCAAAATTTCCAGGTGCCAGAAAGAAGATCGATCAGAGTAATGGTTCTGTTGGTTCAAATGTTAGATTTTTGTGGGTGCATGGACCTTCTCGCACTGAGTCGCGGACTTTATGCCTGATTTGATGGTGGATCTTACTACTTGCATGCCTAGTGTACATGCGATTCCCGAGATGGGCCGGCAGGTTTCTATATTCACTCTGGTTTGACGGAGTACGGAGTTTTTCTACTTGACCTCGATCTTCCCCCAACTTGGTTAATTTTGTTCAATTCTTATATTTAGAAGGCTCGATGATACGCGGGGTTAAGCATTATGATCCACATTACAGCTGCAAAACACGTTTCAGGTTCAAGAAATCGAGTTGAGAAGGACCTCAACGGATCGCACCCGGGCGACCCTATAGTTTCTCCAAAACTTGAGGACTGCGATCCCACATACACCTAGGCAGGCGTCCAGATATCCACACTTAGAAAAACTAGCCCCGATATGATATTTCCAATGCCTTTTCTTCATTGGTCGTGGCCATGAGGAAGTACAGCCAACAGAATCCTTGAACCCTGATACGCTAGCTCGCATAGTTAATTTCTTTTTCTTCCTCAAACACATGGATATGATATCACTACCCTCAGCCGGAGTTTGAGTGAAGGATTCATAACTGGGCTGTTATTTTAAGTATATCCCCAGTGGATATGTTTAGATGGAGACTGCATTAGCAGAATGTTGAGGTCGGCTGAAGTTGGGGTCGAAATGGTATTCAAGCCACATGGGCTCCAGTTTCAATGTTGCAGCTTGCAGAGGCTTTATTTAGATTATTTAGACTCAACTCACACGGGTCAATCGGACTTTAAAAGGCGATCGAGAGCCACATGTGCACATGCAGGATGAGTTCAACTTGCAGAGAATAAATGCGAATCATTACCAAGAGTGCTCTGTGATACTTAATTAATTGGACCCGCTCTTCGCACTTTCGTATTCCCAACTCGGAGCTTCCAAGTTCAAATCGCCTGCATGATGGCTATGTCAGGCGAGCCTAGATGCATCATGATCACGTATGTTTGTGCTTGACTCTATATGAAGTGAACCGAGCTAATCATATGCTGATCTCATGTAGTGCCCCAGTTCTAGGTGAGAACTGGGCCAATATCAGTGATCCAGTTGAACGCCGAAGGGCTCAAAATCGAATCGCCCAACGAGGATACCGAAAACGTGAGTAATCTTTGCCACATGGCAAATATCAGTACTTGGAGAGGCCAAGCTTTTGGTTTGGAAAGACGATTACAGATAACTAATGATAGCTCTAGGGTTACGCAAAATGGAAGAGGAAGCCGCTCAAAATAAACAGAACAATAACCGAACCAAAGCATCTGTCGAACCAGTGACTAGATTGCCACCTTCACCTCCTGAATCAAAATTACCTCAACCTCAAATAACAAAGCAAGAGCAAATTCCTGCAATTACTACACCTCCTCCATCAAGACCATCATCACAACCATATGCACTTCCCCACCCTCATCAATCACAAACACCCAGATTGCCGGATCTGCATCAATATAACCCACAATTGGACCATGTCACATATACAAGAAGACCCTGGACACCCTCATCAATGGAAGAAGAGGCCAACCAACCAATCTTTCACATGAAAACACCGCGCTCAGACCCTGTCTACTCAACCTCGCACAAATTACCTCAATCTTTCCACCCATCAACGGAAACTGGTCTACTCTGCTCTCCTCCAGGTCCTCCAGTTCCCGCTTCGCTGCCAACTCCGCGCGTGAGCCCAGAGACTAGTGATCTACCAAGGAGCGGAGATACATCCCATGGACACACAGCCTTACACCGCGCTGCTTTATATGGCCACGAGTCCGTATTAACCGTACTTCTGCAAGCTGGCGCAGACCCCACACTCCCAGATAGTACAGGCTTGACACCGCTTCATCTTGCCGCACAACAAGGTCATGCACGAGTAGTGCAATTACTACTTTCTCATGGCCCCCAGCATCAAGATATGGTCAGTCAGGCCACCAGTACGGGTGAAACATCACTCCACCTAGCTGTTCGGGCCCAGCAACCTGCCGTGGCACGAGTATTAATTGAACATTCTGCACGAGCGGTAAATGATCAAGATTGGTGGGGACGTACCGCACTACATATGGCTTGTGAGTCGAACCAACAAGGACTGGTTGAGATGTTAGTTCACGCGGGTGCGCAGCTTGATATTCGGGATTTTGAGGGCCAGACACTCTTACACAGTGCATGTATGGCTCCTGGTTTATGATCTCGTGATATTTATGGCTTTGAATTCTTTAGTTATCTTCCTTTTTTTTATGTTTTTTATGTCAGGTTTTTCTGTGTGCTTGGGGTGGCTGGGTTGTCTTTCTTACATGGAGTTCCCGAGTCGACGATCTGGTCGATTGGGCGCTCATTTTTCATTCCCAAGGGGCTTCGCCTTGAATTATTCCCCCTCTTGGCTCTCTATTTCATTTACCTTTTCTTCAGGCTACTATGTAAATAGTGCCCTTGAACCTGAGTTCAAATATTCCCTCTTCTTCGATCAATGGCTTTTTTAGTACAGCAATGAACATGTCTTCGCTGGTTATTTATTTCTTGCTAAGGGCTGCTTACTACCTAGCTGATACTATCAAACTTGAATTTTCAAATACTATGTTAGTGGTCGTTTCCGAGTCATCTTAAATTTTCCATTCTTTTATAAGACACTATAATTAGACGGAGTTTTGACATAAAATAAAATCGCCAATCTGGTTCAAGTTCAAACAGATGTTCTATTTTCACAAAAGATGCCAGTGTACGGAGTATCTAGCTTCAAACCTTGGAAGCACCTAAAGTCATTTTAGCTCCCGACCTCGGCCCCTCTCAGGCTGTACACTGTCACTGCACATAACTTTGGAAGCCAATTCAGATGAATCACGCTGGAATTGGAATTTAAAACCAGGTGTCGGGATCTGATTTTCAAATTTGCTATAGAATAAAAATAAAATTCTACTCATGTCATACAAAAATGATTGAACTGAGACCAAAATTGAAAGTTTCAAGTCACGGTGCCACCTTGAAAGTGTACTGGCATTAGTATCATCACCGTTTCGATTGATATCATTCAAATATTCAAGTTGTCATAAGTTGAGGGCTTTAGGGCTGTCTATATATCAAAAACTAGTATTCAGATCACATATTCATCAAGCAAGACTGTATATTAGATACAGCTTGGATTCCTCTCTTTACGTTCGGTAACCCTCGTACCGGCCACCAGCGCCTCGATAACTGTTGTCAATGCCTTCTTCCAGACCATGATCCTCATCAGTAGACTTTGTCAGCTGATACTCGGAGGTACTGGCACTTGACAATCGGTTCTGTTCCTTCAGCTCCTTGCCCTCCTTCTTCATGCGACGTTTCTCCTTGCGGGAGATCTTTGCCTTCTTAGGGAAGTCACTATCTTCACCTTGAAGGAAGCGACCCGGGTGGTAAACGTTCCAGATCACCATAGCTGTCAGCATAGGCAGACATTCAAGGCAGTAGAAGGGTGCCTCGTTGGTTGTCAGTGGACTGGTACCAGCTGTGTTGGTGTCGGCGTATTCAACCAGACGGTAGATAATTCGGATCTAGTATGTATAAGTTGGTGCTGTTCAATAAAGTTTACCAGGCATTGTGGAATGACTGACCGTGATACAAGCCAAAGTGGCGTACATGGCGATTGTCAAAGTGTGCCATTGGCGACCCCGACCAAAATCACCACCGCCCTGTCGCATGCGTCGATGAAAGACGAATAATAGGTAGGAGAAACACAGGATAAAGAACTGTTGCAGTGCAATACCACCGGTGTAGACGTGCAAACCGATTATGTCCATTTGGTTGCTCCAGTCGGAGTCCATAATACCGCCGGTCGCTTGGATGAAGAAGGAGCTGTCAAGATAAAAAGAAATTAGCTCTATAGAGCAGAAATCAGGAAAAGGAATTAAAACCAACCTGACATCCAACCAGATAAAGATCATAGACAGCTTTTCAGCCTTAATGCCCATAATCTCCTTCTCTGGCAAGTAGTAGTAGACCATGCGACCGAAGATCATATAGACATAGGCATTGATCCACAGCGGGGCTAGCAAAACCAGCAGCTGCCCAGCTGATGCTGTTGTTGATTTTGTCTGATTAATCGTTGAAAAGGTTCGCATGACCAATCCAAGACATTCCCATAATGTGCCTAATATAATGACCCAGCAGAACTTCTTGCGGTATTGGAATGCTTGAGCAGCATGGGCGATCCAAGTCAATCCGAACAGAACGGAGAAGACAATAGCTGCAGGACCATTTGCACAGTAGTCATATTGAGCATTCTCGTTGGAGAGATCTATTAAGGTCAGTCAAGCTCTGCAAGCTCTTGATCACTCAGTAGATAGATACCACAATGACTTGGCCAACCCATGATGGCAAGATAGAGACAACGCTTGACGAAATAGAAAAAGATGAAACAAGTGCCAGAGGAGAAAAGAAATTAGAGTAGGAGAATAGAAGAAAAAGATAAAAAAAAATAGGTAAAAGAACTAGCTGCTGACAGTGAGCATCTTTAAATCCTCCACAACACCCAAAATAGTTGACAATGAATCAGGTCAAGACCTGAATCTGCTGCCTGACCAGGATGGTTCTGGCCCCCAAAGGTGCTGCGGTTCCTTGCGCCACTCTAAACAAAGAAAAAATAGCTGTGAGCTCATCCTGATTACTTCCTGGTAACTGAATTAGATTAGCCTTGATGCAAGGTGAGACGCTTATGTGCATAGGGCTTAAAGCATCACCTTTAGACCCCATCACCTTGACCCACTGAGCGTCATTATGCTGGGTGATAATGGGGCTGATTGGATGCTTACTCGCTGCTTCAAATAAATAAACCAGCTAAGTTGGCGCATAATGGCTGGTTCTAGTCTTGTTTTTGATATTACAGCTTCCTAGGTTACTGGGCTAATTAATTCCACCATGTTGATCCCTACCGATGAAATTCTCCTCCCAACCGACTTATCCTCTTCGCCCTCATCTAGCTGGTCTACCTTTGATCAACCTTCAAACACATCTTCAACTGTCAACCTAGCTAGCAGTCTTGCTAGTAGTCTATCTGGAAGTCTATCAGCCAGTCAAATTCTCACCATCTCATATGGGACCTTCTCACACACTCTTTCCGTCACCACAGCCTCCTTCCCAACAGCGCTTCAACTCCGTGATGACTTTCTCCACGATCTAAAGGCGACGAGTGGGGCCGTTGAATTATCTTCCTTAGTGGAACTTTGGGCCCGCTTTATCGGTTTCACCGTGCACCGGCTAGAACAGTCGCCAAGCGGATTGAGAGATGATTTGCGACATCTATTGACGATCGCTCTGGATACGTTCGACAGGGATATTCTCTTACAACGCGAGATTCACGGTGTGGTCTTTGCTCTGGAAATTTCCCCTGATGTCCAGTCGGATATTTTGGCGGCTTACGTCCGAGCACGCTATGCACTGCGCCGCGTTAGTAGACCCACCGCGCCCTCAGCCCTCTTGACGGCCGCGCAAGAGCGCAAGGCACGGCTTTTCGCGGTATTTGGTGGTCAGGGAAATGATGAAGCCTATTTTGAAGACCTTCGGACGCTCTGGCGAACTTATCGGCCACTGGTAGAGGACCTCATTCTGTCAGCATCAGGTATGCTGCAGCGTGAGGCCCTCGAGGATGGAATTAGTCGATTTTATCATAGTGGCATGGAGATCATTACCTGGCTAGAGCATCCAGATCGAACGCCCCCAACTTCTTATTTGATTGGGGCGCCGATCAGTATGCCACTGATCGGTCTGTTGCAACTAGCTTGGTATCGTGTCGTTGGGCGCGTCGTGGGTGCCACGCCCGCACAATTACAGACCGCCCTCGCTGGTACGACCGGTCATTCTCAGGGTATCATCCCAGCCACCGTGATCGCCGTTGCCCAATCATGGACGCAATTTGATGTTTTGGCGCTTGATGCGCTCCGTCTGTTGCTTGCGATTGGTACCGGCAGTCAAGATCAATTCGTCGTCGCTCAGCTGCCCCCGGCTGTCGTTGCCGATGCAGAAGCCCATGGCGAGGGCCTTCCGGGACCCATGCTGAGCGTGGCCGACTGCCCAATCAACCAAACGATTGCTTATGTGGGCGCCGTCAACGAGTACCTACCGGCAGATGCTCGTATTGAGGTGGCCCTTATTAACGGACCTAGTCACGCAGTGTTGGCCGGACCACCACTGTCGCTGCACGGGTTCAATGTTTGGTTGCGTGCACTGAAATCTCCTACGAAGGGAGCTCAGCATCGAATTCCTTTCAGTCAGCGCAAACCAGAGATTCAAACCAGATTCTTGCCGATCACGACCGCCTTCCACAGCAGTTATCTAACTGATGTTGCGCCCGGTGTATTGGAACGTGTAGCTGATTTTACTATTACGGGTGATCAGCTACGCATTCCAGTATTCTGCACACGCACCGGTACTGATCTGCGCAAATATGGAAGTGCCAATCTCATCCCCAGGCTCATTGAGCTGATCACGACACAGGAGGTCGTGTGGCCTCGAGCTGTGCACTTCCCCGGAGCTACGCACATCTTGGCATTTGGCCCCGATGGCGCATCTGGTATTGGAGCTTTGACAAATAGGCTTAAGGAAGGCACTGGGGTACGCACTGTTCTGGCTACCGGGAGCTACAGCCCTCGGACAGAGCTGGGCGATCGGAGCGAGTTCTTCGATTGGAATACCGCACCCCGGGGCTTAATCTACGGACCTATCTGGCAGCAAAGATATCGACCGCGCTTGGTACAAATTGCCGGTGGCGGCGTGGTGGTAGACACCCGACTTAGTCGCCTCCTGGGCTTGCCTCCAGTGATGGTGGGTGGTATGACGCCGACCACCTCTTCCTGGGATTTTTGTGCTGCCGTGATGCGCGCCGGATTTCACGTCGAACTGGCTCTAGGAGGCTTCTATCGTCCAGCCCAACTGGAGTCAGCTATTTACAAGCTGCTTGATGCAGTCCCTGCTGGTCGGGGAATCACTTGTAACATGATATACGCTGCTCCTCACGCAGTCAAGTGGCAGATTCCACTACTGGCTAAGTTGCGTGCAGCTGGTGTCCCAATTGAAGGCCTTACAATCGGCGCTGGTGTACCATCGCTTGATGTGGCTACGCAGTATATTCAAGATCTCGGCCTACGACACATTGGGTTCAAGCCTGGCGCTTTACCCGCTATTCACCAGGTTCTCGAAATCGCTCGCGCTCACCCTACCTTCCCTATTATCCTCCAATGGACCGGTGGACGAGGTGGTGGCCACCACTCTTTTGAGGATTTCCATCAGCCAATTCTCCAAGCCTACCATGCCATCCGACGCTGCGAGAACGTGATTCTTGTGGCAGGTAGTGGCTTTGGTGGTGATGAGGATACTTTCCCCTACCTAACAGGTGATTGGGCCTGTCGCTATAACCGACCCCCAATGCCATTCGACGGTATCCTTCTTGGTAGCCGTATGATGACTGCAAAGGAAGCGCATACTAGTCTTGCTGCTAAGCAAGCTATTGTCAACGCTCCAGGTCTCGATAATGAAGCTGATTGGGAGCAGTCATACTCAAAGCCTGCCGGCGGCATTATGACCGTTATCTCAGAGATGGGTGAGCCTATTCATAAGGTCGCTACTCGCGGTGTGCGACTATGGGCCGAGTTTGATCGCATTATCTTCAAGCTTGACCGTAGTAAACGTGTTGCATACCTCCAGAGGAATCGCGCCTCTGTGATCCAGCGCCTGAACACTGACTCAGTTAAGGTGTGGTTCGGTCGCGATACGGAGGGCGAAGTCGTGGACCTCGAGGAAATGACATACGCCGAGGTTCTACGTCGTTTTGTTGCCCTCACTTATGTAGCGATCGAAGGTCGATGGATTGATGAATCCTATCGCCAGTTTTTGTTCGATTTCTTGCAGCGTGTCGAGGCGCGCATCAGTGATGATGATGTGGCCGGTGAAAGCAGCGAGATTAATATTGACGCTCTTGCCAATCCATATGAAGCACTCGATATCATCTTGGGTCAGCTTCCACGCGCCCAAGAACAGCTGATTGGTACTCAAGATGCGCAATATTTCCTCCACTTGTGTCAGCGACGGGGTACAAAGCCAGTGCCATTCGTGCCAGTCCTCGACGAGAACTTTGAGACTTACTTCAAGAAGGACTCGCTTTGGCAATCGGAGGATCTCGCTGCCGTGGTTGATGGCGATGTCGGTCGAGTCTGTATCTTGCATGGCCCGGTCGCAGCGCGGTACTCAACCAAGGTGGACGAACCAGCAGGCGAGATTCTCACTGGTATCCACCAAGGGCACATTCAACAGCTGCAAATGCGGGATCCCGACTACCAGGACGATGGACCCCCCGATTGTCGACTGCTTCAATGCCGGCTCTACCATTGAGAATTGGCGTCTGGAGGAACAGGGCATTCACTGCGTGTCTGTTGGCAACACAGGCTCAGTGTTATACGAAGTCATGCCTACGAACGGCCCGCCTGGCACTACCCCTACTCCATCGTTGTCAGAATGGCTAGCAGCCCTGGGCGGCTCCAATGGAGGCTGGCGCCAGGCTTTCTTCCACACGAAAACAATCGTGCAAGATGGAGCAATCTGCGAGAATCCCTTGCGACGACTATTCCAGCCTACGCGTGACTCGTATGTGATGGTTCAGCAGGGTATGAAAGGTGATACTATTATCACACTGTTCGAACACAGACCTCACTCTGAACCCGTCAAGGTTGTTGAAGTGCGAATGGATGAGCCTGGTGTCATCACTCTGGAGATCATCAATTACCGAAATGCCGGAGGCGAGGCTATCGGTCTACTATTGAAGTTCCAGTTCCGGCGCGAAGCCGTCTACGCTCCTATTCATGAAATCATGGATGGTCGCAATGAACGTGTCAAGGACTTCTACTATCGAGTTTGGTTTGCCAACGAAACCCCTGAATCGTGGCCATCAGTGCATGACACCTTCTGCGAATCACAATTTGAAGTGACGGCCGACTCAATCGCCGAATTTGCCCAATGCGTGCAGAATGCTAGTGACGCTGCCAGCAAGCGACGTGGTAAGCAGATGGCGGCGCCTCTAGATTTCGGTGTCGTTATTGGCTGGGAGGCGTTGATGAAGCCGCTCTTCTCTCGTGAGCTCGATGTTGATCTCTTGACTCTGGTTCATCTTACCAATGGCTTCCGAATTCCTGCTGATGCAGAGCCTATCCAAGCTGGTTATGCGCTGTCGACCAAGTCTCGCATTCAGGCCATAACAATCGAGGAAGCTGGTAAGATGGTAGAAGTTCGCGCAGATGTGTATCATGAGAACAAGGTGGTTCTAGAACTGAGCAGCCAGTTCCTTTACCGCGGTATCCACGACGATTGGGAGAACATGTTCCGCAGAGTTGATGAAGAGGAGATGGAATTGTGTCCTCGCACTCCTATGGATATGACAATGTTGCAATCGAAGTCCTGGTTCCAGCCCTTGGACCGGTCGCTCGACTTGCAAAACCAGACTTTAGTCTTTGTTCTACGTTCGACATATCAGTACGCCAGCAAGGATACCTTCAAGACTGTCACGACTGTAGGCGAAGTTCGTGTAAACTCGTCGCTTCCTGGAGGTTCACGGCTCATTGCGACCGTGGACTATCATGCAGTTACCTGCCGAGGCAATCCTGTTATGGATTACCTGAAGCGTCATGGTAGCCCTGTTCAAACACGCTCAATGTTCGATCAACCCAGTCCCTTGACTGCTGATGGATCCGCGTTAGTTCTTACCATGCCACGCTCTAACGAGGCATACGCCCATGTCTCCTGGGATTTCAACCCTATTCATGTATCGGCGTCCCTGTCCCGGTATGCAGATCTCCCAGGCTTAATCACGCACGGCATGTACACATCGGCCCGAGTTCGTGGTCTCGTCGAGCACTACACTTGCGCCTCGGCCATCGGTGCCTTTCGCAGCTTCAAATGTTCCTTCACCAGCATGGTGCTCCCAGGTGACGAGATTGAGGTTGTTTTCCAACATATCGGTATGCTTGCAGGACGCAAGATCGTCTCTGTTGAAGCCAGACACGCTGGTCGCGGCGAAATCGTCCTGCGTGGAGAAGCTGAGATCGAGCCCGAGGAGACTGCTTTCCTGTTTACAGGCCAGGGCAGTCAACGAAAGGGCATGGGAATGGACTTGTATGCACAAAGCAAGACCGCCCAGCAGGTCTGGGACTATGCCGATGCCTATTTCTCGGATAACTATGGTTTCCGAATCACCGATATTGTGCGCAACGATCCTAAGGAACTCACCGTTTATTTCGGTGGCCCACAGGGTCGACACATTCGCGACAAATACCGCAGCATGATGCGCGAGAGCGTCGGGAAAGATGGTAAGGTTGTAATGCTGCCTCTTTTCCCTGATATCGACGAAGAGACAGAGTTCCACACCTACTCCTCTCCCACCGGTTTGCTCTCAGCGACGCAATTTACCCAGCCAGCTCTGACGTTGATGGAACTGGCCATTTTCGCTGATCTTCAATCGCGTGGCCTGATCTCACAGCGTAGTTCGTATGCTGGCCACTCTCTGGGTGAGTATGCCGCTCTCGGAGCAGTGGGCAAGATCTTCAATGTCGAGTCACTTGTTCAGGTCGTTTTCTATCGTGGTCTTCTCATGCAGTTTGCCGTTGAGCGTGATGCAAATGGAAACTCTGAGTACCGTATGTGTGCGGTAGATCCTAGTCGTGTGGCACCTGGTGAGTACAATTCCTTATCCTGCACTTGTGATCTGCATACTAATTATATTTTTCATCTCCAGGCTTCGGACAAGACGCTCTCCAGCTGGTTGTCAAGACCATCGCCCGACAGACTGGCCTTCTACTCGAGATTGTCAATTTCAATATTCTGAGCTTGCAATATGTCTGCGCTGGACATGTAAGTTTTTTCACGAACTTCCCATCAAAAACATGACTGACCAAATAAATAGATTCATGCCATCCACTGCCTCACCACGGTGTTGGATTACATCCACGCCAACGCACCACTGCCCAACAGTCCAGACCAGTTCGCGACTTTAGTAAAAGCGCAGGTTTCGCAGGTCGCGCAGGCAAAGGCACCAAAAGAACTTGCCCGCGGCTGCGCTACAATCCCACTACCTGGAATTGATGTCCCATTCCATTCCTCATCACTGCTACCTGGTGTAGCGGGCTTCCGACGCTGTTTATTAGATTTCATTGACAGCCACGCATTGGACACCAAGTGTCTAGTCGGGCGATATATCCCGAATTTAACAGCCAGACCTTTCGAGTTGAGCAAGGAATATTTCGAGCACGTTCACCAAGTAACGGGCTCGGTTGCACTTGAGGGTATTCTACGCGAGGTAAGTTTATCTCTTCGTCTACGATAATCCTGGTGACTTACTAACATTGTTGATAGTGGGATACATATGTTGATTCAACTGGATCTGATGGTCTGAAGAAAATCGAGGGTGCTATTCAGGCGATGAAGGTGGCTTAATGATTTATGCATTATAGATTTTGCATTATAGTGTATTTTATATTTGAATGTATTTAACGTCTCCTTTCTTCATTCAAGTTATCATATTTTATTCATCCGATCCAGTTGAGCCCTTCAACTTTAAGTCCTATTGTTTACCAATCTATAGAACTGTGTGGCAGTTATTCCACATTTGGTTACTGGCAATCAAGCATTAATCCTATCTTGTACCAGAATTTATTTGAAGGTTGTCACATGTCTCAGACCGTAATTGTTCAAGCTTATTTTGTCAATTTCTTACAAGTGTAATATCTTAATTATGGCCCTCAAAAACTACTATATAGACCCCCAAGTCTGCCTTCTGACTTTATCCCATCATTCTCTCTTTCTCAAACTTGGCATTCTATTTGAATTAAAGCTTCAAACCAATAACACCACTGCTCAACATGTTTTCATTCACTGCGTTTACGGCGCTCTTTGGTGCTGTAGTGGGATTCTTTCTCTACGATCCAAAAGCCATACCCGGCCTGTGGCATGTCCGTCGCCCTCAAGATTTCTTTTGTCTTGAAAACATATTTGACTAATTGAAATCAAAGGCCCGGATGATTGCAATCCTTGCAAAGCATTTACTCTGGAAGGGTAATCAATCCCTCACGGAGACCTCAGCTATCGGCCCACTCGCTCCTTCGACCATATTTCGCCCAAGACGCACTCACTCCTACTGCTCGATCGCCGAAATCGACTTGAATATGCACAAATCAAACAGCACATTTTATGCAGACATTGATCTCAGTCGCATCGAGCTCTTGGCTACATTGTTCAAAGATGCCATTACGCCCCTCTCGCCCCGCGCCAGTTTGGCCCCCGATAATGCTTACAGTCGACGTAACCGGCGAAGACAACTCATAGCCGCACTTGGAGGCATAAACGGTGTCTTCCGTCGAGAAATCAAACCATACCAACGCTACGAACTTGTCTCACGTGTCCTAGCCTGGGACGAGAAATGGATATACATTGTTAGCTATTTCTTGAAACCGAGTCAGGCAAAGAAAGACGCGGAGATCACAGATGATCGCATCCTCGCATCGGCTGTTTCGAAGTATGTTTTCAAACAAGGAAGACAGACAGTTGAGCCAGCTGAAGTCTTGACGAATCTGGGACTCTTGGCAGGTGATCATGCAGCCCAGAGTGATGCTGATGATTCTGCTGATGTTCCTGCATCTGCCCCTGAACATCTACCTCTGCCTCGCCAAGATCTAGTGGATTACCCAAATCACAGTGGCAGTGAGTCTGATGAGTGGACCTGGAGCCATGTGGAAGTGGAGAGGAAACGTGGTCTGGCGATCGCAAAACACCTGGTCGGTTTGAATGGGGTGTAGGAATTGGGGGCCTAGATGATTAGATCGTGATCTTGCATGATTGAGTGGGTAGTTGGTATAAATTTGGAAGTGGATTTGAATTATGACAGCTATTTTTGTTATAAATAGAAGCAGAATGAATAATTAGAGGATACTCTTGTTGCCTTATGGTGCGTCTCTTGGCTTGGTTCATAAGCTGTAAGCCCCGATTCTCACCTTGCATCTGATACCCGCACGCTAATGCGGATCCTTGAACCCCCCTAATTGCATCATAGTATCACCACCCTCTTATCCATCATGATTTCTATCTTGAAGGATGAGACGTTCTGGCTATTTGCTTATTTTGTTCATACATTAGTGGTCATTGATGTTCCTGGCCCTATTCTACCGCCCCATTGCCACGAATGCTAGTCTTGGTCTCAGTACATTCCTCTATCAAGCGATGCAATAAAGGTGTAAGAGGTTAACGAGGAGATTATACTCTCCATTTACGCCATTTACGCCTGCCATACTGATTCCCCTGATGGCGTCACAATGGCTTCGTCGCAGGACGACAACCTGTCCTCTTGATGTCGAGGATCGGTTTGGACCACAGGTTAGTAGCCTGTGTCTGTCGGGCTTCGACTTCACCTGGTACTTTGAGTCAGTTATCTTGACATTGCCGGTGACCTTATTCTTTCTCATCTGGGCTGTACCGCGGATTTTCCATCTTCAAGGGAAGAGCGTCAAGACCCAAGGTGGCTACTGTGGTTATGCTAAGCTGGTATGTTACTTCCCATCTTATCTAATTCAAGTTGTTATACATAGACGACGGGAGCATCTTAGAAACACAGCTTCAGCTCTCTTAATGAAACCCTTTCTAATCACAACTGAAGGTCTTATATATGCTTCTAATAGGCGTCCAACTCGCTCTTGTCTGTCTCTGGGGAGATCCATCGGCAAAGATAACACGCGCCACGATCGGCAGTTCTGTGATCACATTGATGGCCTATGTGGTGCTTGGAGCACTTTCACAATATGAACATACGCGCACTATCAAGCCTTCCACAATTAATGCCGGCTATCTTTTTCTTTCATCGCTACTTTCACTGGCCGAGGCTCGCACTCTATATTTCATCCATACAAATCGCGTGATTCCGATTCTGTACACTGTCGGTCTGGGTCTCCGTGTTATCACCCTTATTGTTGAATCAATTCCGAAATACTCTATTCTCAAGGCCGCACACCGGAATCCTCCGCCAGAGACTGCTACGGGTGTGCTGGGTCTGAGCCTTTTTACGTGGATCAATCCCCTGCTGTTGACAGGAAGCCGAACAGACCTAACAATTGAGAGCTTGCCAGCTCTGGAGGATTCTTTGGTCGCAGATGGAAGCAAGCCACATGGATTGGAGAAATTCTGGCGGGAAAGTGAGTATATCACTTGGACTACACAAGCGGCTTCGGCTAACATGCTAAATAGGTGCCAACTGGGACAAGCCACATAGCCTACTCTTCGCGTCGATGCGGTACTATGCCTACCCTTTTCTACTTGGAATTCTCCCTCGAGCCTTGCAGATCGGATTCACTTTTGCACAGCCCTTCCTGGTTGATGCCACTATTAGCTGGGTCGAGGAGGAGGATGGGCCGACCACTATGAGTCAGGGCTATGGTCTCATTGGCGCTTTTGGAATCACATATATTGGTATCGCAGTGAGTACTATCAGACCAATGCACATGAATGATTGCTCATTTACTTAGGTCTCCACGGCTTATGCTCAACATCAAGCCTTTCGGGTGGTCACAATGATGCGGGCTAGCTTGATTGACATGATGTACCGTCATATCACAGTAATGCGTGACAGTGATGTTGAATCTAGCTCCCCGGTCACTATGATGAACGCAGATATCGAGCGTATAACTAGTGGTCTGCGATATATCCACGACCTGTGGGCGTGTCTTATTGAAATTCCGGTCGTTCTGTGGCTACTATGGCGGCAGCTAGGAATTTCCAATGTTGCTCCCATCGCCGTCGTCATCGGTAGGGTCCTAACTACTGCTCGATAATGACTGTGTAGCTAATGATTTTTAGTGACCATGTTGGTATGCGTGCTTATCTCTCTCTTGGCCGGTCCGCGCCAAAAAATATGGCTAGAAGCCATCGAGAAGCGCATAGATATCACGGCACAAGTATTGACTTGCGTGAAAGGGGTCCGTATGGCCGGACTTACCGACAAACTCTTCACTATAATTCAGAAGATGCGCGTCGATGAGGTGCGAATGTCGGAGCGCTTCCGTCGTCTCCTCATACTCGTGGTCGCTGTGGGTGAGTATCCTCATCCTCAAAGCATACTTTGATTTCAAGTTTAGATAGACTGACAATTATTTAGCCTATAGCAACTACTCCCTTTCACCTTTGGCCGCCTTCCTGATCTACTCTCTGAATGTCCGGGGCCATGGCGACAAAACTCTTACAGCGAATCGCGCCTTCACCGCGTTGTCACTGTTCTCAATCCTGGCCACGCCAATCACTAACCTTGTTGAAGCTGTAACGGGTATCGCTACAGCCATTGGCTCCCTGAAACGTATCAATCTCTTCCTGCAGTCTTCTTCTCGGAGCACCGACGGCTATGTATACCAAACCAAGACTGCAGCCAGTTCTGAGAGTACCCTGGCCAGCAACTTCGAATCCCGATCGGTGAAGATCGCCCGGGAACTGGAAGAGAAGGAGTTGGCGGATTACCCCAACTTCTTTAGTCGGCAAAGTCGACAAAGTCGTGAAGGCCTTCCTAGCTACGACTCAATCCCAACACTGGACTTCTGCGCCACCGGTCGCAGTGTCGGCTGGGAAGAGGGGAAACCGAACGTCATCGAGAATGCTTCATTTGAGATCCGTCATGGCACACTTAACATGATCGTCGGACCTGTCGGCTGTGGTAAATCTACATTTGTCCGCATGTTACTTCAGGAGACCCCGATCGCCACCGGAGAGCTCTTGGTAGAGACTGGCGCCATCGCTTATTGTTCGCAAATGCCCTGGTTGACCAACCGCAGCATGCAGGAGAATATTCTCGGAGAGTCCCTCTTTGATCTTAATTGGTACAATACCGTAGTGCAGGCGTGTGCACTGGATGAAGATATTCGCAATCAGCCGAACGGCGATCAGAGCTCGCTAGGATCTGGAGGTGCCACACTCAGTGGAGGCCAGAAGCAACGTGTTGTAAGTACATTTTGGAGAGGTCGATGAATGCTCGATTATGATTCTGACCATTTTGTATAGGCCTTGGCGCGTGCTATCTACTCACGTGCGGAGACAATTATCCTGGATGATGCATTCAGTGGACTTGATCGTACGACCGAGGAGGCCATTGTTAAAAGTCTGCTCATTCCTGGCGGCTTACTGCGTCGGATGGGGATTACCATCATAATGACCACCAACAGCGGTAAGTTAGGAAGTCTCATTCATTGTCTGAGATCGAGGACTAATTGAAGAACAGTCTCCCGCCTCTCGCTCGCCGATAACATCATTGCACTCTCCAAAACAGGCACAATCGTCGAACAAGGCTCATACAAAGAACTGATGGAATCTCCAAACAGCTTTATCCATACTCTGTCAATACCGAAGGGTAGTGAAGGAGCTGAGGACGATTCTGAGAATGCAACAGCTGAGGGTCCTAAGACGCACCGATTGATTAGCATGGCTGACCTGGATATCGAGGCGCCGCCGCCCCAGGATGGGCGGAGGACGGGCGATTTGTCTATTTACTGGTATTATGCGCAGGTGTTAGGGCTTTGGAGATCCATAATCTTTGTCGTGCTTATTTCCTGCTATGTGGTTGGAATCACCATGCCTTGTAAGTGTCTTGGTAAATCTACCGTGACTGCCGCTAACTTGTACAGCAATCTGGATCGAGTGGTGGACGGATGCGAATGCGAAGCATCCAAATGCAAGACTTGGATACTGGCTCGGGATTTATGGCGCCATCGCAAGTATTGCTGTGATAGGACTCGTCCTGGCTTGTTGGTTAGTTGGAATTACTTTTGAGACTGATGGTATTCTGCATCAAGACTGACCTTCCTTTCAGGCATCTGATGTCTAATTTGGTTGCTCGCGCGGCGAAGACCATGCACGCCAGTCTTCTGAGGGGTGTTCTAGAGTAAGTCTTCTCTGCTTCTGGCTTGAGATATCACTGACTTAATTTCGACAGCTCCCCGATGTCTTATTTCCACACCACTGATATTGGCGAAACCACAAACCGGTAAGTGTAGAGCTCGGCAGCAGAAAGGCCTCTGCTTGTTTTTGCCATTCATCCTTCCTAATATTTCGTAGATTCAGTCAGGATCTCCAACTCATCGACATGGAACTTCCTCTCGCTGTTCTCAACACCATTCTCACATTCCTTACTTGCATTGCACAGATGGTGGTCGTATGTACTTCAGCCAAGTATATCGCCGCCGCGATCCCAGCCTGTGTTATTGCCTTGTATTTCGTTCAACTGTTCTACCTCCGCACTTCCCGTCAGATACGATTTCTTGACCTTGAGGCGAAGGCACCCTTGATCTCGCACTTCCTCGACACTCTCAACGGTTTGACCACCATCCGTGGCTTCCACTGGGAGAAGCAGTACCGTCAGCATAATGCCAAGTTGCTTAACGCGAGTCAAAAGCCATTTTATCTGCTCTTCGCTATTCAGCGATGGTTGGAAATGGTTATTGCCCTGTGCGTTGCTGGCTTTGCGGTTGTACTGATCGGAATTGCGGTTGCTACGCGAGGCAAGCTCAGCGCTGGCTTCATCGGCGTGGCTTTGGTGAATATTGTTACATTGACAGAGAATTTGCAGGGTTTGATTATGCAATGGACCACTTTGGAGACATCAATTGGTGCCGTGTCGCGTGTACGCCACTTCCAGCGCACGATTGAAACCGAGCACACCGAGTGGGAAAGGATGAGTCCTGCACCAGAGTGGCCTGAACAAGGGGCGATTATTTTCAATGATGTTGTGGCTTCATATAAGTAAGGATTCTTCACCCTATTTTTTAGTGACACAGATGCTGACTTATGCAAACAGGGACTCGGCAAAGCCGGCCATTGATCATGTTTCTCTTGCAATTCGGCCCGGCTCAAAAGTTGGCATCTGCGGGCGAACCGGAAGGTATGATTCCAAACGCTGGTAATACACATCAGACTGGATCTAACTGTTTCTTCTGCAGTGGTAAATCATCACTTGTCTCTTCTCTCTTCCGCCTGATTGAACTATCAAGTGGGAACATCATCGTTGACGGATTGGATATCTCCACCCTTCAACGCAATCCGCTCCGCGCCCAGCTTAATTGTATCCCTCAGGAGCCTTTCCTGCTACCTTCCTGCTCTGTCCGACTCAATCTTGATCCCAACAGTCGCATTGATGATGACATCTTGATCCAAGCAGTACAAAAAGTGCAGCTCTGGGATGTGGTCGAAAAACTTGGTGGTCTAGACGCGGCAATCACCTCTGAGACATTTTCACCTGGTCAAAAACAGCTTCTTTGTTTTGCACGCGCCATGGTGCGTCCAGCTGGAAAGATCCTCATTTTGGATGAAGCAACTAGCAGGTATGCAGCCTATTTTTACCCTCAGATTACTTCAAGAAACTAATATCCAATCAGTATCGACACCAAAACTGACGAGATCATGCAATCACTCATTCGATCGGAATTTGCTTCACACACTGTGATCGCCATTGCGCATCGATTAGAAACAATTGTGGACTTTGATGAGGTGATTGTCATGGAAGCTGGACGAATCAAAGAACGCGGTGCGCCAGGAATGTTGCTGGTGCAGAAGAGCGCGTTTTCTGAGCTTTACTATGACAATGGACGCGCTCCAGCGGCTCCACAACATGATGGGGACGGGGAGAGTAATGATCCGGTTAATCGTTTTTCCCTGTACCTGTCAACGCGATTCTTTCCCTAGGCCGTGGGGGTACATACTCGTTTCTTTTCTGTCTCTTTTTTCTATATAGTTGCATATAGTTAGAATTCTGTGAACATTGTTGATTTTAATTGCAACCGAGATCCAAAAGTCCAGGCGTCAATTATGTGAGCCTTCTTAAATACGCAAAAAATACAATGTGGTAAGGTATTTTTAGAATATTACACGCCAAAGCATGGATGAGTATCTATGAGCACTTCAGCTCCTAGTATTCCAGCGATAGCAATAACTTCGCGTTTCAAGCTATATTTGCTGCCTGTAATCATTCAAATGTCTACCTATCATGACTCAATGATGCAAATACTGTTTTCAATGATCAAGCTGGCGAGTGTCCGCTGATAGTGCTAGTGCCTGGATGCACCCATGGGATATAAGAAAAGATATGGATTAACCCTACTACCTAGAAGTACTACTACCAATTAATCAGAAATGACCAAGGGTTTGACACCGCCCAGCAGCACTTAGGATCAATGTAAATGCAGAACACGTCTTTTCACCCCCACGTACAAAAGCCTTTAAGACTCAACTTGACTGCGGTTATTCCTCATTCACAACTTAACACTACATCATCGTCCTGCTCACCACCTCAAAATGCCCGAACGCAACCGCAGATCTCTTGCCCCATCCTCTCGCTCCTCGGCGCGTCGCCAACGTCGCCAAGCCTCAGCTTCTCAGAAGGCAGGTCGCGCCGAGTCTAGCCTCGACCAGACTGACGCCGAGACAATCGATGATGAATGGAAAAATCTCAAAGACTGCGCCCATGAATGACTTGACCAGTACGAAGCTACAAAGGATTCTGAAAAGCTACAGCAATGTTTCCGAGCACTGCTTGACTGGCTTCCAGTAGGAGGACGGGAGTCTCTCGCCGAAGATATTCTCAATTCGGAAACCGACAAGGAACTTGTGACAGTCTTCGACGATATTTGCATGTGCCTACTTTTCCCAATGGGATTGTGTGGTCGGACAAGATATCAAAAGACTCAAAAAATGGAACTGGAGGATCGAGAGTCTGATTTCGGTCAAGGTTGTCTGCAACGCGATGGAGATCGTTGCGTGGTAACCAACACCCTATCATCTGAGAAGAGAAAAAAACTTGAACCCGCAAACATCTTACCCTGGTCATTTCCATGTTACAGCGCTTCGAGGAAAGACATGATTACCTCGAACCTATGGACAACCCTCTTCCAATGTTTCCCTGAGATCCGGTCAGTTGTGCAAAGCGACAAAATCAACGAAATCCAGAATGGTCTCACGCTCCTCAGCTCTATCCATCGCCCATTCAGTGATTTCCAATGTGCATTTGAACCGATTACCGATACTCCACATACATACAAGTTTGTTACTTTCGAAGGTTTTCCGGCTGAAACGAAAGCATCCCTCCGCAACCTCCCCCAACAGATCAATTTTGTAACTGGATCCCCGCCTACACCAGAAGATCGACTTCCACACCCAGTCTTATTGGATTGCCACTATCGACTTGCGAACATCTTCCACGCCAGTGGAATGACCGAGGCTATGGGTAAAACTCTTCGCCGTGCAAAGAAAATCAAGGCTGGCTCACTCTTAGAGCATGATGGCACCACTGATCTAGCGTCTGCGCTTTACTACGCAATATGGCAAACTGTTGCAATTTAACCTGCGAGTTGGTGTGACCTGATGATGAGAATAGATGATATCTGGATGCCCTGATGTGAGCATGATTCATGGATTAGTACTACAATCCAATTCGATGTGGGGTCCCCATGTTCCCCACCCCCACTTCAATCAAGTTTCAAGTTCAATTTGATACTTCTTACTCGGAATCACATACTCCGCAAGCCCGAATCCGGTTGATGAAATAGCAGAGTCCATCAAATCGGCTTTTCCAGTTTCAAAATATCCCCACACCCCACTTTGTATTATTGACTCTCCACAATTCATATCTGTCAAGACTCAAGAGTACTCGGACTCCAAATAATCTTTTACCTTGATCAAGATCTAGGTTACCACAATGGCTCCTCCATTTTACGCCGAACATGTCGGGTCTTTGATGCGACCTGCGGAGCTGCTTGCAGCTCGGTCTGCAGCAGGTCTAACAAATACCTACTCCCAACTCACAAGGGAGGTCCAAGAGGCAACAGAAGCTGCCATTGCGGGGGTGGTTGTAAAACAACTCGAGCTTGGAATTCGCCCCATAACCTCTGGCGAATATGAGCGCGACAAATTCTATTCTGGATTTTTCGAGACTCTAGAAGGAATGAAGATCGTAGAAGCCATTCCAATCCCAGAAGGCTACCGAACCAACTTCCCAACACTGAAAACATTAAAATCTTTAAGAGTCACCACCCGGGATGGAATTGTTGCGGTCGGACATATTCGCCATACAAAGTGTGCTTATATGTCGGAATGGGAATCTTTGCGTCGTTTATTGCCTCAAGATCAGTGGAGCGAATGCAAATTGACGATGCCGCCCGTCACCCATAATCACATGCAGGTACGGATAAGATCTCTTCCAATTATAAGTTGCTCCCTTGATCTTGATTGCTCAATTGACTCGATTCTAGTTGGCAAAGGGCACCGCGTATTCCCCATCAGCGTACACCTCCGACCGAGATTATTTCCAAGACCTTGCCGAGGCATATCAAAAAGAGTTCCAAGAGCTCTACGATGCTGGCCTACGATCAATCCAAATCGATGACCCATGTTTGCTGTTCTTTGTGACCGATGAATTTCGCGAGGGTTGCGTGGCAGATGGTATTGACCCGGATAAAATGCTTGACGACTACATCTGGGCTCATAATCAGTGTCTTGCTGGAAAGCCAAAGGACTTGCATGTTGGATTGCATCTCTGTCGAGGAAATATGGCCGGCTCAACTCATATCATGAGTGGGTCTTATGAGCGCATCGCGAAGAAAATGTTTACCGAGTTGGATTACAACACCTACTACCTGGAGTAAGGCCACCACGTCTTCCTTTTTTTTGCTCGGTTGGATATATCTTTTGAGGGTGAACCAACTAACGTGGTATAGGTATGATAATGATCGATCTGGGGACTTTGAACCGCTGCGTCACTTGCCTGTTGGTAAAAATGTTGTCTTGGGTGTGGTTTCTAGCAAATCTCCGGATCTTGAGGATCTAGATGAGCTAGTTCAACGAGTCCACTCTGCAGCAGAGGTGATTGCCCGTGGGCAAGGCAGGGGTGTGGAGGAGGTGATTAAAACTTCGCTTGGAGTCAGTCCTCAGTGTGGATTTGCCAGCATGAGTCTTGGAGGTGGACGTGGCATGACTATGGAAATCATGTGGGAGAAACTGCTGTTAGTTCAACAACTAGCCGAGAGAGTCTGGAGTTGACAAAATGGGAAAACGACTCCATAGATCGGAGTACGGAGTTCCATTCACAAATATTAGACGTTGACCCACATTAGTTGTGCAAATAATCCTGATCTTGCATTGCGTATCCGTATCCGTTTCCGTTTCTTTTAATTAGAGATGGCAATGTGGATATGCTCACCTAGATAATCAATTCAAAGCTTGTTATTTAAGGGTTTATCTTTAATCCCAAGGTTTCGAATGTGAATAATATGCGAAGCATCCGGCCTTTCCTAGACGTATGACGGAATTTAGCAATGTAAATTGGAGTAGGCAGTAGTATTGGAAACATGACTATGCAGCAATCGATTAGGCTCTGCCAGTGTAATACATACAATTGAGCATGCGGGTTTCCTATAGATTAATGATTCCAAGTCATACATAACCTTGTTTTTGTTGTACCTGCAGAATCCAACCTTGAACCTGTGAAGACAATGTACGCCCAGCTATGTTAATGTGGGTACAAAGCCACCCCGAGGTGGAGCTTCCACGGCAGTCGTCATGATCAACCACATGGGGTCAATCTGTGATCCCTGTTGGTTAAAATGTGTTCCTCTTAGCGTGATCCATATATGATCAGATTTTCTATCCCGGTCGGAATTCAGTTTCCCCCATTTTTCACGTGGATCGCTTAACTTGCCCCTGAGTGTTACATGACGAAAGAAGTCAAGATCGTCATATTGCATGAGAAATAATCAGCTGGGCAGCTTTAATCCCGCTGACTAGCAGTGAAGCTCCGTTGTGCATATCGGATATTACCAAACTTGGAACTGACGGCATATAAAGACTATATAAGGCTAAGTCACCTTTTAATTATATCAGAATATTTGAAGTCAAGTTTTCTATTACTCCAAACAGTCAACCATGAGACTTAACACTGGAACCGCCATTGCGGCCTCTCTGCTCCTGGCTAGCCCAATCAACGCTATCAATATTATCTCATCCAACGATGATGGTTGGGCCGAGGTTAACATTCGTGCCTTGTACGACGCTCTGAATACCGCAGGACACACAACTGTTGTTTCTGCTCCAGCTGAGGATGAAAGTGGAACAGGTTTGTCAAAGTCTAGAGAAATATCAGCCTACCGAGTTACTGATTGTGCTTCATTCTAGGTTCTGACCAAGGAACACCTACTGTTCTCACTGAGGCCTGCGAGTTTAACAGTTGTCCATCGGGAAGCCCTGCCATTGGTAACAATGCGTCTGAGCCTCGTCTCAACTATGTGAACTCCTACCCAGCGACTTCCATGAAGTACGGTATCAACTCTATTGGTCCTACTTACTTCGATGGAGCCGCCCCTGATCTCGCAGTTACAGGCCCCAATGTGAGAGCGCACCCGGAATTATCACTTTTTTAGACGCTCATGCTAATTAAAATGCTACAGGTTGGTAACAACATCGGATTGGAGGTCTTGCTCTCTGGAACTGCCGGTGCGGCTACTTATGCTGCGTACGATGCTGGCATTCCTGCCATCGCATTCTCCGGTGACACCGGCTCTCAAACTGCCTGGAATGCTTCGTCGACCTACCCGCTCTACAGCCAAATCTACGCTGACCTTGCTGTCAACGTTACCGATACCTTGATTGCTTCCGGTACACCTTACCTGCCAAATAACATCTGGCTCAATGTGAACTTCCCCGCAGTCTCTGACTCGAAGTGTAACACTGTCGGTGACTTCAAGTTTATCTTCTCTCGCATCTACACCGCTGTCCCTCTCATCACCCCCGATGATGTGACAACCTGCGGTAGCGACCGTCTGCCCAGTGAGCTGGAGGTCTCTCTGGCCGCTGATCTCGACTCTGAGTGTTATGCAAGCATTTCTGTCGGTCTGGCAAGCAACAAGTCCGACGCTAATGCCACCATGCAAGCTGTTGTCCTGGACAAGCTTAGCGGAATTCTCTCCTGCATGTAATTTGGATAGCCTCAATGTAAATAGTGTTTATTCACATCCTGTGGGCCATTGGTATGCCGACAAATGAATAATTCCACCAATGGTGGTCTATAGTTTTCCATAGTCGCATACTAGTATTCAAATTCAAACAAAATCATTTGCCCAGAACAAGAAATTGAATCAAATCATAAATCCGATGTCAGAACTTTGAGTTGAACTTGAAACGCCTAATGCATGTGTAGGCCCACGGGCTATGACCGAATGCTAGTAAGCTGAACTTGTAGATGATAATACTTCCGGTGTAGCATCGGTTATTCTGATCAGGATTGATAGTGACATTCAAGGTTTACCAAGCATGTTAGTATGAAGCAATAGCTCACCGCATGATAGTTTCATGTTGTTAACGAGGGTTGTAGTAAAAATTAACAGGTCATGAAGAACCACCAAAGCGAATCAACCTTTCTTCACAGACCACGAGGATCAACACCTGCAGCCACTTTTATAGCCAAGTGGAGTTTCATATCGGCGATCATTCTCCTTTAGGTTGAAAGCCCGTTTTCTAGTCCGTGTTGGCAGCCTGAGATCCCGACCCCGGAGCTAGTGATCTTCCCGAGGTCCCCCTGAAGTTCAGAGGTATCCAGGTGCTTAGGTATCAATTCACATTGATCTAGTCTTGGGCTGATAGCGGAAAACAAATCTTATAAAGCGACCGACCGGCCAGACAATATTGAAAATAATACATCAAACATTTCCAAAATCATCTCCGATCATTGGAAATCAAACACTTCATCATGGTTTCCGTCAGTACCCTTTCTGGGGGCCTCAAGTTGGCAGCATTCAGCTACTTAGCTACATTGGCCACCGCCAGCCCATTGACAAGCCGAGGAACCATTGCCTCTGACGAAATTGTGGGATTCGCTCAAACTGTTCCTTCCGGAACTGTGGGTGATGTCTATCTCGCCTACCAGCCTTATCTGTATGTGGTCAATGGATGTGTTCCTTTCCCAGCCGTTGATGCGGAGGGTGATACAAAGTAAGTCTTCCGACTCAAGTCTCTCAACAGTTTAAACCTCATCCTAACATCAGCAGTGCTGGTCTCGCCGTTACAGGATCTTCCGATGGCGACTGCAGCAGCAGCACAGGCCAGATTTATGTTCGCGGCAACAGCTCTGGCGATTACTATGCACTGATGTACGCTTGGTATATGCCAAAGGATGAGCCATCTGACGGTCTCGGCCATCGTCATGACTGGGAGGGTGCGATTGTCTGGCTTTCCGACTCCACCAGCACAACAGCTGACAACATTGTTGCTGTCTGCCCTTCTGCTCATGGAAACTGGGACTGTAGTACTGATGGATTCACACTGGATGGCACTGCGCCATTGATTGATTATGAAAGCATCTGGCCTCTTGATCACTCCTGTGGCCTGACAAGTACTGTGGGTGGTACTCAGCCTCTTATCGCTTGGGAATCCCTCCCAACAGTTGCACAGGAGGCTCTGGATACCACTGATTTTGGAAGCGCTATTGTGCCTTTCATCGATGCGCACTTTGATACCAACCTGGATAATGCCAGTTTCTAAGAGCTTGGCAATGGAGGTGCACTGAGGGATTGGCTGCATTAAAGTTTGGATAAATCTATTGATTATATCTTTCCATAACTCGGGCTTGAACCTGTCACATGTGCAATGAAAACATTAGTATGGACCTCTAGATCTAATTCACGCTATACACGGACGTAATCTATTCATGTATAACTTGAATTTCCCACCATTCAAATAAATCAAAGAAATCTATATTGTCAAAACTCTATATTATGTGTACTGTGTTGGATGTTTGTTCAAGTTGTAGCGGGGGTGGAGGAAGGAAAATAAGCATCGAAAATGCAAGGGTGACAAAAAGTGTCTCCATGTAGAGTGTACAGGCAAGGGATAAGAAATTATATACCGAAGAATGAAAAGCGGAAAAACGAATGAGATCGGGAGTAAGGGGACAGCAGTATGAGTCTTTTCTGTCATGCCGGACCCTGAAGAGAGGATTGATGAAAAAGACCCGTGAAAAGGAGAGGAGAGAAACTCAGGTAGAGATGGAAGCAGCAAGAAGCTGGCACATCTATTCAGATCGGGCGCTCTTAGTCTTCTTACTTCGAAGCTTCATCATCAGGAACACCACAGCATAAGATGAGATACAGAACAAAGCTGTAATTCCAGTCTATAAAAGAGGTTAGTCACTTTCTTTTCGAATATAAAACCCAGGGCCTCTGTGAACTTACATCTCTCCAAGCATAGTACTTTTCCTTAATATTGAAGGTCTTCGCATAGTCCGCTCCAGTGGAGTATTGGCAGAAGGAACATGTTTCGGTCGCGTTTGAGTCCAATAGATAACCGGCTTGCGACGAAAGGAAGTCGGCCATATATTGACCACAGGTCTGACCGGATGGGGCACTGAATTTGATGTACTCAGAAGGCTCACACTTAACCTTGACATCCCAAAGAACTTCACCCAGAAGACCACCGACAAGGTAGTTGAAAGGATCCAGGTAGTAGATCCAGTATCTCCAGAATGCTTGCATCTGACTGTAAGGAACGACAACTCCGGCAAAACTGACCAGACCAGCTCCAATCAATACTGGATTCATCACAGCGGCGAAGTACTCGTTGGGTGCGTAGGCTGCGATCGCTTGACCGATAGAAGTATAGAGGAGCTCGTAGACTATTCATTCGGATGAGTCAGGGTGACAAAATCAAGGTAAGACAGATTAATACTCACAGATCATCTGGAGGTAGAACTGGCCCGCGATCCGGGACACAACTGGAAAACCGGCTGTGTAGTAGAAGCACAGGAAGTAAAGAGTGGCACAGATAATGAGGTATGGAATCTCAGTTACTGCTTGAGCGCCAATAAATGCAATCCAATGGTAGGTTTTTGACTGAAAGAAGATAAAGTGGTCAGTAACAGAAAATCAAATACGCCTAAATGAAGCCGAACCTTCTTTTCACGAGTCTCAAAGATATCTCGGTTCTGCAGGAAGAAAGGCTGCATTTGATTGATACATCCGGGAGCGACGAAAATGAAATTGAAGATGGCGAAAAGTCTTAGCTGGAGGGAGAATGATCCATCTCCGACCTTCCAGAAAGTGAATCCACTGAAGAGAGCAGCAAAGATATGAAGGACGATCTTGTTCCACATGTAATCCTGGAAATAGTCAGCATCCGTGCTTCTGAAGTCTTTTCTTAACAAGGAGACATACTGGAGAGCGCCAAATTTGTATAGTGAGACGTTTGGATACCAATTTGAACTGGTACCAGTGCGAAGTCGCAAAGTTTGCGGTATCTTCTACATAGTCAGGATCGGCTAGACCAGCTGCATTGAGGGCTTCGAGCTCTTCCAAGGCACGTTTGCGCTCATCAGATTGACTCCAAACCTCGACCCAATCAGTGTTTTGCGTTGCGCTGCCCTGGACAACTTCAATGATGTGCTCCGCTGGGTTAGCATCTGGTGGACAGGGTGCACCATTGCGAGCGAAATAGTCCAGAATTTTCTTTGACTCGTTTCCAGCTAGAAATAGGGATTAGAATGCGTAGATCAAGTTTACATATGACTCAGACTTACTTTCACCGAAATAGGTCATCCGACCGCCCTTGGCGAGAAGCAACAGGCCATCAAACGCGTCGAAAAGGACGGCGGAAGGTTGATGAATTGTACACTAAAGCTGATCAGCATGAGAAATATTGATTCGAAGTCTGGCTTACTTACCAACACAGCCTGTCCACCATCAACAAGTTTGCGGAGGAAACGCACAATGTTAAACGCGCTTTGACCATCAAGTCCTGATGTAGGCTCATCCAAGAACAGTAATGAGGGTTTTGCTACCAACTCAACACCCAGGGTCACACGCTTACGCTGCTCGATACTGAGTCCGGCTCCAGGTACTGTGGTCCGTTAGTGAATCGAACATATATGGTACAATGGAGAGAAGAGCAGAGATTGCCGGTGTGGTGCCAGTCTTACCTCCGATCAGAGCATCAGAGATGTCATCAAGTTCTAGAAGAGTGATGATGTGATCCACGTATGCAAGTTTTTCTTCCTCTGAAACAGTGGATGGCTGACGCAGAAGAGCTGAAAAGACGAGTGCTTCCTTGACTGTCGCTGACTTTTCATGAACATCAAGCTGTTCGCAGTATCCGGTTGTTCGCTGGAAACTGATTCCTTGAGGACGACCATCAATGAGAATTGATCCGTAAATCTCACCTGAGTCCTTGCGCTGGGCAAGAACATCCAGTAGTCTGTGGGTGAATTGGTCAGTAAGAAATACGTGTATAATAAGCATGAAATCTGGAACTTACGTTGTTTTTCCAGCTCCAGAGGCACCCATCAAAGCGACCAAGCTTCCTGGCTTCACAAAGCCAAACACCTTGTTTAACAGTTGCTTCTTCTCGCCATGGAATGGGACATGGTAATCAAGATTATTCCAAGTAAATGTGGACTGCTTCCTTGAGCTGGACAGAGCAGTAGCGTCGACTGATTGCTTCAGCGCAGTGGATTTCTCCTCATCACCCTTGTTTCTCTTCTCACTGCCGCGCTTGTACAAGAGCACAGATGAGCCACTCTGGCTGTTTCGTAACTCAAATCCGAGGGAGGTAGTAACAATGAAAAATATCCAGAAGCCGATCAAAATACCGAAGCTTCGCCAGATATGGTGGAACGAGTAGTCATACTGCTCGCGAATGTAGTCCTCTCCACTAATTATACCGTTCTTGCTGCCCAGAACAGAGCATCCTCGGTACGGGGATGCCGAGCTGGGATAGCTGTCTCCGTATGGAATATAATCTGGCTCAACACATTTGAATTCGCGACCGACAAACTCATTTGCCATGAGCGCCTCAAATGAGTAGGCACCTGGGTTGAGATAGAAGATCCAGCGGAACCAAACATGCATCTTGTGGAAGGGGATTAGGTAGCCACCATAAACAAAGAAAACTGTCGAAAGCAAGCCGGAAATCTTGGATGCATTTCCAAACTTCTGACACACAGCACCCACTGTGCGGAAAAGCTGAATAAAACACAGGTTTTGCACTATAATGATGATCCAGTAGGTGAAGAAACGCCCGGCATCCATCTGCAATGCGGCCATGAAGTAGAGAATCAAGGAAAAGCAGGTAACTTGTACCATGACGATCGGGATATCTGTAATAGCACTTGCAATGCAGAATGCGGTCGGTCGGTAAAATCCAAAACGTTTCTGACGGGCAAGAATAGGACGACCCATGAATGAGCCTGTAGTCTCCGACATAGACTCAAGAAGAAAGTACAATACTGGGAAGAAAAGCGCGCCAGGTCGCAGGAAAATCGATGAGCTGTCATCTGCAAGGTTGTAGAAGAGCGAACCGCAGACCAGTGCTTGAAGAATAGCTGAGCAGACCCTGACAATAAGGGAAAATTTGTCTCCCCATATGATTTGGAATTGACGTAGAGTACAGGCACAGATTTGACTCCAAATACCAGCGGTATACACGCTTTGTTGGCGGGGAAGATGCTGCTTCTTCTTTTCACTTGATACAGCGACCTTCAGGTCCTCAGTCTCGTAGGTGAGCTTTTCAGGTGATTGAATGGAATCACGCTGTTCGTTGCAAATCGAGCTGGCCTGATATCTGGCTTCAAAATCCTCTGCTGTATTAGGCACCGTTTCTTCCCAACCGGGACGAACGATGCGTTCTGTCAGGACAGTGACTGAGGTCAAATAATCAGCGATATTTGCACCCTTTGGACATATGAATCCCAGATCTTCAAAGTAGCTTTTGGCTAGTGCCCGGGGACCATAGTAGATGACTCGTCCATCGGCAAGAACAAGAACTTTGTCGAATTGATCGTAGATTCCATTACCGGCTTGGTAGGTGGTAGTGATGATGGTTTTGTCATTCTCATCCGCTTCACGTCGTAGCAACCGAGCAAATTCCACCGCTGCTTTGGAGTCGAGACCACGAGTTGGATTATCCCACATCTGAACTGGACTCTGTCCTGCCATGACCTCAGCAAGTGAAACGCGCTTACGTTCACCTCCAGAGACTCCACGAATAAATTCATTTCCAACCAGTGTCTTCTTTGTATGACCGATACCAAGAGAGTTGAGGATGGTATTTCTTTTTTCCTGCACAAAGTCGTTCCGATTGCTCAATTCCTCAGGACGTTCGTTGGGAATCTTATTGCGCAAGGCGAATTTCATAGTCCGGTTCACCGTGAGTGTAGGGAAGTGCAGATCATCTACAAGGAGATTAATTAGTATTCATCTCATTGTCGAACCGATTGACTGCGACTTACCTTCATTGTTGAACATGATTTGCTGACGGAATTGTCGCGCAGCTTTATGATCCATGCTTCCATATCTTGTCTCTCCACTGATTTCGTCAAAAGACGCACGATCATTTGAGAGAACTCGCAGAAGTGAGGTACATCCAGATCCTGGACGACCCAATACCAGAAGCTTGGATTCATTAGTCTTGATCGACCATGAAGTTGATCTAGACTTACCATTTCGCCCGGTTTCACTTGACCAAATACATCCTTCAAAATTGTCTAAACGGCCAGCCAGTGGTTAGTACAGAACGGCTCCGGTACAATAGTGGGTCGAATCTCACTCGTTTGGAACTTGTGCTCCGTTTAAACAAGCCCGAAAGCTGACGAGGATCGACATCCGACCATAGAGTGCTACCTAATGCAGCATCAGGAGCTGTCACTCGGACATTCAGATCACGAAAAGTGACTGTGAGCCTTTTTCGAATTTCTTCTCTGTTGTCCTCAACATCCACTGGCGTGGCAGTGCCTGATGAAGGTGTGTCCGAGTCCATCATGACGTTGATATATCTTGTGACGGGCTGAGAACCCAGGTTCACTCCTTAGTTCCAACCAGTTTGATCCAAAGAGTGATACTCTATAGATGAAGCGACACTGATTCCAAAAACCGTGGATCTTCATTTGTACTATTGCTCGCTCTTATATTGGGAAACTGCAGAATTGGTCTATGTTGCTATATCCGAAGCCCCGAATAGTGGATCTCAGCGGGTTTCCACTATCAATATGAAATTGACCGAATGAATCACAGCCATTCGTAGTATCGAACTGTGGGTCGTCGGATCACGGAAATATACCATCTTGACACCGGATTTATGAATTCAGGAGGTTAGCCAATGCTAAATGGTGGTTTTCTCAGTGACCCACCCTGGACTTCTAGAGCTCCCATGGAACCCTGGATTTTTGTACGCGTTTGCAGTCCTCGGATATATGATTATGGATCTTTTTCGATCTGTGTCGATCAGCGGAATCTCTGAATATTCGGATTAATTATGCGATTATGGAAATTAAAACGGCATAGCGTGCGTGATTAGTCCCGGGAATATGTATGCTTAGTTACATGAAACATCCGGAATGCCGTCAGTGACTCGCAGTCTCCAAGCAGGAACCTTGAACTTGAACACAATCGCCAAAGGTAAACCACTCTTCCCTGTGTGTAGGCTGTTGACGGAAGAAAGAATTTTAAATATGCCATTCACGCGTGGGAGACTGAGGTTGAGAGGACCACATTTTTATCATTATATCATGCAAATCCGCTACCCTGTGGAAACAAAGGATCCGCAGACTGATAGACAGAAAAGAAAGACTCAAGATCCATGGTAGAAAAGTCAAAATCCCATCCCATGTCCGTCTGAGTGAAATCAAGCAGGTCTTCGTTCGATGCGCCAGATCGACCAGTTTCGGGTCCTTCGATTGGTGGGAATTGCCATTGAGAAGTTGACGAATCAGATGGAATATTCCTTACAGAATCATTCGGAAGACTAGATCCACCAGGTGCTTGTAAGCTGTTCAAAATAGCGTGAGGTTGACCGAGGTATGGACGTTCCCCAGCAGATAATGGATCGCCATCCCTATTTTGGGGAGACGACCATTCATATGATGGATTAATTTTCCGCAATGTTGTCTGAATAGCAGATATAGAGCTTGCAATAGGGTCGCCTTGTCTCATCGTTGACATTGTTTGCAAAGAAGCATAGACCCAGGGTAGATGAGAAGGTGCGGAATCGGTGTCATGGACTAATTCATATATCAAGGTGAAAGCGGAACTGCCTATGAAATATCCGTGATACCGTAGTTGCTAGAATGTGCGTCATTAGCCTATGTAGGTATCAGGGGAATTATGTGATTTCTTGATACCCTGACAAGATCGTTGATACGAGACGCTTCGCTCAAGTGATGTATTGTCTTTCGTGCGGCATTCAAAACATAATTGCATGCTTCATTCAACCAGGGTGGAATTTCTGTCGGACGACGTGATGTTGAATCGCTGCCTTGTCGAGCTGCCATTTTTCTTTCCCGTTGAAGATGACCGCGAAAGATCAAAAAAGGCCGGAATGTAAGAAGTTGGGTGTGGTAATACACTAGGAGAGTTTAGCCATGACATCACATACTGTGTGGATTGAGGGACCATACGAGTGGTAAAGATCGTTTGACGAACACCAAGGGGTCCCGTATGAACATCAGCGTCCCCGAATCCAAGACTCTGTCGAGAGAATTTTTCGTGGTCGCGAAGGTCATTGTTAATTGATCTTGCCACGCGCCACATATGAAGCAGAGATTCGTGGTGTTGGCCATATATCTCATCTGCAGAACGAGAGATAGATTGGCATAGATGAACAAATACTCTTATGAATGGGTCTTGCGTATACTCGATCGCGACATCCTTCAAGGATAACGAGCTAGGACGGCCGGTATGAAAGCAAAACCACCTAAAAGTCTGATTAAGATGGGAAGGGCAAAGAAATGGAAAAGAAGACGGTACATACGTTTCGAAAACGTAGAGAGACCAGAATGTTACTCGCCGTGCCTCGACTTTCTCTGGCGTTTGGTCTTCTCCGCCATAGGGAACATCCTTATGCAAACCTGCCGCGAGCGCTTTGCGAGAGGCAGTCCCAAGATGGAGAAATGCAGAATTCGGTCGGCCCTGTTCGTTCTGGTAATTGGCGTATATCCAGATGTCTTGTTAGTAAAGCCCAATGCAAATCAAGGATTGAGGGACTTATCAAAAGCAACGAAACCTGAACGGTTTGGATATTGACGACGTCATCATAGGAAGTAAGCATTGACTTGACACGTTCATATAAGATATCACCCCATGTAAAGAATTCCGTACCCAAAGATGCAGTCGCCATAGCGAGCAGAATCGTAGCTTGGGTGAGGACGTCAAGGTAACTGCCGGGAGTTGGGTGATAAAGCTGTTCTAAGCAACTTTCCAAATATGCCTGCGGGAAAAAGGGCATCATATGATACAGAGTGGATAGGAATCGTGAAAGAAACAATTTAGCTGTGTCATACGGTAAGAACATCGCAGAAGGATCACTCAATGCCGACTTCCCTGCATCTTGAGGATCTGGCGTGCCGAAAAAGATACGACGGAAGCTGAATAGTTCCAGTCCGGCACCCGCTTCCTCGACTCCACTTGACATGCCTGTATGTGCCATTGGGCTGGAAACGAGATCGCGATAAATATGTTGCATGAGAGAGAAGTGGGATGTGGGGCCATAATAAAGTTGCATTGGACATGACGGCGATGCCATATGTGTTGCAGAGACACTATTAGGAAAATTATTCATCACCGATGAGCTTCGCTGGCGAGACGGTCGCGTCGGGTCGGGCGAAGTTCGACGCGTCAGTCCCTCGCGACGGGTCTCTTCGTATTCATGTTTCTTTCTGCGATGTCGAATGAAATCCCTGTAAATACAAGGGGTCTCTCTTCTTTCGCATGTCTTGCAGCTGAATGATCATTGTTAGATGGTTGTTTGAAATTAATTAGCTGCATTAATCTTACGGGTTTAAACCGTTGCACCGGATCTTGCGTTTCCGGCACTCCTGGCAAGCCTTAGGGATGCGCCAACCGGGGCCTGGGGAATTTGATGCCTCAGCCATATCCGAGAGTTTCCACTTGTGAGCTGAGCACTTGTGTGGCCCTTGGGCTCCTGATCAGTTTGTGTACTGTAGTCGGTTTTCTCTGCTTCATCCGTCTATATCCGAGGGGGGTCACGTGGTTTCCGCAGTGGGTCGTATTGATTAGGTGAGCCATTATATATGCGCCTAGGTAGGTAGGTATGTGCTATTATTGGTATTATCGCTATGAGGTGAGTTAACTGACATCGATTACAGTTGAAAATAAGTTATTTGATCAAGTGACATTCACATGCTTCACATGCGTTAGTTCAAGTTCTTCATCATTTCCCCATTCTCCGCACCTCGACGGGCCGAGGCCGGGAGTGAGACCCTGTATTGCTCTTAGTAGCGGCCCTGCAACGCCGGTTTACAATGCCGGTTCCGGGAACTGTGAGAGAGTATATAATGATGATAACTCTTTGCAAAAACCTCGCCGATCAACAAACAAAATCAATTTTTGGTTCTTAAACACCATTTCAAAATGTCTTGCGAAGCTTGCCGTACCATTCCTCCAGTGGTCGCAGGGGAATATACTCCAAAGGGCCAGTACGAAACAATAGCCGGGCTTAGAACATGTCAGTCAATACAACTCCAAATTCTAAGGTTCCATGAATTGAAGCACCTGTATTAACCTCAACTGTCTTCAGACGTTACAGGAAATCAGGAATCCACTGCTGGCATAGTGGACATCTATGATATCTTCGGGTTAGCCAGCCAAACTATCCAGGGTGCAGATCTTCTGGCGCAACGACTCAACGCTGTTGTGCTGGTGCCGGACTTCTTCCAAGGGGATGCACTATCTCATGATATTATTCCACCAGACAGTGAAGAAAAGAAACAGAGGATGGGTGAATTTCTCGCTACAAAGGCGAATATCCCTGAGAATGTGAAGGTCTTGGTGGAGGCTGTCCAGGACTACAAAGTTCGATTTCCGACCGTGGCCAAATGGGGAGCATTGGGTTTATGTTGGGGTGGAAAGGTAATTTTGTCTCAAACATAGAATTTGGATGGCAGTTTTGATCTTACTGGAATTCTAGGTGACTGCCCTAGCCTCTGGGCCTGATACCGAGTTTGCTGCATCTGGCCAAGTTCATCCCGGGTATGTTTAGAACCCGCACACGAGGATAGTTTTTCTGAACTTCAACTGGTTGCTAATTGATTTTTAGTGCAATGGATTTGGCTGATGCGAAGGCTTTATCAATTCCTCACATTGTGTTAGCTTCCAAGGATGAACCAGCCGATGTGGTTGGAGGATATGCCGAGACTATTGCTACAGGAAAGGGTGGTTATGTGGAAACTTACTCCAGCATGGTGCGTTGTTTCAGTCCGATTCGGCATTCATCGTCATGTTTAACGTCTCTCGCTAACACAATTTGTCTCCGAAATAGTGGCACGGATGGATGGGCGCCCGGGCCAATTTAGAGCAGGAAGAAAGCCGAGCGGGATATATTCGTGGGTGAGTTGAAGATCTTCATTTCCTTTCTCTATCTTCAGGCCATAGCTGGCAAGCCAACCCACGAGAGCCGTCCTAATATTTCCACTTTATCAGATACAACAAGTTGGGTGATTTTTTCGCCGAGAATCTTTCTTGAGGTACAACTTCAGGTTGCAAGGTTAGAAATTTGAAAGATGCATTTGCGCTCAAGACTTAAATCATTTTGAGCTCCCTGGAGCTCTAGTTGAAATGTTAACCTACGCAAGCATGTTTTTTTTTGCCTCTTGAATCACTGAATGAATGACCTCTACCAGTATTCAATGTCCAAGGTCTTATCGACAGAAGCAAATCACATTGTAGCTTGAAACTAGTGTCTACTTTATTCAACGTTTGGAAGAAATCAGAATGAACAAAAAATCAGCTCATACATGTAGTTCCAAGATCAACTTGGTTATTCTATTGTTTCGGCCATTATCACTAATGGCCCCTGCCAGTAGACACCACCTGGGCACCTGGCCTCGACTTTGATGACTCACGCGCAGCGCTCTGATTCCAACTATCTTGGCTATCAGGCACCAAATCAAATGACTTTCATGATTTCCAGCCCAGTTCAAGCTTGGGTTCAAAAAATAACTTTCTCGAATGCCTCTTGCAGTCCTTTACTCCCAAGCCAGACTTCGAAAGCCTGCATGTCGCCTCGATTAGCTCTTTGGCCACCTCGCTCGCCCAATGAGTTCGTGATTTCCTCCATCCCCGAGAAGACTCTTTGAATTTCTGTTGTCTGTCTGAATCGTTCGCTGACTTTTTTCTGGTGGCTCGGGATATCGCCCCATGAATGTGTCTTGATAAAACTCATATAAGAATCGATATCTGTTGATCCACCTTCAAGACATAGAACTCCCGGCTTCCCAGCGAGTACAAAGCCTGTTAGGGAGTATGAAGGAGCGAGATTAACCATATCGTCTCTCTTTTCACGCGTTGAGAGAGACGGAAAATAGAACCACACTCTCACCATTTGGCCACGCGACTCCCTATGCGACCCAGCTTTTTCCGCAGCTCTGGCCATACTCTGCTTCACTTCTAGGAAACGATTCGCTTCACTCTGGATGTATTCAAATACTTCTAGGACGTCACTTTCAGGCATCGAGGTAGCAATTTCGGCTACTTCGGCTTTAGTCATCCAATCCGGCTGTCGAAGCACATAGCCGAGGGATGGGGGTTGGATGAGTGTATCGGGATCCTCGCATTTCAACGGCACAGAGATGTTGACTTGGATGGACTTTTCCCCCTCGGCAAGGGGGATATTGACAGCAAGGAAGACCTCCGAGGGGACTTTAGAGGGTACAGGGCTCTCATCTTGGCACCACTCTCTCAGTTTTTCTACATATTGGATGGTATTCTCGGGTACTTCAAGTTCACCTGGAGACGGGAACATTGCTGTCAAGAGATCAACTAAAGATAATTGGGACTCCATAAGCCCGGTCGGCAAAAGCGACATTTCCGGGGGACTTGAAGGCATTTCTGTCCTTATTTAGGCCCGAGTTCAAAGAATGCAATACCTTGAATTCTGGGTTCACGACACCTGTGGATTCGATACCACTTTGTCAAATTTTTAAGGATTGATGATTTCTCAGATGATTGACATCAATTTTTTCCTGAGTTCAAGTTTGTTCTCAATAACTTCATGCCAGCGGAATTCGGAGTTGAAATTGAACCCCCTGAAGTTCACAACTGAATGTTCAAGTTTTCTTAATCTCCACTAAGTCCATCCAATGAGCGCGCAGCACTGAATAAAGCGCTTATCTCTTATCTGGAATCAATTGAATCAAATTTGAACTTGATATTAAACAGTCCTTGTACGTTCTTCAAATTTAAGATCCAATTTATACAGTGGAACTTGAGTTCCGCATTACTAGTACCTAGGGAATGAGAATCCCTTTCATCTGAGCCTGAGTCTCGGGCCCTGGGGCTGGTTAACTTCAAATATTAGGATCTGCCAGGTGAACATCGCTGCTATCATCTAAATTTATATCTTTAATCACTCAAGTGCTGTAATGATGCTATACTACTCGTACTGGCATCATCATGGCTAACTGATCTTGCCCAGGTGCCACACGATCGTAGTGGTTAATGCACATGTGAACGTATGCAAGTGAGATTCAATTCAACTTGAATAATAAATTAGTTGACATATATCACCCACGGACTGCATACTGGGCGTCTGGAGGGTTAAATCCATTACCGGCAGTTGACAAATCCGCAGAGAGGGGGCCAGGGGCTTATCTCAAGGGTCGCCGCAGGATGAGAAGTTGAAATGATGTTGCCTACTGGCAGGTGGTGTTCAAGTGTGTTATGACTCACACAAATGAGGCTTCACAAAATAAAAGGGCAATTTGAGCTTCATCCTGCTGCCTAGTGGTAGCAAAAATTCAATATTTATTAGAACTTGGGATCAATGCTCTCGTTCTCCCTTTAGATACTAGGTATCACCTTCCACTCCACCCTCTTCTCTCCTTTCCTCAACCTTGGAAGCAACTTCCGTTCTGACAAACTTGAAATTTAAGCGTACACTCCAGGGCTGCCAAGCTTGAGTTCAGGTCACTTCTCCCAGTTCCAACACTCACCTTGGAAGTTTTCAACTTGAAGTTCCTATTTTACCGACAAAATGCCAATGCAATTCAACCCTGCTACCCAAGAACCCTATCTACGCCTGTTACCTCCACATTCAAACATCATTATCACCCCACATCGACTGGACCAATGTGAATATGAAGTGACATCTATAGTGGAGATTTTGAACCATCCAGAAGTCTGGCCCTTCCTCACATTCCCACATCCTTATCTCGCGGAACACGGGGAGGAATTGGTCGGAATAGACTCCGAGGGAAGGCGTGCCGTTGTCGAAGCCCTACGATCGGAGTGCAACCAGGATTCCTGCCATCTACCCAATCCCGTCTTTTTCGATAAATGCCCCTTTGCTTGCATCCGAGAAGTATTATCTGATGATACCGAGGGTCATCCCTTGCAAGACACCTTTATTGGAGATATTGCTCTTGGTCGATATAATTTCTATGATTATCCTCCTGGAAGCGCCGAGAATAAAGCTGCGCGAGCCCGCAATGACGCACTCCCGCCAGGTGATAAGGATATTGTTTGGGGACTGGGCTGTTCGTTGCCCCATGATATGCATTCGTGAGCCTCTTATCTATAGAAATACTAAAGCATCTTAGACTTTTTATCGCCATCGCATCATAGGCGTGGGATCATGACCAGTGTACTCCACTCATTGATTCATGATTGGGGGTTGCCCCGTATGAATCTTTGCGATTTGAGGGCCGGACTATTCGTTGAGAACGAGGGAAGCCTGAAGGTTTTTGAGAAAAATAACTTCACAGAAACAAGTACGCTCCATGACCACATTCCCGTACCTGAAAGCCTTGGAGGTGGGAAGCGTTCTCTCATCCTAGTGAAGTGGCAGGGTGCTACTAGTAAATGCAAGACTTGATAACATGCTCAACATTTGGCAAACCAGACATTGATCAGAATGCTACCTAGAACTTGAAATTAAATAACACTCATTATTTTAAAGATCGGGAAATTTTCATTTTATCTTCCATCCAATTGATGCTGTCTTTTCACCCGATGATCGGGTAATTTGGGGTGGTTGTTTTACTCCGCTTCACGCTTATATGAATATGGCCCGTATGATGTCGATCCCTGATGATTAAGGTATTTCCCCGCTTGTATCCTAGCTAGAAATGTCACGGTAATAGCAGGAAATAGTCATGTTACATTGCTGAGTAGCGATGCATATTGGATATTTGACTACTCATTCAATGTTTACCTGATTATTGAAATGCTCATAAAGAACGAGTATCCGAATCACGGATTGTGAGGACATTCCAAAGTTGGCCACGCTATACTTCAATTATTTATTCCAAATGTGCATGATCATAAGATGAAAGCCTCTACTTGCATACTCATCAGCGGACTCGCTGCTGTTTGCGCCTCAGCGAGTACTATCGAACCAAAATTCCGCATTTCTCCGATTGATGGATCCAAGATTGCGTTACCAACAAAGGAACAGCTTGCCTTCCAAGATAAAGAAATAGGAGTCCTCATTCATTTTGATATATCGACATATCTCAGCATTGATGGCTGCAATAATGTGCCGAATTTTGTGCCAAATCCCTCGATCTTTGATCCAGCCTTGCTGAATACTGACGCATGGATGGATTCGATCATCGCGGTAGGCGCAAAGTATGCTACGCTGGTTGCAAAGCACAATTGTGGATTCACTTCTTGGCCCAGTACAGTGGTATTCCAGGACATTAATAACAAAACTGTTCCATACAACTATACGATTGCCCAGTCACCCGTGCGTGGGGAAAATGTGGTCCAAAGCTTTGTGGATTCCGCCGAGAAATATGGTATCGGTCATGGATTTTATTACAGTTTGACGGTTAACAACTACTTGAATGTACAAAACTCTGATGTTCGTTGGAATGCTTGGGCCGCTGGACAAGTGAATATCACAAACAGCACATATGATCAAATCGTCTACGATCAGTTGAGCGAGCTTTGGGGCAACTACGGGAACCTGACGGAGGCGAGTGAGAGCCCGAATAAAAAGAAAATTGTAAAATGACTACGTTCATTTGGTCAGAGACTGACATTCAACCTTCTTGATATCAGATCTGGTTTGATGGAGGATACAGTAGCTCTCAGCAGGAGAGAGTTGAGGCTCTTCTTCAAGAGACGCAACCTCAAGCTGTGGTTTTCAACGCATGCGAAACGAATGGAACTTGCTTAACTGCAAACTCAAGTCAGTTTATATCTTGTTGAGGCTATTTAGGGAGATCTCTAACATGCATACAGTCAGATGGATTGGAACGGAAACAGGGCAAGCTCCCGAGGAAAACTGGTCAACGTGCGTTAATCATTTTTCTTTAATTCAAAATCGTACGAGCCAGTCTAACAAGATATTTGCAGTGGAGTCACAAATGATGGGGGTGACCCTACGAGCCCCTACTTTTGCCCAGCCGAGTGTGATACAACTCTCCAAACTGACGACCGTTGGTTTTTTGGTGTTGATCAACCATTGAGGTCCATTGAAGAAATGATTGATGTTTATCATCAAACTGTCGGTCGCAATTGTCTCCTTGAACTTGATCTCACTCCTGACCGAAGTGGTCTCATACCGGCTAATTATGCCGCTCGGTATAAGCAACTGGGTGATTTCATTAAATCATGCTACGCCACCTCAATATCAGAAAACGCGCAACATTCATCCACGCAAACTGGTGAATATAGTATCGAATTGGGTTATCCCACCGCTATTGACAGAATTGTTTTGATGGAAGATCAATCTGATGGCCAGGTGATTCGCTCATATCAGGTCTTTGCGAAGATTGTCGATAGCCAGGATGCGAACGGTACATTGGCAGTCCCATTCACCTTGGTATCAAATGGTACAAGCATCGGCCACAAAAAGATAGACATCTTCGAAAAGGCGATAACCACGACAGAAGTCTTTGTTAATACCACTTATGTTGATATCCCCAAGTGGAGCCAAATTTCCCTTCATCTGTGTGATCAATTGGCGGCAAATGGCACTTCAATTGAAGAAGACTGAGAATATGAAAGGGGATCTAATTTCTGAGAGCATGTGGATTAGATTAAACAAAGAGTCAAATTGAGTAATTCAAGTTGAATGGTTAATCATGGCATCACCAATGAGGCTTCGATCGATTTTCAAGTATTGAGATTCAAAATCTTCATCAAGAGCTATAGTAGGTCAGTTAAGTATGTCTCACCAACGCAGAGTTTAGAATATAGATCACTTGAAATTAAACAACGGGGGAAAAGACACGAGCTCTATGAGAATACCAGCTGAGTGTCTGGAAAGTACCAGTGTCAGCTTGACATCTGGGCAGAAACATGCGAGGATATCCTTTGTTGATCAAACTTTTGTTTATCCAATATTCGAAGATAAAAGGAACCTACCGTTTTTTCAGTTCTTTTGTTCCAAACATAGAACCATCTGAAGTGAATCTAAGTCCTGACCCCACAATCCGGGTTTTTGGGGTTGACGAATATGTATTCTCTTTTGGAAAGTTGAAGACATTACATGTGTCTTCTTTCAATGCTTGCAGCTGTACAAATTTGCCATTTATTTTTACATACAAAATCTGGTTGGGCTTAAACCTTGGAATGGTCAAATGTTAGATCATTGGCAACTTCTCAATTCAAATTCTTGCTTGGAGTTTGGATCAGAAACCATGAAAGCAATTTAAATGTTGCTATCGACTGTATATGTGGAATGGGAGTCCTTTGTAATTGAACAAAGACATGTATCAATTGATGTCTCTTGTGTTGAAAGTTCAAACCTCTCCTAAACCAAATTCCTTCATGGACCAGTACTAGTAGAGGGGTAATAAGTTACATCTTTCAAGTTTGATCTAACATTTGAAGTTCTACGGGCGCTATCCATAAGTTTGAAGGCTAACCATCATTTTCCTGTAAGGAATTTTGACCCCAGCTCACCACTGGTTACCCAGGTGCTTTATTATAATAATATCAAATGTTCAATGATAGGTGTATACCTCATTCTGACCTGGTGAGTCTGATTTGTATACTAGCATGGCAGATTTGGTTCTATCAAAAATGAAAATCAGCTAATAATTACCCAACCGGGCATTTTACTTACCCTCAGGCTTAGCCCTTTTAATCCCAGGTATGGTCTTATTATATATAGGACTAAAGCAGGAGACGGCTAAATTAAAATATATTTGAAGTAAAAGTGAGATATATCTGAAGTAAAAGCGAGAGATATCTAAAAGGCCCAAGAGATAGCTGGTATATACAGTTTTCTTTTTCCCCCTCTCTTTCTCGTAGCTGTGCAGAGGTTTTGAATATACGGCTGTTAAAATTAGCTGGGCGTGGACCCAGAGAGTCCAGTAAAGATTACCTCTTTCTCATGCCAATTTGAAAGAATAATTTTCTGGACTTTCTGTCTTATCCCATGGTCCTTCATCAACCTACCTGCTTTGTGTCCGCATCTCTCACTCATTCCTCCAAATTTAAAATCTAAATGAAGCTGATCACCTTGTACTGATTGAAACAGTCCACGCTTTTCATTGCCTTCTGATAATCCAGCCCGAGACCGACGAAATTTCTGGAACATTTTCACAATCCCACGAACAGTATGCCCCCCCAATAGATCGAAGAAGAGAAGGATGGCGCGAGAAGAGGATTATTCGAGAAAACGGAGCAGATCAAACTCGCCACCTGGAATCATGTCTTATGACAAGGATCGAGCGTCAACCCCACCCTACAATAAAAGTCCAGATAGCCCTCCGCCGTACGTCAAAGATGAAGAAGAGTCGAGGGATAGAAAAGTCAAAACCAAATTGAAGTACGAAGATCTCGATCTGGAAGTCTCCTACGTTGGCAAAGTGGCATTGCCTGAAGTCAAGAGAGGGAAAAAGCAAGTGTGGCATAAATCCGGTGAAAAACCAATCATACATCGAGGTAGAGTACCTCCAGGATGGAATGATCATGAGCCAGATCTTGATTTAGAGTACGTTGAAATCTGTCCAGATTAATTGAGGAGAGTCATAATGTTTCCGGATGCTAAGAGTACCGGGTTTCTACAGGGATTATGATGCTCAGATCAAAAGGTGTGACGAGAGGATCCAAGAAGGGATCATGCCAGCCGTTTTTGAATGGAAAAAGGAAGAGTTTCAACTCGCCAAAGCAAAAAGAGAGTGGGTTCCCCATCCAATTGGCTGCTCATTGCTCAATATGCAAACTGACAAACTCTTCTCTTTGTAGCGAAGAGTTCGAAGGACTTCAGGGGTACAGTCTCAATGTTGCCCGAAGGATCAAATCCCTTGAGCAGATCGTGGAAGGTTTAGAAAAGCCCAATGGAGACTACTTTGAGCAGATCTGCAATGCCAAGGCTATCTTGCTAGCATACAGATATTGGACACTAGACTGGAATCCAGGACTTGTCACTTACTGGTCTAAGGGAGAGAGGATTTCAGAGCCTCGTCCGTTTGTTATGAAAGAGTTCAACGTCATAAATTTGAAACACGAAGGGAGTAAATCATTTTGGGTCGAAGGGGTTAGTGGAATTCGAGACTCTGGTTGAGTAAGACAATATCTAACAAAATAAATTCAGATACATGGACCTGGGCCGGTAAATCAGTTGTTAAAATCTCAAAAGGCTCTGATGCGCGCTGAACATCCCAACGATTTCATCAGAATGGTAAGTCAATAAAACTTAGATTACCAGTCAACTTCCAGGTTGGGATAGAACGGTAGATGGAATGGAAAATTGCGAAATTCACATACTTATTATCGACTCTTTTAGCACGATTGGTCATTGCGCCTTCCTGGCATGAACATTCATCATGATTTCGAAATTCTGGATGACACAGGGTGTGATGATTTGAGTCTTCGTGTGAGAGACATGGCTCTCCTTCAAAGACTGCATCAGGATGCGGGTCATCCAGCAGGTACTCCAGCTCTCAAAGTCGCCGGGGCAGCTTTGGTGACAAATTCCGATGGAACTCAAAGGCCAGAAGATATTATGTTTATAGAGGCCAATTTTAAGGATGAAAACGGAGAGTTCATGACCAGTTGGGATGAAATAATCTGTCTACTTGCCAATCCACCAGGAGCGGCTGTTGTTCCTAGACTCAGTGGGCCCTGGTTGCGATATAAGCTCTATACTGCTAGTGCCCCATACACTGGAGAGGCTCGTGTGCCAGGGATGCCACCACCACATGAGAATTGTATATACATATTCGATCAGAAGAGTGGGCTTTCAACGGTTCGAACCGTGAGAGACCCTCTTCATAATGCACATCCACCGAACTTGTTACCAGGAGCAGCAGAAGCACTAAGAGCACTAGATGCACAGGAAGACGGCAGTGCCTAGATTCTTTCATGGCAGGAACTTGAAGTATTTTACATTGAGGCGAATAATAGGATTGGAAAGGCATGGCGAGCTTGCTTGAAATGTTTAAGATTCCAAATCATTAACCTTAGGCGATCGACACGTCGTCTACATTTCAAGCTGCTTCAAGTTGACGAAATCAATCAAACCAGCCTTTCATGTGTTTTTGGTTGAGAATTCTTTTCCAAGGGTTAACACATGCATGATTCCATGCTCCATTTTTCAGATGTTCCATGTCTCACACGTGCGTGTATTGCCTGTGACTTTCAATTTGATTTTAGATTTCCATTTTCGAGTATGTCGATACCAGTGATTCCTTCAAATGTTCTCTCAATGCATTAGTTGCACATCTGCTTGTAATTCGTATCGTGCATATTGCCAGGACTTCTGGGGTACGTGTGCAGAGTACCAAGTGGATGAGAGAGGAGGAATCATCTCTAGAAATACCAGTTACCTCAATTATGTCAGCTAGCCTTCTCATTTCGCTACCACTGAAGGTACTTCTATAAAAAGAAGACAGGTCACCATGTACATGCACAAGCTCCTGACTGCCAGTATGTATGTAGTTAAGTGTATGAGCATGGCTGTCTCCAGCGCTGAGCACTGAGAGGATGTGAACATACCTGGGCGTATATATACCTAGTAGGTAACTTGAGTGTATTGGCTCTTGTAACTTCACGTGGTTACTAGGATGAGACAGTATGTTCATTTAACCAAGCTTCCGGATCAAGCATTGGAGTGCTAAGGAACTACCTAGTTACAGTGCCGTGCGAAGCGAGGCCCCGGGGTGTGAGAACTTGAGAGACACCACTTCAAGGGTTTGCTTTTTAACTCCAGATGCATAGTGTCAACCCTGGAAGACTCTCTGCCGCCTGGGCAGTGACCAGTTCGTTGAGTCATCTAAATAATTTCTGTGCAAGACCTTCAAGTGCACACATCTTAGAGCATCTGAATCTATTCAAGTCAGACTGTTATATTGAAATTGCTTCTCATGCTATCATGTGTAAATGTTGGTGGTGAAGTTCTTTACTGCCACTGAAATTCAAATGTTTCGACCTGTTAATAAAATATTGCAAGATTAGCCGCTTATTCAAGTTTAGCTAATAGTCAAGTGCTCGGATGAGTATGACCTTCAATGTTAGGTCAATTAAATTAATGAATAAATTTTAGTCGGAATGGGAATCAATAGTATATACAAATAGCTCAATCTTTTGCTCGGAGAGGCTTCGAAGCATCATCGCCGCTTTCCAAGTCCTCGGCCTCTTCCGACCATACTCGGATGTACCGCGTTGGGACAGATTTTGAAAATAAAGAAAGAATGAACCGAGTCCAAAGCCTCCTGTATACAATCGCAGAGCCCAATATGCCGCAAATGGCAAATCCAGCGAAGAATTGCAGAGGAAACGCGCCCAGATGATGGTCTTTCGGGGATATGATATTTTCTGGGGTTGGTCGAGGTTCATCCGGTTGAGGTAGGGGTGCTGTTGGAGGCCAATACTCGGGTGGAGCTGTTCGAGTATCAGGACTTTCACCCAGGGTTTCCATATTGGAATTCAATGCCTCGACTGACACCCAATCCATATATCCACGCGCGATGAAGGAGGTCTCAAAACTGTTCTTGGGCACTATGCCGATCTCTTCTTTCGCGTTAGATGAGGAATTCCGGGCGTAGAACCGCCAGTAGGAAACATCGGTAGCTCCATTCCAGCTGACGTGAAAAACGGTTGAAAGTGTCGACCCGTTAACGCCATAAGCTTCGGATAGAAGTGTCGGTGGGTTTGCGGGACGACCGATCCATGGAAACTTATACGCGCGATATGTGTCAAGTCGGTCTGATGCAAATTTGGCCTCCATGAGCAACCGGCCATCATGGGAAAACTCAGACATGTAACCATCCCATGACCAGCAGATGAAAATATTTCCGTTATCGAGAGTTTGCATGTTTCCCCGGCGATCAGTGACGCCTCCGTCCGGGCGCATGTATCGGTTTAAAATTGTCGCCCGCATATTTATCGTGTCGAGCTCAACGTACATGGCAGAGGATGTTGTTTCACGTACATCCGAATCAATTGCTCCATTATCGAAGAATGAAATCACCATGTGAGTCGAGTTAACAAATATGAATCTGGAATCATGCTGACCATAAAAGTCAAAATCTTTCTGGAAGTCGTTCTCTTTTCCTCCAAGTCTCCAGATGATGTGGCCGTCCTTCCCAGATATGAGATAGATTGTGCTCGTGTGTCGGGCAGAGAGCAGGTAGTCTCCATTGTCATTCTTGTCAATAGCATTGGCATGCATGTAATCTTCAGCGGGGTGGTTATCTTCTGCCCGTGTGATGTAACTTTCATTAAGCTTGACTTTATTGTTGCTCCTCCATTCAAACACCTTTTCCCCAGTCAAGATATTGGTTTCGGTGAATCCGTTGCTGGTGATAGCCTGCTGAGTATCTGGTCGGCCAAGCTCATCCAGTTTGATAATTTCCGGTCGCCCTTGGATCTGTAAGACATTGGGAGGGTATTTAACATTGAACTCGTGCACGTCAATCTCGTTGGCTGGAACCGACAAAACTTGTTTGGCCTGGTAGTGATTATCATATACAGCCGTGAGACCCTCTGATCCCATTGCATACGGCTTGTGCCATCGCATCCAAGCTAGATGTGGTTGTAGTTGACCGGTCGCGTCTGGAAGGTCGATTCTTCGGAAGTCAAATACATTGAGATTTTCGAACTCAACTGACCCTGTCCACACAAGGACCTTATCTCGAAGGTTAGTTCGGTATCATGGATGGTTAAATTTGAGAGATGTGAGGGTTACGAACTCCGTCTTGATCGAAGATATGAGGCCCAATTTGATATGGTATCCACTGGTTCGTCTCCCTATCGCCTTCATGGGTCCAGTATGGGGCAGTGAACCAATAACCAGGTGCAACTGCATCTCGGTCGTGGTAGGTGATGTTCCATTTTGTAATTAGATGATTCGGAAGCTGCAAAAAGAAAGCACCTGTTAGTATGAATTAAATTGTACGAAGTTTAACGCGACATGTACTTGAAACTGACAGTTCTGTATTGTATATAGTCGTTGGAGTCATGTTGAAAGTGCTTCTGGGCACCAACTCCACTGATGCAAAGAATGAGAGATAGCCAGCAAACCATATGGAGTGGCGATGCAATCGATTATGAACTTGGAATAATAGCACTGGTGAAAGAAACAATTTGCTGTCAACAGGCCGGTCGTTGTGGTGATGTAGTTAAATTGACAAGAGAATTCAAGGAACGGAGCAAGAGAGGGTTGAAGCAAGCGAGTGTATAATAGTTGGAAGTGAATATGAGACTTGAACCAAACGGCCCCAAGAGTCTCTTCGTGGTGGGAAAGGTGATTGGCTTCCTGTCTTTAAGTAAAATGTTCTCATGGAACACATGTTCGGGGGCCTTACAGTGTAGATAGAATATAATGAATGGCACTGAAATTCGTACCAACTTTGAGTCAAGATAGGCGAACGCCTTCCTTAATCAGGAAGGTGGGCTCTATTTCGGGTCATTTGCTCGCTTATTTCTTCGATATTTCATTGAACTCGCAAGGTGTTAAACATGGCTACGGGCGCCAGATGCTTATTCTAGTTAGGTTGCACCCTTTGACCCATGAGATGGACAAATAGGAACCTCAATACCACGTGGAATATCCATTCGAATATTCTATTGGAAAAATGGAAATGAGTTAGACTATAATAGTCAATAATAGTGATAATAGTCTGGGTCATTATATCCACATTTATATCCACATTTAGAGGCACCGGAGTTCCCGGCTGGTAATAATACCCGGGAGGACCCATTCCAAGCTTCATGTTCATACAATTGAACTAAATATCCGACTATAGATTTTGTTACTAAAATTTTGAACAAGATATTCGCTGGATAAATAAATGATATTATTTCTTTTGGAGTATTACTCTATTAATAGGATTTAAAAGAACATCTCTAGGGCTGACGAGCACATGAGTGTAATATATCCTTATCTTATCGTGGCGGGATTGTCGCTTATCTTGTGTATCGCGTTCAAGCCCTGGAGGGATTATTTATTCCAACCTTGGAAATATTCAGATGTCCACTTGATCGGGTACATTTGCTAATCCGTCTTAAGTGCCAGATGTCTTTTTACATTTGAGCTATTCTACAGCCTTTCAAAGGTTCAAAATTGAATGTGAAAATCAACCCTGGAGGCCCCTGGGTAGCTAAGCATCTCCCATAAATCCTGTATAGGGAGTACGTGGTGATCAGATCCACTACAAGCGTGTCTTAAGGTTCAAGTGGCTGAACCAATTTATTCCTCGACATTGGAGTCTTACTACTCCGTAGTGAATCATTCAAGTTGTCATCGCTCTCAGTGATCCAGAGATCTGGCCCATCTAGTTCATTCCCAAGCAATTCAGGACAGCACCCATCATGATGATATCCTAACTTTGTGTTACTAACATTTGAACACCATATCTTTCCAATACCTAACTTGAGCCTTAGGTAAAATATGGCAAATATCGATACATATTTTTTATCCATGTAACTTTGCACTGTATTTAGTATGAGTGGGGAGGTGACGCGGTTAGGCCACCAATGTCTAACTCAAAAATTGGGGGCCTCTCAAGTACGAGTCCCACGAGGAGTACTCGGAGCATATCTATGGAGATTCCTTTTATTTCTCCGGAACTTTCAATGTTGGAGCATTGAATATATCTAGAACAAGGACTTTCAAAACCTTAGAAGGCTTGAATGCCAGAAAGACCCCATTTCTGACAGGATTCTAACTTGACATCCGTAAGATTGAAAACCCCAGGTGCCCCGGAATTGAAGAATTGAAATAAAAACAGCTTTTGGGAAGCTCCCAGATGCCCTCTTGAAGATATCCCGTTTTATAAAATCCATACATACTACTAGTAGAAGATCCATTCAGTTCCTCAAGTCATTGAAGAACTTCTTACACGTGCATAAATTCTGATTACATTATTTCAGACTAAAATCGATAGAAAGGCTTCAAATATTGGATGATTACCTAGGTATGGCCTAGGATGAAAACCCACCAAATATGCCACTTGGGAAGCATTGAACATCAATTGTTTGCTTTTATATGATACGTGACTTCAAGTTATTATATCACAGATCAATAATCACCTGAAGCTAAACAGAAAGGAAATTATTTCACGCGCACTGACACGATATGGCAATAAATTATTCAAAATTTTGTCACTACCAGATTTTGGTTTACAATGAATGCGAGTCACAATCAACTTAAGTTCAAATTTGAATTCTCAGTACTACTAATCAACTAGTGATCTGGAAATAGAAGCAGATAGGTGGTAGGTGAGAGGACACGTTCATTGGCAGCAGTTATGTATTCGATTTTGGAATTTCTCAGGCATCTCTTGAACAAAACAGCATAGCCCAAAGTGCAGAACAGAGATTTCTTGAGCCATTGAATAATTCTAAACGAGACAAGCCGCTCCAAGTAAGACACTTGCTGTATTGCTGCCTTGGTTGACGGTCACAATGTCAACAAGACCATCTTCGTTCATGTCGCCGACTGAAACCTGCCAGGGAGTCGATCCCGCGACGGAAAATATGGAGGGAGGACGGAAAGTCCCATCGCCATTCCCAAGCAATACATCCACTGTCCCGAAGCTTATGTCCGTGACCACTAGGTCCAGAATTCCATCTCTATTGAAATCAGCCGCTGCAATACCGAAAGTTGTGTTTCCTGCGCTGAACGTAGTCTGCGGCTGGAAGCTTCCTGATCCCGTGCCGAGCAAGATGCTCACGGTGTTGTCACCTGAATTCGCAACCGCAATATCCAAATGACCATCTGCGTTGAAATCACCCGTTGCGATACCAATTGGAAGTACACCTACGGGGAACACGGTCCGCGGTTGGAAGGTCCCTAATCCCGTTCCAAGCAGAACACTGATGGTGAAATCAGATCCATCCACATCTATGATATCAAGGTGACCATCCTCATTGAAGTCACCAACTGCAAGGCTGGTTGGGCTGATTCCCACATTGAATGTCCTCTCCGTCTGAAAGGACCCTGTCCCAGTACCGAGCAGGACGCTGACCTTACGGACACCGGCATCTGCAATGGCAATGTCAAGATGGCCATCTTCATTGAAGTCACCTACTTTAATATCTCTGGGTCCGTTTGCAACGGGGAATACACTTTGAGTCAGGAAATTCCCAGTTCCAGTTCCAAACATCAAAATGACTGTGCTGTTATTCTGAGCTGCCACAACAAAATCCAGCGAGCCGTCTTCGTTGAAATCACCTACCGCAACACACCTTAGGCCGGTCCCGGGGATGCCAAATACACGCTGTGGTTGAAAGGTCCCAGATCCAGTCCCTAATAAGAGGCTCACTGATTGCCCGTTGTAATTTGCGGTCACCACGTCAAGATGGCCGTCCCCATTGAAATCGCCCAATGCAAGCCCTTCTGGAGATTGCCCTACGATAAATGTGGATGGATTCAGGAACTGTGCGCAAAGGCAGGCTCCGTTTAAACATGATACTCCCGATGGACACTTGAAAAATATGTCTGTTTCAGAATGGATTCTCAGGAAAGACATGTGAGATACTCAATCGAACATACAGTATGTCCACAGCTTCCACAGTTCCTCGTACTGTTACTGAGATTGGCGCAGCTTCCACTACAACAGTTCGTCTCAGGTGTACACTTGGGGCTCGATTAGTCAGGGCATGGAAACTGGAATGATTGTTGGGAAAACGTACAATATACGCGCATGATCCACAGTGGACAGGGTCGTGATTTAAGTTGGCACAGGCCCCAGAACAGCAGGTAGGTTGTCCTGAGGGACAAGAGGCTGAGCAATTTCCGCAATGGCTCTGATCACTGCTTGTATCGAAGCAACTCCCCGCACAACAGGCTGGTGAGACACCTGCACACTTTTCAATAACAGTACATCAGCAAACCCCCGAGTCAAGAGAGGGGGAGCAATTTCATCTCACAGTTGTCGAACATGAACCACAATGTGCCAGGCTAGAACCTAGATCGATACATATACCTGAGCAGCAGGTCGACATACCAGATGGGCACGACGTTGAGCAATTTCCGCAGTGATTTGGATCTGAGCTAGTATCTGAGCAGTGCCCTGAGCAGCATGCTGGTGATGGTCCTGTGCACTTTTCGAGTGTTGAGCTTAGCATATAGTCCCAAAGATTGGATAAAGATTATCTCACTGTGGTTGCACAAGACCCACAGTTTGTGATGTTGGATGTCAGATTAGTACATATGCCCGAGCAGCAGGTAGTGCTTGTTCCATTGCACTGTGAAATATTCATATGGTTAAGTGATTAACAAAGCATTTGAATAAAGACATCTTAGAAATTCACACGCACCGCGACATCACACGACCCACAATGAGACGCACTTGTGGATGTATTGACGCAGGAGAAGCCACAGCAGGACTTCCCAGTAGAGCACTACATTTTTTAACTCCGAGTTTCAAAAATCAGTATTCTAAATGTTCTTAAGGTTTGTAGAGATTTCTTGCACATACCGTCCACCCAGGTATCCATGAAACACATTCAAAATCATTCTTAGATGTGTCGAGAGTATCGCGCGAAATATGCAGCCGTGCTTCGGAGTAAACAAATAATGGTACAGTAGCTAATATAGTACCTGCATGGCCTCAATTAGCAATTCCTGTTACAGACCAGCCAAGATTCAATACTATGCAGCCGACCAGTGATAAGGGTAGAAGGATTTATAATTCCGGCCATATTGGGAAATAAGCAGGTATCCATTCCGCATGTGATTTAAAGATTATTCGACACCTCTAGTTTGAGTAAACAGCTGACAAAGTGGATGTCATGGCAAAGAAAGGATTTTCAGTAATCCTTGATATCTTTATAGACAGCCTCCCGTGAAGTGAGACTGAACCTGAATGTAATATTAAAGAACCGAGATGGGGTGTTGCATTTTGCCTCTATCCTCATTCTCACTAACTTGAAACTTCAAGTCTTAGGTCGCAGATATTGTTTGACCTTGTGTTACCCCTTAGTACGGTTTTGTTTGATATGCCGTATGTATTCCAGCCTTAGATGATATACCAATTAGAAAATCAGATGGCTAGAACACTTGGCAAAATAAATCACATGTTGATGCATTATTTCTGCCATGTGTATAGTGAGTTTAGGACTTCGAGCTTTTGATTGTGATTCGATATAATCCATCACTGCCATTTTGGAGTCAGTCGTTAATGACCATGTGGAGGACCTCAGCCCAATAAAGGAATAATTGTTCGTTGACCTCATATCCTCTGTAGGTATTGTCCTACAGGAATATCTGAGGCTTCAAGTTGTACCTCCTATTCCAAGTACGCGAAATGTTTCTTAGCACATTGAACTTGAAATGTGGAGGCGGGACTCTAGAGCAAAAAACACAGCACATCTACTAGTATCAAATTCAAGTTTACTTTCTATATATGCTCTTCTGTTTTCATTACGGGTCCTATTGCTAAGATATTGGCAGATCTTTGAATGGCATTCGATTGCTTACTTTATTAGCCTGCTCAGCACGTGCAAGCATTAAGTCCGGTACCAAGTGCTGTGTTAGTTTCAAGTAGTTAAATCGAACTCTGAAGACCAGCCAAGAACCAACATAATCAGACCACAACCCACGTTAATTCCTGAGCCGTCCCTCCAGCAAAATAAAACCTCTCATGATTCTCTTGTCGCCCATTGTCATAGTGTTCTGTGCCCTCCCTTGCCTAGTTATTTATGGCGACAGGGATCAACAGAGTGCACGCGATGCAATTTATGGGCTTCATACTGATCCGGTGCTCCTCGGCAGTGAGGGAAAGCGACTATGCCGGAACTCAATCTTCACCGCGATGGAAACACCCTCGGAAGTGCTTGGAAATAACCATTGGAAACCGGAAGTGAAGGGGAAATTAAGGCAGGACGCCACCCCGGCCGAGACAGGTAGGGCGTGATGGCGGCCCCGTCAATAGCGCTGACAGCATAATACATCCATCGTGCGGAAAGATGGGACCCAAGCCATCTAAGGCTTCCCAGATCCGGGTCTTGGTTCAGTCTGTTTCAGACCAAGCTTGGGATTTTGGGATTTCTCTCGGTCAATGAAAGGGGACTATCGGCATTCGGCATGACTTTCATAATGTTGAAGGAATATTACGCTATTCCGGTCCAGCAAATGAGACGGTTGCATCTACTTTGAATGTTTGACTCATATGATATTTACCTTTTCTAATATAGCCTGATCCATTGCTTTCTGCTATATAGCTAATTTCACGTGTCGTCTCTCTCAGGAATCCGTAAGTTTTATTCTGAATGCGCTGTCACTTATTCATTCCAAGATTATACAGACGTACTAAGACCTCAGAATATTGACAAACCACCCAACTTCAGGTCGATCGAGGCTCTTGAGATCCGACAGCAACTCGCTGATCATGCTTGGCTATTTCCTGTAATAATAGTCTGAGTTACCTACCTTCCACATCAGGAAATTGAGGTGATTTCGGATTAAAAACACAGCCGGAGGTATAATTTTCTTAATTTATATAAGGTTAGAGTTATTGAACGCTTCTGGAGGCGAATCATGCCCGGGTTTCTGGTAATAGTATTCCCGAAGACGGCGAATGCCAAACCTGTGTTGCTGTGGGAATACTATATGACATGTCACATACAGTGGCCTTGGTACCCATGGCGGAGGAGTGACGTCCAGGAATCGAGTTGACCCTCCTCCAGACGTCTATGGATCTTGATAACGTTTTAACCTTTTTCCTGTCTTCTGGCACCGATCTGGATTAATATCAATAGGTAAAATTTTGAAAATATCTCCCCGGCCTCAGCTTTGAGGCCTTTGATATAGCATAATTAGTATGGCAAGCGGCCTTGGAAGACAATATGAAACTGCCAGAGGATATCTGTCTACTTTCACTGACATTGAACTCATCTCGGGATTTGACGTACACCGAAACTTGAAACTTGAACATTGAATCATATACTCATGCCACAACTGCCCAGGTGCTACATATTCAGGCATCATGTTGATCTCTCTCCGTATTCGGATCCGCATGCAACAATTCCGCAGTGGCGATAGGTATATGGTCCCAAACCTAGTCTTCTTGCACAAATTCAAATTTTAGCGTGGCCTTTTGCTATTTGTGTATTCGGTGTGCTCTAATCTACATTCAAATGCTATGAGGCGCCCTCTCATTTTCCTAGAGTAAGAGGCACAGCAGAAGACTACTTGCATACGATAAGAAAACATCCTCAATGCCAAACGAAAGCCTCAATACTACTCCCCACGTTATCTGCACGGAGATAATGATGCCAGACGACCACGATAAATCTGCCAACCACGCTCACCTTATGACATTTACCAGGTATGTGTTGCTGATGCTCGCCGCTCGTGTTCATTTAGCCAACTACGTGACATAGATTTGATCGTGAGGGCATACCAATCGCCGATTCTAGTGTCTCTACAACTCTGCTGCCTCATCGGTACTCCTACGCTCAAGGTTGCTCCAACATGACAATAGGGATGTCACCTACATATCAGGGTCTCAGCGGGCAGCCACAGACTCCCAGCACGATCCATTCATTCGGGCCGACGGACACAGTCACCCACCCATACTGGGCCGCCACGAGCGATTATCTACCAGCTTTACCCTTGTCAGCAGATGAATTGTGTCGCACCTTGATCAATGATCTGGCAGTCAATCTGGATAGTGAATGGAGCGCTCCCTTCGAGTGTGCTGGTGTGATAGTACCCTCGTTGCTGTCGCACCACGGTCTTGACGGACAGCCACGTACTCTTAACACGATCCCTCATATTGGCCAAATTGATATACCTTCCCAAGCTACCTGGGCTGCCGCCAGCGACAATCTTGGAGCCCCTTGTATCGTGGCAGGCGGACGGGATTCCGCCGTTAACGCTCCTTTTCCAGAGATTCTTATGAGTCCTGGCCAATGTCGGTTCATCGTGACACTACACACACCAACTGCCTTGGTACCACATCCCACTGAGACTCCGATCACATACCTTGACAAGGAGCAGCGATACGTGCTGTCTATCGTAGACAGAGCACTCTCGGGTGAGATAGTTGGACCCCGGCCCGTCCGATACCGGACGCAGATCTGGGCCTCACTGGAAGATAATGACCATGAGTCAGCCTCAACCGGGCTCTGGCAGTCCTGGAAAGAAGAATATGGCGGGTCCATGGCTGCTATCGAGTGTCTCTCTGCCCAGGCGGCGGTGAAATCTGGGCACGTTGAAGTGGAAAGAAACTTTTTAAATGGCTTCTGTATCACGTGGAGCTCCGATGGAACGACATCCCCCTTAGGCTGCTCAATGGGTGTGCGCTTCAACTTTCGGTCTACAGATTTCGTTCAGGCCAGGGGTGCTAAGAGCCCTGTTGTACGCCTTTACGCTGAAACGGAAGCGCTGTGGGCGCCAGAGGAAGCTAGGATAGATCGCCTAGTTGAGCAGAGTTACTGCAAGGTGCAGATATTCCGAAAGTACGGCACCAAGCGCAAGTCGGCAAAGGACATTTTTCGCGTACAGGAAGCAATCAGGCAGGTGGAATATCGGCTTTTACAAGCAGGAACAGGCGATGAGGAGTACAGGACCAATATCGCGCTTATGGCATCCTGTGATCAGGGCAGGAGGTGGGAAGATGAGCAGCACGCGCGATTAGCCATGCTGCAGGTTACGCTAACGTCTTCACATTCCAAAAGCGTCTTCAGACCCCTTTGATCGGACTTTGAAGGCCGCATATCCGAGTAACCGAGTAACCGATTTGAACCCGAGTGCTGTCATGCCGCCGCTATCCCCAATTAGGCATGTGATCCACGCAATGTCACATGATCTGTGAGCTAGTCCCAAAGTGGTAGACAGTGATTTTTTTTTGATTTTTCCAAGATTGACAATGGATTGAGGTACACTGAAACCATTGTGAATGTGCATATGTGAATCGGCGATCTTAGATGAAAATTTTTAATTTTTCTTTTCTTACTGTGTGATTGATATATTCAAAAGTTTAATGTTGGAACTGAATCATATTCGTGGAATGAGTGCATGTTAGGTTTGCGGTATACCCTCGGGCCTCTTGCATGCCTGTTGGCCAGTTATTATCTGCCGCACATGTGCAGTTCCCCCGTATGAATAATAATAGTTTCTGGCTTTTTGTTCTGCCCATGTGTCGTCTGGCCTCTGGGCTAGTAGTAGTGCAGTGTGCATAGTCCAGTTGACTATGTGGCTTGGCCAAAATTAAAAAAAGAAATGACAAAAGAAATGACAAGAGTGGGATTTGAACCCACGCCTACAAACGTAGATCAGGAAACGGGATTACCGTAAGAGTCAAGGTGGACCTTAACCTGACGCCTTAGACCAACTCGGCCATCTTGCCAATGCTGTCCAACTATCACATCAATTTTCCTCAGATTCAAGTTAGAATTGCCGATACGATCCAGGGCCAGTAGGTATTCGCATTCCGCATTTACCGATCATTCATTGGAAAAGAAAAATCAATTTTCCAAAATTTGAACACATGAGAATCAAATTCTGTGTTCCATTCTGAACTTTTTCTGTTTACTTTTTATAACAAGAGCAGAATATGCAATAGGTTTGTCGCAAAATGATTTCGAGCCCTAGTAAATCTAATTTGGAAGTTAGTCTCATCGGTTTTCACCAGGCTCTTAAACTATGCATTACCTAGTTGTCCTTCAAATGTTCTCACCGGAGTGACATGATACCCACTCGACTAATGGTCATCTCCAAGTCTGGGCCATCAAAGAGTTGATTTCATGCATTAAAAGACCCGAGCCGTCTCCAGAATTGGCGAGTGAAGAGCCAATTAAGGAAAGGGCGTATTGTCATTAGCCCTCCAGCTATAAGGCCTAGGCCCACTTCAACCATGGCCCATAGGGAGAAATCTGCAATTACATCTGTGAAGAAATCAATATATGAGCTGAAAGCCTAATAAAGTTCGACTTTTGGCCACCTTACATAGAAAATCTTCTGTTAGGTTTTCAGGAAGTGATACTACGCGGACGATTATCGCGACCGATGCCCTGAACCGTCTTGATCAGCACGATGATTCCAAGGTTCGCAGTAACAAGGGGCTTGCATACACAGAGCCCAATCCAAAAATGAAAATTGTATAAAGCTTTGTGCTGATCCTCATCTGAAGTTGCCAGATCCTTCTGGAAAGTAAGGTTGACAAAATGAGATCGCAGATGATCGACCCAGCGCTGAAGACATACTGGGCTATTGCAAGGATATTCGGATTGCGGCATTTCCCACTTTCATCTAGCTCCCAGAAATGTTTGACTGGCTGGCATTGCGTCACAATAAGGACAAAGAGTAAAAGTCCCAGGCAGGTAGCAAAGAAGCAAACAATACCCATGGTCCATTGCTGAGTCTTGTGTGTTGTCAGGCGAAGCAGAGAGCAGGCAATGCCCAATCTGCTCATGACGCAGCTGATGCAGAAGAAGATAGATGCAATCCACCAGCACTATTTTGGAAGAATTCAAGTCAGCGGAGTATAAACTGGCTCACATCAATAAAAAGCTCAATGGAGGAGACTCACAATCAATGCACGCTCAACGTGATCTCGACCATACTCACGGAGAGTCTGATCCTTCATTCCGATTCCGTAAGCGCATCCAACTATCACCGCGGTGCACATGCTGATATAACCTATCTTCAAATTCGTGCTATTAGTACTGTTACCCCTTGGACTATGCGTTCATCTACGGTCCTACCAGCGAGAGGATCAGGAGTATATCATCACATCCGCATGTTTTCTTCAAGCCGAACCGGACAAAGATGCGAATCCCAATGATAACACTAGTCACGCATGAAAGTGAAGTTGTAACGACCATAAGCAAAAGGCTCTTGCCGTGAATCGTGCCCATGACTGGATTTCTTTCGGTGTGGAGCTTGTTTTGGCTGTGACCGATGCGTCAAACTCTTGAATCAGATGAGCCAGCATGAAGAATACCATGCGAGATTCACATTCCATCTTATATAATTTCTCTGGCTGATTTTTGGTAGATACCATAGAGCAACAAGATAATTTTCGGAACTTTTCTTTGGTCGGGCCTATAGTTTCCATGGCAGCGCCATTCGTTCATGAGAAAAAATTGGACAAATTTTTATCTGTTAGTATGACAAAAACCCCCCACATCAAATGAACTCATTCGCATGTTCATCCCCCAGTCCAGGCCTTTATGAGTCAGTGAGATGGAAGTAATCCATAGGGCAGGGAAATTTGGGTCCGGCTACCAACCTCACCCCGGCGGAAGGATTATATGAGCCACCAATGAACGAATTACGTCAATAGAGGGCACCAGTTCAACCTTGGAAGCTGGAAACTCAATCAGTAATGATCAGTGTGGCCAGTAGCATCTATGTCCATATAACAGCCTCCGTAAAGTGTTAGAAACTCCCATAAGGTTTATATTGGAGCCGCTAATGTTACTCCTCGGTGTAGATACTTCACCCATCAGAGGAACAAGTGAATCACGAAGAAGTAAAGCCTTCCCATGATCAAAATCCTTGGAACCGGGATGGATTCCTTAGAGATAGTTCGAACTACAGAATAGCATGCCTCTCCTCTTTACAGAGGGGACTATCAAAATTGGCCCAATCATGTTGATTTTTGGCTTTTGAGGAAAATGGGATTCTAAAGCGACCTTCCATACCTAGAATTATTTGAAAGAAGCGGAATCCCGTTCTTTTCCGCAGTGCAGAAGGTGCGTGTTCGCAAATTGATATGCCGTTCGGCCGAAACCAACCACATTTTGGTGGAAATGGGGATGGATGTAGGAGAAATTAAATAATGATTATTTATTAATCTTGGCCGCCCTAAAATCATTCCAAGTCCAGTTTTTGGAACCTTATCTTCCGGCCGGGCATCCAGCCTGCCTCGAGCCGACCTGTGATAGACTCCGAGGAGAAATGTTGAGCAAAATCTGGTATATGGTGTGGTTCCACAGTTATCTGGAGGTGGGGGATTTAATGGTTGCCAACCGACCCTAAAGCAGCTTGGTCAAGTTCTCGATGGGAATCAATATTCCAAATTCTAACATAGTGCCCCGAGCTTGAAAAGAGGAACCCCAATGATTTCAAGTTTCCTTCGATGATATTTTCAGCGCCACTGCTGTGTTGGGCACATCATGATTTGGCGATCAAGAGAAGACACGAGGAACATATCCATATGGTCGTATATCTCCTAACTGGGCTGTAAAACTTTAGCAACTTGCAGAAGCTAGAAAACACATACCATATTCCAAACCCCCACTTCGCCAGCCGTTGTTAAAGACAGCGGGTCAGAAATGCGGAACCGAACTTTCGCTATCACATCTCCTCCGTTTGTCATTTTCATCAAGAAAGCCTTGCTGAAACCACTTTCGCATTTTATCAATAGCGGCCACGCAGTTAGAATCAGCGCCAACCATGACAGCCGTTCTGTAGAGCGTGTCCAAGTTGAACGTCATATCGTCAGCGACACTGGTAATCTTCGTCAACAAGGAAATGTCGATTTTTGTACGCGAAAAGGTATTTGGACGTAATCAGCACGACTACTGAAATCTTGACTGATAACTCAATAACAAATTCTTCCGCCTTTACCTCGACAAGTGACCCGGATTAACAGAGGTGTTGCCGGCTGGCGCTAATATGATTTTGAGGATCTTCTGATTAAGGCAAGAAGTTTCCGTGGTCTATTGAGAAGGCCTTCAAATTTTTGAGGGAGAACCTGAATTGGGGATGGAACTTGCCCTGTGTGTGGTTTGGGGAAGCGGGTGATAAAGAGGATCATGATGAGATCAGATATAGAGCACCTCTGGTTTCAGAAGGTATTCAATAAAGAATTAGAGAAACCTGAAACATCCATGGATGTAGTTCTCCATTCCATATCATGATCTCACGAGTTATATCCTCGAGCCTGCTCATTAAGCTACAGGAAGGTGTAGTTATTACTACGGATTTCCGTACGATTTCTGGTGTTATGTCTACGACATATGGAACTGGTCTGATGTCCACAGCACTGACATGTGGTGCATCATCGGGTTCTTTCAAATAGGAAAAGTTTCGTCCTGCCTAGCCAAGTGAAGGCTATTATCCACCACCAATTGCATTTGGGAGAACATTGAAAATTTGAATGCTTCGGTGAAGGTTTAACTGGAAATTTATTCCCTCAAACAATCATTGATAGCAGTGAGGAGGCGCAGGGTAGGAGCAGTATTGTTATTCATCCGATTATCCATAAGGCTGCTATGAATTAGACATTCAGGTCCAAAAGAATCCTCTACGTATACATATTTCAGCTTCACATCTTGAATGTTGTCTAATATGTTGAGATATGAACTTGAAGTTCACGGGAAAGATCACTCAGGAATGTGAAGTCTATAGTATTGACAATCCTCACATTGAACTCCCACTCTCACGGAATTCCTCGATTGGATATTATGACCGACTCTGCATGATCATCGGAGTGTTCAAAGGTTTAAGGGTGAAATCAACGTCCGAGTAGCCCTCTGATATCCACCACTTCAAGTTTAATTCGCTCCATTCTCGGATTCCCCCTCTCTCTTCCAGATTCCAACATTCTATCCAAGCATAACAAACCGTTGACATCCGAAATGGTCCGTCGTTCAAACTTCTGCGCTGCATATCTTTTTATGCACATTTATGGTTTTCTCAATTTTGAACTGATCCTTGGGAGAAGTAAGCCGAGCCATATTCAATTGTGAACTAACATGACGGATTTAAAAACCTCCACCAGCTCGGCCGAAAAAAATTCAACTAATTCCTCATAGGGTAGCTTTACGATATCGTCAGTGGAATTTTATTAACTTTGCTAGCTCAATGGGAAAGCCGTTAATCCAAGTCGCGATACATGTATAAAACAAACGACTTCGAGCCAGACATTCAAGTTGAGGTTGAGTACACAGCACTGGCAGTGCCATCCTGAGTGATTTTAGTATTGGGTTTTCTATTCAGCCTACACGATGAAACTGGCATACATTATTGCAGCCCTCATCACTAGGACTGCCTCCCTATCTTACATGCATGTGCCTGACAGCCTGTATGTTTCTACCACATCTGGTCATATCCAGGGTTACGTGAATGACACCGCACCCGATGTCCGACAGTTCCGAGGTATCCCTTTTGCTCAACCTCCGGTGGGGGAGCTGCGATGGATGCCACCAGTCCCACTCCCCAAGTTAGCGGCCAGGAAAAAGATTAACGCCACTGCATATGGGGCGAATTGCCCTCAATATATCTCCAGCTCACCAACTGTATGCACGGTCAACACCCCTCAATTCGATACTGAGAATAATCTCGGTGAGGACTGCTTGAGTATCAGTGTCTATGCACCCCTTTCCCCGTCATGAGAAGCTGCCTGTCATTATCTGGATGTATGGAGGGGGACTCATTGGTGGTGGTCAAGACACGCTCTACTACGAGCCGTCCCAGTGGATCCAACGAACTCAGGAGCACATTATAGTGGCTATGAAGTAGGTTGAAGTGATATCCCCACCTGGGCAAATTCCCCATCTCCAAGCCACCTCTTATGCCCGCTGTTGATATTCCTTCTGCTAATTTTCCTAGTTACCGAGTCTCAATTCTCGGGTTTCCAAATTCAGCAGCGTTAACCGATCAAAATCTAGGGTTCATGGATCAACAGCTAGCGTGAGTGGAGTTCTCAAATTTGCAGACTCTTTTCTTTGTTGAAAGCAACAGAAAAGGGAGTTGACTAATGTATCTATTGCAGCGTTGAATGGACCCGTGACAACATTGAAGCATTCGGCGGCGATCCTACTCGAATGGGACTGTGGGGTCAATCGGCCGGCGGTGCAAGTGTGGATTGGTACAACTACGCCCACTACAAAGATCCGATTGTTTCCAATCTAATGATGGATTCTGGAACTGCTTTGCTACCCGGTTCAACAACTGGAACTCCAGGAAACTTCAGCTATGTTGCAGCGCAGGTTGGATTTGGGGGAAGGAATTCATCAGCGGAACTATCATGCATGCGCAAAGTAAATGCGCAGAAACTTTCCGATGGAATCGGTACTTCTAACAAAACTCTTGTGTTTACGCCACTGATGATGAGAAATTATACTTCCGCAACTATACAGATCGAGCCATTCGGGGTCTGATGGGGGATATAGTAAGTTTCCCACTTATCCAACTCCACCCCGACATCGCCTCTAACGGGAGGTTTCCGTTTAATAGTCGGCTATTATTGGGCACACGAAGGAAGAGGGCAATGCTTTGGCCCCTTTTCACTATAATGGTGTGAATCAGACTATATCCATTAGTGAGACTATGCAAAACTTTGTCTGTCCAGGTACGGAGACGATCCGTCTCCGGCGTACTATCGGCCGCAAGTCGTTTCGCTACGTCTATTCTGGTAATTTCACCAATGAGTCCCCTCGTGCCTGGGAGGGGGCTTATCATTGCACTGAGTTACCACTTCTATTCGGTACATACGAGCAATATAACGCCCCCCCCCCCACCCCCCCCGACGGAGTTGATGCGGGCTACCTCCCGAGCATTACAGGATGCTTGACTTGCCTTTGTGCGGGATGGTTCCGCTGGCCTCGAACAGAGAGGCTGGTCAAACTATGAACTGCATTCAAACAAAGCTTGGAACTTCGGTCTAGATATTCCGGTGCAAAACTTTCATCTAAGTTTTCTTGAACAGCAATGCGATGGGGTGAACTTTCTGTACTAAGTTGATGGCACTGCGGGTCGATATGGGTCTGTGTGATTTCGGGGACATCTGGATGCTCTGCTAGTGCCACACTGGCATCCATGAATATACCTCTGAGCCCCTCTTATTCAAATGTTTACTAGTATGAACGAAATTTATTCTAGGGCCTGAGGCTTTCCGTCTAAACCTTTGAACTGAAATATACTCAATCTCTGATATATTAACAACTGCTATTGCGATCATTTTGAATATATCCTTATTGAATTTTTCAGATGTTTGAGTACATATCTCTCAGTTCTCAGGAATGAGCTTCAATATAGTCAGCACAGAAACTATATTGAATTTATTTTCCTGCCTTTTTGACCTTCAAAGTTTCAAGCGTCCAGCATCGTCATGAAACTCGTAAGAAAAGTCCAGTGGGTGAATTGAGAGTGTAATAGAGAGATCGGACTAGACGGGAACCTCAGTATTGAATGCGGCTTGGGTATTTCAAATATTATTTTAAGAGCGCCTATCTGAGGTAGGAATGAAACTTTAGGTAAGTAAAGACTTCAGGAATGCTCATGTTTCATTCCTATATATTCGAATTGTGAATCATAGAAAAGTCTCGACTGGAAGGAACTGGCTTGAATTTAGGATTTCAGCTGTCTCCACTCTTACTGAGTATTCAATCTTCTTCCTTGAGCTAGAGACATTGACTGATGACATCTGGACAGTACAGACATTCCCGTGCCGCGCAACAAATGACATGTAACCCAACGCGCAATATTTAAAACACGGAGGGACATGAGCCATCACAGCCTAGGTAGGTTGGGTAAGCCCATACAGTACGAGCATAGCTTGTTGTCGTCGACTCTAAAGTCGTTGTACTGCCCGATTCCGCAGGAGAAAAGTTGAAACTGAAACCCGTAAACAGGAATACCGGACGTGTCCTGAAAGCGAATTGTGTACACATCTCTAATTAGCGAGGCGCTTGGAGTCCAAAGATAATAATCGCTTGTCACATTTTCTAGTAGCAGTAAGGATCTGTTTGATTCCAGATGTATGGGGGTGGGCATATTGTCATACTTGCAATCTCTCCTGCATTCTTGAACCATGTGTCTACAGCAGTGCCGCCTTGAAACAGTGTCAAATCAAATGGTCCTTCCGCGTTGATCCAGGTAATGTTAACAGCTTTTCCAGGCGTGATATCATCGAATATGCGGTTGGTGAATGTCAGGGCATTGGCTGATGCTGCGAGGCATAGAAGAAAAATGAATTTCGAGCTGTACGCCATTTTGAAAGTTTGATACGGTTGATTCAGGAAGGGAGGAAGGTGCAGTAGGTTAATTTTAATTAGAATGAGAGCGGTTGAGGTCTTAAAACCTGCATTTGGACGGGGATGCGAAAAAGCCCTCTCGGAAAACACTGAAGTAGCACTGAAGTACTAGATACTATCAGGGATGAGATACTCCTCCCTAAAGATAACTATGTGGGTCTTTCTCGTTGTAAGAACAGGTTTAGTATCTGTTAATCTGACATATTAACTTTTATCTAGCGTGGAATAGACATTGAGCATCACAAGAGAATGTGGGGTATAGGAAATCCCCACATTCGATGTTCAAATCATACGTTCATGGACTTCCTCAATTGGAGATTATGACCGATCTTGAAGATTCCTTTCTGGGCCATGATTCCGTTGGAGCTGATGGCGACATAGGTGGGAAATTTGTGTTCTTGATAAATGAGGTTTCAGTGCCGATAACATTCAACTCATCCATCCACTTTACTAGACTTGAATACTCAACCAAGTCTTATTTTCTTCTCAGTTTCGAACCTCATTCCTGGTGACACTCTTCAATCTCAAGTCCTCTTTTAAATATTCCATATTCAAAATGAGGATCCCGACGTCGTTCTTGTCTTGGTCTCTCGTCTCCACATGTTTGCTGCCTGTCACAGCGGCAAATTCCAACCAAACTGGAGGTCAGCTATTAGCAGGAGCTGCACGACTGGATATAACTCCTGAAATGAATCCCAACTGGCTCCCATTAAATGAGTACGAACTTGAAAAGCTCTATATTCGAGCCATTGTCTTCGAAAACAATGGTGAACGGGGTGCCCTGATCGGTGTTGAGATTGCCAATTACGAACAGCTGGTTTATGAGCATATGATTGGACTTGTGGCTGGTTTGCTGAATGTCTCTGCCTCTAGTGTTGTTTTCACTGCCACCCACACTCATGGCGCAGCTCTCTGGGGGTCCGGATTGTTTTTCACTGAGCACAACTATGGAAGTCAAGCCGTCAATAAATATCCAACTCTGGGCGACGCAGCTTTAGTCGCAGTGAAAGAGGCGTACGGAAAAATGGTACCAGCTCAGATTGACCATGCCAAAGGAGAGGCCTACCTCAACGTCAACCGGGATCACATGAATCCTCTTACTGGGCGGTGGACTCAGTTTTCAAACTTTTCAGGCCCTGTTGATCGGGAGGTCCAGGTGTTGACATTTACCAACCTCAATAATACCCCAATTGCTGCATACACCACATATCCAATGCATCCGGTGAACTCCTATCTGGCTGGGTACTGTAGTTCAGACTGGCCAGATGCAATGTCTCGTTGGATCGAGCAGAGCCTGGGTGGGGATATGGTTGCTGTCTACTCTCATTCAGCCTCCGGTGACTTTAATCCGCGTTGCCGACGTACTGGAACGAACAATCTTGCATCAATCTGTCGCATGCCAATCAATGGTCTCGAACTGGCACAGGAGCCCATTGAAGAGGCGATACGTGACTTTTATGTCCCTTTAGTACGCCCGGATGTAACTTACATTCGTCAACTGTTCTCCGAACTCACCGTGGTTGGCATTGTGATAGGCGAAAAGGTTATTCGTCTCATTTCCAGTACCACTAGCTGGGATAAAAACCCTCAAATTTGGAGCAAGCAAGCAAACGTGACCTGTTCTGGGCGTGCTCGTGTTGATGATGCCCGAGAGGGCGTTCCTGGCTACTACACAAACAGCACTGGTATCGATATTATGACTGGAGCGTTAGGTTTGGGCGACATTGTTTTGCCACATGTAGGAGCTGAGATATTCACTCGCATTGGATGGCGTATCATGGATGAGTCTACTATGAACAAGACCATGCTTGTAACCATGGCAAACGGTTGGTCCGAGTCTGGCTATATCGCTGATGTAGAGTCAGTGGCTCAGGAGGTTTTCCAGACGTTGAACTCTTTACTTGTACCAGGTTCCTGTGCTGAGGACAAAATTGTGAGCAGTCTTTCGGAATACATTAGTGAGTATAAGAGTACTCTGTGAATAATATTCATGCACCTTCGCAGTGTGTTTCTGAGAACAGGTCATGTTAAGTTTGAAACCTAGAAGAGCACAGGTGTCATATATACCTATATTTCTGAAGTTGAAGCAAAGCATGAAATTGAAGTTCAATTCCGGGTCCACTTAACCCTGCAGGCCCCTTCAATTAATTATCTCTCCGCGTCTGGGTCTCGGAGTAGTGCTTACCAATACCGGAAAAAGAATGCGGAAGAAAGAAATAGCAAAAAAGCTCGACCATCATTCGTCGTCAGGTGTATCTTCGCCAGGGTCGAAATTGGGGAGAGCAGCCATGGCTACCTCAAAAGCTTGCTTGATGCTCAAGGTTTTGGATACGTGCCTCCATCCACGTGCCTGTGATGCGAGGAATGCACACCAATAATCAAGATGAAAGAACTAGAGAAGAAGCCTTCCTAGTAGAAAATGTATTGGAAAGTAACGAAGATCTCAAAGGTGGAGGAAGTGAGAGCCATGAAAAGAAAGCTCCACGTGAGGGGTTTGATGTCTCGTAGAACGAAGAAAAAACGAGGAGCATAAGTCATGAGCAATGAATGAGGGGCAAAAGATTCGCGAGAGCTATCTGGCTCTGTAGACCGAATTATGTGGGTTTTTGCATGTAGAGAATCCAGGGCACCAGTTGACGGACTAGGACTTCATCGCTACCTGATGCGTAATCACGGCGCTTCTAAGCCATCTTGTCCTCAAAGTCAGCCCGCGGCTGGGTCAGAGTCATTGGCTTCGGCCTTTTTCTCGGTGTTTCGCTCTTCCTGGACAATGTCCTGAGCTGAAGCATGACCGAGGGCGGCAGCCGGGGCAGGCATAGGTGTAGGCTGGTCTCCTATCATGTAAGCTATATGCCTTCCAAGGGGGTTTAACAATCATAATTTCTGCGAGTCATGACACAACCACAACCACATTCAGAGTATATACTCACTGGCAACACCAGCAGCAAAAGAGCCAACAGGGGCATGGGAAGATGTCGTGAGTTCGTAAGAAAGTTTTTTTTTTTTTCAGAAACCGAGCCCAACGTCCAGGTAGACGTTCGGGTCCGCCGAAGTTCAGTTCGGCAACCACTATGGCGTTGTCGTCGGGGTCGTTATGATCGCGTCTAAGTAGTGTTGTTAGTGTCATTGGCTTCGTTTAGCAACAGAGGGAAACGTCCGTACATGTGGATACCAGACATGTTTCAGGTAAGATGAATGTTCGAAACGTCTGTTGGAAGTGAGAGGTTGGTAGATGGTAAGAGAGTTGTAGGTTGGAAGAAGGAGGGGAGTTGAAAATGGTTAAAAAAGTGAGAGATCCAGGATTCGGTACCCAGTATGCAAGTGAGAGCTTTGAACAGAGGATATGTATACTAAATCGATTACTTACTTCGCTCTTCTCTTCTCGCTGACATAATTTCTCCAATTAATTACGATTCCCCTTTCTTCCTAGCACAAGGCACTATGGAGAGGGGCACCACGGCCGGGAGCTATAATATATATGTCAGTCAACCTGTATCAACAGCTGGCAAGTCCTGGAACTTCAGTTTATATTTGTCATGCTTCATCCCGCCTCTCATCCTTCCTTCACATGGGAAATGGAAGGGTTAACAGAGAGCAGGAGATTTGATTTCACATCACGATAGCTGCAATAGGGCTAACCTACCTGGCGGAGAAGCTGTTTGAGCTCTGGCCTCTCTAGCAACAACGGCATGGGGCACTGTTCAGAATGTTAGAAACATATCAAGGACACTTTGAGTAAATTGTAGATACCCTGGTGTTCCCAGTGGGATGAGACTTCACCCCAGTGCACACGAGCCTACTTGACATCAGAATCCCACTAGATCGAATTGACGCTTTTCTCAAAGCGAAAGGGCAAATCTCTTACATTTTCACGGTGGGATTCATCATGGCCAGTACCGGGCTCTCGGGTGTGGGCTGCTCGTTGAGCGAAAGCCAGTGCTACCTGCTCAGACCGGCAGTCACGTCTGACATGGCCAGCTCGTCCGCAGTACGAGCACATCTAGATTCGGTCAGATATCACCGACTTTCATAGGATATTTGTGGGCCAATGAATATGATAAATGAAGTCGCAACCATGATAATATGGCGTCTGATGTAGAACGCGTAACCCAGTGAGACAATGGAAGCCACAGAGGTTAAGGGCACTTGGATGCAAAGCTCGCAAGATAGATGATGAAACAAAAGTGTCAAAACGAAGTTAAATCGAGCGGGGGTGAGTGGAAAGTCACTTATAAAGTGGTGTAGTCGGTGGGGTACTGTATGAGCGGAGGCTGAAGACTATGGTAAGGGAAAGTCTTATGGCTTGAAGTGCTGCACAGTGAAGTGGGCTTTGAGTCTCTGAGGCTCCGTCCGCTGATCCAGGCGACTCCTGCAGGTCATATATTGATGACTTGATTAGTCTTGGTAAGCAACATGCTAAGCGGCTAGTGTATTTTTATACTAGTTTGTCGAAGTCTCTTATCAAATATGATGGTATCAGATCTTATATAATGGCACACCTATATCGACATGGACTGTTAGCATAGGGGCTTAAGGGGTTCCACTTACACTGGGAGGAGGGGGGGCACTCACCTCTGCCTCTGCTACTACCCTCTCCAAATGGATTATCCAAGTGATCCATGCTTTTCTGTTTCCTTTTGCGTAAAAGGAGAAGAAAGGGGAGTCGAGTTGGGTGAGTGAAGAAAAGTGAAGGAGCTGCAAGCAGATAGACCCAGACCTGACGTGTGAAAGGTTGAAGTGAGGGAGGGAGGAAGGGAGATGTAGAGAGAAGATGAAACAGACGAGGAAGCAGAAGGTTACTTATACCTTAAGGCTCATGACCCAGGTTGAACATTCATTCAATTTGATAGTGACTAATTTACTCGAACATGCCTAAACTGTTAGATGAAACAGAGTCGTAAGTTACCTAGGCCTCTGGAGTGAAACCGCCTTGCTTTAGCTTCTCGATAGCTCACCGCAGTATCTCAGAGGTCCCAACATACATAGCCCATTGGGCCTACGCACCGTAAAATATCGGCTCAAAGCAGAGTAAGTAGCTCGGGAATGCTCATTTGTTGATAACTCAAAATGAAAATAGAAATAAAAACTCAAACGTCTTCTATAGTACTCCATGTTTCAAGTTTTACAGAGATGTAAAACACAAAACCTAGCAAGGAACACGCCATACAAAGTAGAAAGAGGTTGACACGAGACAAAATATCATTGGTCACGCAGCAGAGCCGACAGGGGTATTCGTATGGGCATCGATTTTCTTAAAGTTGTTGAAGGGGCTGAGGAGGGTGGCGATTCCCGCCGAAGCGATCGACAGGGCGAAAGCTACCTTGAGACCTGTCATGTAAGCAGGCAAAATAGCAGCCATCTGCTCGGGGTTAAAAACGGTTCGTAAGTCGCTTGCACCGGTTGAGACCACCAAGCTTGAGTTGATACTCGGTGCGGTTCGGGCAAGTTTGATAATAATCTGGTTGACAAAGGCCGATTGTGCGGCAGCAACGAAAACTGCACCTCCGACCGTTTGGAAGACTGGGTAATGAGGTCTGTTAGAGCAGGCTTTCTCTTTACTTCGTTGCTTTCGTTTTGAACTTTTTCTAATTGGGATGTTTGAACGGGTAGAAGGGGAAGGAAAGATAAGGCACTCACAGATAATAACACCTGTGACGGATGCAATATCGCTGGGATCCACTGCACCATGGACAGCATTGATGGGGACCTGGTAGGCCAACCCCCACCCCACCCCACCGAGAATTTGGTATCCGATCCACTTTCCTGTGCTTGTACCGATGTCCAGCGAATACAGGAGCCCTGAGCCGATGGTTACGAGGACCCCGCCGATAACCATAAGAGGGGCAGTATGACCAGTCTTGGTGATGCTGCCACCAGACACGATGATAGCCAACGCCATAGAGACAATGAGAGGGAGATTCCGTACGCCTGACATAGTAGGATTGGTGCTTTGAATGCTCTGAAAATAGTAAGGCAGGTAATAGACGATAATGAAGTAGGAGCCTGCAAAAAGGAACGCGTAGATTGAATTCACAAGGATCAGGCGGTTCGACATCAAGCGCGGGGGAAAGGCAGCCTTTTCCCCTTGGAACCATTCCCATGCCATGAACGCAAGTATCATGAAAGGGAAGCCGACAAGGAGCCCGATCACAGTACTAGAGTCCCATGACTTGGTCTGCCCACCAAACTGCAGTGGTAAGATGTAAGCGGTGATCGTACAGATTAGGAGGGCCATCCCAAAAGGATCTATCTGGAGGATCTTCTCCTTCAAAGTTGCCTTGACCGGCGCAGCACTGTCAGGGGCATGGAAGAAGAAAACAATAGAAGCGGCCGCAACGCCCCCGATGGGCAAGTTGATGTAAAAGCCTAAAGAAAAAAGTCAGCGTAGTCCTGGGTGAAGTGAGGAATAGCAATGCTAGTTGGGAAGAACTCACACCACCTCCATGTTACTTCATCGGCAAAAACACCACCTATTAAAGGGCCAACGACCGAAGCTATACCGTAGGACGCGCCGATAATACCGGTGAAGAATGGTCGCCTTTTTGGACTGGCAATGAAAGCGATGATAATAAAGACTCCACTTCCAATGCCAGCTGCACCAATTCCAGCAATCGCACGACCAATAATCAGTGCCTTGGAATTTGGAGCCACGCCACAGATCAAGCTTCCAAGCTCGAATATAAATACCCCAAGCAGGAACGATATTTTCAGCGGGAAGTATTTGTATATCTTTCCCCATGTCGACTGGAAACCTCCAGTAGTCATCAAGAAAGCCGAACCGTACCAACTGACGTCGTTCAGGCTGTTAAACTCATCGGTGATTTTTGGGATCGCTGTTGCAACAATTGTCTATTTTATCCGCACCGACATCAGATCATGGCACTTTCTTCGCTCAGGGATTGTGTGACATACCATGTCAAGGGCAACCAAAAAGATGCTCATACCAAGAGCCACCACAATGATCAGTAGCTTGAGACCATGAGGATACAGTGATTCGTCGTTCAGGTCTGGTCCTTCAGTATCTGCCTTGTCTGGTGGGTGAACAGTTTCTTGGTCGTTTGGAGCATCGTGAATTTTGCTCTCAAAATTGACCGGGGAAGAAGTATTGCCTCTTGATGACTCCGTACTCGATTTCGCATACTCCCGCTCTTTTTCATTGTCGAACGGTGGAGTCATCTTCGCTGATAGTAGAGAAATTGAGTGTTATTGATCAGGAACTTCATAGGAATGCTGAATGTCCTCCATATGAGAGGGGAAATTCAAGGAGATAATAAGAGTTTCGAAGAACATTGCGAATAATTTCGAGAGACAGCTCTGACAAACCCAAATTTGAGCCTATTCCTCTAAATTTTGTCCGGACGGAGGAATCTGTTAGTATGAGTTTATCCCGGAGGAGCTTCTAGTGCGGAGAAAGATAACTTTGACCGCCGCAAAATGCAATTTACGGTCGAATGACACTTGCTGAGTCAGCTGTTCCCCCGCCGCCGCCGCCGACCGGCGGTCCAATCTTCCAACCTTGTGTTGTAATTGCTCTGTTCACTTCTATCATCCTTTACGGTCTCCGCATTCAAAACACCGTGATTTTTTGACAACTTGACGGACTAACTGATCTTATTTCTGAAAATGGATACGGATTACGAGATCATTGCCGAATCAGGAGCAAAGCGACGGAAGGTCCGTAAAGGGACCAAGAGTTGCTGGGAGTGCAAGAAGCGCAAGATGAAATGCGTGTATGCAGATTCTAGCTCTCCAGATGAAGCCGGAGCTGTTTGCATTGGCTGCCAGCAGCGAGGGTTCAAATGCGTGAGTCAGGAGTTCGAGTTTGTTGATAGAAGACATCTCGAGAGCAAGGGACGGCACCGTCCGAGCAGTAGAAAGAACGATCGAGTTGCGAGGGTTGAGGCTTTGGTTGAGCAACTAATCAAGAAAGTGGACTGTCATGAGGAATTAGAAACTCCTGCAACTAGCCATGCTGTTACACCAAATCATGGCATCCCTACCCCTGCATCGATAGACCAAGAATCCTCACGTTCTTTCCCTTTATGCAAGCCTTCAGATGTACGTGTATTCCTTTGATGCTAAACTCGGCGCTGACTTCTATCAGTATCATGGTCCATTAAAATTCGAGGGGAAATATCAAACGCTATCTCAAAGATTGCATGAGTCCCTACCCTCGCGTCAATTTATCGAGATGATACTCAATGTCCACGGCAAACGAGTCGTACTTTTTCACGAGATGACGAACACTCCATATGTCGTTCTTGAGCAGAACGGCCTCAAATCGCCAGAAACTCTACTCGATATACCTAGTCCGCTCTCGCATCCAGTGCTGATTGCGAGACATATGCTTTACATTACTACTTTCCTGCAGCATCTCCACCCTGATTCTCATCGGCTGATCAACAACTTGCCGGAGCCACTCCCTGCCTTAATGGAGAGATTGGCAGGGAGTGCCATTAGTGTTGTCACGACAAATGACGATATTTCTGGCAGTATTGAAGCACTGGAGTGTGTTATGATGGCAAGCATGTATCAACAGAATAGCGGAAACCTACGACGAAGCTGGATATCGAACCGGAGGGCTATGGCTATTGCGCAGCTAATGAATCTCCGCAGTGGAACCCGAGCGAAATACCAGGTTCTTGACCCCAAAACGAAAGTTCATCCACAGTTCATGTGGTTTAGAATCGTCTCCCTCGACAGGAATTTATGTCTCATGCTAGGTCTCACACAAGGCTCTCTTGATCAGAGCATGGCCACTGGCCCAGACTTCAGAGATGATATCCCGATGGGCCGTCTCGAGCGGACGCACTGCGTTCTTGCGTCTCAGATCTTGGAGCGCAACGATTCCGATCCGTCTGGCAATGACTTTGCCCTGACAGAAACCCTCGATACAGCGCTGCAGAAAGCGGGCAGAAATATGCCGAGCAAGTGGTGGCTTATGCCAAACCTGGAAGATGTCAAAGATGACCCACATGCTCTCTTTCTGGATATGGGACGGCTGTTTAGCCAGTTATATCATTACAACTTGCTCAACCAGCTTCATCTGCCCTACATGCTCCGTTCATCGGCTGAGCGAACGTACGAATATTCTAGAATGAACTGCGTAAATGCCTCAAGGGAGGTTCTGTCGCGATTTCTCATGTTCTGCGGCTATAATAGGAACAAGTTCTGCTGTCGGACTGTTGACTTTTTCGCACTCATGGCCGCCATTACACTACTCCTGTCGCATCTCAACAGCCACAGGTTCTCGCAGACCAGCAACCCCCTCGCACATCAATATCTCAGCGACCGCGCAATGATTGAGCAGGCGCAGATGAACATGGAAAAAATTAGTCGTGCAAACGGAGATACTTTAAGCACTCAAAGCGCGGACTTGTTGCACAAATTATTAGCCATTGATTCTGAAGCCGCAGAAGGCGTCAACACGAGGAGCGTCAGCGTCCAGGCACCCGAGAGCGTAGCGCTGTATTCATCCGCGGAAACCGACAACAGCGTTGTCCGCGTGCAAATACCTTACTTTGGCATCGTCCGGATCGCCCGTCAGGGCATTGTCTCCAGGGAAATAGCCAACGTGCGGCCTCCTTCAGGAGTAGTTAATGGTCAACCATACGCTCCGGTGAATTCTATGCTCAACACTGCGAGCTCAGAGGCTCAAGCCGCAGTGCGTGATCTTGACTCCGCCATTCCATTGGCTGGAGAAGTATTTTGCATGCCAATGACTGAAGCGGATTACGGCCCAATGGATGTTGTGAATGGTCTGCCTGCATATCAGGACCCCGTCTCTGCAACCCTCCCGCAGAACTATCAGGATCCTGGGCTTTTTGCCGGAGTCGATGATTGGGCATTCCAGGGTGTCGATATGGCTTTTTTTGACAGCATGATGAGAGGTCTCGATAACGAACCCAGTTCAGAGGACGTCTGACATTAGCCCCTCTCTCCTACTCTTGAATATCCAACAGTCTTCTTATTTAAGGCCCAGTAGCTCCTTTGTAAATTCGGCATGAAAGCCCCAGAAACATGGTTCTACAATGAAACCTCAGGAGCCTAGCACTGGCACTCTATAGCCTAGTCTTGAATAATACCGGCAGTACTGAACTCCTCATATAGACGATCTCCTTATATAGAGGATAAGCTAAGCCTTACTCCTCATTTCCACCCTGAGTCGATTGGCAGGGATCGGAGAGGCGCAAAGGTCTGACTTCTTTACCAGTTCATATCCAGGGGTTTTTTCTGCAACTCTTCCATCTGGCTACAAGTACCATTTCCTTCCGATGCATCCGAGGGTCATCATCTAACCTCCTGCTTACTAGATTAGCTGTTACTTGACTTCGTGGAGATGCGACATCATATTTTTATTGGTCAAGTAACAGAACGCTTGGTCTCTAAGACTGATGGTGCAGCTGAAGTCGCGAAGATAAGTACAATGGCGGCAGGATTCTAACCCATGCACTAGCCCATCTCCTTTATTGGCCCAACTGTCGGCAAAATATCCTCCAGAGAAAATAAATCACCTACAAGCGACAGTAATAAGCTGCAGATTTCAATATATCAACGGCTCTTCAGCCCCTCATTCACTAGATTTCGCTATCAATTTGAGGCTCTATCAAAATCCACCGCCTCAAAAATCTCATTTTCCTTACCTCAATCTTCTGTTAAAGCAGAAAGGATATTTCACACTGCTCTTGACACTCCTGGTTCCAAATCATGATTATTGATCGATCCAAAATATGGCAAGCGGATGGGGATGGACGTATCAGGATCGCAATTGGGTTCCTCGATGATGGTGCTTGTACTGACCAGCGTCGGGCTATGGTCAAGAAGATTGCGCGTAGATGGGAAACGGAAAGCAGCAATATCATTTTTAAATGAAGCTTCCAGCAACCCAATACCAAGACCGTGATGTTCGCATCAGCTTCCTGGATTCAGGACAAAATGGACCTCGATGGTACTCGGAGATTGGCTCAGACGCTCTCAATATCACTGACCAGAGAAAGCCTACAATGCGTCTCACATGGTATACGGATACGGAATATCTGGCTATGAAACACAACATCCTCCACGAGTTCGGCCATATGCTCGGTGCACTCCATGAGCATTGCTCCCCAGATTTCCCCTTTGAGTGGAATTGCCAGGCAATATACCACGACTACGAGGTTTATATTCGGAGAGAAATTCAGAGAACCGGGCAGAGCTTGACACCGAGTCAGATTACAAGTCGCGCTCAGCAGAGGGCGAATGACGATATAATAAAAAAACCTAATCGACATAATTTGCGCTGTTCTACATTCGATGACCAGTCAGTAATGCTATATACAATTGAGAAGCGTTGGCTGCAGCCCAATATTTCAGACTACCCACCGAGGCGGACGCTTGGGAAGAATTATAATCTGTCTTATTTTGATGGGGCTTTGACGAGAATTTTGATGGGGCTTTGACGAGAGAGATTTACGGTGGTATGTTACGATATTGGGTCTTTGATAGGAATGGCAAATATATCGACGTTGATTGAGAGCACCAATACAAGCCCTAGAAAATCTGATATGAGAAATTTCCTCATTGACGCGAAATGGACCGCTCAATAAGGGGTTTCAGCATCGCGATTGCTTGGTAAGATGCTTGAGATTGCCAGGTGACCTGGGCGGCAGGTAAATATTCTTTGGGTTTTTCTTTCTTTTCTTTTCTCGGGTTTCTCAAAATGTGCATAGATAATGACTCGGATCACGATCAATGATGGTCCTTATTTGTTTCTCACCAACTCGATGTCGTATGCAGGCAATGAAAGTGAAAGTGCATTTCCAGTCTCCTTGTCCACAGAAAACACAAACTCATTGATCGGAATGTCATGGTAGGTTAATTGATCGATGGTGCTAACCCAAGAGCCCACATTGTACATCTCAGAGAACATATTGCCCACAATAGGCCCCACTGGGTTTACTGTCTCCATTTGGAAGGCAATCTGACCTGATGCAGTAACATCTTGGATAGTTGGAACTATTCAGACCATATTTCGATTTGCGGGTCGCTGAGGGACGTGAGGTACCAGGTGCACCAAAGTTTTTGCCAGCACATCGATAAAATCTGTGCCATTGCTAACCCATTTGGAGATGGTGAGACCTGGAGGCGACTTCGCCGAGAAAGGAACAGTCAATGTGACACTTGTGTTCAGTCTCTTTTTTTTGGGCATGTATGTACCCGCCAGATTCTTGAATGTCTCATGACGAGCCTGGGTCATCAACGACGGTATCATGGTGTTGGTGAGTTGATCAGCAATGAGCTGGATTGCTTGAGTTTGGACCCCAAGAGAGCTAGCTCCCAAAATGGTGGATCCAAAATCAAAGTCCGGAATAAGAACAAGAAGACTTGCATAGCTTCCGGAATCCCCTAACTTGGTATAGATGTTGGTTACCACGCTGGTGTCTGGGTGGACGTAACGATATATTTCCCACGGTCGGCCAAGTGCATAGTGGAGATCTCCCGTAAAGGGGACAGGTTGAAGCCATCGGTTAGTCCGATCAACTGGCAGAAGAGTGGAATTCAAAATACTGATTCCGATCTTCGCAAGGTTGTTGGTGGTCGAGTAAATACCGCCAGATGGGGTGGTAATGGGTACATTGATCAAGTCACTTTCAAGGGTCGAGGCAATAACTGTGCGATTGAGAAGCTCGGGCTTGATAGGTGGGCTGGATAAAGTGTTCTTCAGTCCGAGAGGGTTAAACAAGGCATCTTGGTACAAGTCATCCATGGATTTGCCAGTAATATTAGAAAATGCTCCCCCAAGTAGAAAGAAGTCGCTATCAGAATAGAGAGGGCTATTTCCAGGTAAGTATCTCGGTGAATTGGAGGCGATGCCCTGGACGTAGTCTTGAATGCCGCATTCTGTGTCAAATCCATATTGCAAGCTCTTCAGACAAGGATACTGCTCTATGAACTCATGATATTTGGAGTTGGCAGGCCCCAGATCTTCAAGGTGGCGGGGTCGGCTGTCCCCAGCAGAGCAATGTCTGATGCGACCGGCAGACCCAGTCGTGGTATACCACCAATATGAGCTGCAATGTCTCCAACAGTCACTTTGTCCCATTGAATATTCTTCACAAAGTCAGGATTTGAGGCAGTAGTCTCGATGAAATCCTGAAGTGATGGTCAGATTTTCGACAATGGGGTATTCTAATCATCATCTTCCAACTCTACCATGCTCGCATAGGTTGTAATTAGTTTGGAAAAACTGGCGACACGGTAAATAGTATTGGAGTCGATGTGTTTTGCTCCCTAGGTCCCATTGAGGTTGGAGGGCGATATGTGGTGATATTGCAACGAGGAGGCGTTCTTGTCATACAATGAAAACAAGCCCATGGAGAAGGTGGTGTTGTTCAATAGAGATGAACTGATTGAACCCAGTCCCTCACCAGCCAAAGTCTGCTCCAAAGTATCTGTGACATTTTTCCATGTAGCAGCCACCGAGCTGGAGTTGCCGCTGATATCTCGAGGAGAAGGATAGGAAGTACCGGGGAGGCCAGCGTGGGCTGTTGATGCCCAGTATATAGGAAGAAGCGTGAAGATGGTGATAAGCCGTATCATGGAGCCTGCGAGATGTGATGTGAATTTAGATGTTGAAAACTCCCTGATGAGCATGGGCGGTACTCACTATTTATGTTTGAACAATCCGATTCTTTGATGTGAAAAAGATTAGACGATCTCATTCTATTCAAGTTACATGATTTCAGCTCTCCCGATCAAACTGCTTGGCAACCGCAGCGGTAAAGTCTGACAACCTTGGAAGGACCATTGATTCAACCTCTTCTTGACACGAGGTATGGTTAAATTTATGGAGAAGTGGAATATGGGGCTCTCTTGGCCGTCATATTCACAAATCGGATACTTTTCCCTCATCATCGCCCAGTTGATCTTCGATGATCGACGTTGTTTTTCCCTTTATAGTGACGTAGGGCTGCCTAGGTGGGCACCACCAACCCGATTTAGGCATTATGCACCGCTAGGCCCCAAAATAATTAGTAAAAATAGTTTCAAAATGCCAGTGTTCATCACGTCAATAAAAATGCAGAATAGAGTTCTAATGTTGAAATTGGGCTTGAAATCGACAAGAGAATTAGGATTTACGCGGCGCATTACTCCTAAATGGGCATGAGAAACACATTCTTCCTCTGCATGTGAGGCTGAGTTCAATCACACATATACATATTCTCTTGGCACACGTAAACTCGTATTTTGATATCGAAATCAAGGAAGATACTAAAGAAGGTGCATAAATGGCGTAATATTGTTGGACACTATTCTTAGTAACTTGAACCCTGGACTGTCATTGGTACGATATGACATGAGTATTGCAGGCATTGGTAGACCGATATACTTGTACTTCAATTCACATCAACAACCCCGGGGATGTAAGGGTCAGGTCCAAATCATCCAACCAACTAAGACACTCCCCGCTACCAAATCCCAGAGTTAAAGCCTCTGATGGTAGTCCATGGCCCATACTCAATGTGGATTTCTCGAACCCATGATCCATCGGTTGCGCCTCAAGACGTTCGTGAGTTTGTTGTCCGGAATCCGGCTGATAATCAAGGACATCGTCTAGAAGTCGAACAATAACATTATTCAATTCTGAGCATGCACCCATGGTTACAGATGGAGGTGATTCCTTTGTTGTGTCCCGAACCCATGAAACCAAGAAGCTTAGTGTGCGGATGATTTCTGATCGAGGTTTGTTGGACGGTAGAGGCTGATTAGACAGGGTATGCCGGTGAAGCTCAGTGACAATCACCCCGGCGGCTGGAATCCCATAAACTAAGAACTAAGATGAAGTCAGAAATACGAAATTCCTCTATCTTTAAAGTGTAGGAATCAATAACTCACAACCCAAGGAAATTGCTTGCCGACTTCATGCACCTGATACTGTTTTGTGAGATCTATAATGATAGACAGTACCTGGAGACAGGTATCTAATAGGTCATTGATTGCCTCGCTGCTTGTCTGGCACCGAACTCGCTGGAGATGCAAGACGCTGAAAAGGTATTCGAGCTGAATTATCAGGCGAGCAAGGCATTCAATCGAATCGGTCTCCTTCCAGCATTCCGGGGTATAGATGTATCGTGAGGGGATGCTATCGAAAATCTTTTCGCAGGATTTATATGTTTCTCTGTAAGAGTCAGAGGATCATGCTCTGCCCCTACAGTCAAGGGCGGCAATTGCACTTACGAAAGGTTATTCGCATGATCGCGCTGCTCCGAATGGCCAAGCGATAACTCCAGCACACGCTCCCGTAGATTGGACGTAATATCACGTATGCGGATCAATGTTGCAGGATAGAATTTACCCTCGGTATTCCAACCATTCTCATCCAATCTCAAGAGAATAGAATCCAAATTGATCTTATCGTGAAACAGATCATCATCTGGTAGGTCTAACGGCCATGTCACATTACAATACCTATGGGGTAGGCGTGGTGGGCGACCTAGAAGAGTTGCCAGATTCTTATCTGTCCGATGACTCACAGCCAACATGCGCTTGCGTGTCTCGGCCAAAAAGAACGGTACATCAGCAAGAGAATGTTGTTGATGCAGTCCCATTGCATAAATGCACGACGTTAAGTCGCCGAAAAGACTGTATACTCTCTCACCTATCAGTCAGTCAGTCAAATATACCAGATAAATACGACTTGCCTTGCTGTGTAGGTGACATACTTGTCTCTCCTAGAACTTCCGTGCCCAAGATCACATGCATGTATCGCATCCATATTGTGAGGTCATTGACATGAGTTTTGTGCTTTGAAGCTTCAATACAGGCATGACATGCCAGAACCATTTCCTTGAGAAAGCTTTCTGTGTCCGTTTTCTCGCCATTGCCCAAATCTAGTTCTTGTCGACTAGGGTATCGACCGTGCACGCTGATTCCTGCCATTGCAAAGACAAAGCCTATAAACTCCAGTCGTAACTTCGCTCCTGTAAAAGATGAACAAAAGTCGCGGAGTGACATAGTTGGGTACGTATTCAGGGGGGCTTCGGTTTCAGCCAATAATGCATTGTAGATAGATGCCCAGTCGGTAATATCCCATGAATGGCTTTCCATATATGCCACTGTTTGAGCTAGGGATTCCAAGACAGTTGGCGCAGGAATGACAGTAAAACGGCCCTTGCCATAGTACCATTGAATCTGTTCTTGATAAAATGGCATTGCTGTGATAAGATGAATCAAACGAGCGGACGCAAATTGAGGATCAGTACGCCAATGTTCGAATTCCGCATGTAAAGAACGGTCGGATGCTCTTGGCACTCTCGTTGTCTCTCTGAACACGGAGATATAGCTTGTTGAGCCTAGAAACCCCGCGGGACAGCCTGAGGTCGTGTTCGAAACTGAACGTGCAGACAGCAGTGGTCCCTCATTTCGTTGTGAACTCTGTAATGGAGTTTTAGGTGTATGGGCAACCGGACAGACCCCTCGTTTACGTGTCGGCCTAGGTGTCGGCCTAGGACGCCCAACCTGACCAGGCGATTTGGTTAGAGGGGCTGGGTGATAATAACACTATGCTCCACGCGTTAGATGATTTCTAAAAGCTTTTGTATGATCTAGACAATGGTTAATAGCATAGATGAAGATACCTGACTTGGGTTGGCGCGCGACTTGCAGCGTCCGCAGACCGGAGTAACATGGTCGCATCGGACTTTAGATAACCGGCAAGGTTCACAGGACGTGGGTTTCCCGTTGCGCCGAAACATCTTATTAACAATACACAACCTTGGAATGAACTCGGTAAGGTCTCCTCCACGTTGACAATATTGGTTATTCTCAGCGGAGGAGTTGATTATTCCGAGTCGGAGTTTGCTGTCATTTTTATTCCGAATCGGACCTCGGAGTTCGGGTACGGAGTAGGTCATTTTATTCCGAATATCCAACTCTGAATTTCGAAACCGAGTTGAACTGACAGCTGAACATCATGATTCAATCAAAGCACTGAGGATGCTCATTGTCAAATACGGATGGAAGAGAAATTAGTTGACGTCTGCTGGGTACTCCGTGCACATGTGCGATGATGCGATCCCGATGGCGACCGTGCCTCCAGGGTTAGTACATAGAGTGGGTCATGCACATCAAGTTTGTGGAGATATATCCGAGTCGCTTTTGACTTTGGAAAGAGGGACTCGGACTCGGAGCAGGTCCAGGAACTTGAAACTTGAATTCAACATACCTTGATCTCTCAGATTCATCCAATGTTAATTGAAATTGGAAGAGTCAGTGAGGTCACTGCAGAATAGAAACATGCCTATGATTAGTAACCTTGGAAGGGGAAATTGGACGTACATATTGAAGAGGGGAACCGTTAGGCAGTGTATTCTAGATACACGGGTCGATCCAGCTAGCATGAATGGATAATACCAACCAACATGTACGTTGTGGCCGGACTACCCCGTAGGGGTGGGATGAGAGATGTGTAGGAGTGTGTATTCTAGACTATAACGACGGGCATTCTTGTACGTACAAAGACGGGACTGAAAACATGACAAAACAGAGATGTAACCAAACGGTAATTCTTAGCACGGTACGTGTAGTAGGGGACAGGGTACCCCACTACAATATGTAGTATCCAATGATCATCATATACTTCAACCTTGGAAGTTGGTGGTATGGAGCCCTGGAGATAGTAACTAGATCCTCCAAAGAACTTCGGAGAATTTTGGTATTCGACTTTCAAATGGAATTTGCCTGATTCAAATAGAACCTTCCATGAATGAATATGATCATAGCATGGAGGCTCATAATTCCATATCTCGATCTCGAAGTCACCGGTGTTTACTTTGAGGGTACCGGCGTTAACGGAGTTAGCCCCTAATACCCTGACAAAATCCGACTTGTTTCATTCCACTTCATGACCCTTCCACTTTATTCGAGCATGGAATTGCCTTGATTGTATTCAAAAATCAATTAAGGTTTTGTTGATTATTGCTATAGATGCCTACTTTGAGTGCCTGTTATATCAACCTTTCACCTGGGCAGGACATCGATGGATGCTTATCCGAGTCGTGGTGACATGGTCTTCTACCGTTCTCCTTCCTATATGGATTGAGCTAGTATATACCCATTCGAACATTGAAACATCATGATTCAAGTTTCCACATGAAGGGAGTGAATATTAGCACTTGAGCGATGCACATTATAATGCCTGGAATTTCGCGAAACCCCACGTTCAAATGTTCGTACACGACGATTCCACATCATGCCCATCCATGTGGATTAGACTCTCGGGACGGTCCGCACTATGTGATTGCCAGCACTTGATTCATCGTAAAGTCCACTCGTGCACGAGGTATCGGGTTTAAGCTGATTGTGGGTCAGTTCCATCTACCCTGCTATCTCCGGTCTGCTAAGTATCTCAACCCTTAAATGATTGTATACATCATGGTATTTACGAATTGAATATAGCATGAGCTTCATTGGGAGTGCCGAACATCTTGCTAGAATAAAATACTCCTCGATCAAGAATCATCGACTATTCATCCCAACTACCGCAAACCCCCACTTCCAATATGAGTTCAAGTCCAGAAAGCTCCCTCGAGAACCATCGTCCAAACCGGCCAAGTCATTCCAAGCTTGTCTTTGACCAGACTCTGATCACTTGTGAAGTTCGTCGGCATAACTACCCAGGCAATGGCACAGTCGATGATCCATACCTCGTTGACTGGCTACCGAACGACCCCAAGAATGGCTTCAACATCTCAATTGGCATGAAATGGGTTATCGTCATGATCTGCAGCTTCAATACTTTGGCTTGCTCCTTGGTATCCACCGTGTTCGCAGGTACAATCATTCAAATTGATGACTATTTCCAATCGGGAGAGGAAGTTTCCATCCTTACTGTCTCCCTCTTTGTGCTTGGTTTTGCCGTTGGCCCTGTTCTTTGGGGCCCACTTTCCGAGCTCTATGGTCGCCAGATAATCTACCTTCTTACCTCAGGTGCCTCGGTCATCTTTGAGGGGGCATCCATTGCCTGTCAACGGCAAGATATAGCCGCACTTACTGTACTTCGCTTCTTCGCCGGCTCGTTTAGTGCATCAGCGATCTCCAACTCACCTGCCATCGTTGCCGATATTTTTTCGCCCGCCGAACGTGGTCTAGCTGTCATGGCATACTCTATCTTTCCTTTCCTTGGCCCCACTCTTGGCCCGATCTGTGGCAATTTCCTTGCCGCTGGCGCAGGATGGTGTTGGGTGGATACTCTGTGTACAATTCGATGACGAGGAGGCCAAGACTATAGGTGCGTTATACCCAGACATTCCCGCAATTGGGATCCCAAGCACGCTTGACGGTCGCCCTACTGGAGATGACGCTTACCTGGGTCACCAATGGAAACGTGCCTGCATTCACTGGTGACTTGGGCCAGCATGCACCTTGACGACTAATCTCACACACATGGGCCGAGTTCGGGCTCAAAAGCTGGAGCTACCACTGGGATGTGCTCGTCCATGGGGTATCGCCATCCATCGGTGCGACACATTTCCAAGAGGTAGCCTTTGTACTTGATAACACCGAGGGTTTGGGATACAAAACAGCTGTGGCCAAAGACCCATTTTCCGATGAGCCCCCAACTTTCTTCAAACTGGCAGCTATCATGTCGCGCATGTGGGTTAGCTTCATTGTTGATCAGGATCCAAATTATTCCGATGGTAAGTTGCCTGACTTTCGAGTTCCAAACTTGTATTGCTTCTTGACTAGTGTGGGAGTAGCGACCGATATTGAGTGGCCTGTATACACGTTAGAAAATCCAGTGAGCATGTACTTCAACGTTAACATGACCAATGTACTGGCAGTTGAACCGGATTACTACCGCGCTGCTGGGATTGCATACATTCAAGATTGTCTTGTTCCACTGTATGGTTCAGCAAGTGAAGAGATACTTGCCAATTCTCAGATGGGTCTTCTTGAACGAGATTAGCATTGATGTCCTCGCCTCAAGGTGGGCTCAAGGGATAGAAGAAGCCGAGACGGTACTCCGTATGGAGTACAATTTGCACTGTTTGCACTGAAAGAAAGCTGCTGGCAGTATCTATCTCACCGTTTTTCACACCGCCTCCTGTTTCTCAGTTAGTGCGCACCTAACACTCTACAGTAGACGAAGGAGACCCAGATGGCAGAATAACTATGTCATTGTTGCAAACAGAGCAAACAACTCGGAAAAGTCGGGAGTGTCTAAGGCATCAAGGCAACACTCTGCTTGTCAGACTACAAGGTCTAATGCAGTAGGCGGTCGCAATGGGACGTATCAACAGGTCTGATTCTCTCGTAACACTAATTTACACGAATAAGCGTCTGCTGCGACCGTAGATCACGTGGCTAATCATGTGATCCATTCTGGTTCGGCCAATCAGAAGCCAGGATTTAATCGTGTTAAAACCGTCCCAATTGGGCCTAGTTTATCACGTTATTTTGGCTGACACTGCTGTGTATAGTTATAGACATCCACCCAATTATGTCCTTATTTCAAGTTTGATATAGCCAGGCTAGAGCGGAATTATTGAAAAGGCGGTAATCAAAACGGTAAATTTGGGGCATCCCCCCTATGTTGGGTAGAAAAGAGATCTTAATACTTTCTCGCTTGGGTACTGAGACTTTTTTCAGTGATCTCCGTTCTCTCCTTGTCTTGATTCTTGTGTTGTTATCTTCCCAGATGACAACTTGAGAATATCAAAGTCGCGAAATTAAATGCTGTCATGAGAGTCATTCTTAACCCCGCTGATAATTCTGCATCTCTATTGTTGTCAGTTCTTTGGCTTATCTATTTCTCAGTATAGCTATGGGCAACCCAACAGACTCAGCACAAACATCCATTATGCCCACCCAGCAGGCACCATCAGTGTTTAGTCTTGGTCAACACACTTATCATGTATCACCATTCCCAAAGGTACAGAATCATCAAGTTGACATTTGAATTCAAAAGAAGTGAATAACACTTTCCCTTCGATAGTTCACAGGCATATTGCCTTCTACGGTACTGGCATCGGTTGCATGTACAGTTATTCGAATCTCCACTCCTGTAATCAAACCGGAAGGTCTACTTGAAATTCAAGGCAAATTTGCAAAAGATGATGGTTCTATTCATGATGACTTCGTGTATCTCTTATGTCCCTTCTACTCGACTGCTCAAACCATAATTCCAAATCCTAGGCCAACAAACGCAAGCCAGCTAACAACTGACTTGATCGCCGCTGCACCCTCTGAGGGACTAGCAGATTCCTCCAGCCCATTCACGGATTTTGTAGGTCCACCAGTAGAGGTCGCACTTGTATCCGTAGGAGTTGCTGTAACTGTCTCGGGGCCCGGTGTAGACCATGAATTTGTGACCGTCGACAGTCCCTTGTCGTATGCGTTGGCCGTCGCGCAATCTTGTTCGCTCACTAGTTCAGCAGAGAATCGAGCTGGGTCATCCGGGCAATCTTCATAACAGCTTCTTGGAGTTAGCAGAGATATTCAAACAGCCTGAGGTTAGTGGTAAACTGACTTTGCAATATTCGCACTCCCGGAGCACTTGCAGTCCCAGTCATTCTCAGAACATATCTGAAGGGAGTGTTTCATAGTATCCACACATTTATCAACGACGCTGTCATGCGTTAAAATGGAAAATTCGATTCTGACAACTTCTCACAACGTACCCTTGCGATGCACAGAGTCCAGTACTCGTAGGTGCTGGTGGCTGAGCTGTAGCTACCACATCTTGCGCGGCAATGGCTACTGTCCAGATGATGAGAAGCAATGAGTAAATCTTGAGTGAATGGTTCATTCTGGCTGTTGGATTAAATTCCGCAGTTTTCCAATCTCCATATAGTATGATACGAGATCTAAATCTGCCAAATGAATTCAATTGCAGCTAGCGCATGGAGGAAAGTTCTGGGATTATAACTTTCATCGTCGAGATATCAAGCTGATGGTTACATTTGCTGTATGACAGAACGTCAACTCTTTGATCCTATTCCCCTTTCCGGCTATCGACTAATCAGATGAGGACTTTTAGTCTCAACAAGACACCCGATAGACTGCTGGTAGAGACGAAAAGCCACAAACCAAGGAAGTGCAAACTAGGTACCGTGGATATAGGCCCCGTTGTGGCCAATCTGCGTTGCATCGAGTTCTAAAATTGGCTCTGATAACCAATTTCACTACAAGCGGTGCTCCGCAATAAAAAGTGCCATCGTGCTGTTGAACCCATTATTTTAAACTGCTCATCATAAACTACTTCACAGAGATGAAGTAGATATAGCAGTTAGACATTGCCAGGATAGAGTTTGAAGGCACATTCCTGAACTATTGTTTCAGCTTGGCGTGGAAAATGCCTAAGATTCATTTCTCAAAGTCCTCTTTCATTCAGAAGATGACGGGTTGGTGATTGGAGAGAGTGGGTCGATGGCCGCATTCCGATAGGCTTCATGTTACATTCCTCAAGTAAAAGATGTAGAGGACGCTGTTTTCGTCAACAAATGAGTCGAAAGGGGATTCCGCGTCAGGAATGTCAAGACCCACGTGTCAAGACTACGATCAAGTCGTGATTTACTATTCGAATTGAAAGAAATCGTATTCCGAGTCTGCATGACTCGCGACTTGATATTATCAATCTCTTCCAAGGTTCAAGTTACAGCTGCTGCGACTATGAGCTATCCACGGGCTGACTACCGCCCGGGCGTGTCCAATGCATATGCTACCCGTGGGCATATACATACATGTATTCAAGTTTCTACACTTTCTCTACTGGTTTTGACTAGGACATCTCAAAACTTGAATACTGCTAGTGATTTCTCACCCAGGTGCCATTTCCTTCCACTTCCCTTCTCGTCTAGTAGACCCTCTTCCCTTCCTGAAATGATCTACCATACTTCCCACTCATTACATTTTCGGATAACTTCAACCCCATCCCAGGTCTTTCGCTGTCATCCTGAGCTATAGTGCAGAGTTTGAGCTCATCCCTACATGTACACATTTGAGATGTCCCCTATTCTGTTTTTTCCCAATGCGGAGCGGGTTGTGCCGATATAAGAAATTTCCATTTTCGGTCTCCGAGTCTGTGAACTTGATCAAGGGGATTTCTTCACTCAAGTGCTGCATGTTGTGAGACTTATTGCCCAGGTGATATACCTAATTTGTTCCATTACCTGTAATTCTTATGAGGAAACATTGTCAAAATGCATCATCAGAGGTATATGACTCAAGAATAACCTTTGTCAGCTAAACAGGGTCCTTTATGAGTAAGATGAGCATATACTAGAAGGGGTTTTGCGGGATCAACGGTACTTTTAATTGGTGCATCTACCAACTAAAGATGTCACATCTCGTATTCATAAACCATATTTGATGAGTCGGTGAGATTAATCCCCGATTGTCCGATTGATAACTTGGATCTAAGGAGAATCTTTTATTTGGTCTAAAGTGGTTGAAAATGTCATATCAAACGACGCGTCCCTCCGAACAACTTCAAAGATAAGAATCTGGAGACATCCGGGACATTAACATCTCCAGGGCTGCAGAGTCACTAGCAGCTTCTTGGTTCCTTGTTCCTGTTTCCTCGGCTAGCGACCCAGCTCTAACTCGCCCCATTTGAGGCTCACATATAATCTTAAAATGGATGAAAGCAATCTCAAGGATGTTGAAATGTCGACCGAGAAGAAGTCGGACCCCGAGGGCCATGGGGAGGAAAGACAAGAGCCTGAATATCCTACACTCGCCAAATTAATGATCATCCTTTCAGCTCTCTATCTCGCTGTGTTCTTGGTAGCATTGGATCAAACTATCATCGGCGTCGCAATTCCTAAGATCACGGACCAATTCAAAAGTATCTCAGATATCGCCTGGTATGGGAGCGCCTATTTCCTGACATCGACAGCTCTTCAACCCTCATTTGGCCGCATATACAAAGTTTTTAGCGTGCGTATATCCCACCGGCCGCCCTCATTCACGGGATCTTTCATCACTAACACAGTCGGGTATAGGTCAAATGGGGTTTCTTAGCTGCCATTGTCATCTTCGAAATCGGGTCCTTAATATGTGCAGTTGCCCCATCCAGTACAGTCTTGATTGTTGGACGCGCCATCGCAGGAATTGGTGTCGCGGGAATCTTCTCCGGGGCAATGGTCATTATATCCATGACAGTTCCATTACCCAAGCGACCACTTGTTTTCGGCATGTTTGGCATGGTATGGGGTATTGCATCGATAGCAGGGCCATTACTCGGTGGCGCGTTTACTGATGGGATATCCTGGCGATGGTGCTTTTATATCAATCTCCCCATTGGGGGTCTGTCTATCGCTGTCATTCTCTTCATTCTCCGACTTCCTGACAGGAATGAGTTCTCGGGAACTTCGATAGCAACTAGACTTCGACAGCTGGATATCATTGGAGCTAGTCTTCTCATTCCAGCCATTGTTTGTCTATTGCTTGCTCTTCAATGGGGTGGGAATCAATATCCTTGGAACAACTCCAAGATAATCGGCTTATTTGTCGGATTCGGCTTGCTAGTTCTACTTTTCATTGCATCGCAAGTGTATCTTCGTGAGAAGGCCACATTGCCACCCCACATCCTTAAGAAAAGAACCGTGGCTTTTTCAGCACTATTTGCCCTCTTCTTCGGCGGCGGCTTCTTCTTGTTGGTTTACTATGTACCAATCTTCTTCCAAAGTGTGAAAAATTCCTCTGCTATGAAATCCGGAATTCAGCTTCTTCCCCTTATGCTTGCGACGGTTGTCTCCTCCGTGGTTGTGGGAGGTCTGGTGACAGTGGCAGGCTACTATACTCCATTTTTAATCGGAAGCACCGCAATCGCTGCGATTGGAACAGGCTTAATCACAACATTTAATGTCGATATCTCCACATCAAAATGGATTGGATATCAGATATTAGTTGGTGCAGGAGTTGGAGCTGGCTTTCAAATCCCAATGACTGCTGTACAGACTGTTCTCGAACCAGAGGATATCCCGGTCGGAACAGCAATTGTCATGTTTTTCCAAACTTTGGGAGGCGCCCTGTTCCTTGCAGTTGGACAATCCGTCTTCCAAAACGGCTTAATTGATGGAATCCATAAATATGCGCCCGAAATCGATCCCGCGGTGATTGTGGGTGCCGGTGCAACAGAGATGCGGCACACACTCACGACTTTAGGTCAACTTGACCAGCTAGATGGAGTCGTCCGCGCATACATGTCAGGTCTTCAAGATGCATACCGCGTAAGCCTTGCCATTATGATTTTAGCTTTTCTGTCGAGCTGTTTTCTGGAGTTCAAGAGTGTGAAAAAGGCAGACCAGGAACGGAAGGGTGAGCTGGCGATACCAGCGCTATGATTTAAAGATGAAGGGGATAGGGAGCAGAGTTGACTGAGAGAAGTAATAGAAAACCCCACTAAAATACTGATAGATAAAGAATAACTTCCACTCCATCTTCATTAAAACATCAATTTGAGAGGCCCATATTTAACACTGTAAAGATTGCTCCATGCATACTGTCCTGACGATCGTGTTTTGGGCTATTAGCCTGGCTGAAATTCTCAGTCCATCCAAGCCCGAGTCCGAGTGTCTTCATGAATTAAGTAGTAGCTAGTGACAAAAGAATTAAAGAAAGTACAAAAGGAAAGGTCGATAGTCAAAACGGATAAATTCATGGTCATGTGGTTTGTTTTCATCATGAGCAGGCCGGAGCATTCTTCGATGTAGTTGTCACAGTGTTGGTGAGTGTTGAAGTTGCTTTGACGGTCTTCGTCTTCGTTAATATAGCAAGGCTAGTAGTTGTGACAGTTGGGGAATTGGTAACAGTGCTAGTCACGACCTTGGTTGAGGTTGGCGTTGGCAAATTGAGTACCGACTTTGAGGTGGAGGTTTTCGTTACTATAGTCACAGAGGGTCCCACTATCGATGTTGTAGTTGTGGTAGTGTAAACTGTAGAGGTTGAACCAGAACCTTCGACTGTTTTGACAGATGTGGTTGTTGACAAGGTAGTAATAATCGTTGTCGAGATAATCGGATCCAGAGTGATTGACGCCCCGGACGAGAATATCTTGGTAATCGTCACAGTTGTGATGTCTGGGACTGTGCTATATGATGTCTCCACCGCGATTTTGTTTCCTAGTTGTGTTGCAGCATTTCCCTGTACAATATTGATATTTGTGGTGGTGTTGTTTTCATGTGGATGAGAGCCAGTAGGTGAAGTATTCAATGCGGTGACAATGGCTGTGATTGTTGAGTGATTTGTGAAAGTGGTAACAGCAACAGCACGAGGTGGCAGGAGATTCCCCTTGACTTTCCTTGCTGCTGGGGCTGGGACACAGCTTAGGGTTGTTGTCACACTCGTGGTTACGGTCTTGGTCGATGTTGTACTAGACGTAACGACTTGAGTCTTGCCTGACACAGTACTTGTTCCTCCTGTGCCTACTGTCACAGTTGATACAGAAGTCACTTTCTGTGTACGAGGTGTAGAAGCGTCGATGCTCAATACTGTGATTGTCTTGGTGGATGTTGTCTTTGATGATGCGGTAGCAAAGTCTGTGATTGTCGCACTCTTTGAAATAGTCGAAACAGATGGTGAGGTGGTGGTTGTTAAAGTCAAGGTAGTCGGGGACTTTTGGGTACTTGTTTTCACGACTGTAGTCGGAGTAAGTGTAAAGCCATCTACAATTACCTGAGTTGCTGTTTGTGTTGATGTCACATCGGAGTCTGTAATAGTTTTGGTAACAACATCAGGTGATCTCGAGGGATCCTGTGCAGAGGTTCCTGATCCAGTATCCCCAGACGGGTCCGTTGACGAAGGATCCGTGGAAGAGGGATCTGTCGAAGAAGGATCTGTGGAGGAAGGATCTGTGGAGGAAGGGTTCGTTGAAGAAGGGTCCGCTGTAGGAGAAGAGCCGCCACTTGTGGCTGGATCAGTAGTGGTGGTTTTCCCAGAATCAGATGAGTCTGGGTCCGATGAATCGGGAGTTGAAGAGCCAGGGGTCTTTCCAGCAGAGAATGGTGTTGCGAGAACTCGCGAGAAGTCAATCCATGAAGTGCTTGAGAAGAACTGGGATATCTCAAACTGCACCACGGACTCATCTGTCAACTGCGTCGCAAATGGTGCTCTTCCAGCTGTATTGGATCCTGGACCATCATTTCCATATTCGCCAAAAAGAACATTGGCTGTGCGAGGACTGGCAGGTGTCCATTCTTCCCATCCGGCTGGTTCAACACAGGATCCAAGGTGTGAATAGACGTAAGCAACCCGTGCATACGAGCTGCGAGGTCTTCCAAGGGAGATAGCAACCATAGTTCCCGCACCGTCAACAGGTGTAACCTTAGAATGATCAAAGACAAATCCACCCGGGGAGTCAGCAGAACTACGCTGATCAGCAGTGAGATTTATTCCGTCATCGTTAGGTGAGATTGTAGAATCAAGGAAGTAGCCAGACCCAGTTCCGGCAATCATATCCACATTGCCTTCGATGTAGCTCTCTGCAGCAAATAAGAAACCATCGATCAAGAGAGCGTTTTGTCCTCCTAGTACCTGGCTACCGTATAGACTGGCATACTTGGATGATTCCACAGCGAGGGCAACTGATGCTGACTCTCCGACAGATTTTCGGGGGTTGGAGATATTGATGTTTATGACTCGCAACTCTTTCCCGGCAGCGTCAACTGTCGCACTGCTCAATGGAAGTGCGCCAGAGCCGATATCACCGGCTTCGTTATTCGTGATCGTGACTTGATTGTTTTTGAAGTCTTTGGTGGACTCTGAGTACCCAATTAGGATGACAGTGCCAAGGGTGGTTATTTTCAACCGCTCTGTGTATGTGCCAGGATAGATGAAAATAGTTGATACATCATCCACAGAGCTTGAAAGGGCCTTGAGAGCGTCTGAAATTGTGTCGTAGGTTTTTGTATCTGGGATGGATGTTTTTGAAACAATCAAGGCTCCTTCAGGTGGTGTTGTTCCACTTAATCCATCATCATCTGCGTCGCCGGGAGAGAATGAGCCAGGGGCAGCGCTCGTTGTCGATCCGGGTTTCGAGCTACTTGAAGATCCAGATGCTGAGCCAGTAGACGATCCAGATCCTGAATCTGGAGTAGTTGACGACCCAGGCGCCGAACCAGTCGATGAGGCGGGATCCGAGCCCGTTGCTGAATCGGGGTCTGAATCGTTTGAAGAGCCGGGTGCTGAGCCTGTTGGGGAGCCAGGTGATGAACCCGGCTCATCTTCGGGTGTGGTGATAGAATCCCAATACGTCATATCAATCCAGTCAGTCGATGCCATCACCGCAGACAGAGAATAGATATCCGACTCAAGGAGCTTCGCAAAACCAACAGCCTCTCGAGCATCGCTGTTCTGCTCCCAGTTTCCTTGACCGGTATTTTTGTACTCAGCAAATGTAACATAGTCGGTTCGAGGGTCTGAGTTAGACCAGCCTTCCCAACCTGATGGGTTGATTATACTGCTGAGATAGGAGTATTTTACCACAACAAATGCATATTCTGCGAACGGACGACCCAGAAAGACGGATCGAGTAAGATCTTCTGCTGCATTTGGGGCTGCATCAAATAGACACTGGTCAAATATATACCCACCAGTGGATTTATCAGACGCACGACTTTGGAGAGTGATAGCGAGGTCTGTGGACTTTGCACCGATGGTGCACCCTTTGAAGTATGCTTTAGAGGAGCCTGCGATGAAGTCTGTTGCTCCTTCGATGTAGGATGATTCGAAGTACTGATAGGCTGAGAGGCCTCCAGTCAACAGAGTCTCCTGCCATGCAACAAAACTACAGGCATAGAAAGCATTCTGTGATCCAAATATCGATGCTGCAATAGCAACGTACGATGACTTGCTACCATCCAAATTATCAATATTGATGAAATTGACGTTGTAGACAGCGATGTTGTCTCCGTCGGTCGAGAAGGTCGCGGTGTCTGCATTTGTGTCGGGTGACGCATTTGATGGTGCTGACGATCCTTGAGAAAAGCTAATTGTCACCTTATTATCAGAGAAGTCTTTGCCCGGATCTCCGGTCGCATATCCAATAATTATTGTTGAGCCGTCACGACTGATTGAAGGGACTTGCTCGTTGTAGGATCCTGCATAAATGAAGATTACTTGCAGCGACCCGTCAGAAGGTAATGATTTTAGCGCGGCGGTTAGTGAAGAGAACGAGTCATCAACATCACCTGATGGTGATACAAGAACTGCTCCATCAGGTGGTGTAGTGCCGCTCGCTGGGTGTCCAGATGTGCCAGTCCCAGATGAACTGCTTGTTCCAGCTCCGAATGGATCACCAGAGGAAGTTCCTGATGGACTACTTGAAGAGGTGCTTGTACCTGAGCCAGGAGTTGTCGGCGAGCTACCTCCATCGGGATCGGATATATCATAAGAAGGCTTCAAGTTGTAAGCGGTCATGTCTATCCACGAGGTGTCGCCAATCCAGTTAGCCAATGTGTAGGCGTCTGCCTCATCTTGACTAAGCTTCTTAGCAAAGGACGCACGAGCATCCGACCAATTTCCTGGTCCAACATTATTAAATTCGCCGAACGTAACATGATTTGTCCCGGATGGACCTGAGGAGCTCCAACCTTCTGGTGCGATGTGTTTGTTCAGGTAGGAGTTCATATAAATCACAAGACTGTACTCGGCGGCAGGTCTTCCCAAGTAGGTGTTTCCGAAGGAAGTTCCATAGGAGGAGGTATAGGTGACCAGAGAAGTGTCAATGACAAATCCACCTGCACCATTGGCTGATGAGTGGGTTTGCGCGGTGATAGAATAGCCGGGTGTGTTAGAGGCAATGTATGATTGATGGAAGTAAGCAGTTGCAGAGCCCCAAATGAAATCAATTGATCCTTCGATGTAGGAGTTGGAGAAGAGTTGAGATCCCTTATTTGCAAACAGAGTATGATGATAACCAATAAAGGAGCAGCCATATGCGCCTACTGTGCCATCGAAATCGGCTGCGAGCGCAACCGTGTCCCCAGCTTGAGGGTAGGTATTTTTAAAATTGATGTTGTAGAGCGCAACTATCGCTTGGCCATCGGAGTCCTGAACATTGATCACAGGTGTCTTGTCATCATTATTGGTCTTTGTTGCCACACCATCAGAGAATCGAATAGTAACTAAATTTTGAGTGAAGTCATTCTTGAAATCGGTCTCTCCACGAAGAGTCACCTTGCCCTTCCGTGTGATTGTTATCTGTTCCTCGTATGTGCCACTCTTGATGTCGATGATGTATGGCTTGCCATCATTAGCTAGTGCTTGAATAGCCGCCGTAACACTGCTATACTGGCCATCTGATGGATCTGGAGAAACAACAAAAGAACTGGTGGGAGTGGCTTCTGGTGAGGATGGTGTTGTTGAGGATGCACCGCTTCCTCTAGAGCTTGTTGATGAGGCTCCACCGTCTCCGCCATCTCCATCATCGTCTCCATCGTCATCATCTCCGCCAGTTCCTCCATCGTCCCCAGTGCTGGTCGAGGCACTAGCTGCATCGGATTTATCAATATCCGCGAGAATATCAGGATCTATCCAACTGGTATCGGATGTAGCGAAGTCAGGATAAGCGCCGGACAGAACCGCTCGCAGTGCAAACGGAGATAATTTGGAGGTCGATAGTAGCTTCACATATGGCGATCGCGCGTCTTTGTTGTTCGGGTATGCTCCGTCTCCAGTGTTCCCATATTCGCCGTAGAGGTTACGAGCATCTTGATTCAAATCATCAACGTGGACTCCTGTAGCAGCAATAAAGCCATCGAGATCGGAGTTCCGGTAGACGGCCACAGATCCAGGACCTTTCGCCTTAGCGAGGAAGATTCCTGTTGTTTCCTCTCCAGGCTTTGGAGAGATAGTTCCGCGATCGAATACTATTGTGGAGTTGTACAGCACGTCGTCTGATGCTGTACCCAGTGTACTGAGGACAAGAGCCGAGCTCTCAATAGGCGAGATCGAGGTTCTGAAAAGATAAAGCGTCGCCTTTCCATCAATAGCCGTCTCCTGGGCTTCGATGTAGCTATTTGCAATTAAACCAACACCCAGGCCTGTTTCAGTACCCACAGGACCCGCCGAGATGAACTGGCAGCTGTAAAATGCGAGCTTTGTCCCTTGGATCTGTACAGCAGAGCCTTTCGATGCCGTATCGACAAAGTTGATGTTTGCGAATGTAAACCCATCAACATTGACAGAGATTGTAAGCGCGGTTCCGGCTTCAGAGATGGTGACTTTGTTCTCAGAGAATCCATCCGGACTCCCACTTTGTCCGATTACAGCCACGGATGGAGTTGCAGTGACAGTCACAGCCGGATAGGTGCCTTCAAGAACGGTAACGGTGGGTATATCGTTGTGTTGGGCGTAAGCAATAGCATCACCGATAGCAGTGAATTGACCTGCTTTGTCTGTGGCAACTGTAATGATACTTTCTGAATCTGAGACATATGAGCGCACGGATCGTGATATTAACTTATTTCAAGACCCACTGGATGGTGTTGGTGAAGAGCTGGCTGTTGATGGATCTACTGTAGATGTCATGTAGACTGTATATGAACAAGTGCAGTCGGCTAGCTCGACTGCCTTTGCCAGACCCAAAAGGCCTAGAATTGACAGAATCCGCATCTTTGCCAGCTGGCTGAAGCCACAATGGTAGAGGCGCACTAGAAAACTTTCCCCACTGAATGAAGCACACTATGTACAAGTTCAAGTGCACAAAGGTACCAGAATTACCCAAATGGGGATGGGGAAAATATTTCCGTTTCTATACATTCTTAGCCTGGAATATTGCAGTTGCTTGGCATTTTCATTCCAGGTACTCGGGATTTTGCCTTAATGAACAAACAGAACAATTTCCAGATCACATCATTGATACTCTTACTTAATATATCACAATGTTAAATCGGGTATGATGTTAAATCGTCGAAATTATTCATCCTTTGATACACTCCAGAACAATATGATTCTATATTTGATAGTAAATTTATACTCTGATTGATTATTACATCTATATTACGCCGATTGATCTGATGATTTGTCCATCGACAGTCTTATTGGTCTCATCCATACATCCCGAATCCACTTTGGGCCATGCTGAGGTCTTCATAAACTGTGAGATATCTAGTCATAAATGCATGTCTATTGCATAGGCAATGATTCGTTCCGAGTCATAACAGATTCCATATGTAACGTTAAGCATAGGGACATCCCTATATTCCTATTGTCTTAAGTTAGACCCACAGCACGGCTGAGATGGAGATGTTTCATCTAGGCCATCGGAGATTGGCGGTAATAGTACCTTGAGATTCGCCACATTCTACACTTATACATGCATAATGCTACATAAACTGTAACTCTAACTGTGATTGTAGAATTTTGCTCCTAATCGTTAGCTCCAAGTAGGCATTGTTTACTGCAGATCATGACATCAACCTTTATGCAGCCCACTCTGAACATCTTACTGCGCAGCTTGAAGTACAAGCCTGAGCCCACAAAATTACAAGGGCAAGCTAGGCAACGCGATAGAAACTCAAGTGAGGAAGACACCTTCGGAACCAATACTAAATTATTTTGTAGCAATACTGCCTCACAAAACTTCACTTGAATAAACATTTGAAGACATCTAGACCATATTGTAAAGCCGAATCGTGAATCTCTTCCCGTTTAGGATAACTGACATATTTGATCATTTACTTCCATTTTAACTATGTCTCCACTTTCCCGATCGATGATCGGGAATGCGCGAATCTTACGATCCGCAGGCTGAGAATAACATGCCTGATCAATACCCCTGGTAAGAATGGAACCCGAAGTGCCCCAATCAGACGAATTTCGAATGTAATCCCTGGTGTTTCACATCCTGAGATGTGTCATCAGCACGATTCTCGATTTAGTCTTATTTACTTCCGCTGCCCAGGTGGGAATTGGAAGACGCCATTGATATTCTACGCATTAGGTTGTTGTGTGTTTGACATTTCCTATCGACACCTGGCAGGGAACTAATATGGCCCTGGATTACCATCTACTGGACCTCGGGAAAGCGTTAATGTCGCGTCTCCACTCATATCACATACGTACATTTTTGGCCTGCATATGATATGACCGCCTCGATTTTCCCGTGTCAAGAATGAATCTCATTAAAGCTTCTTTTCCAACATTCTTGACAGAACATTCTGTATGCATTGCTCCAGGCACGTTTGTGTGCTCGATATCGAGGCCTCGCGCCCGACAAACAGACTCCAGCTGACCCCCGACATGAGACGGTATAACTTCATCCTTCTCAGCGGATAAAATGAGAATCGGAGGGACAGATTGACGTGTGGAAATAGATGACTCGTTTGACACCTTCGTATTTTCTGCACTTGTTCGTTGACTCCACGAAGCCAGGCGTTCCAACGATGTTGCCGTGCACCATGTATTCCACGAAAAAGGCCAGAGATAGCGATACGGCAACCACTTCTGCGGATATAGGCCGATCAACATGTCCTTGATACTGGAGATCGGCGCCTCGAGAATTAACCCAGAGATTGGAATGAGACCATAACTTCCTTCCAAGTGCTCGGCTTCTAACTTCTCCATGTGTGTTCCTAAAGCCGAGGATGCAACAGCCGCACCAAGGCTGTGGCCCCATAGAAAGATCTGACAATCCTTGTCGGGAGCAGAGTAAATTTTCGATACCCAGTCCAAAAATGCCTGAGCGTCCTTTTCAATCCCAGATTGTGTTGCTCTACCAGAGGATTTCCAGTAGCCACGATAGGATAAAGCAAGAATTACATAGCTTGTTTCCTGAGAAGGTTTTCTCGACATGCCACTCGGAGATTTTTCAGTAAGAGAGTTCAAGAATTGGGACAGCATAGGTAGTCGGAGTGGTGTTGACCCACCATTCCCTTGCAAATAAAGTATAACCACCTGTTTTCTTGTTTCCTCCAGCTTCTTTGCAACTGGGATCTGTCCCTCGCAAATGGATAACTTTGTCCCGTCCAAACTCTGAATTCGCCTTTCTGTCCATACCACAGGCTTACATTGGGACTCGTATTCCGATATTGTATCCGATCTTGCAAATGGAGGGAGCCAGGTTAGATATAGCAGTTTGTTCTGCATTACAATAATCCAGAAGCATTTCCACGTCCACAGAGCAAGAAGCAGGCCAGTAAAGATGACCGGCGGCAATAAGGGAGTTGGGATTGAAGTAAGACTCATAAAATTGCGGCGTGCTCTGAATCGCTTTTTCAAAAGAGTAATATTGTGGCATTCCGTTGACACTCTGCTTTTTTGACACGTGTGAAAGCTTGCATATTGGATTTTCAATGTGCTTCGACTGGACTTTCCCTGAAATGGGATGCCTAGAAGAGAGCGCGAGACGCGCCAAGAGATGGCTTTTGGGAGCAATATCCTTTTTTGGTAACTCATGTTGCGATATTGAACATGGTATGTGAAATTAAGTTGAGCGGAATGTATTTTTGCCTGAACATTTGCGTTGAGGGTGGTTTGTTTCAGGCATGTCCAGTGTTATGACGCTGTGCTGGCATAGCTCCCAGCGCTCCAGTTGCCCGCGGGCGCGTCACTTCTTGCTGACTCATCGGTCACATGATCTGATATCCAATGCTTTACTATACAGCATGGATATCAGTCTCGATATCATTTAATATGACAGCAATGAATAGGATACATAATTATAGAAATTTCAAGGGATTTGGTGTAAGATTTGTAGTAGCTGGTAGGGCTATTATGGAGAATTAACAGGTTCAACACTTCCGTCAACTTGAAGTTCAATACAACATTACAAGTGCACATGAGGATATATACTAGACGAAAGGTCATCACCAGAACTCGGACGAACTTGAATGTGCCCCGTCATGGTGTGGTTGATAGTATTTTATTTTATTGAACTTGAAATCAAAATGAAAGCACTACTGCCTCCAATTTGTCTAAATCAATGTGCACTCATGTGCAGCTATTTAATCATATTTTCTCTGCCCAGGTGCTTATAGATGATATTGGCGAGGGTTGTCAACCGAGATGCCCAGCCTTCCCCACATGGCTTCGACATTCATATCCTCTCGGCCACTACAATGAAGTGTTAGTTTAAAACTGAATCTGACTGATGCAACTTGCAATCGGGTATAGATGTTGCTTACTCTTGCTTCTCGTTAATCCAAGGCTCAGTCTGTCCTTCGGCGACATTGGGGTTGCGGAAAACAACGTTATATTTCTGTCGAAAATCAGTATGGCTTCTCCTGGACTAAAACGTGTATGTATCGTGGTGTGCTTACCATGCCCAATGTGATGTGAATAGCACCGGGTCCCTTGACGAATGTCTCGTTTGGTTCCTGACCCTCAATCATAGACACAATGTTTTTGGCTGCCACAGCGGCTTGTGCAGATCCAGGTCGTGCGGCCTTCTGAGCTCCGGTATCGGCAATGTCGCCGACCGCAAATAGGTTAGAGTATTTCTCATCCAAGAACTGCATCGTTGGTCGAATGCGAATATACCCATTCTCAGGGTTAAGAACAGATGGCGACTCAGGCGTAGATGGCTCCAGGTTGCTGACCAGTTGGTTGTTTGGTGTTTGACCAGTTGCCAAGATCACAAATTCCGTGGACACTGACTCTCCATTGGTAAGCTCCGCAGTGAATGTTTCGCCAGTAGTAGGGAAACCACCTGGCGGGACAACAACTCTAGCACCAGTAATCAATTTAATTCCAAGTTCATCGAATCGTCGCTTAACGAGTTCATGTAAGCCAGGGTGAAAGCTTGGCATCACCCGAGGTCGAGACTGAACCACTGTGATATCCTTCTCTGGGTAGTACTCCTTGAGATCAGTCGCCATTTGCACACCGACAGCACCTCCACCAACAATGACAATTGACTTAGATCGCTTGACATTAGCTTGGTGTTGCCGAAGATAATCTACCGAGGATTGCTTGTCATCATGTTCCATTCCTGCGGGCTTGGAGAGGCGTGTGCCGGTCGCGACCACGATAAAATCAAATGGGATCTGCTTTGAGCCCTGCCATTCGCGATCCAGCTCCACATATTGTGGCTGGATGTCTGTCACGCGCGCCTGAACGACGTTGTGCGACTCTGCATTGGGAGTCCCTGAGAAGATGCCGCTGTAAGGAACGAATGCCTTGTGCTCCTGTCCTGGAACGATGGCAAATCGAGGCTGTGTTTGAGAGTTAGTGGAGAAACTAATGGAGACCCCGATTCACCAGGTGGCTCTTACAAAGGTAAACAAGTGATGGAAGTGACTGTGGGGCTCAGTTAGGAGGACCTAGTCGATGTGTCAGCTCTATGATCCTGCCACTGTCTTTGCATAAAAAACATACTCTGTGTGTGGAGGGAACCACCCGAGCCAGCTCTTGGGCCGTTGACTAAAAAAACAGTCAGTACTATGTTCGTGGTAATAGCGGGTTGGATCACTTACCCGTCCAACAAAAGATCCTCCGACGACAATGATATTACGAAGTGCAGCAGCCATATTGAAAAAGAGAGATGATTAAAGTCAAGAAAGTAAATGTCCTCAACTTTTCAGGGGTCACCTCTCTTATAATGTCATTCAGGGCTCGGTGCTCGGCAGAGAGTCCGGCTCAATTTACCTTTATCAGATGAACTTATCTGATTAAATCCGAATCATATTTCCTAATATAGTAAAATGCCGAACCCGCGGGCAATTTTATATCCGGGATTTACAACTGCCGATGGCGCCACTTGTTCAATTCCCCAGATCCGACATACAGATCATTTTACTTAGAGTTGAACTCGGATTTAGATTGACCCCACGGACTTAGATGTAAAAGGGATAAACTATTCCAGAACAAAGTTTGACGACTCGGATTTACTATCATGACTCAGAATTCTGTGACTGGAAGGCTCAAGGCTCAATTTTGGACATCCGACACTCAAAAATCCCCCAATATTAGGCTCACTAAATTAACAGCATACAAATGAGAAACTATATCAAAGAACTACGAGGAATACTCGAAAATCCCTCCATTCACGCAATAGTGATCTTGACCACCTTGCCGGGCTCCTTGAATGTACCTAGAACAGGGGCAACTTGGCCACCGCTTGTACCAACATACAGGGTCTTCCCATCTGCTGCCAAGCGACACGAAGTTGGTCCAGGCATCAGAGTAGAAAGCTGACCACCAGCTACCAAGGCGATTTGACCATATGGAGTCACTCGAACGACCGAGTTCTGCGGGTCTGTCGCAATATACGCAGTGCCATCCTCAGTCACCTCGATATTATCAGGCAGGAAGCCACTGGCGATGACTTGATAATCCCCAGCAGGGGTAGCATCTCCATTGACTTTGACGCGACAAAACTCCATACGAGTAGTACTGGAGTAGTAGACATATCCATCCACCACTTTCAGACCATTGACTCCGAGAGGCAAGGCTTGTCCCTCCGCCGGTCGCATTGTCGTATCGTTGAGCGCAACTGAACGATCTCCTGTGTCGATGTTGACCTTCCACACAACACCATTAGGACTGTCTGCAATAAGAACCAGTCGGGACTCTTTGGTGAAAGTGGTCATCCCGTTCAATGCTTCGGCTTCCGGCAGCGCAGCGATCTGTGACACAGCGACAGATTGTTCAAAAACACGCTGTTGCTCATTTGTCCCATCGCTTCGGAGATCCAGCTTCTGAACAGAAAAAGACCCGGGAGTGGGTTGGTACGTTGTTGTCGAGAAGTTGCCCACCACCACGGCAAAAACATCGTCATCGATTTCACTGATGCCGAAACAGCTGGTTGCATTCGGGAAAGAGTGAACGAGTGTGGCGTTTCCAGTATCTGTATCCACGGACCAGACTTCTGGGACATCCAGTCGGGTCAAAGAGGAGACTACCGTCGCGTCGAAGGGCAATGTTGTCGACCCATGAGCCGTTGTTTGGGAATTGGAATAGCGTGGAGACTTGGACTTCTGGCTCATTATTTTGGTATGGACTTGCAAGCTCTGAGTAAAAGGAAGGCCATGATGCCAGAGCCTGAGGTAGGAGGGTCAGGACACTGAGGATGGTATTTTGTGGCCGCATGATGGGCCTAGCTGTCCCCTGGGAAAACGAGTATGAAATGTCTCAGAAATTGGAATTGAATAACTTGGGACGAGATCCGTGTTGAGACGGTTGTAGCAGGCTATTATGGTCTGAATTTTATTTAATATTTCATCCCTACATTCTTGTGATATACTTGAAGATCACGCCGGGAAGTGCCGCGATCATGTTGTCAACTTGAACTACAAGTGGAGTCTATTATACGGACACCTGAGTGGCGTCGGACTATGAATTTTATGCGTAGAGCACGAAAGTCATCGCTGTTGTCTGAAAAGCCTGGATAGGACCCGTGGACGTCGTACCTGATGAATATACTAGTAGTTCATTCAAGAACGTAGTGGATCAACATTTGAAGAAAGGGGTCGATGTTGGTGGCCTGATATATCAGGCGGAAACACTGTAACGTAACTATTTCCCAGAAAACAGCTCGGTAGGGCCCTACTGAACTCTCAGTAGGGGTATGTGTCGGATAGAGGCCTTACTGCCTGAGATTACGTAAACCTACACTGTATTTTTACCTCTTAGATTTAGCAGAATTGAACACACATACAGTGACTGGAAAAAAGTTTGCACCAGCGCTAAATTAGCGGCTTGGCATACGAAATTCTGCCGATTTTTCTGCCGAAGAAATACAATAAATTCAATAACTAGTGTACCAACCATTATAGGTATATTTGGAAAATAACGTTGTAGCTGCTTGTAGGTCAGGCCTGTATGCTTCAAAGTGCATATTTGGGTACGTGTATAGGCGTCTAACTGGACGTGTTTCCGTGGTCTGTGTGGCATATTTGTATATAGAATAATAAGCTCCGTAGACACGTAGTATTGACTGTAGCTGACCGCCTAGGCGGTCAGCTATTATAAGGGTATTATAAGGGCGGTCAGCCGATATAGCTTAGTGTATTAATAGCGCTGGTGCAAACTTTTTTCCAGTCACTGTACACACATCTGTACAATTGGACCCCATTGGGTGCCACATGCTGCTGAATAAGCCTTTATTCTGACAGTATGTAGAGGTCATGTGACTTTAGTAAGTCATGTGACCCCTACTGAGAGTTCAGTAGGGCTCTACTGAGCTGTAGTCACACTATTTCCCAAGCGAGCGGTCCGGCTACTGCCTACCCTACAGTTTTAATTATAATTATTAGAACAATAACACCAATTTATTAAAATTTATGTCTAAATATCAAAATGATCTGATCTATGTCCTTCATTTCCACACTTTTGACATGTCGGAAGCTTTCTCCTAGCTGGCTGAGGGGGTAAAACAGGCGCCCTAGACCGTGGTACGGGAGGGGCAATGGGTGTTTCAATCACCTGTATAGCACGCTGTATAGCTTCCTGGCCCTCTTGAACTGTCATTCCACCCTCATTAGGTATCTGCCTAGTAGACCGTTGGCGCTTCCGCTTCTGCTTCTCATGGGCGGCACGTAATTTACGTGTTTCAACCTCCAATAAAGCTGTTGAATGCATCTGAATCTCACAGGCCTTAAGAACTTGATCGATTTGCTGTTTGAGTGGACTTGGAGGGCTCTTTGAATGTTGTTTTAGAAGATCTTTGATTATCTAGCTTGCCGTTGAAGTTGAATCAGGTTCTGGGGTGTCTTGGGTGAAAATTGGCTTGATTGGCCTGATTGGCGACTACCTGGGGGTGTAGGTGTTCGAAGAAGAATATTTAGCTTGGATAGCACTCGTTCTGGGTGAAATGGTATTAAACCAGCTGCTGCGAAGCTATTTTGGATGGTCTGGGTTTGAAAAGCCTCTTTACGAGCGATTGGGTAGGCTTCGAGAAAATCAAATTTATCGATATGGTTAAAACTAGACTTCTCCAAAACCCAATGGACCCAAGACCCAACCCAACCCAACCCAACATTGGGTTGGGTTTGGCTCCAAAACTTAGACCCAAGCCTGGGTTTTGGGTTTTTTCCTTGGACCCAACCCAACCCATAGGTACCCAATTGGGTCCCAAACATAGCAAACATGCCAAGATTTTGCTGTAGCATAAATTATGCATCTTGGCGTTGTATTTTTGGGTATTCCCCTTACAGACCTTTGGGTACTGCGGCTACAGCTTTTTAGAAACTAGCAAAGAAAAGCGTTTTTTAACTAGCTCAATCAATTCTTAACTCAATCTCCTTAATCTACCATTCTATCCATTTTCTCGTCCTGCCTGGTCTGTCCTTTCTCTTCTACCTCCTACAAAGTAAGGTAGGATTCGTCTGAAGCATAGGGTTTTGTGCACAAAAAATAGTTTGTGGGCTGCCAATACTAGCTGTCTCCTAGGCTCCTATTAAAAACTAACAGGCTTTTGTGCACAAAATTTACCTCTGTAGCATCTGACCCTCATCCTCATTCCTCACTCTTCATGCTCACCCTCATTCTTCATGCTCATGCTCGTGCTCGTGCTCGTGCTCATCCTGAAACCTAGACCAGTAAAAACCACCCTTAATAAACACAGGGGTAACATCAAGGCCAAGCTGGGTACGCTCGAAGAAGGAGTTAGCCCCAAACGCAGCACGTTCTGTTAGAACTAGCTTCTCAAAGGCAGCAATGTATAGCTGCTGAGCGTGTTTCCGCCACCTCTGTATAAAACCCCAAGCAGCCACATCGTCATCTCCAAATAAAATGTCAAGCTCTTCTCGTACATCCACCTCGTCCCAGCGCACCTGCCCAACTAGTGCATCTGAAATTGCACCCAGCCGCCCAAGGCGTACAGTTGCTGGGAAAATCTGGTCCATACGCCCTCCAAAAGTGCTATTGGGCAAGCCTGAAGGGGTCTTAGTGCCAGAGTAAAAACTGCGGTGGCAGTGAGATAGGTCACCCCAAGTTCCTGACTCAGCCACATCTAATGTCTGGTGGTCTTCTCCAATACCCACAAACCAAGGTAGGATATTGAGGCGACGTGAAGTAGCAGGGCCAGTAGAGCCGTGTGGCAGGCCAGGTAGGCTAAGGCGCACATCTCCAATAGTACACTTCTGTTTAGACCACGTGTAGCCAAAGTGGTCCTCATCATCTTTAGTCCACATTGTAGGCTGAATCTGTTGTACATAGCCATCTTTTGTATAGCCTCGGAGACGAAGGCGGTCATTCCATTCTCTGATATCCCGATGCATACCAAGGAGCATCTCTGTACAGTTGTTGTCATCCTCCACAGATAGTGCAAGACTACCTTGTAAAGCATTCTGACCACGTCCAGTACGTACGAAATCAGCGATATTCACATCAATATGACGAAAAAACGTAGATTCCCCAGGATAGGTGCTCTTGGTGTAATAAGGAAAGGAGATTAGTCGCCAAGCATGGTCTGGCCGAAAGAACACATAGAATGCATAATAAGCAGGGTCTTGCCGGACAAGCTGCTGGACCAAGCTAAACCACATGTTCCGGGCCCAGCCAATTCGAGGTTTTCCAGGACGGGCACGGTAATGCCAGTCATACATATCAAACTCCTGTAAGATCATAGGCAGGATACCACCAGGATGCTGGCCGTCAAGGTCTTCTGTTAGCCAACTAAAGAGCCCAGTGACTACCACACTACCATCCTTCTTCATTTGCTGGTCCATATGCATAGCTTCAGGGGGCGGGGCCTTGCCAAAGCATCGTTTATATAGCTTCATAAAGGTAAAGGATGACATCTGGGTTGGTTTGGAAACCTTTGGCCTTAGTGGTAGGGCAGTGGCCTCAAAGCGCCAGCCAGACTGAAGATTTCCAATGCTGCCTTTGAACCAAGAAGGGTGCTGCTGCCTCACGGAGTCCCATGAATCTAGCTTCTTGTAAAGGTAGAGAAGCCGTCTATGAGCCTGAGTAATAGCAAAACGATGGTAGATACCTAGCTGCCTGCAGAGAGCATGTGTATGTTCGGGGCATAAGCGTAAGGTGTGGGATTCGTTAGGGCTGCTAGTTTCTCGGCCAATTTTTCTGAGAGCCTGTTTCTTCAATGTATCTGTGGGAAGTACAACATTTTTCTTAGCTGGTATTAAACGCTGGAGAGCAGCCTTTGTGAGAGGACAGCCACATGTAGACATAGGTGGTGTTGTGTGCTTAGCTCGTTTCCGTGGGTGAGGTTGAAAATCATCATCGGCATCACCACTACCTTCACTATCACCATCGCTGTTGCTATCACTATTGCTATTGCTGTCGCTGTCGCCATTTTCATCATTGCTGTTGCCACTGCTGCTGTTGTTGTGATCTTCCTTATCCTTAGCCTGGCTGCTAGAATGGCCTTCTTCTTCTTCATCATCATCATCTTCTTCTTGGCAGCTATTCTTTTGTTGTTTCTTAGGAGTAGGTGGCTGGGTAGTAGGCGCCTCAGAGACCAAGCCTAGTAAAGATTAAAGGTTAAAGGTTAAAACCACATCTTTTAGACTAGGCTCATAGGTAAGAATACATACCTATACTTGGACACACAAACCCATCTATGTCAATTCCTAGCTCCAAGCCTTGTAAGACACTATGGTCTAAGGGCGTAGTGTCTTGGCTTAAGAAGGCATTGGTTAGATCAGCCTGCATGATTCGGCTTTCTTGCCGAATTCCACGTTTGCGAGTAGACCTCCGTGCCACATATGCATTGTTGATGGATGCTCGTGTATGCTCATAGGATATGCCGCTTGTGAGGAATTTGCTGATTTTTCGCTTCATTGTGTCACCTTTGATGCGGAGAAAAAGAGCATTCGCCTGGCCCTCACCCCACTGTGTCTTCGCACGTAGCAGGAGGTTGTTGTTGAATCGGGCCACACCCTGCTGGCTTCTAACCGCGTCACGCGTGATTTTCCATGAGTCGTGGAATGCCTCCACATTCTCTTCATGCTCTCTCCAAAACTCGCCTTGTTCGATGAAATCGTGCAGCTTCTCTAGAGACTTAACTGCTTCGCTAAGGAATGAGTGGGCGTGGTCCTGGATTCTAAGCGCAGCTGGATAGACCTCTTCTGGGGCAAGCGTCTTCATTACCTCAAGAGCTTCTTCCATAGACCTTACTGGCTGTCCACAAAGATCAAGTGTGCTCTTGAATGAGACTTGGAGGGTCCCAGTTCCCTCAGCTAGGGTGTCCATTATGATAGACACAGCAGACACGATTAATATGTCCATTATGATAGACACAGCAGACACGATTAATATGATAAATGTTGAATGATAAGTGATGGAAACTGAGTAGTTAAGGAGGATGAAAAGAAAAAGAAGGGATGAGGGGTGAGGGGGAGAAGAGACTAGGAAATAACAAAGAAAGTAGACAAAGAAAGTAGTCTTTGTAAAAAGGCTAGCTAGTAGAGTAGTTAGCAAGCGGATTAAATAGATGGAATAGATGAAATAGATGAAACATTAATTAAAAAAGATCAAATGAAAGATGATTGAATGTACTTCTAAGTTAGCTTTGTGCACAAAAACATATCTCTACCATATCGTAGGTAGCTGCTTTTAGGCATAGGGGGGGGAGGGAGCTGAGGCTCAGATGGAGAGATGAGGTTTTGTGCACAAAGATAGCTCTACCATATCGTAGGTAGCTGCTTTTAGGCATAGGGGGGGGGAGGGAGGTGAGGCTCAGATGGAGAGGTGAGGTTTTGTGCACAAAGATAGCTTGTAGGTGGCTTGTAGATGTAAACTTACATGTTGGTTTCATCCTCATGATGATTTATATCCTCATCCTCATGGTTGTTTTTTAAACTTAGTAATGCTCATATCCATCATCCTCCCTGTTCTTTCGCTTCCTTCCCGATGTTCGTAGCTGAGTACTCATCTCTGGTAGCTGTAGTACCTCCTCCTCCTCAGCCTCCTCCTCAGCCTCCTCCTCAGCCTCCTCCTCAGCCTCCTCCTCAGCCTCCTCCTCAGCCTCCTCACGATCACTTATACCATCTCCATCAAGCTCATCTAGCCTCTCGTCACATTGCTCCCTTTCTGCTTCAATCTCATCTAAGGAAAAGAATAGCTGAAGTTCTTTCCTCTGCTGCCCTTCAAGGTCAAACCTTGAAGCACAGAGAAACAGCATCAGCTCCTCAATTGTTTCAGACTTCATACGACCACGGCGATAATGGCAGATATCCCGGGCAGTGTTGAATAGCCGCTCTACACCAGCACCTGTTGCTGGGATTGAGAGAACATCCCGTGCAAGTGCAGAGATTATAGGGAAACGTCCTTGGTGCTCTCTCCAGAATTGAAGAGGCTCAGTCTCAACAGTGTCTAAGGTAGGGGTAGTTAGTATGTATAGATATAGGTATTATGATATTAGAATACTGATAATTCAAACATACCACCATCAAGATATTGTGTCATTTCATCTTTAGCTAGCCTTGTCTTCGGTTTGCTTTTGTTTAATATCTTATTAAGCTTTAAGCTTAGCTTTGGTGTAGGTAGGGAGCTTCCTGTGTCTGACGTATGAGAAAGATGCTCTTGGTGCTCTTGGTAGGGAGTAAGAGCTGTCTGGAATGCACTCCGGTACTTAAGTCGCCAGGACCCATCCCAGTCATCTGATTGGAAAAACTGGAACCGGCTGTCAGGAGCTAGCATTGTACCAACTGCATATATGTGCCCTGGAATACTATCTGTCTGTGTGTAGTACTCATCAAGCTTTAATCGGCTAGCTTCAAGGCACTGAAGTATGTGCCTTTTCCATGGAACCCGCTTCTGCCTAAGCTGCGCCATGGACTTTTCAAGATGCAAAAATAATGCATTATAAAGCTTGAATATAAGATGTATGGTTATATCTCGTGTCTTCGATAGCTCAGTCGTATATTCAAAGAAGGGCTCAGTAAGATAGAGCAGGTAATCGATTTGGCGCCACTCCTCTGGAGTTAAAAGCATTTCTTTACAGTCATATTCCAGGCAAAATGGGAGGAAAAAATCACGAAGCCTCTTAGCTCGGCGAAGCATTAGGAAGGTTGAATTCCACCGAGTCCGTACATCTTGTATTGGAATAACCTTTGGTTCCTCTGTTTGAAGATTGATGAATGTTTCACGGCGTTGGGGGCTTGCATGAATGTAGATTGCAAGATAGCGTACCTTATTCAAGGTAACAGAGATCTCACACTTCTGGCGCTTTAAATTATCCTTAGCAAGGGTTGATTGTTTCTCAGTCCATTTAGTTTGGGTAGTCTCATTTAAAGGGGCTGCCTTTAGGCGATCCAGAAGCTGGTTAAGGCTAAGCTGAATAACATGGGCAAGGCAAGGTATCCGGGTAATGCTAAGATTCTCAGGTAGGGCTTGTTGAATTGCATCAATCATAGTCTAATTATATAGTATATTATTAGTAGTAGCCTTAAGGATAGAGATGGAGATGGAGATGGAGATGGAGATGGAGATGGAGATGGAGATGGAGATGGAGGGTACCTTATTATTTGATGCATTATCAGTTGTAACTCCAAGAACTCTGTCTGTAATCTGATGCTCTTGGAGTATGTTGAGAAGAACACTACTAAGACTTATACCAGAGTGTGACCCAGAGAGTGGTTTAAAACCAAGAAGCACCTCCCGATAGGTCCAATCTGCATCAATAAAATAGCCAGTAACGGCCATAAATGCTTGCGAAAACGGAGAAGTCCAGCAGTCCAGCGCAATTGAAATTTTTGAGCTGGGCGGTAGGAGGTTAAGAATGGATCTCTGGCGGTCTGCAACTAGATCTTGTAGTCGCCGACGAATTGTATTTGCAGACGGGATGGTTGGAGGTAATGGTGAAGAGCGAGCCTTATGAATCAGACTATGAAAGGTTGGATGCTCAATAAGGTGGAATGGAAGCCGGTTGATAGTAAGAAATTGTAAGATTTCTTCCTCCCAGCCTAGCTGTGAGAAAGGAGCAAGAGCAGGAGTAGTAGATGGCTCATCTTCCTAGTGAAATAAAATTAATTAAATAGTTAGTTACTGTCTTAGTAGTTAAGCTAGTTTCCTACTGATTAAGCTTCTCTTTTGTGCACAAAATGCTATCTCAGCTAGAGTTTTTTTTTGCGCCCAAAACACCAACTCTGTGTATCTCACCACCATTAAAACGTACCTTGCTTATAAGGAAACCAGTAATATTCTCCTTCCGCCTCATAGAGTTTTGGCATTTTGCAGTTTTTAGGTGTTTAGCCATGGTTGATGTGCCTTGGTAGCCATTTTGACAGGCAGAGTGAGCATGTTCAAGAACCTTGCTACACCGCTTACACATAACCTTTGGTGCACCATCTGTGATTTGGGCAACCTGATGGAAGTTATTCCAAATTGGGGCCTGGCGGGCTGCTTCCCAGTGGATCTTACTTTTCCTCCCATAGTCAGTTTGTAGCCACCAGTCAACCCACTCAGTATGCTCTACCATATTGTAGAGGAAATAGGATTTTCTTCGGTCGGGTCCAACGCGGATAAACGGTAGAGGAGGAGGAGGAGGAGGTGTATCTGGCCGGAGGAATGTATGCCCATCAAAGCTTGGGAGTGTGGTCTGGGTACTAGGTAGTTAAATAGTAAGAGAGTTAGGTGGGCTTGAGATAGTCTAAAAAAAAGGGAGAATAGTAGTCTCTAACTCTTCTTCATCATAACCTAATGATGATGATAGGTAGAGAGGTGATTGGAAACTGGAATTTTGGCTTTGGGACATGAGGTTAAATGAAAATCATGAAAGAATAATAAGTGTAAGGGTAGGGTGGGAAATGTAGAAGAAGAATAGTAAGTAAGTATCAAGGGTAGGTAAATCATAAAAGAATGATAAGTGTAAGGATGAGGGTATAAAGGAGAAGGTAGGAAATATAGAAGATTAAAGATTAGAAATAAATAAATACCTAATAACACATATCTTTAATTTTAAACCCATAAAAACCCACAAAAACCCAAGAAGAGCCCAAGAAGAGCCCAAGAAGAGCCCAAGAAGAGCCCAAGAAAACCCATGAAAAACCCATGAAAACCCATGAAAACCCATGAAAACCCACGAAAACCCACGAAAGACCCACAAAAACCCATGAAAACCCAAGAATTACCCATGAAAACCCAAGAAGTACCCAATCCCAACCCAAGTCTACTAAAAGTCTTCTAAAAAATTTTACCCAGGCTTCCAGCTGCTTCCTTAGAATCCCTACTTTACCCGTTTATTTTATGAATACTATCTTCTTCAATTTAGTAAATATTAAGTTAAAATACTATAGAACTAAAGATTCAATTTAATATTAAGAAATACTAAATTAGCTTAAAAATAAAAAGTAACACTTTTGTAGGGCATACATGTAAAAGATGCACTACCTCTGCAGCATGTAAATATATATTTCCTACAACATTTACTAAATATCAATTTCTACACCCTACATCCTCCATCCATATAATATAATATTTTATAATAATTTTTCCTTCTGAATGTTAATATTATTTTCAAATAAGAAATCTATTATTATTACTAGTAATCAACTTACTCTCTAACATCTATTTCTAAGATGTAATGCTGCTACATGTAAAGGTATAGTAGCTACATGCAAGGGTATAGACTCATAGAGACTCTAACATATAAACTAAAACGAATGCAAAACACATGTAAAAAACAGTATTTTAAATTGATGACTGAGCAGAGTTATACATGCCAAGACCTCTTTTTTATGCAAAATTGGGTTTTCCTGGGTACCCAATGGGTACCCAGCTTGGGTCTTGGGTCGGGTTGGGTTTTTAGGTGCTGGACCCAAGACCCAGGTGGGTTGGGTCTTGGGTCCAACCCTTGGACCCAAATTGGGTTTTGGAGAAGTCTAGTTAAAACCAAGCCGCATTTGATTCTTAATAAGCCGACCATAGGTACGTTTAAGAGGTGCAAAACATCCAACATCAAGTGGCTGATGAAGATATGAAGACTAGGCTGGTACATAAATTGGAATAATATTATTCTCTTTGTAAATCTGGTCAAATTAGGGGGGTTAGATGGCTTCTATAGCCATGAAGAATTAAAAGCCGATATTTTCCAAGTATACATTCAGTTGTTACTAGAATAAAGTGTTTTTGAAGCCATTAAAGCCCGATTTCATTAGTTGTTCATCTATTTGGACTAGTTTCAAATCGCCAATCAAATGGAAGATTCTTAAACCATCCTTTAATCAAAACTTTGCCTTTGAAAATAATCACTAGGGGAAGTACCCATCCAGATGAATTAATTGTTTCAATAGCTATTACCCATTCACGATTTCCAGGTTGTAAAAGTGATCGCCGACCGTAAAATTCAGAGTAAGTAATAACTTTAGCAGTTGCTATAAGTCCCATTGCAAATCTAGTCTTATCAAAGTTATAGATATGCTCTTGAAGAATACTATTCTCTTGGATTATTTAGAGAACCAGATCAAACCTCTCTTGAACCACTTTTGGATCCTCCATCTTCGCATATTCGTAATTGTATTGTCAAGAGAAACAGGTAGTAAGCTCTGAATGTTGTTTAACGAGGTTTGTAACCCAATTTTTTTTGCCAACAGTTTGAGGGGGGGGTCTGGCCACGGGCTATAAGTAGAATATTGGCTATTTCTTGGACAGTAGCAGGCCGGGGGGCAGCTCTACGGATATCCATAGAGATTACCCACTGGAGAAGTGAGTTCTCTTCATTCTCATTCAATTTATAATTATTTGCGCGAGTTTCAAGTCGATTGGTATGGCCGGCAAGCCGACGCCGTAATGTAGTACGAGGTATATTGAATTGGCGTGCAACTTCGTGTTCATTGGTGATATCTTTCTTGCGAATAGCTTCTATAGCAAGTAAGATCCTTCCCTCTTGTTCAAGAGAATTTCGAGAGGTTTTAGAGCGAATTGGTGGCATGGTCGGTGGTTGAAGATGGTAGGACGCGGTCGCGACGCGATTTCGAGTCAGCCGGACCGCTCGCTTGGGAATTACGTTAATGCCTTCAAATTTTTGTGGATATGGATGGAAATTTCAATGTGATCGTCGAGTTTCAATGAATGGTTCAACTTGAAGTTGATAATGCCAGTGTTATGAAATGCACATGGCACCTGGGATGTGGGACTTCAAGTTTGAGTGGGAGTCAAGTTCAAGTTTAACCTTGGAAGTTGAAGTAGTACGAGAAATTCAATGCCAGCATATATATAGTATTGTGTTAGGTCTACTAGTAGATGCTCATAGCAGTGATGCACAAGCATTTTGTATGTGCTAGTACTACATGTAGTAGTACTGGTGGCTATGTAGTTTTAATATTAGCAAGATAGGAGGTTAGCTTACTTTGAGATGATAAAAACGTTGAAATAGAGTGTCTAAATTTATGCCTAGGCAAACATTCCGTTTTTGAACACTTATTCTGCCTCGGCACATCAAATAGAGTAACGATGAGCTAATGACCTCATCTGAATAAATCGCCCCGCACATTCATATAACCGAAGAGACCGAAAAGACCCACACTTTACAACATTTGAAAGCCTTATAACCGAGCAAAGCCGACATAATTGAGCTTGCTAGAAGAAATGGCTGCGAATTAATTGAGTAAGCCATCACCTGGGCACTTGCTCTCAAACAGCCTATATAGCCAATCCAATATGGCGACGACCAACTCAGATCGCCCACGGACACGGGCGAAGAGAGCCTGCATGGCTTGCAATGCGCGCCGGGTTCGCTGCAATGTGGTTGAAATGCATCCATGTCAAAATTGTGTGTCGTGGAATCTCTCATGTGAACTAGGAGTGTCAAGACGGGGAAAGTAAGCAATATCCTGTATCATTGAAGTTTGACTTCCTTACTCTTCCCCACATATACCAACATTCATCTGAAGATATCCCCGACGGAAGAAGAAAGAGTCTTTAGACAGTGAAGTCTCAGCTTCAACGGTTCCAAGCAATATACAAGATAATGCCTTATCTTATATACCCCATGCCTCCACCTGCCCCACTCCGGCAGGCAATCAAATGCATGAAACCGTGTTTCTCGGCGAGTCAAGTCCGCTCACCTGCGTTGTGGATGAGAATCGGCGATCGCCGGATAAAGGCTACACGTATAACAACCAAAAAGGCCGTCTACACTATGCAGTCCCCGAAAGCCGGGGTACAAGTGAGCTGAGCGATGATCAGCGTCGAAAGATTCTTCAAGATCGTTTGATTCGTGAAAGCGCATTGGTGTTTCCCTCACCTATTATCTGTGATACCCTGCTCCAGGCCTATTTCCAATGGTTTCATCCTTGTTTTCTCATCTTGGACCGGGTAAAAGTACAGACCGAGTATCAAAAACATACCATTTCACCATTACTACTCCAAGCAATGCTCTTCATTGGAGTAAGCCTATGCTCTGATACAGCTTTCCAAGTCACCGGATATACCAACCGGTACCAAGCTAAAGGACTATTCTACCAACGCGCAAAGGAAATCTATGATGTGGGATGGGAGACCAACATGATCACCAAGCTTCAATCCTTATTCTTACTGAGTTTCTGGCGTGGAGAACCAAGTGAAGAGCGAGATGTTCGATTCTGGCTAGGGGCAGCCATCAGTATCGCCCAGAAAAAAGGGATCCATGTGATGTGAGTGGTGCTTTATTGACAGACGATCATTTCAGAGACTGACCATAATAGGTCTAAACTTTCTTTCCTAGGCGTTCGTGATCAGAGATTATGGAAGCGCATCTGGTGGGCTCTATATGTGAGCTTCGTCTTCCAACTAGAAACACACCTGGTCATCTCTAATTCTGTCCTAGGTTCGAGATCAGCAGACATCCGCTGCGTTAGGATTACCATCTCGCATCCGTGACGAAGATTGCGAAGTAGCTGAGCTTGAAAGATCCGACTTTGAAGACCACGACGATGAACCTGCTTCTGAGATTTTCCGAAAACCACCGGCTGTTCATGTATCCTATGTGATTGGAATGGCTCAACTTGCGAGGTTATGTATGATTCGATCCATCACTGCCAGAATGCGTTCTGAATATTATGGGTAAGAGCTGATTGTTTATTCAGTACGAGAGGTTGTCTCCAGTCAATATTCACCACGACGGGCCAAATTAGACAATGCATCGCGCCCGATAATCCACGAGCGCCTTTCAGATTGGGAATCCAAGCTGCCAACCGAGATGCAATTCGGAGTTTCCACCGAACGGGAGGTAATATTCCTCGTTGGTATGCTACATATGACTTACAAGTGAGGCATCTCTACAGAATCTCTCATCCACTGGATGTGAGCCCTTGTTAATAGTGAAATAGTAATCTCTACGTCCTTCTCTACCGTCCTATCTTTTTACAGCCGCCAAGTGAGTCCACAAGCGCGGAGGGAACTATGGCCTTGGAAGCAGCGACGAAAAGCACGCGTATTCTCGAGGATATGCTCTCAGAGAATCTTGTCCAGCATGGATCAGTCCATCTGTAAGTTTCCCTTCTTAGAGCACGGGAAGTATTTCGCCTGACTCTCATCTAGCATTACGCACACCTTCTCCGCATTGTGTATTCACACCATTCATTTCGGCCGAGTCGCCGGTACCGCTCGCAAACTCGCTGAACACCGAGCCAAGCTCTGTCTTCTTGGGCTAAAGGAATTGCAAAAGTCATGGGATCTGGAGAATTGGGTGCTGGATCTGTTTTTTCGGTGCTTGGATGATCGAACGGCGCGAGATCTTCGCTTAGCGGACACTGGAATTTCACCTTCCACATTTTCAACCCACTTTACAAGGGGATCACTAGCTTCTGGATTTGTCGCCGAGAATTCTGAGGATGCCGCCAAGCCCTCAGTTGCACAAGGAAAGGATCCGTTACCTTTAAGCCCACAGCCGGCTACCATAGCTCCAGACGACACGTTGATCAATATGGACTGGTATGAATTGCTCAATGTGGAAGGTGATGATTTCACAGGCCTCGCGGGCTCGTTGACGAATCCCGAGTATCTCAACCCGCAGAACCTAGAATTTTTGTACCGGTTTCTATAATTCAAGGAGATTAATTGTCCTTCGCAGCGATCAACGAGGACATGCGATCGGCTTTTGGAATGTCAATTTCCGATTGGTTCGCATGAAAGATCGCGACGAGGACGACGAAAACGAAGACGTTGACGTTGACGAAGACCAAGACAAAGGTGGCTGGAAACGTGGCGGGTGGTTGCATACAACGCGGCATCCACGATGGAGTATTCCGTGTCTGTTCCAAGTTCACAGTATGATGAATTGATGACAAGGCTTGCAAGGCTGGAAAGAGGAATGTCTCATTCCGGAATGCTGGGGAAGAACAACCGTTTGCAGACAGTGAGGTTCTTATCTTTCCTACTTCGACTCGACATGTGGCGATATAACGACAACTTGAAGTCATATGTGGTTTTCTGCGGATCTATCCATTCTCTGGATTCTTCTCCCGCATCTGAGTTCGTTCCAGTTCGCACTTCTGGAAAACTCCGCTGCCTAGTCTCAATCCCAGCTATTCAAGGATCCACCCGTCTCAAACAGGGTCTGTGCGCGAGTTCCAACTGAGTCAGTCGCGTACACTGCCCAGGTGAAAGATTGCAAACGGGGGCGGTTTTTGAATTGGGCAAAGTTCTTGTTAGCTATTTGGACAAATATTTGTCCAGTTTTTCTGTTGATCCCTACCACGGTTGAACTGAGGTGAAAATTGAAGTCAATCTTGCGACTGACAGAATGCGCGCACGGGCAGGGTCCGGAGAAAGAATGTCTCTCTCATCACATGTATTTGTGTGCAGAACCATCATTATCACTGTCGATCCTAATGGACCAAGCGGGGATTCAGTAAAGATTTCGTGTACCTGCATGTGTAGTCGTAAACCATAAACCATATGAGTCTTTTTTCTTACTTGATTTTTTTTTCTCTTTTTATCCTGCAAAATGGTCAGAATTGTCAAGTTCCTTGCAGGGTTGTAAGGCTAAAATTTGGGGCTGTACGGTAGCATGTACTTTAGTCTGTTTCACAATCACAAACAAGGCCCATCAGGATCTCCATTTCTTGACGGGTACCTAGATGGTTCCCGTGTCTGGCGACGCAGCCACCGGTGATTGCGTGTCATTGAGTCACTGATTGGACTGAGCACATGCTAAGCATTTTGCTACAGCTTAGCTGGAGCTTGGCTGACCATTGGGATTACTGGATTTGAAAAAGCAACGTCATGCGGAATTGGGCATGGAGGGCGAATCCCGCTGATCATCATCGGACCAATCAATATCCGAGGCTCTCCGTCAATATTGCCACAACTGGCGTGATCATGATTCTGATTTGGCCTATTCTTGGACAGGGACCGGGTGTGACAGCTTGACTTTGTTCCACGGAATGACCGGGATCTAAGGAATACTTAAAGGGGAGCCAAAGAACGGATTCAGGCACAGAAATCATATCAAAGTTAATTATTTTATCTCGATTGAATAAGACAAGACTACGACTTCTCACTCAATTTAAGTCTCTACCATACACACCACCTTCTAAACCAAAGATTCATAATGGGTGCCTCTCGATCATCAAGCGAGCACACTAGCTCTATGGAGTCATCTCACTCCCACAAAGATTCATTGCAAACAAAGGCGGATCCCAATGTGGCACTATATGAAGCCCAGCCAAGTACGATTGACTCTTCCGCACATACTCAACTCAGGTTTTAACATATCACAGTGGACAACCAGCCGGGATCCCAAACATTCTCTCTTCGCAGCATCCAGCATAAGGATCTGAATGGAAATATCATCGGTATGTTCAATTATCATGACGCCTAATGAATCATGAACTAACCTTGACTAGCTGATCCTGATCTGTGCAACCCAACTCGGAATCGTCTCGAGCGTCCTCTTGATACTATTCGATCCTTCGAAGCTGCGATCGATGCACACCACAAGCGAAACCATATGTGATCGGGAATTTTATTGTGACTTGAATTGAATACGGGATGGATATTTATGATACCTTATTATGCGATTCACGGCGGGTTGTACATTATTGGTACTTGTTATTATAGCCTTGGACCTCGGGAGATTTCCTCTGATTTGAATATATCTGAATTATTTCAAAATTGAAGTTTGGTAGTTTCACCACTGCTGCAAATTTTTGTAGCAACTTGAAGTGAGCACAGAATTCTAGGGTAGTACTAGTAGTATCGAGACTCCATCTTATCTGCTAAAGTAGTGTATTGATGCCACGCAAACTTGAAGTGACAGCCCTGGAGTCATGATATGAAGTCATGGCTCGACTACAGAATATGTAAGGTTGTACTAGTAGCCTGAGCTTGAACTTCGTCTGAAATCGAATACTTTCAATCGATCGGAGTATATATTTTTTCCCCATATCATACACAGGTGAACCCCTTGTGTCTCATATTCGACTGCGTGGCATTATCCTTCAGGGCTGTGTACATACATTGCCCGGGCAATACTAGTAGAAGTACTTGATTTTCAACTATACATATAATTCTAACTCGTTACGGAGGTCGGTCCGGAAAGTTCTCGCCAGAAATTATAATTTCTTTTTCTTGATATATTACCGGCCCTGTATGTCAGGTGTATAGCCTGCTGTATATTGGATGTATTGCCGTGTTACGTACTAGGCTAAATATTGCTTATAACACCCGTGGACACGTAGATCTTTATCTTTTACCCCGCCTACAGTCCGTACACCCCTTCACACTTTTATCCCACCTACACAGCTACACTTTTGTCCCACCTATACAGCTACAATGAAGACCAATATTGCGCAACGTGCTGTCATTGTATACCTAAGGGCCCAAGGACATGCCCCTAAGGAGATCAGTGAATTTATGAATATTCCACGGCGTACTATAGGAGACATATGGAACCGTGCACTCGAACGAGGTTTTCAGCCGAATCAGCGACCATTCAATATATCAGATGAAATGTTAGCTGATAAAGCACGTTCTGGGCGTCCATCTAAGCAAACAGATGAGCTTAAAACCACACTTGGGGCGAAAATCCGTGTAGACCGCTATGGGCGTGAGAAAACATGTGAACAGCTAGCTGCAGAGCTACGCAGTGAATCAGGTTAGTTATTCTAAGATTTGATATTTTATTTAGTGTGTTATTTAATATGTTATTTAGTATAATATTTGATGTGTTACTTGGTGTGTTATTTGATATGTTATCTCATATGTTACTTGATATGTTATTTCCTCTAATATTTCTTCTATAATTAGGGATTAATATATCAAAAACAACAGTTTGGCATGTACTACGAAAAATTGGCCTACGAAAAACAAAGCCTACACGTAAGCCTGGGCTTGCCGCTGAGCAGAAAAAACAACGTCTTGAATGGTGTTTAAAACACGCCCATTGGACTATAGAAGACTGGAAGAATGTGATTTGGACTGATGAAACTGCGGTTGTTTTATTACACCGTCGGGGTGGATATCGTGTATGGCGTACTTCTAGTGAGCGGTTCGTCCGAAGCTGTATTCGAGAACGTTGGAAGGGGGCCTCTGAGTTCATGTTTTGGGGTGCTTTTTCTTATGATCAGAAGGGCCCCTGTCATTGTTGGGTACCTGAAACTACAGCCCAAAAGCGTGAAGCAGAACACCAAATCGCCGAATGGAATACTGAATTAGAGCCTATTATGCGTGCAGAATGGGAGCTTAATTCAGGTATACAGCGATTAGGGCTACGCAATAAGCCTGGAAGACAACCTCAGTGGAGATGGACTCAGAAGAATGGAAAGCTTGCACGCAATTCGAAAGGTGGAATCGATTGGTACCGATACAACACCGTGATTTTAGCCCCAAAACTACTTCCATTCGCCCAAGAATGTGCTCGAATTCGAACGAAAACAATAGTTCAAGAGGATAAAGCACCAGCCCATTCACATCACTACCAACAGCGAATATTTGATATAATGGGGGTCCAACGAATGATCTGGCCTGGAAATTCGCCTGATCTAAATATGATTGAACCTGCATGGCCTTGGATGAAGAGATACACTACGCGAAAAGGAGCACCTAAATCGCGTAAAGAAGGGATTAAAGTATGGGAGGCTGCGTGGCGTGATCTACCACAGGCGCAAATTCAAGCTTGGATTGAACGTATACCATGGCATATACAGCAAGTCATTAGACTAGAAGGGGGCAACGAATACGGTGAGGGGCGTGATAAATTAGGTGAAGTAGCCCCTAGCGGGTTAGGTGATAACGCCTATAACAGCGGCAGCGGCAACGACAGCGACAGCGACAGCGACAGCGACAGCGATATATGGGAAGATATGTGAATATTTACTGTTTCAAGCTGTTATTATATTTCAGTACTATATATTTCCGTTTTATATACATCTTGATTACGCGATATATTTCAATATTTACTGTATATAGCCTAGTGTGAGAAAAAGAAATTATAATTTCTGGCGAGAACTTTCCGGACCGACCTCCGTACTGCCAGGTGATAAACGAGTGAAGCCCAAATCACAATACTTGAAACTTGAAATAAAGTAGTTCGATTCGCATTAGCGCTTCGACAGTGCACCAAAACGATGAATCCACAACTGAGCGGAACCCTCAGATCATCGCGCCTTGGCATTCTCTCTCAGCCCAGCATGACGAGCATGATATTCCGTGCTTAATCGAGCTAAAATCTGGTGCCAAGATTGGTGATGAATTTTTATGCGCTGCCATTCATTTGCTGCTAGGGTTAGTTCGCAATCCTCTACTCACTGCATGCACTCCCATATCGAATTAATCCTCTAGTACTACGTGTCGTCCTCTGCAAAGGGCACACAAGAAGCAAAATGAACTCTACAGAAACCTCATTTTACTCAAAGTTCACCCCTTTAAGCACCAAATATTGGAATTGTGCAGAAAAAAACAAACCCATATCCTAGGCAGCACTGATCATGATCAACCGGGTGATACTTTAAAGGGAAAAATAGATCGAGAGTGACTAAGCAGATTAACTCCGAGGAAGTCGAATTTATTGATTTTTTTGAATTTATTCAATTGAATATTGAAGTCAATTTACATGGAATCCGGTTATCCGATCTCCCAATTGTTATTTTTCTTATGAATCCACTTGTTTAGTCGGGTACTTATCTTCTAGTTCATGCAATCCACGAATTCAAAAACTTTGATACTAGACTTCCCATAAGGCAAACGCAACTGGTTCACGAGTCCCTTACTTTATATTTAGACATCTACGTATATTCTCTTGAATAAAAGAAAGAAAAAAACAATTTAACCAACATTTCAAGAGCAAATTAGGAAAAATCGGGGGGGCAAATGAACTAAAGTGGATTGTGTGGTTTGAGGGACACGCACTGTATACGCCATCCGAAGCAAAAGGCCCCACTACCACGTCAGCTTCGATATTTTCTTCTCATTTCCCCCCATTGAGTGAAATAAAAATAAATTCCTTTAAGAACTTATCCAACCGAACAAGGCTATATCAAAATGACGGAATTTTATTTATGAGGTCTCAGATCAACTTCAGATCGTCAGTCTATTTGTATAGACAGGCTACCCACGTTAAACTCTTGGCTTTTTTTGAACACCATCGTGGACCTCGTGGGAATGAAATTGATCGGTTCCTATGGCCCTAGTGGATGCTTAGTCTCGTCTCGTGGCGCACTAATGAGTGCTAGACTGCAGAAGCCAAGTTCTTTTTTAGTTAGTGGATCCGAAATGATTGGTTAATAGATCACGCTCGGGCTTAGTGAACCGATTTAGTCTACCTAAAGCGTAGCCCTAACGTTGGTTGACGCGGTCCATATCATCTTCCCGGGAAAAGTTGACATCCGGGAGCCAACATAGCATCCAATTTCTGAATGAAAGTCCAGGCGCCCCGGACATTAGCTCGGTGGATGTAAATTGGGGCTGTTGTACGCGTCCCCCATTAGGGGTCAGGGGCAAAGGACAAATCATGTTGATCAAATGGACGCCTCAGGGTATTAAGGGTCAAATGGGGACGAAGCCAGAGGGTACTTCTCTCTTTTCTTGACATTCATTCCATCATTCCTCCATCTTCTTTTCGCCTCTTCTTTTTTTCTTTTGCTCTTTAGCAGTCTTTCGTTAATCCGACCAAAGGAGGCATATCTTCCTATCCATTCGCTATATTATATTTCACACGGTATTAGAGCCGTACTTATTTCGCCATGAAGACTTCTCTGTTGTCGCTGGCGACCATGATCGGGGCTGCTTCGGCTTGGCTGGACCCCATTGAGATCAAGGTAAAAAAAGCCACATGAAAGATAGTTTGAGATAGTGTTCAGAACTGACGACTTTGGGATGGTAAAAGGGCTCCAAGTTCTTCTACTCCAGCAACGACACACAATTGTATGTCCAATTCGATATCCAACCTTGCCGGTTCCGTCTGCTAACTAAATTAATAGCTTTATGCGTGGTGTTGCCTACCAATGTTGGTTATCTTACTATCAGACTCGAATATGCAGCATAAATTAATTCATATATAGACTCTCAAACTGAGGATCCCCTCGCTGATGCCACCACTTGCAAGCGTGATGTTCCTATTATGCAGGAGTTGCGCACTAATGTGATCCGTACATACTACATCAACGCCACTGCTGACCACAGCGAGTGTATGTCTCTGCTGGCCGATGCCGGCATCTACGTCGTCTCCGATCTTTCCAGCACTACTGAGGCTATTAACCGTGACGACCCTGCCTGGGATGTCGCCCTGTACGACCGCTATACTAGCGTCATTGACGAGCTCTCCCAGTACAACAACACTATTGGTTTCTTTGCAGGCAATGAGATCGCCAACTCCCCCTCCACCACTGATGGTACCGCTTTCGCCAAGGCCGCTGTTCGTGACATGAAGGCCTACATCAAGGACCAGGGTTACCGTTCCATGGGTGTTGGATACGCCACTGCCGATGTTTCTGATATCCGTGTTGCCCTCGGTGACTACATGGACTGCGGTGACAGTGACGACACTGTTGATTTCTACGGTTACAACATCTACTCTTGGTGCGGTAACTCCACCTACGAGCAGTCTGGTTACGAGGCCCGTACCGCGGAGTTCGCCAACTACACTGTTCCCGTCTTCTTCGCTGAGTACGGTTGCAACTCGATCTCTCCCCGTACTTTCACTGAGGTCAAGGCCCTCTACGGTGATGCTATGGCCAAGGTCTGGTCCGGTGGTATTGTCTACATGTACTTCGAGACCACCAACGACTATGGTAAGTGTTATATGTCTTTTGATATAAGAGACTGCTAGCGAAAAACTTAATACTGACTATTCTCATAGGTCTTGTCTCCGTCATTGACAGCACCAGTGTTAGCAAGCTGACCGACTTCACCTACTACTCCAACGAGATTGCTACTGCCTCCCCTTCCAGTACCAACAAGGCTTCCTACACTCCCACCAACACCGTTCTGCAGACTTGCCCTACCGAGGACTCCGACTGGGAGGCTGCCTCTTCTCCCCTTCCTCCTGCCGCTGATGAGGAGCTCTGCACCTGTATCTACGATGCCTCTGCCTGTGTCCCCAAGAGCACTCTCTCTGACACCAAGCTCGGCAAGCTTCTTGGAGTTGTCTGTAGTTACACCGACTGCTCTGGTCTGGATGCCAACGGTACCACTGGTGTGTACGGTGCCTACAGCATGTGTGGTGTTACCGACCAGCTCGCTTTCGCCCTGAACAAGTACTACAGTGAGCAGGGTGAGTCCGCCACCGCCTGTAGCTTCGGTGGATCCGCTTCCACCAAGGCCACTACCTCTGCCACCGGTACCTGCTCCGTCCAGATCAAGGAGGCTGGTACCGCTGGTACCGGCACTGTCACCACCGAGGCCACAGCCACCGCTGACTCCAGCTCTGGCTCCAGCTCCACCGGTACTGGTTCTTCCAGCAGCGGTGCTGTCACTGTTCACTCTAGCGTTGCTTTCGGATCTTTCCAGATCGCTGCCTACGCTAGCATTGCTCTCATGACCGGTGTTGGCATGATTCTTTTGTAAACGGTTGGAAATTCATCAAAACTACTGTACGGTAGTCTTCTTTTCGTGTCTTGTTTTATTTGCTTACTATGTGACTGAGTTCATGTCAAACGAATAGCTTAGGTATTCAACTCAGTCACTTGAAATTTTCCTTTTCCGTCTAATACGTGTAGCAAATTTGATTTGGCGACTTATTTCATCATGGTCATGATCCGATTTTTTTCCTTATAATGAACCATTGATCAGACCGGACTCTTGTATTTCTTATTGGGTCGATGATAGGTATATATTCAACTGTTTTATATTTCTTATTCAAACACTTAGATCACTTTCCCTCGATCGCTCTCTTAGTTAAAATGGCAGACGTTTCATCCAATCGACTCCAATCGTGTGCATCCAAGCAAGCTGTTCGACTGAGACATACAGCTCGACTAGTGCGCGTTCTCATTTCTTGTTCAAACAAATCGATTGCCAGTTGGGGTGTTGCGTCGCCCGAGTATATTTTTGCGATGGCCTCGACCAGGTGGAATGCATCCAGCAGGCCATGATTTGCCGCTTCCCCACGATCTAATTCAGTCAGCATCAAATCAAAGGACGGAAGTGGCGTTTCGACTTACACATGGTCATTGCATGTGATGAATCCCCAGCCAGGGTAATCCTTCCCTGAAGATTATCCCAAGGAAGACATTCCCAGTCCGCTAGTTTAATCTCCGTCACTGCGGTCCCAGCAGGGATATCATCCACCGCCTGTTTCAGGAACGGAACAAACCCTTGCGCCCGTCGTTTCATATTCGCCAATCTCTCCTCGTTTGTTGAGGCGACTTGATCTTCCGGGCCTCGGACAGGCCATGACATGCAGATCTGAGCTCGATAACGTTCTGCAGATGTATCTGCAGTTCCATTCACTTGTGGTGTCTCCAGCGTTGAGTACCAAAAGAAAGCTCCGGTGGGAGGATGGCATCCTTGAAATAGAAGGGGATCCATATCTCTTAGCGGTTTAACTTGTTCTGGTGTCAGATCTACCGCGACTCCGGTGAAGTTGACTCCAACTGGGGTATTGAGATACGCATCCGGTCGGAGCACCTGGCGAATGATTGATCGACTCCCATCAACCCCGACAATAAGTTTTCCTTTCGCTATCGATTGATCCGCGAAAACCAACTGTGCGCCATTCTCCAAGATATCAACACCGACGACCTGTCGATCCCAATGCACATGCTCTTCAATTCCTTCCAGCAAAGCCAAGCGCATTTTCTCACGATTGACACGCCATCGTACACTCGGCGGAATTTTCCATTTCGGTTCTCCATTCTCGAGATTAATGAACATGAAATTGCCATTATCTTCTCGTGCCACACCTGGATCCACTTGAGTTGACTCAATCCGCGCGAGGGTCTCTGGTGGTAGAATCTGAACCATGTACTCCAATGCCCAGTGCAAGGTAATAGCCCAGCCCTGTCCACGCGCAGTGGGAGTTGCATCACGCTCGTAGATTTCAAAGGGGATTTTCTGTTTCTTCAGAGCTTGTCCGATTGTGAGGCCGACAATGCCAGCTCCCACAATGACTACAGGATCAACAATTGATACACTAGCAGAACCCATGATTGATGATTGATTGACATTATCCAAAAGCTCAACGTGTCATCACCGACGCCTTTTGTGTTTCTCGTGTCACTATTCTCATCGTATCTGGACCCACCGTCGCATAGATAACCGTGCGGGGCTTATCCGCGTCTGTTGTCTTCCAAGTTCCAAGGTTGCCGACGTCGGCTAGTTGAATGCGACGGATGATCTGAACGACGTAATATTTTCGATATAAAGTGAGTTGGTGGGATGAACTCGTGATAATGCCTCTCTAAACCTTCCGTTCTGCTCTGTTCCTTTTCTTCTATTATCTCCAATACACTCATCATGTCGCACGAAGCACTCAACCCAATTCATCCCGATGTTTTACCTTACTTGGATCCGACCTTTGTCAAGCTCTATAATGAACATGTCGCCAATACCCCTGCCGGACCAATTGATCTCTCTGTGCTGAGAAGCAAATATTCTGTTTTGTATTCGTACGGAACCGGGCCCGCTCCTGACTGTGCACGGATCTATGACAGCGAATTGCCCGCTCATAACGGCGATCTGATCCCGATTCGAGTCTATGAGCCTGACTCTCCAGGACCATGGCCGGTTCATCTAGATTTCCACGGTGGAGGTGAGCATAAAATAACAATTTTTATTTGATAGAAGCTGACATTCTTCGTGTAGGCTGGGGAGTACGTGTTTAACCCCTCACCTGACCTCGGAAGAGGCGACTTGAAAATGTAAAGGCTAACAGAGATGATAGCTCGGCGACTTAGACACCGAATCGCACATCTGCAAACACATAGCCGTGAAAGCAAACGTGGTGGTGATCGATATGGCCTACAGGCTGGTACCTGAGTATGCATTCCCAATCGGAATCCAAGACTCCTTCGCAGCGCTCCAATACATCTCCAACAAAGGCGCAACCGAGTTCCAGATCGACCCAACCCGAATCTCAGTAGGAGGCGTTTCCGCAGGTGGGAACATTGCGCTCATTTGCGCACATCTAGCTCGAGACGCGGGTATTCCTCTCCGACTAGTCGCAGTTGGCACACCGACGATCGATGATATTTCGCAATATAACAAGGCCGCTGATTCGCCTTGGCCATCCATGCAAGAAATGGAGCACGCGCCTACACTGAACTGGGGACGGTTGAAATGGTTTGATAACCTGAAATGGCAAAGTCTTGCATCGGAAGGCCCTGTTCGGGAAGCTCAGATCGCGGCTGTGAAGTGGTATGCGAATGCTCTTCAAGCTCCAGATTTTACAAACTTGCCTAAGACTGTCATCTACACTGCTGGTTGTGATCCTTTGCGTGATGAGGGAGAGGCTTATGCACGGAAGCTCATTGAGGGAGGCAATGAGGTCATTCAAAAGCGATTCGCGGGGGTTCCGCATCCGTTTATGCATATGGATCAATGTAAGTGCTCTTCAAATATTAGTTCTCTCCATCGGTGTAATGTGAAGCTGACTTTGGTCTAGCCTTGTGGCAAGCGAGAGAGTTTATTGATATGACAGCGAGCCATATTAAAACGACCTTACATGCCGATTAATATGGGAGGAATGTTAGATTGTTCAAAGAAATTACAAATTGTTTGAAACTGTGTTCTCAAGATGTATAGTGCTGGAATTTAGAGTTCAATTTCACTGTTTAAAATGTACGATCAATTGACCTCTGGGTAACTTGAACGTGTTCATTGTCCCGTGGGAAACTGGGATGCGGAAGTATTCAGGATTCGAACTTGTAGTATTCTCAGTGGTAGATGTCTCTGTACGACCGCGGTCGAATGAATGAAATTGAGGACACTAAGAAATTGTAACTTGAAGCAATGTACTAGGGAATATGATGTTTTATTGCAAATTTCCATCCTAATGTAGAGTAGAGAAGAGCATTGAGGTAGAACCTGAATGTAAAGGCTAGTCGATTGAAAGTCTAGATGACAAAATGGCTCTAGAAAATCTAGAATAATCGTCTTATCACTCCATGGAATATAGCTGCTGGGCCAGTGGAACAATAGAGTCCCTCAAATCTCGAAACTCTACTCCAAGTAACCTGTTCACTTTACTAGAGTCGCAAGAGTAATGTGTATCCGCAAGTCGCTTCCCTGGCTCTCCTAGCGGTGCTCGATGTGTTGTAGGCAGTTCATCGCGGACAATATCACTAATCTCCTGTGTATCATAAGCTGAGCTCGTTACTAGGAAACGCTCATGTTCCGATGTCTCGAAAACGAGTGCCTTGCGACAAACCTCAGCAAGGTCTTCCACATCAACCCATACTATTATGAAGATTAGAATTTTTAGATCAATGAGTCGAGGGAAACATCATACCAGGCGCTTTCGAAGGGGAAATTTCACCATCCCTCCCAGCATTCAGAACTTGCCAAACGATTTGATTGCTGGCATTCAACTGGGACAGCGATGAAATAGGATGAATCATCTTGCCGAACACCATGCCGGGACAAAGTGTGACCAGCTGATACTGAACAGAATTATCTCGCACGAAATCCCACGCAGCACGTTCTGCGACGACCTTTGATGCGCGGTAGGCGATGGGCTGTTTACAGATTAGAAATCTCAGAGACAAACAGAAGAGCCGACTTACCACAGCTGGCGCATTAACACCATCTTCATAAGTCAAAGGACTCCAATCATTCTCAGTATAAACCCGACCCGGTTGAAGTCCCATATCCGCGTTATAAACGCTGGCAAAACTTGACATAACGATCAAGCGACGAATGGAAGACTGTTTCTGAGCCGCTTCGCAGATAGCCTGAGTTCCACGGAAAGCAGGAATCATTAAGCTTTCTTCAAACTCACCCGGTGCAGCATCGTAGCTGAATGAAGAAGCCAGATGAAGGATAGCCTGACAACCATTCAGAACTTTAACCAAGGAATCGACGTGAGTCGGATCTGGCAGGACACTCAGCTCTAGATTTGAAAGGTTCTGAATACCTGCCGCACTCAGTGCTTTTCGGGTCAACTCTGCCTTTTCAGCAGAGCGAACAGTTGCTCGAACATGAAAATTGGATTGCAAAAGATTCGCAATACAGTGAGCTCCGATGAATCCATTTCCACCTGTGATGAGGATCAAGGATCCAGGGTCGATGGGTGCCATTTGGTTTAGTGAAGAACAGATAGATGGAAACTTCAAGTTCAAAATACGATGCTGTTAACAGGTCGCTCGATCAAAACTAGAAGAGAGGAAAATCGATGTTTTACTATTCTTATATCAGAAAACCTCTGATTTGGCCCTACGTCGGGACGCGCCGGGGTCCCGCCGTCGGATAGAGAGTATTTGCGGTCTCTCCGAAACGGATCTCCACTAAAACATTTGAGCGACCGAGGATAATTGAAGATAAATGAATATCTGGGCATGGATGTATGAGCGCTTTTAAGTTGAGCCAAGCTGTAATCTCGGAACTTGAATGGTATAATATGTCCATTGGATGGAGTTTGCTAGTCAAGCACTGCCAGTGAGTGCGTACTATAGTAACCTGTCCCAATTTCCCTGTTGCAGCGCCGCGCCTGCGAATTTGAACCGCGGCTTATGACTTCAAGCTTTTGAATACGACCATGGTTACATCCATAAATTGATTTATAAAATATTCGACATAAACTATTTCTTGCAAGCTATACACGAACTAACAACCAGACCATTTCCTAGATCAGTATACATAACGAAAATGTGGATCCTGAGCCTGAGAATCCTCCGCCCCTGATTTACTAGCTACGTGTGCCTCCATAGAACTTCTCGCTGGAGTTACCAGTCTATCAGCTGTGGAATTGCGTCTTCCATACATGATCCGCAATGCAGTCGAGACGAATATCGCAGCTGCGTTCACTGAAACTAGCGTGATCTTAGCTGGAGTGTAATAGGGAGCGTCCTTTGATTGAAATGTCTGAGGGCCGATAATATTGGCAATACTGAAGCCAGCGGAGATTATTGTCGTTCCAGCCACCTATTATTGTCAGATTATGTGGAATCATTGCTGATAGATTGAACATACCTTCATTGTGTATCCCTTGAAATTCGCTCCGGTCCAAGCGTAGATGAGAGCAAGTGGAGCGACCGTAGTATTCACCAGATAGATTCCAGCTAGACATCCGCCCTTGTTTGAAGTCGGTAGAAAGCACATCAAGCATGATCCGAGTAATGTCGGGATAAGCAGGAGGTCAATGGCGAGCCAACGGGAGAAGCCTTTGGAAATTGCATACGTACAGACCATGGTGGCTGTAATACTCACAACACCAGAGGGCATATTCAATAAGGCACTGTGTTTGTCGTCATATCCGAATCCTGAAATCAGAATTGATGAGAATGTAGTGATCACTCCACTTGGGATTGTGATTAGAATGGTCAGGAGAACGAGTAACCACGTCTGCAGATCTCCAAAGGCCTCCAGAACAGATCGCCAGCGGAAGACCTTTGCACCAACACCAGCTTGATCCTCTTTCAATCTCTCAGCCAAGCGCCGCTTCTCTGGCTCACTGAGAAATTTGGCCTGTTCAGGCGTCTCCGGCAACACAAACAGAACGAGGAGAGACACCAAGATGTTAACTGCACCAATCACAACAAACATGATACGCCAGCCACCGAATGATAGATTCGCAGAAGCATGCTGCGCGGCAAAAGAGATCAACCCTCCGAAGATTTGACCAGCACCTAGTCCGCAGTACCAAAAACCAAATCGAGGAGTCATTTCGTCGCGCTTGTAATATGCGCTGGTATAGAGGGTAAGAGAAGGGGCTATTATAATATGAGCAAAAGTAGACCAAAAAGCATTTCAGCAGACGCACCAACAACTGCTTCCATGAATCCAAGCAAGATACGCAATGAAAGCATGCCCGCGAAATTCTGTGTTGCCGAGGAACAACAAAGAAAAATTCCCCAGCAGAAAACGTTGACCCCCAACACCTTGGTAACTGGAAACCGTTGTAGGAGAGCTCCCTGGGGCATCTCTGCAATGGCATATGCTATGAAGAAAGCTGTTGCAAGCCAAGAAAAATCGTTGCCTTTCATCTCCAGGTCAGACTGGAGTCCCATCACATTCGCGTACTAAATCTTGTTAGTCTAGTCTTTTCACCTTGTGGAACTGGGACAAATACATTAATTGAGATCTTGTCAAGCATCTGTAGGAAATAAACAAGGAACATAATGGGCAAAATCCATCTGTCGACCTTGCGAATCAATTGCTTGTCATTTGCCTGGACAGTGCCGACACTGCCGAGTCCATAGTCGAGAACAGCATCTTTCATCTCGAGATCCTTCTCCTTCATAGTGTCGGAATTATTAGACATTTTGAATCATCAGATAAAAAATTGAGAAGTCATCCCTGGCAGTGGCCAATTTTTAAAGCCAGCAAGGGGTATTGGCACTGATACGAGACTGATCCAGGTATAGTGTGAAGTATCTCCTTTCCCCGGAATCCATTAGTCTTCCGATAATGATAGACAAATTAAAAACAGGCATTGATCGGCAGTGGAAACGCTAATGCAGCCGTCGGATAGATACGTCGAGGTCAATGCGCGTGGAAATGGAGCCGTTTACGCCGTCGCATATTCCAAGGTTCTGATAAGCGATAAGGGGCGGATGAAGAGCATATGATGCTTCATGACAGAGGGTATATATACAGATGAAATGATTCATATGCTTTCAGTAACGAGCTCTTTGACACAGATACTTCAAATCACGGTGCTATTAATCCAGAATGCCCTCTCGTATGGACTCTCCCCTTCAGGTGGCCATCATCGGCGCTGGCCTTGGGGGGGCTTTCTGCTGCAGTGGCCTTGCGTCGACAGGGACATCAGGTCACTGTGTATGAACGATATGATTTTGCTGGAGAGGTTGGCGCGTCACTGAGTGCAGCGAGCAATGGCAGTCGCTTTCTAGAGCAATGGGGCGTGGATGTGAGCGCGGCAAAGCCAGTAAGTATAAAAGACTTGTTGAGTTGAGTAAGAACGAAGCTGAGATCATGCTAGGTAATTCTGAAACAGTTGATCATGCATGACTGGTCATCAGGGGATGTTCAAAAGACTTATCCCCTTGGCGATTATAAGTCAAAGTTTAACACTCCATACTATAACTTCCACCGCATTGATATTCACAATCAGTTACTGAAATCTGCAACTGAAGAGGAAGGAGAGGGACCTGCAGTTACTCTAAAGGTGAATCACAAGGCTGTTGAAGTCAATGCAGAAGAAGGCGTGATCCGGTTTGAAAATGGATCTCAGACCACTGCCGATTTGATCGTGGCTGCCGATGGGATTCGGGTAAGCATGCCTCACATTCCATTGTTGCGTGAAGCATGAAAACTAATAACTCATACGCGCCAGTCCCTCACAAGGGAGCTTATTGGAATAACACCCAACTTTGCGATGTCCAGCTCCTGTGCCTATCGATGCATTATCGGAGCGGACAAACTTCGCTCTCTGGATCTGGAAGATTATATCTCCAACGAGGCAATCGAGTACTGGGGTGGGTTTGGAATCGATAAAATAGTGATGAGTCCTTGTTCTAATGGGGAGGTTGTTTCTTGCTATTGTTTCTTCCCCACATCCAAGAGACTCGGATCAGATGCTGGAGAAAACGCATGGGCCTCGAGTACGACCCCCGAGCAGCTAGTAGAGACATTCATAGACTTGGATCCAAGAATGAAGAAACTCATGCTGAATGCAGAAGATATTAAAGTTTGGAGATGTAAGTTAAGCCATTGAAACCGTGAAAATTAGATGTTACTGACACGTCGAAAAACTCCCAGTGTATCGACATGATCCATATCCCTACTGGGTGAAAGGCAAAGTGTGTCTTCTGGGAGATGCAGCGCATCCTATGATGCCCGACCAATCCCAGGGGTCATGCATGGCGTTTGAAGATGCAGGAGCTGTCGGTCTTATTTTTAATAAGAACTTCCGTAACGACTATGGAGTCGGGGAAGGGCTGGAACTGTATGAGAGACTGCGCAAGCCACGGGCTACTCAAATACAAGAGGCCAGCTTCCGAGCTCGAGAGGATCTTAACGAACGTATTGGTTGGAGCTCTTCCTCTGATAGGCCAGGAAAATTGACCATCGAGGAGGTGTGTGGGTATAAAATGGAAGAACACCTGGAGAAACTCAAGATAGAGGCTTAGCCAGTGCTTGGAAACCATTTGAAATGTAGAAATCCAATGTTATAGCGGAAATTTCATAGCAGTCCTGTTTTCGAATCCAGGTTTCTTGGAAGATCCAGAGATTATGTATTTGAGATCATCGTTGAATAGTGCAAACGTGCGTCTCAACGTGGCCGTGAGTTGTATATCCAAGGAATGGGACCTGGAAACGAACTCACTTATTGCCAGAAACATTTGAATAAGGCGTTTTGAGTCTCTGATCTGTCACTTCCAAGGTTAATAGAAATATAGTCACATTTTGGTTTAAATGGATAGTAAGTAAAAACACCAAGTCTTATTGATCTTCCAAGGAGGTTGGGTTGTTCGTTTGAGCAATGACGTCCCGCTCAGATTGCCAACCAAGATAGCCCTAGGAGAGTAAAAATTGGTCCTATGTGGGGATCATTATCCTACTAATATGAATCCTATAATAAATCGCGCTGCGCCCTTGGAACTTACCATGCTTTGCATCAGTAACGGAATTCCCGGTCTCGCCGTACACCCTACCCCACTAGAATTTTTTAAATTCAAATATTTCAACCCAACACGAATAAATTCAGTTATAAATACGATTTTTACATACATAGATCTTATGTCCAACCTCTCGACATCCACTACACCTAGGCTGAGCCCTAGGGGCTGGCTGATTCGGCTGAACAGGTAGTTCAATCTGGGTGTGTGATTCGACCATAGGTGCTTCAACAGGCAAGTCCACCTGCATAAGTAGCTGTAGGCCTTCTTCAACAGTCAAACTCTCTTCACAGGGTATCTGCCTAGCTGATTGACTGCGCTTCTGTCGTTTCTTCTCATTTGTAGCACGTAAATTGGCGTTTTCTTGTGCTAGTAGCGCAGTGTTGTGTAGCGATATACAGTGTCCCTTGATGATTTGATCTAGCATCAATTTCGACGGGCTTGGAGGGCTATTCGATCGCTGTTTTAGAAGATTTTTCAGCATTGAAGCTTGCTTCTGTAGCTGAACCACAGTTCTAGGTGTTTTGGGTGTAAATTGACTAGATCTGCTGCTTGGTCGGCTACCTGGTGGTGTAGGTGTTCGAAGAGAAATATTCAATTTAGAAAGAACTCTTTCAGCGTTAATTGGTACTAAACCAGTAGCTAAAAAGCCTCAACACGCGCACGTTGGAAATCAGCTAAGAAATCAAGCTTGTCGATATGGTTATAGCCTGTACGTGCAAGGTCGCTTATAAAACGACCATATGTACGTTTTAATACAGCAAAACAACCAACATCTAATGGTTGAAAAAGATGTGATGAGCGTGGTGGCATGCAGAGTGGGATAATATTATTCTCTGAGCAGATTCGGTCAAATTGAGGTGTAAGATGGCTACCATGGTCATCAAGAATTAACAACCGAAATCGACCACGGACACGTGAATTTGTTGATGGGATAAATAGCTTTTCTAGCCATCGTAAACCAATCTCATCAGTAGTCCAGCCATTAGCTGAGACCTCGAATCGCCAATCTTTTGGAATATTATCAAATCAGCTAGCAATAGCAACCTTTGCCTTAAAAATCACACATGGTGGTAATGGATAGCCATCTGCACAGATAGCTTCAATTGCCGTTACCCATTCACGGTTTCCAGGTTGTAAAATAGATCGCCGACCGTGGTATTCTTGTCGTGTTACAACCTTCTGTGCTGAAATAAGACCCATTGCAAAGCCTGTCTCATCAAAGTTATAGATATCTTCAGGTTGGATCCCATTCTTATCAATAACTTGTTGCACAGTTGTAAACCATGCTTGAATCGATTTAGGGTCTTCGTTTAGGGCACGTTGGTAGTCGTATCGCCTAGAAAAACGTGTCCGAATCTCTTCACGTCGGTTTATAAAGGTTGATGGCCAATTCTTGCCGACTGTAGGTGGGGGGTGGCTTCCGCGTGCAGCTAGTAGAATATTGGCCATTTCTCGTACAGTAGCTGGCCTAGGCGCAGCTCCACGGGTATCCATAGAGATAATCCATTCAGTAAGCGAATCGTCTTCAAGCTGAGTCAATTTGTAGCTAGATAGGCGTTGATCAACGCGTGCTTGTACGCCATTTACGCGGTCGGCTAGCGTTGTATGGGGTATGTTATAGAGCTTCGCTGCTGTGCGGAGAGAGGTGATACGGTGATTTTTTAAATTTTTCAAGGCCAATAAGATCTTTCCCTCTTGATTGGCTAATCTTTGCCGAGATCCAGAGCGAATTGGTGGCATGGCAGATGTTTGAAGTAGGTAGGTAGGTAGATGGACGCGATTATTGATGGGGTGTACGGCGAGACCGGGAATTACGTTAACAATATGCGTGTTTTCTAGGGGCTGGTCAATCACAATTAGAGGGATAAAGTAGCGAGATTCCAGCAAAGAGTATATCTAGTCACCCGAAGCAATACTGCAAGTCTCACCTTTCATTTTCCCCAAGAAGAATTCGACTCTCTCATAATCAATGCTGTTTTGGAGTGGCCTATGGGTAGTCTCAAATGGAGAACCATCACCCAGTTCGTACCGTTTGAAAAATTTCACATGGGCCACTTTGAATCCTTCGGAGATGGATCAATAGACGTAAACTGGTTTGATGGGTTGAAAGAAAAATTTTCATTGGAAGGACGAGGCACTCGGCTATATGAGGCACTACCAATCATATAAAAACCACTCCCGGAAACTGGCTATAACGGACTGCTGCCCAGTTCATGTCTGATGAACAGGTGGCTCTCTCCCAGACATTAGATACTAGCTGCAAGCAGTGGTGAATATGATTGAATCCCAGAGTATTCTCCATGACCATCAGCCTTTCCTTCACTTCCATGCGTCTGTCCATGTCCACCGTGGATGATCCAGCTATGACAAGCGGGAAAAGAAGACAGCCTTCCAGTCGACTAGCGTATGCAACTTTCATTGTCTCGTCAAGAATTGTTGTAACGGCCTTCTCCGCAAATTCATCAAGTGGGTTATAACCGTCTACAACCTGGTGCAGTCGCAGTCGAATCGCCCATTCAAATGCTGTGGTGGCGGATTCAATTTCTGCATCCTCACTAGCCATCCTTTCCAATCGCCAGTCGTCAATCCTCGTCGCCACATGTGATGCTGCAGCTCGAAAACCGAGTTCGGAAAGTTCATCCACCCGTTTGCTGCGGTGGTTAGCTAAAATATTGACCATGCCGAGGTAATCAAACAGAACTGGTGAGAGCCCGTATATTGCATTAGTGGATTTCCCCTCCTCCAGACCTGGGATACTGCTTCGTTTGTAATTTGTGATCAACTCGGTCATGCCATCCCCATTATGTAAGAGAGGAGGCTTGCAACGTGATATTGTAGACATGGAATCAAGGTAGTGAAACAGGCTTATGCAAAAGACCCACTCGCTGGAGGAAGTGAGGGACTGGAATGTGGGAGACTTCAGAATCGCGCTAGCAGCTTTCAAGTGCCATTTCCACGATCGGGATGTCCCGTCGAATAGCTCCGTCAAACAGAGAAGAAGAACTGTAGCACAGGCCTCAAAGACAGATCTTTGATCAGATTGAGTAAGCAGATGATTTACTTGCGATAATGCTAGACAGTATTAGCTTGGCCCGGCCAGGATACTGTGGAGATCTAACCTTGGCCTTGTCTTTTCAGTGCACGCCCCCAGATGCTGGGGTAGACCCTCTTCCAGTGACACCCACTGAGACTTAATAGCACACTAGTCACAGTATTAGAAGTTTCAGCCAATGGTAATAGAGACACCAAGAAAGGATTCGTATCGGGATCATTGGACCGAGATAGCGCTCGCGCGACGGTATGGATAAAGTGATTAAACAGTGAACGATCTTCGTCACAATGAAGATGTGGATTTGCGGAGATGAGGGAGGAATTGAGGTGTGTTCGGATACATGGCTTCGGAAACGGATGAGGGAAAAGCGATGCGAGAAACTCTTCGTCATTCTCAGGGGTAATCGGGCTTAGTGATAACTGATATCCGTCGGAATCATCGATAGGATAGATTATCGGGGATTCCGTCGCGTATGCTTCCGGTGAATTTGTGATGCTTGCTTCCGATAGACTCTTGTTCGATAGACTCTTGCTCGAGGGGGTCTTCTTCGATGGGTATTGACAAACTAGATTCAAGCGAGAGCAATCAAAGCACCGAGGTTCCCTCTCGTCACACTTTTTCTTTCTATCGATTGATGCACAGTCGTCAGAGATGATCCACTTCGATCAATTGCGGGTCTTGATGTACCTTGCTTTGCATGATAGACACCCACTTCGTGATCGGGATGCTCGCGGTCTCCGCAACCCCGTTGCTTCCGATGAACTATCTCCCATTTCTACCGGTACCCTCGGCCTACAAACGTGGCCTAGCCCTGCAATTGGAGTGAGCCACTGATATCCGCATCAAGCTTACCGGGGAACACATACGCCTGCAGCGGGAACACGGTAGTTCCCCGTCACATCGTTGTTTCTATCTGAGTGAGCTTCGATTCAAACATGTCTCGAGGTGATAAAGACTCACGATATGTGCGCAGCGCGCACAGACTCGGCCAGCGACATCCATATTCTGTCACTTTGGTAGTAATAGCCTTGGAGGAATTGGGGAAGGAGTGTTAAGCGACGGGATGCCAGAGCTCTTTCCTAATCTCTACATTTGGCTTCCGAAGCGATAAGCATCCACCAATCAGAGTCATCCAATTCCTCCAACAAAGTGCGGGGTCCGGGGAAAACCGAACTCTCTTATCATGCTGACGTAATGAGATCTATCTTTCTACATTATATGCAACTATCACATTATAATACAGATAAATATGGATAAAAGTACTGCCCAGTTGGTTGCTGTGACTTGGAGCAGTCTGTGTCTGATTCATTGCTAGTGGCATTAACGCCCAAGGTCAACTGGCTGAACAATTGAATAGTAGCCGATGCAGATATATTTCGGACTCGGATGAGGTACTAAAACTAACTTGAAGGAGATGGAGAGTATATGTGTCTGGTTAAATGGGGAGAGATAACGGGAGCGAGTAGAAGATGAAGCAAGTGGTTCGTTCCTGTCGGATCTCTCAGGCCGGACCACGTTGAATAGAAAAGTAAGTTGGAGGTAGAATAGGTTGTGTTGATGCATTGGAGGCAGTGTGTTCATTGCTAACAGGAGTCTCGAAGCGTGGATAGTGAATTCTAACATTGATGAGATCAGACAATTCATGATAAGCCAGAATAGAACTGAGGGAAGACATCAAAACAACGATATGTGTTTCCAGGTTAAACGGAGGGAAAAAGATGACGGAGAGGAAATATTTTGGATTCATAGTCTTGAGGCAGAGCGTTTGAAATGGCCAGCAGACTTCTTATCCGCTGGCTCAGTCAGTTTTTTGATGCACATGGCCATATTTGCCATCTCGCGTATACAGGAAGATTTACCAGAGTGTATAAGTATCGACCCTTGGAAGGAAATGAGGGTATGGCCGGGTACAGAAATTTGTTCCGAGCTTCCTTCCAGTTTTTAGTTTGGGCATCAGGGAAAGAGGCCTGTTTGATGATACTGCAGTAGACATGAAGCTCTAGCTTCTCTGATTCTATTGGCCTTATTGTTAGGCGGGGGCCATCAAATTTCCTGATATCCTCGCCCCCAGTGATGAAGTTTCGATTATTGCTGCTACTATCCCTAGCATTGTTTATGCTGCTGGTATGGGTTTGAGCATGGCTGATTAGGTCGGAGCCACGACTGCGTTTGCGCTTTTTTATGAATGACATCAAGGAGCAAGGTAGAAATGGGGCGTACTGCATCCTAGTACTGGCTCGATACTGATGATGATGAGGATAAAGACATCCTGGCCCAACTGGCATACTCCGTTTGGAATTCAGAAAACCTTTTTCTTTAAAGGATGCAAGAAAGATTTGGGCTGATTAAAATATCCTCATTAGGCAACTTTTTGACATGGAGGGTAATTGTGAAGCTGTGAAGATTGCGTCAAGGGCCGGGATTGTGAGTGCTTTCTAGATTTCAATGTGAGTTTAGATCTTCCCATAGATACCTCTTTCACCACCGACTTCTTCTTCTCGCTTTGAGAGTAGTTTCCCCAGAGCGTCATAGAGATCAAAAATCCTCTTGGCTCTTGCGGTGCCCCAGGTGAGTGTACACTCAGTTTCCTTCTCTGTCAAAGCAATGAATTTCTCAGATTAGCGTCAGGTCCAAAGAGAAATGAAAGCTGATTACCTTTCAGAAGGCATTGATGAGAGAGTAGAATCAAAATGTGTAGGCTCACTATGCTCTATGTGTTGGGACTTCTCATATTGGTGCTGAGCTATCGAGAATATAAAGCAAAGTGATTTTACTTAAGCGGCTTAGCTCAGTTACAGGGCTTTTTCATCCCAACTGGCATAGTGCAAGGTACCATAGTTGAGGAAATGAGTCACTACAGAAGTCTGTAAATATTGAACCTAGTTCATGTGCCTTCAGCTATAAAAACCTCATCCTCTTCCACTTCTTCTTCCCTTTCTTCATCTCTCTCTCTTTCTCTATTCAACCTTTTAGAGGTGACCTTTCTACCCACCTTCTTATATACCTTATATGCCTACCTGCCTTCACATCTACCTACCTTCACGCTCTTCATCCTTCTACACTCTACCTTCATCCATTTTAGTTCTCCTTTTGATAAAGAAGAGAGGAAAATGGAGAATTTGGATAACTCCTTTGGTGAGGGTAGCAGCAGAGATGGAGGTGGAGGGAAATCTCCTCCCCGTGTAAGTGAAATCATTTGAACCCTCATGCTAACATGTCATGTCTATATAGGTATGCCATTATGTGAGATCTGATTTCCAACCTCTTCGATAAGAACCTGCGATGAGCCTCTCAGCATTTTGGTTGTTGAGACACAACAAGCCATCAACATATGAGAACTACAACAGTCATCTGCATCATCAAACAAAGCCTCAGAGATTCAAAGTCTACTTTTCCATGCACTACCCCGAGTCAGGAGACTTTTCGGTGCCGTATTACGCTTCCAAACGTTTCAGCCTCTGCCAATGTAGCAGCCCAAGGACTGCGTCATTTGATATATGAAGTCTAACTAATCTCAGTTTACTTTGACTTCCTTCTGACACTTATCCTTTATCATCTACCAGCGGCTTCCATTATCTCTCTGGCCTCTACTGTCTCTCTGGCTTCCATTGTCTTACTTTGTCTACAGTTAGCGCCTGTTTATCAGGCTTACGACTTTATTCCTCACAATCAAGAGCACATACATGTACTTTGAAAGGAGTTGATATCTGATACACCTTTGGTACCAGAGACATGGATTGTGATGCACTGTGCTGAACGGATTTAGCTAACGGGAGCAGGTTTGCTCTTACTGCAACGAGCCAGGACATACGCGTTTCTAGTGTCACTTAAAGCGTGTGGCATTGGCACTAGCTGGGCGAGCAGCTCAGAGCGAAACTCGTGACCATGATGGATCCCATGCTCAAACTGTAATGGATTTCCTTTTTTTCCTTCTTGATCGATTTGGATGCTGATATATTGATTAGGGTGGCGTGCATACGTTTAGAGAACCATCGCATTGGGAGCTACGGGCGTCTCATGCAGTTGTTGCTGATGAGGCGGCCAGAGCTCAGCTAGCTTTTCAGCCAGGTAGGTTACCCCCATTTCAGCTGTTGTGAGTTATATCAAAACCCCTTGCTTGATTTTCACCTGGTGAACAACAAGTGGAGGCTTGCTGAAGAATTTCAATAAAATGACATCAACGGAGGTTTGTTGATATATAGCTTGACTAACATTTATTTTACAGATGCTTCCACCGCCCATGGTGCGTCCATCGCTGCAAAAATCCCTGCCAGTGCCTCTGCCCCGGTTACTACTCCCACCCCGGTAGCTGCCACTGGGCCCCCAGCCCCTATGGGTAAGTTCATCTCTATCCATACAAATTCTATGAAGATGTCTGGTCCAAGCTACTAGTGATAACCAACCCATGTGACTATGTGCCACGTGAGCGTTATCATAGTTAAGACTGAGTATTAGAGTAGAACACCCAGCATAGAATGGTCCACTCATATTCTTAACAGAGCCACAAGTTCCCGCACCAGCGCCTATCGGTAAGCCCAAGAGGGATTCCAAACCTTAAGCTTATGTTAGGCTCCACTTGAGCTTGATTTGACCTCTTATCGGGATCTTTGATTCTTCTCATTTCAATCTTATCTCAATCTCTTTTCTGAAGACTTCCTCCAGTGCGAATTCCAAGGTTCTAGAGTAAAGTCCATGGGCTTATGGACATCTGGATGTAGAGTAGGATAATAATTTCTCATGTGTAAACCGGATTCCTTCCAACATTCATGAAGGCTGTGCATATTGGGTATAGTGGACTCCTGTTGAAGTATAAATAGCAATCTGAATCCATGTTCAAGTCCATATATATGAAACGTCAGGGAGTATCCACTCAACCTGGTTTGATCATTCAAATGTTGCCTGTGCAAGCCGATATATGGAATTGAATCTTGGAACTTTTTCCAAGGTTGCAATTTCAGATCCAGTGCACGTTCTATGTTAGAAATATGTATACTTCGATTGTTTGTAGCTGGACCGGTGTGAAAGTGAGGGAAACATTGAAAAGTTCGACCTTGGAAGTTATGTAGAGGTAAGACGCTTCGAAGATTGCACATTTGAGTTTTAGTTTGAAGGCAGCTGAGAGCGTTCATTAATTTTACTCGTTTTTAGGTCGTAGCATGGAGAGCACTCGTGGACCGCGATGAGATGAATCTGGAAAGCACATCAAAACCCGCGTGCTTCCACGTTGAATCAAGGTCTCGGCCAGGCGGTTTTCAAGTGGAGCTTAACTACAGAAGTCTGGGGACTTTCAAGGTTCCGGTCCATTTATAAGGTTAGATTATGACAGAGACCACCTGGGCATGGATAGGGAAATATGGGGAAGATTTTATACATCCGTTTCAAACTATTGTTACAGCATTTGGTGAAACATGACCAGGGGAGAGAAGACACTTGAGCTCTGATCTGTGACTGATGTGGCAATGTTCATCCAAGAGGGTTTTTTTATATGGTGGATGTAGTGTTTGCTCTTTTAAGCAGGCCACCCAAAGCAATCATAACACCGACCGTGGTAGCCGTGTTAAAATTTCATTTTTTTTCTCACTGCCTTTTTGTGTAAGCCCACGAAGTATTCAAAAGCTCAACCAAAGCTCACCTTGAACTTACCTCAAGCTTGATTTGAGCTTTATTTGACCTCTTATTGGGATTGGTGGCTGACTGATGACAGATATTGAGCACAAGGATGATGGCCCAGCTGCGGTGTGTGTTTGAAGACAGGATGGCTGGGAAGCGCTGTGGTTACCCACCCTGTCAACTGGTATCCTGGATTCTCCACATGCAAAACTCCACAAAATTCAGACCAAGTGGTCAACTTTAAATTATAATTGAAGGTATACTTGATTGTATAGTCAGCATCAAAGTAAGTGAATATGGAGGTGGCTGCCTAGGTCGTCTCTCTCAAGGTAAAGAAAACCCTCCTTTTCTTCTTCTCCTCTCTCTCTCCTTTCTTCCTCAACCTAACAAAGGTCAATGCTGCGTTTCTTTTTTTCTGATTTTGCGCCCCGCCCCACCGCATCCCCGCCTCCCCTCAAAACCCTTCTTTCATTTTTTTTTCTCAAAAAACCACCATGAACAACCCGGGTGGTGAAGGTGGTGGAGGGAGGGGTGACCTCCTCGCCAGGTTTTAAGTGAACCCCTCTCTCGTCCTCCCTCTGACCTGAGGTGGCCTTAACAGTGCCATTTGTGGTGCCCCGCCCTGCTGCTGGTGCTGCCTGTAAGTATATATCTCTGGAGGATTGATAATGGTTGAATAATATAATGATAATCGATAGACCAGCATGGGGCACTGGCCCTGCGCCCCATGCCCGGCCTGGTTACTCCTCCACGTCAATTTCTCTATCAAAAAGGTTAAAACCTATGATAATGCTTGGCCAAAGCTACCGCTAGTAACCTAATCATACTTCCATGTGGCCTTTGAACGTTATCATAGTGTAGACCAGGCATTTAGATAGAAGAAGACCTAGCATGTAATGACTCTCTGATATTGTTAACAGAGGCACAATTCCATACAACTATTTCTCACAGTAAGTCTAAGAACCATTCCAAAGTTCAACTGAAGTTCACTTCCAGCTTACCTCGGGCTTATCTCAAGCTTGAGTTGAGCTTGTTTTGACCTCCTATCAGGATTGATCACTGACAGATGACAGATAGTGAAAGCACGGATGGTGGCACAACTGCAGGTTGAGTATTAATAGTCTACTCGTCCCGAGGTCTACGTAGTATGTATAGAATTACTCCAGGGCTGGTAGCTCATGCAAGTGACTGAGAAGGGAAAAGCTAGCTGATACTATACATAGTAGGATTGACAACCCCAGACAAGATTTCACTCCTCTTACCGGCCTACTATTATAAATGCCTGCTAGTACTGAACTTGGCCCAGGGGAACTCAGATTTGATATGGAAGGGCTCCGAGTTGCCGGAAGAACGACTACAATCTAGAAGAGCCAGGACTACAGTAATATGAAGCCAAAAGACTATCGAAACAAAGAAGAATCACGGTTTCAAGGTAACAAATGAGAAAATCTAACATCCTCTCCTTCAAGGCCAGATATATCCACTTGGTTGATCTGGATGGAGCAGTGCCATCCGGCCTTCCAACTGCAGCTGAACTGTTCGGATGCTATCGCAAAAGGGCTGAAAATGGGTCGGACTTTGACAAAATTGACAAAACTATAGGGGTCAGATCAGCATTTTGTTCAGGAGCAATTCAGGATAAGGTAGTCTTTGTCCATGTATCGAAACCGATTATAAAGTCCTTAGGTCCAGGCCTTATAACAGAGTGCAGCCCTGATAAATCAGCCCCCGAAGGAGGGTGCAAAGAGAAACTGGAACCAGCATTAACAGCCAACCCAAGGACGTCAAAAGAGGCCAGAGGTCTCGGGATATGAAATAAGGCCTCTTTTAAAGAAACTCGGGGCCTGAAGGTGTTGATAAGTGACAGGTGACGGATAGGTCGAGGGTGGGTCTCCAGGCTGAAGTCTATATTATAGCCATTTTAAAGTCTCCTCAAGGGTGGCCGACATCAAATCAAGGCTGCACAAGGGCACATCTACATGGACATGGACTGAAAGATGGAGGAATGGGGAGTACTCACCCGACGACGAGCGGAGGCGACAGCACCTATTGCAAAGTTAGATATACAACTAGATTTAAGGTGTAAAGGGACATACCACTGCGCTCCTCAGGAATAAAGACCAGGTACCAGGGTGGTACATTGCCCTATCACCAATATAAGCTAGAGGCTATCAAGAAATACATCAGCCTACGGGGGTTCATTACCACGGTGCCCGGCTGGGAGTTGGCAAGTTGCGGCAAAACTCCTGCATGCAAAAAAGTCTTCGGCAGTTTGCACGAATGTGATTCGGGCCACGACAATATTGACACTAGACTCATCAGCGATATTATCCCAAACCCCTCGTAGAATGAGTCATCTGCAGGTAGCCAAATAGTATGTGCACGGGGAGTTTAATTATCGTGGTGTGCCATTATAAGCCTGGTAACAGATGAAAGCCCTGATCAGAAGAAGTGACGCCAGCGTGAGATAAATCGAGCCATATGAGAAAGCACAAGGCGATCGGAGGAAGGGGAAGAAAGTGAGAGATTCGAAGCAAAATGAGACAGGAGAATCGACAAGGGAGGTTGGTTGGTGAAGCTTTTTGAAGATGGCTTGATTTTGCTTTTCCAATGGCAAAAGACTCAATCCATGGTAGAGGGTCAGGTGGCTTAAGCGTGTTCATGTCCGATGAGGGATTCTGTTTCCCAGTTTCTGGATTTCAAGGTAACCGAGCGGTGACAGTCTCATATGCTGATGGCTTGACGCGTCATGGTGAGTGAAGAGGGTGGCGCAATGGAATGATGGCGTTTCATCAGATCAGAAGCTACCAGGCAAAAATACAATGTCACACCTACATGGACAACGGTTAATGTGCAGGCATTTCAACGGTCGCGACTTACAGGAAAGGCTGAGATTTGGCCCCATGGCGCGCCATTAAAGTGAGGATTATTTATTTTGGTTCTTCTGAAAAGAAGGAGAAAAGCGAGGCAGAGATGAGGGTGACCGGGTGCGATTGGGGAGAGGAAGAGAGAGGAGAGAATCAGACAAACGTGTTTTTTACTTAAATTTTCAGTCACAGGCAACATTTGACCAGCCCATCACTCAATCATATTAGATATCAGCTACTTTACTACTACTGTCATGATTCAAGGAGCTTGCACACTAAATAAATCTATTTAACTGATAGCTACCATGGGAGTCAAATGATCGATCTCCGCCCTTACATCTCATATTACCTACTTTCTAAATTCTCTTCTTATGAATTCTTCTGTACAACGTATACATCGCTTCAGTAGTTACCCTCTTTCTTCCCTCATTCATCGAAGGCTTGGATCAATGGACAGCTCGCCAAATTATGGTTGGCGCTGTAAGGCCCTGTGAATGTATCGCCATCACCAAGGTATACGACGTACCTACCAAAAGTAGCCGTGAGTACTCACAACGGCGCCATCAATAAGGTACATATTATCCGCAAAATTTGAATGCGGTGCCGCGGTGGCAGTCTCCAATTTAGGCTGCAAGGGTCGACCTCCTCGCCTAGCAGAAGGGCCTCCATTTTGGCCACAAGGCCTTGAGCTTGCATTGCAAGATCATTGACTTGCTCTTCCAAGAGCTCCTTTTTGAGATCCCGACCGAGCATCTGATCATTACAATACTTAGCTTGATAAGGGTGTTGAATAGTTCCCTCTCATGGGCCGGAGCCCGGCGCGTAGATACGTTTGGGCTGGGCCAGGGTGATGAGAAGAGCAAAAGTTGGAAGTTGGAGAAATCTCACATTGATATTGTGGAGGAAGATCCGGGGGCGTGTTTCCTCCGAGCCAGTTACCCGGTAAGTAACCCAGTCAGTAGTCTTTGGGCGATTGGATAATCCAGGATCTTCTAGCGCGACGCCGTAAGGAGACATCAACACGGGTACCCGCAGCCATAGTGGAAGATTGCGAGCCATTTAAGCTGAATTGACGAGGAGGGAAGGCCTTTTTGAGCGGGAAGGAGCTTGCATTTGTAGTCTGCAGGCAGCCCTGGGGAGCATTTACTGTCAGTTGCTTTTGGGCGGTCAATCTTGAGGTCGATAAAGTCAGGGCGACACCGGGATGAGAGGTGAGAGCCAGGCGCCAATATGAGCTTTGAGCCTGAAGGGATGGGTTACATTTGAGGCTCTAGAGAGGTCTCTCAAACGCGGCTCGTAATTTTGAGCGGAGGCAAGCCTCCAGTGTGGCGCCGCCGGAAGGGCCCGTAGATGAGTCCTTATGTCAAAGGAACATTGGGAACTGGGGAAGACTCGGCAGTTTCAGCGCGCAGTTGATCAAGGAGGTCTTGACTCTGTGTCCAAACGGTTTGGAGAGTTACCATCGTGGCTTCTTGCGCGTGCGTGGTAGGGCTCTCTCGGAATTGCAGGATGTGGGAGTGTCAATTGGCCTTAACAGCTTCCAGCCCCTTCTTAGTAAGAATCGTTGCCTACTCTAATTTGGACAGTGCTTCTGGCAGCGTGCAATTCTTCTGTGAAAAGACTGATAGCTGTTCGCTCTCGGCTTGACCATTTTCTGGTGACAGGAGACGCTGTGTAGAGAAGTGCATACGTACGCACATAAAGCCTGAGGGGCCAAGTGGGGGAGTTGTATTGAACAGAAGAGAAGAAGCTGGAGAAGGGAAAATAGCAAGAATTTTAATCTTGGGAGCAAGGCGCGAGAGAGTTAGATCATTGAGATCGTGGTTGGATACCTCCTAGAAGGTGCGCTAGATTTCACCGTGCACAGCTCATGAAGACAATTTCCGTTGGGTGAAATGAATTCCAGATTATCCGCGATGTAGCCGGAGTTCACATCAGATGAGAGAGCTGGAGATATATGGGAGTCCATTTACTAGAGGATTAGAACTGAGATGTATGTACTTAATGCGCTATGTCTGCTATGAGAAGATTCAGTAGGGTGATTTTACTGCTTAGTTCAGATATGAGCCTGTTTTACATAAGAATCTAACGCGTAGTTGATTGGGTATGTCAGTGTAAAAGTGAGTGAATGCTCAGGTGGCTGCCTGGGTCGCGTCTCTGAAGGTAAATAAAATCCTCTTCTTCTTCTTCTCTCTCTCTCTCTCTTTCTCTCTTTCTCTCTTTCTTCTTCTTCTTTCCCCAACCTAATAAAGGTCTGATCCCGCACCCTTGATTTCCTTTTTCTCGCTTTCACCCCTCAATTTCCTTTCTTTTTTTGATAATTTTTTTTTTAAAAAAAATTATCATGGATAACCCCGCCGGTGGTGCCGGCGATGGAGGACAACCTCCTCGCCAGGTTGTAAGTGAGCCCCTTTGAGTTCTTCAATCTAACAGTCCATTTCTATTTAGGTGTGTTATTCTGTGAGACTTGATTTCTACCCTGTCGGATAAGAGACTTGATGAGCTTATACCATGCTAATATGCTGCCTGCTCAATTTTTCTCACCAAAACACGTCAAGCCATCAAAATATGAGACCTCCAGCACTATAAGCCATTGGACTTTACCCTGCCTGATAGAGTCTTCAGCATCCACCCATATAACTCCCCAGGGTGTCCCACTAGCTACACCACTCGATACATGACTTATCAGTCATCTCAGCTTGCTTCCACCTGGCTTTGACACCTATGGTTCATCATATACTACACTGGTTTTGACGCTTGTCTTTCATCGTCTACCAGGCGACTTTGGTGTCTTCCATTGCTATAATCTCGTCGCTTCCGTCATCTTTGGCTTGCGTTGTCTCACCGGCTTTCGTCATCTTATCAGGGTTTCGATCTCTCTTCTCACATTCAATGGCACACCTTTGTAGATAAATGGACTGTAGTGCATATTTATTGAACGAATTGAATTAACTGATGTAATTGTAGATTGTTTGTTCTTTCTGTAGCCGTGAGGGCCACCCTGTTGAACGTTGCTGGACAGCGCTCGAAATGGTCAGCCGCGTGGTCCATGGCCCGCGAGAAAATTTCCGTGGTGTAAGAAGTGCTCTTTTTTTTGCTGAAAAGTGTGTCAATTTAGATGAATTTGGCGCTGATATTGACTAGGTCGGTCCTCATGGCCCGCACCGCGGCTCGCGTCGCGAGCGCCGCGGTCCGTATTCGCCCTCATCATAGCCCGTTCATCGTGTGTTCCTATTCTAATGTCTCCAAAAGAAGCAAACGCCCGCGCTGCCGCCGCCGCCGCTGTCCCCGGCCGTGGTGGCATTGCCCGTGGTGCCCCTCATGGTGGCCCACGTGGTGGTGCCCGCGGCCGGGGTGTTTCCAACGCCCCCCGCGGTCCCCGCGCTGGTCAGCATAGTAAGTTTATTTGTGAATGCAGGATATGGGGTGGAGAAATGATAATGGTTGAAAAAGGCATATCGCTTACATGATAATAGACCAGCATGTCCCTTCCCGCGCCGGTCCGGACGCTCCCGGCCCTGCCCCGGGTAAGTTCCTTACCATCAACAGATGCATCCTCGGATAATGCCTGGTCAACACTATCTTTGGTAGTCTATTCATTCCTCCATGTGCTCTTTGAGCGTTATCATAGTGTAGACCAGGCATTATAATAGAAGAACACCCAACATAGAATGATGTCCGTAGTACAAGTTCGCTGACATTGTTAACAGAGCCACCAGTGCCCGCCCCGGGCCCTTCCGGTAAGCCTAAAACCCATTCTAAAGCTCAATTGAACCTCACATATGGCTTATCTTAAGCCTACGTTGAGCTCGACTTGAAGCTTAATGTGACGGCTTGTTAGAATGCATGGCTGATTGAATACAGACCTCGCTGCCGTGATGGCCCGCGCCCGCTCGGATATCCGGGCAGAGGTGGAGAACCTCTCGCCTTCGGCTTGGGCGCGCATCGATGCGCGCCTTGGGCTCCTTGAAGTGGAGCTGGCGGCTCTTCACCGCCCCCAGTGACAGGTCCACGCCTGGGTGAAGCCCCTAACAGGGGGGGGTCTCTCATTTCTTTTTTTTACCTGTTTTCTTTTTTTTCTTTTTCTTCTTTTATCCCTTCTCTTATCTTTTCTTTTGTCGGTTTCTTCTCCTTTATTTTGCAGACTTACCTGATTTTGATTGTTTCACTGCAAGTTTTTACTCGCTTCAAGTTGTAGATTGTAGTGTAGTCCTCAAGGTTCCTGTGTAGAAAACCCCTAGAGTCCATCCATCCATCGGCCTTTGCAGAGTAGGTTCTCAGAAAATTTCATCCGGAAATTAATTCAAAGTCCTTCCAAATATTGGGTTCATCCGGCTATTTGAATGTGTAGAGGAATCCAAATTGATATTCAAATCAATATGTATGAAATTTCAGAACCCAGTATCTGTTCAAGTTCAATTCTAAGCTAACATCTCAATTTCTGAAACTGACTATTTTCAAATTTTGAATTCAAGCTCATCAATTCAACTTTGGTCCAAATTATCAACACATGTGCATATGCTTTGAAGCTATGTGAACTATATAGTACTCCGAGTGCGAGTCTGCCCAGGTTAACTTGAACTTTCAATCTTGTACATATGTAAAGGCCCTCAGTCTTCTTTCAACCTGAAGGTCTAGTAGTACTTCAAATGTTTTCTTCATTTTTCTCTCCTACTCTTCAAGGTACTACTACTACTACATACTCCAGATGTCCCTAACCACACATTCAGGGGTCTACTTCAAGTTCGCTCAATCCTCTTGTCATTCTCTTTCAAGTTCTTCTTTCCAAGCTTATCTGCTTCGAAAACTTTAAAGCTTTAGCCCCTTCCAAGGTTTCAGATGTCATCTTTCAAATGTTTATTTCAAAATAAAGCCCGATCTCTACTGGCCCTAACGCTAGACCATTGAGGCCTACCTAGGGATCCTCACTTGGTTCACATGATACCAGGAGCAGTAACGGATGCCGTAGAGCAAACTGATGTCACAATTAAAACATTTGAATACCCAATTGGCCCCCGAATCTACACTCCACCTTGAAACAGCTCAGGTTATATGCCCGCAACCCTGGAACTCACATCAGGATTATGGATAGGGTTGTAGATCATTCAAATCTGTTTCAAACCCTCAATGCAGGAATTAGTTAGCCGAGCCCAGGTGATTTGTGGCCGACCCATCATGAAAATGAATGTTACATGAGAGCCGCTCCCTTTGAACTGGCCAGGAAAATGGCCCAGAGCCGTCGTGATGCCCGCTGTGGTGTATGGACTTTTTCCTTGCCTCCCCTTTCTTTGTCAAAGCCCATGGAAATTTGGATTATTGTGAAACACAGGCGTATGTGGTCTTCCAGGCTATCACAGTGTATCTATGATACATTGTTTCATTCATTTTACAGAGGATAATACAGAGAATAATGCCACAAATGTTGCCCGGGCCGAAACGATTCGACCTCTCCCAGCTCAATAGCAGGGTACTCGTGAACGTTCCTCTCATTGGATCTATTATCACGTTACCTCAAGGCTCTTCATGATAACTTCGGGTATACTGAGAGATATGGCAGTAGATTCAGGAGCTTAACATATTAGATATGATCAATGTCCGTCGCTTTCTGTGTTGCAAGCCGCTATATTCCAGCTATCCGGCTAAGAAAAGTGGACAGAATAGAGGAAGTTGATGCGTTAATTTCTCCAATTGTCTGGTGTCCAGACGGCTCTCTGCACGAAAAATAGGTCAATAGCGCAAGCAATATGTTTCATGACTGTTGAGCAGTCGCTGACTATTACGGTCAAACAGATTAGCTATCAAAGGATAAATCGTCGAAAAATGATTCCGATTTTGCACATTTTTCTAGCATAACATCGGGGTACTGTCGGAGAACTGCGGGGTCAAGAACCAATCGTTCCCCTCGCTTTGCATGTCGGAAAATCGCAGAACCCCATTTCTATGCAAGCGAAGCTCAAAGCGGCAGTTCTGAAACAAGTGCCGAATACCCTTTGGAGAGAAGCAGGTCAATCTGACAACACAAAACAGGAAATGATCGCAATCGGTAATTTGACTAATGCGAGGGACAATGCCAAGAAGCAACGCCAGGCTTCATGAAGAAGATCCTCCGGGCTTTCTTCAGCCACACGGTGGATCGGGAACTCTCCTTGGCCCCACGTTTACAATCGCGGTGTTAACCGTTGGCTCTGAATGCAGGTCATTTCCGGCTCACATGTCGATCGCTTGAACTGCCAAAACGCCCCATGAGTAGGCGAAGCCGAGGTGGTCAGAAATTGCGGTTTATTGGGTGCCACCAGCGAACTTGCTTGGCAAGAGACAGTGAATTTGGACAGGGCACGGAAAAACTGCGGGGATAAAAGTGCCAAGATGATGAATTCTAGAAGCGAGGTGCTAATGGCATGATGAAGCAGCACTAGAACGGCATTTCTATGTGGCCATATCGACCCATCGGGATTCAGCTGTAACCACTGGCAGAAGATCGTCAGGGCCAACCTTGGAACATTCCGAGGTTCTGCGCAATGAGCGTGAACTTGAATCAAGAGAAATATGTATCCACGCCATTCATTGCTGAATCACTCAGGCTCCGATCATCGACGATCTGCCAGTGGGGATATATTTCTCAATCCTGTGGGCCTGGTAGTTGATCGATGTAATCGCATGAAATCTTCCAGAAAATGCGAAAATTGAATCTAAAACCTACTTTTCCGTCAAATTCCCTTGAGAAAGCCGACAAAAAAAACAGTGCATCAGAGCGGACAACCCCGAGATGACTCTCATCACGTCTCCACTTCTCTGCAGATCGGTGGTCCGGGCCCCTCCCTGGAACTTGACCTTGACTGCGCGTTCAATTCAACCAAGCAATATGGATCTGGATGAATATAAAAAGATGCTATCCGCCCAAGTTTCGTGGTGAAAATTATCATTCTTTCTTCGATATTCACTGTGCTATGGCATCTCGAATTTTGACTGCTGCGCTGTGGGCGCTGAGCCTTAGTCAAACGGCTCACGCGAACCCATTGATCAACTTGGCCCCTCGTGCCACTTCCAGTCTTGATACCTGGCTTGCATCTGAGACCACCGTCGCAAGAACTGGGATCCTGGACAATATTGGCTCTTCGGGCGCGTATGCAGCGAGCGCAAAGTCTGGTATTGTGATCGCCAGTCCATCCACAGACTCTCCCGACTGTAAGTTTATCGAGTTTTTCTTTTTGCTTTTGTTGGCGAAGTATGAGCTCTCCAGCTTTTCCAATCAGTACATTCTCTTGGGACCTGGCAATCCGACCAGGATCCGGAGGGGAGGTGAAGATATTATTTGCTTTCTGGGAGCGTCTCTGCAAGTGAAACAGAAGAAGTAGCCAGGCGGGAATCGCGCTGCTACCCGTGTAGGTGCTAAGGTCTGGACCGGGAGGTTATTCCAAGGTTATGATCCAAGAGATCGCTTTGCCATAACCTGACCTCTTCACCTTCTCACCGCCTTACCCACACCATATAGTTCTGTTCAACTTTTGAAGCTAAATAACTGACGACTCATAGATTATTATACATGGACGAGAGACTCAGCACTCGTGTTCAAGACACTTACCGATCTGTTCCGCAACGGCGATACCAGCCTCTTGAGCACGATTGAAGCTTATGCAACAAGTCAGTCAATCATTCAGGGTATTACGAACCCTTCAGGAAGTCTTACCTCGAACGGCCTGGGGTTGGGAGAGCCCAAGTTCAATGTAGACGAGACTGAGTTCACTAGCAGTTGGGGTCGACCCCAAAGAGATGGACCGGCATTACGAGCCATCACTCTGATCGATTTCGGTCAATGGTTAGTCAATAACGGCTATGAATCCACAGCGGCAAGCATTATTTGGCCAATTGTTCGTAATGACTTGAGCTATGTTGCCCAGTACTGGAATCAGACTGGCTATGGTGAGCTTTTGCATCCATGAATTACATATCGTAGCTAACATCCTCCAGATCTATGGGAAGAGGTCGATGGCTCCTCATTTTTCACTATTGCTGTCCAACACCGTGCCCTTGTTCAAGGAAGCGCCTTTGCTACCTCCGTCGGCTCCTCGTGTTCCTATTGCGACTCCCAAGCTCCCCAAATCCTATGCTACCTCCAATCCTTCTGGACGGGATCATACATTCTAGCGAACTTCGACAGCAGCCGCACAGGAAAGGATTCCAATACCCTCCTGGGCAGCATCCATACGTTTGACCCAGAGGCGGGCTGCGATGATACAACCTTCCAACCATGCTCACCCCGTGCCTTGGCAAACCACAAGGTCGTGACTGATTCTTTCAGATCTATCTACACGGTCAACTCGGGAATTTCCTCTGGCTCAGCGGTTGCTGTTGGACGCTACCCTGAAGACAGCTACTATAATGGTAATCCCTGGTACCTTTGCACTCTCGCAGCCGCAGAACAGCTTTACGATGCCCTGTACACGTGGAATCGACTCGGGAGCCTGGAGGTTACGAGCGTCTCTCTTGCCTTCTTTGAAGCAATCTATAGCAGTGCTGCGACGGGAACTTATTCCTCGTCAAGTTCAACATACTCATCTATTGTCAGCGCCGTGAAAACATATGCGGATGGCTATATGAGCGTTGTGGTAAGTAGGCTGCTTGAATCTCCACCAGAAACTATTCCAATCCTTGCCCCGTCTGTAAGCTTGAACATACACTAAAGCTCACAAGGAAAAATATGCTGCATCAAATGGCTCGCTCTCGGAACAGTACGATCGCTCGACTGGGGCTGCACTCTCAGCTCGTGATTTAACGTGGAGCTACGCGGCTTTACTGACAGCTAACATGCGGAGGAACTCAGTCGGTAAGCAAGGAGCTCCGTTGTTGATAGATGATGATTAGAAGCTAAAAAAGATTCAGTTCCCGCACCATGGGGTGAGACCTCAGCAAGCAGCGTGCCAGCAACCTGCGTTTCTACAAGCGCTACTGGCACTTACTCTAGCGCAACTAACACTGCATGGCCCACCACGCTGACCAGCGCATCCGGCTCTGTGACAACGACTGCAACTGGAAGTGGAACTACAACAACTGGCAGTGCGACCACGACTAAAACCACCACAAGCACATCAAGCACTTCCACCTGCTCGCTCCCTACAAGTGTGGCCGTGACATTTGATCTGATAGCCACGACATACTACGGAGAAAACATCGAGATCTCTGGCTCTGTTTCGGAGCTTGGCTCATGGGACACGGATGATGCGATCGCTCTGAGTGCAGCCGACTACACTTCCTCTGATAACTTGTGGTTTGTTACGGTCGACTTCACTCCTGGAGAAGTATTCCAATATAAATTCATCCGAATCGAATCCGACGAGACATTGGAATGGGAGAGCGATCCTAATCGAAGTTATACCGTGCCGGCAGCCTGTCAAACGACTGCTGTGACTGTTAGCGACACCTGGAGATAATTGCATTTGAGGATTCCTTTGTGGTTTGAGGATGTTGAGAGACTCAGGCTTTATTTCAGGGCTTGAACATATGTGAATTGATGTCGAGGCTCTACGGGCATAACCGAGATTGATTGATTGATGAAATTTCAGTTCAACTTCAACTTTTTAAAGAAAGCCGCGATGCTACCACAGTAGAGAAAAGACTGGTCAGTCTCATTACCAGCCTACTTTAAGCTAGTTTTAGGGTTGGGCTAAATCAACAGACGGCTAGCCTCTTCGGGACTAGTTCCCGCAGGAAGACCCATAAAAAGATACTTAATCTTCTCCTGACCGCCTTATATTTCGCCGACCACCTTCTAACTACCTACTGATTAATACTTTAACTAGGGATTTAGCCACAAATTTCAATGATCTTTCAATTTTTCAAGAGAGCATTTGATGGAGGAGGGGGTTTAATTCAACATTTCAGAACGTCCGACCAAAAAATATAAGTTCTTGGCTAGCTAATAAGCTATTTATGAAATCTAAGTTAAGTATCTTAAGATTTTGATTTTTCAAGACTGGCAGAAAAAGGGGCAGAGGTATCTTTTTGGTAGGGGAAGTACTCCTAAGGGCGCTCGTCCTATCTAGGCCTAGTGCCTGCCGATTTAGCACTTTGTGCTGTCGAGTTAGCCTAATTTTAAAGGTAATCTACTCCCAGGGCTGTGTTTATTGCTCGCCAACGTCACCATGTGAAGCTCCTCACTCCTCTATTCATCTTACTGTCCATATCCATGTATATATGTCAATTGAAAGCCTTGGTTTGATGTCCGACACCCTTGATAAGACGCCACAATATAGACTTCGGCCTGCAGACCTCGACCCATCCTCGGTCTGTTGCCAGGCTCCTATCAACATGTTTGAGCGCAGAGAGTTCCTTCAAAGAAGTCTGCCTTTCTATCCTGAAAACTCGAGCCTGTCCCGACTTCAGTTTTTTGACTTTCAATTTTGTTTTTGGCATCCGTTGTTGCCCCCTACCCGTGGACCGGCGTCGCCTTATTAGGCTTGTGATGTTTCATAAGGCCTTCCCTTAATATTACATTGCAATTATCTTGACCGCATGGACCTGACCTGTCTGGTTTTGAATTTTTGCTGACTTTCTTCAGCTCTGTTCCGCCTGTAGCCGCCGATGACATGTCGATTCCCTTTGTGGTTTCCCACCCATCCAAGCTTATCAAATCATCATAGCGACCTCCAGGGCTGCCACTTACATGGGCACATGGGCACGTGCATTGATTTTGTCCGGGCGGAACGGCTATTGGGTGCGGGGTTCTTTGAATGAAGAAACAGCCACCGACAAGAAAGTGATATTGGATTTTTTTTTGTCAACCGCGGCGTTTTGTGAACTGTGCTGCTTTCTCTTCAGACGTCCTGTTTGGTTATGTAGTCTACTCCTCTCATTCTAGATTGAGGCTCTTCTTCTGGCCGTCATATCCCTTCCATTTTCAATGCTAAGTTCTTAGTTTCACTGGGACCAAACGCAGAACTGTAGGGCTGCCGCACTCCAGGTAATCTGTATGTAATCCATCACTCCCATAAGCAGTATTCTGGCCGGTTTCCGCCACGGATCGGGGTTGAAGTTGCCAAATGGATACCCCGGGTTCCAGCACTTTCAAGGTTGAGCGCTGTTTCACAGAATTGCAGCCTAAAGCTGTGTTTTTGAACTATGATGTTCCAACTTGAAGACCCGGATTGTCTAGAGCGACCTCTCAGAAGAAAAATTCCAAGGTTCAAGTTGCGCTCCATAATCAATCTTACGGCTTAGGTGAAGGTCCAGCGTTGATAGTAAGGCTCCATCAAATCTGTGAGGACGCCGACGGTGTGAATTTCCAAGGTTCAAAATGTCGATGTTTATAGCACACATGTATACTACTCAGCCACGGATAGCTTCCTGAGCTATATAATGGATCCACTGGCATGTGTCGGAGGTGTCGGCAGACGGTTGACACAAGAATCAAGTCATCACATAGGTCACAAGGGAATTAAATTGAGTGATTCATTTGAGCTCAATACAGACGAGACATGTCATTTAATCCTATAAATCGAATACATTCAGATGAATGGTAGACATTCCGATGAAAACACGTGACCCTATCACCACGCGGTAATCGCGCCCGACATCAAGTGCTTATTTTGACGTCCAACAACTTTCTTCATAAAGCTTCATTGTTTTACAACAAAGAGGCAGAGTTTCAAAAACCTTTCATCACACGCAATTGCATACACTTGCAATATTTGGCAAGTCCGAGACTTCCGAAAACTAGGACATAACTCCATAATATACCCCATATTCCCATCCCTGAAGAAGTCCGAAGCATCCGAGATCTCGGGGTCACCATCCAGGTCTCAGTAAGATGAGTGTTAGCCGCGAAGAGGCTGATAGGGTGCTCCGTAAGCGGAAATCGGAAAGAGAATCACACGCATGTTATCCTTGCCGGAAGCGAAAGGTGAAATGTGACGGAAATAAACCGTGCGGAACTTGCAACAAGCGCAAACACCCGCAAATTTGTTCGTACGGCATCGAGCCCCGTCCAAGGGGAGCATCCCGCCAGACTAGCGCCCGCTCAGCTTCACCGATATCGCCTGGGCCTGCACCTAATAACACTGCGGAGCAATCTGCTCAGCAGAATGATTTTTCTTCAAACTATGTGTATTCAGGAGACAACTCGGTCATCTCCATTCTACGTTCACGTGCCTCGGATGCGAATGAGGTGGGCAGGGAAGTTGGTTCTGTCTTAGGCCTCCAGAATACCCTGAGCAGCTATCCATTCATGGATTCAAAGACACCTGGAGATAAATGGAAATCGCTTCTCGGCATATTACCGGACAGGACTGAGATCCTTCGGTATGTCATCCCTCAGCTCAACAATATCGTTGCATTGACTGATTCGAGCACTTAAGATTCTTTCACCACTATCGTGTCACAGCATACCCATTCAATCCAATCATCACAGATCTGGGTCAGTTTGAGGCCGACCTATGCACTTATTTGAATGCGCATGCCGCGGGTGAGCTACAGGATCCCGAGCGGATTACGCCTCGATGGGCAAGCGATAAGTCAATCGGGTTTATTAGTCTACTACTGGCCGCCCTAGCTGGGGGCGCTCACTACTCGGATGTTGAATATCCCAAGCGATTGGAACTCACGGAGGACCTAGCTCGCAGGTCATTCCATGCTCTCCGTCTAGCTAATTTCTTATTTCGCCCAACCTGGATGTCAATCCAAGCATTACTGATACTGGGGGCTCTATTAAGAGATTTAGGTCAATCAGACGCCTCGTGGTGTTTGCTTGGAAGCACAGTCCGATTAGGGCAAACAATGGGACTACATACTGAGAGAAGCGCCGTCCATTGGCCTGATGACGTGCGAGGAAAAGCCAAGACTCTTTGGTACGTATATGTGGAGACGGATTTGAAAATTAGTGTCTGACCTGTTACATAGGGCAACTATCGTGTGGCAAGATAGTCTTCTCTGCCTCTGTTATGATCGTCCTCCTATTGTGTCTGCAGCCGGTTGGCCTCTCGACACTACGATATCCGAGCGTAATGATCTATCATATGCAGAGACCATGCATTTGATATGTCGTATCGGACTCGATATAATGCGGCCAGAGAGCCTCGGTTCAAGCGAAATGGATCGGGCCATAGAGAATCTCCAGAAACTGGACGATGTGTGCGGACGAAGTCAACCCTATCTGCAGAAGAATTGCGTTACCTTACAACAAAACCTCGAACATCTCGCGTTGAGGATGCATACATCCTTTTGTATATCTGTTCTTTGCCGACCAGTTATGAAAAGAACCCAGCCACAACCAATTTATTCACATGCCGAGTTTCTTCGTACTCGCGCAAAAGAGAGTTTGATTGACGCATCCAAATCTTTCCTTGACTTTCAAGCCCTCAGCATCGTCCCTCTTCGAAGTTGGTCCATGATCCATACTGTTCTGAGCTCATGTCTGCTATTATGCATCTGGGAGGAGACACGGAATGACTTGGAATGCCGCAACCTGCAGCAGAGAGTGTTCGATGTCTTTTCTTCCTCCATGCCAGGAGCTACAGAGGAAGGCAATACACAGGTAAGCCTCGGAGCGAAATGGTTGTCTCCTGGACATATTCGCGCGTTGATCACTCTGCGAAGCACGCTTGATCGGGAGGGAGAGCAAGTTAGAGTTGAGCCGGAAGGTGTTCCAGGAATCCCACCAGGTATTCCCGATATAGATTTTGAATCTTTATTGCCACCCGGGACAAAGTATGTTCGACTCTTACACTATTGTTGGCGATGCTAATTATTCTCGGCAGTCTGGATGCGTTTCCGGATATATTTAACCAATTTGATTCCTCACCGGTGTCATACCTAGACTCGATCATGAATGGTATTTATATGCATTGGTCAAGCCTATAATGTGATTACCTGCTAACTTGCTTAACGTTCCCTTGTTCGACTTCACACAGGACAGTGGATTTCTATGATCGAGTGCGATTTTTGGTATGCGGTGCACGTGGCTGAATGAGTGCAAGTTCACCAGGTCAGCTGAGAATATCCATGTGTCTAACATGAGCATGGTTGCACCTGCACTACTGGGTATGGTTTCATACTGCAGGTCGGTCTCCCTCTCGGCCTCAGGTCCTCGCCTCGGTGTGGAGTCAAGTGGAGTAAAAAGCCATCTGTTGGGGAGGCTCGGCCGCCCCGTCGGTTTTAAGAATAATTTACTCCACATCTGGGCGAGTTCCGAGCACCGAGGGGGCCGCCGACCTTTTGCCTAGATTAATTGGCTGGGTGGTGAAGAGACGAATGAACAAAACGTAATTTGAATCAAGCATTTATCTTGGTACATAGATCATTTGGGCAAGATGCGTCCCCTTTCTATCTTTCTATCTCAATCTACAGATTTCAAGGACTTATGATAATGACGTATGCATCTTCGGCGAGTGCGGCAAACTCGGTCTCGGATCTCGGGTCTCGGATTATCTCGGTGACTTATTATGTGAGAAAATCGCGGATTCTATTGAAAGTTTATGAGGCTGAAATTTCGATAGTCAGATCTGAGTTGCCACTGCTTGCTACTTAATAAGATTTCTGTTCTGCTTTGAAGCTCATCCGATCCACACAACCTACCTACCTCCAGCTACAACGTTTGAAGATATATCTTCAACACTTGAGATTCAAGAACTTTGAAAGTACAGCAACTCAAGTCTCGCAACGACATACATAGTTTGCAACTACCCGGCAATCCCATAATCGATACCTATCAAAATTCCAAACATTGAACCTTGGAATCATGCTTTCTCTACTGTCCGGCTCCAATACCCCACAATCTGGACGACACTCTCCTGTTAACAGCCCCAACGGAGCTACAATGCCTGCCGAGACGAATGGACACCATGCGCCAAACACTGGTAATCAGCAATCTCCCTGCCGTCGACGCATCGTCGTAGCTGTTACTGGCGCTACAGGAGCCCAGCTCGCGGTGCAATGCCTCATTGCTTTAAGAAAATTGAATGTTGAGACACATCTGGTCATGTCAAAATGGGGAGAGGCCACAATCAAATACGAGACTGATTATCATCCCTCGAACATCAAGGCTTTAGCCGACCATTGCCATTCTATTAACGATATGGCCGCTCCTATCTCAAGTGGCTCGTTCAAGGCTGATGGTATGATCGTCGTACCGTGCAGTATGAAAACGCTTGCATCAATTCACGCGGGGTTTTGCGACGACCTAATTTCGCGAACGGCTGATGTTATGCTCAAAGAGCGTCGTCGACTTGTGCTTGTAGCTCGGGAGACACCCTTGAGCGAAATTCATTTGCGAAATATGTTGGAGGTTACTCGAGCTGGTAAGTATATCCATTCTGATGCGCTTGGCTTCGATCATGCTGACTCAGACTCCAGGCGCCATCATCTTCCCACCGGTACCGGCTTACTATATTCGAGCGGGCTCGGTGGAAGAACTGATAGACCAGTCCGTGGGCCGTATTTTAGACCTATTTGACCTCGATACTCAATCATTCCAGCGGTGGGAGGGATGGGCAAAGTGATAAATTATCATGCACTGTGGAATTGGAACTCATATACATGTACTAGTATCTTTTCATTTTGCATTTGTGGAGTTATTTGAATTCAATCGATATGATCTTCTTGATTTTGAATTTGTGTAGTTATTTGAAATGACGCAATCGATACCTAGGTATGTATTAAGACTCGGATCTCGATAGCTTCAAGTTCTAATGATAACATTGAAGTTGTCAACTGGTTGTCTCTGTGCATAGAAGATTTACTGTTGGAGGCGATTTCTGCCTGAAAACTAGATGCCGTCATCAAACACTAGTCCTAATTAGGATTGGTCACCTGATCCCCCTTGCAACATTTGAATGTTTGGACAACTTTAAATGTTCTCCAACATCTTAATCTCCAATTCCCAAAGCTACTTTCAAATGTTTCTCATGTCAAAAATGCCATGTTGGCTACAGGAACAAAAGGTATAACAAAAAAGCAACTATCTGACTCGAAGGGGTATATTGCACACGGAATAACGGATCAACGGTTCTAGCATCTTGGCATTTTTGTATCCGAGCTTGGCAGATATGGACATACCATGATGCTGATTGGGTCCCGCTTTACGGACTACAGACTCCATATAAAAGATGGAGTACTCCGTAGTATGAAGAGTTAAAGTATCCATCATCCATCTCGGCATCATTTTGAAACTCAAGTAAAGCATCCATTCACGATGAAAGCACACAGTTCCAATTAGCATATCAACAACCTCGTTTAATTCAACCTTGGAATGTTCGCTTTGATTCTCATCGCCAAGTGCCCCATCCTCTATGTACCGCCCCACTTCTAATGGCGTGCTTTCCACCTGCGATGAGCATCGTGAATTTCAATCTCCGAGTCACAAACACCCGATCAAATAACGCAATGTCTCGTCAATTGAACCCTGTCGAGCCTCATCGGCTACAATTATGTGGGCCGGTCCATTCCACGCGACGAGGGGCTTTTTCTCGCGCCCTCTTAGTCCCTCTTTCTTTTCTTCCTTCTCTCCCCTGAGATCGTCCATTCATTCTTTTTCTCGATCTTTTTCCCATTAGAGTTCACGGGTCCACGTGGGCAAAACAGGTCAGATATCCAAGCGTCCAGATGACGAACCTGAACTATGGCACGCATGCCGGGTCCGAAGATCCCTCCGAGTCGGAACGGCAGTACTCGAAAACCACCAATAATGAACCCATTCACGACGAAGAAAGCCCATTACTTCCTCCTTCTACTCCTACCGACTCAAATGTTGCTGATTTAACTGGGGTTGGAACTATGATTGCCGTTCTTTTACTCGGTGAACTCGTCTCTAATGCTGATGCGACGCTGGTGTTGGCATGCGAAGGCCTTATCTCCTCTGAATTTGATCGATTACGCGATGCGAGCTGGCTTTCAACAGGTTATTCTTTAGGACTATGCGCTGTTCAACCAATGGTGAGTGTAAATCGGAAATCGAAAGAAACTGCATTTTCGTGCTAATGTAACTTTAGTATGGAAAATTGAGTGATATATACGGCCGGAAGCCGCTCCTTATCATTTCCTACGTTCTATTTGCGATAGGATGTATTATTTGGTCAGTTAATTTAGATTCCCGTATTGTCCGGCAAGATCTGTGAATATTTTCTAACGTTTTTGTTACCAGTGGGATTGCCTCAAACATGTCCATAGTGATTTTGGGCAGAGCGATTGGAGGTTTAGGTGGTGCTGGCACCATGGTTATTAGTTCGGTTATAATCACAGATATCGTTCCAAAACGCGACGTTGCCACTTGGAGAGCGTATGTGAATATTTCTATGACTCTTGGCCGCAGTATTGGAGGCCCGCTCGGTGGATGGCTGAGTGATACAATCGGATGGCGATGGTGAGTAGAAAATCCTCTAAACTTGAAGCCTTTCAAGTCGGTGCATTTAGACACACTCTAACTTACCCCTCTTAGGTTGTTCCTAGTTCAAGCTCCATTTATGGCTCTTGCTGCATTCCTAGTGTTTTTCATGCTCCCTGGGCACCCTGAGACCAAGAGCGGCAAATCAAAAATCCAGCAAGTCGATTTCTTGGGAGCAGGGCTTCTGGCTGCAGCAATAATTGCCCTAACAGGTCTAATGGATCAAGGAGGAAAGTCATTCGCATGGAACTCCGTTATTTCGTACGCGCTCAGCATTGGAGGAATAATTCTCCTGCTTGGATTCATTGCCGTCGAGGCATACGTCGCCAAAGAGCCGATATTCAACCTTCGTATCTTACGTCGATCTAACGTGGGCGCAAGCTATATCCTGAGTACTCTTCAGGTCACAGCCCAACTGGGAATGCTATTCTCGGTCCCACTCTACTTCCAAGTTACCCAACAGGCATCGACCACTTTGGCAGGTATTCACCTCGTCCCTGCAGTAGTTGGAAACACTCTTGGTGGGCTATTGGCTGGAATATTCATCAAAAAGACAGGATGCTATAAGCCCCTCCTTGTCGCGGCTGGCTTGATTGCCGCCGTCTCGTATGCCTTGCTATACCTCAAGTGGGATGGTCAGACAGGCTTTTGGGACTCCTTCTATATCATTCCAGGCGGCTTTGGAACTGGTATTGCTTCAGCTGCAGCCTTCATTGCAATGACCGCTACCTTGCCCGCTGAAGAGGTGGCTATGGCAACTGCTGGTTATATGATGTTGATCAGCTTTGCTATGACAGCTGGTGTCACGATGTCCAACTCGGTACTTGGCATTGAATTCGAGCGGGAGCTTCGCCAGAACTTACGCGGCCCAGGTTCGGAGAGAGTACGTTCATCTGATGATTTGAATTTGGCTTTTCCACTGACAGTAAACAGATTATCAAACGCACAATTGCCGATGCAGCCTACATAGCTCAACTCGGTGGCAGGCTACGTGAAATTGTTCTGGAGTGCTTCTTGGGTGGTCTCAAGCATACCTACGGTAGGTCATCTATGCCTTCTTCAATCACCCTAGTGAACATTTAAGCTAATAATCTGTTATTTCAGTGGTCTCTTTCACTTGCTCTCTAGCCGCTGCCTTTATGGGCCTCTTCATTCAACATCATCAATTGTAAAGCCTTAGGGGTAAATGTGAAAGAAAAGTTTTTCTCACGCTTCATTCTTGTCTCCTTCTTATACCAGGAAACAGGTCTATTTAACCAATGGCTACCATCAATGCACAGCATAAACTTCCGGTATCCAATCTCATTTTACTGACTTCCAATTGTTGCTAATAGTAAATTCTCTTCGTACTCCTTTGCCTCTAAAACACATCACCCCTTCAGTGTTTACCCTCCTCTTTCCCTCTTTCAGTGAGTCTCTGATATCAATCGACTTACCACTTGGAGCCCAATTCAAATGTTAACTCAACTTGTGTAGCCTGTAATCACCTGCACATACATCGCCCTCACCCGTAGGCCAACTTTGAAGGTAACTGATGTGCCTTCCTAAATTGAGTATAAACCTTGGAATATTCAAGTGCTCATCAACGGAGCCTTAGATTACTGCTTGATATGGATTATCTGTAACTTGAAGCTCCATTTGAATGCGACAGTTGTACTCGGATGACGCTAGGATTGATTTTGCGTCCGAGCCACGGCGAACATTTGAATGCACTTGGGGCTACTACCCGTGAACTGGATTTTCAGAGGCGGAACTACAATTTAGAGTAAATGGAGTATAAACTTGAAGCTAGAAGAACCTTCAGAAGCACTGGCAACGAAAACCCAATTGAAATCCCAATTGGAAAGTTGGAATCTTTAAAATTTGTAATTCTTTTAAGGGCTACCCCCCCCCCCCCTCCCTCCCTCCCTTAGCCCAAGATTATGCTCGATATTTTATCGGCGGCTGACCATTGCGTCTATTATAAACTGTCCAGCGAGCAGCTCCCAGCACACGGGGTCGGCATGGCCCGGCGATTACAATAACCCCACTATCATACGTCGTATTAGCAATCTATTGGACGAATTTCGTAAGATATGAATACAGTCCATGTCCATGTCTAGGTATTAAGAGGAAGTACTCGAAGTGTATCTTCAATGTCAACACCGTTTATAGCACGGATGAATCACACTGTAATGGACCATCGAGAACAAGCCTGATGAGAAATATTAAACCTGATGAGATGACGCATGGCAATCAGAGACAACGAAAGCAAATGGAGGAAGACGGGTGACCTTTAATTGCTCGGGATGGAAAGGCAGAACCTGTTGAAGAAAGTCTCGGGACTCAACCGTGTTGGTGGGAGGTAGAGGATTGATCGGTTGAGGTACTAAGGTCTCTTGCTATATCGTGGCCATTGCGAAGTCTCATCAAGAGTAACGTTCATCAAATCAAAGCTGTGTTCCGCAATGGTCCATATACACGGACATGGACTGTAAGATGGGGAAATGGGGAAATGGCGAGCCCTTACGCGACGACGACCAGCGACCCGAGCAGCGACTGTTACGAAGTTAGATATTTGACTGGCAAAGATTTGAGTAGTATTGGGTCATACCACGACGCTCCTGGTGAGGAAAAGCCAGGTACCAGGGTGGTACAGGTACCTATAACCAATGTAAGCCAAAAGCCATCAGGAAGTATGTAATTCGATTGGTATTTCTTACCACCCGGTGCTGCTGCGCTCCTTGCAGCTGACAAAACGAGCGCATTGCCGAGAGTCGGGGACAATCTGCCCGCACGACAATATGGGCACTGATTTACACTTCGTTAGCCATATATTGAACGCAAAATGTAGACCCTCAAAATCCAGGTCAATCTATCAATGCTGCACTCAAAGCATATCCTCAAGTACCAACACTTAGTATAGTACATAAAACATTAATTCCATTGTAGTGTGCCATTTTATGTAAGCCTGGTGAGAGATCACAGCCCTGATAAGATGAGATGACGCCATATTGAGACCGAAAAGCCATATGAAAAAATGGAAGCCGGAGAAACGCGCAAAGTGAGCAAGTGACGAAGGCATGTGAGAGAATTGAAGCCATGTGAGATATAAAATCACTGAGCGAGGTTGGTAGAATTGCTTGGATCATGATTCATGATGTACTGAAGGAGACTTGAGATGCTGGTTTTCAGAGGAGGCAATTCATTAGGAGGGTCATGGATTTGCCATGTTGATGCCCAAGACATGCCTTTGTTTCCCAGGTCTCCGTGTGTTGAGGCAACCGACGATATGCGATAGTCTGATATGTTGATGGCTTAACGTGTCATGGTAAGCTGGGTGCTGAGAGGCTGGTGTTTTGACATACTAGCCCATTACAGCAGGTAGCCATCGGATCAGGGGCTGCATCTTTGGCACAATGGCACAACTACATAGATGACAGTTAGTTAGGTTTGAAGAGTTGGTTCACTTACAAGGAGTTGGCGAGGCTGTCCGCCTGCGCCACCACGGGCGGGAGCTTCCATATTTTTCTTTGAAAAAAGAAAGAAATTTCAGCGTGTCGGGGACAGACCAAAGGTGATGACGTCACGCAGAGGATGTCAGCTGAACAGGGGATACCAAGTTACAGGGGACTTGGGAGGAAAGGGTAAAAATAAGACCAAAAGATCAGACAACACGGATCAGATGGAATGACATACGACCAAGCTGGATCCAAACTTAGGATGGAATGGAAGGAAAGAATCAAACAAAGATACTACTGATCCCAAAAAGATTGAATTCGATGCTCAACTAACTAAGGGGTAAGATCAGGTTTTATAGAACATTAGACTAAACAGATAAACATAAGACCAAAGGTCTCAGAACATGGGATGAAAGATCCACGGAATCCGAAATGATCAAGTCTTTCATCTCATCTTGTAACCATTGATCTCAACAACGGGGTTCGGGTTGCGAATCTTCTCGGACGAGAGAAGATGATCTTTGATCTGATGGATCAGATCAAAACAATAGCCATTCATTCCGCAACAAAATGTTTGATCGCGGGATGAATTAGTCAGCACAATCTTTAGACCCAAAGAGCCACTTTTGGTCCCAGGAATTCAGGCAGAGAATCAGCCTGAATTGCTGACAAGAAAAGAAACAAGAAAGTTTCGATAGAGAAGAAGATGGGTTATCGCAAAGTAAAGGCGAAAGGAACGAAATGTGAGACTGACCGTATGCGGTTGGGGAGAGGAAGAGAGAGAGAGGAGAAAGAGAAGAACGTGTTGTTTACCTGAGAATACACAACCGAGCCCTGGAGGCAGCCCTACCATTCATTCACTTCATTTAACACCAGTGTGGGCTATCTCTGAGCCTTCCAAGGTTATCTGCGCAGAGCAAACAAATAAGCATGTCGGTCAAAACACCACACAGCTCCATATCCCACTCCAATCGTCTTTCACTAGGTGCCCACTCCATCGTCAATTTTCTTTTACACCGAGTTGCTCCATCATTTCACCACATCTCAGCCCTCTGACGTAAATCCAGATGCTCTCCATCTTCCAATCTCGCAGACTTCCGGTCTTTCTTTTCCTCTCTTCCCTATTTTACCTTCCTTAAATTGTCAAGAAGAAATGGGTTCTCTTGATCGTTTCTGCGCCATGAAACCCTCTCGCGGCCCTAAGGGTGATGCTGGTGGTGATGAACCACCTCGCGAGCCCATCCGGGTAAGTAATTCTCATTCTCTCTCAAAGTCCATGTCCGTACGGGTAAGTTATTGTGTAACACACAAACTTCGATGTGATGCCCACCCACTTTGGTCCAACGCTACGATGGCAACAACATACGGCTTCCACCATAACGTCCATCCGCTGGCTCGACTTCCAGCACACTCAACCTTTCAAACTCTTTGAAATTTACTACATCTGCTCAGCTGTAGTGCCTCCACTCCACCTTTCACTTCTCGTTTGACACGCACCTATTTTCCCACCCTCCGTCATCCCGTACTGGAGTCATAAGATCGGTTTGTGGCATTTGATCAGATTTATACTCAATGGCAGACCTCGATTGCATTCATATGTGCTGTGAAGACTGTCAAGATGCGATCAGGCACTCCAATTACCCCTTCATCACATACAATACATGCACATGGACTTTGCTATCTCACGTTCTGCCTTCAACACGTACCTAACAAACCTTTCAGTAGTGCAATCACTGCCGTTGCCATAGCCATTCGCGTGAGAACTGTTGGTACATCAGAGCCATTGATGCCTGGATGTTGGAGCAGAATTTGTTGTCCGAGCAGTATGAAAACAACCTGGGACAGAAGCAAGTTGTAAGGGCCCGAAAAAGCAATAAGTGGATTATGAGCGGTTGCTAATATAAGCCGCAGGTTGGCGTCCCCGGAAGCAGCAGTGAAGATCGTCGAAGTGTGTACCAATCCTTTCAGCATGCTCATATGGTATATAAATCTAACCCTGGGACATTCTTGATAGCCCCACACCTGAAAACTGCCACCCGCGCCTTGAACCCCCCCGGGCGCCGCTCCCAGTCCTGCCCCCGTGGTCTCTCCTGCCGCCACTGTGGCTTGCACCCCCGCTCCCACTCCCGTTCCGTCTGCTGAAAGTCAGTTTAAAATCCTCAGAAGCTCTTGATTATCATCAGCAGCTCAAGTCGACGGTCAATGCTATTAAGGCTTGCAAGTGCTAATGCCATTCATAGGATGGAGGAATCTCATGCAGAAGTTGATATGTTTTCAGCAGAGTCAGGAACAGGCACTAGAACTGTTACAGCGCGATCAGCAGTCTTTGCAGTTGCTAATCCAGCTGGTTGCGCGCAGGATGCTCACTAACGACCCGCTAATTAAGCCGGAGTAGAGACCTCATGTCTCAGCCGTGGTCCATTTTCTTCTCTCGCAATGCGATTTTCTGTTTCGAGCTTGTGTTCTTCTTCTTCTCTACTCGCTATAAATCGTAGTTCTTTGAGTTTTTTCGAAGTCCTTCTGGCCATATGCATTCTGCTCAGTATTAGCTGGCTAAATTGATAGATCTATAGTCAATCGTCTACCTGGTCATGTATAGGATGAACTCTGGTTATTTCATGGTTTCAAGTCGTTATTATGTACTCTGGTACAGACCCGCCCGGGCTTTGCGGAATTAAACTCAAGCCGGATATCCGAAAATTCCGCCGAATTCGCATGTTCAAGTTTGAATTCAATGTTCCCATTCCAAGATCATCTCCGTTGACCACAAGTTCCAAAATGGAAATCGGCTAACCTCGCCGTCATCGGGATCGTGGCGAATAAGCTGAATTACTAGAGTCTGACGTTCTGTGTCATCTAGCTCTGAGGAAATATGTGTGGTATTATATCTTGAAGAAGATATCTTGTTCACTAGCGTATTAAGTAGAAACGGGTGTTCGTTGGAATGGAAAATATCGATCAAAAAATGGGTAAAAAGAGGACATCTGGACAGTATGATTTCGCTTGATCCAATTTCATGTGATCTTTATCAGTATTGGCTGCCCTATAGTACTCCGCCGGGTGGGATGGTTCCAAGGTTCAGTTGATGATGTACACATGTGGGCACTGATATAGCCCTCTTGACTACAAACTCGAAATAGGAGGTATATTCCTCCTTCAACTGTTTTTTCATCTCCGACTTTCTTTAACCTCCGACTCATCCAGCCCTTCGGAGTTCTTTCAAGGGACATATTTGCTTCTTCAAGTTTTATCTTCGATCTGCCGAGTTCCGAGTCCCGAGTCCCGAGTCTCCGGAACAAAGTGGAGAACTTCGGAGATCAGTGATGAGTGGACGGAGTACCTGCTGGGCATTGATTCAGCGATTGCACTTCTCAACCTGATCTAGCGGAATGGAAATACTATAATTTCTCTTTTGATGTCTCCGCAGATCATGACGGCAGCTACTGGGCCAATCGTGCGGATCTTGCCAGGTCTCAACTACCGATTTTCTTCTGCTCGGCACGTCTGCCGGCTGTGGATTCAGCATATATATATATATGATGTTGATCAACCACCCCTCTTCCTCCGCGAACAACATCATCCTCCAACTTGAACTTGAACTCAAACTCAAGTGCGACCTAAATACTTCAACTTGAACTTATACATCATGTTCTACCAACCTGGAATTACCGATCATGGTCTTCCCCATGATCCATTTAAGGTAAATCACCATCAAGCTTCAAGAAAAATCATATTCACACCAGCTAAATCTGAATAGGCATGTGTTGTACCGAGACCTATTGGCTGGATCTCCACCATGAACAAAAAGGGCCAGGCCAACTTAGCTCCATACAGTCAATTCAATAACCTCTCATTCGACCCTCCGCTAGTCATGTTCAGCTCAAATCAGACTTCCCAGGAGAACCGAAAAGACACCGTGGTGAACGCCGAGCAGACAGGAAAGTTTGTCTGGAACCTGGCCACCTGGGATCTGCGAGAAGCTGTCAACATCTCGGCTGAACAGGTTCCCTATGGAGTCGATGAGTTTGAGCGCGCTGGCCTAGCTAAGGAGCCCGGGACACTGACTGGTATCCCCATGGTTCGGGACTCGCCAATCAAGTTTGAGTGCGAGTATTTATCAACCCTGCGAATTCCTGGCAACGCGCCTATGGGTTCAGTCGATGTTGTGATTGGCCGAGTTGTAGGAATTCATATCAAGGATGAGGTGTTGGTAAATGGACTGATCGAAGTCTCGCTGACTAAGCCGATTGCGCGCTGTGGCTATTTTCAATACACAGTTGTGGAGAAGACATTCGATATGATCATTCCTGGTATGTCTGAGGATGTCCTATATGGGCTAGAAGGCAACTCTCGGAAAAATAGGGAGGCAGATGCACGCAGAAAAGATCTGGATGTGTGATTGTCATGGAAGATGGGTTTTGTGAACCTCGGAAGCTCGGAATTTATCGAAGTTGTGCTTGGCTGGATCATGCGGCTTATCCGAAACCTTATTTCAATCCCCGGGTCTATCAAGTCTATCCGAAGTTCATAAGACTGAAATTGCGATAACAATGGTATTCAGAAATTAGAATGATCACATCTGATGTATTTGAATCTGTTCCTTTTTTGTATACAGGAAGTTCTTGTAAATAGCGAATTTGAGAGATTGCTTACTTTCAAAAGGTATGGTTTTCAACGAATAATCTCGACGCAGACGCGTGGTTACAGTAGTGTAACACTCTACCAGACATGAGAAATATTATTATCGAGATACCAGATATTCGAAATGTGACAGATAAACGGTAAAGGCCTCTGATATTTTGCGATATTTGTTCTAGGTATTCGCTCACTCAGAGCGCAACCTCAGAACCTCCCACCTCCAATATTGCAACCTCTCAACTTCCTACCTTGTATTACACTTTTCCAACACGCCGTTCAAACTTTGGCTACAGACTACATCTCATCTCAGACTTCAAAAACTCCCGGACCATACAAATTTCCCGAGTGGCTCACAAGATCCAGACTTGGCGTGGAGACGAACGTTCTTGAATGAGCCCCTGCAAGCTTTCAACAAACAACATTCCAACTCCTTCTCTCCTCAGCCGAGTGAGCATTACCTGAGAGATATTTGCTGTTGCCGCTTCAACCAACAAAGATGAACGCTTCCAATCCTATTGACCTGGCCGAGATCGCCAGGTCAAACGCAGCCGCACATGATACTCTGATTCGGGAGAAGAGCACGCCTCACGAAGCCAAGGTGGACAAGGAGCTCATTGAGGAAGCTCAGGTCAGATATCAGCTGCCAAATCACCCCAGCACCGACTTCGGATCGCCAGAGCTGCTGTATCCAAACGAGGAGGAGTTGATGACCCTTCGTCGTGTGGCGGACAGTATTCCTTGGGCGGTTTATACCGTGGCATTCGTGGAGTTGTGTGAGCGATTTTCTTATTATGAAACCTTCGCAGTTTCTGAGTCTCTCCCAAGCTAAAGGTTTGAGCGTTGTCGCAAAATTGCTAACCACCCCAGTTATGAATTTTATTCAACGACCCCTCCCAAAGGGCTCAAAGACTGGTGCATTACCCACTGGTGGAGACTTTGAAAATGGTGTCCCTGCTGCCCTCGGAATGGGTCAGCGAGCCTCGACAGGTTTGACGCTATGTGAGTTACCCTGCAAGTCCCTGAGTCTTTCTGTGACAGCTAATGGAAAACAGTTAACCAATTTTGGAATTACACGATGCCACTTGCTGGCGCTTTCGTGGCTGATCAATATTGGGGGGAGATTCAAGACTATAATGGCCGCTATTGCAGCAACCTTCCTAGGACACCCCATGCTGATTTGCTCTGCCATCCCAGCAGTGATTGCAAAGCCCGGAGGCTCAATTTCCTGTTTCACCATCGGCCTTGTGATTATGGGCTTTGACACCGGTGGATTCAAGCCTAATATCTCCACGCTAATTGGTGAGCAGTACAAACATGAACGGCCATTCATTCGAGTCCTGCCCAGTGGCGAGCGAGTCATTGTGGATCCTGCGGCGACTATTTCGAGAATGTACCTCTATTTCTATCTACTCACAAATCTAGGGAGCTTAGTCAGGTCACGATGTCATTTAGTAAACGGTATGTCGGGTTCTACCTCTCTTTCCTTCTCCCGACATTGATGTATCTTTTTTGTCCCGCTGTACTTTATTTGTGTCGAAAAGGATATCGTCTAGCCCCACCCACTGGTTTGGCGTATCCCCAAGCATTCAGACTCTGGGGATTGGCCATGAATGGTCGTTGGTCCCTCAATCCAATGAAGATGTAAGTATCTCAATGAAAATTCTTTGAGCCCTGCTGACATTTACCAAGTTTTAAGGGAGGTGATACGACTCACTTTTGGGACCACGTGAAGCCCAGCTACCTCGGATCTAATAAGCCCGAATGGATGAATCTCGACGACGAATGGGTTGACGAGGTTCGACGTGGGCTGAGCGCATGTGCTGTCTTCCTTTGGTATCCATTGTATTGTATGAGGCCCGGCTTTTCCTGGTATATTGATCTCTTGCTAACTGATTCAGGGCTGGCGTACAACCAAATGATCAACAATCTCACTTCCCAAGCGGCAACCATGCAACTTGCCGGTGTTCCGAATGACATTATCAATAACTTGAATCCCCTTTCACTCATCATATTCATTCCAATCATGGACCAGATCGTATATCCGGGTTTGCGTCGCATGGGAATCAGGTTTACACCATTGAAGCGTATCACCGCCGGATTCATCGTCGCTGGCTGTGCCATGATATCCGCCACCGTGACTCAGCACTACATCTACAAGAATGGGCCATGCGGGCACAACGCTAACCACTGCTTAGAGGTTGAGGGCAAACACACTGCAATCTCTGTCTGGGTGCAGGCCGTCACATACATCCTGGCAGGTATATCAGAGATCTTCGCCTCGGTGACCTCGCTGGAGTATGCTTTTACAAAAGCACCTCGAAACATGCGGTCCCTGGTCAAGCTGTTTCTCTTTTCATGACTGCTTTCTCAGCGGCGATAGGTCAGGCGCTGGTTGCACTAGCTGCTGACCCGCTACTGGAATGGAACTATGGCGTGACGGCCATCTGAGCATTCATTGGTGGTGTTGGATTTTGGCTCATCAACTATAAGTTGGACCGAGACGGGGATTGACTGAATATGCTCCCGCAAAGTCAGTTCGCTGGAAAAGTGGGAGCAACAGATGAGGGGAAATGACAACTACACAGATTGAAAGCGCCTCGGACTTCGAGACTTATGAACTGGCTTACTCTATTTTATGCAGCAATTTATGATCACTGAATCTTTCCCATTGTTCCAGTATTTAGTATTATGGTACCAGTTTTCGTAGAGGACGTCTTTGGCTCCCCTAGTTTGTGTATAGCCAAGACCTCTGAATTCCTGATATTATATCTCCATAGGTATTAAATATTGTAAGTTATCATACGATTGATTAGAATTATAGTTTGTCAGGATTTATTTCCAGTCGGATTTGCAGGCTCACAAACTGTAAAAATTAGTCTGATAAATGATTGACATGTTTGCCTGATTTCTTCAGCCACCAACCTCGCGTGGCCCTGGACTCTTTCACTCTTCCACCTACGTGATCAGCCACGTCGGCCCACGTCAGTTTTTCTTTTCAAGAAGATGTCTTCCTCCGGTAACCAGCCGGCGTCCATCGCACCTGACCGTCCTGTAAGTCTACTCACACCCATGTCAGAGAACGCCCGCCTGTATCATTCATCAACCATATTTTATGCCATGGATATTATGAAAGCGCGTCAGCCTGGCCTCCATGTCCCATAATTTATCATAACAGCTCAACTCCATGAGAGAGACCTGTTATGGTAAGTCATGAGGCTTTTTGGTGCAGCCCACTTCATCCCGCGCGTCTGGAGTCTTGACACACCAAGCCTCTCAACATGAACTTCACCATCCTGAGAAGCGCTGATCTATCATGACGCCTCATATACCAAATTCCAATCAAACGTTTGAACAAATTGATATCTACGGGCAGATACGTTGATCTGCGTAGGATTTACAAAGCTAATAGAGACTCAAACACCTCTCAGCCGCCTTGCCGCATTGCCTCTCCTTCTCCCCCTGCATCGCCACACCGACCATGTCTAGGATGTAGTGTGCTCGGGTATGACGCTCTGAAATGCCGAGCCTACCATCGTTTCGCCAGTCGCGCCATCCCAGGAGTAAAAATGCCAACCGTGAAAATCGAAGAGGATTCCGAAGATGCCGGAAGCATTTTTCCTGATGAAATGAAGGGTTGGCTGAATCACCGTCGTAAGCCTGGTCGCGGACATCATCGTCAACAAGTCGGACGTGAGTATTGAGTTTCTGGTGTTACATCATGAAATGTTGTACTAATTTATCTTATCCAGCTCGTGGGCCTGTTTCTGCCGGTGCGTTTCTATTCTGAAGTGACAGACTTCGAATCCTCATTCCGAACCCTCTAACAAAATACTGCTTAGCTCGGACAAGCAATCCTCGTGCCACTACTGGTGAGTTGCAGCTCCAATCCTCTAGCTCTCACTCTCAACAATAATCAAGAGAGGTGGCGTTTGAGCAACACAACCAATTTTGGCTTCATTCTTCTGAAAGCATGCTAATCAGAGCTATAGTGCCTAGAACCGCTACTTCCAGTGAGTTTTCTTATAACTGGGCTTCAATCCTACTCTCAAATGGCCACAGGGTCTATGAAGAGGTCTAGATATCATAATTATGATATCCTCGAATCCTAAAAAATACACACAATTCTGATTTTGGTGCAGTGATGCCCATCACACGTCCCGTCGTCTCTCTGCCTGTCAATCAGTCGGCACCGGTTGCACCGGGTAAGCTCTTAACTATATCGTCCCTTTGATGATTCTCTTAAGTTCCAATGATCTCATCCGGAGCATAGAGACCACACCTGTCAATGCAAGATTCTAACACGTTTATCCAGTTTCCTCCACCAGCACTGTCCTTGATATTGCCTCGACTTTGGGTAAGCATCCATTTGTGCGAAAAGATCTATTTGAATCAACTCAAGCTCGCATTCTTTGATTGAGTGACTATCATTTGCATTGATTGATTATCAAGACAAAAGGAGTTGTTTGGAAGAGCTTGAAGGCTAACTGGTTGGAATTATAGCGTTCCTGAAGGACGAGTCTCTCCGACTGGAGGAGAAGATGGCAGCCATGGAGCAGCAATTTGAGATGAGAATCTCTGCTCTCGAGCGACACATTGACGGACTGAAGAAGGCCCTGCAGTAGAGGACGTTTCACCATGACTTTTTTTGTTTACATTAAGACTTCCATGCCGGAGAAGGGGGGGGCTGGCAATGAATGCTTTTACTTCCGGCAGGTTCTCAACTTTTTTCCTCTGCCACCACCACTTTAGGTCTTAGTTGTAAGGCTAAAATAGCTAAACTCATTGTAAAGCCGAGTGCATATTGATGTCTCTGTAGATATTCTGACCTTTAATATTCAAACATGAACCACATGTAAACTTGCTGACAGGCAGAATAGATATTACCTTGGGATTGATCGCCAACATTACATCCGGAGAATAGAATATGGATGTAATGTTGGCGATCAATCCCAAGCTTCAGATCAGTCTTCTCTTGACCAATAGTTTTCTTAGTAGCTTCAAAAATGCCTTTTAGTATTTTACAATAGAAGACGTGGATAGAATATTGAATTATTATTTCACGACTGCATATGCTTCAATTAATCCGTAGATTGGGCTTCCTTGGCCTCACGCTCTATCCTCTGCTGTTGGGTTCGCATGTACAGGAACTTAACCGACTCTCTTGAGCGCGCCAGTTCTTGAACCCATGTTGGAAGGCCACGCAGCATACTTCCAATGGCCAAGCGACTAGGAATTATGATCTGCCCGCTGTTCTGGGTGAATACTTGCTTACAGATAGCATCCGACACCTCTTGCACCGTCATGATGGGCTCTCCGTAATATTGTTCATGATCTGTGAGAACCTTGATCATAGGCGTACGAACCCAGTAGGGATGAATGATACTACAGAGAGAGTTAGTTCTAGTTTAATAAAAAGTGCATCCTTCTCATGAGATGATCCAACTTACCTGGTTCGTACTCTTGGCGCATTATAGTAATGGCGCAATTCCTGACGCAAAGACTCGTGAAAGGCCAAGGCACTAGCTTTGGAGCAGGAATAATCTGCAATCTCCACAAGACCAACAAAGCTTGCCATACTAGCGACAGTAATGACATGGCCATGATTTGCGCGAATCATAGCAGGAATAAACTCGCGCACTGTGAGGAAGTGGGATATTGTGTTGACTTCAAAGGTCTGACGAATTTTAGCCTCGGGTTTACTTAAAATCGTTCCCTCATTCCCAACGCCAGCGTTATTGATCAGGACTGTGGGCTCGCCGTGGTCCTTTCGGATCTGCTTGGCGACCTCGGCAATACTCTCAGACGAGGTGATATCGGTGCGGTAAAAGGAGACAGTGGCTGGGAGCTCAAAGGTAGGCTCGACGATGTCCAGAACCATCACGCGTACACCCTTTTGTGCAAGATCTTCCATGACCTGTTTACCGATTCCGGAGCAGCCTCCCGTCAAGAGCACGAGTTCTTTTGAGGAATCCCAACGTTGATTGCATGTCCAGTTGTTGGATGTCCATTGTGAAAGCGAGTTATTGATCGCGCGCAGAGCTCTCAGGCCCAGAAGTGCTCCAGCAGCTTTTTGCGCGATGGGATTCTGCAGTAACTGTTGTGCCGGGGCGGGTAACTGCGCCAGAGCAGTCCGGGAGTATTGCTGGATGAGATCAAGCGCAGCTGACATGGTGAGTATTTGACAAGTGGTTTATTGAAGGCGCAACAGAGAGTGACACTACGGAAGAAAAGCTGTACTACGTGGGCGACGAGAGATATTTTATCATCACACAGAGTCCACTCGGGTGTTGATCAGTCTGGCAAGTTGGGACGAGATGACAAAAATGGAAATAATTACACGGGCCGAGGCCTACTTACAACCAATCAGAGAATTCACCGGGAGCTTAATCAAAATGGGAAACCTATGCGAGTCTACCAATCAGAGTCTGTTCTTTCAGGTAATGTGGGGTCGAAATTGATTCACATGCAATTAATTCCCCGCATATGCATCTTTCAACTCATTAAGATCTATATTCTGTGCAGATTACCCCAGGGACTATGACAATAAGCGATCAGAGATCTTATCCGACCGAGGATCTTCAAACGTAAGGTTGTTCTAACCGGTTCGGTATGATTTCATCTCTTGTGAAATTTGAGTTGCCTAGGATCTACTCTGGAGTTCGGAGTACAGGGCTCGGATAACCATGAGCATAGTCTCATACAACTACTTCAGGTCTCCTAGTCAGACATTTGCCCTCTCTCATCCATGGCTGTTGAGGCTCTCTGCTGCGCAGCCCTGGGGGTTAACAAACATCTGATGATACCGAGGCCGAGGCCCACTTCTCAACCGTTCTAAGCGCCGATCTCTCTTACTGGGGCCACTTCCTCCAAATGGGGAGAAATCTCTCCGGGATTGCGATTTTCAACATTGCAACCTATAATGGCCTCAAGATAGTAGTGCCCACCATATATGGTCATTATCGCTAGCAGTCATGGACGCGGAGTTACAAGGCTTTATGGACCATGGAAATCATTTTTGACTCAATGACGGACTCATCCTCATGCGCGATCCCATCGACTAGAATTATCTCACCTAGCCACTAGTCCACAAGCACTGGTATTGTGATAGACACCAAACCCTATGGTTTTGAGAGGCTCTGCCTAGACAGTTAGCGCATAACTCCCTAAGAGCCTTATCGTTGGGTTGATCCCGTCGGAAGATCCAGCACAAAGCAGAGAAAAGTGCGGTCGCCCGCGTTCAACATCAAGAATGTCCGGGCCATGTATTCTGTGATGGAAGTAAAACAATCCATCTAGCGATGAGGTTGGATATGGAACCTATGAATCCAATACAGGGAATCCAATGCAGGGAGCAAGCTGGCGAGGTGGTCAGATAGAGATGGGAGTTTGGGCGAATTTCTAATGCTTCAGATGTTGAAGGAATCGGTCCTGCTGCCACGAGCTGTGAATTTCGCTTCATGTCAACCTCCGAGAACAAGGCTGCAGAGACATTGCTTAGCATCCTTGAGCTCAACATAGGGAAAATTCTAAATGTTGTCTTCTTGGCGATGGATTTTCTTCTTTTCCAGTTGATCGCTCAACGCTTGAACGCTAAACCAGGCAATAATAAACGATAATGTTCTTGCTGAAACTCATCTTCGAAGAAAGAAAGGGTAGAGTATTGAAATAGGGAGAGGGCTAAAAGAGAGGGGGAGAGAGAAAAAAAAAAAAAAGGATAGCATGTCCTGGTTTCGATCCAGGGTCTGTTTTGAGTTAGTTTATTGTTCGGCAACCATGTGGTAGAGTAGTGAGACTGACCCTCCGGGTTATGAGCCCCTATTAATTTTGTTAGTAATTGTGTGATTTTGACTAAGAAGTCATGTGACATAGGGCGCTCTTCCCCTGAGCTAACATGCTGATTTTGGTGCTGGCTCGCATTTCCAGACACTATATACCGCTTTTACCCGTCGAAGTAGTGCAACAACCACTAGTGTTAATTATCTTTACAATGTGGACTTGAATATTATTTTTATTTCATTATTTCAACGATTACGGATGGCTATAGCGGCCATTTTATCAAAACGTATTTTACTAAGGCATCAGTTCATTTTCATTTGTTTGGCAGAAAGAAAAATAACTGGGAATACCATAGCGTAAAAACACCCAAAGGCTCCTAACTTGAAGCTGCCGCTACCCACCTGGGAATTTGATACTAGGCGGTAGTATAAGTAGGGGGTGTCTGTTTCAAATGTTGACTTTATGTAGGTTTTTCAAGTTCAAGTTGCTCCTGTAGTAACCAGAAATCCTTCAAGTTCCACCCATATTTTCTCTCCCATATTTTCTAATCTAGACCTTGGGAGATGTTATTAATTTCAAGTTGAGGATTTTATCTTCGTGGTAGCAACAGTCCTTAGTGTGGTCATTATGGTTGGTGATATCTTAGGGGTTAGGCAGATATTTTGTGCAGTATTCTGCCCAGGTGTACAGCACTTGAGTGAACGTCCCCAGGACACGTTGGAAGAAGCTGTAGGGAACATAGATTGATGTACGTTCTAATCCTGCAGAGCTCTAACTAGTATACATGTAGTACATGGCGGTCTGCTAGGCAGTCTTAGACTATGCATGAATATGTACCTTGTAAATCTGGTTTTGAGACAATGCCCGCTATAAGCTTCCGTAAATGCTGGAAACAGCAAACTTCAAAAAATAATCCCAAGATTAAAATGACTTCTGACGCTTCAATTGTCTAAAATTCTCAGAATCAGAGTCACTGAACTCATTCCTCCGCTTGGTCTTCACAGCGCGAGGTTGCCGCAGAGGTGCTGTCTTCACAGGTTCAATCCGCTCAATATCAAATCTCATAAACAAAGTACAGTGATGCGAGCAGGTCCAAATGCTCGAGATCCGAGGAGTGCCGCGTGGAAATCCTCCAAGTACAATATATGCCACCACATTTCCGATCTTGGTTCCAATTATCGCCTTGTACTCCGGCGTGTTGTACTTCCACTCAACCAATTTTTCATCCGGCCAAGAGAGTCCGTTCTTTTCAGTGTAAAGCTGGTGCTTGATGAATTTCTTTGTTGGTTTATGAACTACATCACACAAAATGATATGTTTCAAAGTATCAATGGGGTATTTTGCCTCATATGCGGCCTGTGCGATTTGCGAGGATGGTGGTCCAGCCTCCGGCCCAGTACCAGGTCGACGGTACATAGTGTCGATGTACAGGATTCCGGGTGCGATATGTCCTTCCCAGAGTTGTAATTGCAAGTCTTTCTCATCTTGGGCATTTTTCACGTTTGGATCCAGGAGTACTCGGTACGTACGGGCCCATTCGGATGGTTTGGGGAGCATCATGTGTTCTTCAATAGTTTCGTCCAGATCGCCTGTGTCATAGTATATCAATCCTTCGTCGGTATTGAGAAAGCCTTGCTTGATGAGGTCTGCTAGTTTTAGAGTTGATTTCTCTATTGGACATTTCCTGCCCGCAGGTACTCCTTCCAGCCATCTTTGGCGGAGAGTACCGCGCCATTGGAGAGCAGCGAAATTAATCGAATCTTTCATCTTCACAGTCACTGCCATGTGAAATGCTGTTACTCTGAGTGATACTTGGCTTTGTGTTCTTTCTGTGAACAAACTGGGGAACCATGTCCATTTAATACTCTGTGAGGCCCTTGTCTAAGATTATTGTGAATAGTGATGAGCCAAATATGGATCATGGTTCCATGTAGACAATTATAGCTCTTTCAATATTCTCCATTCATTCTCAGGATAGTGAAGACAGTGAAGCAGTATGCTCTCTCGATCCATCTCTGCTTCAAGAAACTCAAGAGAACACAAAGAATGTTGGAAGCCATGGAAGGCCCTCGAGATCTAATCGTCAATCTTTCATTCCTTGAAACACAGCCACTCATTGTTATGCGAATACAAAAATTTATCAAAAAATGACAGGTAATCAGAATAATTCTTGTTCACCAGACTAAAATTGGAAACTCGAGTCTTGATAATTCATCGTCACCGGCTAAGCCCCATGCAAGGCCTCTCTTTTTGTTTGCAAAGACAGACTTGATCGAGGCTGGCATCCCCTTTGTCCAACAGCGGATCAATGGCCTATGACTCAAACTTGAATCAGCGATGTCCATCCGATAAGATTTCCGAGTCCCTACTTACCTGTGAATACTTAGTATTCTGCACCACCAGATTGCTTAAAAAGTGGTCAACCTGTTCACAATTTGCGATTTTATATCCTCTTGCGCCCACACCAGGAGCAAAATCTTCAAACAGTTTGTTGTAATCCCATTCCGGAACATAATCATAATCTGCATCCAAGCCCCGGAAATAGCGCTCCACGGTATATCCTTTAGATCCTTTATTATTCAAGATAAATCTGTAAACAAAGCAGTCGGAAATAGAATCCCGAGTCTAGGTTAACAATGAAGTACAAAATCGGAGTGATCCCGTGAAGGTTCAACACTGAGAATGCTTGAACGGTCAATTGAAGCGAGCTTTCACCTGTGATCAGCACGATACGCTTATACTTCGACCCAAGTTCCTTGGCACTGATTGACCCGCCGACCACAGCACCGGTGGCATACCTAATACTTCCTCACACGGCCTGAGTCCAGTGAGATGCGCCAGGTGGAAGTATTGATAATTCCGAACTGGGAGATTCCCGTTTCAGTCATGGGAGGCCACCTGGTTGGAGAAATCCGGAGAGCCGCTGGGAATGTTAGAAGAGGGTTTTGGATTACTTCAAAAGCCACATACATTCCAGGGCCAGTCTTGAGTGATTTCGCTGCCATTGCCCTGCGGTAGTGGCGCCGCAGGGACCAGTACTTGGGAGCAAGACTGGAGAGAAGCGGTGCTCTCGATGGCTTCGGTCAACTTGGGTAGGACCTGCTCTGGTTAGTCAATCCTGAATCAAGAACTGAGACCCGTTTACATAGCTTATTCCAACATCGTAGACTTCTTCGCCGATCTATCATATGTTAGAATACTATGCTCGGCAGAAATATTCGATATGTTTACCTTGGTGAAAAATCGCTGGAAGTTGATAATAATAGATATGACATTCTCAGTGAACCCGCCACTGCTATTCTCATTAGCTCGAAATTAGATAACAGGGAGGTCTGCTCTTACGTGTTGAAATCACTTCGCTCATTACATCCCAACCATAAGACGTAGTAGTAGTCGGATGTCTCCACCATCTCGATTACGTTCGCGTGAGATCCAACGCCTACATACTAGAGACCTGCAAAGTAAGACGAGTCCTCTCCGACGATTCCTTCACCCAGAATTGTGATCAAGTTTGGTACTTTGATCGTATTCACTAGAGGCTGGATGGATGGTTCCCAGTAGTGTCTCGTTGCGCCTTCATCCACGATGAGAATTGGGCTTTGAGAGGAAAATGGCTTCTGTATGGTATTTCTAACTGGCTCATATACCGCATCTGGGTCAATTTTAGGCAACGTCTGACTGAGTTCGTTCTCGAGGACAGTGACCGGAACTTTGGTATAGCTATATCCGCGATTCCGATAGATCTTCTCCGACAATAATTTCAGACATGGAACCAAGTGATAAGTTCAGATCAATAGATTCTTCTGATATACTGAACTCCAAAAAAGAAACAATCCTTCATAGAGATTGAGCTCTTTTAAAGCCTACTATTCATAAGATACATGTCCCATGCAAATCGCATCCATCACACATACATCTGTAGCGGTAAGACTCATTACAGGGGATTCTCCGAGACCCTGGACCCCATTCAGATGTCTATATTCTATCAAAAATCAGATGAATACAAGAATTCCACACATGCGCATGCATATAAGCAGTTTGCCTCGACGAATGAGCAGCTCTGGATCTATGCCTCTGCATTAGATCGTCGGCTAACAGCATAAAATTCACACTATGTACGCATCGCTTATCATCCATCGCACCTTACAAGCTGTCATTCTGTCCTTTTTTGCCGATGAAAGCTTGTATGGAATTAGGTATGTAGTTGGCCTGGTGCAGACTGCTCCTACAGGGAGAAAGCCTGTTTTTCCCAAGCTAGTCCAACAGCAGCCAGGCTAGACCCTTCATACGAGAACAGACTGACCCGAAAGCAAAGCTGGGAGTTCAGACAAATCTCTCAAGTCCGTTCAGAGTAGGCCTGATCCAAGACTCTTGAGTATCATGATATCACCATCTGCGCAAATGAAGATACGAACACGATTGAATGTGTTCGATTTGTGCACGTGTAGGCCGTTGATTCCTTTCACGTAATGCTATGTCGTAGCGAATGTTTCTATTCTTGGTACCGAAGTAAAAACCTGGTTTATACGGGGAAGAGACTCTGAACCAAGATGCAGCGTCGTATCCATTATCCGTCTACGGGTCAACAAGAGCGGGAAGAACTTCGAAGAAAAAAAAGATAGAAACTTAGCTTGACACTTCTCACTAAGAATAGAATGACCAACACTGTCACACTGTCACACTGTCACAACTATTAGCAAGAGAACTCCAGTTCTCTCGGTAAAGCGGGCCGTGCCATCTGCCTCAGGCCCACATTCCGCATACATACCAGTCAACATTCCTCTCCCAGTCACCACTTGCTATGAAATGGCTTCCTCTAGACTGTTCTTTTATCTAAAATCCTGTTTACTGGGGGCTGGGCATTTCGTGAGAATGTTTTTCCTTCTTCTCGCCTCCTCGAATCCTATGTCCGGACTCAATCGTTGCCACCATTGGTAGTCTAGATGGTACTCATGTATGAGAGGCTAGGCGCGACAACATGCTGATCGCTACTAAATTTTTCAATTATAGAAATTTCCACTCTTGGACGCCTGACAGCCGTTAGTAGAACCTTCGAAAGCGTGTCAACGCAATGTTTGACAGTAAGGTCAGCACCTTATACAATACATTTTCTACTATACCTAATTACTAGTAGTACTCACTGATAACTATTCTCCTCAGTCAATAAACATATGTTCATTTAGAGTAAATAGTATTTCTCCCTCATTCATCTCAATAGTATACAGTAGTCCATATCCGGCCATGTGGGGCGAGTATATTCGACGGAAACGGCATCAAGATGAAAACTTCCGATTGCAGTAACCGTAGTGATCCGTAAACGGTGTTCATAGTAACCATAGAACCTATATCAGCATCATTGGACCCGGGGTAAATAGTCTGATTCAAGCAGAAATCTCTGATATCCAATTCATCTCTTTAAAAGCAGACGAACACTGTCGATCACCTCCAAATTTTGAATTTTTCAATCCAATATCATATCACAAACCAATCACATCCTACTATCTTATCCAAAATGCATTTCGCCAGCATCACCACTCTCGTCACCCTCCTCGCCTCTACCGGCCTCGCTGCTCCAGCTATCGAGACCCGCAGAGAACACACTGCTAGAATCCAACTAGCCAATGATAACTCCGGCGCCAACGCCAATGTTGTTATTCCCGTCGATGGAGTAAAGCGCTCTGTCCAGGAACTCTGGGGCAACACTGCTGTCGCAAAGAACGGCCTCGTTTTTGCATCTAGCGCCCAGCTCACTGCTTTTGAGCAAACCACTGTCTGCACCATTACCGAGGACCCAAAGATCGACGTCACCCTCACTGCTGAGAAGACCTGGGTCTCATTTGGAGGTGTTACTGACCTGTGCGCCGCATGGGTTGTCTGCGAATGTGAGGGTATGTAACATACTTGAATATGTTCACTGGGGAGGAAAATTATAATCATAATACTATATAATGTTTTGAGATGTTAATTGGGAAATGCATGTTGATCTGGACTATGTATGAGTTAATTGAATTGATAGTATCTGTATTTAACCTTGGAACTACATGATCGAGAATATTTGAATCAAAAATACTATATTTTACATCACACAATATTATTCCAATCTATCTCCACTTAATCCGAGTTCAACATGCCCGACCTTCAAGTTATTGGCGTCTATTTGTGGGGTTGGTTGTGGGGACACGCATCCAACGGCGCCGCATTCCGAAATCAGTCAAATGACCACAGGCAACTGATTCAAATTTTCAGTGCACATTCTAGTCCCAAAGAGACTCGGATGCATATCTCGATTTATGCAACTCTATTCAAGTTGTCTGCTCTCATCGCCGATATCTAGCTAATCCAGCACCGCTCCGAGCTCCACATTCACGACCAGACATTTCATATTCCTCTATTTGACTGACGATATCAAAATTTTCATCTACAATCACATAGCTACGTGTATGCCAATTATTAAAAAATCATTAATTTGAAAAGGTAATGCGTTATCACCTCGAGGCTGAGGGGGGCTCAGTTTGAGGATGATGCTCTTCATCGGGATCATGATGGACTCGGACTCTCGTGCCATGCACCTAAGTGCTGTTGTATGGGGTTAAAAAATCGTAGAGACTGCACATGTGCACATGTGGCGGCCTACTGTGCAGCACTTGAGCGACTACTAGTATAATATCTGTGAGACTTTGGCTTTCTTTCGATCATAGATCAAATAAATATTCAATTTCAATTAACTCAATTAAAGTCCACGGGTATAACATGATAAAATTCAGTACTATATAGTAGTATAAAAAATGCACTAATACTAGTGCCAGCGAGATCCGCGCCATTGCAAGAGCATCGTCGGGATGATGCTAACGCCAACCATTAATGCAACGGCAATACCAGCTCCACCAGCCCATCCAACATTGGTGAACATGTTGGGGAACCTATGATATATGTTAGTATGCGCTGAGACCGTGACCGAAAGAAAGAATATTGACTTACCAGAAAGGTCCGATGAAACCCCAAATTTGACGGACGAATGTAATGAAGCATCCAACACTAGCAGCATCGGCTCTGTATTTATCCACAGCGTAGGTGATGTTGATGGTAGTAACGATCTGGTTACCACCAGCAGCGATAGCAGCTCCAACAATGGGAGTGATGTTCCACTTATCACCAGCGTGACTCATCTGCACAGCAAAGACAACTACACCACAGATAGTGAGAAGATGTCCAATGTAGCTGAGCCACAGACGGTACTCAGGTTCGGGACGCTCGCCCTTGGACTTCTGGCGCATCAACATCCAGCGATCAGATATCAGACCTCCAATCTGCTCACCGATCACCGAACCGAGAATAATACCCAAGAACTGGAGACCAACCTCTTGGGTGTTGAAGCCGAACTGCGCTGGGAAGATTTGAGGGATCTCAATGGTAAGCATGATGCTACCCCAGAGGAAGATCATAGCGTAAGCAGCAGCAGGGATCATGACACAGGGCTTAGTGACATAAGTCAGAGGGTGAATGAAATCATAGAAGCGCAGGGGAGTCGGGTCGATACGGCGGAAGCTAAACAGGCCTTCCTTCTGTGTGTTGGTGACCTGCTTGGGAACGCCCTCCTCGCGGACATAGAGAGTCTCAGATCCAACGAGGAAGTAGAGGAAGAACTGCGCGGCATTCACAATAGCAAGAACCCAGTAGATCCAGCGGTACGAGATACGCAGGGCGAGGAAACCGAACAGGAATGGAGAGAGTGGCACACCAATGGTGACCATCAAGGTCCAGATACCCATGCGGCGTGCACGATCACGCTTGAAGTACATCTCAGCGACGACAGCACTTCCAATGGCAGCAGCCGGGCTGATGAAGAAGGAAGTGATAGCTCGGCACAGACCCATAGTTCCGTATGAGTGACTCTCAGCACAGCCAATATTTCCGACCATGGCGCAAATCAACGAGATGAGGAAGATAGGACGACGACCGAAACGATTGCTCAAGGGGCGCCAGAACAAGGGCGCACCACCAAGGACAGCAATGAACAGGGAGACCAAGTAACTGGTACGCTGCATGCTAACATCCAAATCGGCGGCGATATTGGTAAAGGCGGATTGAATCGAAGAGGCAGTACTAAGAGCCATCATAGCGTGGAACACCACGAGACCCAAATTGAGGTTCTTCTTCCATTGGGGCCAATTGTAGGGATCGGCATCGTTCATATCCGGGATAGGGTCGAGGTCGAGTGTACCATGACGCGCGAGAAGATATTGGCGATGTTCTTCCGAGAGATGAGCGACTCGGTCCTCAACGTAAAAATCCTCCTGCTTGCCAGCTTCAATGGCACCGGGGGCTACGCCCTCGACGTGTGAGGAGTCTTCAGGCTGACCCATTGTGAAATAGAAAAGAAATTATTAGGGAAAAGAGAAAAGGGGAAGAAAAGAAAATATAGAGAAGAGAACAAAATCAGAGAACAGCCGCAGGGACTAAACTGGAGGTAGAAATAATTCTGGCAAGCAAGTACTTATAGGAGTTAACCCCTGCACGTCCCAACTTTTGTTTGTGTACCCCATTTCTCCGGAGGCGGGGATGGAGAATGAACAAGCAGTCACGGGGCTCCACCCCCAGACATAACATGTGGATCTCAAAAGATCCAGAATCAACAGAATCAACAGAATTAAACTAATTTGACATGAATCGACCAGGGTTGAAGGCAACGCGCACGGCGAAAAATGAAGCATCTAGGATCTGATTGGATAGGCGGATATGAATTCTCCCATTTTGTGGGAAGTGTGGGGTGTGGAGAAGCTGACTCATCACTTTTAACCAATCACATTCCAGCCCAGACAAATAGATACGGGGTATTAATGACTCCACGTTGGGGAATCCGGGGTTATCCCCAGAAAATGAGATGAGATGAATGAATTATCGCATTAAGTGGCTTTCTGTAGCTCCATTTTCCTTTCGTCCATACCTATTATCATGATTTATGGGGAAAGTCATGACAACTTGATATTCAGATACATGTACTTTGTTCCATAACAAGAAATGTGGCTTGGGACTCCACTTTGCACATGGCTTCCCACTGTTGCCCCCTCGCTTATTTTACACATTATACTCCGTACATTGAGCTAGGTTTACCTGACTTCTCAGGATGGAGCTCCGTTGGGCCGTGTGGGGACCTAACTGTGTTGGTTCCGACACAGATTAATTCACCATGATGGCGAATTAGGATCGTTTGGTTCAGCCAGTCTAATTTTCTCGTTTCGGATTCCCCGGTGAACACTTTGTGGGGATGCTCGCGATTAATCTATTCAGTATGAAGGAGCAGGACAAGCTGGAGTTCCCTTGGCACACGGGAAGAAATCCTGTTCGGAGTTAACTCAGCTGGACTAGGTGTGCGAGACCGATTTCTAAGCAGTCAGACGCATATGAAACATTTTAGCGGAAGATTTCCTTATTATGCACCAAGTTTATTCTTATCTAGGCTGTTTGTGGGGGCGACCCCTTTCCTAAGAACTTGTACAATTGACCCCGATGCTCCCCTCAATGTTATCGCAAATAATTTCCGACCCACCGTCTGGGCTGGTCAGATTAATGCGCGATAGATTAATATAGGAGCAGACTGCGTTAGGCGAACATGTCAGGTCCACAACGACTTCCCCCTCTTTGCCTGACGATGTACCCCAGATGTTATCGAAGATGACATTCGTGATGTTCACGTGCGATGGGTATTCCGCACACTCGGTCGAGTTGATATCGAAATAGCACTGATCCAACACGATCGGGCTATCGGTATTTTGAATCTCAACATTGCGATAGGTGATGTTTGTCATGCGACCATATCCAACATCAGGCCCAGCCCAAGCTTTCAATCGCGCTCCATTCTAGACACTTTGTTACTAACTGATTTGAATCATAGTATCGGATATGCACTCACTTGGCCATTCAATAGAGTCAATTTCTCCATGTACGCGTTCTCAATGAAGTCGTATTCTCCCGAATATTCTCCGATGGAGCCCATTGATACTCCGTGTGAGTTGTTACACCACAGATTCTGCACGAAGATGTTACTCGTGTTTGACTTCGGGCTAAAACAGTCGTCGCCGTTATCCACGCGAACATTGGTGACTCGGAAGTTGTCCACAATGAGGGAATCAAACCCGTCCGTGTTGGCCGCGTCAACCTGGCACTGTTAGTGAAAGGCATGCCGATTGTTGTTAGCTTTCACTCACCGATGCATTGGTCGAGTAGGCGTGGATATACACATCGTCAAATGAGACATCGTCAGTGCGAATCAAGAAGTTGGTCCAGCAGGGACTATTCAACTGCGTGATTCCTTCCACGCTGACTCTTGTCGCATTGTCTGTGACAAAAAGAATCGGTCGGTAGAAGGTATTATCTGGATCTAGGATCTGACTCCCAGAGAATTCGTCATACCTGTTACCGATTAGTATTATTTATGAGCTTTATCTTGTTCATACGAACCATTTTTGACCATTGCCATTCATAGTTCCTTTTCCAAAAATCTTGATATCCTCTCCTCCCCATATCCAAAAGGTGATGGACTTCTGGAACGAATAGTAGAAGTTGTTTGCTTGCCAGTAAGTAATATTGTTTGTGAACTGCAGCCAGTCAATATCTAACCAGATAGATCTTATTCTAGTAACTCACTTTGATCTCTCCTTCTAGCTGAACTTCGATATCATTGAGGAAGGTCAGATCCAGCTTTTTACCAATCACATAAGTCTTATCCTTCTCAAGGAGAAGTCGGCCTCCGTAATTAGCCTGCTGAATTCCCCAGAGGAAATCATCCGAGACATCATCGCTGTCGCTTCTCGAGGGACGAATAGTGACCGTACGGCGATCGGGATACTTCTGATGGTAAGCCCCAATGGCTTTCAATTCATTCTTGTCATTAACAGGGATAATTCGTCCACCTGGGATGTTGTGAGGTGAAGCAAGACTGATGGCGACACTAGCCAGAAGCACAAGCGCTGAGAACTTCATCTTGATGCGATTGAATCACTGGGCTCTGGATTCACTCAATTGACTCAGCTGCTGCATTATTGCAGTTTTATATCAATCATTCATATCCGCTTGGCATAATCAGACCATCATATCCCCCGGAACCTAATTGCGAATCCGATACAGGTGGGGTTATCAGATTTATCCGCCTGTAGAAAGTCTCAATATCATCATCGCTGCTTGGTGATGATCGGCAGAGAGGCAGCTGCCAAGGTAAGAAAGCATACTGCTCATCAACAGTCATTCTGAATGGCGATTCTCCGCATTTTACCAAGACAAAAACGCGGGGGAGTGGAGAAGGGTTTTCTATTAAATTTTCATATAGAAGCTCAAGACTGAGAACGGATGATATTTCACCGTTTTTACTTGTCATTTCTCCACCAATCATGACTGCCAAGGAAGTACAGGGTCTAGAGATAATAACTATCATGATACTAGTAGTCTTTCTCCATGTCTAAATGCGGGGTTTAACTTGAAGTCCCCAGAAATTACGTGTATTAAATTTTGATCCTATCGATTCCATACAAAGTCAACTGGTTGCTGTACACTGACACTACTAGCACAGACATCCGTGGATGAACACCAGAATATCGCCCTCTGCCACTGGCATGCTCGAGACTTCAAACGTTGGCTTGACCTGTATCTATACTCCAGATGATACATCATTATAATGCGAATCTTATCGCATTCATAATGTCATTCTCATTCAGATTGATTACAGCATCTAGCTGCCAAGACCAACCCAGTAGCACAGCAAATATGACTACTCCACCAAGCCGCTGAACGAAGATAACTCCAAGACTGAGTCTGAATATGTGAATAGCAAAGGCTGAATGCCACGCGCGAAACAGTGTACCATATACCGATTGTGTTAACAGTCTCTGCTGGGACTCCGGCAAAGCTTGCACTTAAGACTAGTATGATGTGGTCAGCATGAACTTAACATGAAGTACCAACTTGAAAGATCCAACATACTAGAAGCCACAAAAAGACTGAAGCCCTCGATTGTATTAGCTTGCGCAGCCTCCTCGCGCTTCAGCTTGTCGAGTACTCGCTGCTCCAGCCTGCCAGTCCTAACAGCGGCTTCGCCAAGAGTCCTGAGATCCTCACGAGGAGAGACATTGTTATCAACGCCATAATAAATCTTAGCGCCCCGTGGACTCATAAAGATATATGCCAAAGCCCAGTTCACCAGCAAGTAAGTGGCTACATAGTTAGGTGTCTGTACTCCAGGTATAGAGCTCAACCCCAAGGACGAACTGGAAATGGTCAGCGATGAGGACTATCTTCACGAAGGATAGAGATCGCATACAACATTGCAAGCTTCCAAGCGTCGAATTTCCCTTGTATGGACAGAAATACTTAGGGCTCTCCATGGCACTTTCTATTGTATGTAGAGATCACCATGTTCAGCATGTGGGCCCGGGAACGAGAGCGAGAGCGACAAATGAGGTCATTTTGCCGATCAATGTTGCACAAAGCACCTTTCTGTGCTTGTTATCACCAACTTTAAGCACTCGATCGCCAAATTTTGAATCTGTTGCCAAATCGGTCATTCTTTGACTGCGAGTATGGAGCTCTTTGTACCAAAGTCACCAATAAGCAGAATCAAATTGAAATGAGTTTTTCACAAACTTTCTTTGTCCCTGCAGAACTTTAAGCTCCGATCGAGTGCATAAACACGTTCAAGAGACCGCACGGAGCCTATCATGATTGGGTTCCAGCAACATGGGAGGTGAATTTGGCTTGAAGCGACGAGCTGAACGTGTGATTGCATTCAAAATGCCACATTCGGTCACCTTGACTAGACAACTTCCCTGACAACAACTTGTTCTCCCCGAGTCGAGGATTTTGTTGAGCATCTTTCAAGTGATTGTGCATAGTTGCCTTGTCCGTTTGATCGTAGCATCATGGTGTCAGGCTCATCCTGTCCGTGAATCACCTCGGCAACTTCATCCGTGTGATCGGAGATGCGTGAAAACCGGTTATTGAGGATGATTGAGTGACCTGGTCGGTCTACCACACTATTGTTGGGCACCGGTTCGTTTTTAGAAAGAAGTATCACTTCCACTGGATGATCGCGAATGACCGGCACCCGCAGCCATTTATAGATGCAGTTCAGAACTGGAATAGAGAGTCCGTGTATCACAATCGAGAAAAAGACCAACCAATAGACAACTGAAGTGGTGTCAGCAATAGTTCTGCTCTAGGAAACAAAGCTTAGCTTACCCGGGATCATTGTCGCTGTAAGATGATTAATCTCAGAGTCACTTTTTCCAGGGTCAGGAAGAAGTCTTCGAGAATATTCAACGTATGATATCGCACCGACGCCTGGAAATATTAGAGATGCAAGTAAATGGTCGAGGTGCTACTTACCAATTGGAGCAAAGTATCCCATGAATAGAGCCTCTTTCCAGGAACTGCAGATCTTGGGTATGAAGTGGTATCCTAGCATAATTGCAGGGATACGTCGAAACAATAGTAGTAATACACCCAGGGTGATCAACCGTGCAGGAGTGATTCCTGTTTCATGCGGCATATACATTTGATCCCAAGGCATACTGATCCCAATGAAAATGAAGGTTCCGAAGTTTAACACCATCTCAATTGTGGAATTGAAAGAATCATGTCGAGCCTCGGCTTCAGAATGGTAAAGACCATCCCAGTTCAATGCGCATCCGGCAATAAAGCAGGCAAGAGTCTCGTCGGATCCAAAACAGCCACAGGTTCCCACAATGAACAGCTAGCGGAAGTCAGTATCGAGTAATCTGCTCACAGTATGCAAACGAATTCTCGCCACATGGATCTACATACCCCAATGGCCAAAGGAAAAACCAGGAAACTCTCTTTATCAATCCAGCGGTTCTTCGAGGCCAGGTTCAAGAACTTGCGACCCACGAATCCCACCAGCAATCCATATCCCGACCCTAAGACAATCATGTATAGGATTCCCTCCACAATCCAATGCACAAGTGCCCGACCAACATCGCCACCAAAGCGACCGGTATCTGTCTCTCCAATCCAATCACGTTTCACGACCACATTATCGGTATTTGGAGCATCGTCATAGCGTAGTATAGAGACTGAAAGAAGCAAGAATGGAAACCCAAACCCATCATTGCCTCCTGCCTCTGCGGAAATGAATTCTCGGAGATGTCGTCGAACGTAGTTATCAGCAAAGGGACCTTTTGCAATAGCTTGCGAAAGAACTGGATCAATGCAAATAACGCAGGATCCGATTATTAAAGAAGTAAGCTGTCACCAGAATACTGTTAGTATCAAAAAAAGGCCCATGTCGGTAAAGTCACGCACAAATGTCAGATTCGGTATCATAAGCATGATGCATCCTGAAGTAGCCAGCCAGGCTATTGTCATAAGAGGAAGAAGACAGATCGTCAACTCTCTTAATCGCGATCTCAGGTATCTCTTCGGCAGCTCATAGCCAACTTTCACCATTTGTATCCCAATCACTAGTCGGGTCAGAGCCTAATTCCGTTAGTATTGACCTGTTGACAGGTAAGATATCACTCACATATGCGATTTCCCCATCTTCATCATCATTGGACCATTTTCGCGCATCAACCAAGCCTGAAACGAATGGTCCGAGAATAGTACCGGCCACAAACGAGGGAACTGTCAAATATTAGACACCTCCTTCATATCAAAGATTGAGGAATTGACGTACGAGCTTCACCAATGTACCATTTTTGTTTTATCTTCAGCGAGATGAGTCCAAAAAGAAGCAGGTATATTCCTAGTGACTGTTAGATGTCGAAACTAACATGAGTGTAGGTACTTACCTGCAAATGTCAGAGTAATATTAAAATTGCTAATATCAAGGATCGGATGAAGCATCCTGCTCAGTATGTCAAAACTATCAAGAGACTCATATATTATCGGATGTCAACTCTGTTGATTGTCTTACTCGGCTAGGTTCAAGGGGATGGGACCAAGCTTCCTATCAACATGCCCGACAAGATTACAGACTGATCGGATCAATCTGAGCCGATACAGAATGTGATGTATTGTAAGCATCGTGCTCATGAAGGAATGCGCCCTTCATTAGAACCAGGAGTTGATGAGGTATCACAGTGTTCACTATCCACCTGCATCCCTAGCTCTGAGCCACATACAATATCATAGATAACAGTATGCACGATGTACGCACGTCATCCATATCAACGGGGTTGTCTCAAATTCAAGTTTCCCATCATTTGAGCCGTTACACATCAAACTCATGTACGGTTATACAGTTCTTAAATCAACATACTGATGCCAATGACGCGCTGAGACGATATCTTGACAGGGTATCCGATCGGATTGAGATCCCCTTGAACATGATGTTAAACAGTGACGCGTCAGTCCAATTGAAACACCCTGATAACAACACAATAATCCCCAATCTAACCAGCCACAGTGGGTCTAATATGCTTTAAGGGTCAACTGCATCAAAGCTTAGCCAATGGGTCCCTTATCCTTGCGCAAAGGGGCAGGGGCAATGAGTCCAAGATTAGAAGCATGCTCGTATAGGATCGACCGTTCATGCCGCTTATCGGAGTCCACGCGCAACAGTATCAACAATGCAGGACAAAACAAGGGGTGAATGAAATGTAATGATTCATCAAAAAGATATCAGAGGGCTCGATATCGCTTGGCAAAGACTACAATGTTTCTAGAAAAGCTTGGCTTGGTGACTACATGCATCTATTTCAATTTGCTGTTCCTGGATCATAGAATCAGTCCCTTCAAAATTGACATATTCAGGCTTCTACCAGATGCGAGTTCCGTGATCATTCTTCATAGGGATCCAACTTGAAGGAAGTATTCATATTCTATGCGCCATTTTCGCTTAAGTCACGTCAAAGGAACTATCATCATCATTCTCAAGTTGATGTCACTCCAATCTGAAATTCTTTACCACATTCTAGTCCAACATGACACTGGTTATTGCATTTCCGATTGCCTTGAATAATGTCAGCAAAATCCAGATGGGACTTTCTAATACCATATATGTGGTAAGCCTCAAAGTGTAGATGAAAATAAAGCTTGGTATCAGGTGCTATTCCCTCGATCTTCCCATCACTTCAGCTAAGTGCCTAGAGTATTCCAATGTCATACGCAACAAGAATTCGACCAAAAAGCAGAAAACTTCATGTTGCACTAAACAGCCTGGGTTTTAAGCACCCGTGCTGTCACCAAAGGACTTCCTTCAATACTGGAAAAATCATGAGCATCCAGGCAAGCCTGTCGCGAGGCCAAAAAGGACGGTCGCACGCGCGACCAAATATCATTCTCATATTTCGGCAACGAAGTCATTAATGATTCAAGATTGAATGCGCTATCCCATGAATCGGATTAGTATCTGTGAATGCTTTGCAAGTGAATGGGGCTTACTTCGGGTTTGTCATATCAACTCGAGTGATCAAATCCAAGACATCCACAATAGCATTGTTCGCTCCTTCGCCACGGACTATATTCAGTTAGTTGCTTCCCTTTATACTTGAAACTGGAACGGTTCCATACACATCGTCATAGTATGCAATGAATCGCCGCATCCTATTGCACGTGGATGCGCACTATTCTTTTCCAGCCGGAACATCCAATCTTCAATCCGAATTGAACGTGCCTCAGTATTTGATGGAAGTTTCTGCACTAATGAGCGAAAAGGCTCTGCCCAGTTATCAGTTAGTCGCTTCATGAGTTCGACCCGATCCTCGTTACTGGTCGGCAGGGCAATTCCTTTGCTGTCGGCCCATGAGACAATGATTTGGCAGTGATAGCGGTCCTTATTGCTGTCTTTGAAGTTGCCGGGTGTATCCAAAAAGCTGAAGAAGAGGAACACATCGGTATCCGGATGAGACCCTTGGAAGATGTAAGGATCAATCGCTTCTGCGCCGCCCATCTCCTCCGCCGTGTAGAATGCAGATGCGCCGAGAAGCTGCACAGGGAGTGAATTCATCTCGCTCTCGGGGTAGAGAATTTGTCGAATACGAGATCGCGCACCATCGCAGGCGACGAGTAGTTTCCCATTATAAGATGACCCATCCTCGAAGTGCGCTGTGATAAATTCATCAGTTGACTCGATATCTCGAAGAGTTTTATCCCACTGTGATCTGATCAGCAAAATTTCAACATAATTACCAGATCATCAGAGAAGATCATACCTGGACATTCATTCCAGAAGTCAATAACTCGCGCAGTCGCCCCCTATTCACGCGAATGCGCTCTTCCGCCGGGACGTTGTAAAGAGCCTTGCCCGATTTTAAATCAAAAAATTGAAAACGCCCCATGTCGCCTCGGCTTGCCGCATCCTTATTAACGAAGGTATCAGAGAAGCGGGATCTGACATGTTCAGGAAGTAATTTTCTCAACGCTGGCAACGCCCAGTGAAGCGTTAAGCCCCATCCTCCACTGCGAGCATTTAATGCAGAGTCTTGATCGAAGATCCGAAAGCGAACTCCTTGGGATTGGAGGTATTGAGCCAGGATTAGGCCGCTGATTCCTGCCCCAATGATCAGAACCGGGGGATCCGACATGACGTGTGGTCAGTGTGGCGTATTGCTTGACAATAGTCGAGAAGGCTGAAAGCTGGAAGATCGGCCCAGGGTTGTTTTTAGAGTAAGTATTTTTGGTGCAAGTGATTTGATTTCAAATAATGTTTGCTAGCATCTGGTGCTATTTCTCGTCTGATTTGTGTGTGATAGATCCAAATCTCAGGCTCCTATCGCATCCCTTGTTCTGTAGTAGGCCGGATTTGGACATCAGTGGCTACAGAGCCATTTTAGTTCCAAGGTTCATCCAAATAGGAATATACACGCGGGATACGCGAAGAAAATAACAATCATCAGCTAGATCTACGCTAAAAATTCACTATGGAGTTGACTAGGACTGATTTGAGTCTTAATTCGGTATCTCTTTGTTGTCATGGTAGACTCGCCGGTCTCCGACTAGGCCTGAGCGTCTAAGATCGGCGCTTCATTTTCGAGCTTGAATTTGGGGGCCACTAGGGGGGGGCCTAACCAGGTCATCACTGGCAGGATTTGCACTAACGAGTTAATAGGGATCTTCCGGCTCCACATCAATCTGGTCACCGGGATGCTCCGCAATTAACTTCAACCAGAGTGACAAGCGATCGGTTACCCGCAGTAGAATTCTGTAGTGTGGTCTACCCCTGGTTTAGCGCAATGCATCGGGAATTGACTTGATCCCGACTCAACATTGAATGCATTAAATTTTCCAGAGTACAGTACAGGTAATTATCACCAAATCCCATATTGCAATTGCCACGAGCTATTTTCCATCTCGCTCTCTGTTCGAGTCTAGAGATACCCGATACTCCACAGTCATCTCGATACCACCATGACATGGTTCCCGACTGGAAAGAATTAACTCTTCGCTCGGTGTCTGTTTGAATTGTGAGGGTCCTGATGCATTCGATTGTAGTTGTGAACGCTGATCTTTGGACCAATTATTCTTCAGCACGTAACCTCTCGCGCTTTCATCATAGTACTTGCGACCGCTTGTTGAGCGGAAGTCTCGCACAAAGCGCTTGAATAGAGGCGCCAAGTATGGAATACAAGTAACAATGTTCTGGGATTGTCAGCTTCTATATTTTCAAAGTTATATGGTATGCCTACCCCGACATTGAATTCAATCACACCCCATAGCACCAACAATGTACTATCTCCATCTCCCCATGCAATTCTGTGGATCTGAGTCAGGCGGAGGATCGAACACGCTGTAGTGAACAGACCCAGCATGAACAGACATACGACACCTGCTTTCTGAGCCGGTTTGATATTCAGCTGGAGTAAGAGCGGAATCGGTAGGACAAGGATGATAACGTCACAAAATACGGTAAACCCTGCCAGTGTATAGAAGGTTGTGCCGGTAGGGAGGCAAGTACCATGGATAGACGGATTCCATGCTCGTTGAACCTATGAGTAGTCGTCTGGTCAGCAGTGCGAAATAACAGGTTCATGATGAAACCTACCGGCGTGCAGTTGAAGATCAACGCCAAGGTTCCTGCAATATGTCCCAAAGTTGATAGCAGGATCACACCCCAAATTACCTTTCTGTAACTTGTTTTTGACGTCCTAGAGAGTAATCGAAGATAGCTCAAGCAGAGGGAGGCCTTAAAAGTAGCGATACCCAATTGATAAAATGGCCTTCCTGCATAGTTGAGCTAGAAAGCGTGAGACAAGTCATATCATTCTGCGTACTAAGAACTCACCTTTGTATAAGTTGATAAGTCAGCTTCAGGGCGCAGTTTCAACGGTAATCCCAATCCATATCGACTTTCTAGATAGAAATCCCAGTTAGTGTAATGTTCTGCCAACTTGAAGGGACGAGCTCACTCACGCGCTATACATAAAGCACTGTATACAACACTGAATACCAATCCTACGACCATTATATAGTCGGACGGTGCCAAAGTCGCTCGTATGACCAGTCTCAGACTGACAATTATCACCATCAAAACAGTGAGAATTATACATACTGGTAGAATAAGCCGATACTCGGATGCGGCATCTACCTCGGGCGTGGCATTATACACCCATCCCATCGTCGGAATGGCAAATGGTGTCAAGCAAGTAAGAAGCCAAAAGGAATTCCAGGTATTCATAAATAGAGCAGAATCCACGTGGAACCTATTAGCATGGCTTCTGCGTGATTTATTTGACTTTTCCCTTTCTCCAAGTTAAGACTACCGTCGCCGGGTTTAGGGATCATCCCTTGCGCAGACTTCTATCCGGACCAGACTCGGTGGGACCATGTAGTAATTCGCATCGGAGGTTCCCGTGACATGTCCGATGCGAGAAATAATTGACTTTTTTCTGATCGAATTTTCTATAAGCGAAATGAGCGAAATGAGCAAACTAATGGCTCCGATCCCTAACTTTATACAGTCATGAACCAACCATAACCTGTTTCCATCGCATAATGAAAGGATTAATAATGATAAAACTAGCGGGGGATGAAGTGAACTCAAATTTTAAAGCGTTATTTGTCCTCCCTTGTCATGTAACCAGACACTCTTGATTTGAAAATCTTGTCCTACACGGTGGTTGTCTTCCCCGGGCCTCGTTCCACGCGTTCGACCGTTGTTCCCCTGTACATATTTCTCCGTCTTGTGCCGTTTTTCTCTCTTTTTTGCTTTTTTTTCTGTGTCTCTTTCTCTATTTTAACACTGCTAATCGTGTCTATTTCTTTATTTATTTTCTCTTTGTCTCACAGCAAAGTGCTTAATATGGCCGAAAAGACTCGGATACCCGAATCGGCACAACCGGATGATGCCGTGGGATATTTGGCCCATGCAGAGACAAACATTGAGATCAATGTAAATCTGAAAGCCTTACGGAGGAGGATTGACTATCATCTATTACCATTTATGTTCTGCTGTTATCTTCTGCAGTTTCTGGATAAAGTTATGCTCAATGCAAGTGACTGCGCTGAAAACATATGACGACAACTGATGCTAATTTTCATCACAGTATGCCGCCGTCATGGGATTGAAAAGGGATCTTAGTCTCACAGGCAACGAGTTTTCCAACACGGCCACCTGGTTTTTCATTACCTACTTGATCGCCGAGGTACCTAATGGTAGGTTCGGATCCAGGCAAACCACCTATCCCTTGCTCACATTCTTTCATCGACGATCATCCCCATTCTGACAAAAGTGGATACAGTGTATTTTTTACAAAAAGTTCCAGCAGCAAAGTGGTTGGGTGTGAATGTCTTCCTATGGGGTGTTGCTGCTGCTGCTTCAGCTGGTAGCCAGAATTATGGGGGTCTGTTGGTGTCGCGAATCTTTCTCGGGGGGGTTTGAGGCAACGATTGGTCCATCGTTGATGCTCCTCGTTAGTCAGTTCTATACCCGCAGTGAACAAGCCCCTCGCTTTATGTTCTGGTATACAGGGTTGGGTGTAGCTCAGATCCTTGGTGGTATCATCTCCTATGGGTTCCAACATGTCCAGAATACGAGCATAGATGGCTGGCGCATCATGTTCCTGGTGATGGGCCTGGTCACTATGCTTGTAGGTGTATTGTCATTTTTCTTTATTCCCGATACCCCAATCAAAGCTTCCTGGCTGTCTGATAGCGAGAAGGTCGCTCTGTTACAGCATGTCGGTGAGAACAAGACTGGAGTATGGAGCTCCAAGGTGAATATGAAGCAAATATGGGAGGCCTTGATGGACATACAGCTCTGGCTCTTGACTTTGACAACTATCCTGGTAAGCAAGTACTCTGCTTCCTTGAACAAGTCATTTCGGGTTTGTCTCAGACTTATCTAATACTGTTGAAGATCTCAATCTCAAGTGGAGTAGTCACCACATATTCCGCAACCCTCATATCAGGCTTCGGCTTTTCAGGTCCTATATCAGCCCTCCTGAATACACCATCTGGTCTGATTAGTATCGTCTTCACCCTAGTTGTCGGGTATGGAATCCGCAAGTTTTCCCACCGCTGGGCCTGGCTTGTCTTCTGTACAATCCCAGGTATCATCGGCGGTGGACTCATGTCATTCCTACCCAAGTCTAATACTGCCGGTGTACTTATGGGTCTCTACCTGGTGAATGCTATCGTTGCAACTCTTCCTATTCTATATCAGTGGACCATGGCCAACTGCGCAGGTCATACCAAGCGCGCCTTTGCAAGCGCCCTCGTCGCCGGGTCCTTCTCTGTTGGGAACATTATTGGGCCGCAGACTTTCCAGGCTAGCGATGCACCAGAGTATCAGCCTGCTAAGATTTCTGTTCTTGCGACGCAAGCTGCTGCGGCGGTTGTGGCTGTTGCGCTTTTCTTGTACTACATGTGGGAGAATCGGCAACGCGATAAGAAGCAGGGAGTTGAGAACGAGGCTGTAGCTGATGAGAAGTGGGCCGGACTTACTGATAAACAGAACTCTTCTTTTCGGTACGTTTACTAGAGACAAGTTTGATCCGTGATTTTAAGAATTTGGGAACAGTACGGAGATGTGGCTTTAACATTTGTATATTTTTACGATGAGAAATAGATTCCAACCTTCGATTCATAACGAAATATTCCCAATATTGATTTCTGACATCGTCCATTAAATGTTCCAAAGTTTTAAGTATCCAGAATACCAATGGCATTTAAAATTCCTTGACGTCCAGGATCGTTTACAATAACATCGCACTACTTTACGTGATAAGCAAAAACAAATGCAAGATTTGATAGTATGAATGGACACGTCCAGAAAGCTCTGAGGCTCGCAATTCTCCAGTCAATTACATTTCTGGTCCATTGTGTTGATGGTTCCAAGGTTGAGTGGTCAAAATAAGCTTACTTTTGAGATAAGCTTGCTTTGATCAGGCTTACTTTATTTTGAGAACCTTTAGATCGACAACCCTCTCCCTGCGCCCGTCCATTGGATAAAACACCGAGTCTAAAACATTTGAACTAGCTGCATCGAGGGCAAGCTGAGGATTAAAAGGATAAATATTGACAAAAAAAAGCCCGAGAAAGGGTTGAAAGGGTGCTCTACTCATACTATAAGATAAAACAAATAATGTTAGGATGACAACCTCAGAAGGGAGACTCAACAGACCTTCTCTTTGTTGAGCCTTTTCAGCGTTTGAAATATCAGATTCATTTTTCTACTCTTTTGGTCTGGTATCACAACACGTTACTGCTGCTCAGATGTGCAGTACCTATCAATCATTGATGCACGACACTCAATTAGTAGTATGTAATGGAGATGAAATCTAATATTATGAAGGTGTAATCCATTTATTGGCCTCGATTGTCCTTTTGGGCACCTGGGTTTGATTGGACATCAAATGTCGTAAAAAGAACACTCAAATTTAAGGAAATACAAAATTGTAGAAGCACATCCTACCAGAGTCGGAGCCCATGATAAGGCTATCCCCATGACATGCAGTTGCAGTATTTCCAAACTCCTCCGACTGGTAGTCTGGCGGTACCCCAGAGCAGTTTCTCCCTGTTGCGTACTATCCAATCCGAGCTTTCGTCATATTCCGACAAGTTGGCTGAATCCCTGCCGTGATGCGGACAACGATTGAGAATATAACATCAAAAGAAGCTGCATCTATTGGCGTCTGGTCCATCTTAAAATACACCCCATTTTGGAAGGCAGAGTGATCGAGACATTTGTCATGGTCAAGGCTTTGAACAAGGGCTCCTGTGTTCACGTCCCAGCGAGAGGTATTCCAATTCCCGCAGCTGATGATTGTTTTCCCATCGGAACAAAACAATAGATCATTCATTGGGCTGTCATTTGGTAGCACCTTCCCTTGATTCGGTTCATTGGATGATAAATCCCAAAGGAATATGTCCCGGTCTGCACAGGCAAGCATGCTTGAACATGGAGAGAATGCCAGGACGGTGACTTCGGATCCACCTATATCACAATATATTCCATCAATCTGTCGCATCCTGAGGTTATGCGTTCTGGCAACTGAAAATGTGTCTCTCAATTCCCAAACATGAACATTTCCAAGCTGGGAGGCGGCTGCCATCTTTGTCCAGTCCGAGTTGAAGGCCACCCCAGTGACAGCCTCAAGGTCCAGATCGAAAATTTTCAAATAGCTTTTTGTGTTCCAAACTCCAATCCTTCTATTTGAATTTGCTTGGCCTGATATCAAGATCTTGCCAACTGGCAAGAAGGCGATGGGAGAACGACAATAGGACAAGGTTTTTAGCTTTTTGTATGTGACCAAATCCCATATTGCTACTCCTTCAGAGGATGCAGATGCAAAGACTTTTGAGTCAACAGAGAACGCGAAGGAAACGTCGGAATCGAAGCCCCCTTCTGTGTCTAGAATTTGCATTGATTTCGAAGATAGGTTCCAAATACCAATGGAGTCTTGACAAGATTTTTCAAATCCACAAGCGATGAGAGAACAATCAGGCGAAGGAGTCATCGCAATTGCCATGTCAATCTCGCGGCTTTCGAGACCAAACCTCCTTGGTAATGACGGAAGTCTTACTGATGAGACTGGTCGAGAGGTCAGCTCTGAATCCGTGAGGTCCCAGGCATGCAAATAGTCTTCAGACTGAGAAAAGACTTTTATCCTATCTGGGCCTTTAGAGAAAGCCAACCATCTGTTTCCGCCAGTCATTGCCCGTATTGTCTTTCTAGACACTCTGTCTTGATATCAAACACTTTTATGTCCTGAGATGACAGAGACTCAACCTTTCTGCTGTCCGGCGTAAATGAAACCTCATGTGCTGCTCCGACATCACTCAGTATTCTCAGGCAATCTCCGGTATGTGGATCCCAAACACGCACGGTATTGTCTTCTGAGCAAGAAGCCAGCAGGAGACCATCAGGAGAAAACGCCACGGCGAATACCTGTGCCTCGTGGCCAGCGAGTGCTTGCTTGTGGGTCCCATCTAGGTTCCATAACCGAACAGTCGAATCACTTGATGCTGACGCAACTGTTTTCAATTTTCGCGATATAGCAATCTGTGTGATCTGCTGGTTGTGTGCTTCTGTGGCCGCCCCTTTACTCGAACCAACGCCATCATTCTCTTCAAATAGCCCTCAGACCCGAACAAAGTCACTTGGCGAATTCGTAGCAAAGAGGCTTCCATCCCGTGAAATACAAAGAAGGCTTTTGGAATCCGGCCAGCCCTCCAAACCTCCAATGTGTTTTGCGACCAAACTTGTCCCATAATGAAAATGAAGTGAAGTCATGCGCAACGGAATTAAGTCTTTCGCCATCTGATGACAGGATAGTAGAGAGTCCGCGTGGTAAATCTTCCTCTGCACTTTCATTCACGTCAAATCCATATTCCTTCAAGGACCCAGATCCGAGATCTAAGTGGTTTATTGCACCTTCAACAAGAAGAACCAGGCTCCTATTCTGATCAAAAGCAATTGCAGAAGCTCTTTCCGCGGAAACTTCGTGGCATGTAGGGGAAGTTCCAGTTTCAGTCTTGATATTCCAAAGACTTATCGTCGAATCATATTCCCTGCCAATTGCCATGAGACTTCCATCGGGAGAGAAGGTTATTTTATGATGTTGAATTTGTTCAGGGAATCGTTTCAAAAGCCGTTTACCCCCTGTCACAGTATCCAACAGCCATAGAGATTCATTTGTGTAGCATGCAAGGGTGGAGCCGTTTGGGGAGTAACAAATTTCTTGCACTTGATCAGAAAGACTGAGATTCATATCAATAGTTCGCTGAGTGGAACCATCTTTCGCACTAAGAAGTCGGATAAACGGCGGTTTGAGGATTTGGGTGGGGTAGTGTATCGCTGATGCAATCTGATCACCGCTTGGAGAGAACTTGATGTCCTGTGTCCAACATGAATTTGCTTTGATCGAATATAGACAGACACCTGTCGCAATATCCCAGACTGCCTCCGTGACTCCATCATAGCCTATTGCAATTCAATCTCCAGTGGGTGAGAAGTCGGCACAATAAGGCGTATTCCAGTCTTCCAAAACGAGCGTGTGCAAGCAGGATCCCCATGACTTTTCTATTCCTTGTACACTATCGATAAAAGACAGTCGCTGCTTCCAGTAGTGTAACCTGATCAGACTTTGTTCCGGGCTGAATACAAGAGCCGATCCATATGTCTGTAGGGGTGCCTGGCTGATGATTGATCCATTTGCAGCAATGAATCTTTCAATATCTCTGAGGAGAAAGTGTAAAGATCTTGATTTTTCCTGAGTCAAAAAACGAAAGTTGATTAGTAAAAGTGGGTGCGTTAATATTTAGTAAGACCACTTCTCCAACTACTCACCTTGATCTTTTGCTGAGAGCTCCGATTGAACTAGGACCGCCAGGGAGCTCATGCAACAGTGCTAGCACCTCAATCCAGTGAAGCAAGTGGGTCTCTAAAAAGCTTTCAATTTCTTTCACTTCGATGATGTCATGATCACTGTTGATAAAATGGTGTATCCAATTGAGACAAGCATACGCAAGCTCGGAAGAAATGTGGTTTTTTGAAAGGGAAACCATGTCCTCTGACTCCATATCAACTGGACCTACATGGCCGATGTGACAAATGTTCTGATGAAGCTTTCTTTTCATCAATTCAATGCAGTTAAATGCTAGTTTTCCATGAATCTCTCTTGGATCAATGGTGATGTTATTGATTCCAATTCCCTTGAGGGACAAGATGAAATCCGAGAATGATTTGTGGAGAATGTCAACAGGATCTTGACGATTCTGTGAAACATTCAGAACAGCATGAAGATTTTGAACCCAACAGTCAATATCGTCTTCTTCAATATCTAGAAGAACTGCCAGTGCCGGAATTGAAAGTGGGGAAGAGAGGAGACAGATTGATCCTAGGAAGAAAATCACCTGGTCTTTGTCTTCATCGTCTGGAGGACTCAGCTTTGCTCTATCATCGGCATCATCATAGGTTCCAAGAAGAAGTTGATGAAAAACTGGACGGTAAATCTGGTCAGGTTGCGATGCACTCTTTCGTTGGCTGAGCCAAATTTTGATTTGCTTAATCGGGCTCTTCCTGCCTTTTCCATCGTCCACAAACAGGCAAAGTGTTGACGCATAAATAAACAGAGGTGATGGATTCGTGGCCAACCTCACCAACTTTTCCATGTCATCTGGTTCAGGCCATGGATCTTCAAGAACATTCCGCCTAGTCCTGATCTCTTGGAATGTCTCTTTTAAGAATAGTGAGATGTCCTTCTCTGTCTGTTGCCTGAAATCAGTTTGCAAAGCCAGCCTGTGGTGTTTGACGCCTTTGTTGTCCAGATTATGGAACGCATCAACTAGCGGATGAATTACTCTGCCATTGACAAACACCAAAAGTCGAATAGAGTTGAGGAGTCGAAGATTGGACAATGATTTGATGATGGATTCCAATTCATCGTGAGGGCTGCACTCATCGAGCGCATCGATGACAATGACTCTTGTAAGCAACTCGCCCCGGTCTGGCTTCGGTAAGTTTTCGAGTGGCTCCATGATCAATGTTTTGCACTGCCCCATGGCGCCCTTTGCTTCGATTTCCGCTTGATCGTAATTGAGAAGGGCTTCCCTTAGAAATCTAGCGAAAGTCGGAATTGTGGCTGCTAATTGGCGAGCAATCGTTGGAAAAAGTCTTGAACCCTTGAAATAACTAGCTCCAAGAATTCCAGATTCTTGAAAAAGACTGCATATCGTCCGACTAATGGTAGATTTACATGTACCTGCCTGGCCATGCATCCAAAAGAGACGACCATCGGTCTCTGATCCATCACCCACAGCCCAGTCCGCGATTTTATTGAGAATGTCCTGTCTTGTTCCGCTGTGACAGTCTCTGAGTTTTTTTCATTTTTGCGACTATCAAAGGCCGCTTCAGGTTGTGATGGGAGTTTGGCCAAAAATTCGCGACTCATGGCCTCACTAAAGAGAGGATGAATTAGCTCTGCAATACAAAGCAAAACAGTCCTGATATATCTGATGAATTGGCTAAGCACTTACTGTGTATCTTTGTGTATCTCTTGAAAAGCTGCAGTAGATTGCTCAACAAATCGAGCTAGCTTGATAGCAATGTCTCTGTGCTCCTGGCTGACTTGAAGTTGCTCTTGATTTACCTCGAGTTGCTTCTTGGCGACGTGGAGAATATTCTGGATTTCCTGTGTTGACCGTCTGACTGAATTGTTGAGCGTCTCAAGTTCATTTCTCACCGCGGTGCCGTTTATCCTTTTGAAGTCCTCTGTCAGAGCAGCTTCGACCTTGCTAATCTCATCCAGCATGGTTTGCCAGATGTCCGGATTGAAGATATCACCCCGAGTTTTCTGCACAGAAGTCTTATAAAAGCGGAGGACACTCTGAATCTGAAACTTGAGGATTTTCTGGTAGAGCGACAGAGTGCTTTTGTCAAATTCTCTCCTCAGGTCTGGGGAGATACTGTCGTCTTTGCAAGAGAGCAGACATGGTTCAAGCGCGATGTAAAATCTCATACGACTAGTAACATGTGTGAACCCATCTCGATTCGCCTGTTCGGCAGTAGTGTGATTTGTGAGAACTGGCAAGATAAGTGAAACGCCTGCCCATATTAAGCTGGCTTCTGTTGAGACACTGGTAGCCTCTGTGATCAAATCTTTAGCCCAGATGATGAAATTTGCCGCCTGTGTGATCTGCTCTTGTACAACAAACTCATGACCAGCAATTCTGTATCTCGTCTTAGCTTTTTCAGCTCGCTTTAGGCCAATATCCGTTATTGATTGGAGCTGTATCCGTCGGGTGCTCGAGATTGTGCTGATTCGATTGTCCACATTGTCTGAATGAGTTCCTTCGGTTGGCAACTCTTGCGAAAGCAAAGACTCATATTCATTGATCAACTGTCTGTCGTCCTTCTTCAGTGTATCATATGCTTGATCCCATGTCGATTGAGAGTTTGTGGTCTCAGTGGATAACTTCTCGTCGCTGGTATCCTTGCAAAAAATGGACGCCTTGTCTTGATTTATTTCGTTTTGATCTCTCGTCAAGTGCTCATCTGATTGTTCGTTCACTGATGATTTATCTCCGGGTTTTTCCTTCTCAGGTCGTTTCAGGGACCCTTTTACTCGGGATTTGATGTCTTTCAGGTGCTTCTTCATGATTGTGCATATCAAAAAGACATGATCGGCGTCTATCGATCTGGAGAGAAGATCCTACTATTCAACAGCAGGTCGAGACGATGACTGAGGCGCAGGGCCGTCCTAGCCCGGACCAATCTCCCCAGTAGGAATCTATGCGGAAATTGGTTATTCCTGGTCATTGGGGCTGGGTATGCATGCATGAATAAGGGCGAATTCTGACGCACCTGTGGCCAATCATGACCCGTATACAACCGCCAACCACACCATCAGAATGCCGAATTCTCGCGGTATACCAGGAATTGAGCCGTGTAGGGAAACAAGGCAATTGAAAATAGTACCAACTCATCGTTGACGAATGCACCAAATATAGCAAATTCATATATGAAACATCCTATGTGTACTGACCTCGGGATAGAAACCAAAGTCGTCAACTGGGCAGCCACCTCCCCAGGGCTGGTGCCCCAATGTGGATGACTGATAATCAAACCACACCGCCCGGCAGAAGTCCACCTAGGCATGTCATTCTCATAAACAGAGCTCGTCACTACACTCCACACAATGTCCAAATCATGCGCTTCCAAGCCTTAATCCGCACTCACCACATCACCTCCAGAAAGAAAGTCGCCACCCTGAAACGCGCCGCCGACACGCACCAATGCTTCGTCCTCCTACGGTCCGGTGGTTGTCCCGGCATAATGTACGTTGAAGGGAACGAGCAGACGAACGTGGAATCATGGGTAGCTGTTGTGCGTAAGCTACGGTACAAAGACTTTCAGCTAGTGGGTCGACCGGGTGCAATAGAACCGGAGGGACAGCAAGATATCCTGCCAGATGTACAAGAGGGATTATCCGAAGTTGAGAGCGTTAAGGAGTTTGGGGATTGGTGTCAGAAAAGAGGAATATGGCAGTGGTGGAGGAAAAGTATGGGATATGCTTAATTATGTGCATGAATTTTGATTGGATATATGCATCACTAGGAGCATTATATCAATTTGTTTGTACAAGTATTTGAAGTAATAATTGAACGCCCACACCTGCCCACTTTACTCTAATATTTGATACTCTACAATTGGCTCTTCTGAACTCAAGAAAGAAGAGTGGATAATCATCAGGGGGGAGCTGGGAAGCTTAGTAGCTTGCAAATAGCCTATGGTCATGTCAATAAACCAGTGTATCTCAAAGTAGAGGGGATGATCATACCTTTCTTCGTCGCCGGAAATCATCATAGAGACCCTTCCAAACCTCACGGTCTCGGCATCCACTCTCTTCTGGGGTCCCTGGATTATTGTCGCATGCAGGCTGCATCTCTGCCAATTGAGACGGCTGCCACATCGTCCAGGGTTTGGGCAACGGCCAGTCAGAGAAATGGACGAATTTCGCGTCTGAAAGGACTTTATCAGGATTCCACTCTTCTTGCGCATTACCCATATATCTCCAGTGATCCTTCAAACGGAACTCTCCCGAGACCAGTCCATATTGTCTATGCGGAAGCACCATAGCATTATCACCGAAGCGACTATTCAACAACTCCATATCAAATCGGCCATCAGTGAGGTTCACATCGATCTGCCCATAGACCGCGGGCTTGCTAGCATCTCGCAGAATGGTATATTCAAGATAGGATGGTTCGATCACAGCGATGAGCGAGGAGAGGGTTTTAGTCTCCGGGAGAAGCCAATACGCGCGAGGCATGGCAACGGGGGCTTTTGGAAGGAAGAATAGATCGTCCATGTGTTGCAGGAGAGTCATATCCGAGTCGAGGTGGATGACTCGCTCATATTCCAGTAGAGCGAATGCGGACAACTTTGCGGTGCTAGTATCCCATGATGCCTGAGCAGGTCCTACAGGATTCAATTCGGTTAGTACCCATTTCACAAGGGTCATAATTGACAGTCTTGACTAACCACGATCCTCCGGTGGCCTGACTCCGTCAATGAAGATTGGCCTCATTTGCACATTATATTCCTCCTTTGCCATTACTAGCAGCTGGCTGGTTCGGTCTCCATCATTCTCGATGATCAAATCCCACTCCTGGGGATAGAAAAGTATACGGTCTGCCTTGGATCCGAATCGGTCCAGAGCCTCGAAGACCATGAGACAATTGCACAGGTATGTTTCGGAGGTAGCGTATTGTGTATATGCATATCGTGACCAATCCACCTTATTATAGTTGATATGAGGTAACAGCGATGTTTCGGGTGGAGGTCGAGAGCGATACAACTTGACCATCAAAAATAGGACGAGCAGGGTAATCCATGTTCGTGGGCGGCGCAACTGGCGCTTGGCGATTTGCGCAATGGATTCATCGGCGATGTCGAAGAAGTCTTTCTCGGATGCGTCTGAGCCCCGACGATAGTGGAATGTCGAACTTTTGATTGCCATGATCTGGCAAGCAATACCGTCTAGTATGTCATAACATGAAGTTCACGCAAGTGCACCTGGGCAGTGAGTACGTACATCATCACCGATAAGCAGTGTTATCATCACGTGGTATGTTTGCATTCGAGTTCCAAGGTTGTTTGCAGTCTATCAACTGGCACCTAAATGATACTGAAGGATTATTATCAACCAGGTGTTTGTCCTATTTCAATTTCTCTGTCGCGAATCACATCATTCTAGTTCCACTATTCAGATGTCATTTCTGAAGAAGTTAGAGCATATCAAATCTTGATGCGCAAACTACCACTGGCACGCTTGGCAGATCCACTTTATACAACGATATATTTCCACATCATCAATTGATTATTCACATTAACTATATCATGCTGAATAGCGATTCATATATTGCAGATTTCCTTCATCGATGCTCCGATCCATGCTCACTGGATCCCTCTCCCCCCTCTGGTAATAACCGAGTACCACCAGAAGACATCGATCGTGAACGCCCATGTTGTCCATCAACCTGCACAACGATATCAGTCTTCGCCAAGATCACACCATCATCAATATGATCTGGTTGTTTCGCACAAGAGATTCTACTCTCCGAGCGCTCCGTAGGCATCGGCCAATCCGCAGGAGCATTCTCTTCATCCCAGTTTGTCGTCATAGTCGCTGAGTCCATCCACTGATCCTTCTGTCGAGCTTTCAGCTCAGTATCTTTGCTTTTATTATTATCTGTGGATCGAGAGAAGTAGCCCAGTCGACCATTTGCACGACGAGAATCCACCACTGTGCGAAGTAGTAGTCGTGCAACAGGCGCGCAGCTAGCTAACAAGATGCTGTAATTTTCGATTTTCACCCAAAGAACGAAGCTGACGATGTTATATGTAAAGTCGTTTCTGTCGCCGAGACTTTTCAATTTATATGTCTTGATAATTGAGGCAGCTCCGGACAGAACAAGAGGGCCACTCAGTGTAATTGTCTGCCAGATGCGCCTTGAACGAACGGTTTTGTTGATCTTCCGAAATTGGGTCCAGAAGGAGGTATTGGAATCGCGATGCAAGGTTCGTAAAAAGAACTGCCACAGTTCAACTGCAGCGAGTGTTGCCAAAAAGAAATCAATGATGGTATTAAATCCGCCTTGGACAAAGCCGACGGTGGTTTGGACATCTGGTGATTGACAGACGACGGAGCCGTCCGACGGGAGTGCTGTCCACATATAATGAAAGTACTTGACACGATCAGTCTAAAGAGAATTAGTAGTGCCCAAACAGTATGGATAACATAAAACAAACCGCACGGTATGGATTCGGGCCACTGGGGATGTTAGTTAATATTCTTAAGCAAAGCATGGAAGGGAGCATACCATTGAACTATGATTTGAACTGAGAGAGATTAGCTTAGTGGTCAAGATAGAGACTCAGAGTAAAACAAACCTATTGTCACCGTATTCGCTACGATCTGAACAATAGCACATATTACGATCGACATGCGAACTCGGTTATTAGTGGCAAAGCAATTCAAAAGAAACCACATCATGCCTGTCCGAGAGACCATAGCAGATGAAACTGCCAACGGCTGACTGAGGAAGTCATATTTCATAGCATTGACCTTCTCCTGGGTGGTCAAGTAGAAGAAATGTCTTCCGAGGCCCCAATGTGCACTGTTACCAATTAGCGACTATCCGATCGAATAATTCATAGTATCTCACCTCATCTGGATCAATGACATGTGAGCCAGATCGAATCCATAAGCAACAAGAAAGAATAAATCTTCAACGCCCCATATCCTCTCCGGTGCAGTAACAGCCGGCATTGCCCAGAAACGAATCCAAGTTTTGGTCAAGTATCTAAACAGAAGAGCCAATCCGACCACGCCTGTTAAAACCTGATTATCGTCAGCTTCACCACAGGATTCAGATCTTATTTAGTTAAGATCATCACATACCCAACACGCGATAACAGTTCCCGTGCCAATATTGACATCTCCTTCCCTAGGCTGTGGGACACTCATTGTGAAGATGATGCAGGGCAGGGGAGCTAAGTGCGAAGAGCTTGTACAAATAGTCTCAAGACATTGGGAGGTCAGTTTCTCATCAAGGCGTAGATCAGTCTGATCGACGAACTATCCCGAGAGTTCAACTTAGTTGGCGATTCAATAGGTCAGACAGCAGTGGGGTAGGCTTGGGCTACTCCGTAACAAGGGATCGAGGCAAACCGGATGACGCTCCGTATGGCTGAGTTATTGGAACCCAAAGCTTTTCAGGCTTCAAGTTTCCTTTTTCCCAGTATTTCTTGTGTGCGATTTTAGCGATCCTTGTCGGTGTGTTATAAACAGTTCCTGCAGTGAGCGTAGAAGATCTTCAATCTACTCAGTAGACTCAGTAAATGCAAAATTCCCTTTTAATCAAGAGATGCATAAGTTGCATTGCCTTATCCCCTTCCTGTGATCATTTCATTCCTGCAGGTCCATGTGGTAGCCATAGGACATTCCAATGCCAGGCAAATGACAGCCACGCAATGACCATGCAGTGCAAGGGATAGGAAAAGCAAAACAACGGCGGGATATCAATAGTGTCTCCAGAATCATGCAACAAATACGGAATACTAAAAAAATCGAGTCAGCGAAGCACAATCAAGATCTCCAGATCTTGGTACCACGAATACAATCTCACGCCACAAACCACACTAAGTGATAAGGTTTCAAAATCGACCAAAGCCACAAGCAAAGTTCAGCTTATCAAGTTCCACGGCAAGGAGTGGGCCGATTTCCGAGATTGATGTGATAGATCAACTGTGACAAGGAGTTCATGCATGGGAAACGGACGAATCTAGAACTCTAATCACAAAAATGATCGTTCATATTTGAAGTTGTCTGAAGTTCAAATTGTCTTAGATTAAACTCATACTCTCGCTTGATTATGCTACAAAAGTCCTCCAGGACACACGGGATCATTCAACTTCTCCCCATCATTCCTCAATTTGACCCGCTTTACGCATCTCCACAAGGGACTCACCCCCCACAACATAAGCCTCAAAGCCAACCTCCAACCCAGAAACTGACGCTAACTGTCTCCACTCCGCGGGACTGCGCTCCCTTCCTCCATAAAGAGCAATCATACTTGCATGGAGGTGAGTATATGTCGAATTCCGCGCATACTCACTAATAAGGAGGCGCGAAGTAGGCGCCATGGCGTTAGATAGTTTCTGTAATAACGCGACCGCATCCAAATCAGGCAAGTTATGAAGAATATGCTGAAGAGAATAGATGCGGGCACCGGTGATAGGCTGTGCAGGACTAGTCTTGTAATTCCACTCCATGAGTCTGACACCATCGAGCTCGCAGATTTCAGTATTGAATTCCTGCACCACCAGATTCTCAGCCGTAAGATGTGGGAATGCAGATTGGACTTCAAGCAAGAGCTCGCCACGTCCTCCGCCGATATCTACTATAGCGACAGAGCCGGGAGCACTGAGTGCAGCGCGTAAATCATAGCCAAGAGATTGGATGCGCTCGGGAAAAGTGCCATATTTGAGAAATTTGCCGACCATAAACTCATTGAAGCTGCCCATTCGTCCGTGGGCTTCCATTATGGCGTATGTATGCTGCTTTGACAGTTCCTTTTCTCCCATGAGCTCATACGCGTACTGAAATGGGCCACTGGCTTCGGCGAACGGATATGCAAAGTTAGTATCCTGAAGTTTCTTCATGAGGAATGCCCCAGCCATCATCCCTTCAGTTGTGCTAAGATACAGTCAGTAGATGTGATGGTAGTAAGATGAGAGAAAGCTCACAAATGCAATGCCCCTTCCTGAGCACTGGGCATTGAAACCATATGTCGGGTGATAGCATTAGCATCAAATCGCTCCTCATCAACTCTGTTTACCAGTCCTAGACCAGACATGATGTAAAGAGTATCCGCTATCGTCAAGATTAGTATTCATCTCAAACTTCAGACTCAGACTACCAGACAGAGCTGTCATACATATAAGCCTAGTACAGATCTCCGGATCATTCTCAGATCGGGCCGCGTTAACAGCCTTAGTCACATCTTCTGCAGTCGCCGATCCACCAAGATTAACCAGGATATCAAACAATCGAAAATGAACCGCGACAGGGACAAATCCCAACGAGGCTGGCTAAATGGACTGTATTAGTTTTGTTCTTTACTCTCTATCTCGTATCCATGGATGTGTACTCCGTACTCACCTTAGTAACAGTTGCAGCTAACACAGCTCCAGGACTAATTGGAGAAGGTTTTGAAAGGCCAAATAAAGTGCCTATCCGATTTAGGAGCGACATTTTGATATGTGGAGGTTAAGTTTCGTATGAAGTGGCCTGATCTCTGTGGTATTTCTACTATGCCATCCCTCTATTTTCCATTTATCTAAACATCTGGATCCAAGGGGCAATATCCGTTACGGATATTCGGAGTTTTCCCTTGCTAGTAATCTGATTCATTCATTCGTTGTTCACTCCGTAATGAACGACACATCGATGCCCAAGCAAGGGGCAAAAGGGGCGTGAGACCGCTGATCGCCAAGGCGCCAGAGGGGTAACTTGCATGCAACTATGAATTCGCTAATAATTTCTTTTTTTTTCTTTCTTTGATTCAACTGGAGCCTGATAGATCCAAATGACTCGAACTCAATAATTAGGTTCATAGATTTTCTGATCTATGTGAATGTGGAGACTAGATCCCTGGATACATCAAGTCCCACATCTGTAGGTCTCCGTACTTGTACATCAAAGAACATCTGGATGTATCCAGAATAATTCTAGGAATAATCCTTGACACGTAAACCGTAAACCATATGGCTCTGCGCGACAAAAGCCACGCGAGAATCTAAAAATTCTCCGCTTAAAACCTGTGCTCATCCTCGTAGACCTTGAAATCGATACTTTGTCCCCTTGCGCCAGATCGATACTACGGAAACCGGTTTATTCAAAGATAATCATGTTGGATCCAGTAAAGGAACTGACTGAGTCGGAGGGCACCGCGAGTCTTGCTCGCTCTCATGAAGAGATTGACAAGAATTCGGATTTCAAGAATCCGGGTTCTATGGAGTCTGCGGATCCGCGAAAATGGAGCTCAACGCGAAAGACGCTACTTTTTATTGCGTTGATGTCGAGTTCTCTACTTGCTGATGGGTAAAATCTAACTTATACCAGAGTAAACAAGTATTAAGAGCTAACAAGAATAGTGCGATGGTCTGGGGTTCTACCCTAGTGAGCGAACAAGCAGTAGATTGGAATACCACAGCAACACACGCCGCCACGAGCATGAACTATGGCATCCTGCTTCAAGGTTTTGGTGGAATATTTGCTGTCCCATTAATTGAGGCCTATGGACGGTAAGAATGAACTGAAATCAACAACGTGGCAATATTCGGATTCAGCCTGCTGATCTCGCATTCTGGACCAGATTTCCCATTTGGATATGGCCTCAAGTTATAACGATGTTCATGGTACTGGGGGCTACACTCTCACATGATTACTCGACATTCACAGCATTTCGATCTCTACAAGGTCTATTTGGGACCGTGCCACAGGTGATCGGATTGCCGATCATTCATGATCTATATGAGCCAAATGGTGAGTTATCATGATCTGGACGTAGCAACGTGGCTAACGGAATCTAGAATGGCCTCGAATGATTAATATCTGGTGAGTTCCATCTCTACTGAAATTGTCTTGAAAATACCAGCTAACAGTCTGCAGGGGAACTACTTTCTTAGTTGGTCCATTTCTCGGTCCTGCAATAGCAGGGTACATCGATGTAGGAACCAACTGGCGCATTTCCTTTGGTATCTTAACAGCATTATACGGTTTATCAACCGCAATGGTCCTCCTATTCGGTCGTGAAACATACTACATACCCGGTCAACGAAGCTCTTCTCGATTAGGGTCATACTTTGGAATCGGAAACACGGGTTTACCAAAGCGCTCAACCCTGCTTGCGTGGTCTTGGACTCTTGTAGTCTACATCTTCAAATTCCCACTCCTATTCACAGGTACATACCAACTCAACTTGAGAATCCATATTGAATAATATCAGAACTAACCATGACCAGGATTCGCCGTTCTGGTAACATTTACCTGGCCGATTGGAATCACAACCACCATCGATACCTTTCTCCACAGTCCCCCTTATCTCTTCAACACAGTCGATGCCTCCTCAATGCGTTTTGCAGGTGTGATAGGTGCACTATGCGGTACGTTCCCATTGGTTCATCCCTGCATAATATCACCAAACCCCTTCAGCTACGAACTCCGATTGTGACGAGTATACATACTAACTGTGATAGGCTGGCTATTCGGTCACTTTTTCAATAAGTGGATTTATCACCGACGCTCTTCCACGTGGTGCACCGAGTATCGACTCCACGGCGTCTGGTTTTCAATCGGGAGCATGGTAGCAGGTCTACTAACATACGGACTAACGATGAATTTCGGGAAGCATTGGATTGGTATTGCATTTGGATGGATTATGGTTAATATCGGTATGGTTGGAACAATTGTGTAAGTTTTCTTCGACCAGCAGTTTCATTTCCACCAACCAATATACCTGGATTGAATTGGAACAACCATACATGTGCATACGCTAACAAACATGCAGCGCCATCACAGCTTACGCACTCGAAAAATATCCCGACCAGTCTACATCTGTCTCCGCAATCCTGAATATGTGGCGTACATGCGGTGGATTCGCCGTGGGGTATTTCCAGCCCGCGTGGATCACACGGAACGGAGTGGGACTGGTTTTTGGGATTCAGGCTGCAGTGGTTGTTGTTGCGATTATATTGACTATCACGCCGGTAATTGTCCTCGAGCGAAAAAGGGGACAGTGTATAGATGAAGTTGAGGATGGAGAGCCTGAGACTGCCTAAGTGACTCAAGGCACACATGTTGACATGGTGGTGAGCTGTATATGGATTGACTTCTATTCTGGACTGTAACTAGTTATTTTGATATTGATATACGATAGTGATGTGATCACGTATACACGAAGAATAAACGTGAATTATGATTCGATGGGTTCATATGTTCAACTTGAACTTCTATCATACCAACATTTCATTAAACTAATCTCCAGTCAGTTGAATAGAAGGCAGGACAAAAGACTCATTTGAGTGACTTGATATGTATTGGTATCTCTGATTCGAGTATGTGCATGTCAACTATGTCTTCATGCCCATCACTTCTAAGAAACTCGCTGAATGAAAATTTGAATGCAGCGAATGCAAGTCCGGAGACTGAACTGTCCAGCAGGTAAACAAACACCGGTATAACGCCTTGCCAATGATCATCGCCTCGAAAACAAAAGAAGAAAGAAAAAAAGAGAAAGAGACGATGATGAAAATGGGATGAGAAAAGAAGTGAAAAGAAAGATGAAGGGGTCGCGAATGAAAGAAAAAGAAATATGTGCAGCGAAGGGTATGTATATACAGGATAAACGTTGGATCGTCAGTTAGTCAAAGATGAACTCGACTTGAGGGCATGATGACTGGAACGTATTCAACAACTTTTGAACACGACGAGTCATCCACCCAGATGAAGTGCCATTGCTAGCAATGCCATGTAAGGTGGTAGCGGCATGCTTGCATGTACTCTCATTATGATTGAAAGAATACTGTAAGCAGCCGGTGTTCTGCATGCAGGCATCAGCACACGAGTCCACTGATGGCTCAGTGGGGTGCTCGAAAACAATGTCAGCTCCAGAGAGATTATCCCAGTCTTCACGCTCGGCGAGAGTGCCATTGTGGACAAAATCGCGATAAACATCAGCATGCAGCAGGAGGGCATTCTTGCCGCTTCGGAACCACCCTCGGTCAAATCGCCACAAAAGCTCGATCTCGCGAGGACTCATGTGATGATATGAGACTACCGGATAGCACCAAGGCTGTCGACCGTAGGCTTCAGAGAAATGATCCACTTCCCAAGGCGAAGTAGTCATCATCATAGGCCAGGCCCAGGTCAGAGGAATCTGTGTATTTTCCAAAGCCTTGGCCAAGACGAAGTCTCCAGCCCACTCAGCAGCTGTCATTTCATCAATCTCATCCGTGGACTCGGCGCGGTATTTTTGCAGACGAACATTGGCCTGGTGGGACAGAATAACGCCAGCACCACCATATCCAAAGAGAGTCTCGCCAATCTGCATCGGGCTGCCGAGGTAGTAGCTTCGAGTATGCTCCAAATGGCCCAGCCAGTTGACAAGGTTTTGCCAAACTATATAGGTATCCGCCTCGATGAAGACGTACCATTTCGCATCAGGCTTCAATTCCATCGCCCCCGCAGTCATGGGCAGGAACTTCCATTTATCAAGTTTCCAACCTGGGTTGTTCACCTTGCCGAAAGGGCCATTTGTGTCATCGCCCCAATCCTCGGAACTCAGCCCCTCGCGGCCATTTTGCTGTAGATGTTTGTAGAATTCGAACTCGGGCTCTTTGTCTATGACAGACTGGGAGACATTTTGTAAGACGTCGTATGTGCGGACTCCGCTGATAACCTCCTCATAGTCGGAGAAGATTGCAAAATGCGGAACACACTGGAGGCCAGTGCGCAACTGGACTGGCACTTTTTCTTGAGCTTCCGTGGCACCTGTCTTCAAGATGACCATTACATCTTTCAAGTTATGGCGTAGACGCCCGCATCGGTCCTCCTCATACGCGGCGGGAGATTTAAGGTCCGGTTGTGCAGGTTGCTGCGTCCCTTCTGAGATTAAATGATCGATATCGGATTGGGACCATGGGCCTGTGTACTTCAAGGCGAGAGAGTTTGTATTATAGGTATGAAGGACGTAGTATAGTAGGGTAAGGGTAAAGAGCGGTGGGAGGATGAGAATCCATCGTCGTGGAGAGCTCATCATGATCGGTTTAGAAGAGCGTTGTATAGAGAGAAAGTTTCAAATGAAGGAATAGATCAGTTAAAGAATAGTTAAGGAATGTATGAACGCCATAGAAAGAAGCAAGTGAGAGCTTCCACGGCAATAGAAAGGGAGAAAGAAAGAAAAACGACGAGTCACGAAGGGATGAAAGATTCAAAAACAGGCGACGGCGCCTGCTGAAACTTGCAGGGGAAAAAGGGAAGGCAAAAAAAAGAGACAGGGATCATCGCAAAGGAGCAAACATGACTATCGTTCTCCCCTTTCGCCAGATTTTCCCCATAGCCTGGTGGTGGTTGCACCCGACGATCCATGGGGCACGTAGCTCAGAATGATCCTATGAATGCATTTCTCAATGACGAAGCGCGGGAATGATAGGCTAACCGCCTAGTTCATACCAGTTCATTGGAGAGCGATCTTCAACCACGCGGGCCAAGAGCCAACGAGACATTGTGCGGGAGTTCAAGCCTACCCGCCGGCCCCACGACCAGCGTCATCGAGAGCGGGTTTGAGGATGCAGGAGAAGGAAAGGATCGACGGAGGAGGGGGTTACAGGTCGAAGTGGGGAACAAGGGATTGTACCTATTTGTGATCCAGGTGATCACCAGGGGGTGCAGAGTACAGAGTAAAAGAGATAAAAGAGACAAGTCAACAATCAAAAGAAGCCCTATAGGAAGTGCCGTAAACCCTGTAGGGACACTGGAGAAGAAGTGACGCCGGTGGCTTCAACCCGAGACAACTTTGATACAGGGATGTTTGTTTGTTTGTTTTGTTTGTTATATACTTTGCAGGAAGAGCAAACATGACAAACACCCTCATACTACTGACATTATAGAACATACACTTAAGCAGAGTACAGAGTAGAAGAGTAAAGAGACTTGATTTTCACAGGGATTCTCCATGTCTCATTTCTTATTTCTTAAATTCCTAGCTGAGAGCCCCATTTCACATATTTTCCACCCTAACTTGTCAAATCCAAGTGGGTCGCATGTGTTTCAGGTTGGAACTAACAGAAACAGCCGCGGCATATGCAGGAGTTCATACATTTACAGAGCACATAAGATACATCTTAGGAAGAAGATATTGAGATAAAAAGAAATAGTGTTGATGATCATCCAGCCAAAAAAACGCCACTATCGACTTTATACCTTGGGTGATTTAGCTTTTCAAGTTTAATGATTATTCTGGTTAACCCCTGAATATCAGATCCACCCACCAGTTCATCTTGCCGCTAGCCCGGAGGATCACTGCCGACTCATGAGCACGTGATAATCAATATTCATTAGTTCAAAGGTTCATCCATGGATGCAACTGGATTCTATAGAAAACAACTACAAAATTAATACGAGCACTCGTAATAAAGAATGGAAGGCAGAATAAATGAGTCCGTGGACATGGTATTTTGACTTTAACTTCAATAGTATCAGTACATCTCGGTAGCAGGTCTTCGTCAATAGTGAATCACTCCACAGAATACTGGAAATCCAGTGATTCATATTGGAGTAGTAAGAGACATCAAGACCTTCTCGCACCCAGACAGACGAGTTCATCGACCACACCCGGATCCGAGATCTTCAAATGATGATGCCTGATTATGATACGGGGTCTCCCTACGTGTGCGCGGCGTGCGACGCGGCTGATGAAGCGTGGGTTTCTAATATATAAACCCCAGTGAAAACCCAGCTGAAAACTAGCTTAGCTGAAACACGCTTCGTGGCGTGACATACAGTGGGTTAGCCGGGCTTGGCTTGGTGGAACACATGGGACACAGCCAGACCAGAAATTCGACTTGACATAGCTTAAGGAAATAGAAATCAACTATCTCGCCATGATCAACCGTTCATCGTCTTTTCAGGAACTTCTTGAAATGTCTCTGGGAAGAATCCCGGTGGCGGCCAGATATCCGCAATAGAGGGTGGGTGAACAAGAGGCTGAGTATTGACGAGACGATCAGGATCGTGACAAAATGCTTGGAAGGTGCTTTCGTCTAGGAATCCAAAATCTTTGAGGCCAGCCTCGCGGTTGTTGGACCATTCGGTGGTGTCCAGATAAGCTAGATCCTTGAAAATCGCATCGAGGTCTCCATTCCCAGCAGGGTTGAACGGCATACCGTCGCTCGTTGAGGGCACAGGTCGATCGCTGGTCGGCGGCTTTCCGGCCATCATGGGATTAGAGGTAGATGAATCGGGAGTGTGTGGCTGAGGATGAGCACCAGTGGGAGGGTATATCGCATCTGGTCCGCTGCGCGGGGTTACTTTATCGGCAAGAATCGAGTGCGCATCTATCGGTTGCGCTCGAGAAACATCCATCATAGATAAATCTGTATTTTCCATGATGGTATCTTTAGGAGTCATAGACTGAGCATCAACTGGGATGCTAATACCGAGAATTGAGGAGGCATAGTTGCCTTGGTCATGTGGAAGCATTCCATGTGCACCAGGTCGGGCCTGCATTGGTCCGCCAAGTGGAACACCAGACATGGCAGGAGGCACAATGGCCTGCTGTTGAAATACCGGTTGAGATGGCCCAGTGTATTCAAGAGGCTGTTGCCAGCGCTCCATCGAAGAGACCAGAGAGCCATACACTGGCCATGTCGGGATCAACGCTGTGGCCTTTTGTTGGAACTCTTCTGCCCACTGTGCAAAGGGGAAGTTGTCGGCGGAGTCAACTGACTGTCGTAGTGAGAACGCTTGCTCGGAAATCGTGCGCAAGCTGAATTCGAAAATAGGTGGGAGTCCACACATGGGGAAATTCTCCATGTGTTGAGCGATCATCGATAATCCTCGATACAGAAGCTTTTTGGCTCCCTCCGTTGCGGGTCGTTGCGTTCGGTGGAGACCTTGTTCTCCGGGGATAAGATGCAAGTACAGCCAAAGCAATGTAGCCACATAGGTGAGTCCAAGGTAGCTTTGGTGTGGTAACAAGGCCGAGTGTCTTTCCGGATAAATGCTCTCGGGTCCAATCAGTCGACATCCAAGGGGCAACCCATCGTCCCATTGCTTCAAATCCGCCACCAATTGCTGAGCAAACGAAGGCGGCTTATATCCCATCGCCAGATTTCGTGAAGTCTTGTTCAAAACGCTGGCTAGCTCGACTAACCGATTGAAGCAACTCAAGGCCAGCAGTGGACCCCTTCGTGGTGGGTTCTTACCATGCGGGACACCGGTAGGAGGGAGCACATCAACCCACGAGTTCCATTCTTCTAATCCATCCTCCTCCAATAGACCCACGGTGGCCAAGTCATTCGAGGACATTGCCGGACATCGCGACAGGCGGAAAGACAGGAGAGAGTCAATCACGAAGCATCCCAAGTAGACAGCCTTGCCCTGTCTCAACTCGTCGGAGCGTCGGGTGTCAGTCATTGTACCCAAACCCATGGCGATGGCCATCCGCACGGCTTGACCAATCAATAACCATGCAGCCGTCCAGTGCTCCAGCCCCATATTCACCAATGTCAGTAAAAGTAAAGCCTGAATGTGGCCCAGTTCGTAGCGCTCCTTTTCGGAAGGAATCAAATTTCGCGCCACAGTATAGTACTCCTGAGCCAAAGACAGGGCTCCAACCGGACTCGCTCGTGGATCAGTTCGGGATTGTGTAATTGTATAACTCAAAATAGCCCATAACGCAGCATGGTCTCCGGATCCGGGAGAAGTCGTCGCCACGGAGAAGGGCGCATTGGCATAAAGGTATGAGGCACGTAGGATGTTATGTTTGGCGACAACGGGCAACCAAGAATGAGTTGTAGCGAAATATATATCAAGTAGTTGAGAGGTTTGCGGTGGTAGCTGGAGATTATGGGCGCCACTGTCCGGCGGTGCAACGCGACTCTCCGGGGCCTGTGCTAGACGGGATCGTTTCGCGCCTGGGGAGGGTCCTCCCAGGGGCCCAACCACTCGGGGTGCACCAGGACCTAACGGAGTAGATTCTCGGGCCACTCGAAAGCCCCATTGGCCATCTGGGCCATCCAGAATATCATCGTGCGGGTTTCGCGATCGTTTTCCTGGGACTGTGGGAACGGGTTCGGAGTTCGACAACATCTTTTCCAAGGCGCCAAACAGTCGACTCGATTTCCATGTTTCATGGAGGCTCTCTGAAGAATTATCATCTGACCAAACTGCCATCAACTTTCCGCGACGATTGGCGGATTCCATCGTGGATCCCAGCATCGCCAACATCGTATCTTCGAAGCCGTCGACATTGCAGATCGATAGAGCCCATAGTTTCTCTAACCCGCGCACATATCCTTCCGGTAGACCTCGTTTCTTCGCGTGGGGGTCGTAAGAGCAAGTCTGGCCCGACGCTTGACAAGCTGAGCAAGTAGGGCGAATACCGTCACATTTGTCCTAGATAGTTCGGAGAAGACGACCGGGGTTAGCTACTAGCTGCGCCACTAGCCTGGTAGAAAGCCACAATGCACACTTACTTTTTTGCTACGGCATCGGTCGCATGCCCTAGAAACCCTCTTCCGTCGAGGGGCTTTATCGGAGCCCTCATCCATGAGGAGGGTTAGTTTGGCGCAGGAACCATGTCATATGTCGACAACAGGACAAAGGCGGAAGACTCTAAGGAGTCTATGTTGTTAAAAATGTAAATATGTGATTCTCCCCAGGATAAATTAACTGTAATGTCAAGTGAGGAGTAAAGAGGAGGTTCAAGCGAAAGCGGCAGCATTCAGTAAAGACGCAAATGGCCGAATGCAGTCGGGAAGTTGGATTGATTACGCAAGAATAGGGACCTCGGGACTAAGCTTTTAGCTGAGTCAACCACTTCCAAGGTTTTGTACAGTTGGTAAGTTATTATTATTTACAATAGGGGGATGTTTCATGTATTTTATTTTCTATTTTTGCTGTGGGAAGAAAACAAAAAAAAAATCAATAGAGGCTCCGATGATCCGACTAATAATCGGGAACTGCGGACTCGAACTTGCACTTCCCCACGTCCCCACATCGTGGGAAACCCGAGTGTGGGAGAAGATCTTGGTGATAGAGGTTAACTCGAAACATTTGAACATTCGAAGGTTTATGCATATTTAAAAAGATAATATAGTATGTATGTCTGATCATCAGTTTGCTATATATTAGCCCCAAGAAATAATCTCTCTTGACCCTTGGAGTATCTCCAAGTCCCAATTTCCGTCGGAAGTTGGACTGTGCCAGCCCTGGAGTGGAGATACAAAGAGTCAACAGGTGAGTATATACTTCTACTAGTACTCTCAAGTGCTCATATGTACTACCTAGGTAGTAACTATGGAAGTACTCTCTACCCTGACACATGTGCAACTTCAATATATACCCGAGTATATACTAACAGCTGCAGTCATACTCCGTATCAGTACCTTCGATCTGTGAAAACCATTATCGTCCCTTCCAAGCCCTGGACGCATTCTGGTATACTGCCGAACATCGGCACATTAACTTCTCCAGCCCATATCAACTTAAACCGAATACACCCCCTGCCCCACGAAATCCACCTAAATGGTATCGTTTCTTACAGGAGATGATCAAAGAGTATAGAGTCCACCTCTAGTCGTCTGGACCATCTTAAAACAGAACAGGGAAATTATGATCCATGATGTCGGGGGCAAGCTGAACGGTGATGCGGTGCCCCGGCATCCCGATCCCCACGGGTGACCCGCCGGCTCCCCGAGCGCAGTCCCGCACTCGGGTTCTCACGGTATTTTACAGATTAAATACGCACGATGTATCGAATTCCTAAACTGGTAAGTCCGGAAGAAAGCAAGGGACGCAATGCTAAGATTAATGAACTGAATGCTGGTTGGTTGAGTCAAACAAAGACAGATTACGCGGTACAAGGCTGAGAGATAGGTCAAGCTGATTGAACGAAATATCCATGTCTACGTGTATAAGGCTCCAGGGCTATGTGCTGACCGCTCAATGGCCTCTCCCGACTGGTCAATTAGACTTCTGGATGTGCCATGGTGGCGGAGCGGAGTCTTGAAAATACTTTGTCAGCGGAAGGTGCTTAAGGGAGAGACTTGGAAGGCGGTGGCGAACCGGTGATATGTAGGGGAATTTGATTCAGGCATCAAGGCATCACAACTTGCAGGTTGATTGTTATAGTGCAACTACTCAATATATCTGCCACCGAATAGCAAGTGTGGCCGAGCGGTCTAAGGCGGCAGATTCAAGCATTGTGCTTCTGTACCACAGCAATGGTGCGGTATCCTGTTATCGAAAGATGCATGGGTTCAAATCCCATCGCTTGCATTACTTTTTTCTTTTTTCCATTTTCTTTTTTCTTTTTTCTTTTTTCCATTTTCTTTTTTCTTTTTTCTTTTTTCTTTTTTCTTTTTTCTTTTTTCTTTTTTCTTTTTTCTTTACTTTAGTTCTACTTTGAGATAAATTGCTTTCTCTGTCTGGACTTCTTTCTGTCTCCTCTTGGAAGATTTGCTTGATGGTAGAGATGTTTTTGTTCAAAGTTTAACATTTTTTGAAGGGAGAGAGAGAGAAGTTAGAGAGAATCAAGTACCAGAATTACCTTGGCTACCTAATGATACATCTCTCTATAAAGTAAAATGATGGATTTATATTTTACTAGTAGATAGTGGTTTTTTCCCCCTTTCTCTTCATTGAGAAGATAGCAAGTATTAGCTTAGGTCAGTAGTACTCCAATACCTAGGTACCTAGGCTATTAACGTAGAAGGAACCACCTGGGTATTCAAATGTACTCGTAAATACTTTTGATCTATAGCACTTATGCCCAAAGTGGACTTAGTAGAGTTGTTATCTGGAATATTCAAGTTCATATGTGTAGTAGCATCATCAAATGTATAATATCCTAGGGTTCCTCCTGGGCCAAAGCCGCTTCCAACTTAAACATTGGCTGCTTACCTCCAGGGCTGGTTAAAGGTGGCTGCACATGGACATGGATGGCTATGTACTAGGACCACATGCCATTCTGCCACTTTCTTCCGTGTAACAACAGTTGGTGCCTTATTTCTGCCCGATGCCACTTCCTAAGTATATTCAGGCATTATAGAAAAGAATCAGACAAAACCAAATCAGTTGAGCCATTTTAAGTGCTCTGCTTCGTATCGCAATAAAATCTTTAAGCTTATAATCAGCTTGATCACCTAGGTAGTTCAAGTAAAGGTACTAAGACTTAAAAAGCACATATAGATGGGAGGAGGGTGTGGAAAGGGAAGGGAAAAAAAGAAAAAAGTAATGCAAGCGATGGGATTTGAACCCATGCATCTTTCGATAACAGGATACCGCACCATTGCTGTGGTACAGAAGCACAATGCTTGAATCTGCCGCCTTAGACCGCTCGGCCACACTTGCTGATTATGTAAGTTCTTCTGAACAAAACATAACTATGTACGGAGTAGCTACAATTGGAGAAAACAAGTATAAGAAAGCTCGGAGAGTACGTAATAAGCAACTTCCACCTGGGCACCTAGGTAGTAACTTTCCAAGGTTGGAATTGATCTATCCAGTTTATACCCAGGTAATAATTTCTTGGTTATGTCACTAGCTAAGGTAATTCTAGTACTAGATTCTCTAAAAAAAAATACATCGATATACATCCAGAAAAAAAAAACAGATTGCAAGCGATGGGATTTGAACCCATGCATCTTTCGATAACAGGATACCGCACCATTGCTGTGGTACAGAAGCACAATGCTTGAATCTGCCGCCTTAGACCGCTCGGCCACACTTGCTGATTATTAAGTTCTATTCTTCAAAAGATTCTCACGTACCCTTAGAGAAAACAAATATAAGAGAGCTCGGAGAGCAATAAATTTGGAATTGATCTGCCCAGTTTGTAATAATTTATTGCCAGTGATTATGTCGCCAGCCTTTAAATTTTGGAAGACGAATTATTGTAACGATGGATCGATACCTCCAGATGTCCAGGGCTGGTATCAACCTTAGAACACAATTACATGGAATTACATTAGAACAAACTTGCTCTTGGAAGTATGCCCGCCCAGATGTCCTGGATTAGGTATCGGAATAGATCCTGATAATTTGGCTCAACAGGCAGCAATATAAAATAAATGTCGATGCATCTGAAACTCCACGATATATGATGGCTCAGCAGCCCAAAGAGGTAAGAAATACGCTCACTCCTCCATCCATAACTAGGATAAGGTACAAAATGGGGTCCGAGAAAACTACGCGAGGTGCAGAGGACCCAGTTTCGACGTCATGTCTCACTCAGTATCTATCAATACAGTTGTAATATTCTTGTTCTCCGCTTAACTATCCCAATTTGAGGCAATAATTTGGTATACACATCCACACACACGCGAATGTAAAAGGCTGTGATTCGCTATAGTTCGGGTAAGACTTTAACCCGGCGGGCAGGTAAGATTAAACTCGGGGAGGTCGACTTGACTCGGGTGAAGCCGAGTCCAGGACGGAGAACACTGGATATGGAAAGAAATCTTTCAAATCTTTCAAGTTCGAGCCGAATGTCGGATGTGGACGCCGTACTGTCGCGGAGAGTATCGGGATCACTTCCAAGGTTGAGTCCGTTGCCCGCCAACTGGACCAGTGGGGAGTACTTCATCTGCAATTACATTTGACCTAAACAAATTCCGATGACTACGACTTTAACTTGAACTAACAAGAAAGCGCAGATACAGAGTATCAAAGAAGTATGTTCTAGAATGTATCGCCTCAGTATAAAAAGAGAATGCTCCGCATGTCTTAGGTCTGGCTTGAACCTGGTAAATCAGACTACTAGCTCATTGTTTCTGGCAGACAATGATTTTCAATGGCAGTGATTCTTTGAATTAATCTGAAAGACAGCCAGTCGCCGAGAATCAGATCAAAGCATTCTGATTCACGCATCAATGATCTGAGAATTAGGGCTGCTCTGGTCTAATCTTGATTTGAGTAACAGATACACCACCTGAGCAGCTATCCTTGATTAATGCAGGTTTAACAAGGACAGGGCCACTATATTGGGCATTTACTGTCCAAGTATACCTCACCTTAAGCAGTCCAATTCATTTGAAATCCAACATTGAAAATTCAACCACCTGGCATCTCAGCTGAAGTCCGCCAAGTGCTAAGTGCCTAATGCCATGCTATGGCAACCAGATAACAAGATAAGAGACTTACCGCCTAATCAAAATAGGCAAAATAGTCACTAGGCGGTGTAGAACCGCCGAGCTTTATTTTCCATCAACTTCCTCTCATCGTCAACACTGAAAGGCTCGATTCACGTTTGATGATCCCATGCATTGGCGGGATTGCTACTCTCCTCCCTCCATGCCTGGAATCTCAGAACCCTCAGATTTAGTGGCGGCAGGCTGGAGGAAACGCAAACGCGACCATGAAGACTCCACCACATTGGCCCGGCCGTAAGTTTATCACCCGTCCAACAGGAATTCAATCTATCGATTCTAGCGTCCTCTTTTCTTTTTCTCCGATTAAGGTAGCTGACCGTGCTTTGTTTGTTACAGAACTACATTTATGCCATTTCGAGTAGATCGGCCTGATAGGGATATGGGCTGCTCATTACCCCTATCCCGACTTCCATCAGAAACTAGTGATCTCTCCTGTCGGCCACGCTGTCTACCTCGTAAACGACGACACGTCCAACCTCCTTATCTTACTCTCCCAGCACATCAGCACCAACATCAACAATCCTCCCTCCTTTCACCTAATATCTATGCCTCACCACAAGACCCCTATTCTCCACCCGTTTCCCCAAAAACACTCGTCCCTCTCCCTTATCCACCTACATCTACATCGCCTTCAGCACTAAGACCATGCCATATATGTCACCGTCGTCCAACAACGCGACAAGTGCTAGATGCATACGCAGATTGTGATCTATGTAATCAACGGGCATGTTTTATCTGTCTTCGACAATGTGACGCTCTATCCTGCCCGGGGGCCAAATTGAGCACTGGCAGGATACCGGGACAATCAGATTCCGATATCTATGGTTCTGGCACATTTGACGATGAAGACACAAATTCTCGACGGAAGATTTGTTCCAGTTGCTCTGTCGAGGGCATCACCGAGACAGGCCTGGAAACCGTCCGATGTCTTGACTGTGTAGGAAGTCATGCTTGGTCTAAATCTAGAACTCCGGGATGGACACTAGATACGATGAATCATGATCATATGATTGGATAGCCTTTATATTACTTCTACATGCGATATATCTCAGAGTTGAGATGTACGACATATCATGAGCGCATGGAAACGACCCTATGAGATTGCAGGTTATTCTTTTGATTTGGATTATTAATTGACGGATTTTTGGGGAGTTGAGTATGCATAGGGAAACTATTTTCTCTGTTTTTTTCGGCTCGGCATGGCGTGATTATCTTGCTTATATCGTTTTGTTTCTATTTCTTCGGCATGGCACGGCGATACCAATTTAAATTAATGCACATGGTTGAGAACAAGACAGCATATGTATTTGATACAGGATATGAATATGTAGTCCTCGTCAATGCTGGTGGGTATAACATGAATATAAAAAAAGAGAGAGGAAAAATATGTAACCGTAATCCATCGAGTACAGTCCTGGTAAGTATACTCACCGTCCAAATCGCATCTGAGCACCAGCAAAATGCCATAGCCCCCGCATGAAACCCTGGTACTCAACCGCCTCTCCATATCCAGTGATACCATGGCTGCGATCACCAGTACAGTACATCTCCGTCAGACGAATCTGCCACGGGGGATAGCCATCGAGCTTCAAGAAAGCACCAAAGATCAGAAGTAGATCAGGTTCAGGCTTAATGATATCAGCCATGGAACGAACAGCCGTATCAAGCTGGAGAGGTTGGGAGGTGATTTCGCTAATCTCGGCGTCAACCAATTCCGGTGTGATATCCTCTGGAGAAAGTCTTCCATTCTGGGACATCTCGGCGAGAGTCTTGGTCAAGTCCACCAATGTTTCTCGGCCATCAGTCGAAGAGAGGAGAAGGAGGGTTAGAGGAGGAACCTCGGATTTGGAATTAGAGAGATCGCCATAGACAGGATGGTGAGGCGCGAAGACTTGCAGAGTAGGTTGTTGCGAGGGGGAACCGAAGTAAGAGGCGAGTTTGGCATTGATGATCTGGTGAAGGGCAGGGATACAGGATTTAAGAGCACCTGTTAGATTCTGAGTTAGTTCATCGATACTTCTTTTTCTGGGATATTGTGGTTCATGTACCTGTCTTCTCATAAATGCTGAGCTGTGGAATCCCCGCACAGGCACTCCAGGCTGCTAACTCGGCCACCTCATCCATTAACACGGCTAACGCATCATCCTCCGTGCGAAGATTGAGAATAATACTCAGATGCTGTGGCAAGCGTTTCAAGCCACGAACATCCTTGCGAATGAGTTCGGGAGTGCGGTGGTGGTGATAGACAATAGCAAAGATGCGTTCCACGACAGCATGGTAGGCTTGTAAAAGGCGCACGATGATTCCAAAGATAATATGGGTAAGAGAATAAGTCAGACGATGAATCTGTGATTTGACAAAGGTTCGGATGGGCGTTTTGCGAGTCTTTTGGCGTCGTGAGCCGGTGGCGGAGGTCGCGGTGGACGCTCTGGGTCGGGTCTGCGGTAGATCGGAGGGGTCAGGAAGGTATGGTTTAATGAGGTTTTCGCGATCAGCGGCCGAGAGTTTAGTCCCTCGAGAACGAATCTCAGCGCGCAAGATGTCGCGCTCTTGTTGGGAGACCATGGTGTGGTGAGTGAAGTCCAGATGTCCAGATGTCCAGGTTGCAAGATTCAAACTTGTCGAACTTGGCGGGAACGTGCTCAGTACAGTGGACACCTATACTCTATACTCTGCAATGGACAGGCAGTCATATTTATACACATAAAACATGAATATAGAGCTGAAATATTTTATTTAATTATTTCCCTTATTCTTTACATCTGATATCATGGTTATTATAATTAATTGAACTATAGAAATTCAGATTCAAGTTCCCACTCAACCTTGGAAGTGCTAGTAGTGCGGTATATATACATGGAGTGCACTCTAATTAAAACTCACCTGTGGACCTGCCACTACCTAGGTACCTAGGTACTAGTAATTATAATACTACCCGTGGACTCAACTTGAACGCCAATATAATAAATATATGAACTAATCCATATTCAAGTATAAGAACCTCAAGCACTGAGTGCTTGGAGAGCTAAATAGGTAGAGGTATCCTGTTCAAGTTAAACTGTTCTTGGTTCCAGTCTAGTATTAGGTAGCTAGTATCTCTTCATGCCTTCCAAGGTTGACCAAGCACTTTTACTAGTATAATCGGGTGTATGCGTCAATAGAGTCCCTGTGATTCTGAAATTACAGTCTTAAGCCATCTAGTGGAGATGTAAAGATGATTTATCAATATGGCGGGAAGGCATATACTTCGTGGCATTACGTGGCTATTGTGGCATTTGTAGCCGCAACTCCGAGTCTCCAACTTCGTGCTCAGCTTCCCCGGATTCTTCAATTACTCTGCCCTCACCAACTAAACAATAACATCTCAATTACTACCTCGAAACTTAATATCACCCAGATAATCTAATAACCGACTGGACTCAATTGATTTTTCGGCCACGGCCCATGACCTGCCGTCACCATGATGCCCGATAATGCATCCATCCTCTCCTCCAACCCCGCCCGCACAGTCTTCCCCAAGGGCCCTAGTTTCTCCCTTGAAGACTTCTCCAGTCGCGACTTCATCGTCAAGGAATTCATCGAGGCCCTATCCGACACTGCCACCTCTACGCGTCGGTCCGCGGTCGGAACCACCTCTACAAACCAACCATTCGATCCGAAACCCCTCATCCGTACCTTTGAAGGCGCACAACGACGACTAGACGAGCTCTCCGGAGATCTGGAAATTAGAGAAAATGAACTCTCCGCTGCCGTGCGCCGCGCAGAAGCTCAGCATTCGCAAAACCTCACCTCCCTGGGACGGAAGCTGCGCCAAGCTATCGATTCATTCCAGCAGCTCGATACATCGCTCAATGGCCCCGGATTGGAGAGCACAGGCGGAACCGGAAACATGGCGGTGGAAACAGGAAGGAGACTGGAGGAGCTAGACCGACAGCGCCGACGCGCACTAGATGCTCACTTTCTGCTGGAATGCTGGGATGGAGTCTCCAATCGCGGCGAAATCTCGCTCTTGGAGAATCTGCGACGATCGGGGACAGGAGAGGCCAAGGTGCGCTCTGCGCATATCGCAAGGCAGCTACTGCGCATTAGTCAACGGCTTGATCCGCAGAGCTGGCAGCAACATCTATCCACAAATGGGAACCACGGGGCCAGTTCTCCATCTGAGGATGGTCATAGTGGACAGAGTACACCGCGTCGGAATACGAGGGAGATTATTGAGAAATTCTCCGAAACTCTCGAAAAGGATCTATTGAAGCAATTTGATGATTTCTACCGAAAGGCGAACTTTGATGGGATGAAGGATTGCGCAACCGTGTTACAGGACTTCAACAGTGGTTCCAGTGTGATTGCACTGTTCGTGAACCAGCATCAATTCTTCATCGACCGGAGCCAGCTAGTGACGGAGGAAGTGGGAGGTGATGCAGAATCATGGGAGAAGATGGCAGACCCTGATGCGGAGTTGCCAGGAGTCGAGCCGAGTCTTCAGTCATTACTTGATGAAGTTAAAGTGGTGGTGCAAGAAGAGTCGGCGATCATTAAAAGGGCATTTCCTTACTACGAGCAAGTACTGGGTAAATTTCTGCAACGAGTCTTCCAGCAATCCATCCAACAGCGATTGGAAATGGTGCTGGAGAAGGCCAGTGGAGTCTCGTCTTTGGCCTTTCTACGATGCTTACAGAGCTCTCGCGGTTATATCAGTGCTTTGGTCGATGACCTTAAGGCACACGGATTAACTGAGCACCCCGATCCCATCTCCTCCCAGACTGCACTTTTACTAGATCAGCAACTGGAGGAGCTCTTCGTCCCCTACTTTGTAGGATCATCATACATCGAGCGTGAGAAGCGCACACTTGAAGACCTCTTCAATGCGCTTTTGTTCAAATTCACCAGCTACCAGGCCCGCCGCAAGAAGGCCGCCACCACCTTCATGGCATCATTGTCGCGCCCTGGCACCGAGTTGCTTTCCACCACTCGGGATGCATTTATCGCTCGGCTAGACTCGACCGATATCTCTCCGTTTCAGAGACGCACCTTACTTTACGTAGCCAAACTGGGAGATATTCCCGAGACGATGCGATTGACCGAAATCAAACTAACAGAAGAGGACGGAATGCCCAATCTAAGTGATGCGAAGCGAATGCTGAAGTGGCTAGCGGAAGCAGTGGGTCGTGGACTAGAACTGAGCGTCAATGCCGAAACCCACAAAGACGTGTCAGCTCTGCTAAACCTTCTGCTGCTTACAATGGGCGAGGGATACATCGATGTTTGCCTAGATGCCGCCATGGAGTCAGCCACATCGCAAGAATCGAGTAAGAATGAGCCCGATTTTGGATACCTCCTTTCCGTACGGACCACAATTAGCATTGTTACATTAATGGTAATGTGTGTGAATGCGGTTCTTCTCCCTTGGCAACAGTCAGTATCACGACTCGACGGGATATGGAGAAAAGGCTCAACCAGGCGACAACCCGATTTGAGGATAAGATCAATACGATCCAACAGAAGACTATTGACGGGACCCTCGCGTGGGTTAGCCGGTTACTTTCGGGACAAAAGAAGAATGATTTCCGGCCTCGTGAAAGTGACAATCCTGCATGGCTAGAGATGTTACAAACACCTGTGAGTAATACCTCAAATTGACAGATCCAAATGCAAGACTAACACACACATCTAGACCTGCGCCTCAATCTGCGCATTCCTCACGCGGCTGCATAACATCGCACGCACCTCATTACCCTCTAGCGGGTCCAACGTGCGGCAAGTTCTAACCGAGATCGCGTTAGGAACGCGCGGACTGTTACTAGAGCATTTCAAGCGGTTCGCCGTTAGCGGGCCCGGTGGATTAATGGTGACGAAGGACATGACTCAATATGCGGACTTGCTTAAATCCTGGGATCTAGACGATGAGACCAAGGCTACTGGTGGCGCGCTGGACGTGCTACTAGAGGTTGGTAGTTTGTTTGTTATTGGTGTGGAGGCACTTCGTGAACGGATTCGTGGTGGTGCTGCAAGTGGTACTACTGGGGGCTCTAGTGGATCACGAAGCACTCAAGAGGTCAAACTCAGTGTTCAAGAGGTACGAGCGTATGTTTCTCGTCGGGAAGACTCGAATACTTTTGCGATGCAATCAGTTTTGAACGCATTGTGAGGAGTACACATCCACACTCCACCTGGATAGAGACATCCAAGGATATGAGAACTTTAATAAATTGGACCGGAGTATTGGAATCTTCTAAATGACTTGTCATATACCTAGCAATGGGAATAATAAGTCTTCTTCTCCCCTCCTCTTCTATGGAATTGTGTAAATTGTTCTCGGAAAGAATAGCCTCGGTCGAAATGCACCACAGAGTATAGAGTAGATGTATCACTTTTTTGACGGCATTACGTGCATGGCACTAGAAGATTGAATCACGCGTGGCTTTCAATGTTGTCAATGGTGTAAAATCCCTCGAATTTGCTTTCTTTGTTGAAATGCTTTTACGAGTTCACTAGTCGCTGTAGTGGGGCGAGGCTGACAGCTCATCACCGTTCATCTTGTACATCCCTTCCCCTTGACAGTTCGGAGAGTCCGTGATAGACAACATACTACTCCTTTCTCCTTAATGTTTTCTTCTTTCAAGTTCTTCTCCTATTCAGTATCCGTAGAACTCCGAGCCTTCTTAGTGTACGTAGATTGATTTTTTATTTTTCTATAGAAGATTCTCGCCAGGATTCTATTCTCAACGGCCTTTAGATTAGACCTTAGATTAAACCTGAATATCTCCGATCCTAGAAGCTTCCTTACTGCAAACAATGGAGAAAAAGGTTTCAGATTTCCCGTTTCAGTTCGCGCCGATAGGGCTGCAAACCTTGGAAAGGATCGAAGATCGAGGCCTGACCAGCACAGCTGTACCTGGGCGCATACAGTAAATGGATCGGATTGGGTACGAAGTAACTCCGTTCTCCATACTCCGTACTCCATGTCCATGCATATGGTGTTCAAGTACATGAGAGGTGTCTGTTCTCCGGAGTTTGAAGTGGGTAATAGATGAGAGTCAAAGTCTAATTGGTTCTCTGTGCCCCTTACTCCATAATGTACCGAGTTGGAATTGGAGTTGGTGGTGACACAGCGTATCGAGTTTAATTATCTGTCCGACGCGATCAGCAGTAATAAAATACTGGAATGGATAATGAAATAAAGTAAGAACCTCAAGTGCGAACCTCAAGTACGTGGGCTTTGATCCAAAAATGAGATCGAATAATGACCCTGTCTCACCCGTTCGGTTCAACGGTTGAAGTTCATGACTGGTCACATTTGGGGGGGGGGGATCGGACTCTAGATTCCTGAGCTCCACTTGGTGGGTTTGGCGCCAGTCGAGCGCTCGGAGAGGTGACAGGTCTTGAAATAGATCGTCCTGTCACATCACATAGGTCTGTGCGTGTCCAGCTGCGGAGTTTGCTGTACTGGACTGGGGGGGACTCTGCGTTATTCCCGGTAGGATAATGAGAAAAAGTAAAAAGTAATAAAGAAAAAAACCGTTCTCATTGATGCTTATGCCAATCATGTTGATTTTGACGGGAAATGTATCCCTTGTGGATTAGCTCTGTGGATCGTGGATGAAGTGGGAGGTCCAGGGTCTTGAAGCTGCCCAAGTGTATATATCGAGGATTCTCCGCTTTCTCAATTGTAGCCTCACTCTTTCCCTCCTCTACTCTACGATGCTCATTCAAGTACTGTGGACAAGGTGACATCAACGCATCAATACGACAAATATTGATATATTCAACTGAACGGTGCTTTTTTTTTTTTTCAGAATGTTCTATTGATCCTCGAACAGCGGTTCATCCGACTACTAGTACATATATCGGCCTCGGAGATTGCTCTCAGATCTGGATCAAATCATTTCATCCAGTGCCAGTATTACCAAAGTTCAACTTCCACCGGCCTGAACAACTCAGGTGCCAGAAGATCATACACACTCAGTACCAGTACACTGCCGGGCAGTGTGACCTGTCCAAGACATGACTAGTATGCCTGCATACAGTGAGGAGGATATTGCCTCTTTACCCCCCGCCATCAGAAGAAAGGTAAGGATCCTTCCAAAGTTTGTGCACTGACTCTGTGCATGCAATCTCTTCTTGCCCCCTTATGTGGATCATTTTCCTCGATAGTGTCCTCGATAGCTTCGGCCCCAAACTAAAACAGGCACTCATCATCGATGATCTTCTCAACCGCATATCCTTCCCTTATACTGTTTCATATCTATTTCCCCTGGCTTATACTACACCCTGTTCACCTTCATACCTGTCCCTTTTCCTATCTCTGCCCACTTGTGTGTTTGTGTTCAGACCTCCTGAATCCGGGTGGAGCCCGCCAGCTCCCGCACTATCACCCATGGCGCTGTACGTGCTTAGACCACATTGGCGCATGGGAGTGCTTGGGGTCTCCACTTCCACCTTTCTTTGATCATTTTGCTTTTGGGCTCCACTTTGCAAGAAAAAAAAAGCGGTTCATGGGCTGATCCCCTAACAGTTCTTCTCGAATGTCGAGCGGTTGCGTATGCGGTTAGATCAGGATGCCCCTGGTTGCTCCACGTCAGACCATGCTCGAGTATATCGGTCGAATAGCGCTCACGGGCCAAGCCTCCACTCGCGCGGGCTTCGAACTCCTCCCGGAAACAGGAGACGGGGGTTAGAGAAGCGGATCACTTCACCTAAGAAATTGCGCAAACCCGGTTCCTTGCAATCGGCCTACTTGATCGCCCAAGCCGACTCACAATGCTTTCACGCTCTCCCCGCTAAGGTACAGCAAAAGCTTTTCTCTCCCGAGGAACGTCGTCGCTTGCGCCTCGCCTATCGTGAGAGCGTCATTCTGGACGCCGCCGACGAGGCATTCTATCGCGATTCTAATTCCCGACGACGACTGTCTACCGATTCTTTGCCTTCTTTGCCGTCGGAGACCTCTCTTCTATTGACCACCCCGCCTCGGTCTTTTGGGAATCGGATTCCAATTCCGACGTGGACTCGGACTCGGAAGAGCTAGATTCAAAGATGGACCAATCAATCTATGACAGTTTCCGCTGGCTCGACGGCGATGGAGATTTGGATTTGTCGCTAGATGAGTATCATGCGCATATCGCCGATGCAGCCATCAGAAAAGCTCCTCGCCGTCGAACCTCTTTCCGTCGTTCATTATCTTTTTCAACATATTCCTCCCCCAAGCATCGTCAAACCGCATCGGTGCCACCTCAGAACGCCATCCCTCGAAGCATCCCACCAAGCCAATCATTACCCCCATTCGGTCCTCTTCTCAACCACAATCCCTCTTCGCGTCCGGGATCTCGCAACCAGTCCAGCCATGCTCCTAAATCATCCACTTCCAGCATGGACCCGTCCGCCCAATATTACCAAGATCCCGATGCTCGTCTGAAACTGCGCGTGTACCTTGCGTCGCCACAGAAATTCGACGAAGCAATTGAGTTCGGGTTTCCAGCACTGGACCAAAACAAGGAGAACATGGCACCAGAAACCCACTCCCCTTCGATCTCGATGGCACAGGAATACGCCGGGACATTCTTCGAAGACGACGATGGAACAATGGTTGGAAGTCCAGGAGGTTCAGTGGTGGAAGAGCCTGCTCTATCCATGGCATCCCAGATGCGAGAAACTCCCCGTCCATCCGTGGATACACCATCACTACTACAACGTCGTCAGTCATTCTTACCGGCATCTCGAACTGGTCCGCAGCGATTACCTGGAAATCGCGAAATGACATTAAAAATGACATTAACACGACCGGACCTTCGAACTGAGTCTCCAACCTCATCACCCTCCTCCGAGGATCCCTTGCGACTTGCCGCTCTACCACCAGCCGATCGGAACCAGCATCTATGGGATGATCTGGACGATGAACAAAGCGTGGTAAAGAAAATGTGGCGCAAGTTACGTCGCAGAGCATGAGCTAGATCTCATGCTACTTATATAAGTTCTTCTGCATACAGCAGGTCTTTCTTTATTGTTTTGGTCTTCGACCTCTTTCTTTCACTTGACCGCTCATTCAGCGTATGACTTTTTTATCTTTCTCTCCGCTGTTCTTCATTCTTTATGTGTCGTTAGGACGATTCTTATATCCTTTATTCTGCATCTGGGTCTAGCGTTGGTTTGGTTTTGGTTCCATCGTGATCTGGATTATTTCTTGTATCTAGTTGAGATGCAGCGTTGTATATATGTGCTGAGCGATGCTCGTAAGACACAACTGATGACTCTACTATCTTTCTGCTAAAAGTGTTAACTTGTAGTACTGTATATCCCTGTATACAAACCCTTGCCGAGGTAAGTATCTGCAGAGCTGGGAATCTTCTTTATAGAGCCCGGAATGCCTCAGGTTTCATATCCTTCGATTCAATTTTAAGACGATATGTATGATATTTTAGTAGATATAAGATAACATTGGATTAGTCGGACAATGGCATTCTCATCGTCATAGATATCTTCATCTATACTCCGCTGTCTCCACGACCTCGGGAAGTACCATGGATCAACATTTGAAAGTAGGTACGTGCTGATAACGATAACCATCACGTGATACCCAGAGCTAGGCTGAGGCCACGACTAACTCCCTCATACTTCTCTCATCGACATTCGAATTCCCATTGTGCATAACCTGCTATTGAGCTTCAGGCTGCAGTCTATCTTTATCTATTAATCCATTTTCTATCCCATCAAACCTCACTACATTCGTCTCCCACCTCCTCCGGATCCGGTTTAGGCAAACACCTCTACTCCGTCCTCCCCACCGTGACCCAATCAGATGCAGGTGTATCAGCCCTCATGATATCTCGGTGGTTGTTGCTGGTGGTCGGTTTGCTAGTGGCTCTGACCACGCAACCGATCGCCGCAAAGGGAGATAAACCCAAGGCCACAGCCACAGAGCTAAGCCACAGACCACTAGGTCTGTTCTACTTCGAAGGCACGAACACAATCCTGTATCAAGATGAGCACGCGCGAAACGCCCATATCTCATTCGACGGCGGCGAGGAGTGGGAAGTGATTAAAGGCGATGATGGAAGTATGGAAGGGAACGCGGTGTTCGTTTTACCGCATCCCCATGACAACGACCGTGCGTATGTGATCGGTCGAAGTGGAACGCACTGGGTCACGACGGATCAGGGTAAGAGCTGGAGATCATTCTCCATTAAAGCTCCTCCTATGATTTCCATGCGCAGCAATCCGATCAATTTCAATGGATGGGATCCTAAGAAGGCGATCTTCATGACAGTGGAATGCAATATCATTGGATGCATGACAGAGGCGTTTTATACCACGGACGATTTCGAGACAATTACCTCCCTGCGAGAAATGGTCTATGAATGTTCGTGGGCTGCAAGTACCCCACAATTTGGACAGGACTTGGATGGACTGTCTGACACAATGGAACTTGCATTGGAAGACCGCATTTTGTGCGTGGTACCCGGTCTACGAGATGCAGATCGATCCGAGCGTCTCGTCTACTCTGATAACTACTTCCGCGATGATGTGACCGGCACCGAAGTCAAGCTGAACCAGGGACGTCCTGTTAGTGGTATGGAGATTAAGGTGCGCGCCGTCAAGAAGTACATTGTGGCGGGTGTGCAATCCCGGGGTACCACTGAACAGGCCCTGTATATCAGTGATGACTCGAGTGAATGGCATCGCGCAGAGTTTGGCGGGTACCGCATGGACCAGGATGCATACACCTTGTTGGAAAGTACAAACTATAGTATTCAGCTGGACGTGCAGACTACCTGGCATGATAACCGTGTTGGCGTGCTTTTTTCCTCTAACTCAAACGGCACTTACTTCACGCCTAACATCGAACATACCAATCGGGATCTGAATGGCTTGGTTGACTTTGAGAAGCTTGCTGATATTCAAGGCATTGTGATTGTCAACACGGTGAAGAACTGGGAAGAGGTGGAAGAGTCTGACAAGACCGCTAAGCAGCTGCGTACTTTGATCAGTTTTGACGATGGACGAACAAACCAGTCTCTCAAAGTTGATGGTGACGATTTGCATCTCCACTCCATGACCACTTATGATGAACTCCGCGAGCTGAGCTCTTTGGGTCGAATGTTCTCCAGCCCTGCTCCTGGCCTGGTCATGGGTGTGGGTAACACCGGTGACCATCTGGGCAAATACAGCGAGGGTAATCTGTATGTATCCGACGATGCTGGACTGAACTGGCGACAGGCGCTGAAGGGCCCTCACCGATTCGAGTTTGGTGACCAAGGTGGTGTCATTGTAGCCGTCAAAGATGGTGACAGCACTGGCAAACTGCAGTATTCTATTGATCATGGAAAGGAATGGGAGGAGATCGAGCTCAAGCACAAGGTCAAGACTTTATTCCTGACCACAACTCCGGATTCAACGAGTCTCAAGTTCCTTCTTGTGGGAATGAAGAAGGACAATGATGGATATATCATTTACTCCATCGATTTTGAGGGTCTTCATGAGCGCAAGTGCACCAAGGACGACGTGGAGACCTGGCCCGCTCGCGTGGACGAAAAGGGCGAACCGGATTGCTTGATGGGTCATAAGCAGTTCTACCAGCGTCGCAAAGCCAACGCCAACTGTTTCATGAAGAACGAGTTCAAGATGGATGCGCCAATCTTTGAGCGATGCAAGTGTTCCGCTGAGGACTTTGAATGTGATTACAACTTCAAGCGCTCTGCAGACCGCACGGAATGCGTGCCGGCAGTTTCTTTGACAGCGCCACCAGGACAGTGTAAGGAACCTACTGACACTTACCTGGGTCCATCGGGATGGCGACTTATTCCTGGCAATGCGTGTATCCGTAAGGACGGCGAGGATCTGTCCAAGGAGGTGGAACGACCATGCGGTGACTCCACTGGATCTCCAGTGACCGATGGCAAGATCCATGCCGGAAAGCCACAAGAGTTTTCATCACCGCAGGCCGAATACTTCTACCTTGAGCGACAAGCGAGTAACTCTGGCGACGACGAGACCATCTTCATGCGTACGATGAAATATGAACTCTGGATTACCCACGATCACGGCAAGACCTGGGAGCAACCGGCCAGTATCCAGGATGAGAGTGTGCTGAAAATAATTCCACACCCTCATTACACCGATGGTGCCTACTTCCTGACCAGCAGTGGCTTCGTTTACTCGACCATTGACCGAGGTTACTCATTCAAGAAGTTCAAGCAACCCACTGCGTTGGTCCCGAAGTACTTCTCGCCATTGGCTTTCCATGCGAAATACATGGATTGGATGATCTGGATCGGTGCTGATGACTGTTCCGATAATAACTGTGCCTACGACGCGTATTTCAGCAAGAATCGCGGTCACGAGTGGCAGTTGATGCTTCGCGGTGTTAGCTCATGCAAGTTTGCATACACTGAGAAGCGTGGCGAAAGCCCCGAGCTTGTTCTTTGTGGCCAGTATGCCCAGGAGAATCCCAAGAACAATCGACAACTGGTGTCCAGTGACTCGCTGGATAGCTGGTCCGATAAGAAGGTGATCTACGAGAATATCGCGGACTTTGCCATGATGGATGAGTTCATTGTTGTGGCGACATATGCAACGGATGATCACAAGTTCTTAAATGTCAGCACCAGTCTCGATGCCCGTGTCTTTGCTGAGGCTCGTCTGCCGTTCAATATCGATGCGCCTCAGTACACTGTGCTCCAGGGATCCCCCTATGCCTTGTTCTTGCATGTGGAGGTCAATGCCAAGGAGGGCCAATCATATGGTTCACTGGTTAAGAGTAACAGCAACGGCACTTACTTTGTCCAGTCGCTGGAGGCTCTGAATGTGAATGACTATGGCTATGTGGACTTCGAAATGATGGCTGGCGTTGAAGGTGTCGCGATCGCCAATGCTGTCCGCAACAAAGACGACGTTCAGAGCAAAGGAACTGCTAAGAAGCTGATCTCTGTCATCACTCATAACTCCGGCGGCCAGTGGGCGGCATTGGCGCCTCCTGAGCGGGACATCGACAAAAAGAAGTTTGAATGCTCTAGCAAGGCCAAGGGTGAATTTGACTGCGCACTCCATCTTCACGGCTACACCGAGCGAAGCGACTGGCGCGACACTTTTTACTCCGATTCTGCCATTGGCATGATGGTCGGCTTGGGCAACGTCGGCGACTCCTTGTCTGATGCCAAGGATGCCGATACATTCTACAGTCGAGACGGCGGCTTCACCTGGAACCAAGTCATGAAGGGTCGCTACATGTTCGAGTATGGCGATGCCGGATCGATCATTGTGCTTGTTAGTGAGTTGCAGCCTACCAAGGTAGTTCACTACAGTCTCGACGAGGGAGAGACTTGGTTAGAGTTTCAATTCTCAGACACAGCGATGATCGTCAATGATATCTCGACTGTGCCATCGGACACCTCGAAGAACTTCCTTCTTTGGGGTGGAGAGAGAACCACCGGCAAACTCACAACAATCAATCTCGACTTCAGCGCTATCTGGGACCGACAGTGCGAGCTGGAGGTTGGCAATGGCGAGAAAGATGAATACTACCTCTGGAGTCCTCAACACCCTGCTCAGCAGGATGGCTGTCTATTTGGACACATTGAGCAGTACAAGCGCAAGAAGCCAACAGCGGAATGTTGGAACAACTGGCGCGAGGCACAAATCCACCGAGTTGAAGCTGGAAACTGTACCTGCACTCGAGCAGACTTCGAATGGTAAGTCATTAATACACGAACTGTGAGGACCTCACTTGCTAATTATATTCTAGTGACTACAACTACGAACTTCAAAGCGATGGCAGCTGTGCACTTGTCCCTGGTCTCGCCAAACCCGATCACAGTCTCCAGTGCCAGGATAACCCCGATCTAATCGAGTACTGGGAACCAACAGGCTACCGCAAGCTTCCACAATCCACCTGTCAAAGCGGCGAGCAAGATCTAGATCGCCAAGTTCCACGACCTTGCCCGAACAAACAAAAAGAGTTTGACCGCAAACACGGAATTAGCGGCGTGGGACTCTTCTTCGCGATCGTGATCCCCATTGTCGCCGCAACAGGCTTTGGATACTTTGTATACACACGATGGGATGGAAAATTCGGACAAATTCGTCTCGGCGAACGATCCAGCGAGTCGGGTGGCTGGTTTAATCGGGATTCACCACTGATTTCTATTCCCGTGATGATCATTGCTGGGATTGTAGCAGTTGCTCAGGCATTACCATTAGTAGCGTCGAGTGTATGGCGCAGTGTCTCTGGATTTACGCGTCGTGGTCGGGCCTCACAGCGTCCATATGCAACCCGTGGCTCCTTTGCTGCTCGTCGCGGGGATTACACACATGTGGTTGATGATGAGGATGAATTGCTGGGTGCGGATGAGTTTGATGATGATGAAGAAGCGTAGACTTTGTCTCCACGTAATGGAAGTTTGATCTGATTGATGTGCTATTATGAACTTGCCATATATTTTGTTTTGGGTTTCGTTTGATCTGTATTACATAGCTGGAATTTACTTGGGCTACCTACTCTAACCACGAAGGGTTCAAATGTAAGCAGAAACACTTTGAATAGTATCTTGCTACTAGTAATCGTATTTCTTCAGTGGATCCAGATGGAATTTGAAGTAGACGAGTTACATACTCCAAACATGATAGCTATGATGAATCAATAAATTGACCAAGGCTATCAATTCCCCAAATCCAGGCCTGCTCTTGAGCGAATCCAGAGCCAGAAGTCATGAAATCAGAAAACTCCAAGTCATGGCCAGAGAGAGCTGAAACAGTTAGCTAGCCCCAGCATGTCTAAGTCAGGAACTGGAATTACCTTGATCAAAGTTACACAAAGCCTGTGACATAGCTGGATCATGCACATAATTAAACACATCACTCTCCAGTAGAGCATCAAATCCAGCCATCGACTCAATACAGTCTGCTGAGTCCTGCACTGGTAGATTTGATATACCAGGCAGAGTACCAATATCACTATTCACCGATACCTCAGGAGTAAACATCTCCTTCATCTCTTTATCCAGCACCAACTTGATCAACCGCTGAAGAACCTCCAATCCCTGAGCCGCAAGTACAGACCTGGAAGTAGATTCTAACTGCATCTGCATCTGCAGCACTTGACGCAATCCCATCTTCGATGCATGCGAATGCACAGTCAAGGACTCAATACTCGCCAATATGCATAACATAACACCAGCGGTAAAGGTATGAATCCCGATGAATGTCACCGCATAAGTATCAGCTGCAAGAGGAAAGATCGGCGTACTTCCAATGCTAGATGTGCTCAGTGCTGCCTCTCTGCAAGTCTGTAAAGATCTCTGGAATGGATCTTGTGCCTGTTCTGTATCACCGGGATCATTCGGGATCATTTTGTAAGTTAGTAGTGGCCGATGAACCAGAATCCTGGTATTCTGATATGCAAGTTCCAGCGTGAGTGCTTGAAGCTGGCAGATATGATTTTCGAAGCCAGGACCCTTTGCTCCGATATCTTGATCCATTTCATCCACGGAAGAGTATGTCCTCTGAGAATTCAATTTATCCATACAAAGTAAATCTGGAATCTCAGCTTTCCAATCCTTTAGTCTCGCATCTAGAGCGGAAACTTTGCGAATCAAGTTGCGGAGATTAAAATTTTCTGATCTGTCAGAGCTAACTCCTGTTGCTCTATAAGAGCCAATACCATAGAGATCCGTAAGGGTATCTTTAATCAAGACCGATAACTTCGACATCAGATACTTGTAAGAAAGTAGAGTAGTCGGAAATTGATGAGTAGAGCTAAAAGAAGCAGGTGAATGAACCGTCCTCACCAACGGATCCAAAAGCTCCACATCACAATCTGCATCCTTGATGCTCAGTGGATACCCATATGACATGGAGCAAAAAGTCTCAATCTCATAGATAGCCCACCAACATCGTTTCCTGGTCTCATATTTTCTCTGCGTCTCAGGATCTAAAGAGCCTGAACTAGGTACCCTTCGATGCAGATTTAAAGCTTGTGCAAGTCTCAATCCACAACCACAAACCGGCCACGCGAGACCCGGATTCCCATGGTAAAGGTAATAAGTCCCTAATAAGACACAAGTTTGCACTGCTTCTAATGAAGCTAATGACACGATATCGAGTAACTTGGCGCGAATAATTGAGAGGAATTTTTCTTTCAGGGTAGAAGAATCTACACCGTATTCACGGAGAAGATGCTGTCGATGAGATCCAGTGTATTGTAACGCGATAGCAATAACCACAAGGAAAGTACTCATAAATGCAGGGTTGGGATAGCTGTCTATCAGATGTTCTCGTGAATCGTACATCGCTTGCCAATCTCGTCGGAAATCTTCTTGGTGAAATATCAGCATGAACCAGTGGACTCGGTCGAAGTAGGTATCCACTAATAGAGCAGCTACTTCTCGTGATGGGAGAAGAGAGACTAGATCTGTGATTGTTGATTGGAATTCTCGGAGTCGTGGGTTGGTGACTGGTACTGTCCCTGCTTTTCTTGGTTCTCGGATGCCAGTAGTAGTTCCGGGTAAAGCGGTTATCAAGGATGAGTCTGGCGTGGAGGAGTTGTGGAGATGGAATGCCTACTCGACATGAGCATAGATCTGGAGGCTTATTAGGAATATTTATGTTACCCCTTCTACAAGAGACATGGTTGAACTTGACCATGGCTGCTGCTGTTGCTGTTCCGTAGAAGTAGACGGACGGGAGGGGTTTTTGGACTGATCTGTTTTTTGCGCCCGCTTTCTTTTCGGAGCCGAGTTACCCGATGAGTCGGCCTGAGGAGATTGAAACGATCTCCATTGATCAACAGCACCGGATTGACAATCGATCCCGGCACGAAGACACAAAGTACACGGCCGTTGAATATCGCACTAAGAAATTAGTATCGGATCGTTCGGTATATGAGAGTGTTCTTACCTTAAGCTTCTGAGCTCGGCAGCGTTTGCAGGCACTTCCGACCTTTGTTCGCTTTCTCGAGGTCATGGTATCGATATGATTGAAGTAGTATGTGTGATGTTGAAGATGATGATATTGAGGTGGAATTATAGCCGAAAAGGGAAGTCATTCCGGTTGATGACAAAGCTCGCTTCATAAAATACCCAGGTAATATAAGCCTGATCATAAATGAATACCGAGAGAAAGGATGAGAGAAAAAAAGAAAAAGAAAATTACCATGGGAGGTGGAATTGAACCGGAGACCTTGAAATCAGGTGTGCATCAGAGGGAGTGGTGAGAATGCTGTGAATAGCCTCACTTGATCACCTAGTACCACCACCACAAGGTCCACAACACCCTCTATATCTCACTCATTCTTGGATATTTTTGATTTTTAAACAGGAATAGAAAGAGCGAGTCTGAAAATATTTTATATAAAGACATCAGAATTTTTTTTTAAAAATGAATGGTCCCCAGCCGAAACTGGATGCCCGCAGGCCGTGGTGGCCCGTGGGTATTGACTCAGGGCAGACTATCATCTCATAAGTGCGATCTATTATACCTTCAAGTTCCAATATTTGAATTTATCAGCCGTATAATCCGAGACTCGGAGAAAATCTTTTATATAAACCATTCTCAAGACACCACCATGGCATTATACTTCTACGATTGTTCTGCAAAGTATCTCAGAGTCTTAATTTCTACTGGTCTTCCATACCATAAGCCAGCCCTGAGAAAGTGCCATTGAAAAGAATTGAATAGTTGATCTGGCCAGCCGGAACTGTCCAAATATTACCAATTAACCGTAGCTCTGGTCGTAAATTTGCGGGCTTAGCGAGTCGGACTTTTAGCGACTTTGGAGAACCCCGGAACGTCAATTGAGACCCTTTTCTTTTTTGTCGGCGACTAAACCAATGTACACCACCAGATGTCAGTTCCGTAGTTCCGTGACAAGCTGTACAAATGTAATGATCGACCTTCTTTTTAAGGCCGACACAGTGTGTATTCTGCCACGAATAGCACCCAGAGCAGCAGATACCACTTTCTTCAAGTCCTGCTCGTTCACCGCAACAGGGAATAAGAAGGTCGAACTTGTCAACAAGAGTATGCTTGAGCTGGCCCACCGAGTTGTAGTAACGAATCTCAGCGGCAAAGGAAGCCTGTGAAAGCGATAGCATATCACGCGGTTCCATTTCATGAAGAATCATCTGAAGAATCTCGGGAGGTATGCCGATCTGCGATAGTAGCGATCTTTCCCCATGTAAAGAAAACTTTCTCCAGCATTCTGATGTGAAGACTCGGGACAAAGTACGGAAGCCAGGAGAGCATTGCATCCCTGAAACATTGGAGAGCAGTATTAAGCGCTGGGAAATCACGATCGCTTTGCGAGAATATTCAGCAAATGCGACATATTGAGGTGCAAGAAGAATCAAGCGAATCGGTTTAAATTGGGGCTCTAGCTCTGCGAATGCAACTTGGCCTCCAATTTGGCTTTATTTATCGTCGCATCGGATGTGATATCTTCTTCCAGGACGATGAGATAGCTATGAAACCAGAATGTGTCTGATTCTGGATATTTCCAAGCAGGGATGGAAGAATAGGAAATTGGCAACTCAGATGCGACGTCGCCAGCCCCCGCAATCTCGATATCATACGCATGCAAGACGCAGGAAAGAAATATATAGCACTCTGAAAATGGGTGCGCTTTTCCAAGTCAAGGGATCATCAATATAAACGCGCCAAAGAAAAACAAAATCGATGAAGAATTGAGCTTGCAACTCATTCATGGGAGAAGGGAGACCAAAATCTATTTCAAGTGTGCGAGTCTCAGTGGTAATGGATTTGATTTGAAAGTCCTGAGTGTTGTTTTGAATAGAAATTGACGAGATCTCGGGCTCAGGCTTGTCAGACTCCTCAGGGTTCTCGGGGTTAGGGAAACATCCCATTATATCAATCTCTTCACATCCGTAAATCTTGTCAACATCGAACTTTATTGACGCAGGTACCAATGTTTCACCAACCACCTTCCAGAAGGATATTATCCAATAGCAAAAATCGTGATCAATAGTGTGGATGTAATCTAGATTCGCATGTATTGGGCTGCGGAACGGAATAGGTTCCCACTCATCAAGCTTGTCGGGCAGGGCACGCAGTTCTCGTATTCTTTCTCGCGTGTGCTTATTATACGGGTAGTTGATCTGATATCGTGGATGGTGAGTGCAATACCACTTGCCTATAAAGATTTATCAGCGCTGGTTCATCTTTCAAGAGCATAGTATCTCATTTACCGCGGTAATGGAGATTCCAAATGCCTCTGCGCCCCATGTCAACGGTTCACCGTCCAAGAACTCGATTTTGTGTTGCTTAGATCATAGAACTTGATAAATTCGATGCATATAGCGAATGAACTGACGCTCGGCTTCGGACTCTTGATAATCCTCCGTTGGTCTGCCGCCTTAGGTACACCGTACTACGGAGGTACTCCCATAGATCGCAGCCCTGGAGCCTGGAGCCCCCAGTGCTTACTACTACATTATAGTAACTTGAAGTAGAAAATCAGAAGAAATCAGAGAATTTTCGGTTTATATACAATCTACCATATAATAAAAACTGACCCTACCTATATTCCCATGAATGATCCAGCATTCATAGTTCACTCTTCCTCAAATTCAAATTGAAACCCCCGAATAACTTTTCCACCACTCCAAAACAGTCTCACTAACACCCGAAGCCATTCCGACCCCATGATCTCCCAGAATCCGAAACAAAGTCTGACAATAATCAAACTTCTCCTTCCGTTGAAGCCGAATATATGGCCTCACAACCGGTATCATAAACTGAACCAATGTAGTAGTCCCCCACGCACCACGTCGGCCGGTTAAGAAATAAGGGATGGAGCGACACAATTCATCGGCATAGAATTCGGATAAACCATTCTCGAAAGCAGCGTGATGGGTCATAATATTTACTTCCTGGATCATGTCTTCTAAAGAGAGAAGACCAGCCCAGAATAGCATATGCGTACGAGCACTCTCAAAACCGGAGAAAGTATATGGAGTACCAAATAGCATTCCCGCCGATGGAAGGTCTGTGGAGAGGGATTCACCATGTGAAGCAAGAGAAGGACATCCTATTGCCTCTTTCCGCTGATAATACCATGTAAGCATTTTCTGTTTCTGTGCTAGACATGTAGCTAGAATTGACTGGGTTGTTTCGGGTGTAGGCTCTTGCATATCCTCTGCTTGACAGCGGATATATGAAATTGCGGCGAGTAATTGAAATACCTCAGACTCGGAGGAACTGGATTCTGGTACCTCGAGTAAGAGAGGAGATATTCCCCTGGGACTGCTGATGCCGGGAGCGGAAGAGGACTGCAGATGTTAGCAATGATATTGAGATGGTATTGAGATGGGAAAAATCACATACGATGACAAGTTTTCGTTGATTGTTCAGTATAGTGTTCATGAGAGGAGTTGAAGATTTACTGTGAAGCCTCTCAAGTAACCTATTGGTAGCATCCACATGCGAAAGAAAGGTTCCAAGACCATGAGGACAGTGAACCACCTAAGGCTTAGTCAATAACTATTCTAGTAGATATATTTCACAGTGTCATACCTCAATCATTTGAAAAGTCACAGTAGCAAATAAAACGTCCTCACTCAACGCATTCTGCTGAATCATATCCAACATAATCCGAATGGATTCATTATACGCGACAATTCCACGGTGTAGCAACGCATCATCACGATGTAACTTTCCAAGTGAGATAGCAGAAACCGCAAAAAGTGCTCGCTCAAGCAGCGGAGAATTACTTGAAACCTGCAAGAAATTCTGATAAATCCAGTACCAGTCACCAATGGGGTAGCAAATATCCATTCCACGTTCCCGGAGATTTGTTGTAGGGAACCAGGAATTCATATATGAAGATGATATCTGCATGCGTGTCTCGGGACTAGCACTCATAGTCGGGGACACCGCGAGACTCATTTCCGGTGTTGGACTAGAAGCCGGCCCTGGCATGATCTTTCTTTCTTCAGACTCGGGACTCCTAGAGGTTCCAGGTTGAGTCTGAGTGAAGATCTGTTGGAAGAAGAGTCTGCCCCGGTATCCAGGACATGGTGTATTTCGTTTGACGCATCTCCCACATTGGGGTTTGCCCATATCACACTAGACAGTGTCAGTGCCTTCATGACTTTCCCATTGAATTGATTGCTCACCTTCACTTTGCTCTTCTTGCAATTCTCGCATCCTGTTGAAGTCCACGGGGCCCCGCCCATTGTATGTGGTAAACAAGAAAGGAATGTAAGTAATGACTTGATTAAATTTTGTTTAGCTGGCAGCCTGGAAGAATCGACGACTATACATCCATATATAAGAACTCCACGAATACTCCAGGGCTGAGCTGAATAGCCTAGTAATAACACTAAGAATATCAACCTCAGTAGCCTGGAGTACTAAGTACATGAGCGGCTGTATGAAAATCCCGACGTATGTACCCACCATTGCACATAAATCGGACTGACCGTAGTTCAAGCCACACATTCTCGCAACATCATACTATCCATACTAGTAATCAGCCTGGAAGTGTGGCAAGCCGCAAGAATGAAACGAGAAGGATACCTAAAAGGTGACTAGCGTGGCAGCGGAGAATATCAAGCAGCATACTTGATTTGCGGTGACAAAGCGGCTCATGAGCTTGTTTCCACCGCAAGAACGGCGATTCCCGTTAAGGCTGAAGACGCGAGCGAATCAGTAAAGCCCGTACGGCCCGCGGTATTGTGGAGAGAGGCGCAGCTACAGTGGGGGCCATTGTTATTCGTCCACATTCCCCATCAAGTGGGCTGAGATAGTGACAAACTTGACGCAATTTGCGAAATTGACGATTATTGCGATCAATTGGTTACTGAAATTCAGGTCGAGAACTAGTTCTGACACCGAGATGGTGCATAGTTGGCCCGACGGAGCTTGGTGGAAGCGTGGCGGTGTTTGGCGGGGTGATAATGACACCGTTGGAGAATGGAGAGTGGAACAAGCTGAACTCCTAGCGTAACCTGGAGATAATGTCCCAGCAAGTGAGACTTTGGTATCGACTCGGGCGCTGTAAGTGATACTATTTGTACTGTTAGTATGAGTTCTCGCGCGCATGAAGATCAACGGATCTTATGTATCACGCACGGACTATCCGGCCCCGCGGAGTCTCCGAAACTCCATTCATCGGAATATCATCCCATTATGGAATACGGTCGATATTTTGGTTGTATAAGGCTTTCAGCTGGTCCACCTCATGATTCTTGTTATCTTTATCATCCTCGCAAAATGGGTTGAAAGCGGTTGATCGGCGGTCTATCAATAGGCGAAGGGCTGAGTACCTGTTACACCCCTGTAAATCAAAGGATCAAAAAAGGTGCTCGACAAACATTCAGGGTATGTAGATCAGTGCGCAGTAATAAGCATAGTATAGTCAATGCAACGTCCGTCGGTCTGACACGGTGTCTAGTTAGGCTGCATGTTAGACATAGCATTGTGTGTTGACTAAGTACTAGTAATCATTTGCAGCACCTATTCAGGTGAACTTGTCCAAGTAGACCGCCTTACGATTTACTAGAGGTTTTTTGAATCATCCAGTTGACTTCTTCAGGTTAGCAGCCAATCATACTTCTATTTCTCTTCTTTATCCACCCGTGGACATCTGCGTCGTATAGGCACAAAAGTACTAAGCCTTATTTGGTAGGCGGTATAGGGAGTAGTTTCTAGAGTGGTCATTCAATGTTGACATCCTCCAGGCTTCATGAGCTCCTGAAAATTAAATAGATGATGTGTTTCGAGTCTTTCGACTAAGAAGTCGAAAGTTTGGAAGAATCAACATGTTTCAGAAGCAAGGTCGTTCTTCAATCGACCACTCATCTTCCGCATCATTTCAGGTTCTATCGGATCTTCACCTGGAGATCAGTCAGCTATACTCTTCTTACGAAATCCCAGTTTGTGCTGACCACTTGATCCTCGCGGGTGATATTGGGCGCTTAATCGACTACGAAGGATATCGTGACTTCCTACAAAAACAGACCGACCAATTCAAACCTGTGACTCTTGTCCTAGGAAACCATGAGTTCTACGAAGGGACTCTAGAAGAAGGGTTGGAAAAGGCGAAACGACTGGAACAAGAACCTTGCTTAAAAGGGCGATTGATTCTTCTCCATCAGAAACGATACGATTTACCAGACTCCCAAGTCACAATTCTTGGCTGTACTCTTTGGTCGAACATACCTGCTGAAGTGGCGGATATTGTTCAGTATAAAATTAGCGACTTTCAAAAAAATCAAAGGCTGGTCAGTGGATAGCCACAATGAAAATCATAATTCAGATCTTGATTGATTATTGAACGAGATCAAGTTGATTCGAGAGGAAAATGGAAAGGCAGAAGATAAGAATCAAAAAACGATCCATTCTTGTTGTGACACACCATGCTCCTTTAATGCGAAAGACATCGAGTCCGCAACATGCTCACAACCCCTGGACTGCTGCCTTTGGCACTGATATCATACCGCAAATATCACATCTGATTAGGACCTGGGTATTTGGACACACCCACTTCACAACTGATTTCAAGGAAGGGGGTGTGAGAGTTGTGAGCAACCAACGAGGCTATGTACTTCCTTGGAGCGATCCGAAGACGCAGGACAAATTCGATGTGAGGAAGGTCATAAATGTATAATAAAAGTCGACATGTAGATCGAGACTCAGGCGGAATGCTGTCTAGATATCAAAACCACACGGTCTCCAGGGCTGGGCTGCTGAACCAGACTTGTCAACGAAAGATTAACGGGGTGGCTTGTGCTATCGTCGCAGCATCATGTTTTTTTCGGCGCATTGCGATTTTTTAGATTGAGCACAGAATAGATAGCGAGCGAATTCAGATCCCATATCCACTTATAGCAACCTTGGATGTTGAATATCTACATAGATGATAACTATGTAATTGACAGGACCGTTCCGAGGTTGGTCGTAGTATGCATTTGAATAGTTAACTTTGAGTATTCGCTCCGTATAAAACATTCAAGTTTCAAGTTGAACGCTGCGGCATATGTGATGAACAAACATTTGAAAGTGTTTATTGTTGATAGTCCAACTTTTTATACATTCAATGCTTCTTAAAGAAGCTTCGTAGTAATCAATAAATTATGTCTAAAAACCTCGACGTTCACATGATGAACAAAGTATTCAAGAATATGTCAGTGCCAGTGCATATAAAGTCCTCCATTCAAGTTCCATTCTATTCCTCCACTGATTTATCACCCGGATAATGTTTAAGCCCACTTTCCAATAAGTGCCATGATACCAGCACCCAACAAGGTACAGGCAACCATAAACAACAGACGAGAGCGGCGCTTGGTGCGGCAAGGATCGAACAAGAAATCTCTCGCAAGCAACTCCACTAAACCACTGTAAATCAAAACACCAGCCGAGACCGCATTCAGAACACCTTGAATAATCAAAGAGACCTTCGAGCCGGGGCTATAGGTGGTGCGGACTCCCAAACCAATCGCAATAGAAATGGGAGTCGTCAGTGCATATACTGCACAGAGGACCCAAGGTAGCATTTTATGGTCTCCAAAGGGAATAGCAGACATCCGGGCACCAATACCCAGACCCTCGAAAGACTGATGGAAGACCAGGACAGGGTAAAGAGTTGAGAATTCCGAGCCAGTCACACCGAGATTGAGACCGATGATGACAGAGTGGAAGATGATACCGAATTCAAGAAGAAGGAAAGCGGCAATTTGTTGACGGAATGAGCGTTCGGCAGTGATAGAATCTCCCTCAGAGCCCCAAGTCTCAGTGTGAGTCTCATCAGAGGTAGGTGCTGATACATTCTTCTCAGAGTCAGGAGCAGGCTGTCCGTCAATTGTATGAGTGTGATCACCATGCGAGATAAACACATTGGTAGCATCCTCATTTCTTTGCACACCATACTTATGCTCGACATAGACCTCGGCAGCGAGATCCAACAGAAAAACAAAAACCACAGAGGCCAGAATAATAGCCGCACACCAAGAGTATTCAGCCCAGTATCCAGATTCACCAACACAGGTTTTCGGACCAATTCGTTTATATGCCGGGTCGAGAAGATGAACAAACGCGGTAGCCACAATGACACCAGTTCCAAAGTAGCGAGCGAAGATGTATGCACTGAATGGGATCTTCCAGCCTGGCATTCTCTTAGAGATAACAGGGAAGACGGTAAAAGCGGAGGAGACGAAGAGGATCACGAAGATGGATGAGATACGGGCACCGAGGTGACCATCATAGTCATTATCGGAGATGGCGAGGTAGCACAGTACATCTTCTGTACTGGCTGTGTTCAGATTGACATTCGTAGGATTGAACATGATGCCCGTGGTCACTGTAACTGAGGAATGAAGAGAAAAGCTGGTCTATCAAGACCATCTTATAGTCAAAAATTTGACCATCATGAGTACCTTGATGCTTCTCTTGATGATATACCCTCATGGTATGAATAAACTAGTCAAATATTCGGCTGCTGCCTGGTTTTGGTAGTGTTTTCAGGACTCAAATGATCCCATAGGGCTGGATGATCCACATGTAGAGGCTTAACCAGGATTCGCAGGGCTGAAAAAGTGGACATCTCGGAAATGATGACTTTTGGTACATCTTTTATTGGATGAACCTGACACTTGGATGATGGAAGACTCCATAATAGACCTAAGGGTACCAAGCTCGGCTCAAGGTAGTTGGTGGTCATCTGTATAGACAAGTCCTGGTATACCCGAGAACATCAACATTGACTCGGATGACCATCTCCACGATGAATCTTATATTCATGGCAGGGTAATAACATCTAATTTTTCGCATGATTAGTAGCCGAGTCCTGCATATAATGCGCCCTTAATTACTCCGACGTCGGTATTTTGCCGAGTAGGATCCGCTTTCTTGGTCTTCTGAGGACCCTGGAGGTTAGTTGCTAGGTTTTTTTTACCCGGCGATATTAATGCAGCATCAAGGTGGCAGAATTGTGTGAAAAAGAAAAGAGACGAGAATCTTTGATCTTAGACAGAATATGGGAGGGATATGGGGTTTCATGTCATTGGGTGAGGGTGAAGCAAGATCAGTTGATGTATCCACGGCCTGTATGGGACGAATTGAACTCCACCCAATTTCAAACGTTGAGTGAATCAATCAATGGAGTCAATTGTTTCAACTCATGTAGAACTAAAGAAATCAATAATAACTGAGGTAAAGTCAGATTATGATTATTCTATCCGCAGAGTGGTATCTGATAGAAGGGGTTCATATTGCTTTGCTCCCGAGGTCATGACTTCCCGAGGTCCTTCTTCCTCTTAGCTTCGTTCATGCACGTCAAACGGCACTAGGTTCGTTGATCTTACTCAAGCTCCCTACATATCTTTGGAATTTGACTTTTTCAAACTTCTTTTTGATTAACACTTGGCATACTCTTGACAGTCCCTAGATATTCTTGCTATTCTCAAACCCATGGAATTTGGAATCTTTCACTTGGACGGCATTGACCTCGCAAACAGAGCTCGGACTGGGATCATAATTACACCACAAATTCAACGATGTCCAATATGGGTTGGGATCATCCGCAATCTTACTGTGTCCTCGAAACAGAGATGGTCTACCACGCGAGCAGGTACATATCGGCTAGACCCACGGTCACCGTCTCTCCAGAACAATCTCGATGCCAGCCAACATCGAAGGCTAGGAGAAAAGCTTTATTCACCATACGGGAAGGTCAAGACGATTGGGAAATGAATACGTCTGGAATAGCTCCTGAGTAGAGAGCAAAAACTACCTTGTCGAAAGGGGATGTTGAGATAGGCACTGTGGATCTTCATCGTTGGGTGCCATGGAAATATGCTATCTACCTTACCTTGGAGCATCTTTCAAAGAGCAAAAGCGAAATTTCTTGTAAGTCTCCCTGATGATCTATGTGGAATCTTCAACACCTCATCCAAGCACCCCTGTGTTCTAGCAGTTGATTAAATTGTATCTCTATGAACCTCTACTTACTCATGCCTCATGTAGTTTCGGGATGGTATGGACATCATGACGCCTCACCCAGTTCCAAAATGGATCTGAGATTATGATGCCTGGCATTTAAATAGAGGAATACTATGGAATGATGTTCGCTGGCAATATTAATAGAGCTCGTGGTCCGCCTGTCCCCCACCCTGCCTCTCAAGCAAAAGAATCATGCCAACCGCTTATCAAAGCCCAATTTAGCTTGTTTCAAGCTTATCTTGAGCTTGGTAAGGTTAACTTGAACCCATTACTGCACTTGATGGCTGATTGATACTAGATGTCTTTGCTCGGCTCAACGCGCTGGAGCGTCGTATGCGCATCGCTGAGGCTAACGCCGAAATGGAGCGTGCCCGAGCACCCGCTGGCTGCGGCCACGCCATGAGTGAAGGAATCAAACACAGGAGGTATCCTAGGAATAAAACTTTGAGGCAGATTCCGAATTCTCAAATTGAGACTAGTAACAAAGCGGCTACCTAACCTTAACGCTGAAGTTGCAACATTGGTACAGCGTTGGCATATTTCATCACCTTGCAGATCATGTAGAGTGATATTGCAATAAACGTACCACCAAACATTCTGCCCTGCGTAAACGCGCCGCATGAACCTCGGAGATGAGTACGTTTCAACCCATATTTTGATCCAACTCTGTCTAACACAGTCACCAGAAACGGCGTTCAAGGCACATGCTGCAAAATTCAGCTGATTCCGCAATCAATGGGGTCATACACGACGAGATCACTGAGACACCGCATAGAGCGACCCGTGAAGCTCTTGTCGAGCCCAGAACCGGAGCAAAGCTTGAATGAATTAAAAAGCATGTACAATTTGATGACTCTTTGCTCATCCCGATGCTGGAAGGCTTTGCCAAAATCGATCCCATCACAATGAAACCGAACCTCCATGCAGTTTTTAGTTTCATATCTTGTTCGGTCTGCCTCGTGAGCAGTCTGGAGGAGAGGCTAAAAGCACGCATGTAACCATTCAATCCGCAAGTACATGGAATTCGCCGAGGTTGGATACACCCTTCCAAAGCTTGATCAAAGTCCATTTGGAATTATATGGTGCTTTTCTATGAATTTCGATGCGAGTAGCACGCTGCCATTAGCAGAGAGGGATCATTGGCTCTGAAAAACGACAATGGAAAGACCACTATTATCAAGCCAGACAGACAGAGAACAAGACATTATCAGCAGCTGAAAAACAGCAGGAACTCGAGGTCTTGTCTATTTCCCCACACCTGGAGGATTGTGACATTTGAATCCACGAATTCAATGAGAAGCCCGCCTCCAAATGGGGAACTCCATTGTACACGACTATGTGGTTGCTTGAATCCAGAGTATGTGCAAACGCCAACTATGGTATGCAGATGGCAAGGATTGCATAGCCGCTCGTGGCGAGATTTTCTTTGTGGCAAAAGTAGTTGCGCAGGGAAATTTGTATGTGGACGCGATTACGGATGACAGACCTGAGCAGAACTAATATTGGAATATAATCATGGCCAACGACATGGCCCCAGGCGACACGTTATGATGAATGGAACCCTGACTGGAACAAAGCCTGAAATTACCCTTTAATTGGAACTGCTGCTATGAGGTTTTGGTTAAGTTTCATAGCTTCCTATCCAACTATGACTGCCCGCACCGCCGCCCCTGCAGAGCCAGACGTCAACTTGCATAGACAAGCTGACTGGGCTTAGGTTGATATCATGAACTGATCTTTAATTGTGAAACACCCCGATGAGAGGCTTTCCCCCAGCTTCCACCGTCTTGGGGTTCTTCAATCTTTTGTGCCCACTGTTATCATGTCGAAGCAATCATAAATTTCTTTGTATCTCTTAGATAAAGAGCAAAGAGAGGACCAGATCATTACAATTCGAGGATGCATGGAAGAATGCGTACTATGGAGCGAGTGGAGGACGCAAATACAAGAGGGGTTTTAACAGAGTTTGACCTATGGATGGAATATGAAAGTGGGAATTCTCGCATTTTCAAGTTCCGGGAAAGACATTTTTGTCAAGAGCCTTTTTGGATCCACGATAGTGTTCAAGTACAAAGACAGACTGTGGCAAAGTGCGATTGATATATTCGATGCCTTTACTTGATAAGTATAGCTTATCTATCTCCGTCTTATGAATGATGTTTGTACTACCTTGTGCTGTGCCCAGGCAAAGGAATGATACGTGCCCAGGTGGTCACAAACCAGATTTATCCGCAGAAAGCGTGTGACAACCAAAGAACAGAGCCATAGAGTGTGGGAGATCCATGATGTAATGCAACGGCGCTGGTTTTAAGGACGATTACCAAATGGAGGAAATTGTCATAGCGGCATTATTGAACAACCGGCAGGGTATCATTGGTGAAGAAAATGTTCTTGCTCGTCTGCCAGTGGATTCATTTACAGAGGGGATCTAGATTTTAACAATGTGGCCCAGTATTTGAAGGTGCTCATATAATACTTTATTCATTGTTCTTCTGGACTGGAATGCAATAATATGTATTGAACGACTGATGGTCTGTGTGATCATATACACATGTGCATAGTAATTGCATATCATATCGTCCTATTAGTCAGTGTCTTTATACCCCTAGGTAGTATAATAGAAAATATCAGACCAAGACCCCCATTGGTGGTATAGTCTGGGATCCTGATAGTAGCTCTCTCTCTCCTCCTCCCCTCCCCTCCCCCTCCCTCTCCTCCTCTCTCTTCTCCATGAACCTCATCATCCACACACTGGCAATCACCAAACTGGTTGTGAACCTTTCCCAAGATTATTACAAAAATAAAATCCAGAAAGAAGTCTCATCAATCCTTGACTCTCTTCCACCTGGCAACATCTAAGCGATTTCACAATGCCACGGCGCCGCCACTGCCTCCCAGGTTGGCGAGGGTTCCAAGTGGAGGTGATAAGATATAGATCAACATGATCTTCTCCGCATCTCATCCCCGCTTTGACCAACATCTAACTTACTCTATATACAGTACCTCTCCACCATGTCTGAATCAACTGAATCCTCTGAATCCTTTGAGTCCAACTCTGGCTCATCTGAATCACCCGAATCACCTGGATCGCCCGAAATACCAAAAGCAGAGATAGTCGACGGGGTCAAAACATTCATTCCTCTTGGTAAATCCACAAAATATCTCATCGGCACTGAGTACACATCTAATATATTACAGAGAACAATCCCGAGATCCTCTCTCATCTCTGCAAGAACCTCGGCATTTCACGCAAACTCACCTTCCACGATATCCTCTCCACATCCCCGGATCTCCTTTCCTTAATCCCCCGTCCCGTCCACGCAATCATACTTCTGGTACACGCGCCAATCTACCACGCAACACGCTCTTCAGTCGAATCCACACTCCCAGAATACCATGGATTCGGTGAATCCGAACGAGTAATCTGGATAAAACAAACAATCGGACATGCATGTGGACTCATGGCCCTACTGCATTGTGTGTTCAATCTGAAGGATGGTCGATATGTTATTCCAGGATCTACACTAGACACTTTCCGAGACAAAGTCATCGACCTGGAACCTGTTGAACGAGCCAAATTGCTTTACGATTCTACATTCCTCGAAGAAGCACATATGGAAGCTGCCGCCCAGGGATCCTCTGCTGCGCCCTCTCCTCACGATGATAATCATCATCATTTTATCGGGTTCGTACAGAAAGATGGAGAGGTGTGGGAGTTGAATGGAGGTATGAATGGCCCTCTTCGACGGGGTTTCCTACCAGAGGACTCTGATCTACTGAGTGAGCGAGGATTGGCCTTGACCGTGAATGACTTTCTTGATGAAGCAGCGAAAGGTGGATATGGCGAGATGAGCATCGTGGCAATTACAATATCTACCTAAGATGATCTTGAATAGTATGATTATGAATAGTATGAACTTGAATGAACTTGAATGAAAATTTTAAAATTCTTTTTGAAATTCTTTTCTTTATAAACTGCGAACTGCGAACCCCGGGTATAGACTGAAATGTATAAACAAAAATGGGAAAAAAAGAAAACCATATAGGCAAGTCTATGAATATGTGCAGATCATGCAAAATGCTGTCGTAATCCCTCGTAAACTGCGAAGATAAACGCGGAACTAGGAGCTGAGCGGGCACAGGTGATCCCGCACCCGCGATACAGACCCTTCAGTCCTTGTTGTCTCCAGAGTCCACGACCAACGCTCCAAAAAGTCTGACGCTGCTGATTGGCAGGGAGGCGTGTAATATCCTCGGTCTGCATACGCGACTTGATGGTATCCGCGGGGAAGAACAAGAAATTATAACTGATTCCAGCCATAGCACCCGCAATCATCTGCTGATGCACAGGGAGAGAGTCTGTCGCAGACATAGGAGTAGGCGATCGACTCCGGAAGAGAGACGAAACGGCCTCGTAACCACCAAACCAGGCGGCACTACCTCCGGTTTCACGGATCAAAGTACCCATTTGTCCGCGCCAGAATCCACGGATACCCTCATGACGGAAGATGGAAGCGATGAGTGCGACCGGACCAGGGGGCTTGTGAGCAGTCGATTCAAGTGGGACTTGCATCTTGCACTTGACGAGTTCAATGGGAGTCAATGCGAGGGAGGTTACAGAACCAGAAGCAGCGCCACTTGCCACCAAAGCGAGGAAGGGTAATTGTTCAACGTCCTGGTAGACGGTCGCACGGAGGGCATCTTGTAAAAGACGGTAACTGAAGAAGAGGCAGCTGGTTTCAACCGCGGCGCCGGTCATTGGGGCGCTAATGCCTCGATAGAGACCGCGGAAGCCATCAGTCTGGAAGGATTGACGGAAGCAGTCGAGGGGACCGGTGTAACGAAGTGGGAGGTGTTCCGGTTGAGATTGTAGTCGGACCTTGACGGTATCAAAAGGGTACTCAATGAGTTTTCCGGCCATACCGGCGACCTGAGAGAAGTTAGTAAAGTGAATGAGATAATAGTTTGCAGTGTGAATCACTGAGAAAGAATTTCTCATACCGAACCAAAGACAATATCCTTCAGGGCCTCCATGCCCTGATTTGGTGGAAGCGATGGGAGTTCCATCACTGTCTCCTTGACCGGAATTACATGCTCAACCGTCGCCATCTAAGACAGCACCTGGGCAGTCTGACCGAGAAGGAGGGTTATCGAGAGAGCATCGTAGGGGGAAAAGAAGGGCGAAGAGGCGAGTATTTGAGGAATTGAGGGAATTGTCTCGGCGGAACAGCCAAGCGATGAGGTGGGCACAGACAGGTGGGCACAGACGAGTGGGGTTCGTATGGTAAAGGATTCCTGCAGAGTGAGATGCAAGTCGAGTCATTGTGAGTGAAAAAAAAAACGGCCCAAAGGCGGTGAGCCACCTGCCTAATCATATGCCTACAATTATATATGAGACTAAATTAACTCTGAGGCTATAACTATGACCTGTCAAATCATTCTGGATTAAAGGAGAAATATAACGCATAGGTTCTCACTGATAAAATACTATCAGGTAATTACTCTCCCGCTTAATTAAAACATTATCTGATCTCTTACAAGTGGATTCCTAGCCCCGCCAAGCCCGGTTATCGATCAGATAATCTCCGGATGAAAATTTCATCAAAACCTCAGAACGGGCTTGATAACTTCTCCTCCCGCCTCCCACTCACTTCCTTGACTTTAAGATATTGAGTTGGTCAATCCTATTGATAACTCTTCATCATGTCTACTACTACCGTTCCCACCACCGTCACCACAGAAAAGGCCATCCCTCCCCCATCAGGAATGCGCAAGAATGGTAACCACCCGTCCCCACTATCTCGCTCGGTTCTGGACTGATCCGCCCCATTTCTAGGCAAAAACTGGCATGACACTAAGAAGGCGTTCCGCCCAACCGCTGGCCTGACATCTTATGCCAAACGTCAGGAGCTCCGCAAGCACCAGGAGGCGGTCAAGGAGCGTGAACGGGAGATGAAGGAGGAAAAGGAAGCCGAGCGACAGGTTAGTAACTGTTCATCATTATTATTCTCACTATCTCGTATTTTGTTATATGATATTCTCCACTTCCTTGGAACTGTTGCACTAACTTGTCAGGCCCACATTCAACGCATCAAGGACCGCCGTGCTGCAAAGGAGGAAAAGGCCCGATTCGAGAAAATGGCCGAGAAAATGCACAAGAAACGGGTCGAGCGACTCAAGCGCCGCGAGAAGCGCAACAAGCTGCTCAGTTCTTAGTCTGTTTCAAGTTATCCCCATCAGAGTACAGCTATACATGTAGCTCTAGCTCTGGCTATGTTCAGCACAGGTCGGCGTTCTGGTACATGTACATCAATGTTATTGATAATTGGCATAGTCTATTTGTATAGAATAAAAGCAGTCATTTACTATTCAAATTATTCAAATTATTCAAATTATTCAAATTATTCAAATTATTCAAATTATTCAAATTATTCAAATTATTCAAATTATTCAAATTATTCAAATTATTCAAATTATTCAAATTATTCAAATTACTCCTATTATTAATATATATTTATTATGTAACTCAATTTATATCAAGTCCTTCAGGTCCAATATACTGATTATGGCAATTGCGGCAGGAGCGCATGAGCACATGGGCTTTAGCGTCGGCTCAACACTCCGAGGTCCACTCCTGACGACATCACTCCGACTCATTCATTACTGATGCTCCATATTAATTCAAGTACTGTACAATGTCAATATGGACCATTTCAGATCCATACCAAAAGCTTCATCAACCTTCCCTCTCACCCATGGATCCCCCGAACCAGAACCACTGGCAGTACCACCCTTCGAACGATGGCAATCCCGCAAAGAGACCGACTCCATCACACCCGATCTTGAATCCCGCCGCTCCTCCCATCGCCATTTCTCAGACTGGAGTCATCTAGACGGCGCTAAATCTCCCTCCCACTCCCACTCCCAGTCCCATTCGTATTCCCGTCACAAACACAGTAAATCCCGCGAACTGCGCTTCCCGCGGCCCATGAGTTCACTCGCTTCGTCCGCCAGCGCTCGGGGCCTCTTACCCACCTGGTCCAGGGATAAGGACCGAGAAGGAGAAGATGGTCTCTTACGGCCGATCACACGGGAAACAACACGATCGCGGTGGGGGTCTGATTCCACGGGAGTAGGTTCGCGACGCGGGAGTCTTCTGGAGGTCGATCAGGAACAGTTAGGGCCGATTCGAAGGACACGGGTCCAATCGATGGAGGATTTAGAGCAGGTGAAAAAGAGGAGGAAACAGGGTGAACAGTAGGTCATAGCTGCTTACCCAGATCCAGGATTATTACAGACAAGCTAACGACTCAGGTATCTACGATCTGTCCTGAACTCAGTCGGAACCCAAGCTACTGACGTAACCAGACGACTTGACTATACCTACTATAGTCTTCTAGAAAAGATAACAGCTCTCAACTCGACCATTGCATCATTCCAGGATCTTTCCGATTCGGCATCAACCCTTCTGAACGACTTTGAACGTGACACTGCAGGACTGGACCAAGGAATCCGAAAACAAATTAATGATCTCCGGGGCTTCGAACCGCAGATTCAAAAAGCCGATGCGCTCGAGAAGAGAATGAAGCTTGGGCGAGAGCGTGTGCAGGATCTCGGTCAACGACTGAATAATGTTCGCAGCCAGATTGACCACTGGGAGAAAAGAGAATCCGAGTGGCAGTCCCGCGTAAGTCGTCGACTACGGATCTTCTGGGCAACAGTTATGGGTGCTTTACTAGTCCTGGTAATGGCACTTGTACTCCAGAATTCGCCTACACATACACATCCACCTGCTCAATCGAACAAGAGTATGTGGAATGAGACCTCCCTCGATTTCATCCCAAATCTGGATAAAGCGACCGACCCCAGTCATTCCAGTTCAGATACTGGATCGTGGTATCCGTCCAGTCTTGAAGATCGACAACAAAGTCTGGCAGCGAGTATAACAGTGACCGATGCTGCAGCCCCAACTGATGACCCTCTACGTGTATTTGATGAATTGTGAAGCGTTCCCTGTATAATCTTGATATTTTATTGCAGTGACTTTTATGTCATCTGTATTTTGATTCTTTGCATGATACCCTCATAGACCGATCCAGAATGCTCATCATCATCATTAGTGCATAGAAAAGAGAATAGAAGACAAGACAAAATCAAACAGCAGGAGCAGCAGTGCTGCCCTTCTTCTTCTTATCCTCAACCAAGTCAATATTCGCCTGAGGAACCTTACTTCCGTAAACCTCACCCAACCACTCCTTAACATCCTCACTAACATCACCCTGCACGGTAATCTCCTCCGTACCAGCCGCAGAGCGAGTCATAGAGGAGCCAGTAGCGAACTTCTTTCCCAATTCCTTGGCCAATTTCTTATTCTCCAATCCAAAGATCTCGAGTCCGGTAATCACAGTAACATATTTACGCTTATTCCGCTCAACACGCTTGACAATAACCTTAGACGCAGCCTTGCGTTCCGCATCACGGGCCTCGTTCTGTGCCGCTTTAGCTTCTTTCTTTGCAGCGTCCTTGGCAGCGCGTTCCTGGGCGGAGACGGAGAGGGCGGATAAGTTTGCGTTAAGGGAGTCTGGGCAGAGAAGTCGTCAGCTTGCATACAATGTGGTAGGATTGCGTAGGAAATAGTGTAGGGATTCGTGATTTATTTGACCCAATGATATCGCAACGTGACCAACAAGGTAGGGAATGAGTACCTTCAGAATGTAACCGATTCCACAATTCAGGTTCTTCCTCTTTCAACCACTCCTCACATTTCTTTGCCGTTCCTCCGAATTCACAATACTGATACCGGTTAGATTAGGTCAATAGAGCCGAGAGGATCGAGGTTTTCGAATCAGGATTAAATGTTAACACACCTCCGGAGGTAGAGTACACACTGCGCGGGGTCGTCAGTAACTAATTCCTAGCTCCGACGCCACGGGAACTTTGCGTTGATCTGGACCTAGACCTGCAACTTACCTCCACAGTAAACAATGTGTCGGGCCTGGGGCTCGACCGGGCCGGAATCAACTTCAGCCATGATGTGATCAGTGTTATTGAACTGGTGATGAACTTGAACTTCAGATATGATTGTACGCGGGGTGGTCATGTGATGGATTATGTAAGTCCGTACTTGGGCCCGCGGGCGTCAACTGTTCAATATAAGTGAACTGGTCAATCTGAACAATGATCTGAACAATGACTATTCAGTCAATTCAGCGAACTGTAAATTGAAACATTTTGAAAGTCAAGCCTGGAAGATCGGAATGAAGCCCAGAAAGTGGCAACTAGATACGAGATAGTCTACATTGGCACAGGTCAATGCTCATGCATGTAATGCCTCATGTACATGCCAAGAGCATACGTGGTCTACATCTTAGTTTATCATTGAGTTGAAACAAGACATTATTTTGATGGAATTAAAAAGGAGATAACTATAGAAAACGCACAATTGAACATCATCTAGGCCGATAGAACCTTGGAATAATTGATGCATAGAATCATTGCTACCTAGCTTATCCTGTCATCGAGGGGTAGAGTGAGTGATTAGAATGAGGCAATTGAATAAGGAATTGCATCGAATACGCCAGACTTGCGAGATAGCACCAAGGTACTAAGTACTAAGATGAGCCATTAATTTCCGACACAACATTCAAAGTTGAAATCCTGGAAGAATCATCCATTGCGCAACTAGACGACATCCCCGCTCCGTGGCGTAATACCAAACTTTCAGGCGATAACACCCTTGTTTATTCCAAGGTTCAAGTTAATGCCTATCAAGATTTCCCATTCCAAGTTACCAGTAACCAGTAAGTCTGTTTGACAATGGGGCCATGCAGGTAATAAGCCCAACCGTTAAGCTGCATGCATTAAGTCGACAAGCAGGGCGCACGATAGCGGCTCTGGACCAATTCATTGGTGCTGATGGGAATGGGATGCACGGCCGTTAGAGAGAGAATTCCCCGATAATGGACACCACAGAGACGAAGTACGAGAACCGAGTCTATGGGGGCGGGAACGAAGTGCAGCGACGATCACTGGGACCATTTGAAGGCATTCCCATTCCTCCATATCCATTGCCGAAGAATCCGACTGAGTCCGAAGCTTTCAGTGTACGCCAGTCCGAGTGTCAAGTAGGTGCATACGAATACCGGGAGAGAAGGATGCCGGAAGTAATGTAGGATGTTTTACCAGTCGGGATTTGTTTCGTATGCCGTAATAGATTGATTTGAGTGGCTATATTGACCAATGATGAAGTCGGGGAAGAAAAAGGCATCCCGAGAATTAGGGTGATTCAGGGGAGTTTCACTTTGAATGCCCCAAGTCCGACTCTCCATTCCCCCATTCTCTGCGGGGCAAGTGGAGAGAGAGTACAGAGTGCAGTGGTGAAGTGGAGGGGAGACTAAGAAGAGTGGGGTTGAATTTGAAGTAACTAGTTCACTAGTATCTAATGAGAGAGTCTGGTTACTCGACATGCAGCTATGCGTTTCAGTGCACGGACAACATTTGGAAGCACTCATACTGATCTACGTCAGTATGAATATTTCCAAGGTTTTAATAGTATTAATACCATATCATCTTCCAAGGTTAAAGGTACAAGTATCAGGTTGATATAAAATTCGGTGGCGGTCTACATTTATCAAAGAATGCAGTCTCCCGCACTAGTATCCAGTACCTAGGTAATGCTATGCATCAGAGTCATCATAGACTCGATATGAGTATAGACTGATTTACTATAGTCAATGGATTAACTCCAGTGAATTGATGCCAATAACGCCACAAGATGCAGGAGGAATCCCCCACTGGTCAATGGCAAAGCTCGCACTGACATCGTGAAATGTTATCGGTAGACTTGAGTCTAGGCTTTGTCCGTGCGGACTCGCTAGTCGATCGAGTATCGCACGGTCCCATGAGAAACTTCGAGAGGCAAAACTCTCGAATGATAACCAATATGAAGATGAGTCTCGATATGATCTGTGGTGAATCCATGGAACGTTGAGTATTCCACCCTCGAAAGAAAGAATTGAATTAATCCATCGAATCCGGACCAGAATGATCAAAATGATAGTTCTGGTGCTGGATTAACTGAGCGCCAACTTGCATAAAAGCTGCATTGATTGTCCAACCGCATGTCCCACCTTATTGAATCCGAGCGTAAATTCTGGACTTCTAATACTCCAGGATATTCAGTGCTCAGACCCGCCCTGATTAGCTGCATACGAGAAGAGGGGCCTGGACCAGTACTTACTATGATAACCAAGATCCGTAATAATCCGACCTGTTTCGAGTCATAACGGTTTACTCCACTTTTTATGGTGGAGAAAAGATTATCGTGGAGGTTTAGGATGGAGGAGAAGGAGAACTAGAGTGGCGATTCATTATCAATATAGAAAAATGAATGATATTCTCTTATATTTTATTTCTTTCATCTTTTTTCTAACGACATACATAATTCTACATTATATTCTTATGCTGATTATTATACACAAACATACCTACACATACTCACACATACACTCACACACACACTCTCTCTATAATGAGGTAATCCTTATCTTATCGTACCCCATACTCTTTTCTTTCTTCCAAGGTTCAACTTCCCCTTCTACTCTTCTACTCTACACTCTCTACTCTCCACTCTACTCTCAAAATGACAGCGGTGCTACCCCCAGATCAGCACTCGCTCCCTCAATTCTCTTTGTCTCCAACTACTCAGCGCTATTTCCTCGATCCGAGTCTTTCCATCCCCCACAAATCCCCCATGCAACATGTCTATTTCCCCCCGCGAGTCCCCCTCGCTCTCTCCAGATCAATACGCATCTACAGCCATTACCGCTTTATCTTTGGACGAAGATTTGATCCTACCTACCTATGAATCAGACCCGGTCCCTCCGAGGGATGCCGATCTACTCAGCAACGCCTCCGAGGGGACTCAATGGATTTGTGGAACGCCCGCCGCCGACGACACCTCTGTGGAGGATGAACCGTCGCGCCATGTGGACTATCTCTCGCACGACTGGAGAGAAGAGGATATCTGGTCATCCTGGCGTTATGTGACCGCCCGCAGAAATGATTACAGTAATGGGGTCCGACTGGAAAATGCCTCATGGAGGACATGGGCCAAGGCTAAAAATAATCTGGGGACAATTTCCCCAGAGACGCTGAATTGGTGGGTCCACCTCCCAGTGAAAATGAACCAAGCTAACTTCTGATGCAGGTTGAAAGATTGCGACGTCACCTGGCTCTATGGCCCTTTGAAAACATCCGCTTCTAGTGACGCCGTGGCGTCTGACGTGTCGCCGCCACCAAGCCGACTAGAAACCCCCAACTCATACCTCGAACCGAAACCCATCTTGAAAAAGAAGACCGCTTCCGAAACCATCCTCCAACGATCCTTATCGCAACATACTCTACTTCAACATGCCGGCGCCATCCTCAAGGCCCAGGAAGCACAACATAACTGGACTCGTCCCTCGTTCACTCGATCTAACACCGACCTCGATCATATCCACCATCGCACTGGCAGCTCTACCTATTCCAATTCTATAGGCGACACTTTGACTAGTAGTTCCTCTGGGTTAACTTCGCCGAGTGAGCGACGCCATATCCATTTTAATGATGAGGTGGTTCAGTGCATCGCTGTGGAAGCCAAATATGCCGACGAGGAAGACTGGCCTATGACATTCGATGAGGAATCCTCAGATGATGGAGTCGTCATGATGCGCGAGATTGCCGGATCAGCATCGCTGAGCAATCGCAGCACTCCCCGGAATAGCTTCAGCGGTGATAGCAAAACCATCGCTCCGCTTCCTTCTACCACTCTCAAATACCGAGGCGATACCCCGGAACCCCATACGGAGCCCTCTCTTCTAGATCGCTGGGCTAATTTTGCTCCCGCTTCACCTTCCTCTCTCTCTCCTACTCCCTCCGTTGAAACCCTCCGCCCACCATCTGCCAATTTCCTCCTAGACGATGATGATGAAGATCCGAGCCTGGATTTCACAGGCCAGTATCGCGACCGTCAGGCCTGGTTTGTGCCGGAAGAAGAAGATGAGATGAGGAATACTGGTCCTCTCCAGTTATCCTCGTCGGGGATGTTCGTCCCGTATGGAGAGTCTGAGGGAGAGGCCTCGAACACCACTCTCTTGGGTCGGGTGGTAGACACTGTCAACACCGCTCGCGATATCGCCCATGTTATTTGGAACGTGGGCTGGCGGCGATGAGTCTCTGCATCCAGGTGTCTTTTCCCTTATTCTCCATGCTCCTCTCTTCACACTATCCCCACCTCTCCTCCCTATGGCTCTCCGTCCTCTCATCCCCCTTCCTCATCACTACTTCCTCTCCTACTACCCCCCTACTCTCCCATCCTCTTCTTTCATTAAGACTTCTATACCCACACCAAGGTTCTTCGATACATAATTGGGTTGGTTCCGGCGTTGGTTAAAATTTGGTTGCATCTCGGCGTTTTACGAGATTATGAATTTCTCTAGGTAGAGACTTGATGATTGATTTGACTGTAAATAGAACAAATACGAGTGATAATTAAATACTATATCTTTTCAGGCGAATTGAATGCTGCAGTGCTCCGGAGTAGATCTAATAAGCTATTTATACTAGTAAAGATCTCCATAGTGGCCCTTGTGGGGCAAACCCCTGACCCGTTCAAGTTCAAGTTTCACTTAGAACAGTTAACTCTTCAAGTTCACTCCACCACCACCAGCATGGAGAATGTCAATGTTGCAGAATTGGTGGATCGCCTTGGAAGTGATGAAGATGCCGTGCGCAAAATGGCAGTCTTCAAACTCCAGGGCAACATCGGAGATCCATCCTTCGCCGAACTCTTTATCAACGAGGGGGGCTTGACTCGTCTGCGCTATTTGACCCTGCACGCGAGTGGGAATACCCTCGCCTACAGTTTGACCAGTTTTGCGCGATTACTGGAGGTGGATAAGGGATGGGATTGTGTGGATCAGGAATTGGTAGAACGGGTATGTCTTCACCAGTGCTGTCACCAGGGTCTGTGTTAACCATTCAGATTGTCGAATTGATCGTCACCCATCCCCTAGTGAACATCCTCCGCGGCGCCATGTCCATCCTCGTCTCCATAGTCTCCCATCCACACACACCACAGGACCCCTCGGAGCCCGATGTCTTTGGGTTCCGAGCCTTGAAACCCGCCATTGCAATCTACCCCCAGTTCCTCGAGATGCTTGTCAGTCGACTATCCTCCGCAGACCACGCTCTATGTGCCAATGCGCTGCAATTGATCAATTCTTTGATGCGCGATTCCATTACCCACGATTCCGAGGCGGAGTGGCCGAAATTCATCCAGAAATTACAAGATCTCGGTGTGATCCGGGCAGTTTACGTCCTAATGCAAGACTCCGCCCTTCAAGACCTCGCACATCCGTTGATAGAATTTCAATCTTTGACTAAGGTTCTACTCCGAAAGTGGAGGGATATTCCTCTGAGCCAGGATCAGCCTGAACACCGACGCGCATTGAAGGGAATCCACCTCGCCAGTAACCCGACCAAGGCATCTGACAAAGCTACAGAAAATGGCGAGGATGTGAAACGCTCAAGGCGGCATCACCCTGAGAAATGGCGCCGTCTTGGCTTCGAGACTGAGTCTCCAGCCACTGAGTTCTACGAGGTGGGCTTTTTGGGAATGATGGATCTAGCAGACTATGTCCGCAGTCATCAAAATGAGTTCCAGAAAATTCTCCTCGAGCAATCTACCAAACCATCACGTCAACGGTGTCCGATTGCGCAGGCTTCTTTAGCCGTGACCTCGATCCTGTACGAGCATTTCGAGGTAGACAAATCCGAGATGGACGATTCGAAGAACTACATGATCATGGAATCACGATCCAGTCTGGATAAGCTCTTCAAGCCATTACTACTTCACTGGACGAGACTGCATGTTGCGGGATTACAAGCATTTTTCCGAATGTGGAAAGCCACAGCCGCAGAGACAGAAGATCTGGATAAACTAGTCGAGCTAGTACGGATTCTGATTGAATCCGTAGTCGGCGGTGCAGGTCGAACAAAGGATGTTCAGGATGTGGAAGAGGAACTAGCGAATTACGAGTACCACCGACTCCGTGAACTACAGATGGAGTTACTGGAACTTACATACGAGGATGCGTGGGGTCAACATCTACGACAAGTTCGCGAGGAACTGCATCATGAGGCATTGCAGTTCGTTAAGGAACAGCGGATTCGTTGCTTGTTACAAGGTGCTTGGTTTTCGTTGGAATCTACTTCCAAGGATGGCACTCGCACGAAATCCTCGTGTCAGTATGTGCAGCTTTCGCACAATAGACGGTACCTTCATTTTGGAGAGTTTGATAATATTGGTAATGGAGCTCCTGAATTGGATGCTCTACCTGAAAAGAGTGAGTGCCCTATCTAAACCATACCTGTGATTCTATACTAATCTCATCCCCAGTCGACCTCTCAACCGTCTCTTCAGTAGTCTCCAACATCTCCACAAACCCAGATAACTCCTCCTCGGCAACAGTGAAGACCACACCACGGTCCGCATCTACGAAGATCACAATCCACGGCTATGCCCCACCATCAACAGGAACATCCAAAGGACCTAGCCACGGACACGGACACGGGCGTACAGGAAGTTGCTCCACACAAAAAGAAATCGTTCTTCTAACACTACGTCCCGCAACACATAGTATAGCCTCAGAATGGCTGGACGGACTTCTTATGATCCTAAACCAACAACCGATAACCTCGGAAACAAACAAACTGATTGATTTGGTTGGGAACTATGGATTGAAGATTCGATTGCTGAATGTGCGATTTGATGATGCCGCGTTTGCGGGCGAGGTTCCTCCTGTGCCGGTTCGTGATGGATTAGATGAGGATTATTATTATGATGTTTTTGGGGGTGCTTAATCGGTCCTGTACTGAGAATCTGGTTTTTTTGGTTTGTTGATCTGTCATATACCCACGGACAGTGTAAGATACACAATGGAGTCGTTTGTACATTCAAGTTCCTACAATAGTATGTATTCACCTACTAGGGTACCCATCTGGGTAGGTACTTGAGTAGGTCCCTGAGTACCTATAGAGTACTCTACATAGTATCTGATATCATGATGCTACACGATAACCTAACGTTTTGGTGTCGGTGATAATACTAGGTACCTAGTACACCTGGAATTGCAGACATTCCTGCAGTACTCCTGCATTCGACTTAAAGTCAACAATGTACGAGCTTGTGAATGAAAAAAATATCAGTGACAATTATTTGATAAGAAGTAAGTAAGATCAAGGATAGTCTATCTTCACTTACCTACAGAACAGATGTAAGTTTATAGGATTTGAAGGCTTTAGAAGTATTCTTTTTCACGTTAACTTCTGCCCACAGCCATATCATTACAACCATATTGACAGTTTGGTTGTTTTCGAATTGTCTTGTTTTGTTCTTGTTCTTGAAAGCAAACGGCCCGTCCTTCACCTACCCAGCATGAGTTCGAATTAGGTACAAGGCTACCGATTTCTCACCGCGAGTGGAGGAAGCAAATACAGGACGCTTTCAAACAGGATTTACCACCCTCACTGGATACGGTAGAATGGAAGGGTGGATCATACATCAGCCATAAGCAGTTTCTGTCCATGAGATGTGGTTCCCCCGAAATGGATCCCGAAGCAGATTTCGAAGTGGACAGAGAGATTGCGCGGGAATTCTGGGATGACTTTCCATCATTTAATGCCTACATGGAGGCAGTAATGAATGACTGGTCAAAGGCCAAGGCCTTGAAGACCCGAGGAGTCGGTTACCAACAGGAAAAAAGCGCGCAGTCTGGGCATCATGCAGATTGCCCGAACAAGATAAGAGCAGCTCATCGATGCCGACACAAAGCTGAGCGATTGATGAGAAGATGGTAAACTAGTATCTCCTCTCGTTCCTGGATGGAATCACGATCACGTGTCTCCATGTCGATTGCGGATGGTCTGGGAAGCGAAGATACTCAGTTACCTATTTCAAACCCAACCAGCTGAGGCTGTTCGTGGACGGGTTGCTTGAGACCGTGAGTGGTACAACCAAAGCTTTCGTTCAACAAGGAGGTTCTACGCCACGTGCGCCGACAAGAACCTGCTGAGGTTGTCGCTTTTCTCAGGCAGTTCAAGTCTGTCGACGACATTCCAAATCCATTCTTTATTCTCCGCCAGACAGACAAGAAATACCCTGTTATTATCTTATCATTTGATGATGACTATGAAAGGTATATTAGTGATGGCACGGCTCTAACTGCCTACCAAACCAAAGGCCTTTTGAAGGTAAAGAAGTAGTATTTAGTGAAATACCGTAGTCGATAAATGTTTACCTCGGGGCAAACTTTTGACGACAACAAACCACAACAAACCCCATCAGACTCTTATAGATATTAATGGGAGAGAAAACATTAAAGCCTAGGGGTAACACAACAATAAATCAATCAATCTCTAAGTCTACTGGTTCAATTCCTGAGTAAAGCACTTCAAATTAAAAATATAAAGTAAACATACCAACATATCCGCAGAGAAAAAAAAGAACCAAAACAAAAAAAGGCAAATAATTCTTTTGATACAAAAAATCAATTAAAAACCGTATCTGGGAAAAGTACCAAACTTTTAACAGTATTCTTCCAAATACCGTTAAACTACCGTCGTGGAGAGGGTATTTCAAACATATAGATTCCAGGGTTGCAGGCATGGTATTGAAATTTCCAAGGTTGAAGCTGATATATAGTATGCGCGCCACGAGGGCAGGTTTCTGTGCGTAATCTCACTCGCCCCGATTCGTCACTGCTCAGATGAGAGTCAATGGCCGCAACTGTGCCTGCGTATAATACATCTGCTAGTCTCCCCGGTGTAGAAATTTGACTTCGCGGAAGGATTCATCGCCGGCGGATTGTTGGTTGCTGCGTACTAGGTCCACGGGTCAATCAGTTGACATCGTCATTGCGCGAGTCTTCGAAGATTGAGGTAGTAGACCTCCTTCCATCACCCAGTGGCCCAGAGGTTTCAGGATCCTGCTTTTTATAGAAAGACGTCGCTCAATCGAACCATTCAATTTGTAGATTGGCCCCGAGGGGGCAGCAAAGTCCAAATCAGCCGTTGTTGAATTTCAAAAGAGACATCTTTGTGACCCGGTCCGTGATCTTGACACACCCTGGCAGCCTCGAATTGATAACAACCTTGCAAGTGCCAGTGATGAGTGAAGGTGGTGTGAGTCGGAAGCATAATCAGATGGTACATATGTAATTTATGCCTCTAGCTTAACATCCTGGCTTGAAAATGAGAAGTATTGGGATGTTGATAAGGAGAGGTGAGATAACGTTGCGAATAGCTTCAAAATGTTCACTGCCTAGGTGGAGATACCCCCACAGCCACATAATAATTTATATCTCACCCATCCTTCATGATGGATTTTATCTGGATAGAGAATCAAGAGAGGTGGTAAGAAGTATGAAAGATAATCTTGGAAATAGATTGAAAATGCCAGTGATTATATAAATCACTTTGGCCAAGATCTTCTCCCTCGAGTTAGTAGTCAAGTTCATTCAGGGAGCTTCAAATATTCATTTTTAGTGAATATAGTCAAACATTGGAATTGGAACATTCAATGTTGGATCTTAATTATCACTCGAGACCCCTTTTATGTGACTAATATCTAGAATCTACCTCTTAGTCACAGTTCTACCTCCTCCAGGCTGTCTTTACCAATTTCCTCACCATTTCTTCATTAATATTAGGTGTATATGAGATGAGATTCATAAGTAAGAAAGTGAAGGGAAATAGTAGTGAGCTAGTACTGGTAAGACTTTTACAGGAGTGAGAAAGAGATAAGACATCATAGATTATAAGAGATAGATCTATGTGAATAGCCCTGGAGATACTTCATCACCCAAGTATCTGATACTACAATATATGAAGCTTCTTTTATTCTATTTCAACTCTTCTCTTTCTCCACATCTACTACATCTTCCGTCATATCTTCTTCATCCATCCTACAGGTTGAAATCTCTTAATTATTTTGATGCCCATTCCTTCAAGCTGGAGACAATAAATATTCTCGATGGGCCCTTTAGTGGCTGGCAGCGCAGGTCACTTTGGCCTTGAAATCCTCCAGGTAGGTATTCTTTTCTTCATTTTCTCTCGATACATACTGCGGTCTCTTCATACTTTTTCATATCATGGATACTTGTCTTGTACTTTCTCTTTCCATTTTTTCACACCCAGTACTAATCAGGACATCCACTCTATAGCTAAGGCCAAGCAAGTCTAATACCCGCTCATTATCTCGCCTGAAACATTTCTCCAACGAACAAAAATCCTCCGCATAAGGCCGAAAGTCATCAGGTACCTACAACGGCGAGATTACCTTAAAAATTATCTCGTATCGAACATCTTGAATGCGATAAGCATCAAAGCCTGCCCTCGAAAAACTCTCGAACCTCAGAGCCCATCTACAAGATCACGGTTGCACATGTGCCAAGTCCAGAGAACCCCTGCTGGTAGATTATCGGCGGCCGAAAAGGACCGTGTGATGGCCTGGTATGATGGCCTCATAGGTGGGCAGGATGATGAAGAAGGCTCAGATTCTCAAGAGGATCCAACTGCAGGTCCGCAGAGTTTGAAGGTGGAAAATTAATCCCAGTCGGTTAAACATAAACCCAACTGAAATACGCATGAAGCTAACGGTATAGAATTTAGAAGCAATCCCGAACTCGAATAGGCCTTTTTATTCCAAGTTGAGCCTGCATGTGATGTATCTGAAGCTATCGCAACGCCAATTTGATGTGCTTTGAAATTATGGTTCAAGCGCTGGGTTATGGGGATAAATCAGCAGCTGATCTTATCTCGCATAAAGAGATAGCTTACAGAGATGCTCTAGACAACGAACTGACGAGATCAGAGTACCGTCTCAGAAGGCCTTCAGGAGGAGGAACCGAGTTCTGCCCACAAAGGATCTATTCTAGGAGATATGCAACTCTTCATATGGTCTACTCGATTCCTGGTAAGTCCCTGAGAGAGACTTCGGCTTGACCTTCACTACATTTCATCTCAATTTGAAATGCATCCTAACCCTCCTTAATTAGGCCGGCCTGTGAACAATCCGGCGGGATAAAGCCCCAAAAAGTCCAAGGGAAAGAATGTTAGAGGGGTTAACAGTGATTCCCGTCATAGACCGACGCACAAACTGTTGCGTGAACCTGAGAACGTCCGATCCGGGGCACCACAGATTATTCGTACTGATCTATCTGGGCATTTAATGCTGCAGGAGCCCGGGAACTATCCCGGGTGTCACTTGAAATTTCAAATGTCTCGGGGCAGTCAGCGCTACAGGGACCTGGTCATTCCTCTGGAGTGTCCCAGGTTTTTTTCATGCTCGTGTGCCTTTATGGCCACCCTCTCTTAGACAAAGTCCCTCGGAGGATTTATGGGACGACGAAATACCCGATGTTGATATGCTTGCTGCAGAGGCAGGCCTTGTGAACCCCTAAGTTCCGGGCCCTAGCTTTGGCCGCCGTCAAGGTATCTCCTCTGGAAGGATCACTCAAAGGAATACACAACATTCATCTCAAGCATAAGAAGCAGAATTAGAAGGCTTATACTATATAAAGCTGAAAGGGCTTCATACTGCAGGGAATCGGCAAGTACTGGTGACTTTTTGGGCAAAGACTCCAGAAACGCTGACTCGGAATTATGAACTGGAGAAATCTTTTGCATGTGGTTTGGTATAATTCGAGAGCCTAAAAATGATTATTATACCATTTTGTTATGACAGCTGGGCGATTGAATTGATCAAAGCGATCCGGTTGACTATTGAGCATGCCTTTAGCCCTAAATGAGAGGATCTGAACGCAGCATGGCAACTCCTCCAACTTCTTCGACTTGTTGCACGGCAGTGTGGCATTTGCGATACCAAGGAAGGCCTGTCAAATTATATCTCCGGTCTTCACTGGTGAGATAATGACTGGACGACTGAGGTAGTAATACCAAAAGGTACAACAGCTCCAGCGCTTGGGAGAACTGAAATTATCGAAAGCATCGAACTTGGTATCTTTTCATGCCAGAGGCAGGTTGGTTGGGATTATCGAAAACAGAAAACGTTCTTCCATGCCTCTTTTTAATAGCCAAGATAAGCTTTCGACCCGATTTCCTTTCGTTCATGTATACTACAACAACTTTGTTAACACAAGGTCCCGGCATCTCTAAATCCTCTTCGCCAGTGATATCCTCCATCCTATCAAGGTTCGTTGGGTTCTTACAGCGGGCCTAGCAGATTATCGGGTGGTACCAGCATACACATGCATGGTAATATTTCGCAGAGCAAACGGGCTTTTGGATTGGATAAGCTGAACATATGGATTTATGCGAACCATAACGCACTCCGGCAGTGGTGAGGAACCGTCCCCAAGGCCGACGCAAGCGCTGGCATTAGTAGTGAGTTTTGCGGAGGCGAAAGCCACCAGACCATACGGAGGTTCCAAAGAAATTCAAGTTTTTTTCTCTCTAAAATAGTAGCATTTCTCCAAAGAATGATCATGGACTCGGATAATTGAGTATATAACATTTGAAGAACAATACTAAGACCAATAGAATTAGGTGGGGCTCTCTTAAGTCTTTGGGGCTCTTGCCCCTAACACAATGCCCATGCACATGTGTGACTCTCCCGCCTTCGGGCACCAGTGGGCACCAGTATGCACCCCATGAAAGTTACCGCTCTCACACGTAAGAAAAAGCAAAATTTGGATTTATTTTTCAACTTGACCTCCTATAAAAGGGTTAACCCCTTTTTCAAAGCACAGGCAGTAAGTAGCAACTTCACGGGCATTTTAGCTAGCTTGCGAAGTCAACTGGCCGGGGGAGAGATCGGAGTTGTCGGGTCATGGAGATCAACATTTGACGCACGCTGTGGTAATCTCCGCTATCTCCGTACATATAAGAACATTTGAAAATCATAAATGTCAAGTTTCCTTCGCACCAACATATGATCCTTGGGATAATCACTTAATCCGGATTCTGGGCCAACACCCGTAGCTGAAAACGGTCAAATGTCCAAGCTGCAAGTTATGTAGATCCTCAAGTGCTTGGTCAATACTTCAGTTAATCCGGAGTCAATGAGGGGATATTGCATCCATGAAAATGTACCCCTGTCCAAGTCGGAATCTGAAGTCGGATATAATACTTAAAGTCCGTTCAAATGTTGTTTCGCTCTGCTTTGGGAAACACTCATGTCAATATTCCAAGGTTTGGATACAGCATCATGACGTCTAAAGCTGAGTGGTACTTGTTAAAGTGCCTGGATACTCATACGACTTGCTACAGCCCAGTTCCTCTGGTTTTCGTGTCCAGTTATCCTGCGCCTTGAAACCAGACGAGCTCTCTCCTACGCAGAGAAACCTTCAAATGTTACTGCACTTTCAGTCTGGTCTAGCCAGCATCTGCCAAAATGAGCTTTCATATGCATACGACAATGTTCGGCCAGATCGTACGCATCCTCTCCAACGGTAAGGCTTTTCAATATCCCGATGAGATCGATCCTTCATTATGGAAGATGGCCGTTCAAGGAGACGCTCCCAAGAGACCCCTCAACAATGGCCCCATCAGCGATGAGGAAAAGAACGAACACGATAGGAATATTTCCCCTCAGGAACAGAGACTCGACGAACGCAATGATGACCAAAAGGTGCTCTTGGTGGGCTGGTATGGCCTGGATGATCCAGAGGTATGGTTTCTGCCTTTATTATAGCTTCCTCCACACTATGTTCTCCTACTAACCAGGTATTTCATTTCTAGAACCCCCAAAATTGGTCTAATTCCGCAAAACACTTGATCGCCTTTCAGATGTGTGTGCTTAATTTCGCCGTGTACATCGCAAGCTCAATCTATCCGCCTGGCGAGCAAGGCTTGGTGGATGAATTTGGAGTCAGCGATACTGTGGCCATTCTAGGTCTCTCCCTTTTCACATTGTACGTAATTGGGATTTCATCACTGTTTACGCCGTGCTCCCCAGAAGCATCATTGACATTTTCCCTTCCAGTGGTTATGGCGTTGGACCCATGCTGTGGTCTCCCTTATCCGAGATGCCGAAACTTGGACGAAGAGGCATCTTCTTCTGGACACTCCTGGCATTCATCATCTTCCAACTACCTGTTGGCCTCGCTCCGAATGTTGCCTTATTTCTAGTATTTCGTTGGGTCACAGGCTTCTGTGGTAGCCCCTGTCTAGCGACTGGTGGTGGAACTATCACTGATATCTGCGAACCCACAAAAGTGCCATACTTGCTCTGTATCTGGTCATCCGCCGGTGTCTGTGGCCCTGTCTTCGGTCCTATCATTGGCGGGTTCCTCGCTCCAGCCAAGGGCTGGCGCTGGACCATCTGGTGCTTTACATGGCTATGTTTCGCTGTGCTTATCATGATGTTCTTCCTTCTTCCCGAGACTAGCTCCGCAAATATTCTCTACAGCCGCGCCAAGAGACTCAGAAAGGCAACACAGAATGACCGCTTGAAGAGCCAGGCTGATATCGACACGGAGAATTACACTGCCAAAGATCATCTTATCGTCCTCTCCAGAGCTTTCACCCTTACACTTTTTGAGCCTATTGTTTTGTTGATGAACCTGTACGCTGGCCTACTTTACGGCGTCCTGTTCACCTGGTTTGAGTCATTTCCAATTGTATTTGGTGATATATACGGATTCGACTCAGGTCAGCAGGGTCTTGTCTTCATCGGCATCTTAGTCTTCGCTGCGATATCCGTGGCTTGTTTACTCACATGGATCCGACTACAGCTCGTACCAAAACTCAAGCAGCCTGACAGCTTCAAGCCTGAGATGGTTCTCCCACCCACATTCATTGGCTGCTTTGCGCTCCCTATATGTCTATTCTTGTTTGGCTGGACATCACGCGCCAGTGTTCCTTGGATTGTTTCTGTTATTTGCTCGGGCTTTTTCTCTATCGGTGTGATATCGCTTTTCAATTCGCTTTTTCATTATCTAGGCATCACGTATGCCAGATACGCCGCATCTATCTTTGCGGGCAGTGCTCTATTCCGTGCATCATTCGGTGCATCATTTCCGCTTTTTGTGAGTCGCGATCTGTCACCACTCTTTTTTTCGGTATTTACTTACGAGATTGTATTATCAGGCAACCCCGCTTTTCGATAATTTTGGAATTGGCCCAGGAAACTCGCTACTCGGAGGGATCGCGGTCCTCTTTATTCCTGTTCCCTTTATTTTCTATCACGTAGGTCAAGCATTGCATCCTGTATTCATGTCCCCGCTAACATGAGAATAGTGCGGCGAACGGATTCGCCGCTGGAGCAAGCACGCATCGACCTGAATGTCAAAATATGGTATAGCCCCCGCTAGAAAGCCTGTGCGATATATTAGTTGGGAATTCACGCGGGGTTAGCGGATATAGAGAGAAACTGGAAGAAGAGCGCAATGACAACCTTGGAAATAAACCCAGCCCCAATTCCAACCAAAAAGGCTTGCTCGAGCATGATCTGATAGAACATTGAATCTAGTCAACACGGAGCACTTGAGAGCATGAAAATGCCGAAGATGAGCATGAAATGTCCCACGATCATGAAGGGAGCCTGTCACAAGACCAGGAGCAAGTAGCGGCTACCGTGTTCAAGAGATTGCTCCATAGCAATTCATCTAAGAAGTTTTCTTATAATATTCAAGTTGTTGTCTATCCTTCACGCTAAACTTTCCGCCGACCGATACATAGTAGATAAGGGGTTTGCCATTGCTACTTGGTTTCGCTGCTGTACTCACCATAAGGTGGTCCCAAAGGTGCACCCCATTCATAGGATTCGCCAATATCCCCATTCGCCCAACAATTATGATCTTTGAGGATATAATCGAAACACCCACCAATGCTCCCTGCTTCATCCAGTTCCTCCCGAGCATAACGGATTGCTCGTCCACCATGATCGAACCACATCACCAGGACTTTCCCTGCGTTGCGACCTTTGTGGGCAAGAGTTTTCGCATCAACAATATGAATACGTCCTGCGACTAGTCGCCAGAGGTACTCTGAATAAAAGCATGTCCATGGTAACTCATCTTCCACTGGGTCATAGCCGTTTTCTTCGGCATGCTGAGCATCCATACTCTCGGACTCAATTCCCTCTTGGAGGGCCTCATCAACATACTCGTCATATTCTTCAGCCGATTGATCATTGCTGAGAAGTTGTGGAGCACGAAGAAAAACCTTTTCCCAGTTCGAGCCGAAGTTGTACAGGGATGGATCATTGAAAGTTGAAGGTGGATGACCAAACTTGAGTTCAAGGTAATTTTGAATGTTGGTCCAAGAGTCCTCAGTGGAGGGATCATAGCAGGTGCGAAGCCATATGGGGTCATCACTTAATGAGCGCTCAGCAGGCAGACGGATCCGATTCAATAGCTCTTGGCTCTGTGGTGGAAGACTTAGTACAGAGGTGCCCTTGATCCTATCCTGCTGGTTTCTATACGGCTATTTGAGTAGCTTAGCAAGTTTCTAATGTTAGATTAATGGTAATGATGGGTCAAATCAAGTACCTCACGACCATGGAATCCAAGTGCCATCCATTTAGCGAAAATTTGTTCTCGTTGTGCATCAATAGATAGCGACGACTCGGAATCCTCTTGCCATTGTTCCTTGAATATTCAAATGTTGTTAGAATATACATATCAAGGCCGAGTGAAAGAGTTTCAAGTTACCAAGAGAAACAAATCAGCCTGCGAAACTCGGAAACCAGACATTTTGCAAGCGAAAGGTGGTTTCAAAAGGTTGAAAACTAGTCGCCAGTGGGGGACAGAAATCGAGGAAGGGTCCAACTTAGCGTATAAAAAGGGTCCACATCTAGAGCCTGAGCTATGATCCACTAACATTAGCCTTGTAAACACAATATTTCTCGCCAAGCAAACTGTACAAAGCTGCTTAGATTCTTTAAAATATGTATGCTTATAACGTTCAAGTTTCTTGTTTTGCGATGAATAGGTACTGCTACTCATCTTTGTGGCTCAAATATTCCAAGGTTGAAGTAGTAGACACCCAATAGAAGAGAAGAAAGAAGAGAAAAGAAAAAGAATGTGAGAGAGGCTCATTTCTGGCGTTTATTTCACATCTCCTCAGATTCAAGGTCTAGCTGACAGTGTCAATCTCATACCTAGGTATTTTAGTTATACTAAATCGATAGCCCGATAGATTGAAATATGCCGGTGTCTACTATACCAGACTGTTCAGGGCAGACATGTGCTATAAGAGCCTCAGGCCTCAACCTCGGGATGATACCACCTGGGCAGTAGTATACATTATATACCTCTAGCGCTATGAGCACTATACTAAATACTAGTGCTCGTATTGATAGACGCATATTAAGCATTCAGTAGATAATATTATTGATAAATAAACAGAAATAACGTGGTGGAATTCAGAGTAAAAAAATATTGTGTCCTAAGTCATTCCGTACCTAATCACTCTCATACTAGCTACTACAGTACTGATATGATTCAGTGGGGCGATAACGCGTTTCCCTTCTTCAACATCCGCAATGGATCATGGTCCTCCTCCTAAACGACAACGCAGGTCGACAAAAACTGATCAATCTTCTAAATCATCAAATTCAACTTCCAAACTTCCCTCGCGCCAAAAATCCTCCGCGCAACCCCCTTCCTCCCCAGTATCATCCGAACCATCACCACCGAAGCCGAAGTCCAAGTCCCTACACAACTTCTTTCAACCCGCAACTGAAGGCCAACGCTGGTCCTCTCAGAAATTCGATACTAAAAATACGAGGAATTCTAAATCTGTCAAATTTGAAAGATTCGAAGCAAAGCGACCACTATCCACAGCAGAATCATTAGATGTAGACGAGATCGAAGATGATTACGATTCATACGATGAGATCTTCACCCAACACATCGCCAGTCAATCCATTCCCTCTCGATCTACCTCAATTGCCTCGAAAAATGTTCCATCCAACTCCTTACCCGCAAAGCCCAAGGCGCCCGCGCGTCGGGGTCCAACAAAGCGATTCATCATGCCGATAGAACCCAAGGACCGAGCGCGATCGCCCTCTCAAATCGTAGACGATATTGATACTCGTCCGTGGTCTCAGCGATTCGCCCCGTCAAATTTAGATGAGCTGGTAGTCCATAAAAGGAAGGTTGCGGATGTACAGCGATGGCTGGAAGATGCCTTTGCGGGGAGATGCAGAGAGGTAAGTCCAAACCCAGATGATGGACTTGGGTATGGCTAATGAGATAGAAACTCCTGGTTCTAAGAGGTCCCGCAGGTTCCGGCAAGACAACGACCATTTCCATCCTCGCCGACACCCTTGGATTCGATATCGTTGAATGGAGAAATCCAGCTGTATCCGCATTCACAGCACAGGACTACGTATCGATCGGAGCACAATTCGAGGAATATCTGGGTCGTGGCGAACGCTTTGGTGGACTAGATCTAAAGGATGACAAGGCGAAAGTGCATACTCGCGACAAGCGCATTCTCTTGGTGGAGGAATTCCCGGTGTTGAACTCGACCTCTGCTCTATCAGCATTCCGGACTTCTATTCAGCGGTATCTTGCAGCTGCTAGTGATTATGCGCTCGGAGCAATGCACCCTCCTATCGTGATGATCGTATCAGAAACCCTGCTCGGTTCTGCATCATCGATATCAGATAACTTCACCGTTCATCGATTGCTAGGTCCGGTGTTATTCACACACGCTAGCACGAAAATCATCGACTTTAATAGCGTCGCCCCAACATACATGCAAAAAGCCCTCACATTGATCCTGGAGAAAGAGGCGCGCAACTCCAAGCGATCGCGAATCCCTGGTCCAGCGGTACTAGAAACCATCGCCGAGATTGGCGATATTCGCAGTGCGGTCTCTTCTCTCGAGTTTCTATGCCTGAAAAACGAGAATAGCCAGAGCGGGTGGAGTGGGACTTTCATAAAAACTAAGGGGAAAAAAGCTCCCAAGGATATGACACCCATGGAGGAAGAGTCTCTTAAGATGATCTCTCAACGAGAGGCTAGCTTGGGAATCTTTCATGCAGTGGGGAAGATCATGTATAATAAACGTCTTGACCCGAGTCTGGTTCCCCCAGGAACTACTGTTCTCCCTTCGCCTCCTGAGTATCTTCCCGAGCATCGTCGCAGCAAAGTCTCACAAGTAGCAGTTGATGATCTAGCGGACGAGGCAGGCACTGACATTACTACATTTATCTGTGGACTTCATGAGAACTATCCAACATCATGTCACGGATCCTCATTCACAGATCATCTCAATGCATGTATTGAGGCATTATCAGACAGCGACATTCTCAGTACAGACCGTCCTTCACGCGGTGTACGAGGGGGAACAGGGACGGGGATGTATTTGGGATCTGGTGTTGACAAACTACGACAAGATGATATTAGTTTCCAAGTTGCAGCACGAGGTCTACTATTCGGTCTACCATATCCTGTTAACCGGCAATTGAAGGGTAGTGATGGAGGTCGATTGGGAGATGCGTTCAAGATGCTATATCCAAAATCCCTACGATTATGGAGAAAAGCGGAAGAAATCGACGGAATGGTGGATTCATGCATGAAGCAGATGCTTGACCCATCAAGTCATCCACATCTATCACAGACTCAATTGACTGGAGTGAAATCCTGGCGAAGTCTACGAATTGGACATGTCGGAGGTAGTGAACAGGCAGTGACGATGTTATCTCGGTCTGAGGCGTTGCTGTACCAGTTTCCTTATATGGCTCAGATTCAGCGTGATGGACCTAATTCCTGGCATCTCAATCAGTTTACCAAGATTCAGAGTATTCGGTTTGATCTGAATGAGGATGAGGATGATCCTGTTTCTCCACCATTATCACGTCCTCGTACGGTTGGGCCTCGACAGGAAGAGAAGGAAGAGAAGTTGATTCTGAGTGATGATGATATTGAGGATTGATATAGATTATCTAGTTAATGATCTCCTTAGCCGTTTAATCATGATTCTGTCTCATTCTACCTATTTTCTACAATTGTATACTCTCTGTACTCGTCTATAGTATTGTTATCTTATCGATAAGATAAGCGATCAACACGTCGCGCTTTCCACGTCACTCAACTTCGTATATGACAGGACTCTCCGTACAGCATCATAGAAGTACTTAAGACTACATTACTCCGAGTCTCCATTCTACAAAAAGCAGAAGTCTATACCAGCAGATTTGACATACAGACTCAGTCCAATCCCAAGTCGCATCAGTCAACTCGGGAGTGTCCGTGTCCCGCATCACCATGATCAACGATGGCGAGACAAAACGAAATACCTATAAAGTTCGAACGAGTGTTCCATTGAGAGAAAGCTCAATTGTATCCTCTGCAAAAGGATCCGACTCATCCGAGTCAGACAAATCCAAGTCCGAGTTCGAGTCTGAGTCTAAGAATGCAAGCCTGATTGCGGCGGCCGCTCATGCTGCTGTGCCCAATTGGGCGAATCTGATCTTAATGGCCTCACTCATATTTGGAGGATGCTGTGCCAATGTGAGTACAATCAATCAGTCCCATAAATATATACTAACATGATCCCAGGTATTCGCATTAGAAGCCATCATCAAGTAAGTATCATCAACCTCCATTCCAGATATGCATCTTCAGAACTAACATTCTATAGAGAACAACCAACAGCTGGTACGCTCCTCATACCTACTACCATCATTTTCTTCTAACTCTTTCTAGGACCACTGATAACATTCGCCCAATTCATCATTTGTGCCCTTTTCACACTCCCGCATTTCCTCTCCCTCTCCGCCGGACCTCGATCCCTCTTCCTCAGTCCTCGCGCAATCCCACTAAAATCATGGGTAATTTACACCTCTTTCTTCATAACGGTAAACATGTTAAACAACTGGGCATTCGCATATAAAATCTCCGTGCCATTACACATCATCCTGCGCTCTGGTGGCCCCGTCGCATCGATTATAGTGGGATACATATTCAACGGCAAAAGATATTCGCGCGGTCAGATTATCGCTGTCATGATGTTAACCGCTGGTGTTGTTGCTGCTGCGTTAGCCGATGCGAAAGCAAAGGGAGGAAATGTTGTTTCATCTGATTCAGATTCCGCGGCTGTTATGGATACGACCATTGGGTTTACTATCCTAGCACTTGCTATGATCTTATCTGCTTTTCAAGGGATCTATGCGGATCAATTGTATGCAACCTATGGACGAGATCATTGGAAAGAAGCCCTTTTCTACTCGCATACTCTTTCTCTTCCTCTTTTCATGACGAGTTGGTCTCAACTCTCCTCGCAGTGGAGTGTCGTTACTTCTTCTCCGTCTCTGCGTGATACATTCCCGGATTTATCAGGAAGTGACTACTTGCCTACTTTTACAAGCTCAATTCTTGCGACTCTCGCTGCGATGGTTCAGAAAAGTGATCTGCATGCTCTACTGGATTTCATTCCTATTCAGGTTGCGTACTTAATTATGAATGCCTTGACGCAGTACCTCTGTATCAGAGGTGTGCACCTTCTCTCTGCGAAGTCCTCTTCGTTGACTGTGACTGTGGTACTCAATATCCGCAAGCTTGTCTCCCTCCTATTGTCCATCTATCTCTTTGGGAATTATCTGGGTTCGGGGGTTTTGCTTGGTGCTGTGTTGGTCTTTCTCGGTGGAGGTTTGTATGGATTTGAAGGTGCAAGACTTCGAAAGATGAGTATGAAGAAGAATCAATGATCAGTTATGATCACCAAGGAGGAAATATGAAGCTACGAAGCATACTAGAACTGGATGTTAGATCAGCGATAGCATGTGCAATTCAAAGTCCCATAATTGTACATCTTCAATAGAATATCCCATACTCAAAACATGTCAATCATACACCAAGTAGAATTCTCTATAAAACTTCACCCACAATCTTCGCAGCCTCCTTGTAAGTCTCAAGAAGACGCTCACACTTCTCACGCTCAGCCTTAATGCCATCATCCTCGTACAACAGTTCCCCAAACAAGTCCTCCTTGTAAAGCTCGCTAACCAATCGGTTTTGAACCACGTCCTTACTGTGATTCACAAGCAGATGCATAATTGCTTTAGGGACCTGATCGGCGATAGTTTCACGCACGATGTGGAAGTATGAGGAAATGAGGCGACGAATAAGTTCAGTCTCGAGCATTTCTCGATCAGTGAGAGTAGGTTCGGCATTTTCATTAGGCTAAAGAGAATTAGCAAAGAATCAAGCAGAGTTAGGCGCCGTTAGGGAACTTACGAAAACTGTTACATCACCTCCATATTCAGATGGTGCTGTATACTCTTCCACCGCGGGAGGAGATCTCACCTCGGCGCGACGAAGACTCTGACTGATACTAGGCTCACTAGCATGGGCAGCACGGTTCATCGCCTGCTGCGGCGGTGTAATCTGATTCTGAACACCTTCTTTACCAAAGAAATAGTTCAAGAACGAATCGCGAGTTTGCGAACCACCGAATCCTGCCGGTTGGCCCGCATGCGCACCGTTCAGAGTAGCAGCAATGCCATTCTCTGCGCGGCCCACATTCGGTGATAAGCTACGTGCGCCCTTGGCTGAGTGGCTTCGCACAGGCAGGGCTTGTGATTGAGACTCCTCCTCTTCGGGAATTCCAGTGGTACCGTTCGCCGCGCCGAGCTCCTTCAATCGGCGCTTCTCACGTTTCCTCTTCTCCTCGGCCATAACGGCCTTGCGCTCCTCCTCTTGTCGGTTCTGGATAATGGATTGCATGGCAGCAGCGGCACCAGGGAAGTTAGGGTGGTTTGTGTTGATGTAAGCTCTTTGGATGGAAATCAAGGATTCAACGTAACCAGCACATGGTCCCAAGCGTTCACGAAGAAGATCGGAGACTACTTCGATCAGCTTACCCTGAAGACGAGGGAATCGCAGCAGCTCTTGTGAGCCACAGGTGTGGCAGATTTTGATAAGTTCTTCGTAGACCAGCTCCACACAGCGCTGCGCGGGTGATTCCAGGAGCTTGATCTGAGGCTTAACCAGCAGGTCGAATGCAAGTTCAGGCACGAAGAGACTTGGTCGTGGACCAGTGGAGTTACGGATGGCCGTCCTGATATCTGACACGGTCAAGTTGTGAGTCGGGTCAATGGTCTCTAAGGAGTTACCGAAGACTTCATTGAAGATGTAGTAGATGCGCGCACCACCACAGAGTTCTTTAGTGGAGATTTCAGAGGATGTTCCATCAATGGATGAGATAAAAGAGGAAGCGAAGCGGGTCATCAGCTGCAGGATCAAGGAGCCCCGGTGCTCCTTGCCGCTGAATTGCTTGTTGCCATAGCTAGCCAGCTCTTGCTGGGTTTGTCCCATTAGCGTATTCAACCGAGCCTTGATATCAGGCAAGCGGTCCCGAATATGTGTCATGAGAGTCGAGTTCAAAGTCTTAGCCAGGAACTGTGTACCGCATCGGTTCGCCATGTTGCGATACGCCGGGTGGTGACGGAAGAAGTCCGACTCAGCGCGTAGAGCCTCCGAGAGTGACTTGCCGGACTGGATATCCTGTTGAGAGCGGTTGACCACACCGATAAAACCCAGTTTAAGGGGGTATACACGGCCAGACAAGATATCCATGGCATTGGTACCGTGGTCCATGAGATCCAACTTCGACAACACTCCAATAGTTCTTCGACCCATAGCGTCCACCTGGCGAGCCAGTTTCAAGGCCTCCGAGTTGACCAGATCCACGTTAGCGGGGGAAACCGCGAGGATAATACTGTTGGGCTTGGCGATGTATTCGAGAATTAGAGTGCGGGTCTGCTTCTCAATATCGGAGGGTTGGTCTCCGATGGGGACTTTGGTCAAACCGGGCAGATCGACCAGGGTGAGGTTCAGGACATGAGGGGAGAAGATCTTCAGGTTGATAGGTTGGCGATTGATACCCTTGTTACTTCCAGCAATGCGAGCGGTTTCTGCTTCAATTTCCTGCTTGACTGCTCCGAAGTCTTCGAACTTGCGACCTGGCAAATGGTGGAATTCGGCCCATTCGTGTTGGCCGGCCACGCTGGCTGGGGTATGGGGGATGTGAACCTCATCATGGTCCGGCAGATCGTCCCGTTCGCTAGGGATGTTGATCAACTGTAGGATGAGTGGACGACGAGTGACGATACCGCTGCCGCGAGGGAGAAAGTCTCGCCCGACGATGTTCTCCAGTACGGAGGACTTGCCGGAGGATTGGGAGCCGACGACGACCTGAGGAGTGTATTAGCGGAGATAAGGCTCAGCTCAATTCAACCAGTGAAAACTCACAATTTGAGGTAAATCCAGGGAATCATTGCCAATAGTATTGAACACCAGATCCTGGAGCTTGTTCACAGTGACAAGCAGATCCTCGCCCAGCGCCGCCATTCTGGCGCGGTGATGGGTAATGAATGGATGGGGTAGAAGTATTTAGACCGCCCCAAGGCACAGAAGGGTATAACCCTTGAAAATATCGGAGACGACGGAGAAGTGCAAACTTGAAACGAAGATCCCTCGCGCGTGTACGGGGATCGACCTCGGACACACTTGTTTATGCCGCTTTCGAAGGCACGTGACGCTGACTGATTGGGTTATGTAAGGCGATGACGTCTTCCAATATAAGGTCAGTATGAACTAGATGATCAACTGGTAGAGGAGAGCCCTGAAGGTGATTAACTAGATTATTCATGATAGAGAAGGATGAATACTTCTTGAGGCTAATTTCGGATTGTAAAAGCTGAGACCTCCTCATCGGAATGATGATACTATAAAACAATCAGGTGAAAGACAAGCTACACTGAAACTAAGCTCAATAATGAGCAGCTATTTACACAAGGTCATGACTCCAGCGTCTCCTTTTACTCGTTCAACTGCACATAGTTAGCTGGGAACAGACCACGGGCTCCGTGGTACTCTCCAAGCCACCAGTCATCATCAGGGAATTCCTATCAAAAGAGTTAGCATGATTCAGGTAATTAGGAGAGACAAGTACATACCACATTGAGAATTGTCGCACCCTCGGGGAAGCTCAGCTCATTGTCCTCAGCAGCCTCGTAGTCGTAAACAGCCAATGCAGTTGGGCCATGGGAATCAGCCGCGTGATGCTCAGGCGCCGCAGGAATAGGTGCAGCGACAGGCTCGGGCTCGTAGACGGGTTCAGGCTCAGGCTCCGGAACATGCTCTTGAACATGAGGAGCAGCCTCACCCTCTTCCACGATCTCGACATAGTTTCCAGGGAAAAGACCTCGTTCGCCGTGGACATTCACACCCAACCACCAATCCTCATCAACCATCTCAATGTCTGTCACCAATTCTCCCTCGCGAAGCTCAATCTCGTTATCCTCAGCCTTTTCATAGTCATACTGCACCACAGCACGGAATCCACCTTGAGACTGATCAGGCACAGTAGCTTCAGCCGCGGCTCGGCCAAGGTCATGAGTCTCGTCTTCCAAATCCCTCTCATCAGGGATGGCCTCCTGGAGGCTTTCAATGGGCATCGCAGGAGGTGGCGCGTGTTGCTCGTCGTGGGCATCAGCCACCTCACGGCTCACAGGAATAGCCACACGGATCGGGGAGCTCTCCCGGACAGGGGGTGTGGGAGGGGTAGGAGAACGGGGCTGGGGAGGAGGAGGAGGCAGGTCTTGGTGAACCTCAGGCTCAGGCTCCGCCTCAAATTCATCCTCAGGCTCTGGGATTCCAGGAACAGGAATTGGGCGACTAGCCTGGGGAACAGGAGGAGGGGGTGGCGCTTGAATAGCGACGGGCTCGGGCTCTGGCTCAAAGTGAGACTCAGGCTCGGCAGGAGGGTGAGAGAACTGGTCCCGCACATCCTGAATATGGGAAGCTGGCTGGACTGGCTCCGGCTCGTGTACATCCGAAGCCTTGACATCTGCAGCCTCGGGAACATGCTTGTCTTCAACGGTTTGCACGGGGGCCCACGATTTACCCTTGTATCCACTCTTCCACTCGTTCTGTCCACTGGGCTGGCTCTGGATCGGCAAGGAAGGAGGCGCGTCTGCAGCGGGCGCAGTTCCTCCACGCTCCTTGGCCTTCCGCTCGGCCCACAACTGGGAAGGTGTCTTACCTCCCTGGTCCGCAAAGGTTCGACTGGCGCTTCCGACTTGCACATTAGGAGTCGCCGATGCACCCAAACCAGTTGGGAGAGGTGGCTTTGTGCCGGGAAAGAAGGACCGGAACCGAATCTGTTCGCAACCTTGGGCTTCGGCAGGTTGGTCAAGCGCTCCGCACTCTGGTTGGCGGCTGCTGGTCGCTCAGGCAGTGATGTAGGTTCATTCCGAGGAACGGGACGAGGAGCCGGAGACTCCTCACCCTCAGGCTTCTGGGCACGGGCACGAATGGCGGCAATGTCGACCTTACCCACAGGCTCATAAGAGCCCTTCACAGGTGCCGGGCGATCATCCTTCAAATTACCGGACTCCGCAGCTTGTCTGCGAATAGCAGCGATATCAACCTTGCCGATAGGCTGGTAAGCACCGCGAACCACGTTCGCTCGCTCTTCAACCGGGGCCGAAATGGGTTGGCGGCTGGCAGGGGACTGGTTCTCAGATTTGAGTTGTTGCAGGTTGACCTTGGTCGGCTTGTACGCAGGCTGGACTTTCTCCAATTGAGTACGGGTGACCGGTGGCGCATCGTCACCCCAACCATCGTTATCCACAGCGGATGGCTTCGGACGAAGCGCGGGGGCCGGAGCTGGAGCGATGCCCCCTGAGCGGGTAGGAGTGAAGACGGGCTTAGAGGCGACCGGAGGACGAGTTGCTGTGGATGAGGGCGGTGCCTGTGACTCTGCGGAGTATTTCGCGCCAGACGAGTCAGCGACTCGTTGGACAATGCCCTCTGGGGATAGGTGGCCGTCGGCTCGTGCTGTGATCTGGACATGGTAGCCCTACAATTCTTCGAATTAGCTCGGAATTAACGGGAAACCAGGGAGCTTAAAACTCGAAGTTCAAGCTCGAATCTCGAAACTTTGTGTCTTACATGAAGGAACTTTGATACAGAGGCCAGGTGGCTTGTGAAGTAGCCCTTGGTCCTCTCGGGAACTCCCTCGCCACACCAGGCAATCAGAACATTCTTGGGCAAACCAGTGTTGGGATCCGTGACCTTAACGTAGGCGAATTGCACTCGACCTTCGGAGAATTCCTCGATCAGGTCGACCAATTCTCCCTCTGAGAGATAGTGAGTAGTGAAATCGGGGGATGTGGCGGAATGGGGAGAACTGACCACCTGAGCTTTGCACCTTCAGCACACTCTCCTTGTTGCCCGCATCTTGCTGGAAAGCGTTGACCAGCGGAGTTGAGACGGAGAAGACCGCCCATTGGCCATAGGTAGGTGAGCCATTCTTGGGGGGGCGCCGCGTTTACGACGGACTGGTAGCTCTTGGATATTGAGGGGCCATTGGCGGACAAGTTGAGAGAGGCCATGGTTGATGTAACAGTCGAACTGGGGTAAAAGGAATGGTATTTGATGAAGTGAAATGGGGGTAAAGGGAAAGAAAAGGGAAAGGGGAAGGAAAGAGAGCAGGAAGGTGATCACGGCGGCCTAATGTTGATGAGATGGTGGGTGGGGCGGGAAGAGGGGAGCTATCCGGTGATCTGCACTTTCAAGTTCCCAATAAGTCTCAATGGGAGAAGATGAAGTGATGAAGTTGAGTCAATGTGTAAAGGAAAGATGTGTGTAGTAGGAAGCTTCAAGTTGGAAGAGGGGGGAAATGGTGAGATCAATGGGGGAGTGCGTGCATATAAACCCCCACTTGACGTCTTTGATCAAGTTTCTTGGAAATAATAGTGCCACGCACTAAATTTAGTATTGAGGAAGGAACTACCAGTGTTATATATAGGGAATATATGAGATGATGGAGAATGAAGTTGTCTCTTTGTAGGATAATCAGATACTATATAAACATCAATAGTTGATTTAATGAAGTAATGGTCAGTAGGACTTCTGATTATCAACATACATCAGATAGTATACTGCATACCTCTGCATAAGAGAGATATGAATATGCACATCTACATATCAATTAATGCTTATTTCCTAACATTTGAATGCTTATCATTTGTACTAGATATGGTTTGATTATAGTCTCTTGAGATTTTTGATTATAAGTATTCAAATGTTATGATTCTATCCAGGTAAATCAATGTGGTCAACAGAGAGGTTCTTAGTATACACTAGCAGGTACAAATGCCACATTTACAGTAGACGAATTCGGACTTAAATATAATCACCTATAATACTATATAGTATCCATGGATAGATCAGGCTTAAATGTAGCTACTGTTAGCAAATAGTGTAACTAGCTAAATAATGAGGATTTGAACTTCAAATGGTTCAACTTCGTACCTAGGTATAACCTGGTCTATAGCTCCACTATGACATCTGAGTAGACCACGTCATCTCTACTAGTTTAGAGCTATTGAAAGCTACAGTGGGGATTTACCTTAAAGCTTGAGTTGAGATGAATATTTACATCTGATATATAGAATTAAAATATTATATAAAATATACCTAGGTCTCTAACTATCTATAATACTGTCATGATATACATTCAGTCACGGTATATATAAACAATTGACTCACCGAAAAAGTGGATCCGTGAGCTTCGGCTTTTTTTTGTTGCTTCAAGTTCCCCTCCATCTTCAAGTTTCTCCAACTTGAATATCCACTTACTATGATCCGATAAAATTTGGATCCGGATATCTCAATTACCTCGCCTGAATCTATACACTCATCTAGACTGCATCCATCCCACACCTTTCTCGACTACAACCTACCTCCTTCTTCCCTTGCGGTTGCGCTTGTACCACGATCGATAGAGACAAAGAACCGTCATGGGGTCTTCCGATTCCGACGTGCTCAGTCACGATCCCAATCACAATGTTAGCAGCCTAGACGATGAACCGCTGCCTTCCCCGGGCTTCGATCTACCCTCCGAAACACCCTCAATCCAGGGCGACGTGGATCCAAAGGACTCGATCGATATCCTCCCTCGAGACCAGCAGCAGAAGACCGCTACCTATGACTATGCCTACGAAAAATCCTTGAGCCACGCAGAAGCAAAGCTCTTCTATCAGCACCATCAGCTAGCGTCCAAGGGAGATCATCCAGGCTCAGCGACCCCCATCCCCGGGGGCCGTCTGATGGGGGATTCACACCAGGGCAGTCCAATTATGGCACCTGATGCTAGTCCCCGGATAGAGTTCGCAAAGGCTCGATGCTGGCCGAGTCTGATTGGAATCTGGATTCCTCCGTACAAGGCACAGATGGCGCGAGCCACGATGGCCAGTTAGATCACTCCGTGGGTTCATTGAATGTTCCTGGTATTTCTCTGTCGGTGGGGGAGAATCCTGCGTCAACAGGCCTGGGAATCATCTCTCAGGGACCCGGTGGCGATGCCATTACCTCGGAGTTGAATGCTATCTACCGTAAGATCAAGGGTCTGTTGCATCGACGTGCGAAATACATGACGTTGTCACAGCAGAGACCCGGTGATGATCCGCGAAATCAGGAGGACTGGGAAATTTATCCTCCTCCGCCGGAGCCGGCGTGGCATGATGGGAAAGAGTTCCAGCCTGAAAATACTGGGGAACCGTCAGATCTGACTGGAAAGAAGAGGAAGATGGGCCAAGACATTGGTGAAGATTTTGACATGGACGAATTCTCGCTACCGGAAGAGTCTTCATGGACCTATCGCTTGGATAGCAATAGTGTCTACCAAGTTTTCCCATCGGAAGACGCAGCAGATCGACAAGAGCCCATCGTGCGGATTCCATCTCTGCGTGATTTCTACATGGACCTCGATGCCGTTGTGGATGTTTCCTCGGAGGGTCCAGCCAAGAGTTTTGCTTTCAAACGTCTCTCCTACTTGGAAGGCAAGTTCCAACTGTATACCCTCCTCAACGAGTACCAGGAAATCGCGGACAGCAAGAAAGTGCCCCACCGAGATTTCTATAACGTGCGTAAGGTCGATACTCACGTTCACCACTCGGCTTGCATGAATCAGAAGCATCTATTGCGCTTTATCAAGAGCAAGATGCGGAAGTCCCCCGACGAAGTTGTTCTCTTTCGAGATGGCAAGCATCTCACTCTTCGTGAAGTATTTCAAAGTATCAACCTCACAGCCTATGACCTCAGTATTGATACTTTGGATATGCATGTTAGTTTATGGCCTCATACGAACTGTGTTTTATTTATTGTTTACTGATAATCTCTAGGCCCATACTGATTCTTTCCATCGGTTTGACAAATTCAATCTCAAGTATAACCCCGTTGGCGAGTCTCGTCTTCGTGAGATCTTCTTGAAGACAGATAACTACATCAAGGGTCGATACCTGGCCGAGATCACCAAAGAAGTCATTTCCGACTTGGAGTCCAGCAAGTATCAAATGGTCGAATGGCGAATTTCCATCTATGGTCGTTCGGCGGATGAATGGGACAAATTGGCCGCCTGGGTCGTCGACAACAAACTCTTTTCCCCCAACGTTCGCTGGTTGATCCAAGTGCCTCGACTATACGATGTTTACAAGTCCAGCGGTATGATGGAGAACTTCGAACAGGTCATTACAAATGTCTTCCAACCGCTCTTCGAGGTGACCAAGGATCCCTCTAGTCACCCGAAGCTTCACGTATTCCTCCAGCGCGTGGTCGGATTCGACAGTGTGGATGACGAGAGTAAGGCCGAGCGTCGACTGTACCGAAAGTATCCTATTCCACGGGACTGGAGCACCAAGCAGAACCCTCCGTACAGTTACTGGCTCTACTTTATGTTTGCCAATATGGCCTCACTCAACAACTGGCGGAAGCAGCGCGGATTCAACACATTCGTTCTACGACCACACTGTGGTGAAGCGGGTGATCCTGATCATCTCGGTGTTGGATTTTTGTGCTGCCACAGTATCAGTCACGGAATTTTGTTACGCAAGGTACCCTTGCTGCAATACCTGTACTACCTGGACCAGATCGGCATTGCGATGTCCCCGCTCAGCAACAATGCCCTTTTCTTGACCTACGACAAGAACCCCTGCGCCAGTTTCTTTAAGCGCGGTCTGAACGTGTCACTGTCCACCGACGACCCACTTCAATTCGCATTCACAAAGGAACCCTTGATTGAGGAATATTCCGTCGCGGCTCAAATCTACAAATTCAGTGCCGTCGATATGTGTGAACTGGCCAAACACTCTGTCGAACAAAGTGGCTTTGAGCTGTCCTTGAAGAAGAGATGGCTGGGCTCCAATTACAGTCTTCCCGGACTCTCCGGAAATAATGTTGCAAAGAGCAATGTGCCGGATATCCGCGAAGCATTCCGACATGAAACATTGCAGGCGGAATTGTCTTTGTAAGTCACATCCATTGTTTTATTAGGAATACCCACTAATTATTTCATTTTAGGATCGAGCGTTACTCTGAAGGCTACACAGCTGAGGAGCCAAATGCCTTGGCACCGGGTCTCCTGCATACTGTCAAGCAAGCATCGGCAAAGGGATCTCATACTGCAGCTTAACTGGCTACCCTTCACTTGGAGGGTTATCGTTACGGACAGTTAGATTATAGCATGCATTCCATGCTTGGATCACCTTGATTTGGGCTGCCTATACCAGCGTTATCGAGTTAAAGGATTTGCTACGGCTTTATTGTGAGTACGTGGCCTTTCTGCGGGCTGAGAAGATGCTGCATCACTTTAACAAAGGGATTCGATGTGGTATTACTCAACTATTTGCGATCAGAGGAGGACCTGGCATGATGATGAATTGAATGATTCGGGAACAGAGGATTATCCAGGGATTTACATCCAGCTTGAGGATTGTGCTAGAGCATAAAGCACTCAAAAGCACCGATCTTGGCTGAGTCAGGACTAGCTGCTTCATATTTACCTAGTAGATAGTCCTTATGGGATATGAATAGGAATGATAATGTCTGTATTACTTACTGCCTAGTCTCATCTCATACCTCGTCCTAATAGTATATGCTATAACTCTCGGATTATTCCTTGAGAAGCTACAGTTTCGCGAGGTGCGCTAATGCATGGACCCGGCGCCACAAATTTAATGTAGGGAGTACCAAAGCAGAAGACCCTTATTTATGTACCTCGTCTTATCGAAATACGTTAGAATTTAATTATTTGATTCCCTGAGACGATTCAACAAGATACACTCTTCCAGCTCATCAGCACAAGAAATATTCATTCGTCCCATATGGAGATCTGCCTTCTCTCAGAAGAGGAACATGAACTAAAGAAACTTACCATACTGATAGACTTGGAGTTCTATTTTATAGCTTTGTAGTAATTCAGAAATGAAGAGGCGTTAGGGATATTTCAAAAGTGAGAAAGAAGTGATAGGTCAAGTGCGGTAAGATGTAAGCTGAAGTAAATGAGATGAGAGGAGGGCAAAGTGAGGTCTTGTTGAGTATATCCGTGGATTTCAAATAATATATTAAGGTTCTGATACTAGTATTATCTATTATCCAGATATCTATTAGACCCTCTCATAGTAATCAGTCTACTGGTAGTAGGATTTATACCCATAGACACAGATAGACTTAATATCTAAATCAAACAGTTAGGGTTACTTATAGCACAGGTAATAACTATTTGATCAAATATTAGCCTTTGAAGAGATCTTAATCAGAATATTTGGATACTCACCTCTAGCTTTTTCTCCTCTATATTAACCTTCTATCTACTCACTTTGTTTTCATCCACCTTACTATTTACCTCCCTTCTCAGTCAAACCTTCAACTTCAAGATTCCCTCTATTCAGCCTGACCACCATGGCCTCCCTAACATTACCAAAAATCCAAGAAGACCTCCTTAATACTTTGGGACCTTCCACTTACGACACTAATCAGGCTTTTACACTTGGATATCTCATATGGATCAAGTATCAAGTACAAAACCCTCGTTTGGAATCTCGAACCCAATTAATTAATGGAACAGGGTGGTTACCTGTAAAAGTCCAACAATTCCATTTAAGGCTCCCAAGAATGCCTGGATACACTGACCAAACTCTAGTATCATGTCTCACTCGATGATGCACCCATCCTCCTTCCAAAATGTGTCTTGGTTCTCTTCAGATGAATGAAGAAGCTACGCATCAAATTTCAACTTGACTTTTTGGAGATCATAGCCATTACAGGATGCTGATGGTTGATATGAGAACACTTGAGATACCTAGTATGTAAGTTGGTTAGAATTTGAAGTATGAATACCTCGACTATTAAGCTTTACTGTGCTCAAACTATTCTTTGCTATATTGTGGGCGAAGAGGGATGAACCCGCCAAATACGTTTAAAAATCTACACAGTGTCATCCTTTACCTTCGAAAATCGTGCTACTACTATGGCAGTTACTCGGGTATGTTATGTTTATGATTAAATTGGCAATAAAAATTTGAACTAACGGCATTTTCGACATATACAGTTTATTCAACGATGATAATCCGCAGGTACATGGAAGATGTGGTTCCGAATTGTCGAGAGGACAAGGTAGACCACATGTGGACCTGATAGGGCGAAATTACTGCAGCATTGAAAATTCGTTCCATATTGAGCGCGAGGTTTACGTCACGGACGATCTACTTGGCCGAGAGGACAGCTTTTGTTTTATATTGAATCATCAGTGACTGACAGGGCTGCTACCCTACCTATCCAGGCTGCCAACCTAGATGGTGTGATTTTCTATCGCATTTACTCTAGAAACTTCAAGTGGCCTTCCCGTCGCCTTGTTTGGCGAAGATAAACTGAAATCTGACAAACAGGAAATTCCGGAGTCTTTCAAAAAACTTCATCCACCCAGAGAACTGTTCTCTGATCATTAATGTCCGAACAGTATTTAAACGGTACCTGAGTTCCATTCTAGATAACCAGTATTTCAACATGCTCCAGAAGTTAGATGAAACTGGTGTCCTCACAATTCTTTTCTTTGCACGTCCAGGCGCCCAACTGGTGCTGCCAATCTCATTGAATATTGTTGCGAGTGGCAAGCCTATCACAAATGAAGAGTCGATCTCACCCACGTTCCGATCACTAGTTATTTCTTTGAATTATACGCCTTGCTCGCGTAGGGTCTTCTCATAATTTTTGCGCGTCGGTTTTGGACCACGAACTTCTTTCAGTTCATGAAGATCGAATTTCGCGTCATCGGAAATCGGCCCCAGAATGAAGACCCCAAGCCGGGGCCAGAATCCATCTTAGGGACGATCGCACTATCCTTGATCATGACTGACTATATCGAATGGAGTATGGACACACTGACTGGAAAAGGTGAATGAATGAGATAAATCGCAGTACACTGATCGAAATCGAATGAGGATGGCGATGGGATTATCAATGTTCCAGATGTCTATGTATTCTTAAGAAGTCGCTAACATTTCAAATGTTTCACTTTATTACTATCATATCATTCTTTGGCTAGAATTTATGTCAAGAACAAGCCTATCCATATAATATCTCTAGAAGCTACTCCAGAAGTAAATTAAAATTATATAATGTCTTATGTTGTACAGGCTTATGTATAAACTTGAATCTTGGAAGACTACTAGGATTCCCAGTCACCACTTTAAAACCTCTCTGCCCTGGTCCACAGGTGTATTTTCTTTCTCACGCCGAAAAGGCGACACATGCATATTAGGGCATGAATATATTATTCCCAAAAATCCCGCATTGCCTTGATTCTTCCTGGAACATTGGGGAAGTTATTTGGTCGGCTTTCAAAGCAACAGATCATTCTGTCGACAGAATTTATTTTTCTATCTGCCCACAACTCGATAAAATATCCCTCCAGAGAGTACATCAAAAGTTTCCTTGTCGATGGAGTTAGGTACAACGACACCGGTTAAATATTCCATCCCTCTCACGCATTCACAGAACGCACGATAATTCAGTGACCCCAATGGGACAACATTGTTGGCATGTCGCTCCTGCAACATCATATAAATCTGGGCTGTCTTGTCTATGAAATTAAGATTGTAGGTTTCTTTCTCTGCCTCTCCTCCCAACTTGGGCCAGACGTTTTCTATGGCAAAACAGGCTCCTGCGACAAGAGAAAACAAGGGGCTTCCGTATGGTGGACCAAAGATGTTTGGATTGGCACCACTTTCGAGTAACAGGTTCACAGTGTCAAAATTTCTATAGTATGTTGCAGCTTGAAGGGCCGTAGTGAAATCGCAGGCATCGTCATCGATCTCATATGCCCATGCGTCAACAGCTGCAATTGGAGAATCAGCGTCAACGCCCATACCTAGAATTTCACGGGTCATCTCGACGCTGCAAACCGCTTCAACCAGAATGTTCCCTGCTGAAAGGCAGGTAGGATCACTCGGGTCAACTCGCGCACCCTTGCTGATCATACATCTCGCAATATCCAACCAGTCATTGTGGAGCGCCATAGCGAGCGGCGTGTTATAGAAACCCCCAAGATCTGGATTCATGTCGGCCCCGTGCTGGATCAGAATGTAACAGATCTCACGATGCGAGTCAAGGATTCCGTCTTCCAGTCCAGTTATAGAGTACGCAAGAGCGCTACCTCTGATAAGAGCCCCGTGGGAGAGAAGTAGTTCCACCGTCTGAAAATTTTCCCACATAGTAGCTGCAGTTAATGCGTCGGTCGGATAAATGGGATCCACCCGACCGTCAATCTTAATCAGTTGGTTGACATCTGCACCAAAATCCAGAACAAGTTGGCAAATAGCATTATTGCCCCGTGTAGCCGCCACAATCAATGGAATCTCTTTTTCTATTTGCTCATCGACCTCAGCGCCAGCGTCCAATAATAGTTGACAAATCAACAGGGACCCTTGATGTATTGCGTATGTCAGACTATGAGATGGCCTGGCACCACTATCCAGAAGGTATTTGACCAGATTACCATTGCCGCGTTCGCATGCAACTGACACAGCGGTCTGACCTAAATCTCCGCTTGAATTTATATCAGCACCGTTATCAACAAGAAGCTGTACTATCGACGTATGTCCGAATTCGACGGCTTTCATGAGCGGTGTACCGCTAAAACGGCCGTAAGCCCTGGTTCCATGACATTCCCTACACGGCTTCTCGACTTGGAAACAGCTTCTGGGCTTGAGCTTAATGTCTTGTACCAGGTTAAGATCACCTGGTCGTTATGATAAGAGGAGGTGGACAACCGACTCAAGACCAAGAACTGTTGCCCAACTAAAGGCGAGAGAAGAGTCCATCGTCGATGGGCGCAGCTAAAGGGTGTATCAGGAATTATATGGTTATAAACCAATGTGACATATTTCCACTCCTCGCCAGACTGGAGCAACGTGGATGCCAAGGAAGCCAGTCTCATTGATTGTTCTTTCCGGCTAAAATCATATGCTCAAACCAATAGCGGCATGCATATTCAAGGAGTGGGAAGAGATCGAGATCTTTTTGCGTACATGTTCGATTTTGACTGCAATAGCAATGATTGATATATGCAATGCAACTTTCTGCAATCAAAGCATGTGCTGAATTGTCGTGGAACCCATATGATGAGCATGAGCTATGTCTAAGACTCTCAGACGTGAGAAACTCTTTGACTGAGAAATGGGAGAGCGCCAGGCAGCTGTCATCTGTTCCAGTCCGGCGAACAAAGCCGGATAGACACGGCAGGATTCCTTCTCCTTCCAGCCTGTCCTGCTCTGCTATGGCTGGCATATTCCCGGGCAAGATAATACAGCTCTCGTTGACCTCGACTAGGCGGAGTGGTCTGAGGGAAAGTGAAAGCCATAGGAGAGCCCACCGAAATGATCCGCGTGACAGTGAGTATAGAAAAAGGCCTGACCTCCGCATCTTGATCCGTTCTTTCCTTGTAATCATCCAAGTAGAGTTGAAGGGCACTGCGTGTAGTTTCGACCGAAGTCAAGCAGTCAATGATAATGATGCCATTCGACTTGGGAATTTCGACAATGCTCATGTTTGCAAGACCAAAGCCACGGACTTGGTAAACGCCATCGGTCACCTGGTAAAGGCCCGCAGTGACACTGCATAATTGTCCTTGTCTCCATAAAGATGGATTTGCAGTGCCAGACACGTCATCTTGGAGAAAGTCATAGGCATTGGTATCCCAGATAACCTCCTGTGTGGTATCTGAGTAGATGATAGGATTGGGATTGGATCGTACAAGTCCGCGTTGCGCAGATAAGAAGTCAAAGTTTTATTCTTCGATTGTAGACTAAGTGGTATCCATGACCAGAGATAGATTTGAATGTGATTGGCGTTGATGAATGGTCTGCAAAAGTAAAAGTTGAAATTGAGTTTGAATTTTCCTGCCTCCAGGTAGATGTTTGGCGAACTGGGCTAATCTTATAGCATTTCACCTCCAAGGTTGAACATATGGAATGTCTGCACATGTGAGGGCACATGCTTAGTAGGGTGGCGTTATTTATTGAATAAGGCAACCAGTTGTACAGTCCAATCGACAAATAATATTCCTACCAGCTTTCAAAACCATCACCAAACATTTCAACCCGGCGGTTGCTATGCTTGGATATCGGAAGTCCGTATGTAGTGGTATGTTACATTTCAATTGAAAGGGTTATGTAACCTCAAGTTTGTGGTTTAAATCTCAGACGCGACACAATTCTCTACTTTGTTGCTAGTACTATTGTAAGAGTAATTGTCTATAGAATAGTCTTCGTGTTCCCACATCTCCGATTCCCCCGCTATTCCAAGGTTAGATACCAAGGTTCTCGGCGTTCAATCTAGTAAAAACTGGAACATGCAAGCTCCGGTCCACATAGAGCATTGGGCTAATTCCCAAGTCGTGTCACCAAAGCCCAAGCTGCCGGGATGGAAATTACAGCCCTGAGAGCTCATAGACTAGGTAGTCATCATTGCGCAGCATGATGCATCGATTGTAACATTGACCTAGAGCCCTTTAGTAAATGACGTGTTGAATTTTATGTAATTTGGCTGGGCACAATGTTGCAGGTCTGCCCCTCTGTCTTGATACTTTGCCTTTCAAAGACGTAATCGATGGTATTTGCAAGGTTGATTCGACAAGGTTTTGAACCTGCACCCGGTGAAAATATGACAAGTCTTTAGACCTGCCAGTTTATATGGCTTAAGTACGGCTAAGCGGACGGGAAGCCCTGTTCCCCACACCCTGTGGTCGTATGTGATTGAGTCATTCAAATAAATTATGTACTTCAAGATTGTCCGGATAAGTGAAACATCAAAAAAGAGCACATATGCAAACCATTCTAGCCATATGATGTACTTCGAGCTTATCAGATGGTTCAACCTGAAAGACTGTGCCTATACCAATGAAGGGTGAATCCAATATCCTCAGGCTTCCCCTTAAAAAGGCTCTCAAGTAATCCCCGTTTCTCTAGATCCTGACAAAACTCTCGTTTCCAAACGAAATCCTCTTCCAAGTGGCTTTGATCCATAGCACCACAACTATCGTCGCTAGATCGATTAGCGATTCTCGTGCTGCCCTGGAAGTTGTGAAATAAGAGCTTCCACCATCCCCCCAGGCCATTAAATATGCCGTGAACCAAGCGACCAATAATCATATACCATCGCCTGTTAAAGAGTGTAGCGATGGGAGTTGCCTCTTCGTTGCTTTCCATGAGTCTGCTTCCCTTACTTTCCATTGCATCAATCTGGTTCAGAAGTGTCTTTGTATCCGCAGCTAGTTCCGATACTTTGACATATTTATTATGCCAACATCGTTGGATGACATTGTCAATAAGAGGAATGCCATCTAATTTCGGAAATTTCTTATCTTGTAGTAATTCCACAACCTTTGGACCATGTTCGTAAGGATCATTGGCAAGGCAACAATCGCCATAAACCTCAAATCCGTAATTGATCTGGTAGAATAATGAACCAACAGCAAACTGTTCTGTTCGAGAGCCAAGAAGACCAAAAGTTCCACATTCTCCTTGGTCCGATTCCTCATGATTAAGCACTCTGCCATATGGAGCCATACAAGCTTCATAATTGGTTCCGATTTTGGCGGTGCAATCAAAGTCAGATAGCTTGAGTCGGTCGCGATCAAGCAAAACATTTTCAGGTCGTAAATCACCATGAGCAAGATTGAGGGATTCCAGGAAAGTGACAGCTTGGGCGAGGTCGTTCATCCATTCCAATCGGAGTTGAAGAGGCTCTAACCTTTCCACCGAAGTAACAACCATACTTTGCCGCTCTCGGGTATGGTTGTTTTGGATTCTAGAAGAAAGTGACGTATCTAGAAAGTAGGTAAGTATGTAAGCGCTTTGGTTATTAATAGGAATTATACCTCTCATGTACTCAAGGAAGAAACCAGTATCAGAAAAATGGAAGCATTGTACAATCGAGGGACAAGGCTGATTTTGCGAGAAAATTTGATATATCTCAAGCTCTTTGAGGAATTGTTGCTTCTCAAAGTCACCAGATTTTGGGATTTTGACCACGATACGAGGGTGGACTTCGTAAACAAAGGAGATGCCTCCGCCCCATATCCAATGAACATCGGGAAATTGGCGTTGAATATTCATGATGAATATGATGTGTTGAAAAAGATTCAAAGGGCGAAAAGGAAAAGTAGAGTGCAGCAAGGGGATAGGAGAGGGATCGCAGTGATATACAAATTGATTGGTCCGATTAGTTACCCTTAATTGCTTAACTAAATCACTAGTTCCATACACGTGACTGTCTTTGCGGTATCTCTCGTAATGTATTGTATGTTACCCACAGTGGCCCTGGAGCCCTGGATGTATTCTTCCAAGAAGCTTGGTGCTCCCCTTTTCAAGGTCGCTGAATCGACCTGTGTATTTCGGTATTTGTATTACCCCGTACGGAGCACCTAGTGTGCCCGTCTAGTGGGGACAGTCTCGAGCCCGGAACCCACGAGCCCTCCATGGCTGGGGGTTGCCCGCGACCTCGGATGTATGGGTCATACCTGACGATACCCAGTTTTATTTTGACAGGTTCTTCTGCTGTGCATACAATACTGCAAGTTCTACCTAGTGAAGAGGGGAACCGTTAGGCAGTGTATTCTAGATACACGGGTCGATCCAGCTAGCATGAATGGATAACACCAACCAACATGTACGTTGTGGCCGGACTACCCCGTAGGGGTGGGATGAGAGATGTGTAGGAGTGTGTATTCTAGACTATTACGACGGGCATTCTTGTACGTACAAAGACGGGACTGAAAACATGACAAAACAGAGATGTAACCAAACGGTAATTCTTAGCACGGTACGTGTAGTAGGGGACAGGGTACCCCACTACACTAGGTAGTTATTTCGGAATAGACACTCTTACACATCTCTGATCCTGAGGTCACGCCCTACGGTGTTCCCGGTATCCAGTACGCTATGCCCAGCCCTGGAGGTGGTGGTCCCTTTTCGTCGTCTTGCCAAGGTGCTGGGTGCTCTGTATAATGCCGCAATCGTTGCAGCCGTTGTAAGCCACAATCTTCCCGGGAGAATCAATTCTATGCCTGCACAGGTGCTCGATTGTCTCGATGAGCTCCTGACACATATTTACTATTGATGAAGAACTTGATCCATATCAGCTAAGCAACTTGATCTTCTGGTGATTTAGGAAACTTACCTGAAGGTAAGGTGCAATCGCTCAAGTGGGTTGATTATAAAATCTAGCTGATGGATATAAACGGGTTGAGAGGAACGCGATTTTGTTAAGCGGCGGTCCGAAGGGTGATGGAGACTCGGACTTGGATAAACAGAGCCTTCAATTTTCAGTTCTCTGGGAATGAACCGAAATCGGCCGGAAATTTGGTCTTATACATGTATTTATGAACCATTCGGAGGGCTTGAGCGCTCATCAAACATGATTTCAAATGTTGAATGTTTGAATGGTCGTCCCCTTGAAAGGTACCTAGCTAGCCAATAAAATTTGGAGCTAATACTACGTAGTAATGTACAACCAATGTGCTCTTAGAGCCTGGCCCACTTCTGTGAGCGGCAAGGCAGCAGTCACCACTGGTAGCCTCAAGGGCTCACTACTGCAGCCTACACCTGTAGCTAGCTGTGTATTTGTGGGCCAATCATTCGTGAAAGATTGCCTATGGGAAGTGGGCTGTGCATTTGTCAGGTTGAGGGGTCATCAATGTTAAATATCTTGGATGGTTGTTTTATGCGGATCCCAAGGCGGCGGGATACGGAGTAGTCGATCGTGTATCGTTTGGTTGGCTATGTAGAAGATAAATATCAATTCAACAACCAGGTGAAAGGAGAGGATATGTAGCGGAATTTGCTCATTGAGGATCTGGGAGAGGGGAAGGGAGCAAGGTCTACGCTAGGCCCAAGGCTGATTAGGTAGTTTCCAAGGTTAGATTGATTGCCCAGGTGACAGTCGTATACAGCACTCAACTCCGGGCTATCCCTTATTTGGATAGCAGAACAAAAATTCACACAAAAAAAGTCCATGACGTGGCAGCTGCACCTGGTGCTGTAACTGGAAGTATATGGCCACGTTCAGCCTACTCGGAAGTTTGCTCATTCCGTCTACTAGTTTACCCTCTTTCAACTTGTACTTACCACTGAACATTGGCTCAATATAACGGTTATCTTTCAACGCGCACATAATTCTCTGTGACTCCCTGATCTCTCCTGAACATGATCCCTCCACACTTGACCATTTGAATACCTTGTATAGTCCCTGGACTCCCTTCATCAAAGTACACCAGCGGCTAAGTGTGGGGTCTGGGTTCCACTCATGGAATTATGTGCGGACGTAGATGACTACTTAGTAGCCATTTGTACACCATCAACAAACCGGTCATGATGGGCTAGTCATTCATTTCTCGAACATCAAACTGATCGGAAAACAAATTCTGGCTGGAACTATCATTAAAGCTGCTTATCGCACGTATGAGGCTTTCAAATTCCTCCATAGGATTCTATATACGACGTAATGCACGAGGAAGTATTACGTGTATACCCTAGATACCGAGCAGCCTCGACGCCAGGAGGATCAATAAAGCTAAGCTCAGAAAAATTCGACCAAGACATGGCAAAGAGCGCTCCAAGAGAAACTTGCATGCCTACCAGTCTACCCGACTCTTGGAACATGCCAATATTCATTACAGTCACTCTGATGATATGCGATTGTCCGATCTTGCGGGGCACTCGAATGGCCGGAGGGTTATTGTCTGCGAGGATGGAAGTGCTACTGTGGCAGTCTGGAAAGGTGAAGGAAGGTGTGTGTGCAGGGCTAAGGATCTAAGGCCTCTCAGGCCTACAGTCCGATAGTTATGATATATGATACTTGGTCCGATTGATTTAGGATGTGACCTGAAATTCGTTTTAAAGAGATTCCAGACTCATGGGAATTGAAGTGGCCAATGCACACCTCGGGAATAGTTTGAGGCTCTTTCTTTTAATTGATTCTCGTGACGTTCTTTGCATGTATCTCGGACTCATTACTGATCTTTATTCATCCTTCTTTTAGATGATATGATTATATTCATGAAATTATCCATGCGTCATTGCTACCGTTGAAACACAATGGCCGAGCCGAATAAGCCTAGGAGCGTGGATCTATTCGACGAATGTAAGGCGCCAGACTCTTCGGGGCGTTTGAGTGACGGGTCTGAAAAAATGGCGGCGTGCTTCCCAAAAGCATAGAAGAGCCAGGATTCCCATGTGGTCGACTGCAATAGTAATAATCGATCGACGCGTGGCTTAAATGTGGCATCATGCGGCATGCTCCTTGAGAGATGTACAAATTTGGCTTTCACCTCCTGGAAATAACAACCTCGATTTGGTTTGTCTTCCCCACTCACCGGGGTTTAACTCAAGTCCATACCCTGGTTTGACTGAGCTGTTGAAAAAGATAGAGAACGGAACGTGTTACTCTGTAGTCACGGCGTGATGTGTGTAGGACTCGGGGGAGGAAGAAGGCAATAACACATGAGGATGGAGAACCTTGGGGGTCTAGTACACATGATCTCAATGTCAGACTCTCAGGTATTTCCACTGAATGTGTAGTGCACTACCTACATCGGCAAACGATTGATCTCGGAACTTGAAAGCAGGATTTTGGATATAGTTCTATTGGATTGAGCTTCATTCATTCAATTTTGTCACATAATGCATAACTATATAGATAATATGGATGTTTTAATACGATCCATAGCTTTCAAGATGTTCTCTGCCAAGTCTTTCTTGTCTTCGTTGCACTCTATCATGCCTTCTCTGGGCCCTGCCTTCTCCTGAAAATCTTGGATCCCTGGTATGTATGGGGAGGCTCGTGTAGGTTTCCAGTTCAGCTTGAAGCTTGCCTGGTAGATACCAGATTGCCCAAGCGCCCATAACTATGATCATTTGATAACCATCGAATGCATATGATGGCCATTCGTTTTCGATAAGAAATGCAATTCCACCATCCATCGTCAATCTTACGATATTTCGACCAGTTGCAATGATAGAAATTGCGAGGCCAAAGAGTTGACTCCAATATTTCCAATTCGGAAAGACCGGTTTCAAGTTATTGGCCTCATCCAGCACATGGCGCAGGCGTATCGTCATATATGTGTGCTCCGCGAGAGTGAAAAGCCAGAATATTGTTTGGGTTACAAAGACCGCGATTCCAATTTTTGTAGCCATCGCAATGACGTTCATGGTGGTAGACGAAACAGTCATTATACCTCCAATGAACTGAAGGAGAACCAAGGCTGTGTTGACACTAAGGCATACTGGTCGCTGGAAGTCGATTGGAATCCAACAAAACCTCTCAGCTCTGAGTGCTCGAGTAAATTCAATCATGGCAAGATTAACGGAGAACATCATCACGGTTGGTCCTAGTAGTAGTAGAACGGACTGGATGCCATATGCGACTCGGTTGCATGGGTCCTGTGTTGAAAACAAGCGCGCTGTATAACCCGAAGTTTGTGCTGTAGGTGATTTGAAGAGATTAGTAATTTCAACTTGGAAGTTCTCACAAAATCGATATCTGGACGCAAACTCGACATCACGCAATGATCAGATCCATGGATTGACTTACCAATGCCGCCAAGGACGAAGTATATACCGCTCCATGCCTTGGATCTAGTCATACGCAGGAAATGAACTGTCGTTAGGACTGAAAAGATAATAATAGCCGCCAATGCCAGAGAAAAGCTGGGTGCATAGATATATAGCTCGCATTGTGAAGGCTCCATTGCCATGAGGAGGAGTATATGATTCACAAGCCGGGATATGTGAGCGGCGAAGGAATGATTGGAATAGTTGCAGCCTGAGCGATTCGAGAATATTTGATGGGAAAATGTGACTTGAAGATGATTGAGGGAGTAGATAAAGAGTTCAATAAAGTTTTAAGGCTTAATATTCAAAACAACTTGAAGACAAGGCAAAACAAAACAAAAAGAAGTACGATGGCTGGGATGGCTGGGATGGCTGGGGCGCCAGGGTGAGATTTACGTTGGTCTTACATTTTACGGTCTCCATCTGGGCATAATTCGGAACCCAACATCGCTTCATGTTGTCCTAGAATAAGAATTTACAAGCAACTACGCCTCAAAGAATATGGATGCCTATTCGGAAATATACATCCTTAGAAACTTGGAACATTGAAATGATTGGTTCTGATAGTCTAGCGTGTACAGGGCTCGCCTTGATCCCCCGCAAAACGGATTTTTTTTGAACGACTTTAAGCCGGTATCGCTTGAATTCTGAAACCCTCAAATTCAAATACTAGTATTGGGCAAAAAGAGACGAGTGCATCTCTTTATCGTCTCTAGATTGTTCCGCTGCTGTGTCGGTACCAATATTATCGTAATAATTGACGCCTTGTGAGTAAGCTAGCGCTGGATGTAGAGGAAGAAACGCAATACGCACCTGATTAAATCTCAACAGAGTGGAGCTGATTGCTTGATCAATGTTAGAGCATAAACCCGAAGCCGAGTTCGTCTTCATCAAATCAATCTGGTTTATCATTGGACAATTTCTGTCCCTTAAAGCGAAGTGGATCATATTCTTGGGATCGGGGGCCTTCCCCGCCATATCCCCCCTCACGATTTTGTCCGATATTTCGCCCTCTGCGCTAGAGATGGGCAAACAGGGAAGCGTCGTTGCCTCAAACATGAATCCTTTGACCCATCTATTAACTTTGTCTAAGCTTTGATACAAGCGATCATTCATATGTGCCCACATTCCGATTCCGATTAGTTGCCGAACTGGAGATCGGCTTAACTCACTCATATAGTGAGAAATAGAGCAAATCAGGATTATTAGATGAATTGCTTGTGTATTTTTTAAAAAGAAATGTCAGCGAAACCATCTATCTCAAACCGGTCAATCTGTTGGGATTGGATGCAGAATCGCATCTAGTACACATGGAGAGAAAACCACATTTTGCGTTTCCTTTTCTATTTTCTTTTCGTTTTCAAGTAAAAAAACTCAAATTCAAGGTAGCCAATGGTATCTGATTTTGTGGGATTGTCTCAACCTTGGAATCTTGGCTGCAGATAATAAGCATTAGCTCCAACCTCGTACTCGGGTTCGGGTCAAAATCGGGTGACCTTAAACACTGACTTTCAAAAGAAGAAGCTAAGACTAGAAAAATAAACAAAGACGAAAGTCTTTGTCACAAACCACTGAATTCGATGGTGCCTAGAGACTCAGTGAGCTTCTGACTTATTGATGCTTTTCCTTAGAACAAAACATTGGAGTCCTGGAGTACTTAACTTTCGATTTGTCTGCCAGACTCTATACAAATCAGACCGCAATCATGAATTGATTATAGAGGTATTCGATTACGTTCAAATTCATCAGTTTTGCCTTTTGCATCTACAGCTATGGCATCTTCGACTTTCGTGCTCTACCACTACACCCCTACAGTGATAGGTGCGGTATTGTTCGCTGCATTATTTCTCTTATCCACAGTTTTCCACCTCTATCAGCGAGTACGAACGCATGCGAAATACTTTAACCCTTTTATTGTCGGTGGAATATGTATGTCTACAAAGGTTCCTTGCGATTATTCTGTCCTTAGTATCTGATTCAAAGCGCAGTCCAGGTTATCGGATATGGAGCCCGTGCCGTCTCTCATTTTCACACAACATTGACAACACTATATGCCATGCAGACCCTATTCATTCTTTTGGCACCGACCCTTTACGCGGCATCTATCTATATGGTTCTAGGAAGAGTCATCAAGTCTATAAAAGGAGAACATTTGAGTTATGTCCCTGTTCGATTCATGACCAAAATCTTCGTTATGGGAGACGTGACCTCTTTCATCCTTCAAGGTGCTGGTATGTAGATCAAGATCAAATGCCGCCAACATGTACGTATATTCAACTAACTCTGAATTCTTCTAGGTGGTGGAGTCATGAGTAGCAGTGGATCTTCAAACCTCCTGGTGATCGGCCAGTGGATCATTGTTGGGGGTCTTGGCGTCCAGCTTGTTTTCTTTGGTGCATTCTTGATCACTTCCATCATCTTTCACTGCCGAATCACTCGATCACCTACTGAAGAATCCCAAAGCTCGGTTGCTAGTGGTCTGATTCCACGGGACTGGCGAGGGCTTCTCTTCGCACTCTACACTGTTAGTGTGTTGATCCTGATCCGATCCGTCTACCGTGTTGTCGAATTCGCGCAAGGGAATAATGGTTACGTGATTAGCCATGAAGTTTTTCTTTACGTATTCGATGCTTCGATGATGTTTTTGGTCATGGTAATGATGAATATCTTTCATCCGTCCGTTGTTTTAGGACGGAATGACACTGCTGCCTCAAGAGAACTAAAGAACTTGCGATCCGAGAACCGACCCGCCTCGGCTGATCGGCAATGCTAAATCGATGAGATGCGCGGGTCATGCTTTTTGGGATTGAGCGAGAGACTCGGATGAACCTTGGATGAAATACATGTTCCAATTTCAATGTTTGGGGTTCGTTCATTTTCCTATCTATTTTCACTCTACTATAATTCATGATACACCAATGTATATCCACAAAAAATGTGTACCATTATAATGTTGGTCGTCAGCTCAGAAAACCTGAACAAAAAATAGTAAGCTTTACAATGCGAGGTGATAAAAACTTGAAGCATGATTTCTCCACTGCCAATTCGTCTCCATAGCCCGCCCTTTTGACTTTGGGATGAGTGGATATAAGGAGCAGAGTCTCTGCCCAGGCGCAGAGAATAAATTTCTCAATCGACGTCGCTTTCAGTGTGAGCTAAACTCTGGGTCTAGTGTTTCAAGTATGTCCTAATATCTGGCGCAATCCTTCAATTCATCTTTCCAGTACTGGAGACCTTGAAACAAGACCTTCGCCCTGCGCTTCCACACTGTTTTGTCAGGCACGTACAGTTCTCCCAATCCGGGAAATACCTTGTTCAGCCAACCTGCGGGCAGCGATTAAGATAAGTGCTGCTCTGACACCTTTTCTTAGGCATATCCAGGCGGCGTGGTGTCTATGAGTAGTGACTATAGTATGAAGGAAATTCATATCCACTTTTAGACAGGTATTAGTCAATTGGACCAGAACAGCCAGTAGTGAGGGTTGCCATCCTGACACATCATTGTGCAGGAGCAGATACAATGCAGGAAGGCAGATATCATGTCTCACACTGAGAATACGCAAACGTAAGTATTCCCTTAGCTCATCTGAGCATGGTGTCATTGGGGTATGATAAATTTGATTGATGTTGTTATTGCCATGGGTGTTCCTCTGTTTGTTTTTGTTGCTTTCGTCGCGTTTTTGATTTGTTTCCTCTTTATTGTTGTCTTCGTGGATGTTCACTGTCGGGATTTGCATCACAGGCGGTAATGATTCGTAATAGGATGTTAATTGATAATTGAATTCCTGCAGAGCAACTACAAGGCTGGTGAAGAAGACTTCTGGTGGAGACCCTATTTGTCGATAGGCTTCGCGTCGCTTGTCTTGAAAGAAATTGTCGATGCGCATTTCCAGCTTGCATAACGTTATCTCCAGGAGGTAGAAATACCAAGATTGCTCTTCGTACAAATGACTGCTTGGGATATTGTTTTCGTTTGTACTCTCCGACCCGTCTGTACCAAAATTTGGTGTTGATTGCATGTTTGGGGTGTGACCGCTGGGAGGAGTAGGAAGTGTAGGCCAATCAACAATTCGATTTATTCCTGCTGTGTCCAAGCCAAATTCGCAGCCAATTTCACTATTTTAAACGGTCAGTCAAAATGTACTGTCATCAAGTAAAGGAACCAGAACGGGAAAAGAGAAATATCTCTGCGCTGTCTTTCCATAGAGAGTGACACAGAACAGTATCCCAGTAGGCCCGAGGTTCATTAATGGATGTTGACTACGTACCGCTCTGCTTTGAAAGAGCTCCAAAATAGACGTTGCTCCATACTCCGATTAATTTGACTTTTTCCTTCTTGAGATCTTCTCGCCATTTGCGCGATCCTCTTGGACGCATAAGCTCGGCAAGTGATACTCGCCGAGTTAAAAGCTCGCCAACCCGCGACTGGTTCTTGCATGAACATGTGAAACAAGCCAGTGAGGAAGAAACACTGTGCTGATATCAGAGAGTAGTTTGCCCATAAAGCTCCAAGGCGCTTAGTGGCTGCCTGAAAGTATTTCTGAGCCAGTGGAGACCGATCTGGTGACGATGGAGGTTTATCATCAAAACTGGCCATTACTGAAGTATCCCAGGGGCTGGAAATCGCTCCCAGTGCACATGCAAGTAACTATTGACAATTAATCAGACCTACCGGGGTACTCATGGTAGCTTAAGTTACAACATTGAAGGTAGACACACTCACCACTTGGCACGTCTCCCCATCCCAGTCTAGCCCGTTTTCAACCAAGTTCTTAGCGGAATTCCTCAATCGTGGTGGATCCAGTATTGGGCTTCGGACATGAACATTCCGCAAAAAGCTGTTAATCAACTGAGGCACCAGATCTCCATCGTCAAGACCGAATGTACTATTGGTTCCGGAGTTCTTCAACCGAGATTTTTTCCTTTGTGAAGATGGTCTTCTTGCTGGTGGAAAATCCTCGTCATCACTCATTTCCTCGTCCGTTGAGTCAAATAAAGCATCCAAGGTTTGGTTGATAGGCCCCTGATAGTCTAAAACTGGCCACAGAAGCGTTTCTTCAACTGTGTAAGTCCACCATGCGCCAAATGGAGGGTTCTCTGGGTGAGAAAGGTCCCTTCTTAAGGCTAGACACGCGATGACATTAGATATTGGCTGCTCCCCATCTTCACTATACGTGATTGAGTTGTAATCGGCACCATTACTCAATGGACTATGACATGGCGTGCTGGCATATCCTTGCATGTCTGGGATGAGTATAGACTTTCTCGAGGCAATATCGGCGACATTTATATTCCCCATTGTCAATGTTTGGGGTGAGCTTGACGACTGGAGCATTTGAAGCTGATTTTCAACCGCTGTAAGCCGCCGTAGAATTGCAGGCAAAGATGAGTCCATTTGGTCGTGAGAATGTGCCCTCACAGGGGATGTCACATCGTAATGATCATTTCGTGATTTCCTCTTCAACTTGTTCAATCGTTGACTGTTATGGCGAATCCACGACATACTTGTAAGTTGTAACTTAGCTCAGAATTGGTATTTCTGATCAAGTGGAATATGGATATTTCAAAATTCAAGCACAATGCAAGCATGAAATAGAAGAGGTCCACGAATTTCGTGTCCAAATTTCAGGGGTAAGAGGTCAAATCTAAGCATTCGTAAAATCTGAGAAAATTCCCAGCAATGTCAGCCCCAGCACTTGAGTCTAGGCCATATTAGGAAGATCGTGGTTCAGGAACTACTGCTCAGACCATGGACTTACTACCATCTCTTCCTACGCGCGAATTTGCAAGGAGTGGTGACCCCTGATTTCAACATCCACGACGCAATGCAAGAGTACTTTATCACCAAATTCGAAGAGAGGGCGATTCGTCACCAATGCTTAATCTATGTCCGCCTGCAGTTGGAATTCAAGCATGCCCAGATAGACATCGCGGATGGGCCTTGGCTGAGAGCGAATGATATAGTTCCGCTTGCTTTTATCCTGATTGCTTACCAAATGCATGCGTGTGCCATGGGAGTATCGCCACCACTCTCATCGCCGTCGCGTGATCAAAATGAATTTTTAATTGCTAGAGGAAACTCAGATTGGTACCTGAGTATTGAGAAGGTTGAGTCTATTTTACGACACCAAGAAGATGAACAGACGCCAGAATATGCCGCTTATGCAGACATGTTGAAATTACTGTGGGAGAGACTATCACCATGATTAGAATTCGATTAATGCTTTTCGGCTGGACGTATCGGGATTTAGTTTCCTGTATAATATTATATTACTAAAACATTTGAAGGAGGCAACCTATGCTAACCTAATCTGGTGCTGATACTAGGTACAAGTGTAAATTTGATGGGTGATTCTGATTACGACGTTTCTGTCGGATAGTATGAAGGAACTTGAAGCAATACCTACCTTCGCCGAGTGCAAGTGAATCTTGGAAAAGATTTGAAATTATATCTGACTTTTCCCGATCTATTCACTTAAGCCTAGTTACAATCCTTCCGTACAAAGTTCATTTGAGTCACTATAGTAGTCTGAGTTATATCAAGATTAGGACCAATTAGGAACAAAATTGACGATTCCAGATATAGACACTCATGAACTACCACAGCTAGTAACTAGTATTGATTACTTTGATTGTATTTGCTATTGAAGGACTTGCGTATCGACAAAATGTGTGGGAATTGAGTTCAAGTTGTCAGGTTCATGCCCAGGTGTGAGTGAGTGGAGCCCTGGAGCCGGGCAACATAAACCGAAGTAAAAGACAGGCTAACAAACCTGGACAGGGGCAGAAACCTTCAAATATTGCAAGTGGGCCAGTTTCTTTTTATCGGGGCGCTTCCGCGATGCCTAGTTAGCTGCGTGGGATGTCGGATTTCATAAGAGACGTAAGAAAAACTGTCATTTGACCCACACCAAAATTCCATTGCTTGATGTATGATCTCGCTTACGACGGAACATTCTTTAGCCATCTCGAGCCCAACCATGTATGAACGAGAGGTCTGTGTGAGATATACATAAAATGCGGGGTAATCTAATCATTGCATACTGTGCGTGGATCGATCGGCGACTTGTACTTGTGCCATTGGGTATTTGTGAGTAGCTCCCCTGATCAATAACTTTTAGATGTTGCACATGAGTGTCCATAAGCGTGAGATTCCCTGTCAGAACTCATTTAATTCTCGAATACGATGGAGGATGAGGAGGATTGTGGCTTGGAAATATCCGGATTATGTCTCAGCACTTGGGAATCCTTCTAAGAAATTAGCATGGAATCTAAGTTGCGATAGATGAAAAGCCAAGTAATTGAATCTAGTTTTCTGTGATGGGTATGTAGAATTCTTCTATACTGTTCTAGTATTGATGAAGAGGTTCGAGGCGTAAGCTGCTCGCGTGAGCTAGCTCCTTTTGCCGAGTGCAGCAGAATTTAGGCGTTCCTTTGACTCTAGAGGGCCAGAAAAGGAAATTTGGGAAATATCATCTGGAAAATACAACCTGGAGGCCGGAATATGAGAAAGGTAAGTAACTAGCATATAAGAAGCGAGTACAAGCCGTAAATCACCACGAATATACCACCATCGAGTTTTTACTATCTTCTATCCGCGTCCAAAAAATGAGATCACTCAACTTTTGCTTGGGTTTCTCCGTCTTGGTGGTGGGAGTTGCTCAGGCTATGTCAACGGCGAATAGTGCGGCATCCACTCACGCTGTCACCGTCGATGCCGGCGTTGTCATCGGAACCTTGAAGAACCTTCAAGGGACCAACAACGCGAAAGTCCGTGAGTGAATGCATTCTTATCCTATTCAGATAACTCCTAGTTCTTGTGAAACCATTCTCCGACCCCACATCTGACACTTTATCATAATATAGCTTTGTCTAATGACCTTACTGATACGATTGATGACGCGACTCCCGCTGTTCAAACACACTGGAAAAAGTCATTTGTCAAGCATGTCATGATATGTAAGTAGAATATTGCAAGAGGAAGCTGTATACCTCTACTGACCACGTGAATCACTATCAGACACGTTCCCAGATGTGTTCACCGGAGACTACGAAACAGGTGATCCATATGACCCAGCCAATTACAACTTCACTCTGGTCCGTGAAAAGCGAGCTCAAGAAAAACAAATCCAAAAACTGACTTAGGCTCTAGGCCGATGAAAGAGTACAGTTTGTAGTTGATGGAGGTGCCACGGTTAGTGAAACTGAAGCTCAATGTGGACAAATCGGGTGTTAATTATTGAATAAGCATCTGCTCAATTCCAAGAGGCTGCCGACTTTACTCTCCTGTCATCTGAAGTCATGGAAGGAATTGGATACATGATCACTGAGCGCTACGTGAATGGTGCCAACAATTCAGGATTCTCTGATGCAGTCGAGCTGTGGGATTTCTATCCTGAAGAGGACAAGGTAATTTTGCACTGATTCACAAAAAGAATTTTTGGCTAAACTCCTCTCCTGTACAGATCAACGATGCTACCATCACATCGGATTATGCAGAGAGCCTTGCCGCATATACTGCATTCGCCAATGGAGTTGCCCGAGCCAGCAATTCTACTGGATGTGGAGCATGGGGATTCAAACGAATGTGGACTCCTACTGCAAATTACACGCTCGCTGACCCATGGAAGTCTGAGTTCTTCACTGACTTGGCAGCGAATAACACCCCGATAAAGGCAGCAACTTTTCACTGGGATGGTTTGTATTGACCCTTTATTTCAAGCAACGCTGCGCTTAAAAGGGGATAAGAACGCTGACTTACTGTAATATTAGCTACTATGTTCAGCTGGAATCCGTATGAGATTGTCAACTCCACAAAGCAGTTCCGGGAGTTGTATCTCACACCCAATGGCTTTGAAGACCTGCCAATTTGGATTACAGAGGTAAATTCTGAAGCTTCTAAAATTCAACTATCGATTCATACGCTGATATCTAGATTAGCACAACCGGAACCCCCTCGGCATCCTTCCTACACCTGAGTCAGCTTTAGCTGCCTACAATGACCCCGCCTCATTTGCCGCTTGGGTAATTGCCGTTGTAAGACTCTTAACTTCCGATGAAGAAGTGAAGCTTGTAACTGACCTCATTTTGTCAACTTTAACAGGCCATGTATGGACAAGATGCCGATGCCGAACAGGTCATGAGCTGGACCGGACTAGGATATGGCGGATACGGGTGGGACGACGCATACTTTGTGAGTGTTGAACCATTTTGCATAAACTTTTGGGTGCTAAGTTTCTACAGCAAGGCTGGTATAACCAGACAGACTCAGGTGATATCGCCCTGAACGCCGGTGCTGCTTGGGTTCTCTCTGGCGATTTTGTCACGAACACCCCCAGCCGGCTCTCAGTGAGCGAATCATCGGCGAATGGATTCGCGGCACTTGCAGGCGTATCAAGTAACAAAACAGAGGTGCAAGTCCTTTTGAACAACTACCAAGTGGACTATGATATTGTCAAAGGTAAGCATTTTCGTTTAGCACACATACCCAATTTACCGTACAGTTGAGGTGCTAATATGAATACTACTAGAAATCGCCACTCAAATGGCAAGCGCAATGATTTCAAATATGGTTTCGCAAATTTTCTAACACACTACGCAGGTCCCTACTCTTGAACCAACGGCATCTGCTGATCCAATCTTACAAGGCGATGGATGTGAGTTGGTGTCCGTGTAGCTCTCAAAGAGAGATGAAGAACTAACAAGCAATTTTCATAGTATTCAATGGCGAGCAAGCGTGTATTATTTTCTACGATGATCGTGAGTTCAGTGATCTTGGCATATAGTGTATGAGACATTCTGACTGACCTATGCTCTAGTTGCTTGCACTACCTTCATGCAGCCGACCATTCGAAACAATACGGCCACATCCTATAAGCTTGAAATCACCAATTTCCCATGGTCAAAGACAACGAAGTACACCGCCACGATCCAACGCGTGGGAGGGGCTTCTGTTCTGGAAACCTACAAGGTCATCTCTGGTGTCGGAACATCTCTCTGTAAGAATACCCTGATATCTACGTCTAAAAAGCTAGGTCCCAAATGAGCTAACTTTGTGCCAGCTGCGACCGTCGCTTTCCCGGCCAACTACCAGGATTTGATCACGATTAAGGCCGTTTAGATGCCACGTCGCGCTGGAAAGAGTCATCCAATTTGCAGCCAAGGCATACCGTGATTGGAGATTTTGATCATCTTACACCGACGCCTGTTGAAAGTTGAAATGTTCTGGCTTTTTCCAAAGTGCCCGGAAGTCGGTGTGGCATACCTCCATGATGGGCTTGTTTATTGAAAGTGCGAAGCGAGTCGGGAAATCGGGTTGTACTATTGATGGAATATCAATTCAAATTGTAACCTCTTTTAAATACTTCCAAAGTTCTACACTACATACTTTCAGTTTCAATGTTCTCTTGAACTAGAATTCCGTGTTTGCAAATTTTCGAATCATACTGCAGCTAGATATCATAAAAGTCAATCATGACAGCACAAGGGAATTCGACATTCTACATCAAGTTGCTAGTACACAAGACTTGTTGGCCTACACTGAGAGTAACATTGATGAAGGGGGTTTCAGTGAAGGAAGAAGGATGTATGACTTGAAGCGTTGAAGGACATAGAGGATATTCAAAGAAAGCACTTAGGCGAAGGATGAACACGACAGTAGTAATTCGTTCATCCAAACAAATAAAAATGCAAAAACATACAACAGTCAGGATTCGCATGTGGTCACCCACCATACTACTAACTGACCGGCGTGTGGCTTAAGTACGGCTGAGCGGACGGGAAGCCCTGTTCTCCACACCCTGTGGTCGTATGTACTTAGCACTGTTACAAAAGGAGACATATAGGGAGTACTAAAGGCTTTACTATAGCTGGAGTCATAGACAGACGTGATGTATAGGTAGGTACTGCCTGGGTGAGAAGTAGATGACCGCCACTTTAAGGTCGTGCGACCGGGGGTGAGATAGGGTGAGTGCGCAATAGACAGAGCAACCATGTGAGAGCGGGTGAGAATCATCTGGCGTCGCGCGACTACCGGGCCCTCTCGAATCCTAAGAGTTGGCCAAATGAACGGTGAGGCTGACTTTAATATCGCCTTGGACTAAAGCACGGAGTCCGTGCTTGTTGTCAGACATAACGCAGAAATTAATGTATTTCTTTCTTTGCCTTGGTAATCCAAACTATTGTCGAACAGAAATGAATAAGAAATGTGGGTGCATCAATAGAAATCAAAATCAGTCATTAACTAGTGCTTATGTGGGTATCTGGGTTGGCTAGAGAATCTCTTGAAGAGTGGAGTACATCCGAGTCATGATGAAGTTTTATTATAAAACCTTTCCCGAACCTTGTTGACTTCCAGGTGGTATGCATACGGATTACAGGGGCAGGGCCAGAGCTTATAATATCAATTGTAATTCAACTTGAAGTTTAGGATAGGACGTGTGCATGGAATACTACATATATAAAACTACACAGCTCTCTGACGTGACCCCTACAGGTGATTGTCCTCATCTCTCGTACGTCCTGAGCCTGTTATGGCGGTTGTATATGCCCTGCTGAATCGACCCGCGCACCACCGAGTGTGCTGCCAACAAGTGTTCCCCTCTTCAATATCTAAACTAAGATTGTAGCCAATCAGTATCGACTTCATATATATCACGACCTCGGGACTATCAATGTTTATTGTTCAACCGGAAGACGTTCTGTTACTATATCTCAAGTTCAAGTTCTTCAGACGACAGATGTGCCAGCCAGTCACTGGTATTTCCGATTACATATAGTCCAACTATCAATCCATGCTCCAGGGCTAACTACCACTTCTAGTAGTTTCAAAGAAACCTTGAAGAACATTTGAACTACCTAGAGTTTTACATTCTCAGATACACATCATTTCCTGAACTAGCAGTCACCGCAATAACACGCATTCCAAGGTTGTTCTGAGTTATTTGGTCGATTTATTGATGTATTTTAACTTCCAACGGGAAACATGCGAAGCCTCGCTGGAGACCTCCCAATGTTATAAAGGGGGGGGGGTTTAAGTAAAAATGCGCTGATCAAACATTTTGAACATTGAAGAAAGCAAATGAAGGAAAAGCACAACAGACTAACCATTGAACTAAGACCCCCGACGTGGGGAAAGAAGAGATTACAAGAGTGGGATTTGAATCCACGCCTACAAACGTAGAACAGGAAATGATGTCAAGGTGTAAGGCTGCTGTGATACTATGGTACATAAAGAGATGGAAAAAGATTATGCACATGTGTATTGATCAATATTACAATTTACACAAAGTAGCTCAATATATGCACATTACACGCTCAGTAACACTCCACTACGGACGCAGCACCTAAGCCTTGGTCGTCTGCTTGTCAACGGCGAACCTATAGGAGGGATTCATGTCGTCCTTGACAACATAGTAGTCAGAACCCTTCATGCGCATATCACGGGCGTAGTACTCAAAATTCAAGGCATCACGGTTGATGTCAAGGGTCACAAAGCCATTGGCAGCTTGGTTGGCATTAGCTCCGAGCCACTTGGCGTAAGGACCAAGAGGGATACCATAGTTGCAGTCGCCAGCCTGAGCATAGCCTGCGCCGCCAGTGAGAACAAAGTTAGTGCCCTCATACTCGTAGTGAGCCAGGCAGTGATCATGGCCGTTGATGACGACAGCGTTATTTTCGCGAACAATTTCCATCAGGGGGTCCAGCTCAGTATAGTTGCCGGCGGAAGACATGTAGCCGTGGTGGATCTGCAGGATCTTCCAGGTAGCGTCGGACTTGGCAAAAGACTTGCGCAAGAAGTCCACCTGCTTCTGTTTCTCCTTGTAACAAGCGATCACATAGTCTGTGTTGTAGACAGAGGTGTTCACCTGGTATTTGTCGATAAAGCAGTCGGAGTCCACAACCACGAATGTTGCGGTCCAATCGGAGCCGGTCAGATCGTAGGTGTAGTAGGGTAGATTGTCGTGTCCGAAGTACCAACGATTGTCCATCAAGGGCGCAAGACGTGTTTGGAAATCAACACCGGCCTGGCCGGCGACAACGTCGTGGTTACCCAGAGCCTGGTACCAGGTCTTATTGTCGAATGCCTCGCCGACGTACATGTCGCCCCAGCCCTCGTAGAAGCGGAGGATGCCTTCGGATGTGAAGTCCACGCCACTATCGTAGAAATTGTCGCCGACAGAGACAAATGCGGAGCAGTTCTTCTTGAGACAGACCTTCTCGATATAGCTAGCGGTGCGGGCTGTAGTGAACGTTAGCGCATATGTACTTTTCTTGTTTTTTTCTTGTTTTTTTTTCACTTTTCCGGTTCCAGACGATATATCACTTACTCTCTTCAATCGTAGCATTGGAGATGTCCAGACGGTCACCGGCATCGCAGTCATTCTGAATCGCTTTGGGGATCTCCACACCGTCGGCCTCGAGCTTTGCCAAGACATTGTTGCAGAAATCCAAAGGCAGAGGCTGCCAGCCAGTCCAACCGTAATCTAGATCCGTTAGTATGATTTCTATCGGACTGGTTTTCTAACCATCTAGAATAATGAGAATTTACCACCAAGAAGGGCCACGGTCAAGGACTCGGCGCCCTTGGGGGCAGCAATGGAGTTTGGAGCAGCAGCAGCACCAAGGGTTAGACCCAAGGTCAGAGCAATCCGAGACATCGCAGGCATTTTGTATTTTGTATATAAGGGAAGAACAAATGGCTGTCTGTTCGACTTTATACTGATCCCTGCTCCCCTTCTATATTATAAGTTTGGGGTTAAATAGAAGAAATAAAAATAGCCGTCGGAACTTTAAGACACGGCAAGTGATTCCAACAAACTTCTAGAAAACAACCATTATACCGCAAATGCGCGACGTTGCCGGTTCCTGATCCCTCTACCGCTAATGATTGGTTCGTCACATAGGACCCTAGATGCCAGGATCAAAGCTTGAGTTCATGTCTTAAATGCTTCCATGTTACTCTAGCTAATGGGAGATCAAGATGCGGCATTGTGACTGGATAATTCTGGGGCAACCTGCTTTCTGACAAGAGCTCGGACAACAAAATTTCCACCCACGACGTCGGTCTCTCTATCGGGGAAGAGAACGACATCTAGAGGACATGGGATTCTTTAATGGGAAATTGCCCCACGATCGCCATGGCACCAATAAAGCTTAACATATCAACCCACGTGCATCGATGCGATCTTGAATTATAGGTTTACTGAAATTAGTAAACCCAAGCTAGTCATAGGCTAGGCTTCTCGTATGCAAGTTTAGCCTAGACGGCTGTCCGTGCAGCTGGAGCCATTGACATTCGCGGGTCAGGAGCACATGCCCAGGTGCTCCACCAAAAAATAAACAACTAATTAAAAGCGGCAAGTATTGACCCTTCATGACTCGTATTTATTTAGGTAGATTCACTTCATTTCCTCCAGAAAAAAAAATACTAGTATCCAGTGAAACCAATTCCTTCTTGGGGCCCGCGAATGGTCGAACACGAAAAAAAAAGTCGAATTTTTATGACGTCAACCTCCAGGGCTATGTAAATAACGCTCCTTGCGTCTTAAGACTCCGAGTCTTCTTCTTCCAGATGTCCTTCTTCTCCACTTCCAACTTGAATCATCAAATACCGAGATAGCGAATATAGATAGATTGAATCTCTCTCCGCTTACCTGTGATAATGTCATAATGATGATGCTCGTCCAATATTGACTTATCAATTTTTGTTCAAGAGAGTTCCAGGTTGCTGTCCTGTGATATATACTATAACTTAATCCACAGCCGTCTCGGTCACACAACCGTCTCGGCCACTCTCCCCCACTAGAAAAATTAAACATCAAATATTTTAACCTAACGCCAATTAATTCAACTAAATATAACGATTTTTACATACATTAATCTTATGTCCAACCTCTCGACATCCACTACACCTAGGCTGAGCCCTAGGGGCTGGCTGACTCGGCTGAATAGGCAATTCAACCTGGGTGTGTGGTTCGACCGTAGGTGCTTCCACTGGCAATTCTCGCTGTGTGAGTAGCTGTAGGCCTTCTTCAACAGTCAAAACCTCTTCACATGGCACCTGCCTAGCTGATCGACTGCGCTTCTGTCGTTTTTTTCTCATTTGTAGCACGTAAATTGGCGGTTTCTTGTGCTAGTAGTGCAGTGTTATGCAGCGATATATAGTGTCCCTTGATGATTTGATCTAGCATCAATTTTGATGGGCTTGGAGGACTAGGTACGCCTCCGTACGAGAGCTTTTTTGAGCGCCTAGCATTCATGGATTATTACAGTTGACCTCTTCAGATTTATAGTTGTCACCCATAATTCGATTGGAGACTCCTTTCTTATTCACACATCATGCAACCAACCTTGGAACTTAAGCAGCAGCTACCCTGCCCCTTTAGGTACCCCTCTTTGTATCATCTAGGTACTCCTGTAGGCACTCCTGGTTTAGCCCTCCTCGCTGGTGCATCAGTGCACGCGCCACCAGCTGGTCCCGCGAGGATGTTTCGAGAATGTCAGGATCTTTACTTCCTGGCCTTTGAAAAGTGCCTCGAAAAGATCGGTGTCTCTGGAATGTTGCATTCGCGCGCTGTCTGATTTCACCCAAGGCATTGTATACCTTGGGCTCATGAAATCTGGACGCGGCGGCTGACCTTGACCCTGCATTACTCTGCAAAACTTGTTCCCGGTGTCGGAATGGCCATTCATGTGTAGAGGTGATTCTCTTTTTCTCCAATAGTCTATTGTAGAATTTCGGACGTAAAAGACCATCACTGCGCCAATAGATTTTCTCTGGGTCGATCCTGCGACGGGACGCTGGCGAAAAATATAATGCCTGGCGTAGTTGTTGGTCTGTAAGGATCAATTCCGATTCTTGTGGAAAGCCAACCGGTACGGGAACGGAAAATCAAGAACATCTGACATCTTTGACTCTGTGTCTGAGTCTGGCTCTCTGGTCGCATGGATACCATTGGTTGCCTGCGGTTGGATTTCATCCTCTTGGTTGTTGCTTGCCCAGGGAAGGCAGTTGGGTAGATAATTCGGCATCATGTATGGTAACTAGATAAAAGCTATGTTAGACTTCAGAGTAGTCATCAAAAATACATAGATTCTTGAGAGGGACCAACAATTTACCTCAAATGGCTTGGGATATATGCTTGAATGAGTATAAAAGATGGTGGAAGTGGGTGTTTGAGATAGTCAGTCTGACTTGCAAGTGAGATATAAGAGATGGTGGATGTGAGTGTTGAAGGTAGGGAGTTTAGATCACAAGTGAGAGTTTGAAGCAATAATAAGAGAATATCTTGTATGGATTCAGGTTGAATGGACAAGATTGAGAACTAAATGGCTTGCCTCCAGATCTACTTTCATATATTGACTCACTAGCATTGAAATTATTATAAAGAAACCCCTCTAGGCCTGTCAGACTGATCTAGTATGCTTAAAAGCACCGGGTACCATATAAATAGACTTAAATTAGATTGGAAGAGATGCACTTCAGTGCTGGGTCCCAAAAATCGTCGTAGTCTGCCCAAGTCTCCATGAATCAGTGTGGGCTGCCATGCAGAAGGTCTGGGGACTCCATACTCAACGATCGTGAACCATTATTTTAGTCTACGACCCATCTCCGGACAAGCACACTCTCCTGTTATAATTTCAAGAGCTAGGGAATAGTAAGAGAAGCCACAGGAATTTGGCCTTTTCCATATATCCTCCTTTAAATGTTGTGTGAAACAGAAAGGATGCTTCCAATTGCCCTCGCCACGCGGGCCACACAGCACAGCAACTTTAATATACGCTGTTAGAATGAGTATTTAAATATACTAGCTCTATTAATACTTACAAACTTGGATAAGCCGGGTCCATAAGCCCTTATGATCTTAGATTAGGGTAACTCTTTATAGTCCGATGAATTGGAGTCTATAAGACTTATGGACTGGTTACCTAGGAGATAGAAATAGCAATATAAGCCCTGTAGACCCTACGGTCAAGTGCTTAAAATTTCCGCATGCTCCTTGAGTTGCAGGTATCCCTCGCCGCGCTGGAGTGCGGCGGGTAAGGAGGCATCCCATTGTTTGAGATTTTCAGCTAAGGGAACAATAAGTGTTTGCTATTAGTCTCCTATCAGTCTTTCCAAACTTCTTTCTAGCTGTCTTTCTAACCATCCTTTTGGAATAGCCCTGGGCCCTCTTTTGTAATCTTACCGTTTTGTCAAGCGGTCAGTGATACCAAAAACACACATCCCGGGCGAGTATTAAAAGAGGGCTATATTCTCCTATTATGCGACCCGACACTTTTTTATTCCTTTGTCACCTTATCATCAGCCTGTTCAAGAAGGGGTCTTACCTTTTCTCGTACCGCATCGACGCAAAGAATAGACTATGTGGCGTGTCCCAGTTGGCACCTATTTAGCATGTTAGCCGAAGCTGCTTGTCAAGTCCAAGTGATATACTCACTTTCTCGCCAGAATTTCTCCAATCCATGCTACGTACTACTAGTTAGTCGCACTATTGAAGAATGGCATCCACATGGAGTGAGTCCAGAAATCCACCCGTCAATGGTACTGCCCAGGTGCAGGGTAGGTAGCAATGATATCTCAGCCTGGAATCTATGTAACTTGAAAGGCTCAGGCTGCACCATGGCCTGGGAACTACTAGATGGACTGCAGATTTGCGCGCTTCTTGAGAATTTGGGATTCTCTACTTTTAATGGAAGTCAATCGCTAAAACATACATATAGAAATTGCACGCGTGCAATTGCCAGGACTGTAGAAGTGTTCAAGGACAACTTGAGTCCATAACCCTATGTAGATTGGAGAATTGGCTAGTACGCACCTGCCAGTGGGCGGGACGCTGATCCATATGTTTGGTCCCTAAAATCGATATAGAACACACCTCGAAGTAATGCACGGTGGAAGCCACGCAAACTTTACAACTTGAAGACTACTGGTATATCCAACATCCAGACTCGCTTCAACCACCTCATGCGTACTAGTTCCAATCATCGAACTTCACCTTATCACCATCTTCCCAGCCAGTCAACGTTCTCAGACGTCTGGTCGAGCCGGATCTATTATACCGGTACACAATGACCATCGATTTGTAGTGACCGGGATTGGGGTCGTCTTTGAAAAGGCCGTTGTTGACACCGAAACGGTACCCGCTTCGAGCAGCATCTTTGAACGCAGGTAGAAGATTGTTAAAGTCTCTAGTTCCCGAATCATAGAACACGCGTGTGCCATATGTGACAGACAAGATCTGCACATCTTCGTCCCCGACTTCATCAAACACTTTCGGCCGGAGGTTGTTGATCTCGCCCTGCAGTTTGCCAAGTTCGGAGTTTGAATTGGCAATATCGGTATCGCGCCGGCTAATCTCGGCCTGAAACTCTTGAATCCGCTTGTTGTTGGCGGTTTCCGTCTCCTGTGCGCTCGAGATTGCGCTATGGTATTTGGCTGACCATTCGTCTCGTTCTCGGTCTTTCTGTTCCATCTGCCCTTCAAGATCCTTGATGCGACTTTCATTGTTGGTAGCAGCGGCTTCGCCTCGCTCTTTTTCGCTGCGGGCTTTCACTTGCTGCTCCGCTTTAGCTGCTTCGTGCTGCGCCTTCAGAGCCTCGTTCTCGTCCTTTGCATTCTGTCGCCTTACAATCAGCAAACTTACATGCATCGCAATATTTAATATTGGTGCCCTACCTGCAATTTCGTCTGTAACTCCTGTTTCTCTTTCTCAAGCTCTTCTTCATTCTTCGTTTTGATCGGAGGTCCGCTTGACTAGAGAGTTTCCATGGTAAGCGTCGTAGATCGATTGAAATGGAAGGGACATTCAGATAACTTACTGGGACCAAGAGATTGAAGATATTTGGACTCAGATACCGCCAATTGCGACTCGGATCCGTGGCAATTTTTGGATTGACTGTCACTTCGTTTACCTGCATACCATTCTTTATCAGCATAGAGTCAATCCTGGGAGTTAGGAACGAAGATATGTACCTCACGGACGATCTTGATCATCTCAAATCTGCAATCCCTTCGGGCCTTGTCAAGCTCGAATAGATCCGCTCTGTAGGGAATTAGCTTGTTAGGAGGCAACGGCTTTTCCACCGTGACCTCCCTGTAGGCTTCCGAGTTAGCTGAAATTGCCTGTACCACCTCCTCATATTGCTTGAGGCGGTCCTGGTAGTCATTCTCAAAGTACAGTGCATATTCCTTCATACTAGAGCTTTCCTCTTTGGGCGTAGCGCTGGCAGAACCACTGTTTAGATCGCTGATGGCTGCAGGCACATTAGTTCAGCGTGGTACAACATAATGCAGGGAAATTAATCAGTAGACTCACTCTGGTAAATATCCTTCCAGATAGTTTTGTACTCCTAAATTGCGATCAGTACGCTCAGAATTTCGAAAGCGGAATATTGCAGCCATACAGCATATGCATCTAGCAACCCGGAAGTGTAGATACCGGCGTTTTCGTAATCCAGGGGCGACCCTCTGACAGTTTGCTCATGATAGCTGCGCAGGGCAGTGTACTTGGTGAGTATCGCACTACGAGGATTAGTGACTGAATTTCTCTCTTCGAGTATTGGAGTTCCAAGGTCGGGGTAACATACTAGGTTCTCTGCGGGCCTAAGTAAATGGTTAGCACGATGGTCAAATTTTCGGAAATGATCGGGAAGAGAGCTTACAGGAAGCCACATTGTCTGGAAATTCCATGGCAACTTTCATCAAGTTATTGATATCCCACTGCACCACACCGTCGGGCTTGATGTCACCACCGCCTGACCAGTTGACATTGATCTGAGTGCTGTATTTCTTGTCCTCTGACGACTCATCTTTACCACCCTCACCTGATCCACTGACCTTGACCGTGCCACCGGCTAAGGACACGTTCACATTAATGCTTCCTCCCATCTCTTTCTTCGCTAATTTTGTTTCCTCGGTTCGGGTAACTAAGGCGTGGAAGACGCCGCCCTCAATGAATCCAGAGATGAAACAGTCACCATAAAGCTCGGTGAACTTGCCCTCAGGCACATTTGGCAAGGGGCAAAACTCGGTCACATCATCGGCGATCCGACGTTCATTGGTCACCTTCACTGTGATATCATACTTAACATCAGCCTTAGTGAAGCCAGAATTGTTGACATAGTGCGCTTCCGCGCCGCCTCCTCCACCTAGTGCATCGGCGGTGATTTGCAGCGCTCCTGACATGACAAGGGTTGTTAGCGGTCAGCTCATTTATCTTCATTAGATTGGTTGATCACATCTGGGTGTCTGATTCTGCATACCCTTGATGTTCAGCTTATCCGTCACCTCGCTGATGTTGTCAACAAAGCCTGCCTCCCAGCTGACGACCTGGCTCACTTCCTTTTGGCCATCGTTCATCTTCGTACGACGGACGAGCTCGCCTTTCTGATTATCCAAGTAGCCTTTGTGTTTCTGGTCAGATGACCCTGCAATCTGTGAGTTAGGCAGAGTGCGGAGATCTCTTTCCGACGCCTTGACACCACCAGGCTTGCGCACCACGTCGTTAAGGCACAGCTGCTGGGTGTAGCTGTTAAAGCTATCATGCCAAACGGTGTTTAGTAGCGTCACATGTGCGAGATGTAAAGGAAGTGACTTACCCCATACCGAGGCGCATGGCCTCGTTGTAGGGGGCCAGACTGAGGGCCATGGTGATAGTAAGGTAGTATCAGGTACAGGCTGATATGGAGTGTATCAAAAAGGAAGCAATGTGCCTTTGCGACGAAGTATGAATGGAATGGGATGTGCTCTTGGATGGTAACATATATAGGTATTCCACCGTGACCCTGCGACACAAGGCGGACGCGAATTACTATGCGGCCTGCATCGCATGTGGGATTTTCCAGATGTCGGCTCCCGAAGCCATTCAAAGCTCAGAGTCCACAAAATTACCCTTAATTTCTTTTTCCATGAGTCTAGCTCCTGAGATCACCTAGGCAGCGAGGAATCTATTGAACGCCTGTTTCACGGCAGAGGAGGAGTAGTGCCGTTCTTCCAATCGGTCCGAAAGACTCATTATGCAAACTGGAGGTGACGAATATTCCGCCTCAGCTGAATAAACAGGGGAGTGGATCTTCTGAGAAATCCAAAGAATAGCGCTTCATAAAGTTTGAAGGAAGTGATAGTTGAAGCGATTGGAGTATCGCCAGTTTGACCCTGGCATTTGAGTATTATTTCTTAGCGAGCTGAGCATTACCTGGCAGACAGAATGAAAGAAGTAAATAGCTCAGCCCAGACCGAGGCCCACCTCCAAGCTTTGATAAGAGATGTCACATTGAAAGCGTTCCAAAGACATTCTCTCAATTCTCATTATCCTGGACTTGGATGACTCTTCATTATTGACTTTAAAATTTCTACTTCTCGTCAGAACTGGAACGCGCCATGGCTCTAGTAGATGTTTTCCCAGAGAATCCCTTCACGCCGAGCCTACCATATGCCAGTGCTGCACAGCTCCCAGTGACTGTCCCATGGGGTGGAAAGGCCCTCCAGATGGGCACACCGCTCATTGTAGGGAGCCAGCCCCAAGACACGCAGTTCCTGGAGGATCGGTGTGCCTTCAGCTCGGATTCACTGAAGAAGACATCACTAACCTTCCGACATGTTTCCCGGGGCATGATAACCGAGAGTAATACCCACACGGCGGCCGCGAGGCACGAACATACGTCCTTCTCGATTCAGGCACAAATTGGCGGCTCGGTGATCGGCGTGTCCGGGCGAGGCAACTATGAGGCCCGTGGGGCAACCAACCAGGATGTATGTTTTTCTCCCCTTGACTCCTGACCCCTGAATCATGGGTACAGGAAGGACACAGCGGAGGACGAACTGACACCACAATCGCATGGCCAGATCGTCAATGCAAGCTTTCGTACCGAGTACCAGAGTGGCTGGATTGGTTTTGTCTCACCTCCGCGTTTGTCACCCCTGGCGCTAGAGCTGCTCCATACGCATGACGATCCCCACACTGCTTTCCGTGAACGATTCGGGGATTACTATGTGGGGGCTTACCTCCTGGGCGGTGCCAATGCTCAGCTAGTATCGTCCAACGACATCGCCGCCTCGGCCTCCAAGGACCTATCTGGTAAAGGCGAAGTGCGGTTCCTCGGCTTCAAGAAAGAAAAAAAGTTCGACAGTCATGAGAAAGCAGATGCTGCTTTCGGCCAGATTCGGTTAACAGGCTACGATTCCCTAGAGGCATGGGAGTGTGATCATCAAGAAAATGAGGATGTGAGGCTCATCCACCAGGTCGCTGATGAAAATGAGAAGCGATGCAGAAGTTTGATTGGTCGGGTCAACGGGAAAGTGGAGATGTTTCAGCTGAAAGATGGTGGAGTCGTGTCGGTGGAGCTCTGTGAGGGCATTTGTCGAGCTCATTTAGTGGTCCAGATTCTACTTCTGCCATACAAGAAGCTGCGGGAATATGCGGTGGCTGTTTTAGCCAACGCTAGTGGGACCGATGCCGTGGACTCCGGTTCGCACATGGCCTCGACTCCTGCGGGCAAGGCCTAGACTCGTGAACAACAAAATATGTCAATAATGGCGAGAAACTTCTCCTTGGAAAGATTTTAACAGTGCTGAACCCACCTCATACGAAAATCCCTGCTAGTAATCTCAAATGATGCTCGTAGAGCCGGTCCGTAGATTCCGGCCATAGTCTCTCATATCTCGTTCCTCGCTTGGATAACCCCTGAATTCTCGATGGTCGCGATAATAACAAGAGGCTTTTGTAACAGGCAGATATGACTGGGCAGAGTTGAGTATATAATGATGTCTTGTTCGCAAAATGAATCTCTATCTTCTTCTGCTCTTGATCAACAACGTCTTGAATCATTCAATTGAACTGCTTTCAACATGGCTACCATCCTCGCCCCATACAACACGGCCATGCGCCTGGGAACCGGTATGGAATTTTCCCTTCTTGGCTTTCAGGTTTTTCATGTTGCTATAATCATACTGAGTTCAATTCAGGCTTCAACTCCTTCACCCAGCAGCTCTGTATCGATCATGCAGTTGTTCGTGATGAGAATGCCGAAAAGCCCTTGGATATTACCCTCCTTGAGAAGGATATCCCACAGGAGGTGACCTACAAGACTTCAATCGTTGATAAGGTCACTGATGTGACCAGCGCTATGAATGTAAGTCGAATCTTGGAAGCAAGCCTGATTCGATCCTGTGATGCTTACCCTTTATAGATTAGCGCCGCCTTCCTCATCAAGTATGATAACTTCGATGCTAAAGGAAAGGGTGACTTCTTGAACACCTCCAAAGTCAAGGAAAGCGACGTTAGCTTTATGATCTCCGTCAAAGTTGTAAACCAGGTTATTCAGGATCATTCTTTGACCAAGTTCAGCCCAATCAGCGGGCTCAAGGGCCAAAACTTTGCTGAGGTCTATGGAGATTCTTTCATTTCCGGTTTGATACCCCACTTATCTCGCTTGGTTTCATTTCATTACAATTCTCTTCAAGTTGCTAACTCCCCTCGTCCTCATTAAGGCTTCCAATATGGCGGCGAGTTTACTGCTGTTATATCCGTCAAGGCCTCAGATAAGGTGGATTCTGAGGATGTCAAGGCTAAGTACGAATGATACCAGACTTTGATTTGATAGCCAATGGCTAATTTATAATTTTATTGCAGGGCCCGAATCCTCTTCACCAAAGACAAGCTTGACTTGAACATCAATGGCAAATTCGACAAGGAGAGCTCAAGTTTCCTCACCGAGAACGAAACCACCATTTCTGTTACTTATACCGGTGGTGGCCAGCATCTAAAAGAGCGTAAGTGTCACACCTGAGTCATCACAAAGTCTCTCGGCATCAAACATAATATTGTATACATATACTAAAATCTCTCAGGCGACGAGGATTGGACTTTCGAGACCATGAAGGCTGCTGCCCTGAAGTTCCCCCACCTGGTAGCTCAAACCCCTATGCGAACGCACGCCATTCTGACGAAGTACTCCTCGCTGCGCAGCTACTATGCTGCTAACGTACCCACCAGTCTACCCAGCTTTGAACATGCTGGTGTCTACACCGCCCTTCTGCAGGAGGCCTACCTGGACTACAAGACCATTGCCAAAAACCTCCAAGTCCTTGCCTACGATGTGTCCTCTGGGGATCAAGTCCTCTTGGCTCCACGAGCTGCAAATGAGAGCCAGGAAAGCACCTACAAGCATTCAACGGCTAGCAGTCCCAACAGCATGGTACCTGTCGCCAACCCGAATCCGCCGTCTAAGGACGGTTATACTATGACCCCGTTGATCGTGAAGACCCCGTATCCTCCGACCCTACAGGGAATTGAAGATGCCAGATCTCTGGTGCGCTTAATGTTGAACCGCATTGTCCAGGAGGTTGACCTAATTTCACGTATGCCTGAGCTGGCAGCTCGTGAAGATAGGGAGCTACCTTACATGAGCCCCTTCTTGTTCAAGGAATACTTGCCCGTAAGTTGAAATCGCTACCTCTGACCGCATGATAGAATTGCTGGGATATTACGCTAACAAATTGGATTTTTGTGCCTACAGATCGGCGAACCGAAGCCTTCTATTGTGGACGCTACGGGCCCAGCGGATAGCATTCCCTCCCTGAACCAGCAGATCTCGGGCGGCAAGATATTTGCCTAGAAGCTTAGACCTTGGAAGAGCTTCATGCATGTTTCTATGTAATTTGAGGAAGGACTGGCTTGCTCTAAAGATCAACGCTTTGGATCTCGCAACAAAGTATCATGGTGGATTGTCCTAGTTTATTTTGATTTCAGGTAGACCTTCTAGGTAGTAAGATTGAACATTTGAATTAATACATACATATTCATTGGATCAATGTTCCCGGGGTTTTCTCGAGATATTTCTGCTAGTGCTACATAGTAACATTTGAATAGTAGGTAGTACCAGCCCTGGAGTCAAATAGGTGAACATCGCCTGGGGTTCAACCTCGGAACTGGAATCTACGGTATTTTAAATTTGGAGTATAATATCCAGGAGTGGAACATACTACATACACATGGTACTTCTACATGATGGAATATTTTATAAGTTGTTCCAAGGTTCAAGTTTATGGATAATCGGGTTAAAAAGCATAATTTGTTGGCGCATCTTATGGTGACATGGAATCAGCCCAGGGGATCTCCAAGGAAATTGTTATCCAAAGAATCACATATTGATCAATATGTTTAATTTCAATCATCGTGATACTGGATTTTCTTTTTCGCTTAGTTTCTCCAGATTGAGCTTCCAAGATGTATAGATGTGAGCTGCTGTGTTGCCTGTTCAAGCTTCTCCTAGGGCAAAATCTGCCGGGCCGTCGACAGCTCACGGGAGCTGCGGGTACGGGAAGCCCGAGTTCAAGGTGCTAGTTAGTGGAGCTACTCATCTCATACCCCACAATGACCTCGGGAGCTCTGCAATTTTTGGCGAGACAACCTGCCACGTACTTAGCAATGCACTAGCTCATCCCGAGTTCCGTGCTTAAGCCACTGTGAGAAAGGATCAAAGACAGTCTCAGCCATCTCCGTTGATTATTGAATTCTTTCTAACTACGTGCCAAGTTGGACTTTCCACGCGATGTCAAGTTTAATAATTGGAACTGAATGAAGTCGTTCCTATTGAGTATTTCCGAGCTCACCGCAACCTTTTCGACACGCCTACACTAATTGGCCCAGAGTCAGGATTTTGAGATGGGTCTATCAGTTAGTGGCCAGGTGGCTGAATAGGCGTCGTAAGCGAAGGAACGGCCGAACAACAGGATCATTGGAACTTCGAAGAATGCCGAGAGTCCTCTGCGGTTTTTCTAGAGGAACCTTTAACGGAAAAGAAAAGAAAACTCTGGAATGAAGCTATCTGGGAAATAAATCCCGACACTGGAGATATGTGCCAGTTACTCGGAGTACATAGTGGGTACCTGGGTATATAAAGCTCACAAATCTCCTTGGAAAGAACAAGAAAATACCCTTTTATCCATCTCAATTGCTCAAATATTCAAGGTCGCCCCATATTTGCCCAAGATGGCAAATCTCCTTCTCAAAACAGGGAAGCCTGGGTGGAACAGTGTCCTACGGGCCTCTGAATATGTCATGGCGGTAATACAAGAGTGGCCCTTCCAAGGTTCTGTTGAGCCGATGTAAAGTGTCACGGTGTACTGATCTTTTGAAAGCTTGTTGCAGGCGATAGTGGCCTCACAGGCAAAGATAGTCTATCGCTTTTCACGACTGAAGAGGAGCGGATCGACAAACTCTTACGCGCCTTTGAAAAGCCTGGCATAAAATCCCAGTTCGCCGAATTTCAGTCAAAGACCCCTGACCTTGAAATCTTGGCCACTATCTGCTACGCCTCGATTCCATGCTGGAAAAAGGCAGGACTGCGATGGATCCGTGTACCAGCCATGGTGAGTTGAAACCCGCCTGACTCCCTTCCAAATCGACCGACAAGGGCTCTCAACTAAAATCTTCTAGGAAACTGTGACACTGGTGAGCTTTTTGACGAGGTTATTCTTTTGTGAAATATCACATATCTAACAGTCAACCCTTCTATAGACCGATGACGATGTCGAACATGTCAATCTTCGAGTTCTGGGTGTTCTCGCGCGCGACAATCAAACCAATACATACTACATTGTTTTGCGTGGTACTGACCCAGATCTACGGTCGGGTGAACTCCTGATCAGCACCGGTCCATATTCCAAGGGTAATGTTTTGAACCTCAACAACGAGGACCAGATGCCGTTGAATAAGATGTTCAACCTTTCGGGCGTTGATGGGGACTTTGGTGAAGTGAGAGCAAGCCTTGCAAACTTCACGAATGCGCAGATCTACTACAAGGACGCGAATGGGAAAACAGAGCTACTGCTTGACTCTCTAAATACCCAATTTGAAAAAGTGGTCAACCTCATTCCAGAGAACTCCAATGTCAAGGTCTATGCTCACAGCATGGGAACTTCCGTTGGTGGATCTGCTCTTATGGCTCTTGGGACTTGTAACAAAGTCTTCAACTCGAAGGAGGCACTTTTTCTGGGTCCTTATGCCGCATTTAATCAGAAAGCTGGTCAAATCATCGCCGAAACGTTTGGCGGTGTAATCAATAGCGTCATGCATGAGCATGACTTTATTTGCCGTATGAACACCTTTTCTGGCGCTCTCTATCGCTCGATGCTCACGGATGGCACTTTGGGCAAATACAAGTCCCTTGCCTTTATCGAAGAGTACATGAAGCGTAGCGCGGAGCGCTATCCCTATCAAGTAAGTTTAGGCCTAAATTTTACCCTTCTGTCTAAACCTTTCTCTGGTTTCTAATCCTGGATCTTTGATTACACTAGGTCTATGGTGATGTTTATGCCTTCCGCGCAATGAACTGGTTCACTAGTCCTTTTTTCAATCACAACACTAGCTCATACCGGTTGGCAGCCCTCAAAGCTCAATTCGAGAGCAGCCTTGCCGAAGTGGATGGCACTAACCTGAATGAGGTCATCTACAAGTATGCACGCGGCCCCGATGTCGACCTTGACGATCAGGCGCTACTTGCCATCCTTCTTTACGAGGATCACCATAGCTTGATATATTAGCTGTAATACATCCTAGCATGTGTACGGAACTATCCAGTGTCGCGGCTACAATTTATGGTCCTTCAAGTTGTTCGAGCCTCCCAGCAGACTCAGCATGCCATTCAATGTTTCTTTAACTTCTCTCCATAACATTCTCTGAGCTTCTTCAAGTTTAAATCCAGTCAGTGTCGAATTGAGAAGTACAAGTAAATTCGGATATGTCAACCCTATGAAGTGCCAAAATATCGTCCACCCGGTGAAGCTATGTAATTGATCTCTACAGTAGCGGCTGCCGCCAAGGACATCTGAAAGTTGCATCGCACCCTGCTGTAGCTTGTTCTATTTTACATACTACTAGGGACTCGGAAATTTGATGCATTTAGAACTTAGTGACTTGTGTGTTTCCTAGAAGATGTGTCTTGACAGATTCAAGTTATTGGGAAGAAAGAAAACAAATAATTATTTATACTAGTTTAGTGCACATCTGGGATCTAATCACATCATCAATGATTACTATTATTGCTGTGTGACCTTGATAAAGACACCCTTAACACCTCTTGGGCTAAGCTTGGAAGCTTCCTCTAACAGGCTCTAGGGCTTAGGGCTGGGATCAGCAACCTTGCAAACGATCTGGAGAGATGGCAATTGAGACGGTCTTATCCATATGTAGTACAGTCCCATGACTCGGCCTCGGATGACCCAAAATATGGAACATTTGAAAGGTAAGCACTTCAAGTTCCGAATATTAATCTATGGAATTAGCTACAGCTCTAATTATATTCAACCATGATGTTGTGTGAACATTTGAAGTTTATCCTTGTGATCTCTTGAAGTTGATTTCTCGACAACATAAAAAGAACATTTGAATACTTTCACATCTTTTCAACTTCGGTATTTATTGTAAGATGCCGAAACGCCTAAAGAGTGTTTTAGGACATCTCTTAAATAGGGAGAACGAGGTCCGTAACCCGGTAACTCAAGACCAAAAAGAGATTAACCAACCGGATATCGCCATTCATGATGGACTTTCTGGCTCTGGCCAGCTTGCAGAACATTCAATCCAGTCAAAACAGACCCTTCAGCCACAAGATCTATGGCAAGCTACTTATGAGCAGCTTAATGAGGCACAGCGGCCTAACTTATGGACTGAGTAGATATCCAGGGAATCAGCTGATTGTTACGGACCCACTACGAAGGCTCTGCCTAGGAGCAACTATGACCCAATTAGTTGACGGTCGGACCTAGGAAGGGCAGACGACTATATTCATCTCGCAGCGAAATGTTTGATCGCGGGATGAATGACTAAGCACGCAAGTATTGGACCAACGGACTTTTGTGCACAAAGACTGACAGACTATGTGGTCTAATGTAGTAGGCGGTCGCAATGGGAGCTAACAACAGGTCTGATTCTCTCATTCTGATAATTACGCACATAAACTCTGCCTGGAGATCACCTGATCGGTCATGTGCTTCATCTGGTTCGACCAATCAGAGCTCTCCATTTAATAGTGGCTTGAACTAACCCAATTGGGCTAGTTCTGCACCCGTGTTCTGTCAAAGACATTCTTGCCTCAGGCACCAACGGGGACACGTGACCATGGGACACAGCAGATCCCATCCCATAGACAGGATAGGATCCCATCGGACGGATAGGAAGGACTGGATATATATAGGAGCACTGTTTACCGCATCATGTATCTAGTTCTTCGCGATTATTCTCACCACTTTTATTGGATCTACCAGCGAATACAGATTGACATCTATTGCTTGAATCACAATCCACCCTAAGCGGACAACCACCAACTAGTAGGGGAGCTCACTCGTGATAACCCTCACTCGTGACTGGCCTGCTAGCAAAACCCTGACTCAAGCATTACCGTGCAAGGATCCCTAAAGACTCCAGCCCGTGTAAGGCCCGGACGGCGACGTACAGTTGCAGGATAACGGCTTGCGGTAAGTATCGACACTATGCTTGTGTATACTCACGTTGCTTGACAGCCAGTTTGTAACATTAAGGAGTTATATAGTAGGATCAGGTTCCTCTCTTATAAAGTTAGTATTGGCTATTTTATTGTAGGATAACCTCTACCTATAATATATTAGGACTAGTAATTAAATAAATTTTAGGAGACTACTGTTACGAACCGGCTGTCAAGCAACGTGAGTATGCACTTCCAAAGTGTTACTTACCGCAAGCCGTTATCCTGCAACTGTACCGTCGCCGTCGCTGGGCCTTACACGGGCTCGAGTCTATAGGGATCCTTGCACGGTAATGCTTGATTAGGGTGTCCGCTAGCAAGTCAGTCACGAGTGATGGAATCACGAGTGAGCTCCCAAGCTAGTTTGAGGTTGGTCTTCAAAGGTTCGACTGTGATCAAAGTATCTGAATTGCTGTACTGTAGGTCTCAATAACAATAGAGTAATAATCGCGAAGAACTAAATACATGATGGTAATGAACGTCCCTTATATATCCAGTCCTTCCTATCATCCTGTCCTCTGTCAGGACAGGTCCGTTCCTGTATCAGGTCAGGTCCGTTCCGCTGAACGGACAGGACCTATTGTTGGAATAGATCCTTGGTCACGTGTCATGGGGCCGGGAGTGGCCTCTCATACACCGTCCTTCCCGTATAGCCAGTATATGTTGCAATGGTAAGCCACAGGCCATATCCGGCTTCCTGTTGGTGCCTCAGGCACCACTGTAGCCCTGCGCCCCCTTGGGCCGTGTGTCCGTTATGGCTGGTCGTCCGTACTTGGCCCGACCGCCAACTGATTGGGTCATAGTAGCTCCTGGGAGATCCCTCCGTAGTGGGTCCGTAACAACTACTTATAATACCTAGTTTAATATAATATTTTTATAATTCTAGAGTGTAGCTAGTACTAACTCCTTAGAGTAAATAGTATTTTCTTCTTATTCCCACTTATTCTGATAGTTAAGGGTGAACCTATATGATATAACATAAGTATTTCCCTCGGTAAGCTTTTTCTATATATTTTCTAGGAGCATCATCTTTCAGGTAAGAGACAAAGATAAATAAGATGGCAGGCCTTGATGAGCGGCCCTAGGCTACTATTTATCTAAAATGCGAGTATTACGGTGGGTCCTCTCACCCTGTTCTCACCCCGTTCTCACCTCTCACACCCCTAGTCTCCAAAATTCTCACCCATATCACCTTCACTCACCCTAACACAAAACACGGTGCTGTTTTAAGACCGAGGGCTTCTTGAGAATTAACCGCGTTTAGTATGTGGCTTAAGTACGGCTAAGCGGACGGGAAGCCCTGTTCTCCACACCCTGTGGCCGTATGTGCTTGACATACCATAAATGTGTATATTATAGTGCAAAGAACGAGAGATAGAGGGCTTCGCTCGACTGGAATTGATTATTTCACTGTTGATATGCTCTTCAGTCCCCCTACTCACAAACATTTGAAGACTCGGATGCCGTTCTGAGAAAATATATCGCCATTTATAGTCGCGCAGTCGTATATATTTGCGTATATTCAAGGAAGAGATCCACATCCATGTGCATGGATGAGTAGTAGCGACGACAACATGTCCACGGGTGGAGACTCCGACATCCGGAGTCCTTCCACTGCGCAGGCATGCTTGGGCTCGCAGTTCGAAGCCCTTGGCAAACTCGAAGCTTTTCGGCCCATTGAGGGGTGTTTGAGGATATAATAGACAGCTGAGCACATGGTGCTGGCGGTCGTGTCACCTCCTGCTACAATCCATGTTCGTCAGCATGTATCCGATAACCATATTGTCGTCCACGGTGTCGGAGAATTTCCCTTTGAGCTCGATGAATCTGTCCATAAAGTCGGGCTCGCGGCCTCGGTTGATTCCCCTGCTGCCAATCGCTTCTGATACTGTTCTATCGCAAAAAATGTCGCCCAGCCGAAGAACATATCGAGCTTTGGAAATTGACAGACGTTAGGGAATCATAGTTGAGTAAGTTGAGCCACAATAAAGATGTGCAATTGAGCATACCGGTGCAAAATAGTCCAGATCCTTGTTAGGTCGAGGTTACAATTCCAGTGACGGTATATGCACATGTGTGTTTGTCCATACTACGACTGCCTCTCATAATCCTCAGGGCTCCAATCCAAACGGATTATCTGAAACCTCCAGGGCTCATGTGCTTGCAGCTCTCCCCGTAAAGACATGTGTAGGTATAGCCTCACATTATATGCATCTGCCAGTGCCTATTACTGGTACTATAATGGAGAGCTTGGACAATTTGAAGAAGAGATGTATCAATTCAACACTGGTGGCCACCTGGCAGCTTCTAATGTTTCAATGTTGACCTCGGGACTTTTCATGGCTTCAGATGCTCTTTCAATATTGATTTAAAAAGAAGATCAAATATTTTTCTGTAGCTACAAAGTGGATTCAAATCCTAATCTCCATTGTCCGATGGCTTCAAATCGAAAAGACCCTAAACAGACTCGGACTTCACAACAGGTGTAATGTATCCAGATGGATAGGTGTTGGAGATATCATAGTAGTACTGGTAAACACCAGAGACATTAGTCTCCAGAAGACGGAAAGAGTCCGAGAGGACACCGTCCTCCTCTTCCCACATCAGGTATGTGCCGTAAAATAGGAATTCTTCAGTCGTGGCATCGGAGGGGGTGGCATAGCCATTACCAGTGAAGCCAACCGGTAGGACTTCGTCAGTGGTAGGCCGGATGTAGAGGAGAGTGTTATTGTCGAGAGTCACACCGGATGTGGTAGCAGTAGTAATCAGCTCAGTATCGGTGATCACGACTGCATAGAGAAATTAGTAAGAAGATATTCTGGGTGTTGGATAGCTTTGAAAAAATGGATGAAGGATGTACGGGACCCGACTACTTACAGGTAACGTCTGTGGTCGTTGTTCCATAGGTCCACTTCGAAGAGTCGCCAGCGTAGGCTAGACCTGCGTTTTCATCATGAGCAACTAAAGTCTAGTACACTAGTTTTTGATGAGAGAAAGGAGCAACATACCATCGGAAAAGAACATCGGGATAGTGGTGGATTCTGCGCCATATGCGATGAGCTCGAATGAGCCCGTCGGGTTGCGCTTCTCGACTGTTAGCGAGGGTGCAGACATAGCACCACTGGCAAAAGCCAGAGCAGAAGCGCATGTAGTGAGTTTCATGATGACAGGTTCAATTTTTAATGCGAATCCGTGATGTTGTTTCAAAGCATCAGTTGTTATTTCTTCCTGCACCCTTATTTACATACTTGTTCAAAGAAGCCTAGACCACAAACTGATTAGGTCTTACACTCTGTACTATTTACTATGACGCGGCCAAAGGCACGCTAAATTAGTCTAATTTCACTAGCGTGATATTTAGTGAAGAGAATCCTACAACATCCAACTTAGGCAATTGATCATCGAAGGGTTTTGGAAGCGGGGGACACTTCAAGCTATGACAGTCAAACTGCTGTTTTATTGATGTTACTGACATACTGTGATACATACAATCATTCTGCTTCTAGCTGGACAAGACCATGCGGCTCCGACTCTGAGCCAAGAAAGCTGATCGCAAAGACAAGATAATCCCTATCCCGGGAAGCCATGAACTAGCGGGCTTGGCCCTTCTTTGAACCTAGTTTGAAACAGGGTAAGAACCTCCAGGGCTCTTCCAGGGGCTTGAAAGTACATACTAACCTGGAGCCAGGAGGATTTGGGCGATTGGTTCAGAGAATCCCTATTTCACGCTCCAAATCTCACGTTCTTCAGTAAACATGAGCCGAGAAGCCTTGGACTCTTGGCTATCCGGTTATAACATTGCCGACAGCGTGGGGCCATGGACCTATCTGGGACTAGCTTTGGCCCGACAGAAAGGAAAACTACTACAGTAGTACTCGGATTTGATCATTACAAGAAGCTAAGCCCATTTGAAAACTGCAAGAAAAGTTTAGCTACTGCCCAGGAACCAGTGCCAAGAACAGAGATACACGTGTATCATGGTGCGGCCAGGGCGATGGAACGGGCAAATTTTCATATACAGCAGTGACCTGACCCAAGCCGGCAAAGTGGTAGAACGGTAGAGCACCACCCGGGCCAATCCTTGGATTTACCATGTATTATCAGGGCTTCCAAATATATGAAAATTAGAGGGTAAGGGAGTTTGTTTCCCCTTACTGGCATAAAGTCTACCGGTGGGTACTCATTAGGAGAAGGAACTATGGGCTAAGTTGGTTTGTCCATATGCCTGGACAGTGGTCCCCCAGGTAGGGTTAAGTCTCTACTTAAGGTTAGCGGAAAAGGTAAGATGGCATTCATAGGCCTACTCTGTTATGATATTAGTATACCCTATAATTAGGGTTCTATATACTAAGCGGAAGTATTGTACTAGTAGTGATTATAGCTCTACATTCATATGAAATAATAACTTATACAAGAGGCGGAGTAGTTGTAGAGATCCTCATAAATTAAAAAAACTTGGAAACACCAGAGCCCCCCTAGACTTATCCCAAATGGTCCATGAGGCTTCACATAAGTGGGCCCTGGCCGCTTTAAAGCGCCGGGCTTCGGAATTATCCCACATTGTCAGCCTTCTAGGTGCTACAATCACACTCAGTCGGGTCTGTGTTTAAAAATATGCTCGGGATATCCCGGTGCCGCTGGAGGCCCGACCGGCATAACCACTGCGCTGCTAGCTACTAGGTTCCATCAGGGTATAGAATATCATCATCTTCATCATCATGTCCTGACCCAATGACCATCATTGAGTTTATGGTTCCAGCACCTCCTTCTGATTCAAAATATAGCTCTTGGACTGGAACTGAGACTTGGACTCTGGCTGGATCCTATGGGTTTCTGCACCAAACCTCCATTGATCACTCCCGGTCGGTTGCCTCCTGCCGGAAAACTGTTCCGTACAAGCTTCAAAGTACCACCATGAGCCGCAAGTGCTCTATATAGTCAGTAGAACTTTAGACGTTCAAATGCTTTACAAATCAGTTTATGTAGGTACAACCTGGGCAATCTAGATGTAATTTGATTAAGATATCCGCATGCTGTACCCAAGGGTGGGATCGATCCATGACTAACGTTTGAACATTGGGTAAGCATGGTCGTCAAGATGAGGGGCTTCAGGCTGCCATTAGTTTAAACTCTGCTTTCAAATATGATCACGAGCGAGTCAACTTTCATAGCGAATCGACTCTAATCAGGAGAGATCAAACTGACGGAATGCTATGATCTGAAAGCTTGAAGCGTGGATGACCGGAAAAGAACATTGAACAACCCACGCTCACCTATATTAAAAGTTGGATGGTAAATCAGAACTGAGTCAACTACTGCACTTTGTATGTAGCTCCTATATAGAAGGTATGAATCTGACATTGATGGATTGCTAGTGGGCCTTTCCCCAAAACCTTAAAAATGGGTTGCGGCGCGTCCCGCCCCCGACCCAGAACACATTCACCTAAGCGCAAGAGGTTGAAATCAGGGCGTGAGATTATCTCAAGGCCATATGGAGTAGATATCGGTTTCAAAGCTACTTTGTCCGTAAAATAACCGTTGTAGGGAAATCCAATCCATGGCGGATGTTATGGCAGACGCTCTTTGGTTTAACTCCCAAGTCCGATATGTTATCCCCGGTATATTAAACTGAAGCACCCAATCTTTCTCTGATTCTTTGGGATCTGCAGTTTACTTTCCGCTCATCGATCCATAGATCCATGTCAATCCCCGCATCCACTCACCGCTAGCTAATTGCCGTCAATATTGACGTTAATGTACGGATTTCATGCAATTTTTCTCGGGGTCTGTCTTATCGGCGGGACAGGGGTGTGAAGCCTTCTTAAAAAAGACAAGGATATCAAAATCATAATGTAGCATATTTCTCTTTTTTTGCAAACAAAAATCAGCTACATGTATTGAATTATCGACCTTCTAGCAACACAAGAAACCATCATGGCCGCCACTTACGACGTACAAACATACCTGCTGGATAGAGCCAACATCAGACACTATCGTTCGGACGGTAATAAATCAGTTAATCCCTCCGATTTATTTTACACTAACCACTGACTTCCTATAGATGCACCTATTCAATTCGATACTGGTGCGACCACCGAGACGATTAATTCTGTTTACACCACGGAGATCCACCTCGATTATGACCAGCTTCTGGGCTTCTCCCCCGAGGTGATCTCCAGTGAGGCCTGGGCTAAGAGATGGATCAAATTCATAAGCCGTTTGAAGAAACGCAACATGTCATCCAGTGAGGCTCAAACCCCATCCCCTGGTAAAAAGAAAACTATGACTGTAACTAACCCAGCCTGTCAAAAATAGAAATATCTTGATTGACCTGCCGCAGCCTACAGGCAACAATCTCACTACCCGTCCGGACCGCTGTCATGTTTCTGCATACGCGCATGGCTGGTTCTACAATCGAGACGCGAACAAATTTCCCCGCCTCATGGCGAGACGTCAGGGGGTGAGTTTCCAATTTATCCTAGCTGTAACTTGAAATGATGATTTTCTTATTGATGTTCGAACCATAGGGAAAATATAAACTTGAGGTTGTCAGACTCAAGGAGTTGGAAGAGAAAGGAGAAAGTCCCTGGAGAATAAACAAGCAGTAGGTGAGGCTGTCATGGCAGGATATTCCTACGCAGTAGGTAACTGTGTTCAACGTGGTCACTGCTTGATTCCTTCAAGTTTATGTGAACTGTTGTTGAATATTTGATTTATGTTTTTTTTTGGAGTTCCCAAGAGAAACAAAAACATACACAAAACATACAACACAATCCAGTTCTCATGATGAAATTGATAAATGGATACATTCAGATTGTATAGAACTAGTTATTGGTCACCTGGGAAACTGCCCAAGTGACAGGTCCACCGTCTACCCATCCTCCTGAGTTCCGCCCCCAGCCCCGCCTTTTACGCAACCCCCATATCAACGAAGTGCCTTCTCAAGTGACTACACAGGATGCAGAGACGAAATCAGAGAAGGAGAATCCCCAGTTCTAGCAAGTTAAGAGTGTACATTTGGATCCTTCATTTTTTGGTTTCTCTTCGTTTGGTTCAATACTAACTCACCGAAGGATGGTCAGGGTTCCAAGTACGCAGAAGAGATGCATAGCTCCTCTACTCCTCGCTATAATCCTCTCCTCAGTCAAGGAGATCTCTCATCTGAAACACCGCCACTATTGTGTTCTGCACTTGACTTGACCCCCCCCCCCCCCCCCCGGGCGCCGTTTTCGCCCTGAAAATATATACCCTCACCATTTCAGCCCAGGAGACATTGAGGTTCCGAAGGGAGAACGTATCTATCTTGCATGCCCCGGATCAAAGAAAAAGTGCCCCATTTTAATTCACAGGTGCCCCATATGGACTCCATCGTCATCACGATCGATGGGGCATGTTCGAATAATGGCAAGGACGAGGCGCGTTCCTCGATTGGGGTATTCCACGGCTACGATAACAGCCTCAACATCTCCCACGCTTTAGACAACTTTGGCCGCCACACAAACCAGATAGCTGAACTCGCGGCTTGCTCAATCTCTAACCAATGCAATCACTATGGAGGCACAGTGCAGCAGAGCAGGCGACCAGCTTAGACCAATTGTACTCAAGTCCGATTCCGAGTACGTGGTGCGGGGCCTGACCGAATGGCTCCCAAAGTGGAAGAAAAATGGCTGGAAGAATGCCAAGGGTTTGCCAATCGCAAATTCTGCCCTATTCAAATGCATCGAGGAGCTGATTGATCAACTTGATCAGAAGATCTGTTTCAAATTTTGGGTAGTGCCCCGAGAACAGAACAAGATGGCAGATCTTCCAGCAAAATCTGCCCTCAAAGAATAGGGAGTTGGGCAGCTCTTTCAATATCTTTTACTCCAGAACCTGGTGAAAGTGTCAATGCAGTCCGCGTAGTATATCCTCAATAGAGTAGGATCTTGTCACTTGATGCATGATTGACTTGGATCATTGTCATTGAAAGTTGATGCGGAATTTGATTCCAAAAGTTACTAGTAGCGAATTCATCCGAGTCAGAATCATCTCAATATTATCAATCAGAGCTTTTTAGCTTGACTGATTCATCTTCAGTTAATCTTTCACTTCAACTTCACAAGTGACAAGATCCTACTCTATTTTTTTTCCTAGCATAGGCACCAACTAAAGTAGGTCATCCTAAGTTACGCATTAAACAATATAGTATCCATAAAGATCATCTCGTGCCACACAATGAGATAAAACTGACAACAAACACACTATGCAGTAATTCCATTATATTCCAAGGTTATTGTACTGAGGTACTTATAATGTCATATTCGCATAGACAAAGTTTGAAACTTGATGTTTTCACACATAAAAAATCAATTAAGATTGAACTTTTCTTATTTTTCGTCCACTAAAAGACTCATCCCATGGGTGCGTTTGTATGTAAGTATTGCGTTTACCCCTGCAATATCAGTCGTTTGTATTCCTCCAGGGCTATCCATGGTCCTCAGTTGCCTTATATAAGGGAGAAGCAAGTTCTGCATCTTCTATAACATGCTTCTCATTTCTCATCATTAATTCTCACAATTCTTGTTCCCCGATCACTTCTCCTACCAACATGGGACCCTGGAATCTATTCGTCGTCAGCCTCAACTCCACCCGAGCTGAATACGCTGGCGGCTTCTATGAACGCGTGTTTGACCCTTGGCTTCCCTTGACCTGGTTACGACAATTTTCTGAATTGTGGTCATGGGATAAATGGTCTGAGAAAGTTCTTCAGTGGCTCTTTTGTCCTTTTGGGTATCATGATTCAAATATGATAGTTCTGATTCAATGACAAGAACTAAGAGCTAGTCGCAAAAACCTTGGCTGTTTTCACAGCAGGGTGGCTTACGTTCACGGGGGCAATCAATTTCTTTCTTTGTCTGGAATTTGGCCCGATCGGGATTATACGAGGTACATTCATCACCCTGAATGGCGATGATTGTGGGACTTTACCCATGACTTGATATTAATATGTGCTAAAATTGCCAGACAGGCTCGTTAGCAGCCGCATCCAGTCGTTTATGTATGGTGGTTTTACTCCGGCAGGAGGCATATTTACTAAACTGACAAGTATGGCGATGCTTGGGTCGTTGGCACCAAGTGTCACAATTCCAAAAAAATTTGGCCTCTTTAGTTACAATGGTACTAGTTACAATAGCTATATGGGTAGGCTGTAGGTCATAATCGACACGTCATAGGTGGCTATTGATGATTTGGACTTGCCATTTTCACTAGCATGTCACGGCAAAGAACATAGTATGTATAGGGTTTAGGCGGCTGATTTGTTTATGTATCCACCAATTTTCCCCCAGAGCTAGCCGGTTTCTGGTGCCAATAGGCTCACAACTAACTATCATGGCAGTTTGTGTCTAGCATATGAATAGTGAGAGCTTTGAGACCTCCAGGAGACCTCCAGGACTATGAAGATTGATTTGCTTAGATTGAGAGAACGCTAGAGTATAGGAGGCCTCTAGCCTGAATTGCCTTGAACCCCTAGCTACAAATAGTCCTAAAATTAAGAATCTGATCTACTATGCTGTTGAATGGTCTCAATCTTTCTCCTGAAACCTTTTCCTACATATCAATTAATCAAGATGATTTAATATCTAAGAATTAAAGTGTGTTGTCTGAGAAGGTGTTCTATTCTGTTGCGTTTTATAGGTCTAGGATTTTGTTCAAAGGTTCACAACTTGCATCGCCAGCATCTTTTATCAAATTCTCTGCTCCTTATATATCATGAGCGGGTCTCTCTGGGCCAGAGAAGGTATTTATTTAATTGATAACATTGAGTTCAGCTTTGTAATAGAGTGGTAAACAATTTATCAGGTCGCATTTGCAGTCGTTTGTTACGTATCCAAATTACCATGTTAAGGCATCCAAGTCCTTCAGGATCTATCATCAGGATCAAATCTAGTATCTGGAGCCCATGCACAGAAATAGTGATAGACACCAATTTGAGTAGATCCTCCCGGCAATGTAGAGTTAAGTACTTCTCCGTCGATAGCCAGTCTTCAAACTAAATTATTCTTAGCCCACTCTTCTGCCGTTATAGTACGCAGTCCTTTCTGCGTATTCCATGCCTTCGAGATATCCCACGCGACACCTCGACCCTGACCAAATACCGCCTGGTACTTGAGTATCCCGTTATCCGGCTCTTGTGAAAGGGCCGCTTTGATTTCTGGAATTGCACGAACATTCCTCTTTACTACTTTCCCAGTCACTCTCTCTATCAACTGTGCCAGCTCTTCATAACTGATAGTATCGCCTCCAATGAAAATCGGACAATCTGCGAAATTTTCCTCCCAGCCTTCTCCCAGTACAATCTCCGCTGTAAACCGGCCAATATCAGCAGGAGTCGTGACGGTGACTTGATTCTCCCAGCCTCCCAAGGCAGACACAGTTCCGTTTTGAAGATCTACCACCCCGAAAAAGGGCTCGAATAAAAAGCTTGTGAACATGCCGGTTGATATGATGGTCCAGCGTGTTTCATTTTGCGACCGGAGCAGATCGCGGACATCTAGCTGTTCGTCGAAGAGATCTTGAGGAGAACCGCGGCCGATCAAATCATAGTCCACGCCGAATTGCCACGGGATATAATATGGTACTTTGGCTTTCAAGACTGCGCGTGTCACTTTCGACTGTACGCCTTTGCCGGATACAAATCCCGCACAGCCGATGATTATATCGTATCCTTTGAAAATTGACACCAGTGCTGATTCGGAGTCTTCAAGGATATCTCCGGAGATGAGGGAAATTCCAAATGAGCGCAAACGCTCGTTTTGCTCCTTTTTTGAGGAGTTGGTGGATGAGATGCTGCCAGGGCGCAGTAAGACAGCTACAGCCTCAGCTTGGCGAGGGTGTTTAGCCAGAGAATTCAAAACCTGATAGCCTAGCTCACCAGCCCCTATGACTAGGACTTTCTGTCTTGCACTCATTTTAACACTTCTCAGTAATGAAGTCGCGGCCTTGGAATATACAACAGGTTACATTCTTCTACTTCGAGTCCGACTCATGGTTTTATCCTCCGGGCTCCGGACTCCGTACACGACGCGCTTTGTAATACATGGCCTATTTGTCAGAGACCAAGTCGGATATAGATGATAATCTCCGGTCGCCAAGCACCAATCATTATTCCAGAGCCCAAGCTACGATAGAGCTCAACTCTGTCGCAAGGTTATGGTACTTCTACTCGAGGAGTGCATGTGGAGGGCAGGTTTCTGTGTAGACAACTGACTATTTGATACAAGGTCTTCCTGAAACTTATTCTAGCAGCACCTATGGATATGGATGCATTGAATTATGTCCAGTTGTTGCTAGGGCCCGACATAGCTAATTACAGGCTGAAACGCAATCCCATAGCGAAATTTCCAGAGTCCCCAACTCAAGTTAACTACCAAGTTGTGAGACTTCAAAAATTGCATCCGCAAACATCTGTGGCTCTTGCAGGGGAATGTTCTCTCCACAGCCTTTGACAATATGGTGAACTCTTGGACCGGTGAAGTACTTCGCGGTAGCACTTCCATCTGTTGCCGGGAACACAACAGCTTGATCAGGATCAAGAGTAACAGAAGGCACAGTGATGACCGGCTGCTTGTCTAACTGATTGGCTAGATCGGCGTAGGCGGGATCTCCAGTTGCATAGAGAAGGCGGTTACGATAAAAGTTTGTCGCGATGTCAACATAGTCCCGATTGTGGAATGCCAGCGATGCGGCATCAAGCTCGCTCTCGGTAAAGGTCCAATTGGGACTATTCTTAGACCAAAGAACGTCTGCCCATCCCTTCGTGTCATTGGCTAGGGATGAGTACCCGAATGGTGTCAGGAAGACATAATAATACCACTTCACTGGAAACGAGCTCGCAGGCGCAATATTCCAAGCGGTCTCGCGGTTTTGAATTAGGTAGGAGTTTGCCGCCACCATTCCTGAGCACCGCTCAGGCCACAATGCTGCAGCTACATTGACAACGACGGTTCCCCAGTCGTAGCCTGCAAATATAGCTTTTTCGATTTTGAGAGCATCCATCAAATCGATCACGTCCTTTCCCAGTGCCGCCTGCTCAGCACTTCGCGGCGTTGTCGGGGATAGGAATGTTGTGCCGCCGAATCCGCGTAGAGATGGAACGATCACGCGATAGCCTTTTGCGGTAAGCTTTGGAACGACATTGACATAAGTATCGATTGAATATGGAAATCCATGAATCAGGATTGCAACCGGACTGGTGGAATTTCCGTGCGGTTCAGAATCGTAATACTCGATAGAAAGTGTGGGTGTTTGATGCTGGGAGGTAGGACTTAGAGTAGGCAAAGAGCCTACTGCTGTAGATATAGCACTAGCGGCATTGCAAGACGATGGGAGTGACAAGACGGTGATTAAGAGCGCCCCAATTGTACGAATTGGCGACAGCATGATGAGAGCTGTCCGATCTAGTACGTATTGATTGCTCACGAACATTCGTGGATTAGAAGAATGAGGCAGTTACTATATAGAATTTTCTTCAGGCATGATGACATACTTAGTGCTTATCCTTCAAACTCAGTATAGATTCTTCATCCAGACACAGCCTGAAAGATCTCATTTGTGCTGACGTGATATCCCGGAAAGGTAAATGTGACACTTCCAACCTTGGAGGCTTATGAGCTATCGTGCCCGTTTGGGGGTGGAATCCCCGCTCGTATTTACTACGCGTGTAGGTTGAGCCAATTATGGATGATCGTTATGTGGTGGCTGATGCAAGGGTCCAAGAACTAGCTTGATTGAGTGGAGATCTGCATACATACACCCATGGATAGTACTAGGTAAAAGCACAGATATATTGAAAGTGCCCACTGGGCACTAGTAAGAACCCGAGACCATGGCTCCAGATTCTATAAGCTCAAGTGCTGGCGCTGGTCGAAATTTCCCTGCCGAGTCTGACGATCCGGCATAATCAAGCAATGGAATCTCCCTTCAGGCCTGTGTTGTGTATTTAGAACTCGCGCACCCAGAGCTGGTCCAACTTCCAGATCACATACATGATACACCCTTAATCACAATACACGTCATCTACGAAAGCAAGACCCAGGCTCTATATAGTCCAATATCTATGTGTTCACAATACATACGACCACAGGGTGTGGAGAACAGGGCTTCCCGTCCGCTCAGCCGTACTTAAGCCACACGCCGGTCAGTTAGTAGTATGGTGGGTGACCACATGCGAATCCTGACTGTTGTATGTTTCTGTTTTTGCCCCTCCAGGGCTCTTGTGGCATTTTATTTGGTTGCCCTTGCTATGGCTGTGGGCGGTATGTTCTTCTATATCTACAACCCTTCGACCATCAAGATATCCTGCTTTTCGACTTTCCTTTTTTGACTTGTACTTGAACTACGTCTCTGCTTGCACTAACATATGTCTTTGTTCCAATTCCTGCAATTCAGACTACTTTTAACAACATTCAAACCCATCAGCTCATACCTATCACACTTTCCCTATCACCGCCTACTAGTAGGTACTTCAAGAACGGGCAACGTGGGTCGAACTTTCCGCTATTGAATGTAAACTATGTTTTATTGACAGGTTGCATCTTCGGCCTCCCAAAAGACTGTTACCAATTGAATATCCTTTTATCATCTTTCTCCCAACTCTAATGCATAATGCCTTGAAGGATGCAGGGCTGCATCCGATTTCTCCGCACACCCATCCCCGCATGTGGGGCCCCATTCAGTAGTGAGTCGTGACCACCTCCAGGGCTGCGCCCCCAGAATCGTCCCACACACGACTCGACGCGTAAGTTAGGGATAACGCATCCTAGTGGATATTGTTAAGGATTATCAATCGATCAATCTAGGACCATTATCTACCTTCTACTTCTCCTCTCCGATCTCCTACTCCAGATTGCTTGGCTAGGTGAATTGACATTCCCTAAACTGGCGTCGCTTGCTCAATGCGTCAACAGTGACAAAGGCCTCGATGGGACATTTTCGCTATCTCCTAGAATACCAGGTTCTGGTGTGCACCCCCGGCCAGCATGCCGTCCCACCTGCCCCATGTTGATACTCACCTAAAAGGTCACCGTAAAGAGTGGCTAGGTCTTGATTCCCGAGGTCGGCCATGGCTGTCAACGAACCAACGATCACAGCACTAGCAGTTATCTCAGCCTCCCGTACTTAGAGTTCTGATCCTAAGCGAGTCTACCTTTGGAGAGAGTAGATCGCCCTAGACTCACACTTCTCAACATTTGAAGTGTTGGTCCGTGTACTAGATTGAACATATAGCTCCCTCAAAGACCCTCATTCATCCTCTAGTATAATTAAGAGAAAACTCAATGATTAATGCTTTGGTAGACTTATAGGAGCCTAAATCGGCAATACAAAGTCCAAGTTGATTTGTCGCTGGGTTATAAAGGTCTCAATCACTTCGCAAGCACATTTTTCTTTGAGCTACGAACCATCTCCTTGAACCAAGTTGGAACCCCTCTAATCATAGAGCCGGAACTATAAGATGCTGGCAAGAAAATCTGGCCACTCTTGCCTCCCAAAATCTGGGCCACCACCGCGTCCGCAACAGGATTAGGGTCGAGAAGGGTTTCCATAAATGCGCATCTTTTTAGGACAGGTTCAAGCATTGGCGTACAAATCCATGAGGGGTGCACAACGCTGGAATGATCATTAATTCATGATATTCAAGGTTCGAGAGTACTTATGGTAGATTACCTGGTGCGAACATGTTTGGCATTGCATCTATGCGTCAGTTCTTGGGTCAAGCCCTCGTGGAAAGTCAAAGCAGCAGCCTTTGAGCAGCTATAGGCGACGTTAGACGCCAACGTAACAAAGCTCACCATGCTTGCCATGGTCAACACATGGCCATGATCCTCCTTAATCATGGATGGGAGGAATTCTTTCGCCAAGATGAAGAGCGCGACACAGTTCACGTCGAAAGTCCGACGAACACACTCTTCTTGCTCCTCAAGTATTGGCCGCATGGTTGCAACTCCCGCATTGTGGACATCGATTCATGGAGAATGGTAAATGTATCTCATAAGTCGGACTTATAGCTGTAGAGTCAAATAATGTGTCCGGGGATGGGTAGGTAGAAATAATTCGGAGGGTGAAGAGCAGAAGTGTATAAAATTCTGCGGTTCAGACTATGAGACAACCTGTAAAGATATTAGACGAAAGCAGCATATTGAGAGAAAATAGTCCACCTAAACAAAAAGGAATCAGTCTGGGCAAAGAACAGATCAAACTGTCTCACGGGAACAAGTAGTCAGGTCCTAAAATATCAGCTGCAGGTAAATTCAGTTTCTAAATATTCAAATGTTAGCCAGGATGCGACGAAACCGGAGTGAGTTAAATTCAGGGCGATTGTTTTACATAGCCATGTGTCACAAACGCCACCACTGGGCATGGCTAAACACGGGCCGTGACGGGAACTACAAGATACTTTGAATGACTAGTGGTAGAATCAATCATCATTACTGGCTAAAGATTCAACCAGAGTCCCGCGTGGTCCGTATTCTCAGCAATAGAGTGATGGGAAGTGCTTCAGGGCTGATTTTGTCATGATTCTTGCCTGGACAAGAGTCGAGGCCGTATGTGGATTTGACATACTATCAAAGCACTGGCATCACATAGTAGCTCATTTTGATTCCACTATGGAGCATGAAAACTGCATTTGTCATAGCGAGCTGCAGATCGGATCGTGGCGATGATCGATGACCAGGGCATCGGATCGGATGAGTCGGATGAGAGACTTTGTGTTTATTGGGGCTCAGACTACGATCCAGTCCAGAAGGTTCTAATATACCATTATGGGGCTATATGGATTGTTATTTAAAATTATTGCTCTTGTCAACCAGAATGAGGCCTCCCCTAGGTGGAGTTTGTAGTGAACTTGAAGTCTGTGCCCAATTTGCAGGCCTGATTTGACAAATCCTGGAGGCGATCTAATGACCTGAAAAGGCATGCGTTACTTGGATTTATTCTGATAGAAAAACTGCTCTTTAGTCATGTTTATGTGACCTGAGCAGTACTTTCTCAGAAGTCAGTCTAAGTTTGAGGCATCGATCCCAACAAGAATGCCGTGAGCCAAGACAGCGCCCAGCCATGGAACCATTACAAGCTCCACGAGGGCTGTGGGCTGTGGGATCGACTGCGGCAGTATGTGCTCGTTCCTGACCCAAACAATGAACCGGAGCTGTGGGAATAAAAGAGATTAGTGGGTCGGGGTGATCTGATCAGGGAACTCATTGAGAGAGAACCAAACCCAGGATGAGAATTAGTAAACTCAATCGACGCATTTTTTTTGTTCCGTCTGAAATTCCTTATTCCCGAGTATGTATTTGGTATTGTAATCTGGATCTGTCAAGAGGATTCTCAGGGTCCAGATTAAGATCGTCAGTTTACTAGTAGTTCATAGCGTGGACGGAAAATCTCCGGATTAGCACGGCATCTCCAGGGCTCCAGGGCTGGAGTAGAATCAATAGCGTCATAACGCGGCTAATTTCTGCTAGAACAAAGAAAACACATGCATAGAAAATTTTACTGCATGAAATATTCCATTTAGACTATTGAAACGGCTGCGAGTCTAACTTTTGACAGCTGAAATGCAAGTATTCCGCATGTTCCGTAACGTGGACACTATTGACATCTGGAGGGTCTTATACGAGGTATGTGGAGGAGGCGAAAGAAAATTCTCCATTTAGCTACCCCTGGCTGTATGATGCAAGTGGCACACTTTATCGGGTAAAAATCATTTGCCGACAGTGCTTATCTAGGAAATCTTAAATCCAAACAATAATTCTTCAGGATTATTGCATTTTCAGGGTCTGATATTGCGGGCCATTAGGGGGCGAATTACCAAGGAAAGCGGGATTCGATCCGGAGTACGAAAGTCATACCAGAGATAATTAGGGGCAATTTGGCAGTTCCTGAATTTCTAATGTTCGAGTGTGAAAGGGTCCAAGCACAGAGGGTCCTCTAGCAGCCCCATAGTGGGGCTTTTATTTGGATCTTCAGTCCCTTTAATTGGATGCGGATGCTCTCCCCTGGTTCTTTGACAACTTAAGCAACCTTAGAAAGAGGAGCACTTTTCTTGAGGGCTGTGTGAGCCCCGTATTTCATTTTAGGGGCAAATTTGATTCTGTAGAGTATCTCAGACTCGAGTAACATTTGAACATTATGATAATGGAAGACATTATCAAATCGAGGATGAGGATTTATCGCAGATCTCCACTTGATATTGGACGTGCGTAAGCCTCAAGACTCAAATTTGCGCAGAGAAAGATCCGGAAATCCGCAAGAAAAGCCCCAAAGCCCCAAAGTCCAGCTATTCTTCTTTAAGCTCAGGATCTGCAGTGCTATTGATGGTGAACCGGAGGTATTCGGTGCCCACATGGCTCATATAAGCTTACACTAGCCAGCCACAGGCAGCACCATCTGTTTATGGGGAACCCTATCTCAAAGGGTCTGCAGATCTTAATTTGAACGGACATCCTCTTCTCTTTCTTCTCGTGATCCGCATACCCGGTGATCTCCGGGCTATTCCTGAGATGGACATTCCACAAAACAATTACCTGTTTTGGCTCATCTTGGTTCCAGGCATACTCCGGTCCTTCAGATCCGATAATATGGTCAAGATCAGATGATAGGGCTAGTGATAATCGACCCTGATCAACGTCCATACAAGAAACTCTGGGCATATGACCATAGATAGATACAAAGAACTGTACTCTACACCTTCGTACTCAAGAACGATGCAATAACAGATCAAATTTCCCAGGAAGCTGGTATCACTGCCAAGTGAAGTCCATACTAAGAACTGGGTCCCTAGGAGTGAGTTGCCTTATACGGGAAATTTCATGAGAACCCACCTGGGCACATTAGGAGTGCAGACTGGACTTTGGATCCAGAAATTCCCACTTGATATTAGGTTTGACATGGAGATGGTATCATAAAAGATCCACTCATGGTTTTGTCAAAATATGAGGCGCTGAATCCTGTTGATACAGACTCGGACCCACCTGTTTATTGGGTCATGACAATTTTCCAATTCTCTCAAAGAAAACTTGAATGGCCAAGGATCTAAGAGTATAAATAAAGGATCTGCTGCAGTTGATCGTAGCCTTCTTCAAGTTTTCTTCACACTCCCACATCAGTCACTCCTTTTTAGTCAATCCGACTCTAGTCATTCTTTTGAATCATACACCCTAATATACCACAATGAAGGCCTCTTTCGGTACCGTTATGGCCACTCTGGCCACCAGCGCTCTCGCTGCTCCTCTCCTCAACTCCGGTGCTCTTTCCGGTGTGACCTCTCTCACCAACCTCGGCTCTCTCGCCGGCCTGACCAGCCTCGTCGGTGACCTGACCCAGCTCGAGGGTGTTGACGGTATTGCCGATGTCCTCCAGCTCGGTGATGTCACCAAGGAGCTGGACCTGGACAATCTCCCTGTTGTCTCCAGCGTCGGTGACCTGACCAGCCTTCTTGGTGTCGCTTCCACCAGCGACAGCAGCGCCCCCGCTGTCCAGGACGGCCACCTCGTCCAGGACCTCGGCCCTCAGGTCCAGAATGTCCTCACTATCGTTGGTACTGACCTCCAGCCTCTCCTCCTTGAGCTGAGCCCCGAGGTTGCCGAGCTGGTTTCTTCTCTGGGTCTCGGTGCCCTTGGTGTTCCTCTTGGTTCCATCGTTGCCTCTGCCAGCTCCCTCGGTGACCTCGTCACTGGTCTCGGTCCCCAGGTTGACGGTCTCGTCATCGTTGTTGGTGCTGATGTTGGTGCTGTCCTCGTCTCTCTCCCCTGAGGTTGCTGCTCTCGTCTCTGGTCTTGGTCTCCCCACCGTCGGTGTCCCTGTCGGCACCATCCTCGCTACCGTCGGTACCTCCCTGAAGAAGCGTGGTGAGATCGTCAACGACCTTGCCCCGGAGGTTAAGGAGATCCTTACTGTCACCGGCCCCAACGCCAAGCAGCTGCTCGTTAAGCTCTCCCCCGAGGTTGCCGCTCTCGTCACTGGTCTCGGTCTCCCCGGTGTTGGTGTCCCCGTTGGCGAGATCATCAAGACCGCCGGCTCCGTCGGTGACCTTCTGGTCGATGTCTCCGAGCCCCTTGACGAGCTCCTGACTGTTGTTGGCACTGACGGCAAGGCTCTGCTGATCCAGCTCTCTCCTGAGGTTGCCCTGCTTGTCTCTGGTCTTGGTCTGACTGGCACTGGTGTCTCCGTTGGCTCCGTCATTGCCACTATTGGCTCCAACCTGTAAATTGGATAAGCGATTTTCTTTTCTTCTTTCGCTTTTCTTTTTTTCAATTGGGGACTTCTTTTACGCAGCTATGGATAGCGTTTTTGGGAGCTATTTGTATACCCTACAAACTTTTTCTTTTGCACATATTGATCACCTGGAAATGGTGGTCTTTTGATATGACCTTCCGAAGATCTGTGTCATCACCAGTCTTCAATTACATACTATTATTTCTCTCTTCCGTCGAATAACTTTGATATCTGTAATGTTTATAGAGAGTTTCCCTCTATAAAACAAGCTTCAAATGAATCCAATTCAGAACTGATCTCGAGATACCTGTAAAATTTCATAATTTTTGTTACTAGTTCGCGGCTTCAAGTTGTGCGACGTCTTACTACTGATTACTGCTTGTCACCGGCAGCCCTGGAGGTCCATGCAGTTAAGGTCTTTGACTCGTAATTACATACTATCTGCTCCGGTTCTTGTATTCGAACTTTGAATGTTTCCTTTTGCCCTTCGAAATCTCTCAATAAAAGTCTCAGAGCCATTTTTTCTCCTCTCAGTTACTAATAGTAGTCGTGTGTATATTTGGGGTTGGTTATAACATTTGAATTAGGCTTGTCTTCCGGGATCTAGTATTACATAGTAGACATCAATCGCGCAAGCATTTCCGAGGTTAACAAGGATTCTCGTACATACTATGGTACTCGTCAGTCTCTTGACCGGATGTCTGCGTTGGATTGAGAACGGACGATAAGCTGTGTAACCTCCAGGGCTGTCCTGTCTAGATGTTTACAGACGGGCGCATGCATCGTGGGTCTACGCACATGCCATTGAGTTCCAAAATCGTATACATGATGAGATTGCCGCTAGAACGTTGAATTTGGACGATTTTTGAGTCTCAAGATGTCAAAAAATATATATAGCATTATCAAGCATTACGCAGACTATTTCACTTGGGCACTTCCATCTATTAAAATTGATCAGTTGCCATTCTCAGCCACAGCAAGATCCGTACGGACCGAACGGCGGAAAGTGGGCCACAAAATGGAATTTAATGATTCCTGTTTGGTCTATTGTTCGGCAGGGATAGCCACAATTAGTATATCCAAAGGTCTGGGCATGAACCTCAAGACACTGGGCGTGTTGGGGGCTGAAGAGCCACACCGTTGAATGGCTTGTGTGTGTATCCTTGTGATTCTTAATTATCAGCCCTACTTTATACTGGATGGTCTTGCACTATTAAGCGAGTACAATTAAACACGGGACAGAAAATGAAATCAGATGATCAATTGATCTCGGAAATCCACTACTAACGTCCAATCTGATCCTTTAAATGTTCCACTGTGGAATGATCGTCGGGCTTAGAGCGCCAAAGCGTTGGGCCTTACACAGTGTGTGTATACATGCACTGATTAGGCCCAAAGCCCAATGGAACCGCTGGCACTGGTATACGGTGAATGGCTTCGTAATTCCCCAGTGGAGATCCTTTCCACATCCACTATAAGAATAATAAAAAAACCAATACAAAATGGTGGACGATAGTGGACCAGTGAAAATCAAACGGTTATGCAGTCTAGCCACTTTTCAGCTGAGCCTCGTTTCACAGTGGATACAATGGAGATCAAAATGAATAATATTACTATTCTCATATTATACCTATGCACCTGCACCTAACAAGATCTCAAATTATCATCTGCATATATCACTTACGCACTCAGGCTGATCTAACTGATATAACTGTGATATACTACTGTATCTTCCTTGATCTACAATCTCTCCACCCCTCAAAAAACCTCCCACGGATCTCTCCCGTCGCTTCCAAACTCCTCTCCGTCGATCCAGATCTGGACCGAGGCCCCTCTTCGACCCCCATTCTGACCCAATTTTACCATGGGGCCCGCCCCTTACACTTGAGGGGTTTCATATTTGCCGGAATATGTCGACTTTGTCGTGGTGGATCAACTAACTTGGACTCGGGGGGTTTCTTGGAGCCTCCCGTCGCATGTGACCTTCCCTCCTTCGATCCCTGGAGTTCGTTCTTCCCAACTCCACAACCATGACCCAGAGCTCTCAGCTCTCTCCCGGGCAGCCTTCTCCGGAGTCGCCCTTTGATCCACCGGATGGTCGGATCGCTCATACCCTCACCGCATGCACTAGATGTCGACAGGTATGATGCCATATTGCCCCTCAATAAACTCAATCTTCCCTTGCCCCGCGAAGGGGGAAAACAGAGACTTGGAAGAACAAAGAGAGAGAAAACACGAGAGGAAATTCAAGTTCATGATCGGGAAGGATGCGGAGATAATCATCAGACAAACTCCACTGTCCTTGGACCCTCAAACTGACTCGTGAACTTATGTGGGTAGCGGAAATCTAGATGTGACCCCGGAATCCCTCGATGTGCACCCTGCGAACGAAGTAATGCCAAGTGTGTCTACTACGACTCCACCCGAGACGCCCCCATTCCACGGACCTATATTGTCTCCCTACGTGAAAAAGCCCGCGCCCTCGAGAGAGAACTCGCAGCAGCGGAGAAGGAGATTCAACATGCGGCTGATGCGGAATTGATGGTGCGGGGCGCTGGTCGCATCCGTTTCCAGGAAAATGACGAGCCACGATACCTAGGACCCTCCAGTGGCATTGCCATGACGCGTCTTGTTATGGAGATGGCCAAACAAAATACAGATTCCAAGAGCATCAAAGATGTCGTGCCCGAATTAACAGCTCAGGAAATTAAGGCTGCCTTTGCACAAGAACACTCGAAACCGACTTCGAAAGTTTACCCGATGATCAGTTCACTTCCACACCCGGAATTACCCTTGCCGGGGTTGACATACAAGTTGATAGATCTGTTTGTGGCAAAAGGTACACTTACATCGCTTGAACTGCACCGTGTTATGGCTGACTGTTTCCTTTGTTTGCAGCACAAGCTTTGCTCCCAACTTTACATGAACCTAGTTTCAGACGAGAAGCCGACGAGGTCTTGAATGGCTCAACTGACCCTTGCCATAACTTTCAACTACGAATGGCCATTGCAATCAGCATGCAAAAATTGAGTCCGGACTATGCCGGTCTGGCAGATAGTTTTTATTTAGCCGCATTACCATTCCTAGAACCAACTCTCAAGGAGATGGATATAAGAGCGTTACAATGCTTGGTCATGATTGCTCAGTATTCCATGCTGACCCCGACTCGAACGGCTGCATACTGGGTTGTGGGAACAGCTGTCAAGCTGTGCCAGGATCTTGGCTTGGCCGAAGAAGCTACCATCACCATCTCCCCCGACGGCGGAATCCTGAATCCATTAGAGATCGATATGCGCCGCAGACTATTTTGGATCGTCGCATCCATGGAGTTGGGGCTTTCTCACTCATTGGGCCGTGCCAACTGCTTCAGTGTCAGCCACGACAACATCGACGTCAACTTTTTCGAGTTAGTCGATGATCGGTACATTACAGCTGACGGTGTCATACCGGGAGCGAAACCTGTGATCGGTAAATGTCTTGCTATTCATTTTTTCAAGATGCGGCTACTTCAACTGGAAGTTCGACGTGCCCTATATCTCAAACGACGTGAGAGTCCGGTGGATGATCAAGATCCCTGGTTCTCCTATATGTCAGCCAAGATCGACCAGTGGATGGATTCTTGCCCCAGGAATGACGATGGCAGCGGCTTGGATGTGAAATGGTAGGGGGCTTCCTGGCCTTTCTGTAGCGCGTGTGCGCCCCCAACTGACATTGTCTATAGGTTCAAAGGAAGAATGAATACTATAGTCATCCTGATGTACCGACCATCACCTCAAGTACCGGAGCCATCGATCAATGCCGCGAAGATATGCTACGAGTCATCAACATTCAACATTGCCATGCATAAAGAACAGATGGTGACGGGATCAGTGGATGTAACCTGGATCTTTACTCAATCCCTCTTCATGGCTCTCAACACTGTCTTGTGGACACTCTCCTACCCAGAGATCCGGAAAGAGCACCCGGTCGAAGAAGTGCAAAACTATCTGGACATGGCCCTGGAAGTGCTTGTATTCACAGCCGAACGATGGCCCGGTGTCCAATCGGCATTATTGCTCTACAAGCGTCTCGTTGCCGCTTGCTTGAAGGCTTATAGCACCGAAGAATCCTTTGTCGTTCATTCCCCATCCAATCATCCCACCCCAACCTCTTCGCAAGAGGTCACGACACCCCCGACGATGTCCAGCCCCTCCAGTACCACGACCGCATCTTATTATGCCCACAGTTATCGGGCAGGAAACCACTCAATAGGCGACACCGCATCAACTGGCACTTTATCCAGAGGCCAGTCTGCTGATCCGACTGTGCCTTTTAGCGAAGAATCCACACCTCCTGCTTTGAGACTTCCATCCAAGCAGCCCTTAATCCTTCCCATGTCCGAATTCGGTATCCCATCATCGTCAACCGCTCAGCCCCAGACGTTCCCCTACTCACCAGAAGATTTCTGTGTACCCAGCTCCCTTTTCTCGGATGTTTCTATTGACCCAACAACGCCCTATAACTCAATGCCCTCAGTGGTACCTGGTCTTCAAGGCTGGGATCCCCACTTCTCTCTTGCTTCCACGACAGCCAGCCATCTAGCCTATGTTGATGCCACCGTTGATCCCATGCAATGGACAACTACAATTGGAGACCAATATTCCCAATACTTCAATGAACCGTTCCCAGTACCATCATGGCGAGAGCGTACACTCAGTCAACAGGAACAGATTGAGTTGATGGCATCACTAGAGCAAGATATTCCGGATGTTTCGGCTCAGTTGGTACATCAATCCCATGCCTTTTATCAATCATGAGCGCGGAGCCTCATTCTTGTCATCGGTAATTATGTATTGGAATTGCTATGCTCCTTGCTTTGTTGGATACGGGTTATGATGTGCATTGCGATGGGGTGATTCTGGATTTGCTCTTGCTGGAACGATTCGTTTTTTTTTCTTGGTTCGGAAGGTCTTTTTGATATACCATAGCTGATATTCATGCCATATTGGAATACACTAGTATACCCAGGTGATATTTCCTTGGGTAGTTTTGATATTATTACTGTATATTTTTCTAGTAATCCCACATGGGCATGCGTAGGTATAGGTATAGGCTTAGCCATATACAGTGGATCTCATTGATCAGATGATCCATTCAATACCCCGGGGTAGATCCATGGTTCTTGACGTCTTACAAGTGCAAGGACATAACAGATAAAAAAATTGCCGCTATTACTTATAGAAATTCTGCTAGGAGATACGGTACATTTAAGTGAATGATATTTCAAATAAATTTTTATATAGTAACTTCATTTATAGTTCACCTTACATTGAATCCATTGAATGTTCCTGCAGGTCAAATAACATCCCGGTTCTAGAGCCGAGTCCCGCGTCACGTGTCCGGCCCGTTTTGCCTCCAGTCTCTCAGTTCTTCGAGAGCGTCTGGAATCATCCGCCATCCCGTCATCCCCCCCATCAACCCCAACCCACTCCCGATCGCCTGTGAGGATTTGAGGTCCCCTTTCAGTCGCGTGGAATGCATATGATCTAGGCCGCCCCGTGGAACGACCCTGCTCGCCCGCCTTTGAGCGTCGACCGTCGACCGGGAACCCCCCTCTCTTACCGGCCCAGCGCTCGTGTCGAAACGTGATATTTTGGACGACCTTGCCCTGCAGGCAACCTCAAAAGCACATTCTCCTCTTCTCTGTTCCAATCGGCAGGAACTTGCTCTGACAGAAAGACTCCCATGTCGGATCGCACCCCTTCGATATCCTTTCCAGCCGCACCTCCTTCACCCTCTTCCCCAGCTGCCGCCGGATCTCACAAAGAGAACTACCAGCTTCTTTTTCCTTCGGATCACATCCCTCAGACTCCAACGTCCCCTCCGTTGATGTCGGTCAGCGATCAAAGCCATGTCTCCAACTTTGCATCCTCCCAGGCATCACCCAACCAGGCGACTACCCAACAACCTTCCACTTCCTCTCCCCCCTCATCTACCCCGATGTCTACACAAGTCTCTCAGCAACCGGCAATGAGTGCTACAAACTCGTTCCCCACGCCTGCGAGCAGCGTCAGTGGTCACCTCGCGCATGCGCCGTCAGCGGAGGACGCCGATCGGAAAAACTTTCACTCTGCAATGCACGACTCAATAAGCAATACGGAGAGACAACAACCAACAAAATACACACCGACAGACCACGACCGACAGAACCAAAACACAGGCCCCGACGTTGACATGGATACCATGGATTTGGATACGGATTTCTCCGCCTCTAGAACTGACACCCGAAATCTCGGTTTGGAATCACTTCAAAATGACTTCACTTCGGCTTTCCACCTTTGCAAAAGCTGTAAGAATCCCCTGAGTTTGAGTTGCTTCTGTGGTAGTTGTGTGATTACACTGTCCTTTAGCGCATTCTTGAAACCAAACTTGTTAACACAGTTTTTTGTCTTCGTGGCTTAACAGCTCCCATTGTGACTGGTCCAGATCCATCGTTGGATCTCATTTCTCTCTATGGACTCGGCTCCATCGCGCAATCCGTGGCAAGACTGGATCCCGTGACAGGCGAAAAGATTAACCGTCTACGGAAGTCGTATGAGGGCAAACTGAAGGCGTTTGGGCTTGCAGGCAGGAACAAACCGAGCAAACAGGATCCAGGAGCGCCTGGGACTCTGAGACATCTCACTATGTGGCCGGAGGAAGAATGGCAGAACCAGAAGGTCTTTGGCAAGCCGATTAAGGTTGCGGACCTTGATTCGGCGCTCTACAATCTCCAGGCTCAAGCTATGAAGTTAGAGCCTGGCCCCGTGGCAAACAATGATTTCTGGGAGGATGCCCTTGGGCATGAAAAGCCTGCCAAGAACCCAGGTCTCGGTGATACGAGCAAGAAAGCCGCACAAACACCAGGCGCACGCGTTCCTGTTGCTCAAGGGCCTGTGTCAGCCTCTACACCCCATGATCCTGAGCGCCCTCGGCCCAGCCGTGGTCGCAAGCGACAATACGATGATAATAGCTTTGTCGGGTACGGCGAAGGCTATGCAGACGACGACGATGATCCCGGTTTCTACTCCAATGGCGATGGAACCGGGAAAAAGAAACGGAAGAAGGTACGATTCCAGTTGATCCCCCCGTGACCGAACCCAGAATTAACGGTCACCCCTTTAGGATCACGTCTCCAAGGTCTCAACTCCTTTATCCGAGCGCGGTGGCAGCTACGGAGTTGGTATGTTTGGTATCGGCGCCAGATAAGATCTTTCCAGAACTCTTTCAAAAAAAACACGTTTCACATGCGTTATCCGTCTACTTTTTTCCTATCCCACAAAAAATGATACAAGACGAAGGGCTAGTGCGGGTCATTTCTCCAACCCTGCAAACCAGATGATCTCCCCCACGTCTTGTTTCTTGATTTTCTTTGATTTTCAAACTTCTCAGTACATGTTGCATCACGGTGCTGGATATACCCGGCTTCATCCAACGGACGGCGTTACGGCGGGGAGGGAAACACGTATTCCGACGTGAATACGAAATTACATTATGCTTTCTTACCCAGGTCTGCTTTCTTGTGTTTGTTCTTCTATCTTTCTGCGTGCGGGTTTTCTTCGAGATTTCCACTGCTGTAATGGCTATTTCTCTTCACTTCTACAAGGTGTCTTAAGTTGCTCGGTTTGTATCTTTTATGTTCTCTTTTTTTTTCTCGTTCCAGATACCTTGTGTGACGAGCTATGCTATCCACGTTTCTGGGCGGTGGTCCTCGTCTTACCTTTTTTTTCTTTTTTACAAGTAGAACCGAGTTTGGTTCTGATGTCTTTGATATTCGCGACAGAGGCGTCAGATAACTACTGGGCTTGATCCAGTGAATTGATTCAATAGATGAAAATAACTATAAACTGATGTAGTCTTTCTTGTCTCCTAGTATAACCCGGCTACTGTATTACTTGGAAGGTAATGAGAGTATGTAGTTGTCTGGTAACCTCATACTGACAACACTGAGCCCTTCAAGGTAGTCTACAGGTAGACTTGTATAAGTGAAGGATAAATCATACAGAGATAACTATACATCAACTTAAGAGCCTTGTCTGCAAGCTTTGTTCCAGGTCAAATGTTTGACCTGTTATAGCAACTCAAAGCTTCAGTTCTTTTACTGAAGTAGCAGTCTATTTAAAGCAACTGATTTTCTCTCCATGCTGAGTCTTTCTTACCTTCATACTACTTCATCCCTTTCACCATTGGACCATTGGACTTGGATGATGGCTTGAGTCTCTCGAATTTCAAGTCTTTGTCTCTCTTTTACCATTGCCTCTACCTTCTACCTCCTACCACATCTCTCACTCACGATCATTCTGGAACTTTTAACCATGCAGCCTTCACAAATCCCTGAGTGTGACTTTGAGAATCTTCAAAAATGGGTGGAAAAGTCCATTCAGACGACAAGGTTCTGTGAGCTGGAGATGCCCTAGCACACGAGGTTCATCCCCGAAGAGACATGCCAGATTTCGCCAGGGGAAGTCCGAGAAGACCAATAAATTCATCATAGGGTCGGGTGTTTATCCACTTTTATGAGCTAGAGTCCACTGGTGGGATCAGAATACCGTGCTGATTTCTATCTATCCTCCAACTTGAAATATGGACAAAGCATTCGATGGAAGAATCTGCGCAAAAGACTGGAGGAATCGACAAAGCTGACATAAAGGTCAGTTCCCGCACAGAATGAAATTGGATTTGCTCATATTGAGAATCAAACCAACTGCAATCGGAAAATAATCCAAAGTCCTCCTGGAGGCGAAGCGAGATACGACTTTGGAATTTATCGTCGACCAGATCCTTGGCACAGTCCATACATTTTGATCTCATGTGCAGACCAAGAAAACGAGGTGAGGAAAGAGGGTGTGCATGACCTCAAGGACCGGCTTGACCGACTTTTTACCACAATGATTGTCCAAAGCCTAGCACAGTCTCCTGTGGTGTCAAGGGAGGGATCCCAACTTTCGTTTACTGCCGATGATGAACAGTTTCCCCAGGCAAGCCTACTCATGTTGAGCAACCGGGGCCTAGATTCATGGGGAAATACTAGGGTCAAGACGAATCCGAGATCGAACGGCTGTTAACTTGGCACAAGAGATAGGAGGATATTCATTGAGAAGGCAGAATTGGAAAAGGAATTTGAAGGTTAGTCTTCTCTTCTAGCCCGACACTTTGATCTGCAACCCACAGCGAAACGAACCGATAACTAATTCGAAACACAGCATAACTTTCCCTCTCTCCTCAACCTTTTAAAGGTCAGCGTATCAGCTCGCGAAGTCCCCTATCTCTCACACTATTTCGCGTCTTCCTTCTATGGTGTGGAAAGGATCTATGCCAGGGAAAATCGATGAAGCAAACATTAATCGATTATCATTGAGGTCTCCCTGATACGGCTGGTGAATTTCTATGAAATTTCGGCCTTTAGTCTAGAGGCTGGAGTCGAGCAAAGAGCCCACGAGAGCGAATTGGTCCGATTTTATTTCATGATAAGACACACAAAGGACATGTGATGAGTCTCGAGGGAGGGTGACTATCTCCAAAAAACACTCCGCCCGACTGGGAGTTTTGCCGGTGGTTTAGGAGGAGCAGGAGGAGCCCGAGGATGATGACGCAGTCGCTATCACCCTGGGCAAAAGTGCTCGTTTCAAGGACTCCAAACCACACCATTACATCCCCGACATTCACTCCGAATTTACACCTCGCAAAATCACTTTCTCATCGGTGTCCGACGGTTTCGAGTGCAGATATGAACTATGTTAAAGCCACTCCGAAGTTTTCCCATTGATCCCTTGAGCCCATCTTTAACAAGTGGCCTGAGATCAGTCGAAGCATCTTAGACAACCTCGACCTTTGTGACATTGAAGCTTGAGCTGCTGCCGATTTAGAGCTGAGGGCTTAGTTAACAAAAACCGTACCACAATTTTTATAGGTGTCTACGGTGGTTCAGAACGCTCATGGCCGCACGCCGGAGTGCATCTCAATGATAAAGAAATTTACCATTGGCTACGACACCACCATGGACCGGATCGCCAAGCGTACAGACCCAGTCGAAGAATTGCCGCCGTTATGCAATTCTACCTATGGGCCATACAATTTCCATGGCGTGTCATCCGAGCCGCTCTTCACATCTCAGCAATCCGCGACCTCTACAGAAGTTTCTGGAGGCGGACACGCTCGTGCGCATTGGGTTCCAGGACTGAAGTAATCACCAGCGATGCGCTACCCACGACATATCATTTAGATGCTATTTATCTTTTCTGTTTGATTCAAGTTTGTCTACAGGGAGCGCTACCATGCGATCCCCAAGGTGGCCACAGAATGATAACGCACCTTCAACCAGATCAGATTATTCCTTAGTAACAGCTACTAGGACTTAGCCGCTCCTTTTTATGAGGGCATTGTCACATGAAGCCCCTGGTGAATTTCAGATTTCTCCAGCTCATGTAGTTTATCAAATAACAGTAGATCTTTATCTGATTCCGGTGAAGCAATGTGAAAAGACGCGCGGCTATAGATTATCTATTACACAGAGCCAAAAATAGCCGAGATGAAGGTATTTATAGCCGATAAGATAGAAAATTTGATTGAGTAATATCGCGCGTGATCAGCTTCCTATTGAAGTTAATCAACCTGTTATCATTACCAAATTCAGGTTCCCTCTGATCTGACTCTGATTTGGAAATACCAAGGTTTAATTCGGACAAAGTAGGAAATTCTACCCCAGGGTCAGTTCGTGTTCAGCCTTGGAAGTGGTTGACGTGGTTGACTAAGGACCCCAACCTCGTGCTTCGTAATTCAAATGTTCTCCCTTATCTCCGAGCAATCAGATCTTCATAAAACCCTTAAACCCCCCCAGAAACCACATACCAATCTAATTCAATTATTAGCGACTGACATGCACATGGCTGAAGAATGGGGCTGAAATAGATCACACGCGCATGTACACATGTACACCCGGGCATCAACACGAATTACGCCGTGCAGGGCAAATAGAACTTATCATGGTCATAGACGGCCGTTATCGGGGAGTTCTTATTAGCGTTCAACAGAACCGAGCCGTGTTCACGAATCAGAATAAAAACCAAGATTCAATTCAATCTGTTGGCCCCCACAATCTCCTCTCTTTTCACCAATGATATCTTAGTTATATCTACGACGGGCCATTACTAGTATCTGCTTTCTCCGCCACCTCCTTGTACCTTTTTCGCCTCTTGAATTTATCTCTCTTCTCGTCACGGTGGTTTCATATATATCATTGGGGGCAGTATATCCCCCCCAGGTTATTATGTGTTTCTAACCTGGGAAACTTGGACCCAGCGTGCACATGTTGCCAAATATATCTGTTCCCCAGACTACCCAAGTGTGATTCGAACTCTCCCGCCTTCAATTCATGTTCATCATTCGGCCCCAACATTCAATGTTTCTCTTATAACAGCTGAAAGCTCTCCCGGGCCTCAACTCGACTGTACAGAACGTCCATTTTCCACCTGCACATTTCTAGGGTGAATATGCCCTTATGTCAAGTAGTATGGCCGCCAGCTACTTTGGCCTCGCTCCACGAGCTCCAGATGGTCCCGCAGAGCATACCGCCGTAGCGGTGCTCATCGGAATCTCATGGTACAACGCACTCGAGCTGATTGTACTCTGTTTCGCAACCTTCAAACGCTATGGGGGTCTCTATTTTTGGTGTCTCCTCATCGCCTCCTTCAGCATTATTCCCTTCGGCCTCGGATACCTCCTCATCATCTACAATATCTACAACAATCTCTTCCCAGTAGCTATGGAGCTCATCGCGTGGGTTTGCATGGTTACGGGTCAATCGCTAGTTCTATGGTCTCGACTCCATCTCGTTCTTCAGAATCCGAAGATTCTCCGCGCAACTCTAATAATGATTATCGTCGACGCAATCATCCTTCACATCCCCGCCTCCGTCCTCGAACTCGGCAGCCACTCAAACAAAGCATACCTATTCAACCGAGGTTTCAACATCTTCGAGCGCATCCAACTCATCGGTTTCTCGGTTCAAGAAGTTATCCTCTCAGTGATATACTCCATCGAAGCCGTGCGACTACTCAACCTGCGACCGCGCGGCCATTACCGCGGAATCCTCGTCCAACTCCTCGTCGTGAACTTCTTCATGATACTCATGGACGCCGCCGTAATCGCAGTACAATTTACTGGGATGTCCGACGTACAGTTTACACTGAAAGCAATGGTGTACAGCATAAAGCTGAAACTGGAATACGCAATCCTAAACAAGCTCGTCGTCTTTGCCGAAAAGATGAGCGGTAGTAACTCTGCGCCAACGGATTTATCTGATTTTGTGGATCTCTCTTTTCGTCCTGATGCTGCACCGACTGATAGTGATAGTCAGGCCCGTATGATTGATCCGTTGGAATTTAATAGCTATGCGCATGGATTCCAGAATCGTCATCGCGCGTCCTCGAAACAGTCGTCTCATGATCCGCGCTTCTCTATATCCAACATTTCCCCTACGTCGAAATCTGACCCGAATGATTCTTTTGCATGACTGATGATCTTATATAATTGGTAACTTTGTATATACCCTCCACGAACCTATTACTTACTCATACTATTTGTTGATAATATTCAATTTGCATGGTAGACTGTACATTATTCTGATTGAGTTAACTCACAAAATCATTCAAATTGGGAACATTGAATATTCAAATGATAAAATGAGGGGCTGATATGTTTCCCCTCACACTCGGAAGTACCATCGGTGGAAGCCGCCGTCTAGTAACTGCATATAAGTATAACATCCCAAGCTACACCAGATCTGAATATCTACCACTTTCAAGCATAATCCGATTAACCTCGACTTACCACTCCACAATGACAAACTTAACCCCCTTAACACCAACCCAACTAAACACCATCGCATCAACCTGCCTAAACCTTCAGACCCAAGCCCAAGACCAACACTCCAAACGCCCCTTTGCCGCTCTCCTAGTCGCACCAGATAACGAAACAATCCTAACAACCTCCAACTCCCTTTCACACGTCCGCCACGCAGAAAGCGAAGTTGCCCGAAACGCAGCAGATAACTATGACTGGACATACCTTTCAAAGTGCACGCTAGTCTCGACGTGGGAACCGTGCGCTATGTGCGCTGGTACGATCTACTGGGCGCATATTGGTCGCTTGGTTTACCTTGCTTCGGAGAAAGCGTTACAGGATGTTATCGGAAGTGGGAATCCGGAGAATCTCACGATGGATTTACCTTGCCGTGAGGTTTTTGGGAGGGGTCAGAGCTTTGTGGAGGTTATTGGACCGGTTGTTGAGGGGGGTTGGGAGGGGAGGGTTGTTGATGATAGTCGGAGGTATTGGGATGTTCATGGTACGAGAGTGTGAGGAGTTGGGGACATGGCGAGGCCAAGGTTCGGGTAGACTCGGCGTATACCGTGACGGAGAATAGTGTACTTTGAGAGGGTGATTGAGTCTCAGGGAGTATGAGATTAAGCCCCGGAGTTGAGATTGAGTTCTTGCACATGTCTTACTGATAATGAGCTTATGTTATGTTGTACATGATGTCGCGTGGAGTGGATCATGTGGATATAGGACGCTGTGAGACAATAATTGATGATGATCATTGTTGTTTTGACTATCTGGCTTGCATTTGTCTATACCATGCCCAGGTATGAATGTCATGTGAGTGATAGTACTAGTGGCATATTGACGTAGTGTCCAGATGTCAGTGGTAGTACTAGTAAAAGTGATGATCATCGATGATATATACTCGGATGTGCCACAGTACATCAACATTGATCAAACATAAGCAAGTAGAGAGAATACTAGTAAAAATACTGTACATGCAGTTCTTCAGCTAAATGACCTCGGGACTGCCCAGGTGGCATCAGCTAAAACATTATTTCTAGCTTTTTATCCCAAGATATTCCATGGGCAGTAGCTGGTGAGATACCAACTGGCCAGTTGTCACATTTACACCTGGACACCTTGTCAGGAGTATCACGGCGATAGACATCACCTCCACATCTGCCATTCTATGATTCTATAGGGACTGAGACCAAACTAGTGTTCCACAGGCACGGGACTGGGTCCAAAGCCATACTCAAAGCCGACCGCGCATCCAAACTTCAATTCAAGAGGTTACATCGGAGATCAGAAAAGTCATTTCCAAGTGTCTTCATCATGTGCAGAAAATGTCCCGTCCCATCCACAGTGGAGATGAAGAAGCTTTCCTTCTTGTGGAATCATAAACACCATGGAAAATGAATCCCTGAGATTTGTCACTCACCTCGGCATAGGATACCCTCATTGGCAGCGCAGTATGAGCTCCAAAAAAAAGGTGACCGCACAGCCCCAAGAAAAGCCACTAAAGAAACTAAAGCCACAGCAGGGGACTGGTAGGGCCAAGAATCAGGATGCAGGAAAAGGGATGATCCCGATGATCCCTTATGATCCCCTCTTTTTTTCCTTGTGGCGCCCCAGCCAAGGTACCCACCCGAGCCAGAGAATCAGAGCTGGCCCAGCTGGGTACGCAAGCTCCAAGCTATTTACATATTCAGATCGCGTGCAGGATCCAGGAAGAACTTGAATCACTAGTTCAATGCAATTGGGAGCTTAAACTTGAAGAGGCGGTGATGACGAAACGATAAAAAAGCACATGCGTCTTGCATTGTACACGTCGTTCAAGTTTCCGCTCGGGGGTGATATTCGAAAGTATCTCGTGTCCCTGACGTCAAGTTGATGTGAAGGGACAGCATCCTAGCAAGGTCTATTTTCAAGGACAGAGCACAACTTGACCCCACTGCCAAGAGTGAAGGAGCAGAAACATTTCATGGAACAGGAAGAGTAAGCGCAATCGAGGGAAATTGCAGATCTTTACCTCTCGATGTGGGTTAAGGCGGCGCTAAGTCTGAACCATTTACTCCGGATCAAAACTCGATTTGGGAAATTTAGTAGCCTTGAGCTCATTTCATATGAATGGAGTACTCCGTTAAACTAGTTTCATAGTTAATTTTTATGAACCGGGAAATATGATTGTCTGATTTGATATTGCTTTTGCTCCATTAAGTTGGAGTTTACATCAACAGATACAATTGTCTTTATACTCTGTACTCTGTAGAACCACAACATTATACTTAAGTGCTATTACATACAAGTAGTACATATGTGCATAGAATAATCTCGAATAGAATTGAACTTAAGTAGACTCATTAATTGGAAGGGAATGTGAGTCCGTTCAAATGTGCCACAACACACCATGACGTCAGGTACAATCGATCCCCCTACGTACTCAAATGCTGATCCCTTTTTTGTTTTCTCAACTTTTTTTTGAACAAATGATGATTATATAGGTGCCCAATCCCTGAATTCAGTTTCATAATTTTATTTTGGCTGTTTTCGAATATCTTATATCCCTATAATCATTTATTCCTGAAACAATACCCTTTTACCCTTTACATTCCTGTGATACCCTTGTTTCCCAAAACGGACGTGTTTGAGTAATTTGTTTTAATCCCGTGTATGTTTTGTTTGTTCCTTTTGCTCTTATTGCAAACCACTTTACAGTACCTAGGCAGAGACCAATGCTAATTGACCTAGAATCATCTCTTTTATTCACACAGATCCATCATGACTCCTGCTGTGAACCGTCCCACTGATACCAAACAGAAGGAGCAGGTATGTCGAGACTCGGAACGAGGACCCAGTCAATGCGATTTGACTAATTAAATGAATAGGATATCAACCAAAAGCTCCAACTGTTTGGCATCTACCATGGTGAGTGGGAACTGCGATTATGATCCACTGTCAAATACAATCTCCCAGCTAACAATCTATACTCCAGCTTTCAAAAACAGCAAGCTGCCCTCGGTTCGTACCTCAATCAGTGATAACCAGCCTCCCAAAGCTCCAACTGGGAATCAATTGGCGCCATACTAATCCTCTTCCTCCCTTTCTACAGAACAAACAGTGTGATGTCGCCTTGAACAGTGCCCTGGCCTCCAAGGCCCTCTCATCGCCACCGGCGGAACTTTCCGCCGAGGGAAAGGTCCTGGTTAAAGACCTGCGCAATGTTATCGAACAGGCCAAGAAGATGCTCCTCACTAAGAACGAGGGTGAGCTTCTACAGGACTTTATCTGGCAGGCTCAGCAGATCACCGCCGGTGATGCCAAGGCGCCCAATATGCCCGTTAGCAAGGAGGCTGGCAAGCAGGATGGCGAGAAGGCGCTGCAGGGTCTCAAGACTCTAGGAACACTCCTCATCACCAACGGAGAGTTCCGAAAGATTCGTGCGTATCACCATGGGGACGATAGGAAGGTGTTGAAGCTAACGGCTGGCAGTGAGCGATGCGACCATTCTGCTGCGCGATATCGCTGGTGATGCCTCCCAGAAGGCCGCCAACAGTGTCCGTCCCTCTGAGGAGCAACTCGCGCAGATTGATTCCCCCGCCGAGGAGAACGTGTGGCACGAGAAGCCCAACGTGTCCAAGGATGACATGAAGAAGCGCTTCAAGAAAAACAAGGTTGTCAGTTGATCCTACAGACTCTTTGCCCTGAACTTATACACTGACCCTCAACAGGACAAGGCAAGTCTCGCCTCTGACTCCATTGCTGAGAGCACTGAAGCCGGCGATGCGGCATCTGTGACCCCTTCGGAGATGAGCCGTACCCGGAATCTTGCCAACAAGACCAAGGAATACCTGGCCGAGAAAATTCCCAAGGAGCGCCGCGATCAGACCATCTGGCGCTTGAAGAAGATGATCATTGAGATTCAGGGACACGCTGACTGTAAGTGACGGATATGGCTTGAGAGGGGAAATGGTTTGCTGACATGCATACAGACCAGCAAGCCGTTGAAACTCTGCTTGATATGGCTGAGAAGTACGCTGGCCACACCAAGAACACAGCTACTCAGAGCGGTGGTGCGGTTAAGGACATCCGCAGCACTGACAGCGTCAAGGCTGTCGAGTACAACTTGCGCGTGAGTGTTTCAATCGTGAGATAGTGACCCAGGTCTATACTAATCCACTGCATATAGACTCTCATTGAGCGTTTCGCCAACAACACCTCTCTGTCCGATTTCTTCGACTCGTTGAACACTATCTACCGCGATGCTGAGAAGGACCCCGAACTGCGTGAATGGTTCAAGAATGCCGACACTTACATCCGCAAGTGCCTGCGTGAGCAGGGCTTTATCATGGAGGAAGAGGCTAACAAGCAGTGGAACCTCTTGTACGAGAAGGGCCAATACCTGATGCGTGAGCGTTACCGCACCCACACCGATCGCATCATTGACGAGATCAAGTTCCTCGCTGAGCAGTTCGACAAGGACCCTCAGAACAAGGCTTTGTCTGAGTCCATTCAGAAGCTCTTCAAGGACTTGGGTCGCGACTCTGGTGGCAAGGTTGCCTTCAAGAAGGATCTGCTTATTGACATCCGCGACATCATTCTCCCCGGAATCTTTGAGAACGTCCGTTACGTGCCTATTCCTCGTATTGAGGTTTCCGACCCCATGGTGGACGTTGTGGTTGAGAACCTCGTCATTGAGAGTGACAACCTGATGCCCAATGTTGTTGAATTTGGCAGTGACAACTACTTCCGCTGGGGTCGCAAGAAGATCAGCAGCAAGCGTGATAACAAGATCATGATCTCCGCATCTGGTATCCAGGCTGATCTGCGTGATGTCAGCTACTACATCAAGAAGAAACAAGGATTCCCCTCGATCACCGACGCCGGTGTCATGGATATCCTGCTCGGCGGCGAGGGCTTCGGCTTCAAGATCGCCGCATCTACCGCTTCCAAGGGCGACAAGCAGCACTTCGTCAAGCTCGACAAGATCTCCGTCAACATTAAGAACCTTGACATCAAGCTCAAGAAGTCCAAGCACAAGGTCCTTTTCGCCACTTTCAAGCCCATGCTCTTCCGTGTCGTCCGTCCCGCTCTGGAGAAGGTCATCGAGGCTCAGATCCGCGAGGCCTTCAACAAGGGTGACATCTGGGCCCACGACATCCAGACCGAAGCCAAGAAGGCCGTCGAGGCCGCTCGTGAGGACCCCGAGAACGCTCCCAGCATGTTCTCCCGCTATGCCGATGCCATTCGTGCTCGTAGCCAGGCCAAGGCCAAGGAGGTCGAAGCCGCTGTCAAGCGCGACACCAAGGTCCAGACCGTCATGACTCTGCATGATTCGATCTTCCCCGACATCAAGCTACCAGGTGGTGTCTCCAACAAGGCTACTGAGTATGCCGATCTCGCCACCAAGGGTGAGCGTTGGGAGTCCCCCATCTTCAGCATCGGTAGCGCTGCCGAATCCTCCAATATCCCTTCCAGCGGTCCTATCACCCGCAAGACTCACACCACCGCTGACGGCGTTGCTGGTGCTGTCTCTGGTGGTGCGGCTGGAGTCGCGTCCGCTGCTGGTGCTTCAGGCTCTGCTGGCGCTGCTGCATCTACCACAGTTGATGGATATCCTTCCCGTGGATTCTCTGATGAAGTTGACCAGGCATTTGTCAATGAGAAGACTACCAATCTGAGTAAGATTACCAATGGCGCTACTCAGGTGACTAATGGTTCTACTGTTCACCAGTAAACCTGCCCACAGTTAACATTATACTCTTCCGAGGTTATTATTGAGTATGTTTTATTCGTGAAGAAAAAAAAACAAGGAAATGAAATGGTATTCTCCCATGTCCTTCGCTTCAATGATGATGGAAGAATACCCTAATATGTGATGGCTCTGATACTGATATCTTTTTTCTCTTACCTTTGTGATTCTGTTATGATTTCCCCCCTTGTACTGGATTCCCGTTCTGTTTTTGTTTTGAATGAGTATGAGTATGGGTGTCCAGTCGGTAGCCTAATACATACATCACGCACCGCTGTTCGCGATTAACTTGAATATCCATTCTTTTCTTTTCTTTGTCATATGAGAATCTTGTAGCTCTACTCTAGATATACGAAGGTACCTATAAATGCAATCTTAGATCTGTCGAAGTATGAATACCGATGGGTTGGTAACTTGAGTGGGCCGGCGGATTCGCTCCACTCTCCACAAATCTTCAGCCACAATGACTCGGATCCATCCATAGGGCTGGATGCAGAACTTGAAACTTGAAGGTGTGAGGAATGACACTAAATCCAAGTCATAGAGTCAAGATACTACAATATCGGAAACCAAACCAAATTAGAGGGGAGTCAACCCAAATGCTCCAGATTGCATATATAAAATAGAGACATCAGAGCTGTCTAGTAGTTCTTATACTAGCTCTTGCTTGAAGTACTACTAGTATATTAGGATTAGGTACATAGGAGTTTTCAAGGTTCAAATAAGAGAGAATCTCTGTCTTAGAAAAAAAGAAATGGAGAGGGAGAATCGAACCACGGACTTCCAGGTTTCGCGATGCTTGTGCCAAGTGAGGCTTCAAATAAGCAAGACGATGAAAGCTTCAACTTTCAAAAAATCATAACAAATCTAATAAAATAGATAAAAATACAAAAGTCATATCAAAAGAAAGAGTAAAAAGAAAAAGGCTCCGCAGAAGTCTTTCACATAGTCCGCTGCATGCTTTCTCACGGTGGTGTTCCACTTAGGCAAGTCTCACGCTCGCTGATGCTACTTGACAACCCTCAGTCCCAGCATTCTAGTCTTATGGTATCATAGTGTCAAATCACATTGGGACAGACACGATAGCCCGCTGAGCTACTACGATGCGGATGGTTATCTGGACTCTTGATTTTACCCCTTCAACTGAGAAATCACATCAACGCCAGAATTTCCAGGCAATCACTCTCAACCTTTGGACTTATGTATTTCCCACCACACACACCTATAACCTTGGAACAACCATATTATTACTAAAAATCAAAAACACACAACATAGTATGGATCTTGGATATCAAGTAGTCATTCATTGTCGTCTAATCTAATCAAAAACGCCTTCCGCTGTACACACAGAAGACAGCATCCATCTTCCGCGAAACCAAAACCAAAAACAATCCTTCTTTTGTTTATTTCCTTATATATAGCCGGTTCAACACCCGGCCCAAGGTCATCTGTATAGGGGACTGATGTCTCTTTTACATCTGCGCAAAGTACTTCTCCCAGCCAAGTTCTTGCAACTTGGTACCCTTCTTCTCCATGTTCTCTGCACGAGCCTCCTCAGCGTAGGCTTCCACCTTACGCTGAACGGCGGGGTCAAAGGCACCGATGATACGGGCAGCGAGGAGAGCGGCGTTGATACTGTTGTTGATACCGACAGTGGCGACAGGGACACCTAGTCAAATTAGCAAAGTTGAATAAAATGATGTAAAATTGAGGACAAACTTACCACGAGGCATCTGAACAATACTGTACAAGCTGTCAACACCATCAAGGACGCTACCCTTAACCGGTACACCGATAACAGGGAGAGCAGTGTGAGCAGCAGCCATACCGGGCAGGTGAGCAGCACCACCAGCGGCAGCGATGATCACCTTGATACCGCGGGAAGCAGCCTCAGCAGAGTACTCAGCCATGTAGTTCGGGGTACGGTGAGCAGAGGTGATCTCCACAGCGGGCTCAATACCAAAGTAGTTCTCCAGCAGCTTAAGACCCGGAACCAGAGTCTTGAGATCACTGTCAGAGCCCATGACAACAGCGACCTGGGGAGCAGGCTTGCTAGGATCGGAAGGGGCAGCCTTAGTCTTGATATCGCTGCGCTGGGCACGGATATCATCAACGACCTTAACCAAGGGCTGGATAATGGTCTCAGCCTCGTGCATAGTAGCAGCGGTAACAGTAACATGACCCATCTTACGACCAGGCTTAGCATCGCCCTTGCTGTACAGGTGGATGCTAGCGTTGGGGATTGAGAGCGCAGCCTCAGCAGCCTTGAGGTGGGTATCCGTAGCGGAGCCACCAATGATGTTCAGCATGATAGAAGGCTGACGGATCTCGAGGCTCTTGGCGGGGATGGGAAGGTCCATGATAGCACGGATGTGACTCTCGAATTGGGACATGCCGCATCCCTCAATGGTGTAGTGGCCTGAGTTGTGGATTCGGCTGGCGATTTCACACAGCATCAAGCTGTTGTCCTCCAGAAGGAACATCTCTACACCGAACGCTCCCTTGCCCTCGAAAGCGGCGACGGCCTTGCGGGCAAGAGCCTGGGCTTCCTCGTTGATCTTCTCGGATACGTTTCGGGCTGGGGCGTACACCAGCTTGCATATTGAGTCCTCCTGCACGGTCTCGACGGTAGGGTATGAGAGGACGCCGTCCTTGGTCTTGATAGCCATGACAGCCAATTCCTATACAGCATTGTGTAAGTTTCGGTATACTTCCTCTCTTGTTATGGTAATACGAACCATCTTGAAGTAGGCCCACTTCTCCGCATACAATGGGCGGTCCTTCAGGGCCTCGAGGGCCTCTGGGATATCGTCTTTGGAGTTCACACGGAAGTTACCTGACAAGAAGAAATGAAAATTAGTTCATGATCCATTGAAGCAACTCGCAGCATCAATCTTACCCCGTCCGTCATAAGCCATGGTCTTGGACTTCAGCATGAGCGGGTAGCCCAACTGCTCTCCAATCTTCGCCAATTCCTCCGGTGTGTTCTGAACCAGTTCCCGGTGGTCAGCCATGGGGATTCCGTATTTGCGCAGGTGTTCCTTCTGGTTGAATTTGTTCTGGATAGTCCGAATAGCCTGCCAGCTAGGCTCGACGCGAACCTCAGACGCGATCTCCTCGAGGGCATAGGTGTCGACGTGCTCAATCTCGGCGGTAATAACATCGCACGACTTGGCCAATTGACGAACAGCCTCGCGCTCCTTGAATGAACCAGTAACATGACCATCGTGGAAGCTAATCTGCTTAGCCGGGGAGTTTTCGGCGTCCAGGACATTGGCCTGAATGTTCAATCGGTTGGCAGCCTCGACAAGCATGCGGCCCAACTGGCCACCGCCGAGAATTCCGACCTTAGGGGAGTTCCACATGGTGTTTTGAGGGGATATGGTTAAAATTGACCTGAACAAAAGAAAAAGAGACTATGAGTAACTTAGATGAGTAAATTGCCCCTCCACCGAAAATTCGCGGAGGCTCACGTGACCCTATCGATAAGACGTCGTGCCCGCCAATCAGGAGTACCAACTGCCACCGCCCCCTTCAGCTCCCAACTTGATCGTCGTTGCTCTTCGACTATATCACACGCGCCGACCATGTCTTTGGGTAAGGGTCCCCATCAAGCTTGTCAATCTGAAATGGGCGAACAAAGCTAATGTTTATTTGACAGACGAAGCAGCTCTCGAGGCAGTTGCCAATGGCGGCTCGATAGATGTGTACGTGGGAAGCTGTTAATGCGCTAAGCACGCGATACTGATGCTCTGATCTAGAGAGAAATGGGCGGGCATGGTCCCATCGTTATTGGACCGACTGGAATACGTATGTATTTCATGCGCCTGCAGCTTTGGTATCACGGCAGCAATTCTAACCTCCAGTTCCAGATTGCATACAATGCATTCCCCATGCCTAAGCTACCCCCGACGCCTCCCAACCCACCACCCTTCTCCCAGACCTCTACCCAGCCTGAGGATTCTAGTATGGCCCCACCAGAAAGCAGCAATAAGGAGAACACAGCCCCGGAAGAATCGCAGACATCATCGGCCCCGGCGCCAGTTGCGACACCCCCCCCTCAACGACTGAACGCGTGCCCGATTCCCAGCCCCAGCCCTCTTCGCAACAGACCGTCGACGGTCTGCCACAGCCCCTCGCACTTCTGTTGAAGTCTGTTCGCTCTGCAATCAATTCTTTCTTCGTGGATAAGCCACCGCATACAATCCAGCGATTTGCGGAGCTCATTCTGCACCCGACTGCCCATTACAGAACATTACCTGCCTATCTTCGTGCGGTCGATCGGGTGGTTTCTGTAACTAGTGGCGCGGATATCTTCCCGTTCAATACACCGGCCACTACTGACTATTCGAATGGTCTTCTGCACCCAACAAACAGTGCCGGGACATACCTTACTCCTGACTATGCGCATGGTCTGGGGAGTGATGAATCTCTGGGCGGTGCTCTTCTCACGCCAATTCCGTGGTTGACTACTGCTTCATTCGATAGTGCTGACTCTGGCGCTTTAGAAGTTGGTAGGCTACTATAACTATGATGTCTTCTGTGTTGTCCTGGGCACTTGGCTAATATGTTGATAGCAGGCGAGAGCGTCCATTTAGAGACCCAGCAAGTTGGCAACGGTGCAGCTACCACAGTGGCATCTACAATTGAAGGCGAAGATGCACCGGCTACAGTCGCTTCCCCGAATGCGGAATCGGATGAAGTTCCCCATGCTCGTGGTCCATCGGTCCTCGGTGTTGAGGATTTGGGTCTTCAGGATGGAAAGGGTGTAGAAATGAACTTGGAAGCTCAGCAAATAGCATCCACAGAGGATGCTAATGACGAGACTCCAGCCAACCTCGGAGCTGCCATCGCAGCCAAAACAGACATTGAATCTAACCCTGCCGACAAGGATGGTGATATCGTGCTTGAGGATACCAAGTCTAGCCAAGAAGAGGACACTAAGATGGATGAAACAGAAGCTACACCTCAGGCGGGTGAGGAGAAGTCCGAAGCACCTGCCGCTCCCTCTGCTGAGGCTGAGAAGGAGTGAGCTGCCGAATTGTGTACTTATTTACATTTCTTTAGCCAAATGGCTTCATGATTAATGACCTGCTAAATCGCTTGATATGCTGCCCAGACAATACTTCTGAATTCACGTCTTCCATTGATTGCATATACTAACTCAAACTCGTTCAACATTGGAATCTAGTCTATACATATCTATACCAACTTGAAGGCCCTTATAACTCCATTTATAGTGCACTCCGAGTCTTACCCGACGGGAGAAAAGAACCCAAAGCATTAGCTTCTACCTGCTTACCGATAAGCAACGCCTCTTTTAAGCCCTTCTCATGTGGCGGCCCCTCCAACCACAACATATGCTGCGCAATATTAACCCTCACGACGATACTCACTCCTGTGATAAAGTGCAACTTGTTTCTCAAGGCAAGTACACCCAGGGACGTCATCACAGACGGCGAATAACACATATCAACCACAATAGCATCCGAAGTTTGCTCTATCACTGACTGAATAATGTCCCGAGCAATGATCTCCCCAGGTTCCTTAGGCTCGAAATCCGGCACAGTTCCAACGATAAGAAACGGCATACAAGCCTTTGCTTCTTCAACAGATCTAAGATTTCGAATCACTACCTCCGGCAAAGTGCCCCGAAATCCTTCGATCAATGTCTCAGTTTCCTCAGTATCCCGATTCACAATAAAAATCTCCGAAGGCTCGAACCATTTCCAAAGTGCATAAACAGCGCTCCTGGCCGCACCACCAGATCCAATAACCATAGCCGCCCGACCACGCGAGCTCTTTACTGCATCAGGGAATTGCGCCAGGATAGCATCACGAATACCAATACAGTCAGTGTTCGTTCCAATATACCGACGTTGACCGTTATCCGTAAGACGAATGAAAACAGTATTCACAGAACCCATTATACGGGCCTCGTCTGTTATCTCGTCAAGAACAGGCTGGAAGGACAGCTTGCTTGGCATTGTGATGGAGGTGCCGATGCAGGATTCATCTTCTAGAGTCTTGCGGAATACAGCAGGGTCTGTTTCTTCAGCGAGGTGGAAGGTCCATTTGGAGGGGATGTGGTGGAACATGATGTTTTGGAGGCGCGGAGAAAGGGAATGGGAGATTGATTTGCCGAATAGGTAGGTTTTCAAGGGAATTGAGTAGGCGTTTTGGGGCAAAGGAGAGCGCCCATATTTGTAGGATTGTTGTAGAATATCCATGGTGGGAGTTAACAAGCTCAATGCCTTGAATTCGAGTTCTAGTAGTACTTGGGATGTAGTATAATTTCAAGATTCAGATGGATGTTTGTCAATGTTTAGACTAAAATGCGGGGATGAGGGGAAGGTGCCGGACTCGGAGGTTTATAAATATGTAATGTAGTAGTAGTAGCTGGATGGGGCAACAGATTGTTGAATACTACTAGTACAAATATATCCATGGATCTACTACGATCGATGATATGTTAATCACATGTGCATATGATAATGATGAAAATAAACTTCACTCTATGCCACATTTGCATGTATCTCAGATCACTCTATGCCAGGGATTTTTAGACAAATCAATTACTGGCAACTTTGAATTGTGACTAGAACTTTGAAAGTCTCTAAAATACTAGTAAAAGTTATTCCTAGTAGGATTCTAGGACTCAAATATTAATACCAACCATCGATATAGAAATTAGGTATCTGCCAGTGGCTTATATTCAAATGTTATTATCATACTGGTCTACTTCATGGCTGCCCAGTTGATGTCTTAAGTATCATCCATGGAGCCTAATCAAGCTGACGGGACCGGAAAAATACCCATTCCGTGCCTTCAACTTCCATTTCCTGATATCTCCAACACGAAGTCACTCGTCAACTTAACTCATAGCCTAGTTCCTTCCAAAGGTTATTTACTATATTGCATTATGTCGACCTCCAAGGTCCCATTTCGCCATCAACGGGCACATATTACAGGCCAGGTGCCGCGTTGGAAACATTGCTTTGGCAACCTTGTATCCAGTGATCCAAGTCAGAGCAGCGACAGTCCGTATGAATCCATACGAAAGATCGCGATGCAACTTGACTCTACCTTTGGAAAACTGTATGCAGATTTCGAAACTACGATAGTTTACTCTTCAAATGGCAAAATTACATCTCTTTCCCAACCCATAATTCTACCCACTGTTTACGATGAAGACGATAATACCACCTGGCGACCGCTTCCTATGGATATCACCCTGACGGCATTTGACTACTTTAGACTTAAACAGCGTACAGACAAGCACAGTAAGGCTTTATCCTGTATTGCTTCCGAGGCTGCAAGCTTACTCGTGATTAGGGAGAATACTCGAAGTTCTACTGAAGCACTACGGTCTTGAACGCCAGGTGATTTTGGAAGAACGCTATACAGACCTCTATGACACCAGTTCGGAAGACGAGTCAGAACCTCCGTCGGGATTCGACAGATCAAAACTAACAGAGATCATTGCAACCAACCCTCTTTCTGCAATTCGAGTCCTAGGTGGACGCCTGGGTATTGATTGGGATGAACTTTGTATGCTGGTTGAAAGGCGTCAATTTGAGACACATTCCGTCCGTAGTAAACGCCCAGCCGCGCCACGCTCCGAGGATGGGAAACGCAAGGTACAGCCTTTCCCAACGATCGCGGAACTGGTGCCGCAATCGCCTTACGATAACCCGTCTTTTAACGATTCATCTGACAAGGCCACCCAACTTGGATATGATTATAAGGGTTCCCGCAGCAGTTTAGACCAGCCCAAGCTCAAAGACCCAGAAGGCGATCTTTTGCGGAGAATGGCGAGAGAAGGTTCGGTCCATAGCAGTCCTCCGAGTCATGGCGGAAGATCCGCTGTCAATCCACCCTCACTGAATTTGACTGAGCCGTTGACTCCCTCTCAACTGAAATTATGAAGCAAGATCAAGTTTGAGCCATCACTCAGATTGCTATGAGATGCGCCACGCTATATCGTTCGTTTGTCTCAATACTCTGTTTCCATCTGAGTCTAGTCCCGGAGAGTTTAAACGACTCACTCTCGGATCCCAAGTGTACATATTATATACGCTGCAACTGCCTGAAAGTTGATTTCGCGGGCATCTCGTCGAGGGCCTGACGCTTTATTGTCAATGCTGCGCATGTCATAGCCCGAGAGCTCCTTAACATAATTACTCCCTGAGCAAAGACAGGCTCATTTGGACTCGACTAACTTTGAACGCTATATTAAATGCCATTCGCTGCTTACTACGATTGGTAATCTCCGGTTGTCAGTCACGCTACACATTTGTATATCCTTACAGCCAGAACTACATACATAGAGAGGACTCGGAATATTATACATATCATTTCATTAACCCGACAAGAGTTAAACTCTTCCAAGTTGGTTCAAGTTATAGGTACATACCTACTGAAGACATCTGGATGACCAGAGGAAATTTATATCAAAACTTGAACGCCTCAGCTACTAGTATGCAAGATCAGCATATCTATCACACGCCCGTAACATCTCTCGTCTCGTTCCTGGCTCCTATAGTACAAATTAGCCAGTTTATTTCTTGATCTTATATTCTGTAAAGTACTCACCTGTCCACTATGTCCAGCATCGGGAACCCAAATCAACGTAGAACCAGGTAAAGCGCAATGCAAGTCATACGCCGTCTGCGGCGGACAGACCATATCATAACGACCCTGAACAATAGTAACTAAACCACGAGTCAGTAACAAGCATCAGAATCAATTCAAATAGTCACTTGAAGTGGCGAACTCACCATTCAGATGTTTAATCTTCTTCAGATTCTCTTTCGTCAAAATCTGACCCTCCTCCAACCAAAAATGATGCACAGCATAATGCGCCTCCATAAGCGCATGAGCCAAACTCCATCCCTCATCCTCCAGCGCTAAGAAACCCCGTTCATCACACTTCAACTCCCCAATCCTTAAATCCCACCTATTCCACTCCTTCGCCGCTGCAATCCTCTCTTTGTGACTCTCTCCCGTAAGCCGTTTATAATACCCCGCAACAGGATCTCCCCTCTCCTCTGACGGAAGGAATCCCACGAACGCTTCCCATGCTTCAGGGAAGATATTCGCTGCGCCATGTGGACCCCGACTCCAGGATACTTCTGCGTCACGGGTAGTAAATACGCCGCGGAGAAGGAGGGAATGTACTTTATCTGGGTGAGATTGGGCGTATAAGAGTGCTAATGTTGAGCCCCAGGAACCACCGAAGAGGAGATACCATTTTGGGATTGACAGGTGGAGACGGAGAGTCTCGATGTCGGATACTAGATCTGGAGTTGTGTTTTCGCGGAGTTCAGTTTTTGGGGTGGATTTGCCGGTGCCTCGTTGGTCGAGCAGGATTACGCGGTAGATTTTTGGGTTGAAGTAGGTTGTATTTGATTTGGAGGTTTGGCCGCCTGGACCCCCGTGAAGGAATATTACTGTGATATGTTAGAGACCTGGAGTTCTCAAGTATTGTGGGATGGCATTTCTTATGGGAGATCTCTGAATGAGCTTACCAGGTCTACCATTGGGATTGCCGTATTGTTCATAGTAGATATGGTGTAGTGTACCAACGGCAAGGCGGCCCGTGTCGAAAGGGTCTGTGTGGGTATATCCAGCCATGAAGAGGTCATTCAAGGAACTTGAAGAATTCTATCCCAAATTATTTGTGGATAAGCCTCCCGGAGTCGCGTGATATACCGTGAGTCATGTAGAGAGGGGTTCAGCCCCTCAGCCTCGAGTGACGCTTACTGACACGGGTCGATCACAACGTTAAACAATAGCTTCGTGCTTAATTAGGCGCTGATCGGCGCTTACTGGGGAGTATACGGAGTACTGATATATGCGAATATGAATATCAATTGATGCAAATCGTAAATCAGACTTCATTCAGATGCAGTATATGAGAGGTATCGAGCGTTAAAAAACAGTTCCAGTACGCCTGGTGTGCTAGCGTATAAAAAAAACATTGCAAGAAGATCTGAGCAGATAGGATGAAATGGATGATCATATGAAACTCATTTAGACAGGCTCAACGGTCTGCAGGGGAACATAACCCTCATCGTCCTGGGCAGATGATTTACCGGTCAAAATCGACCACAAGGCAGCCGGACCATGAACAATGAAGCGACGGAGAGAGCGAGGATCGTCAGGGGAGAGGATGGTAGCAGGTGCCCACCAGCTAGCCTTACGAGCATGACGTCTCCTCCCAGAAAAGACCCCAGCCTCTTTCTCCAGACGTTCAACCGTCATCCAGGAAGGACGGCGCCAAAGCTTCAAAAGAAGGCTGCTCACGACGACCGAAACACTGGATGCAGCCATGGCCGCACCAGCAGCCATTGGAGGAAGCATGAAACCTGTGAAAGGGAGGAAAAGACCCATAGCGAAGGGGAGTCCAATCACATTGTAGAGACAAGCCCATACGAGGTTCAGCTTGATTCGTGTGAAGACAGTGCGTGACAGAGAAAGACTGGCTGGCACGGTGAGAAGGTCATCTGGACGCATCAGGACAATATCAGCAGCCTCCATAGCTACATCAGTACCTGAGGCCAGAGCAATACCGACAGAGGCAGTGGCCAGCGCGGGAGAGTCATTGATACCGTCGCCGACCATCGCAATGTACTCGCCTCTCATTTGAAGGTTAGAAATGATGGTCCGTTTGTCGGAAGGAGAAGCGGAGGCATGCACCGAACTTGCGGGGATACCGACAGCTGTTGCGATAGAAATCGCGGTAGAAAGTGTGTCACCTGTGACCATAGATGTTGCAATTCCCATGCGGTGCAAGGCAGCCACTGCTACGACTGCAGTTTCTTTCACGCTATCCTGAAGGGAGATGGTTCCTGCATATTGCTTGTCAATTGCAACATGGGTTCGAGTGATGCCGGATGCAGTCTCCATGGGCTTGGGCTCCAATGGTCCCGAGTCATCCTCACTTGCTGATGATTCGGCATCTGCAGATGACGGCACGGAGATATTGTTCGAACGAAGGAAGACTGCGTTACCCAGGAGAACTTGATAACGGATGCGCTCAGCGCTGGAGGTCGGCTCAACGAAAGCTGAGATACCCTTACCCACACACGCGTCAAAGTCTCCAACACTTCCTGGGAGTCCATCTCCTCCTGGATGGCCAGATTCTGTCTTCGCTGCGGATAAGATGGCCCGGCCAATTGGGTGCTCACTGCCCATTTCAGCAAGACCAACAATCTGCCACCATAGTTGACGACGCCATTCATTGGCTGTCCACTGGGGCTCAAGATGAGTCTGAGCAACGCTCATTCGGCCCGTAGTCAAGGTACCTGTCTTGTCAAAGACGACATGGTTGACTTTAGTGGCAGCCTCGAGAACTGCTCCACCTTTGACCAAAATTCCATGCTCCGCACCAACGCCAGTTCCAACCATCACCGCGGTTGGTGTGCTAAGACCCAATGCACAAGGACATGCGAAGACAATAACTGAAATACAAAGCTTGAGACAAACCATCACCTTACCACCTGCATCTTCAGAGTCGAAGATCTTAGGCGGATGAGACAGTACATGGCTAAGGAACATCCATCCAAAGAAAGTGATCAAGCCAAGAGCGATGATCGTGGGAACAAAGTATCCAGCCACGATGTCAGCCATGCGCTGAATAGGGGCACGACTTGTCTGGGCATCCTGGACCAATTTCACGATCTGACTGAGTTGGGTATCTTTGCCTGTGCGGGTGACTTTGAAATCGACCGCGCTAGTGCCGTTGACGGTACCAGCGATGACATGGCTGCCTTTCTTCTTGTGGATCGGTAAGGCTTCTCCAGTAATCATACTCTCATCGACGTAGCTCTCGCCACGAATAATGATTCCGTCCGCGGAAACCTTGTCGCCCGGGTGAAGGAGGACAATGTCACCAACCTGGACTAGTTCGGTGGGTATGATCTTTTGATTGACTGTAGAGTCTCCGGATAATGCTGGCCCAGCATTTTGAAATGTCCACGCATCGGCCACTTTCTCTGCAGCAATGGGGTCTTCATAAATGGTAGTCATGGATGGTGCCAGTGACATAAGACGGGATAGTGCCGCAGAGGTTTGTCCCTTCGCACGGTTCTCTAACCATCGTCCCAATGTGATAAATGTGATAAGCATAGTGCTAGTGTCGAATACAATGCTTGGACGAGTATGACTGCTGCCGAGCAGGGCCATGAGCATGGTGAAGCAGCTGTAAAAGAAGGCAGCAGATGTGCCAAGCATAACCAAAACATCCATGGTCGGAGATCGATGCTTGAGAGATTTGTAACTTGTGATATAGAAGCGTCGACCAATGCCAAATTGTACAGGGATAGTGAGACAAAGACATATCAAGTCACCAAGGTACAGGTCTGGTAAGAGCTGCAGGCGACCAAAATCGAGGGGGCGCATGTACATAGGAATCAGCATGTTGATGAAAAACACGGGAACTGCAAACGAGACGGATACAATGAATGCACGTCGCCATTCCTGGATCTCTTTGGTCTTAGAGAGTGATTCCAACTGCGCATTCGTGTCATCTAGATCTGCCACCAGCGCATTATATCCTGCAGCCTCAATTACATCGAACACCGATCGAATACCGATAACAGATGTATCAAAGGCAACTGTCAATCGGGCGTTAGACATGTTGATCGATGCAGACTTGATTCCAGGGCGTGATGACAGGTCTTCTTCTAGCGCAGATGCAGATAAGGCATCACGCAAGCCGTGTAGACTAAGGTGAATTTGCTGGATTTTTCTTGAGAGCGGTTCCTGCGCTTCAGACGATACGATCAACGCATCGAATCCCGCATCATCCACGAGAGTTACAATAGCCTTGGACGTGAGTATTGAGGGATCGTGGATGATCACCGCACGCTCTGCCAGTAAACTAATATTAAACTGGACCATCCCATCCACGTTTTTAAAGGCATTCTCGACACTTGATGTGCAAGCACCGCACGTCATGCCTTCGATAGCCACTGTTGTAACTATATGTCCTCTCTTATCTTCAATCATATCGGCAAGTGTGGTTCCATCGCTTTCACCCACAGAGGCCTTGGTATCCAGTACCTGCGCTCCAAATCCTCGATCCTCAATAAGCTCCGCGATCTGCTCCGGTGTAACTATTTCCGTTTCGTGTTCAACAACCGCCCGTTCTGAAAGTAGTGAAACGTTGACCGATTCGATTCCAGCAACACCGTTCAGTCCACTTTCAACCGCAGATGTGCACGCGCCGCAGGTCATTCCTTCGATCGCGAGGGTAGTCGTCGAGATTCGTATTGTGGGCGCATCCTGATAATTCGTAACAGGACTTGTCGTACTCTTTGCGTGTTCATCGGTTGAAAGTACGGCTGCATCGAAACCGCAATCCTCGATCAATTCCGCAACCTTGGATGGTGACAATATTGACGGATCATGCTGCACCGCCGCGCGACCCATAATCAAGCTCACAGAGACCTCGCCCACTCCATCTACCCCCTTGAACGCGCCTTCCACGGCTGATGTACAAGCTCCGCATGTCATGCCATCTACTTTGACGGTAGTTGTGGCCATGGCGGGGGCCGCGTCGCTGGTGCTCAACGACTCTGCAGACATCGCGACAGGGAATCGGATCGAGAGACAGATTATCGCATGAGGGAGGTATTATGTTCGACGGAGACGTATGCGCTGTACGAGAGGAGGGTTATCAAGGGCCTTGAAAGTATGGTAATGGGAAGGTATTATTAATATTCTTTTTGTTAAGACGGATGCTCTCGGATCGACACTGGGCAGATCAGGTCACTTCCGCAACAAGCGACTAGGTATCATTTAAGCCGTGTAAAAGGCCACGTCGTAGGGAATTTTTTTTTTTGCATAGATTAATGGATTGAAGGGTGAAGCCAAGGCCTTTAAGAAGGGAAAAGTGGAGGTGATTACGCATGGGAGGGGGTGGTTCCGCCTTAGAAAAGAATGCATTAGCGTGAATGTGTTTCCCACTTGAACCTTTTCCCTCCCATATCTAGGCGTCCATCAGACGAGTAATATCAAATTACAGTCTGGATATTGTCAAATATTATCAAATATTCAGGATCTGACAGAATGGGTCTTGAGGGCCTGAAACTTGGGGCGTTTCAGGGCGTCCACTAGGTACAAGTGGACAACAGGGACAAGTTGGGTGATTCCGTGTGACGAGTCTAGCATTTAGCACTGGAGCATTATGGAGTACGATCTGAGATCAGCCTATACGGGGAATTATCAGGGATTATCCATGGCTCCTTCTAATGAAAAGTGAATATTTCCTCTTGGGCGGCATAAATCAATCATCTGCTCAATATTAAGATATGAACCTTGGAACTATACTGAACTTGAACTTGGCATAAACCCCCGGCTAATCTGATACCGGTTTATCCCGTTTATACCGGTATGCCGATGACAGCCCTGGCAGCGCTAAAACTCATTTCACCGAATCTCGATCACTGTGGGTTTTAGCGGGACGACGGAGTGTTAGCATACGCATGTAGACGGAGAACTCCGTAAAGCCGCGTATCTACTTGGACTCCTTCAAGTTTCTTTCGTGATTTCAAGGTTCACTTGAGACTGTATGTAGTACCGGTGGTGGTGAGGTACTTCACCTGGGCAATGTTCAAAGCATCTACGCTTGACTACATAGTATATATAGCCCTGGAGTATAACTTTAAGTCTAGGGACATCATTCAATGATGTTAATATTTGAAATTGATCCTAGTGTTATCTACCAATATATAATAGTAATACTACCTACGTAGTTATCATTCAAACCTTGGAATTTTTCAGTAGTCTAAGATCAAGGTAAAATCTGAACAATCAATACATATGATCATGATTCGCTCACAGTGGTACTCCTAGGCCATATAGCACTTTAGTGTAATCAACCTAAAAGGCTGCACATACATGTATGTACCTACTATCACTGGCACATGTGCAACTAGACACAAAATTTAACTGACCTAGGTAAGTACTTACATTAAATAGTAACTTGATACTAATCCTGTAAATTTTGAATAACTTGTTTCCTATCACCAGTACCTAGTAGTATACATGAGCCTATCACCTGGGCCTATGGATGTAAGTTGTACTGTGATATGGTCTGGAGTAGTACTATGTAGGTAGTATATAGTAGTAGTAGTAGTTTTAATACAGAGTGCTTTACCAATGTGAAAATAGGCGGCTAGAATTAGTACTCTGCACACATGTAGCTAGATCCTGAAATTTTAATTAATAAATAGAATTAATTCTATCATAGAATAAATGCGTTGTGGCCCTTGAAATTCAGGTGTTCTGTTGTTGCCTGTTGTTGCCTGTTGGTGTGATGTGATCAGCTGATATACATAGCAACTTTTTGTTTTTCCCTTTCTGCCTCGTTTTCACCCCACCGCCTTCCACATCTGACTCACCGCCCAATTTGTCCTCCACCATGGAGGGCGATAATGATATCTCCACCGCCCTCAGTGGGCTCAAGCTGGAGAGCTCCCCATCTCCAACTCCTCCCACTTCCCCAACCATTCCACCTCCTCGACGTATTGACACCTCTGCCATGGACCAAGTCCATAAGCGAGCCATAGAGGCTCTCCAGCCATTTATCCATCTCGCAAACTCCAACAGCGCGACCTCTCCCCGCTTTGTCGCTCAAATCGTCACCAACGCGACCTCTCACCCAAACACTTATGCCTTCGGCGAGCTCCTTGAAACCCCTACGATCCAATCCCTGCGTGCTCCTGACACACCAAATGAGCACCAGGGTCACTTGAAGCTCCTGGAGATTTTCGCTTGGGGAACCTGGCAAGATTACCAAGGTAAGTCTCCCATCAACAACCAACATCAACACCAATCATTTGTGCAAACCAACCCATCTACACCCAATTGCACACTTACTTACAACCCAAATAGGAACCCCCAACCTCCCAACTCTCAGCGCTGAACAAGCCAACAAACTCCGCCTCTTAACCCTCATCACCTATGCCACAAAGCCCAAGCCCCTCACCTATGCCACCCTTCAAGCAGCGCTCGATCTGGCAACTGCCGGTGATCTCGAAGCACTCATCACCACAGCAATTTATAACGGTCTCTTGGTTGCTCGTCTTTCTCCATCCATTACTCTGCCATCCCTCAACGTGACATCCGTCGCTCCACTCCGGGACCCGGCACCCGCCGTTCTTCCAGGCATGGTGGCCAAATTGTCAGCTTGGGAGGCGCGCTGTGGTGAGATTGCTCGAGACCTAGAGGCCCAGACCCAAGCCGTCAAGGCCAATACCAAGAAGCGCCAAGCTAAGGAGAAGGAGTTTGAGCAGCAATTCAAGCAGAGAGTCAATGAGCACCAGGCCGAGAGCCAATCCCAGGGCGGAGCAAGTCGTTCTGGAAAAGGCAAGAAAGGCAAGGGCAAGGCGGCTGCCAAGAGAGAGGCGGAAGATATTGAGGAAGATGATGGCCTCGTCGATGCCGGTGACGGAATGGACATTGACGAGGGCGCCGGAGCAGGGCGCAGCACTGGTGCGGGTGGAAATCGCACGAAGAGAGTGCTTGGGGAACGTCAAATTTGATATCCAAATGGCTTGCTTTGCTTCGCATCCAGCATGTTTGTCCCTCGTGGACTTTTACGACGCCCCGAATTAACGTTTTTTGCCTTCCATGATGATACCTAACTCGCCACGATGTGGATTTGAGATATCTAGGTTGAATGGACCTGATGAATGTTACCTAGCTCGCCATGATGATAAATGGATTTGAGATATCTAGGTCGAATGAATACACCTTACAAGGTTTAATAAATGTCACCGAAGTAGATTGCATTCGTAACAGCTATCCATGGTAACGACTCATTGAAAACATAAATACAAATATCTCAAGTTAGGAGGGGTATTGATAGAAGGGAAAAAAGGACGAGATAGAGGATCACAAATATGGACAACATAAGGAGATACGGGGAATGGGTTAACCACCGAAGGTAGATGGTAGAGAGTAAAGGATAAGGCCATTAGAGTAGCAATAAATCAAGGAAATTAAGAACTCGAACACTCGGGCAGAATAAACCTTTTGAGAGAGAAATTATGCTTCGCAGAAGCGGGCCGGAATAGCGAGGTCCAGACGCCAGGAGGGGAACGCCCAAAGGTCATACAAATGGTGACATTTCGAAAGCGAGACTAACACGAAGGGACAAGCTGTACACAAGGCGATAGTTGAAACGTAATTCGGGAGGTTTGAATCGGTAGTAGCGGAGAAAAGCTTCACATCATGGTGCCGGGAACGAAGATGAACAAGATACTCAAGGCGGCCGTTACTAGGAACGCAACTGCTGCTGTGACAATGGCTCGCTTGTTCAAGAGTTGACGAACATAGTTCTCGCGGATCGGTGCCCAGTTCATAAATGTATATTCACTGTAGCTGATAAATGCCATGACCGGATCAATCTTGTACTGGTAGGAGACGATGAAGTAGGAAGCAACGGCGAAAGGAAGAATGACCTAAAACACAATTAGCAAGATGTTAAATTATACGAGACTCGGGTTCTCTCTCTTACCCAGCAACGGATATCCCGGGGCTTGTTACGTAGGACAACGTAGAAAGCCCCCCCAAAATCCACCACCAAAGCTAATCAAGGCAAAGGCAAGACGCAGAATGATACTCAAAGGAACCAAGTTACCCAGAGCCTTGGCCTGCAAGAAACCTGGGAACGCATCCCGCTCCATGGCCTGGAAAACGTAGTCCTTAGCGGGATCAAACACCTCCGGGTCATCACGGCCGTCATCCTCGATCAAATTAATAATTGTCGAAACCATTGCTTCCGGCAGGACGATTTCGCGTTCAGAGCCTGGGAGCAGGTAGGTGTACAAGATCTTTTCAGCGCTAGCACGGATGTCATTGCGAGCAACAGTGTGACCGGGGGAGTTCGAGTCACCGCCATTGCCGGTGCTGTGACGTGGTGGTTCGGGAGATTCGGTGCGAGTTTGGTAGACGGATTCAGATCCAATGCTATTTCGCGGCGAGTGAGACGAGGTCTGGCCTTCAGATCGCAGGAAAGCCGAAAGACGATGGTCGGCATCTCGATCCTTTTCGTTGGCAGGAAGACGTGAGGGGCCAGCCTCCACGAGCGGAATATCTCCAAGGTTTTCCAAGTTCTCTAGCATCGCTGAAGAGCGTTTGCTGTCTGCCCTTTCCATATCGGGAGTCGCGACAAGTACAGAGCGACGAAGTTCACGGACATAATGACGACAGAGGGACATATGTTGGGAGACATCGAGCCTTAAAAGATTGGTGTTAGCTTCGAAAGGATATTTCAGAGCATAGACTCGCTGATATAGTTGCTTACCAAAAATCAAGATAGTCGACAGAGCGTTGCTGGTCGCGCATGTAAATGTAGAAGGAAAAGAGATCGACAGGGGCCAAAGTGCGCCGACTGAGCACTTCAAAGAGAGTTGGAAGGCGATTACGCGACTCCGAATCGGAGTAGTTATCCCAGGAGGAAGTCATTTGATGTGTTTTGGTGAAAATTGACGGTGAAAATTCCAGCACCGAGAGGGGGGGCGGGGGGGGTTGAAGATGACCCAAAAGGGGTAAGGAGCGTGGTCGGTCGCGCGAAGCCGAGTAAGATCGACTTCAGCAGTCCCTAACAAAAAAGCGAAAGGCGGGAGAACAGTTCGATAGAACAAGTAGGGAGTGAAGAAAAAAACACCTAGGTGCCTAAAGAGGGGCGAGAGATGGAGAAGAATTTGGTGGATCGTAGGACACGCAATGTTGTTCGGCAAATAAGGAGGAAGACCCTTGGGGTGGAAAAGAAGAATAAAGAAAAGGGGGAAGGGATCAAACTGCTTTGACACAGTGACCAAGAAGTTCAGATGAAATTAAAACTCAAGCATAAGGTGGGATTGAAACGAAAGCTTCCTCACCGCAAGGGTTGAAGGTCAAGGATGGGATCCAGCCATCTTTCTTCATTCCGTGAAGCAATATCGCAACACGTTGTTCCGGTCCGAGACCCCACCAGGGCTGTCACTGCGTCAGTATACTCCTATTGCATCATAACGAACTTTATACTGTTTACATCTCTAGGTATAGCTATACAATCTATTCATGTACAGCATACTAGTATCAATCTACTTGTTCAAAAATGGTTCATAATCCTATTGCATCAATTCATTTTTTGAATTCCATTTATCAATCCTTGGGGTATTTGGAAATCGATTTGCCGCTAAAAACGCCACGCCATGTTAAACCACCATGTCAAAGACCCATATCAATATAGAAAAAAGTGGGAATGAAGAATAAAGCAAACCTTAATGCCCATCAGCCAGATGCTAAAAGGGAGTTAGTGCTCTGCAAAGTCAAAAAAATAATGATAAAAAGCTACTTACCGACCACTCTGGGATATTTCGAATCTGCTGATACATGAATCGCTCGAGTTTGTTCGCACTTTTGGCATAAGGCGTGTTCTCGTTGTTGTATCGTCGACAATTGTCAAAGATCAAGGACGCATCTTTGATGAAGTCTTGTGGTGTCGGGTACATGTCTTTCTCGTGTTTCTCCTCCATCGTGGATAGGTCCATGGGTTCCAAGATTACTTCATAATAGTCCGGCACCTCGTCTCGATTCACTGGTTGCGTGAAAGGCCAGGCAGCACTGTGGTTCTGCATATCATTCAGAAGGTGTAACAGCTGGTTATAGTTGGGTCCGTGGCGAGGCTGTCGAGCCAATTCGTCCATATCGGGTGACCACCCAGATTCCTTGATGGCGGGGATGCTCAATGGGTCAATCTTGTGAACAGCACTCTTCCATTCTTTGGGTGCAGGATGGATAATGTGCGATCGACTGAAAGCACGGATTTTTGCTTGAACAGCTTCCTTCTGCTTGAGTAGCATCCGCCCCATCTCGAGGTACCGAATCTTGGGTAGCATGGTGCACTGCATGATCGTACCACCTTCATAATCCTTGATATATCCCATCCAGATTGATCGGTCGAGCGTGATCTCCTTGGTGAATCCTTGCTTTTTGAAATATCCGATGGCGTAGTTGTCTGCATAGGTGAGGAAGTGCATGATGGGCGAAGTGGCTTTGACATAATCCTGCGATAGATGTTGAGTTAGACTCGACCTGAATATAAGCTTTGGAAATCCATTCAAGATACCTTGAGGTGAGACATTAGATGCGCACCGTATCCCTTGACTTGTTGATCGGAGGAAATGGCACAGAAGACAATTTCAGCAAACTTGCGACTGTTGAATGGGCGGTACGTGATCCCTCTGCAACGGCGTCAGTGCCCAAAATTACAATCCATGCGAGATAAAACATACCCTACAACTTCCAGTGGATGCTTCACAATTGCAATGGACAAATGCGATCGATCATAGACCAGTCGAGCGATATAGTCCTTCGGCATCTTAGGAAGCTGTTTCTGGAAGATACACTTCAGACCCGTGAGAACAATGAAGCTGTCATGAGATCCATCATTGTTGACCACCCGAAACTCGATATCACCTCGGCGCTCTTCAAGCACAGCAGGCTGGAAGTTAGAGTCAGCTATTGGGCTCAGAGTGTTGCCGCTGCGGAGAAGGTGGGGATGAGGCTCACTTTCTCGGGGAAGGGCACAATGCGTAGGGGTGGCTTCAAGGGCGGGCCATTGTCCTATGAAGTTTTTAGCTTGTTTTCATCCGATGCAGATAGCGAACAAACCTCTTTCTCTGGGGAATCAGTGCGCGCTTTCTTACTAGCCTGCTGCTGGGAGTCCGGGGAAGCAACCTCCTCCGAAGCTTTCCTTTTCGAGTCTACATGATTGTCAGTATGAACTGGAGCCTATTCATAACCCGATTGAAGTAAACTCACTCTTAGGAGAAACAGCAACCATGGCGAAGATGTGATATGGAGGTTATAAGTATAGAATGCGCGTCGGTGACACGACTAACAGGTAAAGCAGCACATAATCATTAACTGGGGTCGGTCTCGGAGATACTATTTTCCGACACCGATGGGCCAGATCACCAAGAAGCCGCGTATCTATATGGGGTTTATCAACTCCCTCTGTTGTTTCCGTCAACACCCTTTTAAATATTTTAAAAAACCCCATTTCATCACTCATGTCGCTGAACCAAGTCTGGGAGGCAGCCTCCGCAACCCCTTTCAACCCAATTGTCTCCAAGGATAACCAATTCGCTGTTGGCTTTAACCTGCTCGTTTGTGGTATGCATAGCTCCCAATGATACAGCAATTGACCTTACTGACTTTATAATGACAGCTGTCCTGGCCGGTGGTCTATTTGGCCTGAGTAGGTTATCAAATACTTGAAGCCGCTCTATCTATTTTACTCATATTCTATTTACAGATCGCTCATTTGCGAGCCTCTTCACCCTGGGCCTTCCATCTGCACTAGCAGCTGGGTAAGTACTTCGGACTAGAAAGCAAACCGGGAAATCTCCCGAGGTCGTAATCATGCTTACAAATATATCGAATAGATTCGGAGCTGTTTTTATGATCTGCGCCGTGGGAGTTTATGTTTAAAGCGATACCCATTGTCTCCTCCATGTACACTTAGCGGGGAATTATTGCACGGGACCTGTACTGCTAGAAGCTCCCAAGTTATCACATCTGCAACCGATTTATTCCCTGCTTCCTTTCAAGATCCACAACCACCTGGACTAGAGTATTCGCCTTATAATGGAGCCTCTATTCACTGGCGTTTCCAACAACGCCCACCACCTCTACACTCTTCTCTCTTGCATTGGCTTTGCCTCCAAAGCCACCGTTCAAATCACACCTGACGGCCTTCGATTCTCTGCCGAAGAGGGCCGCGTCATACAAGGACTTGCTTTCCTCGACAAATCGCTTTTCACCAGCTACACGTTCAATGCCGCACCAAACCCCGTCAATCAACAACCAGAGGCGCCTGACAATGAAGATTCCGACGAAACAAACTATCCGCACTTTGTCGTTTCCCTGGCCGCTCTCCTCGAAACGCTCAAGATCTTCGGCATCAATGACCTCAGCGAGCCTTCTCGGGGGGGACACCAGTCTTCCGCAGACAAACCCTGCCTCGAACGTATTCTCCGCGCCGGCACTACTGATGGACCGTTCTTGTACCCTCCAATATGCGTCACACGGGGCCCCACTAAGCATCGCAATCGACGAAGCGGGTGTTAAAACAACCTGTGAGCTTGTCACCTACGAGCCCGAGGACGATGAATCCGACATTCCACTCCAGCGAGACGCCATCATTATGAAGATCATAATGCGTTCTGCCTGGCTACACAATGCTTTTGCAGAACTCGACTCCTCAACACCTACAATTCTCAAATTGTCTGCATCCGCAAAGCATACTCCGTACTTTGCACTCTCCGGCGCGGGCGGACCCTACAGCGAATCTACCGTCGAATTCTCCGTTGACCAGGGCAACGAAGCAACGGGCCAAGACCAAGATGGCCTGTCAACACAGAGACATAAGGTACTAGCAGATGATGGATCCTCACGAGCGCGCTCAACAAGAGCAAAGCTTGCCCCGACAGTCACAGAGACATTTCTCGTGACGCCACCTTCGTCGATGGGTGAGCGAATCCAACAGAGCTACCGGTTTTGGTTGATTCGCAAAGCAGCGAGGGCGATGTCTGTTGCGAATAAGGTCAGTATTCGTGGGGATCGACAGGGTGTGTTGAGTCTACAGTTTATGGTTGAGCTGGATGAAAATCAGCAAGCGACTGGACGTTCTATAGGAGCCGGAGTGAGGGCAGCAGGTCCGGTGTGCTTTGTTGATTTTCGATTTGTGCCATTGCTCGATGAAGAGCTTGAGGAGGCTGAGATGGAGATTTTAGCTGATGAATAGAGTATACTTACCTATTCTCAATGTATTTGCATTTGGCATTTCCCCTTGAGATTTTTGGCGTTCAAACACAAAAACAGCTATCCCTTGTGAATTCTTTGACTATGATACTAGTAGTAAGATTCAACGACCCCTAATTTCCAAGGTTGTCTTATATGTAAGCTAGATACGACCTGACGTGCCGATCTATACCTATCTTGCTTTCCGCCGCAGGGTTCAAAGTAAATGCCGATGTGGGGATGCACGGCGCTCTCCGAGTTCTCTCTGAAATCAAGTCAAAATGTCAGGACAAAGACAAGAAACGAGGTCAAGATGGGGGTGTATGATCTGGTAAACAACATTCAGTTTCATGGGCGAAGTCAGAGCTAAAAAGGTGCAGTCGCAAACGACGCAAGAAATGCGATGAAACAAGGCCAGCCTGCAGACTGTGTACCGAAAGGGGCGTGCAATGCGCCTATCCAGACTGGACGGTAGTCAAATATTCCAAAACTCGCTATCGAGAAAGCCAGAATAGCCAAGGGTCTTTAGCGACGGCATTATCTGAACATCCGGTCTTACTGCCGGCTCAACCGAAAAGCACTGAGACCAAGTTTATTCATCACTTCCACACGATAGTCGCCAGTCTTATTACTTTCACCTTTCCTCAGCTGGATCATAATGCTCCAAATCCATTTATGCTGCATATTTTGCCTCGAGCTTCAACTTCTACTCAAGTTCAGCGTGCTGTGGAAGCAGTTGCTGCTGCCCATCTTCATCACCTTGGAGCGGAGTCACGCGAGCGTGCAACACAGTTACATTCGCAAGCTCTTAAGTTACTGGCCTCAGAGCTTGCCTCTCCCAATCTGGATGAGACATCGCGTATTAATGGCCTAGCTTGTAGTTTACTTTTGATCTATTACGAGGTATGTAGAGCCACTAACTCGTCGGTGATTCCCAGACTGATCAGGTTGATAAAGATTGTACTGGGAAACTCAGCAGAGAATGCTTGGTGTCATCTAACAGGGGCGAAAGTGCTCCTGGAGTATCACATGCACCAAATATCGCATGAGCCGCCGTGTATTTCCTTCTTCCGCAAAGTATTTCAATACTTCAATGTGATGCTAGCACTTTCTATGGAAAGACGCCCCTTGTTAATCACCGGCCATCGTGGACCCGAGTTCATCGATAAAATGGACACTGTTTTTGGATGTGCCGGACAACTTTGGCCACTGATGCATCGGCTTGCCGACCTCTTTGCACGTGTCCAGCTGGGAGAGGATGTGAGCCACGATGCTCAATCATTGATAGAATCATTACAAGCCTGGTCTATCGAGTCATCACCATCAAGCAATACATATCTAGAGGCAACACTGCAAATCGCCAACGCTTATAAGTTCTGCGGTATTCTGATGTTACAAAGAGCCATTCCACAGATCGAGATCGAGACTGAACGTGGCGATTCGCAACGGCAGCATAGCAAGATCTATCGGTCTGCGTTTGATTGCGTCCTCCGAGTATGTGTCTTGTCGACACCCATGGCCACACTTACATGGCCGCTATATGTGGTGGGGCGACTGGCTAAATCTGCGAGTGATCGCACGCTCGTCTTACATATATTCTCTCAATTTCTTGAAAAGCATCATATGATGGTTGTTGATGGAGCAAAGAACGCTGTCAAGAACCATTGGAGTGAGGAATTGACCCTGCAGTCTCATTCTTGGAATTCAGCCCCAGTCCTTCTAGGATGAAGGGATGCAGCCAGTAGTGCTATTCAAACAACCGTCTATGGATGCCCACAGCATCTGAATTATATTGGGCGTGTTTTCGTGGTGGAGTACCCGACACGATTAATGAGACATGAAACTACTTCTGACTTTGGCATGTGTGTTTGGCTATTACTGATCTGGATAGCATTGCTAATGCTGAGTCTAGTAGCCACATAGCTTTTGGTGCCGTTTCTTATCACATCAATGCCCAGGAGCAGGGGGGTTTGCATGAGTATCCCTGGGGATTAGAAGATAATTATACCTGATACACTCGATTGCTTCAATATACTTGATTCTTATACACATTCCTCTCGTGGAACCATTGGATGATTCCCAGGTTACCAAGCTAGTACATACATCCATCCATGGGTACCTAGCAGGTGTCACTGAAACACCACTTAGTATACAGCCTTGGAAGCGGACCCCAGTATGGAATCAGAGTACAAGGCTGCCTTTTGGTGGTGAGAAGCGTTATGACCATAGTACGTTCCTTTCAACTTCTCTCATTAGTGGTGGCGAGGATGGGATCAATAGTGAAGTCGTGTGCCCCTTTGAGTATTTCTGCTGCCTTTGGCCTAATCTGGTGGACTCCAGTGGTTTCTGGTGGTTTTTACCACAGGAAACGTAGTAGTCCTTATACACGAAGTAGAAGGGCAAGCCAAACGCTAGAGCAAGTGGTGCCGGGTCGTGAGGTTGACGCGCGTCTTTGATGTCTTCGGCTTTCTTGAATACTTCAGGCCACCGCTTGTAGCACTCAGCATGGGAGGTCAACTTGACGATGAGGTAAACTTGTTCATCAGAGACTTTAGCACCGTCAGGAGGCAAGCTAGCGAATTGTTTGTTGCTCCAGTATAGCTTGATGATGGGTTTGGGGTTTGACGATGTAGTCGCTCTCTTGAATCTCTGGATTGCCCAGAGGTTCTCACCGGCCTCCGATACCACACAAAGCATATCCGATGGGGTCTAGGAGATGAGGTTTGCTTCGCGTTTTGTAGCCATGGTGCGGGGAAGTACAGTCGGTGGAAAAGGATGGTTTGAGGAAATTGAAAAGATGAAGGTTGAGAAGAGGAAGGTTGAAGAAGATATGGTGACGAAGATAAAAGTTGAAATAGATAAAGAAGTAAAATGGAAAGAGAACACAAGAATGAGAACATCAAGAAGGATATTAAGAAGGAAAAGAAATGAGAAATGGAAGTGAGGGATAGACAAGAGTTAGGTTAAACCCACATGGTTGATATGTTAAAATGGTTGATCTAATGTACCTATGTAGGTAAGGGCTAAGTGAGAGATAAGAGAAATACTTACGTCTCTTTTACTTCTATTTTACTTCAACCTGCTCCAGGTGTCTATGTCAAAACATACAGTCGACTCTTAAGAGCCATCTGGGCTTGAAATTGATTCTGACTGCGCTCTGTCTGCATGAAAGGAATTGTCCAAAGAAATCATTTTGAAAACATACCGTATCTTCATATACAAAATTGACGCCTAAGACATGCCATGGACTGGATACAGTGGGATGTATCGTTCTGCTGTTGTGATATACGTATCTGCCTACATAGCTGGCTGCTAAAGTCCGGAGTTTTCGCTTCAAAGAGGATATGGGGGATTTTACCATCCATGATGGGTGGTCTCAATAGTAAAATTTGGTTAGGATCTCTTTTTTATCTTTTTGAGGCTTGTGAGTGAAAAGAAATCCGATTAACCCTGTGGAAGTGTCGAACGTAGTGTCGAACGGAGAGTTGGTTGGGCACGTCGACCACAATCAAATGTTTTAAACGTTGAGATCTAAATTTGGTTTGCGCTGAGAGTGGAAAAAGACGATGGTGAGGAAGTAGATGTGTGGAGGAGATATCTGTCAGACCACATGATCTATTGCCCTTGTTTGATAGTTCAGAATGACAAACTAGTCAGTCCAATAGATGTTTGCGCAGGCCAGCAAGTAAAATGACTGAGTGGACTATAGTTCAATTTCAAGTTACTAATAGCACTGGCAGCTGGGTAGACTGGAAACGCTACATTTTCAAGTTTGCCTTCCTTTACTATTGGCAGGGCCTGGTTGCCTACCCCGATAAGCCCTCAAGTTCAATGTGACTAGTAGTTTTTCAATGTTACCTACCATGTCCAACGCCATGTGAGTCGAGCTTTCAAGTTTGGAAGTGAAGCCCAGCCATCTAGGTACTCGCCCAGACTCAGAGAAGGCCATACAAGTAGTGCATCTAAATACTAATCGAACGGTAAGTGTAGATTGAGCATTTCAAGTTGGACAGTCTTGGTACACCATTTTCTTGACATAGTATTCATTCATTCAACAACTTTGGAATTTATTACACAGATACAGCCCTTATCTCTCCTCAGGGCTGTATGTAGCCGACTCATTACACCCGTTCATTGAGATCTATTAACAACTCGCGAATCGCATTCTTACAGGACCAGCATGGCGGCCAGACCGAAGAAACTAACGGCACCAGTACCGACTGTAGCCATGGGGTGAGCGCCAGCACTGCTAGTGGAGGGAGCAGCAGAGTTGGATCCTGAGCCGTTGGTGGAGGTGCCCGAACCAGAGCCAGAGCCACTAGAGGTGGTTGTAGCCCCGGAGCCGGTCAGGGTCTCTGTGGTAACCGTTCCGGACACAGATGTAGTGAGGGTGGTGGCACCACTGCCAGTGCCAGTAGTACCAGCAGTACCAGTGGCCCCGGTGGAGGTACCAGTGTTCTAGATATCAAAGTCAGTAAAGCCAAGCATATGGGCCATAATATCACGTAGACTTACAGTGCCAGTGCTGCCGTTGGTGCCGCTGGTGTTGGTGTTGGTTTCAGTTGCGGAGGTATCAGACTTGGTTTTGGTGCCAGTGTGAGAGCCCGATGTACCGGTTGTATCGGTTGCTGTTGTGCCCGTGGAGCCGCTGGCGGACTCCGTGCTAGTTCCTGATGCAGATTCAGAGCCGGTAGCGGTGGTGGTAGAGGTGGCGCCGGATGTTGAGTCAGAGTCAGAGGCAGAGGTAGTGGCAGTGGATGAAGAGCCTAAACGTCAATGATTAGCTGGGTACATGGTTGGTCCAAGCAGCGATGATACATACTGGGGCAGCTCTTCAAAGCTTCTGAGACAACCTGTGCGGCATCGTCATTGGGACAGGCCTCGGTGGTGCAGTCACGGATACCGTAGGAATAGTTCTGGCTGTTGCACAAGCAAGCCATATCACCAGAAGTGCACCCAAGCTCAGAAGCCTTGGCGTTCATGTTGGATATACACATTTGCTATATATGAATAGGCAATTAGCTCAACAGACTTGAGCCCCTGGATAATGCTTCACTTACAGCGCAGTCTGTTGTAGAGACACTCGCAGCAGAGACCATGCTAGCCGCAGCCAGCATGGTCATAGCAACAGTGATTGACTTCATGATGATATGATGTGGTGGATAGCTGTTTTGTACAAGGAAGTGATATTTTCTCTCCTGTAAATGAATTGGAGGCTTCAGGAGTCAATGCTGGTAATGGATTGGGAGGTAAAACACAAAAGATATGCAAGGTGGGGGGGATATGTGCCTTCTTATAAGGCAGGGGAGGTGCAAGGTTTTAACCGAGATGCAGTCAATTGCACGTTTGCGACTGAGTGGACTAAGACTTAATTTGATTTACGGAGGGGGAAACAAACTAATGAGTAATATCACAATAGGTCAACAAAGGCTAACGCGGTTCAAAGTGCGTTCAGACCCAACTCCCAAAGATCGACCTCGGGAATTGCCACGTCTAGTGTGTTCCGGTCAATAGTTTTTGCTTTTTGAGGTTGGCTGCCCTGCATCCATGCTACCAACCCAACGTGGCTGAAAGGACATGAAGTCATCGAGGTACAGGGTCCGAGGAACAAGGTCGAGTTGTTGCTGGGGACAAGGGTACGATCTCGATCTCGATCGGGGACTGATCATCAGCGGAGACAATTGGCGCCCTGGTTACACTCCACCGGGAGAGATCCCATAGGCTCGTCTGATTTAGCTAGTTGACCAATTCATCCAGGACCCCTTGTGGATCTCGGGATTTGACTTTCGACTTTCTCATGGATTGGGACCTGGCGAGAGCTCAACCTTGACGTTGTTTCCCATACAACAGGAAGTTCTCTGGAGAACCACCCAATGCAGTATGATGATGATGCATCATGTTGGAAAATCGGGCACTCCCTGCCCCCTTATTTATACACATGCATGATCACTGCAGTCTGCGGCATTCGGACCCCGGAGGTAAACATACCGAGAATGCAGTCCCCACGACAATCATCGAAGTTCAGAGTTTTCCAATTGATTTTCTGATTTTCTGATCTCCCGACATGCTGGGCCAGGATCGACAGCCCCAAAAGGTGAAATCATGAAAGTCGAAGTATAATCTGGTTTTCGATCGCACTATTGAATTCTGTCGGAGTCGCCGTGGCTGTGCTTCACTAGCCACACTTTTATCACTGTGGAGAATCGATACGTATGAGTGGGTTGCACTCGTATTCCAGCCGACGATATTTGGTGTGTAAACTGGCTGTTCCAACTTGTGATCTTCCAAACTTGAATTTGTTGCTGCCTTGAGTAGACTGAATCTTAGTCTCATGATCGGCAACCATAATTGAATATGATCATACCACTATTTTCATTGAACATTTGAACTTCGTACACAGTGACTCCCTGGGTTCTTTGTCGTAAGAATTGGTAAGATGGAGGCGTGAAAGGAAGTGGAACCAGGTGGGGCAAGAGCTTCCCCTTCTTCTGTGGAGTACGGAACCTTGCTCAACAACAACTCCCATCATGACTTCCGAGTCAACTAGTGCAGGTGTCACTCCATATTTGATTTTTCTTGTGTTTGTTGCCACACTTGGACCATTTCAATTTGGTTATCATCTGGTAAGAATATCCGGGATTCCCCCTGTCCGCCAGCTATGAAGACTCCCAGCATCATCTGACACCTTATTCGCATAATAGGCCGAACTCAATGCTCCTCAAGCTGTCATAACGTGCGAGAAAGAAGGCATTCATACGGCAACCGCTCCTCATGGCCTTCCGCAATGCATTCCCATGAACCCGTCGCAATTTGGCTTGGTCTCCTCAATCTACACCCTTGGTGGTTTCATTGGAGCTCTGCTGGCAGGCCCATCCTCCACTAAATATGGACGTCGACTTTCCACACAAGTGGCCACAATATTCCTCATACTTGGACCTATAGTCGAGGCATTTGCGCCGGGGATCCCAATTCTGGCGCTCGGTCGTTTTGTGTCCGGAATTGGATGCGGCGCAGCTGTCGTCGTAGGACCAATCTATATCTCTGAGATTGCTCCCCCTCAGTCACGCGGGTTCTTTGGCGTGTGCACTCAAGTGATGGTTAATGTGGGCATTTTAGTTACTCAGGTACTGGGTTACTTTTGGAGTCATGGTAGCATGTGGCGATGGATCCTTGCTGCAGCGAGCGTGGTCGGTTTGCTGGGGTTTCTGGGCCTACTTATAGTACCAGAAAGTCCCATCTGGCTGGCGGAGAACAACCGTAGAAGCCAAGCTCGCATCGTCCTCCAGCGGATTCGCGGGTCGGGCGCCGATATTGAGGCTGAGATTGAGAGCTGGAGAAACTCTAATACTGCTCCTCCATCCGGAGAGGAAGAGTCGCTGCTATCCTCACCACCAAATGATCAGCCGGCAACCCAGGTTACAATGTTTCAGGCTGTGCGGGACCCATACTATCGACCTGCTATCATCGCAGTTGTGGCATGTATGGTCGCCCAACAGTTCACCGGTATCAACAGCCTGGTCATGTACAGCGTTTCCTTGCTACAGGGTCTCTTGCCTACTGGAGCTGCATTGCTTACCATCATGACCTCTGTGATTAATCTCATTGCCACGATAGTATGTATGCCATTGCCTGATCGCATTGGCAGGAAGACCTGTCTGCTGCTTAGCATCAGTGGCATAGGCTGCAGCTCAGTTCTCTTAGCATTTGGGTTTGCATTGAACCAACAGATCATCTCCGCCGTTGCTGCCTTGCTGTTCGTGGGATGCTTTGCCATTGGTCTGGGACCAGTTCCTTTCCTTTTGGCCGCGGAATTAGTTGGGCCTGAGGCCGTTGGTGCTGCGCAGAGCTGGGGCCAATCGACTAACTGGATGGCCACCTTCGTTGTCGCGCAATTCTTCCCTGTCTTGAACGACGCGCTGGGTAGTCAAGGCAAAGTCTACTGGATTTTTGCAGGCATAGCTGCGCTGTCGGCTGCTTTCATTTACCATGTTTTACCTGAGACCAAGGGCAAATCTAACGTAGACGAGGTCTGGGGTAGAGTGAGCCGTCGGCAAGACTAGACGTCCGAGATTCCAGATTCCGTTCAATGTTTTTAAGATAGGATTTGCTACTACGTATTTGGCTGGGAATGATAGATGGCCACGGCACACTGCTGTAGGCAATGCATTATTCAACATTTGAATGTTTTCAAACTCAACCTAACGATGAAGATGCCTGGTCCAAGCATCGATTCAACATGCGATTTGCATATGTGAATAAACGGTATTATCCTCGTAGGATTGCTTGTTGCATGAGAGATCATCATGATATACTATGTCAAATTTAATACCCGACGTTCCCCTCCAAAGGCTTATTTTGATTTACTCGTGCATATGTGTATACCCGTAAGCAGTAAGGGGCACTTCTGAACATGTCAGAAAAAGGAGTAAAATTGTGGTTTATTTATTTTGTTTCACTAATTCCCGAGGTCCCAGCCATTTTTATTGCGATCTACTCAGCCAACTCGAAATGGATCTATCCATAATATGCTCCGTATCCGAAGAGTTGAAACCAATGATGCAAGGAGGTACCGAAGCCACTACCAGCACTTGAGCAGCGACACGATTGACTAACAATAATTTTAAGAGAGAAAAACCATGCCAGCCCTCGGCTAATTGCTCTCGACTTGGGTTGAAGACCTATCGTCTTGACAGGCCTCTCTCACGTCTTGCAACCTCAACGCGATCTATACGCCACGATGTACATATACTCCGTACAGAATGATCATGCATCGTATAGAGTACTTCGCACATTCAAGTTGATAACATTCAATCACTCAATATTCGCTAACCTCCATGCAGGGTGGAGACAAAGACAATATTATCACCTGCTTGCAACTCGTACTTTTCCTCGCCTTCAAGTTCCCAGTCGGCGTCGTTAATTAGCACTAGAATTCCAGGGCGACTAGTATATGTTAGTTCTGAGCAAAATCTTCATCTAAGACTCGATGTGATGTCACATACACGTTGTCTTCCATGATAAACAATTCCTTTCTTTGGTCCTTCATCAGATTGTCCACCAGATAGTGCAGCAGATATGAGATATTCGGATTACTTCCATCATCTAGGCGCCTAGGAACACTGATCTTGTGTTTGCGCTCATTGGCAAATAGAATCTCCAGCCCACCACTATTGAGAGTGATTAGTCTCTGTAGATATTAAATCCGGAGTTTTGAGAGGAATATACGTGAACTCGACTGTGATCGGGATAGGTGCCGCACCACCGTTTGCGGGGTCAGACATGGTTTCTGCGGGTTATCAGGAGATAAAGAAAATAATTGACGAACGAACAATCGACTTCAAGCCTTTGACGAGGTTGATGCAAGTCGTTGACATATCAATGTAGAATTGTGGAGGGGCTCAAAACCTTTCAAAGGTGCAAGCTTATCGCTTATCGATAAGTCCACTTCGGACGTTGATCTTTGATGACTTTTGCGACAGCTCTTTTTCCCCCATTCAAGTTCACCCCCACATTCGCATGGTTACTTGGATACTCAACCATGGCGTCTGTTTCTTCAAAATATATTAGCGTTGGTGGAAACCGACACCCAGGAGCGGCCGATTGGGATGTTCAATCGGGCGTGCTCGCATACGGAGCGGATAACAATGTCGCCCTATGGGAGCCTCTCGTAAGTGGCTTATGATCCAATGCATGGAGCTATACATCCAGTGTCTGGCAGCTAGCTAACATAACTCATAGGAAAGCACCCACCGGGGTGTACATGCTCTCCTCGTGGGCCATACGGACAAAGTCAGCGTGGTCAAATTTTACACATGCCCCTCATCGGCCGCGAAATTGCTCATCACCGGTTCCGTCGATCGCACAATTCGAGTCTGGCGACAAGACCCCGCAGACCCGCACAATTACAAGCATGCAGCTACTCTGGAGGGCCATACCGGGTCTGTAAACGCCATCGCGGTGACTGATGGAACGGACATTATTGCTTCTGGAGCCGCAGATGGAACCGTTAGAATTTGGCGCATCAATACCTCCGATGAAATCCAGGGCGAGCTACTCGATACGATTACCATGAAACCTCGATTCTTCCCACTCACCCTGTCCCTACGAGTCCTCGAAGGCGAGAACTGCCCATTGGTGTTGGCTGTTGCCGGAACCACTACCAAAGTGCACGTATACGTCGCAGAAAACTCCAAGGAGAAGCCGTCGTTTAACCACCGCGCTGCTCTTGCAGGTCATGAAGCCTGGATCAGGTCTCTGTCATTTACACAGGACAAGAACAACAATACAAATGACATATTACTTGCATCCGCTAGCCAGGATAGATATATTCGTCTATGGCGACTTCACCAGGGTGAAGCCAGCAGCGCCCCGGCGCCGATCGACGATGCCGATCCTCTTCTGGGTGGGATGGAGCCTACGCTTTCAAACAAAGCCCACGAATTCGATGCCTCTGGCCTGAAGTACTCTATCACTTTCGAGGCTCTTCTCTTTGGCAACGAAGACTGGATTTATACCACAGCGTGGAACCCCGACCCAGCTCGATCTCAACTTCTCACCGCTTCTGCGGATAACACAGTCACTATTTGGGAACAGGATACAGTGTCCGGCGTCTGGATGTCGATCGAACGAATGGGAGAAATCAGTGTACAGAAGGGATCAACTACTGCTACCGGTAGTGCGGGTGGCTTTTGGATTGGACTCTGGTCACCAGATGGCAAACAGGTAGTCAGCCTGGGCCGCACAGGTAGCTGGCGAGTGTGGCAGCATGATGCGGAGGCGGATATGTGGGTGCAAAAATTCGGCATTTCTGGTCACGTACGAGCTGCCAATGGTGTACAGTGGGACCCGAATGGCGGTTATCTTCTGTCAACCAGCGCTGACCAGACTACTCGCCTTCACGCTGAATGGCTACGGGACAATAAAATCTCGTGGCATGAGTTCTCTCGTCCCCAAATTCACGGGTACGATCTCAATTGCATCGATACACTGGGACCTTCGCAGTTCGTCTCTGGCGCGGATGAAAAGCTTCTGAGAGTTTTCAATGAACCAAAGCAGATTGCCAATCTTCTCGGCAGGCTCACAGGGTTTGAGCAAAATATCGAGGGTGAGCTCCCAGATACTGCGCAAATCCCAGTCCTGGGTTTGTCAAACAAAGCCCAAGGCGATGAAGCGCCTGTGGAAGAAGATGGGTCAAATGAGGTGGCCGCACCTGGTCACGCAGTCTCACTGGGCATGGATTGCCCGCCCTTGGAGGACGAACTCTCGCGATACACACTCTGGCCAGAGCATGAAAAGCTCTATGGTCACGGTTATGAGATTTCTGCGGTGGCTGTCAGCCACGATCGCAAGCTCATTGCCACTGCCTGTAAGGCCAGCTCTGTTGACCACGCGGTGATCCGACTATATGATACCTCCGACTGGCATGAGATTAAGCCTTCTCTCACTGCACACTCCTTAACCATCACCGACCTCTCATTCTCCGCCGACGATCAATATCTTCTTAGCGTGGGCCGAGATCGACAGTGGGCGGTTTTCAGTCGAAGCCAGGAAGATCTGAACACGTTTGTCACCTTTGCTTCAAACCCCAAGGGTCACTCTCGAATGATCTTGGGAGCAGCTTGGGCGCCAATCGATGGTGTCTTTGCCACAGCTGGACGTGACAAATCGGTCAAGATCTGGCAAAGGGGCGAGGATGGCTTTGTATGCAAGACTACTATTGCCGTAACATCTCCTGTTTCGGCAATTGCTTTCTTACCCTCTCCCTACAAGAACTCCTTCATTCTTGCAGCTGGAGAGGATACTGGTGCTGTCAGCATCCATCGAATCGCAGCCGATACCCTTGAAGCAAGTCTTGTTGTGGCTGTTGACAAAACCATGTCACCCTCCAAGACAATCACACAGCTGTCATGGCGTCCAGTTTCTGGTCCAGAGGTGGATGAAAAGTCTTCTTTCGACCTTGCCGTGGCCAGTGAAGACAACTCTATGAGAATATATGCGATCTCGAACGTCGCGGCATGAGTCCCTGTCCACGACATGACTTGATCAATACATAACGCGGAATGAGAATAAATGTGCTTTGACATTGTATATACAAATAAAAGTCTTTGGGTAGAAAGCAGCGGCATTGCAGTGGTGCACAATCGCATTTGATGAATATTTTGGATAAAAAGTTAAACCAAATAGAAGTAGTATCCTCCATATGGGTACCAATAAACAAATAAGGACATTACCAGTGTGTGAATATTGAGCTCTTTCATATTATGTAGAAAGCTAAAGTGGCTGAGAGGTATCAACAGAGGTAGTCTCCTGTGTCCTCCAGGCCTTGAAACCAGGGGAAAGAATATCGCCATATCCTGAATCCTCGACCTTGAATACCTCGATGACCGGTGATTTCTCCTGTTTGCGAATCCTCCACACACCCTCCTCCTTGATTGTTCCTTTCAGCCCTGAAGATACATTAGCACTGTACGAAGACGATGGGAGGATGTCCATACATTCAAGAAACGCCGCTGCAAAATTAATGCAAATATTTCCATCCCACGACCCTCTCCCTATCTTCTTCACTTTACCCGGGATACTAGCAGTCTCAAGCTCTTCCAGTCGATGCACGATACCTTGTTGATCTCGAAACCCAACAATAATGGTTGGCACGCCGAGTAAGAAGGACTGTGCCCAGAACTTTAGCAATTTCCGCTCATATTTGAGCATATCGCGGTCGTTGCGAATTTCTGCCGATGTCTTGAGCTCCACCCAATGAATGGGGTCTTCCTTTTTCTCCGGTTTACAGTCCCATACTGAGAGAATTAGTTTCGGTTGAATGGATCGGGTCATCTCAAGACTTACCGGCATCAACTTCACCTCCAAGAATCATCCGCACACTTCCCATGCCAGTTTTCACAACGGAACAATACTGCGCACTGTTATTGACAACTTGATCTGGTCGTGCTTCGATTTCATCTCGGGGTGTTGGGTCCCAGGGTTGTCGGAGGACCGAAAGAACCTCGAATTTGTAACCTAGGATTGAGGTTTCAGCAGTGCAGTACTGGGATTGGAGTCATTCATACGTACCCCAGTACATCATCATTTCCTGTGATGCCATTCCGGGTGGCATTCTTTGATGTCGTTGGATCTCCTTCTGCTCGTTCTTGTATGCATTGTTTTCTTCAATGAATCTGAAGCAAATTAGGAATTGTTTGCAAAATTCGGTATAATTATGTTTGAACGTACATTGTTCCCTTTTTTGAAGTTAGTAAAAATGACGTAAAATAATTTAAAAGAGGGCATCATACCTGGAAACAGGTCGCATTCATCTCAAATCTGTCGCAAAATAAGCTTGGTAAGTAGCAGAACACTTAAAGCTTGTGCAGTCTCAAACAAACATACCCATTCATCATATCGTATGGAGCTGCCAAGATCTTGAGAAAGGGTTAGAGCCATTCAAAAACTTAACAATTATTCCTAGCACTCACTTTGGTCATCATTCCACGCCAGGTAATGATATCAACATCACATTTCTTCTCTGTGTCTCTCTCAAGTGCCGTGATGGCATCTAATAATGCATCAAGATGTTCGTCAGGGGTATCATTGAGCTTTTGAAAAGTATCAAACCCGAGATTCAGATCCGCCGGCAGACTGGGCGGGTAATAGTACTGCATGGAAGAATCTCCCAGCGAAAACTGCCGCTTATCATCATATGAGAAGCAAGTGACTTCCTGAAAAAAGTTAGCCGCTAGATCAATGATTATGAGAGTATGAAAAGAGCTTACTTTGGGTCTTCGAATGGCTGTATTTGAACCGCCAAAGCGGTTCACTGGTTGGATATCGAAAGAGAATTGGCTCATGTTGATTGACTGTCACCTTCAAATGAGCGCGATAAGTTGCCAAGTAGAAAGTGAGGCGCGCCACGCAATCACAAGCTTTCTTTTTAATGGATCAGTTTCACCTGGTCGTATTGGTCGTATTCCGGTCGACCCCTTCGATACCCGTTGCAATACCTAGTAGAGGAAGCAACGCGAGGAAGCTCCACTGAAAATGGGTGTATAGAAAGAGGTGTTAGGAAACAGGCAGCTCGTTATGGCTTGTACAATTTAACCTAGAGTCTGCATGTGCATGATCTCCACTGATTTGGAGAGCTTTGGCACCGCGAACAGCTTATCGGCTTTAAGTCCTTTCCCCCCGGATATGACAAATCGTCCTATGACCAATCAGAGGAAATCAATATTGATGCCTCAGGCACTAACATGCGGTGGGAGTTTTGATTCTTGAACATGCAACACAGTGTAGATACTAGACACTATTCGAGATAAAATCTGTATTCAAACATTAACCTTGGTAGTTTCATGCAACTCCGAGGTTTCCTATACAAACCCACTCGGCAAAGCCATTCACGACTTCTCCAGTGAAGCTCAGCAGCACCAGCGGTCGTCAGAATACGAACAATGAGCGAATCACCACCCAACGATCCTTTTAATCAGGAAATTCAACAACTGAGAGCTGATTACGAGGGGAGAAGAAATCGGTCTAATCTGAATTCCACTCCTGACCAACAGATAATAGACCTCAGTTTGGATGTGGTTGATGGTGTTTTATGCTACACTTACTGGTATGAACCTTCAGGCCAGTGCATCCGGCTGGCCGATATACCGGGCACTCTTTCTGGTGATATACTCCACCTACTACGAAACATTCCCGTCTTAGAGGGTGACCACGAAATCATCGGTGACCAAATATGTCCCCTCAAAAATACACTACCACTTCCAGAGCTAGACGATGACTCTGAGGAACTTGGTACAGTTCTTGCCTCGCTCCCTGTGATCAAAGTCAATTCCAGTAAACATTTTGTGAAGGAGGGTAAATATCAGAGTGAGATTAGAAATCTACTCAAATGTCAAGGTGGATCTTGCCCAGGAGTACCAAAGTCATCTCACATCATTCAATTACTGGGAAGGTCGCCCGATGGGAAGCTGGTTTTCGAGAAGTTCAAGCCACGCTATGTCTTGGTGAACATTTATCCTCTTGCTGTCTATACAGACTGGATTCTGCAGATACTCTCCGGGTTGAAGTGCCTTCATTCCCTTGGGATCGTTCATCGTGATCTCCGCATCGATAATATTGTCTTCTCCTCTGATACCTCTCGCGTGCTTATTTGTGATCTCGAGAGTTGTTGGGGAAATTGTTTGGCACCTGAGGTTTCTCGCAAGCCGGTGTTGGATGCTGGCTGAACTGAGAAGTCGGACATTTATGACCTTGGCTATCTTATAAAGGGGATGATATACGGAAACGTCCCGATTACAAACGCAGTGGAATGGCTTGTTCCCCCTCCTCTGGATGCCGTTATGGAGGTTTGTACCCGCAATAGGCCTGAGGAACGCCCAAGTTTGGATGAACTATACGCTATGGTTGACAATATCAAGAGTACTACTTAACAATATACGAAGTATTGATCATACATCCACTTGCAGAGCAGTAATTTGTACAAAATCTTTTTTAAGGTCTGGGGATTATCTAATACTAACAGTGAACAAACTCAAGTGCTTGGGCTAGACATGGTTGATGAAAATGGGGCTGGTGACCACTTTAGTGCCATTCCACTCTCGTCCAACAAAATAGATTGACTGGGCTCCCTCTTGGCCACTTTGGAATACTGCTCGACTTTGTACTCTACGTGGCAAGGCAATATCTGGAATTGCTTCAATGCGCACGAAGAGGTCCGCACCACCCTTGATTTCAATGTGTTTTCCATTGGATACCAATGCCTCCTCCAAGGAAGCGCTGATGCTGAAAGTTGGCTGGGCTTTGTGTGGGTTTCCAGCCAGGGCATCTCCGACCTTCACATAGCCTCCGAGGGAGCCTGTTACCGTGATCGTTGATGGAAGCTTACCATCTTTCAAGTGGATGTTGACTCCGTCCAGATCACCACTCGTCTTACTCAAAAATGATAGAGAGTGATTATCCTTTCTAGTGACACGATCTTCCCGGTTATTCTCAAAGCCTCCGAATGGTGCGAACCACTGTACAGTACTATTTTCGGAAACCGTGATCTTCCCATTCCAGATCGCTTCTCGATAACGGTCATATAATCTCGCTCCGCCCCATGTGATGCGCAAGATCGTGGCCGGCTCCTTGGACTCCGACCAGAAATTCCGACTCCAGATCAATCCTGAACCATCAAAAGCCTCGATGGACGAGAAGCCCTGCTCACCCAAGAAGTGGTAGTCAAGTTCCACTTTTTGTGAAGACTGAACCTGAACCTCATCGCCTTGAACACCCGATCCATCCGCCATAGATAAAAGCCCAACAAGCCGTTGTCCCGTAGTGGCGAAGGTGTGTCGAGCTCGAAGAGAACTAGCAACATTCTCACGGTCAAGTTGCGGAGCAACAATTCCAGTCAAGCCACCACGAGTACCGAAAACTGCTGTCCCGGGAACACCACCACCACATCTCCCGCGATGTTCGTCCGAGTTTGCAGAGACACCAAGCTTCCAACCTCTCTTCACAGCATCCCGAATTAGCCATTCAAAATGACCCCACGCACTGCTAATTTCAAGTAGTCGCTCAAGCTTCGGGTGATGCCAGGCTAGATTGCAACGGCGCCCACCAACATGTGGAATGAGAAGATTGTTCTCTGTATCGTGAGCATACGTGCAATATACTTCATCGAGTGGCCATGTGCCAGGGACAAGGTCCTGAGGCCCATCCTCGGACCATTCGAATGAACGAGCCACATTTCCATGTCGGTCAAATGGAAATTCAGGGGCATGTGTTGCTGGATCAGCCAGGAAAACAATATTGTGATCTCCACCAGCAGCCGAGTTCCCGCACCACTCAGTACCAGGGAAGATGACAAATTTCCCAGGCTCGTTGAGAGATTTGATCAGTTCAACTGTGACATCCCATCGAGCTTTTGTTATTTGAAAGTCATTGGCTGTGTACCCGAGAACATCCAATCCGGCGATCTCACGTCCGTATGTAAAGTTGTAGGTGGATGATTCGGTACCAACGGTATCGTCAGAGTGTACGTGCAAATCTCCAAAGAGTATTTTGGGGACTGCCAGATCGGATGACACCGTGATGTGCGAGACCTTTGACACAACAGCTCTGCTGTCTTTGGCTACCACGGCATTTTGAACCTTATAATCGGCATCTTTGGCAAGCAAGAAAGTTTGAATCGTGTAATCACCATCCCCGGCCAATTGCAGATCTGAGAATATGGTATTAGTCCATCCTTGGCTGGGACAAGATACGTCTCTTTGGAGCACAATTTCTGATTCTTCATTCAGAATTCTCAGTCGAAACGACAAGTTTGCCTGATCTCGGTTCACATTTCCCCAGCTATCCTCGGCATGGGTATGGATTTCGAAGGGAACGGATGGCCTTAAGAGTCTCGGAGAGACGGTTTCCATGTGCTGGATTCGACCTGGCACGATATCCCAGCTGATATCTGGCCGGATCGGTGCAAAGCGACTATAGAAGAAAAATGAGCTAAATTCAGAACGCATATTGGCCACAAAGATACTCACGAGGTTCCAACTGGATCTATGTAGAATCGCCAACGGAAATCCTTCTCTACGAAGGTTTGTACGCGTGTACCTTTGCCTCCAAACCGGCGATCACCCAAACGAATCAGGATCTTGTCTCCTGGGTTCAGGTAGCCGTCCTGGATATCGACAATAACGGCCTTCTGAAAAGGTCTCTCGTGCCCTTTTTGATCAAAGCGAATGCCCAAGGATTGAACTGTCGATGGAGTTTGTCCCGGAAATAAGGTGTTTGGAACATACTCCGCACTGACATAGTTGTCTTTTGTAGGGTCCGCTGTTTGGAAAAGTGCCCAGTCCTAAAGCACAATTAATCTCAACGCCTTCTTGTCAGATTGAACTGGTGTTGGTGTTTACTTACAGAATAGAATTTGAAAGTGCCTTTGATCCAGGCACCGTCAGCAAGACCAGAGCCACCGACTTCATATTCCAGCAAAATCTCGGTCCATTCACCAGCTGTGAGCGATGTGACGTTGCTTTTTACTCGACCCGTGAAAGGCAAACTCTTGATGTACTCATAAAGCCCCTCGGGGGCGAAGTAATCACCCGCCAACTGGTGTTTCTCGTCGGAGGTGAGATACTTCATAGCTTCGGGATGACTGGATAAGTAGCTGTGAAAGAGAATGGCAGATTTTATCAACGGATCGTTGCATGAGGGGCAAGCGGTTTGACTCCATCAGGATTTTGATTATGCACATAGTGTACTATGAAAGCTGGCGCAAGCCTATGCCGTCGTGGGGCTGCGATCCACATACCGACGGGTAAATGGCAGCCAATGCCGCATTGCGCCATCCCCCCACGGCATCTCATCATCATGCACACTGCTGAGTGCATAGATGTCCTTTTAGTTTTGGACTTTGATTTTGTGCATCAGAACCTCATTTATAAGATATGAGGTTCAACTAGCGTTACGAAGTATACCTGAACCTCAAACTCGCTTTGGCTAAGTGCAAATCTTGGAATACTACATCACTACTAGACCGATCCTTGAAAGCTTGGAAAATCAAATTTTTGTACACTTGTTCGAGATTGCTATCTCTGGTTTTGTTGCATAATATACAAGACGCCTCTTTGACACACCTCTTAGACACCGAAGCAGAGTTTGTTGGCTGCTTGCACTGCCTCCTTCTCACCATCCGTCATAGTGCTCTCAATCTCCCAGGGCATGTCGCCCAGTCCCATCGCACGTTGACCCTCAGAATTGATAGAAGACCACTCCAAGGCGCCTTCAAAGCCACGTTCTCCCGGGCCACCAGCACCAGGGAAATCCCATGGCGGTGAGTATGTCAAAGCGGCCTCGCGTTGTTTGAGGAGGTAGTCGACATTCATGTCACACAGAGGAGTAGCGGGGATATACATGACGCTAGAATCACCAGTACCACAGTGCTCCTTATCAACCGAGTGCAATGAATCACAATGCCAAGCAACAAAGTCACCAGGTTCAACCCGTGGTACCGAAACCATTGTTGACTCCAGCTCAAGGTGAGGATGTGTGACAGGGTTATACTCCTGAGCAGCGCCAGGGACGGAGCCAGGGAATGTGGCATCCAAGTTGGGTTTCTGGCTTTGAAGATCGAAAAATGGTCGGAGCATGGTGTAAGCAGTGCTGTGTAAGACCATGGGGCAAACGTGAAGTGTTCCCTCGCCAGGAGCAGTATCAGACATGGAAAGCCATCCCTGGAAAAAACGTAGCATTGAGCAGGCACCTGCACCATTGTATAGATCCATTTTCGCCGAAAGGCGGTGCTTGGCGTCCCATGCGTCATACTGCTCCCATTCACCCTCAAGGATCTTGCTGTAAACACTCGCGTACTCTGGATCTTCCCAGCGCTCGAGCGAGCCACCGTCAACGTGGGGGCCCAATGCAAACTTGGAGTCACCAGGATTTCTGATACGGAGTCGGTCACCATATGTCAATGGGTTCCTTGTTGAGATTCTGGTATTGGGATCCGACGAGTGCCACAGGCGTTGCAGAAAGCGCTGGGTGTCCAACATATTGGGATGAGCACGGGCTTCCGCTTGCGAAGGCGTCCAGTAAAGCTCATAGACAGCTGGTGAGTCGGATGGGAATGCCTTTACACGCTCTTGGTTTGCAGCGATATAGTCTCGGGCTCGCTGTTTGTAGTCTAGCGAGATGTCTCGTGGAATGACATTTCGAACGACCACAGTTCCCCGGTGTCGAATCTCCTTCATGGTAGTTTCACTGATCTTTCCAGAAATGACATCAGAGTACTCCACAGAGGGAATGATCTATATCACCATGTTAGCATCTTGAAGGATCTAGTTCTCGAGCATTTCACATACATCGCTACCCTTGGCCTTGATTTTCTCCACCTCAGCCTCAAGACTCGGCAAGAGTCTTTTCCAACTCTCCGTCAGGGTCTTTTCATTTTTCTCAAAGAATTTGGTTTTCAATTCCTGAAATCGAGGAGGTAGCGGCTCAGGCTGGTAATCTGGTCGGAGACTGGGAAAGACGGATGAGATATCCCCAGCAGCCTTGGTGGTTTGAGTAGTGGCGGATGTTGACGCCGCACGAAGGGGCAGTTTTGAAAGTAGTCGAGACATTTTGAAAGCTTGATTTGTACTTCCCTCATGTCTCCTGGGTCAAATGGACCTTATATATCCAACAATAGTGCGGAGTACGAACAGTTTAGTGTCGGCATTTCCAAAAGTGGAAGAGGGCCGCATTCCCAATGTAGTAGTCTACCCGCTCCACCAATCGCATCTCGCTATTCACGGTGGCCGTTCAACGTGGAGATATGACGTAGTGAGAGGGGATTCCAACCTTGTTTTTCAGGTGTCGACAGTAGCATTGATGTCTAAGTGCCAAATATTGGACCCCTTATTAAGCAGACAGAATAGATGGCATGAAATCATACGAGTCGGAGCTATCTTATCGCGGCTGATTAGCGCGCAACTTTCACTCATTCCAAAGCTCCCTCTTCAGCTTTCTCTAAGTTCGCATTGATACCTTGCAGCAATGATTCCCACACGGAGACTTGCCGCTCAAGGCGGCTTCTTTCGGCGCAGTGCTGAAGAACTTGGTCGCCTCTCAAAAATTGGTACAGTTGGAATCTCTATTTCCCAAACTGCTAAAATACTCACAAAGCATAAAATAGCCTGGAACACCGAAGCGCTTCATACGCCTACTAAGCCCTATACCCTGCTCAATTTTGAGGACGAGCGTACAGTCTCCGAGTGCAAAACTTTCGCCGATCGTGCCGTCGGCGGTTTCAGCACCGCGAGTCTAGACTACGAACCGGCCGATCCCTCCTCCAACGACCCTGCCCATATACGATTCCACGGCAGCATTTCTACAAAACTACCCGATAATTGGCGAGTTGAAAGAACTGGTGCGTCACTTTGTCCTCTTGTATGTGGCTCAGTACTAATTGCGCCGACTTCACAACAGGTTATGCTGCTTTCCGCAATAAGGATCGCGGCCTCTGGCTTTTTGGCCGTCTATTTTGGGATGTGGATCCTTATGCCTACCTCGCGCTGCGCATTAAATCCGATGGTCGCCGATACACTGTGAACATTCAAACAGACTCCCTCGTCGAGACAGATATCCACCAACACAGACTATACACTCGCCACCATCGCGTGCAAGACGGCGCCGCTACTACAGATCAGGCCTTATACGCCAAGTCAGCTCGGGATGCGGAGGCTGCAGAGGAACTATACCCCGATAGCATCCCATCCGCACTTTCCGACATCCCCCCCTGAGTCCACCGTGATTTCCTCTACATCTAGCGCCACCACCTCTGGAACTACTGGCTGGGAGACAGTGTTCCTCCCCTTTAACTCATTCGTTCGAACCAACCATGGCTTTGTGATTGAGCCACAAACTTCCATTATTCGACAACGGGTGAAGAGTATTGGTATTGGTTTGACCGACCGTATCGAGGGACCCTATGATCTACGCATTCACAAGATTTGGGCAACCAATGGTATGGGCGAAGCAGACATTGAGGAGGAACGTCGCATTTGTGGTGCCGATGCGTTGCCACTTGATGAAGGTGTTCGCTCTGCTTGGGCTGAATCTAGCCAGGAATCAGAAGTTCAGAGCCAGAAGAAGCCAGAGACCGACAAGAAAGGATTGAGGGGACTTCGATCAGAATGGGAAGAGTAGTGCATATGCAAATTTATTCAACCCGCCACAATTTGTACATTAAATGGGTAATTATGAATGAATTTCGTCACTCAAGTTCATGTTGGAATATATAGTACGTACTAGGCTCAGGTGCTTGGACTCGGTGAATAGTACTATTTGAACATTTTAATTCCAAGGTTCCTGCATGTACTATCAGTGCATAATAGCACTTGAGCAATGGATACTAGTAATTAAATAGAAAATTGAGTCGAGACCAATACAATTAAGCATGCACATGTGTTGCCATGTTTACCCCGGAATCCCGCATCGCTGCCTTAGGCCGCAGCTCAAAGAGCCGCGGGATGATCTTAGCTTGGTCATTTCCTTTGTGCTCTTCTGAATCCCCTCTGCTATCATTGTGTTTGCAACATTTAACATGACAAGCTGATCCCTCTAGTTACCTATGTGGGACTTCTCGGGTTGTGTTTGCTGCTGCGCTCATTCGTCTTGAATCATGCCTCCCCCCGGTTCCTCTCCGCGTCTACACCGCGTCGCCCCCGCGCCAGGCCCGAACGTCTTCCTCTGCCTGATTGCATTTCGCCTGGTAAATGCACTGGTAGTACGCACATTCTTCCAGCCGGATGAGTTCTTTCAAGCACTCGAGCCCGCCTGGCAAGTTGCTTTCGGAAAAGACCAGGGGGCCTGGTTGACATGGGTGAGTATGAAAGGTGACTTGCTCGTGCGATACCATTTGCTGACCGTGCTCTAATCAGGAATGGCGACACCAATTGCGATCCTCACTACACCCTCTCCTCTTCGCGGCAGTCTATAAAATCTCGGATTACCTTGCGATCCTTCTTTCTCTCTCTCCCGCCACTCGCGCGAATCTCCTGATTACCGGCCCCAAAGGGTTGCAGGCTGTGGTAGCAGCAACAGGTGATTTCTATACTTGGAAGCTTGCGAGCCGCATTTATGGAGAGGACTCTCGTGGTGCCTGGGCAACTGTAGGTGCTATACAATACCATTTTGAACTTATAGTCGCGACGTAAAGTTTTGAACGATCATTTAGACTAATTTGGATAAAAGTTGATTGCTACTGTTCTTAATCCCTGGCAATGGTTCTGCTCCACAAGAACATTTTCCAATTCCCTGGAAACCACTCTTACTGTTTTCGCGCTAGAATTCTGGCCATGGAAATGGTCAGCTGATATCAAAAGCGGCAATGATCGCAAGAATAGCAGCGAGAAGGCCCCCGCAGAGGCTCACGCGATCCTACTTGGGTATGAATTGATTTATTCAAGTGCTTCGATGCCAGACGCTAAAATATGCTATAGTCTCCGTAAATGCCTGTGCTTAGCTGCATTAGCCTGCATCCTCCGCCCAACAAATATCATCATCTGGGCGACCTTAGCTGGATTCGCTTGGTTTCAATGTTGCTGGGATCAGCGTAAGACTCTTATTCGCGAAGTCTTACTCTGCGGGTCTGCTGCCCTTCTTCGAGATTATTATCATACTATTTACTGACACAGAGTAATAGGCTTGCTATCCTAGCTGTATCAGCAGGGGCTGATCGCCTCTTCTATGGGTTCTGGACATTTCCTCCGCTACGCTTTCTATACTTCAATATCGCGCAAGGCCTAGCGGTGTTTTATGGTAGCAATGATTTGCATTACTATCTTTCGCAGGGCTTCCTGCTTCTGCTAACTACACTTGTGCCTTTTGCGGCTACCGGATTATATTACACATTGAAAACTCGAACTTCTACAGCCTCCGATAAGCTTCAGACTATAATCAGAGTGCAATTAGCGACAACATGCATAGTGATGCCCTTCATTCTGTCGATTGTTTCGCACAAAGAAGTTAGGTTTATCTATCCTTTGCTTCCCTCACTTCATATCTTGGCCGCGCCACGCTTGGTACAAAAGTTCTGGCCGGCTCTGGAATCTAGCTCCCATGTTCATACTCCCACTCGGCTCCTTCTTATTTTCCTCATACTTGTCAACGTCGCAATTGCGACATACACATCCTATTTTCACGCCGCGGGGCCTCTCAATGTTCTTACTTATCTTCGTCGTCAACACGAAGCCCATTCTTCTGTGAACAGGGTAGAGGAATATCCTACATTTCAAACTTCTTCGACGCCTGAGACTGGAATTACTGCAGGGTTTCTGATGCCTTGTCATAGCACTCCATGGCGCTCCCATCTTGTTTATCCCTCAATTGATGCATGGGCTCTTTCCTGCGAACCACCCATCGATATGAACAAAACACAGAAGGCTGTCTACCGGGATGAAGCCGACCAGTTCTATGACGACCCAAATCAGTTTCTGCGCGAGCATATGGGCGGCGGACTCCGCCATCTCCCTCGTCGACCAAGCTACATAACTGGGTCGCGACAACTAGTTAGCGACGACAACCCGACACTGCATGAATGGCCCGATTATCTTATCTTCTTTGCGCAACTAGAACCAACTATGCGAAGCCTCATCCGTGGCTCCTCATATGGCGAATGCTGGCGCACCTGGAATACACCCTGGCATGATGACTGGCGGCGCAGTGGAGATATTGTTGTCTGGTGTCTCGATCCAGCCGAACAGGACACCTGGCGTTCAGACACACATCGTCGCGCGCAAGAAAATCGCGAAATTCAATTTGAACGCATATTGACTTCTTTCAAGAATGAAGCTGCTCGTCAACAAAAACGCGGATGGAAGTCCCTGGTTTCAAGTTTCCGCTCATGGTCCATGTCCCCCTCTTCATTCTCGTTCACCTCATTGAAGCGCTCCACTCTATCCATTTTCTCATCCCACTCGCATTGGCCCTGGAAGAAACGTTCTCGTCTTGATATGTTCCTCGCCAACTTCCGACGTGGGAACTCCTGGCATGATTGGGTTCCGTCTTGGCCGGAATGGCTTGGAGGGCCAACTGCGAAGAAAATCAGTAAAAGAGAGCGTGAGCTGTGGTCATGAATCTTCGTGTCTCTTTAACCTGCTGATTCTAAGATTTACAGAACCCGACCACTCGCCATCGACGAGTGTTTCGTTCCAACCGCAATAATTCTAGTTTAATAATGATTGTTTATAGAGCGTCGAGCTGAAGTACATACTTGTGACACCATATTATGAAATCTTTCCTCCCACGCTATCTTTGCAAGAGTGCTCAATTTAAGCCCATTGAAGCATGCTACAAAACCTCGGACTCAAAATCAGTAATGGATACTGTGCAAGTCTTGAATTAACTAGAAACTCCTAGGTAGTACCTAGCCTATGTGTTTATCCATGGATGCTCTGATGAAAGCGGCATGATGTAGCCACGAGAAAGCGGGCCCCAATTATGACTTGCAGCACTAGATACTATGAAAAAACCCGACATGCCTAAATTCAACAATATCGGCATCCACCTAACCTTGAAACCCACCTGCCTTTATGGCTGTATTCAAAATACCTCCGTTTTTAGGCTAAACCTCGAGCGCCCCCACCGGCCTCCTGTCAATTTACCCTGCGGTGGACCATTCCGTTACATTGCGGGGTTCGAACGTCATGCCAGACCCCGAACTCTTCATCCCACCTTGATACAACTGACCCCTGCACCCATACGGAAAAAAGGATTCACAAAGTACTTCAAAATGCCTGCTCCTCAACAAGCCGAGTTCACTTTCCTGCCCCTTGGAGCCATCATTCAGGAATTCCGTGTCGGAGGCAAGAACATTGTCCTCGGGTTCCCCACACAAGAACACTATGTCCAGTACAACACTGCGCATTACGGTGCTACCATCGGTCGCGTTGCCAACCGTCTCAAGGATGGTCAAATTAACAACCTTAACGGTCGCAATTACCAACTCGTGAAGAACAATGGACCCAATGCTCTTCATGGCGGCGAAAAAGGCTGGGGAAAGCGCGTTTTTGACGGCCCGCACACCGTGAGTCGCCATGGACATGATTCTCTGCTCTTCAAATATCTCTGCAAGGATGCGGAGGAGGGGTATCCTGGAACAGTGGAGGTCCGCGTTTGGTACACTGCCAGTAAGGAAGATGAGAAGACCGTTCTCACGACCGAGTATGAGGTGGAATTTGTTGGTGACGAGTGCGAGGAGACCGTTGTCAACATCACCAACCACAGGTAAACTCTCCCAAGATCTTCAAATGACCATTGAACTATCGCAGCAGCTGACTGATAATATTCAACAGCTACTTTAACATCGGTGACGGCCCAACCATCACCGGTACCACCGCTCAACTGGAAACTGATGACTATCTCCCCATCGACTCCACCGGTATCCCAGTAGGAAAGATTGCGAAGTTCCCTCGTGAGGTAACCAAATTATTCGAGCTCGAAGCAGCGGGTCCCCACATCGACGACGTCTTCATCATGGAGACCGACCCATCCAAGATTCCCCTCGACACTCGTGGCTTGCCCCTTCGTCGTCAAGCCCAGTTCAGCAACCCCAACACAGGCATTCATCTCGAAGTCTACAGCACAGAGCCTGCATTCCAGTTCTACACGGGCAAGTACATTAATGTGCCATCTATTGATGGTGCCCCGGCTCACACCGAAGGCGCCGGATTCTGTGTGGAACCCAGCCGCTACGTGAATGCTATTAACGAGCCAGAATGGCGGTCACAGGTCTTGCTTAAGAAAGGCCAGATCTTTGGTTGCAAGAATGTTTACAAGGCTTGGAAGGCTTAGAGGACATTTCAGTCCTAGCTAGGGTTAGTCGCCTAGTGTTTTGGTGTCCCTAGAGCCATTAAGGAGGGGAATGAAACTAAACCATCAATGAAGACTTTAGAAAGCCAGATCTCGGACACCCTGACTGATTGCGACTTGTTCAAGGTGAACCCGCTCAGGCTGCTCTGGGCTGTTCTGGTCTGGTCAGCGGCCACTTGGAAGTCCACACTCCTCAAGTTTTGATGCAACAGATATCTGGATGTAAATAGCCTATTATTTGAAAATAAATTTCATCATTTGACTATCAAGATCACTCCAGATGTCTAAATTATCTTCATGGATTGATAAATCCTGCCAGTCTCCGTCAATACTAGGATCATATACCTGACTAGTACTACTAGGTAGTACCACATGTGCATGCAGTTAACATTCAAGTTCCAGGTGGCATAGGTAGTAGTACATACTATATGGATATCATGCTGCACTACTACATAGTACCTACATAGGGCCTATAAAATTTCCAAGGATGACGACTCGGAAATATATCTGGATTCTAGTATCCCGCACGACTCGGAGCACTTCGATGTTCATAATTCCCCACTAATAGTCTTCAGTTCAGTAAGATATACTACATGATAGTATAAATTTGCAGCCAAGGAGACCGCACGTGCCTACGGGATTCCCTCCAGGGCTCAAGGTTACAGCCTGACGTGGCCAGCATCAACCCGGAGGTCCATTAATTTTAGTAAAAGATTTAGGCCTTCATTTCCAAAAACTGATCAAATTCCTAATGCATGACTCTATATTATTAAGGTGATTTGTAGAAGGAGATTCTAGAAAGGTAGAGTTGCATAGTGATGCAGCTAATTTTCTATCGAGAACGATGTCAAAGTATATTCGCAGAATCTCTTGTACATCATTGGGTCGCTTAGAATTTGTGATCCTGACAGATGATTGGCTCGCTTGCTGTATATTTGTGATTTTAGAGCTTGAAGTCAATAAGCATTGTGTGTCTGCCATTTTTATATTGGGAGCGATGCTCAAGTACAGCAGTAGAATCTCAAGCTCCTGATTGGTCGATCCCGAGCCATGTGTGTGATCTTCCAGGACCCACCCACCAAGTATAAATTCCCCAGATTATCTCTTACTCCAGGATTTCTTCCTCCTTCAACCATCCTCCTCTACACACTTTCTCATCAACATCTCATCCACGTCTCATCATCTTTATAGAATTTCATCATCTCTTAACATTCCCTGATACCCAACATGGTATCCCATCTTTATCTCATCATGCCTTCTCATGCCCTGACCATTATTGACACCGCTCTACTTTGTTGACATTACTTGACCTCCTTGACCTCCTTGACGCGTCTTCAACTTATTGACGTGACCCCACTCTGTGTACACCACTTCACCTTGTTGACACCACTTCAACTTGTTGACATGAGTTCACTCTGTTGACGCGCCTTCACCTTGTCAACATCACTTTACCTTGTTGACACCACTTCACCTTGTTGACACTACTTCACCTTGTTGACACTACTTCACCTTGTTGACCTTATCTTACACCAAAATCACATGGTCCAACATCTTCTTCATTGTCAGAGCACCCTCTTTTCAACATCTCCTTACCACTCTTCTGTCTACTGGTCTCATGGGCATTTGGCTTTGGGGGGATACATGGAAAGGTTTTTGACATCTCCATCCAAAACACTCTGCTCACTCGCTAACTCCGACTTAGCCTATTCTCTGGGCTCCACCCCCTACATGCTTTCTACTTTCTTCTTCTTTTACGACATGCTGGATATGACCGTGGCGGGTTTCAATAAAACTTCAGGACAATCAGCCTTGCTCTGAAAACACTGCGACCTCGAGCTTGATCACTGTGGCGGGTCTTATTGAAACTTCAGGACAATCGGCATAGCTTGCATTTGATATCTCCGAATCAAATATCTCATGCCTCTACGACCGTGGTGAGCTTCATTGAACCTTTCAACAAAAAAACAAAAACGAAAACAAAACAAAAAACCCCCATTCAACGTGGCCTTCATCAAAACGAAAGCAATGCTCAAGAAATGATCATCGATCAGACCAAAATTTTTCATTCAAGGTTCTATCCCTGCATCTTCCTCTAAGCTTCCTTCCTTCAAGCTTTTTTTCTTCAAGCTTCCATCACTGGAACTTTCTCCCTCCAATATCTCCTCAATTGGGCTTGTACAAAAACAAAACCAAAAAGAAGAAACAAAAGAAAACGAGAACAACATGCCACAAGAAGGAAGAAATCCACACAAACGCTCCATCCAAAGCTCTCACCATAATCAAAAAACAAAAAAGATTCCCCAATCAACATACATTCAAATGTTCAATGAAGCTCCAAGACAATCGGCGTAGTTGCATGAACGAGATATCCCCGATACGAATAAACGAACCCTCCGAAGCGACGATTTCAAGCTCCTGTGACCGTGGCGGGTCTCTTTAAAGCTTCAGGACAATCGGAATGATTTGCCTCTCGACTAACCTCGAGATGCAATGAACCGTGGCGGGCTTTGATGAGACTTCAGGACAATCGGCACAGGTTGCGCTAGCGATATCCGAGTAAACTCTGCTTGCATCACTTGTCATACTCGATATGACATCTGACCGCGCGATTCCAATCTACTTTTGCTTGCATCACTTGTTATCTCGATAACATCTGACCGCGCGAATCGAAAAACTCAAGAAGCTGTGACCGTGGCGCGTTTCGATGAAACTTCAGGACAATCGGCACAGCGAGGATAGTGGGCATGAAGTGCATAGAAACATGGAGACACTGAGCTGGATTAATGGAAGGCTTAACATAGCCACAGAATTTGTATCATCTTTCAATGTTTTTTCCACCCAGATGGTGAAGTTTGAAAACACGCCACAGCTGATATCTTGAAGAGCTCAAAGCATCACATTTACACGCGTTTTCAATCTTCTGAATTCAACGTCATAGAACATATCGACCTTCCAACATCTGAAGTAAAATTTCTCAATTGATAGTTATGGTAACTAGCAACTTCAATCTCAAATAGTGAGACTTAGGATCCTGAGGCTTAGTATGTAAAAACCTTTCAGCTTGAACATGCTGGTCGAAGGCATCCATAGAATCGAATGCTTCAATGCTCCGTATAGATTGCATTGATGCCTTACAGCCTTATTGCCTTATTGCCTTAATCTTATCTTATCGCTATTATCAGTCTACGGCGACTAAAAATGCGCGTCGCAGTGACGAGCTTCACGCCTGTTGAAAAGACGCTTTGGAGAGTTATACTTTTAAGTCCTCCGCATGCAAGCGTCTCGCTCTCGAATATTGCGCTGGGCGTCTCCCTTTTGCCCCACATGGAGTCAAATATCGAGAGCAGGCCAGCATAAGTCATGCGTTCACCACATCTCAACGCGCCCATCGACGGCTCGGCCAGGGCCATTTGAGCTCACTAGGAGCTTCTCTTCGTCCGTACGAAGTAACTTCATGCTTGAGACAGACTCTACGATATATGCTCTATCCACAGCATCAGGTAGAGCTGCGATTGCTGTCGTACGGGTTTCTGGACCCGCCTGCGTCGCTGTTAGTGCATCACCAGGATTCTTACTCCAATGACGGCCCTTTTGCTAACGATATTGAAAACCAGATCTATAATGCACTTTGCCCACAAAAGCCCATCCCCAAGCCGCGTTTCGCTGCATTACGTACCCTTTACGACCCGTCGCATCCTCCATCTTCCAACACAGTCCTAGACGCGGGCGCACTAGTCCTTTACTTCCCAACACCGAAAACCGTGACGGGCGAAGATATCCTCGAATTCCATATTCACGGAGGGCCGGCAATTGTAAAGGCGGTTCTTGCCGCAATTGGACGGACGAATCAACCCGACGCGATCGTACGTTATGCCGAGCCGGGCGAGTTTACACGACGGGCTTTCATGAACAATCGGCTTGGTCTTCCACAGATTGAAGCGCTGGGTGATACATTATCTGCAGATACAGAGCAGCAGCGACGTCTGGCAGTTCGAGGGTCTAGTGATGCGCTACTGAATCGATATGAGGAGTGGCGCCAGCAGTTACTCTATGCGCGTGGCGAGCTAGAGGCTTTGATCGACTTCTCTGAGGACCAGCACTTTGACGAATCAACTGAAGATCTCATCTCATCGGTATCTACACAGGTTCAGGCATTACAGGTACAAATTGGGCTTCACATTCAGAATGCCTCGAAGGGAGAACTACTTCGTAATGGGATTCGTGTTGCACTTCTGGGAGCTCCAAATGCTGGCAAGAGTTCTCTATTGAATCAAGTCGTGGGCAAAGAAGCAGCGATTGTGAGTACGGAAGAGGGGACGACCCGTGATATTGTGGATGTTGGCGTTGATCTGGGTGGTTGGTATTGTAAGCTCGGGGACATGGCAGGCATTCGGGCCGAGTCAAAGGGCACTGGGTCTGCAGACTCGGTTGTCATCGGAGCGGTCGAAAAGGAAGGGATTCGTCGTGCGAGAGCACGGGCGCTGGAATCCGATGTTGTAATTGTTGTGCTCTCAGTCGAGGAAACCGCAGGCGGTCCTCGTTTATCTGTGGAGTTCGAGGTTCTTGATGCCGTTAATGATTGCGTCCAGGCTGGGAAATGCCTTGTAATTGCTATCAACAAGTGCGACAAGCTTCCAAACTCGAATATTAATGACACGCTACCGCAGGATCTGGCAGATACCATTCGAGACCTTTTCCCGAGTGTTCCAGCTAAACGAGTCTTCGCCATCTCCTGCGACGAGTCTCGACTCGGATTTGTCTCCACAGATCGAGTTGATCCTGGCAATCTGCAGCAGTTCCTACGCGGACTGATCTCCACATTCGAGGAAATTGCTTCGCCATTGGCCATCGAAGGGGACCAGAATAGCCAATATGACACTTCGTATTGGGAAGACTCACTCGGCGTAACTCACCGACAGAGTTCCAATTTGCAGCTATGTCTCGAACAACTGGAAGACTTCATTACGCAAACCTCCAAGCCTATTTCAGATCATGCCGAGTTCCCGAGCAATGCCCTGTTTGACTCTGCTGGATCCGAGGTTGACATAGTCACTGCTGCCGAGCACTTACGATTCGCAGCCGATATGCTAGCCAAGATCACCGGCAAAGGGGAGAGCGGAGACGTCGAAGATGTTCTGGGTGTTGTTTTTGAAAAGTGAGTTCCATCATCCGTTACTATTTTTGAGTATGGCGTTTTTAACCGAGTCGTAGGTTCTGTGTTGGAAAATGAGGAGCAGGATGAAAGATGGCTCTGTATCATATTTCGCCATTCTTCACGCGTAAATCATCCATGAATGGTGTATGAGATGGTTCTTTACTCCAGATCTGTATATACTTCGTGAATCAAATCTCCACCATAACCAAATTTCGTCTCATCTTGTCGAATCTCGAATCCACCACCAGAAACAAAATCAATATAGTCTCGGATACGGACAGCGAGATAATTTAAAGCGATCCAAAAAATCATTTTACAGTGAAGGAAACCGAGTGTATCTTATGATCGGCAAGCCGAACTGCCCAGTGGAAGAGATGTGGTGGTTCCCTTTGTCTCAGCTTAGCATTGTTCTCCGTTAGTATTGTTCTTCCCCCCTACAACTTCACTTTCGCCCAGAACGTCAACGCTTCTTGGCCGACCACCTATTTTCAGCACTCATTGTTTGTTTCGACTCTTCACTATGCGACAGTTGAACGGATTTAATGGATCTTGCAGCCTTGTCATCGAAGACATTAAATATTCTATAATGAAACCATTTGCTTTCTCATATCAACCCTTCTCTCCTCGACACAGTTCAAGTTCTAGGCATCGAGATTTCAAGTTGACATCAACATAATAATTGCTCTTCATATGAGAAAACTTCCTTCGTAACGACAAGATGGCTCCATACGATCCTTTGACTCAGCTTATTGTGATCCATGGGCAGGATGACGAGCCTATCAATGTCCCCCTTCCCGTTCTTGAGGACTTTTCCCAGTACAACATCCGGGCTTGCATCGATTATGGAGCTCAGCTTGGTGCAACGGCAGTTCTTCTCATCGTTCTTCTACTTCTGACCCACCGAGACAAGCGTCGCTCATCTGTCTTCTTGCTCAATGCACTGGCTCTGTCGGCAAATTTCTTGCGTCTGCTCTTTCAATGCATCTCTTTCACGACTGGATTCGAGGACATCTACCCCTATTTTACTGGCGACTACTCCCACGTTGACTCTCGTGCCTATGCTATCTCAGTTGTGGCAGTGATTTTTGAGACTCTCGTCATTGTCTTCTTCGAGTGCTCGCTTGTGCTCCAGGTTTATGTCATATGTTCCACTCTTCGCCGTCGATACCGAAAGCTCCTGCTGGCAGGGTCTGTTCTGATGGCTCTAGTTCCAATCGGATTTCGCATGGGATTCATGGTTGAGAATTGCATCGAGATCATCACCCTGTCTTCCTTCAAAGACATCCGCTGGCTAGAGAGTGCCGAAGGCATTGTGATCACGATTAGCATCTGCTTCTTCTGCGCCGTGTTCGTAGTCAAGCTTGGATTTGCCATTCACCAACGCCGAAGCCTGGGTGTTCGAGACTTCGGGCCCATGAAAGTGATCTTCGTCTGTGGATGCCAGACTATGACCATTCCTGCTGTGTTCACGATCCTCCAGCACGCTGTCTCGATTCCAGAAATTTCTTCCAATGTCCTGACGCTGGTAACTCTTTCTCTGCCACTGTCATCTATTTGGGCAGGGGCTACAATTGACGCCCACCGCACTGAGCCTGTTCCTGGTCATCGACGCAACCTGTGGCAAAAGCTGGCTTTTGACAGTGACACCACTCTTCGCTCCAAGCAGACTGCGACTGAGATGACAGCTAGCTCTGCGGCTCAGACTTTGTGCTACTCGGATCAGGTTATGTCTAAGCATTCCCATGATTCTGAGATGCCTCTGGGGATTTCTGTTGAGCATGATATCTCTGTCACCAGCACTCACCGAAAGAATTCGTCGGTCTAAGTTGGTTTAAGTCTTCATGACTAGCCGCCGCCATTCCTATCTATTCGATATCAAAAATTTCAGGACATGGCAGGAACTCTCTGAGAAATATCTAGGATGGGCTAGATTTGGTGTGTGCTGATACACATCCTACACTTTCGTTTACTTCTAACCTATCTCTTTTTTATCTTATTCTTCTTCATCTTTCATTGGCGTAACTGTACCTTAGAACGGAAAGCGCTTATTATCTCCATGAGAGCCAAATCATTTTTACATTTTGAACGCAGACTACAAGCAGTGCCCAGTCCTAAACACACATTTCGTACATGTGCTCTCTTTGCGTACTATTCGCTACAAACCAGATCCACCCTAAATGAGACCAAACCAATAATGATATTTGAAATCGGCTGATAAATCTACAATATTTCATCGAGCGAGCTCTGCAATCTTGTCATGGGCAAGAATCCGCCCTTCAGTCGTCTTACAGAGGTCCCTTATAGCAGCAGATTTCAAATGGATCCTTTCATCACAAATTACCTTGTCCATGGCGGTAGCAAACTCGGTCGCTTCAATCCCAGGCGCTACTTTGCGACTTCCATGAACGCCGATGCCTAGCCACTCGACTCGCGTTGCACAGTCGTAGGTATCGAGCCATTGAGGTAGAATAACTTGAGGGGCGCCAACCCTAGAACAAAACAACGAGTTCGCATCAGTACTTCTTTGCCATCCAAGTCTCATATTCAAAGGAAAACTTCAACATACTTGCAAGCTTCAAAATAAGAATTGGCTCCCCCGTGGTGGACATACACAGCTATGTTCCCAGTTTCAAGAACAGATATGATCTCAGCCTGGATCCAAGGAACGATCATAACAGATCCAGCATCGATAAACGTCCCAAGGACTTTCCGAAATGCAGTTGATTCTTTCCAGTCATAACGTAGTTTCCATAGGACCTGGAACTGGGTGTGCTTGTTCAACACAACCCGAATTGCCTTGGCCATCTCAAGCGCGACAGTTTCAGATGGCCTAACATGCGATCCTAGGCTAATGAGAATGGTTCTTTTTTTAAGCCATGCTTGCATCTCAGGATCTACCTCAGATAATGATGGGTGTCTTCGGAGAATGGGACCACAGCAGATAACATTTGAAGGTATGTGTAATGGGAAATCCATTTGTGGAAATGCTGGAGTTAGGTGAAGAGATTCCTTTGAATAGGAATTCTTGAGTGGAAATGGAGATTGTCCTTCGTTTTTATTCGCAGAAGTCTGTCTTTCCGGAGAATTTCTCGTGCTCATTGTTATTGCTGCACGAAGCAATAGATACATGTTAGGCAGTATTAATGTCCATGGCAATGGGTAAGAATAACCAGAGCCCACCCTGCGGAGTTAAATCAGCAAGATTCGATAGAATTTGCGAGGACTAGTTTTTGACCTGGCTTACATCGGATAATGCCATAGAAACCTTGCATTTGGTTGATTCAATATCACTATATCCTTCGCCGGTACAGGCCAAAGGACGACTAGTCGAGTCGTGATGTGTTGACAGGCATCTAAGCCAACATGAAGAAGCGGATCCAGGACAACCACGACAGGCTGAGTCTCCCTCAGGATATCCAGACATCGCTGATATGCCCTGGTATACTCGGATGGTTTCCAACTTGACATGGCTTTGTTAACTTTCTGGAACCCCTCTGTTGTACCGATTATCCCCGGTCTGTGATGTATGAGGTCGACATGGCTGCGGATGGCTAGATCTTCCATACATGGGCCATCTACCTCGTGGAATATGGCGGGATGTATACTCGGACAACGCCTGTTTAATTCTTCCACCGACGCCGTGAGTGGTTTGAAGGAGGCGATGTGTACACGGAATTCTCCGTGAAATAGAAACTCCTCCGCCACGGCGAGGGACACATTGGCTTGACCAAGCTCGCTGTTTGTCAGAAAGAGAATATTTGTTGAACTGGAAGACATTATGAAGAGGGCACATATATGGAATTTTGGATAGCTGCACTGTAGTTATGGGATATCTTCGCATTAAAATCAAGAAAACATTAAGCTGAGTACAGCAGCATTCTGATCAACGCCTCAATGGGTTACTCGAACATCCAGATAGCCCCGAGATCCCTATATATGAAATTCTCAGTCATAAAATTGAATATCATTTGTATTCCCTCGTGTTGGATAGGGTCTTTAGTAGCCTTATATGGATCCTGTATAACCTCAATCTCGAAGCTACGCCCGTAAACATAGAATGAGATGGGATCAGGTAGCAGCTGTGACTATGTACTTATCTCGGTCAATTTCGATAGTTATGATAGAGACAATTGCATACAATATCCTGTAATACCCAGCCATGTATACTCGGAGGTTTACAGTATTAGTCTTCTTCAAGGGCCCCTCCGTAGTGACTGAATACTACCCGGCCTCAGATGAGTATATGATCGCAATTTTTTCACCTAATGACGCAAAATAATGAGCCACGCTCTGGGTCCTGTGCTGAATATTCAAATATAGCAACCTAAACATACCAAATGGGCAGGGAAGAGCATAGCAGCGGGCAGGATAACCCTTTGATCTTATCGAGTCATTGTTTCACAAGAGCTTTTCCTTGTACTCACAAGCTCATAAAATCACGATTCAATAATGTTGACCTCTTCATCCCTACACTTTCATCGTCAATCGCATGTATCAAATTGCATGACATGGAGTGTAAGGAAGTGGAATGCGCAAGGGCCGTCCTCCGTATATGCCCCACCATCCCGCAGCGATGACTGCATCGTCCGTCCCTTCACCGAAAACCAACCAACTCTTGTCTTTCATTCAACCACCTCACCTCCCAATCCAAATACCTCAACCCATCAAGATGGCCCCAATCCCTATAACCATCGTAACAGGCTTCCTCGGCTCCGGAAAAACGACCCTACTCCTAAACCTCCTTCCTCAACTCCCAAAAGACTACAAACTCGCGCTCCTGAAAAACGAATTCGGCGACGTAGCAGTCGACTCACAATTAGCCGCGACACAATCAATCTCCGGTGTGCGCGAGCTCTTAAACGGCTGCATATGCTGTAACCTTGTGGGACAACTCAGCGATGCTCTCGAACAACTTCGTCGCGAAGTATGTCCCGACCGTATCGTGATCGAGACTAGTGGGAGTGCATTCCCTGCTACGTTAGCGATGGAAGTGAATCGACTTGCGCGCGAAGAGGAAGGGAGTTTTGTTTTGGATGGAGTTATTAGCGTCATTGATGTGGAGAATTGGGAAGGTTATGAAGATACGAGTTACACTGCGAAGATTCAGGCGCGGTATACGGATTTGATCATTTTCAATAAGTGGGAGTGTGTGCCGGAAATGCGATTCGATATTTGTTTGGATCGTTTGGGCGATTTGGAGGTTCAGACGCCTTGGGTCAAGTCGGATAAAGGACGCGTTGGGAAGGAGGTCTTGCTTGGTATTGATGGGGCGTTATTCGCGAAGGAAGGTGTGCAGACAAATGGTCATGACCATGATCATGAAAATGATTCGGAGCATAAACATGACCATCAATCTGAGGTTGAGGTCTTGTCGGTTGTGTTGCGGTCTACTGCTCCAAATAAGGCAATTGATGTGGCAGCACTGGAGACGTTGCTTTCGTCGGCGCAGAGAGAAGAGGTCTACCGTATCAAGGGAATTGTGAGATGTTCGTCACAGACACCCTTGGGTGAAACTTCAGAGGACCTGGATTCATCTAGACAGAAGAGTGACGATTCAGGATCCCGATACTATATTCTCAATTGGGCATTTGGCCGGTGGACAAGCACACCATCCACGGCTGTGGCAGAGACTGCCAATGAGAATGACATCGCCCGCTTGACATTTATTCTGGCTAGATATGAGTCTGCCAAGTGGAAGAAGAAGCTTGATGCAGGTGGTTTGGTGCAGGCTGCCGAGGCCAGCGAGGGTGAACTGAACGTGGAGAAATTGGCTTAAAAATGCCATGGAGGACAAGAAATTGAGGTCGTTCTCTCATGTTGGGCCCTTTTGTTACATAGATTCGCCCCGGTCGGATGATGATTGATGATATCTAGATTAGAATAGATGATGCACATAGACTAGATGAAATGTCTATACCCATGATGTCTTTTGACTTACGATTGATACTACTGGATACTGATGAGTTTACTGTCATCTGCAAGGGATCAATTTTCCATAAGGTATCTTTAGATTGTAAATAGTAACACTGTAATAGTTGACATGCACTGTACATAAAGGACATGAATCAAAATAAGATAGATCAAAAAGAAATTAGAACAAAAAATCATGCTTTCTATGCATATACCCATTAAACTCCGTTGCCTCCGTTGCTCATGAATGATGGCTGAGAATCTCTCTCTCTGTGATGCCACTGGTAATACACATCTCTCTGAATACACCACCACGGCGGAAAAGCTCATATGGTGTGCCCAACTCCGCAATCCGGCCATGATCCATAACACAAATTCTGTCATAGTGGATGATAGTGCGGATTCTGTGCGCCACAGTAAGCAAAGTCTTTCCTTTGAATGCCTTGACCATGGTCTGTTGGATCTTTTGGTCGGTCTCGGCATCAACACTGGACGTAGCCTCGTCACAAATGACAATTTTGCTGTCCTTGACAAGGAGACGAGCCAGACCGATCTGTTGGCGTTGACCGTGGGAAAAGTTGGCACCTTCTTCCTCGACAGCGTCATCAAGTTGCATGGAATCAGCCAACCAGGCACCACGTAGAGCGAGCCAGAGTTCCTGGTCGGTGTGCACGCCCAAGGGATCAATGTTATCGCGGACAGTACCAGCGAACAACAAGGATTCCTGGGGCTGGATGGAGATTCGGGGTCGAAGTTCCGAAAGAGCAAGTTTTGAGATGTCAACACCGTCAATAGACACAGTTCCACGGGCAAGTTCGCAGACTCGGAACAGTGCACTGATGAGTGATGATTTACCTGCACCAGTACGACCAACAATACCGATGTGCTCGCCGGGTCGAACGTTTAAGTTCAATCCACAGAGAACCTCAGGAAGGCCGGAACGGTAGCGCATGCGCACATTGGAGAAATTGATCGCACCCTGCTCGGGCCAAGAACGAGGAGCGGCCTCGATGGTCTTGTTGTTGTTACCCTCAGCAGGGAAGCTCTTCTCGAAAGAGTAAATGAACATGCGTTCCACGGAACTCAAGGAGACCTCGACTTGGGCCCATTGACGGATAATGTACTGAAGGGACTGGACAGCGGCGAGAGAGTAGGTCAGGACAACAGCAGAAACACCTGGGTTCTGAGTGTACTTGTCGATCATGACCAGCATGACAGCCACAACAATCAGCAGAATACCCAAGAAATCCAATCGGAAGGCCAGCCATCTCTGACTACCAAAGCTCAACAGACTTGCGCTGACCATGTCATCAACGGCATTCTGCATCTTCAAAGCGAAGGCGGATTGCTGAGAGTAAGCCCGAATGGTGGGGACACCAGAAAGGGTCTCTGTAAAGCGACCAGCAACAGCACCTCGGAAGTTACCTTCGTAGACCTTCAGTTGAGAGGCAGAGCCACGGTAGTAGAGCACAGCAATAAAGAAGATGATGCAGCAAGGGCCGACAGCAAGAGCGAACCAGGGGAAGTGGTAGATGATGAGGATACAGATAGCCAGGATGGTGCCGACCGAGTAGAAGAACAGACGCAAGGCCTCTGGGAGAGCGTCCTCCATCACATTGTAATCCTTTGCAAATCGACTGACGACCTGGCCGAGAGGAGTGACATCGAAGAACCAAGTGGGGGCATTCACGACGCGGACGTGCGCATTCTTAAGCATGGCGAGGTTAGCAGAGTGACAGGCAGAGGCGACACAGATACCGTAAAGGTAGATAGAAATAGCCATGCTCAATCCGATAGCAACATAGATACCGATGTAAGCATTTCGTGAGAGGCCGTAGGTATCCTCTGCCCAAGCACTCAGCCAGATACCGCAAAGCATAACTCCGGCCAATGCGACGCAAAGCAGCGGGAAGGCCATAATGATAGGAATCCAGCTTTTGGTGCTGGCCAGGTAGGCCTTGCAAACAGTCATCAAGCTGACACCCGCCGATTTAGAATCAGATGGAACCACAACTGGCTCTCCTGCCTCGGTCGGAGGTTCGTTATCCTGCATAGTGATCTGAGTGGAGTTCTTGGAATCAGAGAAGCCAGTCTCCATGATGTTCTTGGCATCCTTGCTAACATCGGATTCATCGTCTTCTTTCTTTTCTTCATTTTCATCATCGTGGGATTGGTTGACCATCTCGCCAAATTCAGAGTGTTGAGACTTGACTTGGTTGAAGGTACCGATCGCCTTGACCGCACCATGGTCCAGCCAGAGAATTCGGTCGCAGCGGTCCAAGACATGGGTAGTGTGAGTCGAGAAGATAACAGTCTTGTGACGAAGGAGACCGAGAATTGCCTGATCGAAGATCGCAATTCCAACATGGGGATCGACAGCGCTAAGCACATCATCCAGCAACACAATGTCCTTCTTGGAGTAAACAGCACGAGCCAAGCTAACACGCTGCTTCTGTCCACCACTCATGTTGGAACCCTTCTCATCAATGTGAGTAGCATCACCGTTGGCGAAAATACCAAAGTCGCGGCGCAGTTGACAGGCGTTCACAACAGTTTCGTACCAGTAAGGGTCGTAAGGAGAACCGAAGAGAATGTTTTCACGGACAGTGGCGCTCTGAATCCATGCAGCTTGAGGACAGTATGCCACCTCAGAAGAAAGTCTGAGTCTTCCGCCTGATTTCCGCATGTCACCCATCAAGGCCGAGAGCAGAGAGGATTTACCAGCACCGATACCACCGATGACAGCGAGGAGCTCACCACGGCGGATCTTCAGAGAGAGAGATGGCAGAATGAACGGAGCATTTGGATCAACCGCGTCCTCATCAGGAGATAGAGTAACATCAGATGAACCATCACTCTTAAGCTCATCTTTCTTCTTATCCTTGTCAGCGTCCTTCTCCTCCTCAGGAGGAGCAGCTTGGCTCTTGTCCCAGCTGAACTCAGCATTTTCGATCTTGATAGCGTCCTTCATGTCCCGGTCAATCTCAACCTCCTCCTTCTCCTCAGCGAGAAGGAACTCCTGGATCTTCTTGAGACCAGCTCCCGACTGGGAGACCTGACCCAAGACAGCTGGGAGGTAAGTAGAGGGAAGAAGCAAAGATTGGAAGAGAGCAGTGCTGGAGAAAACAATTGCGATGTCGAGCGCATTACCACTACCGGTACCGTATGTAATGAAACTGGCCATTGCTGCTATGTTAGGCAGGGACTGACCCAAAGCCATGGTGAAGTTGAAGATCATAGCAAGGTAGGTAGCCTCGGAGCTCTGCTCATCAGAAATGCGAGTCAGACGGTCAAGGAAGCTGGGCTCCCAACCGAAAAACTTGACCATGCGAATAGTGGAGATGACTTCCTGAGTAAGACTCACACGAGCCTCGTTGAGCTGGTTGACACCGTGACGACGAACCCACTGCTTCTTAACAGCAACACCGAGAGCGTAGAAGGAAAAGATAATGCAGCCAAGACCAGACAGACCGGAGTAGGAGATGTTCACAAGAATCAGTGTCATGCAGAGCACAATGATAATGGGAGCAGTCCAGGCCATGTGGATCATGGCGATACAGTTATCAATACGGTTGGCCTCGATGTTGATCAGGTTAGTAATGCGGGCATTGGACCAGCCTTGACCGTGAACCTCCACCAATTCACCCTTCTCGTTCTCGTACTCAATCTCAGGGTCAAAGAATTCAGACTCGCCATCCTGGAACGCAGAGTCCCGATCAATATCAGGCATAGGGTTATCGGGGAATTGAGAGTAGCGAAGATCACGAGTGTACCGAGACAGAAGAGGAGCCTTGGGCTGAGGAACATTGAGATGAGCTTGTTCTTCAGGCTGGGTCTCCTGCTCACCAAACCACTGGGAAGCACGAGCATACCAGGTGTATCGAGATTGCCGAGGGTGCTGAGATTGACGAGGGTATTGAGAGTTGCGGGGGAACTGGGAGTTGCGAGGGTACTGGGAGTTGCGCGGGTACAGCGAGTTCTGGGGTACAGCGAATTGCGAGGATATTGAGAATCACGAGGGTACAGAGTACTGCGCTGGTAGGTGGAGTTTCCAGGGTGCAGTGAGTTGTTTCTGGCGCGCTGAGAGCGAGGCTGGGTAACTGGGAGCTCGGTGCCCGGGTATTGCTGTTCGGGTTGGTTGCCAAAGAAGTAGGAGTATCGAGAGATCCGTGCAACACGAGACTGTCTAGCATGGGCCTTAGGAATAGCAGGAACTGGAGGAACATCTTCCTCGGGATACTGGCCAAATCCAGGAGACCGAGGCGATTGTGGAGACAGAGGGTATTGCGAGTTTCGAGGGTAGCGGGAGTAGCGAGAGTAACGAGGGCTACCGGGCTGAGTTTCGGCTTCTGTCATGAATGGATTGGCTGGAACAGTAAGATTTCCATTCCTGTCCTCGCCGTTCAATTGTCTTAGGGCTTGGTTTGCGTCCGATAGATCCACGTTGTCCAAATCCTCTGAACTGCTGGCTTCCACAGTTGTAACAGTGATACCAACCTTGGCTCGCTCGGAGATCTTCATGCTCTTTTCTTGAATCTTGGCCGTCAAAACCGCTCTGACCTGGGCTCCAACTGCCTGTCCAGTGTACAAAAAGTGCTGTTGAGTCCAACTCATGAAGATATTCATAACAATCAAGCCGACTGCCAGGCCGACTCCCAGGGCGAGCTGTGGCATATCGTAGCCACTACCGGGGATATTTGCGATATAGGCATCGGTCAAGTAGTTGATCAGGTAGCGGATAGAGTAACGACTTGCAACAGTGAGCAGATCGGAGGCGATACGGAAGAAACCAGCCAACCAAAACTCTCGAAAGAAAGTCTTGTGAATGGCCTTGAGCAGCGGGGATTTGCAGTTCTCGTCAGCGACATATTCGGCGAAATAGGTGCTGAACTCGGAGTTGTGGTCTTGAACACATCTTGATGGGTTAATAAGAGGAATATCAGTGGCTTCAAGCTTGCGTTTGTATCCAGCCTGTTTGATGATGAGTCAGTATGCGTATATACTAAATAGTGTCAAGTTCGAGTCCATCCACTTACCGACATAACACCACCCATCCAATTAAAGGTCAACTTTCCAACCCATGATGATTTATATTCAGGAGAGACCTGACGTTCCTCTGGAACAGCAGGGATCTTGGAGGTGCCCAGCCAGCGTCGTGACTTGACGACCTGGTTCTGGCCAGACTCGAGTTTACTCATATTGAGAAGTACCCGAATGGGAACAAAACTTCTTCAAGTTGAAATATCTATAATAGAGTCAGATGTGTATAGAAGAACGGATCAGGAAAGAGATCATACCTGTAGATCAATACTTATTCAAATAATAAAACGCGATAACACGAAACGAAGTAAGTGCACGGTGTGCCAAGACCTGTTTTTGAAAGCAAAGACCAATGCACCAGGCAATGGATTAGATTAAGTATAAAAGAGAAATAAAGTGTTGGTTTGAAGTAAGGAATGTTTCATGATCGGCTGGGAGTTAGGACATTATATTTGCCCATGCATCATCCTTGCAAGCAATGCAAGCAATCACTTTGTTACCTAAAGCAGCATGGTGTATAAACCGGGACCCTCATGGATTCTGAATTCTTTTATTAGTGACAGTTCCTCTCATTGAATCCTTAGCCCCGATCTCCACGCGAAAGCTCAGCTTCCCTGGCACGATCTGCGTATCGCGTATAGCGTATCATCCTCCTGTTCGTTCAAGTAACAAGCACAGCTTATTCATCCAAGATAATACGCGATACGGTTAGTTGTGTGGGGCAACTTCAGTATATAGGGAGAGGTCTGAGAGGCTCGAAAGTATTTTTGGAATAGGGGGAAATTGGTTAATGTGTGTAGAGTAGAAGATGGGTGGATGATGTGGATCGACCATGCGGGAAAGTCCTTGTGTTGCTCCTCTAAGAATGAAGTTGGTGGGGTTGCCACTGGGGCCAAATCAACACATCTTTGGGGGCGATACAACAATATTCAACTCCTATTGGACTATCACTGACTCTACTTGAAGATTTTTAACAATTTCAACATTTTTAAAGCTTGTATATTACATCATTATCACCCTAAGCTTCAATAAGGCTGCCCAGGTGTCATATCATTAACCCATTTAGGAAATATTTCCTTATTGAGCAAGTAGCCAAGTACTCAGTGACTATCTCAAGATATCTTTGTCTTCTCGAAGCTTTCCTGAAATTGATCTACGTATTTGCTTCTTATTAGAGTAATTTGATGGTGGAAATATGCAAAGGACCATTTCAATTCCCCAGCCTCATTGTTGGTTGGTGATCCCATTCGAGGGCAAAATAAGCATTAATCCACATGTCCATGTCTGTATTTATCTCAAAGATTTAGTGATAATATTGAATCGATTCATCTCTATAGGCCCAATAATGGATCAAAGACTCGGATCAACAACTGACGGACCCATCAAGCAGCTTGAAACAAGAACCCCCACAAAAGTACTAGTAGCCGCATGGCATGTGCAGGAAGGATCCATCCTAAATCCCTGAAACGCCTCTATGCGACCGCATTTTCCCGCATTTTCACACATGGCACTTTAGCCTTCATCCTGCATATTGAACCTTTATTTACACTCGTGATAGGTCATCAATTTCTCCTACAGTGGCGATTTCATCCTGGGTCTGCAAGGGACATTCCTTCCAGAAAGACCTCAACCTGAGACCCGTGGCCACATCAGGCCCCTTCCTTGAACAAATAGGGACGAAGTCCTAGTAAGCTGGTATCACCGATATGTATGAATTGTTACCTCCGAGTCAGGGTAAAGAATAATTTTCACAAGAGAGAACCCGGTATAGCCTGGTCTTTGTTTAGAGATGACTGCATTTATACGGATCCCACAAACCTTGCAAGTAAACGATCTTCAAGTTGGAACTTGAATAAAATTGAACCTTAAAATGGGGAAACTAGTAGGCCTGGAGTCTAGAACACCATGACTTGCCCAGGTGGCACTACATACGACAAGATGGGTATAATCTGAACTTGAATGTAGCACCTGCATATGTGGGCATAGTACCCAGCACTCCGAGTCAAGTGCTCGAGGTGTGGCAACGTTAAGCCCTGGAAAACTTAAACTATCCAAAGCTCACAGACATCTGGACTCTTTTAACTCTCGGAGTTTAACAGACTGAGACTCTTCAAGTTACTACCCCCGCTGTAGGTCACTTACCCACTTGGGCACGTCCACGGGTGTTATTCAAGTTCAAATGTTGATCGTACTTTACTGGCACATCAATTCAAATTTTCACATGTGTATTTCAATTTTCAAATTTCAATGTTTGGCTGCATCATGATACTACATAATATCACTCAAGTGCTGGAGGTTCAACATTCAAATGTTTGAAGTTGATATATATTCAACCTGCACCTTAACTACATAGTAGTAACTACTACTATGTATCCATGTGAATATTCCAAACTGTTCCAAGGTTTACTTCCAACAGATACCGTGACAGCACTTGAAACTTGAACTGTGTCATCGTCTGCCTAGCATTTATTAATATGAGTGATTGAATAGTCTCTGGTTTTTTGGATGAACTTGATGTATACCAGTTGACTACTACTCCGTAGATACTTCTCCTTTTGGTGAGCGGGGGCCGAGTAATGTGGGTCCTTCAAGTTGGGCCTTGAGGAACTTCAAATATTAACTCATAAATCAAACATTGAGATAGATTAAGGCTTCAAATTTTGTTACATTCAACTTGAACGTTGGAAGTTAGATGGTGTTAATCACGCCAAAATTGAACATTGTGGAGGTTCCTAGTTCTTGTCCTCTCTCCCCTCTCCTAGGCCTATGAATACTGTACCGGTTAGTGCTAGTGGAGCCTGGCCCCCAACATGTTTAATTTTGAAGCCAAGTTTTCACTTCAAATTACCAATTTGGGAAGGTTCTATTATCAGAATAGGAAATAAAAGAGTGATCTTGAAAACAAGCCCTTCCGCCTTGCCCAGCTGCACGATTCTATTAAAAACATCACGGTGGACCTGGTGTTCACAGCGACAGGTTGGTGAAATGATCCCTTGCTTGTCTCTTAATTGTAATCTCGACGAGATGCGAGAATTTGGACGACTAGTAAGTACTACTATTAGGTAGCCAATCTTCATGCCACGGCCACGTTTTTCGTCCTTCGAAGTGACTTCAAGTTACTTCAAGTCTGGCGTTAGGATACCTGCCATAGCATAGAGCCATTATTAACATCATCGAGCAGACCTACCAATTAAGAAAAATCCATAAAAAACCATTTATGAAACTGAATTCTACCACCTATTCCGTGTTGCCGCGTTCGCTGATTTCCTCATGATATCAAGGTGATTCCAAGGTCATGCTACTCCGAGTCGGGGTATGACAATGGTCGTTACTCCACTAACAACTGGGTGATTGAATTCGGATGGAATAATATACAGCAAGACCGAGACCTTCTTTGAATAGACATTCTCCTGATATGATTGAGGCATAAGAGAACTAAGCCCGAAAGGGGACCGGCGTACCTTCTCCGATAAGCCTCACCGTTCCTACCTGAGTGATACCGTGCATGTCGTTCATGGTTGAATCTCCCGCAGACTTCAGGACCCGTGGACGTCTAACTCTCCATCTAGTCAGCTTGCTCTTTACATACCTCTTTCCACACTTACACCTTAGCTCTTCCCTCATCCACCCCTCAACCCGATCATCCTTTGCTACCGGAAGCCCACCAGCCCCAATGATGGTTTCAACGAATTGCCAAGCACCTCTTATGCGCCCGCATGAAATAACCAGTGCTTCACGCCCCTTTAGACTTCCTCCTCCGAATTCGCTGCCTGGGCTTCTGCCTGAGTTATTATTATGCATATCTGACTTCCTCTCACCGGCTGATATTGTTTGCTTGGCTATGTGCAACCCTCGCATGCTGCAGTTCTTCCAGGGACGAATATCCCGTTCGTCCATCTCTGACTTAGACTCGAAACTTTCGGTATTGGCCCGACTAGAACGAGACCTCCCAGAGCTCTTGATGTGCAATTTTTGCCAGATCCTGCATCGGTATGATGAATTCGCTGCAAGCCTGGGACTTGGTGAGAAAGGCAACTGGAGACTCCCATGTCCGAGTCGGCGTCGGTGGGTGTCAAACCAATACTACACCCACTGTCATCCTCGCTTCTTCGCCATGCCATATCCCGATGTATGGAATTATACAGAAGCTTCTCACCACATCTCTTTTTCTCCTCATCAAATTTGCAATGAGAGGATTCCTTTACGGGCTCCGGTATGGCATCAGCACTGATTCTTTAGCTTATAAGCAAGTTACCGCTGCGCCTGGGGACTGGTACTTTACCCGGCTTTCCTCAACAGATGCACAAATCTGCTCCGATCCACTTGGCCTGTATCTTAGGGTACAGGATATCACATTTGAGTCCGCATATCGCACTTCGCCTCGACTCAAAAGCTATCTTGTTGAGGATCAAAGCGCTTGGAGTCATTTTCTTTTGTTGTTCTTTTGTTTCTGGGAACACGATTATGTCATTCCACGTCCGGATTCTCCCTCTGTGAGGTGGAGAACGATCAAACACTCTACACGTTCTAAGTTTCAGTGCCGTTCAGAAGTTGTCGAGAACTTGAAGGTTGGAACAGCGATTGATCTTAGTTGTGATATATGCAACACAGACCTCCACATCGAGTTGAGATGCACTGACACGGGAACCGCTCTCATACTCACGAAATGGGTCTACTTAGGTGCAGCCTTGAGCGAGAAAGACCGATTATGGAAGGTACATGCTGGATTCTGTCCCGAGCTTCCACTCGAAGCTTGCCGTCACAGGCCAGATCAAATTATCAGTCCAAGATTACAGTTCGAGGAAACGGCACCCACTTCATACGAAAACTTAACGCTCCAAAACCTTTCATGCTTACAAAACCAGCAGTACGAGGAAACAATGAAGTACGATGGTGATTCGTACCTGTTCAAGTTATGGGATACACCTAGGGATGATGGACTACTATACATATAGTATCCCTATCCGAAAGAAATGCCATGAGGAAATCATACCGTCCAGACTCAAATTGACTTGTTGGAAGAGATTTCGCCTAGAAATGCCCAGGAAGCTATTCAGAGTCCAATGTTTGTTGAAGAATGACACAGCTCATTCAGAAGATTGTTTATATGTTCGATGGCAGCGGAATGCTCATGACATTATTCCCAACCTTAACCTTGACGCTATCAAAGCGAGTCTGAAGATCCTCCAAGGGCCTCAGGTCAATCCCGGCGATATACATATTATCATCGGGGCTAGGCTCTGTCAATGTCCATGCAAGGGAGATATGAAATTTGTCGTCGGAGCTTTTGGGACAAGCCTGATTATCGTGCGAAGATGAATAAAGAGGTGGTTGCTTGAAACGGGAGAGAGTATAATTACACAAATGCAACAGTTTATTCAAGTTGTCATTCTTTGGCCTCTGTACATGTAGTACTAGGAACCAGCGAGTTCGCTCGTAATTCGATACCCATTTCAAGGTGCCGGGTATAGCATTGAATCTGTAGAACCAAAAATGAGCTTAGGTATGAATGATGTGGCAAGTATACTCACGGTGCGATTTTAGATTCCAGAATAACATTTTGTAGAGTGTCTGTGAATTCAGTGCGTTGCTCCGTGCGAAGAACCACTGGACGTGAGAGGCTGATGTGGAGGGGTAGTTGCGCCCCCAAGTCACTGTGTAGAAGACTGTGTACTTTTAATGTACTTGGGTTCTTATCAGAGTGCCGAGGTATCAAACGTTCCAGAATGGTCAACTCTGTTTTTGATGGATGCCCTGCTAAGTATCAGATAAAAATGTTCCAGATCTGGAATGAATGATAATCCTTACATTCAAGATAGAGGTGAGTAGGCCAGTTGCCTTCAATATGGGGAATGATCCGTTTTCGACCTCCATGGAGGCTTGGGTCATCTTGGACGCTAACGCGTGAGGTCGATGCATATAAATCGTGGAATGTTGCTGGGAGCGGAGGGAGACCCGAAGCTGGGGGGGTTGTGTCGAGCTTTCTTGGCTGGTGGACATGAAGGTAAAATATCCGCCTCATATTCCACCTCCGACTCGGAGTCTGAGTATTGCACCAAGGACATTTGATAGTTATTATGCAGTCGGGTTGCTTGTGAAGGTTGCAGCTTGTATAGCAAAGATGGTTGGAGCTAGGCGACACCGCCTGCACGGTAACTGATGCTTTACAAAACAACTAAAGCTGAGTTTTTGTAGAGCAAGTTTTATCGATGTCCCTATTGGAGAAGGAATAAGTCCTGCAGCTCGAATTTTGAAGACGGATCTGAATTACAGATGGGCAAGAGGTCAATAATGTCAAGCGCATAAAAACATTGAGATTTGGTCTGATAAGAGAATTGGCAGAAAAATACAATACCGATATAGTATTAATGCATACAGCTTGAAACTTTCAATGTTTCTTAGGTAGAGTCAAGAGAAGGACCAGGATCAACTTAAAGATTGAGAGGTACCTTAAAATGAGGGATAATATAGTATATGATGAGATCTTTGAGGCGAGACTTGTCAGAAATGGGAAGAATGTAACATCTTTGAATCATCTACTTCAGGGCTCTGTACAGTCTGTTACAATATAACACCTTGAAATTAAGGCCAAAATCATTTTCGCCCTGACTGAGATCAATATTGACCCACAAGGTAAGCCATTTCTAACAGATAGACTGTTTCTGGTTTAACCATGAGACAGTTCTCTCATTCAAGAGATTGGTTTCCACCTATCCATTTACATATATGAATTGAAAAATGTTTTCGCCGAGGCTAAGCAGATGTATCAATAGTAGCCTTCGGTCTGCGACACTGCCAAGCCCTACTTAGCAAATGGACCAATACATCAATCTGAGAATACCTGCAGGGCGATTGAAGTGGGAAAAAGGTTTCTTTCTCCAATTTTCAGTTGGATGATCATTGGAGGAATTCTCCATTTCTTCTGTAGATTTGCGGCCGATAAATCCACCAACTGGTCAATCCGGTGAAAATCTCCAATCGGGTCCTCCATGTACGTAATACATTTGGAGTCAGATTGGGGTTTTTCTCCATTCAATAAACCAAGAGACTCTTATGTCTCGACCTTGAACTTTCGTGTGCCTGGCCAAAATACATCGACGAAGGGAAAAAAAATCTTCTAATTCGTCTCTATCAGTCTGAAAATCACTAATCTCACCGTTTGCGCTGTTTCGTTTCTTTTCTTTCTTTTCCGAAGGGGCACGGTCTCAACGTTGTGGACCCTGCAGCATCCACCAATTAGCGAATTGGGGGCTCGGTCTGTCAAGTGTACTCACGATTAATATCACCGGTTTTAAGACTGGGTTCTTTCTTTGGCGGGACAATTGATCCATTACGGTGCCCACAACGCCCTCTCAGAACAATAATGGGGAATATGCCGGCAAACCTTCCCCTTATCGGGGCCGACAAGCCAGAGGATGTAATTCAAGAATCAAGGGTCCTGATCATCATGACGGGAGGTACGATTTGTATGCAGCAATCACCATCGGGCTTCATTCCGGCTCGAGGATTTCAAGAAAAATGCATGGCGCGAGTCCCTTGTTTCAATGATGGCTCTGTCCCTACCACCATGGACGTCATCACCGACTCGGAGGGACATGTTAAAGCACACCCGAGCTTGTGTACACCAGTTACCACTTATGGAAAGCAGGTGAGATACACGGTCTTCGAGTTCGAGGAGCTGCTTGATAGTAGCTCCATCGATGCCAAAGGTTGGGCAGAGATCGCGCAGACAGTCTTTCAAAACTATACGCTTTTCGATGGCTTCGTCATTTTGCACGGCACAGACAGCTTGGCTTATACATGCTCGGCACTGAGCTTCATGCTCCAAAATCTGGGAAAGCCTGTAGTTCTGACAGGATCTCAGGCTCCGATGCTGGAGCTTCAAAACGATGCGACGGATAATCTGCTCGGATCTTTGGTCGTTGCGGGTCATTTCATGATTCCTGAAGTATGCTTATACTTCAATAACAAGCTTTTCCGTGGTAACCGGACTACCAAGGTCGCTGCTAGTGATTTCGCTGCCTTTGACGCCCCTAACTGCCCGCCCCTGGCGGTAACCACTTCTATGCGCACCAATGTGAACTGGGATATGGTGCACCGACCCACGAGCCTGGCCCATTTCCGGATCCAAACTAATCTTGATACAACCCATGTTGCATGTCTCCGTATCTTCCCGGGTATCAAGCCCGAGATGGTTGACGCTGTTTTGAAGCTGGACGGACTGCGTGGTCTCATTCTAGAGACATTCGGAGCTGGCAATGCTCCATCTGGTCAGGATAATGCCATGATAAACGTGCTGGCTAGTGCCATCCAAAGGGGGATTGTAATCATCAATATCACGCAATGTAAGTGGCGTCTCTACTTGTATTGACTAGGAATCTCCCGGCTAATCAACCACTTCCTCTAGGTCTCACTGGTAGTGTGAGCCCTGTCTACGCTACAGGCATGAGTCTTTCCCGAGCAGGTGTCGTTGCCGGTCTCGATATGACCACCGAGGCAGCATTGACAAAGCTCGCTTATTTACTCGCTTTACCAGACTCTACACCGCAGTCTGTGACCAAGAACATGTCTGTCTCCCTGCGTGGTGAGCTGACTGAGACCTCTGTCCCTGTTTTCCGTCACCCCGACGGCGCCCTGCCCGAGCGTGTGCAAACTCTCACCGTCATGGGCTACGCTATTGCGCTGGGTGACCTCGAGAAAGTGAAGACAATTATGAAAACTGAGCACCACTGGCTACTCAATGACGCTGATTACTCGGGCAACACTCCAATTGTAAGTGACCATCGTTAAGACCAACTGTCAAATATTCGTCTCAAATCTGTACTAACTCATCTCAGCATCTGGCCGCCACATCCCCTGCCATCGATATACTCCACTTTCTCCTCTCCCATGGAGGATCCGTCCATCTCCGTAACCGCAGTGGTCGCACGCCACTGTTTCTGGCAGCTAACGCAGGCCTCTCGGATCATGTCCTTCTTCTTCGGAAATCCGGTGCTCATTTGCACTCGGATGAGCGGCCTGCTGCTGAATTGCTTGCTCGGCGCCGACCGGGTATCTGGGGTCTAGCGGGCATTGACCCTCATGCGAACAGTCAACGAGAACTTGATGAGGAGAATTGCTGTGCGCGAGGTCAGATGATGGCTGGCTCGGCGCCGTGAAGGGATTACATGCCAGTCGACGGATCCGAGAGAGCTGCCCGGCCAACTCGATTTTTCTATTCACCTGATATAAAGGAGCAATCTCGCGGTCATGGGATGCCTTGATCACCGTTTCCCAATCTCTCCGAGAGACCTGTTCCCATTTCTTCAACTATACCCTTATAGAATTATTTCAACTTTTATTTAGATTGCCAATTTCTAGTACCCAGATGCTTTGATGACAAAATTTGACAGCTTCTTGCGATACTCCTTGAACTCAAGGGAAATAGAATCCTGGATCGGGTTACACCAGTTGACAGTATAATGGACTTAGCCCCTGCATATAGTACATTTGATGGAGGTCACACAAGATTTATAGAATCCTGATAGTTACTCGAGAAAAGAAAGAAAAACATTCAAATTTCAGCATAGGATACAGAGTAGACCAAAGTACATAACCAAATTTCCGTCTCAAAGATAGAGGAAGCAGGTCGGCTGAACAATAAAGGGGTTTTGGCTGAGTGGATCCCAGCCACGAGCTACCGTACCTGAGACTCCATCTCCCATTCTCCGCACTCCACAATCGCGGGGGACTCACCATTTCACTCTCTCCTTTGCGACCTAAAATCCTCTTGAATACCTATCCAGCTCCTTTCTCCATTCCAAGTTCGCAAATCCTTCCTCATCGGGAATGCGCCTCCCAATCGATCACCTCCTCTTCCTCCTCCTCCTCCTCCTCACTCCCGTCACAGCGATCGGCGCATCATGCTTTAAAGTCGTCTCCGCGCTGGTCGGGCGACCCGGCCACTTATTCAACAAATTCCAAAGCGAAATCTGCGAGCGCGGATGCCAACCCACAATCCCACACTGGGATCTCTGGACGCGCAATAATACCTTCGTCCCCGCCGTCCAAAGTCTTATGAAACGCATGAACGTTCCCCACCAAGAAGAACAGCTGCTCAAAATGGGCGATGATGTGGCGGTCATTATCAAAGAGCAATGTGCGCCTTTACTGAATGGTCAACATATTTGCTCTGATTCATCGACGCTAGCCGATTTTGGGAATTGTTTCAAGAGGAACTTCTTCAAGGCTTCTCTTAAACATCTCCCTATCTTATTGCCTATGGCTTCAGAGGCGGCTTGTAAGGAGCAATATCGCTTTTTGCAAGGGGATGAATTATGGGAGCAGACTATTCCGCAGAATATGCGGGATTATGCCAGTGTGTGTGATAAATTGGAGCCGTTTGAGCATGATGATCAGGATGGGCATGATGAATTGTAAGATTGGATGATATGATCTTTCAAATACTTCTATTGTGGATATATGCATCTTGAGTACATAAAAGAGCCGGCTCATGTACATTATGGCTTTGCGATATGATGAATTAACTTGAAACTCTGGAGTCTGGACATATCGCATGATGAGTTTCGAGGCTTGCTAGCTGGCAAAATGGTAAATATCTCTAGTATATCAATAATAATTCCAGGTTTGATGTGCACTCCAAGTTCGAGTTGCATATGATCTCTTTGAGCATCGAGTCACCAGTGAGTGACAACAAAGTAGATATCGGGACGTCTCAACTACCTCTAAATGTCATAAATGGAGAAGCCTTAGATTATGCCGTGCACGGCTCAGGCTCAACACATGTGCAACCTTGGAACTCAACCGAATGGATTCAAGTGAACACTAGGAATTTTTCAATTGACTCTACTTATGGTTCTAATATCGTGTCCAGAATTTAGTGGTGGTATAACTCCATACGCACAAGTCTCGGGATGTGGGGGACATCCGGCTCCCCCATACGGAGATGTAGAATTGGAGACTCGGACTTAGAACCACTGCATCCCGGTGGGCGCCCGGGGTAGGAACATGCCCATATAAAATGCGTATAAGCCGACTTGATGTCATTTCTTTCTCCTATTTGACTCCATCTTAGCTAGATTTAGTTGAATTTCCTGTCAACATGGGTAACTCTATTCGATCCTTAGTATAATTCACTCCAGGTGATTAATGGAAAGCAGGTCTCACACCAGTACATTTCTTCTCCCATGGCTCAACGATGATGCTGGGAGAAGAATCCGAAAGCGCAGACTATTGGAAGAAATGCGGCGATGAAGCATTAGCGCGGAATATCAAGGGCGTTGTCATCATGGTAATACTCAGATCTCATCTCTTCAAGTCCAGCATATTAACAAAACGCAGGGCGCGCACTGGGACTGTCTTGGAGACAAAATCGAGGTCGCAACAAATCCAAACCCGGGTAAAAGCCCCGTGGCATACGTGAAGCCAGAGAAATACGTCAACTACGAACTAAACCCAGATCTCGAAACATCCGACCGATGCATCAAGATGTTAGCCGATGAAGGCTTCAACGTTCAGGGAAACACAACCTTCGACTGGATTCATGACGTATACCTTATTCTCATTCGCATGTTTCCTGGAGGCTGTCCACCTACAACCTTGATCTCCGCCAACGCGCGATATGATCCGCATTTCCACATGAAGATCGGTGCCACATTACGACCATTACGTCGAGAGAACTATCTCTTCATTGGTACAGGTGGCGCAGTGCATAATCTGTATCGAAACCGCTGGGCACCGATGCTTCGCTTCAGAGATAACTTTGCGATGGAGACGCCACCGGAGGACTGGGCTATGGAGTTTCGGCAGGCTGTGGAGGATGTCATTACGAAGACTTCGGGACCTCAATTGCGTCGTGCGATGACTCGTCTTATGAAGCATCCTCGTTTTAGAGATGCGCATGCTACCGATGATCATTTTATGGCGGCGCTGTTTGTGGCGGGTGCGGCTGGAGACCCGGAGGATGAGAATACACCTGCTATGATGGGGGCGGAGAGTTGGGAGTTGACCAATATGTGCAACTCGCAGTTCACAATTGGACGATGGCCTCGAGAAGTCGCAGTATGACCTTGCAACATTTTGCTATGTTGGATGCTATTCGAAGTTAGAGTATTTGCGATCGTGAGCTGCAATTTTGTGTTCAATTAACTGTAAAATTTCCATTCAGAGTCTCTTTTTCAATAACCTAATCTGCTAATATCACCATCTAAGAATTCTACAAGGAGGCTGGCCGTATTCAAACAGATCCTTGGTAGTAATTAAGCTTGAACTTGCGCAGTTTCTTCAGCTTCTGTAAAATCTCCACCTTCCTCAACTCAAGTAGCAAGTCCTCCTCATCTGCATCTTCCAAATCAACAGACACACTAATCAATGGCGCTTTAGGAGGCGGTATCTCCATCAATCCATTCTTCACCTGTGTCTTGCTCTGTAGTGTGGAGTCCGCAGTTGCGATCACATCCGAGATCAGAAGATGTTCTTGCGGCTTGATACTATTCGTAGCAGCATTATGGTCCCGATTTATCGAAAGTGCGCCATTGGTCTTCGTTTCGTGGTTATCGTTGGCGGCAGTCGCCTCTTCCCAGTTATCTTGATTTGAGCCAACCCACCCTTTGCACATCCGCACTGCCTTCTCCCATTCTCCGAACTTACTGGCGCTCTCTTCACACGTGATCTGAGGCTCAAATACCGCTCCACCACTGCGGTTGATATCTCGCAGCTCTGCAAAGTTTCTCCAAAGACCCACAGCAAGTCCCGCAGCAATCGCAGCTCCCAATGCAGTTGTTTCTCGCATCTTTGGTCGGTACACGGGTATGGATATTAGGTTAGCTTGAGTCTTAGGAAAGCGTTATGAGTTAGTCATGAACTATCATAATCAAGTTGCTCTCTTACCTGCATAGCCAGATCCGAATTACTCATTCCTCCATCCACGGCTAGTTCAGATAAAGCCTTCCCGCTGTCTTTCTCCATTGCATCCAGAATTGCTTTCGTCTGGAAACACGTTGCCTCGAGAGTTGCACGAGCAATATGGCCTTTCTGTGTGTATTGAGTGATACCAACTGTGGTTATATCAGATATTAGTATGCCATGTCTGAGGAAATCCAAGCTCAGAGAGAGAATTACATATGGTTCCCTTCGCATCATCAATCCAGTAGGGAGCAAATAGACCACTGAAAGCCGTGACAAAGACACAACCCCCATTATTTTCAACTGAAAGAGCAAGGTCGTTCACTTCCTTTGCATTTTGGAAGAAGCTCAAATTCTCTTGAAGAAACTTTATTCCAGAGCCTGCCACAGCAATACTCCCTTCCAACGCATAGACAGCCTTTCCACCAAAGTCGTATGCAACTGTCGCGAGTAACCCGTGGGTCGAAATGACAGGCTTATCACCCACATTGTATAACAAAAAGCAACCTGTCCCATATGTATTCTTCGCCATACCAGGTGAAAATCCTTTTTGTCCCACAAGAGCCGAAGACTGATCACCCAAACAACCCATAATTGGAACACCTGCAAGGGCACCAGAAATAATCGCACCGTAAGCGTGAGCGTCAGAGGAAGGAACAATAGCAGGAAGATGAATTTTGCCCTTAATCCCGAAGAAGTCCAAGAGTGTATCATCATATTGTAGTGACTCCAGGTTTACGAACATGGTTCGGGACGCGTTTGTCGAATCTGAGACAAAGACGTTGGCAGCAACTCCACCGTTCAAACGGTACACCAACCACGAGTCGACGGTACCAAACGCGAGGGTTCCCCGATCAAATGCCTCTTTGACTTTTGGGACATGTGCTAGCATCCATAATAGCTTCGTGGCGGACGAGTAGGTGGATAACGGTAGACCACAGATAGATTGTAGCTTCGAGGCACCTGGTTTCTGTTTCAATTCGTTCACTATGCTCTGTGACCGTGTATCCGTCCAGACAATGGCGTTGTACAGAGGCTCGCCAGTCTCATGATCCCAAACCACCGTCGTCTCTCGTTGATTCGTTATTCCGACTCCCTTGATTCTTGCGCGATTGTAGCCGTTATTTTCGAATTGTCGAACTGCTTCCTCGATGCATGTTTCCACGGACGATACGAGTTCTAGAGGATCATGTTCGTGCCATCTGGTTTCAGGAGGAATTTCATTAGTACTCTATTCGTCACAAATAATATTTTTCCGATCCACTCACCCTGGATTTGGATAGATCTGCGTAAACTCGACTTGATGTGAGGCAACAGGTTCTCCATCTCGATCGAAGATTAGGAATCTCGTACTAGTGGTACCCTGATCGATAGACCCGACAAATATCTCTGAAGGTTGCATGGTTTAATAGGAAGATATGTTCAGGCGATGAGATAGATAATGGAAAGAAGAAGACCTCAGAGTATGAGAGAGAATGAATCAAGACTATGTCCCCTTGTCCGACCTCTGGATTTACCCCCAAAAGGCATGGCCTTCCCATTTCAGGGGAAGGATAACGACCATCATCTTAAATAATCATTAAAGTAACACAGTATTCCGTCTGCGGGGTCTGAGATATGGGGGGGGGTCAACCTTGTCTCACGAAAGGATTGGTGGGATTACTGGACCAGGGGGTAAGAGTATTATGTCCCGAAAGGAAGATTGAGGCTTGAGCGTCAGTGCTCCAATGCTACTAGTAGTTCACCGGTATGACAGTAGCAAAGCGCAGGAGATAGTCAACCATATTGGACATGACTTCAATAGTCTCATAGTCGTAAGTCAGTTGCAGTATATCTCAGAGGTGCATAAGCCCACCTAAGCACCTCAAGATGCGGTCTTTCCTGTACCACCTGCGTGTGATCTGTTGATCCCCACGTTACTCCACCTTGACACTGTCAGCGACGATCCGGGGGAAAGGGAAAAGATCCCAGAGCACATCATCTCTCTTTCTAATGACCCAACGAAACATAATGTTCATTGTGTGACCACGTCACGATCCACTAGGGCGACGCTGATTGCTCAGTCGCAGACCGACTAATGCCGGAGGGAATGTGGGGGCTAATCGGACGACTCGGCTGTGTTAACGAAGTTCCAGAATCCAGTTCTTGGAGTCGAGAGTACTCCACTATTTTCATATACCTACCTAATACCACCCAGGTACATTCAGTCGAGGATGAGATATCATGTCCACCTGTCCACCCGTGTCGGACTTGATTGAAACCCGGGAAGTTAGAACTTAAATCCAAGAAGGGGGCGTTCAAGTTCGTGTGTTAACCTTGTGAGAAGGTATTTCTCGGTGGATGTCACCCTATTATTTAGCATGGTTTCATGAGGTAGAGCAACGTTTTCTCAAGTTCCACCACCTCATCTCATCATTAAATATATGCACCAGGGCTACATTGCTCGAATTTTCAACATAAATTCATGCTACTAGTACTTTTCTACGCAATTTTACAGCTATGCAATCTTCAATAAGCCCAGGCGGAAGTACATACGTCCATAGTGGATTACTGGAAATTTCAATTGGGACTAAACTAACAGCATTTCATCCCGAGTGGTTCCAGATGAATGAATCCTAAAAACTATTTGGGTTATAAAGTCCGCCTCCTATCGGTAAATAGAAGACCAAAAAAAATAGGCACTCCGGACGGATCACTTGAAAATGTTCCAACTGCAAGTTAACTTTTAAAGTGTAAGTATTCTCTATATCTCTTTTTGACATCTCGAACGTTGAATTATGGTAGAATGGGAAAATTCGGAGACTCAAAGGACCGGGGAGTATCATGGTTGTCGATAATGAGGTACACAGTGAACTAAATCGACCTTAGCCAAGGATCCGCCAACAATTCTTTCGCAGATGCTCGATTCTCCGGTTGCCACTGGAGCATCTTCCGCATGAAGCAGAGAAAAGAACTTTGTTGTGTACCTTGCAGATTCCTTTCCAGTTTCTCCAAAGATGTGCAAGGGATTTCGGCAGCGCTTCTCCAGTTACCTGATTGAATCCTTCAGTCAGGACTCTACAGAGTTGAATACATAAGAAGGGGAGAGAGACAGGGGAAATTAAAGGAAAGAAAGACATACCGTCACTATCGAAGAACTTGGCTGCGTACTCACTACCTTGGAGCATTTCTTTAGGTGGTGGGCCCATGATTGCGATCATCCGGGCAAGGTGGTGACTGTCTGAAACTTTTCCATTTGAATCGCGGGCCTTGAAGAGACTTCCTTGTTCAAAGAGATTCCAAGTCTAGATAATTAGTCAGTGTTTTGCTTTGTTGAGTAATGTGGGTTAGGGTATGTAGATACAAGAGTTGCTAGATTCCAAATATCGATCTTCTCATCCCATGGTATTCTTAAAATAACCTCTGGGGCCCGATATACCAATGGTTGGACATCTTCCCAGCGTTTACCAAGAGTCAGGCTGAAGCGAGCCTCCCCAAAATCAGACAAAATAGGGCGACCATGCATTTTTGGGATCCCGAGGTTCCGGGAGGCATAGATCACTCGACCATCAACAGCTTTACGAGGACTGGGGTTGGACATCTCTGCTTCCTCGAAATCGACGAGAATTGACTCATCCTCCACGCCGAGCATGACATTGTTTTCCTGGATGTCTGATATTTGGTCAATAAGGTGGTCTGGAAGGAGACAAGAAGTCTTAGGATGAGGAATATTATACCGGTATGAACGACACCGGCCTCCGTGTGAAGGAAGTCAAGAGCAAGAAGTATATGAATCAGAGTAGGCTTAAGTAAATCCTCCGGAAGCATTTTCCCTTTAGCCCGATGGCGTAACTCGCATAAGCTCATACCCAGAGGAGGGTGAACGAGGCACTGGTAAGAATATGCATTGTCTGGAGATCTGATTTCGAAATCATCGATAGCGCGCCGCACGAGTTTAAAGCCCGTATGGCTTGATTTGAGGCTTTCTATATGTTTGTACACCTCTTTTTCTGTTCTTGCATGGCTAGACTCATGATCATACATTTTCAGTGTAACATAAGCATGCTGCCTACAATTTCTCAGTTTAGAACCTCAACGTTCCCACCTGGGCAGCGTAGGTGCTTACTGTAGGTCTCGGGAAAGCCATACTGTAGAATGGCTGCCATAGCCGAGTTTTCCAACCACCTGGTACCTTGAGCGAAACATATCACCGATATTTACAGGGTAGAAATGGTGTGGTAAGTATCCTTTGAGCGTTTCCTCCTCTAGTTTCGAGTTCGCGTCAAGAAAAGTGCCTGGTTGTGGAAATTTCCGGGCTGGAGAAGGCCATCGCCCAAAAATAGACTGTTTTAGTTGTTGTGCAAGACGCCTCATGATCATAGAATAGACTCTGGATATCCTTTGATTACGATTTCCACGGACTTGATCGTGATAAACAAGGGGGAGGGTACCGGAGTGGGCGATACGGACACAAAACTAATCACGCCTGAGACATGTTAGAGGATGGGATAGTGAGGCTCATGTCGAGCACGAAAGGAGGTATGTAATTGAGGAAGTGTTGTCTATGCTGATACCAACAGAAGAGCGATATCATTACGTAGTCAATGGCTGCGGATGGATCCCTTGATGTCCGGTAGGTCTTGGGGGCTCATGGTGTACCTAGTGCGATGAATCAATTCCAAAGCTACATACCTGCCCAGGGGAGTATCCACTTTGACACTTAAAGTTGCTTGATTTTGTTTTCCAAAGATTTGTACCAGTTGGCATCGATACGTCTCAATTTCTTAGAATCGCCGCGGAGTCCCCCGAGCCTCGTATTACTAATACAACACATTCTATTATCGGGTGTGGCAGATAACGGGGCATGTCCATGCGATAACTGCTCCGCGGACTCTTTCGCCCCCCTCGTTTTCATTCTAGAATGCATTTATCTCTGCTCTGTTTTCTCTAAGGATGTCTTCCTGTATTACCTGAACAGCCCCGGCTATGTTATATAGGCGAACACTCTCACGCCACCTCCGGCGGGGCTTTTCCACGCCGAGTCGGTGGCACAGCACCGGCTCTATCGCGCCTTCCACAACCTCGACCGAACTCCCTCCACAACCTACGTCTACTTCCCGTGCCGCGAGCCTAAAAGATGTGAAGCCCTTCTCCGAGTTCCTCACAGACACTTTCAACCGTCAACATGACTACTTACGGATCAGCGTCTCGGAAAGATGCAACCTCCGCTGCGTATACTGCATGCCCGAAGAAGGAGTGGACTTATCGCCACCAGCGCATCTATTGACAACCCCAGAAATCGTCTACTTGTCCTCTCTCTTCGTTTCTCAGGGCGTTACAAAGATTCGGTTGACCGGTGGCGAGCCAACTGTCAGAAAAGATATTGTTCCCTTGATGCAACAGATCGGGCAGCTACGACCAAACGGGCTTCGTGAGCTTTGCCTGACGACAAACGGGATATCCTTACATCGAAAGCTTGATCCCATGGTGGAGGCGGGACTCACGGGCGTCAACCTCAGTCTGGACACACTGGATCCCTTCCAGTTCCAAATTATGACGCGACGCAAGGGATTCGATGCCGTGATGAAAAGCATCGACCGAATTCTGGAAATGAACAAAGTTGGTGCTGGAATCAAGTTGAAGATTAATTGCGTGGTGATGCGCGGTATGAACGATCGCGAGATCCTCCCGTTCGTCGAGCTGGGCCGTGAGAAACCCATCGAGGTGCGCTTCATCGAGTACATGCCGTTTGATGGGAATAAGTGGAATAAGAAGAAGATGTTTTCCTATCAAGAGATGCTCGCCGTTATTCGGGAGAAGTACCCCTCACTGGAAAAAGTGGTCGATCATAAGAACGATACGAGCAAGACCTACCAAGTTCCCGGCTTTGAAGGCCGTGTCGGGTTCATCACGAGCATGACGCACAACTTCTGCGGTACTTGTAATCGATTACGTATCACTGGCGATGGTAATCTCAAGGTTTGTCTATTCGGGAACGCCGAGGTTTCGCTGCGTGATATTATTCGCAACGAGAACAACGGGCAACCTATCGATGAAGCTGCCTTACAAGATCTTCAATTGCTCGAGCGGGTCCAAACAGCAGCCCGTCTCAGCGATGAGGGTAATCTGGTACATGAGCGCGAGCGAGAAATCTTGGATATAATTGGGATGGCCGTCAAGCGTAAGAAGGAAAAACATGCTGGCATGGGACAATTGGAAAATATGAAAAATCGACCTATGATTCTCATTGGTGGGTAGGCGTTTATTCTCTTTTAACGACTGAAATGATTTACGACATGTACATCTTGGTCATGTATTTGACACAGGCAACGGCCTATTTGGATGGCTGCTTCATGTTCGGAGACTGCATTTAATTCATGTACTTATGACATCAATTTGCGAGTATTCTATGCTGATAGGTGAAATAGATAGTAACAAATCCTCATGGTCATCATTTAGCCCACGGGCAAGAAACACAAGAATCCCTTTCCATCTACTCACGCCTTCCGCGGGTCTATACCAAACTCGGCTCTACCACACCGGACGCTCCAAGTCTGCAGCTGAGGAATCCACACCCCAGAAACCCGGTCATTCAAGCCCTCGGTCTCTTCCTACTGTATCTGACTCTGAACTTCCGCACCTTACCCCCTCTCAGACCGTGCATATGACACAGATCACCGAAAAACCGGAGACAAAACGACTTGCTACTGCCGCTTGCATGGTCTCATTCTCCAACTCTAAGCCTTGGGAGCTGCTACGAAAAGGGCAAGGAACACACAAAGGTGACGTTTTCAGCGTTGCTCGTATTGCCGGTATCATGGCAGCCAAACGAACTCCAGACATCGTTCCCTTGTGTCATCCTGGGATCGGAATTACTGGAGTCGAGGTTAGCGTGGAACTGGTCGAGCCAGATCCTGACAGTGGAGAAAAGTATGGTGCTATGGAGATTATCGCCACCGTCAGTTGTTTTGGTCGCACGGGAGTCGAGATGGAGGCTATGACGGCTACTATGGGATCTGCACTGACTGTGTATGATATGCTGAAGGCAGTTGACAAAGGAATGGTCATTGGCAATGTACGACTGATAGAAAAGCAAGGTGGAAAAAGTGGTCATTGGGTACGAGAAGAGCAAGTCTAAACTGAAGGATTAAGAGAAGTATTTGGAGCCAATGATAATACTTGCCCATAGTCTCGGAACTTGCCTGGTGTAGTGTACAAAGAGACTTAGTTCCAGACCTTTGTATCTTAGGTCATTCTATTCAAACATTTGGAACTTGAAGAAGCTAGACCCAGACACTGCACATGTGCTTTTCCACTCCTCAAATTCTCAGTGGGTCTGCTGTGCGTTCCTTGGGTATACGCATGCCACTGAAAATAGAAATGCCTACAAGATTCCCAGATATGCAGTATAACCACGCATTCCAAGTTTCAAGCTTCTCATTACGATGACAATAAAACCAAGGACGAACATTGAACAAAGTGGGGGCTCACCTAGGTACAGAGCGAGGTTCTTCAAGATTATCTCTCTTCCTTTTCAACTCCCCCCTCCCTACACTGTTGATCTATCAACTTCTTTTTGTTTACTATATACTTATGGAGCCCTCCTGGCCATCTTGATATTATGACCTCAAATGCTCTAGATACTGGTACAAGATACGCATGTCTACCTGCCAGCCAGACATTCTGCTTCAAATTGATGAGGCGGGTTCTTTACTACCTCCATCGACTCCACCCCTATCCTGAACCTGGCTTCATCGGTTTCACACATGGCCATAACCTTGAATTCCTTCTCTCTCAAGGAACCTGGAGTGGGAAAAGGCATAAAACGGTAAGAAGGCTGCTCAACAGATATATTGCCTAGATGCTGCACGTCGTTGTATTTGTGTTTGAAACATTATGTAGCTTAATGAGCCTATATATCAGATTTGAAACCTTGGAACAAAAGCCTGGAATATAGGTGAACCTCTCTAGTACGGGCTGCAGCTATCAGTTAGTTCCGGTCTTTTGCCTTTCTTCATCACCACTTCCAAGGTTGGCTGTCTCCACAGAGGCATCTATGAAAGCTGGAAAGCTATGCTTCAGGTTTTGGATACCCATCTAGATACTGAAAAGCTAAAGACTGGACCCTTGAAAATTAGCCAAGGAATCCTGGCATCCAAATATGTGATGCTAGAACTACTGGGGAATTCTGTCTTTTCACTGAATAATGGTGAGTGGCACTCCAGGGCTGGCACTTCTCGACTCCGTCTATTCGGCAACCATATTGAAAACTGTAAAACACTCCAATAACCTTCCTTCCAAGCTGAATCATTCACCCACTAACATGCAGTTTTTATTAGCTTCAAAGCACTGTAACCCGCAAGAGATACACTCAGTGGACGAAGGGGACGCTCTAGGGCTCGAGCTACTTTTCTTGGGTTTTCAAGTGGCTTATCTCCAGCCACCCAACCATACTGAAGGCCATAATACTTGAGTGAATCAGTTTTGGGATTTACTTCCTTCACCACATGTGCATATGGTGGTGTCTCCTGGTTGAGACTTCAAGATCATGAGGACTGGGGTCCATCTTCAAATGGAGCTGGGATCATGCTTCCCGAGTTCTTTCTCCATCGACAATCCTGGAGTATGACTGAATACCACTGGAGGCATAACAGGTACTGTTGGAACTTGGGACCAATGTCTAGGTGGTCCACATTTTCCCTGTAGAGATATCACCTTCCTCTCTCCTACAGATGACACACAGATACACACATATTCCATCCGTCCTCCATCCCTCGATAGGTACGATGTGTACACACATTTACTACAGCCCGCATGACATGCCACTACTATAAGAGCATTGAGAACAACGTTTTACCAAAGAGACTTCTTCCAGAATTCTGGGGCGTTTTGTTATACAAGAAATAGCCGTGGCACAAAAATTACGCCAGGTCAACGTCGAATGTATTCTTATTGCAGGAGAAGTATGGAGGCTCAATGCACGTATGTATTTCCACATCAAACCAACATTGATCGGGCAGCCTGTTCTTGGGACCCATTCCTTCGACACAAACATGCACGCATGGAAGAGTTCAAAAGAAATTCAGACAAGGAGGCCCTTTGATATTGAAAACCTACTACCGCTGCTACTAAAGAGTAGTAGGCCACGTGTAAGTGCAGCTTAATAGAGAGGTCTTCATGTAGAGGTTGATACTAAACTTCCATCAACAGCAAATGAGGACGGACGATCCCCTTCGCCATTCCATGTGAACTATTGCTGTGTTTAGCAAGGACTATTCGGCGAACCCTTCAAAAAAAAAGAAGCTGCAATAGACCGAGTATCGGATTCATTGCGCCCGGCATGTTGTTTGATGAATACTGTCAATCGCGCAGGAAATAGTGCATGGGATCTTCCTAGAACGACGAAATTGCTGGACGTGTTTGGGGACGCCGGAATGACTTTCCTCCCTATCCCTTCCCTGAGATTGCGCAGTTGACAGGGATTGGGGTTGAGGAACGCTCTGATGTGCACGCTAAAGATGCACGGGTCAATTCAGCTGCAATGCGCCAAACCACAACAATCATTTTATCATGGTAGACACTGGGATGACCCAGAGGGTGTGCATTCGGAGATATCTAGGATCGTGTTATGTGAAATCGCTGGAACTGGCAATCTTGTATGTATAATAGCAAAACATGACATGAAAAAAACAGAACGTGCATCGTCTGGTATGGGGCACCCCATCAAGCTATTCATTATGGTGCTATTACCATTCAATTTAGAACCTGTGGTTTTGCATAGGTAGTCGATTCAAGGGGAAATCTCTTACATGCTGTGATTCTGTTTGCCCTCAGTTTTCCCCACGTCGTATGTTGGTCGCGATAAAAGAACATGGTAATTCGCTGCTTGAGTAGTTAGCTCGTATTCGCAATAGTAGGAATCAGGGAGAACTTATAAGAAAAAAAAAGGGCCGCTCCCCGAGGAAGCGGCAGTCCATAGACCAACACCTATCCGTTGAGCTCATCACTCAGACCACTCGAAGCCCAGTTGGTATCCAAAAATCTGGCAGTAGTTCCTTGGTAGCGAAAGGCTGATATAATCCTTGCTCATTGCTTCTTTCAATTGAACTCGTGGGCTAGCTGAGTACACATGATCGCCAAAGGAAGACATAGACAAGCCGAAGCTTTGATCCGCTCTTGAGAGAGGTCCCATATCACCCAATGGGTAGTTCGACCACGGGTAAGCAACCAACACACTAGCCCAGGATGAAGTAGTAGAAGAAAGCGAGAGAGAATTTCCCAATGCCTCTGGCCAGAACGACTGTGATTATTCGGAAAAAAGGGTGGACTTGAGGGTTTGAGTGCCGATACCGGAAAATTAATGCAGGCCAGATGAACGATATCCCACAGCATCCATAATCCCGACGAAGTCAAGAAAGAATCGAGAGAGGGCGTGAGCGTAAAAAAATCGACCGAACCTGATTGATGAGGCAACTCGCACTTTTGGACTTGATCATACGGGAAGACGAGGACAAAAGTCTTGAACGTTAAGCCAGTGTTTTGTGTGTGGTACAGAGCCCTCGGGGATAAGTTTTTGTTTCCTCTCCAACAAGGGAGGGCAGAATAACAAGGCGCACAAAGAACATCCTGAAAAAATCGCCTTTTCCACGGGGGAGATGTAATGAACGAAGCTCATCACGAGATAGGTCGGCACCCATCGATCATTTACAACATGCGTCGCAAAGGGATGGTTAACACGGGTGGTCTGGATTTTCTGATAGAAATTGAATCGGTGGCTGTTGCCGAAATTCAAGGCACGCAGTGGCCCGGGGCCAGAGAACAGAATCGAAGAGGTGAATAACAGGAGCCGATACCCAGGTATCTCTTTCGTGGGAGTACGTACGGAACAGCAGACAAGATGCAACGTTGAAAAAGGCCACACAAGCGAACTGGATTGAAAAACATTCAACTGAAGTAGAGAGAAACATTGCCATCCGGAACGTGCCAACGGTCTATATAACCTTTGAAGATCCTCACGGATATCAAAGGGACTTTGAAAACGAACAAAATACAACAGCCTCGCGACAATCTCAACTATGGAAGCTGTCTGGGCAGATCCAGGGAATTCAGGACTGATTCCGACGAGTGGACCGTTGTAGATTGGCGCAATCAAGTGTGTGTAATAGTAACCATCGTGTTCTAGGCTCTGGATACCCGAACTACCCCAGAAGAATGCCCTAGGATATCCAATCACAGAATGTAGCATGATCCAATCATGATCGAAGCTTTGTCGTTGGTGCTTCCCAAAGACGGTCTCTCAAACGAGGCGCCCGACGTGCTCCACCTGCTTTTTCTCTCGCATTCCATCCTTGAAAACATACGTTGACCATCCAATCGTGACCTGCAAATTGCCCAGCATTGGAGAACCGACGCCTGGCTACTGAGAGCGCGGGCATAGTAAGCCGTCTTTTGCTGTTCTGGGCGTGGGCCGATCACACTTTCGTACTTGTAATCCGTCAAGATCGAAGCCACTAGTCGTGATCTCGGTATGCGATACCCGCGATATCTGTCGTCTTGAAAAGAGCCGACTCGGAGAATGGTTGGGGTGGTGACTTCAATTGTACCGCCGAAGCAATAGCAACTGGATCCATGAGGGAATGGCTGTACAAGTCGCCTAAAAAGGCAAAACACGGGACGGCATAAGGCGAAACAAGACATTTGCTGAACACCGAACATATGAAAAAATCCGCAGTTGACAAGAGCTCTGAAGCGACCGAGGTTCTTAAAGGCCAATAATTTAGCTGTCACCATCTCGAAACAGACTTCTGAGCAGCGTTGAAAGGAATAGGGTGAAGTGGGTGCTTATACGAAGCAAAAGGAGCAAGCATTCGCGTTGTTCAATCTATAATTTGACGCGTAGTCACATGACCTCCACACGGATGATGCTGAGTCATAATATACCTGGCCGCCACGTGATTGGTCCGCTCTGTAAGCTCCACCTTCATATAAACATTTGAACGAGGTCTCCTTCCCTTCCCCCACGCCACGATTATGCCTTGGCTTTCCGTACGCCTTCATTTTATATGACACAACACATACTTAGGTATCCCAAAATTGAAGCAGCAAATGCATATGACCCGACAATACATAGGGAATAACTGGTGTGGGTATAATATTAGACTGGTTATTATGAAGGAACATAGGAAGCCCTTCGCACTCAGTGAACTAGTATATACAAATTGTAATTATAGACATAGAAAGCGTGGTGCCTAGGGCTCTCGCCTGGGACACCAGAATTTTGAAACACAGAAGGGCTCGCTGAAGGTGGGAATGAGCTCTACTATCTTGAAATCCATCGAAGTTGGACCAGGTCCGGGTTTGCCATCTGCAAAGTAAGACGAACATTATTGTCCTCCACTATTTTCAATGCATCGATCCGGGTTTGATCAACAGTTACGCCAAGCCGTGGCTCAAGCTGTACTGCCGTTTGCCTGAATAAGGTCATAAAGACAGCAGCCATTTCGATCTGCGAGAACTTCTTTCCCGGGCACGCTCGAGGACCTTCGGCCCACGCAGAAAGATGGACAAGTTTTCTTTGGTCGATCTCGTCTGGGCCAGATGGCCTACTTGTCTCAATCCACCTGCTAGGATTCCACTCTAGAGCATCGGATCCCCAGACATTTGGGTTGGTGTGCAAAGCTATTGTGACGACATTGAGTTTGATGTCTCCAGGTATTAAAATCTCCGCTCCTGCGAGGTAGTGATTCTATGCGGCTGACCTGGAAGAGTCTTGCGAAGAAGGTTGGGAACGGGTCCATAAAGACGAAGCGTTTCGTACTAACAAAGAGTTAGAATCGACACACACTTGGAGTTGAGGGTTAGAGAGTTCAAACCATTATTGCTTTGAAACGCGTCATTCGGGGAAATATTTGTTCCGCTTTTGGCATGATGCCTTGCGGCATATCAGAAACTATCTGATCCAATTCTTCCATCGCCCAATTTTGCCATTTCGGAAATATTGCCAGCAAATAGACAATGTACAACAGGGTATTTGCAGTAGTCTCGTGCCCTGCAAACATCAGCAGAAACAAGTTACCTTTGACCTCACCATCTGATACTAATTCTGCATCCCGAGACGGCATAATAGAGGAAAGACAATTATGCCCTTGTTTTGGATGATCCTTGAAGTCCGCTATCAGGCTAGTGAAAAACGAATTCAGGTTTTCTATACTCTCGTGGAAAGGATTCGGCCCGGGTCTTTGCCCTTGTTTTTTTCGGTTGGCGATGAAGGCCTGGCATCCGCATCGTAATCAGTGAGCGCAGGGTCGGTGGCCTACGTATTGAAATGATTCTCAAAAGCTGTATCAAGTGTTTCTCTATAGTCTTGATATCAAACGTGCTGGTTCTGTTTGTTTTGGTGTCCTTGGTCTTTTCGACTCCCATACAAGCTTGCATCAGGACGCTAAAGCTGAGATGGTTCATCTCCGATTGTGTAGAGCTGACGGTTCCTGATGATAACTTGGCCAGTGCTTCGGCTGCTTCGGCACAGGAAAAGCTCCACACGGCTTCGTGAACTCTATCCGAGAATGCGGCTTTGGTGCATTGGTGATGGCGTTTCCAGTCCGAGCCTTCAACCTGTTGTTTCAAAAGGTATTAGAACATCTCCTTGACCACTCTTGCGCGTAGATGGGGGATAGGTAGGGGACTTGCAGTTGCGAGGCTTGTCCCAAAGACATTCATTTTGCCTGTCACTAAAGTCAGAACAACTTTCTCATCATGTGGATTGGTCCTCATAGTTTACCCATCAATTCAATCTGCTTCGGAAAGTCTCGTCCTCTGGTCAAAACCTGGCGCGCGGCTTCCACGTTGGCGATATAAACCTCAACTCCAGTAGGCGTGACTAACGCGAAAACTTCACCATAGTCCTTGTAAATCGTATATCTCTCGTGGTACATCCAGTTGTCCCGCATAACTCGTGTAAATTGTAGCAGATTCGCCAAATAGTATGGTAGATGGACTGGAAGCAGCGACTGGACATATTTCCAAAGAGGAGATTTGGGGACGAAGGGAGTGATGATAATTGGAACGCGTAGTTGCTTCGCAATAGTCCAGTTGGTATATAAAACGCGAATTAATGGTCCAATCTTCCAACAAAGCGCGACGATTGCCACTAGTAGTATAACCATTTTTTTCAAGTTATTCACCTAGGAAGTGGATGATCGCGACAGAAAGAGAAGGAGGAATGTCACATCCGATTGATTAAAAAGCCCATGCCAAATTAATAAAATTATAAAATCAGATAAAATTAGATACAAAATTAATAATCACAATTTCGGCATAAGTACGCCCAGGTGGGGGCATAGGACATCCTGGGCATCAAGTTTGAAACGTTGGAATTTGGAAAATCAAAGTTTTCACATGTTCAATGACACGGAATTAAGGTTAGACCAATCGGACTCTCCTAATTAACGGATGATGCGTGATCCGCCCCACTGATTCCTCGTACTCGTGTTTCTTTCCATATTGAAATGGTTCTCCCTTTCAAGGGTCGATCGGACCCTCTTTACTGTCCTAATTTTCCTGTTCGCCCACTTCCTCCCAAGTTCCAGGTGACATTAATCACTCTATCCTCGGCAATTCTCATTAATGATATCCGTGCAACCTCATTCAACCTGTTGTCGCCTTCTATCACTGGAAGCGGGGTGCATTTTATGATATGCCAATCCGCCGTTCACACAATAAGTCACGCCATGGATGCAATAATTGCAAGCGAAGGAGAGTGAAAGTACGAGTTGATATATTTCAATTTATGATTAATACATCTTTCTTTTCTTCTTTTTTCAGAATTTCATATACTAATAGTACTTCCAGTGCAACGAGGGTCGCCCGACCTGCATCAACTGTGACCAGAGACAGGAGCCATGCATCTACGCTGAGACGGGGCCAGTGGCCTTCATGGAACAGCCCAAAAGAAGATATCAAAAGAAGACTTCCTCTTCAGACGAGGATCAGAGATCACAGAGATTAGGTTCTGAATCTCAATATTCTACCGTGACCCAAAAAGAAGGAGACCGTGCCGATGATTCATCATTAACTGCGGATACGCCTTCATTGAATCTGATACAGGCCGAACTTATGCTACAGTGGATCTACCACACTCATAAGATTTTCGCACGCAATGAAGCAACTAGACAAGTTTGGGAGAAACATGTGACGAGAGAAGCTCTACAGGCGCCATTTTTGATGCATGGTATCCTAGCGCTTTCCGCGCTACACTTGTCACACCTCCGCGAGGACGGAAAACACATCATGTGGCTCGATGCAGCGATAGCCCACAAGAGTACCGCTCTATCCATGTTCACAGAACAACTAAGCAACATTAGCAACTCGAATGCGAAAGCAATGATGGGCTTCGCTGGCCTTGCGTTCGCTTTCAGCTTGGCAAGTACTCTGGAAAGCGCAAAGGATGTCTCGAGACTCGATGCTCTCATTGATGTTTTCTCTATGGCTCGTGGGGTAGAGACTGTCATGAGTGCCGATGAAGCTTTCATTCAAGCAAGTGAATTTGCGCCTCTTTTCGATATGACCTCTCCAGAAGTTATTGTACCTGATGACACAATCAGAGCTCTTGAGGATCTCAGGAAACTATACGATCGGTACGCCCTTCAATCGGATCATAATCTTGAAGCATATAATTCGGCAATATGCTGCTTTGGACGACTTGTTGAGTTCGCATATGCAGAACCAACGTCAATGACTTTAGCTGGTGGATGGGCTATCCGAGCACAGGCAGACTATGTCGATGCGTTGAAACGTCGGGAGCCTCTATCCTTGGTGATCCTAGCGCACTATGCTGTATTCCTGCATCTGGCGCGAGGAAATTGGTGTATCGGGTCATGGGGGCACGAAGTACTAGAAGAAATTTTAGCAAACCTGGACTCTGACTGGCTCCCTCATGTGAGCTGGGCATCTGAGAAGGTGCTGGGTATACATTAAATTTGAGTCTTTAAATTACTAGTAATCATTGTGGATACAAATCTTCAAGAAATCCATATCAAACTATTAAATAATTTTGTCATTCACATTGTCAAAAACTATTGTATCAAATCCAAAACAAACATCTTGAGTTCTTAAATAACATTGCCTATTGAAAATCATCATCATCGTAACAAATCGAGCTCAAATACCCAGCTATGACCACTGGCAGGAATCACACCGACGCAATATCGCTGAGCGGCTCCATAGTCGAAAGAGGAACAACGTCACGGATTTTGGTGACCTTCTCGCAGTAGTTCTTTCCACGACCCAGCAAGCAGTTAACTTCACTAGGGTGAACCCAGTGGAGAGTCAACATGGTCAAAAACATCAACAGCGCATCAAAGATATAGATGAAAGCTTCATGCACCATCAGGTATCCCTCATATCCTTGGACGTATTCAGCAACACGGATCGCCGATCGAACCAGGATAAAAGCGCTGCAGATATAGAGCGCCATAAGATGACGGTGCCAAATGGGATCCAGCTGCATAGAACGGGTTGTCGGCTTCTTAGCGATGCGAGTTTGGAAGACAATGGCGGTGATGGTGAAAATGCCGAAGAAGATAATTTGAACAATAAGACCACCAACAATGACGTCTTCACCAAGAGAAGGGCTGGAGGATGAGACCATAAGACCCGCGCCTAAGGGAATTTATTGGATTAGTCTTCATTCGTCTTCATTCAGACAAACAGTATAGCAAAATATAGAGCACTCACCAGAAGCCTGCATCAGGAAAGAAAGAACATCACCACAGACAAAGATTGCGGTCAGCCACTTGAACTTGATAACCGCCAACTTCTCCGCCTCGACCATAAGGATGATACGGCCAAGTGTCATATAAATACTCGCTGCCAGGAAGGCAGGGGCAATCAAAATCAATGTACTCTGAATGACATATGGGCCTTCGGTGAAATCCGGTGCCTGAATACCCGACAGTAGACGGCCGACATATCCGATGGTTTCAACTAAAGCAGAAGCAACTATTAGCTATTGACAACTCAAAAGATAGAGATTGAGGGTTGATCTTACGAATTCCTCCAATTAGGAAAGGGATCATAAACCATGTTCGCGTCCGAATAAGTTGGTAGAAATGCATCAACGCGCTTAATCCAAATAGCACGACGAAGATGCAGGCCGCTGCCTCGGAGGGATTGTAGTAGTAGTAGACCCAATTCATATTGATGGATGTCAATATTTTCTTTCGTTGTTTTGTGGTCTCCCCCCTTTTGAATTAAAAAATGAATCGACTGGAGATGTTTTCACCGGTATAGTCTTGGGTGATATGGTAATGAAAGTGGACTTGAAGATAACTTGAATTGAGAAATTCTTCGTCTGTATCCTGAGGCGACACAAGGTTAAATATATAAGAAAAATTAGCGGCGGTCAATAAACAATTATATATGGATTATCTTGCCGCCTGGATGAGGAGTACATTTATGCATACTTTTTTTTGTTGATCCTCGTTCTCGTTATTTAATCCACAATAGGAAGGGTCCAAGTGGATCTTAGTTTCAACCTTGGAACCGTTACCATGTTATAGGCTTGTTAGATTATAGCACTCGCTAGTAATTGCCATGGACCCATAACCCTGACGGCCTTAGCGTGCCCCAGCCTCCCGTAATCGTAATAATTGCTAACCTAGGTGAACCCTACGTGAACGAACGAAAAACACAACTTAAAACATTGAATAAAAGGGATAAATCTAACCCGTCCACAAAGAATATCTCCTTCAACTGAATGAAGTCGTTCTATTAATACGTAGACGCGTGTTTGTATCTTGTTGTTGTTTTGCTTGATTGGAAAACTTTATCGTTGCCTACGCAGATCAAATCTACACCATTTTCACTAGGAGGGCGCTTCGAATGTTGAGGGTGGTACACATGTATGAAACAGAGTCCATCTGGAGCTATTTTTGTATAAAACATGCCAGCTAGCCGTTGAATGAGATTTTTTCATCACTTTCTTTATATTTGCCCCCTGTTCAAACTACGGCTAGATTGCCACCCAACAGTCCTTTCTCTCGTTTTATCATTATCTTTCTCTTCGCTCTTTACAATTTGCAATGGCTTCCGATTCCTCTGATTCTTCCGATTCTTCATTCGCTCTTTATAATTATAACCCTTCCACTGGAGCGGCAGTTGCATTTGCTATTTTCTTCGCTGTGGCTATTGCTGGTCATGTCTGGCAGATATGGCGCAACAAAAGCTGGTTTTTCATTCCTTTTATCATCGGTGGACTATGTAAGTGTTCCTCTGGCAACTCAGGCTATTCTTGTGAGACTGTGAATGCTAAATATAGAATTTCTGATTTGAAGTTGAAATCTTCGGATATGCCGCGAGATACGATAGTGCAAAACAATCCCCGAACTGGACGACTATGCCCTATGTTGCCCAGGAACTCTTCCTTCTATTAGCTCCATCCTTGTTTGCAGCATCGATCTATATGATTCTTGGACGAATCATTCGACTTCTAAACGGCGGGTCGAATTCGCTTGTGAGACCCTCGTGGCTTACCAAAATCTTTGTCACGGGCGATGTGGTTTCATTTTTGATGCAATGTGGTGGTATGTTTCTAATTCCTTTCTCCATTGCACCATGATGAAAAAATATTCAACTCACTACTTTTAAGGTGGTGGTATGCTTTCTAGTTCGAAGACAGCATCCGGCCAGAAGCTTGGACAAGATGTGATCGTCGCGGGTCTTATCGTGCAGATCATTTCGTTCGGCTTTTTCATCGTCGTCTCTGCCGTTTTCCATCGTCGTATGCTTGCAACTCCTATGCACCGCATGATTCAGACTACTATTCCATGGACCCGATACATGAAGGTGCTCTACTGCGGGAGTGCCTTGATCATGATCCGGTCTATCTATCGAGTGGCTGAATATGTGCAAGGAAGCAACGGGTACCTGCAGAGCAAAGAAGCATTTGTTTATATCTTCGACGCAAGTCTGATGTTGATATGCTGTATCTTGTTCCTTGTGTTCCATCCCAGCAAGATTTTGAAGAAGGGGGCTATTAACCAGAATGACATGGAGATGAATGGCAATTGATAGTCCAATTCAACTCAGATCGAGCTCTTTCGAAGCTTGAATATTCAAACTCGGACTAAAACTCCCTTCATTATCTGATTCAGGCCGTGAACCAAGCTGGAATGTTTCCCTAAAACTATTCAAACATTTGAAACGCCGCCGGCTCCAACAATTCCGGTTGTAAGGTTCTTCAATCAAACATTTGTTATATAAACCTGGAATTAGCCCATCATGACCACGAATTTGCGCTTTAGATCAATCTATTCCAAATTCTTAAATCACGATGCAAAACGCAATTAAATCAGCTGAAGAAAATCGGGATCTACGTTTCTCTAATGAGATTGAAGCGCGAGTAGAAGCCTCAGCCTCAAGGATCTTCTCAATATACCATGCAACCTTAAATTCAAACCCAAAATAGTAAGCTAATTGGCCAACCACATGTCCAGGAGCTCAACGAACATGCTCCGAGTCTCATTGTAAAATTTGAGGACATAAAAGAACACTTCTTCAATGCGGTGGATGTAGAATAACATTTAGTTCTAGTACTAGTAATGCTACGACTCGGAGGTCTTCTGCTTCAAGTTAAATCAGAACCTCCATAATAGTGACAGTATCCAAAATCAATACTTACTGTAATGTACTAGTAATTCGATATCCACATATGTGGTGGTGCGAGTTGACCCACTATGATCCACCTGGGCATATCTACAGTGGCGTTGTGTCTGTATTAAGCGAATATCACGAATACGGGCACGCTAGTGAAATCGGAAGAAAATATTAATTGATCTGATTTGAATGACTTCGACCGTACTCGTTATTTTCTCTGCATTCGGGTAACTGGACCTCTAAAATTACCCACATGCAGGCGAAGACAGGTTTTTTCCCAATCCATTCAAACAACTATTCTCGGCTGCGCTAAACCAAACCCAGGTTCGGTTCGATGTAAATGCCTGTGGATTCAAAGCTATTTGATGAGAATAAAAATAAAAGCACGAAGGTCGGAAATTATGGTCAAACAGGCATACGTGCATCCAACCATTGAGCTTGAAAGGATTTTCTCTTGATCCACACCTGGGCAATGCTTGTCCAGAGCTTACGTGAATCAGGTTTTCTAAAAGACCATTTGGTTAATCTAGACTTACTGGACAGGGTACACAAGCGCGTTTCATATCTGGATAACACGCACTCTGACTCGGTCTCTCCGGTGAATTCCATAGAAACAAAATAAAAATAGTAAGAGAGAAATTTGATACGGGTCCATTGCCAGGGCCAATTGTATAAGTCCTAGAGATGAGCCCTAAGTGACCTCTAAGGCAAGTACCTATCCATTCAACACATTCTTTCCTCGTTCTTCCAAGGTTCTTCTTTGAAAACTGAAATTTTATCTTTGGGCCGGCAAAATACTTCTACCTCAGGCTATAATATTCTCCCCTATCACATTTGAACAGCAAACATGGTCAGCAACACAGCTATCATTGTTATCGTGCTTGTCGCCTCACTCGGCTCTGTCTCGCTAGCAGCAGCTCTATTTGGCACCTTCATTGATAATGAAGGAGAGTCTCATCGAGATCCACCAATGGCCCAGCGTCAATATATGCGAGAAGTCAGGATGAGAACTCTAGAACAACTGGAGGCGGAATCTAGAACTAGATACCCAAAGATGTCAAAGTAAGTTTTGTTTTGCGCAATTTCTTCAAGTTATCAACAATCAAATTCTTATCAACGATTTAACAGACCACACCCACCGGTGAATGACCCCCAGAGTCAGCGAAATACTATGAGCGAATATATGGATGACAGCATTCAGGCTTAATAATTTGGGTAAGTGATTATAGAAAAGATGAAAAGGATATTAATAACTAGAAGCTATTGCCAAAGCTATGTGGAGGATAAGCTAACCCTATAACCTGTTAATAGCTTCGATCAACCCATTTTGAACAGCTAAATAAAATAAGGTGGTGTCGATTCAAAACTTGTGTGCATCATCATAATTGAGACTCGGAGTTGGTGCTGTGGCGATCTATAAATGAGCTGTTCGATTTGTAACATTCAGAATGTTTGAAAGGTGTATGTTTAAAGGAATGAATTTCAAAAAAATCATAATCACTTTTGAGATCCTTGAATTTTTACTGGCAGTTCCACCTCTACCCGTGGACTTAGATTCACCATTTTCTTTTCGAAAACCTTGGAATACTATTGGTCATCAAGAGCTTGTGCCCGCCACATTGATAGCAAATATGAAAATGCTACACCGTGACTTAACTATACAGTAAGGAGCTACTTCAAATGTTCGGATAAAACCGTGAGAGTCCTGGAGGGGCTTCAAACTTGAATCTAATAGTCAGTCGAAGGGAATTTTCTCGACACCAACTTGAAGACCTGGGAGGGCCACTTTCAATACTACTATAACTAGTAGTGGATGCAGCGGAGATACATCGTCGTTTCTGGAGTACTAGTAGCAGTAAGCTCTTGGAGACCATTGGAATCCACCACTCGGATATATCATGATTTGAACGGATATAGCTAATAATGACAGGGTTGGAAGGCCTGCCAATAAGTGAATCGTGCTCAGGCCACGGGGATACCAAATTAGCAAGTATTGTTATCGGCACTTCTCTCGGTTGATGTTTGAAGTATGTCGCAGATTGAGGCCTCGAGTTAGATTGTTTCTTGCGATCTAAGTGGTTGGAATTACTGGCTAATGTCTGGAGACTTTGGACAGGCTCGGTTACAGCCAGACATCTAGATTCATATTATTCAATAATATGCCTGCGAGGATCAGATCAAAACCTGTCCTATTGGAGGTAAAACACGGGTACGGCGGCTAAGATGGGAGGACTTAAGGGTTTTTGGTGATTTCACTGCGGAATAGCGCAACCGTATTCGTGATTTTCTCCTTATGTAGATCACAGTGGATCAACCTTGGAACTCGCCAACGTTACTTGTTCACGGGTGGCGTCATTTTATTCTCTTCAGGCTACTTTATTTTTCCGGAGAGTAGTATTTTTAAAATGATGATCGACGTCATTTCATAGTATGTACTTGAGTTACCCTGTTCTCCATTTATATCTGTTCGACGCATTACCTTCAGTACTACTCAACAATCAAGCAAGCTTTTAAACTGTGCCGCATGGTATTGAACAATGGCCAAAAGTCTATGTGTATTGGCATTGGGTGCTGCTGTTGCTCAAGCCCAGCTTTGGGGACAAACTATTGAGACATCCTACGGGCCCGTGGAAGGTTTTCAATACTTCAATGAATCAACTCTCAAGGAATACTTCCCAAACACCTCACATTCCAATGTGGCTGCCTTTCTAGGTATTCCATTTGCTGCCGACACTGGCTTCCAGAACCGCTGGAAAGCACCACAACCACGCCAGCCCTGGAAAGAGACTCTCAATGCGACCGAATTCGGATATGCTTGCCCCAGCAAATACCGCACCAAAATCAGCGAAGATTGCCTGAATCTGAACATCTGGACCAACGCACAGAATGCAGATGCGAAGCTTCCGGTAATGGTTTGGAGCCAAGGCTCTGATGCAACAAGTGATGACAGTTCGTGGTATGGTGGTGGAATGGCCTTGAAAGACGTGATTGTGATTACGTTCAATCGACGTGATGATGCGTTCGGGTATCTTGCGCATCCTGAACTCAATAGAGAAGGATTCATGACTACTGGCCATGAAACCTCTGGCAACTATGGAATCCTTGACCAGCTTGAAGTCTTGAAGTGGGTGCAGAGCAATATCGCCAAATTCGGTGGAGATCCTGATCGTGTGACTCTTGCGGGCCAGTCATTTGGATCCTCTCAGGTTTATCATGCTGTCAATAGCCCATTGTTTACTGGGTATTTCCACGGAGCAATTGCTGAGTCTGGTATCCGGTATCCATATGATACCCTCTTAGCTGGCATCGCAACATCATATACAAATATGTCTGCCGCCCTTGAGCATGGTACTAATTACACGGCTTTCCATAATGTCTCTACTATCCATGAACTGCGGTCTCTATCAATGGAAGACCTGCTGATTGGGTCTCAGGATAGCGTGGATGGCGAATGGATTTGGTGGGTAACTGCACTCAGCACTGGGTACCCATTGATCTTCAAACCAGTACTGGACGATTATGTCCTTCCTATGAAGTATATTGAGTCTCTTATTCACGGTCCAGCCAACGATGTGCCGATCATTACAGGCAATAACAAAGATGAATCTGGCGCGTCACCTATGACCGACTACACCGTTGCTGAGTATGAGTATTATTGCTCTCTCAAGTACGGCAATCTCTCTAGCCGCTATTTCAATCTCTACCCCGATTTCAACAGCTCGCATATCAAGAGCAAGGTCATTGCCGACCAGGCCTGGAATGCTGCCGCTCGTGACACCTCATTGATTGGCTCTTGGGCCTATGCAACTGAGTGGTATAAATCCGCTATTTCGCCGATCTTCACATATTACTGGACACACGCACCTCCTGGTCAGAACCAAGGTGCATATCACGAATCGGAGATCATGTATGCTCTCAGATCGCTTTACGCGAACGCCGACCTGCTTCCTTTTACCGAGTGGGACTTTGAAATTCAAGAGAAAATGTCGTCATATTGGGCGAACTTTGCCAAAACTTTGAACCCAAATTACGGGGGATCTTTTACTGGTAAGGGTTCATTGCCACACTGGAGCCCAAACAATGCTAGTGGCACACAAATTGTCATGGAGCTTGGAAACCACTTCGGGAATGTGCCTATTGCGAAACCTGCGCAGGTGAACCTTATCATGGATTATTTCCATCAACAGATACCTTACTAGATGACAAAGATTTGTTTAGAAACTTTGAATACAGTTGAGCAGTCTCATCAATACACAATTTTTGTTTACACAATTGAAATATTAAATATTGCCTCCATATAACATTTGAACGTTGGAAAACTTGAACCAGGGGAGAAACTGAGCTTTGAATTAAGCCAGTCTTTCTATTTCTGTAAACAAAGGCAGGAACTCAAAGAAAAAAGAGCTTTGGAGAATAGATAGTAAATAACTATGTCGCTCACATCAATATTCATCTAAATAATCATTTATGCATATTTCGAAACAAGAGCCTTCAATTCCTCATTGCTCAGCTTTCCAACTCCCAACAACTCATTCGACAGGTTCTCAGCGGGGAACAAACTGCCAAAGCCTTCGCCAAAGATGGCACGCTTGAGGAATCCAAAAACAAAGGTGTGAACATTGGGCTCGGGTTTCTGCAGCTCAGCAAATGCCTCCTTCTCCAAATCGGCCGTGGAGACATTCTGGCCGTTAGAAACCTGCTTGCCTGCAAGCTGAAGCAAGTCCTTCTGGCTCAACTCAGCTTCACGGACAAACACGGTCTTGTTCTTAGTGGCATCCAAGTTCTTCAAGACACCAACGACCGCCTTTCCAATACCAGGCAAGGTGGTCACGCTGATCTTTCGTTCTCCGGCATCGTAAAGGACGGGCTCGGGGCTAGAAAGATCAATCAAAAACTTCACCATTAAGCCCCAGTCCAAGAATGGGCCGGTCACAATGGATGTATAGCTTGTAGTGGATGATGAGGCGACAATCTCCTTCAACTGCTTTTGGACGGCGACCTTATCGGCGAAGACGGGCAAAGCGGCGGCATTGGGGTTGGTGGTATCTGAACCGAATTCGGCTGGGATGATGCGCTTCACGTTGGCGGCGACGGCAGCCTTGATGAGGTTGGTGTGAGGCTCCAGGCCAACAGCACCGAGAGTGATGACCAGTGCTTCTTGGTTGGCAAGAGCTTTCTCGAGGGAATCGACAGATTGATAGTCAACTTCGGCGACCTTGACCTTGGAATCGAATGAGTTGTTGGAGGATCTGGTCAAGACAGTGATCTCGAATCCGGCAGTGGTGAGCGCTGCGAGAACGGCAGGACCGAGGTTACCGGTGGCCTATACATGTGTTTTCATCAGCAACTAGAACCTTGGAACCATCAATCAATTGCTCGCCTGCCAGGTGCACACTGGCAGGTGACGCAGGGCTGCCTCAGCCCTGCCCAGGTAAAACTTGAGCTTGAAATGAACATACACCGGCCAGAGCAACTTTGAGAGACATGACGATAGTAGATTTAACAGAAGGACTCGGAGGACTGAAAATTCGAATTTTGTTAATTCATCAGGAACTTAGCTTGCCTATTCAATTTATTTATAGTGCTACTACAAGTAATATCCATGCAGATTCTTTTCTCTTGATTACTACGTACATCCAGAGCCTGAGATACTTAGATGTAAGCTGACAAACATTCATAATTTGAACATTGAATGACGATGCTATACCTAAGCATGAATTGGTCAGACGGCGGAAATGTTGCGCGCGGATTTAGGGCAGTCGGAATAGCCGCTTTAGGAAATGATTCCGGGTTTAATTACCAATTGGGGGTCGGTGAATCAGCTTTCCTAATTGATCTTGATAATTCCGAACTAAGAGCCCTGGATTATTGAGCAAAATCGCCACTACATCATGATGGAAACTTGAAGCCATAATAGAAAGACTAACACTGGAGGCCGGAACAATTGCCTCATTAGCCGGGACAATCAAAATCCAATTCAAATGTTGGCGTAGATTTTTATTTAATAAATCAAATTACTCCTTGTGACTATTCTGCAAATAGCAAAAACCACCTGGGCAGTAGCATGATCAATTGATCTTTCTCACAAGGTCTTATGAGGAAGTTGCCCATCCCGAATCGGATATTCCGCGAGCAACTTTGTCACTTTCCATAAAGCCCGGGTCATCAAACCCGTGAATCTCCAAGAGACTTCGGTATATATCCCGGGCATAGGGTTTCAAACGATTCTCAAGCGGAGCCTTATGGCGGATGGGTGGATTAACGCGATAAAAATGCATGCTGCCCGAGTGGTCGCGTTCTCCAATAATCAGCGGGCCATTCCTTGGATATCTAGCTCTGCTGCTCCACTTGGCGTTTTCCCACTCTCCAATTTTGATATGCAACGAACCAAGTGAAATGTTGTCGGGAGTGGATTCGAAAAAGCGCACAAGTCGCTTGCAGGCATTATCATCCATTTTATTGACTCCGAGGACACCAAGATCTGGCTTTCGAGAGGATATTACACTTGAGATATTGATTTCCAGGTGTTTGAGATGTTTGAGTCCGCGGATATAGGTCATAGTCTCAAAGGGCTAGGAGATATAGGATATTTTAGTTAGCGATAAGATCGATAATGCATAAGGGAAAGAAGTCTTACACACCCATTCTTGGTCAGTCCAGTCAAGGTCAAGGCCCAGAGTCTGAAGATTAGGGAACCGATCTGGTAAATTTTCTGGATTTTCAATGCTTGAAGGTAATGGACCCTCATTCGGAGTTTGGTGTCCGCGACGCACACTCCGGAACCGTAAGTGCTTCAATGACTCGCGGTGGACTTTTGAAAGAGTGTCAAGAATCGATGGCGGAACAAAATAGCCAGAAAAGCTCTCAAGAAGAGGCATAGACTCGATAAGTCGACGCACTTGGGTTGCTCGCTTCCAGTAAAGGGGCGGGAGATCCAGCTTTCCGTCAAATTCCCACCAATATCTCAGCTTGGGGTAAGATTCGGAAAGGGAAACTTCAAATGATTTAAGTCTTGTGAGCCGATTTGCGAGACTGGGAACCAATTCACCCCACTCGCCATTCACCAAAGATAAGGTTTCAAGTGTTTCCCACTGAAGAAATTTTGCCCATAAAAGGCTTTGGGTAGGATCAAGGTACATATTGGAAAGATATAGATGCTTCAGTCTTGGCAAGAAATCACCTTCCTGCAGTGTTATCATACCTCGTGCAGGGGGCCACGAGTCATATGCTCTTTGGATGAGCTTCAATGTCTTCAAATTACGACTGGCGCATATGATGTCCTTCAGACGAGCTTGATAGCTGACATTAGTAGGAGGCTTGGATACTGAATCAAGCATTGCGTAATCCCACTCTGATGTCAGGGATTGCAGGCACTGAAGATAAGGAATGGACCGCTCAATTGGGTGGTGAGGTCGCCTCCGCTGCGCCAAACACACATTCATGCCAATGATATGCACAGAGACATGAGGATAAAGCTGGTTGATCTTCAACAGAGCAAACCCAGGTATGTATCTATAGTGCCGCCAGCTAAGAGAAAATTTCGTGCCTGTTAGCGAAATTGTGCCCTTTCTCTTTTGTAGATATTATTAGGCCAGGGATGTCATGAAACAAACTAACTGAAATTCTTGGAGATTAGTGGCAGACTCAATCACTTTCAATAAATTCTTCTTTTCCCAGTCCCCAACACCGCATTGCCAGTCGACGCCTGACACCACAATGACTTTGACATGCTGCCACGGTATCGTGTTTAAATCCTCCAAACGCCATTTTTTACCAAAGTGGTAAACTCTCAGATGCAAAGCTCGGAATAATATAGACGCTGCAATCTCATGTAGCCTGCGATTGGTTAAAGCCGACGATTTCAATGAGCCATGATCGGTCCAGTAAAGCTTTTATGAAGTAAGCGACTACATTATTTTCTCCAAGGGTCTGCATTGGTATTTACTTACCAACAAGAAAATTTGACGCCATATTTCTGTTGGTAGCACTCTAATCCTCTCCGGTAGCGGTGACGACATTTTGGTAGTGTATCCCCGCGTTCTATGTACTGAGGAAAGCGTGCGTGAAGTTGGTACTGGTCAATGGCTGTAAGAGAATCTTGGACAATTAAGAAGTGACCTGAAAAGGCTGAAAGCCGCCATTTATTTCCTACAACATAAAACCACGTGGGAAACTCATGCTGTGTGTTCTTCAATGGGCTTGATTTGGGCAAATTGTGGTGAGTCACTGGTCACAGAGTGCAACTTGAATTCGAAGGTACCCAAGACATCCAGAGCTGCCCTTCTGTCAACATTTGAATAGCTTTTTCCCTCTCTCTCTCTTGCTCTTCCTCCAGGGCTTTCTGACCTACTAGCATGTATGATGTGGTAGTACTAAAGAGGAGTGACCAGTGTCTTCTGGGCGGTGTGGGGGGAGTTCTCATGATTCCCTAGAGATTCCTACCCAGGTCAACTGCCCAGGTGGTACCTCCTCTTACCGAATCTTACGGAAATATCCATTGGACGCTAGTACGGAATCTTGGAATATGTAGGTACGGATACACAACACGGAATTGGATCTAATATTCTTAGCGTATTATGCGAAGCTTCCAAGGCTCGGACCTTGACCCCGTCTTATATCTAACCGTTTGGCACCAGTAGCGAGGTGAACGAGCTAGGTAAACAACTAACGTTAAGCTTCCAAGGTTCAAATCTTGGCAAAGCTTGGGAATCACCTGGGCAGACAGATTATACGCCAATATGCCAGTTGACATAACCCATAACCGAGGTCAAAGTTACGGAAAGATTGATTAGACACTAGTACGGAATACACACTGGTGACTGGCAGCACGGGGATCTAATCCACTTCCAAGGTTGACCATGGATTTTCTTGGCGTATTATATAAAGCTTCCAAGGTCAATACTCATCTGAGCAGATTTAACCGATTCGGAGAAATTCATAGATACTAAGTCTCATCAATACCCTCATTACTCCCTGCCCAGGTGGACATCTAACTCCCGTCCCGTTAATGTCAATCTTACGGAAAGATTGATAGGAATTCGGGCCGAGAAGCTAGTATGTACCTGGACCCTGCACGCTAGTCTGTATTATTAGGATCGAAATTTCCCATGGGTACAATCAATAAGGAAATGAGGGTCCACGGGAAAAGCTTTGGAAGATTTGAACACACCTTTCGCAGTAATTTACCTTTTGTATTCGAAGCAGTGGATGCTGAAGTCTCATCCAATCCCGCCCTATCTTTGTGGTGCTCTGAAACCCAAGACAACTCAAGTGCTCATTAATAAATTTGGACAGCTTCCTTCCTAATTCTGTGATCTATTGTGACAAATATTCTCATAATGCAGTACAAGGCACTTCCCATGGTCTTTGCCACCGTGGCATTAGCAGCGAGCTCAGACGTTACCGCGATTGATCCCGCTCTTGAATCTCTTGTGACATTGCCTATATGGGTTGAGGAAGCAATCTCAACCGCCGAGCCAACCGCGTGGGCCTCGTCCTTCAGATACGACAGCGCCTTTGCCCTGTCCGTTGAGCTTGCGGAGATGGCTGGTACCATGCCGGCTTGGTACAACAATCTTCCAGCGAGCGTACTGGAATTTTTGTCCACGCGAGACGCGGCAATTGAGTCCTACGGAGCTACTGCCACTCAAAATGATGCGTTCACCACCTCGGGCTCTACCGCTACAGCCACAGCAACTGGCTCCTCGAACGCCGACACGACCTCAGTTTCTACAGGTGGAGCCCCTGCTGCCACGGGTGCTCTTTATGTGGGACTTGCCGGTGCAGCCGGAATCCTGGGTCTTTCTCATGCCCTGTGAGGAGCAGTTTATGGATTGATGCTGGTCTTTGATATTCCGGCCATGGGATTGTATATTAAATAGGAATGGTCATAGTGAATCTTCTCTTTTCATGCGACCAATCTTACTGGATGCCTTTTCAAATTTTTGTTGAAGTCTGTTGGTTGCTCAAAATATCGCAAGAATGTTTGGAAATAAATTTGCCGGGGACATTCGCGACATAGTCTAATTCCCGGCTGCACGGCCTCGGGGGGTCCGTGACGGCTGAGTCATCCATACTAGACTTGACACGTGATTGCCCGTTCTAGCCTAGACCATCTTCCCAAGGTTATCTTTTGAGACGTGACGATTGTCCGAATATCTACAAGTACAACCACCTTACATTCCAATCCCACGCCGCTGCTCGTTTACAAACAAGAACCCGGCAAAAAGTCTCATCAAGATGGCGTCATCAACCGTGAACATCTTGCTTTCCTCTTTTCCCGGCCTGTCGCTGCCCTCCACTCTCTCATTCTCGTTACCACCAACTTCGAGCATCTCCGATCTGACTGATAAAGTCGCATCATACCTGCCAACAACGCTTTCATTACAGTCACTTATTCTCACGACCACAAACAATAAACAAATTCTCCCCTCGACCGAGCCTCTACAATCTCTGATCGTGCGCGATGGCGAATCTACAACCTCATCTCTCCTCCCCATTCGCCTCTCCGTGCCTCTTTGCGGTGGAAAGGGTGGTTTCGGCTCCCAGCTTCGTGCTGCTGGAGGTCGCATGGCCAGCAAGCGCAAGCGCAACCAAGGCGAAAACAACAGTTCCAGTCGCAACCTCGATGGGCGCCGTCTCCGTACCGTGACCGAAGCCAAAGCCTTGGCTGAATATCTCGCCGTGAAGCCAGAGATGGACAAGAAGGAGAAGGAGGAGCGCCGACAACGGTGGCAGGCCGTTGTTGACATGGCAGAGAGACGCCAGGAAGAAATCAAGAATGGCGGCGGAAGAGAAAAGATCGATGGTCAGTGGATGAATGATAAGGAAGAGATGAACGAAAAAGCGCGCGAGGCAGTTCTTCAAGCTATGAAGGATGGTGACTGGACAGATAGTCTTCGTGATGCAATTCTTGGTGGCTCAAGCACAAGTGCCAGTGAAGGCAGCGATCAGATGGATTCTTCTACATCGGATGATGATGAGGCTGATGAGGCCGATGAGAACGAGACCTCTTCAAGTGCGGCCGGCCCATCTGCACCCGCAGCGAAACCTGCTCCTCGTCGGTTTATTGGATTTGATGATGATGATGATGAGTTTATGAGCGACTCAGATGAGGAAGAGGAAGAGGAGGTTAAGGACAAGGGCAAGGCACGAGCTTAAACATGAAAATGGGCTTTTTATCATGGATAATGATGGCGTTTCTTTCTGGTTTTGGGTGATATTGGTACAGCGTTTCCTCTGGCACTACTTACATGGAAAATAGCAAATGTGACTACAAGTTTTTTCTCGAGAGAAGAATCTCAAAGCAAAATTAGTCCTACTAGTAATAATCTATATGCTGCATTCACTTCGATCAAAGATACCACTAGTTGCTAGTAGAGGAAGTTCTTCGCACTGATGCTCGATCTAGAATTAGAACCTCCAAGTCCTAGTCTGATTATGAAAATATTGAGTTGCTTCGCGTTCTGCCTTGCGGAGTCATGTTTTAATTTATTGACATTCGAGATGAAACTATGATCTAATGCTTCGTACTGAAGATCGTGTATTGATAAAATAATGGGATTGAATAGTAGCTAAGATCTGAGCTATGGACGGTTACTTATGCGATCCGAGTCTCCGGACCAGCTGATAAGACTCACCCACCTCCGATTAGCAGTACAGTGTATTCCGATCTCTAAACCAAACTCTTCTTTAACACAAAGTGTACCAGATCACAAAAATGGCACCCATCGATACCCCAATCACAGCCCAAGAGCTGGAGATTCTTTCCACCAAGGCGATTGCAGCCAAGGAAGCAGCTTATTGTCCCTACTCCAAGTTTCGGGTGGGGGCATGCATCCTGACCACGTCGGGCGAGTTTGTGGTCGGTGCCAACGTTGAGAATGCTGCGTACCCTGTTGGTACATGTGCAGAGCGAGTCGCATTTGGCACTGCGGTTGTATGTCCTCTCATTCTTCCCCTACAAGCGTTGCGAGGATCTGTCCTGGTCGAAAACTGACTGTTCTTCTAGGTGGCGGGGCATAAAAGCTTCAAAGCGCTTGCTGTCGCCACAGATATCAAGCCTGCAGCTTCCCCTTGTGGAATGTGTCGGCAATTGTATGTTCCCTCCCTTATTCCTTTGATATTCTGGTATTAATAATGTTAGTATTCGCGAGTTCACCAATGGCTCGTTCCCGGTATACATGTACGACGGCGAGGGATCATATAAAGTTATGACCATGAGCGAGGTATGCCTTCTCTTTCACAAGATTATCGTTGAAAGCCATGCTGACTTCCTTCCAGCTCCTGCCGGACTCATTCGGACCAGGTGATCTCGGGATCTAGGTCATTGGGTGGGTATTCAAATCAACTTGAAGAAGACACATGCATAGAGTAAAGGTAGGATCTAGTATGGAAGAAGGCTTTATATGGCTGAAGCGAGTTTTGGCTTGACCACCAAGTACATAACTTGAACTCGGTCTATTTGAGGCCTGAGTTGTTAAATAAATCTAATTTATACGACCGCTGTTCAGGCACTTGGGCATGATTTGATGTAATCAGTGGTATATTTACAGACACTACGGGTTTCCATAAAACCGCTAGACAGGCCAGCTACAAAATTTAGCAACATAACATGGACATAAGCATTAAGAGAATCACCAAGCACCCCGCAGCCTCTCCATGAGGCCTCCATTGCCACTCTGGACTCGACTGGGACCGTCATCCATGTCCGTGCCGTTCCCAGTCGCAGTTCTCCGTCTCTGCCCAGCAGCACCTTCCAGCCCGGAGGTAGAAGCAGCTGCCTCTCCCTCTAGTCTGCGCCTTAAATCTTCATACCGTTCACGTTCGCCGGCACTGTTCCCACCCGCAGCTCCGCTGCCACTTCGTCTTTCGCGTTCCCCAACTAACCATGCAGGAATTCGGAAACCTGCTGGAGAAGGCGATAGACCCGGAAAGATCTCTGCGCGCCAGGCCATACCCACGATCCAGCCGACAATGGAGGGCAAGAGCATCGCAGGGAACTGGGAGAGGGCGAGCTGAGCAGCAACGAGATATGTTGTGGATTTATCGGACAGGAGAAGGGTTAGGCTGGGTGGCGATGGTTTCGGTGTCGAGGTAGTAGCCGATGTATCATCGTTGGTGTCATCTGCGCTAGCTGGAGTGCTAGTGTCGACGGTAGACGAGGATGACGTCGTACCGATGCGATACCGATACGTATGCGGGATTGTCGCGTAGTACTGAGCAAGTAAGGCAAAGACTGTTGCTGTCGGGCCAGAGGGGAGATAATTTAATGTGTTCAAGGACAGAGGTCGTATGACCAGGGTGAGGAGAACTGGTGGGAGCAGTGTTGTGAAAGGGAGTGTCGTCAAAATGAAGGTCTATCGAAGCATTGAACAGGTTAATCTTGATTCGTAGTAGATTCCATGGGTAAGAACTTACGGCCATTTTGCGCTTGCCCCATGCCCGCTCAATGACACGGAGGTGGTACACCAGCATTGCGGCGAATAAAGCCTCCGTAGAATTGGTGAAGCCTGCTACCTGCCAGACAAGTCCGCGCCAGAACTGCGCATACGGCCAGATGTGTGGAGAGACATGAATGACAGCAAGATGTTTCACATCAAGAATGGAGAGTGCGATGGAAGAGGCAATGGTATAGACAAGTAAGGACTTGGTGAGCGGGGTGTTGGTCAAGCCGGATGTGAGCATGTTGGAGGGGTTGTGGACGGTAACTCTGGGATTATGGATCGAGGATGTTCATTCGGGCGATCGGAAATGCTATGGTGGGTCCAAGAGAGAGGACCGCTTCAGAGCTTCAACTTTGGAAGTTGAATGGATGTGAACTGGTGAGAGTTGAAGCACTTGTGGAAAGTGGTACAAATTCCATAGCAACCTAAGGCCACATAGCAGCTCCGAGTCTGGGGAAGCTCAGCTTGCCGACCCCCAGTTCTAAATATACGGACTTTTGAGCAATGCCACCAAGTACTATGTGGGAGTATTTATGATACTATTCATACTCTCAAATTTAATTGTGTCCAGCACTCGACTTCAAGTTCGATTCAACAAGGATCTAGTAATTAGGAGTATTTCAAGTTTCAAGTTATAGCGCGACTCGGCGACTCGGAAGTACTATCATCAGATGAATCGGGCCCTAGCGATATATATGCATCCGCACTTGAGCAGCTTATTGTCCAAGAGTATCTCAATTGAAATTGATGACAGCACATATGCAACATTTGAAGCCTCTATCTCAGTATGAATCCTTTGACATATTATAGATCATGATATTACCTTCATATATCTGTAAATGTTTAGTGTTGAAGTGCTCATGGATGTCCAGGTGGTAATTATGGTAATATTACCCGCAATTGGCCTCTCCTTAATGCATGCGCGGTATTGAGCATACCAATACCATACATGCGGAGATGATTTTCTGCCAAAAACTTTTTTTTTTCTGATCTGCGCAGCTCTTGTCTTCAGTTTTCTCCAACTCGTGAGGCTCCAAATTTTAGTGAAATTTGGGACTAATTGTACGAGTTTCGACTGTCGCCATGTTCGCAGTACCAGGATGGTCACTTTCTGCGACCCCCAAGCGCGAGAATCAGACCCCCAATCCAGCAAAAGAATCTAAGAACGAGAAGAACAACAAGCGCAAGCGTGGCAATGACAGTATCACCCGTGGCAATGTTGATGAGATGTATCGCAAGCACATCGAGGGTCGTAAGCCCAGGCCCGGTGCGAAGAAGGCAGGAAAGCCGCAGACGAAGGAAAAGCAGGTCGAGAAGGAGACTCCAGTAACTGAAAATGTGACAAAGGAGACTCCTGCACCAGCTGCTCTTGCACCGGCTGCTCAAGAGGATGAAAACGCCCCCAAGAAGAAGCAAAAGAGGAACAGGAAGAACAAGGACCAAAACGGTCAATCCGACCAGGCCCAGGAAGACAAGACCGGCTCGACACCCGCTGCCGCTACTGGCACCTCCGTAGAAGCCATCACTGCCGCACCCCCGACAACCACTGCAACCTTGACACCGCTCCAGCAAGCTATGCGTCAGAAGCTTATTTCCTCCCGCTTCCGCCATTTGAACGAGACACTATACACCACAGATTCGTCGAAAGCCGTTGAGCTCTTCAACGCCAACCCCGAACTCTTCGACGAATACCATGCAGGTTTCGCTCGCCAAGTCAAGGAATCCTGGCCCTCGAACCCGGTCGATGGATATATTCAGTTTGTTCGTCGCCGTGCTGCCGTTCCCATGGCTAGGAGAGGAAGCAAGCCGAACCCCGACAAGCCACTCCCTCTCCCTCGCAGACCTAGTGGGTTGTGTGCTATTGCGGATCTCGGATGTGGTGATGCTGGTCTCGCGCGGGCCTTGACCCCCTCGGCCAAGAAATTGAAGCTTAAGCTTAACAGCTACGATCTTCAAGCCCCCGACCCTCTTATCACCAAGGCCGATATCTCCAAGTTGCCTATTGAAGACGGATCTATGGATGTTACAATCTTCTGTCTAAGTCTGATGGGAACTAACTGGGTTTCCTTTGTGGAAGAGGCCTGGCGAGTTCTACGTGGTGATGGAAAGGGAGAATGCTGGGTTAGTGAGGTTAAGAGCCGGTTCGGCAAAGTGGCCCGCAAAAAGTCGATGATTGGAGCCCAGAAGCCCACTCTTAGCAAGACCCAGCAAAAGAAGCAGAAGAAGAAGGCTGGTGAGGAGGATGATGAGGATGACGCTGATATATTTGCTGAGGATGCTCGTCCTGCCGATAACAACGATGAGACGGATATCACTGCCTTTGTGGAGGTGTTCCGTACCCGTGGATTTGTGCTCAAGCAGGAGTCGGTGGACAAGTCCAACAAGATGTTTGTGAAGATGGAGTTTGTGAAGGCGGGTGGAGCCCCAACCAAGGGCAAGCATGCCTCTTCGGGTGCTGCTCCTGCAGCTGGGAAGAAGCGATTTGTGGATCGCAAGCCCGATGCTGGCAGTGGCATGACTCCTGAGCAAGAAGCCCAGGTGCTCAAGCCTTGTGTATACAAGATTCGGTAGTTCCTTCAAGTTGTTGTTTGAGATACCAAATACAAAAGTCCCTGTCCCTTCTGTCTATATTGAATCTTTCAGACCGGATAAGCCTGGACCACAGGCATTCCTCTCGGTATCCGAGTGCTCTAAAAAGGTGCAGATGTGGGTATAAAATAGTATGCAATAACCCCTCACATGGATAGTAAAAGGATGATCAGCCCGGGCCTCGGTTGTACCGTAACTGCGAAGCCCCGCGTGCAACCGATGCAGCATGACATGTTGATCACCCCTCGGATTCTTAATTTGTTCTGACTTTTCTTTTCATTCTCTCACTTTCTGTTTTCCATATACATTGTTATCGAGTGAATCTCGAGTCTGTTTACTGAAATCAATCCTCCCTTTCTCCGCACCATCTTCCCGTCCCCACCTCTCTACCCCGGACCCATTTACCAATCCACAATGGCGCTCAGCTTGAGAACCAGTCGACATGCTTCGCAATTAGCTCGGGTGAGAATTCCCTGCCATTGAAGTCTGAGTTCAACACAATATCGCCTGGAAACCATATAGCTACTGTTCCACATGGCATCAATTGACCTTGATTAACCCTTAATTCCAGGTGTCGCGCCCGCTCCTCTCGGCCCGACGCTATGCGACCGCCGAGCCGGACCTGAAAACTACCCTGAAGGATGTCATCCCAGCCAAGCGGGAGCTGCTTAAGCAAGTCAAAGCTCAGAGCGATCAAGTGATCGGTGAAGTCACAGTGGGCAATGCAATTGGTGGCATGCGAGGCCTTAAGGCCATGTTGTGGGAGGGTTCCGTACTAGACGCCAACGAGGGTATCCGCTTTCATGGAAAGACGATCAAAGACTGCCAGAAGGAGCTGCCCAAGGGCACCTCAGGAACCGAGATGCTTCCAGAGGCTATGTTCTGGCTGCTTCTCACGGGCCAGGTTCCATCAACCGCCCAAGTGCGCGCGTTCTCCAAGGAGCTCGCCGAGAAGTCCCACCTGCCCCCTCACATTCTCGACTTGGTCAAGTCTTTCCCCAAGTCCATGCACCCCATGACTCAGCTATCCATCGCAGTCGCTGCTCTTAACACCGAGTCTAAGTTTGCTCAAGCTTACGAAAAGGGTCTCAATAAGGCTGAGTACTGGGAGCCTACGTTCGATGACTGCATTTCGCTGCTCGCTAAAATCCCCCGCGTGGCTGCCCTTGTCTTCCGTCCAAATGAGATTGACCTTGTAGGAAACCAGAAGCTAGATGTGGCTCAGGATTGGTCTTATAACTTCGCCGAGCTTCTCGGCAAGGGCGGCCAGGAGAACCAGGACTTCCACGATCTTCTTCGTCTGTACATGGCCCTGCACGGAGATCACGAGGGTGGTAACGTCTCTGCGCATGCCACTCACCTGGTTGGAAGTGCGCTGAGCGACCCTTTCCTTAGCTACAGTGCCGGTCTTCTGGGTCTAGCTGGTCCGCTACATGGTCTCGCTGCTCAGGAAGTTCTGCGCTGGATTTTGGCAATGCAGGATCAAATTGGTACCAAGTTTACTGAGGAAGATGTCCGTACTTACCTGTGGAACACGCTGAAGTCTGGCCGCGTTGTCCCAGGGTATGGACATGGTGTTCTTCGCAAGCCTGATCCTCGTTTCGAAGCCTTGATGGATTTCGCTGATACCCGCCCCGATGTCCTTGCCAACCCGGTGTTCCAACTAGTCAAGAAGAACTCTGAAATCGCACCTGGCGTTCTCACGGAGCATGGAAAGGTGTGTCATATCCCAGAAAGGAGAGTCTGACCAGTTGCTAACATTACTATTACAGACCAAGAACCCTCACCCCAATGTCGATGCTGCTTCTGGTGTTCTGTTCCACCACTATGGCTTCCAGCAACCCCTGTACTACACAGTCACCTTCGGTGTCAGTCGTGCCATCGGACCTCTCGTCCAGCTCATCTGGGATCGTGCCTTGGGCATGCCTATCGAGCGTCCTAAGAGCATCAACCTGCTGGGTCTGCTTAAGAAATAAGTTTGACAGAATATGGGATGAATTCTCATTTGTCTTCTTTCATGATATCTTTTATGCGAGCGAGCTTCGATGGAATCTTTTATTTGCCTTCAAATTTGCAACAAAATCGCGAGTTCAAATGTTCCATAGACGTAGATCAACGTGTCAATCAAATAGGACTAAAATTCGTTGCGTTTTCCAAGTTTTGTTCTCCACTGATGGTCCACTGATGGCCCATGTGGGATCAGAAGGAACCAAAGCAGAATTAAACAAACCCACCCCATCCATTGAATTCCTCCGCGAATTTGACTGCCGCTTTTAAATAGAAGCTATCTTGGTCGCCCCAAGTTGACGCCATATCTCCCAATGATTTGGTAGCCTTGACATAATGGGAATCTGTAGCATGATCACTCTTGATCGCCTTAGCTGCTGTCCAAGCCCAATCTCTACCCTGGAGATCAAATTCATGAATTCGGTCCAACGGCACCTCGGGCCGAAGCTGCGCAATATAAACTGCCAGTACCATGAGCCACCATTGTCGGATAAGCGGAATTTGGAACTTTGGTGGAATCATCGGTAACAGCACTCGCACGGCGTGACTGGTAGTCACTGCGTGCACGAAGAAGAAGTCATATTTGTCGTCGTGATTCTTGTGCGTCGCAACAAGGAGCGCGGTAGCAAGTTCTTGGCTCTCCCGGAATTGCTTGATCGGGTTCTCGATCTTCCATGCGTTCCAGTGGTTCAGTAGCACTGCTTCATGGCTGTGGAAAAGTTGATTTATGTTATCGTGTCCTGGAAGGGCGAATATGCCATCTACTTGTTGATCTGAGCGAACTTTTTCCAGGACCTCAAAGATCGAGGTTGTGGTGTATGATGATTCTGTTTGTGAGTAAACTGGGTCGTCGAGGTATTTATGGTGGCTGTTGTAACAGACTGATGCTAGACTCATAGCCTCCATTGCAACCTCGCGACTGGACATCTCATATGCATAAGCAAGGTGAATGAGTGGATGTCCCACTGAGAGATGTTAGTCTGGAATGAACAAAATGAAGATGGAAAAAAACATATGAAACGAATCGCGGATTGGACATACAGTCTGCAATGATCGAGTTAAATACGGGATTTTCACCAGAAAATAGATACTCGTTGATAACCTCCTTCCAGTCATAGTCGAATCTTACTAGCTCATCTTCATAATAGTCGACAAATGCTTTTTGATATCTGTTATGATCGCGTCAACGAAGGTCATTTTCAATATCGCGAAGGAAACCTGGACTATTGAATACTTACTCACGACGTCCCAAATGATCTCTCCAGTCTTCGCTGGTGACTTCCGCCGGAGAATCCACCCACTCATCTAATAGGGTCGACTCCGTTTCATAGATCCGGGTTAAATGATCTGCATCCGCGCCCTGGAGAAAGGCGGCACTCAGAAGCTAAGCAACACGTTAGTCGATACCGAAGTACTTGAAGCGGAACTGAAATGAAGGTGAAATCCACATACATGGGGCGCATGGTTATGAAATTTCAAGTTGTTGTACAGAATTGCATGATTTGCATGATTCAGTTTGAGTAAGTGTTTCAATGTGCGAGCAGGCTTTTCGGGGGATGACTCAATATTATGAGTTTTTGCCGGCGCCAGACTTATAACAGCCTTCTCCTTTGAAAAGGGGATGAATGACCTTAAAGAAGGAAGGGAAATAGACAGCATTTTGAGAGAGCTCAGTAGTGGCGGAGATGGGTTCGGTAACTTCGGTCAATTAAGCTCAAATGCGACCGAGGCGCCAAGCTTTGTTGGCGCCTCAAATTACAGGCACCACGTCACTCCCCAACATCTTTCCTCAACACAATTTGGTGTCAACAACCGCTTCCAAGGTCATTTGATGGGTCATAGAAAACATCGAAAGTCATTGATACAATTTGTATCCACCCATAATACTACACATGAGATATGGTGATGGATCTCCTTCAACTTGTTACCAATTGACGCAAATTCAGAATTCTATCGAACATGCTCTATCTGATGTCTGTGCCACACTATCTAACGCACCACAATACCCTCCATGTCACCGCTAGCTCGCCAATTTTCAATAATCCCAAGCCAATGCTCAATTCCAGAACCCCAAAGACCTGAACGTGCCAAAATCATACGGTATTCAGGTGGCACACGATCGAGGTCACCCTCCAAATTGAAGTATCCAGGTGTGCATCCCATCGCAACGCCCATAGGCGCAGCATGCATCAGTACTTGCATGGCCCAATCTTCAGCTGCCTCTGTAGAAGGTGCAAGAGCAAATGAGGCATCTTCAGACCGAGAACTTGCAGCTTTTCGCTTTGCTTCAGTCAAAATGTACGAGATGTGCTTCGCATACTCGTCAAGATTGAAGCGGTAGTTTCCACTTGCAGCTGCTTGCTGGGGTCCAGAGAGAAACATATTTGGGAACTTCGAGTCAATGACTCCGTGCAAAGTTGGAGGGCCAAATTGATGCCATTCCGTGCTCATAGAGACTCCATTTAAGCCGATCACTGACATATCTGCTTTCTTGGCTGGTGTACCTGAAGGGGGTGCAAGGAAACCTGTTGCAAAGATGATGATATCCGCTTCATAGGCTTCATCACCAATAACCACAGAGTCTGCGGTCATACGGTCAATACCCTTGCCCTCAGTATCGACAAGGGTCACATTATCTCTATTAAAGGTCTTGAGGTAGTCGTCGTGGAATAAGGGCCGCTTGCACCACACAGGATACCAAGGTTTCAACTTCTCAGCTGTAATAGGATCTTGCACCTCTTGATCCACGCGAGCATGGATACCTTGTTGACGTGAAATATCAATCTCGACTAACCTTGCTGCGTATGCTGGTATTTCTTCAGGCGATTTGGGTCCTGCTGCATTACCAGTCAAACCAACCAAGCCAGGAGCGCGAGTCCATCCATCATCAACAAGGTTGACCGATGGTGGCTCCTCAAGAGTAAAGTGTTGATGGAAGTTCCTTATACGCTCTCGTTGCCATCCCTTTGAGTTTGCAACTTCCTCATAGAACCACTCCTTACCAGTCTCTCGCTGATCACGCACACCGACTGAGGCTGGTGAACGTTGGACCACGTAGAGATGCTTGCACCACTTAGCGAGGTGTGGAATGATTTGTACTGCTGTTGCTCCTGTTCCAACAACTAATACCTGCTTATCCTTCAATTTTGTAAGCGATGGATCCTTAGGAGATCCACCCGTGATGTTATATGCCCAACGAGCAGAGTGAAACATATCACCCTGATAATCTAGAATACCTGGGATACTCGGAAGCTTAGGCCAGTTGAGGACACCAGCAGCAATGGTGACAAACTTGGAACGAATCTTGAGAGTCTCAGACTGTCCACCACGGCGCTGGGTTAGACTGGCCGACCACTCTTTCGCCTTATCATCCCAAACGATCTCTTGTGCTTAAGTTTGGAAAACGGCGCAGTCGTTCAATCCCCATTTCTGCGCAACAAGGTTGATATACTCTCGGATCTCTTCGCCTTGCGAGTATCTATGCTTAGGCATATACCCGGTTTCTTCCAGATACGGGAGATAGGAATTACTCTCAATATCACACATCAATCCAGGATACCGATTCCAGTACCAAGTTCCACCAAACCCACCGGCAGGGTCGATGATGCGAATATTGTCTGGGGATATACCGGCCTCGACCATGCGAACAGCATTTTGTATTCCACCCCACCCAGCTCCAATGATGAGCATCTCAGTCTTCTGGTTGGGGAATTTGTCATAAATAGATTTGACTGCTAATGGCTCAACCCAGGGATCCTCGACGAAGTGCTCATGCTGTGGTGATTTCGCGACTTCAATATACTGTGCATTTCCGTCGTCTCGAAGACGTTTCTTTCTCTCCTGCTCATAGCGGATCTGAATTTCGGCTAGCCCGGATGAACCGCTCTCATTACTGGTGATGGGCATGGTAGCGCTCTGGTTTCTCGTGATTTTGACCACTATACGCGTGAATTTGGGCGATCGAAAAGTTGAGCCAGGCTTTTCGATTGATAATTGTGAGAAACCTGAGCAGCAAAATAAGGTTCTAAAGATCCCATGATCTCAAGATTAGTCACTGCATGTCGTTTTCGCCCCATTCTTAACACCTTAGAAGTGGGGTCCGTGTACATTGTAACTCCATTCTCAATATGTATACACCTGGATGTTTCCAAGGCTGACTCAAAGACCTCTGAATGCGACTCGGATGTTCCAATTTCCGAGACGCGTAACCAAGCTTGTATCCCTGTAAGGCTCTAAGATTCACACCAGAAGCTCGAATGGCTGGAAGAAGTGGATCTATCGCACTTTCTCACATTTCTACCGCTCGGGTGGAATTTTGGGGATAAATATTTCAATATGCAGTTTCGCCCGTATTGACACCTTTGTGACATGTTAAATTGAAGGCAGTATAAAAACCACTCATTTTGAGAACATATCAATAACCTTGGAACTTTGGGAACATAGGACTGCATGAATGCGCATCCATACAGATGCTATGTTTGCAGCTTCACCAAAGCCCATAATCGAAACCCCAATATTCACGCGAGCCTAGAGGTGGACGCGCCACAAACCTGAAGGATCAAATGGAGTGGGCTTCAAACGATCATGGATTCATGGTTTAGGACGGTTTCAAGTCGCCCCGCTGCTTCGTATACCATATTAATTCCGGTGACTCTTTATTCTCATCTTATTCAAGTTCTTGCTATTCACCTCAATACACCCATTCTCACATCTCCAGTCTATACATCAAGATGGATTTTGGGAACCCCAAGCATCTAGTGGCTGCAGCTCAGAAGATGCGGGCTGAGTTTCTTAAGGCAGCTAATACTGTACCTGTCTCTGTCCATCAAGCAGCAACCCTCCGAGATGATCCCGTTATTGGTCCTTTTTGGGTCAGCAAATTCTCTCTGTCTATTCCAACAGATGACAATAGCTGCGATGCACTTCTGCAACTGGTCGATGAGGCCAACCTACTACAGGTATGCTATCAATCAGAACGAATGTACCTTAATTTCCAATAAATCTAACAAGGATCCAGGCACAATACGATCGCCCGACTTCGGCACCACTTAGGTTTGAGTGGGTGGGACATCGTAGTAATGCCACGAAAGATACTCCAGAGCCTCCTATCGGAGAGAAGGAGAAGTTCGATAATTTGTCCGCAGAGACAAAGGGTCCATTGACCATATTTTATATCTATGGAGGATCATTTGTGTATGTCCCTGAAATAAACCATGACTCATACGTCCCTACAGATTCTCACAAGTCAACTTTTCCATTAGTCAAAATACACCTTCCTGTCATCGGAAATTGGCAGCCAATCTAGCAAAGGATACAGGAGCAAAGGTGCTACTTGTTGAGCAGAGATAAACACCCCAGAACCCCGTCCTCTATCGTGATAGCTGGAGATAGCGCAGGAGGAGGTCTAGCCCTTTCCTTGCTTCAAGTGATCCTTCAACTTCAGCGCCGAGAAGCAGCCATCAGATTTCATGGGAAGACCATGAAACTATCCTCTGAGTCTCAGTCGCCTATAGTGCCAGCGGGAATGTCACTTCTTAGTCCTTGCACAGATGTCACAGGCGCTTTCCATTCATACCAACGGAATGCTCACTGTGATATCTGCCCTGGACAACTTGAGAAACTTCCTTATTTGGAGAAAAGTTTCCCAACTTGTGAGATATGGCCAGCTCGACCAGCTCGTGCAAACCTATATTGTGAGGCAGGTATGCTCGCTCACCCACTTGTAAGTCCTGCGGGCGCAGACAATTGGACGGGCTCTTGTCCTATTTGGATGGGATCTGGACAGGAACAGCCTGGGGACCCTGCCAGATTAGTAGCACAAGGGGTCTATCGCGCAGGTGTTTCTGTCACCGTCCGCAAATATGAATGCATGCCGTACTTATTTTTCATGGCTTTCCGTTCTGCTCCACAGACAAAGCAAATTCTTGCAGAGTAGGCAAAGGCACTTATACAGTTTGGACGGGGAGACCAGCCAACGTCTAGTGCGTGCTTTGTCCGTGCTTGTGGGCTGAAAAAGGAGCCTCTCGATATGGAGAATCTTGTCCCATTCAGTCTTAAAGAAGCTCAGAAGTCTATGTGGGAGAAGACTCATGACTATAAAGTGCCTTCGTTTCACCAGGAAGGAGGTCAATCCAAGCTATAAAGATACATCTTGAAATACAGACGCGGACCTTCGAATTACTGTATTTGCTACCTAGCTTTACCATTTTGAGTTTAGTACCCCGATACTTCCTTCTGTAAGCTCCGCCTTCTGTTGCTCCAGCACAGGCGTTGAGTCCGCGGTGGGAGTAAAATGAAGCACATGAGCAATGAGATAAGGGAGTCTGCCATCACTGGTTGAGGCTACCATTTGACAAGATATCAAATTCCAACATCTGAAGATTCTCTCCGGGTGCATTGCTGGTAGATATAATCCGCTTTCCTTTGATCTCCAGTACATACGACCACAGGGTGCGGAGACCAGGGTTTCCCGTTCGTTCAGTCATACTTAAGCCACATAAGCTATATAGTCAAGATAGGCTTAAGCGACGGCCCATAATGGGAGATACGGTTCTCACTTACACAGGGGCTCTATAAAGTAGAGTAGTAGCTGAAAGGATCCTTATCCCATCAAATATTAGGATTAAGTGTTGGGTATTGGCAAAAGGGATAGTGAATGGAGCTTTCACAGTGACTCATTTGCGAAGTTGTGAAACTCATGTGCACAGGCTTGAGCTTAGAGGCGTATGCGTTATCGAGTCGAGACAAAATAGCTGGTATAAAGATCGGATATCCAGTCCAAAGTTTATTAATGATATTGGAGAGGGTGGTATGTGGTGAGGGAGAGAATGAAAGTTCATGGGAGAGGGCCTGGAGTAGGCACGTGTCCAGATGTCTTAGATCTACGTGAAGACAAAAAGGAACGAGGCAACAATGATAATATAGCAATAAATGACTATTTCTTGGTTCTCTCATCTAGGTATTATAGACTCAGGCATACATCATGATACTACTCATAGTAACATCTGAATATCTCTGCCCAGGTGGGCAGGACATGGGAACTCTGACTGTTGTATGTTTTAAATTTACTGTTATTCAAGTTGTTTATTCTTACTGGTCATCCTAAAATTCTCGAACTATCTGTTAGACTATTTTCTGTTTTCTAAGATCTGGAGGCTCAAATGGTTTAGTAGTAGGATGATAGGCATGGTGGGAAGTCTTGCAAAATAGGAGGACCTTAGGAGGATGGGTTTGCTACATTTTATAGCTGGCTGAGGAGCACTAGTGCTCCAATTGACATTGGAAAGACAAAAAGAGTCCCGGATAAAATTCAATATTGGAAATCCAGATATAACTATAAATAAAAGCGTCCAAGAGAGACTATTCTCAGAGGCTGATAACTACACGAAGGAGCGGAGTGAGAGGAAGGGAAAATCTAGGTGTTATGAATGAACTTGGCCTTTGTGGCTTAAGCTACCCACTCAAAACGGGCTACTCAGTTGAGTTCTTAAATGTGGAGAGAACTGAATTAAGAAAGCACAGAATAGTATTATCAAGATGAGAAATTGCAGAATGCAACAACATGCTTCATGAACGAGATCAAACCTGTACTCGGCAAATGAAAACAAACCCGCTGGAATGTCAGAATTTCAAGCCCTTATGTCTTCTGAAACAGTCTCCCCCTGTGTATTTGGGCGTGTTCAGTTAGTATTGCTGTTTGAGAGTTCAATGCCGCGGTTGCCTGATTCTTCTGGCCATTTACTGTTGTTCTCCAGGCTTGGAAGAGATGATCTTGTAGTTTCTCCACAGTTGCTATATCGCGTTGAATCTTTGCATTGGCCTTGTCGTTGGTACCAAGGTTATTGTCACCAAAATCCCTCATTGCGGATATAATATTCTGCATGAGCTTGTAGCGCTTCCCATCCTCATATTCGCCCTTAGCAAAATAGGTATTAGCCAACAATTGTGAATGGTGGAGATCTTTGAGGGGTGTCTCGATGTTTGTCTTGTGAATCGTGGCTAAATTGGCTCCTTCCTCAGAAGACCTGTTATTTAACAGCTCTTGAGACAGGTACCTCAAATTCGTGAATTGTTGGCTGAATATCTTCTCTGTTTGTGCTCGGGACTGGGGAGACAACTCCACATCCTTGTTGATCAGACGCATGCCCAAATTCTGCTCGTTAGTCATATTGGGTACTTGATTTATCTTTCCAGGATTGAATTCAGACTTCACGTAAGGCAGAAATGCCGTTTGACTCTTGTCCATGTTCTGAATCTTGTTCAAGTTAGGAAGGACACTAGACTTGGGATTTGTCTGTTTGGTATTGGGGGTGGAACTGCGAACACGGATGTTTCTAGTGGGGTTCATGTAGTTGTTGGAATAACCTTTGGCGGGAGGTGAGATCTCGTACTTTGAAAGATCAAGTTTCCTTGGTGGCTGTATTTTTAAAACATTACTTTGTACTATTCAAAACCTTTGAATGTAGGGACCTTGGGAATTTACATTTTTTGTGATACCCTCTTTTTCATATGTTAGTTTTTCTGGTATTATTAAAGTATTTTTTTCGAATATTTCACTGCTATGAGTGCTCCTAAGCTTAATTATGTCACACAATTTGTTGAACTAAGTTAATTAGTTTTCAAAATAATTGGAAGAATACAGAGAATTTGAAGAGAAGACATACCAACAACGCCAACAACATGTGCAGGGATTTCATTCAACTTGAAGTATTCCCCCGAGGACTGAATAACGCACGAGCGTTCTACATTGTATACCCAAACATGGGGGGGGGGGGCTCCATTTTTGTTTTACTGATCGCTCCAGCCTTGTTCAGATGCACAGTCGATTGAAAAATAGTCCATCTTGTTCTGGGTGACTTAGGGGTGGTTCTTCGCCACAAATCATCCCGCGATTAGTAGTACAGCACTTGAGTATGACATTAGGATCGACGCCAATACGGCTTGCGAAATATTCCGGATCCACCCTGCTGAACCCCAGTGGACCTATGGTCCCAATTTCGAACAAATGATACAAATTAAAGTGGGTTTAAGTTCTAGCAGGACCCTCTTCAGCCACTAGTGCACCTAATAGTAGGTATCCTGAGATCTTGAATATGTAGATACTGCCCGAGAAAAACCATGCGGATTGAGCAGCTGGGGAGATGCAAAAACATTGTTCGTAACTATGGGTCATCATTGAGTATAAATAGTGGGTGAAATCCGCTATTCTGTTCAGATTATCATTCATCTCAACTTGAAGGCTACCATAGCTCAACACCTATTCATCATGCAATTCAAACTCTCCATCCTCAGCGCTATCTTGGCTGCTTCTAGCTGTACTATTGCCGCCCCTCAACTTAAAGCACCAGGAGTACCGGGAGTACCGGGAGTACCGGGGTCAATTCCAACCGTGGGAGGATTATTGGGATCACCAGGATCACGTACACCAGGATCATCCGGTTCGACTGGTTTGGACCGGGGTTCCCTCCCTACCATCGCTGGCCTCACCCTCGATGAACCTCTTGAGCCTCAGACGGTAAGTCAGCTATAATATTATACCTGTCGGAAATTCAACCAAAGATTAATGTGAAAATTTGAATAGGATAAATTGTTGCCTGCAGGAAGTGTTGGTAAGATAGTTAATGATGTGGTGGGAAGCCTGGGGTCGTAACTTCTTCAAGTTAAGGTGCCATGTAAGTCAGAAATGGAATTAGAGGAACCATTGTTAATTCTCCACATTCTGATCTATTCATGCTGACCAACCGTTTTTCAAAATAGATATGAAAAGCAACAGGCTATATGAGCTACCTCTCGGATTCGGGGCCGCGAACCCTAATTTTATGTTAATCACGGAATCATTGATGTAAGTTATTTACTGATATACCTTCCACGGTGGCGTGCAAGCCCGGGGCTTTGAACAGAATTATGATGACTGACTGGACATTTGGTGTAGAACTTGATGCCGGTCTTCTCGGGCATATTCAAATTTTCACCATCAACGATATTTACACCTATATTTAATTTAGATAATCAACAATAGGAAACGCTGTCACAGCTCTCTGTATCACATCAGTTTTTGAATATTTTAAATCGACAAAAAGCATTCAAGCATTGGAATGTCTGAGGCTCTTCCAAGGTTGAGAATCATCGCCACATTGAAGCATTGAAATATTCACATGTGCAGCCCTGGAGTGAATATTCGGTTCAAGCCCTTCAAGTTTGACTCCCAAGGCAATCGACCAGCCGACCTAAAGAAAAGTTCCGGATGCCATTAGGTCTAGCACCGGACCTTTCTCGAGGGTGTAGTTATATTGCAAGTATTGCTGCACTGCTGCGGCACTTGAGACACCATTTGTTGAGTATATGTAATGAACTACCTCCATATTTGCGACAACGGTACACCTGAGTGATATAGTTAATTGTCAGCTATCTCACTCATAAAAGCGTGGGCATTTTTCGATACTAGGGGCAATTTTAGCGAGTTGACTCACACCCAGAACCGACAATCAACACCGCTAGGTGCCAGTATGTATAAGTTTCATCCCCTTTCGAAAAGCATCGCGATTAAATTCCTGACCTTCAGACGCTGTCTGACAGGAAAATCGAAATCCCGTACTGAACTGGTGGAATGTCGATAGGAGCAATGGGTGAGCTTTCAACTTCCCATTGTCGCCATAAGACCTTCTTTGATCATGTTCAGCCGAACTGAGTTGCAATCAGATGTCAAGAGGAATGTGGAGGCATCGTTTTCGCTTTGCCTATCGGCCTCAAAGATGTACTCCATGGACAGTAACTATTACTGTCGAGACAATAAGCTGCTGGTGAGCAGGGGTAAGTTCAGTGGTAGCAGTGTTAGATCGCGTGGTGCCGTATAGATCGAACCACTGTTGCTTCTAAGGTCCTAGATAGCTCTCAGGCCTGCAGAACCTCTTCTTCCTCCTTCCTCACGCTACGCTTCCAATACACTTTTCGCTTCCTCCATAAGCTCCATTCCCAACACCAAGATAAAGATTTCCCCACTCACACCGAAACGTCTCAGCCAATTTCTTATTTCCAGTCATCTAATTTCTTTGCATTCGATACAAAGGCCTAAAACCAGTATCATGCAGCATTCTGATATCATTACTGCCGATGAAGACTGGTTGATTGATCTTTGCCACAGGTCTAAGGAGGAGGGTGGAATGATTGGAGGCAACAAACATGGCGACAAAGTCATCAAAATTTCCGAGCAGGTCGTAGTCAAATACGGTTATGTTCAAGAATCCGAAGCAGCGACACAAGAGCTCGCAGTTCACGCGATGGACCGGAACGTTATTCACATTCCGGAAGTCTACTGGTACATCGAATCTCACCGATCATTACAGCCAGTGGGATATATATTTGGCGACGACGGCGCGAAAACAGCATTTACTTCTTTGGACTACTTGACTCGTTACAAAAGGCTCCAATATCGCAACAATTCAATCGATCTAGAGCCCTATGCCCAGAACTTAGTATTGTGTCACGGGGATATCTGCCGAAGAAATATGATTATGAAGGAGGATGGCGCTCTTGCACTCGTTGACTGGGCATATTCCGGGTTCTATCCTCGATTTTTTGAGCTGGCCACTCTCACATGCCTGTCGCCTTACGATAAAGAGTTCCAGCCGTTGGTCAAGAATGAGTTTGAGAACTCATTAGAACTGACCGACCAAGAGAGCAAGACATGAAGTTCACCCTCTGTGTCCGAGGTGCAAATCTAAGATGGTCCTTGTGAGGAACGGACTCTCATCAATTCATTGCGCGCTTGGGGTTTACTAATAACTTTGGACAAATAGCGATGAACCTGTGCAGAATCACCAAGAAACATATGACAGAATATATCAAGACGCCCTCGCCAGTAATGCAATTCTTGCAAAGCAGCGAAAGGAAGCTGGAGTCTCGGATCCTCCAGTAGCGGAGATTAAAATAGAATCTTCAGTTTCTCTTGTGGAGAATGAAGCAATTACCGAACTCCAGGACTGAACATTGGAATGTTGTACAGGAGTTTCCAGGTTAGAATATCTGCACTCAATGAATGTGAAATCATCAATAATTCAACAGAAGAGTTATTATACCAATAATTGTCAAAATGATAACTTGAATGACTACCTAGACAAATTTCTAGTACCACTATCACTGGCAACAATATTCGGGATGGCCCAAATAGCCTTCTGTAACAATTCAAATGTTACTATTAGCAACCCATTAAAAGGATATTAAGCCCGTCTGTCGAGGAGACGCTGAAACTGGTCCGTTTAAGATATCACCTCGCTCTAAAGAGGTCTACTAGTCCACTTATCGGTCGTTACTAATGGCATTGCAAATTATTGCGAATCAAACTCCCCAGCTTCAGTGGAACCCGAAGCAACGAAGTGACATGGAGAGGCGATATTTGGTATCCGTCGTGATTGATTCTTGAAGTGGAGGATTCCAAGTCAAGGTACGCAAGAAAAGAAAATCCAAAATTCAACAAGGTCAGGGATCGAACCCAGGACCTTCAAGATCAGAAATGCGTGAATAGCCTCAACAGCTCTCACTTGATACATCCATCCTTAACACATAATCCTTTCTATCTCCCTCAATTATTTTTATTTTGATGATCTGAGAGTTAGAATAGAGAAATATAATAAATGAAAAAAATTTAAAAATTTAAAAATTTAAAAATTGTCCCTTGCCGTAGCCAGAAATCCCACCCACCCGCTAGTATTATCTCTGCCACCGAAAAGCGGCCCGGCCCACCTCGATTTCAATACCTTTGTCCCGCAAATGGGTCGCTGACCGCTACATAGGCACTTAGACTAGCAGGGCAAAGTCGATACCGGGGAAGCTCGTCACTCAAATATATGGGGAAATTTGTGACCATTTTGTATTAGTGTCTCCTCTGTACTCCATACTCTACCTAGACATCCACAAAAATAAAAATTATTCAAGTTTCAAATAATCATTCCATTCCAAATGATTTGAGAAATACTACATCTATTCCACATACGAATTCCGATTTCTGTCCCTCCAAGGTTAGACTTCCAAGTACAAGTGTCATGACTCATAATACATGATTTTAACTTGAAAATGGGTCAGAGTCCATATGACGAAAGCGGATACTTTGGGAGATTGGTAATTAAACAATAGATCATTAATGAAAGGGAACTATAGCCAAGGAAAGCCAACTTGGAAGATACTAAGGACAAAATCCCACAAGCTATACCAAAATGTCCCAACTTGAAAAGGCTCATGCAGATTTACCTTCGACTTCGACATACTCAGCAAGTTGGACTTGCTCCTTCTTTTCTTCAATAGTCTCAGCCAACTTTTGTTTCATATCATCGCCATCAAACAAGTATGCAAGTTCTTCAAGTGAAGGACCGGCTGTCTCAACAAAGAAGGAGTAGACCGTGAGGAAGACAATAAGAACCCAGATGCAGTAGTAAATGTAGAACTTCCACCCAATGCTGTCCAATCCAATAGGGTTGACGTAACCACCAAAGATAGATGCTACTTGGATTGTCAGCAGAACAAAGGCCCAGGTCTTAGCGCGCATCCGCAGAGTGACAATCTCAAGCGGGTAAGTCACAATGAGGTTGGTCCAGGCAAATGTGTAGAATGTCGTGAAGAAAAAGATGCATGCAATCACGACACGACCTGCAATAATAGAGTCGTGCTCGAGATACCGTTGGGCGGCGATTGTCCACACAATAAAAGTAACCAAGACACCGCCAGATCCAGTGAGGAAGAAGACACGGCGCCGGAATCGATCAATAATCAGTGCAACAAAAATGGCAACAATATATTGCCATAATGTGACCATGCCGTTCACCAGGGTGATCTCATACTCTGTTTTCAAGCTTGTGCTCTTCAAGATCTGCGTCAGGTAGTTCGATACAAGTAGATTGCCAGAGCTTTGACTGAAGAGGGCTGTACAGAAGCACAGGAAGAGACGCTTGAGGTTCGCCCGAGAGGAAAAGAAGTCCTTCCAAGACATGTTTTCCTCAGCCTCCTTTGAGATGGCTGTTTGGATCTCGACAATCTCAAGATTGACTAGTGCAGAGTTGGTGTCGCATTCTCCATGATACTTCACGAGAATATCACGGGCTTCTTGAAGGTGTCCATTCGATATCAACCAACGGGGTGATTCGGGGCAGAACCAAATCAAACAGAATTGGTATGCCGAAGGGATGATCTGAATCAGAGTCGGAAGTCTCCAAGACCACTGACTATCGATTCTATAGCACCCGAAGGTTGCCCAAGCACCGATAACGTACCCCAGAACGATGGAGGTGTTGTAGAATGTGGTGACCTGGACACGTTCTTTGGGGTGTGACAGCTCCGTCACCAAGACTGGGGCTCCCATCTGAATAAGTGAAGAACCCACGCCAAGGACGATTTTCCCACCAACATACATATTCAGGGAGGTTGCAAAGAACTCAATGATGACTCCAGTGATCACAACGACAGATCCAAGGGCAGTGGGTAAACGGCGACTGGATTTATCGCTGATCCAACTCAGAAATATGAATGGGATGACACCACCGATCGAATTGGCAGCACCAAAGAATCCAAGCTTTGCACCTGTAGGATTACCAAAACGGTCTTGCCAGGATGTCAGAACTTGCATTCCGTTCGTCATAGACTGCCAGAAGTGGCTCGTTAGTTGGGGTGCATTGGATTTCGAGGACAGCCTTGAGTATCATATTGATAATAAAAGGCGGGAAGGGGCTTGTAACTCACACCATCGATTCCAAGTGCCGCACTCGCCAGCAAAGACGAAGTGAGAAGGAAGTAGAGTAGGATACCATTCTTTCGACGCCAGAATGGTGGCATCGAGTCCACGTCAATGGATGATACGATGGCCTCCGCGGCATGGGCAGCGGCAGGAGCCATTATGTAGGTGGTTTGTCAATATAAAACAATTTTATTGAGAAGATGAAAAGTGAACTCGAAACACGAAGATGAGACGTTCATGGTCGGACGATCTGTACCCTTTATAGAAGTTACAGCTTCCTGCAATTGAGGGCTCTGGGCAAAACCGAAGAGATTGAGCACACCCGTTAAAAAGAAAAGTCAATTAAATTTACATTCCTTAAAGGCGGGGAATTGCAATTTTCCCCGTGGGGTAGAAAAAGGGGAAAAAACAGGGAAAAAACAGGAGCAAAGGAAAATGATTGTAGCATGACACTTTTCCAGTTCTAGCCAATTTGTGGGCTCCGGGGAAAATGAGGGAAAATGAGACGAAGAAAAGACGACGGCGAAATATCCAAACTCTCCACTTCCAAGGTTCAAGTTTTCTCCGCTCTAAATCCCCAAAACACAACTGAACATCAACCGATTTATATGGATCAAAATAAACTTCTCTTTCAAAAGTCTCTCTTTCTCTCTCTATTTGCGTTTTATATTTTGGCTTTCGTTTTGTTTTTCTATCTATAGAATCCGACAATCCATATCCTCCTCACGATACAAAGGGAAAGAACCACAATCATGCCTCCCCTGCCTAAGGACTTCGAATGGGGGTTTGCGACAGCTGCGTATCAGATCGAAGGAGCAGTGGACGAAGATGGCCGTGGCAAGTCTATTTGGGATACCTTCTGTCATCTCGAGCCCACCAGAACTAAGGGAACCAATGGAGATATCGCATGTGATCACTATCATCGCTACGAGGAAGACCTGGATCTTCTCACGCGATATGGTGCCAAGGCATATCGTTTCTCAATTTCTTGGTCACGAATTATTCCATTGGGAGGACGTGATGATCCGATTAAAGAAGCCGGCATTGCTTTCTACAACAAGCTGATTGATTCCCTGCTCGCCCGAGGCATCACACCGTGGGTCACTCTTTATCACTGGGACTTACCTCAGGCAATTCATGACCGGTATGGAGGCTGGCTGGATATCAAAGAGTCCCAATTGGACTTTGAGCGATATGCCAGGATCTGCTATGAGCGATTCGGAGATCGCGTGAAGAACTGGATTACCTTGAATGAACCGTGGATTGTCTCGATATTTGTGAGCATCTTCCTTTACAATCTCATGAGCTTTTTCCAACTTATTATGTAGGGATACGCAACTGGTGGAAACGCACCTGGTCGCAGCAGCATCAACCCACAATCTACCGAGGGAAACACCGCGACAGAGCCCTGGATCGTCGGAAAATCTCTCATAATGAGCCATGCTCGTCCTACTGCGCTGTATAATCGTGAGTTCCGTACTTCGCAGCAAGGAAGAATCGGCATTTCTCTGAATGGCGACTACTATGAGCCCTGGGACAGTCAGGATGAGCGCGATCAATTGGCCGCTGAACGCCGAATGGAATTTCACATCGGCTGGTTTGCCAACCCTGTCTGGTAGGTACAAAATTCCATGCACTCCTCACTCCATTGACAGGATGAACAATGCTGACAGCGATTTCCTCAACAGTCTAGGACAAGATTACCCAACCTGTATGAGAGAACAGCTTGGAGAGCGACTTCCCAGGTTTACAGACTCGGATTTTGCCCTACTGAAAGAAACCTCGACTACCATGGACTTCTACGGGATGAACTACTACACTTCCCAGTTTGCACGACACCGCGATGAACCAGCCTCGGAGAATGACTTTTTGGGTAACGTGGAAGAACTACAGAGCAACAAGCAGGGAGTACCAGTTGGAGAACCCAGTGGAATTAGTTGGCTTTATTCTACCCCTGGCCTTTTTCGAAAACATTTGACCCGGGTGTACCAAAAGTACGGCAAGCCAATCTACGTAACTGAAAATGGATGTCCGTGTCCCGGGGAAGATAAAATGACCCGTGAGAAGTCCATCGAGGACAGTTACCGAATTCGGTACTTCCAAGATCACATCGATGCGCTTAGCCTTTCATTCGCGGAGGACAAATCAGATATTATGGGATATTTTGCTTGGTCGTTACTCGATAATCTTGGTAAGTTGGACTCGCACGGTCTTGGTTTTTTTCTTTCTCTTCCCTATGCTGACCTTTTCTTCTCTTCTCTTTTGCAGAGTGGTCCGATGGATATGGTCCGCGCTTCGGTGTTACTTTTCTTGACTATAACACCTTAGAAAGAAGTCCGAAGAATTCAGCTTTGTTGTTGAAGGGAATGTTCGATAAGAAGATGGTGGTTGACTCGAAGATTTGAGCTTTTTTTTTCTTACTTCAGCGAGGATTATGTAAATAAGTTAGAGAAACTTGGAAGAACTGGCCCGGAAAGGATGGAAGAGTCAGAATGCTATAGATGATGTTCTTGAGTTGATTTCGATTTTCGAATTTCTTTCTTATTTTTTTGTCATAGATATTAATTTCGCTACTCGAGATGTTCCTATGTTGTCCATTACAAACGAACCTTGGAACTTCAGGTTGAAGGACCTGTAAAGTGCTGCATCCATGGATTCACTACCTATTAAGTTACCTCACCTTACTATTAAGTAGACACCGTGACACTACAGCTATGCTCACATAGTTAAGTACTTAGTATGTAGTATGTACAGTTGACTGGTGACATACCCCTCTTTGCATGTAAGTACCTACAGGGTTACCTAAAAAATTACCTGGACGATCGCCCTAAAGGGAAGGCTAGCTGCTATATAGTTGGATATAGACAACTGGTAACCATAGGGATGACCTCCAGGAGCTATAGGTTAATTCTGCCCCTCTGTCTGCCATGCGGGGAGGAAACTCAAAAAACCACTGCAACCCAAGTACATCATGATAAGGAAAAAAGGTCTAGGTCTAGCGTAAACTTTCTTGTTGTGCCTAGATAATCTGGATTTCCATTAATCACGGGCCCTTCGGATTCGGCTTTATGTGCCGTCTCCAGGGCTATGGAAGGTAAAACCTCCTGACAACCTTGGAATTCATTGACATTAATCCGTTCGGCACTTACAATTCACGATCTCCACAGTCGGCACTGCGTTGAGTTCCAACGGTTTCCCCACATTCGGCTATTTTTTCCCGCATAAGTGCCCTTTTAGCCTTTCGAATTTCCCCGTCATTCTGATCTTGAAATTAATTATGCAATGGCAATCAGTCCTGCAGCCACAGCCAGTCCTCGCCTCAATAGAGCCTGCGACCGATGCAGGCGGAGAAAAGCAAAGGTAGACAAGGCCCTATCGAAAATGATACTCTACTAATATCCCGGTCTCGAGGAAATTGAACTTGCGCTGATCTGCCCCGTTACAGTGCGAGAGCTCAGGTGGGTCAGATCTAGTTGCATGCGTCAACTGTGCTTTGTATGCGGTCCAGTGCACTTTCGACTTGCCGCTTGCAAGGCGAGGGCCGAAACCAAGGCGTCGTAAGGATCTGAACGTTGCCGTTCATTCGGACTCCTTGCACAGTCCACTGGTCACACCAGCAACCGAACACTCGAGACATGTACTAGCGCCGCAGGATCTCTGTTCCACTCCTTTAGATCCTCTATCGCTGAATTCGTGGGATAATGGACGCGGTGGACTCTCAGTGCTTGATCCAGCCTTGTCCCCCGAAACCGTCCATACGGTTAACACACATATCTCGAGTGATGCCACGACAAGAGAACTGTCTGCTTTGCGGAGATGGCATGATCTGGCGCAAAAGCTGGGCTTACAAGATCTCTCGCAGGATCCTTTGATATCACTAGAGCGGATGACGAATCGCTGTATCGAATTTTACTTCGAATATCTATTTCCCCTGATACCTCTCGTGCATGAACCTAGTCTCCGTGACGGTCTAGCGTTTTTTGTGACTCAAGCTACCGACCAACGATCCCGCCAAAGACAAGAGGATGATTTTGCAGTTGATATGCTGTATGGATCCAGCGGCGCCAAGTACCCAGAATTATGGCCCGATGCCACATTTACTTTGATCACGGCTGTCTGTGCAGAAGCAGCGTTCCTTTCACCAAAAGATATATTCCCCGAAGGCGAGAACGTTGCAGAAGCATTCCTTCAAGCCTCCCGCGACTGTTTAGCAAGCTATCTGGAAGTAGACATCGAATATCCAAATGCGAACTCGGTCGCTATTCGGTACTTCCATTCGAACTGCATGCATGCCGCAGGCAAACCACGACTATCGTGGCATATATTTGGCGAGGCTACTCGATTAGCCCAAGCCATGAATATCCACGAAGAACAGTCCCTGCAAGGCCTGAGTCCCCTCGAAGCCGAATTCCGCCGCCGAGCATTCTGGATCCTGTATATCGGCGACAAATCCGCTGCCATATTAAACAGCCGTCCAGTCGCGATTCACAAGTACTCTTTTGAATCAGGTATCACCATCGGTTATCCCACCAGCATTGGACATGCGAACGGGCTAACGCCGGAGAGCCCGAGCCCAGATAATACGACCACCCGGGCGAGTTTCATCACAGGCTTCATTGCAAATATTCGTCTTTGGCAAAGTGCTTGGGACTTGCTACTTGAGCTGCGGCTCATCGCGAGCCGTAAAAACATCAATTTAATTACCCAGCAACCGTTGGTCGCAGAGGGAAAACAACTACTCGATCATCTCTTCATCCTTTTTGCAACATGTCTAGATGATCTGCCACCATTTCTTCGATCGGGTCATCTTACCGTCGGGTTGAATGAAGATCGTGGCCGGCTGAACAGCCTTCAAAAGTTGTATGTTATCCAGGCGACTAATCTGTGGGTGTCAATGCCTTGCCTTAAGATGGTAATTACACAAAAGCTCAAGGAGTTCAACTACTATCCTCCAGCTCACACTGAGATGCTTTTGTTGAAGAAAACTGAAATCGCTCGGGATATGCTACGAGTCATTTGCGATGCTCCGTTCTGGTCTTTGCAGGTAAATGGGGAGCCATGTGTAAGTTTGCGGTTGAGATTCTTCTGGCCGAGGCCATAGCCGTTGAAATGAAACTAATACCTGAGTAGGTGGAAAAAGTCCGACTCATAGGAGCCAGGCTTCTGGAAATTATTGATCAGCATGAGGCTTCTCCGTTATCTGCGCGGGCGCGTAACGATCTCTCAATACTGTTGGAAATTCTTACTCGATTGGACTCCAAGGCATCAGACACCCTACGCCGGTCAATTTGACCTCGGAAGTTAATTATAATCTAATCAATGAGCGAACCATTCTTTGCAAGAGACGATCGATTCCAGCTAGTTGCACTAAGTATAATTTAGACAAGAAATCCTGAAATACTCAATATTGAAATACTGAATGTTCACACGATGATATCCAAAGTCAAGCAATCTAGTATTGCCTAACACGCTTTGACCGTCACCAAGATACCAGGCGTATCTGCAGCTTGTGCACCAAGAATGTAGTCTCTGCTGACATCAATGTCACGCTCACGCTTCACTGCTGACACGTCAAAGTCGAATTGCCGAAAAACAGCAGCGATAATCAAGACCAACTCTGCCTTAGCAAGATTGATTCCCAGACATGCACGCGGTCCTCTATTGAATGATACGAGATATCGCTCTAATCTCTTGCCTTCTTCACCTAGCCACCGCTCAGGTTTGAAGGTTTGAGGTTCTGGAAAGAGTTCTTTGTTCTGATGGATCAGCATCGATGTAGTTCCTACGACCGCATTTTTTGGGATTGGAATTTCGTGGTAATCAAGCGCGTGGTCGGGAAATTGGCGGTTCATTCGATGGGACACAGGTTCGGTTAGACGTAGACCCTCCAGCACCACAGCTGTTAGATAGGGAAGTTGTTCAACAGTGCTCAAAGAAGGTGGCTGATGGATATCGGGTATGGCTTCCACAAGCTCTTCATGAAGCTTCTGTCGTACGGCTGGATTCGCAGCAATGTGATACGAGGTACCTCGAAGTACAAAAGCCCTGAAAAGAATTAACCATTCTGCTTTTAAGGCTCAAGATTGTGATGATTTACGTGGTACCAAACCCTGCAGTCACGAGACTGAACGCCTCATCCCGTAGTCTATCCCTTTCTAATTCTTGCGGTGGTAATTTGCTGCTCAGCAACTCGTGGAAGACGGTCCGATGGCCGGCATATTTATAGACAACATTTTTATCGTGTCTAATATCCTCAACTTGTTTCGATAACGCCTGGAATGAGAGTTAGATAGACCCAGTCCGTTCCAGAATAGTTAATGGTTTGAATGGAAATGATACGCACCAGGCGAAAATCAAGTGTATCAGCCATTGCTGGCGCGAAGATTTTGTTGATCCAGTCCTATATTGTCACAAATAAATAAGATAAGATTATTCAGATATAAACATTCACATTGGTGCTTACCGGGAGTGAATAAACGAAGCGCATAATCCATGGCATATGAATATTCCACAAGCTGACGATCAAGAAGCTATCCACATCATCAAAAGTCTTACGACCAAAATCAGGTTCTCGTACGCTGGATGGTTCGTGAGCAAAGCAGTAGGCAGTCATAATATCCATGGTGGCAGCGGCGTAGCAGTATTTCATATTGAGAACTTCTCCCGTTTCCGAGAACTTTTGCAGACGCTGCAGGAGAATTTCAATAGGCTTCCACATCACTGGGAAAAGGTCGTTCACAGATTTCTTGGAGAAGAAAGGATTTAAGGCGCTGCGTCGCACACGGTGAAGTTCATGAGATGGGGTGCCAATTGTCTTGTTCAATTAGTGAGACGCTCATAAATCCATATGCTTCGTGGTCAAGATCACATACTGCAGGAAAGGGACCAAAAACCTCTGCGAAGCGGGGAGGTTTATTTGCGCGGCCATTTGTCTGGTTAAAGATCTGGTCGAAGAAATATGGGTCGTTGATATGGATTTCATCGGGGTTGATACGAATGATAGGTCCTAGATAAGCATTTTAATCAGACACGGGATCTGACAGGACAAGAAAAGAGGTTTGTACCATATTTCTGGTGGAGATCGTGAAGCTTAAAGGTAAACTGGCCACCTTGATAGAGGTCATAATACCATTCATACAGGTGTGTGACCTTAGCAAGGGCGGGACCGGGGATATGAGAGAGAGGGTGGAAATAGAGCCGATAGATCACAATTGATATTAGCGATACAAGGCCCAGAGAGACGAGGTACACAATCTCCATTGTTCAAGAAAGCTTGGCTTCAAATGAGATGAACTATATGGTCGAATGAGAGCAAATAAAAGGGGATCAATCAAGGTGTTCACCGCCAATGTAGGTTGTACGACTGTAGGACGTCGTAATGGATGCATATATGAACTTAAGGGGGAGAATTTTCATCGAATCGTTCTATTAATATGTGTGCTTGTAGGTATCATGGCTTGACGCCGGGAATGACATCATGGATAAATTCATGTGTGGACTTTCCAGAGGGGCGGTGCCACGTCGAAGAATCCCATTGTGTAGCGTCTATTGGATCTCGGACATCGCTGATAGGAGCCTCCATTTTCTTTGTGGATTGTGGTCCTAGAACCTTAAGGTTAGGTGTTCCTTCAGGAATCGCCATGATATCCCGGGATACATGTGTCAAAATGATAACATGAAATTTGGAAACCACGTCGGTAATATTGTTTCACAATGAGTTTATTCCCCCTCTGAGGATGACGTGGCAGGCAGAAAATAGTAACAAGCGGCTGGAGTTTGAGGGGCATTGAACCGCATGTATCTCCCCTCACAGTACAGAGTACGGGATATGGAGCACTCTAAGCGCGCGACTGGTGGTGCTCAGGGATCCGTGCGTGTTGATTCATTTATATCTGCAAGGGTTTAGGAAGGTATCGGCAGTCGGTCGGAGAGGAAACGAGGTGGGATTCACATCCGTAACGGGTAATCAGTGCGCCGCAATATGAGATTGAGGAGTTTTAGTCGCTTCCAGGTTTCCACCTATCTCTTCCTGCCTCGCCACATTACCCAAGGAAAAACATGTCCGTCGATAACAGGATCTGTCATAGTAGTTGATCAATATGATGAGCTATGGGGCTTTCGTGGCAGTCAGACCGAGCAACTCGGTACCTACCATAATGGAAAGGGGGAAGTGACATGTCAACCCATTTCCACTGACTAGGATACCTGTCATGTGATGATTCATCTTCACCCCTCTTGATTTCTGCCACCTTTGGAACGAGTGATGATTGCCGATCAGTAAGACTCCTATCTCACTAACACTCTGCCTACCAGTTACCCGCGGGAGTCCAGACTAGAAAATGCGACTACGCCCTGACGATTTGTGTTGGGAGCAAGCAGAAGAAACTTCAGAGAAATGGCTCATTCAACTCCTCGAGCCTGAATTCCTGAGACCCATTGCAGATTTCATGATCACTCACAATAGAGGAATTGCTACCGAATTCGTTATTCTCCGAAAGGGATCTCACAATATTTCGTTGCGGCTAAAATACCGGAATGGTTCCACGGTGGTCCGATTGTCGCAGCCGGGCACTGTCTTTTTCCCCGAAGAGAAGGTTGTGAATGAAGTTGCTGTCATGCGATTTATCAGAGATCAGACATCTGTACCTGTTCCCTTCGTTCTTCATTCAGACACAAAAGAAGAGAGTCCCCTGGGCCTTAGTCCATTCATCATCATGGAATATGTCGAACATGAGACGAAAATGTATGCGGCTCTTAATACGCCAGGGTGTCCTGTAGAGCAGCGTGGTGTTCCTAATCCAAATATTGATGAGGCTACACTAGAGATGCTGTATGGACAACTTGCGGGAGTTCTACTCCAGCTTGCTAGGCCCTCTTTGCCTCGAATAGGGTCTCTGAGCCAGACTAACGAATTTACCTGGCAGGTAACACGTCGCCCATTGACAATGAATATGAATGAACTCGTTCGAGTGGGAGGGTTACTACGCTCAAAGCTACCCGGCTTAGATACTAAATTCGATACATCTTCATCATACATTGAGGCACTTGCGGAGCTCAATATACAGCATTTATTCTATCAGAGAAATGACTCTGTGCACTCAGCAGATGACTGTCGACGGAAATTTATAGCGCGACGGCTATTTCGAGAACTTGCAAGAGATAAACGACTTACACATCCATTGCTTGAGAATGGGCCTTTCAAAATTTGGTGTGATGATTTAAGGCCCGCGAATGTGCTACTTGGGGAGAATATGGAAATCTCCGCTGGAGTGGACTGGGAGTTTACATACTCCGCACCTGTTGAATTCTCCTACATGCCACCTTGGTGGCTACTCGTTGAGAAGCCTGAGCTCTGGCCAAAGGGCCTTGTCGACTGGACAGCGGCATTTGATACTCGGCTAGAGACATTCCTACGAGCAATGAGACGCTGTGAAGAAGTAGCGATACAAAAAGATCAACTCTTCAAGAAGAACAACGACTCTCCAACGATATGCATGACAGCTGGGAGAGTAGAGATTTCTGGGTCATGTACGCAGCTTTGAACAGCTTTGCCTTTGACCTGATTTATTGGCACAAGATTGACCATCGATTCTTTGGGCCCACAGAAAGCCTCGAGGATGCTTGGAGAGAACGTCTTCATTTGTTGGATGAAGGAGAGAAAGAGGATATGGAGCTGTTAGTGACTCATAAGCTACAAGAGATGGATACACGCGTTCTATCATGGGACCCAGATGAGTATACAGTGGCTTTCCGCCAGCAATTGCAGAGTCAAAAGGCAAAGAAAGATTAAAAGGAAGAAATATGGGATCGAAAAAAATGGATCAATTCAAACATTGAATTAGCAGCACCTGGTATCTTCATGTGACATTTCCCCATTTCAATGGTCCGATTCTGTCCTTTCTTGTATCATTACACGAAGCATTAATGGTGCTAGGATTCCACCCTACACAAGAGAATTAGCATAAATAATCTAGGCGCTCATCATATACTAAAAAGTCGAGTTATGTTAAACTCCAGGTCCACTCACCGACGTCAATTTTAGTTCATATGTTGGATCAACTGTCCACTCAATACGTCGAACCATCTCAAATAACAAGATCTTCATTTGCAGCACCGCGAAGCCCTGTCCCAGACACTTTCGAGAATGGGCATTGAATGCAATAAAATGGCACTGTGTAGTCTTGCTGCGTACGGCATTCTGAATAGTCCGAACATCTTGGCCCCAGCGCTCTGGAATAAAGTCTCTTGCGGTAGGCCCCCAGACTTCTGTATCTGTATGAACGCCGAATGCATTCCATCCTACCCATGTATGATTCGGAATGACGATATCTCCGCCCAAGATGGACTTCTGTGTTGTGACTCGATTGATCAATTGAGATACAGGTGGGTATAGACGGAGAAGCTCTAGAACGACAGAGAAGAGATATGGCATTGAATTGACTTGATCAACTGATGGTTCCAGGGTATCCATAGCGAGGATCTCATCTCGAAGCTTTCGTTGCACTGCCTGATTATCCCCCAACTCCCAGAACGCCGAGTTTAGGAGCTGCTGGGCATTTTCATGTGCTGTGAGGAAAGTAACTTTGAGATTATTGCGGTATTCTGTCTCAGTTATTTTGCCTTCTTTGAGAGCGTTGTCAAGTAAGTCGACAACTTGTTCTGTGCTGTTTTCTTCGCCCGTTGTTGGCGGTCTCTTCTTCACGGTCTCACATAGTAGATCTCCGAATTCTTGCATGATTTCGAATGCAACCCTCCGTTGATGGAAGAGGTAGGGAAAGCGATCGAGATCGGGGAAATTGAAGAATAACGGCTTAAAAAGAGTTTTCTTTATGATTGTTTGTAACTGCTCAATGCGCTGGCCAGGCTTCTCCAGTGCCTACTTTTGTCAAAATCGTGAACTGAGGAACGCGTAGAGTATCAACACACCTGGAGATCGACGCCCATGAAACTCAACCCCATACAACTCAATGCCCACCGTTGAATTATTGGGTTGACTGAGACACCATTTGCCCCTAGTCCCCACTGCTCCACAATCAATGTATCCACAAAAAGCCTGGACTTCATCAAAAGCGGCTTTGAATCGGTAATTCGCCTCTGCAGGCCCGGCTTCATAATCGATGTAAAAAGCTTCCAATTGTCTCCATGCGCATTGATAATATTATCACCGACAAGCGCAGCGATAACACTCCAGGGAATTTTCTTCTGGCTACCAGCCTTTGCATAAACATCCTCATGTCGGAACATATCCACCAAATACTGCGGTTTTGTTGCGAGCACATTCCACCGCCCTGCGAACCAGATCTGTACAGCACCGTATTTTTCCAACGGCTCGCGCAGCCAGCGATCATAAATTGTATCTTGGCCCATATCACTCCATAGACCTATTAGAGAGATGTAAATGGGGACTTTGGGGATATTCTTTGGCATATCCCCTGGGACTCGGATATACCAGTAGAGTACTATGGCTACCGTGAGCAATAGGATAAGGGCTCCTTTTACCCAAGTGCTGGAGGATATGAAACCCCAATTGAGATCCATCATGGCGAAAAATGCCGCAGCAGGCTGAGATGGTGGAAGAGCAATTCAAACCCAATGGTTTTCTATATGATGTGAGAGATGGTATCGGTCCTTCGGATAGTATTAGTCAATGGATTCAAGAAGTCAAAATGAGAAGAAACTTCAGAAGATTTTCGTTTCAGAAGATTTTCGTTGCCAAAGGCCCGTCGAAGTGAATCAAGTCACTTATAGTAGCTCTGCCAGCCCAGAAAATCACAATGACCACATGTGCATGATGACTATAGCCGCTTAATGCAGCGAAACCGTCATCGCATTAACCCCGGGCTGGGAACACAGTATCTGGAGCTTATAAGACGTGCTGACAGAGGTTGTGATATCACCCATAGCTGTTTTATGTCCGAGAAGCCCTCGTGTCACTTATTCGGAAGAGAAGGAGGATATCCTGGGGATCACCAATCCGTTATCGCGGGGATGTTGGATGATCCAATTCAGGACATGACACCGCGCACATCCCACGCGTCTTATCCATATTCCCAAATCAAAAACAAACTTAAGTATCAATGGAAATAATCTTGGAATAGTACATGACTATTGTGCAAGAGATGAGAACAAATCTGCAGCGAGAGTTATCTTTTAAAAAACTGGGGAAAAAAGGATTGTTGGACTAAGGTCAATTCAGAGGAGACTTGAGGACCCTTAACGACTCCACACAGAATTCAGGCACGAATCAGGCACCAACATTCGGTCTAAGTTAACTACAATCTAGAACTAAAAAAGTGCTTTGGTGCTGTTGAACTTGCGAATAAATTCCGGGCTATCTTGAGCACCTCGGAATCAATTGATAATACCACATGCGCAATACTAGAATACTTCAAATCGCGTGGTGCTCAAGTCTTGAACGATATACTATTCAACATTGTTCAATGTGGATGCAGTACCCGCGTGTTACTTTAGTCTGGCATATGCATATGTGCAGTATAGTACTACTAGTAGTAGTAAGAGGAGGAATGCTACTACTGATAGAACATTTGAATGCTCTTTAGCTCATGATATTTGGCTTAAAATGTTAGATGTCTTCCGAGTCATTCACATGGGCTATGTGGTGTTTTGTCGTCAACCAGTCCTGAGATCTTTTTTGTGCAGTTCATAATTCCTGCTACAGTCAGAGATGAGTTAGGTATTACCTAAGAATATATGCAAGGACGACTCTCATATTCAAAGGGATACTGATAAAGCAAATGTTGGAATAGAATAAGAAAAGAAAGAAAAGGAAGAAAAGAAAGCGACATTAAACAAAGTTGTAGAGTATCTGAGTGGGTCAGGGGCAAGTTGATTCGTTAATCACAAGGGGCGATGTCATCGATTCGGGTGGAATTCCTCGACACATAATCATTCTAATTATTCATCTCCCTCCCCCAATTTACTCAACTATTCCTCCGTTGACTATCGATTCTTATATTTAATCCCCAATACCCTTCTTTCCCCGCTCTTGATCAATCCCTTTGTCTCTACTATATAATCACCCCCCCTGAATCCCCGCGATGGAGCTATGTGGACGCCAGAAGGTCGTCCAGCGCAAGATGGTGCTGCTGTTCGTTGACAACTCGAATCATTTGCGCAATTCTAGACACAGAGATTAACAATACAATAGAGGCGACGGTGCTTGTGGCAAGACTTCCGCACTAAATGTCTTTACAAGAGGGTGCGCAATCCCTCCCCAGCCCTCCAACCCCTCCCTTAAGTCCCTTCCCGCGATCCCAAATCAGTTAGCTAACTTTGGCCTGTATGACCACCTGGGCACAGATTCTTCCCAACTGTCTAGTAAGAATTGATCCGATCATGGTCCTAATTACGCGAACAGGCAATTAATCTGAATTGATCTCCGTGAAGTGAACCGACAGTTTTTGGTATCTATGTACAATTACCCCATCTCCAGGACTCTTGCTAACAACATGCCTTCTATTTACTCAGAAAACTATGTCCACGGTATAACTCTCTGACCTCCAATCACGATCGCCCTTCGAATACTCATGCGCGCACCTAGATATCTTCGTCGATAATGTACATATGGAACTCTCGCTATGGGACACAGCTGGACAAGAGGAATTCGACCGATTACGGGCATTGTCCTACGAGGATACCCATGTCTTGATGCTTTGTTTCAGTGTAAGCACCTGAATCGGAAAACAGGCTAGCCGCGCAGAATTGGAAACGAGTCAGGGGCTGACAGGGAGACTATAGGTGGATAGCAGCGATTCATTCGAGAACGTCGGGTCCAAATGGATTGCCGAGATTAGCGAGAATTGTCCCAACGTGCGAGTAGTGCTCACAGCACTGAAATGCGATTTGAGGAAAGATGACGAAATGAACGACAATCCCAACGCGATCACGTTTGATCAAGGTTTAGCTAAGGCTAAGGAGATTGGCGCGGTCAAATATCTGGGTACGTGAACTGTGTCTGAGCAGATGGGAAAAAAGTTCATTGGCTTATTTGATTTGGATTCAGAATGCTCGGCTGTGCAAAATCGGGGTATTCGCGAGAGTTTCTATGAAGCCGCCAAGGTTGCTTTGGAGGTCAAGCCTACAGGAGGTAGTGGCTCTGCAGGATGCGTCATGCTCTAAATCTCTCGAAATTTGGAACAGAGAGCAAGTCTCAAACCCAGTGAGAACTGAGTCTTAGCCGACTCCTATATCCGAGCCTGCGATTGTGCATCGCCCTCACGTTGATCCGGATTTCTTCGAACACGAGACCGAGCTTTTTCCAAAATGACGCACTCATAGCACTGCAAGTTCAATAACTTCATGCACAGCGCAAAGGTTCGGACACGGTGCGAGAAGATTTTCGACTGCAATGAGGTTGCTTTCGATGCGAACCACATTATTTCTTTTCTTCCGTTCGAGGCGTACATGTCCTCGATTTTTCCTTTCTGGCGCTTTTTTTCTCCTTTTCTCGATCAATCATTAGTGAAAGCTGGTGGTGGACGGGATCTTTTCACCCGCTTCATATCCCTTGATTTTGTTGATTCCCCTTTGCATTTTTTGGGTTCGGTCGTTTCAATTTTTTTCCAATTTCTTCTTTTCAATGTTGGTTATTTTTTGACTTTTCCAGAGATTGCTGGGTAGTCTGGTGCCGAGTTTCTAGCATGATATACTAGTATAGTAATAGCTGGTGTTGCAGCGATATTCCCATCACCAATAATCTCCTATAAATTTAAATAGAATCCAGTGCTTTGTGACCCTATAGTTATAGACGCACTGACGTGATGACTTACCCAGACAGACGGCGTGTCGAATCTATCTTGAGGTTTGTTTTCTACAAGGGACTTCATCTTTCATTTTTGTGTTTGACTGATATCTGCTCTCCCTGAGATTTGTGATCTAGTTCCAAGATTCATTTGAGATCCGATCGGAATCTCAGCTTCACCTCCTTCCTTCCATCTAGGCTTTCCAAGGTTGTGAAAGTCATGAAAACTTCCAGGGATCCATACCGTCTATAAATATCGGCAGCATTTAGGTCTGGCTACGCTTAGAACCTCTATCAAACCGAATTCCACAAAGCGTCATGGTCCGCCCAGAGGGTATTATAAATTCGTCTGCTGAATCAACATTCTGGAACTGGTTTTTAGAGATAATAGGTGGCTCTGCTGGAAGACGATCTAAGAATTTTGCAAGTCAACCTTAGAAACTACCAGAGTACAGGGGGTCTATAATAGCCATGTGGTGAAAACCTCTTCTTATATAATGAATTTTAATACCTTAATAACCCCTACTTACTTTATGATCGTAATATAAGACTTTAAAACTAGAGAAGTCTTAAGTGAGAGATAGATGAAGTGAGAGATAGATGAAGTGAGAGATAGGTAAAGTGAGAGATAGGTAAAGTGAGAGAGATATACTAGTAGCTAAGGTAAGAGATGGCCCAAGTGATAGATGCCTGCTGAATCAAGAGGGATATATTGATATAGTTCCTCTTTTTTTTATTCTCCCGATCATAAAGAGAATTTGGCCAAATGACGGTTATAGGGCCCTGTATATCAGAGAAGCAACGGAGTTATCTGCCTTGAGTCGGCACCTGAGTTTGTACGTTAACAATCTATAGTCATCATGGTTGGACCAGGATTCATCTACCTCTAGCCACCTCAAAATTCACCACAAATCTCCTTCCAAGGTTCTTATCATGATGAACCCGCCTGGTGTGTTGGGTCAGGGAACCTCGACGCATTATACTCTTACAATGAGGGAGATAGAGTATTCCAGCCCTTTTTGCTGACTGTAGCTCAAAAAAGGAAAAGCAGCAAAGGGGACTGGAATAATCTATTACGCACATTGTAAGAGTATAATAGGTCAAGATAGCTGCAGTCGGGGTATTCATGGACCTTTTTTTGGGTCTTCCGAGGCTTACTGGAGACCGTAGCTCGCTGTAGCTATCATATTCAAGGTTCAAGAATTCCGCGGTGATTGGTTGAAGGGGGGCAGTGGCTCTATAGAAAGCGTTAAGAAAGATTGCATGCGAATATCTCGGATGGTGACGAATGGTGATCAAATGGTACCTAGTACGATCCAGATTCACCTGTGACGTAAACCAACATAACCCCCTAGGAAGGAGACGGGATATACCATACTGCTGAACGTCGGCCGCGCAACGAGTTACCTTGTTCAACACACTAAAGCTTGAAGGATCTCATCAGTCAACTTCGAAAGGTCGGTCGGTGGGATATGTATGCCGTACATCTATCTTTGTGATAGTAAAGTAGAACCTCGACTATACATAATAAGTACTCTAGGACTATTCCAATGGGAAAGGGCCATACCTGTGGACTGTCGCTTTTGTGACGACACTTCCTGTAAATCCTCACTCGATTCAGTCATTTCCATCAACGAAAAATGTGACACTTTCAGGGGTTGTAGCAGTGGTTGCTGCCATCTTTGTTCCAGCGGTGTACAGTTATCTGAGAGACTTAGTAAGCTCTTGTGAGCTTTGACCAAACTAAGTTTCGGAGCTGGGGCCCTTACAGTATCTTGTCTGCCACTGTAGGCCACATCCCTCAAGAGGTGATGAAAGACTTATGACCGACCCTCAAAGGCTCGTAGTAAGCCGTGGAACAGGAAGGTAAGGAGGATGCATGCTTCTTGATGGAAAGTGATGTCTCTCAGCTTGGGAATTTATCACAGGAAATTTCTAGAGGGGAAAGTGAGGTTGAGGCTGTTCGAGCATTTTTATACACACCATTTTTGGCAAACTCCACTTGTTGGACTTCCAAGGTTTGATTGCTCATATTATGACGTTGAAAAAGATTCTCCTGTGTTCCTTATTCTTTTTTGGTTTTCATGATCAATTTCTATAGGCAAAAACTTACAGTGAAGTGCACTTGACTGAGCCCGTGTCATACTCATTCGAAAGAAAATCCACCACAAAGACTATAGTCTCTCATCTTCGTGAGATAGAGAAGGGTTTCTAGGCTACACTTCTGAAGGGATCTTCATCTGCCAGTGACAGTGTATTCAATTTCATTTATATCCCGGGTGGGACTGTTTACTACCAGTATTTGCACGTCTGGTCACCGTCGCAGCGTAGAAACGACTGATTTGAATCCATGGATAAGAACAAGAAATCACACCCTTTAACCATTCTTAACGCGTTGAGAGGAAAACTCAGATATGATAAACCTTCATCAATTTTGGGGTCAAAAGCAGAATGTATCATGAAAGAAAGTCCCAATCGGCGCAGGATTTTCTACCGGCTCATACACGCAGTGGGAGGGCAGTATCCACGATTGCAAGCGAAGCTACAGAGACCCAGATATGAATCGTCTTCACCAGGAAGTGGGAATCCATTGACCCCGTTAGTGGGTGGTGCTGACACCGGAGGCCCATATTGAGTACAGGTACAGGGGCCCGGTGGACAATATCCATATCCACAGCAGAAAGCACAAAGTCCAATATAATTCCCAGGCCCTGTTCCTCCTGTACAGACATTTCCGCCTCCGGGATTCCCGCCGGGATTACCCCCTGGATTTCCCGGACCTGTACAGCCTGTCGGAGCGGCAGTTTGGACGACAGTCGTTGTACTAGTATAGGTCACCGTGACGGTTGCGGTACCTGAACAGGATGTTGTGGGGCCGCCGCCGGGGGGACTCGTTGGTACAGAAGTGGTTGTTGTGGTAGTTGCAACTGGAGGAACGGTTCCCAGGGATGGAGTGGGGCGACATGTCGCTACATGCAGACCCTGGGAGAAAGCTGCAAGTCCATCAGGTTGAAGAGGATCGTTGAATCCCGGAGGAAGGCTTCCAACTATATGAGGGAACTTTTATTAGTAGACAGTTTACCATGGTACATTGGAAAAGGTCATTCATACCATAAGCGTTGAAGTTGTACAGACCACAAACACAGCCAGCAATAATGGGCTTCAGACTGGTCCCAGACAAAACTGCCTGTCCACCCCGAGAGACTGAAAATGCTTGTACTCCCACATGCATTGGTACCGCTTCGGCATGTGCTCCTGCCGGAGCATTGTAAGTATAGACAGTGCCTCCGGAGTTCACATCGATCGATGCTGGAGATTTGAGAAGAGTCACAACGAACACAGAATCTTGCATAGATTGCCATCCGTCTGGGCGACCGATAAAATAGTTTCCACTTCCGTTATTTGCAGGGACCATACATGTGTCTGTCGCATCGCAGTTCTGGTCACGCGGTGCTGGTCGGTACCAGTAGATCAGTTGATCATCAGTGATATAACTGTTTGGTGAAGAAGCTCCGTCCTTGAATGCTGCGATGAACGGTTTCGAAATCTCCAACCATCCATCGTGTGGCCTTCGGAAAGCGATTAGCATGAGACAAAATTCTGGATATCGGAAATACTCACATATCATTCACCCATCTAGAGGCTCCATCGTCGGTATGAGGAGATTTCAACGGCCCGATGTAATGTGACTCGCCATAATCATTCCACGTCACAATTTCGATGAAGCGAGGGCCTAGAGCAAGCACATCGTTCCAACGGTTATACCAAAGCAGATCCGATGGGAAGACCCAGTTCTTGCTGTAGGATACCTCGGGCCCGAAGTGAGTGGAGAACCATGGAGAAACAGCTGTATGAATTAGAAACTTGCAGACTCAAAGAGGAGTATTACTGAACGAAATGTCAACTCACGTGCAATATAGGCCTTGTTTCCGAGAGCATTCATATACACCTTATCTCCATCTGCGACAGAAACATTGGCTCCAGATGAGGGTGCTTTATTAGCCCCATTGTTCGGCCAAGCCATCCAATTCAGCAGTCCATCAACTGGTGAGATATTTGTTCCATACGATGGATGGAAATTGGGAGCGAAGAAAATCGGTCTTCCCGCAGCAGATCTCAATGCGTCAACGTTTAATCCGTCGCCAGAAAATGATGATACAAAGATCTTGTTATCCACCATCAACTGAGCCGGTTTACTTCCATACTGGGCAATTTTCTGACCAATAGCAGAAGCTTGTCCAGTGTTCCACCAGTTGAAATCGAAGGAAATGAAAACTTTCATTCCATTATTGGCAGCGGATTCATATGCGAGCTCTAATTGTTGGTCGGTATAGGAGTCGACGCCAATATTCAAAGCAAATGCGTCAATCCCAAGGGATTTGGCTCGTTGCATGTCATCATCGTATGCAGATGGGCTAGATCTGTCACTCGTGATCCCGATCTGAGAAAGTGTCAGTATTGCGTTTCAAGTTCCGAATTCATAAGGTTAAGGCTTGGAGATCCCCAACCGCTAATATGTAAAGCATACCATGAAGTGTGCGAACACTAAACGATTTGTTGGCTGTCGCTTGACCCCAACCTGGCTTTCAGACTGGTTTCCTGACGCCTCAGGGATTGACCTGGCCCACACCTCCAGCAAAGATACCAGAATTAGGAATAGAGTTGAGGTTATCATGGCTACCACCGGTACTCTCTCATAAGGAAAATATCATTCATTTACTCCCACCCATCCACTGCTTTATATACGTTCTTCTATTAAGATACGTACGACAATCGGAACAGGCAAAAAAGCTGCAACCAACTCGGAGCCTGAGCACTTGGAAATGACTTCAGCACATGGTGGCTTATTGCCGAAGTGTAACTTCATGCCCAACGAAGTTGAAAGCATCAAGTGCCGCATATGAAAGTTCCATAATACAGCAAAGTTGGCTACGGTAGTTATCAGACAGGGTCACTTCGAAGGAAAGCTAAAGTGTCAGATGTACAGCGAATCGTGGCTCGAGAAACGAGCTCACTAGCTATTACACTATGAAAGGTCAGGAAATACTAATTTTCACTTGCATGAAGCCTATGTGCAATCAAATGCGTATTATTTTATCTGCTCTAGTGATAGAGGTCTTGAGGCACGGATATCAATGAAATCTCCCACTTGTGCTGCACACAATGAAAGAATCTGAAGTGCATGGGCAGCATGCCACATGGCAAAACTCGCACAGCCGAGGTCTCGAATGCATAGTAGATTCTTCATTTCTGTTGTCTAATAGGAGATCACCCCGCATAAATTGGTATTCCCCGTGGGAGAGGAAAGCGGTACGAATGCAGGAGGGCCCGCGGGCATGAAAAGACTCTTGTGTGCGACATTGGACAATAAGTAAAGGGTTGACCCTGAAAACTCATCCTGTCAGCCGGGAATGGGTAACATTCCGAATGTAACCCATGTATGCACGGCCATACTCTCTAAATGATATAGTATTTGGGTACAAAGAGATATGATAACTGGAGATAATGATAATCATACCAGCGTTGGGGAGAAGGGAACTTAAAAAGAATAATGTACATTTTCACAACTGATTTCAGGCTAAAATATTCCAAAGGTCAAGCATGTACGTAAAGGGTCATATGAAACGCTCGCTGCTAAATCATCAAGGCCATAGAGAATAATAGTACATAGCCGGGAGGCTCAAAGGCCAACGGCAGTGAGAACGCCATTCGTCCGACTCAATCATAGAATTGTCCTATCCGCGTGACGCGCATTGAAGCGTGACCTTTACACCAGATGTTAGATATCTGCAAGATTTTGTAAGATCCGGGAGAACTTACGACCCAATGGCTTTGCTCTCTTGGAAATTGACTTCGCTTGGTCCTGCTTGATCTTGGCAAGTCGGGCCCTACAAGAACGCGGAACGTAAGCAAAGAGACCGGAGGATGACACTATTGGAAATAATCAGGCTTACTCTTTTGCGGCTTCACGTTCAAGATGTTTGGCATGATCTTTAGCATCTTTGACCGCTCTCCTGGAAGCAATCAATGCCTGATCAGCCTGGCGCTCTGCGGCTTCCGCGCGAACAATCTGTTCTCGAGCAGCTTGTATTGATGGATCCTCCGGGTTGCGATGAAGTAGACTTCGTCGACAACTACTTCCTACTGAGGAGGAACCGGACCTGGATGACATAGAGCTGCGAGAGGAACGGAACGAGCCTGATGAGTGACGGCTAGAGCCGGATGAGCTAACGGTTGAAGCACGGTGAAAGATAGGCATGACTGGAATTTAGTATGTGGAAGCACAACTTGAAACTTGAATTGATAAAAGGATCTGAAGATTCTCCACTGCGAAAAAAAAAGTAAGAGGTGTCTTCTGATTTTGATCAGGACAAAGGTACAGGACTTTTAAGGAAGGATCGACTTGGCTGCCTCTATTTAATTGACACGGGCAATTCCGATTTCTATGCATATTTAAGCCTGACGTCAAGCTCATTGATGAACAGCGCACGATGCATATGATTATACCGCGTAGAGTAAATGAGTAACCTATTCTAGCCATAGTTTTAAATCTTATCATACTAGGAGATATGTTACCTAGGGGCTAGCAAATGGAAAAATAGGAGAAGAAATCTGATTCGAGAAAACTTCCAGATTTTTGAACAGTTGACGTGGCCAGGACACCTTGCTTTCGATAAATCAGCAGAATGACGTGCAATGTTTAATATGCGGGTATGGAGTGGTTTGCCCTCTTGACGCCACAACGCTGCATATGACAGGGATCAGCAGTCCCCACGAGTCAACAATTCAGAGATACAATTTATTTTTATTTTATTTTTGAGAGATGGGTCGCCGCTTGTTATTACTGGACAGGATTTATCTACACATTGAAGGACAAAACATGATTCAAGTTGTCTCATTGCTCAGTTGCTCAAATGTTGAGGTTTCCATCACTGACGTGGAGGAACCTGAATGTAAAAAGGACTAGTCAGGTATGATCATTTGCACGGAGAAATTCAAAGCTTCCCAACCCAAAATCTTTTGCACATACCAGCAGACGTCATGCTCGCGCTCTGATCAAGCTCAATGACGGATAAGCAAATGGTTAGGAGCTGCGCGTGATTTCTTCGATTCTCAACTCCTCTTGAAGCATGTTGACATACTCCTGTAGTTTCCCTTGGGTAAAGTTCGATCCCGTGTGGTTAGTTTGTTGCAATTTGTCAATCAATTTATTTTTCAGGGGGAGTCGGTTGGTCTGGCCTAAGCCATCCATGATTTTCAGCAAGATTGCGTATGGTGGAATGGTCATGTCTCTGTCCGCGAGGCGTGCTGCCGCGCGCATGAAATCCTCAACATACTCAGATATTGAAGAGAAGTTATCAGGGCTCATATGCCAGCATTGAACTAGCATCTCAAAGTCTGTCACTTTTCGCTCTTCCTCCATTTGCTTCAAGATTGCGGTGTAGGTTTCGTCTGCGAACCACGTCGCTTGCTCTGTTCGGTTTAGCTGCCGGAGTAGACTGGAAGATAGATTATCCTTAAGCCATTGCGCCACGGTCAATGATAATTGTTCCCATGTCTCGAAACTCGGGTTGTTCTTGCGAGGGCGCCTAGTATTCATGTCAATGATATCGGTTAGGTCCTCTCTAGCTAGCACAGCCCGGATATCCTTATCCCAATCTTCGAATTGATGAGCGATATGAAGGGGGTTACCCAGTTCGGTGAGCGTGGCTGGTATTGGCGGCAAATTATTTGCCTGTGTCCTGGCAGCTTCGATGCGGAGTGCTTCGCCTAGCCAATCATCGAGCTCTTCGTTGTCGTTTTCCATATTGTTGGTTATCGTCGAGTCCCGGTTGCTTGAAACTGATATGACCCAGGTTTTTGCTGACTCCTTTCACTTCTTCTCGCTTCGTTCTGTGCTTTGACACGATGGGAAATTTTTTGCGTCCTGTATAGCCCCTCCAGGGCGTCCAGGGAGGACTGATATCCTGTTAGGAGATACTAAGTTGAAGGGACCGAGATTGTAGATGTGCGTAGAGGAAGGAGCCTCAGAGTATCTTCTAGAGATGACGGGAAGACAGCTTAGCTACCTTAGCCATATCACAATGGTCTGAGATATGAAGCCACTAACACAGGTTTGTCATAAAAAGTTTGCCATAACAAGCTGATAGCCACGCGTGGCTGCGTGAATATAGGGGAATTAAAGGAGGTATTACTTTGGAAGTGAGAGTTTAGTGAAGAATCATGTCAGTGTCTATTGGGCAGGCTAATATGATGTCCCCCTAGCTCGAGCTTTAACCCGTTTGTCTCTATCTTTGGAACAACCTTCAAAAGGTGATATAACAATTTACAAGTATTCATTCGATCCCAAGCTGCATATATTATTATTGACACAGGAACTTGAACTTGACAGTGAGACAACCGAGTATTGTAGTGGTACAAGGTTTGATATTGATAAATCCTCATCACTTCTCTTATCTGTAAAGACTTCAAGATCTTGACGATATTACAGTATTCCAAAAGATTCCACTTGAGTAGTTCTCAGTTCTCTTACCTGTATCGCAAGGTCGAATGGATGAACCTCTTTGCGATCAGCTTAATGGGCATGCTTGTTCCTCCGAGTCCAAGTCACGGTCATTCATTCACTCAAAATAACAGCCCAGTTTAAGTTGACCTCAACTTGATGTGCTCTTAGATCCAATGCCAGTGGGAACATTCAAGTTGATTCCGACGTCAATATATATACCTACTACTAGTAGTACCCAGTGTTAGCAGCCGTGATGATCTTCGGCTTTTCATGCAATGACGATGGGAATTCTTGATATTGAATGTCGCACTGTCCGTGAAAAATCAATCGGCGAAAAAGAGCTTCAAGGTGTTCATTCAGTTGATCATCAGGCACTGGGTTGACTGCCATGAGTAGGTCCGAGTCAGCGGGGATGTGTGGCGTGGAGTTATGTCATTGTGAGTGGAAATACCGCCTACACAGGTGGACACTACTACGGGATGACAAATTCCACCTGCATATTTTATTACCACGTCATCTACAAACTATTACTACACACAACCAATAGATAACATCTGACCCGTCACTCCCCAAATCACGATCTTCCCTTCTTTTAACCTCGTCTCTCTTCGTGGTGAAGAAACTACGAATACTCCATGCTCAACTTACAGTTTTAAATCCTATCACTGTGCTATACTCCAAGAAGACTCTTGCCAGTTGGCCTACGCGGTGTTCTTGCCACAGTAACGGTTCAATAGCTCAACTTCAACGCGCCCGTGAGGCTCCGTCCGTTCTGAACATGGCGACTAAAGCGGATCCCGGCGACACCAACTTCACCGTATTTATACGTCTGCCGTTCCCACGAAATAATTTTGTTGATCCACCGCCGGTATGATTTGTTTTATTACAGTCTAGTCATTCTCTTTATTAACTGCTTCTACCGAGTTAGGTGGAATGGAATGCCGCTAAAGACCAGGCATTATGGGATATTCTATCCCGACCATCCAGAGGAGATGGGATTGATTGTATGTCATGGATTTCGGAGATTTTAATCTTTATCTGACTAACCGATTGACAGGGAAATCACTGTATCTATTCCAACGTTCTATTTCATACCCATCGAGGTATGATGCTAACACTGTTGAAGAGCCGATAGCTTTGATGTCACATTGCAGTTTTTGCTGCAACAAGCCGCTTGGCTGTATGATCGACAATTCTCACACGTTCGGGCCCAGATGCGGAAGTATGATCCAACCGCACAGTCAAACTCACCTTCTCCGGCTCCTGGGTCAATTTCTGGGAGCATAGCCTTAGGGGGACCAGCGGCAAAAGGTGGCGGCACAGGTGGTATGTATCAGAATTTGCGACCTCTCACAGTATAGGCGGGCTGCTAATCAGTGACCAGGATTACGAGCGCCTCTTCGACAAGGTTCTCAACAGAAGGATATACCACAGCGAGGTCTGATCCTATCACTTTATCCCATTTCTCCTGATTCCGACCTCGGGACGGGTACTTTGGTATATGTACGGTATGAAGCTCTAACACTCTATACAGTCAGTGGTCATGCGAGACGGACAAGCTCTGCATCAACAACAACTATTAATCAATTCCGTGTCTCTGGGGAGCCTTCCCGTACCGATACCCCAACTGCAGAAGGCACTGAACAGCCACGAGACTCTATATCTAATCGCCCACCAGCTAATAAACGCGAGCAACCTCCTATAGCATCCTTCCTGCGGTCTCCCTCGCTGGAAGAGGAAGATATATTATCAAGCTCGTCTGACTCTGAAGAAGACTTGCAACCCGCCGCACACCGGTTCAGACGGTTCGGTCAATTCTCAATGCACCGTGCTAGTCTTCGTGATGATGAGAATGATGAAGAAGATGATACCCCAGCATTCTTACCCACATCTCACGACCTTGAAAGGGCCGCACGGGATCGTGCAAGCCCTGTAATGGGCAGCACCTTACGCATAAACGCAGACCGTGCGCCCGTTCAACGACGTCGTATCCCTGATCGAACTGTCACCACTGTTCCACTGGGTTCTGAATCCTCCACGAGCTCCATGAGCTCTGGTGTTCCCGTCGCTGTACACGGTGAAATTCGGCGGTCTGCACACGGCAGTGGAACACTCGGCCCACAACGTGTAGGTGAACCCACTCGACTCAGTCCTCATAAGTCAAATGCTTCAGGCAGAGAGGCGAGCGATGGGACACCGAGCATGGGAAGCAGCTTCAGCGATTTAGATGGTGAGTCAACCTCGACATGGGTCATCCTATCTCACCATATTGATTGAGACCCAGATACAAGCGTTACCCAGTCGGCCATGGAGGAAGCTCTTATGAGCAATATGCAGCACGGAGGGATGGCTAGCCGAATGAGCACTATTAGCCAGGCTTTGCGCAGTCGTTATTTGCAGTAAGGCTTCGTTAGTCACTTTCCATAGTTCAATTCAATTGTTCCATGAAGCTTGGTTTGGCATATTGGGATTTTTAGGATAGCCAGGGGTCATATGACATTTCGATCGTGAAAGCATTGAAACTTGTTAGTATTTACGGGTTCCCGAGGTTCCTGGGGATTGAATACTCCACCCCCACTGTTTCCTCCCGCCATCTGTTCCCCCACGGACTGAATTCCGGGGAAGCAATTACCCGAATGACCCACCGCTAAACTCATAGCGTGGGCCAATCTCTCCTACCGGTGTAAGTAAGATCGGATTCGGGTATCTCTACCCCGAAGTGCCTTGGCTTGCGTGGGGGACTGGCCCACCAGAATGGCGGGGGAATTGAGGAGTTGTCTGAAGAGCTGTAGGCGAGTGATCGGGTGACAGTACTTATTTCCCCGGAGAGCCAAGTTCTTGCCAGTGAAATTCAAATCCCAGTTTCTCGCACAAGAACAGATCCGCCAATTTCCTTCCAAAACATAGGATCCCTCCCATTTTCTCTCAATGGCCTCATCACGACCCCCCGCGCCAGACGTTCACAAGGCTGTGAACCTGCTAATTGACAACCTTGTCAACATCAAAGATGAGACTGGCAAATTCCTCCTACACCTCCCCGACGGCCGCGTAATTGACACGAAATCCTGGGCAGGATGGGAGTGGACACACGGTATCGGTCTCTACGGTGTATGGCAGTACTACGAGATGACCGGCGATGAGAGATTGCTGAAGATAATCGAGGATTGGTTCGCCGACCGATTCGCCGAGGGAGGAACCACAAAGAACATCAACACCATGGCGGTATTCCTTACGCTCGCCTACGTTTACGAGAAGACTGGCAATGTCACATATCTCCCTTGGCTCGATGCTTGGGCCGAATGGGCAATGTACGAATTACCGCGTACCCGTTATGGTGGCATGCAACATATCACATATATCACAGAGAACTACCAACAGCTCTGGGATGATACTTTGATGATGACAGTGATGCCGTTAGCCAAGATCGGAAAGCTCCTCAACTGCCCTGAATACATCGCCGAGGCTAAGAAACAATTCCTGCTTCACATCAAGTACCTTTTCGACACGAAGACCGGTCTCTTCTTCCACGGGTGGACCTTCGAGGACGGTGGACACAACTTCGCGGATGCGCGCTGGGCACGTGGAAACAGTTGGGTGACTATTGTGATCCCAGAGATCATCGAGCTATTAGAGCTGGAAGCTACCGATCCTATCCGACTACACTTGATTGAGACATTAGAGGCGCAGTGCGAGGCTCTTCAGAAGCTTCAATCAGAGTCTGGTGCCTGGCACACTTTGCTGGATCATCCAGACTCTTACCTGGAGTCATCTGCGACCGCCGGATTCGCCTATGGAATTCTTAAGGCTACCCGCAAGCGATACATTGGTCCACAGTACCGCGAGGTCGCTCAGAAGGCCATCCAGTCTGTGATTAAGTATGTTGATGAGAAGGGAGAGTTGCAGAATACTAGCTTTGGTACTGGAATGGGCGATTGTCTTCAGTTCTATAAAGATATTCCATTGACGTCTATGCCTTATGGACAGGCTATGGCTATCATGGCTCTTGGAGAGTACCTACGCACATACTTTTAGAGTTAACAGGAGTTTCTGTGATGTATTAATGATTAGAAAATGCATAGACTGGCAAATTACATTGGATATCAAGTTCATCTCACATATTCTTTCCTAATCAGAGTGAATAGTTCCAAGGTTAAATCAATTGCATACATCATAATACATAAACTAGCACATAGAAATACTAGGATTCTGAAACCTGGCGTTGACCAATTTTAGGAAAGAATCAGACCCTTAAGTCGAACTAGCCATCCTTTCATTCCATGCTACTAAGATAGCCTCCGATTCCAAGGTCCCATCAGACAGACGCTGACAAGGAACGACTTACCTTCCTTGTAGCCTGTAGCAGACTTTCGAGCTGTTCCGCTGGAGTCCTTCCAATACTACACTCAGTCCCGATCCCGAAATTGGGGACCACAGCCTGTGCGGCCTTGATACGTCTCAAGTCCCCCTCTTCGTCGTCAAAATGAATGACACCAAGATACAAATCGCGATTTTGACCCAAGTTAAGTTCCCTTAGGGGTTCAAAGTATTTCACGTCATCTCTATCTTTTGGAACATGAACATGAAGCCAGTCAATCTGATGTGGCTGAAGGGCTTTCGCCAGATCATTGGCAAAATCAACGGAAAGTTTCAGATCCTCTGGATCAATGAAACGCTTGTGATCAAGATCACCATAGCAAAGATGAATACCCAGCGGAACATCATTGGGAACAATCGCAGCCATTCTTTGAATTCTATCGATTATTCCTTGTCGAACAGGACTCCAGTTAGGCTTGAAGAAGACATCTTTCATTCTTACTTGATCATACTCCAAAGCAATAACCTCGAAGCAAATATCAAGTTGAATTGCGAGGTCCTCGGCCGGAATAGTATTCACGATTGATTGCATGGCATCGTAGACCCGCTTCTCATAGAAAGGTTCAATTTGTGCTTGGACATCTGCACGACAGTGACCTTGAATACATGATAATGGGGTCGGAAGGCAGACTTGGAAGCGCACATCAACTGGGATGATTCCTTTGCTGCGGAAGTCCTTGAATTTTGCGTACAACTCTATAGCCACTCGGTCCAATTGACTTGGTTTGACATCCTCTTGACTGAAGCCTGCATGATCATCGGGCAGAGGTACGCCCCCAAGGAATGGTTCCAGTGCTTCCGAAGGGAAACATTTTGCTTCCCAACGAATCCAGTTATATCTCTCGCCAGTCTCACCATCTGGGATGTACTTAAGGCGACCTGTGAGGGACTGGCACATCGTAGAAAGAACTTCTTCATTCGAGGATAGAGGAAGGCTGCCCAGTAAGAGAGCGCCGATAGGGAGGGTGGTGTCAGCCATATTGAAAGGTCTGTGAGTGATAATAGTCTTTAAGTGAATGAGGAGAGTCTCCTTTCTGAGGTTGAAAGGGAATTCTGGTCATATTTGTAGGCAAGATTTTATCGATTCTGGTGATGAACAATGAGCCCGAACTCGCTGGATATAGAAAGGCTTCGCAGTGATGTACAAAACGGGTTAGTTGCCCAGTGGATCATCTAGTTAGGTGGGTCTCCATTGACTCTCCAAGTGGCCCGAGCTATGGCCCCGGGCATCGTGTATGAACGAGAATGGAGACGCCAGATGATGTGGAGATGATGTATGTGGTGCTAAGGCTCCCAATGGATCTATATAAAAGAAAAAAATATCTCTTAATTAGGCAATTAAGCACCAGAGTTTCCAGGCTAAAATTCTCCCTTATTATTAAGGCACACATTTTGGTAGCCATATGACTCAGGCTTCCACACTCAACGCCTCCCATATCATGATAGTCACAAGTTCACAACATAGTTGCGCCGGCCCAAATAGATTAAAACCTTAAAACCTTAGTCGGGTTGGGACGCGGTATAGGAAAAGCTAATACAAATTCAAAGTACCAAAGCTCGTTTTGGCATCGGGTACTTGATATAACCTTGGAATTGTCTAAAGTTAGAAGGCTTAATCTTCAACCTCATTTATTGTTACAGACAAAAAAAATCACAAATTCCCCTTCTCCTCTCTTCTTTCTTCTTTCTTCTTTCTCCGCAAACTCGCCTACTTCTTCAATCGATTTTTTTTTCAGCTATTACCACAACTCGCTTGCTCCCAAAATTCTCAAACCTGAATGCACTTGACAACTACCACTTGTTATCAACAACTATTAGCGAAACACAACATGAGACGGTCCTTGTTGAATCGTATCTCACGAGCCAAACCCGCCGCTACGAGGCAGTCACACCCTACCCCGATTTATAAGACTACTACCCTTGGTGGACTAATCCCCGAGTTATTATTTTCGACCTCAGACTTTCTTCCAATCGTTGATCGCATTTGTTTTTCCTTATGCAGCCATCGACTACTTGCTGTATTTCGCAAACAAATTCATCACTGGAATTGCGCTTGCTCCTCCAAGGAAAGACTCTTGATCTTGAACCGTTTGGAGCGGGATCAGCCGGAGTATATTACATGCGATGTTTGTAAAATTCTTCATCATTACGATGGACCTGAACCATTCGGACTTCAAAACCGTTCTCTGCCAGAACCTGTTCCCGTGCATTCGGGATTATAGCTGGTTTGATGCCAGTTTACGTATGAGAGCCACCTTCTGGCTTAAATCACCATTCCATCACCAACTGAGCTTCTTTCACCTCAAACTGGTGATGTGGAGTTTCTACTGGAGACCAGAAGCTGGCATAAGCGCCGATTGCCTGTCTTATTAGAAAGTGAGGGACTTCTCAAAAAGCTTACGCGGCAATACTATAATCTGGCTATGCTCACAGGATGCTCAAATATGCGACAACCCCCCTGGTCTTTATATCAGAACGCAAGACGTCTTGCTTGTCGCAAGGCGAGAAGATTTGAGTTTTAACCTGGGTGATAAATGGCCAATCACAGCCTGTGTTGAGGTATGCATACATATGAGATCATTGAATACGATATTCCCTCTTGTGCGGTCATTTTACGAAAAAAAGAGCAGAAATACATCGCTCATGATATCACATGTGAAGAATGCAATACAGAGGCGAATATTGAAGTCACTGAAATGGGCCTCAAGATAGCTCTGGTTGTGACAAAACGGGTCAATCTGGGTCCCGGCATTACGCCAGATGACATTCTTTCGAGGGCCCATGTCGATTACCGCCGTGTACCAGAGACTGAATGTATCCCAGAACACCTCTATACAAATCCTCGCTTATGTTTTGAACGTGCAGCACCCCAATCATTCAAGGAACTATGATCTCGTAACCTCGCATTCCTCAAAGATGGGCAATACCGAACGTCCTCATCTTTTCGTCAGTTACCTTGGGATAATGATATGTGGTTCATGCCATTCCAAGCTGGAGAGCGTTCTGAAGTGGCAAATGTGTCAAAGAAATGCAATTTGTTACAACCTTTGCTAGGCTGGGCAGTCTTATCTGGAAAGAATTGGAGCCATGTGCGGAGGGCTTGGGAGGTGATATCCCTCTTTATGGAAAGTGGCGGCAGTGAAGGCGGTGATTCTCCATTCAGCTGATACCTTCACAGATTTAGCTACGATAGCTACACTGCAGGCAAATCTGTGATACCTCAAAGTGGTTGGTGGGTTAACATTAACCTACATATGTCATACATCAATAGCGAACAGGAAAGCGTCCCTTATGGCTCGATCGCTGCGTGCTTACAGGCAAGTTCCCTCAATCTGTTTTTTTTTCTGTCGCCAGATAACCAGCTCGCAAAATGGAATAAAGCTGGACTTGACTGAATGCCTTTGTGCGAGACAGGGTTTTATGTTGTATCAAGGTTTAAGTGCTGCTTGTTGGGTTGGTTGGTTGATAGAGGTTGATGGCTCGGACTGAATATCATGTCATGTTTATTGATGGCTCACGGCTGCTCTTCATTATCAATCAGCAGCATGGCCTTGTCTTCGGCATTGTCTATGGTCAATCAGACTTCCAGAATCCTCAGATCTACTTGGCAACCCGAATAGGAAATCCCCACCCGTCAAAGCAAATCCAGTACGTATATGGGCATTTTCTCAATTCAATTTGTTTTTTATTTTTTGACAAAAGAGCCAAAATGATAAAAAGACGGGGTTCGACCAGTAGAGACTGCCGTGCTCGTGCTGTATGCCAACGGTGTCATAACGCTTCGAACTTTTTTCAGCAGCAATCGGAAAGGTAGCGCAGAGAGAGGTGATTCTATGAAACTGTCGAATGATGTTGTGCGGCATAGCGACAAAGTCTGCTGTCGCGAGCACAGGGCCAACAGTGAAGTCGGCTGCTCCTTTGAGGATGTCAGCGGCCTTCGGTCTGATTTGGTGGACTCCGGTTGCCAGGTTATGTGCTTCCCTACAAAGGATATAATAATCCTTGTAAATAAAGAACAATGGGAGGCCAAATGCGTTGGCGAGGGGTGCGGGGTCGGTTGGCTCGCGAGCGACCTTGATGTCTCCGACCTTGTTAAAGGCGACGGGCCACTTGGCGAAGCGTTCGTGTTGAGGAACCGATTTGACGATCTGATACACCTGCTCATCTGTGAGGCGAGCGTTGTCCGGTGGCAGGGTAACGAACTTGTCGCTGGCCCAGTCCAGGTTAGCGACCAGGTTGGGATCACCACGGTGTCTCAATATTTGACACGCTTGACAACAACCGTGATCCTCTCCCAATGCAAGCCTCGCGCAGCAGCCGAGCTCCCACTTGAGTCCATAGCGTATGTAGTACAAGCTGAATTCCTACCTACACAAACCTGAACACTTACTTCGGCATCACATCAACACCAACTCGTTCTATCGACCTAATCTATTTCACATCCAACACTGGCCAAATGTCCTTCTTCGCCTCCGAGGCAACCTACCCCCTGATCATGACTACATCTTCGACCTGGCTGAGTCTTCGTTCGTTACAAGCGCTCACCTAGTCGACTCTACAGTCACACAAATCCCCTTTTCAAACCCAGTGTATAATAATAGGTATCTCTCATGCCGGTTGCCTGTTAGCATTGTACAAGTCTTCACGCCGCGCTTCGCGCGGCACTGCCAGTGAAGCAGCGAGTATTTGAAATTTGGAGAGGTATGTCCTCAGCACGCGCGTGCTTGGCTAGATGTGTCCACATCCTCGCAGACAGGGTCCTCGGAATGTTCTACATAGTAATGACTGACACCTCTTTTTCTATAAGTACCTCCAGGGTTACCTACATGGCTATCTACTGGCTTACCTATATAAATACCTAGAGGGGAAGGTTAGCTACTACTATATAGTTAGATATAGGCGACTGGCAGCCCCACAGATATCTAAAGTGAGAGTTATCTAAAGTAGAAGTAAGAGATAGCTAACGAAAGCGGGATATATTGACATGTGCATGTTTAGATGTAACAAATAAAAGGAAAATATAGTCTATTGGTAAATCTGTGGTCTCTGAGTATTCTGCCAGACGGTGAGAGAACTCGAAACCACACTGTAGCCCAAGTAGAAAAAGAAAGGTGTAAGAAAAAGAGGTCTATAGTTGCACATGTGGGGTTGATGCTTCCCAAGACGAGATCCGAATGGTCGTACCATAGGTATCTTCAAATTGTTGAATGAGGCCTAGTCAATCGATTCAATATTAGAGGAGTTTATCGTATATCGCTTTACCAGTCCAGAATAATGTTCGGTAGAGGCCACCGTGAGGATAATCGGGATCGCATCCCGACCCGACAATGCAGAGAGTTGGAGCTTTATCGTGAACCCCACATACAATCTATACAGCGGGGTTACGGGTATAGCTACCACCTGCGCACTAGTATCGGGAGGGCTCCCGATACCCCAAAGGCGTCATGATAACAATTTTTATTTAAATCCCAGCTAGTTCAACTAATTGACTCTCATATTCTGTAAATCGCACATCATGTCTTCTGCATCACTTTTGAACTTGCGCTCCACACGCGGATTGTCATCTCGCCTTCGGCTTAAGGCCTCGGTGCCATCCATTCAGCTCCGAACAAAGGCAACAACACCTTTCCGTCTTCCCGATCCTCGAAATGAACCCAACGTGAGCAATTGCATCATTTATTGTGACAAAGCCTTTTGCTGACAGCTCTAGCCTCTATACAAAAAAGGATCGGAAGAGCGAATCAAGCTAGAGGAAGCTCTCATCAAGCTCCGATCTCAACTCCCCGTCCAAAGCAACATCTACTACAACGGCCAAGCGCAAGACAGCGCTCAATCCTGGGACCAGCCTTTGCCAGCTGAACATGCTATAGTCTTCACCAACTATCCCCTCGCGACCAAGGAACAAACACAAGCTGCCATCGAGTCTGCATTGAAAGCTAAGAAGGACTGGGAAGAGACACCATTTGTGGACCGAGCCGCAATTTTCCTTAAGGCTGCTGAGTTGGTGACTGGCAAATACCGATATGAGCTCATTGCCGCGACTATGCTGGGTCAGGGCAAGAACATCTGGCAGGGAGAGATTGATGCAGCAGCTGAGTTGGCGGATTTCTTCCGCTTGAACTGTAACTTTGCGGCAGAGATTCTTGAGAGACAGCCACCTCGAGGGGCTGATGGCGTTTGGAGGTAAGCTGCATCAAATCAGAATCTGAGTACGATTCAGCATCTAACAAATTATCAGTCGTCTCGAATACCGACCCCTCGAAGGTTTCGTCTACTCGATCTCTCCGTTCAACTTCACCGCACTGGGTGGAAACTTGATCTCCGGACCTGCCCTGATGGGTAACGTTGTGCTCTGGAAACCATCTCCATCCAATGTCTACGCAAGCGCCCTGGTCTACAAGATTCTCCTGGAGGCTGGTCTTCCCCCGAATGTTATCCAGTTCGTGACGGGAGACCCCGACAGCATTACCGACGTTGCACTCTCTCATCGCGAATTCGCCGGTTTGAACTTTGTTGGTTCTTCAGATGTTTTCCGCTCCCTATATGGTAAAATCGGTGAAGGTATTGCCAAGAAGACATACCGCGAGTTTCCTCGTGTGGTGGCAGAGACCAGTGGCAAGAACTTCCACCTGATTCACCCGACTGCTGACATCCAGAATGCTGTCAACCACACTATCCGTGGTGCCTTCGAGTACCAGGGCCAGAAATGCTCTGCCACCTCTCGCCTGTATCTGCCTGAGTCCCGGGCAGAGGAATTCCTCACTGGTCTCAAGGCTGGCGTGAAGGAAATCACCATTGGAAACCCCGATAAGAACCTCGAGGCTTTTATGGGCCCTGTGATTCACCGCCGATCATTCGACAAGATTAAGTCTATCATTGATGCTAGCAACAAGGACTCAACACTGAAGTTGATCGCTGGTGGTACTTACGATGACTCTGTGGGCTTTTACGTTCACCCAACTGTCTACCAGGTTGACCGGCCTGATCACAAGCTCTTCAACGAAGAGATCTTCGGACCTGTCCTGGCAGTTTACGTCTACCCTGATGCCGAATGGTCTTCGACTCTGAAGAAGGTCGATGAGGCAGGTGGTGGTTTCGCTTTGACCGGTGCCGTCTTCGCTCAGGATCGTCGTGCTATCCGTGAAGCCGAGGATGCTCTGCGCTACTCTGCTGGGAATTTCTATATTAGTAAGTGACTATTTCCCCGATACTACTTATCATTCGTTACCTAACTTATATTTTCTCTTAGACTGCAAGACGACAGCTGCTGTTATTGGCCAGCAATCATTTGGTGGTGCTCGCGCTAGTGGCACTAATGATAAGGCTGGTAGCTCGGATGTCTTGCGCCGATTCACTAGTCCTCGTCTTATCAAGGAGGAGTTCTTCCCTCAGGATGGTTTCCTGTACCCCAGCAACCATTAGGATGTTTTCAAGTTGTACCATTCATAGAGCGAGTTCATTTAAAATAGCATTTTGACTTATTCAATATTCATTTATTCAACGAATTCATAATTCATACTAGGACAAATAGTAGCATTCCATTTTTCACGTAGCCGCTAGTACTCCGCACTCCAAGTGCTTCTACCAATTTGGCATTTGCAAATTGGCTAATACTGAAAACACCATGAACTTGAATAATCTAGTTTCAAGATCTCCGGGAAAAAACGAAAAGATAATGTGCACATGTGATGTTCAGAAATAGGCTCTACCCTTCGAGTAACCTCGAGTGCTTGGAAACTGGATCAACTATGCCGCCACTCGGGAGCGGCCCCGTTCTGCGTACTTCAGCTTGGAACAACCTTTCAAAGTTGGAAGTCAACATTGGGCATTCGTTTCTCCAGTTCCATTTTTCATATTGAATCCATTCCGGAGACGCAATATTCAAGTTATATCCTCTCCGACTACAAATTATTACTGTCTAAGACCTCCACTAAAGTTCAAGTCATAAAGTTTCTTAACATAGTCTTAAATGCACATGCAATAGATCATCATAAATCAGTAACTTTCCACCGTGAACCTGAATATTCCATGCTATCTAAAATTCCTATGAAAGAAAGAAAACAGACCTCGCCCTTCTTCCAAACTCCGCCTTCAAAGCATTATACTCATCACTGGTTCTCAAAACCGCATCCCGATTCTCAATCGCCCTCCTTAAAAGATAAGCCAAACACTCTCCCATAGTTCCCCAAGTCGAGCACTTATAAACCTCCGGCGATCCATCACCCCCTTTGAGTTGTAATAGCGAGAAGCTGACTTCATCCGACATACCATGCAACTGACCAAAGCGAACAGGAACAGTAGGTAAACCCGCAGCAACACGCTGTTGATGAAGATTATGAGCATCGACAACACTGGCTTTATTATGACTTGCGAGGAACAAATTAACAGGAGGGAAAGTAGTCTCCACGCCGAACTTTCCAATAGTCTGTTTCAAAGCTCCTTGGGCAATACCGTTATACGCCGCATCGGTATCTTCCTTTGTATCGTGAATCAAGGATCGTTCATCGGAAGCGATGTATGCACCACGGACAAGCTTCAGACCGAATGTGAAGCCTTCTTGTTGGGCTACTGTCATGTGTTTTGAAATTGTCTCCGGGGTACTCTTCAAATAAGCTTGATAGGTATTATAGATCAGGGCGTATCCGTCACGATTATATTTTCGCATGAGGTCTAGCGTGACACGGAGGATTCCTGAGAGGAAGTGGTGAGATTCGGCGTCAACGAGGATACGGACGTTTCGTTCTTTGCATCGGGTGCAGATTTGATCTAGGGCTTCGAGCATTTGGGGTGGTGGGAGTTCGCCTTTTGAGAAAGCTTCTGTTACGGTTGGACCGGCACCGGTTAATCTAGACTGGTTAGCATTGGATCTGGTAGATGGGGATGAGATGGGGATGAGATGGGATCCAAGCATACTTCACGGCTAGGTAATCACCATCATCTAATTGTTCCACTGTCTCAGCAGTTCCCTTTCTCCACGCCTCGATATTGGCACACTGGGCCACGAGGGGATGAGCAGGATCATTATTCTTTTCCGCTTCCAGCGCGGCAATTCCAAGTCCCTGTTGGGTATTTGTGCGATGATCGAACACAGTTTCCTTAGCATAAGTCATGATCACACCACGGAAACCCATATCCTTAAGTTCTCGGATAGTTGCTCTTGTTTCCGCGTCTGTTTCACCAGCACAGAACTGTTCGTAGAATGTCTTCTTCAGAATACCATGTAGAATGGGATTACGATCCACATTCAAAAAGTAATTTCCGTCCGGCTTGGAGAGGATTGACATAAGCCAGAGGGAGCATCTTAATAGTAGTGGCTTCGAGGAGATAGTAGAAACCAGTAACGAGCGAAGGAGTACCTTCGTAGGAAGAGCTGATAGAGGAGGGAGGGTAGGTGAAGGTGGACTGGTCTTTGTCTTTGCAGCAACTTGCAATGTAGAGGAAAATCGAGGTCGATTAGGACTCGGAATGGTAACAGTGTGGGAGAGTATACCAGACTTTAGGTTGTTTAAGAGGACCTCGCTAGCCCTTGGGCTAGGAGCCTTTCCAACAGACCAGAGAGTCATTCTTCGGATTCAACAATTCAAGATATTCTACTCCTCTACAATTCCTGGTGTACGAGCAGCTTATTTATCGTCTATGATAACCCCGCCTATCTATTCTCACCCCGCGATATCTACCAGATTCACTATCAGCCAGTCTCGGGTCCGTGTCCGACAGTGGTATCGTGGGGAATTGCAACCATATCGAGTGTTTACACAGATAGCTGTGTGACGACCGTGGATAGGGTATAGCGGGTTCATTTTCCATTTTGATAGAAATCTCTTTGTCATGTGTTCAGGTGATTCTGCAGGGTCGGGAGGGTGACCGGGCGTGGAAGTTTGGAACCAGCCCGGGTATGGCTGTCGGACGGCCTACCCGTTGATATGAAGCATAGATGGGTCGGGGATACCTTGCGTCCAAGTTGATGATAATTGTTTTCATGTCATGATGATTAAACAGAGTTATAGAATATGCGTGGCAGTTAATCTTGATCTAAGATGCATCTTTCTCTCGAATGGCAGAGCACTTGGGTAGTCCATAATTCCAAGGTGAAGATCATCGAATTGTGCAGTATTGCTGATAGATATCATATTCATAGTCTCATTCAATATTGTGATGTACATAAGATTCCTAATGATGTTCAAACATGACAGACCCAACGCCAATGCCACGAGAAATCAAACAATAGGGTATGTGTTGAGAATATTCAAAAAATCCAGTAATCATCCTGTGCAAGCCATCCAATATCCTACCCAAAATCAAACATTAAATACAATCATCCGAACATGATTCATGCAATTCATTCCAAACAGAAACATTATGTGGTAAGTTATGTGGTAAGGGTCCATCAAGGTCTGGGTGTGGAATTCCTTAAAAGTCCACCGACATCCTGTAGCTCAACATCCACAGGAATTGAGACATCGGAGGCGGAGCGGTAAAGGGGAAGGGTATATGATAGAGGTCGGTTGGTCTGATGAGATTGTGTGGTGGGTGAACGGGGAGTAAGAACACCCAAGTCTTCGAAGAACGCTCTTCTCCCACGAGCCAGGCGGCCAACATGGTCACCAGTTGGAGATTGAGGACTAGACGGAGCAGTGTGGGGATGTTGTTGTGGTGGAGTATCTTGGTTCAGAAGGCCCCCAACATCGAAAAATGAGACACGGCGAGAAGAGACAGTGGAGGGCGATGGGAAAGGCCTCTCGCGTGGGGATTGGTTCGTTTTGATATACTCATGTGGGCTCACTTTCATTTCCAGACTGTCGGAGGTGGATGCATGGTCATCACCAGAGACACGTTCTTGGTTAAAGGACCATGCAGGATCAAGAGACCCAGTATGAGCACTAATTATCGGGTCTGGTGGTGGCTGGGCTGCAATAGCTCGAGGATGAGATTTCTGCGGATAAAGCTCAGGGTCGAGTCGAATACCCAGATCTGCTGCAAGATCACAATCGCTGCCCCATTGATGATGCATCACCGTATTTCGGCGAACGGTTGTATTGTCCATACTTTCACTAACGGACGCGGACCCGATTTCACGCTTGTATTTAAGTTTCTTAACCCCACGGTCGCGGACGAAAGAGCCGATGACGAGAGCATTGGAAACTGCGGTTGCGGCGAGAATCTCGAGCGACGCGATAAGAGATCGATATGGTTGATTTCCGTGTCGTTCGATGACTGATGGGACACGGTAACAGGTGATTCCGACGAGGATTAGGGAGAGGCAGAAGAGAATGACGAGCGCTAACTTTCGTTTGAGCGGCATTTGGGACATGAGGATGATCGGAACGGGGAAAGCGATTAAAAGGAGATCGGTGATCACATCGCAAGACCCCATAGTGATTAACTGCGCATAACCACATCGACAAGATGGACCGGGATCTGGAACCACCTGCCAATAGTGATTGAACGGCTGACATTCAGCCAATGTTGCGATCACCACAGCGACCAACGTGGATGCTAGAAAGAAATGCACCAAACGCAAGAAATTCTCCACCGATCTCCTCCAGATCATACCCGTGACTCGTTTAAGGAATTCGCAGACGGTGAGTTTAGCTGTCCAGATACTAGATTCGATGAGTATGACAGATCGATGGTAATGCAGTTATCCGGAATCCGGGGGAGGGGGACAAGATCTTACAAGATTGCATAAGAGATCCGAGCTGCCAGAACCAGCTTACTTCCAATTTCTCTTTTCGATATTTGCTCTGCTGATAACCCACTTGCCTGCACATTGTTTGTTCCATAGACCAGGACGAAATGGACCAAGACCATACGAATGAAAAGAGGGATCATGCTAAGCATCATAACTTTATCCTCTGGGAAGAAACGCTCGATACGAACATAGCGACCACACAGTCGAACGACGATAATAACGGCGGAAAAGATGGTGGCCCACCAACTCATCAACAGAGTCGGGTTGATCTCATCGCGGGATTCGTAGGCGGGAGGGGATTGGGAGTGGAGGTCACGCACCACCAGAGATGACTCCATGATCCCCACCACCTCCGCCAGTCAGCTATTAGGTTATGTAAATCAAGCTCGATCTGCTGTAGCTGTCGCTTGAAAATCAACAAGAAAATAGAAGCTGATCTTTACATGTCGCACGTGAGGTATGTTGTATTTGTGGGGCGAATTGGACTAGGGGCGGCGAGCCCACTGATCATTGTGGAGTTAAGATGGTGAATCGTACGAGAAGTTCAAGTTTGAAGGAAACTCGGTGAGTCCCGGACTAGCCCGATATATATGAAAGGAGTAATTCAGGCACTCGGAGCATCTGAAGGCAAAAAGAGAAAGGAAAACATTTGAATGATAACGAAAGGAACCAGTAACATGTAGAGTGCTAATCTTTCTGACCTATGATGATTATGATTATGCCCCCAAACTTTTTAAACCAGTTTAGACCCAGATGAGCACAAAGTATCCACGTCTCCACGATAAGAGGTACTTGATTAATGACCGTTAACTGGTCCACCGGAGTCCGGGAGCTTTGACCTGTGGATCTGATCAACTTCAAGGTGGATATAACCGAGAATACGAGTAGACAGGGCTGTGGCATTGTATAAGAGATCCACCGACATTTCAAGGTCTCTTTGTTCTCTTTGATGATATCACGAAGATGAAATCAAGTTCAACAAAGATGCAGTCTGGTTCATGATAGTAAAAACTTGACTGGCCCCCAGCTTGAATGCAATCCCGATGATATATCTGAGGTCAGCTCCTAGCGCGAGTGCTATTTAGAGCCTCGAGGACTCGAAGAATCTGAACGTGAAACTCCCATCTCGAAATATACCCAGATAGGGTCCATATGTCCCAGCCGCAAGGGCTCCTAATATTGCATGTGAAGTTAGCCCCAATCTGTTAAATGAGGCTACTATCTGAGCTGTTCGTTGAGGTCAACTGTGGTTTCAGAGAGTAGTACTGGCCCGGAATCTATGATGAATCAATCAAGTTAGCGCCCATGATCAACTTATATCGGCCAATAGAAGACACATGATGATATCTTGGTAGGGAGGACTCAAGTATGGTTGGAAATATCGTGGAGTACTCCAGTGCTTGGTATCGGAGATCAAATTCATTTAAGGAGAAAGTCCCGAATGTGGCAAGTTAAAAGATACGATTCAGCCTCGGAACACGCGACCAATTTCCTGGATTAATTACATTCAAAATGTCAATTACATTAATTCTGATAAGCTATGTGGTTCCTGAGATCTAGATCGTATTTTCGTTCTAACTTCTATATATTTCATAGATTCTGTACTATATTCAATGACGCGTAGTGACTCGTAGATAGGGGGCGGATATCAATTTAGCCAACTACTGCAGCCGCTGTCTCTTCCCGTTGCTCCTCATCACGCACGGACTGAATGCTCACTCCCCCGTGCAGCCCAGCTAACACATTACGAAGCTCTTGCAAGAACTTGCTGACCTCCGCCTCCGTACCAATTGTAATTCGCAGACATCCCTCACATCCAAACTCCTTTCCACGGAATCGAACAACGACTCCGCGCTTCTCAGCCATCGCCTCATACGCTGCCAACGCAACAACATTGCTAGGCTTCCCCGCTGCATCCAGCATTTCCACCAACAGGAAATTCGCGTCCGAGCCACCCAAGAAGCGGCCCACACCGGGAATCTGCGGCAATTCGCGGAGCAAACGATCGCGCTGCGCGACAATCTGTTCACGGTAACGGTGCATGACTGCCATGTTGGGACCAGTCAGAGCAGCGCTGGCGAGGGCACTAGTCGGGCTGGAGATATTGTAAGGGGCCTTCAGACTGTTCAGAAGACGGGCGATCTCGGGGCTGGTGTAAGCAACGCCAAGGCGGATACCTGCGAGACCGAATGCCTTGCTGAGGGTTTGCATCACAACCAAGTTAGGCCATTCAGTGACCCACTCCGCGAGACTGGAGCCCTCCACGGCGAAATCAATGTATGCCTCATCGACCACAACCACACCGTTCCATGTTGGGTGTTCCAGAACCTGGCGGATATCCTCTTTGCGGATCAAGTTCGCGGTCGGATTACCGGGGGAGCAGATATAGGCGATCTTGATGGAGGGATCGTTCGAAAGGGCGGCCTTGACTTTCTCTGTTTGCAGCTGGAAGCCGTTGTCCACGTCCAGTGGCACCTTCACGATATCGATATCGTTTACCTGCGCGCTGACGCTGTACATTCCGTAGGTCGGTGGGCAGGTTAGGATCTTATCCTTGCCGGGTGTGCAGAAGCATCGGAGCAGGGCATCGATGGCTTCATCGGATCCGACACCGACGAAGAGGCTCTCGGGCTTGAGGGTTTTTTGTGTGTGGTGGTGGGTATTACGGAGGTCGCAGAAGAGCTGCTTGAGCTCAATCTGGTGACTGAAGTGAAAAAAAGGTATGATTAGATTTGTGTAGAGCAGAAGTCGGGATCGCGATCACTCACGGATCGGGGTATCGGTTCAAGCCTAAGAAGTCAATCTCGGGCACATTGCCAGACTGTGAGGCTTTCAGGGCACCCTGGTCATTCAATGCCAATCCTGGACCGTAGGCGTTCTCATTCGCATCCAAAAGGACGTTTGTCCCATCATCTTTATAGTCACTGACCGGTTAGCGCGACATCGGAGAGCAAGGTACAGGGCGATCATACTCTCTGGCACAGCGATAAGGTTGCAATTGGAGGATATTAGGTCGAGCGCATTTCGACAAGTCGAATGGTGAAGTTCTGGATGCCATTGTGATTGAGGGTATCGTATAGAGGAAGATACTGTCAAGAAGCAAAAATTGGTGGGGGAGGCGGGGATTTATCGTGATTGCGGAAGCGGAATCGAGTCATCGACTACAGTGACTCAGACTAGTAGTAAGGACCTTTGGAGTCATACTGCATGCAAATCAGAAAAAGATAGAGATTGGAGAGAATAAATTCAATTCAAAAGTTGACTGTACTCAAGAGTGTCAAGCTATATGATAGCAGCTTACACACTGCGCGAGATCTGCAAACTGGCGCAGTGGGACTAGTACTCGGCACTAGCTGAGTGACCAGTTGACTATATTAAATGAATCCATCAGTCCGATCATGAGCCAGAAACAACAGAAATTCGAGATCTGCAATTGACCTGATATTTCTTAGTATAAATTGATTCGAACGAAAATCATAATCATGACGGCGGGAGTCATGTGATCGGCGATGAACTTAACCGACGGATATTCAAGTCGCCATTTAAGACGTTGACCATCATGACAAGGCAATTATCGAAATCTACTATATCTAGCTCATCAAGAGCAGTAATTCACATTGAAATGCTCGCAATCAAGACATGAGATACTGCCCTCTGGCATCAAATGTGATATCATGCAACTATCCACTCGTCATGAAGCTTTCCGCTTCCGCCGACAGTATACTGCAGACGCGACAGTGTTACTGGTAGGATTCTTCGCAGCTGGCAAGAAGACACTGGGAATTATTGCCTCAGTAGCCTTGCGCCGAAGATTCATTGAATTTGACTCGTTCTTTCAAAGAGAAATCCACGCCTCGCCGCAGGAGTTCATCGCGCGTCATGGATTGGCGCGATACCGTGAAGTGGAGCTTGAAATCTCGCAAAATATTTTGACGAAATACGACAAAGGATGTGTGATTGTTGGTCTAGGCGGATCCGCTAGTCCTTCATTGCAGAAGCTCTTGAGTGAGTTTGCGCAGAGTCATCCAGTCGTTTACGTACGAAGGGATGAGGCAGAACTCCGACATGCTATCTCTGTGAGCCCGGAAAAGTTTGAACGCCTCTACGAAGTTGGAAATGCGTTCTTCGAGTCATGTTCCAATTTTGACTTTTTTAATCATACTCAACACCGGACTGACCGGGCATTACCGACTTATTTGAAACTCAAGGAGACTGAACGCGTGTTTGTGACCTTTTTACGACGCATATTTGAAAAATGTCATCGTGAGATGTTTTCTGTTGATCCATTTTCTACGTCACATACATATGCGTTGCAGGTGCCATTGGTCTGGCTAGATGATACAACCCAGGATCTGGAGACGCTTGAGACTGGTGCCGATGCTATTACGGTGGTGATCAGTCCTGAGGATATGGGATCAACTCGAGTTCAAGATCGGCTTTTACGGCATATTGCAACTCTGAGGATGGGCTGCCGAGCTCCAGTCATCATTGATGTGGCCGATTCACAGGGTGTACCCCCTGATGGATATCCCTGGCTATTGGAATTGATTCTCCGCCTAGCCCCTGACGCCCTTATGTGCTCTTTGGAACACGCGGAAGATTTGATGACGAAATTGAACTTTTCCAAGGGCAGCACGAAGGTCATTGGGACTGTCCACGAACCGCTGCCAGTTGGGTCTATAGGTAGATCTATGGATCCTGCGGCTCTTCTTCAGCAAGTCAATCGATTGAAATTCGATGCGCTACGTGTCACTGGCGAATCTACTTCACCGAACGATCATCTTGAGACACTATCATTCATACGCGACATGCAAGCCATTTCGGATCTACCAATTATTGCATACAACACGAGATCACTAGGCCGTGCGTCTGTCTGCTTAAATCCAACTCTTTCACCCGTCACATTACCAAGCTCTACTGGCGTTACATTATCGGAGGCACAGCGAGCACTCTCCGCATGCTTTCTTCTCCCGAGTAAGAGATACCATATTTTTGGCCAAGGGGTCAAGCACACCTTATCGCCAGCCATGCATAATATGTGTTATTCGACAAGCGGCTTACCCCACACATACCATGTTTTCACCTCACAGAAGATCACCGAAGTCGAACAACTCTTGGCCGACGAATCGCAAGGTGGAATTACCATCTCACTCCCCTTCAAGTCAGCAATCATACCCTACCTAGATGAGGTCAGCCCCGATGCCCGGGATATGAATGCGGTGAACACAGTAGTCCTGGAACACAAGCACCAATCCAATGGCGACATCACCATCATCCGCAAGGGCTTCAATACCGATTACATCGGGATTAAAGATTGTATTTACAAATTTCTATCTCCAGCTAATGCTGTACGAGACGGCACATCAGCGCTGATCATCGGTGCTGGCGGCATGGCCCACGCGGCAGTTTATGCATGTTATGAACTCGGTGTGAAACATATGTGCATCTACAATCGCACACCTGAGAATGGTCAGAAACTCGTTGATTACTACCATCAATGGGCGCAGTCCCGAGGTACTAATTTGCATTTGGATGTTCTTCGCTCTGCTGAGGATCCTTGGCCGGAGGGTGTCCGTCTCCCCACGATAGTCGTTGCGTGTATCCCCCCGTATAAGATTGGAGGGGCGGATGACGGGCCGGTTGTGTTCAAGATTTCCGAAAAGTGGCTGGAAAGTCGAACTGGGGGTGTATTTGTGGAGGTAATTATCCTCCCTTTCTTCCATTCGCAAGGTTGTTAAAGTAACTAACTGACTATTCATCTAGGTCGCATATGGTCCATTCAGAACTCCATTGATGGGGCAGATAAATTCAAGGTCCTCGAAGGGATGGGTAATGGTTGATGGGCTGAAAGTACTCCTCGAACAAGGTATTGCGCAGTATGAACTATTTACGAAGCGACCAGCACCGGTGCATGTAATGCGACGTGCAATTCAGGAACAGAGTATAAAATATGGGTATATCCATGAATAGTATTCTGTACCAGGGATTCAATTTAAGTCCGAGTGATTTACATGCCTATCAAGGGGGGCCGAGCCGAAGTAGAAACAGCAATTGGGGCCAAAAAACAAGATACAAAGAAATTATAATTGATCAAATGATATGAGTTAGGCAAACCACAAACCATGCATAAGTGCATGTAACCTCTAACCCCTTATTTAAACCAGGCGTCCCCTACTAGTAGCACCTGAGAAATTTCCATCTTACTTCAATTTCTTCCTTTCTCACCTCTTCTTATCTCACCCATCCCACCATCATGACCGTGACCAGCCCAGAATTCGAGGTGAAAGTAATTTCCACCAAGGAAGAATATGCTCGTCTAGTCGAGGTTCTATGGGCAGCTAGTGCACGCCCATACAAGTATGTCCTTCATCCCCACAATTCCACAACACCTAACACTTTATTTCCTCCAGTCCCGTCTTTACCGCCATACACCCAATCAACGGACACACACCCGAAGATCGCGCCCGTGACAAAGCACTAGATACCGAGATACGATGGAGTGCTCATGAAAAGAACCCAAACTCGCATTTAATCTACGCGATCGATAAAGAAACAGGCCGAGTAGCCGGAGGATGCGAATGGCTAATCTTCAACAAGAACCCATTCCCGAACGGACCGCAGCCTATGAAATGTACCTGGTATCCCGAAGGCACAGAGCGAGCGGAGTACGCGGAGGTGATGCTCAATCAAGCGTTTTTCCCACGACAGTGCTGGTTTCAGCGACCGCATGCGGGGGTTAATGCGATGGGGGTGCATCCTGATTATCGACGTAAGGGTGTTGGGCGGTTATTGATGGAGTGGGGACATGAGATTATTGATCCGTTGGGATATGAGAGTTTCATTGAGGGAAGTCCGGTTGGAAGGTGGCTTTACGAGAAGTGTGGATATCGGAGAGTCATGGGCCTTCATGTGGACTTTGATAAGCCTAATCCAAGTGATGAATGGTTGCGGTTGATTCATGAGTGTAAACCGCCAGGCATTCTATTACTTTGGAGACCTCCACGTGGAGAGTGGACGGAGAAGGTGCCTCCTGGTCCGTGGGCCGTTACTGAGGAGACTTTTCAGTAGACCTTATATGATTAATGGGGATTACATTGCTACTAGTAGAGGGAGTCTCGATGATAAATATTTCTCAACTGCTCAATGGACCTTCGATACTATGATACTATGAATCATGTGTCATGACCCTTCTCCATTCTTTCAATGTTGAGTGAGCCCATGCTCACAAAACATAGATGCGAAGATAAATCCAGATTTCCTAGCTCCGAGTCTTATGGCCAACCTTGGAAGTGGGACTAAGTGATAAGTTTTCGCAAAAGTAGAGCATTCACTGGTGTAGCTATAGATAGTAAACTATATACAAATAAAAATACATGTTGAAAAATAAATTCGCTACCACAATGATTATGGGCCTCTCCGGCTCCTCCTCAACTTCATCGCCCTGACAAGTCCTGGTAAGCTATTTCAATCCTATCGCAGTCGCCAAATTGACTTATTGTTGTTGAGTATTTTTTTTATACTCCAAGTCATGTACCCCATGGTAGTGTGTCCTCAGCTTTGAGGGTGTCGCAAATCTTCGCGTGTTTAGACAACCAGGGAATCTGCATCATATTTCGCCCTGATAGATAACTGGTTGATCTATCTTCATCCGGGGGAGGTTCTGGATATCCTCCTTCTGAAGGTTACTATAGGATCTAATAAGTTAGTTATCTGATTCCCTTTGTTAAACCAGGGGACTTGTTGCTTTTCTCGGTGCTTTCCGAGGCTTCGCCGCATATACTTCGCGGTTTGGATTTGGGGGCATTTCGCCTCATGGCGGGTAAGACCACCACGGGCTGCGAGAAATTTGTGGCAGAAGCGACATTGAACTTGTTTGCCTTTTCCCTTCTACATTGTTGAGGGGGTCGCTCAATGTAATGCGCGTGTCGTGCGCCTGACGTTTTGAACTCCTCTCTGCACCCTTCTTCCTCATAGTGGTATCGACGAAATACCTCTCCACGATAGGTGTTTCAATGTTCAAAATGGTAGTAACACCCTAGCATGTAGATAATGATCCACGACATTTCCGCTCCGTAGGTTCCAGGTCCTAGGGACAATCTCGAAACCCCACAGAATCGCTAAAAATGATTATTAGTATCCAGTAAATAGCTTCTATCCATAGAACGTACGGTTACTCATTTGTCGAATCCCGAACCAGATATCTCTGCAGTTGTGCGTCTAGTATTTCCCCATGGATTTATTGTGGCCCCGTTTCTCAACATGAGCGAGCGGGCTTCTGGATGGGGAAAAAAGTAGAATCGAAATGTATGGACTGTGTCAATGATATGAGTCTCGACGATGACCTTGAGAGTGGCATCTCTCCTATTCGATGCTCGTTTTAGGTTTCCTTCCCTTCCAAGAGGACTTTAGAGTATTTTTCAATTGCAACATGGAGATGAGAGATGACAACCTCAGCTAGCCATTTTCCTATATAGTATCTCTTTATATTAGTAATATGCACTCTGGAGTTTTAATGACTTGAAGGAAGTATACTCATATTCACGGGGTAGAGCGGCCTGAATCTTGCTGCGTTCGCTCTTATCAAGAGCCCAGAAATCGTCGAAGTCAAATGAATTCCCTAGATTGTTTCCAGGGACAGTTTCCCATGCTAAGCATACGACGAAACCACCAGGAACGAGACCATAATGATTGTATGGCTGGTACCTGTATGCTTAGGTCCAGGACTCGAGGGGTATACGAGCCTGGTGGTAGCGGAGGATGGAGAGAGAGAGAGAGAGGACAGTAGGAATGGGCGTATCATCTTTTTGATAGTTCTCTTCGTTGACTTTCTCGAGAATGCGCCACTTCTTGCTCTGCAGTCTGTTAAATTCGGTGCCAGTGGACATGAGGTGGCTTGAAACCACTGGCAGGTAATTTGAGGCATTTTGATGATAAAAGTGGAAGTCGAAGAGGGCTTTGATAACGATATTAGACCTGAATGAGAGAGCGTTATGAGGGATGAACCTTGGAAACACGAAGCAGCGGTGGAATAAAACGATGTGATAGATGATGGCTGCATATGACATAAACAAAGGGTAGATTACCTCAAAACATGTATACCGTTTATTGAATTTCAAGTTGGTTCAAGTTCCAGTTGAACATGACGTTAAAACTATTAGCAGCCCCTCTAGGTATGGAGACCTATAACAGTCATGCAGCCAAACCACCTAGTATATCACATATGGCTGGTAGAAAAGAAAAACTGAGAAAAATGAAAACGAACCTGCCTTCAAGTTCAGGTTTATACTTGCACATGTGATCTTCTGACTTGTATCAATATAATTTAGCTGTCTCTCAATTTGGCGCTCTCCGGAGTCTTAGTTTATCTATCTCTTACTTCAGACTGATATCTTAAAATGTTATTTAAAGTTTTTATATCATGATAAAAAATCAACTGGTAGTGAGCTGGGCGGTCAAAATTCGGTATAAGATTGGAATGGTCTTTGGCCGTGTGACTGTTACAGGCTCTCAACATTGAAGTACTGTAATAGGTGGACAGTTGCAAGGTTCAGAGACTCTAAAAAAGTTATTCTATTTTCTGAAAGATTGGCGACCGCTTATTATCAATGGACAAAATTTGATATGATTCTATGAATTATGTGTTCTCATGACTCCTTTCCATTCTTTGAGTGATTCCACACTCACAAAACATAGATGCAAAGATAGATCCAGATTCCCCTTGAATTCCAGAAAACCTGGGACAAGCTCAGTTGGATTTCACGCATTCGAGTGCAGCACACTGACACCGGCGAGCTGAAAGCCGACTCCATTGATTGAGTACTGGGTACCTCATTCACGAACTGGCAGATATTGATTGGTAATTTCTTGACGCTTCGCTGGTCCACGCACAACATGAAGACTAGACCAGCTAATCAGCTCCTCCGTATCGCGCTTGAAACGAAATGTATACGCCGTGCGATACATATCATTAATACAAAGATGATCCCCGCGAGCCTGCAACACATAAGTGTTCTCGCTCTGAATTCCAGCCGGAAGAAGAGGAAAAGGTGCATCGTAGTTCTCACTATCGATCGCGATTCTGGCCTCAGAATTAAATTCAAAGTTGTGGAAAAGGTAATCCGCTTCATCGGGCCCAGACCCGACCTTAACGAACCACGCACTCAGTGGTAATTTCGCGTCGCTTAATCGCCAGATGTATTTTTTAGACCAGGTCGCATGCGCCATCGCTGCTAGTGCTGGTGGCATTGATGATGGGGATGGGAATTGTCCACTTTCTGTGTAGAGCCAATCCTGGACTTGATCGGGTCCGGCCGGGAGCTGGCTGAAGCTCGCTGTGCCAAGGAGTTGGCCATTGAACTCGTTCTTGTTGGTGCTCTGGAGTGTGCGAGATAATGTCCATTTGGTATTACTCAATGCACCGAGTAAGGTGGTGAGAGCACCGCGTGATGGGGCGGCCATGGCGTCTGCCAGTGAGGAAGACATGGTGAAGACGCGGGGCAGGAAAGTTGCGGAACGTGGATCTTCGAATGTTAGCTCTCGAGTGATTCCCGAGTCCCCGCTATACAAACAATTTGATTCTGAACTCGGGAGATTTCCTACTAATAAATAATATTTTATTTGTTTGCTTACGCGGTGATTATAATTTTTAAAAATCGTACTCTGATGTGCCAAGAGGAAATTTACATGAAAAAAACAAATCTTCGTAACTGCCAGTGAAAATAAGACCAAATCGGATTTGAATATATTGAACGCCAACTGTTACTTAGGTACTATGTTGCAATGACGCCAAACATCAAGTTGAATGCACCAAAAATACTAGCCTAGTGCTAGTGTGAATTTACATCAGACTACATTGACCTCGTTGGCACTGTTCAAGATACGACACATCCTCACTAGACGGGTTTGCGTATTCTCCAGGTTGGCGCTTAAGCCCCTCAATCTGGATATCCTGCTCACCCTCACCATGCCACCAACGTAGACGTTGAAGTTTAATCCCCTGGATTGGGTATGAGTCAAGCTCCCATTTCCCTCCACTCACAGCGACCACAACCTCTCCCTCGGGGAAATGGAAATCAGGAAGATATAATTCCGTAGGGGCATCCATCGCAGTCGCCTTCGTGGCAGTCAGAGACATCGTGAACCGGCAGTTCTGAAGATCAAAGACATGATTCTCCAGTGTTCCGCTCACATAGATCGGACTGGGCCGAAGATACGCTTCTGCTGCACGATATCCTTTCGGTTGGTCAGGACCATCACTGGAGATTGAAGGAGATGCTATGGCGCCCTTGAGATTGCGTGGATCGACTTCCGGCTCTCCGCCACTGCTGTAGCTTTCGGAGTATGCAGGAGATTGCGGGTTGAGTGACCTGTCCGCATTGCCTGGTGGAAGCTCTAGATCATCACGGGAATAAATGGATAGATCCTCTCCATTCCACTGATCTCCCCATTGGTGATTGTTCTCGGTCTCGTAGACCCACAGTGTGAACCCATTCGATGAACTTCCTTCCAGAGCGTAATGATTGGCATCCATTGCACTGGTCTGGCTACTGTAGTCGCCAGTTTGGTAGGCATGCTTATCGTCCATGTCATATGGAATACCAATCTCAGTGAAGACCAACGGGTGATTACCCATGTACTTGAAGCTCTCGTCCCGCAAGAATTTTAGCTGATCACGGAGGCAGTTACGGATCGCAGTTTCACCAATTTTGACTGCAAATGCGGGGGTCCAATACTTTCCACGAAGAACACCGATTACATCCACATTATACAGACGGTTCCTGATGATATCGAAGATTAGATGTAGATTCTTTGCAGAAAGAGGTATGTGTTCTCACCAGTGCTTGGTTATCAATGTCAGACCATCGTAAAAGTGAGCCGCGTGTACCATGTTCGGGTCATCGTCGATAGATCCCGAGAGGTCTGGCGGGACTTCCATCACTGGAGGTTGACATAGCAGGATGGATTCCGGCCATACATCACGGATGGCATCCCTGTATGCCCTGTAATGCTGCATGAAGTACGAATTCGTAAATTTCTCATAGTCCAGCTTTTCTCCCGTAGTGGGCACCTTAGAAAAATAGTCCTTTTGCAACAGAGTGTCGGTAGAGGGATCCCAAACTCCATGCTGTGCCCAAATACATTCGTTAAGCTTCCAGCCGTCATCTCGCTTCCATCCATACTTTTGATCGCAGTCTGTAGACAACCAAGCCTGCACACCCTCAGGATCGACTAGCTCCTTGCCAGTCTGATACGGACCAAAGCTACCAAATGCCCATGTTGCTTGCTCGCAAGCTCTCCCGGAACCAGTAAGGATGGCCTGAAATGCGGTTGGCGATGTTCCAAGCTGCAGTTGCTGCTCGGGAGGAATGTTGGATATATCTTGTACACCAATTAAGCCCCGATGAGGCTCGTTCATACTTTCCCACCCAATCACAACATCATGCTCAAGGTCACCTGCTTCATGGATTCTCTGAGCAAAGTGTTTACATGCAGCAATGAAGTGGCCCTGCAGATAATCCTGGATATTAACGCCATCTATGATGGCCTTGGGCGCAAAGTCTCGGCCTGCCCAGAACAGGGTGAACATGGTTTGACAAAGAAGTCGAGTATAATTCGTACTCCAAATCATTTTTGGGAACTCGGCCGGGTCATCGAAGGTATTTTGAACGAGGGCCGCTTGGGTAACCTTGAAGTTCTTCGGGTCGAAACCTGCTGCGTATAGTGTCCACATGGGCGCACCTGACCCTCCAGAGAGCCGGGACCACTTCTCATCATTAGCCTTACAATCAATCACTCTTTAGTCTATGAGAACCTACCACATCCTGATGTGGATCCATGAAAACGTAAAATTCATACTGCTTGGCTATCCTAAGCACTTCAATGGTGAATTCGATCCACTCCTCGTCATAGATACCAGGGCCGGCATGTTCGATAGCTTCCCACGTGAAAATGTATCGGATCGTATTGTAACCCCATTTTCGTAGTCTTTTGAAGTGGATATGTGCGTCTTCAAGGGAGAATGGCCTTCCGACGAAAGAAACGTCGTCTGCTTCAAAGAACTTGTGGGATTCGAATGATGGAACGTCCGGGTTCTTGGGGTATTTGGCGTCGCCAGCAACGTTAATGCCCCTCAGGATGACCTCTCGACCCTCGGTATCACGAAAGGATCTTCCATCAATGTGAAGGCGGAGGAAGCCCATCGTAGCGGGAGGTGAAATGGGAAATCTCGAAGTTCGAAGACGACGATAAGGCTATGGCGAGGTAAGGGCCGGGTGGATGTGTCGGTCAACTCAGTGCATAACAACCAGGGATCTCGGGGATCACGACGGTTGTATCAAGTAGTTGATATGTATCTTTCTTTGGAGGAAGAATTTGGAGAGATAGAGCGATAAGATGTAAAACGTAGGGAGCTGGAGGTTGACAAGAGTGGAGGTGTCTGGGGATGCGGTGATGCGGAGTGGGGCGGAGATAGGCACCTGGGCAGATCCCGAGCTTCACTCCGTCATCCCTTGGCATCTTTGTTTGATTTACACCACGACTTGAACATGAAATTCATCACAATTTGACATCCTGGTTCGCATATGCTCATATAATATTCCCAATTTAATCGCTATGAATACCCTGGCTTCACGAATTGCTGTCTCCTATCGCCCCCGGGGCCATATTGGGGAAGTTCATGAAGGTCCTCGTGTCCACCCTCAAGCCACTCCGAGTCCGAAGACGACCTGTCTGAACGAACCTCCCTCGAGAATGACAGTCCTGATTTTCTATACTTTGCTTCAATGTTGCCATGCCGCAATTTACTTGTTGAATTTTACTAACCTCCAAAAAGAAAGCCCTACAAGTTCCAAGGTTATTTTTTCTGTCTTCGGACGGTTACTGACTTCAAGTTGTATAATTAATTGCGTCCATAAATAGAGAATCGTGTTATTTTATTAAATTATCACCTCAATGGGTATCAAAAATTGCACAAAAATCAAACATCAGGATAGAGGGAAGCTAATGATTTAACAATCAAATCTCGATCATCCGGTTCAATATCCCGGATTATATCCTGTATATGTTGATTGTGCTTCATGGACGGAGACAGATCCACAGGAGCCCTTTCACGCAGCGAGCTGGTTGAACGGGTTTCAGGAGAACTCAAGTTCAAATCACTTGTCAGATTTGCCAAGGTACTGGTGATATTCCCATCAGACTTGAGATATGCAAGCGTATTCTTCAAAACATCACCGATGCCAATATCGGCCGAGAGGGTAAGCTGGCTAAGAATGTCGGTATAATAGGGAACCTCTGTGCCGTTCCAAACAACTGAAGTTGTTATCGCGTTGATACTCAGGTTCCCGGCCTTGATCGCAGTCGCTTCTGACTTGATTACAGCAGCGAGGTTCTTGATAACGGTGCTGAAGTCTAGGGTTCCTTTCAAGGGGAAAACATTATCACCGGGCACGAGAGTCACATCCTCCACGGTCGCATTTCCAATGGTAAGATTACCGGCTTTGACATCTAATGTCAGGGTGCCGACTTCGAGATGCATGACCGTCGGGTTCGGAAGGGTTGTGTTGCCAATGAGGTTGGTTCCGTCTGACTCGGCTGGAAGAACGACAGTCGCGTCGGAGATAGAGAAGCCACTGAATTTGTTAAGACCTATTAAGACCCATTAGCAATTTGCTTATTCTAGATCCAATAATAGCTGAAGCAGGAACTCCGAATTGAGGTGGGACAAGATATGAAATGGAATGCATATGGTGGAGCATTAGAAAAAAGGAAAAATCAATGAACCCACCTGGTGTTTTGATGTTTTTGTTCAAATGAACGTGCGATTTGAGAACTCCAATATACGCATTGGTTGAGCCCGAGACAGCAAGAGAGGTTTCCTCTTCAAAGACAACTTGCTGGACAAACAAGTCCCATGCAGTCAGGTTTTCAAGCTTCGTAAATTGATCCGAGATTCCCAAGGTATGATTGCCTTTGATTTTCTGGCCGGGGATAGTGAACTGCGCATAGGCATCATCAACCCCATATTCTCGATCAAAAAGACTCAAAGGTAAGTCGTCAATCCGAATTGGGATCAAAAGATGCAAGTCGACTTTGGTTTGTAGGGTAAGCATAATCGAATCAGGTTTTGGCTGGTCGACCACGGCATTTGTAAGATATAGATCTGATTTGTTGACAACCAATTGCGCGATCGCAGGAATCACAACCAGGAAGCTTCACTCTGTTAGATTTGGAGGTAGCGCAACCCAGGGTGCAGAATTTGACACTTACAGAATTGGGAGAAAGATAGCGAGGAAAATAACATTGGCCAGGCAGTATACACACCAGAACCGTTTCCAATGGCGTCTGATTCTTTGTGTGCGAGTAGGTGTTTTGACCAAGGAGAGGCCTCCTGCCTTTTCAAGCCCCTGAGTCTCATCTCCAGGGGTAAGTAGCGGCCCTCGGTTTGTGCCTAGAATGTATTTGAGCCCCTTGAGAGACATGTTTGCTTGTCCGACACAAAGACCACGAGAGTGAGAGGAGCCAAAAAGACCATTAAAGTTAGGGGCTCGGCTCTCTATTAAGAGCTCGGAGGTTTTTGCAAAAACAACTGCATCACCCTGTAGCTTCTAGTCATCTATGTTAGTATATTGCATCATTGGCCGGTCGATTAGTACCCCACGGGGAAAGTCAGGATCTGCGCCTATCATGCGGGGAAAGACAAAGACCTGATCGCGGATTGGACAAGAAGAACAAAACAACGCAACCACCTCTTATGAAGTCCTCGGTATCTTGAAAGTAGGTTTTTATCTTGTGATAAACAGCCCAGAATTTACAAAAGAGTTTCCAAGGTTCTCAGCTTTGACCTCTCTTCTCCTCTTTCATAAGCATGCCAGGAACTAAAGGTTGCAGGAACCTCGGTCTTGATCCCTGTTTAATCAATTTTCATCACATTTTACAGCCAATAATTGGCGTCTCAGCCACTAAATCCACACTGGAAATCCCAGTTCGGAGTAGTGGGCTCACGCCGATATGCACCTTGCTGCAGGAGATATCTAGCTTGGGCTCCTTTTTGGGTTTGTCCTACCACATGAGGATGTGTAACCCAAGCCATGCATAAAAGATAAGGAACCGCAACGTCAAAATCAGGCAGAGAATGAGTCCTGACAGGTTTTCCCGCTGCAGAGCACGGAGCGTTTGCCCCTGGTCCCTATCGGGCGTTATTTCCCGTTTTCGTCTGGACTGACACTCGAGCCCCTGCCAATGTTAAGATTAACCTGGCCAAGGGTCTTCATATCGGGTCCCTTTTACACTCCGAAATGTCTTGCTTTAGGGGGGAATAATCGTAGCTAGTCTTATTTGCACGCTCGAGAGTTCTGCGCGTGACTCTTTCGGAGTGAGCAAGAACCTTGAATCTACTCTATACGGAGTTACTTCTAAGTCTAAGCCTCACCTCACATTATCTTGGGATGACATGTATTCATAGATTCTCAGACTCATGGTAATATTCTAGAAATTTTCAGTATATCACGTTCCACAATAATTCATAATTCTGGGAATACTTGTAGAGTCATAGGTGTATCGTGGTTGAATTCGAGTCTCAAAAAGCGGGGGATCCTCTGATCCTCTGACTAAGTGGGGCCGAGATCAAGTTTCTTTGTGGGGCCGGAGTGTCATTTCCTTCACATATTCGAGTTCTGGTCTCTGGATACGCGACAGTGTCTATGACTCGTATATGAATAGGCAGATGGGATCTCAATTTACCATCCTATTCATTCTGCTTTTTTGATACCTACCATCCTCGAGCAAATAAAAAACAAAAGCAAACAAACCTGCCCCTGACGATCAGACTCCCAATAATTCTCCGAAGCAGCTCAGGGGCTAAAATTCGACTGATCAAATCTCGAAATAGAAATCTCAGCTCTTCGCTGAATAATTGATACCTGCAGAATGATATCATATTAAGAAACATCAATTCGGATACACTAACATCTATTTCCAATTATAATCACGAACAATTAACCCTTGACAACAAAATGACTCCAGATTCGCCACTCTAATGCCATTTCACAGCTCAACAAACTCATTGCGCAGATACTCATCTCCCTTCAGCTGATCAAGGTAGCCAACCACCTTCGTCGTCAATGTATCAATCTCATATCCAAAGAACTTATACGCCGCCTTGCCCGGCAGACTATGACCAAAGCGCTTGACATTAATACCAGCATCAGCATATCGCTCCCAGCCATTTGGAGCATAAGGCTCAATGACAACAGCAGGAATACCACGGTGACGACGAAGAGTATCCCGCTTATATTCCAAGGACTGCTGTTCGAAGAGACGTTGGCAAGGGAAGCTAACCACACGTGCTGTCATTCCCTTCTGAGTCTTCAACTGCGCTGCAACCTCAAGTGCAAAGGAAAGCTCAGCTCCGACACCAATGATTGTGATGGTGGCTGATTCCTCTTCCTGGAGCACGTAAGCACCGCGTGCAACGGCATCACGGCGGGTCTGGGAGAGCTGGGGCAATGTGTGACGAGAGGTGGAGATGATCGAGGGAGTCTTCTTCGCGTTAATGGCAGCGATCCAGGCACCAGCTACCTCCTCGCTGTCGCAGGGGCGGATATAGAGAATGTTGGGCATGGCACGGTATAAAGCAGCAAGCTCAATGGGCTGATGGGTGGGGCCATCCTCGCCCATACCGATGGAATCGTGGGTAGCTACATGGATTCCTTGGAGATGTTGTAGAGCACCCATGCGGACGGCTGGCGCGGCGTATAAGTAGAACATGAAGAATGAAGATGTGACGGGGACGATGGTGTTTGGGGAGTAGGCTGCCAGGCCGTTAGAGATGGCACACATGGCATGTTCACGGATTCCATAGTGGATATAACGGCCTGAGTAGTTTCCGTTGATTCCACAGGTGGTGCGGAGATCGGGCTAAGGTCATTGGGTTAGAAAGAAATATCTAGTGACAAGAAAAATACTGGTGGCACTTACATGTTGGAAATCAACCTTGCCGGACCAAATCATGTTCACGGATGGGGACAAATCAGCAGTTCCGACCATGAATGAGTTAACTTCCTTCGCAATGGGATTAAAGACCAGCCCAGATGATGCACGGGAGGCCGTTGGCTTCTCGGGGAAGGTAGTGGGGATATGCTCCTGCCAGTTGCTTGGTAGCTCGCCGCGCACACGAGCCTGGAATTCAGCCGCAAGCTCTGGGTACTGTACACCGTAGTCGGCAACCAGCTGCTTCCATTCCTCCGCCCATTGCTCACCACGACCGGGCAGATCCTGGAAAAATTGACGGACAATATCTCCAATGACGAAATGCTCTTCTGGATTAAATCCATAGAGTTTCTTCATATCGGCAACGCTGTTCACGCCAAAGGCTGCACCGTGCGCAGTAGCAGTTCCAGCAACATGACTGTCGAGACCGATAATAGTTTTGACGTTGATGAATGTAGGCTTTTCCTGTGAGCTACGAGCCAGCTCTAGGGCACGAACAATTCCCTCGATATCATAACAGCCATCCTCAACATCAATCACATCCCAACCGCTGGCGCGCATCTTGGCGTTGATATCCTCGGTGTTAGTGAGATCAACGGATCCATCGCAAGTGATCTGATTATTATCATAGATGACTGTGAGGTTGTTTAGACGAAAGTGACCAGCCAGAGAGATGGCCTCCAAAGAAACACCCTCCTGCAAACAGGCATCGCCAATCATACACCAAGTGTGATTAGAAACTACATCATATCCCGGGCGATTATATGTTGCTGATAGATTCTTTGTCGCCATAGCAAGACCAACTGCATTGGCGATTCCTTGGCCCAAAGGACCAGTAGTCACCTCGATTCCTTCATGTTCAATTTCGGGGTGTCCGGGACAGAGTGCATCGACGCGATCTGAGTGGTAGGATTTGAGTTGGTCGAAGGTCATAGCCTTGTACCCAGTCAGGTGCAAGAAGGCGTATTGGAAAAGGCAAGTATGTCCTTGGAAAATTGTGACATCAGTACTTGACTTCAAGTTTACGACCATCATATTCCGATTTAGGGCAATTCATCTCACCATTGGAAAGAACAAATCGATCGCGATTAAAGAAGTCCGGGGTATGTGGGGCGTAGCGCATAATGTATTTCCATAGAGAAATTCCGATGGCCGCCATACCAATGGCACCACTATGAATATGATTGATTAGCTTGGATCCAAAATTCGTTTCAATTGCTCAAAATTACCCTGGATGACCACCGCCAAATTGTTGACATAGATCTGCGATCAACAGACGGAAGGTCTTCAAGACAAGGTCATGGTCCTTGGACAGCTTTTGAACGAGGGGCAGCGTAGAAGGCATAGTCTTATGCACACCGTTACTTTGAATGACAGTCATTATGAACTCTCACAAGCTTCAAGATAGATAAAAATCAAATTGCCATCTTTAAGTCTATGGCGCTGAGCAGCGGATTCAAATAGTTGAGAAACAATGGCGACAAATACAACCTGTTCGGGTAAGAACCGAAAAAGGGTAACTCGAACCACTCCACACCCAATGGGGCAACTAGAAGCACCTCATACAGAACACAACAGCACCAAATTGTCAATTCTATCCGCTTCACATTGTACAACAATTTCCCCACATCATATCAGGTGGATCCACGATACTGATGAGGGGTCTGCTGACTTGGACCTGATAGACAATCAGAGGTACATGACATCATTGATAAGCAATTAGCCAGAGCGCCTCCAAACATCAGCGTTGCTCAACACTTGTCAGGTTATGATGCTGCTGCAAACGAAAATCAAACTGCATTGAAAGACTTTGAAGATGATTATTATGGATAGCCGGAGAAAAGCGCTAATTTGGGGCTGTGGGCACCCGGCAGGGTCCCAAGCTTATTCACCACACCCAGTCTTTCTTTGACTATATTATTATCACACCTCTACATCGCCAATGACTTACAATTTGCCTTAGAATTGACTCCGACCAGTTAACCTCTACAACCTCCCACTCAAAGTCATGGCCAGATCGAGGTATGGTTGTGCGATTTGTGGGTACGACATTCGTTGGGGCCGTTCCGACGCTGTGTGGTTAAGAGAGTTCCGAGCTAGTAAATTCATTTCCGTGTCTACTTGCATATCGACTTTGATATTGATACTGAGGGATCTAGTCTATTCGACTGCAGATGGATATTTCATCTCGGGTGTAGGTCACTTCAAGTTCCAGTCAGAAAATTCCTTCAGAGCACCGATCGATCCTACAAACCGATACGATGACGATGATTACGATTCTCAACTCACTGAAGACTTCGATATCTACAAAAACCGGCGGAACCGCACCCTCTGTGACGTATATGCCACACACGATGCCTGCTGGAGTCTCTTGCAAGAGGCCATGAAGCCAAACGAGATCTCGCCGCAGAGATTTGTGGATATTTGCGAGTCATTGCCATTAGCTGCACTATTTTGTCCATTTTGGGGCCATAACTTCGGTGGCATTTTTGACTTTGACCTCAATTCTGGCTACCCTTGGGAGAGGCAGCTAGAGAAAAACCTCTCGAAATCAGAAGCATCACTTCACGTCATGGAAGACCCAGGTTCCATACCAGAGATCCCAGAGATATTGGCTAAAACCGTCCAAGAGTCATCAAATACAACCTCTGTTCGGCTTATAGTGCAGATGGTAGTGGAGCCTAAGGACTGCTTTAGCATTTTCCCGTGGGAAATTCGAGAAATGATCGCTAAAAAGTTGCCTACTAGCGATGCATTGAATTTACGCTCATCTTCCCGATCGTTTTACCCCCTCCTAGTCAGCCCCGCATTTTGGGCATCCCGATTTGAGGTTGGGATTGACCGTGCTTTCCTTGTCGAGAAACGAAATGTGGCAGAGACGAGGGACTGGCTAGCTCTCTATCGCAATACCACCTACTCTCAGAGTCCACCGGGCTTAAAAAACAGAAGAAGGATCTGGGATTTGATTGAGAATATTGTTCCCTTGTTAAGTTTATCTTCAATTGAAGGTTCTGAACATGGGTCTACGAACGCGCTTGACCACGAAACCTCCGATGAATCAGTACTCGTTTTAGCAGAGGCAAATATCCTGACAAAGTCTGAACGTGATCGCAGCGGTGTCAGAGCCGCTGAGATTTCCACCACGAAATATTTTCAGAATCAAGGATGTCGAGTCTTTCAGAAGCAATATACCTCCCTCCCTAAGGATTTGACCAGTCTTGCCCTTTCATTTGTCAGACTTGGGGACAGTGGATATCTCTGTGGAATACGTGTCACATCGCAAGATAGTAAGGGCATTCAACTGGGATATCACTCTGAGGATACACTCATTTTCAACGTTGACAAAAGGTTGAGGGGTTTTATCCTGGCGATCCACTCCCAAGGTGTTCGTGCCATTCAGGTTCTTGACGGCAATGGAAAATCAGAATGGCTTGGATTCCCCAAAGACACACCAGTTACCGAGCGTTTGGCAGTCGAGAATATAGAAGAAGTACAAGTTGGGATCGATGTGAGTGGCTCTGACTCTTGATACTGATACATAACAAAGTGGGGTATTTTGGCTACTGACGATGCCAAATTCGCATCAATCTAGGCATTCAAAATTGTGAGCATTGGTGTGAAAATCTCGAATGCAAGAACTGATGAGCCAGCCTCATACAAGAAACATTCGTCATTGCGCAAGACTGCGTTATGGTATCCTTCAGTGCCCAGTCCTAAGTTATTCCTGAATGAGAGAGGTTTCATGGAGAATAACCGAGATACCCCAAAATATTGTCCCCTTCAATGGGTTTATTTTGGTGGCCCTAAAGGAGCCCCCCTCTCATTTTTGACCAGGATCTTTGTGGCGGGTCCCTCTCCATCAGATTTGAGTACATATCAGCAGAAGGGATAGCATCAAGTGATACCCTCGGTCGTCCAATCGACCCTTTTGACGAAGACTCGATTCGTGTAAATCAGGCAGGATTTGAATCCATTAGAAGGATTAAAATTGGAATTGATCCATATGGAATGCTAAATTCTGACCCGCTTCGTGATTTAAAGGTCAGTCATCTTCACCCAAGAAACAAAATGTTCAAGGCCTCATACTATATACAGGTTATCACGAGCAACGGAAGAGTTTTTGCACACCAGCACACTACTAGTACATATCAACCAGAATTGCCTCCCTTCACGGAATATGAGCCCTTACTACATTTTGAACCGTTCAGGGAAACCGGGTTCAGGGAGTACCACTTCGAAAAAAACCAGTTCAGGGAAAAACGAATGCCAACATACAACTTGAGGACACTTCATCCAGCCCCGGGCACATTCATCACTGGCTTCTATGCTACGACTAAGGTAAGCCTTTTTCTATTGCTCCTGGTTTGACCAGTCTCTCTGACATCTCCAAGCCTCACCCACACTGCGGTCTGTTGAATATTGGTGTGATCTCTGAGATTATCGAACGCAAAGAAACCACACAGACCTAGGAGAGGTTCAGGTTGGTTTGTTGTCAAAGATGACCAAAATGATCCACCAATTCTCCCAGAGCCACCTTGTGGTAGTAGTCGTTTCTTCACACCAACCGGATCTTTATCAAATTGCTTTCTGGGTATTTACTTGCTGGTCGGTGTTGCCTCGCCATATCACTTGGGAATGATGATGATGCGTCTCTCGCTTATCCATAAACAATATTACATTTTTACTTGACCGGATATTATTCCTAAACATCTCCGACTGCGAAATAAGTCATAGGTCCGATCAGCAGAGAGTTTCCATATCAGGAATACTCTCTTGCCCTCTTCTAGCTAGAAGCATCGACTGTCCAATGCACCCGTTTTGCAGAGGGCGATTCGCCTCCCAAGCTCAGAATACGCCATCGATGCCTCCCGAGGTCTATGGTAATGCTGACCTAAGTCTACATGTACGTCAATATTAGGAAATGAGCCCCAAGTATAAAACATCTCACAGAGAAATGTGGCCACTCGGTGTTCGCAAGATCATTTACATATACTCCGACATTGGACATACTCAAATTGCAGCTTTGAAGTACATCATTATCATAGTCCTGGGAAGAATCCTCCGACCGCCATAATGAGTGCCAGTGTCGAACCACCCATGCTCTCAGAAAACGTCACTGCAGATATAATCAATCCATCAACTGCATATTCGCCCGCCTCCAAGTCTCAGGCTGAAAGAAAATTTTCCACCGTAACAGAGGACCGAAGCTTCATTCCAGCAACGATGCGAGCCCTGTACTACTCGCCAGCCTCGGGACCAAATACAAACACATATCCAGTACGCGGCTCCATCCCAGCTCGAGAAGAGAGCAGTTTAAGCCCGACCGTCCGTGCCGACTCTATGGCGCAAAGGGAGAATAGTGTCATCGATCCCCGAACCGATTCTATAGCTTTTACAGATAGTAGAGCCGACGTACCAAGTCCTCGAACAGTCCCCGAACCTACATCCACTGCAACACGAAATCAAAAGCCTGGTCCAGCAGGGAGCCTCGTCCTCGATACGGATTTTCCGACTCCTCAACCAGCAAGACATCAGTATCTCCTCAAAGTTCTTACCGCGGCATTTTGTCAGGATGAATTACGATTGGCAATGGCTTTGAATCCGAGTAAGACGACACCCCAGGTACCGCTACATAGTGTCTGCGCTACAGTCATCACTACACCGCCACAGGATGAAGACCGACCACTTGGACCAAGGTATAAAATCGGAGATGTGGTCTGGGGAGTCCTGAGCTATACTCGAGACGGTGGCGCAGCGGACTTTGTTATTGCCAATGAAAATGAACTTGCCTTGAAGCCGCCAAATATCACAGCCACAGAAGCCGCAGCACTTGCATTACCGGCATTAACAGCCTGGGGCGCATTCTTTCGGGTGGCGGGCCTCGATCCTGACGCTGCAGCCCATCTGAATGGCGATGGAGCCAATGGAGACAGACAAAGTGGCAGCGGCGCCAAAAGTGGAAAAGGCAGTGGTTACAGCGGCTACAGGGGTAGTGGCAAAAGTGCGCCTGAACAAAGGGGTAGTCTTTCACGACTGAGTCTTGGAAAAGGAGGATTCGGGTTTGGAGGTGGAAGTTCAAGTGGAAGTGGAAGTGGAAGCAGCATCGGGCATCGATTCAGTCTGGCCAATTTGACTGGCAGCAAACCCGAACCCAGTCCGAATGTCAGTCCTGGTCTTAGTCCAAGCGCTAGTCCCAGTGCAACTGGAAGTGGAAGCACAGGTGGGACTAGCACTGGACGAAAGCTTAGCATGGCGAGCCTAGGCAGTATCGCTGCAGCCAGTACGCGGAAACTGAGCCTTACAAGCAGTGGTAGCAGTGCGACCACCAATGGGTTCAGGAGGAAGAAGCCACTGCGTATACTTGTGACGAATGCCCGTGATAGTGAAGTCGGTCGAGTAGCGGTGCAACTACTCCGAGCCGAGAAAATATTTCCGTCTTCCTTACCCCGACCCTGGATCTGTGTGACGTGTACAGTGGCAGAAGAGACTGTTCTTCGAGGGGATTGGAGTGTTGATGAGATCCTTGTGATCCCGCATCTTCCAACCAAAGATGAATGTGACCTCGGGAGCATGTTCCGGGAACGACGATGGGATCCTGTGGATATTGTGCTAGATTGTACAGGCGGAGAAGTGTTTCGACAGGCTCACTCAAAAGATGTAGTGCGGGATTCGGGCGCTGTGTTGACGGCTGTGGATCCTAAACCAGTGCAAGAACCTGCCACGGCATATGAGCAGGATATGCTGAAGCAGCGGAAGAGAGGATTGAAGAGTCGGTTTGTGCCTGTGGTTCCGGATGCTGCGGCAATGAAGCGCATCTCTGAGTTGGTAGAAGATCGAGTGTTACGGGGACGTGAAGAACAGGTCGTTGATCTGAATAGAGCTGCGAAGTTGCTTGAGGGCAAAGCGGCGGGTGCAGCGGGAAGTCGGCGAGGAGGGATGATGGTGGTTCGTATCAACAATGTTTGTTAATTCATGATAAATTGAACATTTTCTTTTCATAAGAATGCATTTAGAGCTCTGATTGAACTACATATGTATTGTTACAAATGAGGCAATCTCTCCTAGAGGCGAGTTCTCAGCTTGAAGCCCCTGAGCACCCCAGCCGACTCGATTCCGACGGCTCAGATACTACCAGCGATGCCGCCAAATCATACTATCGTCGGATCGAGTGACGCAGGTCCAAACTTGAAGACACCTGGTAGTGACTCAGACTAGCAGGGATGGGCGTATATGTATTCGATGTTTCACTCCAGCACTCTTTCAAGTTGGAGAGGACATGTTGTGGACGGGCCATCACACCAGGTGATTGGAGCCATGCAAGAAACTGAGAGAAATGTCTCTATTGCTCTAACGAACGGGCGAAACGTATTTTGGTAGTATTTTGGTACGATATCAGTTTAAAGACTCAACCGTGGAAGTGATGTATTCTGTCCTCCGTACGAGGCATGTATATAGATCCCCACATCAGAATCGACAGAGAAACCGTTCAAGCTTAAATCAAGGACGGAGGATTCATCGGGAGTAGCTGAAATGATGTATGCACGACGGATGTTCCAGGATGCATATTTGGGACGTATGGAAGTTCATTGGGAGTAATCCGATTGAGCAGAGGGCGGAGCAGCGAGCTGCACAAAAGGCTAGGCAAAATAATAATTCAGCTTAAAAATGTAAACCTTGTGACAGTTATAGGTCGAAAAGTGGCCTGTTATACTCAATAAATGCGACACAGGCCACATTCCTTCGCGACCGCATTGATCAGCAGTATTGATCAGCAATACTCTTGTCGCCACATGTGCGTTCATGGTACTTCAGTAAGAATTCGAGTTCTCAGCTCCAGAGATATTCATTTGACTTGGCTTTGAACAATCATTCTGTCACCTGCGTTTGAGATTCCCGAGGTCATCATCATTGATGTGGTCGTCCGTGTTGTTAATTCCATGGTTGTCCAAGGTTGCCGAAGTCATAAGTGGAAACATTGGAAGTCACATGAACTTAGATGCAAATAGTGCAAACACCGGGCACTAGTACTATGGGGTAAATGGCGCCCCGATCTACGCGCATCATCAGATTCACATCCCCAACACCCAAGCTCCTCAACATAACTCTTCTGTGTTATACATTTCTATCGTCTCATAAGTTATTTCCAGAAATATATCACTTATCAGGACGTTTCATCAACAACTTGGGGCTGCCAAGCTTCATCGCTGCTCCCGCAGCTCCTTACATCTCGGAGGTTGGCTACCCCAACCCACTCATTCATACCCCCGAATCCTGATAAACGGTTGCTAATAACCGTATTTTCCCTGGCCAGGTCTTCTTCAGATCAAAGCCCATATTTCCAGAATAATATTCCATCCTCCTATTCTTCCTACAGATATCTGCAACTACTTGCTGTCCCAGCCTTGTCGCCTCCAAACACGGCCATCTAGATCTACGGTAACAGTCCAGTCACTGGCAGATTGGAAGAGCCTCTGAAGCCTCCTACCTTAAGAACCCTACATCATATCTACCTGCATTTTACCATCCTTCTGGCTCGACTTCATCCCTCGCCATGACCTATTCGCGGTCACGATCTCACGATCGACTATGGGGTATACCCACATTAAGCGGTCTCCTCTTATCAGTCGTCCTTCTCCCAGGACACTCGCTAGCCACTAATCCTCCTCAAATACCCATACTGGCGCCACAAATACCAATCGAAAATCCAGACTCTTCCCCAGATGCTCATGAATTTTCCCTCCGCCATATCTTCCACCGAGGCACCGCCGAAGAACCCGACTTCCACGCAAGACTAGATGTTAGGCCCGATAGCCGCTTGCGAGCTTTGTCAGATGATGGATCTGAAGAGGAATTTACGACGGCCCTGGGAACCTTGGTGGCATCCTCAAGCCCCCTCACCATACAACGTCTCGCGGATCGTCGCATTTCTGTGATTGAAGGCCACCTTGCAGCGGCGCAGCGTCCTGACTATGTGATGGCTTCGTCGCCATTAGAGTGGGTTTTGGACACTGTTGAAGGGCCCAATATTAAAGACAAGGAAACAGTCCTTACCTTTGCTAAGATGACAGCCAACGATTATATTTCAGAGCCCGGAACCGCAGACTGGGAAGTTATTCATGGCAAATTCAACTATTCAAATAGCTTTGGGTGGGGCTCAGATGGTCTGAGAGGACATATTTACTCCGATAAAACAAACAGCACCGTGGTGATCTCCCTGAAAGGAACTTCTCCAGCCCTTTTTGATGGCGCAGGGACCACTACAAAGGACAAAGTCAACGATAATCTTTATTTCAGCTGCTGTTGTGGTCAAGGAGGGTCTTACTTGTGGAGAGCTGTCTGCGACTGTCAAAATACGACGTACACGGCCAACGAGACCTGCATTGTCGAGTCTATGAGGGACGAGAATCGTTATTACAAGTCTGCTCTTGATCTGTATTCCAATGTGACTGCAATTTACCCGAACGCAAACATTTGGCTCACTGGTCATTCTCTGGGTGGTGCCATGACTAGCTTACTTGGCTTAACATTTGGACTCCCTGCCGTGACCTTTGAGGCGATTCCCGAGGCACTTCCTGCAGCTCGCTTGGGTCTTCCAAGTCCTCCCGGCTATGACCCAAGGCTCCCGCAGACCCGCCAGTACACTGGCTCTTTCCATTTTGGACACACGGCCGATCCGATCTACATGGGTACATGTAACGGTATCAATTCGCTCTGCACATGGGGTGGATATGCACTGGAGTCCGCTTGCCACACAGGTTCAATGTGTACTTACGATACAGTGGCCGACAAGGGTTGGCGTGTTGGCCTGGGCACTCACAAGATTAAAAATGTCATCTCTGATGTGATCAAGGTATACGATGATGTTCCACCGTGTGCTCCGGAGGAAGAATGTTATGACTGCATTCTCTGGAAATACTTCCGCAGCAACGGTTCCGAGATCAGTACCACCACTACGACAACGACCTCGCCTACTCCGACTCGGACGTCTACTTGCAAGACTCCAGGCTGGTGGGGCTGTCTGGACGAGTCAAGTACAACGACCCCAACCACGACGACGACCACTACATCAACATCCACTACAACTTGTGAAACACCAGGCTGGTTCGGGTGCAACGATCCAACGACTACTACTGCCTCGACCTCTTCCTCGTCCATAACATCGACTTCAACTTGCAGTACACCGGGTTGGTTTGGTTGCAATGACCTGCCTATTACAACGGGTATGCCGACAGCGACTCCAGCTCCTATAATGACGACGGCAAGTCCCTCTGCTACTTCAACATGCGAGACTCCGGGATGGTTCGGCTGTAATGACCCTACAGCGACAATGTCAACCACCGCAGTTGCCAATCCCACTTCTATTAATACAACGCCGTCATCGTCCATTTGCCATAGTCCGGGCTTTTTCTGGGGGTGCTGGGACTAGTCGACTGACAAACCTACATCAATACCCACTACTACCTCCCTTCCGGATACTAACACATGCACCCATAGAATATTTTTGGTTTGTCTGCCTGTACTCAGGAAACCTTCCTGGTCTCAATTTCTTGAACATATGAACCTTGCCGTGCAAGATAAATTTTGGCTCGTTCATTCAGATATGGATCTTGAATCTGGCAAACCTTCACTTGTTATATACAAGAGATACGAGCGACACGTCAGCGAGCATTTTCCTTTATTTATTTTCTTTCAGTTTTCGGTTTAGTTTTAGAGAATGTCTTTTCTGCCTTGGAGAAATAAATTGAGTGTTATGGCACTTGAGATTCGTGGCGTTTCAACATTTGAACAGCTTGAATAGAATGATACAATTTTACCAATAAGCCGGAGTGCAGCATGAATAGCTGTAGAATGACAATATATTTAAACAAGGGTATCAACCGGACGCCAGAACTAAATGTTGGAAAAATTGATGGGCGATAGAATATTTTCAATCGGATCCTTCGTCCATCGGGTCCTCTCCCCACGACAAATCCTCATCGAAATGGAAATTATCCAGATTAAACGCAACTCCACGGTCCCGTTCCTTGGCCTTAGCGAAGAAGTCCTTCGACTTGTTGATTTCCACCAGTCTCCTCTCAGCCGCCAATTTGCGTGCCCGTTCTTTTTCATGAGAAGCAGCCACATACTGCGAGAGAATTTCATCTGGGTCAGACGAAGTCGGCATTGTGCGTGGCTCTAGTGAGGACATGAGAAGATCACCAATCCATAGAGATATCATGCCTCGCATCTCCAGCAAGTCCGCAGAATCTGAATATGGAGGTGATGCGAGAAGCGTGTCCATGCGAATCGCAATCTGCTGCGCTTGTTGCAGCTCTCGGCCTCGAATCGTTGCAATGAGAGTTCGTTTATGGTTTGATTCTCGTTGTTCAAACTCAGAATCCTCCTCATCTGACCCCCGATCAGAGCCTTCATAATTTCGGATGATATTCTTTCTTCCCACTTTGCTTTCCTCCTGGGCCACATAAATCCACAGTCCAAACATGGCAGGATAAAAGTGCCAAGCCGATATAGAGCGTGGAGCTGACTTTGAATAGGGATGTCGCAGAATGAGTCTTTCGTAATATTCCTTTGCTTTCTCGAAGCCTTGTTTGGAAAAAGGCAAAGGTGTATTTCCTTCCCTGGTAGAGTTCTGCTCTACCCCTCCTCGCATTAAAACTTCGGCCCCAATACCCCATCGCCCACTATAACGCATATCCAGCGGGAACCATCTAAATTCCTCTCGAAGTAGAAGACCCCACGCACGTCCCGCCCGAGTAAAATCACCATTCAGCAAACACTGATGCATCATTGTAGTTAGAAGGGAGAGGTGTTTTAGATGTAGATCATCAGCATGGTATGCCGCGGCTTGAGGAAGATAAAGTGGATCTTTCAGGGTGGCCAGGTCCTTCACAAGGGGCACAGGAAGTTTCTTTTTGCTGCGTTGTCTTTCTATCGGAGGTTTATGAGGGAAATTTTTGCCTCTAGGTAGCGGTTGATCCGGCGCGAGACCAGCGATTCGATATTGGTGGGCTTCGTTCGGTGTGAGGGTTAAAGGAGTGTCGTCGGCAGGAACATCGTAAGTGACATAGCTGGTATCTGTGGATTCGCCTGCATCCTGCTCGGTATCGGTGAACTCGTTCGGCTTCTTGCGTTTTCGGTTGTCATATGTGGTGACGCGAGTACTGTGCACCTGTAGCCATGGAGGCAGAGGCAGTGAAACCTGCGATGCTGACAGAGGGGGCGGCGGCATCCGGGTGTGTTGTCAATTCATTCGAGACTTTTATAAAGAGAGAGAAATTCGAGGATCTATTTGAATCGAGACGATGTACCTCCAGAGCTACTTCGCTCCAATTGGATGAGACGAGCTGGTTAAATCCACCCCGATTGATATTTGAATGAAATCACGTGGTTGAGCCACCAAGGCTAGAAACCTGTTTAACAATCTCTAGCCTACCAGGGTATCCTTTCCATCATTTTCTCCTGACAATATCATCGGGTTTCAACCCCACTTGAGATCAATGAAACCTGCTGTCAGGAATAATGCCTTCCACTAGAGGCTTGTTTTTCCCAAGGGCAGATGCGGCGATCCTCAAGTCAAAGCATCCTTCCCCACCCACACACCCGCATACCATCGGCCCGATTTTTGATCCGGAAAACATAGATAAGCCAATAAGCTCCTGGTCCGATGAGATCGGATCAAGCTTGTATCCTATTGATCCCAATGCGCCTACATCTATCATTCCAGTTTCCGACAAGCCTGATGGCTTTGAGGGTCGATATCCGCGTGCCACTTTGGCCCAAAATGAGAGACTTAGATTGTCCATGCTGTGGTATTATACCCGCGATGTTCTGAAAGAGGAAGAGCTCCTCTCCGGTCTCCAAGAGAAAGCATATCTAGCTACGGAGTCCACAGGATGGGAGTACGCGATCATCGGCATCCTAGATATGGATGTTTACATCCGCTTGGCCACAGTGGGTGTGCATTTAGGCATTCTGCCGAGGGGTGAAACAATCTGTGCTCATACGGTCACTCAACCTCCTGGTGTAAGTTGTGGGTCTCTTTCCACTCATAGTAGATTGCCCAGGTGCTAAACATATTATGTAGAGTGTATTCCATTTACCATCACTCATGGAGGACTGGAGATTTCGGGAATGTCCCTATCTTGAGCAGGGCGAGATCTATGCATATGCTGGTGTACCACTGCGTCTGCAGTATGAAGCCGGCGAATGTGTTGGTCTTGGGTCACTTTGCGTGGCCTCGAGTAAAAGCGAGGAGCCCCTGACAAAAGACCAACAGCAAGCACTGATCCGTCTGGGTGACTGGGTCGTCTCGGATCTTCTTCACGCAGTACGAGCAAGGCGCCAACGTGACCGGCATCGGATGGCTGAGCTCCTCTCCGCCACACAGTCGAAATTGGACAAGATGGTGTCAGAGGAGCCTATTTTACAAATTCTCGCAAGTACTTACCCTGATGCTGTCATCAAACTGCAACCAACGAATGCGACGTATTTTGAGCTGGAGGGACGAAAGCCTATCTTGATGTCAGACATAGACGGCGGCCTATGGGAAGATACAGAATACCTAGATACGCTGATCGCGAATTCTAACCACGAGGCGCTCCCAACGACACATACTGTCCGCATAATTGCTTCTCCTTGTGAGGTAGTATCGGGTTCATCTTTGCTCATGGTGGGATCAAGGGACTTTCACTTCGTATTCGATGATGTGGACGCGTGGTTCCTTGAGACCTGTGCTGGCATGATCTCCCAGATGTGGCGCAAAAGACTTTTAACTGAGGCGCTGAGAGCCAAGGAGAAGTTTCTTCGGGGATTTTCACATCAAGTTCGCACACCGATCCATGGAATTCTCGGTTCAGCGGACCTTCTAGCTGAAGAGATCCAATCCTGGTACTCAGGCGAGGACGCACTCACAACAGCAGGATCAGTTGAGAGGTCTCTAAAATCACGTTTAAACGAACATTCCAAGTATCTGAACATTATCAAAATGGGCGGCCGAGATCTGATTGCAATCATCAACAATATGATCACAATCAATCGATGGGCTGATATTGCTACTATGGACCGACACTATGCCATGCATCCAGTTGACAAGCTTGAGACAGAGCTATGTGCTGGAGTAACAAACCTGACCGTGGGGGGACACGCGCTATCGAGCTTCTGTTTTCTTCACCCACGACCTACCCCCTGTATATGAGACTGTCTGGATGGATATCGATGTGCTTCAAGACAGCATCCTGCCACTCATCTTGAATGCAGTTCAGCAGGCACCAGATGGAGTTGTCTCAGTAACCTTATCATTGAATTCGGAATTAAAGCAGCTGACTGTGGATGTCGAGGATAATGGTCGAGGCATTCCCCATGAGTATCAGCGGCGCATTTTTGAACCTTACGAAAAAGTTGATATGCACTCAGCACGTGCGGGACTGGGACTTACTGTCGCGTCCAGATTCGCATCACTCTTGCAGGGATCAGTCGCTTTAATGTCCTCGAAAGTTGGTCGAAGCTCTCATTTTAGGGCGACGTTCCGAGGTATCGAAGGTATCACATATTCTAGGCCGCCAAAATTGCTTGCTTCAAAACTTCAGAATCTACCATCAAGATTCTTCAGCCTGATTAGTGATTCGGGCTCCACGTCACTCTGCACTCACTTCAATTCTTTCCTCACGCGCAATGGCTTTGTGTCGTCGGCTTGTCTGGAAGGATCTTTTGTCGCCTTCGAAGCTCTTCCTCATTTGGAAAAGCACATCTTACAGCTGGCCCAGATCCCGTCGGAGGTAGTGGCAATTTGTCTTCTTCCCGGACTCGATGCAACTCCTCCTCTTGAACAGACGGCTAAGAACGTTATTTATGTGAGCGGACCTTTTACAAACTTGTCGTTAGCCTTAGTCCTCGAACAAGCGGACCGCCTCGTGGGGGAGATCGAACTCTCGCAGTCACGGGCATCCCTGCCAATAAATTCAACGGCAACTCCAGCGTCAGAACCAAAAGACGACGAGTCTGAGCCGCTTCAAATTGACACGCCCAGCCCCATATCAGAATCTACGATATCCTTGTCAACTGATCAGGATGTAGCGCCCTCCGGAGACTCAAAAGTCCCCGTTGTAAAGTCCCTGCAGCTGAGTCATTCTTCACGGCCTGTGACTCTGATTGTCGACGACAATAACATCAATCTCCGTATTATGGAGATGTACTGCAAAAAAAGAGGTCTGCCATACTTATCTGCGAAAAACGGTCTCCAAGCTGTCGAAATCTTTACGCAACGTCAATCACCTTCCACCGCAAAGAACGATCCTCCTATTGAGATGATCTTGATGGACTTGCAGATGCCAGTATGCGATGGCATCGAAGCCACCAAGCAGATACGAACTCTTGAGCAGCAGAATGATTGGGGAAGGGCTTTGGTACTGGTGATGACTGGCCAAGACACCGCTATGGACAGAGCCGCGGCACAAGAGGCTGGCGGGGATAAATATCTTGTCAAGCCGGTGGTAATTGAAAATTTGGATCGCATTGTGAAGCGACATTTTCCCATGTTTGATTTGGGGAAGAAATGATAGGCCCAAGGGGCTCCTGAATTATGATCTATGTTTATACCAGAGTTTGCGATCGATATACGAACAACCATTTTACTTTCTATTTGAGGTCATTGCATCAGTTCAAAAAATGTTTCAGGTCTTCTTGTCCAATGTTTGCACTTTGATGGATGGAACCTAGGAATTATTTTACCGTTCAGACTGGAAGACTCGAACTCTAAATTGAAAAATTGCTCGCATTTATCAACATTGAATTGTAGTGTAGTATATGCCCTGATGTCCAGATGCCCTATCTAATACAATATAACTCAGCATTTTGTGGTCAACTTCAAAAGTTCAAGTTGCCATCAAGTATTTGAAATATCCATAAAGCCAGAGAAAAAAAAAAGAAATTGCATGAATCAAGCCTATGTACTCGATGAAACTTGAATGAGCGTAGACAAAAGAGATGGTGACAAATTCAATTACATAGAAGCAGAGAAGGTACCCTCAACCTCCTCAATCTTAGCCACGGCCTTCTTGTATCCAGGATGATCCTGTAATTTCTGAGCATAGGCACCCAGAAGAGGATATTTCTCCTTCTGCTTCTGGTCCTGCAACACGCGTCCACTCGCCGCAATCACAGGGAAACTGAGCATGATATCCGCGGCAGTTAGATCCTTACCACAGATAAAGGGACCTCCCTCGGGCGCAGTCTTCAGTTGATCCTCGAGGAAAGCAAGGTTGCCCTCAATATTTCTGTTCAAGAAAGAGGCTTCAACCTGCGAAGCGATAAGACCAGTAATGGGACGAACAAAGAAAGGTGGCGACTTGCGAATTGCTGGAGAAAATTAGTCATGGCGCTTTCAGTGGATAGGGAAGATGCCACATGGGTATAACCATGTCCTAACTTACTATCATTGACCAGAGTCATCACGAGAAAAGGCATCAAAGATCCCTCAACATAGTGCATGAAATAACGATAGCGCATAAATTCCTCACTCTCACCACCAACCTGCCCCTCCCGACCCGCAACATAGCGCTCAGGAACAAGCGATGGCTGTGCTTTTCCAAAGTGATCGCATAGATACTCAACGATCGCGCCGGATTCTGCAAGAACCATAGGCGAAGAGGAACCAGGCGCCTCGATCGTCACTACAGGGGACTTGCCCAGCTGGTGAACATTTTTCAACTCTGCTGGTGCGAGCTTATCAGAGCGTCGCTTGAAAGTCTTGAGCTGATATTTCAACTGTAGCTCTTCCAGTAGCCAAAGGATACGATGACTGCGGGATTGTTCGAGCCTGAATTTGGTTAGCTATTTCCCCTGAACCTTTTGTATTTGGCAGCGATTGGTTGATTATGGCGTACCAGTATAGGGTAATTTTGCAGCCTTGGTTATTGTCAGCCATTTTTTGTAGATAGTATAAAGTTGGAGAAATAACTTGAAAGATTAAGTGGAAACTTGAAGAGATGGAGGTTAAAGAAGACTTAAAAGAATTGCGATGATGTCAAGTGGCCCGAGGTTCGTTCATGGAACTGGATCGATAAGGCTAAATCGCCGAAATTGCAGATCTCATGTGAACTTGTGCATTCTGTTGAGTTCGCAAGTTCAACCCTTTTTAGTCTTTAATCAGTCTAGATGTCTAGATGGTGCTCCACATACTTTAAACTCTCTGATAGATTTCAAATCATGATAATCTATGGGTGTTCCTTCATGGTTGCTTCATGCATGTGGGAAAATCTGATCCACATTCTAAAGTGCTCCACAGTGAAACATGACGCCCTGAACCCATTACTCGAGTGAAAACAAATTAATATGGTTATTTTGTGATTAAAATTTTAGTTTGAAAATAAAATTTGTACTTGTAAATTGGTGAACAAATGAGGCAAGATATATGCAACGCTGCGAAGAAAGTGTATCCAAAATGCTAATCCATAACCGCAGCCTTTATAGCTCCTTCTTGAGAAAATGCTCAGGCTTGTGGGTAGTCTCGTAGTCAACGTGAACGTAGGCACGCTCCACATCAGGCAGAGACTCGAGCTTGATCTGGAGTTCCTCAGCGACATCGTGGGTCGCACGAAGGGAATCGGCGGCATCCATGACAATATCAACTTCAACAACTAGACGAGGACCAGATGTGTATGCACGAACAGTGTCGATGGCTGTGATCAAGGGCGAATGGGTCATTGAGATGTAGGTGATGAGCTGTTGCATCTTGGTATCGGCAGTGACACCGATCAACAACTGGAATTCACCATAGGCAGAGTGCAACCACAAACCGCTGACAATGAGCGACAGGATAATAGCACCCATGGGATCGATCCACCACCGAATCTTACTACCCATAATCGAAGTCATAACACCGATACCGTTAATCAGAAGATCGTTGCGGTGATCCTCCCACAGAATACGAATCTGAGAGACTTGATTGCGCAGAGCAAAGCAGTATAAGAACAGAGCGAGCTTGGTGAAAAAGGCAACGGAGACAGCGATGATCGAGGGAAGGTGGAAGGAAGATTTAAGGGTGGCGGAGCCTTCGACGAGCTCACGGATGGAGAAAGCGATAATGATCATTGAAACAGCAGTCATGATGAAACAGAAGCAGATGTTACCAGCCGTCTCAATACGAGCTTTGCCAGCAGGGAATTTGCGAGGGTCGACTCGGTTGACGGCCTTGTTGGACAGCAGGAGGGTCAGGTTGGACATGGGGTCGAAGATGGCGTCAGCCATGGTAGTGAACAGCGACAGCGATCCGGATGAGGCGGCACCATAGACCTGCACAACACACAGAATAACATTGGCAGCAAAACTGGCATAGACTGCAATTTTGTACTTGAGGCTGTTTTCGATGTTCAATTCACGAGCCGCCCGTACATGTTCCTCGACAGGCTTCAACATGCGCTCGATGTTCTCGTTCTGCTCTTCGTAGAAGCCCTGCAACTTGCGAGTAATAAGAGCCTGTTTGATACCGGGCTGCCGCATGATATCCATGACCTTAGCACCTCCGGAAGAGTTGCCATCACGCTTCCGTGAGGTGTTGGCCCTTATCTCGCGAATCTCATCTTCGGACTTGAGCTTTGAAGCGAGGTGGAATGGATCACTCTCTGCGGTGTATCGTGGAGGAGGACGGCCCTCTTCATCTGGACTACCTGAACGACCTTGCTGAATGACACTCAGCTCGTGCTCAAGAGCAGTTGAGGTACCCTCATTGATAGTCCGGGCCATTCTATCGACGGATCGTTGGGAAGGGTGAGGGCTGCTGCTATTGCTATGCAAGTGATGCAAAGCGTTCGGGTGGTTGGAAAGACTTTGACGAATGTGTTCCTCCATGATTGCTATGTTCCAGGTATGAAGGGGTGCAAAGAAAAAGCAAATATTGCCCCCGTCATACTCGGGGGACTTTTTTCACTCAGACGCGCTTATCTTGGCGTCCTTATCTTGGCAATTGGTGCTGTGTGGGTGTTTGCACCCTTGTTTGCTTGATTTACATGCTTTATAAGACTTGATCATCGGGCGGTCAAGAGTGGCATTTTTCATGAAGTGCGCACGTGCGCATCCTATCCTGTTGACACCTCAGGCCTCCAGTCTAAAAATCTAAAGAATCAGCAACTAAAGATTCATTAAATAAAATATGAGATTAGGCTTGAATACAAAAGATACAATGCAGTCATTACTCATCTCCCTCTAAACTAGAAGGCATTGAACGCTAATACAAAACAGTCATCTGAAAACGAACCATTGAGAAGAAAATCAATAGGCAAGGGCATCATTCCCAGCCGCCTGGCACCCTCCCCCACAGCACCCACTTGCTTGAGTGGAGCAATCAGATCCCTTTTTCTGGATGGTCAAATTTGTGCAGAAGTCCATATCGTCCTGACTAACTGCAGCAGTCTCAGGGAGAGCCTGGCGGGAAGGCCAAATTTCGCGCCCATTTCCTTCTTCGCGTTTATGGAAATCTGTTACGATGTCCCTCACCACACTTTGAAAGTACAGTGGGCCCTTCTCCATCTGTGGGTGTAACTCGCCATTGACGAAGACGCCGGTATTCAAGTTCTTCTGAGCTTGTGTGCAGAGCGCCTTGTCTTCCGCCATGATTCTCTTAAACATCTGATTCACCAACTCGAAATCCTCGTCGTTGGAATTGTTCTTGCGGAACACCTCGTAGCGCATAACACAGCTGATCGGAGATGTGGGGATAAAGCGCTGCATAAAGAAAAAGTTGGGTCTATCCATCATTAGCAAGGAAGCGATTTTTACACCAAGGCATTTGGTCTGAAACTGATGAAGGGGGGACACTCACGAGACAGTCATCGAGGCATTAGGAAAGTAATAAGTGCTGGCAATTGTCATGCCCTTCGCAATTTGCTCTGGAGTTGTCCCAGGATTATGGATTATGCTCCCATCCTTGGTATCCACATCGTAGGTGTCAAGATCAGCCACAGATGGAACATCAGGATGAGCAGTCTGACAATGATAGCACTCGTTATAGTTATCGGCTAGGATCTTCCAGTTATAGTCTCCTTCCATCTCCCAGGTATGGTCAAAGTGGTAGTCATTGAAGTCAAATTCCTTGAATCGTGGCTGCAAATCAATACCATCAAAGTCCTCTTCCCAAGAGATTTCCGGTTTCTCAGCACTGTCCAGATTGACCCAAATGAACCCATTACCATCAACATGGGTATGGATGGTGAATAGTCCATTCTGCGATTTGTCGAATCCATCCAGATCTTGGTAGCCGGGTGCCTTGGCGAGTTTGCCATTCAAACCATAGGACCAGCCGTGATATTTGCAAGAGAAGATCCGAGCAGTACCACTATCGGCATCATCGGCGACGACTGGGAAGGCTCGATGACGGCAAACATTATGGAATGCATTGATGTTGCCTTCGCGATCACGGACGATAATAAAAGGGAAGCCGGCAATGTTATACTTCAAATAATCACCGGTTTTAGCAAGTCGTAATGTGTGTGTGGTCAACAGCCATTTCCTGGAGAAGATCGCTCGCCGTTCCAGCTCGTACATCTCTTGAGAGGTGTACCAATTGGCAGGAAGAGCTCTTGATGGAGAGTTTGCGTTAGGACCTTTGACACCGGCAGGGTCGGTGAACCCAAGATAGCTCTTTAACATGGATGGCATTCTGAATGTTATTGATTATAGTCTGCAATAAGCTTTTGAATGATGGTTAACCCAATAAAATGGGAATATTGACACTCACTATATAGTTCCCAATAGTCCCCGGTCCATTATTAGTATTATGGGTGCGGCTAACAGCCCCGGCCATGTGATCGGCATCTAGTATCCGTCTCCGAGTGATCATGACCTTTATGGTCGAATCAGCTTCATGTGGCTTGCAACTATCAAACAAAAGATAACACTGTGAACCGTTTCTCGGATCTGGGTGGATTGCTACCCCGCCTTATCGGCCCGCAGACCGTGTCTTTAAGCGACCTGAAGGTGTTAAGGTGGCGATAGTGGAACCCAATCGACATGTATCATGAACTCGCCATGTTTGAGGGAGTGATACTCCTGGATGTAGAATTGACTCTTCGTTCCTCAAGTTCTGGAGCCCTGTGAACTCACTCAACTGCTGTAGGACGTTCACTAATCATGGAGAGATTCATAGACTTTGTTGATTGGATAGATTCGAAGATTGTTCACATTTGTCTTGGAAATTTAGATTAGAACGGGACTATGTGCAAGAAACGCCGAAAGTGATAGACCTTGTAATGTCGTCCGCATGACTGCTTGGGTGTTCCTTACCCTCAGGTCTGGAGGATCCCATCCAAAGCCCTGTCTCTGATACTCTGTAACTCTTCGTCCTCCCCGAAGACTTGTTTTCCCGCCCAAGAGACAAATTTCCCGCACGGAGGATCCACGTAAACTGTCCATAAATATGCAACAACGACCAAGATGGCATAAAATATGGGCATTGCAAATGCAAATCCTACATCCCCACCCGCCTCATACAATACCGGCTTGTCTTCCTGATCCACCGGGTAAAGGCCCTTCTCAGTAATAGATTGCCGATAAATCATCCAAGATAGGACTGTGCGGATCAAAGTATTATGCAGGAGATAGATCGGGAACGAGATGCGGCCAATGAAGCTCAAAAAAGGAAATGCGAGTACTCGGCGACCTCCCCGGGAGAAGAACACGCCGAAGACGAATAGAATGGCACCGCAGGATGTTATGTACCGGTTTACTTCAGCGTGCTCGGGAAGGAAGTATCCAGCCATGTTGTTCAGCTTCAAGCTCCAGGGCATCCATTCTGCATGTTCTTCCGGAAACGAGGAGAGGTATAGACCGGTCACCATCATGAGTGTCGAGATGGGCCATGGTATAAGGGAAGTAGCTTTGGGCCCGTGGTCAGCGTTCAACTCGGCAAGAAACATCCCCGCATAGATGTTAATCTCCATCAGGGCTATGGTGAGATGAACTGTCAGCAAGTTATATAATGTTTAATATGAATTACGACCAACACTTACCTTGTCTCCCCGACCAAGCGAAACAAAACAGGAACACAATAAGCAGCTTTGAGAATCTAGGGCGCATGTATGTTGTTGCAAGCAGAGTCAGATAGACCAACAGGGATCCCTTCAGGAAGTATGGGATTGTCCAATATGTCCGATCATACTGTGAGTCACCCTCATGCCAAAACATGAAGAGGTTGCGACCGAGGCTTTTGATTGCAGCACCAAAAGTAGGACCCGGAGGAGGCGAAACTACCCTGATCCAGGTTGAGCCCGCATAGTTTGCGATCGCGTATCCGCGTAGCTGACAAACAAGCCATGTGAGGCAGATCGCGGTGTTGGTCGGTACGATGAGCTTCCCAGCTCGAATGATAGTATTCTTCGATAACTTGGCCAGGACTAGGGATTGATCCCCATTGCGAATTTGTTTAAGTGAATGGAATGAATTCACATAGCCGGTGAGAATGAAGAAGAGTGCGACCGCAGATCGTCCAGAAGCAACCAGCCGAAAGAATGGGTATTGAATGAGATAGACATCTCCATTCTCTGTTGCTGGGGAATTCAGCCAGTCTGCAAAGCATGAGCAGATGTGATAAGTCACAACTGTCAAGGCGGCAACACCCCGAAGACCCTGAGTTCTATTAGGGACTGATGAACTAGCTGCTTTGATCTATACTTACATCGATCCAATTGTCGGCTCTATTTGGAGGAGCCATATTGACCAGGAAAGGTGGGTTGGCAAGTTGATTGCTACAAGATCCATCTCAAAGAACTGGAGGCCTTTCACCAGAGTGAAAAGTCTCGTGACTAGCATGTGCTTTTCATCGCATTTAGAAATTAATTGAACTCTGTTTCTGGCAGTCTTATTCTGAAACCTTTCATGTTGTACCAGGGGGAAAACGACATTGATGCCGGATGCAGCTACACCTCCACTTCAGCAAGAGCCATGTTCATTCCTAGAGCTTGGTGGATTAATTATGCTATTTTATGTTGAATCTTGAAATTGGATATAGCAGCAGCCAATTTTCCTGAGAATTGTGAGATGTGAGGTCACCTATAGCTATGGCTGATGCTGAGATACTGTGATACTGTATGCCGGTGCCCGATGTACAACGGCACATTCCTGCCCACCTGTCAGCATTCCACTGACGCAAACGTCAATACAGGCATCTTGGAGCTGTGAGGTTTTGTTTTACAGTAGATCAAATATTACTTCTTAGCCTGACAGGGGAGTGGGTGATTGGCTTCCAATTATGAACTGGTTATGCAGCTGTAAATTGACCTCAAGTGCTCTTTCTCGTAAACCGAGTATGCTCAGAAAAAGGAAACATAACTATACATGAAGCAAGATTCTGACATTTATGGGAAATGAAATAAAGCAGGCCTAGATACTCCAGGTCTCAAATCACCTTCCAACTCCTTGTACATCTTCGATCTCTGCGGTCCCATCCTGCAACTTCATTTGGACCGTCATAGGAACCTCAACTTTCTCCCGCAAGCTCCAATACTTCATCCACTCGCTTTCACATTGAGGACTGTCACCACATCCTGCAAAGTGGACAATATGATCACCTGGTTGCCAATGCTCACCGAGGAAGTTGTAATCAGGGTATGCATTCATGGATCGCTGGTCCATGCAAACAGCATGATCCTTGACAATCTGATGATGCTTCCACATATGAGTCCAGCCATCATTTTCGGGAAATACCCAGTTCTGAGCAATATACAAGGGTTCAATCCAGAGATCAAGTAGCCACTTGCTCCATTCGCTTCGGCGCATCAGGAAGTTACCCACATTCATACCCCAAGCATCCTTAGAGATGACAAAGTTGATGTCGTCTGGCTGATATGTTGCTGGAGTGCGATATCCTGTATCAGCACCACCAGCTCCAGTAATTGGTTCACCGAGGAGAACATGCTGTGCCATGCCCTTTGGTGATAGGACATGTTTGTAGATATTCAGCGTCATATTCATGATGATGATATCGACGTCCATCCACCAAATCCATTCAGCATCTGGGTAACGCTCAAAGGCATCTTTTAGGATTGGGATCTTGTTCCAATAAATGGGTGCTCCGTCGGGTAAGTTGTAGCTGGTCATGTTCGCCCACATAAACTCCAACCCATGCTTCTCAGCATAGGTTTTCCGATTTTCATAGATCATTTCCTTAATGTTAGGAATTCCTAACATCCGGTTGGTACCAGAGCTCCCAGTGACCATAACAATCTTCTTTTTATTTGTGGACCATCCTGGTAGAATGTTGTGCAGTTTGTCCGCTGTGTTCGGGAATGTACTGGTCTTGGAAGGGGGTTTGGTATGGAGGCCGTCCATGCGATCTATGGGACCCTCGCAAAAGATGCATGTAGGCCATAAGGATTCACGAACGGCGACCGACTTTAGTGTTAACTAGATGATCCAGATTAGTCTTCTATCTTCAAGTCATTCAATTATGTAGCATTTTTATACATACTATGCCGCATATTGATATGATCAAGATGAATAAAAAATGCACCGGTCGGAAACGCGTGAACGGCACCCTAGGACGATCAATAACACTGTCAGATAACTGGAACACTTGAACTCACATTTTGACGGAGAATGAAAGAGGTCAAGGATCTTTTTCGCCCCTTGAAGAGTTGCTGGTGATACTGTAGCCTCGCGATAGTATTTAGGCGACTGTGACGCGCATCCTGACGTGAGCCGTGAGGGAAACAACACCTGTGTAAGTGAAGGGCGTTTTTCTCAAGATGAAGTTTCAAATGAAGTTCTGGAGAGGTGAAAGGAGATCTTGTTCTATGACAATTATGGATTATTTGAATAGATTCAAGCCTACGTGGGTTAACCACCTTCCGCGTCCGGAATACTAAGCCGCTAGGGGTTTCTGCTAGATGTGTATATAGATGTAAGTAGAAACAGCCAAGAAAAACTATCTCGTCATTCAATACCTTCAGATTTAGTATAATTAGGCATTCTAGGTGGTTGCAAACGGGAACTACACATTACGTTGTATGGGAGGTACCTGGCCGCTTCCGGCGATGTATAACAATCAATTCCACCAACAACCCTTGCAAGCTTGATTTTACCCCAATTTTCCCCATGCTGCCTTATCTTTGTCGTTCTTGAACTCCCCACAGTCCATGTCTTGCCTTTGTCGCGCCCGAGCTGCCAACAATGACTCGTCGTTTCCGAATCGTGATTGCATTGAGTCTTGCTGCTTTATCGATCTGGTATCTGACTGGATTGAATACACCTCGGCATCACCCGATCCCAATAGTTAACAATTCCCCAAGAGTTGATCCTCATAATGTGACAGAACACATTGATTTCTGGCGCCAGTTTCAGTCCCTATTGATGGAATATGAGCCAAAATGCAAGCCCCCAAAACGAACTACCAATGCGCCAACAACGGGATTCAATGCGTTTGAGGCAGGTCCTCGTCCGGACCTAATAAAGATGAAGACTCGGGATTTGGCACGGATGAAGAAAGCACATGGAGAATTTGTTGATGCAATTCAACTAAACCCACCAGCTTTATCATACACACCTGGAACAAGGGGCTTGGTCACCACTGCGGGAGGCTCATATCTCCCTGTTCTCGTGATTTCTTTGCGCATGTTACGTCGCACCGGATCCCAGCTCCCAATGGAAGTTTTCTTGGCCACTCCCGATGAATATGAAGAGTTCATATGCGACCAAGTCTTGCCTTCACTGAATGCGAAATGCGTGGTGTTGTCTGAAATCACCAACGCAGTGCGACGCGCTCGAAAGATCGAAAAATATCAGCTCAAGCCATTTGCAATGCTGTTTTCCTCCTTTGAAGAGATCTTATTTCTGGATGCTGATGCGTTCCCAATCGCCAAGCCGGAATCCCTATTCGAGCAGGAACCCTTTCAAAGCACCAAGCTACTTACCTGGCCCGACTTCTGGGCATCTTCTGCCTCCCCGTATTACTATCAGATTGCTTCGCAGAAGATTCCTCCCATGACATCCCGTCAGTCAACCGAATCTGGGGAAGTTCTCATCTCCAAGAAAACACATCTGAAAACCCTTCTCCTCTGCACATACTATAATTTCTGGGGTCCAACGCATTATTACCGTCTTCTCTCTCAGGGTGCAGCAGGCGAAGGAGATAAAGAGACATTCATCTCAGCCGCCACAGCTGTAGGCGAGTCGTTTTATCAAGTTAGCGAATCTATCTGTGCTATGGGACACAGAACAGAGGGTGGACTTGCTGGGTCTGCAATGCTCCAGTTCGACCCGGTTGAAGATTATCGACTTGTCCAGGCAGGAAAAATCCGTGTCAAGGGTGCGTCAGCACCTGCACCTCGTCCATTTTTCATTCATGCCAACTTCCCAAAATTCAACCCTGCTACTGTATTTTCAAAGCAAGCTGTAAATCCCGCTTTCAACGACAATGGGACATACACAAGGGCGTGGATGATTCCTGAGGATAAGATTGAAGCATTTGGCTTTGATGTTGAGAAGCAATTCTGGGCGGATATCCTTTGGACAGGATGTGAACTAGAGAACAATTTTCGAGCCTGGGAGAACAGAACGGATATCTGTGCGGGGGTGAAGAAGTATTGGACAGCTCAATTTGGATCGGAGGATCCAGCCACTGTATGATAAACGGAGACAATCATCTCTCCAGGATTTTTAATATTTGGCATTTAGTATTATTCCCAACAAATTCCTTTAATGATTCACCTTTTTCAACTTAGTGTAAAATATACAGTATAACTCTATGAGCATTAGCTGCATTACTACTCATGTGCCAAAAATGAATCACATCCAAAGCGCCCAGTTCATATTCAATTTAAAGTTAGCCCTGAAGGGTTCAACTTGGTTTAATTCAACATTAAAGTACCACCTTAAACAGTGACAGTCCTGCTTAGTACTGGAACCTTTAACCAGCCGCTTGCGCCAGTAGACACTCTCGCTTTAGAATTGCCTCGTAACGGATGGCTATCATCCTGTGGTTCTTCCGAAGGGTAGAAACCATCGAAGGACGTGTCGTCAAAGGACATGGTATCTTCAAATTTTGTCCGGCCAGTAACAACTTGAATAGGGAATACACAGGCAATATCGGTCGCAGTAATTTTCACAGGAGGTTGACAAGCGGTATTGGTTGCAGTGAGTTTATATTCCTTCTGGGGGCGTAAGCGGCTAGGGCGTCGCTATTATCAAATAGAGTATCATCGGAGACTAGTTGAAAGTAGGTATCTATGCCGAATTTTGAGCACGAGTCAGTGGAGGCATCTTTGTGTAAAATCTCACTCGGGAAATCCCAACCTTGAAATGTTGTGGTCATGCGCTTCTTGTTGGGGAACGAGTCCCCGAGCGGACACGGAACAGAAGAGGTCGTTACCGCCGTTCTTAGGCCAGTCAAAGTGTTGTCGCTGTGTGCTAGACCTCCAGGGCTGGGAGAGATCCTCATATTCATAGATGATTGCCGCTTCCGTTAAGTTTTGCCCAGGTGGATACCAAAAAGATAGCATTTCTGATCCTGATCAAATTTTTGACAGCGCTTACAAACCCCATCTTGAAGACCCATCTGAAGCCATCTTTCTCGACAACGTACACAGCCCTGGAGGTCTCAAGGTTGTATGAGCATAAACTAGAATGAAAATGGTGGACCATAGACCATTCACTATCCGTTAAAGCAGGCGCATCAAGGTTGGATTGTAAAGTGACTGGAGATATCCCTGGAGCGAAATGGATAGAAGGACTCTCTGTAGAGGATGAAGAAGGTAGCATTACATGAAAAAGCCAGAACGACTCTTGTTCCTTCATCAGTGTAGTATATCGTAGTAGTATTGATATATCTCTTACTGCCAGTGGGCTATAGGGCTCATACCTAGGTAGGTAACATTTGAATATTGAACCCTTGGGATAGTCATGATTGGACCTCCAAATTGATGGATGCCAGCTCTTGAGTGCTTTTCACGGGACCATGAGTTATACATAAATATACATCAGTATTAAAATTACATAAATAGATTGATCATATGATCTTTAATATCAAATGAAGCTATTCAATGTCACGTGCATCGGCACACTATCAGTGGATCCTAATTGGTTCTTTGCCATGTGGCATCTCTCAGCGTTAAGGAAATTCCCGATATTTGGATATTCAATTATTCGAATATTCAAAGAGACATCTGGACTTTTAATAATATCAATACAATACTAACACGACAAGATCGAAGTTCTATTCTTTATATATTTATTATTCCCTTCCTACTATCACTATGAATATATCATTGTGAGTCTCGAGAAAATTGAACAAATGAGCGAGCGGCTATAGCCGGCACAACACAACCCTGGGAGACGATTGGGCTAATTACGTGATAAGATACTCTGTGCAACGTCTTCCTGCAAATGCCCCTCTTTCCCCTCCGTCGTATTGCATCCTTCAAACCCGGGCAATTCATTCCCCGGCTTTCTACTCCTTACACTCCTCGTCGTTTCTTTTACGGACATATCAGTGACTTTAAAATGGCACCCAACCTGGAGCCTTTCTTCAAGCAGTATGTCCACCCGATAAGAGATAGGGAAGAGAAAAAAAAATAAAGAAAAAAAAGAGCAATTTGCTACGAGATTGTGGACACGAGACACTAATACATGCTTCTCTATTTAGGGTCGACTCTTCCGCTGACACCTTCATTGATCGTACGTAACCAGACCCATTTAAGCTTCAGAACGGCAAATATGCTTGGCGCCATTTTCACGACGTCAACAGTCCATGGACATGACTAAAAATGAGCACTTATAGGTCTGCGCAAGGCCGTTGCTATTCCTTCTGTCTCCGCCCAGGATGAGAACCGCCCAGATGTGTTCCGCGTGAGTTGGTCATAACCATAGCAAGGTGAAGCTCGAACATCCAACTGATAGCGTTGTCACAGATGGCCCAGTTTTTGGCCGACGAGCTGAAGGCTCTCGGCGCCGAAGTTGAGCAAAGACCTCTGGGCAAGCAGCCCGGCAAGGAGCACCTCGATCTTCCCCCCGTTGTTGTCGCCCGCTACGGCAACGACAAGAACAAGCGCACCATCCTGGTCTACGGCCACTACGATGTGCAGCCCGCACTGAAGGAGGATGGCTGGGCCACCGAGCCCTTCGAGTTGACAATTGATGACAAGGACCGCATGTACGGCCGTGGATCCACAGATGACAAGGGTCCCGTTCTTGGTTGGTTGAACGTTATCGAGGCTCACCGCAAGGCCGGTGTTGAGTTCCCCGTTAACTTGCTCTGCTGCTTTGAGGGTATGGAGGAGTACGGATCCGAGGGTCTGGATGATTTCATCAAGGCTGAGGCTAAGGAGTACTTCAAGGATGCTGATGCTGTCTGTATTTCCGATAACTACTGGCTCGGCACTGAGAAGCCTTGCTTGACATACGGTCTCCGTGGATGCAACTACTACTCCGTTAGCGTTACTGGCCCCGCTCAGGATCTCCACAGTGGTGTCTTCGGTGGTTCCGCTCACGAGCCCATGACCGACCTGGTTACTGTTCTGTCCAAGTTGGTCGACCCCCAGGGTAACATCCTCATCCCTGGTCTCATGGATCTGGTTGCTCCCGTCACTGATGAGGAGATGGCCCTGTACGGTGACATTAGCTACACCATGGACAACCTCCATGAGTCTCTGGGCAGCGAGACTGGTATCCACCCCACTAAGGAGCGTACTCTGATGGCTCGCTGGAGATACCCCTCTCTGTCCATTCACGGTGTTGAGGGTGCTTACTCCGCCCCCGGTGCTAAGACTGTCATTCCCGCTAAGGTCATCGGCAAGTTCTCCATCCGAACTGTGCCCAACATGGAGAGCGCCGACGTCAACAAGCTGGTCTTTGACCACGTCAAGGCTGAGTTCGCCAAGTTGAACTCCAAGAACAAGCTGGACGTTTGGTTGCAGCACGACGGCAAGTGGTGGGTTGCCAGCCCCAAGCACTGGAACTTCTCCGCTGCCAGCAAGGCCGTTGAGCAGGTCTTCGGTGTTGCTCCTGATATGACCCGTGAGGGTGGAAGGTACGTGAACTGAATCATTTTAATCCGCATCTCAGTTTTGCAAACATGTCACTAACTTAACATCAATTAATAGTATCCCCGTTACCCTGACTTTCGAGCAGGCCACTGGCAAGAACGTCCTCCTCCTGCCCATGGGAAGCTCTACTGATGCTGCCCACTCCGTTAACGAGAAGCTGGACCGTCGCAACTATATCGAGGGTACCAAGCTGCTGGGTGCTTACCTGCACTATGTTGCTGAGGAGCCTGTCTCCGCATAAATTATTACATATCAATGTAGAACTTAATTTGAATCTCAACGATTTACGGCCAAACATCGATCTTCAATTGAAAATGTAGAGAGTAGGTGGGTTTAAGAAACCATTCTTAGTCCCATAATAGATGATTGCGAACTCGTAGGCTTGAGATGGAATCAATGGAACATTTCAATCTACGGCAAATGGCACTTTTACGGGCTATTAAAGAATCGGGAGTGCTACGCAAGGAACCAATACGTATTGATATTCGACCTTATGGGTTCATACATGTCATGCCCTTCAATTTCAATGATTCAGACGCCAGTAATAAGAAAGACAGGAAAAACAAAACAACAGGTATGTAATAAATCATCATCAAAACGTGGCGGGTATCCGTAGATGCATGAATGCATGGTATTTTTTAGTGTCCTCAAAGCCTGCAGCATGAAGTCCGCGACAGGGCTGGAAAGACACCGTAGACGTCAAGCTATAAGCCGAGAGCTGTATTGAAAATCGACTCCGATCTCGATGGAGTTTTAACATCATGAACAACTCTTCCGGGACAATAAAATTGATCCGTGGAGGACTGCACTGCTATCTTTTAGAGCTGCTATAGCCCAGCCGACCGCCATCGCGATAGCGGTAACGGGGCCACGAGACTCATGGTTAAGTGTTAACCAAGAGTCTGCTCCAAGAATAGGCATGATAATAGCTGGTAGCAAGGAGAGCATTGTACCCAGCGAATGAATCACTGCAGCAAGGGGTCCTGTAGAAAGTTTCATCAGTATGCAATTTTTCATATATGATAATGTGTGACTTACCCGGAAGTGCTTCTGGGAGTTGCCGATTCTTTGGAGACGAGCAAGATTGCGGTTCTCGCCCCGTTGAGCACGAGTTCTCTCACGACGTTCTAAGACAAGAGCAGTCGCCTTCTGTTCATCTGTAGCACCAACCATACCAACACCACCATTGCCGCGAGAGATAAGAGCACGCTTCTCATTACGGCCACGAGGCTTGGGCTCTTCTTCAATTTCACCATTCTCAATAGCAAGCTGGCGGGTAGCCCGTTCTTCAGCAGTGGGGTAGCTGTGCAGGTTCTGGCGGTAGTACTTGGCAAGCGAGCGATGGCCAACACTCTTACCAGAGGGAAGGTGAAGCTCGTAATCATCCTGGTAGATAAGTGGAGCCTTGCGACGAGAGTCAACCTCGTCATCGAAGGAGGAATCGGTTTCCCAGCCATCGTCATCACCATCTGAGCCCTTAATCTTGACACCACCGGCCTCGGCCATAGTTTCGTCCTCATCCTCCTCATCCTCCTCCTCATCGGAGTAGGTACTGCGGAAATCGTAGTACTGTCCAATCTCAATCTGTTCCTCCTCAGCCTCGAAAGCGATCATGCAATGACCCTTATCACGCATGTGGGTGCGAGCACCATCAGCATTGTTTCTGATAGCATGGCAGTAGAGACATTCGTGGTTTTCGGTAATCTTGCGGTAAAGGTAGTTGAGAAGACCTTCCAAATTGGCGAGGTACTCTCGCTCGGGAATGAACATTCCATGGTTCTTGTACATGTGCTCAACATTCGCATCAATATCGGCAGACTCAGTGCGACAGAACAAGCAACGGGATGAGGAGAAGACATCCTTCTCCTCTTGCATCTCCTCGTCCTTTTCTTCTTCCTCCTCCTCGGCAATAGTAGCCGCCTTAAGACCGTCGGTGACAAGGGAGACATCTGCATTGGACTTGCCAACCGGCTCTCCAAGAGAGAAAGCAGAACTCATAACGGACGCATCGTCACCCTCCTTGCTCAGACGAGCCTCACGTTGTTTGTGCTTGGAGCTCTTCACATGGTTCTGGTAGGAGTTTTCGCTGAAAAAAGTCTTCTGGCAGGCATGGCAAGTTTTCTCGAATGAGGCCTTGGCGGCAGCCTCGGTAGATGTAACCTTGGCGGCCATAACCTTCTCGTTGAATGTTTCCTGGGAGACAGGGGGCAGGGCGGCGATACGGCGCTTCATGTTGTACAAGCTGAACGGAATTAGTTTTCATTGCTATTTAGATCATATTCCAGTGAACGCTTACTGCCAGTCCTTGCGCATATGGTCTCTCTGTGCATCACTGCGGTGGAATGCCACCAAGCAGGTGTTGCAAGTGTATGGTAGATTTGAAGACATCTTGTATTCTTGTTCTTTGACGAAATACAGAGAGGAGTTGTGTTCCAAGGTGGGATAGAAAAAAGTGTGTGGGACGCTTTTTTTATCATAGGCGGGGTACGATAAGAAAAGTTCGGTCGCTAGTGGATTTTTTTTCCTGACGCACTTGATCAACAGGAAGTTTTAAAGAACGTCTGTTCTTCTAGATAGGGGGGAAAGGAGTTGTCAGAGAAGGAAAATTGGAAAGAAACCTCTCTCTCGAGAAGTAGATTTATGTGAGAAGATGCAAAAACCCAAATACTATTATCCGAATTTTGCCTAGTTTGGCTTTGAATGATTTGTCATCTCCAATGAGTCACCGCCAACTGGTGGATTTATGATGTATATTGTCTAAAAGAGGAATAGTTATTGACAGGACTAGTAGTAGTTCTTATACTAATACATTATGGGAACAGTATACTTTTTTGATCGCGGGCCTGTAATTCAACCTGGGAAATATGCAAAGGTTCCAAATAGACTGTACATGCTTTCTTAGCGGTATATGCTAACGACAAACCTCACCAGGAGAGTGCCGCGACAAAATAGAAGTAAATCGAAAATAACAAGCAGTGTAGATCCTTAATGCCTTCTTAAAACGCCCCAAAAATCAGTATAAATGACAGTAGATGATCCAACAATTATGTCAAGCAACACATGTATGCCTAGAAGCCATCGCCCTTTTTCCAGGGACGACCAGCTTCCATAGCACGGTGCTGAGGATCTTCACCAAGCAGCAAGGCAGCATCGATGAGCTCTTGCACTTTTTGCCTCTTCTCTCTCGCGCTCTTAATTAGTCGGCCTTCGCGCGATACAGGTTGGCCTTCCTCATCCTCTTCTGACTCGTCGTTTTCTTGCGCCAGGTCCAGTTCGTCAAGATCGAAATTGTAATCCCCAAGTTGCTCCTCGATATAGTTCTTTTCGTCGAACAGACTTCGGAAATTATCATATTCATCCTGTCCGCCAAAACAAACACCATAACCATCACAAAGACAGATATGCGGCATAACACAAACAACTGCCTCACCGGTGAAAATGTACTGCCATAGATATTCCCAAATTCGACCGGCAATATAGTCACTCAGATCAGTCTGTAAAAGCCAATCCCGGTAAAAGATGAAGCGAGCACGAGGGATCGTTCGGATTCGGTCCTTCGACAGCGCAAACTGGGCACAACATGGCTGTGCAAGTACCGACGGGACCGGGTCATCCGGGAAGAGTTCACCCCATGCGCGGGCCAACATTGTCTCTTCTTGCTTTTGTTCGTTCTCTATCACAGTGCCCGGATGCATCCAGGACGGGCAACCTGGCGCGAAAGTACATCGAGTGTTCATGTATCCTTCTCGAATGACACGAGGCAAGCTCAACCGGCGAAGAATCTCTGCAGCGTCACCACCAAAAATCTCATCGTTGTGCCATGCTTCTTGGTGCGAGTGCATAAAGACCGAAACGTCCGGCAAGTCTTCATAGAAATCAATCACATAGCTGAGATACACCATGACCTCATGGCCCTTATTTTTTGGAGGGTGAAGAGGTGCTGATGGGTCATCAGCGACATAGATAGCCGTTTGCCAGTCCGGAAGCTCTTGTTCAATCCAGGAAACATCCTCCGATTGCATGCGCGGGATGACGAGCATCTTTGTATACTCGTGCCCCGGTGGCTTCGGGATGCCGGGGATGAAATTCGGTTGCGGCGCGTATAAGGTTTTCTCATCTTCGCGGAAATCGGTGAATGTTAAATTGGAGGACTTGGTTCTATTATTGCCGACGGGGTAGACAAATTCGCCCAAGCCGACAGCCTGGGGAATTTTATGCCATGGTTGCGAAAGGTGTCGGGCTGTGTATAAAAGGACGAGAAAGAAGGAGACGCCGAGGAAAACGACTACCCGGCGTGAGAGAATCATGGGAGTAGGAGATCGGATAGTTTGAATGCGGAGAATTTTTTTTATCTGTAACACCAGATCTCGGTCAGTATGTGCATTGTCGCACGAGCTTGGGGATTCAGGAGGTGGATCAAAGAAGTCCAGGCTCGCGATGGATCATAAACGCACGGGTCACTTCAAAGAGATCATCGCAATGCAATCATAGGCACTTAGAAGCCTAGGGGGGCGGAATTCTGGAATGATGAGTCGGTTTAACTATGGGCTTAGATTAGATCAATCCAGGGTGAAATCGAAGGTTTGGACTCGAGAACGAAAAGGACGGCAGGGTCTAGAATGGAGCCGACAATGCTTCATGGCCATTCCCATGGCCCATGGAGGAGCGGACGAATGAATGGATCAAACACGGGTCGGGTGGGGATGGGATTGCGCACCCCTCAAGCATGACGACAACTGCCACGGGGCTAGAGTTCTTCCGGTATAGAAGGATAGGTTCATCGGAAATGAGTTTCGAGAGGAGGGGAGTATAGGAAAGTATGAGAAGAGAAGTTGGATTGACATATTGAGATCAGGATGACGCCAAGATTCGTGTTCATGGAAAGGAACTCGGAATGCTTGAGGCTGACTCTTCGCCAGTTGGCGGTAAACAACCCACTGCTAACATTAACAACAATTTAGAGGTTAGTCACTCAATGAATCAATTTGAGAAATATGGTATGTATGTCTATTATTAACGAAAATTGAAGTATAATATCCAAATATTTTGCGACAATTTTCAATTCTACTGCATAGCCTGAGGCGAACATGATCGTCATTTGAACTGCATGACTTGCAGGATATAATAACATTTGAAGACATCTCATCAGACTGCACATTTATACAAAATAGACTTAACTATGCACATGTGCTTCAAAGCTCACAGCTTGGATGCAGGCTTATCATAGATGACTCGGTTCTTGCAAGAGCCAACACCCTCTAGTGCAACCTCCACCTGATCGCCGTCCTTCAACCACAGATTGGGCTTGCGGCCCATTCCAACACCTTGAGGTCTATATAAAAAAAATCAATCAATGCACATCAGTCATGAAAAATATGTCAGGATAACTCACGTTCCAGTGAAAATCAGATCTCCCGGCAAGAGGGTAGTACCCTGCGACAAGAAGGCAATAGTCTTGGCGACGCCAAAAATCATATCCTTGGTGGACGAGGACTGCACAGTCTTTCCATTCAAGATGGTTGAGATATGCAAAGCATTAGGATCAGTGATCACCTTGGAAGAGACGATTCCCGGTCCAAAAGGAGCCCATCCATCAAATCCTTTACCTAATCCCCACTGGCCACCGCCACGCTTGATCTGCCAATCACGATGGGAAACATCGTTACCAACTGCATATCCTAAGACATACTCCAGCGCCTTACTTTCAGGCACATTGCGGGCCTCTTTACCGATGACGATGACCAGTTCGCACTCGTAATCCAGGCCCTCGCTCTCTTGTGCAATGGCGGCAACTGGGATATCATCTGTAGGGCCTGAAATGGCGGTAACAGGCTTGAAGAACAGGACAGGATACTTGGGAATGGGCAGGTTGGATTCCTTAGCATGCTGCTCGTAGTTGAGGCCCAGACAGCGAACAGTCTTGATATCCCGGCGCGCCAGAGGTGCCAGAAGCATGCGCACATCGGCCACTTGGTCAGTCACCTGGTGCTGGCCAAAAATCTCGCCCTGAATGACTTTGGCCTGAGTGGCCTTGGAGATGTCGCTCACTCCAGTAGGGAGAACTGCGTCGCCGTAGTAAATTTGGCCATCCTTAGCCAGGAAACGGATCAAGTGCTGTGGAGTGAATCAGCGGGAGTTCTAGGGAGGAAAGTTAGGAACTCACTGTAAATGTAGACATGTTAATTTTAAGTATTGATTATGGATACTTTTCTTTCTGTTTCCTGCAAGTTCTCCTTTTTTTTCTTGAAGTTCTCCTTATGCTTCCCCTCAGGAAATGGCAAAATGGCGGAGATAAGGATATATGACCCACTCGGCCGGGAAAAAGCCCGCCGGAAAACGGAGCTCTCAACTTCCCCAGCTTCACGCTCCGATCCAATGATCCCTCATCTTGACTATCATGGCTAGACTCTCTGGGCTCCAGCGGGATGTCTTGTCTCTGTATCGCCAATGTCTCCGAGCAATTCGCACCAAGCCGATCGTGTGTATTTCGCCTAAACTTCGCGTCGCGCTGGATGTTTATAGCTGATTATTTTTTGATGTCGCGTTTAGGAATCTAGAAGCAACTTCAAACGATATGCCAGGTAATTTCTTTTCTTCCGTTCCTTTCCCGCTTTTGAGAGATCGGTGCACCCCGGCTGACAGATCGTAGGGCGGAATTCCAAAAACACATTTCGGTGAGCAAGAAGGATTTCAACACCATCGAATATCTGCTGCGCAAAGGCCACCGCCAGCTAGAGATGTATGCTTCCCCGGGAATTCGCAACATCCGATGAAGGGGCCATCTGAGCCACGCCGGGAGCTTTAGGCTTTGATGCCATCCCTTCGTGTCGTAAGTTTCTCGTCTCGCCTTTCCGGTTCTGTACACTAACATTTCCAATTAGGAGCTTGATTCTAGACAGAATCCGAAAGACAGACTTCTCCCGATCCCACCCGAGATTTGGTGTTTTCTGAGGATCCAGCATGGAAGAGCCTGTGCTGTGTTGCGGTTGTAAGATACCTCGAGTGCTGAAACTCTGGAAGCCAGCCCCGAACCACACAAAATTTGTACACTATTCATACCTCTCACAGTGGTCGAACACTGAATAAATTTCCATTCATCACTCCAACTTGAAGGTTTCTGCTGATATAACCGACGGCTATCATATTCACCAACTCAAATTCATTAAAATTCAACCTTCACCCTTTCGGAGGAGTCTTTTGAATCACATGTGCCGTAGCTGAGATTTCCTTCACAAATATCTCATGATATCTCGTGATTTCTTTACTGCAAGATGCCAGTGCAACCAGGGTCCGTTATCCTGAATAATATCTCCTGGTATCTCTCATCATCTGCTAATGATGACTCGCTATCAAATCACACTACAGAACAATATGATTTGGATTTTTGAAGCTATGCACACTTCACCACGTGATATAGCAGCGCTTGACCCTGGCCATCAGCCCTATGCTCAGGTCCTCTACTCTCATGTATGCATAATTCTATACAAAGATATTCCTGCATACGCCACTGTGGCGCACGACCTCGCTGTCCGTTCAGTAATCTGTATGACGTCATGACGTCAATGTGGTGGCGCGCCACATGCATCAACATCGTTATTACTCCTATGGGAATTCCCGATTCGATTGACCAATATGTCAGCCCTGTGATGAAAATGAATCCTGTCACCCCACACACATTTCTCATGTGGACTTAAGTGGACCTGTGGATTTGGCTGGAGCACAGGAATCCAGAGCGCTATATCTAGTAACACAGCCTACAATCTACAGTCAAGGTACTTTGTACTCTGTACTCCGTACGGAGTACACTGTACACATATCACTATCTCCACCGAGACATGACCAGTTGACTACTAGCACCTTCAGGGCTACAATAGTACCACGTAGCCACAATAGTATAGTTGCGGCAGTCTCCGAACCCTTGACGAAATGTGACCCAAATAAGCACTTCAATTCAACCCGGAAAAAAGTAAACACACCCATTGGTATCATCATAGTGGGTATGAAAGGTGCTGTCAGTGGTAATGTCAGTGGTAAGGGATCGTGATCGTGAGATACATTGGAATGAGTGGAGACCAATGACGTCATTGGCTTGAGTATACAGAAACATTCCAACGCCAAGAGACTTCATGAATGGCTGAAGATGTTGCAGATTGAAATGCTATTTCGGCACTGCCATACCGCCCGATGGATCCGACCTACAGGGGTACGAGTTCTTATAGGCTTCGAGAATCATGTAGAAGCTATGCCTATCTTCGGGAACCGTGGGAAAACCCTCACTTATTACTTCATGACAATCATGAGATGGGTATTTAATCTTCATGTCCCACCTGGCTGAGGCATCTTTCCGACCGAAAATACAACCTACCCCCACCACACCTTTGGCATTTGCTTGAAGTATCACACACTACATCTTATGTCAGAGCAATGCACCCTTAAATAGGGTGTCGATACCATTCAATATCGGTTATCAGTCTTTATCACTTTGCCATGACCGAGAAAAATATCTCGCGAGAATTGAACGGCAATAGTAGGGACGATGCGACAATTACCTATTCAAGACTTGGACAGTCTACCCCTCCAAACGGCACCTTCAGCCTCAGAGCCACAAGATCCCCGAGTGGCGCAGATGGGGTGAATTCTTTATTGACTCCTTTGTCGGAGGAGTCCTCTGTGGCTGACTCTTCCTCTTCATCCACAGACAGCCGTCAGGTCAACGACTTCAGTGGGCGCACTGCTCCAGATGGAAAAATTGCCATCCCACGCGATTTGAACAGTTATGCTGTACCAATTGCTGGGCGAGTACTGCGGGCATGTTCGTCATGCCGGACTCGTAAAGTGAAATGCAGCGGTGAACAGCCTGCCTGTCGACAATGTCGAGAGCTAGATTTGCTCTGTCGTTATCCAATGGGTTGGAGGGAGGAGATGAAAAAGTGAGCCACCTCTCAGTTTCCCCAAGCAAATCTTTACTGACACGAAGAGATCTACAGGAAGTCAGACGACGATTCTGCCGTTCTCAAAGATTATCAGGATTTTGTGCAAGATCTACTTCGCACTACAGATATCTCAGCAAACCAGTGGATTCATACAACACTGCAGAAGGTGAGAACTAGATAAATTTCAATCCCCTAAGATCGCTAACACCAGCTAATACGAAATGTAGTATCGACTAGCTCCTGACGATATCGCAGAGCCAAATCAAACTCCAGCTCCGACACCGATCATAAAAACAGTGTCGCTCGATCTGAAGAGTGATGGACCATTGCTATTAGGCACAAATCAAACAAACACCCGAGCTTCCTGTGAAAAAGCAGCAACATCTCTATTCAATGGAGAGAGTGCGTCTGAAAATGGCGATGGCGATTTCGCAGAGACTTTCAGATCTGACTCGCTCAACCCTTCTCTCGGCGATTTCACGTCAGCTACCCCATCAATCAACAAATACAGTCTGCCTCCCCGAAATTGCGCAGACCAGCTCTTCGAGGACTATTTGACTAGCGTCCACCCCGAATTTCCTATAGTCCACCGACCCCTATTTCGTTCTCAATATCTCAAATACTGGGAGCACGCTGAGCAGCCTGGTGATAAATGGCTAGCAATACTCAACATGATGTTCGCTATCGCATCCCTGTATGCAACCCGTACGAGGGGATCCTGGCAAGATGATGAGAACGATCATCGTCTGTATTTCAAGCGGGCAAAATTATTGAGTATGACCGAAGCTGAATTCTTTAGTCGACCAGACCTCCAGCAAGTTCAAGTAGAAGGGCTATGTGCTTTTTATCTCCTTGCATCTGATCAATTTGAGAAGTAAGAAGAATCATCTGTTCTGATACGTTTGGTCCCAACTAACCAACATTTTATCCAGATCATGGAGAATTTCCGGTATGGCAGTGCGATCTGCCGTTACACTCTGCATTAACTCACAAATAACGACAACTTTACATTTCGTCTCGAGAGAAGCTAGATGTCGACTATGGTGGTGCGTCTACACTTTCGAGAAAGTACTCGGCCTTCTCGCTTATCGAACAACATCAATTCCTTACGACCAACACACAATACCTTTTCCATTACCCTTCCAGGAAGAAAATTATGAAAACGACATCCTAGCTTCAAGTCTGCTTCAAAGTTCAGAACTGAGGTTTCAGTGGCTTGACCAAGCCATGTCCAGCTCAAAGAGCATTCCAAATGATTCAGATCTCTCAGAGAATGAATCCTGGCTGCGACATATTGAGCCGAACTCCGGTCTCTATTTCCTCTTTTACTGTGACTTGGCTGTCATCGTTGGAGAAATTGCCAGCAAACTTTCCAAATCGACGGCATGGCCCGATAAGGAAAGTCGAATTGGCGATCTTCAAAATCGATTAGAATCCTGGAGAACAAGTCTCCCAGACAGTCTTGACTTCGGCCAGATCGAAAGTGAAAACAACATAAGCCATGTGGGATATAAATTCGGACTAGCATTCCACTACCACAGCGCACGGATTGCATTCGGTCGCCCTTGGCTTTACCGTCGAGACACACTTGAATATGATCATACAACCTACAAAATGGCCCAAGTGGCTCTCGATGCGGCGAGAAATATCATCTACCTTATACCCGACGAGTTGGACAAGACAAGATTCCATCAAATATGTCCATGGTGGTGCGTACTACATTACTTGACGCATGCTGCGAAGACGATATTACTGGAGCTCTCTCTAGGCTCTATCCATATGCGAGAAGACGAGTCAAGTTTCATTTGGCTAGTGAAAAAGTCTCTTCGTTGCTTTCATACAATGTCCTATCGCAGTCTTGGAGCGAAACAGGCATGGGAATTCTGCGATAGGTTATATCGCAATCTGTCAGCTCGAATGGGCTACAGCACTGATGGCATTCCTTCTGTTGACCTATCTGATTTGAATGTTCATAATGGCAATTTGGCATTTTCGGAAACCAGTGATCTAGAGCGCTTTGATATTTTTGAGAATATTGGGACTTCGGTATAAGGGGAAAACTTATGGAAAAGGTGGGAAATGGGCTAGGGATAAATGGGATGGTGTTATGCATTTTCATGTTAGCTGTTATTGCAGTATAGTACTTGACAATCTATTACCCACTTTGATTCTCGCACAATACCCAGTAGTTAGTGACTTTAGTCTATCTATGGCTTTCGCTACGTAGTAAAGTGTAGATGTGATTTAAAATTTAGATAAGTCGTACCTGTGGACAGGGCATAAGTATCAACGTCATACCATGTGGATCATTGTGGAGTTCACGCTAAACGTTCCTGGAATGAACAAGTGGAACCCGTCCCGATTTGTTTGCTTTCATTCGTCGAGATTCTGGGAGGTGGATCCTCCAGCACAAAAAGCTGGTGTGGCGTAATGGCAACGCATGGGACGTCCTATACTTCTGGACATATTCCTTCAAGATGAGGGTTCGAGTCCCTCCACCAGCGAGGTTCTTTTTTGCTTTTTGAATTTTCCAATGGGTGGAGCTTTAGGAAGGGAAACATCCTTTACGGTACTCTCAAGTGCTATACACTGAGTTCCACGTGGGCAAGGTTTGTTTGAATCTGTTCTGATTGATTCACGTTTGTTGCATCGCTTCACAACAAAGCACATACGAACTTGAAGCTCATGTTGGCTTTCAAGATGCCTCCAACATGAGTCACACTTTTCCCACTACAACTCCTAATGATCACTCCCTCAAGACCTGCACATAGGTCCTACTACCACTCACCAGAGTATCTCAATAATAGTACCCCATCAATAAACATTCTTGGGATGTTGATATTTACTGGAACAACCCTCTACACCCGGAAATGGCCCATCTCTTGAGAATTAACAGATACTATCATGATATGGGAAACCAAGTGTTGTGGGGAAACATGCCCATATGGAGAGGAAAAAGTTCTACCTAAGTGCAGCTGCCTAGGTATAAACAGCTTGGAGTGCAGCCCTGGAGGAGAATTGGAACCTTGGAAAGGCTGAGAAGGGGCAAACAACGCGTCTCACTACGTGTTTTTAGATCATCTCACCTCATAGGCAACCGTGACACCATCAATCCAATGGCCCAATCTGTCAACTGGTCGATCGTCCATGCTAAGGGAGCCCTGAATTGGGTTCTTATCGATCAATAACATTTATTGGACGCAAGTTTCAAGTTACATTATAAATATCAAGTTATGCTAGGTAGTATACAGGTACTATTAACAAAATCACCTCGGGAACGTTCAAGTTTTCAAGCTTCACAAGATATATTTTCTATCTATCGGCCTACGCTACCCATATGGGAACCGCCGCATCGACCTCAGGATGATTATGGATTCAAATGTTTAGTTATGTACATGATAGCATAATCATAGAATTTGATGGATTCAACTTAGAACCTTCCAAGGTTGGAATATGGCCCCGGGAATGATTTGTCATAAGAGATGAAATGTCATCTCATCTATATTAGTCTGGTGTGTAGTAATGACTCGAAGAATGGAGAAAATGCTAGAAAGTTGACGCCACTTCCGATGGGTTCGAGTGGATTCGAGTAAATGACCAATCAGAATGTCCCCAAACCTATATATACTCCCTTAAACACTCCCCCCAAATACATTCATCATCAATTTCACAGTTCTCAGATCCCAAACAATCTGTCTAAACAATCTTCTCCTCTTCCAAGAATCTCTTCCAATCATTTCACCATGCCTTTCCTCAACTTATCCAACGCGGAGTTCGCACCCCTGTTCCAATTGCTCGAAAACTATGAGCCCCACCGAACCTGCCCCACAAAGAACACCCGCACTCGCCGCACCTTCTATGCTCCAGCCTTTGATGTGCGCGAAGTATCCGACAGCTATTACTTGGACGGCGAGTTGCCAGGCGTGGACCAAAATGCCATCGATATTGAATTCCGCGATCCCCAAACACTAGTTATTAAGGGTCGCTCTGAGCGGAATTACCAAACAACCCAGCCTGAGTCCTCCAGTGACTCTGAGGAGTTCACAAAGCTGCGCCAACCTACTGTTGAGGATGAAGATGAATCCGACTCCAATGACTCCGATACCAATACTGCCACCTCAAGTGGATCCACTAAGACACCGACACCCACTCAGACCCCAACCTCTAAGTACTGGGCATCAGAGCGTTCGATCGGTGACTTCGAGCGCACATTCAGCTTCCCTTCACGCGTCGATCAAGATGCCGTTCGTGCCAGTCTGAAGAATGGTGTTTTGTCTGTTGTTTTGCCCAAGGAGGCTACCCCAGTGGCGAAGAAGATTCGTGTTGAGTAATCCGATAAAGTTATTTATAAATTGGGTCGCATTTTGCATTCATGCGGAGCAAGAGACGGAATATCAGCGGATTATGTGTACTTGACTGGATTTGTACTTTAATATATATTTTGGATTTACTATTTGATATTTATTATGTTTGATCTGAATGCAATATAACCTCAACTTTAACCAATCAATACCACTGTGCACGAGTAGCTTCCAAAAATCAGGCCAAAAGACTCTTTTGGCTGTACATCCATGTAGTTCTAAAAGTCCCACTGTGATATCCAATTCGACATTTGGGCTTGGGAAACCGGCTCAAGAGTTGCCATGGTCTTGCTTGCCTTCTTGCACTGCTCAACGCTAATCTCAGTAGATAACACATCTGATTCAGCCAAGGCCTGGTAGAAAGAAAGAAGTTTCAGAGCTGGTTTCTCGGAGACTTCCAGGTCAGACGGATTTTGGATCTTCGCCAGGTCTTTCACCCATTCTGCGAGTGACACCGGGTTGACAGAGTATCTCTCTTGAATAGCTGGGACAAGAGAATCCCAAGTGGTACGTGATGGGTTCACGAGGTGGAACACATTGACGCAGCCTCCAGCAGACGAAGGACGGCCGATAAGGAGTTCATTCACAATCCGAGCCAAGCAATCCTAGTTTCAAAGAGTGAGTATAAATCTTCCAGAGCAATATTGATAGCATGAGAAGAATTTCTTACCACAGAGATCCAGTCAATAGGGTAACCACCAAGGTCAGTCGGCACTTTTCCAGTTGCCTTTGCCGTTTTAACCAAAGTCGGAATCCACTCATGTGGGTTCCAAACTCCCATCCGTGTGTCTGGACCAGCAATCTGACCTACCCTGAGAATACTGGTTGATAAACCAGCCTTCCTTGAAGCCTCCACACAGATACTTTCACCCACAAACTTCGATTCACCATATCCCTGCTCAAGAGCTGACTTGACATCCTCCATAGGAATTTCAGGAACGGAGTTTTGGCCATCGTGTGGAACCCAGGATCCAATCGTGCTCACGGAGGAGATAAATGCCAAGTGTGCGCCAAAACGACTTTCAAGACAAAAGTTGACAAAAGTATGAACGCCCTTGAGATGCGGGTCCTCGAATGACGAGACTGGGTGGTTAAAGTTCACTTTCCATGCATTATGGATAACCAAGTCAACAGATTGGAGTAGCTCCTGAAATTTGGTGGCATCAAGACCAAACTTTTCAGCTCCAAAGTGAGCATAAATGAATTCCACTCTGCTCAGGTCACTCAGCAGAGATGCATCAAGTCCCTTCTCTTGGAATCCTTGGGTTTGACGTAGCAAACCGTCTTCGCTTCGGTTGAAACAGTAGACCTTTGCCACTGAGGGGTTGGAAAGGAGATCTGAAAGTACATAGCTGCCCAGAGATCCAGTTGAACCAGTAAGAATGAAAGTAGACTGTGCAGGTCGCTCAGACGATTGAGACGGACTCTGCACGCTCAAGTTACTGGTGTACTTGGCAATCAACTGTGAGATGATTTCCTCACGCTGCTTCGTCACAGGTTTGAACTCCTTCTCGCCGAGAACTCTCAGCATGAGGTTAGTGAGACCATGTAGAGTAGGGTGACCATAGATACCCTGCACGCTGAGGGATGAAATGTCCAGACTAGAGTTGTAGGAGGACACGGATGTTTTCAGCGTCTTGCTGAGCTGAATCGCTTGTAGCGAATCAAGTCCCATACTGTATAGATCGTCCTCAGCCTGAAGATTTTTCTGACCAGTGAGCGAGGAAACAAGGCATTGAAGAAAATCATAAATGCCTTCAGGTGTAATACTCTCAGGTAATTCAGCAATCGGCTGCTTATCCTGACAAGCGTAAATATGGTCAATCTCATCGGAATAGTCGTTGTTGACAGCCCGTCGTTGTGTTGTGCCTTTGGGCGTGAGCTTGAAGGGCTTTTCACGCGATGACAGACGGACCATGCTCTTCGAAATCTGACCATATCGAGGAACAGTTTCATTGCCCGCTTCAACCACTGACCAAACATCATCAATGAAGGCCTGGTGGTCAATGGTATTGAGATCGTATTCCATGCCCGGCTCAATCAACAGACATGTTTGGAATCTGGCTGAGCCGATTACCAAAGCGCGGTGAACAGCAGGGTGGCCCTCAACCATCTTTTCCAATGAGATGGGATTGAGCTTTTCTCCATTGCTCAGCACGATCACATCATCAAAGCGTCCATGATATTTCCACAAATTAGGATTTGTTGGGTGCGGGACGTAAAGATCCTTGGAGCGATATTCCTTCAGGGTGGGAAAGGTGTGGAAGATACTATGGATGACCAGAGAGTTCTCAACACGTGGGATCACCAGCTCATACAGCCCATCACCAATTGGCTGCATGTCAATATGGTAATGGGGATTCCACTCAAAATATCCCCAGTCATCTTCTCCCTCAGGGACCATCGAGCTGAGGATACCCATTTCGCTCGATCCGATTGGAGACCGTAATTTTGTATATTTCATGAGCTTCTTCCCGACCTCTGGCGCAAGGGGCGCTCCACCATAGCAGACAAATTCCATAGAGCTGAGACAGGCCAGGCCATCTTCAGAATGACTCATATCTTCCAGAATAGAAGGAGGGAGTAGTGTGGCAGTTGGTTTTGTGTGACGAACGATGTTGATCACAAAGTCAACTGAGAGTAGCTTTTCTGGGCTGGCCACAAACGGAATGTTGTGGAAGATGGACTCCCAGAAGGAAAGCAGTCCCATTAAATGGAAATAAGGCGTCATGGAAAGAATAAGATGGGGCGATTTATGATCATCCGAGACAAGATCATTGAAGAAAGAAGTGTTGCGGCCTGCTGGACGAGGAAGATGTGGACTGAAGTCTACAGCCCCCAGGAAACCGTGGTTTAAGGGAACAGGCTTTGGCATACCTGTGGAGAGGAATCAGTTCAATGTCATTCCATAACAGAGCTGTACAGGTTCGTTTACTGGTCACTTACCAGTAGTTCCAGAGCTATGGATAATTAAAGCAACCTGGCTGACCATCTCGTCATATGTTTTGGAGAAAGCATAGTAGTTATTGCCAGCTTCATCGCTCAGAATGTCGCTAGCAGTGGGCACTTCAAGGAATTTCATCTTCCAATCCAGGTTGCGCAGCCTGTTCGAAATAGACTCTTTTTCATGACTGAATAGAAGGTATTCACATTCAGTCTCTCGGAGGACATGTTCGTAGGCTTCATCTGAAAGCCGAGTGGAAGGCAAGACGATCTATTGTTACATGAATTCCAAGGTCAGTCAACATCATCATCCAAACGGTCGTTCTGCAAATGGTATAGGACTAGGTAATAACGGACCGTATAGTTTGTCTTGTGAGCTGCCAGCATCAGGATGATGTAACGAATGTCATTGTTTCCAATATAGGCAAATCGGCCTCCGTCTTTTGACTCGCCCATGTTTTTCAAGATCCACCACGAAGCAGCATTGACTGCTTGGGAAAGATGCAAAAAGGTGATCTCCCGAAAGCCATCTTCGATCTCTGTGCCATTCGGAATCAGGCCAAACCGTTGTTTTGGATATGTCTTGGCCAGCTTATCGACCAGGGTAACAAGAAGCCTCTTCGGAGCTTGGAATACCTGTGGTGATGCCAGTGGCTGAGATGATATAGTACCTGGCATGATTCCGAAGTTCTAACAATTAATCCTCAAAACTTCAGCTTTTTACCGCTTTCTGCGTTAAACAAAAGATATTTTCTCAGTACCATGGCACCATTCCAGTCTTATAACTCTGTATAACTCTGCAATTTTCAAACCGGAGAAAATCAATGCCTAATTGTACTAGTAGTGAGGGAATTCATTACTGCTCCACTCCGCGGAGAGCACTTGAGATTACATGGTTCATTTTTATTGGACAAATATGCCATCGTTCCATATGTGCAACAAGACTATTTCTTGATTAAGAGGGGCATACCGAGATTCACTTCTTGCATTCAGCATAATTTCGGATACTCGATGCACCCACTCGGCCCGAGATACATAATGACAGTCCTTCTATGGTCAGTTCCCCTAGGACGAGACCCACCCATCCGAGTCTTATGCATAGTTAATTTCTTCACTAGATCCAATCTTGTTCACGCACTAACGGAACACTAACTTAAGTGCTGCATAAAATCGGGAATGAAGAGTATTACTGACTCGGATGTTACTCTAATTGCTGAATCCATCACCAGGCCAATGAGACCAATGACGTCCCTCTTAGGTTCTCCAATTCATGCAACCCCTCAAGTAGTCAAGCTAGTACTTTCAATATTTAAAGTGAGCGAGATGCAGATCTTATCCTGCAGACCTCACGCATTTCTGGTGAAACTGCATAAATGAATATCCGGAGATTTGTGCATACATAGTACGCGGGAAGATCGGGATAGGTTCCGTGTTGATCGCCAATTTGAAGGTTAACAGTGTTACTATTCAGTGCCTAGATTATGACTTAAAATTCGAGATTAGGATTCAAGTTCCCAACCACATGTGCATGAACACAAAATCATGATATTCCAAGAACAGCATGTCAAGTTCAACTTAGAAAGGAGACGAATCATCTTCATACACACCCCGATGCAGCTTATAGCACTAGTAGCTGTATACAAGTTGTAAAAGGAGTAAGTGATGATTCAGATGTGTATAACAATGTAGTATGCCCCGGTGGATGTAGATGGTGTTTATCTCCAGGGCTTGTACCGAATACCGTGGACCTCATTGGAAGTTCCAAGGTTCATGTCCACGAGTAGTATATGAGTGACCAGTTGACTGCCAGCCACGTGCAGTCATGTGACACCCATTCATCTGGAGCTTTTTTCAACGCTAGTCCAAATTTGGACACATTGCTTTTTGCCGACCTCAACGCCTTCACCGCCTACAACAATCAAGCGGGCACTTCAACTCCTGTGTGGTGACTAGCTACCTCCCATCTTAGAATCCTAATTCTTTCTGGCTGAGCTCCCTGTCATTCATTAATATTGCAGAGATGTCTGCAACTCAGCTGCTTAACCCCAAGGCGGAGTCCCGGGTATGGAATGCTCCCCCGACTTGACCCCTCCATTGGCCCGCACTAACATTTCATCTAGCGGAGAGGAGATGCCCTGAAGGTCAACATCGGCGCCGGAGAGGGTCTGCAAGATGTCCTCAAGTCGAATTTGGGTCCTTCTGGCACATTGAAGATGTAAGTGATGGTTTTCCCTCCTGTCCAACAATCATGGAGCTGACAAAACAATAGGCTGGTCGATGGTTCGGGCGGAGTATGCAATATACCCCTTTTGCTACGAGTTTCCAGGAATCACGATTTCTAACCTAGCGCTATAACAGATCAAGTTGACTAAGGATGGAAACGTTTTGCTCCGGGAGATGGTTCGTTCTCAAGCCCAATGCCTCCGTGAAGCCTGCATTTGCTAACCTTTTTTTATAGCAAATCCAAAATCCCACAGCTGTAAGGCAGCATATCCCCCGACCTACCCTCGTTCCACGCTGATAATAGATGAAAAGGTTATGATTGCTCGCGCTGCGACAGCTCAAGATGATATTACTGGTGATGGCACAACCTCCGTTGTGTTGTTGGTTGGAGAGCTCCTGAAGCAGGCCGAGCGTCACATTTCCGAGGGACTGCACCCCCGAGTGATCACCGATGGTTACGAGATCGCCAAGACAGAGGCTCTGAAGGTATGACGGAAAGATTCGGTCGATTGAGAATATTCGGTCTAATTCGCTGCTCGCAGTTCCTCGACCAATTCAAGCTCGAGAAGCCCATTGACCGGGAGCTGCTCCTCTCTGTCGCCCGTACCTCCCTCTCCACTAAGCTCAACAACGCTCTTGCTGAGAAGCTTACCCCCGATATTGTTGACGCCGTTCTTGCCATTCACCACGCCCCCGAGAAGCCCGATCTGCACATGATTGAGATCATGACCATGCAACACCGCACATCCGCTGATACCCAACTCATCCGTGGTCTGGCCCTTGACCACGGTGCCCGCCACCCCGACATGCCCAAGCGCGTGGAGAACGCTTTCATTTTGACACTGAACGTCAGCTTGGAGTACGAGAAGTCTGAGATCAACTCTGGTTTCTACTACTCAACTGCTGAGCAGAGAGACAAGCTGGTGGAGAGCGAGCGCAAATTCGTTGATGCTAAGTTGCAGAAGATTGTTGATCTCAAGAAGCAGGTCTGCGGCAATGACCCCAAGAAAGGCTTCGTTGTTATCAACCAGAAGGGTATTGATCCTCTTAGTCTGGATGTTCTGGTCAAGAACGGTATCATGGCTCTCCGCAGAGCTAAGCGCAGAAACATGGAACGTCTCCAGCTGGTTTGCGGTGGTGTCGCCCAGAACAGTGTTGAAGATATGACCCCCGATGTTCTTGGCTGGGCCGGCCTAGTCTACGAGCACCAGCTTGGTGAGGAGAAGTACACCTTCGTTGAGGAGGTCAAGGACCCTAAGTCTGTGACAATTCTCATCAAGGGCCCCAACCAGCACACCATTGCTCAAGTTAAGGATGCCGTTCGTGATGGTCTCCGCTCCGTGTACAACACTATCGTTGACGGCTGTGTCATCCCTGGTGCTGGTGCCTACCAAGTCGCCGCTGCCGCTCACCTCAAGTCAGACGCCTTCGGCAAGACCGTCAAGGGCAAGGCCACATGGGGTGTTGAGGCTTTCGCAGATGCTCTCCTGGTTATTCCTAAGACTCTCGCTGCCAACTCTGGCCACGATGTCCAGGACTCCCTGGCCGCCATGTGGTATGAAGGCAAGCAAGGCAACACCGTCGGTCTGGATCTGAACACCGGTGAGCCAATGGATCCCGTCCAGGCTGGTGTTTTCGACTCTTACCGTGTTTTGCGCAACTGCATTGCCTCCAGCACTGGTATCGCGTCGAACCTTTTGCTCTGTGATGAGTTGCTGAAGGCTCGCCAGATGAGCAGGGCGAGCGGCCCTGGTGGTATGGAAGAGTAATGTGACCCTGACGGATAAAGCACGAACCTGTTCCAAAATAAAAATACATATTCATTGCCCAAGAACGACAGCTGTAAATTCCACACATACCCTCTCTACATTATTGATCTATTAAGTAGTATCTGGAGTCTAACATTTGAATGTCGAACTGTGTTCAAGTTCAGCACCAAGTTGCGATGGGTAGACCGGTAGTATAGTGAAGTTCGTTTTTTATTAGGGACCGATCAATGCCAGCACTATGTCTTTCAAATGTTTATGCCCGCGAGATCTGACATCATGATCCATATTCCGTTTTCTATGAACTATTGCTTCTCTCCAGGGCTGGAATCGGTGCTTTAGCTCTCATGCCGAGTTGAGTGGGTCATAAAGCCGACTTGGCGGGTATTTCGGGCCGCGCATTGCTTCCCCGCGCATAAGAATTGGAGACGCCGCGTTGCATTCTTTCTTATTCTCATTCCAGTATTTGTCAATTGTTGTCAAAGAAAGTCTGGCAACATGTATACCACCACAATAACACACCTACGACCCCAACTATCCTCATTGGCCAAGTCGAGTGCTCGTCGAAGCTTCACTACCTCACGTCGTCTACACTCCGAACCAGCTGCCGCAGATGTAGCAGCTTCATTCCTCTCACGTTTCCAATCATTGGGTCCTCAGATCCGCACACAGCAATTGGATGCCAATCAACTCCAACTTCTCACACTTACGCTTAATCGTCCGTCTCTTTTCCCCGGTTCATCCTCACTATCCAATACTCCAAGCGGTCTTCCTACCGAAACCCCCGTTCCACCTGGTTATCATCTAGTCTACTTTACACCAGCATTTTTGGAGACTGAGGTAGGCGCAGATGGCACAGATACGTCATACAATCCCGATGCGCCGTTTACGCGACGAATGTGGGCAGGTGGGGAGGTACTTTGGCCTAGACAGTCAGACGGGAAGCCCAACCTCCTACGGGTGGGACAAGAAGTACAGGAGACGACCCGTGTACTGAGCGCGGAGTCCAAGGTTGTCAAGAAAACAGGCGAAGATATGATTGTGGTGGGAGTGGAGAAGGAATTCGCAAACGAGCACGGCGTCTGTGTTGTTGATCGAAGGTTGGTATCTGTTTGTTTGTGTCAGGGTTAGATATTAACTAGAGTTATAGGAACTGGGTATTCCGCAAAGCCTTACCACCGCAATCGCCATCATCTGTCTCCGCAGATACCCTCCCTGCATCATCATCGCATGCTGCTTTGCCCAAGGAGACCTCAATCTCCACACAAGGGAATACTCATTCGCGGAGCTTTGTACGGACTCCGGTGACGTTGTTTCGATTCTCGGCCTTGACATTCAATCCACATAAGATTCATTATTCCGTGCCATGGGCACGCGAAGTGGAGGGGCACAGGGACTTGGTTGTCCATGGACCATTGAACTTGATCACTATTCTCGATCTATGGAGGGATACCCGCAGTCAAACGGGAGATCCAACTCTGCTAGTCCCGAAGCGAATCTCTTACCGTGCAACAAGCCCATTGTATGCGGGTGAAGAGTATTCGGTTAATTTGGAGGAAGGGGCAGATGGAGCAAAGGTAAAGATCATCGCCCCGAGTGGTGCTGTCGCGATGAAAGCGGAGATTCAATAAGCCAGGCTGCGCCTAGTGCTGTTGTTGGCTTTGTAAATACAATTGACAATATATAAACAAAAATCCTAAAGTGTTGATCTGCGTGCGAAAACATTTGAATGTTATATTTTCTTACCCCGACTTGGAGTGAATCTACGTAAAAAACATTCGATCCATCAGACCCGTCGCTGGGGTCACCAGATAAGGTTGTTGCTGGAAATATCCATACATATTGCATAGAAAAAGAGATACTAGTAATAGTAAATCCTCGTCTGATGTTGGGTATATTCATCTCAAGTTGATACTACCCAGAGTCCATATGTGCCAGTGTGGGATCAAATTGCAGAGCTCCGAGTCAGATACACTTCTTTTCCTACAAATCCTACTACTCCTGCTCCTCTCGATCCCCACGCTCCGGCATATTGTGAACTCGATCATCACAACCTACCCTCCCCTGTCCCTCAACTCAATACGTTCAAGGTAGACTTGGAGGTTTCCTCTCCCAAGTGAGGCTCATCAATCAGTCTGATAGGTAAGACAGACCGTCCTCTTAATTCTTAATTCTATGCTATGCACCACTCATCCATGATTCTTACCTCCTACACTCCTCCGATATCCACTTGCATTGTGTTATCAATCTAAACATACTTTACAGACTCGAACATCAAAATGTCAACCAAATCCTCCATCAAGGAGCCCGACAAGGATCCCGAGAAGCCACCCGAGGCTAACGTCTGCGCCAAACCTGACTGTGACAAGCTCGCCAACAAAGTCTGTACAGCATGCAATCCTCCGAAGACTCGGTACTGCAGCGCAAAATGCCAGAAGGACGAGTTCAAATACCATAAGATGAGCTGTGTGGGCAGTCAGAAGGTGAACTGTTTCCTCATTCGAGCCATTGCCGCCAATGGAGGCAAAGAAGACGTCGATCACATTGAGCAATTCTACCTGCGCAGCTACGGCGATTTTTACGCGCAGTTGGAAGAATTGCAAAGCCGCCTCGGTTGGCGTATTATCATGGAAGCTGGACAATTCTACGCGCCTGATCCCAAAATCAACCATTGGCACTACATGGTCTTCCACCCCGATGAACATGACAACCAACTTGTTGTCAACGGAATCGCTTCGCGCTGTCTCGGCAGGATTATTCGAGGTGATGTTGCTATCATTCGTGATGCAACTAGCGACGAGGTATGCTGTTTTCCTGAGGAGTTTAGTCGTCGAGAGCTTCTGGCCGCGGTGGAGTTTTACGAAACTCATGACGCAAACCAGACCAACCGGAATCGCTCAGGGGCAGCTATGGCAGACAGGATGGGCTATCCGTCTCGTTTTATCGATGGCGTTTTTGTTGTTCAACTGTGAACTGCTACCCTTCAAGGTACCTTTTTTGTGTGATGGTCAAATTTGGCTTGATGCTTCATGCTTCGGTCTTCGGTGGATTCGATTTATGCTGGGAAGTATGCCAGATGGTGGTTGAGATGGCGTTTACCAGATATCTTTTGAACTTGAAAGGGCTTTATGGAACTTGTTATCTCAGGGTTCAAGTTTAGCAGGATCAATACTGTAATACAGCCCAAGATTAGACGAAATAACCATGAAATCTCGAATAATCATCCAGTAAATCTTCAGTATGAATTAGTTGGGACGCTAGAGAAATCAACACTGCTTGAGATGTTTGGACTTCATTCAACACCAGCTAAGACACCTGGATCCACTGGCAGGGTTCAACCTAGGAATTGTGCCAGATTGTAAAGATTTTGATAGCGAAAATATAGATCTAGAGGTCGGATAGTGTTTTTACCTAGGTTATAAGCGCAAAGAATCTCTTCGAACTGGAACTTTGGAAACTTTGTATGGAGTGGATATCATCTCTTTTTAGCGGAAGAAAACGAGACTTGAGACTGGGAGTTCATATACGTTTGAAGGCGATTCCTAAGACAGAATATCGGTGTAAGATCGCACCGCTCAAATCAGGGGGTGACTCGTCGAGTATTCATTGAGCAATTACCATCCCACAGAGGCTTTAATCTCGCTGCTTCCATTTTTTACTTTGGACTCTCCTCTGTCTCGACAATGCCATCAATAAATTCTGACAAGGACCTCCCAAAGATACTCGACACACCATCAAAGCAAGTCAAATGGGTAAAGAAATTGATTCTGAAACACCTGGGCAGCGCTGTCAAACGCGTCGACAGGCCTCCTATTCAGGGAATGTTCACCCGAACCTTGATGTTAGTATTAGCAGATGGCCGTGAGGTTGTCCAGCAATTTCGCAGTGAGCCACTGGACGTATATGCCTTCCAGCTTGCACAGAAGACCTTGGGTTCTGTTGTACCCGACGTTACAGCCTTACCAGACGAGGATCTCCTTCGTGAGGGAATTTGGGCCTATTCCTTTAATCGTCTGCCAGGAAAATTATGGGTTCATGGAATTGCTGGCAAGGGAGCAGAAGGTCGAGTTGCGATAAACAAATCTCTTAGTCGCGTTATGTCCAAGGGGTTTCTCGCGGGGACCAGCGGTGCGTCTCTTAATGGTGTCCGCTCTCACCTCAAGGCCATCTTAGCATGTGTTAGGAGGTGTGCCTTTGGAACAGCTACAGGAAAGAACACGTATGGGGGGAAGTGCGCGGAGGGGAAGTCTGCTCCGACACGTCGAGAGCTATCTACCTAGCCACCTTGGTCTGAACTATACAGACCACGTGATCTAACAGCATGCCCCTCAGAGGCTATCGGCCCATATCGCCAACAACTACAAGGCTATCTTCAGAATCTTGAAAGGCTGGAGGAACTTCCTCTCTGGATAACTCACTATGATGACAATAAAGTGAATGTGCTTATCGATGAAGAATTCAATATTACCGGCCTCATTGACTGGGATCTGTCGACCCCCCTTCCATTTGGAGTCAACTTCGGTCGCATTCATACTTACGCTGGCGAATATACTGGTGGGGAGTTTTGGGTGCCAGATGAATTTGAAGAAGCAGAAAAATGCTTCTGGAATGAACTCTTTCGTGGAATGCAGGCAGGAACTCGAACCAAATTGGAAGGGCAAATGGACCTTATTCAGGATGCTGTTATCCTTGGAACCCTGTTAGATTGCCTGTCCTTTGTTGATGGGGAGGTCATTGTTGGCGAGTTCTCAATTAAGGCTCTTCATAAGCTTCTCACTTACCGAATCCCCTTTGTTAGAGGAGATGATCCCCCATACAAGGGATAGAGCTTGGTCGATTAATGCCTGGGAATGCTAGATGACAGATGCCCTTATTTCTGAGAAAAATATCTCCATATTTCATCAATATAAGAAGTCACGTGGAAGCTCATAAGGATATTCATGATTCTGCGACATGAAGATTCATCATATTGATACTAGGCAAAGTGAATCTTTACATTTGAATGTGGAAAGTAGAACTTTCTTGAAGAGAATGACACCTAATCCCAGCTAGGCCAAGCAGTGATCTCTCTCAACTCCTCTCGACGTGGAAGATAATAATTCTGGCCAAGCATATGAAGCTTGCGACGATCTATCTTCTTTGACTTGGTCCTGGGAACACGATCAATCAACAGGAACAAACTGGGAAGGTAGTGCGAGGGCAGGCTCTGCTGAACAGCATCACGCAAAAGCATCGTGAAAGGATAAGCGGCCATGTCAGTCACAACAGGCTGAAATCTCATGGATTCCACAGCCCCGCTGACCGAGCTTTCCTCACTCCCTGCCAGGAACAAAAATATCACAAGAATCGGGTCGCTCACTCCATCAACATTACCAAGGACATCCACCACAGCTGCATCACCAGGCGATAAATGTCTATTCAGTACATGTTCTACCTGGCCAGCTTCAATTCGAGCTCCGTCAAGTTTGAGCATGGAATCTTTGCGGCCGATCAATTCAACTGCACCATCGTGGCCGAAATACCGACCTAGATCTCCTGATCGATATAATCTATGTCTATGCCGACCGGGATGTATCTGCGCCATCCAAAGTGGTGGTGTATCCATAAAATTATCGGCTTGTCCAGAAACTGGATCGAGATATCCACGTGCAATATGTGGTCCCTCGACAAGTATTTCACCAACTGCTCCCACCGGCATAATCTGATCAGTGTTATCAGGATTCACTATCCAGAGAGCTCCACATGCAGGACGACCGATCACAGAACCGTGCCCAATTTGGACTTCCGCGTTAAACGCACAGATAGAAGCAGCTTCACCCATACCATACTGATTAATCAGTTGGACGCGATGTAGCCATTTCGAGAGCACCGCATCCGAGGCTGGCTCTCCTCCAATACACATGACCTTCAGTGTTGGAACGCGGTCAGGGTCAATGTCGATAGCAACAGAGGGCGTCACAAACATCATATTAGCTTGGAGGTCCGCGAAGTCACTCATCAACGCCTCCATAGTGAGAGAGGTCGTGGGCACGCAACAGCATCCACCAGCCATAAGAGGTGCGAGGAGGTCATTATTACTGATATCGAATGCATAGGCATCGAATTGAAACATGCGTGTATGCGGTCCCATTTTTGTGACGCGGATATAATCTGTCAGAGCTGATGCGTAGCTTCGGTGCTCTTGAACAATTCCTTTTGGTGTCCCAGTGCTGCCTGAGGTGAATAAAACGACGCAAGGATCACTTGACGTGACAGGCGAGCAGGGCGCACATGATTCATATGGCAAGGTTTGAAGAGACGCGGCACTGACTTCAAATCGCATATCCACTTTCCCGCTAAACACTTCTGCAAATCCGATCGAGGTCAAGATGATTTTGATATTCGTTCTTTCCAAGACAGAGTCCAAATATACTGGTGGGTCGTGCGCATCGACGCAGATATATGCCCCTCCTGCCATCAGGACTGCGAGACGGGCCACAATTGTCCATGTTGATTTATAGAATGCGCAAGCGACAAAGATTCCGGGACCAACACCTTGATTGACAAGCCAGTGAGCTAATCTAGTGATGTGATCGTTCAACTCTCGATATGTGAGATCACCATCCCATGATCGCACAGCTAGGACATTTGGAGTACTAATCGCATGTCTCAAACAGAGCTCATGTAAAAGCGCATCGCGAGGTGGCGATAATGCATGGGCGCTCGTGAAGCCGGTGATCAAATTCAAGTCTTGAGTGTTGATTAAGTCAATATTACCAATGGACTGGTTCGGATTTTCACAAATAGAGGAGAGTGCTTTGCCAAAACTATGTAACAGGCCCGTCGCTAGCCTAGTATCAACATTATCCGAGTTCATTTGGATTCTGGCAGAAATTTTGTCGTCTTCTGAGCGACAGATGTACAATCGGAGATTGGTAAACGGAATCTCCGCTTGGGCGACCATGTGGTTATCATTTTTGCATGGATCCGAGTGTTGTTTGGAGTCATTGACAGCACTTTTTTGATAAAAGATCATTGTATCATAAGTTCTGTGCTCGGTGTGCTTGCTATGGCCGTTGCTAGGATCCACTTTGGGGCTGGCCAGTGCCCCATTTATCACCCTGTCTAGAAGATCACGTACAATCTCCTGGCTGTCTATGGACACTTGCGTGAGACTTTGGGTCCGAATCGGTTTGGGCACTCCCTCTGCAACAACAGAGAACCCTCTTTCATATTCTCCGGCTAGATGGATTGTGGGAGATGTAATAAATGGACGGACTGTAGTCAACCACGCAACCTGGAATAAGCATTGAAGATCTAAATCCAAGTCCTGAGTACGAGGCTCAGTGTCATTTTGGGTACTTAAATCAAGATTTCTCAAGAAGTCGACGAATCCATGTGAGTTTCTAGGGAGGGTGATTGTGTCCTGCAGAACTGAATGATGTTGGGGAGTGTCCATGGCTTGAATCTGAGTACTGATTGAGGTTAACTGAATTTTGGAATTTCTCTCATATTCCGAGTCGGTCCTGAAGGATTCTGGTCTACATAAAGCAAAGCATCTGTTGGCGTGACATCCATTGTTGTTTCACAAACACTGGCATGATCGTATACTGGACTAGCATCGACAGTTAGTATTAAAAGACAATGATACTCGTGAGCTCTATCTATCGATCGGAGCCACAGTCACTTGCATAACCGAACGCTCCACGCCAGGAATTATGAAATTTAATGCCATAGTGTTGTCTCAGACTGGGTTCGAAAATGAACTGGTTGGTTTACAACTTCAAATTTCAAGCTGGAGGCCGAGGTCAACCTATTCACGTCATCCAGTCATCCCTAAACTCCTCAATAAGCACCGGCTGATGATAACCCACCTGACACCGACGCGCGACTCATCAGGCTCAAGGACCTCGCACCAAGCGACGGGAGCAACAACGGCAACGGCGGTACCGGCCTGGACTGGACAAAGCCAAAGCCACTCAAACCTTTCCAGCTGGAGGAACGTCTGAAGATGCTCATTATCAAAGCCACTGGAGAAACTGGCAAAGGCCTCCTCGACTAACTAGCTTCCTCAAGTTGCTGCAGGCCACGCCCAAATCACCAGGTACCTGAAGCTCGCAGAAAACTCCCGCAAGACCCGCGAAGACCTGGGCCTTTGTAGAAATGTATGCCGGAGCAAAAGCGGTATTATGATTTCTCGATAATTATGTGGATGACACTTCAGATTGCACTGAACAAGATTATATGTGAACCCTAGGTATATGGTTTCTATTTAAGGTTGTGAAGGTGTGGCAGACCTCTAGGGCTACTAGTAGCAGATGGATCATGCTTCTGCCTTATGCGAGCCCATACTGTACCTGTGGACATATTTTACGTACTATGATTATCTAGCAGAATTTTACAACACATACACCTGGGGACACATGAAGGTGAACAGACATATATAAACTTAGAGATAACCAAAGTAAAAGTGAGAGATGGCTAAGCTACAAATGAGAGATAGCTAAAGTCTTACTAAGAGATACTATAGCTGAATTTTATGTAGACTCCTCCCTCCGAGACTCCGAGTTGTCTAATCCCTTAGTTAGAATTGGAATAGCGGGGGTGGCGAAAGCATTACTGAGCCCCATTCTCACAGCCGCCCGGGCGCCTTATCTCAAGACTACGATGTCAGTGCCTATCATGAATGAAGGATTAGGCTTTCAAAGGGTCTGAGATATTCGGGCGTGGGCATAGCGTCACTTATTACCTCCAAGTTCTCATCTGACATCTGAGCCACCGCCACCCAAGGGTCTAAACCATCTCCGCAAATCGATATGAACACCCGAAACCTGTCATACCCATGGGTAAGAAATGCCTGATCTCTGTGTTCCTGATCCATGATAATTCCAATATGTGCTTAAGCTGGTTGCACAAATCTTCTACCACTGCGAAGTCGCAGTCAAACAATACTGTTCCCGATGATATTACCAGCCCTCAACCGAAAGAAGAAATCAGCGAACCATACAGTACCCCATCCAATAACTTGAGGCCATTATCTGAGCTGGTGGCTGAACAGAAGCGAAATCGAAAATGGTATCATTATCGTCCAGGGGATAACGGTGGCTTAGATGCTGTCGGTAATGTGTGAGTAGATGGTTCATCCAGCATTCTGGGCCAGAATGATAACATTTATGCTTAGAATGGCCACTGGAAAAGATACCAATGGGAACTTGAATCTCTTGACTTTTTAAGGGCATTTGATACTTTTAGTGACTCATGGGTTTTTTTCTGACGTTTGAATTATCACAACCCCTGTACTACTAGTAGTATCATTTGTGGAGAGTTCTATCAATAGTACATGATTTTCGTTTGATAGTGCACAATGTAAAGAGCCTCTTGTCGCTGTAATGGATGTGGGAATATCTCGGAATTCCCAAATTAAAAGCGTTTGATAACTTGGAGGTCTGTTTGATGAATTATGGGTCGATACTGATCAAGAGTATCAAAAATAAATCAAGATGGGTGGACGGTTCAGGGATCAACACGAATTCTCGGGTCCATACTGCGAAATGGGTATAGAAACCGAAACCGAGCCCGAGCTGAGGAGACAGTTTGGCCCCATTTGAACTCCATTTCCCGAGAAAAGAACACCAAAACTCGGTTTCGGGTGGCTTTCTCCATCGGATTCTCAAGATCCATAGCTAGAGCCAATCGTGTCACTGGAAGAATGGAAAAGGCCATGCTTGTAGGTCCACTTTAATCAAGGATCAGCAACAAGGCTGTCAAACTAGAGGTAGAAACGTCCAATTTTGAAATTTGAACCCACAGGGTCGATTGAAGATAGAATGAGAAGTAGCTATAAAAGCCTTAAATCCTGCAAAGATCATGCACTGGCTTTAAATCATCTTGAATCATTATCATCTTTCGTCATTCAAAAGCACATCTGGCCAAGTCCAGTGCGATACGATTTCGTCTCAATTTGCCATCTTTGCAATTAATCAATCACCTCAAAGTCAACAACATGGCCTGTACATCTGCAACGGAAGGCCTTGAGGTAGCGGAACTTGTCTTTTATGGTGTTGCTATAATCCCTGCTTTCTTTTGCTTTTTTACACATGGAAAACACGGCGTTGCAGGATGGCTCTATGTGATTCTTATGTGCGGGCTCCGCCTCGTTGGAAATGGCATGGCATATCATGCCCTATCTACAACTGGCCACCCGAACGAGGCAGCGGAGATCATCAGTGGGATTGGTCTGTCACCTATTCTGCTCGCTGCTTTAGGTATACTTCATGAAGCGTACGTCATCCAATATTGCGGAATGGATTATGCTTTGAACTTGAATGACATGAATCGAGAAGCTGACATGATATAGCAACCACTCTATACAGACATCTCTTCCGAGTCCTCTTCAAGGAGTCAGCGTTATCCTTCCTCATGCCGCTATCCTCGCTGGAATTGCTCTAGCAGCCGCAAGCAAAGTAAAATCCTCTTTACTTGAGGCCGGTATGGCTGTGCTCACTATCGGCTGGCTTATTATTGTTGCTTTTGTCATACTTTCTTTCTTAAGCCCAAGTCAACGAATGAACGGAGAGAAAAAGGTAGGCACCACTTCACTGCTCCAGGCATTTTTCCTCCAACGCTAACGGAGATAAAGCTTCTAATTGCGGTCATCATCGCTGTACCACTCCTTGGAATCCGAGTGATCTACTCTGTGGTCATCGCCTTTGTGGATGGACGAGCCGAGGGAGGTAGTCTGGCTGTGCAAGTCATCTTTGGAACTGTCCCGGAGTTCCTCGTGATGATTAACTATCTTTCCGCGGGCATCATGACCAAGAATATGGCTCGCGAACGTCAAGCTGAATTGGATGCCGAAACAGCTGAACAGAGATTAAATATTTCCCAGAAGAGACCTCGGGAGTCTTCGTGCCGGTCTCTCTCTGCCTAGTATATATTATAATGACAATAAATGAATCACATAAAGATAAATAATACTCAAGCTTCGAAGAACGACAAAATTTTCAATTTTGTCCAATTTGATTAACATACTAATAGCCTGAACTTCGATTGTAGAGATGCAATGTTGACAGTTGACGCTTAATGCTTCTCGGCAATTGTTCGGCTATCAACGGGACGGTGAAGTTATCTCCGATGCCAACCGAGCACTCCGCATGTACACAGGGTTCAACACCGACGTTAATACTAAGAACTTCCTTCCCAGAGCGTTTACTTCTTTTCAACAATTGAAATGGCTTTCCGAAATTTGACTATCCGCTCATCGCCAGCAAGGCATGCTGCGCAGGCTATTGCGCCGCTTTCCAGGCCCGTTGCTAGGAGGTGGGGGAGTTCAATCTCACAAAGGCCTGGCTCCGATCGGTAAGACTGATCAGTATGGATTCTGGGAGAAAGGGGAAGAGCTAATATGGGAACTACTGCAGTGTACACTTCCCAGGAGCCATCAATAGCAAATTCACAACCGATATGACCTTCCTTAAAGCATCCGATCTTCCTGCCATTCCAACTTATCGAGTAATCGACTCCGACGGCGAACTAGTGGATAAAACACGCGGTCCGCCTGATGTATCCGATGAGGATGTTTTAACATGGTATAAGAATATGATGACTGGTATGTGGTATTTCAAACTCAGGAGTGGACTGGACTGATACAATGTAGTGAGCATCATGGATGTGGTTATGTTCGAGGCGCAGCGACAAGGTCGCCTTAGCTTTTATATGGTATGGAACTGGAATACTATACAATTCGCAATATATGTTATGACTGAGGGCGCTAACACTTTTTCAAGGTTTCCGCTGGCGAGGAAGGTATCGCCGTTGGTTCCGCCGCAGCATTAACACCAGACGACGTGGTATTCGCCCAGTATCGAGAAGCAGGAGTATTCCAACAACGGGGCTTCACATTAAAGAACTTCATGAGTCAATTATTCGCCAACTGTAACGATCATGGCCGCGGCAGGAATATGCCTGTACACTATGGCCAGAATTACCCTCGCACGGTCAGTCACTAATGTCGAAAAATTACGAGACTAAGCTAATAAAATCATCTTTAGCATACCATATCATCTCCTCTGGCAACACAAATCCCTCAAGCGGCTGGCGCTGCATATGCACTTAAAATCCAAGATCTCCAGAATCCTAACCAATCTCCCCGTGTCGTTGCTTGTTACTTTGGTGAAGGTGCCGCGAGCGAGGGCGACTTCCACGCAGCTCTTAACATTGCCGCTACTCGATCATGCCCAGTTGTGTTCCTTTGCCGAAATAACGGATTCGCAATTTCAACCCCAACGCTGGAACAATATCGTGGTGATGGAATCGCTAGCCGAGGTGTAGGCTATGGAATCGACACGATTCGAGTAGATGGAAACGATGTGTTTGCTGTTTACGAGGCAATGAAAGAAGCCAGAGAGCGCGCACTAAGCGATGGTGGACGTCCTGTTCTGATTGAGGCGATGAGTTACCGCGTATCTCATCATAGCACGAGTGATGATAGTTTCGCATATCGTGCACGCGTCGAAGTTGAGGATTGGAAGCGTCGTGATAACCCGATTATTCGATTGCGAAAATGGCTTGAGACTAAAGGTATCTGGAATGAAGACCTGGAAAAGGAAACAAGGGATTCATTACGGAAAGCTGTGTTGAAGGAGTTCGCGGATGCGGAACGTGAAAAGAAGCCGCCTCTTCGTGAGGCTTTCACGGATGTTTATGAGGAGATCACTGAGGAGACTCAGGAGCAGATGAAGGAGCTCAAACGCATTTTAGAGACGTACCCTGCTGAGTATGATTTACGACCATATCAGGATGGCATAAAGGGTTTGGATTAAATGGCTGTCTCGAGACTTCTTGATGTTTTCTTTTCCTCTTGTTGGCCACATTACTTTATGGATTCAGCGGTTGACTGATCTCATCATTCGTCCTACGACGTAGTAGGACAGTGTTATCGTACGGGGGTATTCTGCTCATAGTCTCATTCAAGTCGATAGATAAGATGGCAATTTCATGTTCTGTTTATCCTACATTGGAATGCACGCTTGCTGGCATAGTTGGCAAATTGAAGAAAATCATAAACGTCATATTTTCGTTGTTTCGCTAGATAGCTCCAGCTTATATGTAGTATAAACCAAAGAATTCAGGCGTTATATATGCCAATTAAATATTAGGCGGAATTATTTAGTCAAAGACAACAGTCTTGTGTCCATTGAGAATGACACGGCGCTCAGCAAAGTACTTGACAGCGGTAGCGAGAACATTGCTCTCGACGTTGCTACCAGCGTGGGTCAACTCCTTGGGGCTCATGCCGTGGCTCACGCGAACGACATTCTGCTCAATGATAGGGCCCTCGTCGAGGTCGCTGGTGACAAAGTGGGCAGTGGCACCGATGATCTTCACACCACGGTCATAAGCCTGGTGGTAGGGTCTGGCACCCTTGAAAGAAGGCAAGAAGGAGTGGTGGATGTTGATAATACGGCCGGACATGGCTTCGCACAGCTTAGGAGACAAGACCTGCATGTAGCGAGCAAGAACGATCAAATCGATGTTGTTCTGAGCAGCCAGCTCCAGAATCTGGCCCTCCTGCTGAGCCTTGGTATCCGCGGTCACAGGCAGGTGGTGGAAGGGAATGTTGTAGCTGGCGGCGAGAGGGGCGAAATCTGGGTGGTTGGAGACGATGAGAGGAACTTCAACGCTCAATTGGCCAGTGGACTGGCGGAAAAGAAGGTCGTTCAGGCAGTGACCAATTTTGGAAACCATGATCAGAACACGGGGCTTCTGCGCAGTGGGGTGGATTTGGTAGTTCAAGGAAAAAGACTCGGCGGTGGCCTTGAAGGCAGTGCGCAATTGTTCGAGTTCGGGGAGGTCGGTGGTTCCATCGGGAGCGAATTGTGTGCGCATGAAGAAGCTCTTGGATGTGGGGTCACCGAATTGCGATGAGTCGACGATGTTCAGGTTGTGCTGGACGAGGAAGGCAGTCACGGCATGGACGATACCTGGGCGATCAGGGCCCGAGAGAGTAAGAATAAAGCTAGGAGACATTTTGAATATGGGCGGCGACGGTGTTGAATCCGCAGAAGAGTGAGGATAATGAGTCAATTGAGCACAAGAGAAAAAAAAACCCTTCTCCAACAATGGGAAATAAAATGTTAACATCCCACTCGCCGATCCCGGTCATGACTCAGCGATGGTGCAGGACCCGAAAGTAGTTTAGCGTCTAACTCAGCGCGGGTCTCGTTACCATTTCGGTGCATCTCCGCTTCCAACATCTTCTTCAATGCTCCAAGGACCGTTGATTTGGAAGCACAGCATGACGAAGAATAGCCATAGCAGAGGGATCTAGTCCCCAATCACCAATCCATTGATTCATGCGCATTCCATCTCTGAAATGTCCGACCAGATGTTCGGTGCGCTCACTCCAGGTTAGGAGTGGGCAATTGCAGAACCCACATCGACTGCCAAGATGGGCACCAGACCCTCGCCACGCGTCGAGATCAGGCATAGGACTCTTAGTACACCCATGAAATTTCCGAAGATGTTGCCACAGGTGATCCTTCCTAGTAAATGATCTTTCCGCCAATGGCTTTGCAGCACAAATCTGGAATTCATGTTCTTCATTATGAGTGGGACCAGGAAAAACTGTATCGCAGAACTTGCACTCGGTCGCCAAGAATTCCCCATTCAGTAGTTCATTTAGTTCGGGTGTGCATACCCAATTCTCAAACGAGATATGAACACTCTTTTCATGACGGGCCCAGTCATGTCTCTTTTTGAATGATCGGGTACAGAATGTGCACTGGAATTGATGTTCCTCCGATGTGGCATCCCTTCGTCGTCGCGACCGCTGTTTCTTAGGGAGCAACGAGAACGGCACATTTCCTTCTTCGGAATGATGGCTCCACGCCGATGAAATACTTCCGGATGTCTCTGATGCCCGACTCCCGAAACTAGATGCTGATGAGGGTAAGTGAGACGATGACTCGTCGAAATTGAATAAATCCATGGTAGACATATCGAAATCAAAGAGATCTGGTGTAATATCTAGATCATTGGATGCGATCGCATCTTGGATTGCGTATTCTGCGACTGGCTCATCTTCAGGTGGCGATGCTTTCCAACGTTCCATAGGAGTCATTGAGCTCAAAGTGTCAGTAATCATGGGAGACCCAGCGCGATGCCGCGTTGTCGACGCATGTCTTAAAGTTTGAAGTTTTTGTTTCTGCCGACGACGGGCATTCGCAAACCACGTAGAGATGCGTTTATCTGAGAACCCAGTCTCTTGTGACAATCGATCCTTTTGTTCTGTAGTGGGATATGGGAATTCTTGATTTTGGTAAAGCCATTCTCGTAGGATTCGAGCTCCTTTCCTAACAAACTGTTTAGTGTCCTTTCGTCCTTCTCTATCTTCCACGCTGGGGATTATTCGATTTCCCTGTATGGAGTTAGTTCAAGTATGCTGGTGAAATCCCGATCGCAGAAACTGACATCATCATCAATGTCTTCTGGGAGGCCGTGTAAATGGCCCAATACAGGTGTAAAGGTCTCAAATCCAGAGGGGAGACGTTTCTCGCCCTTTGAGAGACTGCATTCCCGAAATAGAGCTACACAACTAGAACATGCCGAGACTGGATTTGGGTTCGCTGCTGTGGTACGGATGATCAGACACTGCAGGCGATGTCTACGGCAGTGGGTACAGGGATCTGGAGGGCAGAATGCTCCATTCAGCCACTTAGAAACCGACGATTGTGTCGCCGGGTGAAACCCAAGCGCGATGTCGTCTATGGTCGCATTCTGGAAAGTCTCGGGCGGCTCATCGGTATGAGGTTGTGAAGTTGAATGGCCTTGTTCAAGCTCGTCGAAGGGTGGTGGTTCGAGAGTTCCCCATGGTGCCCATAAATCGATGGATTCCGCGGAGGAGAAGTATAAGTCATTCAGCGGTGCCAGGGCATCTTCCTGTGTAGCATTTGATATCCAGGTCTCTGGGATACCGTCTTGTAAACCTCCATAATCAGGAAATGGTTGTATTTGAGAAGGAGAAGGAGATTTGTTGTGAGGATCCATTTCTTCAATGGTTTCTCCGAGGGAAGATATGATTCCAAGTCACTTTTGGAAGGAAATCCCTCCGATGCGATCCACAGTTGTTATCACTCTCCGCGGGAAACCTCCTGATGTGGAGCCCTGCCCAGGTGGAAATTGAATATGGTGACTAATCACTCCAGTTGACGCGGGCCCACTCCAAGGGTCCATTTATTTCGATTTTGTTTTGAATTAGACTACGGAGGAGATAAGAGCTTAAGAACTTGAAGTATGGAGCACAGAAATCAGATTAATGCGCTGGCGTGATGCAGCTGCAGCAGTGGGATTTTCAAATATGCACAAGGCCTCTTTTACTTGGGTTCTTTCACTTTTACTCACCTCCAGGGCTGGCATAATACCCAACCTTGAACTATATAGCAGCTAGCCTTCTCCTACAGGCTAATCTGATTAGAACATTTGAATGATATGAACTCAGAGTATAGTGTGTCCATTTGAGCAAGTTTCCAAGGTTCAAGTACTGAGGACATGTTGATCTTTCCCAATTCTGCTGCTACTGTGCTGCGTGAAGCGCACTTGTAGGACAATACGTTGCAAGTTGAAGTTGAAACAACGCTTTTCTTTTTCAATGTCACCACGCAGTGCAGAGCGATTAATTTTGGATGAAAATGAAACACACTACTCTTTGAATACTGATCAGCTCAAATTATGAATTTCAATTCATTATATTAGGAATCGATGCTGTATGACGGAGGAGAAACACGGCCGTAATATTTTACACGGTCGGGGAGTCAGGTTTTGAGCTAACTCATCTATAAAACAATAACACGATACGGTAATAGATGTATGATGCTGTACAGGCTCAGCCTTATCACTGCCCAGGTGGCAGGCAAGATGTAAAAAGAGTCAGAATCTTGGAAGATTTTTATGAGAGAGAGATACTCCTACAGATTCGAAGTTCGAAACTGTTAGTACCTGTACAATTTTTTAGAAATTTCCGCTGTTACGAGTTGGGTCACATAGTAGTCTCGATAGGTGTTTGGTTATGTCTGCAGCGCTTTGAACTAATTGTATATTGCGCGGCGTTGAGGTGTACAGCCCGTTGTTTGGACAGAAGGGGCTTTTTCAACCTTGAAGTAATGTGAAGTCGGAGACTTACACTGGCATATGCATCTCATGCATGAGAAGATATTCTGGGATAAATTAATAGCCCGCTGTCAGTGTCCAGTTAAGTAACGAATTGTTTGCTCATTGGCTGTGGAGGTGCAGGGATCTGAGTCGACGGAGGGCGGGATCCCGCAAGCCGAATGGTTTCTTTGTTCGTTCAATGTATTGGCCCCCATTTTGATTTTTGTCTCTCCTCCCAAAAGGATTCCGGAACCCCATTCCCTCGGTCAAATAACCTTCGCAACTGATAATCCTGCTGTCATAAGGCGTTTTATCAGATTGCAACCTTATCCTGACATACTCCCGTGTGGCTGCCGACGATTACCCCGGACTAAAGTCACTAAACAAACCGTTGTCTCAGCCCATTCGTTGGCGAACTTGGGATAGCCATGGCTTCATCATCATCACTTCCAGTGAAACAGGTCCATGGCTGGCGATTTTGGGCCGTTTTTCCAGGCCTCTGCTTCTCGATCCTCCTCGCGGGTCTTGACACTTCGATCGTAGCCACGGCCCTACCAACGATCTCCGCAGATCTCAACACCGGAGCCTTGTACATCTGGGCTATCAATGGCTACTTCCTGACAACGGCGGCAGTTCAGCCGTTGTTCGGTCAAGCATCAGATATCTTCGGTCGTCGAATTCCCATGCTGGTATCCATCGCTCTCTTCACCCTGGGTAGCGGGCTTTGCGGTGGAGCCAAAAACACGGCCATGTTGATTGCTGCACGTATGATACAGGGGCTTGGAGGTGGTGGTCTCTTCGTTATGGTTGATATTATCGTGGCCGATCTCGTTCCTTTACGCGATCGTCAGCTCTACATGTCTATCGTTATGGGGACCTTTGCTTTGGGGACATTCATTGGACCAATTATCGGAGGTGCCATTGTCACTGATGCTTCCTGGCGATGGATCTTCTATATCAACCTACCTATTGGTGGAATTGCCTTAGTTTTAGTACTGCTTTTCCTCAAAGTCAACTACAAACGCGAAGGTACACTACGCGCTCGTTTGCAAAAAGTCGACTTTTCAGGAAATTTCCTCCTGATGGGCTCTGTCGTTGCTGTCCTGATCGCCTTGACATGGGGCGGAACTACCTACACCTGGAACTCGTGGCATGTTCTCGTCCCCCTTCTGATTGGCGCTGCTAGCTTGGTGGGCTTTTTCTTTCATCAAAAGATTTATGCTCCAGAGCCGACCATGCCAGTTCGTCTCTACAGTAACCCCACTTCGTTGATATCCTACATTCTCACTTTCCTTCATGGTATTGAGATGACTTGGCTAAGCTACTTCCTGCCTGTCTACTTTCAGGTTCTTCTTGAAGCCACCCCTCTTCTATCTGGAGTTTACCTGCTAGCCATTGTCATTCCTTTGATGCCAGCTGGAATCGCTGGAGGACTGATCATTGCTAAGTTTGGGCGTTATAAGCCGACAATGATAGCTGGATATGCCCTGCTTTCTATCGGTGCGGGCTGTCTTACAATCCTGGATGCCAACTCATCGACAGCTACATGGGTGATTCTCCAGATCATCACCGGAATTGGGGGTGGCTTGGCCTTGACAGCGACCCTGCCTGCAGTACAGGCACCACTGCCAGAGTCAGATGTTGCGATTGCAACAGCCTGTTGGGCCTTTGTTCGCAGCTTTGGTTCTATTTGGGGCGCAGCAATTCCGTCAGCCGTATTCAACTCAAAGGTTGATAAAATGCTTGACAAAGTCAGCAATACCGAAGTTCGAGAACTACTGAAGCGCGGCGGAGCATATGAACACGCAACAGCCTCCTTCATGAAGTCATTCAACAATGATCTTACGACTAAGCAGGAACTCATTGAAGTCTACACGGCAGGTCTCAAGGAGGTCTGGCAAGTCCTGATCGCTTTTACAGTCATCGCCGTACCTCTTGCCATTATGATCAAAGAAGTCGCTCTCCGGAAGGAATTGGTGACTGAATATGGACTCAAGGACGAAGTTGAGAAAGATAATGTCACTGTGGATGATAACAATGAACTTGCGACCGTAGCGACCGGGGTCGAGCAACCTATGGCCAGATGAGCCATAAAACCTACCCAGGGTTGCTTGTGTCATTTTTTGCTAGTTCTTTTCCAAGGTTTATTTTGCTTATCTCAAACATGTTTACTATATCCCATCTCCTCTTTAACAAAAGCTCGCCTCTCAAAGGCACCGAAAATCTGACATACTAATTTGAAAATGACAACGCTCATATTCCCATCATCCCACGTTGCGCCAGCTTATATGCAAAGGGAAACTTGAATCATATCTACTGTGCACGCGTGAAGAAATATTTGAAAACCGATTCAGCAGCCGTTCGTATTCTCGAAGGCTCTATGTGCATCTTCCAACAAGATAGGAGAGATGGTTCCAGGTTCCAAAATGTCACCAACTGCACTTATCAAAACACGCAGTACCCGAGCATAATAGCCAGCATGTATCTCTGTCTGGCTGTGCTTCATCAGATGAACACAGCTCTTTATGGCTGTATTGATGGGCCAGACAATAAATAGATACAGCTGTCGAAAAGCATCTAGTCTTCGTCCCCAAAGCCGCCAGGTGACCAGTAATGCATCTGCAACATCTTGGGCAGCAGCTATACACTTTGATGTCGAGTCCGCTATCAATGCAGGTGGTAGGTCGTCTTTTTGAGCTTTTCTCAGAGCTAATTCATGCAGGGATATCTCAACTGCGTCTATTTTCATTCGGAACACCAGTGAAAGGGGCTCTAGAGAACTATCGCCGCTTAAATGGAGGGCAAGTAAGCTTGTCCGGCAATAATTAATTGCTTTGTTGAGTTGGTAATGGGCATCCCAGAAAGCGTATCTTTCACCCTCCGCGCTTGAAAGCTTATGATCCAGATATTGCCTGTACAAGAATATTGTAATGATGTCGCCGATAAAGGGTGATGTGGGAGTATCCAGCAAGACTTCGTTATTGAAAACCTGTTCTAACGTCGGGATAGAAGCCACCTTTGGACTGGTGTGATTGGTAGGACTAGGTAAGGACAATGAAACCTCGAAGCTGTGAGTTAGCATGCATGATAAAATATGCCAATGGTCGATGATTTACCTGTTTCTCAAGCGTCGGCCTCGTATTAATGCGCAGACTTGAGATAGCATCAAGTATGTATAGTATCCAGAAGGATCGTCGTCTCTCCTCTGCCTCGCAGGAGTCAGAGGCAAAAGGACGGAGTTTTGTTGGCAGGTTCCAATCTTCAACTGGCTGATTTGAGGGACCCTCGGGTTGTTCTAGACTCATGATTTTGCTTAGACCAATAGCACGTCTAAGAGTCATCCAAGCACGGGCCTGATTTGGCCGCTTTAGCTCATATAATGTCAGAAGGGCACATGCCTGTAAAATGTTGATACTGGTAAGAGATTCCCCACTCTCCTGCCTCTCACAGATATCAAGCATGGTTCGCGCCTCTTGATAAATTCTTGCAGCCTGTTCAGTCGTCTCCGGAGACGATAAGGCCCCTAGCGCCATTATAGCGTACGACAGTGTCCGTATTTCTATTGACGGTGACACGTCGGCCATTTCTCTCTGAACTCGGTTTCGATCCACAAAAGGAAAACTTGGATGGAAGACATTGAAAAATCTATCGTGTCTTTATCAGGGTTCTTCTTTTAGCTCGGGTCTTAGATGAAATTTGAATGTGATGGGGGTTTACTCACAGTGTTTGTATGGGATCCAATGTGCTAGTTATGGTGTTGCTTGCCGGTGTTGGCGGAAAATCCGGGACCATAGCATCAAAGTGGATATTCTCCGTGGCGTCCAATAGGTTTGGGATTATTGCTCGGTCGGTCGGTAGGTTTGCTGCAAATGAAGGGAAGTCGAAGTCAGAGAGATCAGAGCTATATGGTCAGCATAGCTTAGGGATAGATGGATATAATCAAGGTAAGGGATGGAAGGAAATGATAAATGGAAACAATATCTGAAGTCATACATACCGGTTATTCAAGGTAGTGTTCCAATCGTTGACGCTTTCACTCAAGATACACTGATTGCTATCCAAATTGGGGATCCCCACATTTTTTAAGTATGTTTGATCTTGACTTGGAGAGATTGTCCCCCCTAGATAGCTCTCCAATGCTTGTTTTATCCCAAAGATTAGGGAGCGACTCATGATTCTGCAAAGAAGGGTCAACTGCCAGCTGGGCCTCTGCTTGATCTGTTATAGAGAGTCAGGTTTCCTATATTAGCCTTCATAGTCTTCAGAAATAGTTGAGATATTGGAGCTTCCTTCGAACGGAATAACTGACTTAGACGATTATTGAGTGTCATGAGAAACCTTGACAAATCAGTTTTGGAGGGAGTTGGTTTTGCTCGCGATGAGTATCGGCAGTGGATGTTGACTTTCGCGCACCGTCCACATATAGGTCTCTGCTTGTCGCAACGAATCTTGCGATCACGACAAGCACTATTGGTCAAGTCAGGATCATTCTGGTATGCAAATTATCCGGGTATTTTATCCGATGATGAAAGACTTACTCGCAGGCCAGTCGTGTGGGCATCGAATGACTTGAGGGAGAGGTTTGTCTAGTGCATTCCATAATGCTCGCTGCTTGATCGTCTTTCATCGAATTTGAATTTAAGAAAATGAAGTCCGCCATGATGCAGATTGCGAATCACTATACTGGGACTGATTTTACAAAAAACAAGTTGAACAGGAAAAATATTGATTGTTTGAAAATGAAACTCCACATTTCTTAAGCATCCTACAGCTGATTCGGAAAACATTTGAATACTCCAATACTAGAATAGACGGCCGCATAGCCCCCCAAAATGGAGATGATACTAGTACCTACTAACAAAGAACGATACTCCAATCGGCCCACAGAGAGAATAACAAATTAGCTGTCAGTCAGCACTACTGACTCAGAGTTCACGGACGCAAAAGTCTTAGCAGAAATAAATACTAGGAGTATTATATCTCCGCAATCGAATTATCCACGTATGACTGCCCCACCATATCTCATACAAAATGTGTGCTCACTACCACCCAATGCGTTTCACTATCCAATGCGTATCTGTACAAGGAGGAAATCGATCCGGCCCGTCCTTAGCGAGCGCCACTTCGACGATTCAGCTCAATCCAGCGACTGTTCCTGGAGGATCATTAATGATGACATCTTTCTGAAAAAGCCAGGGCAAGCATATTCATCCATGAGTCCAAGAGTGAAAAGGCCAGTTGGAGTAATTTTGGACATGTTGGCCTGAACAACGAGATTGACTCAAGCGTGGCGAGCGAGGAGGATTGTGCGAGGCTGACTTGGCAGATCTCTTGGCAGGGCAAACAGTGTGTTTGATATCGATCTTGTACGTAATTTCCCCATACATTTCTTTCGACGTCGCGTGCCAATCGTCGAGTCATACTGGGGGCCCGACAGTCCTTGGAAGTGTCAATTTTGGGTATTCCAGCGTTATCATTGGCGAAGGCGTCCGAATAATGATCTGCTTGCTCCATTTACCAATAGACTTCTTGCATTTGAGATCTAGGAAATAATCACAGCCTCGAAGCCTTCCAATGTTGTCAGTGCTCAGCCTTGTCAGCACCCAGCCGCAATGTGTCATTGTTACAGCCCAGGCTCCAGACGCCCCGAAGCACTAGCTGAGTGATACTTGACCAATCGAATATGAATCGCTTCCAATACCCTTTTGGAGCAAGTTGGAAAGCAAGGATCCAGCTCCTGGCCCTTCTCTGTATTTGTGAATGGAGGTAATTTGTGATTGAGAGGCCGTGGCATAGAAGCTCGAGTCTCGCTCAGTGGGTTGTCGTTGAATACAAGACATTGAACTCAGGTTGAGCCTGAGGTAGTACCCATGCAAATTCTCCCAGAATTAGTTCTGACCAAAATGATATAAAGTGCTCTACCTGCGCTATTGACTGCTGCCGCTGAGTGCCAGTGCGACTTAATCTGATCTTTGTACGGAGTAAGGAGTAGTCCGATTCCATTCAGAGATCTTTCGGGCTCGTGGAATGCGCTTTACCGAGTAACCAGGCCACCCTCTCTGCAACCCCTCGTCTAGGCATGGAGATGGTTTAGAGCGGGGCCATGTAGGCTACATAGGCTACGAGTTCGGAGTTCCTGGGGCGACCCAGCCCACTTCAAGTTCTCCACTGTGCGATCCAATGGGTCTGGTTAGAATGGCCCCGGGGGCGGGCCCCTGTTTAGTTCATGGCGTAGGGGGTCAAGGCACCTATCAAACTCAATTGAGGGATTTAAAGTATCCTTTACCCCTAGAATCTTAGCGAGCCAACCAGTTAAAGATACTCTTGACGGCCCGCATCCTGCCGCGGATGCCTAACATTCCCCTGTGGAAAGTCAAAATCAATACTGCGTACGTGTATTCCAAGATGTGGCAATTAAGGCTTCCAATTCATTGTAACTATTCAAGATCTCTACTGGGGCCGCATCCAAAGTGGAAGGATGGCTATTACGGAGTAAAAAGGCTGAAGTTGATCCATCATTATTATTACAATTAGACGACACTGGAACCAGTTTAAGAAAATAATCAGTTAACTTACTAGTAGCAGTACACAGCCAATTCAAATTTTACTCCCCAAAGGATTCCGACCGTACTTTAGTTAGCTGATACGGAGGACATGCATGCCTATTCCGCACGTATTTCAAGTGATTCTGGCCCCCAGGTTAGGAGAATTTGGATCGTATTCTGGCGCTAACTTTGCAGTATGGAGCTAACGTAGGAAGAAATATGAATCGAGTTTGAGGAAGCGAAGGTGGAAGATGGGGCCATGTGTAGGTCGAGGTCCCGCCGGGGCTTGGTCCATCGAATCCTGCCGCAACTTCAATTATCCTCCAGTGTTTTATTCCGCCGGGAGATTCGTAATGGTGTTGCATTTTCCGGATGATAACCGGAAAAGTAGTCGTCGAACACGAGATCACTAATCTGTGTATCAACAATTTCCAGATCACCGAATGCGCGGAACAGCGCCGCAGCGGTAACATATAACTCACAATACGCTAGTCTGAAATGGAGAAACGTCAGTTCATAATCTTCAAGTTCAAGTTAGATCCCAACCTTGGAAGAGAAGCGGCATCTTAACTTACGGCATCCCAATACATTGACGACTGTCTTTTCCGAATGATACCAAGTATCGCTGCAGTCGGTTTGACTCTGCTGGGTCCAGCCAGCGAGTTGGATCAAATTTGTCCGGCTCGGGAAAAATAGCTGGACTACGATGCATAGTCCAGCTTGAAATGCCTACAGTGCACTGATGTGTGTGTTAGAGGATTCCAAGAGGACCAAAATTGCAGTTCGAACTTACACCCCCTGGAATGAAGTAGCCATTGAATTCAGCACCAGGTTCTGGAACAATACGAGGCAACCTTCCAATGACTCCATAGGACAGACGCAGACTTTCCTTCACAACAGCAGCCTGAAATTTGACGTCAGCATGATAATCAAATAAACAAAAGTGTGATCGTCACTGTTTTCAGGATCTTTTACCAGGTATGGGAGCTTCTCCAGTGTAGACCAGCTCATTTTGGACTGATCTTCTGGGAAAGCTTGTATGAGCTCAGCACGTAGCTTTTGATAAATATTGGTATCATTGATAACGTAAAAGGCCATGATAGACAATGCATTACCAGTTGCGGCAGCTGCCGCTACGATGATGGTTAACGCGATGTCTGTCATGTCCTCAACACCGGGCGGATTATCCGACTCCAAGAGCTCATGGAAGATAGATCTCCGAAGGGGCTTCTCATGCCTACTGTCAACTTGATTCTTGACTTCTTGCACATTTTGTCGTGTTCCCTACGGGATATTAGTAAGAGCCCAGAATATTTATCAAGTAGTATACTATTGGATGATTCACCTCAACCATGGCATTGTATCTTTTGAGTGCCGGACTGAAGTTCGATGAGACCCAAGGTGGAAGCCGCAATGCCAAGTTTTCTACAGTTTCGAACTGCATGAAGAACCAAAATGATTTCAACACTCCCCGTACCATAGAAGAAAAGTCGTTTCCATAGCCCTCTGCACTCAGGAGGCCATAGCAGTTGTGGAATGAGTAATCGCTGGCTACATCAATACTCAGAGCACTGAAGAGATCGTGGAGCTCCACAACCCCAGAACCATCATTTCCATCGTCCAGACCATTTTTTAGCCTGTCAATAAGGAGGCGAGCCTTATCTTGTACCACAGGCTCCAAATTGATGACACTCTTGCGAGAGAAGAATGTATTTAGCGGGGCGCGTCGGAGAGAATGAAGTCGGTTCTCCACAGTGGTGAAAAAAGCAGCGGGCGCACCAAAGACGCGGTAGTAGTCGGGTGCCTTCCAGTACTTTGAGCCGACATGGTATATCCTGCTATAGTTCTCTGGGTCATTCAGAGAAACTTCATTTGGTGTGATGCGGACCACCGGACCATATTGGGCATGTAGATCGTCGATCTTTTGGTAGAAACGACTTTTGTTTCCATAATAACAGTAGAAGGTCTGGTATAGCTGCGTTATAGCCGCCAGCTTGGGCCCTGGAATATGTGATAACGGATGTAAGGTAAGTCTGTATAATGCAGTGGTAAACACCCAAAGAGCTACCAGCATCCCAGACCACACAACAAAATCAGCGGTCATGATGAGAAATATGTGGTGTCTAGGTCCGAGTTGGAAGTGAAACAAGTGCCAATCAATATGGTTGAAAAGCAAACATTGAAAGTTGAAATGCACAACACGGGAGGTTTGATGGATGCAATATTAGACCCAATATCCTAGCCAACCTTGAAACTAGCTTAATGCCCACTACTGGAGAGCCCGGCGCTCCCCACCTCGGCATGCGCTATTCCGCACCGGCATGTAAGCCCCAGTCCAAGCTCCGGAGGCCTTATCTTACGAGCTCTGCAACTGACACCGAGAAAACAGATGTGAACAAATCGGTGCGCCTAATTACGTTGATTAGTAAGAAGAGTGGCGTGTGAAGCTACTTAAATTAGCGTGGAAATTATATTGGTCCTTCGCACTCTTCAAAAGGTCCACTGGTCAACCGTCGGGTTTTGGGGGCGGAGGATCAATCCCGCAGGCTGGGAGAAGTTGAATGTACCAATCACGAATTGATGAGCGGGATGTTTCTTAGTAAACTCCATTGTCTTTCAGGTCTAAATTAGTGCTTATGCTAAGCGGGGGCTTTTCATTGACACCCACGTGTATCTAACTCTTCCCAGCAGAATCTGGACCATCCACGTCCACTTAGTGCGAGGGGTGATATCGCAAGGCTCCTAAGGATCTCATCATCGCATGATTGTTCCATCTGCCCGATTCTCTGAATAAATCCTGTAAGAGTGAACATTCTAATCATGATTTTTACGATAGTTTCTTATCCAGAATAGGCTTCCATGTTCACAAAAATTTCGTAAGATTAAAGATTATGTCCACAAAACCGAGACCGTAACGCGACCCCAAAATGTGACCTTTGTATTCTTCCACTTTAGTTAAGATAAAGGGCTCGGTCAACTGCCCATTGAATCGCCTCTGCAGTCTTGGCAAGAGTGCGTGGATCCCTGGGTAGCTGATGACCACCTTCATGTGTCACAACTCGCGCGAGCTTAGAGTCGCATATCCCAGCCAGACTCCGGCCTTGATCTGCGAACTCGTCCTTTTCGCCAATTAGATGAACTGTTGGAATGGTAATCTTCACATCATTGACGGATGGATGATAGCGGAGCAAGACATCTATGCTCTCTCGTCCTGAACTGAGGACATCCGTTCTTCTGGCCTGGAATTCTTGGATAACACCAGCGGCTCTACAATCTTGTAGCCAATTTATGGCTTCGTCACCCTTCGAATTTTCTTCATTTTCTGGTGGTTGATACTCCGCTTCAAGATTGTCCACATGTCCATTATATGATAGTTTCAGGGTCCCGGCTTCAAGATCGAAAGGCATCGTGGCACAAAGGAACACAGCAACCTTAAAAAGCTCCATCTCAGGGTTAGTTTTTGCCTCGTGGGCAATGATAGTAGAAGCCACTCCGGCACCTTGTGAGAATGCGATAACACCGTCGAATGGACCCTCTTCCTGTACTACCTCCATGATAAGATTGTACGCATTCCACACATCCTCAGGAACCGGTTCACCGTGGTAGCAAAGATATGGTCCCGGAAATATTTGATCAATTCCTAGTAGATTGAGAGTGGAAGAGTCAGCAATATATTTTGAGATTGAATTGTAGAGGTCAAGTCAAACTCCTACCAGGAGGTGGTGATGCGCTCATTTCCCCATCCAAGAATTCAAATTCCCAGTCACTAGGCAAGTGAGCTCTCAATGGCTCCAGCTGCGTCTCGAGGATTCGCGAATTTGTGCCATGGCCATGTAGACAAAGAAAACGCATTGTGAGGTTTGAATGATGTTGCAAAACGGGGGACGCGACGCAAGAGGTTCTGTGATCAAATTTCTCTGAGTTGAGATCAGCTCAATAGGCAACAATTGACACGCAGTAAGATTTCCCTTGCTCAGCTGAATCTTCCATGCGCGGAGAATGGCGGGGAACTGCGGACCGGTGGCTCAGAAGAGAAGTGGAGGCTATCTCGCGTCGAGTCGCGCGCGCCCCGGGGGCCAAATCCTTCGAGACACTAAGGAATCAAAATACACCTATGGATGCTGGGACCCGTGCGGGAGCTATTTCCATGCAGTAAGAATATGCAGGTGACGCATATCTCGTCCCATGTGGAGCTCGCAGCTGTTGACCCGCGGTGGCGGATTGAACTAAAGGCAGAATACATTCGTTCCAATAAATTTGCCCGAAATGACATTCATGTTTCGGCTCGATGAAACCCGCTCCGAATTTGGGGCCATCTCAAGGCTCATGGGTGCTCCATCATTATTGCTAAAGGTGCTTTTTCTGGGCAGATAATTATAAGGTCAAATCCCCAATGAAAGCCACGTTCTAACCATACCTATCTCTACATCTTTCAATCCAAACTTCATATTGAAAGACTCCATCAACATTAATTCAAAGAGTATCAGTCCAAAAAACTCCAGCATGGAACATATCCAAGAATCAGATAGCTCCATGCCCATTGCCATCGTTGGCATTGGAGGCAGGTTCCCGGGCGAAGCTACCAACCCCAGCCGACTGTGGGATATGGTCTCCAATGGTCGAAGTGCTTTGACTGAAGTTCCTAAGGACCGCTTTAACATTGATGCATTCTATCATCCCCATGCAGAGCGCCAGGGAACGATGAATGTGAGAGGAGGGCACTTTCTCAAGGATGATGTTGCCCTATTTGACGCCCCGTTTTTCTCAATCACAGCCAAGGAGGCACATGCTATGGACCCACAACAGAGGCTTGCTCTTGAGGTAGCATATGAGGCTCTTGAGAATGGTATCACTCGCGCTCTTACAATTCGATAGCAGATGAAATAAATACTGATATTTATTCAGGTGGAATGCGAATGGAAGATGTTCTCGGATCCTCCATGGCTTGTTACATGGCTTCTTTTACCCGAGATTATGCTACACTCCGTGGACATGATGCGGAAGATATCCCGTGAGATGCTATCAAATTGAATTAAAATACACCTTTGCTAACACTTGTCTTTTGATAGGATGTACGAAGGCACTGGAAACGGCTCCGCCATGATTTCCAACAGGATATCCTGGTTTTTTGACCTCAAAGGCCCCAGTTTGAGCTTAGACACTGCTTGCTCCTCCTCTTTAGTGGCACTGCATCTGGCGTGTCAAAGCATCCGAACTGGTGAAACAAAATGCGTAAGTGACCTTGTACCCGACAGGGAATCCCATGAATCAATTATCATGCTGATTAAATTAGGCCATGGTCGGAGGCACAAATTTGATTCTGATGCCTGAGATGCAAACGGCTATGACATCCTTACATTTTCTGAGCCCAGATAGCAAGTCTCAGTCTTTCGATCACAAGGCCAATGGATACGCCCGAGGCGAAGGAGCCGCGGTTGTTCTTGTGAAGCCTCTTGCCGATGCTATCAAGGACGGGAACACTATCCGAGCTGTGATCAGAGGCACTGGTGTGAATCAAGATGGAAAAACACCAGGTACTCTTAATTATGCCAATCCTTATCAAAATCAAACAAGTTGGGTTTACTCACTGTTATTTAGGAATCACCCTGCCCTCCGCCCAGGCACAAGAGGACCTCATCAGATCCACATACGCAGCGGCCGGTCTGTCTTTTGACCAAACCGGATATTTTGAGGCACACGGAACAGGTAAGCTCGAAAAACGGTAAGAAAAGATTGACTCGGATCTTCTCACAAAATATTGCCATCAGGTACACCATCTGGTGATCCACTCGAATGTGCGGCAATTGGGGCCACTATTGGGGCCAGTCGTTCCAAAGATAGCCCGCTTCTTGTTGGATCTATCAAAACAAACATTGGGCACATGGAGGGTGCCAGTGGTCTGGCTGGTCTCATTAAGGCTGTATATGTCCTAGAGAAGGGACTTATTCCTCCCAACTTGTGGTTTGAGAAAGCCAATCATCGAATTCCACTGGTTAAATGGGGTCTAGAGGTTAGTAGACATCTCTTCTATATCTTTGAAGGATGCGGGGTCCATTCACTTTTTGGAATCAAGATGCACTAACATACATATAAACAATATTAGGTTCCCACAGAGCTTCAGCCATGGCCCACAACAGGTTTGCGCCGAGCAAGCGTCAATTCATTTGGATATGGTGGCACCAACGCGCACTGTGTACTAGACGACGCCTACCACTACCTGACATCTCGTTCCCTGGACGGATTCCATGTTACGACTGAACTACCCGGCGTTGTAGATAAAGGCGACAGCGCGAGCTTTGATGGCCTGAGTGGTAGCGCGAGCACTGCCTCTTCCGTGAAAGAAAATGAGCAATTGACACCAGGATCAGAGCATGAGGGCTTCGAATTAGAACTTTCACCTTCCGCGACAATCCCTAAGTTACTAATGTGGACATCTCATGAGCAGGCTGGAATTGATCGGACTGCAACACAATTGCAGGAATATCTATCCAATCAAGATGAATTAAGCTCTACCCTTCTCACCAATCTTGCCTACACCCTTTCCATGGGTCGCAGTCGCTTCCCCTGGAAGGCCTACACGGTAGCGTCGACTGCAGCGGAACTTCCATCATCATTGACCAGCACTTCTTACTCGAAGCCGCTGAGGTCCTCTCAACCTCCCGTATTGTGCTTTGTATTCACGGGTCAAGGTGCACAGTGGTTTCAGATGGGTTCCGAGCTTCTAGCGTATCGACGCTTTGAAGAAAGTATCATGGATGCAACAAAATATTTGAAGGAACTTGGAAGCGAATGGGATCTCTTTGGTATGTATCTTCAAAGGCAATCGAGCAGCTTGATGGAATATTCAAAATAAGAATGCGTACTGACTGGTACTTTAGCTGAGCTCACCTCGCCAAAGGAGGGTTTCAGATTGAACGAATCTGCGGTCAGTCAGCCAGCCTGTACGGCGTTGCAAATTGCGCTTGTTGATCTACTACGGGAATGGAATATCACACCCTCTGTAGTGGTTGGTCATTCAAGTGGAGAAATCGCGGTAAGGACCCAACTTATAGCTCGCTTCATCAAGTGATACTAATCATGATTTCAATAGGCCGCATACGCGAAAGGTGCTATCTCACGTTCCCAAGCGTGGAGTATCGCTTACCATCGAGGCCGCCTGTCAAGCACTCTCACTCAGGAGGGAGCTATGCTTGCTGTTGGCCTAGGAGAGGATGAAGTGCTTCCCTTCATTGCACAGGTACCACAGGGCAGCGGTGAAGCCGTCGTTGCCTGTATCAACAGTCCCTCCAGCGTCACCTTGTCTGGGGACATAACAGCGATAGCCCATATTCAAGACCTCTTAGACGCCGAGAAAATCTTCAATAGGAGACTTGCCGTCAAGACAGCATACCACTCTCCACACATGAAAGACTTGGAAGAGGCTTACCTCGAGGCGCTTGCCGATATTCATCCGGAGGGTCTTTCTAGCCAGCCAGTCGCCACGATGTTCTCTTCCGTCACTGGTGGAATTGTTGACAACGAAACTCTTGCGAACGCTGATTATTGGAAATCCAACATGGTCAATCCAGTGAGATTCAGTCAAGCTATGCAAAAGGTGCTCGAGTTCAATCTGAGCAAGCGGCGCACGGCCGGAAAAGCTCAGTTCGTGAATGTTCTTGTGGAAATAGGACCTCATTCCGCACTTCAAGGCCCGCTTAAGCAGATTTTGGATGCGAACAGAGACACATTGAAGCGAGAAGTCGCTTATACGTCCGTACTAGTTCGGAATAACAATGCTGTTCGAACCTGTCTCGACGCGGTAGGAAAGCTAGCTCAGCGGAACTGTCCTGTTGATCTTATCAAAGTGAACCAGGAGATGACAAAACCCGACGCGAATGTTCATATGCTGATAGATCTGCCACCATTTTCGTGGAATCATTCTACACGATATTGGTATGAGTCGGCACTCTCAGCAGCTTTTCGACACCGTAAGTTGCCACGTTTCGATCTTGTGGGAGTGCGCACCGAGCATTCCACCGATACTGAGCCTTGCTGGGCAAATTACTTGCGAGTTTCAGAAGCACCATGGATTGAGCATCACAAAGTCCAAGGCACAATTTTGTATCCTCTCTCAGGAATGATGGTCATGGCGATCGAGGCTGCGCGCCAAATTGCGGACGAGTGTAAAGAAATTGACGGATTCCAGATCCGGGACGTCTCTGTCGGAAAGGCAATGGTGCTTGCGGCGGATACTCCCACTGAGACTAAAATTCAATTTAGACCGCGAAGGTCTGGAACTCGATTGCCTGATGCCTCCTGGAATGAGTTTACCATCTCGTGCAGGAGTCGCCAGGGTGTCTGGACGCAGCACTGCACAGGTCTTATCGCTGTCAAATACGTATCGGAGCATAATCGGATTTTCCACAACGAAGATGCATCTCTGGCGCTTCAGCATCGTGAAGAATACAAGAGGCTATACAACGCAGGCTTCAAACCTGATGACCCACGTCAAGTCTACGCTGCCGTAAGTGACAACATTGTTTTCCAGATCTTTCTAAACTGACATCTTCAATAGCTAGCCGAACTTGGTCTTCAGTGGGGACCGACTTTCACCGGGCTAGTTCACATTAGCTCAGGTGATTATGAGGCGCACTGTGAGCTTGAGGTGCCTGAAACCAGAAAGTTCATGCCAGAAGGCTTTGAGTACCCACATGTTATTCATCCCGCGACGTTGGATAACTTCATCCAGATGGTGATTCCGGCTTGCACACTCGCTGGTGTTCAGCTAGAGAAGGCCAAGATTCCAAGGTTCATTGAGAGTCTCTACATCTCGAACAAGATCAGCTCCACGCCTGGCACCAGGTTTTATGGTTATTCCAAATCTAAGCCTTACGGCTTCAATGAGTCCGTGGGAACCATTGTTGCATCTGACGAGACTTGGGAGAAGCCACTGGTCATGATCGAGGGTTGCAGAATCATTTCTCTAGAGAATATGACGGATGATCTTTCCTCGAGCTCTGGTTCCAGCAAACAGTCGCTACGAAAGTTAGGCTCTCATCCTGAATGGGACCTTGACATCGAGCAACTGGGTACGAACGAGGCTCAAAAGTTCCTGGCTCCATACGGCGCAATCATCCCCGATGTCGACATCGATATGATTCGCGATTTGGAACTTGCTTCGTTCATACTTTGCAAGCGGACCATTCGTGAATTCTCTGCATTGGATGCTGAAAGTTTCTCTCCTCATCACCGACTCTTTTACGAGTACATGATGCATAGGTATCAACTTGGCCAGCAGGGCTTACTGGATTGCCAAAGACCCGAAACGGACGGATTTGAGTGGCTCAACACAACCGAAGAATTTGATGACGATGTTCTTGAGCGAGTTTCTGAGGCATCTATTGATGGTAAACTACTTTGTCACCAGGGCGCTCACTTTCCCGAGATCTTGCGTGGAGAGCTGGAGCCTCTTCAGGTGTTGATGCAGGACAACTTGCTGACACAGTACTATCGTAATGCGCTGGGTACCAACAAATGGAACCCGATCATTGCCAAGTATATGCAGATGAAGTCTCATAAGAAGCCTTTGAGGATCTTCGAAGTTGGTGCAGGCACAGGAGGAACAACTAGTGTGGTTTTGTCGGCACTCGGTCAGCGAGAAGAGGCAGGTTCCAGACTGGAACGATACACCTTCACCGATATTAGTGGTGGGTTTTTCAGTGCAGCAGCCACTGACTTTGACGAGTGGGCTCCATTTTTGGAGTACAAAATCGTGGATATTGAGAAGGACCCTGTACAGCAAGGCGTCGCGACCGGCACTTATGACATTGTCATTGCGAACAATGTCCTGCACGCCACAAGATCGATCAGCGCCACTTTGGCTCATTGTCGGGAAATGTTGCGACCGTGAGTGCATTTTCTGTTGATTTTTAGTTGTTTCATTATTGACTAGATGATACAGGGGCGGCGTCTTGCTACTCGGCGAGCTTACCACGTCCTTGGCCCGAGTGCCCATGATTTTCGGAACACTTTCTGGATGGTGGAATGGTATTGTTCAACTGTCCATTCATAATCTTGAAGAAATCTGCTAATTAGTCTTAGGTGAGAATGACGGCCGCAAATGGGGCCCAAGACTTACTGAAACGCAATGGGATACGCAACTTCGCGAGCATGACTTCAGTGGACTGGACCTGTGTTTCCGCGACCATAGCACCGATGATTACTCCATCTCACTTATGATGTCGACGGCAAGCCCTCAGCCGATTGCCAAAATTCGCGATGAAATTGCACTAGTAGTCCCTTGCAGCGCAAGTGCGTCAGTGGGCGCCGTCGCCTCCAAAATAGCCGCTAGGCTGTCATCGGAAGTGTCCAGTGTCAAAATCATTACACTTTGCAAGGCTTCGACTGCTGACCTCTCTAATACAACATCGATCGCAATCCTGGAGGCCGAGACTCCATTCCTCCAAGACGTGGATGCGACCAGTTTCGCAGAAGTGAAATATGTTTTGCTGACTTCCAAGAAGACACTCTGGATCACACGTGGAGGCGCAATGGACAGCTCACAGCCTGGAGCCAACCTCATTGCTGGTCTCAGTCGAACAATCCGAGCTGAAATCCCAAGCTTCCAGCTCATCACGCTTGATCTTGATCCTGAGTCCTCGATTGATGCCGATGAAAATGTAACATCCATCCAGCAAACGCTGCATTCTACAGCTGAGGTGGAATCCGTTGATCGTCCGGACTGGGAATATGCTGTTCGTGAGGGGCGCATCCATTCTCTTCGATTGACTCCAAACAAGACCTTGAACGCGATTTTCGAAGCCAGCAAAACGGATCAACCGGCAGAATTGCTTCCATTCCACCAACCCGGCCGGGCTCTTGCCCTCGCCATAAAGACGCCAGGCATGCTAGACACGTTCCAGTTTGTCGATGACGATGAGTACGTCAAGCCTCTTACCGACGGGGAGGTTGAAATCGAAGTCAAGGCGGTCGGCATGAACTTTCACGATGTCATGATCTCGATGGGCCAGATTGCCGATACAGACCTTGGTGTAGAGTGTAGTGGTATAGTCACTCGCGTTGGGAATGCTGTTACCAAGTACAGGCCCGGTGACAGGGTCATTACATTCCGACTCGGCTGTTTCAGGACATTTTTGCGCAATCCCGAAGAGATGTTTGAGTTGGTACCAGACTCACTTTCTTTTGAAGAGGCAGCGTCGATTCCTTGTGTCTATTCCACCGTGTATTACTCACTGTTCTATGTCGCTCGATTAGCCCGCGATGAGACAGTATTGATACACGCTGCAGCAGGTGGTCTCGGTCAGGCCGCGATTATCTTGTCGCAGCATATTGGCGCAGAGATCTTTGTCACGGTATCTTCTGACACCAAGAAGCAATTCTTGATGGAGACATACGGTATCCCAGAAGACCACATCTTTAACAGCAGAGATTACAGCTTTGCTGCAGGCATCAAGCGCATGACCAAGCAGAAGGGAGTTGACGTTGTTCTCAACTCTTTGGCAGGAGAAGCGCTACGTCAGACATGGCTCTGCGTCGCGCCTTTTGGACGATTCATCGAACTCGGCAAGAGAGACATCGGTAAGATTAAAATAATCACCTCGAACTTTGTCGAAGCGGCTAACACTTTTCTGCACAGTCGGAAACACTGGCATAGATATGAGTCCATTCATGGACAACATCATATTTGCTGGAGTAAACATGCTCTCAGTGTATCGAGACAACATTCCTCTGTTCAGTCGCATCATGAGCGATGTGATGAATGCTTTAGAGCAAGGAATCATCCGGCCTGTGCAGCCTTTGAAAATAATGGATTATAGCCGAATTGAGGAAGCGTTCCGAACCATGCAATCAGGAAAGCATATTGGCAAGATGGTTCTCACAGCTGGTCCTGACAATCTGGTGCCGGTATGTGAAAGATTTTCTGCCCAAGGTCTCAGAGAGCGTGGAATGCTAACCTGAATTCTAGATTGTGCCAGCGAAGATGAAAGCTTACTCATTCACACAACCTGGAACTTATTTGATTCCTGGTGGCCTCGGAGGTCTCGGTCGCTCCATCGCTTCCTGGATGTCTAAGCAAGGCGCAAAACATCTTGTCTTCACAAGTCGTTCGGGAGCGACAAAACCGGAAGCCAAAAGCCTGATTGATGAACTGCAAGGCCAAGGTGTAAACACACTCGCATTTGCTTGTGACATTAGTGATGCTAAAGAGTTTCGAGATGTTCTCGATGCCGTGGAGGCCAATGACTTCCCTCCAATCAAGGGAGTGATTAACTGTGCGATGCAACTTCAGGTAGGGCGAGCAATCGGAAGGACCCTCCAGCCTAAATTCGTCTAATCAATATGTATAGGACGTGTTGTTCGAGAATATGACCTTGGAAGACTTCAACGCAGCCATCCGGCCTAAAGTTCTCACTACGAAGAACCTTCATGAAATGTGCCCGAAGGACATGGATTTTTTCGTATGCCTTTCATCGACTGGAGGCATTGTTGGTTCTCGGGGACAAGGCAATTACAATGCTGGTAGGTTTTCCTTGCGAAGATATGACGACCGTCGTATATTTATCTAGAAATGAAAGAAACGATTACTGACTACTGCCTGCAGGAAACACATACCAGGATGCGATGGCTCATCACCGCCGAGCTCAGGGATATCCGGCAACGAGCATCAACCTGGGAGTTGTACTTGGAGTTGGTATCACAGCCCAGCGTGGTGAGATCCTGTCATATCTCAAAACAGGCGCGATGATCGGAATCCACGAGCAAGAAGTCCTGGCCGTAATCCAAGCCGCCATATCCGGACAGATGCCAGCTCAAGTTGTCGTTGGACTTGCTACTGGAGGGCACTTGGAGAAGAACGGACACGATGATCCATTCTGGTTCAGCGAGGCACGCTTTGGTCCACTCCGAATCTTTGACACCCAGGAGTTGCAAGCACAGTCTGGAGGCAGCGGTGGTGACTCTGCTGCTGACCTTGAGGCTGCTCTTCGAGAGGCTACAACGATGGCCGATGCAGCAGATGCTGTTTGTGTTGCACTCGTACGCAAATTGGCTAAAGCTATGATGATGGAATTGGAGGACTTGGATCCTAGCCGACCGGCAAACTCCTATGGCGTTGACAGTCTTGTTGCCGTCGAGATCCGGGCCTGGGTTTTTAAGGAGGTCAAGAGTGACGTCTCGGTCTTTGATATCTTGAGCAACAAGCCGCTAGCATTGCTTGCCGGCGCGATCGCTGCCAAGTCGACCTTATTGTCTCCTTCAATCAAGGACACTGAGGGCTACATGTAGAATAGGCCATTTGTTGTTAGTGCAGAATTCTCTACTGAGATAGGATTATTGAGTCAGAAATGTGAGAAATTGACAATTTGTGGATTGAACTGTAAATTGCACAACTTGACATTCCCTGGACGCGTCTTGGGTAGACCTTTGCAAATGGGTCGGGATCCCGTCCCACTGCAAGCGGGATATCCTGGGACTTCCTGGGATTTTGCGGGACGGGATGCGGGACAAAGATTTTGCTGCGGCCCATTTGCAATACTAAGGAGATCGGATAAAATTGTCACCGGTTCCGGTCTAGGGTTGTTGTTAAATGGACACCCCTTGCACAAATTAGGCTTAGCACATTCAGTAGCCTTCGTATCTCCATCCCATATCCACCTGTTCCTGAGTGACACCTCCCTTCATTGCCCTCCTTACTTGGGATTCATCGCCGTAGAGCTTCTTGTTCTCGTTTAAAATAGACCACTTATATACCGTTATGGTGAACATAAAGGCCACGACGACACCGATGCCTGTATATAGTCAATTATTACTCACCGGCAGTTTCAACGGGACAAATGTTCACTTACACATCCCAAACCCGGGATAGAACCTGGGCCCTTCTGTCCAGAGATAGCTACCCCAAACGTTTGATGTTCCACCGATAGCATTGAGAAGAGCAACGCCTGCAGCTCGCTTAGGATATGGCCTAGCCATGTGGAGGTTGAGGGTCTTGTAGATAGGGATTTGTGGTCCGACTAGAATTAAATCTGTTAACAAATAAATCCAGCGGGTAGAAAGCAAAACAGGCGCCTTACTGGTTGCGCTGGGGAACAGCATGATGGCGAAGTATCGAGCGCCGAGGTTGGTAGTCGCTAAAGAAACCACAAACCCAACAACTCCGAGTGTCAGTGACAGGATTATAGGCCAATATAGAGCCCCGGTGCGCTGCGGTTGAGTTAGATGGGGATTTTTGAATCTTCAGTTGAACAGCTTACGTCGCTCCACCAGCTGAGGAAGTAGAAGTAGAAACAGGCAAACACTATTGTCCGTTAGTCGACACTATTCCAGACAAAAAAGACTCGGATGGATGTAGGCATACGGTAGGGCGGGGCAGTCAAGACAAGAGTCATAGTTTCATCATATCCCAGTGTGTCCACGATTGTAGGAAGAAAGTTGAGGGCCGAGTTCAAGGCTTGGGATAGGATCACACAGAATACCAGTACCCAAATCTAGAGTTATCAGGGGACCAAGAACCTGGAATGAGGACGAATCGAGTTTTTACCTTGATATCAGTGAGAGCGAGGAAGAAACCATGTAAAGTGCTGACCTCTTCATGGGCTTCTCCCACGCCACTCTCTTGCTCAATACGCCAAACAGCAAGGTCACGTTCGATTGGTTTGAGTAGACGGGCATTATGCGGATATTCGGGCTGATATAGTCAGCTTGAACCAGTATCAACTATCATGGATCCATCTTACCATGAAGAAACAAGATATTAGCCCAATACCAACCGTTGCTACGCCCTCACTTCGGAAAACTTAGCCAAGTCATAATATTATGCAAATTTTGGCGACTTACACAATGAACAAGTAGCGCCATCCTTGGATACCATGTACACCATTCAGCTTTAGGACTCCTGCTGCAATGAGTCCACCGAACGCACTTCCCAACTGTTGACCAATGTACAGGGCCGCGAGTCGTTTCCCAAGCTCCTGCTTAGTGTACCATGCAGACAAGTAATAAATCACACCTATTCGATATGAGAAGCTATCATATCGGGGTGGATACTGACATACCAGGAAAGAAAACAGCTTCGATGACTCCAAGAACAATGCGAACACCAAGTAGACCACCATAGGACTGGGCGGCTCCTGTACAGGAGGATATAATGCCCCAGATAACGACGGCGACACAGATATCTACACTCATGTCAGTGAAGTACAATTTCATCAGCAAGTGTGGGTTTTTACATAGCCCAGGTCGAGTGATCTTGGTCATGATCATGTTTGACGGAATCTGGAAAGGGATGTATCCCACTGTCTCCAATATGAGCCATCGCTTTTTAGAAAGGGATCATAGCTCACAGACCATATAGGATAGATATAGCCGTTGAAAACTGGTCGGCATTCATGTTCAAATCTCCCATGATATTCTGCAATTTTGCCGACGACAAATTCTGTCGGTCAATATCTGACTTTGTGAGCGCTTTAAATCATCATGCATCTTCATAAGCGCAGCTCACAGTTAAGGATGTAAAGGACCATAATAATAGGGCTATGATGATCAGCATTTGTTACCCTTATCTACTATCACTGCTCACATACAGTACGACGCAATCGATCTTCCTAACGACTCGTCTCTCAATTTGATTCCTTTCCTCGGTAGTCAAACCACGGAGACTGTCAGGCATAACCGCAATGGCATGATCTTCGGCTTTCAATACCGATTCATCATGCTCAGTTGTCACTTTTGTATGGTTGACTATGGCGAGATCGATAAGAGATCCCGCAGGCTGGTGAGTAGAAGACATTTCGGTCAACGCTTAGTTGAGAGAAGCACAACACAACAGTAATAATAGTAGTGGTGGTGGTAGTAGTAGTACTATCTTGCAGAAAAGAGCAAACATATGTATCATAAATCCGAGTCTTTCCCAAATCTGCCCAGGTGGAGTCCTGGGCAGTTTTAAAAAGCATATAGCTAGGAAACATTTGCTTATGATTTGACTGCATTCTGCATTGAACTTGAACGGAAGTGGATATGTTTGTGAATGGTTCCTTTAATCCAATAATCCCACAAACAAACAAGCTCCACATTCATCCTTCCTGGAAGTCTAACACAAAAGGAATTTACCGAGAAGCCGGTGGAAAGTACATCAAAGTCGGGGTCTACTCTACGTACTAGCAAGGACTACCCCGCAAAGCTTAGTGTGGGGGTATCCACACAGTACGCCGGCGGTTCAAGTTCGGATATGCTTCCGCAAATATACTGTAGTACATCGCGGAAACATTTCATTTTTTTCCGACACAGAGCATCGGATTAGCTGGTTTAACGTTCAGCAAGCTTGAAATCTTCTTAGTGCCTCCTCATCAATGGTAACACCCAACCCAGGACCCTGCGGCACCCCCACGTATCCTTCCACGAGCTGAAATTTCTCAACCAGCAACTCATCCCGCAAGCTATTATGCGTGCGATCAAACTCCACCATGGGCTCATTTCTCAATGGAATCGGACTAGCCGTATGAGGCATGGGAGGAATAATAGCTAACGCCTGCAGCGCTGCAGCGAGTGCAATTCCAGACCCCCACACGTGGGGTATGACCAGGATGCCATGGGTATTTGCTAGAGCCAGGATCTGAGAGAAGGCTGTGAAACCCCCACACACTGTTAAATCCGGTTGAGCGATATCCACGCATCCTTCGCTGAATAAATCTCGAAATCCGTAGCGGGTGAACTCGGCTTCGCCGCCCGCAACTGGGATTGGGTTCTCGGTACGAACTCGATGATATCCTGCTCGGTCTTCGGGGATAACTGGTTCCTCGAAGAAGCGGATATCGTATTTTTCAATCAGTTTCCCCATTTGAATTGCTGTTGCGGCGGTATATGCGTGATTTGCATCTACCATAATAGCAATATTAGGTCCAACTGTCTCGCGGATAACGCGCAGGCGTTCAGCGTCGGCATGAATGTCAAGGAGTCCAATTTTGACTTTCAGCGCATCAAAGCCGGACTCGCGGTATCGGGATGCCTCAAGCTTGAGGTTCTCGAGTACCTGTGGTAGATCATCGTATTTTTCGGGATAGTAGCATCCTGTCGCGTAGGCTTTGACTCGGTTACGGAATGCACCGCCGAGCATCTTAGACACGGGAAGTCCGACGGCCTTGCCACTGATATCCCATAAAGCTATGTCAATAGCACTAATAGCCTCGACATAGGTGCCCTTTTGGCCAAAGTCCCTTGAGAAAGAGTAGAGTTGCTCCCAGATCACGACTGGCTCGGTTGGATCCCGGCCAATAAGTTTTGGTGCCAGCACATGGTCAATCACGGCTGCGACTGGTTCAGGGGGTCCATATTGACCGCCTTCTCCCCATCCTACAAGACCGGTATCGGTTTCTATTCTCACCAGGAATGAATTGCGCTCTGGGAAGCGAGCCTGAGAGGAGTAGAAGACCTTATCGCCGAGCGGGATGCGAAGAATGTGGGAAGTGATTGAAATGATCTTCATTTTGTGATTGTGGCCGAATTCCTCCTTGTAGTCGATACAGTAAATGTTCTATTTCATCAAAATCATTTGCATGTTTTTATATATGATTATAGACAATGGGATTCCGAAACGGATCGTGGGTATAGTGGATTTTGACGTGGGGTGTTCCGAGTCGGCCCCTCCTTCAAGTTCGGCTTGCAATCCTTCGTTAGGAACTCATTGATAGGATGAAGTGGGGTGCTATGTTACCCAACAAGCTGGGCAAGAATGAGAAACCCGGTGGGTTGGTTTCCCTATCGATCATGAGTGGTAGTCGTCTCTTCTTCGAGCGCCGGAGTATATCATTTCCCTCGGCCGGCCGGGGTGAGAGCTGTACTTGCTGGTACTGCGACACTGACAACATTCAGTGACATGACGAGTGCAACGGGGTCATCTTGGTGGTTGTGAAACTTGATGTGTGTCGAAGTGACAAGAACAGGAAGTTTGAGTTGAAACTTCCAAGCTGGTGCCTGATTTAAGTTTCAAAGGACAACTGGACGGTCTTTGCATATTTATTTGATCGGTTCCGATGTGGTTGTTGCCTCGGACCTCCAAGTTGTACACACAAATCAGCACATAGTTCACAATATTCACATATGCATGTTCACCTTGGTATGCGTTCATCTGGCTGAAGCTTGAAACAGTTTTTTGTGTAATTTTACCTATGGTAGTATCACCCTAAACTGTACAAAATGACTGGACACTTGCTATTGTATCATGTATGAAAACTTTGAGTGGGCCCGGGCGTGAGGCTATCCGCGTATGAGGTAAGCAAGGGACTCACCACCGTAAATTGACCATCACCAAGAAGATATCAACATTAAGTCGAAGAATATGGAGTCATACGGCCCCATAGCTTATGGTTTGATCCAAATATTAAGAAACGGTCTGTCCGAGTTGACCTGGACCTTAGTTTTGGCGGTCTGCCTCTCTTCCTGCATCGTCACGCGTGTGATTACGGGCCTTGCAAGCGGACACCGAAAATCAAATCCAGGAGAGATACGCTCAGGAAGACAAACTCCCTACTGGTTTCCCTGGATAGGACTTGGCTTTGAAATTCTCTGGGATCATGTTGGTCTTTTCAAATCATTACGGTACCGTGCCAAACCCCATTTCTATTTTTAGCAATGCTAATCCTAGGAGGAGAGAGAAGATGGGTGAGCCCGTGTTTGGGGTTTTCTTGCGAGGACAGACCTACACTACAGTGGTGTCGCCGTCCATGATTCAGACAGTTCTCACTTCGCAAATTACGCGTAGCGTGTCAATTTTTGACCAGGTCATGCAGAATGTATTCGGCGATCGGAGCCTAGTACTTAGTCTGCGCGCAAATCAAAACCAGCAAGTTTCTGATGATGTTATGAAAGGCATGATCCAGGATAAATTTTTTCGCGGTACATCAGAAGCTATCACTAAGGTGCTCCAGTTCAATGTCCCAAATCTGGTGAGCTTCTCGCGAAGTCCCGTGGATCAACTCCCTTGGGAGCGCGACAGTTCCGTCGTCTTGTCGGAGCAAGACCAGTCAGCTTGTGAGGCAGATCTCGTTGCACTTTTGCAGAACTTTATCGGCCACCATATGACCGTCGCTCTAATGGGCGAGTCCTTTATGGAGTCATTCCCGAGTGTACTCCCTCAGCTGTCGACTTTCGACGATGGGTTCGTCTCATTGTTCATAGGATCCCCGAGATGGATTCCCTCCCCCTTGGCCTCGGCGGGACGAGCGGCACGGGAAAATCTCATTCATATCTTCTCAATCTTTTACCGTGCCTTCTGCGCATGCGAAGACGGCATCGACCCAGGCATTGAGCTTCGTGATCTTGATGATGTGTCAGAGTTGGTCAAGGAGCGAATGCGGGCCTTCCGGAAATTAGAACTTTCACCACGGGCCAGTGGTGCTGCAATCCTATCCCTTTACTGGGAGTCGATGGAGTACATTATCAAAATGACATTTTGGACCTTGATTCACGTCGTTAGTGATGCGGAGCTAGTCAAGGAGATTCGCGAAGAAATGAAACCATACGCGGAGGCAACTCGACGCAGTCGCAAGGAGACTGGGTTCCCATTTGAAGAGCCTCCGAACATCAAACTTGATATGGAAAAGCTCGAGGAATCATGTCCACTTCTGAACGCGTGCTACTACGAAGCGATCCGTCTGCATTCTGCAGGAATATCGTACCGGGAATTAGAATCTGGTCTGACTCTCGTGGAGTCAAAGGAGGAAGCTATGGAGCCTCACACGTACAAGATCTCCAAGGGAAATAAAGTTATTATGCCCCATGGTGTCTTTCAAAACGATGCAGATCGCTTTTCCAACCCAGATCAGTACGATCCATTGCGCTTCATCACTACAGATGCTTCATCTGGCACCAAGAAGGTCAACCCGGAAATCCTTGGACCTACTGCAGAGGGATTGTACGGTCCTAAGAGCAACAAGTTCACCCACCAGACTATCCTGGCTTTTACTGCTTCGATCATTTCGATGTGGGAGATTTCCTCAGTCAATGATAAGGAGCTTCTGATACCACGTCACAGGAAGACCTGGGGAACATTCCGGCCTGCGTATGATGTTAAAGTGCGCATCAAATCACGAGTCTGAAAATTATTTTGTTGGAAGTTCATTAGCTCAGCCAATGTCAATTTTGCTGCATCATCTGGAAAAGCGGCTTTGCTCCCTTATCACTATCCTGTAGATATTCTCTCAAAAATTAATCTTACTGAAGTTGACTCAAGAGGTGAGACGCCAGTATAAGGCCCAAGTCCGCTGTGAATTGTAAATGGTTCCCGGCGCCCGGCATCCGTACCGCGTCAGTATGCTTTTTTCGCCTAGAACACAGCCTGCAGCTCATTTCCTTGATAATAAGACCGAGATCGCCCTGGATTGCCGTGCTGTGCTGACTTGTTCGTCAAAACTTGAAAGTCAAAAGCCACGACATCACCAGGTTAAAGTAGCCACCTGATTCGTCCATACCTCATCCCTTACGCTTCCAGTTCAGGCTTCAATTCTTTTTCAAATCACCATCTCGCTCCCATTGCTAGCCTTTTGCTTATTACTATCTTGGATGATCATCACAAGATGAGAAGGAAGGACTCGTGGCCTATGGCTCCACCATTTATGGTGTCCGCTCCAGGAAAAGTCATTGTTTTTGGAGAGCACGCTGCTGTCTATAACCAGCCAGCTATTGCCGCTGCGATATCTCTATGATCATATTTACTCGTTACCACACTATCCAAATCCAAACGCACGGTTCGACTTAACTTCAAAGACATTGGCTTAGATCATACGTGGACGCTCAGCGAACTTCCATGGGATGCTTTTCAAGTACCTTGCAAGAAGAAGTCCTATCACTCCACCGTCAATTATCTAGACGAGGAACTTCTCGATTCCATCTTGCCGCATGTCGAAGTTGTATCCCTGGATCTGCCTGACGAGCAGCGAAAAATCCATATAAAATCTGCCACTGCGTTCCTCTATCTCTTTCTTTCCCTGGGCTCTGAAAATTGCCCTGGTTTCGTTTATACTCTGCGATCCACCATTCCAACCGGGGCTGGCCTAGGCAGCAGTGCAAGCGTTTGCATCTGTCTAAGTGCTGCTATGCTGCTCCAAACCCATAGCCTCGCCGGACCTTATCCTCACCAGCCATGCGAGGAGGCAATGTTACAGGTAGAGCGCATCAACCAGTGGGCATTTGTGGGCGAGATGTGCATACACGGGAGTCTAAGCGGAGTTGATAACACAGTTTCTTCACGTGGAGCAGCGGTGGTTTTTAAAAAGAATGAAGAAGGCCCTGCTTCCGTTACTCCTCTTACTGGGTTTCCGAAGCTGCCGCTTCTTGTTGACACACAACAATCGCGCTCAACATCTGTACAGCTTCAAAAGGTCATTACCATGAGAGATCACCATCCAAGACTTACAGAAATTCTGCTTGATGGTATTGGTCAAATTAGTGCTGCGGCCCTGGAGATTATTTCTCCTCCATACCCCACTGATCACTACCAAGCTGAAGTCATCAGGGCATTGGGACCCTTAATCCGGGTGAACCATGGGCTGCTTGTCTCACTTGGGGTCTCCCATCCTCGCATTGAGCGTGTGTGCCAGCTTGTGGATCACGCCCAAATTGGCTGGACGAAGCTCACAGGTGCAGGGGATGGTGGGTGTGCTATAGCACTGTTCCAACCCGAGGCTCCGAGGGAGGAATTTGAGGATCTGGTCCAAACGCTTGCTACCGAAGCATTAAAAACCAATGAAATCGCTCTTGGCGCCGATGGTGTCGGTGTTCTCTGGCCAGCTATGTTTTATACTAATGGAGTGACCGGAAGGAAGTTTCAAGACATTGACCTCGAAAGATTCGAAAATGCTGTTGATGCCCAAGAAATCGAGCAATTGGTCGGTGTGAAGGCGACAGAATGTAGGGAAGGTTGGAGTTTTTGGAGGCACACGCTAGATTAGAAAATATGCAGTGTTTTTATATTCATTTTTGCCAGGACAGTGGTGTTGCTATTTGTACAGCTAGTAGGAGCATATCATACTAAGACATCGCTGCGTTCGCAAAGCCGAGATCGTCAACATGTAAAGCTTTCCTGTCCTTGTATAATACCCCCTGGACGCAATTGGGTAACTACGAGCAGCTTCTGGTGATTCAAATAGCATGTGCAGGTGTCTGCATAATGGTGGTCCCTAATTGCGTCCTCGGTAGTAGGTCGGTAGGCTACCGCTAGCATCTGCACCGACCAAGTGTTGAAAAGTCTGTGGCAGCCATATCTTTGCGATTTGAAGGGCGTTCACGTATTTCTATTTCGGAAAGTGCATGGTGCGAGAGCAGCGGCTGGATCAGGGTATTTGCGAACGGTCGGCATCGAGGAAGGACAGAGGAGTCGTCGTCACGCAGCGCGCAGAGAAAAAAAGCATTTCAGGGAACTAGGGGTCTGGAAATCAACATGATCGATCAATCTGTAGTCGTCAGGTGCTGGAGAAACTATGATGAAGACCTGGTCGCGACGATCGTCATGGATCGCGCGCCCGATGATATGATGAGTCAGCATCAGTTTCCCGATGCCCGGCATTAATTGATGAGTGCTCTCTTTGATTGTCAGTCAATTTGTCACATTTCATCATGTTATTTGCTCGGACAGCGACTCGGCGCTTTGCTGGGCTTCGGGCTTTCTCGACTGCTCGGATCTACCGGGCGGAGCTGTCCTACCAGGTCTACGGTCCCGAAAAGGAGGAGGCCGTTCGCGATCCCATTCTGTTCCTGCACGGTCTTTTCGGGTCCAAGCAGAACAATCGGAGCATCAGCAAGTACGTTAGTTTATGAAAAATAGTGAACTCTTACTAACAGCTGGCTGTAGAGCTTTGGCTCGTGACTTGAAATGCCAGATTTATACATTGGTATGTTGATGAGCCCTCTTCTGACTACGTATGAAAGCGGGTTGGAGATATTATGAACCTGTATACTTACCAGTCATATAGGACCTTCGCAACCATGGCCAGTCTTTCCATGCCCCAGAGCATAACTACACTGTGATGGCCGAAGATGTTGAAGAATTCATCGCGCAGCAGAAGCTAGACAAATGCGTTCTCATGGGCCATTCCATGTTAGTGCTTTCAACTCTTGTCCAATGACTAGCTGGACTTTCGAATACTGACATACCGAAGGGGTGCTAAAGCTGCCATGACTGTCGCTCTTCGTGTACCTGAAAAGGTCTCTGCGTTGATTCCCGTTGACAACGCACCAGTAAAGGCGGAGCTGAAAAGTGATTTTCATAAGTATGTCCGCGGTATGAAGGAGGTGGAAAAAGCACAAGTCACCAAGCAGTCAGAAGCAGACAAAATTCTTCAAGGTTATGAGGAGGTATGGAGCTAATTCCCTGCACGCTCAAACCCAGAGACTCATCGATAATCTAGGCGCTTCCTATCCGTCAGTTCCTGTTGACCAACCTTGTCCGTTCCGAGGATGAGAAGAAGACTCTCCAGTTCCGGGTGCCTCTCTCTGTGATTGGCGACTCACTCGATAACATGGCCGACTTCCCCTGGAACCCTGAGGATGGAATTCGGTACAATGGCCCCACCCTCATTGTTCGAGGTACCAAGTCGCCCTATGTCAGAGGTGCAGAGAGTGTTTCCAGCGCCAAGAAGTTTTTCCCCAATCTTGAAATCGCAGATGTTGAGGCGGGGCATTGGCTTATTTCTGAGAACCCAGAGGCTTTCCGACAAGGTAATACTTCAAATCCAATCCATCATTTATGTTGCGCGACATCACTAACATCCTGGTGCAGCGGTTGTAAAGTTCATGGAATCGTTATAATACTAGTATAGATATGAGGGATGTTGGTGTAAAATAGATGTCATATACGCATAGAAGATTTGGAATTCATGTTTAACTTGAATATTTTAACCAATTGATATCCTTTCGGTGTCAAATTCTACAGTTCTGTTGTTATACTTCCAAGGTTATCACTTGCCAAGTAGCGAATGCGCTTCGTCGGGCCCGGCCGCCTATCTTATCACCGGAGAATGCCGACATCTTCTCCACTACCCCAACATATCCCGCACGTTCTCAAGATCTTCCTGCTTCAAATTCCTACTTCTTTCCTTTCATTCATTGAAAACCGGGCTTAAGAAGTACAGGACAAGCATCAATACTCAACTCTTCAATACCAACAAGTCCTGTCCTCGGAGAAATACGCCACCATGGCACCAATCCTCACCTCCAACCCGACCCTCACACTCGTTCCGGAACCTCTTACCCCTACAAGCTTCGCTCCATTTGGCACAGCGATTTGCTCACCCATTCCACGAGATCTCAATGTTGCTCCTCAGCCCTCCAATCTTCCACCTTTCGAGCCCACACCAGTACTCGCGAACCAGAACTCCGCACTGAAGTACAGTCCCATCTCGCCAATGCTGGACCGCTACTCAAGTGGTCCAAGCGGCCAGGCGAGCTCAGCACGAATGACCATGTTCTGCTGCTTCCCACGCAAACTCCGAACAATTACTCAAGCTCAGAAACCTGACAGTGAAGTTTTTGACGTTCGAATCCTTGAGCGTCACCCATTCACCAATCAGACATTTATTCCCGTTGATCTCTCAAGTCATTCGAAGGTTGGAGATGGTGAGGAGGAACCTATATTTTTGGTTGTTGTTGCGCCTACATTGAAGGGGGCGGTCGCAACTGCCAAGAATGCTTCTGGGGAAACTATCACAATCCGGGACCCGCCCGACCTCAAAAATATAAAGGCGTTTATTGCGAAGGGTGGACAGGCTGTGACATATGGCGTTGGAACATGGCATGCGCCCATGGTGGTTCTGGGTCGCCGACGTGTGGATTTCGTAGTTGTGCAACATGTTAATGGTGTGGACGATGAGGATTGTCAAGAGGCCGCTTTTGGGGAGGGCATTGTGGTGAACCTGGGCGAAAGAGGACAATATGGCCGGAATATGAAGGCACCAGCCAAGCTGTGGTCTGCGAAGCTGTAGAGATACAGTTGAGTTCGGACGTTCTTGACGTGGAAAGATACCCATGAAATAATGTATATACACATCTAGCATATAGAAGCAACAAAATAGTGCTGTTTTTGCTTTAAAATTCCCGACTCCCGATTCTCAATAGTAGAAATAGTCCGAATAAGATCGATTCCTAATTCGTTCTTATCATACAGTCATGAACTCAGAGTATTAATAGTAAACCAACTCCATCCCAATGATCCTAAATAAGGGTCTCCTGGTGAACCACCAGTCGCCATTCCCCATCAGCTGCTTGGCTCCATGTAGTAGAGCCCGTTGCCCGGTATTCCTGGTTTCCCCGGACGGCTCGAACCTTATACGTGACCGTTCCAGCCATTAGGTCGATGACAATTGTTCGAACATCATCCAGTTGATATCCATCAAATCGATGAAATGGCGGCTTCAGGCCCTCGTCAAAAGCTTCTTCATCCTCAAGTGTGAGCGCATCCATTTTCGGGAACATTAATACCACATCTGGGTTGCTCAATTTCTTAATAGGAGGTGGTGGGTTGGCTGATGTGAGGGCAGTCCATAGAGAGCGTGTTTTATGGAGGATATCCGCTCGGATCCGATCGTGCATAGTCGGCATATTGGGTGGATTTGTGGTAAACGGATAGAACTTTGAAAATGGGAGTATTATCTGGAATGATAGATCTGGTCAGACAATGACACTGTGTTTTCGGTTTCAAATCCTCTAATTAAATCCGTGAAAACGATATCCGAGTATGGACTTGTAGGATAGCTTACCAGGGGCTTGGTGTGAATTCCACTAGTATCGACTCGGAGTGTGCAAATACTATCCAGCAGGTTGAATCCATTTCGGAAAGAGGAGATGGATATTGTTTTATTTACCTGCTTGTTCCACGTCTGGCAACCCAAAATATATTAAAAATGACGTCAGCGGAATGACGTTGGAAAGCCCATGACAGTGGATAATTCAATCTTCGACAATCAGCCACTAATTCTGCACACCGTTATTGATAGGTACCCTTTTGACGTGCGTCATGCCCTCCGATAACGTCGGGATTGAGTGTCACAGTGGCTTGAGCCCCGCGCGTCATCGAGATTCGAGTGGATGCACATAAATGATGGTCTCCACTTTGCGGTAGCGGGCGATATCTATATCCATTCCAAGACCGTATTATGAAACTGGACTGTAGGAATTAGCATTGAACAGGCGCGCTTGTCAAGTTCGTGAATACCAGGTAGGAAACTGGAAATGATATTGGATGTTGGGTAGGTAGGAGTATGTGGTACACCCTCGGGCGATGCATGTTCATACTTGCAGGTCTCTGTAGTATAGATCGGTGCTAGCTCGGGCTTCACAAAAATGTACGAGCTCCGAGAACTCATGGAATTGATCAGGGGAGTCAAGATCAGTATGATCAAGCTAAATCAGTAAAAATTTAGATCACAGAGCACATGATTTTTGGTCTGGTGTGTTTGTTCTGGTGATCCTGACGCATTTCCTGATTGGGACGAGCTGCGATTCTGATCTGTGATCCTGGCTTTTTATTGGTTGGCGTCAAGCGAGCTCTGATTTTGATCGAGCATCGTTTTACATACAAAGTTATATGGACTTAAGATGCGCGGCGCCAGATCACTCTCTCGCTTCGTCTATTTTCGCTTGCTTTTCCTAATTAGGAACTGCGTGATCTTGCGACATGTTTGATCCTGGGGGCCTGCGTGATCTTGGGGCCCTCCCCCCAGCGTATAAATTCATGGGATCTTTCCCCATTTCAATTTTTCTTTCCTTTTTCCCCAGGTCTCTTCCACTTTTTTCTTCTTCATCTTCATCTTCAATATCCTCCTCCACCTTCATCATGTCATCACTCACATACCTTGACAACATCTTGTCCCTCACACAACATGACCTTGCATCCTCTGTTGACACAACATCAACACATGACATGATGCATCTCACATAACACCTCTTCACTCTGTTGACCCAACACAACACAACCTCAACGACACATGTCTTTCATAACAAGTCTTCACCCTGTTGACACATGTTGACACACTCTACTTACATGGCCTACAGATTGTCTCGTCCTCCTCTTGACCTGACTTTACTCTGCCATGGCCTGACCTGTTGGTGCCCCATCCTCTCATGACACACTTGACTAACACTTTCTCAGGTCCTTCATGGTCTCTACTTGTGCTCTTCACATGACACCACTCGGCCAACACAACCTCACACTATGCCATGACCATGTCATGCCGCCTCTCTCATTGCTGCCTGGCCTCACTTCCATGCTGCCTCTCTTATTGCTGCCTGGCCTCACTGCCATGCCTGGACCTAACTTACTTCTGGTCCCCACCATCTTCAACTGTCCTTCGGGACCTTCAAACAACTCTTGCCTTCTTGGCACAACACTTCATCACATCATCCATCAACTTGGTCTTCACCACAATCTTCTATCAACATTCTCTCATCAATCTTCTGTTACTCAACGTGTTCTCGACAATCTTTTCTTGGCCTATTCTCTGCATGGCCTCCCATCTTTCATCAACAATCTCTTCTCAACAATCTCTCTTGGCTGGTCCTATCTCTTCTTTTTTTCTTTTTTTACTTCATTTCATTCAACCAGGCTTGTCTGGGCATCGCAGGGAGGCTAGCTCCGCGGTGTGCCTATTGTGATGCAAGGACCCACAACCGGCATGATGATCTGATGCTGCGTCTTCACAGTTATACTGAGCGATGCTTGCAACCTTAATCCGATGTTCCCATGAGCAAATGATGGTCCCCTGGGGCTTGATGTGTTGACGGGTCCTGCTTATTAAGGCTCTGGGGCCCACCAAATATCTATGAACTTGTTGCCTCCTCCTGCGCTCCGATGTTCCCATGAGTGTCTACCCGCCGGTTCGCCGGTAGATGGTGTTCACGTTGACGGGTCCTGCTTAGCGTGGCAGTGCTTCAACTTTACATAGCTCTATAGCAGTGGTTAAAAATCGTTCACATCCCTGTCTGTGAGGTTTAACGGTCATTTCATTGTGGGGGCGGCGAGGCATGAAATTGGTCACAATAGGTAGTTTTTGGGGGTTCTGCTTCTTGGAAGGGGATTCTAGTTCGCCTGAGCATGGGAATTTAGTCTTGGTTAGAATCCTCACGGTTCCTGGTATGGCGTCTATGACTCAAGTCCCTGGAGGAGCTGCGCGGGTTGGAGTGGTCGGTGGATGGAGCGTGGAACAGCTTTTTTTGTACTTTGTGCCTCTTTGCACTTTCTTTTTTCTATTTGCTGCTGGGTTTGCCTTCTGAGTTCTCATCTTCAATGCGCTAAGCATCACGCAGCGTCTTGACTCATCAATTGAGCACCCTTTCCACCTCCAAAGCATTTCCAAGTAATTTTCCTTGTAGTTTTTCTCTAAGTCCAGGCATCATCTCAATGCACAAGATTAGGCTCATGTAGAAAATGCATCGCGCATCTCTCAAATGCTCGTAAATGCGCGCTAGTGAAGTAGTCAGAGTCTTGTCCCTACTGGTCAGCATTTCATTTTCGAGGATGAATGCGGCATTACACCAAGTCTAAAATTTCTAAGTCCCCCGAAGGGAGATTATTTGCTATCAACATTTAGGCATATCAGCATTTCCGGGCATCCCCCTCTCCCTCTCCCAGTACCCTAAAGTCTTCCCAAGTTGCGCGATCCGCTCCATTTGGTCGACTGGCCCGCACGAACTGATTATCAACTCCTTGCACAACAGCGACAGGCTTGACAACCTCGATATCAGTACCATACGCCTTTGAGAACCAGGTTTCGGTCAAAGATTGGCGTCCCTCGGTCGCAAGCCCCGCACCGACATAGAGATGGGGGAAGCGCTCATGCATTCCCTTGAGTACCGTTGAAGAGATCCGATCCACACTATCGCAATGACGAAGTTTAAAGAACTCTGGGCTCTGTACAGACCGCAGTTTCTCCTGCACGTCTTCAGGGTATTGGCCCATTGCAAAAAGGAGGAGATCATAGTGCATGAGTGAAGCCTTGCCGTGGTATGATCCACCCTTTGTCGCGCGATGGTAGAGACCGCTCAGCGCTGCGATAGCGCCCATACAACCGGTTCCGTAATCGGAGATGGGGAATGGTGGAACAACAGGAGTTGAGAGACCCATGAATTTACCTTGAGCCCAGGCGATACCAGTGACCTATATCCAGAGTATGTTAGACCTTGAAGATTCAAGTTGACACTTCTTACACCAGGGATAAACTTACGCAGTCAGCAATCTGTTGCCATCCGGCCCGTCCAGCCCATTCACCCTCATAACCGAAGCAGTTCTCGTTCACGTAAACAATACCCTTTCCGCGCTTTTCAGCTAGAGCTGCCAGAGCCTCGGCGCCGTATCCGAGCTTCTCCAGAGCACCAGGTCGGTATCCGTCAACAACAACATCCACGTCTTCCAACAGCTTCTCGAACTCTTGACGTCCAGCTTCGGTTTTCAAGTCCAGATCCGCCGCGCGCTTGCCCATGTTGCCGTCAACTTGGAAGAAGGGCACATCTGATAGATTGGGGCTAGTGATTTTGAGGACATCGGCACCATACTCCGCCAGGATACGGGTAACAGTGGGACCTGCGATGATACGACACATCTCGAGTACCTTGACACCTTCAAGGATCTTCTTGCTGCCGGGTCTGTTGGCGGGGAATGGAGTAGCAGGAGTGTCTCCGCTCAGCTTGGTCACTTTCCATGCCGGTTCTTGCACGTTGAGTTTTCCCTTTTTCAATATTAGCGACACAGAGTTTCCAACGCAAGAATCAGGAACTCACATGAGGAGTCTGGATAAAGTCTTCATATTTGAGTGCAGGGACACCAGCCTGTCGTCGCTCCTTATTCATCACCTCCAGCTCCGGGACTGTGTACTTTTGTACTTGACCCTCGATAACCTTAATGACGTCTTCATACTCTGTCAGATCCGGTCGGTGGCCCTCAAGACCAATCATGTTCAAGGTAGTGGTCGCTTCCAGCGATCCATGAATGTGATAAAACTCATTCGGAGTCTTAGTCTTATACAAGTTCGCTGACATGCGGCGGTATCCATTTGACTGGGCAGCCAGCAAATCCGTGTCTGCACGAGATATCAACGCGATGTCCACAATATCCGTGGCCGTATCAACTTACCTTTCAACTTAGACTTGACATTCGGATCCAACTTCGAGAGCCCATCAATCTTGGCCATATACGCCTGGCAGCCGAATGCCGTCGCGCCCTCCAGACTGACCTGTACACTGCGCGGCTGCTCACTACGTCCGAATCGAACATCCGCCAAAGCCGCAGCGACGGATCCCTCAATACCCTTCAACGCAGCGAGTGTTTCAGTCTCCTTGAAAGGAATGGGGAGATAAATCTCATTGTGACTGGACGAGAAGGATACTTTATCCTTGTTTTCAAGAACATGAGGAGGAAGACCTAGTCTCTCAGACTGATCACAGAGATTTGAGAAAATGCGACTCGTCTCAAGGACCGGCGAGTAGGGCGCAATATTAGATCCGGACTGATTCTGGTTCGCCATGATTTCTGATTTCCTTTCCTTGATTTCGAATATATCCTTCCTGCTTCACAGATCCTTCAATTTTCCAATTCAATCAAACTTGAAGTCTGTGGTGTATTGTATTTGAATGCGAATAGTCGTGAATACCGACGATCACAGATTAAAGTGGCGATCAGACGAGAATTAAGACCCTACGAAGCATATATATGACGATTAGTGGTCGGATCGAGCCCGGAATTTCTCCGTCGGCCCAGTGCCGCCAACCGTCGGGTTATGCCTGGCGGATACGATGTTCATTGAACTACAGCATACTAAGACCCCGCAAATGCAGATCCGAAAAGCGAGCTCGGGCCGGACAAGATTCCAAGGATTTATCGGATGACGATAAGATCGGATGTTGATGTCACGTGAATTCGGAATTAAACGGCGAGCTGATCATGTGATCGGGGGCAGTTGGAAATTTACATCAACCAGTGTGAGTTATAGGTGTTAATATGATTTCAGGGACCTCGGGACTTGAGAGTCTAGACCCAGTCGAAATCTCGAATCATGAATTTGGAAACCAGAAACATTATGAAGAGTCATATGTGCATATTGCATGATTCAAGTTCCTCACAGACCAACTTTGGAGGTGATCGGCGATTCATCTAAGACAATTCGGCTATGAAGAAACCTTATCACATTTAGTGTCTTTGAGGCTAGGTACTTTTGAAATTGGCGTGTTCGATAAATGTGACATTTGAATTTGATCTATCAATTGATGCAGGGTATGAATAACAGAAAAAAAAATCTGATCAAGTTCAAGTTGGTGTTCAAGTTGTATATCGCGACAGAATGCTATGTGGAACAAAATATATATAGGCAAAGTGGATATCCGCTGGAGATTTGCACGATGCGAAGACTCAAACATAAGAAAAAACAATACGTCATTGGAAAACGTGGAAATAAACAATGAGCGATACTCCGAGTCTCTAAATAGTTCCAAGGTCGTGTTCACGATTGATCGGATTGCTCTGGGCTGTAGGTGCCCGTGAATCCATGTTGTCGCCAAGCATCACAGAAGATCGATCCGCGAGAAGATTTGTGCTGGATTCGTTTCTTGTAGCAGGGACTACTTCAGAGGGCATTGCGGTGGCTTTCAGAAGCTCTCGTGCAGCGATACGCTTCGACAGGGCTCTTTCCTTGTAGCAGTGAAGGAAGGCGACACCAGCAAAGACTGAGACTAAGCAGCAGACGAAGATAATGGCAGCAATGTTTCCTCGGCGGTTGCGCTTAGCGGTTGACGAACTTGTTGTTGTGGTTGCAGCAGCAGTGGTTGTAGTAGTTGTGGCACTGGTAGTTGTTGTTGAGGCACTAGTAGTGGTTGTTGAAGCGCTTGAAGAAGCAGAACTAGATGTAGTGGTGGTGGTGGAAGAAGTGGTACTGGAGGTAGTAGATGTAGATGTAGTAGAGGTAGAAGTCGTAGAGGTCGTAGTAGAAGTCGTAGTAGAGCTGGTAGTTGAAGTTGTGGAGGTTGATGTCGAAGTAGTGGAAGTTGTCGAATCTGTTGTTGCGCGAGCAACAATCACATCTCGTTCCTCGATATCACGAAATTCAAAGACTCGCAACAATTTATCGGTGTCAATTCCCAGGAAATTAGAGGCAGGCTCGCTTGTCTGTGCCGCCAGCGACACAGTTGTAGTAGTAGAGTAAGGGTGACCAGTAACACCGGATAATTGGGCTCCCAAAAGGAGTAGAAGTAAAGCCTGCATCTTGTCTTTGAATGGATGAATAGACACAGAGAGAACACACAGAAGAGAAGATCTGGTAAAAAAAGGAAAGAAAAAAATAGAATAAATTGATTTTTAATGATACGGGGTACAGAGGGAAAAGCTTATAAGAGATTGAAAACTCTTAATTTCGATGCTCCATATCTCTTAGTTCCAGGGCCACGACTGTACCTGACGTATACTACTTGTTGCCAAGAATAAAAGAATAATCTCCACTCAAGCCAATTTGGTATTTCACTATGCCCCTTGGTATAAGCTTGCGTTATCCTTATGCTTCGCCGCTCGAACGGCGTAGTTTCAAGGTTATTTTTGCATCCATTTCCAGAAACCGACCACTGATGATCCAGTGGAGCCCATACTAGTTCGATAGCCCACGATGGCACACGCACATGCCGCGCGGCGTTGCCCCACAAGGCTAAACCATACCAAATCTACCGAGTCGAAGAAGAGAAAAGCCAACCTGTTTTGCTGATGGATGTTAAAATTGGAGAAGGGGGGTGTTTGTATTTACCCTTAGAAGAAATCACCTTTTGACCCTGAGAAAGGGTCAAGGTATTCTCAGGGTCATGCTAGTATGGAGCACATATATTGATATTCCTTAACGCGGTGTATAATGCCCCACAAAAGGGAGATAACGCGATAACTCTTAAAACGATAACCGTTGAAATTTTCATATACAGACCAGTTGACACCATCCTAGATTCCTAAGGTGTCTACCAGCAGCCCGGGAGACGAGTTTTGGTTTCAAGTTCCCTTTCCGGATTAGTGCTCACCCCCTTGCCGCTTTTGCTCGAGTAGAACTGAGCACAATTACTAGGCCTAGTGCCCCTAGTAATTACCCTCAGTGAGCACACCACGCCATAGGAGACCGCCAATAAAATGTGCCCACTAGTTGAAACGAGTGACTTAGAAAAACTCAACGTTGAATCTCCCACGATTAACTTAGTGCACATATAATAGCATTTCACATTTGGGTTTCATATGCATGGTATAGCCCCAGTCACATAATGATGATTAGAATACGCTACAAAATCCAAAACTCCAAAAATTGCCAAAAAAAAAAAACAAGAAAATGTCACCGGCTTCCCAGGGAAACTGGCTATCCTGCGCTACTTCAGTGATTGAAACTGATGAACAATAGTAGCAGCAGCGCCTTCAAAAGTGATACCCCCTAAAATCATAAAAACAGGCACATCAACGCTAAATGTCTTGCCAATCCAGTTACGCACCTCAATGGCAGATAGCGAGTCCAGACCATACGAATGCATGGGCCGATGTAAATCCAAATGACCCTCTGCCACGCCCAACAGCGCCGTGATGCGGGCAGCGAGTGCTTCACTAACGAGCTCAGTGCTCTCATTGACTGACGTGGCGGCCGCCAATTTAGCAACAACATCTTTAGCTTGCTTGCCAGGCTTTGTACCGCGGGAATTGTCAACATCCTCAGCCTCGCCAGCCGGCAATGGAATATGATGCATGTGCTTCCAGAACGGCTGGCTCAACACAAACGAGACTTCTTCAAGGTGGCCCCAGTGAGATGGTGGACGAAGGCCGACAATGGGATGGCAGGTGCTTGGGTGCATAGCCAATTTGTTGGATGGATCACAGAAGATCTCGAGCAGAGCAACAATATCGCGGATATATGTAGGCGTGTATTTAGCTGTTTCGTGAATTTGTCGTCGTCCGGTTGCGTACTCGGCATTTGAGACGAGGTAGCCTGCGTCAGGTACAGCGCCGAGGTTGAACGAGATGGCTCGCTGGCCTTGTGAGACTCGATAGCGTGCCAGAGCATCTTGATAAGTGTTTCCGGCATTGTATGGTGCTAGAGATCCGGTGCCCAAAGTGCCCATGACGGACGATAGCATGATGAAGAAGTCCATGTCGGATGGAAGCATGGCATGGAGATTCCAGGATCCTTGTAGCTTTGGCTGTAAAGTACCTTTCCAACTAGAGAGTGATAGTTCGGAGAATATGCCCTCCTGGTTACCTTGTTAGTCATTTCCCATCGCGTACAGTTGTTCGTTCACTTCAACTTACCTCCATGACCATGGCGGCTTGAATACATCCCTTGACTGGTGGCATGGTTGCTGAAAAGTTGTCGAGTAGCGCTCGCAATGCACTGGGATTCGTAACATCACAGGCGGGCATTTCGCATTCGACACCACGATCTTGCAATTCCAATGCCAAAGACTGCGCCTCCTTTGTCTTGGGACCGGATCTTGATAACAGAACAAGATGTCTAGCGCCATTATCGGCCAGCCATCTTGCTATGGATCGGCCGACGCCTCCAAGACCTCCTGAGATGATGTATGTCGCATTTGAGTCAATATAATCCATCTTCTTCCGCGTAATGCGAACCTGGAAGAGCTATTAATATACGATATATATTTCAACATGCAAGGCATGTGAAATGAAGGGATACTCACGTTGACCGTATCTGACTCGCCCAGTTGCACTACAGCAGTATCCGAACTGGTAGTTTGTTTCAAAAACGAGATTAAATTGTCCAGTTGGGAGATTGAAAACATCGAGACCCGGCTTCGTGCATCTAGAAGCGACTGCAAGATGGGTGTAGAAACGGCATATTCCAGAGACTCCCGCGACACGTGAGTCTCGTCGCTAGCCAGGAAAGAGACGTGAAGAGAAGAGGAGCCAAAGTGGAATGCAGATTGGGAAGCGTCATTGGAAACGAGCACCACTTGCCCATTATTTCGCATCATCCCTTTGAAAGTCTGCTCTCCCAATCCCTTGGCGACCGAGGTGGTGGCGAACACAATATCAAACTTGGGCTGAAGCTCTGACCATGTCGAGGAAAAGGCGTTTCCCACAGCAGACGTTGGTAGGATATGTTGTTCTGGGATATTGAATCTCTCAGAAGCCCACTGACAATCTTCACGGCTGTCTGCTGTCAACCATATTTCCGCAACACCCTCATTTAAAAGCAAGCCTACGGCGGCTTGCCCCAGAATGCTGCAACCATCCATAACCAAAACACAATCGCTGCTTCGGATCCGACCTATATCCAACAGACCATGATGAGCTGTCAAGAGCGGAGGGATAGCCCAGCAAGCGTCTTCAAACGATAAATCATCTGGTAGCTTAACGGCGGACGATGGCTGAACAGCAGTAATGGAGCGGAAACAGTTCTTGTGCACAGCAAAGACCCTATCCTCTTGCGCGAAACAGGTTCCAAATAATGTGTCTGTTATGATTCCACTGCAGAAGTTGCCAAGCTGAGTGCCTTTTGCACACAACCCTCGGGCGGCTAACTGGTCTTGATATTGAAGCGAGATAGCTCGGACGTTCATTGACAAAGCCTTGTCAACCACTGGTGTCGGCATCTGGACCAGGTACGGAATTCCATTGTTGTCTTCAGGGCAAGCTGCTGATAATTCAAAAGTCGCATCCATGACATTGGTAGAGGTCATTTTCCAGGGCAAGATGTTGGATTCCATATGAGATTTCAGGTATCTCGCCTCAACAAGACGGCGAGTATGTAAGCAGCCATCTACCTCAATGTACTCTTGTTCATATTTCTCAGATGGCTTTCGAGACACCATCTCCTGTGCAACCTGCTCGAGATGATGTATGTGGCCAGCGCTGCTGTCGCGATTCATATCGAGGGCAACAGAGACGAGATGGAGACTATAGTTTTCGGCTCGCAACGTTCTTGAAAGACCATCAATCAGCCCATATTCTGGTGCTGCTGCATCTCCTCCCCTCCCGACACCCATAGAATGCCAGGCCACGTCTGGGCAAGGAGCCTCAAAATCGCCCAATCTTTTTCGCTCATTGAGCTGAGGAACGATGAACCATAGTCAACCAAAGCAATGCAAAGACTGTTTGAGCTGACAGTGAGATCCGTCGATGCTGCAAGCATGTTCGCGTCCACGACTTCAATAGGCTCGATAAACATGCCTTGCAAGGATGTAGCAAGAGATGCGGCAAGAGATTGCTGTCGAGAAGAAGCATTCAGTTTGACAATGGTACCACTATGATATGTTGGCGGTGCAAGACTTCGCGGGACGGATGACGGCACGTCCACAGCGGTAGAAATAACACAACCCAGCTGATGAGCTGGGCCGTCAAAATCCTTGAACACCATGTCAACGCCTGAAAAGCCACAATTTTGTAGAATCTTGCCCCAGCCTTCCGCGCTCAACAGCGGTGACAGCGGACGATCAGCCTCTGGTCCAACCCACCATCCAGGGAAAAGACCAAAGATAAAGCCAAGCGCCCAACCATCAGGCTGGAGAAACTCTGTCAGAATCAATTTGCCACCAGTCTTCATTGTTTTTCTGACGTTGCGGAACGTATTTTCTAGATCGGCAGTAATGTGAAGCACGGCATCTGCCACGACAACATCATATGTCCCGTCGGAAACTCCCTGCTCGGAAAAGTCCTTCTCGATGTCAAGGGTTTGGAACGCCATTTGAGATTCGTAATCGGAGAACTCATCTCGAGCCTTTTCCAAAAATGTTGACGACACGTCTGTGAAGCAGTACTGGTCGCACCGAAGGGACCCAGATGAGTTGGACGATTCTGTCATGCCAGGAGGGCCATTCATAGACAGTGCTTTAATCAGATGGCGAGTTGCAGCTGCAGTGCCTCCACCCACTTCCAAGATTCTCATGCCGCCATTTTGGTGAGCGAGCAGATCAACAAATGTTGTTGCTTGCTTCATGCATCTGTAGGTCATCAACTCATCGTAGTACTCTCTGAGAAGCCCTGTCTGCATGAGAAGGTCTAAAGGCGTTGCAATGCCCTTGAAGAATTCGACAAGATGCAAAGTCACTTCGGCGTAGAGACGTCCCACTTTGTTCGCAGACTTGACTCGATCACGGACAGTGACAATGCTCTCAGTGTGCGCGGGCGATGCGCCGAGGCGACCCTCCATAACGTGGTAAATTGCCCATTGCCAGTAGCGTTGCTTCCAATCACCCTTGCCAGGATCTGTCGTAATGGCGCCAGGGTCAACAGATGCTAGAAGCACCTGTACAGAGTGGTTGATAAGCAAGGTCACATCGTCGTAAAATGCCGTCAGATCTCCATGTTCTGGGTGAACCCTATGCAGATACTCGGAAAGCTGGAAGTTTTCAAGCTTGTCTACAGCCAGCCTTTGCTCAACATTCATACAGAACTGTTTCGGATCTGGAACGAGAGCGAGCGAAGAAGGTGTTGAGGTAATGTTGGTCAGTTCAAAGTCTTCAAACCATACTCGTAGGTTATTGTCATTGTCAGCGGACACCGAGCCTCCCGCAACGAGAAACCCATTGTTGGTAACTGATGTAATTTTTGACAGGCAGGTCAGATGGTTGGCCTCCAGAGATCTCAGCCCTGATGCAGAAAACCAGAGTCGACCGATCCGCGACGGCACACTTGTTGCCATGGATGAAGTACCACCCGACGTCAGAGCCGTGAAGGCAAGATGGAGGATGGCGTCAAGAGACGCGGGATGAACAACGTGTTCTTGATCAGGCGCATGGTAAAGACTAGTCGTGGCCGTAGCATACTTCAGAGTAGAGTGAATACGCTGATCATCGCATCGAGCAAAGATGGGTCCGTATTCATATCCCATTTCTTTGAGATATTCGTACATTTGGTTTGATGAAATCTTCTGGTTGCATGTGTTCGCATGGTCGACAATGGTCTTGGCCATGTTGCTCTGCTGTCGCGCTTCATGATCGGATAGCCATCCCTCTTCCTTGCCTCGATGATGGATGGTCATGTGTCCTTGACAGTTTTCAGACCAATCCTCGTTGTCAAAAGTGCGAATAATGAATGAAAATTTGGATGCTGAAGAAAGGTCTTTTGTTGGCTGCTTCCGAAGAGAGACTTGAGCTTCTGGTCCATCATTGGAGGCCGTGAAGTTGATGGGAGCCTTGAAGTGAACATCTTCAAAGGTGAATCCATTTAACATATTCCCTTCCTCCTCACACAGTTCTTTCCCTGCTTCTAGGGCCATGACAAGCATTCCTGTTGCAGGATACAACGTCATGCCATTAACAACATGATGTTCAACCCAGGGCATCTCCGACAAGTCCATCTTCCAGTTCCAACGGGCATCTGAGCGATTCCAATCAATTGATCTGGTCCCATGGAAATAGGACGGTCGCTTAGATCTCAGCTTGTAGCTGCGACTTAGGCGGCTATCGTGCCAGTATCGCTGTGAATGATCGAAAGGATACTCTGGAAGAGTTGTCAACATCTTCCGACTTATCAGGCTGTCTGAAGGCTCGTTGATGGCTCTGAATTGGAGATTCACTCCTACGCAGTGCAGCTGGCCAAGGGTTCTCAGAAGTGTATCCACGGCGCTCTTCTTTCGGAAAAGTACGGCATTGTACCCAAGCTGTCCACGAGAGCCAGTGTCCAGAATCTCCCGTAGCGAAGATTTTAAGGTAGCGTGAGGACCAATTTCGAGAAGTTGGTCTACTGCTGGGACCAACAGATGACTTTGGTCGAGCTTCTTTGTCACATCTTTGGCGCCTTGGCGGCACATGACCGACACAGCTTGAGAAAACTGCACTGGCGATGCCATGTTAGATGCCCAGTATGACGCCTCTGCAACGGAGGCGTCGCTAATGACTTTGCCAGTTACGCTGGATACCATTGGAATGTCAGATGAGAAGGGCACTGTGTCGTTGGCATCCGCATATGCGTTGATCATGCACAAATAATCAGCTGCAATGCTATCCATATGTCTCGAGTGATAGGCAACTCTGACACGAAGCTTACGGGCGAAGATCTTCTCTTCCTCCAGAACACGCTGGAGGTAGTCAATGGCAGCCTCATCTCCTGAGAGAGTAATGCTCTGGGGGCTATTTATACAAGCGATGGAGACGCTTGAAACAACATGGCTATGAGCGGAGAGGAGCTCTTCTCCAGAAGCCTCAGATAATGCCACAGCCATCATGGCACCAGAGACGCGCTCCCCGGAATCGGCTAAATGTCCATCACGATCCAGTTTGGACGAACAAATCCCTCTAAAGTATGCCAATCTCCAGGCTAACTTCAATGGAATGTGACCGCTGGCGTATGCTGCAGCAATCTCACCAGATGAATGTCCAACAACGGCAGCGGGTCTGACTCCAAATTGCCGGAGTAAGTTAACCAAAGCAACTTGCAGAATAGTGCACAGCGACTGGCTAAGCTCCGGATTGTCAATGTTGTTGGAAGATTCTGGGTACAGTATGTGGTTAACAACAGACCAGACGCATCCTAGGCTTCGCAGATAAGCGTCAGCCTGCCCCAACTCTACTCTAAAACTCTCGTAGCAAGTTAATTCGCGTCCCATGCCCTTCCACTGCGCTCCTTGTCCGCTGAAGACAAAGCCAATACGTGGTGGCGAGCCGGCATGCGCGGGAACTTGAACTGGTGTTGACATGAGCGAGGATATGTTTTCGAAATCTTCAATAGTGTTCATCAATGCAAATGATCTCCATTGCAAATGACTTCGGTGTGTGTCTAATGTGTACGCCACATTGGCCATCAGATTTGTAATATCATCTGTAGCAGCGATGGACTCTTTATCACCCTGCTGCCGTATTTGCTGATATTTCTGTAACAGCTGCTTGATAGCAGAGTTTCTCGTGCTATACTGCTCAAGAATTCTGCCAATACAGTCCTTGTCGGATGCAGACCACACAAAGAGTCTCTGTACTTCATCTTGTCGTGGCGGCGTCGGGGCAGGAGTCAATGCCATCATATTGGACTGTTCCCGTAGCTGGGGTGGAAGCTTCACCGTATCATGTTTGCCGTTGAGGCCACGAATCCGCAGATAGTTATAAGCATCGTCAATGACGATGTGTGCATTCGCACCTCCATATCCAAATGAATTGACAGAGGCTCGGCGGAGACCATTTGTTGGCCAAGGACGTGCCTTTTGTGGGAACTGAGATAGAAAAATATACGTAAGCCAGCGGTTTTTTTGCAAACATGACAATTTTCAGAACAAGACTTACAGAAATATTTAGATAGTCAACGTCAATCTTGGGATTCACTTTTTGAAAGTTGGCATTGGGAGGGATAATTCCCTTCTCCAAGACGAGAACAGCCTTGATCAAGCCAGCCAGTCCACTGGCACCTTCCAAATGGCCAACGTTTGACTTGATAGCACCGCTAGATAAATCTCAGTCAATGACGTTACAGAGGGTGAAAAGATAAGCATAGGTGCTTACACATGAATAGGATCGTCGGTTGAGCGATGCTGCATGAAAGCCATGCCAATTGCTTGAGCCTCGCGAGGGTCTCCAGCAGGCGTTCCAGTTCCATGAGCCTCAAAGAACCTCGTGTGCTCCATCGAAAGACAGGCCTGCTCATATGTTCTCTTGATGAGCTCATTTTGAGCCTTATGGTTTGGTTGTGTGATGCCAGGAGTGCGACCGTCTTCATTGCAAGCTGTCGCGCGAATGACAGCGCGGATAGTGTTACCGTCTCTCACGGCATCTGATACTCTCTTGAGAACGGTAACAGCGAGGCCCTCACCTCTAGCATATCCATTGGCTCTTTCATCAAAGGAATAGCAGCGGCTATCTGGTGACAAGAACTTGACATTGGACATCCAAACGTATGGCTCAGGCGCACTGGCCATATTGGAGCCAGCAACCAATGCCTGCGGGAAGTTAGTCTCGATGTAATGGAAACGATGAAATATGAAGTCGTGAACGCACCATGGAGCAATTGCCGTTTTTCAGTGCCGCGCAGGCTGTGTCCAAGGCCATAGCGGAACTAGAACATGCAGAATCGACGGCCATACTTGGCCCGCGAAAGTTGAAGAACCAGCTGATTCTGTTGGCAAGCATGCTAAGACCGAATCCTAGTGCTGCATATTGTGGAGGAACTTCGGCGCTGCGAACAAGTTGCAACATGTAGTCCATTCCAAATGAGCCGCAGTAAACGGCTGTCGGTGAGCCGTTGACATGCTCCATAGGGATACCGGCTATGAATTTATACGTAAGAGGACTCAACATTGCACTCGTGTGATTTGAACCAAGGTGATGCTTTCTTACCGTTTTCTAACGCATGATAGGAGGCTTCTAGTAACAGTCTTTGCATGGGATCCATGGACGCTGCTTCAGTAGGCGCAATAGAGAAGAAGCCGGCATCAAATTCGGCAAGATCGCCTTTGAGAAAGTGACCACCTTTAAGCGGCATCTGCAACAGTTAGTGACACTGTTTTGAATTGGAGCCGGGGTAAAAGTTCACAGTGTTTGGCCGTGATCGCTCATCGTAGAAACCATCGATATTGACACGATCAGCTGGAAACTCGGTCATTGCACAATGTCGTTTCAGCATCATATCCCATAGGGCTTCTGGAGTAGTTGCATCTTGTGGAAACTTCAATGAAAAGCCACAAACAGCAATATCATTGCTGTCGATGCCGTCTAGCTCCGGCAAGGTAGTAGTAATGTTCTCCATCTTGGCGAAGGATTATAAAAGATGACTAGTATGAAGCTTGTAATAATGTACGAGAAGGAAGTGTACAGAGAACTTGAAGGAGGAAATTAGCAATGGAAGGATGAATAGGCTCAGTCTATAATGAAAGTGCAGCTCCTTCAAATGTTTGCGAAACTGGCTTGTGGCAGCCAAGCGTCAACTGGTTTATAGTACCTAGCGACGATGCTTGTTGACCCTTCGATGTCGGGTCTTCCTATGATAGCTAAGCATTTAGTGTTGGATTTCTCACCCAGTAAGCCAACGTAACGAAAGTTTTTCTATTGGTGCTAGTGGGGATAGCTAGGCCTTCTGGGGGCCATGCCAGCTAGTCGAGTCGGGATGACCGCGGTCTGCGGAGTCATTCGGCGACACAACCTAATGGGGGAAGGCTAAGGCAGTCATGGGAGAGTGCGAGAGCCCGAGGTTGTAACCCAAGTTTGTAACGCATAGGAAGGGAACAAGTAACGAAAGCGGCAGAGACTGAATGTTGGTTGGATATGCTATGGAAGATGGTTTGCCTCATGAGATGAGAGACACGTTGAGAATGACGAAGTTAATACAAATAATGCCTAATTTTAGTAACCTTTATCTCTTAAAAAATAAATAGCAAACAATTATGATAATCACAATGTATTATTTTAAGTCTTTCAATCTTATTTGACGAGACCTCCAGGGCTCAAGAGGTCCACCCAGCAGTGAGCTCTCACTGCTGGGCCGTACCGTGCGCTCCCCCTCCCCCACGGCCCCCATTGTGGGTCTATCAATCACACAATTTGGAAAATCACTGGCAGATCGTCTACATCACGTATTATGTGGATAATCAGTGAATTCAACTGGATCCCGTCATACTTGGTGGAGAAAGTGAGTTTTGCCGATCCTAGCTTCACGGGACGCATTGACCGTGACGAGGCCTGCGTTCATCACGTCCTTTAGGCCCCCAAAACGCCCATTCTTGGGATCCCTGCAATCATCTCCAATCCCTGTATTTGACTCAATTGCAGCATTTTTTAGAAAACGCTACGCCTCATGAAGAGACTCTCCGAGATTGTGCATTGTGGTGGATACAGAGGGGCCAAATAACACAGAATGGGGGCGGGCGGCAATGATAACCTGAAAGAGGGGAGAACAGGTATATTGTTCCTTATGCAATGCAGTCTGTACAGAGAACAGCTTGGATCTGCGTGCAGCCATTATTATCTTAGTTTGGAGCCTCGTTCCAAGGATGCTGCAATTCCTGAGCTAACCAGACAGATTTAGCTAGCATTCTCAGCAACTCGCCAAGCTCCCTGCAAGTATAGAGTCGGCTCTGAACACTATCTATCGGGATAATTTCTTTTCACAAACGAGAAATAAAAAACTGATCTTACATTTTCCCCAACAAAATGGCATCGTCACAACCGCCCTTGAACATTGTTGTGGTACGCTTTACCTGGAGTTCCATCTACACAGAACTAGAGCATCGTTGAGAACTAATATTTCGCAGATTGGAGGCTCTTTGGCGGGACTGATGACCGCCGTAGCACTGAAGCAAAGCGGTCATAATGTCATAGTCATTGAAAAAGAAGACAATGAACGAGAAAGCCACATGGCTGGTGTTTGTCTAGGACCTGATGCTGTGGAATATCTCGAAAAGTACGATCGCATTCAGAGCATCTTCTCCAATCAGTCACGTCGCATTCAGGCCCTTGTGGGCAATGACAAACTGAAAACCTTTGTCAATGGCCGTCGAGAAATTACAAACTGGGATACCATGTACTACCGGCTTCGTTCCAACTTTGATGGCTATGCAAGCGATACCTACCCTATATCTCCTGGGCCCTCCCCAGCAGATGGTCAGGGTGTATATCATACTCAAAAGGAGGTTCTCGATATTCAACGTGAAATACAGCCTGACAAAGATGATGGCAAGAAGAAGAAGACGACAATGAGCATCACATTGCTTGACCGCAAATCAGGACATAAGGCCAATATACAAGCCGACCTGGTGATTGGTGCAGATGGTCCGGATTCGTTTGTGCGAAATAAGTACCAAGGCCACGTTGAGCGGAAATACGTTGGCTATATTGCTTGGAGGGGAACTGTCCCAGAGAGCGAGGTGTCGGAAGAAACCCGTCACCTCTTCAGACGCAGCGTCACTGTATTTATGATGGACAAGCAACACTGCATCGTGTATACGATCCCTGGCAAGAACGGATCGCTCCAGCCCGGAGAAAGATATCTCAACTTTCTCTGGTACACAAACGAGACGGAGGAATCTTTGAACGAAATTTTAAAGGACGGCCTCGACGGCCATCGCCATCACAATATTGTCCCGTCTGGTCATGTGCGAGAAGATATCTGGGCTGAAAGAAAAAGGCAAGCCATAACGCTGCCACTCAGCAAACCAATGCTGGAGATCTTTTTGAAGATCCAGCGTCCTTTTATCCAGGTGATTACCGATTTCTGCTCACAGCAGGCAGCCTTCGAAGATGGCAAGGTCCTGCTGGTTGGCGACGGGTTGTCGCTGTTCCGTCCGCACACAGCCTTCAGCGGCACTCAGGCGGCGTTTCATGCCCTTCGCACAGCTGATTTTGTCAATGGCAAGGTGACCCTGCAGCAGTGGGAGAGCAAGGTTCTTAGGTACTCCCGGCTACACTACCTACAGAGCAACTGGTATGGCGACTTTTACCAAACCCCTATATTGACGGCCCTCGTGGCTGCTGTGCGCTACTGGACCATGTGTGGCGTCGATCGCGTCTTGTCCTGGTACAGCGGCGATGCTCCGCTCTTACGCACAGGCACATTCAAGATCGAAGCGTACGATGATGAATAAAGCAGACCGAGGATAGCCCCATTCAATCAGGGCGACCTCGTTCAGCCCCAATCTGGACGTCTATGCTACCCAGAATGTCAACATTGAAGTTGGTGGGCTGGGTATTTCACCGGACAATGCAATATTGATACAGGCATTGGCTGCTGCACATGTGACGAGAAAACATTCAAATGTTGGCATTTCCAAGGTCGTAATGACCAACGCGTGGATGATTGGCCAGCCCTTGAGTTCCAACCTTGGAAGGTTGCATATAAGTAGCACTTCGAATTTGAAATCGAATCTTTGAACCTTGGAACTTGAAGTTTAATCGGCGCTGCTTATTAGTAGTACAATTTGTATCTCGGTCTTTTAGGTACAAGCGATATATATAGTTACCATTTACTATTGTAGTTATTGTGGTCACATTTCTCTAAATCTTTGACCGTTTCAACCTATCTCACGTAGTTTAATCTTGAGGAAGAAGGAATTATGCACAATGTTCAAGTTGGACCTCGCAGTGCGGGTGAGCTGTCATCAGGCTGTTCCCGAGGTCGATCCTTCAAGTTGCGGCCGCTGAGGCTCCGGCGCAATGCTGCCCGCCCGGGCGATTTTGGTGAGTGACCTGGGCAACTGTGACCAAAATAGAAGTACCTCCGTAGTCAATTCCAAGGTTGGGGTGCTCTAATAAAGAGCACTGTCCAGTAATATTTGAACTTCAAATTTTGTCACTCACTACTACCTAGTTTTTATCCAACACTCAACACTAACATCTATCAATATACTTTCATCACCGAAAATTCACAATGCGGATCATTTGTCTTCATGGTAATGGCACCAACAGTGCTGTAAGTTCTTTTTTTTGTTCCTCTGGTTCCAAGGTTGCAGGCGGTGTTTGCAGGCCCAGCTCTTTACGAATAAGCAGAAAGATGTCCGGCCTAACACTACGTTGCATCGCAGATAATGAAGCTGCAGACTGGTAAATTCGACTCTCACCAGCTGTTTTTTCGCAGGCTCAGTACGCTAAACTAGCACCCACCACAGCACCGCTCATCCACGAGTTAGAAGACGACCTTGAATACGAGTTTGTGGAAGGCACTCTGCAGGCTCCGATGGCTGAAGGGACGATTCCTGATGACGAATAGATATCAACCGCTCTACTAACTGTTATACAGGAATTGAAAGCCTGAAAATGCCTGGAGATCAAGACTTCTATGCATATTATAACCCAGATGACGCCGCTACACTTCCCGTGGTCCTGGACCAGTTAAGCAGCTACGTTGACGCCCAGGGGCCCTTTGACGGTGTGATGGCATTCTCTGCGGGGGCCGTTCTGGCTGCCCTGTACCTCTTACAGCATTGGCAACAAGGGAAACTGCTGCCGTTCAGGTTTGCCGTCTTCTTCTCCACTGCCTCCAGCGAGGCCGAACTCGCACAGCTTAGCCTTGATCCCACCCCAGGATGTCTGAAACTGCCCACCGCACATATCTGGGGCCAAAATGACTTGACTGCCCCGACCGGTGGAGCTGCAATAGCTAGCCTATGCGATCCATCGCAAGCCTTTGTGTCTGTTCATGAAGGTGGTCATGAGTTTCCTCGACTGTCCAAGCTGACCGAGGCTGTTCATATGATACGACGTGCGATTGGCCCGCCTGGTCTTGAAAAGCAACAACATAGCTACTTTGGTGGGAGTAGTGCTGATCCCATTTAGAACAAGGGCCAACTATCAAAGAGGGGGAGGTCGGGCTAGGTAAATTGTTCCTAAGAATAATCATTCTCATGTATTCTAGCCCCAAGTCAACCGCTATTGCTACGTATATCCCCCACATACGTACTACCAGAATAACACGGCTGCAGGATGACAAATCAGCAATGCTCTCTGCAGTAGAAAGTAGTGTACATCTAGTCAACATTTTGAATTAGCCGAGGTAGGCTTTGTAAAACCAGAAATATGTGATATCTCGCGGTGTATACGTAGGTGGGGGCCATTAAGTATGAGGGATTCAAATACCCTGTTCATCTCCCGCACAGCACATTTGCATGATGTACTCCGTACATATGGCCCCAAGTTGACTCACGCCTGGACGGTATGTGATTGACGTGGGTCAGGTCCAGGTTCAAGCCTACCGGCGTGTAAACGCCGGACAAGGCCCGAGCACCCCGGATGTGCCGTAACAATGTCGGTTGACATGCCCAATGCGACTTAGGTCCTCATGCAAGTATACGTGCAGCGCAGATCCCAACATCAATTGCGAGATAATATAGGGTATCAAGCACTATTGAGTGGTCTCGCACTATTTGGGGCCTAAATTGAGCCGTTCTGTAAGCGAGACAGCTGATGGAAAGTAAAGAAACGCGTCATGGGGAAGAGATGAGGGGAAAAAGCGAAGACATTCGAGATCTTGCACTAATCATGCAGACTAATGCATGTGTGCAGATCCCAACATCACTCGTGAGATATAATAGGTTATTGCGCATTATGGGGGTTCTCGCAATATTTGGGGCCAAAACTGAGCCGTTCTGCATTTACTATGATGCATTTTGATTAAGTCTGAGTGAGTCTTCAGTGTCCTTCGAGAGCGGGGACATCTATATTCTTTTTTTGGTACAGTTGACTTTTTTATCTATCTTCAAAAGAAAAAGAGGCAGAATCACTGTGCTTTCACCATGACCCCTCGCTTTCCATATGACGAGAATGAGCACGCTGCTTCCAAACAAACCATCCAAGATGCGTTGAAAGTGATGCACAATGAAATCCCTTTTCAGTGGGTTGGAGAAGACGGCAGCTCTCTGCTTGGATGTTACGCATCATTGAGGTATGCCAACCCGCTTCCTTGAGCCAAAATCCACTGAAGCTAACTATTCCATACAGCTATAGCCCAGCATTTGTCAGTCAATTCTTCGAAGTCGCCAAGACACTGTATGCACCCGGCACTGTCAAGCCTCGCAATAGAGAATTGGCCATTCTTGGTCTCTCCTCCGTGCTGGAAGTGCCCTATATAACCTACTGCCATCGCAAGATCGGCTCAAAGTGCGGCCTTTCTCATGAGCAATTTGAGGACGCCCTGGCTGGCAAAGTCCCCGCAGATCTGTCCGCCGAAGAGGCAATGGCGTATCGCCTCGGTCAAATCCTAACAGACCTCAAGACGCCACTTGACGATGCGACGTGGAAAGAAGCCGTGTCGGTAATGGGAAAGTCTGAGCTTGTTGGCATTGCACACACTGTTGCTGGTTACAGATGGGTTGCACTGTTGGATCAGATCAATGGCGACAGTCAGAAATGGATCGACAGGGACGCATAATGGTAGTTTAGTTGCAATGAACATTTAAGTTTCAAACAGAACACGAAGAGACTATGATCGAGTAGAGATTGACATCTGGATATTTACTCTTTATTTGAGAAACACCTGTTACTAGTAGATGCAGACATATACCTACTATATGAAAGGACTGGAATCCCAAATTTTACTTCAAGTTTGATCAGTACACACATGTGCAGTGGGAGACAGACATTTTGGCTGAAACATTTGAATGGTATAGTATGTAAAATTTTCACAAAACTCCATATATCTAAAGTGCTGAGCCATCAAGCCCTTGAGATCAACTGGTATCAATGCGATTACCGTCAAAACTAAAGAAAGAAACAACAAAGAAAGAAGAACACTATACATTTCGAAACATTTGAATAGACAATGACTAGAGTTTCCAAAGTCAGACTATTCTCTCAAGCGTTGTGTGACAGTCACAACGCTGTCTACACGAATGAAATCATTGCCAGAGTTTGGAGTCGGGGTTTTACCATGACTCTCCGGGAAAGAGTAAGAGGCATCCGCTCTGGCGCCAGCATAATAATGCTCGTGTTCGTGGGGAAATAAATGAGCAGAGCTCTCCTGTGACTCCAGGCTGTGGCCGTCATTGTCAATGCTCTTGTTTATGGAGCCTGAATGCATCGCAGTATTTTGAGACTGCGAGTATTGTTCAGAGTAGCTCTGCGATCCCACAGTCCCGTCGCTGTGCTTGTTGGAGCTGAACAGACTGTTAAATTTACTGGACATCCTGGAAAAGTAGTTGTTGGCTAGGTAGCGGCCCAGCACAGCCATGGGCGGCAGGCAAATACATAGCAAGGTGACGGGCGCCTCGGCACCAACCCAGTAGGCCAGATGAACAACCGACCCTATGAAGAACGAATATGTTAGTGACAGGACAATTTATCCGGGATACAAGACTCATGACGTACAGGTAATATCGGAGTTCAAGCTACTACCAGTCAGCAGCACTGTAATAAGCCGGCCAATGGAAACAACAATGACACTGTTTGCTCTTGGTTAGTGGCATAAAGCGATAACCATTGCCGTGGTCCAACACTTTACCTGTAACCAATGACGAAGACACCGATGATGGCCATCTTGCGCCTCGTGGTCATTTTTAGACTCCAAATCTTCGGCAGGGGCAAGAGCAAGATGATGAGGTCAATTATGACGCTGGGAATTGCGCTTCCAAGCCAAAGGTGGCTGGTGGTGCCGCAGTGTCCAGGTAACGTGGAATTCCAGCCCTTCTGGACGGGATTGCACATAAATATGGTCCCAAAGATAATACCTGTCAACCATGCGCAGTTGAGGCAGTGAGTAGCTACAATGGTGTAGTTGAACCATTTGGCGTTTGCGTGCCAGGGAAAGATGCGAGAGAGAAGTAGCAAGGCAGAAGTCTTGGTGAAGAAGAGGCCGATGTCGTAGACGTAGTATACTGCGTACAATAATCTAAGGAAGATGAAGAGATCCTTTGTCTCAACAAATTGAGCGTGGCGGCCGAGGCCAAAGTAGCCCATGGCAAATGCCAGTGCGCAGAGGCCGAGGATAAAGGGCTGCCATGGAAATTAAGTTAGCCACCTGGAGCACTTTTCATAGCTCGTAGTCTTTATTTTCTGTCTGATCTTCCTCTTCTCCTAGCATGATTTTTTTTTATATTTATTTTGAAAGGTCAATCTCAAATTTACTTACCACGGCCGCTAAAGCTGCCCAATCATCCCACCAAAAACGCTGAGTATGTCTACCAGCACCGCGTCCTGCATTGCTACGGGTATACCGCGACCAGAAACGAAGCGAAATGGAGAGGATAGTAACAATAGTGACAACAATGAAGAAACCCTTGATGCCTCCGGAAATGTCATCATGCGCCGCAGAGGGCGGCAAGGAAGCGGATTCAGACATGTGTAGACAATATGGAGAGAAATCGTAACGAGGAACGACAGGCGACTAATATTCGTTTAGTAGTGATTCAAATTGGGGATATTTGCCACCTTCACGCTTTAGGCAATGCTGCGATGTCAGATTTGGCCTCATTCAGACGGGATGGGTTGAGAGACAGATAACCCGTCAGCGGCGGGCAGATGGTCATGGTTTTTGCCCCCAGGAAAGGCTTTGGAGACGCTACGAAGTTTCCCGAGATTGTAGGGTAGGACTGAGCGGAGGCTAGCCGAATGTCTGCATTGCTGGTGAACAAGCACGGGAACCTTTTGATGACATGGAGGGGGCGGAAACGCTGTGCTTGTCTGCAGGCTTGGCCATTTCCCATGCTTGAGCATGCAAACTGTCGTGAAGGATTACATCGTTGGGGTGCCTCGTGTGGGGGCTATTCTCAAGTAAAGAATCGCCAGGCAAGCCAAAGATGAGCCTAGCCTAACCTTCCACTTCAGCCCTTGCGGACACACCTAAGTTGATTCATCACAAAATGGCATCCAAGCAAGGTTCCCCTCTTCTCTTCATCTTAGCCACTTTTTATCTGAAAACATGGTGATGAATCCACATTGATCATTTAGCCGATTCCTGTACTCACATACCGGACCCATATTATCCGCTGATCCTTGAACCAACATTGAATCTTGAATTCGATTTGCTGGATTGTTTGATTCTGGCCCAGTACGGGAAGACAGTGTGGGTCTCACGGGTCGCGGGGTTCAAGTCTTTAAATTTGGAAAGAGCGATTCTAATCAGGTAAGACTAAATGTAGATCGTATAGCGGCACATTCCATCACTGTCATCACTTTCATCACTTCGCTCAAAGACAACACGGATGCATTACCCCAACAGGATAGCGGTATAGGGATCGACATACAATGCTTGCACCAATGAAATTTCAGGCTGCATCATAAGGCGTCCCTTTTGGCCCAACATTAGCGCATTGCACCACAAAATCCTTCCAGGTTCCAGTTCTTTATCCCTGTCAATTCCCCTCACAAGACCATGTCCAGAACCCTGTCAATTTTGGGGGCTATTTGCTTTACAACCAATAACTGCCCAGATGGAGTATCCTGGTGAATTCTGAAATTTACAACCCTGGAAGGATTTCAAATAAATAGGTATTATTACCTGTTGGTAAGCATCTCAGGGATCAGCCTCAAGTCTAATTGAGTTCTGACTGGATTACGGGAAGGAACCGTCCACTCTTGCCCCGTGCGAGATTTTATGCGTAAGATGGATGCTTATGGATCTTTCTACATCTCCCAACTTTTTTATTTTTATATTATATTTTGAAAAGAAGAAACAAAAACAACCAAAATACCGTCCATCAAAGGAGGTACTTTCCCCGATGACACGTCACAGCTCAAGTGGATGATCACCCTGCCATTTGGGGGCCATTCATAGCCATTTCCCCCATTTAATGTTCGTTGTTTTGGGGGACGTCGATCTCTAGGACTGGGCCTCTCCCCGGGCTTGGCCCCTAAGCCTATACAAGTCTGGCGCTGGTCTCCATTCCAATTTTCCTGTATGTTCTGATTTACGGTAACAAAGAACATTTGATTCCCCACCCGAATCCTTCCGACGCGACTGCAGGCATACCAGTTGGCCAGAAGCATACCTCTTCTCATGCACACTTTCCCTGCAGAGCAATCGAGCTATCGAGCTATCGAGCTATCTCCAGGGGCGCTGCGCCAAAGCAAGATAATACTGCAAGTGGTGTTAGCTGCATCTGATCACAGTTTAGTCAAAGTTGGGTAGTTTGCAACGCCCACTGACTGAGCTTCCTGCGTTCCTGGCGTTACTTTTTTTCTTTGTTTGTGTTGTTAGCTCCCCGTCTTTCCCCTCTGCATCATGCCGCCTACACAGACACCTGCTTCGTCGACAAGCGACCATGTTGAAAGGCCCCTACAGGCTGCCACCGCCAGTCATTCATTCTCTGATGAAGAGAAGAAAATCTACGATGACCAAAACATCGACGCCAGTGAACCCTCTACGTCTGCCGATGGTGTGACCGGACGCAAGATTACGGGTGTTGCGTGGTTTGTTGTCAACGTTGCCCTGCTGTCGGCCACTTTTCTGTACGCCTTCGACAATACAGTGACAGCAACGGTGCGGCCTGCCATTGTCGACACATTTGGCAACCGTATAGATATGCTACCGTGGGTTTCAGTGGCATATCCCATGGGTGAAGCTGGCAGCAACCCTATCTGGTAAGATAATCAAGCACCAGAGCGTATTTGGCGTACCGACTACCAACACTTTTGTTCACAGGGCGAAGCTCAACAAGTTCTTCAACGGCAAATTTGTCTTTCTCGCCGCCCTGCTTATCTTCGAAGTAGGATCTGCGGTCATTGGCTCAGCCTCGTCCATTAGCGCTGTCATCGCGGGTCGCGCTCTGGCTGGCTTCGGCGGCTCCGGTATTTATGTCGGAACCATTAGCATGATCACCGGGATGACGACTGCCAAAGAACAAAACCAATACCTCAACATTGTCGGCATGGCGTGGAGCTTGGGAACCATCCTTGGCCCCATTATTGGATCTGCGTTTGTTGATTCGCCTGCCACGTGGAGATGGGCATTTTATATCAACATCTGCGTTGCCGCTGTTGCCGCCCCCGCGTGTATCTGGATCATGCCTTTGGCACCCCCTAGCGTGTCTCTGGGGTTCATGGGCGTGGTCAAGGCATTTGACCATCTGGGTGCTGTGCTGTTTCTTGGCTCTGTCGTGTCGACAGTCATGCTGCTGGGCTTTGGTGGCGTCGTGTATAGCTGGGATAGCAGCCAGATGATTGCACTTTACGTTGTCACTGCCTTGCTCTGGATCATTTTTGCGCTGCAGCAGAAATTCCACATTCTCACGTCGGATCGAATCTTCCCTGTGCAGTTCTTCAAAGATCCACTAATGATCGGCCTGTGGATTTGGACGATTGTTGCAATTTCCGACATTGTCGTCACCATCTACACGCTTCCGCTGTTTTTCCAGTTTGTGCGGCATGATTCTTCGATGCGTTCCGCAGTCTACACGCTGCCATTTGTGGCATCTGTGGTGGTCAGTGCCGGCATAAGCGGAGGACTTCTACACAAGTTCCCGTGGTACAAGCTCTGGTTTATCTGGGCCAGTACACTGCTCCTTATTAGCAACGGCCTGCTTTCCAGCATCCACACGCACACATCTACGGCTGCCATTTGTGGCTATACTGTTCTCCAAGGCTTCGGTGTCGGACCAGTCATTCAGCTTGGCTATACCGTAGGCCAGTTGAAGCGTCCACAAGCGACACGAAAGGACGTTACGGCGTTCTTCTCTTGTGCGCAGATGGGTGGTCTGGCCTTGTCACTGGGCATCGCCACATCTGTTCTTATCAACCATGCCACGGAGGAGATATCGCATATTCTACCAAACGTTCCCCTTAGCGAAATTAGAGGCGCCATTGATGGAGTGGGAAGTAACCTATTCGCGACGATGACCGAACATGTTCGTGCTGAGGTCACCAACGCAGTTACAAAGAGTGTGGCCTCTGTGTTTTACCTGAACATTTTCGGTGCAGGGCTTGCCTTCCTAATTGCCCTTCCTCTCAAATTTGAAAAGCTGGATTTCACCACCCTGCAATAATGTACTTGTCTACTCCAAGCTGACTTGGATCTACGTCATACTTTACTACTAGCATGATACCACTGTAATCTTCTCAATAAACATCAATTGCTCATGATTTTTTTCGTATCTATTATAAAGCCGCATTACAGCAAGTGACTCATAGCAAAATTCACAGTAGATTTTGGAGTAGCAAATGGCAAACAACCCATGTAACTTGGAAGAGACACTCGAGGCATCACAATTTAGGCCTCAAACAGCGCACGGGCCAGGGATCATCCCATAAGGCGTAGCGCTAAAACTAGAGAATTTGGCCCAAGAGACCCACACACACAAAAACAGGAAGGAGTCGCAACTCCAGGGGATCAAAAGACTTGAATTTCAAAATTAACTAACCCAAGGATGAAAGGAGACAGAGTGGGGCTAAACGGAAATGGGACTTGTTATGGGAATCCCGTCCCAGGTTGCGGGAACCCACGGATCTCCCCATTACCTGTGGGGGCTGGAATCTGGATATACAGCCCCCACAAACTTGAACATACGGCCACATGTACATGTCTGAGACGCCCGTTGCCGACTACCCCCTCGCAGTTAGCGCACATGTGGGTAACAAAGCCAGCCAGCAGGGTGGATTCCAGTCGGGCGACTGAGCCGGAGCTATTAAGCCTACCATGATCCCATCCACTGTGCCATCATCATCCCCCGCACCATCACATCCACGTCCAACAGTATGAGCATTTATACTCAGTTACCCGAAGGCATTGACGAGGTCGACATCATCGTCGCCGGCGGTTTGTTCATCCACATCTTATGCTCATATAACTTTGTACTAACAAGCTCCTTCTCTCTGTTTAGGTGGTACCGCGGCGTGCGTAGTTGCTTCCAGGCTCGCCGATGCCGACCCGTCGCTGTCCATCCTCGTAATAGAGGGTGGGCAGAACAATAAGGGCAACCACTTGATTGCGTTCCCGTTGCTTTTCCCAACTGCGCTTCTTCCCACCAGTACCGCAACCCTGTTCTACAAGGGAAATGCGGAGCCACAGTTGGACAACCGCGAAATGAGCGTCCCAACCGGTGGTGTTCTGGGCGGAGGGTCGTCAATCAACTTGATGATGTACAGTCGCGCTCAACGCCATGATTGGGATTCGTGGGCCACTCCCGGTTGGTCCGCAGATGAAATGATCCCTTTCTTAAAGAAGGTAGGTTAATAGATTGCTAAAGCTGTGCTCTGTTATCTTTGTGGCCTTGATATTTTGTACTACAGTGCCGACTAACACGTCATTACTCGTCGTAGCTTGAGACGTATCATGGCCCTGGCCCTGATTCTGTTCATGGAAAAGATGGCCCTATTGTTGTGTCCGAAGGAACGTTCTGCTCTGAGCGCGCGGCAGATCAATTCATTACTGCCGCCAACGAAGTAGGCTACCCGACGGTCAATGATCTTCAAGACCTTGACACCAGCAACGGTGTTTCACGAGCCCTCCGCTTTGTCGGCACAGATGGCCGCCGCCAAGATGCCGCCAGTAACTACTTGCATCCAAGACTGGAAGATGGAGCACACCCATTCCTCCACGTCCTCGTTGAGACCAAAGTTATCAAAATCCTTTTCGAGGGCAAACGAGCTGTCGGTGTTGAGTTCAAGCCAAACCCTGCCTTCCAAAAGGACAACACCAATGTTCAACGCGTCAAGGCCAGAAAGCTTGTAATCGGTTCCTGTGGCGCTCTCGGAACCCCATTGCTTCTCGAGAGGTCCGGTCTCGGCGACGAAGCCATTCTCAACAAGGCCGGCGTTCCTGTTGTCGCCCATATCCCTGGAATCGGCCGGAACTACCAGGATCATCATCTCTTGACTCAGCCATACTACAGTGCCTTGGAGCCAAGCGAGACCTTTGACGCTCCCCTGGCTGGTAGAATTAACATGGAAGAGTTAATCAAATCAAATGCCCCAATCATGGGCTGGAATGGTCAAGATGCCTCCTGCAAGCTGCGTCCCACTGAGGCTGATGTCACTGCCCTTGGACCTGAATTCGAGGCCGCATACGCAAGGGACTATCTCTCCACCCCCAACAAGCCCATGGCGCTAATGGCTTTGTTGGGCGGCTTCCCCGGTGACCCGACCACTATTGAGACAGGACAATATCTTGCGACCTCTTTGTTCACCGTCTACCCCTACGCCAGAGGCCATGTCCACATCACAAGCCCAGATATCGACGCGGACATTGCATTTGAGACTGGATTCTTGAACAGTGAATTGGATGTCAAGAAGCTCATTTGGGCGTACAAGAAGCAGCGAGAAATATTGCGCAGAATGGATGCTTACCGCGGAGAGTTTATTGGCGCGCATCCACCGTTTGCTGAGGATTCGGCCGCGGCACTTGTCAAGCTGGATAAGCCAAATGATAAGAACATCTCCGACATCCAATACACTGCAGAGGATGACAAGGTCATTGAGGACTGGGTCCGCAAGAATGTCGGCACTACCTGGCATTCGCTGGGTACTTGCAAGATAGGTGCGCTGGCTGATGGCGGTGTGGTTGATGCTGACCTCAGTGTTCATGGCATTGAGGGCTTGAAGCTAGTGGACCTGAGCATCGTTCCACAAAACCTTGGCGCGAACACAGCCACTACTGCATATGCAATTGGTGAGAAGGCAGCTGACATCATTTTGAAAGGCGGCTTGCTGTGAACCACTGAATTGCCGCCCAGTCAGGATATGCTGCTTTAGATTACAAGTTTATGAAGATTAGCGAATTGATATACCATGATTATGAGCTGGTCCGAACGAACTAGTAGTGTCCATGAAGCCGGATACATCCGTACCTACTAGGTATGTAGTAGATGATTAGCTATTAAGTATTTAGAACATATGCATACTCCGAGTCTTTATTCGTATCTATCGAGTCTGAGGCTGTGCCTCAAAAGTATCCATATTCAAATGTCAATTGGACACGTCGTTGTGCAAAACGTATGATTCAAGTTATTTTTGGTATATTGCTTAGTACGCTCAGGCTATACATATTCATCCAGATGTCCAGACCAATCTTTCGCACTTGCTGAGGCTTAGAACATTGAAAACCCACGAGCTAAAAAGTGTGAGTCCTATTGTACCGTAGAGTGCTACTATCAGGGTGGGCACTACTTTTGTTCCAGGTAAGAAGTAGCTTGGGTGCCAAATAGATGCCTCTGGTCAGACTGAAAACTACTCACTGAGCTTAAGCCTGCCAGGTGGGTTCATTAAAGCGGCGGTCCGAAATACCCACCTGGGTTACATACTGCGCGCGCGGGCGGCATTAGTCGCAAAGAATACGTAGTCTTACACTATATCAGCTTAAAATAATTGGTATTAATCCATGAGAAGGAACTTCGCCGACATGGGGTTCCTAAACCCGAGAACGGGATGTGGTCTAAACTATAATAGGACTCGAGCCCCGAGCCATCTGTTTCAGCCTCATGCCTCAATTCCTGGAGGAATACGTGATAAAGGATTTTTAAGCATTGCTAAGAAAAACACGTGCACATTTATCAAATTAAGCGAAGGCGAGAAAGATGCATTATTAAATATTGTTGGTCATAAATGATTCATTCCCTTCTCTATGTCACTCTTACACTTAGCCTGGTACTCTACCAGGTGCCGAAAAGGAGTTCTGGAATCGTTGTGAGAAGGGGCGCTCATACACACGGTTCTGATAGGTCCACTGAGAGAACCACGGACAACAGACCAGAGTTTCTAAAGATGGCCGATCATTCGGATCTTTCTGGAAGAGATGGGTTAGCAGATCCTTGCAATCTTGCGACAGATCTTCCCTAATGGGTAGATCCTCATATAGCATTCTGATTCGTCGACAATGGACTTCATCATTACTCTGCCCATCAAAAAATAGTAAATCGTTTTGTTGAACTCGAGGGTCATACCAAGGCCAGTATCCGTGAAGAATGCCGTAAAGAAGAACCCCGAATTTCCAGATCATATTCTTGCGCACATCATTTTGAAGCCTTAAGACCATCTGTGGTCTTCTTTCCCAGTTACGATCCTGATTCTCCGGTCGAAGTAAAAAACAGGCAACCTCAGGCGAGACTTGGTACTCTTGGAAAGGAAGATAGGAATAAGTATTTTCAATGAAGTCGTCACTCTCCAATCCAAACCCGACATGACCTAGATCGATTAGCTGGACATTAAGATGCGCATCGATAAGGAAATTAGTGATGGAAAGATCTAAATGGACTAGGTTGATCTGAGCCAGTTCAACGATACCTTCAAGAAGTTGTGAGGCAACCTTGCAAGCTTGCATCTCATCTAGAAGAGGTGTATGGTCACTGTTCATAAGATATCGGCCAGTGAACGGGGGGAATCGGCGGGCAGTATCGGGATATCTAAATCGCCGGTCTAGAGACGGGTCAACGGATGCAGACATGACGATCGACTGAAATCTATCATGTAGATATACCGAGTCTAGTTTCGGGAACCGGTCACTGTGAGAAAGGAAAAGAAGATATAAGGCTTCAGTAGGAATGTGACAATCGGCGTTTCCGTTGTCGTAGAACGGAACTGGGTCCCAATCAGCAGGCTCCGCACTGATTGTCTCATGTGGTTCGACCTTGATGGCAAAATGCTTTAGTTTATTAGGGTCACTAAATCCATTGTGGCGTTCACGGGCCAGATAAACAGCTCCAAAAGCTATGAGCAGTTAGCAATCAAAAATCTGTTTTACTCAGTGGGGGGAGTTAATACTTACTACCAGCTCCGAGGATACCATAAATCTCCAGACGGATTCCTAGAGTTTTACAAATTCCATCCATGCGATTTATGGTGTTGTCGACCGGTGGATCGTAGAAATCAACCTGTGCACTGTTGTTCTCATACTGATAAATCATGCCGTCAGTTCGCCCGAATTCCACTCCGTCAAATACAGTATGCTCACATCGCGAAATAGGTTCGTTGTTTCGATATGCGAATGCTGTCTCTAGACGGCCCTGTAGAGCTTGATGAAGAGTTGGATGTTGCTGTGATAGTTTACTAAGCGGATCGAGAAGATATCGAGCGGCAATGGAGAAGGTGGTCTGATACTCGGGATGATCGATAGTTTCCATGGAGTTTTCGATGGTATCTAATGAGGAACCATTCAGGGGCATGGCGGGGGAACCATGAAGAGACATGGTGAATCTGGGGAGTTGTTGATGGATGGAGACAACGTTTCTCTGGGATTCTGGGAGCTTAAATATGATATCTTGACAACCTGGAAAAAAGTAAAATGGCCTTCATCAATATAAAGCGGTGATTGAAATAGAATAATAGATCAATAGATCAAAGAGTCAAAGAGTCAAAGAAATAAGAATAGCGTGGAGATAAAGTTGGATCAAAGCATCTATTAGATGAAATGCTTATCTGTGAGGCTAACTTTATTCATTCAGCCTTTTAACGACTTTCCCAAAACTGTGCATCAATGGCGACCAGCCGATTGAAGAGTTGATTTCGAGATCTCATCCCTGTGAGATGATAAGACTGTCCAAGATCATCTCCGATGACAACAAGACCATCGGCAGCCTCTTTACTTCCAGCCGTCAATTCGACAATCAATTTCCGCTTCCAACCAAGCCCTTCAGTTTTCTTCAGCTCCTTGATCTCAGTGACTGGAATCTGAAACAGGATTGAGCTTTGTTTCCGACTCTCAATTCGCAAATCGTCTAGCCCTGCTGACTGGTATGTGGTGAAGTATAGTACAGGTGGTTGTTTCGAGGTGTCGATCACTGCGGCTCCTCTTTTACGCTCGAATTTTGCATCGAACTTTAGAGGTCCAAAGGGAGTCGCGGAAAAGTGTCCTCTCTGGAGCATCCCGATTAGATTCTTGGTATGAGCTGCACCAGCAATAGCTATTGCTCGATCGAACGCGATGTGACCCTTGATTGCCGTTGCAATGGTTCGGCGAATGAATTTCAGTATTTTTAGCATCGTCCTTCGCTTTGGCTTTGGCTCTAAAGAGCCTTCTGAGTTGGATCGAATTAAGTTATTTTCAGATTTCTGTTTGGACAACTCCATAGATGGCCCTTGAGACTTCTTTCTTTGTATAGGCCATGCGCGATCGTTGTGACCCGGTACTGGAGGAGGAGGCAGCGGCTCGGAATTGATCTCGCCGATTCGAAGCAGAGTCAGAGTAAGCTGTGCATTGGTAGGGACACCGGCCAACAAGGTCCTAGAAGCTCTGTCAGCAAATCGATCTCAATTAAGAGATGAAGAGAGGCAAACTTTTGTAAATCCAAATTTGACTTCCAATTCGGGATTTTCTGATCCAAGACGTCAAGTGCATACTTGATAACTGGGTCACCGAAGAAGCCCCCACCAATAGCGAATCCTATGCCCTTAATTATCCAATAGCTGGATACAAATGGGAAGATAGCAGATACTATGGTCAATATACCCGCTAACTGTAGTCGAGATGTGATAAGGAAAAATGGCGGCGTGGGGGAGAGCGAGCTATGATAGGATTGTGAGCGGAGGCACCGTTGCTGGATTCATAACTTCATACTTTGCAAATCTTTCATAAACGTCGGTAATATCACTCAATACACGCATCGTCTTGTCTGTACCATGCGAGATCTTTGCTTTTATGGGTTTCTTGGTCTTATCTTCGGGTACATCGCCTGGTGGTGTGTCTGGAGTCTCCTCCAGGATCTCTGATCCATTACCGATGAGATGCTGATCCGAGGCTCCCTCAACCGTTGTCTGGCCATACTTAGCAGCAGCACTTTCCATTGCAACAACCGCGATACTATCGATCAGATTCTTCGCTTCCTGTTCCGCAGCTTCACCCTTATGGTTTTCCGGCACGCCCGTAAGACTGTCCAGGGATTCAGGCTGGTTCTTTGTAGTATTATTTTCGGATGAGCCATCTGAAACTGTTGGCGGTGCACCAATAGGGAACATGATCAAGCGAAGTGGAGGAAATAGTATGAGAGCGGCAATGGTACTCAGAATCGTTGGTAGGAGGAGGTCTGAAGCCCAGGACACAAAGTAGACCTGGAAGAGAACAGCTGTTAGCATATCTGTACCTCAATGGTTCTGATGAAGGGCACATAGCCCACCGAGCAAAATATGGACGTTCGCCCAGTCTCTTTCCAAGATCGCAGTCGAGTAACATGTCTAAAGAACTCAATCACACCAACGATCACGGACGTGTAAAATCGCTCGACTGTGATGCGCAGTTTCTCCGGGGGAAACCTTTCATTGTCCACACGATTGAGATCTAAGCTCTGGCCCTTTTCATCCTTCACGGCTCGTACATGGTATATTTGCTATTCGTGTCAACATTGAGACCCCTCAACCCCTCGGCGGGGAGAATCACGAACCTTGTTAAATCGGCGCAGAAGCATCCATACATCCTCATTGGATATCCCCTGAGCCAGATTCTCTTCAAAGATTCGAGAAGACTGTTTCCATTGTGTCTTGGGTAAAGGTCCATTCCTCACTAGTTCCAGGGGTCCGCTTCCTTCAGGAACTGGGGCAGAGCCATTGGCCTCGTTCAACTCTCCAGAGTGGGTTTCTCCATGATTCATTATCAGATGTCCGACCAGGTCAAAGACTGTGAAAATCTTTGAGGAGGAAATTAAAATTCCTTTTATACCTTGCTCTTTATTGAAACGAATGGATGAATGAATGAAGGAGCCTGAATTGGCTGTGGCTGATGTCATTCCTGGGTCTATTTAAGGAACAAATGCGGAGTCGTATCTTATCGCTCCTTTATCTTTGTGTTATCGTCTTATCGAAACCTTGGAATAATTCAATTCCACCCCTTAGATGCACGAGAAACATCACCTATTCTAACATAAATTTCTATCGATGTCTTCAAAACTCCCCACAGAGTTTCCCATATACCCGTTCCCAAGCAGTGAGGAATTTGAACTATTTCTTGAACGTGAACATACAAATATCGAGGGGTTCTACCTCAAACTTGCGAAGAAAGTATCCGGGATCCCATCAATATCTGCCTCAGAGGCTGTGGAAGTAGCATTGTGTTTTGGATGGATCGACGGACGAGCAAATGGGTTCGATAAAGATTGGTGGCTAGTGAGATACACTCCTCGCCGAGCGAAAAGTATCTGGTCGCAAAAGAATGTGCATACAGTCACCAAATTGATCGAGAATGGACGAATGCGCCCAGCAGGGTTGGCGGCAGTCGAAGCAGCGAAGGCTGATGGGAGGTGGGAGCGGGCTTATGCTGGTCCTGCTACTATAAGCGTCCCTGATGACTTTCGTACAGCACTGACTGCATCGCCAGAGGCGGACACCTTTTTTAAGACATTGAATAAGACTAATCGTTATTCTGTACTATGGCGCATTCAAACAGCGTCTGTCAAGTCTCGGGAAAAGCGCATAGAGACTTTAGTACAGCAACTAGCTCAGAAACAACACCCCAATTCTCTTGCGTCTGCGAGAAAACGGCAGAAGGACCCAATGGATGATGGCCTCGATCAATCTACCACAAGCTCTGCTTCAAAACGAACTCGACGTTGACTTTGGTTTATAACCTGCCATGGAGTGACAAAGGCCGAGATTAATTTGACGTTTTCCAGGGCATTGATTTTATGTGGTTGAATCCATCATCAACTCACTTTTAGCCGAAGCTTTCATACGCCGACACCCGGTCGGTTATATTGCAAAACCCTTTCTCCCGCTCGGGGTAAACAGCTCCGATGCTTGAGCTTCCCCACTTGAAAGCTATAATGCGGGGATACAAATCGAAAACTCAAGCGTTCTAAATTATCAATGAGCTGATTAAGAGTACACATCAAAATTGTCACAAACCATGGAGAAAAAAACAGAGGCAGAGCAGAAGGTTGGTGAATCCTAGATCTATGCGGCTATCAATTGTTGAGCTGAAGCTCACATTCATTGAAATAGACTATTGACAGTCTTCAAGCCAATTGGGTCTGGGTTTCTGATTGGGCTGATTCGTCTCCAATCAATACAGCAGGGCGGCTGGTAAGATTCACCAGAAAGTTCAACCTGAGCTCTTCTGCTAGTCGAGCTCTCTTGCATTTCTCCGCCGATACGAGATACAAACTCTTTGTCAATGGAGAACATGTGGCTACCGGACCCTCCAGAGGAAGTCCATTAATATGGTACTATGACACTTTAGATATCGCAAACTACCTTCAAGCTGGGGATAATGAGATCACATTCGTTGTGCTTCGGTACTTTGCCTCATCTCGAGGGGCTATGCCGTTTGAAAGAACACCCATGCCGGGATTCACTATCATCGGCAGTGTCGAGACAGCCACGGAGACTGTGAATCTGGAAGCTCGGAAATCCTGGGAAGCTTTGGTGGACGAAAGTGTGGAATTTCCAATGGGACTAGTGGATGACGTCTTTCTTCATGTAAGTTTCTCTCAACGTGAATTTACTCCGTTGCTCATCGATATCTTAAAGATCAGTGAGCGCATCAAACCGGTCGCCCCTATCACACCCACGACGCCAATTCCATATAATATCAAATCTGTCAACGGAGAACTTCCACCATGGCGTTTACGTTCTCGCTGCATTCCACCACCCGAGATGACCGACATGACGATGAACATCGTCAAATTCTGCGAAAGCGATATCGGAACTGAAGATTGGACATCTTTCTTCTCCCACAAACGCTCTCTTACACTGTCACCCCGATCCCGTCATGTTCTCGAGCTGCAGGCAGATGTCCATGCAACTGCTTTTCTACGATGGGTGTTCAACACAGTCGACAAGCCATCTGAAATTAGGCTTCGAACTACCTACTCCGAAGGATACGAGCTGGAGCCTCGCTCATATCCCTTCTTTCGATCCAAGGCCGATCGACTGGATGCATCCACAGGGCACATTCTGGGACCATATGACGATGTAACACTCGAGGTACACCACACAGAATCTACGGTCTATGAGCCCTTTTGGTTTCGTACGTTCCGGATCCTACGACTTGAAGTATCCGTTGGAACGGAGGCAGTTCTACTGTCATCATTCAAGGGGACTCAAGTCAACTATCCGTTGGATGTTAAGGCTAGCTGGAGCAATCCGGGCGATCCAACCAGTAAAGGGATTTGGGATGTCTCTATTCGAACCTTGCGAAACTGCATGTTTGATGGCTACTCTGACTGCCCCTTCTACGAGCAACTCCAGTAAATCTCCCCTCTAGGTCAAATATGAGCTTCAAGACTAATTGTTTACAGGTATTCTGGTGACAGTCGCTCTGTTGGTCTGTTCCACTATCTTCTCTCAGGTGATGACAGATTGATGCGACAGGCAATCACAAACTTTGGGGCTTCCATCACACCTGAAGGACTTACCCAATCTCGATTCCCATCACACGTTCCGCAGATCGTCGCTGGATTTTCCCTTTATTGGATTCTGCAAATTTGCGACCACCATCTTTTCTTCGGAGATACCCGATACTCCCGGTCATTTTTACCTCGCATTGATGGGGTTCTCGATTTCTTCGACTCCCATGTAGACGAGCTTGGTTTGGTCAGCGGGATGCCCGATGATGTATGGCAATACGTTGACTGGGTTACAACATGGGGTGCGACCGATGATCATCCTGATAAGGGGGTACCGACATCAGGTCGCAAGTCGAACAGACATACCTACTTCAGCATGCTTTATGCATACGTACTCATGCAGGCCGCCCGGCTTGTTCGGGGTGTAGGTCGACCAGGAAATGCAGCTGAATACGAGTCGCGTGCGGAGTCTATTCTGCAGGCGATCAGAAAGCACTGTTATGATGGGCAGTACTTTACCGACTCAACAGCAGATGTGGCGGATGATGGGTCTTATTCCCAGCACTGTCAAGTTTTTGCTGTCCTGTCAGGCGCAGCTCAACCATCTGAAATTGAGCGGCTCCTTCTCACGTCATTCAACGATCCCAAATTTTCCAAATGCTCGTATATGATGCGGTTTTACGCTCTTCGGGCACTCGCAATGACAGAAGGAAGTGCATACGAGGAACTTTGGGATACTATGTGGGCACCATGGAGGCAAATGCTCGCGAATAATTTAACTACATGGGAGGAGGACGACGTCCGACAACGCTCTGATTGTCACGCTTGGGGAAGTGTTCCAATCTATGAGTACTGCACAGAAGTTGCTGGTGTTTCACCTCTCGAGCCTGGATGCTCCAAGATATTATTCAAGCCTCGTCTCAGCCTCGGTCCGGCTATTGAGGCTAAGGTTCCATTGGGTCGTGATAATTTGGCATCAGTCTCATGGGCTGCTGACGATGAAAAGAACATTAGAGTGCGACTTCAGTTGTCCAAGGCTATTTTGGTTGTCAGTCAGTTACCAGGAGGGGAAATTGAAAGATCATGGTGTCATAGATAACCTTGAACTTTCATATGAGTCGGCTTGAGGTGGTATTGACATATCCCATACCTATACTGTACATATACCTGCACATTTGTGTGGGCAGTGACAAGGGTGGAAGCGAGAGGGAGGAAATTAAACACAGGCTGTGATGAAGATAAAATTTCCGAATAACTCGAATGACTAGTATTTACATCAATTGATAATACTGTATATGTATGTAATAGCCTATGTCACAAGAAGCTAAGATGATATCCCAACATTGAAACACTGGCACCTTGAACTTCAGGTGATCATCCGAGTCGCCGTGAACATGGAGTCAAGAAAATTTGTCAATACAACGCGAAGCCCAGGTGCCGGGGCCTGAGAGCATTTGAATCATCAGCTCCATGATTTAATAACTAGTCAAATACTAGTATTATTACCTGAATTGATGTCGTTTTTAACCAAATCATTATATACTACTAGTAAGATATCTTCCAAGTTTGCGGGCATCCATACCAATCCACAAACTTGAACATGAAAACTTGAATTGATAATCTCGTGAGTATCCAGATGTCCCAGATACTTGAATCCCCAGAAGCTACTCCAGTACTAGAAATAAACTGAAAATTGAAGAATAGGGACACGGCTCCCTGCCAGTGGAGACCTCGACCTTCGCCATACAATCAAGCGACACGTACTTCTTTTTGCAGATCCTGATTCTCGTCTGCGTGCATTTGTACTTCCGTCACATATCCCTTGAACTTCCTGAGATTGACTCTCTTCTCGAACCTATTAAAGCGACATTTGTTAGTTCAATCAAAGTGATAGAGGGACGCCGAGGGAACTAACAATTCATCGATTTCTGCAGGTGTACGTCGGGTCACTTCTGGCAGGATAAACCAAGCAATAACCACTGCGACTGAACCAGTTCCGGCGAAGCTACAATTTTCATCAAGTATTAGTGAATATCATCCACGGTCTTAATCAAATGAACTTACAAGAAACCTGTCTTCACACCCCAGTTTGAAACACCACCATTATCTATCATCAGTGGAGTGCAGAAGCTGAACATCACTGAGATAGCATTGGACAGGGCAAGGGCCCAACCGGCAGTTTGAGCTCGTAAACGCTGCTGGGGAATTTCGGCGGCATAGGCATATCCGATTGCCGAAGCGCCAGTTGTTGAGAATGAGGCCAAGGCAGTGAAGAAGATCTATTTTTTCAAATTTAGCGGCATCAGGCTAAGATCTTGAAAACGTCACTTACTAGCAAAGCACCGATAGAGGGTTTAGCGTAGTCAAAGCATCCGATGATTCCAACGCTTAAAACTGACAGCACTGTCACAGCGTAGGGGTATACGGTTAATGGTCGACGACCAAATTGATCGGTAAGTGTTGCAGTAAGAAGCATTGAAATGAGCTGTACACATGACAGAATGAGCGTATCCTGGAAAGGGTCCTTGCTGCCCGCTGTTTGGACTAATAGAATAGTTAGTATTGATACAGAATGAAGTTGACCAGCTGATGACGTACAGAAGTATGTCGCATAGCTGTTGAAAAGTGCCAATCCGACGAATTGTTGTGTAATTTTAGGCCAAGATGCAATAATGAAGCGAATGAAGTTGCGACCCTTGAACACGGCAAATTGTCCAAGCTCCGCGTTTCGCGCCGCAGCTTGGCGTTCCTCTTCGACGGTGCTTTTCATGATATCCTGTCTTCTGATTAGCAAAGTCCATGCTATCACTAGTCTTAGTCCTTACAATTTGTTCATCGACGTCGAATCCAGGAATATTGCCGTTGTATTTGCGAATCATATCTGCCGCACGATCAAATTTGCCTTTGCTCACTAGCCACCATGGTGACTCCGGAAGTAGAATGAAGATAATGATGATGGAACCGATCATCGCCCACTGTGAACAATTTCATTGGAGATTAGATGATGATTTTTAATGTGATGAATTGTGTAATCTTCAACTGCTCTTACCTGGGTGTAAATCGGAGTCCGGAAGTCCATAGGGTCGGATGAGTTCAAGCTGTTGAGTGCTACAGAAGCAAACAACTGGCCAATGACAAACCAGCTAGTTTCATCAGCATAAATCAATCATTCTTCATGAAAAGTAAAAGGTCACTCACAAACTGTATGCGTTGATGTAGAATCCACGCAATTGGGTGGGAGCAATTTCAGACAAGTAGAGCGGAACAGTCGATTGAAGCATACCCACTCCCAGCCCAGAGAATAACTTGGCAATCAACCAGTGATACCAGTGAGTAGCGAATGACTCTATGAACACGCTCTGGATTTTCAATCAGACTCCGTGCAATGGTAATCTGGTAGGTCTTTCTAGATGGACCACTCACAATAACAAGATCAACCCAAATTACATACAAGGCGATCTTTCTGCCGTAAGCTTCTGTCACATATTGCAAAAGCTATAAAATAAATCAGTATTTCTGACACTTATTCCAATGTTTGAGTCTCAAACATACTCACAATTTGTCCAATAGTTTGACCTGTTGACTGGATACCACCCCAAGCCGAGACATATTTCCCGTCGATCGCGCTTTTTCCAGGGTTTGCGAATTGGGCAATGAACCCTTTGTTGGAAACAACACCGCCGTTGAGATTGATTTCTAGAAATTTGTTAGACAATTGATCGTTAAGGAAGATACATGAGAGGTCGCCTTACGATATCCATCCAAAGATGCACTGAATGCTGCAGCCATGGCAACCCCTGACATGACTTTGAATCGCAAGACACTCTGCCATACTGAGAGCCCATCCTCCTTGGACCTCATTACATGGGGCCGAGAGGGTTCCGCCACCTGCAGATTATCCAAGGCAACATCCTCAACAGTTTCATTGTTCGCCTTTGCCTCCTCCATGTTCGGTCTCGAGATAAGGTATGTGGGATATGGTGATCGTGTTCGCCAGTCGATGATGGAATGAAATTTTCAGAGGCATCCACTCTTTAAGAAAAGTGAGCTTGAGCGTTAGTCACTTTCAGATGTTAGCTCAGCCCCCTCCGGGGTATTGAATGCGGGGTTCGTTGCCAATCAACGAGTAGCTTGCGGCGCGTTGAGGCGCCTCCGAAGCTACCTCCATACCAGTGTAGGAAATCACATATGCCACGCGGGTCGGCATTCTCCTTCAACTCCAGCGGTTATTGGAAATGAGATTCAATCCCCGACAACATCCAGATTTGGAGGACAAACCGAGTATGTTGGATTATATTTCAAGTTGTGAAAGAGAAGGACCCATATGATTGGCTCACAATTCGGTAGTACCTTGCCCGAAGGATTAATGAAAAAGTGAGTGACAGACGCGGAGGAAATCAAATCCATCGGTTGGAGCTTAGCTCGAGTTTCTTAGCTTCAAAGCTTCAAAGCTCGGTAAAATATTCAAACGCTGAACTTGGGTTGGCGACAGGTGAGTGGTATCGGACCAGTCATAGAGCTATTAGAGCGCCACACCGAGGCCCACGCTCATCAACGCATCGCTGCTAGTAACTATGTGTAATTAATTGCCATGCATGTGTAAGATACATCTCCGGGTAAATAATGCGGATAAAAAGTTGGTCTTGGGATGATTCTGAAATGTGGGGTTCCCCGGATTGTGTTGCCCCAGACTTTCATATCCGTTATTGGTATCTGCCCAGGTGGAGTATCGCATGTATTGAAAACGGAATTCTTTCTGTTGAGGCTATCCTACTGCGACAGGGATGTTATGTCAAAGAGATTACCAGCTCTTCAAGAAAAATCTGTACCTATTTCCACCGCGTACTTGAATCATTTACATACGACTCTTGAAACCTCCCAGGGCTGCTATCCCCAATGCCCGGGCTTGTCCATCTACAATTCCAGGAATCTCCTCCAGTAGGGTGGGCCGTTTAGGTGTCCATCCAAGCAGTTTCCTGGCTCGAATTGAAGTTCCTCTACTGTTTGATCCCCACATCAGCGAGCCATAACCCAAAGTCTCTCCCACAGGTTCATTCTCTTCAAGATTCGTGACCTCAGCAGTCGGAATATAACCTTTCTCGCAAGCGACTTGTGCAATGGCTCTTGAGACATCTCCCCAGGCATATGAACCCATCTCCGACAAATAGTAGCCTTCATTTCCCCAAGTGGCATTTCCACCTCCAGCAGCCGCAGCCTCACCCAACAAAAGGAACAAATCGCTGAGGTCGTGGACATGAACCTGGCTCCAGACGTTTTTCCTTCACCATGAATGATGCCCTTTTTCCGTTTCAGGACTTCTCTAGCAAGGAAGTAAGCCTGAATGCTGGTCTGTTTAATCACGCCACGACCAGGCCCATATACAGTTGGAGGAGACAGAATAGCCGTCTTAATGCGCTGTGGATCCATTTGACCGGCTGCAAGGATGATCTTTTCGACATCTCTGTGACACGCATCGTCGGGCAAATTGAGCAGTTCGTGCAACCCGTCCCAGTCGTTGTATTCCTTTGTTCTTTCGATCCCACAGGTTTTCTCTCGCATATCTTCAAAGATAAAACTTGCTGTTCCCGAAGCATGAATCACCCAGCATGGGCGGTCGGTGGTATGATGTGTCGCTCCTTTTGCTATAGCACTTGCGACTCCAGTGTGATCACAATCCGCAATTTCTAGGGAATTAGTACGCTGGCAGTGAAAATTATAACATGAAGGCTGGAGCATACGGAAAACAATATCGGCATCCTTCACTTCCTCCTCAATAAGGCTGACTGAGTCAAAGTCACCAGCGACGATGCGAATTGTTGGATACTCGCTGATAAGCTTGGCAGCCTTCTCGCTGTTTCTAACCAATGCTGAAATCTTCCATTCTGGGTGGGCTGCTGTAATGACGTGGAGAAAGTCTCCTCCAACATATCCTGTTGCACCGGTGCTGTCATGGTCTTGTTAGATATCGAAACCTTTCAGGTTGAGTGTCACTCCCGCGGAGGATACCTACATGAAGATATGTGGAATCATTGCAATATGGCTCAAGGAGATAGGAATTGTGGCCGGAGTGAATCGATTTGATTGAGTTCTTATAAGAAGAGCAAGTGGTATGATCTCCTGATTACACACCTAACTCCACCCACTTACACATAGATATCAAATGTAACCTTCATTTCCTAAATGGGTTAGGGCCCTTAAGGGACTTCTATACACCGCCTCTTGAGCCTCTATCATAGACTTTCCCATTACCTGACTTCGAGAAGACCCACTGTTGCGCTGTTTTCACCATATTGAGCCCAGAGGAGAGGTTTTTTTCCCGCTGAGTCAGGCCTATTTTGGCGATGTAGACGACCCTGCAACTGAGTGCCACTGTAACCTGTGGGACTGGGATCAGCTGCGTTTCATCAAAATAAAAGGTCCAAGCAAGTTCTTTCCGCCAGAGGATGACGCTGAGACCTCAATATTTGCGCAATCTTTGGATTATCTTTCACCAGATGTTCGCGAAATCACAATCGACAGCGACGGGCTTCTTACTGGGGTCTCGACAGATCCGGATGTTGACGAAACGGCTTTTGCTGCATACATGCCCTTTTCACTCTGCGAGCACCTTGTAAATTGTCCCAAAATTTACTTCTCACAGCTCCATGAAATTGGTCGGCTTGGTCCAGGAGTTGACTTGTTGTCATATAATGACCAGAGGGTAGCTTTCAAATTCAACCCACTTCGCTTACCCCGACAGCTAGAATGTTCTTGGAGAGAGATGAATATTATCAGCAAACTCCCACCGCATCCTAATCTCGTACCATTTGATAATATCGTCCTTGAAGACAAAGAGTCTCGAATCATTGGATTCACCACAAAATGGATACCGGGCGGACGCCTTAGCGATCCAAAGAAACCTTTCCGATTGGAATGGCTACAGCAGCTCACTCAAGTTGTGGATTTCTTGAATTTTGAACTTGGAATTATGCACCAAGACATTGCACCTCGGAATCTACTCATCGATCCTGAGAGTGAAAATATTCTTCTGTTCGATTTTGATTGCGCCGCTGGTGGACAGGATGGCCTATTGGAAGGTCGAGACGACGTGACTGGTATTGTGTAAACACTACATGAGATCATTACAAACAATCCACAATTTGCAGAAATTCCCCACTGGAACCGCAAAATTGATATGATTCAAAACATTGAATGGACCTGCGACCGCGAACCAGACTGTGATGTCTCTGAGTTCCGCCAATTCTTGAATGACTGGATAGCCAACAGAACAAACGGGAGCATGGAACGTTATCTTAATGCGCCCAAGCGGATTACATGGCCCGCATTCCAAGACCCTCCAGATTATGATGTGCCCTTCCAGTTCAGCAAGACGTCAACTGGAGAAGCCAAATTCCGACCGGGCGAACGTTATAGACGCAGTGCGCTCAAGAATGGGCAATACTGTTTTCGATGGCAGCGTCCACCACAGAGAAGACAACCGGTAGTCCCGTTGTGAGGATTTGAAGGCCAAGCCATCTTTCCAATGTTGTGATGACCTTGATTCTATAATACATGCTCCTCTTCGGTATCAGAATCAAATAGATCCCGGTCAGATGGTTCTTCATCAGGGGAATATAATGGCCCATTGTCACCCCAGTCTCATTTCCAATCACCAGACAAAATCATTCGAGAACCGTTGATACAATCAGTTGTTACCGTCTCAAATCCCGGGTGCGTATGACTCATTATCCTTAGCATCTTGATGCTAGGAATTTTTGTAGCAATATTTGTAGCAGCCGCAACCATAGCATCATTGAGATCATAGGCATGAATTTGCTCAGTGCAATGATGACTGAATCCTGCTTCGAGGAGATTGTTTTCTTTTAGGCTAAGATTGATGATTATCTTCTCAATTTTTGAGTGATGGTCGAACTCAAGAACTTGGAGGCAGATGCAACGCATCCTTAGTTTGATGGATCGTAGCGAAGGGATTCTGGATGCTATTCGAGGGCAAATGTGCTCTCCAGTCTTGACCCCAGAGCCCATAGTATCAATAGTAAGATCGGAAAGTATATAAAATGGAAGAATATCAACAAGATTCATTAAAGGCCACGGCCCGAGATAGTTTTTATATGATACCAGAGGCTTATCGGGGTTGAAATAGCCATTTGCGATGAAATCAAATTGTTGAAGTCGTGCAGCTTTCGGTAGAAGGCGAGGGAGTACGTTGTTAAGGCTATTGATAAGCTCTTCGTCAACTTGTCGCTCTGGTAGGGGCTTAATATGGATTTGAAGTCGCCGCAGAGACTTTTGCAATTTAATTATAGTGTTTTCAGGGATTCGCTTGAGTTGATGCGCTGAGAGCACAAGTTCCTCCAGCAAAATGGGTTCTGCGAGTTCGTACCACCACTTAGATACTGGTAGGCAGCAGGCTTCGTGTTTTCGGAGTGAATCGCTTCCTACAAGACGGAGAATATTATCGAGAATCTCGACTGGGAGGTTTTGAAGAGGCATTTTTGAGGATATCTAAATAGCACTACCCTATGACTCAGGGATGATTCGATGTGTGCATTTATGTTGTCCCTCAAATGTTGAGGCGAGACGCGTAAAGTTAGAGTCAGGAGTAGCCAAAACAAACCTTGGAAGTTGGAACAATGAAGGGGCATGTTTGGTATGGAGCATTCTGCCGGGTGGGAGCCAGGCGGTGGAGAATATGGTTTCTGTCTTACTTCTAAGGCACCCATGAAGACATCCATGACAACATGTAAAGTAGTATTGACTGTTATGCCGAATATGGACACTAGTACCTTCGAAAATCTTAGTACATAAAGTATCAACTTGATATCAACAGACCATATTGATGATCTTACTGTAATCGGAAAAATCCCGGTGGTTGAAGTTAACATAGGGACCTCGGGGCATACTACTCCGAGATGTATACCCATAGCTCCACGCACGGGTTTTAGCTGCAACTTGAGCTTGGACTTGAAGAACCTTGGAATGAATCGAGTACGAGAAATTTTCTATAGCATGCACATGCGCACACAAAGTGTACATGCATGTGTGGGTTCAAATGTTTGACCTTGAACATTAGTAGCAAACAATGAACCTCTATATTCCCTTCCAAGATCAGTGGACACTTCTGAGTCAAGCTACGTCATATCATCATTTTGTTCTCAACTGTTTTTCAAAAAGCAGAGAAGGGACGAAAAGATATATTGAAAATTTTCCAAGTCAGAAATAAAGAATTAGGAATCTTATATAGAAACTGATCATCAACATGTATATTTTGTATGGTGTTCACATATAAAAGGTACACTGGCGGTGTTGCACCAGCCACAGACTGCGGGGAAAGACAAACTGAAATATGTGACCTCCTACTCCACCAACACAATCTTGAACCACAAATCAAGCATTCGAGTACTTTTTGCGAACAGTAAAAGCAATCATTACCTCCTGTAGATATTGGATTCAGCTGAGTCCGTGATATCCATCACAGCTATGTCAGAATCCCGTGTACTAGGGGTAGGAATCATCGGTGCGGGGGTAAGTTGACCCAGAGATACTACTTTACGCTATTCGAGTAGCAGCAGCTAATGGACCTAAAATAGGAAGTCTTTCAAGTGTGCCATGGACCTTGCTTGCTGCTCTTGTCGCACCTCTTCAAGATTGAATCCATCTGTGATCTATCCGCGACAACTGTGGATCATTGCGCAACAAAATTCTTCATCCCTCACAAGACAACCACACCTCAAGATGTGATCGACAACCCGGAGGTCGACGTTGTCTTCATACTCACATCAGATGAAAGCCACGCCCCACTAATTCACGCAAGTTTGAAATCAGGCAAGAATGTCTTCATCGAAAAACCAGTCTCTCTCTCGTTGCCATCTGTACAGTCTGTCATCGACGTGGAAAAGAATGCTCCGGGAGGCGCCCGTGTTTTCGTTGGTTACATGCGTCGATATGCGCCCAGCTTTCTTGAGGCCTTCAAGAGGGAGATTTCGTCGATTCCTAAAATCATGTATGCCCGTGTCCGTGACTTCAGTGGGCCGAATGCCAAATTCGTTGGTCAGAGCGGTACATTCCCAGTCAAACATAATGATTTGCCTGTGACTGCTGCCGAAGAACGTGACGTTCGCCTTGAAGCTCTTTTCAAAGAAGCATTCCCAGGTCAGGAAATCACGGATGAGAAGCGGAAATTCTGTCGGTTCCTTGGGAGCCTTGGTTCACACGATATCTCTCTCATGCGTGAGGTTCTCGGATTTCCTAAGCGTGTCAATGGTGTTTCTGTGAATGATCCTTTTTACAGCGCTATCATGACCTTCCGGAATAAGGATGGCTCAACATATTCTACCACTTATGAGAGTGGTATTGACGAGGTATCCGTCTTCGATGCTCATATTGCGGTGTATGGAGCGAAGAAGCGCGTCACTCTGAAGGTATGAAAAGCAACAATCTTTCGACTTGATTTGTCAGTACTAAGTATGTCACAGTTTGATAGCCCCTATGTGAAGGGTCTTCCTGTGTATGTTGAGATTGATGAGGTGAACGAACATGGCGAGGTTCAACACCGGAAGATATTGTCCTCATATGAGGATGCATACACGGCCGAGTTACAGCAGCTGTATGAGGTCTTTGCGAATGGCAAGACGATTAAATCGACACTTTTGGATGCAAAGGAAGATCTCAAAATATTTGACATGTTTTACCAGGCATGGAACTCCAGCTAGGCATCTTCAAGTCACAAGGTCAAAGGCTGACACGAGTCTGGCGATGGAATGAAGGGCTTAAACCCTTCATGGAGAGGAATTTGCGTTGGGTAATTCTCTTAAGTGCTCTTGCTACCCGACCAGTAGATAGACCACGCGCTCCATCAGGCTTCATTCACATAGAATAGAATGTTTGAAATTACAGAGACCTCATCTTTGATGATCACTTTCAATTCTGGAATTTTACCTGAATGGGGTAAATTCCGGCGGTTCCAATTCGTACACATAACGTCCGTTCAGACTTCCAAACTCGGTAAGCCCACTTTTCAGTCTCCGGTTTGTAGTGAAAGTTCAATTTTTATTCTTGATTTCCAAAGATATGAGCTTCATGCAAAAATAATTCGCGACTTGAATTACACTTCTCGCGTGTGGTGGAGCATCACTTTAATTCAAGGCTCTGTCTGTCCTTTCAGCTAGCTACTAAAGATAAACGAGAAGTGCCTCCGAGGCACCAACCGAGAACTGAGCCGATCCAGAAGAGACCGTGACTGTCTCCACAGTAGCCTCTCCCATCAGAGTGCAGTTTCCATTCCCAAATGTCTGACCTGCAACTGTGGGGCTGTCACCTTCGTCAACTCTCGAAGTAGCGTAGGTTGCAGTGAGACGCTTGGCTGTGACCGTGGAGCCTGATAGACCGCTCAAAGTAAACTCCTGGTATGTTCGTGTCCCACTCGCATAATATTCAGAGTTATAGAGAAGAGCTTTGATCGGGGCATTATCCTTGTAAATAGCATAGGCTGCGAAGGATGTGGTTTGATCGTCAAGCTCTGCAATTTGATCGGCACCGGCGAGAGCCATTGTCGCAAAGTAGGCACCGAAATAGGGTGAGCCCATGTCGTAGCGACCCCACCAACAGTATTGACCTGAGAGGTTAGTGACTGTTTTCAGAAGAAAAGGGGTGTATATCTTACAATCTCCGATGGTTCCTTGGTGAAAGTAAAGGGCCTGGTTTCAAGTTAGAATGAGTCGTACAATATAGGAGAGCACTTCCAGAGTGATTAGTTACATACTTTGGTTCCCATGAGAAGACTCTGCATTACGTAGTCCAGAATCCACAAAGCAGCACCAAAGGTTGGACTTATGCCACCCCCGCCGCCGGTCGCTGTCAAAAGTCAGCAAGGAATGAAAGTCAAGAAATACGGATCGCATAAGTACCAGAGTTAGTTTCACCAAACACATGCTCTTTACCCAGAGCTACTGCCGCTGAGACTTCAGCAGCGAAGGGTTCGATCTCAGATGTGATATCACTATGGCCCATGAGAGTTTCAAGATCAGCAGTACTAGCAGACTGGGGATAGTTGTGAGAGCAATAGTCTTTGACATAAACGTTGGCATCACCTTCGACGGCAGTCAATCCTTGTATGCTCTCCGGCGATGTTCCAAAGTAAACACCGGCAGATATTATGTCAGTTGATGACAGATTTCCGCATACTTCTTCTTGCCATTGAACCTGAGATGCATAATCATCCGCAGCGGTCCAGTCCTCTCCATCCGCGATCGGATCAGTGTCGACGTAAACTGCGAGGAAAAATCATTAAGCATTTTCAACGTATCTCATCTGTAAGGGGGTTCTTTACTCACAGTCGGGCTCATTGCCAAGCTCGATAGCGTATAGGTTTTCCATCACATTTTGGGCCTCTTCCGCGGCAGAAATAGTATTTCCAATGTTATCGAGGCGACGATTCAGGCCTAAGGTGACTGATCCGCTGTAGTCCGCAGCCATTGATATGAAAGCTGGCCCAAATGTAAGGGACTCGGGTGCATCCGTCGCACTAGCCACAGAATAACTGACGGCTTCTGTCATTGAAGCATTGTATGTGGCACGATCCCTTTTTATTATTAGCATGGAACATCACCATATCTTGTTTTTCTTTCGGAATACTCACTGTGTGGTGCCTCCTATGCGCATGGGTGGCCACACACCCGTCAAGTCTTTGAAATTCTCTAAACATGTCTCGGTTGAGGCGACACCGGTAAAATACGCAGGATATGCGAAGAATTCGAATCTGCATAGTCAGAAAATGTCATTCCATGTTTGATTGTTTGTATTTTACTCACGAAATTCCGACCGGCGCCTCGGCGAGTGTTTTACTCGCGTTGGAAGGTGGAGTGGCAGGGATTTCGAATGAAAGCCCGGATGCCGACGATAGATAGATGGAAAGAGAGATCAAACCGAGAAGCATGATGAGTTAGATATCAAGATTCACAGTTCGGAGGCCTTCAGTTTCTGATTGAGCAATGGATTCTTTTCCTAAAAATCGAGGACTCGGAGTCCCATGTTCTCCTTATAACATTTTCCACGCTTTTCCATGTGGTATCTGGATCAAACACCAATTGCTGCTTGGCACATGAATTGAAGGTACTAGCAGTATAGTATGCATGATGTGTTTGATCATAATTAATCATTTAACCGACAGCTCCGTGTCCAGATACCCCGAGCTTGCTAGGGAACTTGACGATCTACATGGACGATCTAAGCGGGGTATTGTTCCAGGGTTGAAGAGTGATTTTTCCGGGGATTTCTGCATGAAGGAAACTTTCCCCTTAGCTGCATTTCGCAAGATTAATTACTTTTGCGGGGCAAGTATATTGCTCGGCTTTTGATCCGGAGGTTCCAGTACAAATTGGGACAAGAAGGGTGTTATTAGTCGTAAGCTGGAAAAATGCCCCAGTGAAAATGGTACGCCGCCAATTGATTTATTGAATATTGGCATTTAAGATTTCAACCGGGCTTTGGATTTGCCTATTTCTAACTTATTTTATTGCCTGAAATATGCATGACGTTGATGGCGGTGCTTTAAGTGGTTGTAATCCCGGTATTCTAAAGATAGGCCGAAATGGGCGAGAATATGATGTTCAAAACCACAGAGGGTCATTGGAGAACGGAATGAGGTGAGGAGTCAGATCTGGTGGCTCACTAAACTGTTGATCATATGGCCACATTGGACGATGAATACGACGATGTCCTAGGCGAGGCAAATCTTGATCAACACCACCGGGAGTCAAGGCGAGCATCCAATCTGCAGCCATGTTGAATAGTTCCGGCTCTAGATATCCGATCTTCACCATCACGATGTCGGCATTGCGAGGATGAAGGTTCAGTTCAGTGAAGTCAGACTCATGATGATATGGCTTGCGCAACTTTGTGATAATCACAAAAACACTTCCAACTTGAAGTACACTTTCCACAACAGCATCGCGATCGCCATGTTTGATTGAATGAACTCTTCCTGTCATGGTGACTGGGCCTTCGTGAAGATTATCGACTTCGGCACCCACAGTCACAGTAACAATATCATCTATTCCAGCTTCCAGGATGGTTTCAATAGCAGTCGATCCTGGGATGCTGGCATAAATTACTTTGGGGGCAGATTCGTCTTTGAACTCAGAGCAGTTGAGTACGCGATTAAGGCTCCAAGTCACATCACCTGCTCCTCCAGCGGTTGGGTTGTCACCGGAGTCTGAAATGAAGAAGGGTCTGCTAGTGGACCTCAAAGCCGCATCGATACACTCTGTCAGCGACCCGGTTGGTGCGACAAATTCAAACTCTTCACGCTTTTCCCAGAAATAATCTGACAGTTTCTGGGCGCCCTTGATGACGGACTCAGTCTCCCATCCCGTCACAACTACCACAGCATGGTTCCGTGGCTCATCAGCCCATGCGTAACCAACCCAAATGGCAGCATCAAGTACCCCTCCTGTTGAAACAACGTCTGGAACCAGGCCATACAGGCTCTTTGCAGGCTCCATGCGAGTCGATGTTTGTTCTCCTGGCAAAAGGATTGGAATCGAAACCCATGCTTTCAGAGGCCTGACAGGGCTCGCATTTGGAGAGGTCAAAACGTCAACCAAATTCTGACAAGCTCTTTCTTTCGTTTCCATTGCATCTTCATGGGGTGCCATCCGATAGCAAGTGATAAGATCAGTCTGGTGTGCTAATCGTTGAGAAACATTCCCATGAAGATCCATCGACGCGGAGACAATAACATCTGGTCCGATGACTTGGCGAACACGCCGCAGAAGTTCCGCCTCAACATCATCCATGTCCTCTACGCACATCGCCCCGTGAATATCAAACCAAAGTCCATCCAGCTTAGTTGAGCTGGTGATATCCGTTAAACGAGCGATGATCTCATTTGCCAGCTCTTCAAATGATTCTCGAGCCACGATTCCACCAGGCAATGCATGGCCTATGAGAGCTCCGTGCCATATGGCAGCTTCCCCCAGTGTTGTCTCCGGGTGAATAAAGGCATACTTTTCAATGACCTCGTTGCCGCGCCGTGGATGGAATGCGGGCGCTAAGGTACGGGCTGGAGAGAAAGTGGAGGTTTCGCAGGCAAGCCCCGCAATAGCGATATTCGGCCGTCCTGGCATGATTCGATTTATCAATTATAGTTGAGATGGATTTGAACAATTCACTGCGAGATCATCGTCAATTTGAGGAATTCAAAATATACCACGTGAACAACAATATGCAGGTTGCACTGCCATACGATATTCCGTGGGGGGAAATTGAGCTCATGCAACGTCGCGTCGAGCCGCTCGTGGAGGCACTGACCCCGCTTTAAATTTACTAAGGGGTCAAAACAAAGTCAGTCACTGAGAGAATGATAGTGAAAGTGAAGACTGAAGATATGAATCGTATTAAGAAACAAGTCTTCCTGAAGTCGATTTCCAAAATTCATGCAGAGGAACTTACCTCTAGATCCACAGATTCTTCAATCTTGGTATTCATACCGATGTATCAAGCCCTGCAGTAAAGTTGAAGGTGCAACCGAAGTACCGAAAGCTTGGGAAGGCTTGATAGGAGATGAACCTTGCTCTCGTATCTACCGATTCGGCTAACTTGTAGCCTCGAATGAAACGCTCCTATCCCATGATAAGAGAATTACGGAGTAACATCATGGTCATGGTTGAATTCCCCCGCAGTTCTTGGAGACCTGACTGAGTCAAGTTCTATATATGAGGTTTGAGCTGCTCTATCTCTAGCCACATTCCAACTTAAAAGTTTCCTCCAGGGCTTTCGGCTACTTCCGAGTGTCAAGCACGCGCCCCTTGATTGAACTTCAACTTTATACATCACAAAGTTACCCCTGTGAGATGTTGAAGAGGACCGCAACGGGGACTTGGATGCCCGCATGGGTTCCAGAGTCCACATTCACTCTTTCCTTTCTCTTACTTATCTGTTCTATCGTTCAATCAGCTGTGAGTTCTCTGAAAGTGTCCTCTAGCGAGTCTTTACACTAACAAATTGCTCTAGACCGGTGGGTATGATGGATCCATGCTCAACGGACTCAACATTCTTCCATCTTACACTGATTATTTCAACCTAAATAATGTGACAGCTGGACTGAATACTGCTTCTGTCTCTATCGGAGGAATTCTCGGCCCTTTGGTCTCTGGTATCATCGCGGATAAATGGGGCCGTCGTCCAGCCATCTTCTGGGGCTCGGTAGTGACACTTGTAGGCATCGTCCTTCAGACCGCCGCTCAGAATGTCGCCATGTTTGTGGTGGCACGCATTCTTCTTGGATTTGGGTCTGCGATCACAGGAATCGCCGGTGGAGTGTATCTCTCAGAATCGTTCCCTAGTCGTTGGCGCGCCTGGGGAGTCGGATTACTGAATGACTTTTACTAGTACGCTCTCGCAATCTTCAAAATGCTTTCGGTCCCATGCTCACTGAAATAATCTAGTGTCGGAGCTCTTATCGCCGCCGGTGTGACACTTGGGACTGGCCAGTGGCAGTCGACATGGGCTTGGCGAGCTCCGTCGCTTTTTCAGGCAATTTTCTCGATTGGTTGTATCTTGACCTTACCATTCATGTATGTTCATAAAAACTAGCTCTCCAAGGAGTGCAGTGACTGAAACAAACTCTAGCCCTGAATCCCCGCGATGGCTTGTTCATCAGGGATACTACGACGAAGCTCGACTAGCCGTTGCACAGACAAATGCAAATGGAAATCTCGCGGATCCAGTCGTCATCGTCATGTTTAAGGAGATTGTTGATACCTTAAAATGGGAAAAGGAGAACGGAATGGCCATGAGTCCCATTGAGATTTTCAAGACCCCTTCTGCACGGAAACGACTTCTGATTGGAATGTCTCCCGGTCCCTTCTCATGCATCGCCGGCAATATCATCGCCTCATATTACTTTGGCTCCGAGCTTGATACGGCAGGTATCACAAATACCAATGACCAACTTAAGGCAGTGAGTCCTCCAGCTGGAGTAAACCGATATGAGGAAAATTTAACTGACAGATTAGAACGTGGTTTTGAATGTGTGGTGCCTCGCGTGCTGTCTGATCGGCACTCACCTAGCAGCCAAATGGGGTCGCAAACCAACCGCGATGCTCTCTCAAGTTTTACTGAGCGCATGTCTGTTCATCATCGGTGGTCTCTCGAAGCTATACGCATCAAATCCGGATGGAGCTTCGAGCTCTCTGGTTTACGGAAATGTAGCCGTGATGTTCCTCTTCCAAGGATTCTATTCATTGGCCTGGACACCACTTCTCTACCTCTATCCTCCTGAGGTAATGAATTATTCAATTCGAGCTAATGGACTTGCCTTCTCTTCGCTAGTTCTAAATGCGTTTGCGTGAGTTTATACCCCAAGCTTCCATGAGAAATATTGTCTAACAGGTTCACAGCCTCGTATTTACTTTCATTATGCCCATCGGTCTTGGGAATATTGGTTGGAAGATGTACATCATCAACGCATCCTGGGATCTTATCATTCTCGGCTTGATTGTAAGTGAAACAAGTGGCAAGAGAAAATATTCCCATAGAAGTGCAGCTGACGGGTTTAGGCATATTACTGGGTTGAAACGAAAGGGAAAACCCTGGAGGAGATCGACGCCATCTTTGAGGGAGAGAAACACTCTTCAGTACCAGACGTGGACAAAATTCTACGAGGGGAAAAAGTCATCGATACGGATGTTGTTGAGGAACAAATTCATGCAGAGCTGGGTCCGAGTCCTTTGTTCGCAACTCAAGTTGTTCTATAAATCAAACACTTGCAGATTCGTAGTTATAATGCCGGAAAAAGGGTTGAATGCAAGCAACTTGAATAAAGCGTAAAGTCTAAACAAACCTATGTAGTGTCGTACGAACTATAAAATCAAGGAATCGTGGGACATAGGTATAAGTCGCGGTATTCTCAAATGGGGAGGATAAAATTTGAAGTTTGGGCATAGTCTGGGCTATGTATTTTGGCGTGGATCTGGTGCGGATGCTACCGTGGACCCCTCACTGGCATGTTTGGGTACCCCCACGACACGACTCCCTCTCCCTTTCCATATCTCTCGCCAGATTATCTTTCACGGCTTTTTCAAGAATAAGAGCAAGATTTTATTCTCGGCTCATTGGTTATGTCTTCACTTGACAGCAAAACAAGGCCCTTGTTAGAAATTGCGTGTTTTAACGCGGTGTCTGGAGTGAACGCGGCTAAAGGAGGCGCAGATCGGATCGAGTCAGTGATTCTTCACCTTTCCTTCCATCATTTTCATTTCCATTCATCTGTCTCGATATTTTGATGTAACAGACACCAAATACCAGGAATATCACTTTTCTTTTTACCATACAAAAAAATACAGGTCCTCTTTTACTGATTAATTTGCAGACTATGCGTTGATTATTCCTCGGGTGGACTCACCGCAGATCCCACCATCCTGACGGAGTTGAAGAATCAAGTTTCAATTCCGGTTTACACTATGCTGCGCCCACACTCAAATAACTTTATTTACGATGAAACCGACTTCAACACCATGAAATCCACTCTCATCGCTCTGGATCAATGCGGAGCGGATGGTTTCGTCTTTGGGGGTTTGAACAAGACAGACTCCAACGATAACTCAAAGCCATGGATCGACATTGAGAAAAACACAGAGTTGGTACGGCTCGCAGGAAAGAAGCCATGTACCTTCCATCGAGCTTTTGACTGTATACCCGAGGAGCATTGGGGTACGGCACTTACCGATATTGCGAAATGCGGCTTTGCATCCATTCTTACAAGCGGCGGCCCATCGGGAGACACAGCTGTTCAATGTGTCGATAAATTGGCATTGCTGTTTGAGAAACTTGAATCTGTGAGGTCATGTCTCCCTGAGGGAATTCAGACTCCAGAGATCATCATTGGAGGAGGTGTCAGGTCGAGCAACATCCAGCTATTGGCAGAAATAGTGTCCCATGCCGTTGTATTTCATTCAAGCGCTTTGACAACAGATATAGAGACTGTTGATATCGATGAGGTGAAAAGATTGAAGAATCATATGGCTGGTCAACCATTATAAATTTGGATGAATGTTGTCATTTCCTGCTGCGTACATAGAGGTCAAATCTTTTCAATGCCTCTAGAATCCAGGAAATATGAATCCCGATGGATTCCTTAGATCATCAATCCAATCTCACATATACTGAGTGCACTTGCTTTGTGTGGCCAGGAAAGCCGATCTCGTCCTTTGACTCCTCCTATTACCTAAACTAAACACTGACTTCGGGATATGTGGAGACTAGATAACAGATTCAATGTCTTCTTTCTAGGTCTAAGCTCAACTGAAATGCGGGGTTAAAGTTCCAAATCAGCATATTATTATCGGCAAAATGAGGGACTGAGATCCATCTCAATTCTCAATGGACTATGCTCGGTCTTTTTCCGCGGGTACACGGTCTTGATTGCACATGTGAGAAGCATTGAGTTAAACATATAGGAAACTAAATCCTCCTCTACACCTTTGGACCAAACCGCCCGCGAGAGTAAATATTCTCAACCAAAATGGGAGCTCTTAAACATTGTGTTCGGAAGTTGCAGGTGCAAACAGAACCCGGGCTATCAATAGCTCAGCTGATGTTGACGAATGATGACCTTCGACCCGGTGAGTGGACTCCCATGTCTACTTCAAGAATAACTTTTGAATCAGACTAATATTTGCCAATCTAAAATAGTTGAGCCTGAACGTCGACAGTGGAGATGGCTCAATTTTGTGGCATTTTGGATTGCAGACTCGTTGAACGTGGTGGGTTCCACAACTCTCTATCCTCACATAATGCCTTGTCCCAAGTCACCTCCCATGGATTTAAAGGAAAGAAGTGGAGAATAACATGATTTCTCAACCTACCTAGAATACTTGGATGATTTCCTCTTCGATGATCGTTGATGGCCTTTCTTGGTGGCAATCCTGGCTTTGTGTTTGGATTGGCTATTCGATTGCCGCCATCTTCGTATGCTTACTAGGCCGGATTGGCGCTATCTATCGAATTCCATTTGCTGTCACCAACAGGGCCTCATTTGGGATATGGGGCTCATTTTGGCCTATTCTGAATCGAGCAGCCATGGCAGTCATATGGTATGGTGTACAGGTAAGAGTTGACATTTCCCTCTTGTTAGATCTCAGGTTAACCCTTGATAGACTTATCTTGGAGGTATATTTATCTCATCCCAATCTCAGTCCTACCCACTGGAAGAACTAGAAACTTACTGATCCAATGCAGGCGAATGTGTAACTTTGATGATCCAGGCTATTTGGCCTAGCTATGCCAATCTTCCTAACAGTATGCCTGCTGGTGCTGGTGTGACGACACAACAATTTGTGAGCTTTTTTCTTTTCTGGCTTGGCTCACTTCCAGCCCTCTGGTTTCCAATTTATAAGATCAGACACCTCTTCACCGTCAAGGCGTATTTCTCACCGGCATGTGCCATTGCCTTCTTTGGTTGGTCTGTTGCCCGGGCTCATGGACTAGGCCCTATCATGACTCAGTCCAACACTGTACATGGTAGTGCTCTGGCATGGGTCTTTGTCAAGAGCATCATGAATTGCATTGCCAACTTTGCAGCTTTGGTGATCAACAATCCCGACTTTGCGAGATATGCTCGCCAGCCAAAAGATGCCCTATTGCCACAGTTGATCACAATTCCAGTGGGATTTGCGATCACTTCTTTCGTCGGAATTGTCGTCTCTTCTTCGTCTAGCGTTATCTTCAATCAGTCAGTCTGGAATCCCTTGACGCTCCTAGGGATGTTTTTAGAGGATGCGAGCTCGGCAGAGAGATTCGGTATCTTTGTTATTGCAAGTGGATTTGCTCTAGCACAGCTTGGAACCAACATCGCTGCAAACTCCGTTTCTGCAGGAACTAATTTGACAGCTCTTCTACCACGCTTCTGCACCATCAGGCGCGGTGGCTACTTCTGTGCCGCAGTTGGACTTGCCATGTGTCCGGTATGTGTCCCTAAATCTATTTATGGATTGGAACTAACATATCATGACAGTGGACACTCGTAGCCTCCTCAAGCAAATTCACAATCTATTTGTCTGCATACTCAGTCTTCCTATCCGCGATTGCGGGTGTGATGGCCAGTGATTACTATCTTGTACGAAAAGGTTATCTGGACATTCAGGAATTATACAGTGCCCGAAAATATGGACCCTACTACGGAACATTTGGGGTCTCGTGGCACGGCTATGCGGCATACTTGTGCGGAATTCTTGTCAACATTGTTGGGTTTGCCGGTGCTATTGGAGTCAAAGTTCCAATTGGCGCGGTCTATATCTACGATATAAACTATTTCTCCGGATTTATTGTGTCAGGCGCCATATACTGGGCTTTGGCTACTTTGGTCCCTATCCCTGCAACAAGTCAGACCTGGAACGAAATCCCATACGAGGTGAACCCTGAGCCAGACGTGGGGAAAAAAGTGGAGGATGTCTAGGTGGCGTTTTGGAGATGTGAAAGTGGATCTTCAGGGGGGCAGCCTCGGGTCATCTTAGCCGACATCGGTGATCAGCATCATGAAGACACATAGCAATCGAGTAACACGAGATATGATTATGGCGTTACGATCAATTCAACATTTCGTTTTTTTCTTCGCGAGCTTACGGATACGTGGTGCTTAGACTGCATACCTAGATGAGTAGGTAGTATCTCCACCGGAATCTTATGTGCCGCTGTGCCGTCGGTTGAACCCTTCTTTTACCCGATTCAAACTAGCATAACGCATTGACAGGTGAATGAGAAGGTATTGAGTCAGGGTAAATTGCTTAATTCTTCCAGTCCAATGCATTTCGTCATCTAAATCCTCTTTTGAACTGTCCTTGAAGTGGAAGAAGATTAGCTTCCCGCGGAAAGGACCAGAGCCATACTGACATACTGACCCCAACAACCTTCTTATATTTTGATCGAGTAATATGATCTTGGCTAACTCCAAATATTTCTTATCTATGCATCGAGTCACTAATTCATATCGAGTAATTGCCGGATATCCCGTTCCTTTTCACCTCACTATCACAACTCGAGGTTTTCATCGAGTAATATCTATGTTTATTCGGCGAGTCCCCTCTCTCAAGAATTTACTCTCGCTGCTATGGACGAATTGCGAGATGACTTTGGGCCTTGATTAAATTTGACCTCTTATATCCATCAGATTGTTACGTAGTAGGCCGATTACGCTTGGGCCATTAACATTTGAAGTCTACATTTATTCTGTCGAATAGAGATTTCTTCAATTTGAGGCACTTTGAATAGCTTCAACCAATATTCTATCTATCATTTTTTCAATTTCAGTTACTTTAACTCATATTTCCATACTCCGAGCTCCTTCTTCATAAGAGAATCCCTGGGCAAGTGCTGTCATCAGCGAGTGGGTGCGAATGATGACTGTCTCGCTTTCCTCAGACGAGTCACATAGAAAAACACCATTTGATGCTTCATCATTCCGCAATGTTTCAGCTTGTAAGCGATGTCGATTGAGAAAACACAAATGCGATCAATCACTTCCGCAATGCGGGCCTTGTGAGAAAGCTCAGACGCGTTGCGTGGGTTATGATCCGATCAATAAACAAGAGATTCCAAGGAGTTATGTTTATTACCTGGAAAATCGCGTCAAATATCTCGATTCACTCTTGCTTCGCCATAACATTCAAGTCAGCCCACCTACAGCGTCTGAGGGATCTGATGAACCGAGCCCAGAATCAACGGAAGGAACGACACATCCTGTCTTTCAGAGCAATTCAACAGGTTGCGCCACGGAATCTCCAACGCAAATACCTGAGTTCTGCAAAGGCGAAATTTGTCCAGTGGATGGAGCTCATTTGCTAGGTGCTGCTATGCCTCATCTCCACACCACATGTAATTCGGAGATGGAAGGCTTGGATTCTGGCCTCACTTCAGGACTCTTATCCGGGGTAGCGGCACGCTATCAGATTGCCAATGGAGGCCAATCCTCTAACGATGCTGATGACAGTTCAATCCGGGCTTCTTTCTTCGGTCTGCTACCCCGTGAGTCAAAAAGGAGACCCATGGACCTTCCTCAGAAGAGACTGGCGAGAGATCTGGCAAATGCATTCTTTCGATATGTGAATCCCTACATACCTGTGCTACATCATGGATCTTTCCAGGAGATTCTGGATGAACTTTATTCCAATCTGACGGGGCGACATTCACCTCTCAAGCTGTACACTGTTTTTATTGTTTTCGCTATCGGTGCTGCAAAGTCTAAGGAGAAAAGCGATCGTGACAGCTTTCAGACCTTTGATTACTACCATGGCCTGCCAAAGGGAAAGAGACGGCGGCTTTCTGCCAGCCCATATACACCGGAGAACTACAAAGAGTCTGCGATGGCTTATCTCGATTCGTATATGGGCAAAGTTCCATCTTGTGATTTCTTGACGAGACTTGAGGAGCTACAAGCTGTACTTTTATTGTGCATATTTACTCTTCTGAAGCCGGGAATTCCTACTCTTGCAAGTCTACTGAATGTAGTCATTCATTCAGCCACGGATCTTCGACTTTACTCTGATCACAATCCCTCGATAGAGATTCATTCCGAGTCACCTGTTTGGCATATCAAGAGCGATTCTACTTCCCAGGGCTGTATTCAAGAGCTGCATCGCCGTTTGTGGTGGTCGGTGTATAGCCTTGAGCGTCTTGTTGCCCCTTACTTGGATCGACCATTCGTCACCCCAGATGAGGTTATCACAACGCGGTTTCCCGATCTTGTCGATAACCACCTCTATTCAAAGAAAATTCATGACTGCTTTCAAAGTTCACAGATCTATAATCGCATAACGCATCACCACTTGAATTTAAGATGTTTGCAGTCTGAAATCCACCGAATGATTCAATATCAATATGCATTGCTGGCTGAAAGAGATCAACCCCTTGAACATCGTTGGAAGGCACCTCCATTCCTGAAGGGACCATATACCTTTAACTCATGGCGAAGTAAAATGATCGAAAGACTGGATGAGTGGAGACATCTGATTCCAAGGCATTCTGAGACAAAACTCGATTCCTATCGTGCTCTGATGGAGCTTGAATATTGGCAAACCACAATTACTCTCTATCGCAGGAGTATCTCAGTTCCTGAAGATCTAGTTGAATTCGCGTCTTTGAATAATCTCATGTCAGAATCAACCACCGAAACATTCAAGGAGAGAAACAAAAATTGCTTCAATATGGCACATGCATGCCAGAAAGTCATAGAAATATATCGTGAAACGCAGCTCTCCGGCTTTCCTCACATCGCTTATCTGGCAACTGACTGGGTATTTATTGCAGGTGAGTCAAGAAGCTATGTATTCAAACCTGACTAGAATTATCTGACCCATGTTCCCGAGGTTCAGGATGCTTCTTTTTGTTCTCTGTCTGGAATTCGAGTGAAGTTGCCGACGACTCGGACCTGGTACGACCCTTCCTTTCCAGTTCAACGATAAGAACTTGAACTTTTATTCTAACAAATAACTATGCATTGAGCAGTCATTTCAGGTTTTGGACAGCACAATACTGACGACTACTGCTATTTTGCAAAGTTTTGAACTGGACTATCCTGGGGCGAAATTATTTCGTATCAATTTCGAGAAGATGAGTGCTAAAACTCTGCAACATTATTCAACAACGAAGAGGTCTCGAAAGAACTTGAAAACACCTCAGCTTTCCAGTCAAGATCTGTACCACCACAATTACGATGATTTCTTCCAGCAGTCGACTCAAAGGTCAATACAGTCCACAATATTTGAATTGAATAGGTTCACAGGGTCTCGAGAAGAGATCCTGAAACAATTTGATCATCTAAGCCCCGTCTCTCGCTTTTCATGGGTCTCGGAGGACGGAATTGATTCAACCGTCAGCGCATCTGACTGGAGCTCAGTGCTGCCGTTGACAGTTGAATCAAGTGAAGATATTTGCTCAGAAACAATGCAAGAGACTACTAGTAAAAGGCCCAGGTTGTTATCACCAAATTCCGACATGCTGAAAGATCAGGCGGCGTTCTCAGGATTGGAATGGGAGTTTCCTCATGAGACTCCATGGAGTTCATTTGATATTACATCTTCATTGAGAGAGTCAGCAATACGTGCTGGAATCTTAAACTCCGAGCTTGGTGGATCGTCATAGGATGGCAATGTTGTATGGATGGACCCTGTACCGTCACCCAAGAATTAAGGGCTTGGAATTCATTTCCTGAGCAAATCTGTCTTAGCATCTGAACTCCAATACATGCTGTTAATTATGTGATTCCATAACTGTCCAGAATTTCTGATATCGCAAGTGCTTTCTTGGGCATTTTGGATAATACTTTTCCCGACCGAGTTTGAATATATTCAAATGTTTTCAAAGCTGAATTCAACGACCAAGAAAGACGTTTGCGCCTTCAAACTTGGCTACAGGCTTGGCTATTTTACAGTTAGCAGCCAATTTTAAGTGGGAAATTCGGTGGCAGTTATCCATTCACCCCTCGTCCATTACTAGCTCCATCGCTTTGATTTGTCTATCAAAGCCAGCCGAGGTTCGCTCCACTAGTATCATTCCTGCCGTTGACTCTTACCACTTTCGTTTATTCAAACGTTGGAACAAATGCTCTGAAGATAACTTGGGTGAACTCTCCAACGCTAAGCTGTTATCTAGTTGGTTCAAGGGAGCCTATCACGCAATTCTCCTTGCCCCGTCGAACTCCGTATACTAGCGGCAACCTTCCAGTTGTCAATATCAAACGGTCCTCCGCAGTACCCATAGTGCCAAGCCAGAAAATTGATTGAATACACTATTCTCTGTATCCGATTCTATTTTCAAATGTTGGGTTCCACTCGGATTTGATTGCCTGACGTGGCTTTGATATCCTATACGAAGTTCTCCGTGAGGAGTATTCCTTCATCCTTCATGATCCTTGTTCAACCCCTCTTTTTCAAATATTAGCCCAATTTAGCTGATTCCATCAACAAAAACTATTGGGTTAATATATTTAATCTATCAATTCAGGAACTTTGTGACACGGACCTATTACTTAGTTTGAGCCTACTGCGAAGGTCATGTTAACGGGAAATTGGGTTGGGTGATGCACCGGCCCCACACTATATTCATCTCCACCCAAGAGGGGTAATGATTTACATCTCTCGATAAACCCATTCAAATGTTTCCCCCTCATGAGTATCACTGCTGACCTTCACACTTAACCTTAGACTCGGATCTGGTTTTCAGACCAAGTTAGCGTCGCCTTGCGCGGTCCTCCTAACTTCCTTTTAGTTCTAGCCCGCTTTGACTCAAGGCTAGATGGAATATCCCCTATTCTCACTGGACTTTTGATCGGAAAAGCTGGCGTAAGCACTTTGAGAACACGGGCCCCCAGTGGACACTGCAATTCTCAGTGCTGACGGGTTCCTGAATATTCTTACCGGGGGGTTTGAGATCAACAAAAGATGTGGGTGTTTCGCAGATCTCCCACTCTACCGACTCTATCTGTTCAGAAGGATCTATGGCTTGTCTAAAGCTTGGCTCGCTCATCATTCGGCTTTCTCCCGTCAAAGCGCCACAGTAACATCGCATCATTGTCGCTTATCGAGAATCATCCCTCATTCTAGGCCGATCATTACCGTGTTCACAACGGTCCATATGAGCATGATGCTATTCTGTATACAGTCTCATGCCGATGTCTCTTGACATACTACCATCTTCTTATCGCAGCGCCAGATACCGTCGGAAATCCGTATTTCTGCAGGACGGCTATCCGCGCCGGATAATGGTGGAGGCGCTCGGAGAGGGGCTCGTGGCTTGCTTAGCTTCTTGCTGACGATTGTGGGGATCAAATTTACTGAGACCAGGTTATGGGATTCCACTCAAGCCTTGAAGCCACCCGTTTGAAGGACTCCGTAGTACCGTGCGCGCTGTTACCTGCATGAATTAGGTGGGTTTTTTAGTCGGGACCCTTGTCCAATCCTTTTCCTATTGTACCTACCTGTTCCTGGAGTCATGCTATCGCATCTCATGGTTGGCTATGCCGCGAATCAACTGAAATTACAATCCACCTCCTTCTGTCTTTTTCGATATTAACCTCTGTCGATGGAACTGATATTGGATTCTTGAGCCTATCATATGCTAAGGAACTTATTGCTCATCAGAAGGTCCTCCTTCTGATCATGGCCGAGGGGTGATAACTGATTCTTCATGATAAGTCTATGCGAGTAAGCTAACGCGATCTTGACATTACCCCATGCGGACCGTGCGAAATTGTTCATTCAACCTTGCAGAAAGCCATCTAAACCATCACGAAAACTGGCTAGACGGCTCCATCGGTCTCCGACGGCGTCAGATATTGGCCGGTCAGGCATGAGTCTGGTGTTTCGATCAGCCTATGGTCTTTCTTCACAAACGATAATGTTGCATCGAAGCGAGGTCTCATGGCGCGAATACCGGATTTGGTTCCTTCACGAATCTTACCAGCTTCGTCTTATCAGACATCCATCACGATATCTGTGAATGATCATGGAACGAAAAAAAGGTATATATAGCCAGTGTATCCTGCTCGAATTGATTTCTGCTTCATCACACCAGCCTTCGCATCCTCCAATCCTCTAGCAATCGCTTCCAGCTCAGTTCAACTTACGAACAACCTCATTCACAATGAAGTTCTCCGCCGCCGTCCTCAGCAGCGCTCTGCTTGCCAGCACTGCCCTCGCTGCTCCTCTGACTGCTAAGCGTGCCGCTCGCCGTGCCGCTCGCCTTGAGGGCCGCTCCGTCCAGCGCCAGAGCAACCCTCCCTTCAAGCCCGGTACCACTGAGGCCATCTCCCTCAAGAGCGGAACCTCTGAGGTCGAGTACAGCTCCAACTGGGCTGGTGCCGTCCTGATCGGTACTGGATACACCGCTGTCACTGCCAAGTTCACTGTCCCCACTCCCTCCACTCCCAGCGGTGGCAAGTCCAGCGAGGAGTACTGTGCCTCCGCTTGGGTCGGTATCGATGGTGACACCTGCGACACTGCCATTCTCCAGACTGGTGTCGACTTCTGTGTCGAGGGTAGCAAGGTTTCATACGATGCTTGGTACGAGTGGTACCCCGACTACGCCTACGACTTCAGCGGCATCACCATCTCTGCTGGTGATGTTATCTCCGTGACCGTTGACGCCAGCTCCAAGACTGCTGGAACTGCCACCATTGAGAACGAGACCACTGGCACCACCGTTACCCACACCTTCAGTGGTGGTGTTGACGGTGATCTCTGCGAGTACAACGCCGAGTGGATCGTTGAGGACTTCGAGGAGGGTGACTCCCTCGTTGCCTTTGCTGACTTCGGCACCGTCGTCTTCTCTGATGCCGTCGCCACCTCTGGCAGCTCCTCCGTCGGACCTTCCGGCGCCACCATCATGGATATTGAGAGCGACAGCGGTTCCATCCTGACCTCCGTCTCCACCACCTCCAGCAGCGTTACTGTCAAGTACGTCTAAATGTCTCAGTCTCTGAGACTCGACACTCGTCGACTAAACATGCGAGAGAAATGAGTTTTGCTTTTTGTGGTTTATAAAGTGCATTCTTTCGGAACCTGGCCAACATTCATGCCCTTTAATCTAATCATGACTTCGTCTGTTGATAGTGCATTGTATGGTTCATATATTTTGGGTCAAGAATAGTCATTTTGTGCTTACCAGCTTTGAATTTACTTGTGAATATCGCGTCAATTAAGAAATCGATTGGATCAATCATCTTTACTTGCCTCCATACGTAACCAGAAATCCTTCACATCGGACAAATTGTAGTGAATTGATATCTTTCATAAAAACTAAAAAATTCATCACTCGAGATAAAATGATTCCCTACAGCAATTCCCGAAACCCGTCACTTAGTGGGCAAGCCCTATACCCCAGTATAAAAGCACATGTCTCCATAAAAACAAGGAAACCGATCACGAAACACTCCGATCGGAATCATTTGACCGTAAAGACCGCAAACTCAGACTGAAATTCCCCGCGCTTATCCCCGGTCAAGGTTTGTATTTGGGATGCAGTGACATCGGCAAGCGGGCATTTCCAAACCGCATGCCAAGTTCCCTGGGCGCGAATAGAGTATTCGTGATCTTTCTGGAAATTCAATCCAGTAAGATCATGCTGGCATTGTATTGTTTGTCCACCATCAATCTGCACCAAGTCATTGTGTGAGGCGGGGAGCTTCCGTGAAATTTTGATGGTGTCGGCTGCCAGTGTTTCTCCGCTTGTTGTATCACAGATATGGAAAATATCTAAAGATCCGGCAATAGGGTCTAGTGGGGTATTCCATTTGACGATTGTGACTGGGTATTGGTTTTCATTTTGAATGAAGACTGTGAGGGGCAATACAATTGGTGATTGTGGGTTTGAGGTTAGGAGTATTGGGGTCTCCAGCGAGATTTTGAGACCGAAACTGATATCCATATTTTTGAGGTAGTACTTGAGCCTGAGCTTCCAGTAAAAAATTGAATGATGAGAATAAATGAGACCAAGCTGTTTAGTCGATATATGATATGCGCATAGATTACCTTCAAATGTTAGATTATGACGCTGAGAGACATGTCACATTCAAGGGAGGCAGGAGTAGGAGAAGACTGGTCTATAGTAGCTCAGAGTCGGATATTTCTCTTCACTCAGCTGATTATTGATAAAATCCGCTGGTACTTTTAAGGCACCATGATCTGACTTAATCTGGTCCCACAGCTTCAGCGTGTACAACATCTTCAGGCCTGCAGTGATCAAAGTATGTCTAACTTTAACTTGAATATAACGCCCAGTGCTACCCAATCATGCTAAACTTGGAAATTGATCTTGGCAGCTGGTTATATCCAGCTCTGAGGAGATAGATACACGGGCTGAATATGCGGGAAAATTCGGCCCGTGTGCGAATGAAAATCGAAGATTGCCTGGATAAAAGATATCGACCTGGTATATCACCGCATGAGGTAGTATTTCTGGATAGCCAGGAACTTGAGATACTTCCAGGGTCAGTGACGTGTATGTGTTTATAGGGTCCAGCTGTCACCTGGGACCTCATGCTAGCTTTAGTCCGATAAGTTACTTCTTATTGCTCGGATTTTTCCGGGGCATGAAGTATTGTCACATTCAAGAAGAGATCGATCCCAAGGGTTTATGATGATTCATGATTGATAATATTGATGAATACAGTGCCTCAAGACATGTTGACCCAACAGTCAGCAATGCTGGGGTATCAAATCCTACTAGTAGTCCATAACTTTACTATCCCAGTTGACCGGAATGCCTGGGACGGGCCGTTGCTCGCCGTTCCTCCCGAGCTTCCAGACGTCCTTCAGTGTTAGTTGTAATATCAAGATACATCGAACAATGTTTCTCCTGAACTCTGGAAATTCAATTGCAATTGGGGGTTTTACGGATCGAATAGACATCTGCACGTAGGAGATCGAAACTATATGCGATTAAGTGCCGTGGAAGTTTAAGATATTTGGCTCGTCACAGGAGCCTGGAATATAACGAGCATGGGAACTGCTCACGGGCGTTTAGTACCACCTCACTTCTTCAGATGCACCATGAAACGATATCTCTTCTGCGCTAAAGCGCAAAGTCTGCCCGATAAGGCGCCCTCTGATCAGCGGAGGATATCTGGGCTAGAGAGGTCCTTCTGGTGTCTATAAATGCCGAAGCATTCCCGTGCCATTTTTGTTGGTAGAACTGTCCTCGGGATTCAGTTTGTATCTCATTTAATTTGAAACTCATTGAGTGGCATCTGCTTGTGTCAGTCTTGCTTCACCATGCGTTTCAGCACCTTCTATACAGTGGTTCTGGTCTTTGCACGACACGTGTGCGGCTTGCCAACCGAGAAGGACAAGGTATCCGGGTTGGACATCGCCTTGAGTCAAGCAGAGAACACACATGTGAAGGCTGTGGTTAAGAACATAGGCCAAGAAGATGTGACTTTTCGTGCATCTGAATTTCTTCGGCGATAAAGCGCCTGTAAAGAAGGTTTCAGTATATCAAAATAGTAAGTTCCCTCATCCTTCCTGCATGAATGTCACTTGATACTCACATCCCTGACAGACACGGAACTCGCATTCAGTGGTATCAGTCGGCATTTTAGGCTCCAGGGCATCACCCCAGATGCATTCACCACCTTGAAGGCCGGCGAGGCAATCGAGGACGAGTTCGATATTGCCAAAACAACAGACCTATCGTCTGGGGGTTCTGTACTGCTCAACTCCAGTGGACTGGTTCCTCTTGTGTCCAACGGAGCAGTGTCTGGGTATTTGCCATACCATTCCAATGATCTCAACATCAAGATCGACGGTGTGAAAGCATCTCAAATGGACAAGGCTATTAAACGTCTGCAGCGCCGCACCAAGGTGACCTGTGATGACCAACAAATGAAAGACGAGCTTACGGAGGCACTTCGCCAGACCTCCTCTCTGGCCAGCGTTGCAGCAAACGCCGCTCGTTTTGGTTCCGCTGACAAGTTCCGAGAGTATTTCAAGACCACAGAGGTGTCTGTTCGGCAAAAAGTGGCAGCTCGACTGGAAGCAGTAGCAAGGGAAGCAGATTCAGTAACTTCCGGGTCCACGACTTACTACTGTACCGACGAGTACGGGTATTGCGAGACTAGTGTGCTAGCTTATACAATCCCAATCCAAAATGTGATCGTCAACTGCGAACTTTATTATTCCTACCTGCCCGAACTCGCGAGCAATTGTCACGAGCAGGATCGTGCAACAACCTCGCTTCATGAGTTCACACATGCCCCCGGCGTTTATAGCCCGGGGACACAGGATCTAGGGTATGGGTATGAAGCATCCACTGCTCTGAGTAGTCAGGAGGCTGTGATGAACGCAGATACCTACGCCCTGTATGCAAATGGTGAGTTTCAAAGACAAGCTTCTATATCATTCCGAGAATCACAAAGCTGACGATATCGCAGCAATCCATGTAGGTTGTTAAGGAGTGCATATAGGTGGTGTGTGATTGTTGATTCAAGGACCATTGGCTGTTTTAGACAGATATACAAATCTGGACGCGGAAATACTCAGAATAAACTGTCAAATCTGGAGCGAGGACAGCGGTGCGGATGAACAAAGGCGGATTCCATGCCGGTCGCTTATTGAGCCTAAAGGCCATCAATAAATAATTTGATTGATGATGAATAAAATAGTCGCAATGCAAGACCTATTCTGTGTGACATGTAAGATATACGAGGGTATTACCTCCCAAGGATGCACTGTACATCATTTGCGATCCAGAATATATACCCAGTGGAACGTGTCGGGCGTATAAGCGTTTGACGAAACTGTTCCCGATGGCGCTTTCAACGGAGTTCGGGAGCGCAATGTCCAATATTCGGCTAGAAAAGGAAGGCTATCAAAGCGAAATGTCGAATACGATAGCACAACCCAGGTGGTATCTTTCTTCGTCAAGGGCACTAGATGCAGACCCAGCAGCTCGACGGGGGATAAGGTGATAGTGTCTCGAGTAGATAGGAGCTCTTTGATAACTGGACAAAGATTTGGCGTATCGTCTTTCGAGTCGAAGTGGTGGTCGATTGCCGTGGCGATTGCGTCGCTGGTGCTTTTGTCGAGGATAACGTCGAACGGAGCGTAGCGTGAGAGGTCGGAGACATGGTCCCAAGCGAGCAAGTCAGCTCGGTACCAATGCATTGCTTCTAAGGGAGCTTTCCGGCTTTCGAACTCTTGACCAAGGCGCACGGCCTCGCTAGAGAAGTCGACATTCTGCAACGAATCACAAGTGAGTGGAGTGTGGCCTATGAAGATGAATGTGGCGTGCATTTGAAACCCACAACAATGCCATTTCCCGTCCAATCTCGCTCTAAACATGCATCTCTGAGTTTCAATCCCAGCTCTGAAACGCCTGGGCCTAAGTGCAAGACGCGTGGCTGTCTGCCAATAATGACCGGTCGGCTTTCTAGGTCCGACACAACCGCATCAATGAGAGCCTCTCCCGAGTTGAGCCATTCTCCGACGTCGGCGCCGGTAGCGAACCGGGCATCCCAAAACTCCGGGCTATCGTAGTCTGGGGCTCCTTTGAGCTTTCTGTGGGTTCTCGATGTCGACTGTGCCATACTCGTAAAGAGAGAAAAACTTGTGATGCGCGGGCAAACAACCGCGATATTTCACGTGACCCATCCTCATAGATCGGGATTATCATTGCTTCTTGATCATATTGACGAGTCTACGAATGCCATCTGACACAAGATGGCACTTTTTCTGTCTTACTGGCCTTCAATACTCGATGCATATTTTTTAGATTTGTACCACTACGTGAGCATATTGGGACCCAGACGGATGAAATCCACGGTTGTAGTACTGACTAGTATGACGACTGCTACATTATATGTCACTGCCCAACTTCAAGTTGAAGTCGATGCACAACCTTGGAGTCAAACCACAAGTTCAAGTTCAAGTTCAAGTTGTCACTGCCAGTGGACCGCTTCAGATATGACGAATATGAAAATCCATTGTTCGAATCGCCAACTTGAATTACTCCGGCTCCCAGACTTGAACCAAGGGCGATACTTTGGTGCACTTCTTTGTCGATTACTATTGCCGCTTTTGACTTTGGATGAACCCCTATGTTTATATGCGAGTCTTTTGATACTCGGAAGAATATTGAACACAGAATCGACTTATTGAGTTCATCATCGATCCGTCTAGCCTAAAAGCGGATCGTATACGGTGGGTCCTCGAGATCTTCACAGTCAACATTCCACACATAATTATGCCAATACGAACAACCTACCCAATCATGAAGGTGCAGGCAGAGGACAGCAGAATCTCAACACAGTGTGAAGTCCCAATTTGGCATACCGGTATATTAACGGATCAGCAAATTCCTGCAATAAGCGACATCAGATAGCTACAGGGGCCGTGTGATCCCCAAACTAGCGCTATTAGTCTCCCCAGCCAGAATGCGTACCTGGACACAAAGAAGCGAACTCTGAAAGGAGCACGAACCCCAGTCACTTCCTCTTGGGACATTCCACATCCAATCATTTCTGTACAAGGAGTATGCGGGTAGCTCTTCAAACCCAAATGTTGAATAGTGAATATAATTCGATTGTTGAAATATTCTCCGTTTTATGAAATTATTTCTTGGTTTTTCACTTCCCGGACCTCCCCGTTCCTATCACTGACTCGTCCAAACCCCGCTGTCAACTTGAACCCCTGACCGACTCCCCACATTACACATCACGACCAATCGAATAATGGCAGAAGAGGATGCGATTATTGAAGTGGTATGAACACCTTATTTTCTTATTTTCATATCTGGATGTTTCTTTATTTTCTCAAGTTGGTCATCACCGGTGCCTAGCGGCTAAATTTGAGGATGGCTAGGACCCTCTACATTCGAATTCACAATATCCCAATGACTGGCAATCGTGAGTCAAAATAGCCCTGGAGGTTTCCATGATTTCCAAATTCTCTAACGAAAATCCAATAAAACAGGGAAACTTTCTCAATCGGTTCTTCGCTTTATGAAGGAATGATACAAAATGGCAGACGGTAAGCATCATGCAGCAATTTCGCATACGTCACTGCAGAACTTGGCGCTAATCATGCGCACTGGGCAGCTATCAATCATTAAGCAATAAAGAATATTTGTACGAAGGCCGACTTATTTTGATAAGTCTTCATTGGTTAATCTGGATATACTATAGGATTCCATCTGATGAACAAATGTTTGATGCGTATGAGGCTGGGTAAGTCTAGTTCCCAACTCCTGTGACTGTTCAAGAGCTTTTATTTATAACTATCTCGTAGGCATCTTGTCGCCCTTGTTTTGGACTCGGATAGACAAAATCCTCTTTTTCGAGCACCGGTCGGCGAGAATCCGAGGCATATTCTTGATTTAGGTACAGGCAAAGGTACATGGGCAATGTAAGTGTCAACCCAGCTGTGACTTGTTACACTGCCTGCCAGTGCATTAACACATTAGTAGCGATGTTGCGGACATGTTTCCAGAAGGTATATTCATACCTTGATCTATTAAATTTGAGACAAGCTCGGATGACTAAATGACTACAGCAACTGTTCGCGGCGTTGATCTATTTCCACCACCAGTGGCATTTACGGCTCCGAATTGTGTTTTTGAGGTTGATAATGCCCTTGAAGAGTGGACATGGCGCGAAGAGTTTGATCTAGTGCACATGCGGATTTTGATCGGGGCTTTTGACCCGAAAGAATGGGATCAGGTCTATAAGCAGATCTACGAGTCAGTCGTCAGGTCCATATTCATAGCACATGGAGCTTTCATTCTAATACTCTCGATAGTAATCTCCGACCGGATGGATGGATCGAGCAGCTGGAGGCAAGTCCTTATATTGAATGTGATGATGGAAGTGTCCCAGAGGATAGTGTTCTCAAGACATGGGGCCCGAACATGTTAGCCTGTGGAGTGGCTGCTGGGCGAGAGTGTGATATTTTGGACACTATGGCAGACACCATCCGCAATGCTGGGTTCGTGGAGATGCACCAGAAGACTTATAAATGGCCGATTGGAGCTTGGGCCCGACAGCGTCGATACAGAGAAGCAGGGACAGTCAACCTCCAACATTGGTTAGATGGAATGGAAGGATGGTGTATGTGGCTCCTTACCAAATTTGGTTCTCCCAAGCCCTGGACGAGAGAGGAGGTCATATTTTATGTCGCAAAGATGCGCGCTGAACTCAAGAACCCGCGTTATCACATCTACCAAAGGGCGTAAGTTTTGATACCTGGTAAATCCTCTTGAGGCAGCGCTAACAAATGACACAGGCGACGAGTGTGGGCTCGTAAGCCTTTTTATTATGAGGTTTTGAAAACTCCCGACTCAATGCCAGATTCAGACATAACACCAGAGGTGCAGAGTCCAGAAGAAGAGAGAAACTAAGAACATTGTGAACCTTTTGATTGTTGCCTTGGTGTTCAAATGGAGTTGGAATTAGATGGATGGTGTACTGCGTTTCAAGCTCATCGCTTTCAAGCTTTCAATTTTGTTGAGTATTTTTTCTTCGGTCGGCTAACTATGAGTACTAGATACTTCATGAGCTTTATCAATGTTTGCTTAAGTGCATTCAGAACCCATAGTCTTGACCAGTGCATTAGGATTAAGTCTCCCACCTTGTTGACCTCAGTGCTGAGAGAGCCCTAAAGTGATCAGGCATGATCAAACCAGGATTGTGATAACAGACTTATCCTGTTTTTCATAGAATGTATTAATCATGTTGAATTTAGATAAGAATGGGGAGTGCCATGGTTAAAGGTGTTGATGGTTTTCACTGCATCGGGTTGCTGATTGGCCCATCGTGAGGAATGCTCGGACCTGACATCACCACGATCGCATCGATTGCATCTGGATTTCCTTGATCAAGACAGTTGCAGAATGGATTCATCATATTTAAGCATTTCAGAGAATGTTGACTTCGCTTTCCACCGGGTTCCTCTATTATCATCTACTCTAAATTGAAGATGTCGACTACTAAGAAAAAAGTGGCTATCATTGGCGCAGGAGCCGCAGGGATGGTAAGTACCTTCAAATCACCAAAAGCTCAAGCTATCGATCCTAAAGACTTTATAGTCATGTGCTTCCACTTTGGCAAACCATCCCGACCAGTTCGAAGTGACTATGTTTGACATCGAATCCCACACTGGGGGTCAGGCAACTTCAATTCCACTCGATGAAACCAAATACGGCGCAGGCTGGTTAAATGATGGAGTGCAAGGTGGCTCAGCCATTTTCCGTCACACATTCCGGTTCTTCCGTCAATATGGACATGAGCCTCAGCCAGTCAAACTTCAAGTTTCATTTGGCAAAGGACCGGACAGCTTCTGGACCAACGTGTTCCCCAGCCCCCTTGTTGACCAGCATTCCCGAGAGATCAAAAAGCTGGGCCGCGTGCTAAAATGCATCAAATATCTCATGCCTCTTCTGGGCGTAATGCCTGTTAAAGTTATTTTGCGCCTATTTCGATTCAGCCGTGATTTCAGTAACAGAATGGTCTTGCCATTGCTGGCATTGTTTCTCGGAACGGGGAATCAGACTCCCAACGTATCAAGCGTGCTGTTGGAACGATTGTTTGATGACCCACAGATGAAACTGTGGGAATATGATCCCGACACATTATTGCCCAATCTACCGTTGATGTATACATTCCCTAATCTAGGGGACTTCTACAAGGATTGGGCCGCCGATCTCCGATCAAAAGGCGTCAACATCAGACTCAATACTTCTGTGAAGATAATCAAACGTGGAAAAGATGGCGTTGTACTAGAAACAGCAAGTAATAATGAGGAGACATCTTCACAGCCAGCGACCACTACATACGATGAACTGGTCTTCTGTTGTCCCGCTGATGAAGCAAAGAAGCTACTCGATCGACAAGCCACTTGGCGCGAGAAATGGGTCCTAGGTGGTGTGAAATTTTTCAACGATATCACCATCACCCATTCAGATTCCGACTATTTCCAGAAAATATTCGAAGCCGAGTATGACCCTGCGTTATGTGCACAGCCATCCACCAAGGAACGCAAAGATCAGATTTCATTCGCGGAACAACAACCTGTCTGCCAAAAAGATGGTTGGCTCGGATATCGACCAATGTATTACACACATTCCTTTGCCTCAGACCCTGACAAGATTGAGATGGGGTTCGATTGTACAAATTACCAACATCAATTTCGAGAGAATCTGGGGGTGGATCAACCGCCTTTGCCATTGAACAAGCACGTCTTCCAGACTATATTCTTGAACGATCAACAGCAAGATCTCTGGACGTGGAATGATATCGACCAGTCAAAAATCATTGGCCGAAAATGGTGGCACCAGTTTGGTCATAGATGGCAGCATTATTTACGTGTTGTTCCGGGTATGATGTTTATCAACGGCCAGAATCGAACACACTATGCGGGTAGCTGGACTATGGTTGTAAGTATAACATAGTCCCACGGTCAAAGGTAAAATGAGGAACTGACAGATTATTTCAGAACATGCATGAGATTGCCTGTATTTCCGGGATTGCAGCCGCATATCAACTCGGCGCAGAATACGAGACATTCGATGAATTTGCCGAGGACTTTTTTGCGAAATATCTACTCGTCTGTCATGGAACACGGTACAAGAAGAGGAAGCAGAAGCGAACATAATTGATTATTGATACCGGATCAAATTTAATTAATAATATTTCAAGGTTTAGAGAACATATCGGAAGCTCTCTATTTCGTGGTCGGTCTTGTTGGAGAACTCGTCCTGTAGCTCCTCCGCCTCGGTCAACTGTCTTGGAGATCCGTAGAGTCGATCACGGCGACGGTTTTCCCAAGTATAATATCCGTAAAGACAAATGAGGAAAAAGATTCCCAGAACCAGACCAGACATGGATGCTTTGATTCCCGTCTAAAAAGAGGTTAGCGAGGGGCCTGAGACAGGTATCATGATATTCACTTACAGGGTAGGATGGCTTCTGGGAAGGAAGGAAGAATTGGGGCCCAACAATATTTCCAACACAGTAAGCCACAAACATCATTGCACTGACTGTACTCTTCTTGGTAAAACCAGCCACATTTGAGCTGATGATACTCAGAGACAGAGGAATGTTGGCAGCGAACACAGCTCCTAGGGAAAGACCGGTCAATCTGCCAGCCTTGTTGTCATCATCTAACTTCCAGATGAGGGCCATGCCAATCACTGAGACTGCGCAGTTCAGCATCATCATGAACAGTCGGCTTGATTTCACATATGTCGCAAATCCTGAGGTAAGCAAGAGGAAGACCAGCTGTGCAGCTCCCAGTGGCATTTGCATGATAAGCGACTTCAGACTTGAGAATCCAAAGCCATTGATGATGATTGAGGAAAAGCTGGTAATTCCACCGTTACATAAGTTAACACAGAATGTGTAAAGCACAAGGCACCACGTCTGTGGGTCTCTCACAGCCTTCCACACCTGGTCCCATCTGAACTTTCCAGTGTCCAGTACACCAGTCTTGTTCTTCAAGGTTCGCTGCAGTGCAATCGCCTTTTCATTTTTGTTGAGGCACTTCACTGTTGCTGGTGAATCAGGTAAGAAAAAGAATAGAACAAATCCATAGGCTGCGGTGACAGCACCCAGGATCAAGAACAGTAATTGCCAACTGCTGACGTTGGTTGTGGTGATGAGTCCAATTCCATATGCGACCACACCACCAATGACGCTGGCAATTGAGTTTCCAATAAACCAAGCAGCCTGTCTAGCAGGCTGCTCCTCTCTCTTATAAAACATTCCTGTGATCAAGGCAAAGCCAGGTGCAATGGATGCTTCACCCACCCCGAGGAAGAACCGGGCCACCATCAATCCACTGAATGAGGTGCAAGCCGCATGGCACATCAGGATACCGCCCCAGATAAAAACTGCAACACTGAGATATTTCCCAAGTGGGAGTCGAACAACGAGGTATGAGCTGGGCCAACTCCAAGCAAAATAACCGAAGTAGAATACGGCGGAGGTCCAATTATATTCCGTGCCCTTCAGGCCCTACGTGAAGCAATGAGGTGTTAGATAGCGATACTCAAAAAATGTCCTGTGGAATAAAATGAAGCCATACCAAATCTTCTGTTAAGCCAAATAATGTTGATTGACTCAGGGCAAGTTTGTCCATATATTGTAGCATATAACAAAATCCCATCAGGGGGATCAGGCTGTGGTGGTGGTGTTAGAACTACAGACTATGCTCAATTATGGCAATTTGTCACTCACAAGAAGTCCAGTTTCCAAAGCACCCTCCTCTCCATCTCTGGAGAAGCATATGTTTCGAGAACTTCACCGAAATCCACATCTTTTGGAACTGGGGTGGATCGTACTTTCAGTATGTCGAGGCCGACTGGGTCGTCTCTTGAGTGCGATTGATGTGTTTCCATATTGCAGTATTAGGATAAAGGGGGAAATAGATATGGGTAAATAAAGAGTATCGCCTGGATATCTCTGATTATTGCTCTTGAGAGGATGCGAACCCCATCGATCATATACTCTGTTTAATACCCAAGACGACGCTATTACCCCACAAATTCCTAATCAGTGGTGGCGATAGGCGGCATATCAGATATCCAAAGCCACAGGCGGCTCATTGGTTTCATCTCTTGATATTGTGACACATAATATGAGTTACCCCAGATAATCTGCTCGGCTGATGTGAGTTTAGGCGATAGCGTACGCCACGCGAGAGTGATATAGCCGGAAGGCGGCTTAGTTTATCGGCAGTTATAGGCGAGCAAAGTGAAATCCAGCTCCCGATAAAACGATCCTGCTAACCTCAGATTCCGATGACAGCTGTCTTGGCCTCGGATATTGATAGCGGTGTTCCTGAACAGTATCCGAAATTAGGGTACATCGGCAGTCTAGCCAATGTCAATGATCCGTCGGCAATCAGCCCCGAACCTTCTCCTATCGTGATCCACTCACTTACCTATCAAAGACTGTCCAATGTCATAATAGCTGTCAAATCGACCAACTAAATCCGCAATCATGATAGTCATCCCGTTTATCACGTTTACCCCACAGTCTTAATCGTGGGGGAGACGACCCACTTGATTGCCGACAAGGGACTGAGCGTGAATTCAATTCCTGATGCTCGCCAAAAACGGAATTTCCATAGAATTATTCCGCTATCAAGATGACTGGCTGGAGACTCGATGATAAATCATCGGCTGACAATATCCGAGATATGCTGCGGGGCTCTGGCGTCGTAGGCGTATCGAAGGGTCCTCGGATGCGACGCAAGAGATAGGGAATTTCCCGATTCTATTAAAATGAGGTGAGCCCGCAAAAGTGACTTTCTCACAAACTTATTTTATTGTGTTGAATTTTGACGTCCCAGATTCACTCATAATATGACTCTTTCCACTATTCAGAACGAGGATGTGCGGGCATCTGTGGATGCTGCGCTAGATACGCTAAAGGAATCACTTCGGAAACTAAACCACCAGGTAAGTCACGCTTGAAGTCAAAAACGACACAGCTTTCTTATGATCCCCTGGGAATCAATTGGCTGACTGGTTTCTTCGGTTTAGATCTGGTCAAATCCCGAACTCGCCTACCAAGAACACGGTGCCCACGATGCTATCTGTGATTTCCTCGAAGGACAAGGCTTTACAGTAACTCGACACGCATATGGACTTGACACATCATTTGAAGCGCTCAGCGGATCCGGTGGTCGTTTAGTTAATTTCAATGCCGAATACGACGCGCTTCCTGACATCGGTCATGCATGTGGTCACAACCTCATCGCCACCAGCAGTATTGCCGCGTTTCTGGCTCTCTCTTTCACATTGAAAAAATATGGTCTTCCTGGACGGACTCAATTGCTAGGAACACCGGCTGAAGAGAATGGCGGAGGTAAAGCCAAGCTTATTGATGCTGGAGCCTATAAGGGCGTTGATATCTCACTCATGGCGTATGTTCCATGACCCTTTTATACCTGTCTCATTTGGTCATCCTTCTAACAGTTGAAATACTAGTCACTCTGGTAACAAGAAAGTATTCCCCGATCAGGAAGATTCAGATGGAATTGCTGGAACACTGATGAATGCCCGAAAGAATATCCATTGCGAATTTTCAGGCAAGAGTGCGCATGCTGGTGGCAACCCGTGGGATGGAGTCAATGCCTTGGATGCCATGGTCACCTCTTATAATAACGTTGCTGTTCTGCGTCAACAGCTTCTACCTGATCAGCGCGTTCATTGTGCATTCATGGATACCCCAAAGGTGGCCAATGTTATTCCAGCATATACCAAAGCCTTCTGGCAGGTCCGCAGTCCGACTTTGAAAGGACTCAATCAACTTGTGGCTAAGATTCGGAATTGTATCGAGGCCGGTGCGTTGGCTACCGGATGTCAAGTCACTATCACAGAGTATGTCTTCTCTAATACACTGGTGTCTGTTCATAACTAATCCAGCCACTTTTACTTTCAGGGATGAGCTTTACACAGATGTTCGGTTGAATGACAAACTTTGTGAGAGATATCAGGTCCATATGGGCAGCTATGACCGAAAGGTGCTGAAGCGACATGACAAGGTTTTAACAGCATCCTCTGATATTGGTATGTGCTTGAGTTTGTCTGTCTCCAAAATACTCGCACTGACAGATTAAAATAGGTAATGTCAGTTATGTGACTCCTACTCTCCATACAATGTTCGGTATTCCCACGCCCGAAAAAACTTTCCCCCATCACCCTACATTTGCTGCTGCTGCTGGTACCGATGAGGCCCATGCAGAAGCAATTATTGTAGGTAAATCGCTTGCATTGATCGGATATGACATCATTACCAACGATGCCATGTTCGAAACAGTTCATCGTCAGTGGCAGGAAGAAATCGCTCGAGATGACTAGATGTAACATATAAAGAGCAAGAAGATATTTAAAGAGAATGTATCAATATATCAATATATCACTATGACTTGACATTCTGAATGCATCATGCATGTACAGTATGCAACCTTAGAAGTTCCATTGTATAGATCAAAAGCAATATGCCTGTCAGTGGCTGTCAAATCCTAATTTAGAAGGCACTAATGCAGCAGCCTTATAAACATGGCATTCAGCCCCACTTTATCGTGCCTTATCTCGGGTCTCCAGTTTCTCGCTGAATCGATGATTCAACTCTCCCCTCTTCCCCACCCCTTCTTCTTTGACGCCAATGCCTGCAGATTAATCTAGGTTTTTTGATCTAGCGAGTGGTGGGGGATTGCATCTTAATGTCTGGACGGAACGCGCCGCGCTCAAAGAATGGTAAGTCCTCCATTTCCCTTTTTCCGAGATCCATAGTGAAGTTTCTCCGACATCGTGTCTAATTCCGCTTTTCCTCCACATAGGCTGCAGCACTTGCCGTCGGCGCAAGGTGAAATGCGGCGAAGAACATCCTGTTTGCCAACGCTGTCTAAACCTTCGCCTCAGCTGTGAATGGGGCATTCCAGTGAAGCGCGGTCGCAGCGGACAAATTCGACACCTTCAGCCAGCGCCATTAGCCTCAGATCAGGTGGCTTGGCCGGCCTCGGAGGTTGGCGATGTTGTGGTAGACATTGCACCAGAGACACTAATTGACGGTCTGTCTCCAATATCTTGGCCCGGCGATGCTTTACCTCTAGAGTTTCCGCGGGTTGCTCCGTTTTATCCTCCAATTGCCCCGATCCGAATACCGACTCCACTTTACCCTTCGTTGGGGGGGCAGCGAAGTTGCATGCGCCAATTCTCTCACACTCACAGACCATGACCAAAAATACTTCCAATATTTTCCCTCCTCGTCAATCGTCTATTATTATATGAAAGGATGGACTTGGAGCAGCTTTTGTTACCTTTACCAAGGTCCTGCGGCCACGAATAAGGTCATCATGCGAATGATTCTAGCCCTTTCCGCGAGCGATATGCATCGTCATGGATTGGTGGTCAGATCACCTGGCCGACCGACCGCCGAGGATCATGGGAGGTATCACTACAGTTTGGCTGTCAAGGAGTTCCGGCAACTCCTGGAGACACCCCGGCGGCATATTTCCGTGGCTGAGCTTGAGATTATCTTTGCCACCATGTTTTTAATGGTCACTTATGAATGGCAATTTGGCCATTCGGTACGACATCTTCAGCTTCATTTACACGGCGTGCGCTCGTTACTTGAATCTCACCCCCAATTATTTCGCATCAAGGATGTGAATGACGTATTTCTCGATTCTGCAGACGAGAGCTCATCCCCGGAGGATACAACTGTCTCAAAAGTTTCATTCATCCCCGAGCAATTTCTGTTATGGATGCTGTAGGTATTTTCCTGTGTCTTGTCACTTCTCCAGCCATGCCCTAAGCTAATTATTTTGTCTAGATACATCGATGCCAGTTGCCGACCCATGGGTCTAACGGAATCACTTTACGATTATGTCACTCAATCCAATAATCCCGCACTCCACCCAGATCACTTACACCAATGTGCCCGTCTCTGGGGTCGTTGTTTCTGGGGCGAGCAGTACCCGGACCAAGAGGTTCTCGATGATATCGAAAATTATCGAGCTCTGGAGTTGCTACATGCCGGTTTCGCATTGCGGCACCGAATATGGAGGACGTTGGTGGAATCAGGGTCTGGCACCGATACCACTGAGTCGGTCTACCGTGATATGATTGCAACACGTGATGTATGAGCTCTTTCTCCTTTGCCCCAGATCAAAGGGGTACCTTGATAGGAATATCGCTAATGAGACCTAGAAATACTCTGACCTTTTTATTACCGCCAAATTCGCCGGTGCAGTTTCCGCTCGACGCACTCTCAACACCATCTACATGGGCGTGTCCACATTCTACGCCCAAATCTTGCTCCACCGAAGGCTACTTTGCGTGGATAATCCACCTGCCTCTATTCACCGACAGGCCACAGTCGGTATCGTGGACATTGCTCGTAAGCAATTTACGGCTGACCCTCGACTGCTGCGACGGCTACATTGGCCTCTCCTAATGGCAGTCATTGAAACTGACGATGTCAACCAACGTCTTTGGATCCGCCAACGATTGTTCGATTTGCATGACTTCCATTCTGAATACGTTTGGGCTAATGAGATAGCCGACCAGATCTTGGCTCAGCAGGACGTGAGCCAGGGCCGCTACGTCAATCTCGCGGAGTTCCTTCTTCAGCGCTACCATTCACCATAAGGCGTCTATGATGCTCTTTTGTATATCTACCTATAATGTCTATAGACCTATGTAATATGTGACGTCAATGCCACGACAGAACAAAGGGAAAAAGGGATAGCACATCCTCATTTCAAGGTCCAGCTGTCACTTCATGGACTATTCTCCAGGAAATAAGCATCGTAGGCGACCTCACCCTTGGCTCTTGTGGCTCTTCCGACAATGACACGATCATTCATCCACGAGTACTTTTCGTGGCCTGTTTCAATCCGAACATGGAGATGGAACCAATATTGAGTCGGATCCACCGGACCCCCTTCCATGAGAGCTTTCAAGACCTCTGGCGGACCTGCCCGTGTTCCCTCAGTGCTATAAAATCATTTAGATAATGTCCGAACTAAGATTTCTGAAAAAGAGGTGGATGGGGTGCCATTTACCGAATGTACAGGAATGCGCCGTCATCACTTTTGATCACGTAGTTAGTATTAACATGAGTTGTCTGATCCTCTTCGACAATCCTATATCAATTGATTAATTTCTCTCATTTCTTCACGATTTCTCCATTCAAATGTTACTTCAGCACATACATAAAATCCGCACCACCAGGTACGACTTCTCCGTTCAGATGTGGACCACACACCACTCCCGACATAATGGGGATGCACCGACGCCGACCGAAGGGACCATGACCAATTTCCATGGGAGTATCAACAGCGCATCTTAATGTGAAAAGATGGCTGAGCTTAGGTGGAGGGGCGATAGTATCCATTTTCAATCTTGGGGACAACTTGCTGCAAATGATAATAGAATAGGTAAAACTTGAAATTCAATTGTCGAGGGGTTTCTATGAGGTTTTACTCTAGGGCTATGTGGAACATGGACACTAAGCTTCCCCACCATTGCATCTCCCCGGTACGCCTTAATCTTTCAATTCCCGCGATCCCGAGGTTGGAAGCCGGTGGAGAAGGTGACTCCATGAGTCCATGACTTCCAAGGTTGTGGGTGACAGGACAGTTGACAGCTTTACTCACATAATAGTTACCCGGCGATCCCGCTCTATCCGAGTAATGTGACGTAGCTTATGCTCTGAAATATCCATTCACGGAATGAGGTACATGAAATTTGGTGCAAGATAAGTACAATTTTCCCCTGATCGCGGTCACGCGGATCACAGTGCTAGACCAGTTGGCACTCCCATAGATTCCAAGGTTGACATGTGCCTCATCATCCTTCTCTCTGAAGACGTCTCATATTCCATGCATTTTGTCCATCCATCGAACTCTGAAGACGATTGAGGTGATCAGCGCGATTGCTTTAATCGTTCAAGTTGGATAAAACATTTGAATCTCACCTAAACCTGATGGATTTCATGTAGATGTTTTCTGCACTTGAACCATTTCAAGTCCGATGCCAGGTGTCACGGTACAACCAGTTCTACAACCTGAACAGACATACACCCACATGTGCACTTCGGCAGTTTTTGCTGGACAAAATGAACATTCTGAAAATTTTCAACATGCCAAGGTCGAACATCCTCACCTGTGCAGTGGACCATTGAAATCATATGGTCTAAAAGAAAAAAAGAAGAAAAAAAACAAAATGACAATCTTCCAAGGTTGAAACTTGGAAGTACTAGTCCTGTGCAGGGTCAACTGGTGGATATCTTGGGCTTTCAAATTTCATTTAACCTGAAGTTATTGTTACCCAATGCCGGCCTAGGTATCTTAATGTATCCAATGACATAGCCCGGAAGACGACCACCTGGGCACATGTAACTCATGCAGCGTCCCTGCGTAATTTAGTGTGGGGTGACTACATTAGTCTACATATGACCATCTAAATGTGACACTATGGCGTCTGTGCGCATCCCTGCCGAACGAATACAGAAAAGCGCCACTTACCTGGGACATACATTCTACATCTACCGAAACAGTCAGACCACATATACCCTGCAAGCGAGATGAGAAGAGCCTAAATAAGTCATTGATGGGAAATCTCCAGGTTACTAACCCAGCTCCAGCGAATAGGATTCGCTTATAGTGCATCTGTATACCCGATTGGTCTTGAGCTGGCATTAGTTAACTTTGTTATACTATGCTGTTTGATGAGTGTGCTTGGCCGGCGACAACTGGAACATTGGCATAGGTCCGGAATATTCGGCTTGAGTGTTCATATGTATGAATCACAAGGAAATTTGGAGAATCCGCAGAATATCATGATCTTCCAGATGTCGTTCGCTTGAGATATGGTTCAAACTGAGTAGGAGGATATCATGACAAGAGAACATACGAACTCTTCAAAGATACCATAGTATACGTATCAGGCAACCTCGGTCTTATTTCTTCGCTTCGACCATCACTAAACTCATTCATACACGGGGTTTCTCACTTCCTAAGGTCTGTGTGGTGGGTTCCTGAAAACTCCACGGATCCATCGGCGCGCTGACAAGGCTCACCCCGCCACGCTAATGCATGTACCCCGGGACCACCAGTCATCTGCAGAGTCCAAATTACTAACTTAGGCCTGCAGAAACCCTCGGCATCAATTCCCTCGTCACGGATCAATCCGACTTGATTTAGTCCGAAGGGGGTCCGTGAAAGGCGGACGAATATTACAACGAATCCGGGGAGAGCCTCTCTCGAATAAGAAAAGATTTTCAGGAATATTGGAGACTGATTTATCCCCATAGCGCATTTCACGGCGCATTCTTATCTCAACACGGAGCAAGGCTTCCGTCGTTCATTCGTGAGACGATGGGGGTCGATTTTTGCTGCAGACAGAGTGACTGAGTCCCCTTCTCATCTCATTTGAATCAATTCATGAAACAGAGGGATAGACTCCGTGTCCGCGGAGGCATCATCATTTTTCCTCTTTTGGAACCAGAGAGATTTTCGTTGAACGGACCAAGAGGCCGTTCTATGGGGACGTAGGACATTCAGATCGTCCATTATGCCTCATGTTCGAGTATAAATGGATCGTCTTCTGTCCATCAAGGTCGATTTTGAATCAGGCTCATCAGACTACAGTAAACATCACTCGAAACGGATCTGCGCACAATGGCTGCTACTCTCTCCTACCGGTTCTACAAGAGTATTCTCCTCTTGTCTGCGTTCCTGAGCATTGCTCAGGCGCAGCAAGCAGGCACACTCACCACCGAAACTCATCCGTCCTTGACTTGGGAAACCTGTACCAGCGAAGGCAGCTGCACTGTCACCACTGGCTCCGTTGTCATTGACTCGAACTGGCGCTGGATTCACGATGTCAACAGCTCTACCAACTGCTACACTGGCAATACTTGGGACACTACTCTTTGCCCTGACGATGTCACATGCGCTACCAACTGCGCACTTGACGGCGCTGACTACTCAAGCACCTACGGTGTCACCACCAGCGGCAGTGAAGTTCGTCTGAACTTTGTCACTGACAACTCCAATGGCGCGAATATCGGATCCCGTCTTTATCTGCTGGAGGACTCCACTACCTACCAGGTTTTCAATCTGCTGAACCAGGAGTTCACTTTTGACGTCGATGTGTCCAATCTTCCTTGTGGATTGAACGGTGCTCTCTACTTTGTCGACATGGATTCCGACGGTGGTATGGCACGATTCCCAGCAAACAAGGCTGGAGCCAAATACGGAACTGGCTACTGCGATGCTCAATGCCCTTCGGACCTGAAGTTCATCGACGGTGAAGCCAACTGTGATGGCTGGGTTGCCTCGACCAACAATATCAACACTGGTACTGGAGGCCATGGCTCCTGCTGTGTGGAGATGGATGTTTGGGAGGCCAACTCTGTCTCGAACGCACTGACTCCCCACTCTTGCGACACTCCAGGCCAGACTATGTGCGACGGAGATGCCTGTGGAGGAACATACAGCACTGACCGCTATGGCGGTACCTGCGATCCTGATGGATGTGACTTCAACCCATACCGCATGGGTAACAAGACCTTCTACGGTGACGGCATGGTTGTCGATACCTCTTCCACTTTCACCGTGGTTACTCAATTCATCACCGACGACGGAACTTCCACTGGTACATTGAGCGAGATCAAGCGATTCTACGTCCAGAATGGTGTCGTTATCGATCAGTCCGAGTCTACCATCAGCGGTGTTACCGGCAACGTCATCGACACAGACTTCTGCACTGCCCAGAAGACTGCCTTCGGCGACGAAGACACCTTCAGCACCCACGGAGGTTTCAGCTCAGTCAGTGCCGCACTCGCTGACGGCATGGTCCTTGTCCTGAGTCTCTGGGATGATTACTACGCCGATATGCTCTGGCTCGACAGCATCTACCCAACCAACGACACCTCCACCACCCCCGGTGCTGCCCGTGGAAGCTGCGACATCTCCTCCGGTGTTCCTGCTACCATTGAGGATAGCGAGGCTAGTGCCTACGTTACTTACTCCAACATCAAGACCGGTCCCCTTGGCTCTACCTACAGCTCCGGCACCAGTGGATCCAGCTCCAGCTCCTCCAGCTCGACAAGCTCCGCCACCTCCAGCAAGACCTCCACTACCAGCAAGACAACCACCTCCACCTCCAGCAAGACAACCACTACCAGCAAGACAACCACCTCCACAAGCTCCAGCAGCACCGGTGCTGCTCACTACGCCCAGTGTGGTGGTTCGGGATGGACTGGTGCTACCACCTGTGTTAGCCCATACACCTGCACCGTGCAGAATGCCTACTACTCCCAGTGCCTGTAATCTTTTTCGCCCATGAAAAAGACTTTCCGGGGATTGATTGAACCTGTAGTCTGAAGAGTGAAGAGGAAGTGGCTGTGTTTTGTTATTGCTGACAAGAATGAGAGAAGAATTATAACAGTTTTGGCTTCAAGTTTGTGTTACAGATTATTTGACAGATTGTTAAGATCCTTACCAATAGCAATATACGAAATGATATTATTATGCGATCAGACTCCAGCTCTATGTAAACTCAATTCATTATAATCAGTATCCATCACTTAGTCAATCTAGAGAGTTCCAAGGTTGGAGACTCATCAACCTCCAAGGTCACTTTCCCAATGCCCCCACAAATTCAATAACTTGAATCCCACATTATTCCCCCAAGTCTTCACATTAGCGCCGACCCATGTAACCTAGCAGGGTTCTCATGCAGTGGCACTTACAAGTCCCGAAGTCATGGCGTTGTGGCGTTTTGGCATCTACATTTGGCTAGATCAAATCTTCCCCAATGATCATGCCCATGCGGAGAATGCTCCGACTAACTTACCTTGGAAATGAAGTACCAACCCAAGGAGCATTGAACTTCGCCTAACTGGCTATGGAAATCTGGAGGAAATTATGGTTTGGGTACTTGAAATTTCACTTAGAGCCTCGTGTACAGGGTTTTCTGCTGAAGTAGTACTCATCTATTAGGCTAAACAATGCACATTTGAAGTCTGTGGTCATGGTGCTTTGCATAGAACTAGTATCCTTAGGCATAGCCCAAATTCTCTGGTTTTGTCAGTCTCATTCTGTTTCTACGCAATTTCATGGGCGTGGTTGACACATCCGAAGAGGATCCGGAACCCCTCAAAGAAGGGGATTCACATATCTAGTCAGTATAATGGAACCAAATTGCCATTGGATGAAAATTTCACCCAAGTCCTCGTCCAAGCCACATTTGTATACTTTCCTCAGCCTCAGTCTATCTCCCGGGTTAAGTATCATCCCTCTGCATGGCAGCTGGCGCAAAAGAAAAAGCAGTACCAAGAAAAAGCCATCACTGGCCAGGCACCCTGACCTATAAGGGTGCTCTCATCAAGAAGCTATACCTTTTCGTCATGACCATATTCCTCGACTCCAGTCGTTCGTTCATCAAGACCCCGTGCTCCACTGATCCAGAACCTTTCCACACTGTGGGGATGATGTAGTCTCCCCAGACGGCTGTAGGCTATCCCACACTTATGCCCACATCATAAAAGGGGCTTAGTGCCCCAGCCTACACTCTGTAGGCGAAATGTCGGTCTGGAGCTCCCACATATATGTATTGCAGCTCAGCCCATTCTTTTGATTTCGTTGGTGTCTCTCTAATTCTTGGGATATCGACATGTCCATACATGTCGTGGACTCCCACCACTGGGAATCTCGGTGAGACATGTATTAACTCCATTTCATCTTAACAATCACAATCATCATCTGGATGACAGCTTATCCCTCCATTCACGGAACCAGTCGCAATGGCATGATCAAGTCATTCTTCCGCAAGTCAACGGGAATTCCAGGGTCGGGAGATTGAGGAAGTCATCAAGGCCGACAAAGAACGATAAACCGAGCCGGGAAAGCACAAAATGATGATCTCAATGCAACACGGAGGATGAAAATGAAGCATTGCCGTCGCGAACTAATAGATTTCCCATTCCAATATGAAGCTTCCCCATCCCCGGCATCGTGGAGATCATCACAAACCGGTCGGGAATGATCGCTGCCGGCGGGGTCTTGTGACCACCTGTGGTCGTGGTTAAGTCCTTATCCGCGTTCGTGGGGAAGCGCTTCTCCGGCTGTGGCGGGTGGCGGGTTTGCCGAATTGATGATGATGCAACACAATGTTATGTGAGACATGGGAAAGCGATTGCCGTGAACTCCGTTGAAACATTGAACCAATCTCTTGAGAGATTCCGGTGTGCTGAACTTCGGCATTGTGAAATAAGGAGTTCCATGCAAATGTCGGTGAGATTGTCAAATGAGAGTAGAGGTAAAATCAGCACTAGTTAGAGCTCAGATAATGAATACTCATACCAAATTGCGACCGAAGAAGCTTCAAATCTTGAGATAACCTAAATTCTTCGTGTGACTATAATTTATCAAGTCCTACAATAACATAGACAGCTGTAGGTACTTTTGGCAACACAAGAAAATCATGCAAGGCCCACGTTGCAAATAAGCATAAATTATAGCTCAGTGATTGGGCCTGGAAGTGGATGCATAGAAGTCGCTACGACTTTAGATGCAGCCCGGTTTCCAATAGATCGGCTCCCGGTCGATCGTAAGGTAAAGAGTGGAGATGACCCTAGCTTAAGAGTAGTCGCGTGAGAGGCTACTTGTTCTAGATAAGATCTAGTTCGATCTTTAATTTACAAGGGAAAAGAGAAAAAGTATATCGTGATCACTTCGATTGGATACTGTAAGGTACACAAGGTTGTGGAGAGCATAAATAGAAATTGGGAGATAGAACATCATAAAGATCAAGTCGCTAAAATGACAAATGCAATGCTAGGTGATTTTCTTTTCAGTTCACGAAGCTATATCCCCACTTTACAGGGAGGACTTAGACTTCTGGCTACGCTCGAAAGAGGAGACAGGAGGAGCAGAGTTGGGGTTGGGGTGGTGCTTCTTCAGAGCCATGGTAACGTTGTACTCCAGGTCGAGAGTGGCCTTGGGGTCAGCAGTCTGGGGCTTGAACTCAACGACGAGGTCATCCTTGACAGCGAAGACGGAGTCGATGTCGAGGTGGGGGTCGGTGCTGGGGTAGAGCTGGTTGATGATGGTGGCGTAGTCGGGGTGGGTGATCATCAAGTGGATGTGAGCGGGACGCATGGGGGGAACGGTCCATAACGTTGAGGAGGACACCGGCGGGACCATCGGTGGGCAGAGAGTAGGCAGTGGGGTGGTAGCAGTACCAGTAGTACTCTCCCTTCTCGTTGGTGCGGAACTTGCCGCGAAGGTTGTTCTCGGACTGCTCAGGGTCCTGGAAGTCGTACAGAGCGTTGGCGGAAGCCTGCCAGATGTCGAGGACGGCGTTGACAACGGGAGCACCGGTCTCCATGTCAGTGATGACACCGTGCATGAGGGTGACCTGACCGTTGGGGAGAGGGTTCTGGATGATGCTGTCACCCAGAGCACGGAAAGGAGCGTTGGGAGACCAGAAGGGACCCAGGATAACGTTGGAGGTAGGGGAGAGACCCTGCTCAGTGACGATCTTGTTGGCGATCTCATCGACGAGAGACTCGAGACCGATAACATCACAGATACGGTGACCCTCGTTACGGATAGGAGTGCTGATAGCACCAATGGAGTTGATGAACTCAACACCCATCATCCACTCAGCGGGGGTAAGCTCGACCTCACGAGCGAAGTCGTGGATGTGGCGGATGAGGCAACCCAGGATCTCCTTAGCACGGGGGAGGGGTCTTAGGACCCATGGCGTTAACCACATAGGGGGTGAAGTCGGGATCCCAGCGAGGAGCAGCAGACATATTTGCGGTTGTGTGGGGATAGAGAAGTAAAGGAAGTTATAGATGGATGAGGATGGATAGAGAGAAAAGAAGAAAGTTAAAACGAGGATGGATCCGGACCTTTATATCCTTTTTTTCACTCCCAGACTTTTTTTTTCCAATTTTTCTTTTTCTCTCCACTCAATTCAGCAAGAAAACCTACCCCGGATGACCATTTCGGCCCATTCCAGAGGTCAACCCCGGACCGCACGGTCGGCAATGAGCGGAGGAGTAGAGAATCTGCGAATCGGCAGCGGCGACATCGCAACTCCCGCTCTCCGGGATTGCGTTTTCCACAGTGCCGACTTGCCACTGTCTATGATCCGTGGATTCTACGTGGATTCTAGTTAACTCAATGATCAATTCAGCCACTCAGAAGCCTTCATCCTGTTCTGGGTCATCCGCATCCAGCGGTTATGCTTGGTGCCGCCCTTGCCTGCCGATGGCTTCCAGGATAAGACTTCTGCGGGCGCGTGTATATTCTGTATCCTCGACTCGGTATCTAAACATCGTATGATCCGTCCGGCTTTCATCTCTCAGGCATCTGCCATACTATCACGTCCTAGCCTCCGTTCTTTCTCCAACACAACAACCGCAGCCATGAAGCATCATTTGATGGTCGGCACCTGGGTCGCCCCCGGGCGCATCTACACCGTCCAATTTGACGATGAGGCTCTGACCCTGGAGCTAGTCAAGAAGACCGAAATTCCTGAGGCTGAGCCCATCTCATGGATGACCTTCTCCCACGACAAGAAGGCCATCTATGGCGCTGCCATGAAGAAGTGGAACAGCTTCGCTGTGAACAGCCCCACGGACATTGTTCACCAGGCCTCCCACCCTGTTGCCGGCCACCGTAAGTACCCAATTCAACAACAATTGAGCAATTAAGTCATAAGTTTTTTGGACTAACATCAATTTCTCCTTCAGCTCTGGCTCCTAGCAGTGAGACCAACACCCGTGCCATCTTCGTCCTCGCCGCCCACAAGCCTCCCTTCAACGTTTACGGAAACCCCTTCTACAAGTATGCGGGGTACGGTAACGTCTTCTCTGTGAAGCCCGATGGAGCTCTGGATGTCAATGTTCAGAACTACGAGTACCAGGAGAACACCGGTATTCACGGCATGGTCTTCGACCCCACCGAGACCTACCTGTACTCGGCCGATCTGACGGCCAACAAGATCTGGACACACAAGAAGGATGCTCAAACCGGTCAATTGGAGCTGATTGACTGCTTGGAGGCTCCTTCTCCTGGCGATCATCCCCGCTGGGTTGAGATGCACAAGAGTGGCAAGTACCTATACGCCCTGATGGAGGCTGGCAACCGTCTGGGTGTCTACGTGATTGACGAACGCACCCACAAGCCCGTCTTCACTCACATCACCTACCCTCTGCTTCCTCCCGGTATGTCAAATTCTACTTTTTTTAACGAACGCTAGGAACCAAATTTTAACCCACGTATCTCCAGGTCTCCCTCCCCGCAACAAGTACCGTGGCGACGTTACTTTCACCACTCAAAGTGGCGAGTACCTTTTCGCGACCACCCGCTCCAACCACTTCGATGTGACTGGTTATATTACTGCCTTCAAGCTTGGTCCCTCTGGTGAGATTGAGCGCCAGCTCTTCATCAACCCCACCTCTACCAGCGGTGGCCACTCCAACGCTGTCAGCCCTTGTGACTTCAGCGACGAGTGGGTTGCTATCTGTGATGACCAGCTTGGTTTCGTCGAGATGTACCGCTGGGCCGATGAGAAGCTGGCTCGTGTTGCCCGCGTAGACATTCCTGAGCAGGGCTTTGCCATGAACGCCATCTGGTATGATTAAACGAATTACGAAACTAAATAACCTAGACTATAGAATCTTGAACCAAAAATTTGATGGGGATTTCTACCATTGGATCTTCAGTCAATTCTCGATCTAATAGTCATTGATTCAGAGGGTTTAGTTCCAAGGTTACAATAACCACAAAAGAAATATTATTCAAGCATAAAAAAAAGTTAATAAAGAAAAAAAAAAAAGAATTATATCTTCCAATCATACTTAGTGGCAATAAAAAAAGTATAATTAATATCATCTAATACCAGATCGAACATTCTACTTGTACATTATGTACATTGCACTCCGTCGAGTCCGTACTAAGTGTTCGGGGATAATCGGCAGTGAAATTCGGTTGCGCTTTGCTTTCTTCCGCTCATTGAGGGGCAACTGCCGATGACGATACTGGGGAAAAGAGGGATAATAGGAACCTTGGGAAGAATTTATAATTATTATTAGTTAGAGATAGAGATTGAATTACTTCTTGACTCTTGACTCTCTTTTTACTATACACAATAGTCTAAAAGTTGTGTTCTTTTTTTTTACCCCTCCAAACCCCGCCATCATGACTACAGGACTTCTCTGGGTGACAATGCAGCCTAAGGGCTCATTGCCCGACACTCAGTTCCACGACTGGTACAACACTGAACATGGTCCTTTGCGCCTGCGTCTCCCTTTCATCACTAATGGATTCCGTTTCCGTGCCACCGACGGCGAGACTCCTGAATATGTTGCGCTTTACGATATTACCGATATGGACGAGTTGACTCGCAAGACCTACCTGGATCTGCGCACAGATTTGATCAAGACTGAACGTGAGAAGAACACTATGGCTCAGATTGATGTTGGTCGCAAGCTGTACGATCTGGTGGAGGAGCGGAGCCAGCCCAACTACCGCCAGTTGGAGGACCAAGCCGATACCGATCCCGAGACCCGCGGCAGCGTTATGGTCGCTGTTACTACAACCACCCACCCCGAGAAGGAAGACGAGCACGACCGCTGGAACCGTGAGGAACACTTTGACATGCTTGCCCGCGTGCCGGGATGGCGTCGCAGCCGTCTCTTCCGCACTGCTGCCATTGACTCAGCCGCGCCCCGGGAGACCCTTGCTCTGCACGAGTACTCCCCCGTTAACGGACTCGGTGGTGAGCTTCACCAGGCTGCTATGAGCACCCCCTGGCGCCAGCGCCTCCAGGAGGAGGCCGTTACTTCCAAGTTGCGTCGTGTCTACCAGTGGTACTACACCTTCGGTCCTGCTCCCCGTGAGCTTTCCTCCCTTGCCAAGTCCGATGTTATCGGTCCCTGGTCTTCCAACGATGGTCGCACTCGTACCTTCCCCTCTGAGACCCGCCCAGCCGTCGAGTCCTACGTCACAACCAAGGACGGCGTTGAGATTCCTTACCGCTTGGAGGGCAGCCTTGACCCCGAAGCCCCTGTCGTTGTTCTCAGCAACTCCATCCTTGTGAATTGGAACATCTGGGACCGATTCGTCGAGGCGTTCCTCGCCCGCAAGGAGAACCAGAAGTACCGTGTTGTTCGCTACCTGACTCGCGGTCGTCGCTCTGCCAGCGGCGAGCAGCCCGTCAACGTTGACGTGTTGGCTTCCGACTTGAACACTCTTCTGGAGGCTCTGCGCGTTTCCCCCAAGGCCGCCCGTCTGATCGGTGTCAGCCTTGGTGGTGTTACCGTCCTTAACACCTCTCTCCTCTTCCCTGAGCGCGTTGGTGCTTTCATCGCCTGTGACACCAACTCCTCTGCTCCCGAGTCCAACCGCAAGGCCTGGGGCGATCGTGTTGCTATGTGCGAGCAGGAGGGCTCCGTCGACCCTGAGACCAACGAGCCCATTGTCGGCGAGCAGTTGGCTGAGATCACCACCCGACGCTGGTTCGTCCCCGAGTCTTACGAGACTCAGCCCGAGGTGCTGGCTCCTGTCAAGGAGGCTGTCCGCACTAACAGCCTTAAGGGCTTTGCGCACAGTGTCCAGGCTCTGTGTGCTTACGATATCCGTGACCGCATGGCTCAGGCCACTGTTCCTGGTCTCTTTGTTGCCGGTGCCAATGATGGTGTCCTCCCCCAGACTATGCAGAAGATGGTCGCTGATCTGAAGGCTCCTTCTGAGCTGAAGATCGTTGACCGTGCTGGCCACCTGCCCATGGTTGAGCAGCCCGAGGCTTTTGCTGATGTCGTTACTGAGTACCTGAGCAAGGTTGAAGTCGAGCTGGCCTCGCAGTAGGTTCAAGTTAGAGTTGGATAATAAATATGGATAGACTTCAAAATGATGGTTAAGATATATATACATAGCGTAAGAAAATGGATATTATGATTGTTATGAATATTTTACATTATGTCAAACTTAAATGACCTTTGATCATGATTAAAAAGTATATTTGAGAATTAATATTTAAAAAGAAGAATCTTATGATAATAATAAACTTGAAGACCTGCCCAGGTGGTCGTGACCAGTGGACCCTAATCATCCTGAATCAGCGCAAGGACTGTTCAGCTGTTCAGTCTTGTGCCCCGTGCGGTACCCGAGTCCCGCCAAGCACGCAAGTTCCCCTCCGCTTCTTCACTCCGCTCCTCCACGAATTCCCCTCTTAACATCTCTTTCGCCATGACTGACAGCAAGGTCCCTCAGCCAGGACCGGCGAAACTGAAGCGCAATGCAGGCCCAGACGAATGGCTGGAGGCCGCCAAGGACTGCAAGTACCTGTCCGAGGCACACATGAAGCAGCTGTGTGAGATAGTCAAGGAGTATATGATGGAAGGTGAATAAGACTTGCGCTGATATATTAGTCCTGAATATTTACTAAAACTCATGAATTTCTTTAGAATCGAATATTCAGCCCGTTTCTACCCCCGTTACGATCTGCGGTGATATCCACGGCCAGTTCTACGATCTTCTGGAGCTCTTCCGCGTTTCGGGCGGGATGCCCGATGGCACAGATCCTGAAGCCCCTCAGTCTTCTTCTACCGTTATTACCTCTGCCGATATTGAACCTCCGTCTGAGATTACGGATCCCAAACTCCGCAAAAAGCTACGAGGACCAAGCGCGAATTTGAAAGGGGACGATGATGAGGAATCCGAAGCGAACGATACCACACGAAGCCGATCCACGAGCCAAACGTCCAATGATGTTCAGTTGAATCGGAATTTCGTGTTCCTGGGTGATTACGTGGATCGTGGATATTTCAGTTTGGAGACACTAACTCTGTTATTGTGTCTCAAGGCTAAGTGAGTGGAAATCCCCAATGGTTAATGCAATTGAGGAGAAAAGTGAGCGAGAGACTAATCGACGGGGCGAATTTCACAGATATCCCGATCGAGTGACATTAGTGCGTGGAAACCACGAGTCCCGCCAGATCACACAGGTATACGGCTTTTACGAAGAATGTTTCCAGAAATACGGCAGTGCTTCAGTATGGAAAGCCTGTTGCCAGGTTTTTGACTTTATGACGCTGGGCGCGATTATCGATGGCAAGGTTCTGTGTGTGCATGGTGGATTGAGTCCAGAGATCCGCACTCTAGACCAAGTACGGGTCGTCGCTCGTGCACAGGAGATTCCGCACGAGGGCGCTTTCTGTGATCTGGTCTGGTCGGATCCTGATGACGTGGAGACCTGGGCAGTCAGTCCTCGAGGAGCAGGTTAGTACAATGAGCTCAGAGCTGAGGCAAGCTTTATTATAGCATCCGACTAACACAATTTTTCTTCTCTAGGATGGCTCTTCGGCGACCGTGTAGCGGACGAATTCTGTCACGTCAACGACCTCTCCCTGATTGCTCGCGCACATCAACTGGTAAACGAGGGGTATAAATATCATTTCGCGAATCAGAACGTGGTGACCGTATGGAGTGCTCCGAATTACTGCTACCGCTGTGGTAATCTCGCGTCCGTGTGTGAAATTGGCGACGACCTCAAGCCTTCGTTCAAGCTGTTTAGCGCAGTGAGCGATGACCAACGGCATATGCCCAACACGCGGCCAGGCCGCAGCGAGTACTTCCTGTAACATGTCAAGCTTTGCACCGGCGCGGGCGTTCGGGGGGGTTTTGTCATTGATTTACGAGGATGGGCTGCATTACCATAACGATCTTAGAGACGAATGAATGATATGTCTATATTCATCTAGGTACGGAGTACTGTTGGGCTTATCGGTATCGGGTCCTAGAGCGGTTTCACGACATACCCAGTGTAGATCTTGATATTTCTTCAAGGGGACAGTGACGTAGTAACGTATCCAGTGCTCAAGGGTATTCCCAGCCCTGGAGGTTGTTTTCGTATCACCTGGAGACCATCTGTAGAGCCTTTGGGAGTAAGTAGCAACATCTCTACTTCAGATTTAACTCTGTTGCCCACGCTGTCTTTCTGCTTCTTCGGTCATCTTTGAGACTGACAAGTCCTTCGCAGCTATGAACGTCCCATCCTCTATGTGATCTCACTAAAGGTGAACAGAAAATGACTACTTCGTCACAACCCAAGGTGATACCAGACTCAAAGCATGTTAAGAATACGCCTGCCTTTCGCAAGTGGGCGTTGTGAGCCAGCTGCGCACAACAGTACCTTCTAGCTCAAGCTAGCATCGAAAGAGATAGTGTATAGTTTTGTGACATCTATAACCTCATCGATGCTGCAGCCACTTGGTTCCCATATATCAAGGGTCCAGGAAAGCGATTCTGACCACCGTCTCCCATTCCCTAAGCCGCCGCCAGGCCTGCAGCTGCAACGTGCACGAACAACATCATTACGACCCTCGAGATCGATTCGGGTATTGTCACAGTCCGAATGCGTCGAGCTCATGACGATATGAATTGGTTGCGCGGGTTTTACGTTCTAAAGTTGAAAATGCGATGAGGTGATACAACCTTGCTTGAGGTCTCCAAGCTCTTGGAAATGATACATACATGCGCGATCATGATGCTGTCTGTGAGATATTTCCAATCATGTCAGTGAGAGGGTTCTGGCCGAGATGTCTACTATATAAGATCGTTATGCAGTCTAGATTTTTGTACGACGATTGTATCCAAACCAACTCTGTCGTACATATTAAGCCTTGCTAGGTACAACATGTCCATTCAAAAAGCTGCTGTCGCCGGAGTATGTCTGTTCACCTCACAAGAAGAGTGCAATACAAACCTATAGGGAGCTGGAAACCTCGGCCCTACCATACTCAAGGCCTTCGTCGATGCTAACTTTGCAGTGACTCTCCTCAGCAGAAGCTCCTCTCACAGTGTTGACCCTGAGTCAAGATTCAGGTATTCGACTACGCCTCCCTCGAATCACTGACTGCCACGCTGACCGGCCAAGATGCCGTCGTTAATGTACTCGCCTCCAAAATAATCCCTATTGAAGTCCATCTCCAACTCATCGAGGCCGCTCACAAATCCGGTGTTAAACGCTTCCTTCCATCTGAGTATGGATACGACACTTCACATTCTCTTACCGCGAAGCTCCCCATCTTCTGCAACGACAAAGTGGCTGTGGTAAAACGATTGAAAGAGATCTCAAAACAAGACAGCACCTTCACATTTACACCTATTGTAGCTGGGCCATTCTTTGACTGGTCCATCCAGAAGAATCTCATCGTCAACCTTGTCGGTCCCTTATCTCCAATTTACAATGGTGGAGATATATTCTTCAGCACGTGTACCCTTTCAGGTATCGGACGTACCTTTGTCGGTGCTCTGGAGCACCCCGAAGATACCAAAAACCGACATTTCTATATCGCTTCTGCGATCGTCACGCAGAACCAGCTTATTGAGTGGGCAGGAAAGTCGGACCCAGTTGCAGCGAGAATTCGTACAAACGGCGGATCTTGAGAATCAAGCGTAATATGGAAACCTTTGCGCTCAATTTGATTCGATGTGCGATCTTTGATCCTCGATATGGGGCTGCGTTTTCGAAAGTGGATAATGAGCTTTTAGGTGTTCCTGTATATTCTTAAGCAGTATTTGTAGCTAGACTTACATAGTGAGCAGCGATGGGAATGATTCGGTTTCTTGCGTCCCTTAATTCAATATTTCCAAAGCTGTAGACATAAAGAAACTCGGTGATTTGATAATACGGAGTACTGGGAAGACATCTGGATGTTTCGCACGGATCACTGAGATCGACCCACTTCCCGAGCCGCGACACTTGGACCATCTATATGCACGATCTTTGATCTCCACTTCATATAGAATTCAATGGCTTCAATATTTTAATCAATTAATCTAGATACTTCGAAGAATCGTATTATTCTTTGAGAGATGAAAAATAATGACCAGGATCAGGAAAGAAATAGGGAGAAAGATTATCATGGTGGGAATCTGGGAAAGTGGTAATACTTTCTACCTGGTACTTGAGTTTGATCTGCGACTCTGTAGGAAATCAGACTGTTTGCTTCTCGCTTCTTGGTTCTCGCTTCTTGAATCCTGCGCTCTGAATGGTCGATTCAAAATTGTTTTGGTGATCTTTGTGCGCCCTGGGGCTCCGACCCTCCACTATAAATTCCTGAGTTCTCACTCTTTCGAACTTCCTTTTCTTTTTTCCCCGCATCCTCATCCATCCTCATCCATCTTCATCCATCTTCATCCATCTTCATACATCTTGCTCATTCCGTCTCTTCCTCTCTCATGAGGTACCCGTCTTTCATAATGTTACCTTGTTGACATAACCCCACTTCTAAGGTTGACTTGACCTCACCTTATTGACACCTCTTGACGCGACCCCACCATGTCAACATCATGATAAACATACCACACTCTTGTTGGCATATCCACACTCCAAGGTGGTCATCATCTCTCATCACTTACTTGAGGGTCCTCATGGACAGGTTACTATATCTATCTCTCCTTTACATTTGACAACTTATTAACCTCTCTACAGCCATCCATCCAATGGATCTTGGGCTCATCACACTATTGTCCACCCTCAACAATCTTTCTGAGATCTAAGGCGTGACCACCTCAGCATCTACTACCGTGGCGGGTGACAATGAAACTTCAGGACAATCCGCACTTGCTCTGACGCGACTTCGACTTAGAGCTTGATTGCTGTGGCGGGTTTCATTGGCACTTCAGGACAATCGGATAGATCGCTTGACAACAATACACGCTTTGAGACGCGACGACTCCAAGCCACTGTGACTGGACAGCTTTCATTGAACAAAAGCTTTCAAAACAAAAACAAAAACAAAACAACGCGGTTTCCAAAAAAAACCATTCTTCTTCAGATGAGCTTCGATCAAAACAATCAAAACAAAACAAAACAAACGGGTTTCCAAAAACATTCTCCATCAGATGAACTTTCCATCAAAACAAAAAAACCCCCACCAAACCCAACTTGCTTGAAGATCTCTTTTCTACGTACGAGGTTCATCAAAATCAAAACAAACTTTGAAAACAAAAAGAACCTCCAGAAGACAAAATCCTCCTCCACTCCTTCTGGAAAGATCTCCGCAAGCTTCATCAAAACAAAAGCTTCCATCTAACAGGCTTGGACCAAGCACTCTGGACACCAAAAAAAGATAAAAATCAAAATCAAAAAAACTTCAAAGCTTCAAAGCTTCAAAGCTTCAATGACACTTCTCCCCACCCGGCACAGTTGGCTCGACAGTCCTTTCTATGGCAAACAAACACTCCGATTCCCTCCTTGAACTGAACCGATCGAAGCGTGACGATCTCAAGCCTCTATGACTGTGGCGGGCAACAATGAAACTTCAGGACAATCAGCCCTTGCTCTACCGACCTCGAGCTTGATCGCTGTGGCGGGTTTCATTGTAGCTTCAGGACAATCAGCATAGAGTGCTTTGACAACAACACACGCTTCGCTTGGCCCGCGACGATCTCGAGTTCCTGTGACCGGCAATTTTTAATCGAACAAAGGCATCCCACCAAAAAAGAAAAAAGGAAAAAAAGAAAAAAAAGAAAAAAAAGAAAAAAAAGGAAAAAAAAGAGACAAAAAAAGAATCCAGCCCCAACCTCAAATTGGCTTCAAAAGAGTAACCCCACTTGGCTTTCATTGAGCTTCAAATTTCCATCTTCCATCCACTGAGCTTTCATCTCCTACGAACTGAGCCTTCATCTTCCATCAAAAGATCTTGTTTCCACACACAATCCTACAGGCAAGCTCCATCAAAACAAATCAAAATCCATTAAAACAAGAGCTCACTGTCAAATGGTCTTCCATAAGCTTCATCATAAGAAGCTTCCAAAACAAAAGCTCCCCTCAAAAGAGCTCGGAACAACCTCCCACAACCATGCTTCTTTCAAAACAAGCCCTCGTGAAAACCAAAAAAAAGAAAAAAGAAAATCTTCATGCAAGACTCCTCTAAAAAGGGTATTCCACGCACTTCATCAAAACAAAATCTGCAGTCAAAAGACATTGGAACAAGCCTTCAAAAAACCCCAAAATAAAAAAAAAAGCCTTCAATGAAACATCTGCACAATCGGCACAGCAACTCGAGACTCCTCGCGAATCTAAATAAACCCTCCGAACCGAACAATGACGACTCCACCTCTATGACCGTGGCGGGTGCCAATGGAACTTCAAGACAATCAGCCTTGCTCTGACATAACTGACCTCGAGCTTTATACTTTGGCGGGTTTCATTGGCACTTCAGGACAATCGGCATAGAGTGCTTGGCATCAACTCCGAATACATTCTGCTTGCATCACTTGTTACACCGGTGACATCTGACCGCGCGAACTGAGAAATTAGGAGCTGTCGCTGTGGCGGGCTTCGGTGAAGCCTCAGGACAATCAGCACAGCGGGGATTGTGGGTGTGGAGGATACAAGAATTGGAACTCAGGATGCTGTGGTCGTGGCGAGTTGCGGCGTCAACTTCAGGGCAATCGGCACAGCGGGGATCATGGGCGTGGAGGAACTCAGAACCACTTGACAATTGCTGAAGCTTGTCAAATCATGTCTACTGCCACTTTTTTATTCCACCTGTAACAGCTTCAATGAATCCTTTTAATTCACATTCACACCATTGGCCTGGCCAAGCAAAACTTTGTAGATCAACTGGGGTGTATTTAGTAACGTGATGTAGATCTGCGGTCCCACTACTTTAACATTGGCCCTCATGTACGGAGGTCGGTCCGGAAAGTTCTCGCCAGAAATTATAATTTCTTTTTCTCACACTAGGCTATATACAGTAAATATTGAAATATATCGCGTAATCAAGATGTATATAAAACGGAAATATATAGTACTGAAATATAATAACAGCTTGAAACAGTAAATATTCACATATCTTCCCATATATCGCTGTCGCTGTCGCTGTCGCTGTCGCTGTCGTTGCCGCTGCCGCTGTTATAGGCGTTATCACCTAACCCGCTAGGGGCTACTTCACCTAATTTATCACGCCCCTCACCGTATTCGTTGCCCCCTTCTAGTCTAATGACTTGCTGTATATGCCATGGTATACGTTCAATCCAAGCTTGAATTTGCGCCTGTGGTAGATCACGCCACGCAGCCTCCCATACTTTAATCCCTTCTTTACGCGATTTAGGTGCTCCTTTTCGCGTAGTGTATCTCTTCATCCAAGGCCATGCAGGTTCAATCATATTTAGATCAGGCGAATTTCCAGGCCAGATCATTCGTTGGACCCCCATTATATCAAATATTCGCTGTTGGTAGTGATGTGAATGGGCTGGTGCTTTATCCTCTTGAACTATTGTTTTCGTTCGAATTCGAGCACATTCTTGGGCGAATGGAAGTAGTTTTGGGGCTAAAATCACGGTGTTGTATCGGTACCAATCGATTCCACCTTTCGAATTGCGTGCAAGCTTTCCATTCTTCTGAGTCCATCTCCACTGAGGTTGTCTTCCAGGCTTATTGCGTAGCCCTAATCGCTGTATACCTGAATTAAGCTCCCATTCTGCACGCATAATAGGCTCTAATTCAGTATTCCATTCGGCGATTTGGTGTTCTGCTTCACGCTTTTGGGCTGTAGTTTCAGGTACCCAACAATGACAGGGGCCCTTCTGATCATAAGAAAAAGCACCCCAAAACATGAACTCAGAGGCCCCCTTCCAACGTTCTCGAATACAGCTTCGGACGAACCGCTCACTAGAAGTACGCCATACACGATATCCACCCCGACGGTGTAATAAAACAACCGCAGTTTCATCAGTCCAAATCACATTCTTCCAGTCTTCTATAGTCCAATGGGCGTGTTTTAAACACCATTCAAGACGTTGTTTTTTCTGCTCAGCGGCAAGCCCAGGCTTACGTGTAGGCTTTGTTTTTCGTAGGCCAATTTTTCGTAGTACATGCCAAACTGTTGTTTTTGATATATTAATCCCTAATTATAGAAGAAATATTAGAGGAAATAACATATCAAGTAACATATGAGATAACATATCAAATAACACACCAAGTAACACATCAAATATTATACTAAATAACATATTAAATAACACACTAAATAAAATATCAAATCTTAGAATAACTAACCTGATTCACTGCGTAGCTCTGCAGCTAGCTGTTCACATGTTTTCTCACGCCCATAGCGGTCTACACGGATTTTCGCCCCAAGTGTGGTTTTAAGCTCATCTGTTTGCTTAGATGGACGCCCAGAACGTGCTTTATCAGCTAACATTTCATCTGATATATTGAATGGTCGCTGATTCGGCTGAAAACCTCGTTCGAGTGCACGGTTCCATATGTCTCCTATAGTACGCCGTGGAATATTCATAAATTCACTGATCTCCTTAGGGGCATGTCCTTGGGCCCTTAGGTATACAATGACAGCACGTTGCGCAATATTGGTCTTCATTGTAGCTGTATAGGTGGGACAAAAGTGTAGCTGTGTAGGTGGGATAAAAGTGTGAAGGGGTGTACGGACTGTAGGCGGGGTAAAAGATAAAGATCTACGTGTCCACGGGTGTTATAAGCAATATTTAGCCTAGTACGTAACACGGCAATACATCCAATATACAGCAGGCTATACACCTGACATACAGGGCCGGTAATATATCAAGAAAAAGAAATTATAATTTCTGGCGAGAACTTTCCGGACCGACCTCCGTACCATCCCACGGATTCCCACCACAACTCCTAAACCAACATCAACAATGGCTGCTCCCTATACAGTCGCACCACAACTGGAATACTTCAACATTTCTATAGAAGAATTTGCCGCAGCCCGTCCAGAATTCGACAGCTTTGCCACTGGTGCCTATATTTTCTTCTACGATGCATCCAACACGGGTTCTTGCCCACGCATCTTGCTACTCCAACGAGCACTGACCGACTCCATGCCTGGAATGTGGGAAGGACCCGGCGGGGCATGTGAGCCAGACGAGGATAAGACAATTCTCGATGGAGTCGCACGCGAAGTGCTTGAGGAATCAGGACTACATGTATCACGGTTTGTGGAACTAGTCTCTGCTGATGGCTGGACGCATAAACGACGACGCGATGGAGTGACTATTCGAATTGCGAAGTACTCCTTCATTGTCGAGGTTCATGAATCTTTGCGTCATGATACATCTACTGGTACTTCGCTGATAGTTCCTTACGATGAAATTCCTGTTCGATTGGAGGAGAGTGAGCATCAGGCGTTTGGGTGGGCGGCTGAAGAGGATGTTCGGGTGTCCATGCAGCCGAACTCGGGCAAAGGCTTGTTTCCCACGGGCGGTCAACAGGGTCCTAATATTCTGAGTGCCTTTGAATTATTCACGAGTCATTGATTAAAAAGGGCCATTTTTGTCTATATAATGCCCTTCTACGAAATATCAATTTGCTGGCTTGGATTTTGTGAACCGAGATTGATAGTAGCAACGACTGTCTACTCATTTATCAAGGTTGGTGCGCAACAACTGAGCCGTCTGAGCAGCGTTCAATGTTAAGAAAATCATACTACTTCCTGTGCTCTATCAAGATATTTCATGCAATCTGTTTATATAGCATCGCCTTTGGCGTCATTCACAAGTCATCCTCCACTGGAAGTGCACCATCTGCTTGCATCTCCAAAGCAACTTGATCAACTTCTCTCCACACACGTAGCAGATTACCACCAGCCACCTTAGCCGCATCCTCGTCACTCAATCCACGGCGAAGGAGTTCCGCAATGAGATCCGGGAACTTTGACACATCGTCGAGGCCCCGGGGTACGGTGGAGATCCCGTCAAAATCACTACCCAATCCCACATGATCAAAACCTGCAACAGTTCCGATATGCATGATATGGTCTGCAACATGTTCGAGGGTAGCGTGCTCCGGATCGGTATCAGGCAGACCATCAGCACGGCCCGAGGCCACGCAGGAGATAAAGTCAGGTGAGAAATTGACCATAACAATGGAGTTCCTCTCTCGGACCAATTCCAAAACATCATCGGGGACATTACGAGGATGCGGGCACAGTGCATAGGCCGAGCTGTGACTGAAGATAATTGGAGCCTTGCTGCCTGTCCATTCGGTCTTTCCAGCGCCCAGCACATCGCGCATGGTATCCACGCTAACATGTGCGAGATCCACAATCATTCCTAGGCGGTTCATTTCAAAGATCAAGTCCTGCCCCGCGGGACTGACGCCATGCCAAAGCGGATCGGACTTTTTAACACCTCCACCTGGTAGTTCGACGACCGCGGCATCCGCATAGCGGTTATGGCAGTTATGTGTCAGGGTTGCGTAAGAGACGCCAAGCTCATAGAAGATACGCAAATGAGACAATGAGTTACCGATTGAGTGTAGTCCCTCAATTCCGAGCGGAGAAATGATCTTTCCCTCCTGGAAGGCACTTAGAGCGGTGGTACCATTAGGTGGTGTTGAGAAAACATCCGGGAAAGTTTGCTGCACTCGAGACATCAGATCGACCTGTTCCATTGTCTCCCGCACACCTGGAGTCTCATTGTTAATAAGGTATTTCTGTGGACAAACCATTGACAATACTTACTTGGCGCATAAGTCTCGTCCGAAAAGTCCGTCCAATTTGTCGGGCAGGGCACATAAACACTCCAAAAACTACCGCCAACATGACCTGCGTTCAGGCGAGGTAGATCAACATGGTAAGGAAGTTTACCGTTGAGAAACTCTTCAGTAAAGTTGTTGCCATGGATGTGATTCTTAAAGATCGATCTTATCATGATCGGGAAGTCATCGTGACCATCTGAACCACCCTTGCGTCAGCCACGTTCTTATAATAATTGGATTCCTATGCATCCTACCAATCAATGGGGTGTAAGTCAGAATTTTGTGCACTCTCTCTTCAATGCTGAGGGTACGATGCACATGGTGGTGACAGTGCGGCCTCAGGAACCAGCCCCCAGCAATAACGCCGAGGAGCAAGATCCAGTATCGCGACCAACTTGAGGGCTTCGGTTTCTCAATGATCAGACCCTCTGGATCCTGATCCAGGATCTGATAATGGTTCTTCAGTGATACCTTCTCCATGATTCCTTGTCTGGGGAAGTTGTCAAGAGGAAAGAGCCGTTAGGGGAGAGATAACTAATACCGATAACCCCGATGTTGTCATATTACCCCATGATAAGACCACTTACATATGCCAGTCGAGTTTGAAATTCATATGAAGTCTGAAAATTACCTGAGACAATTTGAATTTTTGATTCATTTTATTTATTTTTTCATTATAAGTTCTCAATTCCCTATAACGAGGATCAAATGAAGGGTTTCCATAGTATGAGCAATATGATGCCAATATCTGCACGCTCATTGCTCCGCTCGATCCACTTTTTTTCTTCCCCGATTCTGGTTTTTAACCCCTCGATCCCGGTTCTTTTCACATCACCGTGACCCTGTTGTTTATATAGATATGGGGGATTCAATGGGAATAGTTGGAGGTGAGTGTGATGTTATTATGGGCTTTCTTTTCCGGCTCCTACAAGTCTAGTCTCGAGTCTCCACTTATCATGCAGTTCATGCTAACATACCAACAGGCTTGGTTGCCGTGTGGCACGCCTATCGCCTTCCTCTCATCATTGCCCTATTCGGAGTTTATCTCTCCATTCGACTCTCTCGCGCCTTTTCTTCCAAATCCAAGACCCCAGCCTCTGTCTCCGTACCATCCTCCCCACGTAGCCAGTCTCCCGAGACAAGCGTGAAACTCCAGCCCGTGACGGAGAAAAAAACCGCCGTTCCCGTGAAAGAAATCTCTAAGCCTGTGCGCGCTGATGGCGCTGCTAAGGCGACATCCGGTCCCAAGCGTGTTCAGGGAAAGAAGCCTGCAAAGACAATTGGGGGTCGCCGTGGCTCCAGCGAAGAAGCGCAGCCAATTACCCACATTCAACCAATCATTTTCTTCGCATCCTTGACTACCACTACCGAACGTTATGCCAATACCCTACTGGAGGATCTGCGAGCTGCTGCACAGCGTCAGGCCAATTTGGAAAGCCTGGATCGCAGCATCCTGCCCCCACAAATTCATGACATCTCGTACATCGACTTTGACGACTTCTTTATCTCTGCCCCGAAACCACCACCCACATCTCCTGGAACACGCTATGTTTACTGCATCTTGGTCCCGACTTACAACATCGATACTGTGATTAACACCTTCTTGGGACATTTGGATGAAACACACAACGATTTCCGAATCGATACGGCACCGCTTTCTCAGTTGCTTGGTTACTCGGTCTTTGGATTTGGCGATAAGGAAGAATGGCCAACTGAGGAAGAAGGATTCTGCACACAAGCCAAGGAAGTTGACCGCTGGATGTCAAAGCTCACTGGTCGCAAGCGCGCGTTCCCATTGGGGATGGGTGATGTCAAGAGTGATGCTGAAAACGCCCTGAAAGAATGGTCTACTGGGCTTTACGACACTTTATCGGATATTTTGGAAACCGGTGGCCTGGGAGAGGGTGTTCCAGGAAGTGGCGATGCGGTTGAGAGTGACGATGAAGATTTGGATGATGAAGAAAATGAGAAGAAAAACTCCCAGTCAATGGTCGACCTCGAGGATATTAAGATGAATGGAGACTCCGCTGCCCCGATCCCTGTTGATTTCACCACTGTCGGCAAGGTGGTTTCCTCGCAGGATACTGCCAAGGAGATGGTTCCCAAAACCTCACCGACATACGCTTCTCTGACCAAACAAGGATATACTATTGTGGGTTCCCACTCTGGCGTGAAGATTTGCCGATGGACCAAGTCTGCTCTGCGTGGACGAGGTTCCTGTTATAAATACTCTTTCTATGGAATCCGATCCCACCTGTGCATGGAGGCAACTCCTTCTCTCTCTTGCAGCAACAAGTGCATTTTCTGCTGGCGCCACGGCACGAACCCAGTTGGAACAACCTGGCGATGGAAAGTGGACTCACCCGAGCTGATCTTCCAAGGTGTGAAGGAGGGTCATTACAAGAAGATCAAGATGCTGAAGGGTGTTCCTGGTGTTCGTGCGGAGCGATTCGCCGAAGCCATGCGTATTCGTCACTGTGCCTTGAGTCTGGTCGGCGAGCCCATTTTCTACCCACACATCAACCGTTTCTTGCAGATGCTTCACGCCGAACACATCTCTAGTTTCCTGGTTTGCAATGCCCAGCATCCGGATCAGCTGGAAGCTCTGGAACGTGTCACTCAACTTTACGTCTCTATCGACGCAAGCAACCGGGAAAGTCTGCGCAAGATCGATCGTCCCTTACATCGCGATTTCTGGGAGCGATTCCAGCGTTGTCTTGACATTCTGCGCGAGAAGCGCCACGTCCAGCGAACCGTTTTCCGATTGACACTCGTCAAGGGTTTCAACGTGGATGACGAGGTGATCGGATACGCAGATCTTGTTGAAAAGGCTCTGCCATGCTTAATCGAGGTCAAGGGTGTTACATACTGCGGTACTAGCACAAGTGCAGGTGCCGGTTTGACCATGCAGAACGTGCCATTCTACGAAGAGATCGCCTCTTTCGTAGTTGCACTGAATGCAGAGCTGGAACATCGGGGTCTGGGTTATGGTATTGCTGCAGAGCATGCTCACAGCTGTTGTGTGCTGCTCGCCTCGAACCGCTTCCACGTGAACGGCAAATGGCACACTCGCATTGACTATGAGCGCTTCTTCCAGCTTTTGGAGAAGGAGAAGGCTGACGGTACCTCCTTTACACCAGAGGATTACATGCGTGAGACTGAGGAGTGGGCACTTTGGGGTAATGGTGGATTCAACCCGGAGGATGAGCGTGTGCATCGGAAGGGAAAGAACAAAACAAAGGCCGTTGAGGCTGCTCCTGCAAAGATTGAGGAGATTTTTTGAAACAGCTCATGATTTACGAGTTATGTTGCCCCTTCCCGAATATCTCGGACGACACTTCGCATTAGTGCGAGCAATTTTGGACAGATCCATGACCGATGCAATTTTTCATGCGGTCGCTACTTGATCTAACTTTGGTTTATTGGAGTTTGGAGTCCAAAAATGATATATCACGCTTTGCTATCGGATCTTTTGTGGAAATCTTATGCCATGTTACGCATTTGGTCGCTGAATTTTTGACGAATATTGGTTGAAAACAAATCAAGTATATAAGTGGATATCTAAATTAGAGTCATTCAAATGCTATTGAGATAAGTTCGTCAGTGCGCATATGTATACTCTGTGCTAGGGAGCACTCCAGGGCTGCAGCCAGACCCCGTATGTATAGTTAAGAAAGATTCCGCCTTCCTAATTGGGAAGAGAAACACTCAAGCTTTGGATACAAACTCGTTTTAGGGGGTCTTACCGCCCATGAATTAGTACATTCTGCCGTTTTTTGCCTTCGATCGGAGGCTTCAGAGATATATATCCAGGTTACTAGGGCTACCCTCCATCCAATATACCGAGATGGGCAAAAAAAAATGACTCGGACATAATACTAGGTAGTACATACAAAAAATGCCAAAAAACACCTGAGCTTGGAAACCTCACCATTTCCAACATTGAAATTGTTTTACAGTTTAGCGATTTCCAAATTATCGGGGGTCTATCTGTAGTCAACTGCCAGTGGTAGGGAGTACACCCATAAAATAAGAATGGTCCATGGATTGTTTCTCGATTTGGCTTTAAACACACAGCCTCAGAAGTGTAAAAAGTCCCCGATGACATAACCGGTTCCATAACTCAGTTGGTTAGAGTGTCATGCTAATAACGTGAAAGTCGAGGGTTCGACCCCCTCTGGGACCATTCTTTTTGCCCTTCTGAAGTTCATTAAATTTTTTTATTTTTTATTTTTATTTTTTTTTTTGCTGGAGTCATTGTAGTACTGCTGTTTAACCATATCTCTAGATTTATGAGTGCTACTAGAGAGGTTTAGTGCCTGGCCAATGCATGTGTTAACGAACAGCGGCATAGGCCAATCAAGAGCAGGATATCGTAAGCAAGGGATGATGTAAGGGATGGTGTAACATGTGACCTGGCTCCCGCACCCCGTGACCTCTGAGAAGGTATAAAGGCCACCTTCTCCCGCCTCCCTTCCACTCCTTTTTTCTTTCTTCTTCATACTTACCTTGTTTGGGTGGCTGCGATCATGAAGGCGGCTCACCACAGATTGGTCCCTGCATTGCACAGCGCGGCGGAACAGTTTGTTCAACGGCCTTCGGGTCATTGACAGGCGGATTTTTTGGCACTCTCCATCACTGGAACCTTTCTTTTCATCATTCTTTGGGCCAGTGGCCCAAGTATGGAGAAGAGAACCGGAGTCATCATACATAGTTTCATCCTAAATTTAAGACACATGTCCTCCGTAGTTGTAATTACCCATGTGATATCTGTTAGATGATACACATCACCACCTATCGTCTTGAACCCTTGAGCTTCTCATGCCCCCATGTCCCGTATGTCCTCCTCGGTGGTTGATCTGGACTCCGCCCCACTTTTCCTCCACTTGATGTCCTTTTGTTCTATTGGGATGTCAATGAGATGCTAGCAGTTGAACATGTGGGTTTGACATTAAATGCATGTGAAGCTAAAGCAACTTGAATGTTCTGGGCAATGTGTGAGAATTACTGACTGGATAAACCGACATGATTCGAGTGGCTAGCTAAAAGTTTTTGAATATACCTGCCAGCGCCCGGGTGTGCGCCGGGAGAGTAGTGAATTTGTCTAATACGGATTTTTGGCAAAGCTACGACACTACTAGTACTTCCTGCACCGAATGATGCCTTTTGGACTAAACATTTGAATTTCCTCCTGTAATATAAATTCTGAACGGAAATTGGACAAGACAAACACCTGGGTTCAAGTTTGCCCCCGTGGGATATAGACATGCAAGGGCACGAACTTGAACTCAAGTACTTCTTACCATTTATTTATTTGTGGGACTTGAAAGAAGAAATCCGGGATCCTGGGCCTAAATGCATGGCAAAGGCTTTTTTATAACTATTTCAAATGAAGATGCCCCGAAAATTATGAGAGGAATTGGCAAGAAAACACGCTCTTCATGAAAAGAGGTACATGTAAACCACGCATCCAGAATGTGTGAGCGGAGCCCAAGTTACAATCATTCCCGGAGTTGTTCGAGAATACAATGTTATTGATGATCAGTTCGTTCGCTATAATAGATTTCCCACACGTTACCAGTTTGTCCATTCCGAGCTTCCTGCGGTGCTCACTGGTTTCCCCCCGAAGGTGGATGTAAGCGTAGGAATTCAGGATCCTGCATAGCTTGTTGCATGAAATAGTTAAGAAGTCCTTCAGGCATCGGGCCGTTGGGGCCGCGTATAACTCCATCTCGTGTAGCTCTGCTCCCGCCTCGTCCAGCTCTGCCCCGACGCGCAGCCCTCAATGCATCCATGAACGGATCTTTAATTTGGTTTCCCTCCGAATCATAGGCAACGTCGTCATCAAACCCATCAAACCCATCTATCGCATGTTCATCATCGTCATCGTCGTCCTCATCCTCATCCTCCCAACCTTCCTCATCGTCATCATCATCACCATAGCCACCCATGAGCTCATCCATATCAGGCATTTCAAAGGGCGCAATAAAAAAATCCACATTGGTGCCTTTGAATAGATCCACAAGAGACTGATGAGCTTGCTCTGGCGTTTGACCATCTGGAATGCTCTGGCCAGGTAGCAGGATAGGTTGTGTAATATCAACAGCAAGCATCCTAAACTCGACAAAGTCAGGGTACAGACCCTTCCTGCAATCCCTCGCGATATTTCTGACAAGGTCGATGACAGAAGAGTTACAGTCCGTGATGTAGAGTCTCTTAAGCGTTGCTGGAAATTGAGGGTGGACTGGAACTATCGCTTGTTGAAGACGAATATCGTTCAATGCCGAAAACTCACGCAGAGATCCAATCTTAGCACGGCTGGAAACGAACCGCTGCCAATCCTGCAAGTCATACACTCCTCTAGCAAATTCTATACGTAAATGCTCAAGGGTCTCTTTATGCGGCAAGAGAGCTTGATAGGCCTCAGCAGCGTTGAACACCGATCCTCCGTTAGGATGGTTAATCCATTCTTCATGGGCTTTAAAGTTATCGAGCAAGAACACCTTTAGCTTTTTACATGCACCTGCGAGTCTACTAAGGGACACGGCGTCAATCACAGAATCGCGGAAAACGAGCTCTTCTATGTTGAAGGTCTTAGGTTCCCATGATGGGCATGTCCGACTCTGAAGATCGCCATTCTCAAACATGACAATTTTCAGGTTAGGCAGGGCAAAAAACTCATTATAAGATGCGTAATCGTAGCCATCGGCTGGCTTCTGGCCTTCCAGACCAAGCTTTTCAAGCATGCGCAAAAATGAAGGGTTTCGTCGAAAGAGTTCTGGGAAAGGGTTCACAGATGATATGGTGCCGGGCATAACGACGCGACGAAGGTTGGGGGTTTTATTGAAGACCAAAGCAGCCCAAACAGGGATGTCGCTGTATTTGTCGCAGTTTTGCACAGCGGAAATCCATTTGTCTTCCTCAGCGCCGAGACTAAGAGCTTGGATTGCTGTCGTGAGACGCTGAATTTGGTCTTCAGAGATTTCGAGATCGTCTTCGTCGGCGATTTCGGGATTAAACAAAATCGGGCCCGAAATGGTGAAATCTTGAACGAATTGACCAAGCTCTGGATAACGATAGAGGTTATCTGCAATGCGGACGGTTTCCTCAATGTCACCAAGAGTACCTTCATCGACAAAGTTTGACCACAGAAGCGGTTGGGCAATAGCAAGGAACTGCTTCGAAACTAGACACATATTGTATAGAGACTCAGGACTTTCATGATCATATGCATCTTCAAGATCGGGACCCGTTCCCAACTGCCCAGTGCGGAATTGATTCCAGACCTCCCATTGGGGCGACGCACGCGGGACAAAGGTAGACAGAATCTGCCTATGGAGCTCAGCGGGAAGGTCTTGCAGACTAGGCATTGTTGGCGATGAGATGTACACAGAAACCAGTGCAGACACTGGAAAAGGGGGATGGAGAGGATGAAGCAAGTTCCCAGACGTGTCCAGCGCGACACGTCAAATTACCAAAAAGGGAAACTAGGGCATGACGATTAGGGCTTTTCTTCTTATCCATCAGGAGCTGACAGGCGTCAACAAAGCATAATTATACCTTAAAAACAAGATCGAAATCGAAATGGATAAAATAAAATAGGTAAAATAAGATAGAAAGCAGCAAAAACGAGATCAAATCTTCTCCGTCACTTAAAAAAAAGTATGTACAGCAGCAAGGGTTTGCATGTGGTACCCCACCATACTATGTACTAACCTGCCGGCAGTCGTATAACCACATAACTACTGATCATGGCAAAGCCTAATCACCATGTGCTGCATAATTCATCAAACCCGGGGAAAATGTCAAAGAAAACCGGATTTTCTGCATCCAAATACATCCAAGACACGTCGTCCATGCCAGCAAATAAACCCATTGTTTCCGAACAAGACTCAGCCGGTAAATGATCAGAAGTGGGGGTCGCGGGCGCATTCCCTGGCCTACGGTTGACTGGCAATGCATCATTTCTTTCCATGTAATTGTCACTCTCCTGAGTTGATCGGTTCAATCGAAGAATATCAAGACGTGGCAGCTTATCAAGCGCCCCCGAGATTCTCTTTGCTAGGACAGCCATCGCATCAGCAGAACGCCATTTTTGGCGCAGCTTTTGCAAAATATCGCATCCGACATCAAAGTCTTTGTGAGCATCCTCTTGGTCTCTAGAAAGACGACTATATCGTAGTTGCTGATAAGACACAGAAAGTGCCAGCGAAGCCGCATATACGACGATAGGAAGCGGACACAAAGTGTTCATTCTAATCGGATCCTCCATATAGCGAATGACTTGAGTTGCTGCAAGCTGTTGTCGCAGCCTTGAGAACGTAGGCGTAGGCAACCTTTTGATCGTTCTGAGGCGGTGCGCGAGGATCGAGGTTGCGAGGTAGAAGAGGTGTAAGGTAGCTTGAAGGGGGGAAAGAACCAGTAAGTTAGAATAAGCAAATTTCCTACCTGAGTATACATACTCAGCAGGGACAGTTTATGATCAAACACCAATCGTTGATCCTGGAAGATCCCATGCGTCCATTTCATCCATAATTTGCTCAAAGCTAGGGAAACCGGAATCCCAGCCAGATAAGCCCTTTTCAATATTAGGGCGATAAAGCCCAATGACCTTGTTCAACATTTTAGCCACTCGAAACCAAACATTGAAGGCAACGAAACCAGACTCTTCGGGTAATAGGTCAGACACTGCAATGTCCATATCGGCTATGAAACAGGGTCTCGAATTGGCCGTGGAGTTGAGACGATCGAGAGTCCAGAGACACCAAAATGCGCTCTTTAAGCACCCATCAGTATCATTAGGCCTTAGCAGGTGCAGCGCTAAAAACTAAGCATAATGGATAGCCTGAGAAATGTAGCTGGAGGCATGCTCTCCCCCATCACTACCTTCCTGGTGCAGTGATAGTAAGCCAAGTACCCGCATCATAGTGATTTTCCTCATTGCGACAGGGTGATAAATTGAACTTGTAATGGACGAATATAGCTGACTGCAAAGTTTGCGTACAGGTACAGTGCTCTCTTTTGAATTCATGAGTCTTAAGTCCTTCTCAGCTACGCTATCCTTTGCAGCGATCAGACACACAACATGCACCAATGGTGTAGAGATGGCACCGCGAGCGAGACCCTGCCAGTACTCGTTTTCATCGAGAAGTGGAACAATCGGATGCACATTGGCAAAATAAATTTTGGATAGAGTTTTGACGGTCTGAAGGGACATGATATCTGTCGCCATACTCCGGTAACTAGTCGACTCCCCCTGATAGGGATTCTTGTTGAAAGGGCGGTTTTCACTTGTCCTGGTAGAATCGGGATGAATCCAAAAAACGACATCATCGGAACTGATATGTTCCATATCTTCTGGGGAAGCTTCCTCTTCCAGAAGTCGAGCTTCTGGGTTTAGATCCCCTACAAAACGTGGCGTGGGTGGACTGACACTGCGAGCTACTCTGGTTATCTGTGGATGTGCATGACATCGTTCTGATATTTTTTGCTCACACTGGCAGTCTCCCTCATTTGAAGGCGGCGAATTGCCCGGTAACTGTTCCCGGTCTGTTGAATCTATAGTGCGAGCGTTGTTGTGCCTTGGCTCTGATATCGAGTTGACCATTACCCACTTTATCTTATGCGTAGGTGAGGTTCTGTTCCCGGAGTTGACTTTTGATTCATGCAAGCATCTTTTCTGAGGATAAATTGGTAAGTTTCGCGTTTCTAGGTACTGAATGCTTGGATTCCTTGCTAACCTTTCTGTGCCGACAATTCTCACAAGCCTTTCGCGTCTTTGTGCGCCGCGGTTTAACACCCAGGCTTTGGCTACCCACAGATGTAATCTTGGAAGACATGAGTAATAGTTCTCTTCTACTTTAATGTTGTGCAAGAATAGGATTTTGGCCAGGTGCGATGCAACATTTGAAGGGGAAACTACTGCCCAGGTGAGGAGACTGGTGTGACCGATATATTCAAATGTTTAAACCTGTGGAACAAAATTACGCAGTTCCCTTCGAGATAACAGCTACCTATTAAAAGAGAGTCTTTTAACTATTCACAGCCATATTTAGCAGCTAAACGAAGTACCAAGCCGTTGCATCACAGATTGAGGTGACTCAATGAGTGGGCGGGCGGAGAATCCAAATACGGAAGCTCCTCTGAGCCGAACTATAAATCGGGTTTTCCGGTCTAGGAAGTCAGCAACCGCCATCTCTCTTCGAACCGACGATGCACCGACGATGCGCCGCTCTCTACGGGTATTATGGGTTCTCTCTATTCCTTTCTGAGATCATGATGGCGGCATTTGTTATTTGGGTGAAATAGGTCCGACGTTGTTGAGCGGAGATTATCTGGGCATAAATGGAGGACAAGCCCATACTAGTAGTGACCACTGGCAATCAAACAAGACTCTTTGAACAAGTTGAAGTTTTCATACGACTCGGACTCATCAAATATCAAAATGCTTCTGAACATTGCGCCTTACATACTGTCTTCATTGCTGCTAGGCCTATTCTTGCTTTGCGTGGCGCGTCATTTCTTGGATCGAAAGGGTCTTCGACAGTATCCGGCACCTTCAATTGCAGGTTTCAGCTCACTATGGCGTCTCTATCACAATATCAGATGGAAACATTACGCTGCAGTTCATGAAGCCCATCAAAAATTAGGAGCGCACGTTCGTATCGGCCCAAACCACATCTCAATCCTGGACCCTCGCGCACCTCAAGAAATTTATGGTCACGGTGCCAACATGTTAAAGGATATTTGGTACGATGCTGGCGCAGGACCACACAGAAATTTAGCCGATGCGAGAGATAAGGCTGAACATCAGACAAAACGCAAGATGTTTGCCCATACATTTGCAGCGAAGACAGTGGTTGCTTTCGAACCTCAACTCCGCGAAAGAATTTCGGCTTTCACACAGCTGCTGGATCGACAAGCCGGCACAAAGACCAATATGCGACGTGCTTTGAATTATTTCTTGATTGATCTCTTTGGAATTCTTCTCTATGGTCACAACCTGGGATGTCTTGAACGAAATGACGACCTTCTTACCGCCGAATCGAAAGAAGATGGCAAACTATACAAGGTCCCGTTTATTCAGTCGTTACTCGACTCAAGCGTCATAAACAACCTATTGGCAATCACTGCACACTATGCTCAATTTACTCGTTCGCTTGTGACAAGTCACCCATACAAGAAAGCAGGCGTCGATTGGGAAAATATCATCTACTACAACACAAAAAAGCGATTTGCGAACACAAGCCCTCAAGACGACCTTTTCCAATGCTTAATCCAAGATAGTAAAGGAAAAAGCCTTAATTTACCATTTGGGGAGATCATGGCTGAGTGCTCAGTAATGATGAATGCTGGCACAGAGACCAGCACTGCCGCAATGACCAGCACCATTTTTCTTCTTTACACCCATCCTCGAGTCCTTCAGAAACTTCGAGATGAAATCAGCGCTGCTGATCCTAGTGATGGAACTCCATCATATGATGTTGTCTCTAAACTACCTTACCTTCGAGCCTGTATTGAAGAAGCTTTACGCCTAAGACCACCAAGCTCGTTTGGCCTGCCTCGCATTGTTCCAAAAGGAGGTAGATTTATTGCGGAAAAGTTCATTCCTGAAGGTGTCACGGTATCTGTTCCAACTTACTCGATACTCCGAGACGAATCGGTATTTAGCAGCGCAACTGAGTATAATCCAGACCGTTGGCTGACAGAAAACTCGGAGGAGAAAAAGAAGATGCTCAACAACCATATACCATTCAGTACTGGCCCTCGCGCTTGCATTGGTCGCAATATTTCCTATTTTGAGCAGGCTGTGGTTATTGCTACCATTGTGAAGCTTTACGATGGTCATATCGAAGAGGGGTTTCAGCTGGAAACACAAGAGCGATTTAACTCGAACCCTGGGGATTTGCCAATGGAAATGAGACCACGAGCAGTTTGAGATTCATTGGAAAGAATTTGAAAGGAGGTCTCCACATGTTGCTCCTGTTGCTGCCGGAATGTGAATATTTTCTAGCTGAACAAAGTACATAATTGGAAATGAGATGGAGGGAAGACACATAAATGAAAAATTTCAGAGTTACTATGAAAATCTAATAAGCTTACTTTTAATTTTCCCACCATATTTCCTGAACACATACTCAAGGCTTGAGGCTTGAGTGGTATGGGTATACTTCGAGTTGGTTAACTAGTAGATGTATGAGCGAAGAAATGCTCCCTGAAACTCCACTCTTCCTCCACATACCGCTCATCTGAATTCTCATTGAGAATAGGATGCGGTATTTTTTGGGAAAATACCCCCGTACACTAACCTAAATTTAATTTCTCATATAACAGATCAAAAACAATGGAAAGCTGTGATTCGTGACCTCCAGGACTGGCCACCCGCCGATCAGGGCTAACGAACCTTGGAAGAGTGGAATTATCCGTTTAAGGTAAAAACCCGACGATTTCCACTAAGACCTTGTCGGATTGACCGTTTTCAAGACAATCACCTACGCAACATGGACGGACTTTTCCCCTCTAGATCAAACAATGCACTTTTCCTAATGTTCCAGATCTTCCCCAGATCTCCCCAGATTCTACTCCCCGACATGATCCCCATAATTTCCAAATCCCGGCTGTCACTTGTACCATTTAAGAGAAACATCATTTCCTGACTTATGATCTCTTTCACAGCTCTCCTCTATCTTCATTGAATCCAATTGAGTCACAATATTAATGTTTGAATCTTTCAAATTTGGTTGGAGGCGCCATGGCTGGGCGATTTTTTACTGTGCCGTATCAGCAGTCGGCGCTCTTTGCTATGGCTATGACAATACCTACTACAATGGCGTTCTTGCCATGCAGCAATTTAAAGACGATTACGGAACACATCGCGATGCAAGCGGCAACCTAGAGCTACCTTCTTCTTTTCAGGCAGTGACGGCATCGGCAATCTATATCGGAGATCTGATCGGTGCCATCCTAGCCGCCCCTATCAATGATCGCTGGGGTCGGAAGGCCACATTTTGGTTCGCTTCATTTTGCATCTTGGTTGGCGGTATCTGTCAAGTTGCAGATACAATTCACAGTGAGGCGATCGTTACAGTTGGACGCATTCTGATTGGGACTGGAGTTGGACAATTCACCGTCACCTCTTTGTTGTACATCGGTGAAGTAGCGCCCTCGAGTATTCGTGGACCAGCCCTGATGTCCTTCCAATTTCTTCAATCTTGCTCCCAGTTGATTGCTTCATGTATCAACGAGGGAATCGAAGGTCTTGATAACAACTCCCTGTCTTACAAAATTCCCATGGGTGGTCTTGTCGTTCTGCCTCTTTTTATGTTTGCTCTTTTGCCGTTCATTCCAGAAAGCCCTGTCTGGTATATCTTTAAGAATCGTCTATCGGATGCGGAGGAGAGCCTACGAAAAATCAACCGCAATGAACCTGGATACGACCCAGCCATGGATATGGCTCAGGCTATCAGCACCAAGAGTATTGAGGAGCAGCATGTCGAATTTTCGTCATGGAAGTCTTTGGTTACAGATCCTGTCGAGAGAAGAAAGGTCATTTTCTCAGCTGGCGCGATGTTCAGCCAGCAGGTCTGTGGTATTCTGTTTTTTTATGTTTACGGTGTGGTTTTCGTGCAGGCAATTGGTGTCGAGGATCCTTTCATTGTGCAAATTGTGATCAATGTGGTCCAGATCATCGCAGTTGGCGCTTCAGTGATTACCGCAAATCAGGTTCGCCGTCGAATCAATCTTCTGGTGACCAACAGCATGATGCTTGTGGCCTTCATTGCTATTGGCTGCATCGGAACGAAACCGTTGACAACTGCGACACAATATGTCATTGTCGTCTTTTCATTCATCGTTGTCATTGGCTTCAACTTTGGGTTGGGTCCATTGGCTTATACTGCTGCGCGAGAGATGGCGGTCGGTGTCAACCAAAACAAAATCATGGCAACAAGCATCGTCGTATTCTATTTCACCACATGGGTCATCTCCTTTACCGCACCATATCTGTACTATGATGCTGGTCTTGGACCGATGGTTGGATTCTTCTATGCAGGAACCACATGTCTTTCCTTAATTTGGACCTGGTTTTGCTGTGGAGAAACTGCCGGTCGTTCTAGCTTGGAGATATCTATTTTCTTCGCAGAGAAGATCCCGGTGAGATTATGGCGAACCCACGTCTTCCCCGATGATTCCATAAACGAGCTCAAGATGGCTCAGCAGGATAAGGCGGAGACCAACGGGAATGTCGAGCACCATGAATATAGAGTTTGATAGATATGATAGATGCATAGCTGTTCAAGCAGAAGTAGGCTTTTTAGCGGCAAGCAAACTTGAAGTTGAACGGGAATTTGCTCTCCAATTTGAACACTTCCACCAACACTTTCAAACACCCGAGTAGTCAATTATCCATATCTATAGATCCCCTACTCTTCATTTCGAGTAGTATATAGTATTGAAATTATCGGTTCACAAACCAAACAATCGATTATTCGGAATGATCGACGATGGTTTGATTCGAATTTTGAATATTGCGCATAGAATCTCAGATGTCCATCCAATCTGACTGTATGAGGGGCATAGTCGGATTGAGATTGGCGGAGAAAAGAGTATCAACTCTGCTGAGGTCGATACTACCATCAATCCCGCTGAAAAGCTCATTGATAATCGATGGAGTTAAATCATCAAAAAGCCCGAGATTCTCGTCATTTCCCCCATTTATGCCATCAAGATGATTTGACGGCATAGTCGCAGAGTCAAAAGGATTCGGACTCGACTGGTAACCCGGAAAATGGGACGCTGTTTCTGCGAAGAGACTGGATTGTGTGTCCTGAATTGACTGGGCATTCTCCTCCGGGTGTCTTGAGGTGTGACCTCTAGATTTGCTAGCTTCTTTGAGGGTGTTTTGAGCTAACCGGGCCATCATGCGAGCAGAAACAAAAATATCACTTAGTCCATCCAGAAGACACCGACCCTGTTGGAATTGAAGATACGCCCGCTTTCGCGTGTGAGAGAGTTTGCTGTTCCTAAGAGTCTGATACCCAACTGAAGTTGCCAGTGAAATGGCATAAGGCAAAGTCACCCAGTAAGTGATTGAAAGTTTGAGATCACCCGAAGCGACTGAAAGGATACTAGCTGCGGCAGATGACTGAGCATCTGAGCTTGGAAGTCGGTTGGGTCCATCTGATTCGGGTTGAGGCCGACATCCCAAAATCCGAATGGCTAGGTAAAAAATCTCCAATGATGCTATTATAATTCCACGTCAGTATGCGTAAGCTTCGAGGCGAAGCTGAGATATGCCTAGAAGGAGTCGAAGAAAGGTCAAGAGACATACCGATAAGTGGAGTATCCACCTCAGTTGCCACCGCCTCGCAAACAAGGCTTTCAAAGTCAGGTATAATTTGCCTCGGAATATTAATACTGGGGCTCGGTCGAGGCCGATACTGAGATATTACTTCATCAAGGAGCTTGCAGATGTGAAGAAAGAGCCTGAAAGCTGGAAGGTGTTCGGGAACAAAACGAAGGAGTTGTTCACCAATGTCTTGCTCGTGAATTAGGATTGGACGACCGTTCGTTGCTGCATTAAGTCTATCAAGAGCCCAAATACACCAGAACAAGCGATGCGATTTTTCTAGGCTTTCGCTTTCGTTCGGATATGAGACATGGAGTCCAAGGGTCTGGGCAATCTCCACAGCCTGTGCGCAATAGTGGGAAGAGATCTCACTAGAACTGGGCCCATTGACAAAAAAGGCCAACAGAGCTGTTATCTGGAGTAGTACCAATTTATTATGGATAATACCAGCGTGCAAAATCGACCTCAAGATTCCCGCAATGTGAGAGCGAAACTCCGTTTGGTTGATGGCGCCTTCGATGTGAGCAAGCTTGAGATGAGATCTCATGGAGGGGTCAAGCGATACTATGAGACAAATGCATTGCTTGAGTGCTGAAGCTTCAACATCCTCAAGAGTTTCAAAATTCTCATCGTGAATGATGGGAAATATGGGATCAAACTTAGAGTAATAGAGGTTTAACATGAGGTTAAACTCGTTCTCTGGAGGGAGGCCGGGCATCCCTTCCGTTTGGATATGAGGGAAGATTGATTGGATGTGAAAGCGGTTTGATAAAGAAGGAAATATCGGAATATGCTGCTCGTCAACATTGGCTATCGCATCTTGCTGCTGCTCCAATGTAGATGGGCGAGCAACAAGCCACACGCCAATGTTGGTACGTTGGCCATCGTTCTCCGAGGTTTGATTTCCAGTTGCAAAAAACGATGCCTCCAAGCTAAGATTTCCAACGAATCGAGCAGCACTACTGTCGAACAGTCGCTCATTGAGAGGAATTCGAGTTTCTGAAATTCTTGGTGTTCTTTGGGATGCAGAGTAATTATCGTCGGAATTTGTCACTTGGTCATCACCAACAGCTTCGATAAATGTAGAGGATTCCCCAGAGTTGGGTGCAGTTATAGATGGCGGTTTGTCACTCTGACTAGTAGCCTGAGGGCTTCCTCGGTTATGAAGACATCGTCTCTGTGGCAAAGGGGTCAGTGAGCCGATCGAAGACATGCTCTTTATCCAGGTATACTCACGTGGCGCTTCTTACAGGAGTCGCATGTCTTATGGGAAAGCTTACGTCTCGATCCAACGCCACCAACACTATCGGGAACAAATTTGTACATAGTTGCAACGCTCAGGTGCAAGTCCTCATCAGCGGGCGAAGTTCAAGCCATTTTGCGGGGTTGGCACGTGATCCATAGTCCTTGAACGCAAGGGTTCATGGATACAATAGTCCGATAAATTCTGAAAATCCAAAGTGTTCGGCATGAGCACAGGGTTAGTAGGTATTTGGTGACAGAAGCTCAGAGCCATCAAACCTTCCAAGGTTGGAAGTGGTACATGCAGGAGAATAGCTAATGTATGGAGAGCGTGGCAATAACGGGAAGGCGATCCTTATGCCCGCCACCTGGGCAGTAGACCTCTAGGTTCCTAAACTTTTATTCACCGCCTGTCTTGGCACCCGAGGATAGCCTACAGCTTATCTCTAGGGCTACCAGTTGCCTATATCCAACAATATAACAGCTAATCTTCCCTTCCAGATAACCCTCCAGCTAGCCCTGTAGGTAACCCTACAGGTACCTACACACAAAGAGGGGTCGGTCACCAGTCACCTGTAGATGTTAGTGACTCGGACTGAACCCTTAAGTATGTGAACACATCTGACCAAGCACTTGAGTCCTGAGGACATATCTTTCCCGATTACAAATGGTCGCTGCTACTATGTACACTGGCAGTGCCGCGCGAAGCGCGGCGTGGGGACTTGTGATGAATTACACTCTATACATTGGCATATGACTATTGGAAGAACGGACAATGGATGAAAAAAACCTCCCAATTACAGTGCTTCTACATGGGGTTAATTTCCCTCTCACCCTTCATTTTCTACTAACATATGCATTCTTTCCTCACATGTGCACTTCTTAGAAACTATTCGTCAAATTGTGGCCTGTGGAGAACCCGAAGTCTTGCCTCTGTATTAACGAGACTATTATGCAAGTCTCCATTTTCCTTTAAGCTGCGGATATGGAATTGAAATATCCAGATGTCCATGTGTGAATTTTATCTCAAGTTAGTCCACTGTCCATAAAATTTCCCATCCTATTTGGCAACATTCTGGTGGCTACATACAAGAGGCACTCCACCACGGCTTCCACTCTTAAGCATAAGCTCAATCTAGATATAAAACTAGGCATTAGTACTGACAATTTACACACATGTGCAGATTAGATGACTTCTTACCAATTCAAGATCTGCCAAAGCAGTCTCGGGCTCCTGATCTGAACGTGCTTTTCCCTCCAAGAGACTCTGCCCCCAAGCTCGAATCTCAGGTGGCACCCCGGTCCTCTCATTTGTGATGGTGACAACTTCAATTTGGCTATTGCGGGAGATTGTCACCTTTTCGTTCTCAATTTTGATCCATCCATTAGAGCATGATATGGTCCATTCATTTGCCCGCAATGAGGTGCCCCGCGAGATCTGGAAGACACCAGTCGCGCCCGATGTAGTCTTTAAAATCGCATCAGCCGTATCAACGGGGGGAAGGTAAGGCTGAATTTGATTTGTGAAAGCTGATATCGAGGCAATTTGATTACCAGGCTCTTCACCCAACAACAATCGGAGCCCTGCCACATAGTGTACACCACCATCAAGAAGATAGCCACCTTGATGCGTAGGGTTACGTCGCCATTCAGTGACTAGGTAAAATATTAAAAATGCTTGGTCAACTACTACACAAGAACTCACGATTGAATTTCCAATTTTCAGGAACCATGCCATGCTGACGACCTTGGAACCCAGTGATCTTGCCCAGACTCTTAATCTGTTCAGCCGCATATTCATAACTCTTTAGGAATCTCCAATTCTCTGCAACAGTCCATGTTGGGCCCTTGATTTCAGTACGATACCACTGGATGAGCTCCTTTGCCTCCTCGAGGGTTTCAGCAACTGGCTTCTCGGAAAGAACATGTTTACCGGCCAAGAGAGCCGCTCTGATGAATCGAGACTGGTGTCCAATAGGTAGTCTGCGTGATAGTTAGTGAGCCCAGTAGGTCAATAATTGATCTAACTCACGACACAACTACTGCCCGAATATCGGAACGCTTCAGAAGCTCGTCAAATCCATTCTCAGTATCATCGGAATAAAGATCTACATGGCAAGAAAGCGTTCCGGCTATCGAAGAAGCGGATGCAATGGAACGTGAGAACACAGCCTTGAGGGATAGCAAACTTGCAGCAGCTTCAATGGCAGGCTAGCACGAATTAGGCAAACCAGATCATTCTTCTCGGATTAGAAAACTCAAAGCGTGTTCTTCTCTCGCCCAGATTCCTATATTCAAATTGATAGTGGTTTAGTACATATGCTTCGAAAAAAGCGAAATTCCTTCAAGAATTACCTCCTCCGAGAAGCGCGACTCCAACTGGAGATTCATATCCGGCCATAGCGACAATAAACTCGCCTGATCACGTCTGGTAAATTGGGAGAAACGTGTTGTGGGTGGATTCTTCTCGTATTATTCAGTAGTGCTGGGTGCGGAGAAGTGAAGCCTAACTGGAAATGGAATGTCCGCTTCATCTCCCCCGCAGTATCCACACAGTGACTCTGGATGTCTGACGGAGTGGAGATTCCGCAAGTGGAAAAGCCATGGGGGTGGGGTATTCCTCATCGAGATATTAAACTGAGCCTTATAGATTCAATTCCGCGCAATTTGAGATACGATTTAACGCCTGGACTAACCACTATATTATGTATTACGGACATCAAATATCATTTTACTTCTGATCTTCCTCTTCTGACAAAGATATTTACCATGTGGCAACGAATAATTCACGCTGGTGTTTTTGGGGGCGAAGATGTAGCCCAAATTGTTCATCTTCCCACGTTTGTATCCCTGTCAAGGCTCTTCAAAGTGAAAATTATATGTGATATCTCCTTGAAGACCGCAACACATTGTGCCAATCGATTTGGCATTCCACGGCCGACAACAGATCCAACTGAAGTATTCAACGACAGTGAGATTGATGCCGTCGTGGTAATTACGTCAGATGAATTTCATGGCCCTTACGCCATTGCAGCTCTTCAGGCAGGAAAGCATGTATTTGTTGAGAAGCCGATGACTTTGAGTTTGGAAGTTGCAAAGGAGATCATCGATGCAGAGTTCTCTGCGCCAAATGGCGCCCGTGTTTTTGTCGGCTACATGCGACGCTATGCACCTGATCTTAATGCTTTCAAGCACGAAGTTGCGTCCGTCGATTGTATCAAGTATGCCAAAGTGCGTGACATCATCAGACCAAATTCCTATTTCATCGGGCAATCGGGAGCCGAACCCCAGATTCGACGATATTCCAGCCGAGGCAGAAAAATACAGGAAAGAGAAACTACAAGCGCTGTTAGGTCAAGCCTGGGGAATTCCATCCGCAGACCTTAGCCCAGAACAGATGAACTACTGTTGTCTCCTTGCCAATCTTGGAAGCCATGGTCTCAGTCTGATGAGAGAGGTACTTGGTGGGCTTCCCTCAGAGGTACTTGCATCAACAGATAATGCTCGGTGGTATACAACAATGTTCGAGTACCAAAATAAGTCCAATGATGAGAGATTCACATGTCTTTACGAGACAGGAATTAACTTTGTGCCAAGATTCGATTCTCAGGTTGCAATTTTCGGAGAGAATAAGTCTGTCTCGATCAATTACGACACTCCCTTTGTCGGAGGTCTGGGGATCACTGTGAAGATTGACGAGCTGAACGAGTATGGGGAAAAATCTCACAGATCACTCCAAACATCATACGAAGATGCATATTCAGCTGAGTTGAGAGAATGGTATGATTGCATTGTGAATGGGAAAGCAATCAAAACCACCTGTTCTGATGCGGTTGAAGATTTGAAACTCTTCAAAATGATGATGGATAAATATCCCGCGTATAAAAGAGCTAAAGGTAGCTGTGGGTCGGATGAATTTCTCCCGTCAGGCCCATGAGAGAATCAAGTGCCATGAAGGATTGGATTCAGGTGCCCAGGTGTACGTACTGGATTTCCCCCGACGGGTAGGGCTTTCCTATTCTGACGACCGCCGCTTTGTATTCAATATTTCCAGTGTTGTACTTGATGTCGTAATATTCCGAGTCGAACCTAGGTATTCAAAGCTTCATTGAAATGCCAGGTTGAACCAAACCACGGCCTGTATCTGACACTCTTCCCTGCATAGAATACTACATACTACATATACCTAGGGTATGCAAAAGGATTTTACAAACAACCTACAGGGCTTGGAACAGATAGAGCAGTAGACGTGGTATATAAACAGAAATATGATCTATTGGATGCAAAAAGAATTAATAACAGCGACGAGGAATAATCCAAAAGGCTGACCACCACTGCTCAGTCTCTGAAGCCTACCTTAGACCTTTTTATTGTTCATAAACTTTGTAAGAAGATTAATGTCTTGGTCCAGATACCAGCTGAAAGTAAAATAGTTAGTTTCATGACTCCAGCAATAGGTTAAAAGGGACATACGTAGGGTCGGCCTCCTCTTCCGAATTCAATTCATGTGATAAGAAGCCATTGTTGAGCCAAGCAAAGTCCAATTGAGACTCGGGGCATCGGCTTTGCCATTCAAAATCCTCATATCGGTGGCGACGAAGCAGTTCAAAGCAGTGCAGACGAGATCCGGGGTGGAACGCATGCAATCCGCCATTCTTATCGCCGTTCTTGAACGAGCTCTGGCAAGAGTCGCCCCACACGGTCTTCTCCAGCCATGACAGCATCTGGAACTGATAGGCCTTGGCCTTTCCGTCCTTGAGATGGAACGAGGAATAGTTCTCACGTTGCAGCTTCTTGATCAAATCCACGGCGTATAGAGTGATGCGCTCGATAGAGGTAATCATACTACCATGACCGACGGGACTTCCAGGGCCCATATAGATGAAGTAATTCGGCATGTCCTGCGCAATTGCCGACATATAGCAAGCAGGATACTTCAACCATTCTTCTTGGAGATCAACTCCGTTCCGCCCGATAATGGGCCAGCGAGGAACAAAGGACATATCGAAGCCAGTTGCAGCGGTAACAACATCGTAGTCGCGCTCCTTACCATCCGCAGACTTTAAACCAGTCTCAGTGAAGGAGTCAATCTCTCCCCATACCACTTCGCAGGAGTCAGAAGCCAAGGCTTGGAGATAACCTGGGCCCGGGGTGGGTCGGCGATATCCGACACCAAAGTTCGGAATAATCAAATCAGCAACCTCGGGCTTCTTCTCCAGCTTGCTGCGCATATCCTTAGTTGTGAAGCTGCGAGCCATGACTTGGAATTCGCTTTCACGAACGTCAAGGGGGAAACGGAAGTTGAGTTCTTTCTCAATTTCTTTACGAAGAGTATGATATTCTCCCGGGTTCTCGACCCAAATTTTCTGCTGCTCCTCATCATAGTTCATGTCGGGCACGCGTTGGCCGATGAATCTCGAGCCGAGGTTGGCCGTCACCCAAGTGGGTGATCGAATGTAGGCTCCAACATGACTGGCAACTTTCTGGACAGCTGCAGTGGCTTGGATCCCACTACTTCCATTGCCAATGACGGCGACTCTCTTTCCTTTGAGATCGATGGAAGTGTCATAATTGGCGCTGTGGGCGAGGATTCCTTGATAATTCTCGCGACCAGGGATATCGGGCCATCTCCAGTTGTTCAGGTATCCGCTCGCGTTGATGAACACGTCGCATTCCTCGACGATCTCATCACCAACTTCTCCATCGGTAATACCCTTGGCAGAAACAGCTGCCAGACGACCGTCCGTGTTTCTGCTAGTGATAATCCACTTCTGTTTCTGCTCATCCCACCGAGCACTGGTGATCTTGCGACAAGTTGTAATATATTTTCGAAGTTGGAAAGTGTCGACTACATTCTCGATGTATTTAAGAATCTCGGGCGCTGTGACATAGAACGAGGACCACTTGGGATTGGGTGCCCATGTGAACTAAAACCCTGTTAGTGCAAAGTCCTTCAAGTTTTTGAAACATCTAGAATTAACTCAACTGTACCAAGTTAGAGGGAATGTCACAGGCACATCCAGGGTACCGATTTTCGAGCCAGGTTCCTCCAATACCGGCATTCTTTTCAAGAATCTGAAGATCGACGTTGGGCAATTGTTCACTTTCAACTGCATGAGCAAAAGAGATCCCACTAATACCTGCACCAGCAACAATAGCCTTCAACCGTCTAGGTGTGTCAAATGGTAGCTTGGACTGTTCATAAGCGACGGGGAACTTGTTGCGGTATGCCTCAGTAGCCTCAATAGGCTTGCATGGTGCTTCACCACCGGCACCATTCATCTCAACAGACTGAGTCATGGCGATTTGAAGACAAAAACTTGTTATTATAGATGCGAGTTGAAGATATTGGAATTTTTTAGCGATCCAAGAATAATTTCAAACGAATTATAGAATACTTATGTTTGGATGAGAGGCGAAGATTTCTTATGATAGGAGTGAAGTCATGTTCCGAGCCTTATGATGCATCCTAACCAGTACTGCATTGATTAAACCGGAAAACAGACCTTGCAACGCAGCGATGTTCATTGGAATATCCATTATGGATGTGCTTGGTAAATACGAGGTGGACGGAATGGAATTGACGCAAGATTACGGAACGCTGGGCCATCCGCGGTAACTACCGTGCATCCATGACCCATTCCGTGAATGCAGAGAACAACACAAAACACGAAGAACGTGGGGAAGTCCTAAACAAGACGGAATGACGTGGATAATTATTCATAGTTTGGAACAATATATCGTTTTCTTTGTTAGAACGGTATAGAATTTTGGTTCCGGGACAAAATTGGGAGAATTGCTCTGTCTGACTGTTAACTTCAACCAAGGAATTTGACCCTACTTAAGGCCAGTGAAATAATTGATCAATTACCACTACAATTCTCTCTAACTTCACTCCAACTCATTATATTGAACTCAAAATGTCTTGCGCCGATCTCAAGGGCAAAGTCTACTTCCTCACGGGTGCTGGGTCCGGACAGGGCCGTGCTACTGCTATCTCCTTGGCTGGTCAGGGTGCAAAGCTTGGCTTACTAGATATGAGGTACCCACAAGATACTCTCGATGAAATTGCGAAGAATGGAGGTGAAGCTGTCGGATTTTAATTCGACGTTGTCAAATCCGCTGGAATCGACGCTGCCGTCAAAGCTACCGTGGAAAAATTCGGCCAGCTCGATGGTGCAGCTAATCTGGCTGGCTGGATTGGAACCCAGGGATTCAAAGGAAAAGGATATGCCCTGGATGTTATTAAGGATGAAGATTGGGATAGAATGATGGCAGTCAATCTTAATGGCGTTCGAAACAGCTTGTCCACAGAAATGAGATACATTCGCGACGGTGGAAGTATTGTGAATATTGCTAGTATTGCCGGTCAGCGAGGATCTCCATGGAATGCCCCCTATGGTGCCGCTAAATGGGGTGTTATTTCCTTGACCAAGTCGGCCGCCCAAGAACTCGGATCTAAGAACGTCAGAGTGAATGCTATTGCCCCGTGAGTATAAGGCTATCTGTTTTTTTTAAGACGAGCTCTAACAAGATATAGTGGTGTGATTGATACTGCCCTTGCTACTGCTCTTGGTGACCCTGATGTGGTCTTCCAGAGAATGGTGTCTAGATGTGCTCTTCAATGGATGGGCCAGCCTCAAGAAATCGCCAATTGCATCCTATTCTTCTTCAGCGACGTTTCCAGCTTTGTGTCGGGAAGTGTAAGTTTTCCTGAGATCCCTTCATACATACTAGATCAATACTAATATGGCCTTCCTTCTCCAGGTAATCAATGCGGATGGTGGATTCCAGTAGTCATTATATAGATTTCACATAGGCAGGAAGCCAATATCATTACTATCAAACTTGATTCTACATATCTAAGGGCAAGAAAATATTACCCGACTGATGTAGATATGATCATTCAGAAGGTTTTTGCAAGAACTGAGAAGAGAATACTTCTTTAAGACAGTCGTTGATGGTAGATTGCAAAACTCCAAGGTGTATTGTTCTTTCATCAACCTCGTATATGTCAGTAATTCCTTGTAATCTAATCATGTTTCTCTTTCAAAGTTGCTCAAGTGCTGTCATGATGTGTAAGTTCCGTTGGTCTTAAATCAAAACAGTCCCGTCGGCTACTCTTTTAAGTTGATGGAACGGCATTTCAAAGACAAGGCGTCGCAGGAAATTTCACAGTGACAATTTTTCGAAATGTCTCCATGATTGCGGCACCTGGGAGACCTTCGAGTCCGAGTCCGAGTCGGGAGCGGAAACATATTAGTATTCCAAAGTACACGAGAATGAGGCAACATGTACGAACCTGAGATAATGTAAGTTTTGATATAAAGAAACGAAATAAAATTCTAAATTCTATTTATTCCACTAGCTAGATTTCTGCTGCACGAAGTTGACAATAATATCCAGGCCCTCCTCAGTAGCATCGCCCATTGGAATAATAGTGAATGCATGACATGCTTCCTGGACGAGATTCAATTGCGTATCATTTCCAGCCAGCTGCCATCTCGCTGCCATAAAAACACTATCATCAATGAGAGGTTCTAGCTGACCAGTCAGGAATAAGGCCGGGGGCATTTCCTTCACGTCCGCATAAAGAAGAGAGACAAGCGGATTCTTCCGCTCGGACATTGGAATTTGGTTAAAACTGGCTTCGCAAAATTCCATCATACCTTTTGTACTCAGAACAATGTTTCGGGAGTGCTCAAGAAGGGATGGTGTATGTGTGAGATCAAAGATGCCGTATCCGGAAATAACAGCGTCCAATTTTGACTTCACTTCAATGCCGTGATCCCTGCGGAGGGACAAAGCTGTCGAAATTGCTAGCCATCCTCCTGCAGACTCGCCACAAATGATCTTCAATGGTGCGCCGAGCTCTTTCTCACCTGCAGGACTGAGAGCATACAGAGCTGCATCGACGCAGTCATGCAAAGGCGCGGGGAATAAGTGATCCGGTGCAAGTCGATATTCAACAGAGACCATTGTCAGACCCAAGCGTCTGGACAACGTCGTTAAGTAGGTATCGTATGAGGCATTGTTACCAATAACGAACCCACCTGTAAAATTCCCAAGTCAACAATCAAGGCTCTCGATCTAGTCTTTGGGATTGAAAAAAATTGTATGAACAATCGGAGTTCATCACCTACCTGCATGGAAATGCAACAAAACTCCTCGGCTGGCTTTTTCAGTCGGAGCGATAATTCTCAACTCAATTTGATTCCCATCTCTTCCAGTCACGTTGGCTAACCGTGCTGCGGGGTTCAAAACAGGCGCCATGAATCCGTTCGTGCCCTCGCGACGCATTTTATGATACTCAGCTGGAGATTCGCATTCTTTCCATTGAACAGCAGTCGCAAGTTTTGCTTCAAGGTTGTCCAGAAATTCCAGACGAGCCTTCAACTTGACCTCGTCAATAGGACCAGGTAGCATGTTCGATGTCATGATGGTATGTCAAACTGTAAAGTCGTGATAAATTACTTAGGATAAGGATGAATGTTTCCAATAAACACACGATCATGCCCAGGTGGTAGCCCTCAAGTGCTTCAACAACTACTATGGCCTACATGTATTTCCATATGATCAGCCTTGAAACTTATGAACTTTTGAAAATCTGGATGGATGCGACCAGAGATGGAATCATCCTCTTGATTCACTACTTTTAACTATTTATGTAGTTTTTCCAGGGCTCTAGGTATGTCATCATTGATCCCTACTATGAAGACTGAAACATTTGAATGATGCTTATGGTACTAGGGATTTTCCAATGGCTCTTGATAATATCAACTTGTCATGATCAAATATAAACTTTCACATCCATTCCGCATCAAATGCTGTTTCTGTTCACATAAAACTACATAGCTAGGTACTCCTAATCTCATATTTCCTATAGTAGTCGAACCCAAAATCAATGTATTGAAATTTTGGTGAACTTTACTGCTTCCTCATCAATGTTGTCATTCTCAGTGAGTCATCCTCTCTTCCTCCCTATTCTTTTCTCTTTTTTGAATAGCTTGATTGTTTGTCGTTTCAATTTGGTGCTTTTTTATCTCAAAAGACCTTTCATTGACCTGGCTTAAGATTATGGCTCCATAATTTGGAAATCTCTTGGATTTGACACAGTTCAAATTATCAATTTCCAGTGTGGCTTTCAGTTAGCCGGCTTCGTCTTTAACGTCATTGCGATGACCTTTGTCGATCGTGTCCCCCGCCACAGGCTTATTGCCTCCGGTCTTTTCGGCTGTGGTACCCTGGTCGGCATTCTATCTGCCTTGCAACGTTTCTATCTTGACAGCTCGAATCGCGCTGGTCTAAGTGCATGCGTTGCGATAATCTTTCTCTTTCAAGCTACCTTCTCGCTTACAGTAGACGGTGCGACATATTTCTACATAGCTGAGATCTGGCCCTCACACGTCCAGTCCCAAGGTTTTGCCATTGCCATGGCCATTTTATCAGTCACAAACTTAATGTGGCTACAGGCCCCGCCGCCTGCCATAAGTGCGATCTCATGGCGCTGGTATCTTGTCTTTTGCTGCATTCCCATTTTTGGAGCTTCGGTCGTCCTCCTGTGGTTTAAGGGCACACTGAGCAAACCACTTGAGGAAATCGCGGCTATGTTTGGCGATGAGGATATGGTTGCTGTGTATCAGCGGGAGCTTAACGCTGATAATCTGGCAGAAGATGATGATGATGGGGGTGGTAAAAGGGAACTGAATAAGCCATCAGTGGAGACTGTTGAGTCAGTGTGAAGAGACAAGGAACCTGGGCAGTTGCGAGGGTAGTATCATTGATAGTGATACAAAGGCATGAACCTTGGAAGTTAGAATACTGGGCGGCTTAATTCTACTCTGGACCTTCTTCAAGTTATCTACAGAGGTATCAATATGTCATGGGATTGATGAATCAATGCTAGTATCCACTAGTGCTCCTAGTACCCAAAGAATGATGTTGATCATTTTCTACAGGGTGCAGTTCTATACTCCAATAATGCATACATATGCACCGTGACCTAGGGTTTATTTTTTCGATCATGTTTCGGAACACTTCCAAGTCTATCTTAGTTCAGTTTCAACTTATAGACATGCGGAAGATTAAATACAGTATCGCGGGTTTCCAAGTTTAAATGCGAGCTATTGGTCCAGGTCTGAGTCGTTCCAATTGAAGTGGCCAGGCGACTTCGACTCCAAGTTCCGAAGCAACCTTCAAAACCCAATCTGGCTCTTTGAGGAATTGTCGACCAACTGAGATTATATCAACTCCAGGCCCTCTTTTCGCATCACTCTGTACCAGGTCCCGGGCCTGATTGGCTTCAGTAATCAATCCGACAGTTCCAATCAGAATCTTGTTTCCTTCCTCTTGCAAAGTCTTTTTAATTCTCAAAGCCATTGCGGTGTGACTGTGATCACCATCGAAGACGTTGAGTTTGGCCGAATGGTAGTTTCCTCCTGAACTGATATCGACGAGGTCAACACCCAGATTTGGCAACATTCTGATGAGCTTGTGAGTTGACTCCTCTGTCCAGCTTCCGAACTTCTTTCCAGCCTCTGTTTGCTCGGTCCAATCAGTGCAGTTGAGTCTAACAAACAAAGGCATGGATTTTGGAATCACCGCTCGCACGGCAATGATTGCTTCAAGTAGCAGACGGACTCTGTTCTCAAAGCTTCCGCCATATCGATCCGTTCGGCGATTGGTGACAGGATTGAGGAATTGGTTGATGAGATAACCGTGAGCACCATGGATCTCAAGAATATCGACCCCAGCTTTCACAGCTCTCTGGGCTGCTTTCGCATAGTTTGACACTACGTCTTGGATCTCTAACTCGGTCATCCCTCGAGGTATATGATAACCTCCGGCGGGATCTAGCCCTTTACCATCCCATGACTGTTCGACCCCACCTGAAGGGCCCAACACATCGTCAGGCCAACCGCCTTCCTCTTTGGACGCCCTTGCACTTGATTTCCCAAGTTGTTGAGCAACTAATGGAGGTTGTGTACTCGACTTTCTTCCGGCATGAGACAGTTGGACACCGCAAAGACCGCCTTGGGAGTGAATGAAATCCACTATTGATTTCAGTCCAGTCTGCTGGGCATCATTCCAAAGACCAGGACAATGAGGTGTAATGCGGCCATTGGGTTGAACGCCTGTGGCCTCAATCATGGCAAGCGCAGCACCCTTGAAAACGTTGTGGCCGATTGTGGTAATGTAAAGGGGGGTCATTACACCAGTCAGAGGCCCCGAGGATGCGACTGAGTACATGCACGTTGGAGAAACACATATCCGATTTCTCAGTGTGACTGAGCGAATGCTCAGCGGTCGAAATAACTCCGGGGTGTTTTCGTCGATGCTCAACGGGACTCCGGCAGTGATTTGGCGCTGCGACTGTCCAGCAGCGAGAGACTTTGGATCTTGAGCCATGTTGAAGATTCAAAAAATAGCTAGGATGGGTAATTTTGATAGTAGACGAAGAAGAAGAAAATCGGCTCAAGCTATGCAGCTATTGATACTATTGAGACTACATGTGATTCTTGAATCCGTAATAATCCTGGACTTCTAGCTGATGCCCCTTCCGGTCTTTCCGGCGAGAGCGTGCATATCGTGTGCATTAAAATTAAAGCCCGAGCTCATTTTATAGGATGACAGCAATTGATCCTTTGATGACCGAGAGTGGGAGACTTCTGGGAGGGGGGGGGGCGAGAAATCCCTGGTTCCGGAAAAACGCAGTGTTGACCTCTCTGCAGTTCCGCGGAATCCTCAACACGCTGGTTATGTGACCCAGTCTCTCATCTTTAGCTTTACTTCCAAGATGATTTCACGGATAGATTTAGCTAGTCTGTATTCCTGACAAGTTGTTCGTATATAACGTTTTTTTCTGAATCACTTCAAGACTACAAACCATAGGACAGTTACAAAAATGCCAGCGCTTGATCTACAAGGTAAAAAGGCTCTCATTACGGGCGGGGGTTCAGGTACGAACTATTTGATTCCAGTTTTGCGCAATATATTTTTTTTACTAAATCCAATTAACAGGGATTTGCCTTTCTTTGGCAAAGGCGTTTTACGAAAAGGGATGCTTTGTCCTACTAGCAGATCTTGGTCTCCACGCCTCAGCCGAAGAATGGCTGAAGACCGTCCAACGCCAGCCTTCCCCAAAAGTCCGATTCCACAAAACTGATGTTAGTGATTGGAAACAACTAGAAGCGGCATTCGACACCTTTGAGAATGAATTTGGGGGATCCCCTGACATTGTTGTTCCGGGCGCTGGAGTCTACGAACCTTCGTCAAACGGTTTCTGGGCAGATTCAGATGATGCGTCGCATTATAAGCTGTTTGACATCAATATCGTGCACCCCATCAAAATTTCAAGAATTGCCATCAAGAATCTGCGTCGGGACCAGAAGCCGGGTGTGATCGTACACATTTCTAGCATCACGGCCCAAATCCCTAGTGTGGTCAACCCTCTTTACTCGGTCTCGAAGCAGGCAATCAGCCAATTTGTAAGATGCATAGCACCATTGGATGATTTGGCCGGGATTCGCGTTGTTGCTGTGGCTCCTGAGTAAGAAATTGTGGTTCCATATCCCATCTTCCCTGTGTCATTAACGCTCATCTGAATTAGGGTCGTCGACACTCCTCTCTTTCGCGACAGCGCTAAGGCTCGTGAGCATATCGATCTGGAAAAGGATTTTGTTCTTCCACCAGAAGAGATTGTCAAGGCTATGGTTTCTCTGGTAACAAGCTCCAAATATCCATCGGGCTCTATTATTGAGATTGGAGACCTTGGTGGTTGGCGTGAGGTGGGTCTCCTTAATGACCCCGGTCCTCAAGGTCGATCAACCCTGCCGAGGCCCAAGGCCAAGAATGCGATTAAGCTGGTTGAACAGGCGTTGAAAGATGATGCAAAGCAGGCTAGGCGGTCTAATCTGTAGTTCAGTAGGACGCGATAGGATCTCTTTCGAAGCTTGTAAACTGACGGCTTGATTTTTCTCTTTTTCGAGCGCACTGTGATAAGCCAATAAGTAACAACCAAGATCCAACCAACATATAAAGAAATCTTGGAATTGATAGCAACCATTATGTAATTTTCAAGGTTCTGAATGCCGGTTTAGGCATTAAATGAGTGTAAAGATAAGCAACTACCTAGGTACTGTATGTATAGTTAATCGTTCCTGGGAACTGGAAAAACTGAATAGAAAGGGGAGGAGGAAAAGGAGGCATGAGACCGCCGCTGTATGCTGGAGGAGCACCTTTTCTGGTGTACTCCGTAAATATTGATTAGACAATGACTTAGGTATTCCCCATTCCTTGTTTGAGTGATGCGAATTTTCGAGTTTGAACAATCACACGAGAGTTTTATTGAAATAGTCCACTCTTAGCATTAGGCACGGAGTTCAGTGAGTAAAAGCGGCAAGAGGGTGAGCACTAATCTGGAAAGAGAAACCAAAATCCGCTGGGGGGGAAATCCACTTGGGCAGAAAGTAGGCGGTAACTACTACACCTGGGCAGTACACAGCGACACTGAATCGGCACCTCATCCCCGCGCGATCTCTCTGTGGCTTCGTGAAGTCGGGAGCAGAACTCACCTCTTTCTTCCGTTTATCCGCCATTTATTCCTTGCCGCTGTCTTGTGTTCACCTCAACCCAGCCTCGTACAATCATGACCCAGCCTGGCAAGCCCACAGCGGGCGTACTCCAGATTCCCGTCGCAGCTACCCAGAAAACCGCTACAGCACCTGCAAAGAAAGCTCACAAACCTCCTGCCCCTCGCCTTAAACTACTTATCCGCCGCCTTCCACCTGGGCTAACGCAGGCCGAGCTTGAGACCGCATTGGGCCCAGAATGGAAACTCGGAGCCGGGAGGGTGGATTGGCTTCAATACAAGCCTGGAAAAGTATCCAAGGAGTAAGATATACAGTCTATTTGATTGTAAAGGAAACTGAACCTAACGCTTTATTGAATATAGTCCTGCCAAGCCGTCTCGTCCCTCCAGAGCCTACATCCATGTGGTGTCCAGCGACCATATCACCCCGCTTTCCGACCAAGTAAGGGAAACCTCCTTCCAAGATGCCCGTGGCACCTCGCATGACCCAATCCTTCTGGGCCCTCCAGGCCTCGAGTTTGCGCCCTACGCCAAAACCCCCGGCAGTCGCGTTCGCAAGGATGCTCGCCAAGGCACCATTGATCAAGATCCGGACTTCATTGCATTCCTGGAAAGCTTAACCCAACCCATCACAAAGCCAGCGACTGTGGATGCTGTTGAGGGCGATGAGAAGAAAGAGGCAGTGGCGACTACACCCCTGGTGCAGTTCATCAAGGACAAGAAGGCCAGCAAAGCGAAGGAGGCTGCAGCCTCTAAATCATCCAAGCATAGTCGTTCAGAGAAAGACTCGAAGGAGAAGGTTCAGGCGAAGAAACTTTTACAACGACCCAGTAAGGAGTCCAGCGAGGCACCTGTATCAGAGAAGAAGGGCAGAGGTGATAAGAGTGCCAAGGAGTCAGCAAAGGCAGCCAAGCAAGCTGCTACTACTACTACAACCAAGTCCGGAAAGGGTGGAAACTTGAGCACCCAAAAGGAGAGCGCGGCAGCACCAGAGCGAAAGAGAGAAAGAGGCAATCTCGCCGCAGCGACCAAGATCCTGCAACGTGATTTGGGGATTGCTCCATCCGGCGGTCGACGACGGGGTAAAGGCGGAGCGAACGACACCGGGACCCCCAAGAACGAGAGTGCTCGAGACTCATCAGATGCTGCAACTGAAAATACAAAGAAGGAGCCACCAGCCAAACCAGCCAAGAATATACAAGCTAAAGCGAAGGATACCGAGTCTACAAATACAAAGTCCGCTGAGGGTAACACTCCATCCACTTCGAATACAACATCAACCAAAGCGCCCAAGGGTGCCAAACCGAAGCCAGTCGCGAATCCGGCACCTACTTCCACTCAGGCTTTCCTTAAACACGCGAATCCATCACAGGGCGTGACGGAGGCATTGCTGGAAACTGCGTTCGCTGCATTTGGAACGGTTAGCAAAGTGGAGATTGATAAGAAGAAAGGATTTGGTTATGTGGATTTCACGGCGCCGGATGGACTACAGAAAGCGATGGCAGCTAGTCCTGTGACAGTCGCGCAGAGCCAAGTTGTTGTTCTGGAGCGCAAGGCAAACCCTGGTGGTGAGAAGGTTCGCAAGGGTCGACCTGATGCGCCACCAAGTGGAAAACCGAAGGCTGCAGTTGAAGGCAACAACGCCGGCGGCAACGCGACTGGTTCCTCTGCCCGGGGATCTCGAGGCGGTCGTGGAGCTCGAAACAAGGGTCCCAAGGGCAGTGGAGCTGGTGGTGGAACAGGCAATGCCGAGAAGGGTCAGGAGAAGATAGAGAAAGCTGCTAATGTTGATAAGTGATGATGATTTGATACTTCATAATGAGACACATGAGATATGGATATTCATTGGCTTCTAGCTACATCAACTACCAACCTTTAGGTAGAACATAATAGTTATCTGCACCAACGAGAAAGATTAACATTAATGGATTCAATTTCTATGGTTCCGGGTCGTGGCCCTTCGAGGAGACTCCCCAATATTCAGAATAGTCTTTTGGCCCTTTTCGACAATCTATTCATGTCCTGTTGACAGTACATGTCTGTCTCGCCCTCTATGAAAGATCGCATGATGCCTATCTCGATCTCTAAGACAAAGCACATGTGGATAATACTCCAATTCATAGCCGTAGCTTCGATCAATGCACTCCATTCTAACGGGAAATTGGTTGTGAGCACTTGACTCTTCTCAGTTGCTAACACTGGACACATCGGGCCGCAAGTCTCAAAAGCACACCAGGAACGTATACAATTATATATCATGATGGCGCAGAGCGATCCTTTCGTTAGAATCGTTGCGCAGTGATCATTATCAACGGATCCTTCATGTCAAAATGACTACTTCGTAGCCCCAACCCTCATTGCAGATGTCCCGCGCAGCCACGTACTCGCCAGCGAGGAGATATTCGGTCCTGTCGCGACTGTGACACCGTTCGATACGGAGACTAAGGCAATTGATATCGTAAATGGTTTAGAATATGGTTTGACTACCTGTGTGGTTAGTCGCGATCAAGAGAAGTGTCTGAGGTTTGCTCGTCGCGTGGACGTCGGGATGGTTTTTATCAATAGCTACACGCGAAGTGTGCTGGAGACGCCCTTTAGTGGTACAAAGGATTCGGGGTATGGTCGAGAACATTGTGTAGACACACTTCGAGCATGGGCAAAATCGAAGGTCATCGGGCCATCAGGGATGGGCGAATTGCCAGAATGGAGGGCCATTCAGTGTATTTGATTAGCTTGAAATTTCACTTGATCGATCATTGTGGCGTTCGCCAGACAAAGAGACAAGTGACCGCTCGTGGTGTTCGAAGATCTTTGTTGTTGTACAGTTGGGGAAAGGAGGCACGTGAGCATGCAGGTCGGGCGCTGAGGTTGGGAAGGTTGGGAAGGTCGCGTCTCGAAAAATTGCAGGTTGGTGCTTACGAAAAGGATCAGGGATTTAGAGGCAATTGTACATTCAAAAAAGGGCTACAATGCAAATACAAGTGGGATAATAAATGGGAAAATATTTCATTCGAATTTGGTTTAGATTTAGATTTCTGAATTTCGAAACTTCTGCACAAGACTCAATCCACATGCCATCACTCAGAAATCTTCCAACATCAAAGAAGAAATCAAGAGATTAAGCACCTTTCAGACTTCCTCGACACCCACCAGCACCAGCCGACCGAAGTCAGACGCCGAGAACTGGTAAAGATCATCACCACTCCCTGGACACGAAAAGCAGACGCTGTAAACAGCACGCGTGACACGTCGAGGCGGGAGTAAAAAGGCTTCACTTTAGGGCATCGAGGATATAGAAGTCATCAGCAAGGGTGGAGATTCTGTGGCTCTTTTAAAGAGCTTAGAAGTGGGACGTCTACTCTAAAGTGATTCTTTGAACTGTAGAAAAGAGGTCAGTAAAAGTCCTGAGAGAGGTTGTTGACCTGTATGGGGGTGGTATAACATACGTAGAGTCGCTTGAAGAAAAGAAATCTTTGCAGGAAATCAGTTCCTTTTATACCTGCGCAGAGCCAGGCTGATGACTAATTGGGAGCGGTCTACCAAATGTATGTTTGTCTTGTTTGCTACGCGTTAGTGGGGCGGTGGACTTCTATCACCAATCAAAGAGCTCATGTGGGTCCCTGTTCCGAAAATTGCGGCAGAAATTTCTGCGCTATCCATCACCTGCTTTCTTATTGGTTGATGTCCTTCCCTTCTGGAAGTCTTTTACGTTCTTCGCCTTCATATGAATAATGATAACTCATTCAGTGTCCACATAGAGCACACCTGAGGAGCAATTGGGAATAGTGTCAGTCCTTGTTCTCCGAGAATATCCGAAAGACTCCAGTTACTGGTGCAGTGTGGATTGCAGGAGTGGTTACTGAGCAACTGCAGGTTTGTTTACAGATCATAACCCTTGGCATGCGAGATGGGATGAATCTAGACTATTAGTCTCAAATCCTTTATTGTAGCCTCAGGCTATACATTCAAGGTTCTAAGCTGACAATTCGCTCGACTGCCATTGATACTAATGAACGGGGAATACTGTACTAGTAGTAGTGTTAAGTTGATCATACATATGGCACTTCCAAGGTTGACTCCGAGTCCGACTTGGAGTGTTGCCATTGAAAATTCGAATACGTTTGAACGTGAACACCCATGTGCAGTAGTATAGATCGGTCAATTGATATATATCCACCGGCATCATGATGTAGTAGTTCAAAGTTAGACCTCAATTGCAATGCCTTGCCAGTGCACACCTGGGCATGTGCTATCTCCTTTGATACATATATGCATTATACATACTACAGAGTAGTATTAGTAGCTGAAATTACAAGTCGGAGATGTACACGATCGAACATTTGAATGTTCTGCTAGCATTCAAACATTCAAACCTTCAACATTGAAACCGTGGACTTGCAACTTGAGGGACTCGGATCAATGTTCTCCACATTTCAGATCAAATGGGATAAGAGTCCAAATTGGACTAATATTAATTCTATGAGCTGGTGTTACTCACCGGTCGGGGCATGTGGCATGTCTATTTATTCCATCTTGGAAAAACTTCCACACTGGATCGAATCCAGAAAGGAGCTTTACACCTTCGCGTGTTTTTCCTTTTTTTGGTTCTGATCGCTAGTCGCGTCTTCTCCCAAAGTTGAGATTTTTTTTTTCTGGAATAATATTCTGAAACACAAACTGATTCAGACTAGTCCATTTTAGATCTGCAATGCCTTTTCTGATTTTGAAATTTCTGTAAAAATGTATTCCAATATTGCTCAGTGATTTAGTCAAATTACATAATTTACATCAAACCATCGCCAGTTGACTGCCAGTATTAAGGTGGAGAAGTCATCTGGCGAGATGAACATTTTGAGAGAGAGAAATTGTGAAATCGGTCGATGAATCCAAGTCTCCTTGTGCAGCAGCAAAATTGCAATACGACTTTTATACGTCCAGTGGGCGTTAAGTCTAAACATTTGAAGCAAATTCTTCAGTGTTTACTAGTAGTTGAAGTTGCAGGTGGCTCGCCTCAAAAGCATACATAGTACTAGGAGGCGGAACCTTGGAATGTCCAGGGGTTTGGACGGATATAAAGTTCGTAACTTAGAACGAATCATAGTGCACTTGACTATCTTTTCAGTCAATATCCGGGCGCCACCGATGAAATCTCGGATAAGATGAGTACTAGCCAAAAGTAATTCAAATCATCACTGCTTCTCTTATCACTTGCAGATGTCAAATGAAACCTTATCACCAAATTCCCCGGGGTGCGCGGCCCGCGCACCTCCGATGCCAACCATACATACCCGTGGACCCGAGGTCAACTCCAGCGGAGCTTGACCCCGGATTCTCGACATCAACATGGGGCGCCCGAAAGTCCATCCAGATAACCGCTTGCGGGCAAATACCGCATGCACAAAGTGTAGAGCCTCAAAGAAGAGATGTAGTGGCTCATTCCCCTGCACTAATTGTATTCGAAAAGGCCACGCTCGCACCTGTATCCCTTTCAAGGCCATATCCGATCATAGCCCCAGCAGTCAGCAAGACCGAACATCTCGCTCGGCGCTAGAGGAGATCGCTGCTTGGGATGGTCCGGATAATTCATTGCAGAGTCCTTTGGATTCCCAGATTCGTGTAACGAGTCCGTCCGATCGCTTGATTGGTAGGCCTCCTGATGCACATGCAGGATCGCGGTCGCCGGAGGCTACACATCGGACGCATCCGCGGATGCTGAGAAACCTACAGGGTGATCGAGGTACATGAATATTTGAAGTCGGATCTCGAAAATACGGACAACGACTGATATGTGATATAGTTTATGTCGGCAAAGCCGCCTCATTATCATTCCTCCAACTCCTTCGTGAGACGGTATACCAGCATATTGGGCCATCGCAATTCTCTCATAATTGGAGTGAGGATATGCTGGAGAATGAGGCTCACCATGACCCACTGAACTTTTCCGAAGAGCGCTGTAGTATAGAAGATCAAAGTCGCTTCATTGCGACCTTCGAAGTAGTAGTGAGTCATGATCCGACCCGACCTGGCGGCCCACTTGTTAATGCAGTATGATACGACAGACAAGCGGATTTCTCTACTTGGGATGTGATAGAGAGTCAATATTCATGAATATCCCGGAGCCAAAGACCGATCGCGAGAAGACCCGTGCCGCGATTCGAGATTTGATGGTAGCCATCGGGGCTCAATCGTTTTCGAATACCCCCGAGAATGTTCAAATAGAACGCTTCTTTTTCGCGCGCGGTCAGCAGCGGGCGTTCACAAATTTCCTCGAAGATCCAAGTTTAGATCTTATCCGAGCATTTCTTCTTATGTCCTTTTACATGTTTGGGGCCTGTCGTCGGAATGCCGCTTTCATGTATCTGGGCGTTGCGGCCCGGTCTGCTGTTGCCTTAGGGCTTCATGAGGATTCACCTGGGTCAAACCAGGAGGAGCAAGAAGAACGGTCAGTTTGATCGAGCCAGATCACGCCTCAGTAATTCTCACTAATACATGATACAGATCCAGGTTATGGATGAGTCTATGTGCGCTAGATCTTCTGGCAAGTTCTATTCTGGGTCGGCCCGCAGCTACGGCAGCACTCATTAAAGATCGACAAGATCTCGGTCGGCAGGCACCTACTGCAGCAGAAGCTAGTTTAATTGCTTCATATCATCTATCTTTGATTCTGAATGAAATTATTAGTCGGCTCTACAGCGACAAAGGCGCGTCTATTGAAGTTGCAGAAGTTCTCCTTGCCAAACTGAATAGATGGAGTGAGCATCTCCCCCTCTCACTGCGAACATCAGCCGACAACGAAAACTCCAACGAAGCCCAAGAAAGAGTCGTTGGTAATCTACACGTTGCGTGTTCTTACCACTTCGCCGTCATTCTACTTACCCGCCCTTTCCTCATCTCCACATTAAGCATTCGTCTCGCTCGGTTACACCAAAGCCTCTCAATGAATGGGCTGGGCGATATTCCCGAAGAAGACCCTGCTCATTCGCGACTAGCAGCCGCATGTATAGATTCTGCAGTGTACATGCTGCAAACATGTCTCGAAGTACATCAGTCCGAGCTTCTCCTGCGCAACATGTGCATCCTTAAGTATGTTACGATATGAGAGTCCACAAATAAGCCCAGACACTAACTTACCAAATTCAGAGCATTTGTCTTCGCAGCAGCACTAGGACTTGGATTCTCAATGTTCGCCCACCGGGACATCGACTCCGAAATCGACAGCGCATTCACAGGAGCATTGACAGTCCTACGCATGCTGGCCCAACAATCCGCACAAGCAGCCCACTATCTTGAGATCCTGACCCTACTCGAAGCAGCCATTACCCAACAACGACAGCGATTAGCATCCCAAGCCCGACAACGACGCAGCCAGTACGTGAGTCGGATCTTCAGTCTGAGCGATAGCCCCCGAACGCCTCGCGCGCCGAGCGATAACGAAAATCGACCTGTCAACTCAACCCCGCTTCTGGCGCAGGGCGGCCCTTTCTATCCGTGGATGCCGCATGGGGACGGCCCGGCGATAGTCACTCCACCGGTTATGGATGGTGCATTTTTAGATTGGGAGGGGATGGAGTTACCACTATGGGATAGTTTTCCTTTTACCGAGCCAGGCTCGTCTGTTTTATGAGTTATGACATTAAAATGTGAATATACGACAACTCAATTTAACGCAAGAATCTTAGAAACGCCAATCCTAGTCGCAGAGCTCACCAATTAGATGTAGCCACAGCTCATGAAATCAGTATCTTGTTCTCTGAAGGCGAGGGTACTCCGTAGAGCAATGGAATAATCAAGACTTCAAATGTTTAACAGCCTTCAATATTAATTTCGACGAGTTCCGTGGGATGTTTGTTCTTTAATTGAGTCTTCTCAATATGTCAGCCCAAAATTCCCTCCCCCTCCTCGATTTATCCACAGCAAGAAGTTCACTGAATCGAACGGAGCTACAACGCGGGATTCGAAGATATGGCGCTTTTCGGTTACTCGCCCCTGGAATTTTCCGCGCATTCGCTCGTGCCATACCTCATGTAAGCTTTTCTCTTTTCTCTTTTTATTTTGTCAATTGGAAAACAGGCCTAACCACCAATGGGCCGGAATTTCCTCCTTGGCAAAAATCTGGATAAAACCAAGATAAAGGGATATTCACCGTTTGGCTCTGAACTCATCCGCGGAAAGAGAAGGATGCCGAAGGAAAGTGTCTATTTTTATCGCCAGCGTGATCAAAATACTCCCTCTTCCGAGCCTCCAGCAGAGCTTTCTGGATCTATTATAGAAATACTGGAAGTAAGAGTCTTGAATGGATTACCCATTATGATTCTCGTGTTGCTAATCTATGTGAAATTCAGGCATGGCATCCATTGCGAAATGATGTTTTCGAAGTCCTTTCGAATGAGATACTGAACACAACTACAGATTTGACGAGCGAGCCATTGTTTGAATATGAGACAATGGCTTTACATTATTACGTGTCCCACAAACTGGTAACTGGGGAGCGCGATTACAGTCCAGCGCATAAGGATGGTGGCCTACTGACCATACTTGTCAGAGGGATGAGTGGGCCGGATGGGTTGGAAGTTGCTGACCTGGAATCTACCAATGAAGTGGATAGCGGAAAGATAGGCTTGGAGGCATCGTTTGTACCAGTCCCAGTAATTGCAGATGAGGTGGTAGTCTTCTTGGGAACCCGAATCCAACGTCTTATTGGGGATCAAGCTCGCGCTTGCGTCCATCGTGTCTCTGCATTTGTGCAGGATAAAGATTGCCCAATTGAAGAAAGACTCAGTGTTGCAATTTTCTGCGCACCACCTATCTAACCGAAAAGCTCTTTGTGATCTATTCGATCCAACAATTTGGAAATTTTAAGCGTTGGCTCTGGATAAAGCACTCTCCTCATACAGCTTATATGACCTGTATGATTTCAAGTTAAACCAATTTCAAGCCCCTATTCTTTGATAGAAGATTATTTGCTGCTCAGCTCCCACCTGAGCAAGTTTACTCATCTCATTACCCCTCCTTTCAAGTCCATAAATCTTTTTCAATTCCTCTGGGCTCATACAATTGCACAAACTCTGAATAAACATTGATATCGCCTTGATGATTCCTCCGCCAAACTTCAACAGCACCTCTTCACAGAGGGACCTACCCACGAATTCCAAAACTTCCGATTCAGAGCCCCTCTTTTGGATCTGTGCCGGGTGTAATTTCCTTGTATGCAAGGTAAATTTTTTTTTCGAGAGACTCCAGAACCACAGAGACAGCCAAAACAATGTGAGGTCTGTTTATGTCCTCGCAATTGGGGATACTACGTAAGTTTGAGTTCATAGTCACAATCTCTCATACATGATCCAACAACGTTTCAAATTCTAGTTACCCGCGGATCTTCGCTGTTCTGTTGACCGAGAAAGAGATCAACGAGCGCTTTCTTTGTTTGGTCAAGCTAGCAAATTTGCACTTGATAGTCAACTGGAGCTTCAGCAAAGGATGCTGGCAGGGGAGCCGCTTCACTTGATCCTTTCGGAGGATGATCCACGTCCAGCTGGATTGGATGGCGTCCCCCAGGGAGATAACAATAGGTTGGTGTGGACCTCTTGAACTTTTCGAAATTCTATCATTCTAATATGATATCCTCAGCGGCTGAAGATGAGATTTGATATTTAGAGGATGTGAGTAGGCAGGATTTTCTTGCGCATGAATCAAAAATCCCCTTGTCAATGTTGCCTTTATCATGTGTGGAAGCTACCAGGGCCCTTTGCTCCGATTTCAATGGAGCTTTTTTAGGTGAAAGTACCGCCAGTAGCCCCTTTATATCTCAAGTTTAGATTAGGCCGGTGCAAACGGGTTGCTTAAAGAGGGAACATACCAACCCAAGCCAATAATCCATGCACCATAGTAGCGAAATACTTGATTTCATACAAAGAATGTACTATATTTTATATGAAGAGGTATACTTACTTTCTCAAGCTCTAGCTCTTGTATAGATACCATTTGTAGCGGATGCCTTGACTCCGTAATCCGTGTATCCAATGATCATCACAATTCGAATATTCTGTTGCCACTTGGTGAGTCCCCGCTTGTTTACTTCGTGTGCGCACTGGGCACCCGCAAACTTGAATTTGATCCACAGGGATAAAGAGCCCACTCAGAGTCTCCACTTACTACATCATCTTCCCCGCCATCCCACCTCACGAGGTCATTACCATTCATTACGCCACGATAAGATTGCCACTTGACAGTTGGTCGATTTTGACTACCCCACTCCGAGCTGGGAGGAATAAAAGTCAATTAGGATTTTGAAATGTGAGCTGTCACCTGTGCATCTACGGAGTAAGTCTAAGCCGTCCTGCAAAATTACTAGGAGAAATCTCACTGAGATAAAAGGTTGAACTTGAACTTGAAATTGAATGCATCATAATCGAGATTGATTAAAATGTCAATCTATCGTCGGAAGACCTCTATTCATATCCGGCTTCTCTCCAAAATTATTTGCCAAAAATGAAATCGCTCTCAAAAACCTCGTGATTTTTTAAAAAACCAATCCAGCTCCTACTTAGTCTCAAAAGAACCGGTCGGATCTAGTTAATGTACTTGGGAAGGGACTTCAGGACACCATCACGGGCGATATCCTGAAGAGCTTCAGTGATAGTCTCCATAAAGCGCTTATCTTTACGCAGATCATCACCGAACAGACTCTTAATGTTCAGCAGTCCTGTAGGATCACCGTGCTTGGCTCTAGCACGGAGCTCATCAAGCATGGGGTCAACAACCTCGTACTTCTCGCCGGTGTCATCGACACCGTGGATGTAGTGCATCCAGAGGGCAGCAGTGTAACACAGACGACGGAAAGGACCATTAACCCAGATAGCCTCAGCGATGGAGGGCATGATGAATTGGGGGATCTTGCCGGTACCATTCAGACAAATACGGGGCAATTGATCCTTGATAGGTGGGTTGGAGAAGCGCTCGATAAGAGTGCGGCAGTAGAGATCGATATCGACGCCAGGAATTTTGGGGAGATTAGGCTTGGTCTCCTCCTGCATCATGTTCCAGATCATTTCACGGAACAGTGGGTTCTCCATAGTCTGGTGCACAAACTTGTATCCGGCAAGCCAGCCGCCATAGGCAATCACGGCATGACTACCGTTCAGCAGACGGAGCTTGTGCTTCTCGAATTCCTCGACTTCCTTAACGTTCTTGACGATTTGTACACCGACTTTCTCGAATGGAGGGCGGCCATCGCAAAAGTGGTCCTCAATTACCCATTGCATGAAGGGCTCTGTGACGATGGGCCAGGCATCTTCGATGCCGAAATCCTTGGCGAGGGATTCCTTATCGATAGGGGCGGTCTGTGGGGTAATACGGTCAACCATGGCATTGGGGAAGTGACCCTTGGTATTGATCCAATCCGCAAGCTCTGGGTTCCGCAAACGGGCGAATGAGACAAGCATGTGACGAGTGATGGAGCCATTGCCTTGCATATTATCGCAAGAGAGAACGCTGAATGGGTTCAGACCTTGCTGATGGCGACGGGCCATAGCATGGTAGAGGAAACCGAAGGCAGTTGTGGGGGCGTGATCATCGTGAAGGTCGTGCTGAATATCAGGGTTATCGCTCTGGAGCTCGTGTGTGTTTTCGTTGTAGTAGTAGCCACTCTCAGTGATAGTGAGCGACACAATATGGGTATCAGGGTGTGCAAGCTTGGCAATTACTGCCTCACGGTTGTCTGGGGCAAAGAGGTAGGAGTTGATGCTGCCCATAACCTTTGCGACGCTCTTCTCAGCGGTCCGCTCCACAACGGTGTAGAGACCATCCTGAGAATTGAGGGCATCTCGCATTCCAGCGTCGAATGGCTGCAATCCGACACCACAGATAGCGTAGTCTGTTACGCCATGGTGCTGCATGAGCTCGTTCACGTAGACAGCCAGATGGGCTCGGTGGAAGCCACCGACACCAATGTGGACAATTCCCTCCTTTACCGCATCACCGCGCGGGAAGGTCGGGATCTGTACAGGAACGCCGGAGGCCGTCGCAATCTGGGAAAGGTTCTTGCTGTTGAGCTTCAATGGAGCCATTGTGAGGTATGGAGGGTATCAAGAGGGTAGGGAGGAAAGAATTGAGAGAATAGAAGGAAGGAAAACAGAAATTTGGCGGGGTAGACGGACTAAGTAGAGGGAAAAAATATATATAAATAGCTGCAAGCAGCTATCACTGGGTCACCGCCATATCTACCGGATTTGGCAATGCCGGGATGATGGCAAAAGGTCGGAAGAGAAGCCCCATATGTTAAGTTTTCTGTGGGGCAGGGGACCCCCATATCTGTACCGCTATGGCTATCGGCCATTCCACGTTGAAAATTCTGATATTAGGGGGTGAATGTAGGAGGACACATGACTAGAAAAAAACAAAGAATATGCACGATGGCGGGATGTGAAAGGTCAGCTGCTTCGGTGGTTGAGTTCTAGATCCAATCAATGAGTTACGTAATCAGAAATTGAACCTCACAAACGGGGAAGGAACGATCATGCTTTCACGCTAATCCAAAATAGGAGAAGCCGCAGATCTTGCCGCCATAATTATCAGGCTGCTAGCGTCTCCACAATATGGACTATTATGGAGCATTAAAAGCGCCACCGGCTTCGGGACCACGCACTGTGCCACCTCTGCGTTGTTCTAACTTCTACGGAGTACTCTGAACTCCGAAGCTGCAGGTATTTTTGAGATAGCGGCCCAATTTGGGATAATGTTTATGTCAGTGGCGGCTACTCTGTACTTTCACCAGGGATATCCATGTGTTTCAATATCATGATGTAATTTGTATAATTTCAGGGTTTCTTTCCGGAATATGCACCCTGTTGATATTAGTACCGGTACTTGGCTTCAAAGTGATTCTTACTCTGATGTAAACATACATAACATGATAAACTCGAAAGTTCATGCATGGAATATGGCTGATGCAGGTCCAGGGATGGTGATTTGCTTCGGGCCGTTGGAGAACTGAAAACCATAATCATGACAACTGAAAATTACAGGTCATAATGAACTAGAAATTGATGCATGATTTCTGCTGCCCAATTTTGATAGTATCTGGTATTGATCTTGCTTGGATAACCGAGAAGTGATCTGAAATTGGACATCCGAGTCTGGAAGAAATCAATTTCCGGGTAGGCTATGGTAATGGATGCCTTAAGGAAACAAAGCAGCAATTTCATCCTCATACAATCTTAAAGTCTGCAACCTTGCAACACTCGCCTTACTAGTCATAAGGAATGGCTTCTGCTTCGAAAAAATGATGACCTTATCTAATGAAACCTGGACCGACTGATGGCATCGGGCGTTGAACTTCTCAATATAGGGCTGTAGACCTTCCAGCAGAGTCTCGCGAGATCCATTCTGAGTCTTCCAAGAACTCAACCAGAAGCACAGGTGCAGGCTTTCCATTTCCTCCAATTAACGCATTCTTAACATTTGGATGAGCCGTAATTTCAGGCTCTAAAAAGGAAGCATGTATCCCTTCTCCATGAGAGAAACAAACATAATCATCAGCTCCACCAATAATCTTCCACAACCTTTTCTCAGTAGGATGTTCGAGCCATAAATCATTGGTTTCAAATCGATTTAGAATCGGGTAAACTTTGAATATCTGCTGCATTTTACAGCTTGGATCTCGCACAAACACAAGCTCATACAATTTATTGGCTCGGAGCTCAAATTTCGCACCAGTATGTTTCTGGAAAGAAAGATAGTCCCATGTATCGGGTTTGCCATGTATAACTGTGAAGTAACCACCACACTCCGTACTACCAACAGAAGGAACTAACTGTACATGAGGTGCAAGAAGCTCTCCGGATTTTGCAGAGAGTGGAGCACCGGCGTAGTGGATGTATGTGAGACCTTTGAGAGCTTCAAGTCCATCGGATGTTAGGCAAAGGGCGTCGATTAGTACTGGAGGTAGGAGGGCTCCCTCAACATGCCCGTATTTGATGACCTGGGCAACGGTCTCTGGGGTTGGGGGCCCGGTGGGTCCAATAACTGCTCTCATATGGGCTAGAGTTGTTGCTGAGAGCATCAGGGGCATTCCCACAAGCTGTGAAACAACTTAGAATATGTAAACTGCATATGTATTTCTATACAGGGAAAGAGAGAGTAGCTTACGTGAAGTGATGGTAGGGGTGTATACCACCGTTTCTCAGCAAGCTGATGAATATGTGACTGTTCAATATCAGGTAGTGAAGCAGCTCTATCCCCCATCGCCATCATATAGTGTGAATAAGTGATAGGTTTTGGGTTTCCTGCCCACGATTCCATGTTATCACAAGAACGGGTCTTTGGAATGATTTAGAAGCATACCTGTAGTTCCGGACGTATGAAACACCAACCAGGGATCATCTTGTTCCTCTTCCCATGTTTTAGAGTAGTTGACCGAAGTGGCCTCCGTCTCATTCAAGAATTGTTCCAGGGGCGGCACGGTGATAGTTTGGATATGCGAGGCACTTATCTTGTAATATTCCAGCCACCGACTCAGCCATTTCCTCAGGTCTGAGATAAACAGTGCAACCTTTCTTCTCAAGAATCTTTGACTAGGCCGCTGGAGTGACCAATGGCGAAGGAAGTACCATCTAGGAGGATAATCAGTATTAGGTCTGAATTGCAAAATGTAAACACTCACCACTTTTTGCACCTTGGCTGCCGCAACAGCCAGGATGGGATAACGAAGATCCTTAGGACCGGCATAGGCAAAGCACATGATTTGGAACTTGAAGCTGAAAGATTCTGATTCAGCCAGTGCGCAGCATGATTGGCGGCATTGTTAAAATGCCAAACAGTGATATCCTTGAAACCAAGAGATAGGTTGGTCTCATCCATTGGGACAGATACCCAAACATCATCTTTACTGTTAGCTCTTTGCTCGATCACTGATGTGAGAATTCGTTTGCCATGTTTAACTCCTGGTCGTGGAAAGGTAGGATTGGTGGAGGACATTATGGTGTTTGATATCACTGGCAATACTGAGTCAAGTTACAGCAAGAAGGAGGGAGCGCACCTATGTATTCCTGGATTTTTCGATCGTGAAAGAAAGTTCCAAGTTAAAGGAAAATTTAAGTATGTAGGATAAACTGGGGAAATCCTTCCTGGGGCCGCCCCCACCCCTCAATGACGAGGCCTTCGGTTCAATGTGCCCTTTATGGAGAATTGTGCGAGATAATGATGACTAGTTTACAGACATCGATCTACTACATATGGACTATAGCCCTGGAGAGGAGTTTTTTTACATATGTAGAGGAATCTGCCACTTGCTGAGTAAATGTTGCTCCACACACCATATGGATTTTCTCTGCCAGGTCGAGAATTTCTCTTCAAAGTGCCGCCGCTTTAAGGATTCATTACAATTCGTCACCCGAGGCTTTGGGACCTTCGCCCTGCTTTGCCAAAGTTAGAGACTCTCGGACTTCATCCCACTCCCTTTGGAGCAGGTCAACTCTATCGAAGTCTTCATTGGAACTTATTCCTTCAATGGCGAATCGAAAAAGAATGCGAGCTAGTCGATATTGGGGATGATACGCATAGCGAAGGAAGACTGGGCCAGCGGCTTCATCGAACAACTCCTTGATTTGACGAGATTCAGGGCTTGACGGGGTTTTCCCTGCAAGTCGCTCGTCTTCGTCTCCTTCCTCGTTCCAAGCCCAAAGCCACATTGGTGGGGTGCAGGACATGAACAGGGGAGCAAAGAGGGAACCATCCCAATCAAGTATGCTGGTAACAGTCTGTTGCCGCAACAATATATTGCGAGGCTCCATATCCTGATGGCAAAGGCAATAGCCATCTTCTTCAAATATCCCAATATCATTCATTTCCGATGCTATAGTCAAGAATTGTTCAAAGAACTCCAGCTCAAACTCTCCATCTGGACCCCTGGAAATAACTAGCTCTTTCTGGCGATCGAGGATTGCACTTATTGTGTTGAACGTAGTATTATCGGCAGGTTCACTCTTATACAGTACAACTATATCTGTCTCCAGTTCATCTAGTGGTTGAATCACCAAAGAACCCGGTGTCGACGCTTCTTCAAAAGCAGACAAGGACAATTTACCACATGTGACACTTCTTATTGTATGTAGCTCGGCATAGACCTTGCCCAGAACTTTTGCGATCGCAAATTTGTTTTATGGGCCAAATTTGGATATGAAGGCCAGAACGATGAGCCGGGAAGACGTGTCATGAGTATGTACGGTTCACCCAAGGGATTGGTTGTTGGTGTGTCCACTTGAACAACTTGGGGAATCGGGGTTGTTGATAGTTGACGAAGTAATTGAAGGGGTGCAAGGTCATCAAATAACTGATTATCTTTGTAATGTGGAACGCGGAGAACCAAGTGGTCAACAAAGGGCTGTCTATCGCCGGCTACTGAGATACCAATCACCCGATTGTAACCTCGATGATGAATTTGGCATTGGAAGGACCGAGGACTGTCTGACACAACTTAATAACACAATCTTTAAATGTCTCGAAAGGCTCATGATGCCATTGAATAGTTGAAGCATCGGGCTGATCATTGGGCACGGACGGTTTTCTGGACGCAGATTGATCTTCGGGCCTCTGAAAGGCAATAGGTAAGATTAAATGATAAATCCAGGACAGATAGCCTGTAAAACTAGATGATAGCCGCGTGAGCCATGAATAAAGATTGAACGCCATATTGACACAACAACAGATGTTCCTGGAACAAAGAAACTAAAGCAGCATAACTTATAAGTGCCCAGGTGCGGTGTGACACGTGAGATATCATAGTACCAATCCAATATAGGTATTAATTAATCCAGGTTCTTCAAAATATCTTTTCTCTATAGTAGAGCCTTTGAACACATCTAAAATGCCAGGGAGGCCTACACCAAAACATGTTTTACATCAGAAACTTCACAGAGATATCAATTTCACTGAAAATAATAATCCTATCTACCTACATTTTGAAACCCCCAGACCTCCCGCATGGAAACTTCTAAGGTTGTTCTGCACCGATAAACAAGATTGACGCCCAATCCACGTACCACAGTACTTCAAGTTGAGCCACTTTAACCTCGAGGTACGCCACCGGCTGTTCAAATGTCATAACAGGCGCATTATTTCGGCTACCAGGCGCACCAAAGACCGCACCGTGGACGGATAAGATGGGCAAAAGGTTGATTACCACGTTGTACCCCATTTCAGCCTCGCGAAAAGTACTCTCAGCCAGTGATGAAATGGCAATTTAACGCGAAACACGTCCCTTTACGCTGCGCAGTGGGTGACCTAGTATACATTCGCCTCTATCACGGCCACGACCTATCTTTGGCTACCTATGCATCGTAAATTCTCAGCTCAAAGGAGAGGCCCGTTTGAGGTCATGGAATGCTTTACCAATGCGTACCGCCTAGCAATTCCCCCAATGGAAGATACATGATGTTATATCTATTGAACACCTTGAGCGCGCGCCGCCGGGTGAGGATCCCTACCCACAAGCAAGAGATCAGGAGCAAGGCCCGCCAGAAGAATTACGAGAGGAGGATTCGGAATGGGCTAAATTCAACACCATTGTAAGGGGGTGCGTTACACCAAAGCAAAAATGCATTTCGCATTTCTGCTACACACCCACGGTCTAGGTCCTGCCTGGAACGAGTGGCACCTGGTCAAGGAAAAAATGCCCTGACCTCATAGACGATTATAAGAAGGCAAAGCTTGCAGACAAGATCACTGTGACGATGCCTGATAGGTAAGCACGTAAACCCCGCTGCCTAGGCAGCAACACCAGGTGAGAGCTGCTTCGCAGGTATTGTTATATTGCGTACTCTCACTTCATATTCTGAGCAATATTTGTTAAGAGTATGTACCTATTTACCTCTCACTTCGATTAGCGACTTGGGATGATGGCAGCTTGGCCTGCCTATAAAAGGATATCTTTCACCAGTTTCTTTCTTTTTTTCTATTTTCCCCTCGCCTGTTCCAGTTCCCCTGATAATAAGTTGTATTTCTTTTCAGCTCCCATACGCAACGAGCCACTTCTTACTCAAAATCGCAGAAGCAATGAGAAAAACGATTCTTTGTTGTATCGGGGTGGAATGGTTTAACCATCGACCCCTTCGACTTTGAATACATTTTCTCGGAGGTATATCGCGACGAGCGTGCATATTGTGACTCGCATCTACGCCGAAGACCCTCGGCAATTCTTTGAAGTGGATGCAGAAAAAGTCTGCGAGTTGCTTCATGGGGAAATACTACTCTCGAAGATATACCAGCTGTAGCGCAGGACTCAACACAGGAGTTCTACACCAGGTTTTTGGAATGCCACATGTCCAAAACAAATACAGCAGCAGACTTCAAGGCGCTGCGATTGAATTCTCAGGGGCGCAACATACACCCCGGTTGGTACGATAAATTCATCTTCGACTGTGAGGAAGAAGGGTGCGGAGAGAAGTTTAAAACTTTTGTTATGTGACACGCCTATTATACTAATTATATGGAAGGCAAGAAATGGCAAAAGTATAGTACTGATTTTGTGGTAAATTGCTAGCCTCAGGAGATCTTGAAGCTTCCTTGTGTTAAAATGGATGGATGAACCATGCTAAAACCCATTTTCCTATAATGAACTTTGATTACCTAGCTTACAACTAGTTCTAAGTTTACTTTATTATTATCATATGAAGAGTTTAATAATACTATATAAGGCTAAAGTAAGAGATAGGTAAAGTAAGAGATAGATAAAATAACCTTATAGGTAATAGTAGCTCTTAATATACTTAGTAGTTTTTCAAACTACTCCTTAAGCAATTTTGACGCAATATAAGGGTTATTATTAAGTATCTTCTATACGCCAGACCCTAATCTAGAGATCCTTAGTATGAGTTATTTGATTAAGGTCAGGAAAAATTTCTTCGCATTCCCGTGATCCCCTTCCCCTCTTTTAAGGAAGAAACTAGTGCCTAGATGGTTGGTGTCCTTAAGCAACCCTACAACAGTCTAAGAAATTATGGATTTTCCTATCCTAGCTATACCTTTTAACCAGAAAATGCTCTTTTGGGGTGGCGATATAGCCCATTCTATTATCTGCCAGAGGAGCTTAGTCCTAGTTCCTTAGAGATATTAGAGTTTATCTCAATTAGCGAATAATTCAAACCCTGCCTCCATTACACTTTCTAACTTCGCAAGATCCATGTTTTTATTTATACGATTAGTATTTTGGGCCACTCTAACTATTAGAGAACTACACAGAAACTAAATTAGCATATAGAGTTATAAAGTTATTGTGAAGGGCTCTATAAAGACTGAAACAGAACGATATAGGCCGACATGCAGTTTACATTCATGCTTAAGGAAGAGGAAGCTATCATACATGATTGTGGGGTTATATGTCGTTCCATGGTCACGTGTAGGGCCGTATGATTATATAAGCGGGTTGGGCTTGTCAAGGATTGATAAGCCCTCATCGGGTTCAACCCGTCACACAGAGGGATCTGGTGTCAGCGGTAGGTGCTTGGGGAAGAAGAAGGGGTCAAGTGTACGGTGATATCTACAGGGAGAACACGTGGACACCACTGGTCTCAACATCTGGATTAGAAGGAATTCCAGAACGATAAAAGGTGCGATGCTAAGGTGTACATAGCAGATGAGATGGGACTAATCCATTTGAATCCTCGAATAAAAATAGTCTATGGAGCTGGCTATACCTAATTAAATAGCCAAGCCGCTAACGGTTCCGCCGACTTCTTACCTTTCGGGAGGCTGAGCTCTAAACGAAGCGGACTGCCGAGATCTCGGCTAAGTGAAAACTTGGTCAGGAGCTTAGCAGATGTAGTCAAGTGCAAGGCAGAATGTGCTCAAGTGCGAGGCAACTGCCTGTGGATTGATTTTGCCAAAACAAAATCCTCTCCCAACACAATCAGATCATTCTCAAATTTTTCTTTGCCTACCCGCCTAGCTCACTCCTGAGCCATGCTCCGGCCTTCAGCATCTTTCTTCTTACTGCTCTTTTGGGCTTTGAGTGTAGCTGCATTCACCCCATGTTCTTATGATGCTTGGGTAGACGGATTCCAAAGTTGCATGCGTCCATGCTATGGGGAACAGTACTATGATTCAATCTTCAATACCGCCGAGTGTGGGAACTACTCTGTTGGGGCATCTAGTACAAAGCGGTCTCTTGTGAAGTGCCTGTGCAAACACGTCTCATTCACGCTCAAAACCACCAATCAATCGGAGATTTGTAAGGTTCAAAACAATTGCTACAACTCAACTTTTTACAACCTTACGCTTTACGAGGACAATTTAATTAACTTTGACAACATGTGTTCATGGGCAACGGGGGGTATGTGGCCATGTTTAACGTGATTTAAAAGAACTCCGCTGATATCGAATGATTCTAGAAATTTCAAAGTGCTCATTGGCTCCATCATTCTTCCCAATGCAATTGCTCATGTTGACTGGACTGGTAATGGCTGTCGGGCTCATGGTATACTAGGACATGGACACTGAATACGACCTCTCCTTTCCGGTCGGCATGAATAGGGGTGTGGAATGAGCCAATACACAGGACCTTTAAAGAACCTCGACTGTGGGCATTGCGGAAACAATTCAGTGAGAAACCCCCTTGATGGGCGGTTGAGATATCGGGGCTTTCATGTATCCAACCCCACCATGGTGTGTCCCTTTTGAGGTTCAAATGTTTATTGGTCCTTTTCCTTGCATGGTTCTCATTGTTCCCCCTTGGCCTGTACTCGGTAGTTGTCTTTGTTTAGGATTCTTGTATTTCCTTTTTCTTTTTTTGTAAGATATGTTACGATATTAATGCCAATGGCGCGATGCAGTCAAAAAGTAATTATTCGCGTGTGCGTAGAGAAGACTACCGATGGGGGTTGGGCACCTTAGCAAAGTAAGCGTATTCTACCTAGGTTCAAGACTTACCTGCTGCGATACTTGTGTCTCTAGTTTGGGGACAAACGCAAGCGAGTGACCACAAATCAGAAGTGAGTCATCCTTTGCTTGGTTGCCTGACTAGTTTCCCAAACAAGCGTATCACCCAAGTGTAGATTCTGATACCTGGGAAGTTTTAAAAACAGACCTTGAGTGACCAATTTGGTTTAGTCTCGTAATTCTATTTTATCTCATTTGGAAGCCCGGGCTATTCCTGCAAGGTCTCTATAGAGATCTTTCTATAGGTCTTTTTGAAGGTCTTTTTAAAGGTCTTTTTAAAGGTCTTTCTACAGGAGTCTCTTCTTAGTAATAATCCTCTATAAAGGAATTTCATCTACCTAGGTCTAACTAAAAATTTAAGATATAATAGATATTTATATAGTAATAGATAGCTCTAATCATATAGGACCCTGCTAGATAAGGGTTATCCGGCCATACACACCTAATACACACCATACAAAAAATAAGTGGGGTGGACCTTATCCGCCTATTTTTGTACCTCACCCAAATTTATATAACAGTGTGATATTCGCCCCAAGATTACCATGTAGTTATCTTTCCTTGCTTACATCATGTTACTGTTATGATCGCACATCACCTGATGTCATTATGTTTGATTGTATATAAACTACTGTTATTCTATACTTAATCAAACATGCACTTTTACCTCCTAAGATCTCAACAGGTTTAATCTTTTTCAAAATTCTTATATGGCATTATTACTACTAGACCTGTGCAAAACCCATGGGTTTTTAGACCATGGTCTATGGTCCATGACCCTGGCCCATAGGCCCCTATGGGCTAGAAAAAAGGGGGGGCATGTATAATTTCTGTATTTAGAAAATATTATGTAGTAGAACTTCCTCTCCTTTACACTTCTACATATAGGGTTTTCTCTTAAAGCTACTACTACTAACGATTAATCTTAAAATAGACTAGCAGCTTTTCACTATCTATATTATATATTTTCACTCCGAGTCTATTGCACTTTCACACATATATCCATAGGTAGATACCTAGTCTTTCCCTCAACACTTCTTACTATCGATCTCATAACAGACTGGCAGCTTTTCACTATCCACCTCACACATCAAGGTATGTACTCATCCTGCCCAGCCTGTGGTATACTAGCGTTTCTACTCCCTTCATCTCTATACCAGAGTTTTACATGACCTGTCCTGACCAAATTATAGTATACAACCATCTACACTATACAAGATGAATTCCAATGAGCAGGTCATTTTTGTCGCGCGGGCAAGCACTGCCCCAAACGTTGAGGAAAAGATTCAGTGGCTCCTTGAGAGACTGGAATTCGTCCAAGACGAGTACAGACTCGGAGAAGCATGCGGTGAATATGCTGAAGACCCACAGCGGTTTGCATTTGTCCATCCATCGAATCGAGCGCTCCCTCGAGAGGGTGCTACGATAGGCTTCCTCCGCGGCATACTCAAAAACTTGAAGACCCATCCTCCAGAGATATTACTCGTTGTGTCGTGGTGGTATGGTCTAACCACCAACCCCTTTGACTTTGATTATATCTTCTCGGCTTTATGTCCCGGTGTGCGTGCCAGTGTTGTGCTTCGCATCTATGCAGAAGACCCACGGCGCTTCTTTGAAGTCAATGCAGGAAAAGTCTGTGAGTTACTCCGGGGATAAATACTCCAAGAAGATATACCAGCTATGGCGCAGGAATTTTATGCCAGATTTTTGGGGTGTGATGTCTCCAAAAACACCATATCTGTTGATCTCATGTAGCTGACAGGTTCACTATCTTAGGGGCAGTTGAGGCCAAAGCCTAAAAGGCTTAAGAGAATAGGTATACTAGTATTTACTTTCAGCTATCTCTTACTTTAGACTCAGATATCTCCCTCTTTGGCTATCTCTTACTAGTACTGTAGCCTGGTATAAAGTACCGAGACTTTACTTAGAAATTCGAAAGAGAGTATCGATTTTCATTTCAGAAGAACTCCACCTACAGAGATCGAAACAACCTCCGCCTACTCAAATTCTCAGGCACAAAACCTTTGAGCATGCATCCGGGTTGGTACAACAAATTCGTCTTCGACTGTGAGGAAGAAGGTTGCAGCGAGAAGTTCAAAACGTCAGGTGCACGACACTCACATTAATATCAAGCGACACCCCCAACAATATGGAAGAGAAGAAGCAAAAAAGGTTCAATGTCGCTTCTGCCATAAGTTTCTCGCGGCCCATGGTGGTCTTACCCGCCATGAGGCAAAATGCCCACAAAATCCAAACCGAGAAGACAACAGGCAAGTCCCCCTAGTATGACAAAGGAATCAGATCACCAACCTTGGAACTTATCAGATCCTATAATAACCTTCAGGAGGAGAACATCCAGAACCTCCCCCGAATTAAGATAGATCAACCAGTGATTTATCGGGGCGAGAGGCCGTGCAGATTCCCAGGTTGTTTCAACACGCGAAGATTTGCAACACCCTCAAAGCTGAGGACACACTACCATGGGGTACATGACTTGGAGTATAAAAAAATACTCAACAACAATAAGTCAATTTGGCGACTGCGATAGGATTGAAATAGCTTACCAGGACCTGTCAGAAAAACCAAGGGATGAACTTGAGGAGCCGGAGAGGCCCACAACCTTGGAATGTGGTAGCCAATTTATTTTCCAAGGTTTCAACATGTATTTTTATTTGTATATAATTTACTCTCTATAGCTCTACCAGTGCATGCTCTATGTTTGGAATGCCTTACCACTTAGCCACAAGAGCAAATTTGATGCTATAGATCAGCCAACTACCATCTATTAAGATAGGGACATCTGGGTATTTTAGACCTCCAGAATTTTCCTACTAGTACTTGCCCAGGTGGGTTGCAGTGGTGTTTTGGATTTCCTCACCATCTGGTAGAATACTCAGACCTCCGGAGAGCACTCTACTTTATATTTACCAAGAGACTAGATTGTTCTTTTGTTTATTCTATATAAACCTGAATACATTTCCCTTAATTTAGCTATCTCTTACTTCAAGTTCTACTTGAGATATCTGAAAAGTAGTAGTTGCCTATATCCAACTATATGTATAGCAGCTAGCCTTTCCTTCCAGGTACCTAATCATATAGGTAACCGAGTAGGTAACCATGTAGGTACTTACATACAAAGAGGTACTTATGTATATATAGGTCATCACTGGCAGTCACCTGTAGACGCTACTAACTGACCTGTACTTAAGTACTACCCGTGGACCTAGCTAAGCGCTCGAGTGATGGGGGTATACTACCTTTCCTAAATTCGCTGTTACAGCAGGACTTGTATAATACTACACGGAGTACCCCTTGGGCCTTGGCCATAGGAATAAATTTGATATTATAGCCCCAACCATCCATCCTCTATAAGAGAGCGCCTGGGCAGCACTATATGGGGTAAATTATCATCAAATTTGACCTTATGGCCAAGTGGTAAGGCGCATCAGGGCAGCTATTTATTTATTTATTATTTATTTTGCAACGCCTAGTATTAGCCACTTCAAGTTCCAAGGTTGGCAACAGAAGCAAATTTGATCATGTTATAGCCCCGCCGACCATCTCCGGTGAACAAAGAAACCCTAGAAAGTACGGAGTCTAAGGGTCAAGGGGTGTCAACTGGAATATAGTTTTTTTAGAGCTGCTCTAACTTGGAGCGGCATCCCAGCTAAACCAAAAAAACTATATACTACTTGCAAGTACGATCTTGCGTTGCATAATGCATAATGCATTGCATCTGAAATCGATATCAGACCTATTTTCCGTCTCAAATGTTGCAAGGATTCGGTTCCTTGGCCCACCATAATCGTTGAGTCACAAAGCAAAGTGATAGAAAAAGATACAGTTAATATCCCAGCAAGGGAAAGGAAAGGAAAGAAGGTAAATAAAAGAGACAGAATGGGACCAGATGGTGAACACCCAAAGCCCTTGAGCTTGCTATGCTAGAAAAAATATGCGAAATAGCTCCTGTGAGACACAAGATTAAAACACACAAGAGACCAGATGAAAAAAGACAACCTTGACAGGTAGGAGAAATATAGGGCAATAGAAGAATCGTGAACTTAAGCAAACACGACGACCAGGCCAGTGAACCAATAAATAAAGAAAAGGGAAAAAAAGAGCCAAAATAAAACCACAAAGTGCCCGGAGAGGCGAAGAAAAGAGAAAAGCAACTTTTCCAACCAGCCCGGACCTAACCGCTAATATGCACTGTGACAGGAAAGAAAGAGGGGTTTAGGGGACGTCACATAACACATGTCATAAGGAAACGAGTCACTCCAAAAAGCAAAAAGATAAAGAGGAAATCAAAACCGGAGTAATACAAATCCTGAAGAAATCATCCACTTGAACAGGATGGGAACATTTAAGCAGCCTGGGCCTGGCTGCGGCCCTTGGAGGCAACATTGCCGCCACGACCACGGGGAGCAAAGCCACCGCGGCCTTCACGCTGGAAGCCACCACGACCCTGGCTGCCGGTACGGTCTCCACGACCACGAGAACCACCACGGCCAGGGAAACCATTGCTGCCGTAGGCATTGCCACGAGGGCGGCGCTCCTCAACAAGGATCTGCTCACCGCTAACCTGGTGAGGGTTGGCGGCAACAGCAGCAGCGTAACCGGAAGGCTCAGCGAACTCAACGAAAGCGCAGTTCTAGAAGAGAAAAGTCAAATTAGCTATTATCATGGAGCATATACTGGTAGAGAGTGAGACAAACCTTGGGACGGCTAATATCGAAGTACTTCAACTTGCCAAAGCGAGACAGAGTCTGCTTGAGCTGGGCGGGGTCAACCTTCTCAGTGACGTTCTTGATGTAACCCAAGACAGTCTGCTCTTCACCAGAACGGGACTGAGTCTTCTTGTGGTCAGCACCGGCGGTTTGCCAGCCGGCACTGTCGTTGGAGGAAGCATCCTGAGAGCGAGTCTCAGCAGCAGGAGCAGGAGTGGGAGCAGCAGCAACTGGAGCAGTAGCAGTAGCAGCAGGGGCAGCAGGAGCAGGAGCAGCCTTGGGAGTAGCAGCGGGAATAGCGGGAACAACGGGAGCAGCGGCAGCGGCAGCAGCAGCGGCGGCCGCCTTGTTAGCAGAAGCAATGGTAGCCCAAGTCTTGGGAATGGCAGGAGTAGGAGCGGTCTCCTTCTCAACAGGGGCTTCCTTCTGCTCGGGAACAGGGGCGGGCTCGGGAGTGGCGGGCTTCTCGGTGTCCACGACCTCAGCCTCAACAGCGGGGACGGGGGCCTCGGCTTCCTCCTCAACGGGAGCTCCGTTAACCTGGGGGGGTGACCTCCTCAGGCTTCTGCTCCTCCTCCTCCTCAACAGCACCGTTGGTCTCGTCCTCGAGCTTCTCATCAACCTTGGCGACGGCAACCTCATCGGCGACCTCAACCTCAACAGCGGGGGTGGGCTCGGGATCCTGAGGGGCCTCAACGACGGGCTCAGCAACTTCCTCAACGAACTCCTCCTCCTCATCAACCAGGTATCGGAAAATGTCGTTGAGCACGTAGTATCCATTGGGTTGCTCAGCGAGCACGAAGGTCTGAACGAACTTGCGGGAGGGCTCGGACTTGTTGGAGATCTCACCAATGACCGAGACCAGGATGTTATCGAAGGAGGCCTGGGAGTCGACGTTCAGGACGCGCACCTTACACTCCTGGAAGTCAAGCTGCTTAATCTTCTCATTGATAGCCTAAACGGATTAAACGGTCAATATAAGACGGACGAAACGGGTATGATGAGATGATTAGTGTCTTACCTTGGAGCCGATAGCAACAGGAACGGACTCAGCCTCAGTGCCGAAAACAAGCTGAGATCGCCGAGAGTAGAACAGAGGAAGCTTATCAGGGTTACGGCTCATAGTGGTGTAGTACTGCTCAACAAAGAACCAGCCCACTTCATCCTTGGTGATTTCATTCTTCTGTTCGGTGGGAGTGGCGGTAGTAGGAGTGGAAGACTGGGCAGGCTGGAAGTTGGCAGCAGTGTTCATGCCAGCATGGGCGGGGTTGAAAGAGGCCGGGTATCCATGCTGAGCAGGGTAGTTGCCGTTGATTGGAGCCTGGGACATATCGGCCATGGTGGTCGGAGGGGTTGGGAGTTCGGACGTTTGGGACGGTAGAAATGAGATTGAAAATTAAATACGTAACCGTCAAAGGTCGTAATACGAATCGATCAAGCCGAGGAAACACGAGAATAGACTTCTATACCGAATCAAGCTGGTGAGAAGATCTAAAAAAGAAACCTTTTTTTTTCTTGCCGCTCGCTTGACTGGATATCTGGTCAATTTTGATATCTCCCACAATGCTCCGGTTGTTGGGACAGTGACTCACAAATGCGAAAAAAGGACCAAGCACCAATGCAATCAATTGAAAAGAGAAGGTAATGAAAGGAAGAAAGGAACCAAAGGAAAAAATGGAGGAAAGAAAAATGGAGAGCTCTTGATGAGATGCGGAGGAGTGTTTCGGGGAAGTATAGCTGTGATGGCAATTCACGGGGAAAGAATCTGCGAAGGGTGCACACGGGAGGGATGACCGAGTGAAACTAGGATAAGGTAGGACAAGAAGGAATATTTGAAGGGGATGAAAGAGAATAAGGTGTTTTTTGGGGGGGGAAACAAAATGAAATGAGATGAACCTCTTGAGGGGTGAAATTCGCCTTCGAAGAAAAAGCGACTTCCTTCGACTTGCGACTCCGTGCGGGTTTCGGTGGGCTTGGCACACCTTCACCGCCCGGCAAAATTCACCTTGTGATAGATGAGGCGATAGAAAGTAAAGGATAGAGAACTGAAGAGAGAAGAGAGAAAAGTAACATTTGGAACGATGAAAGGAAATATTAGGCGGATAGATGATGATACCCAGTTCAGTCAGCATATGAACTGGTGCTCCTACGAAGTTACCTTGGTAGGCGCGCGCCAGTATATCTCAGGAAATCATGGTCATTTGTCAACTATCCAATACATAGTTTGATTCCATGATCAAGATGATGATGTATACACAAAATGAGAGAGAAGGTTGACATCAGACAGAACTAAAGTAGCATGAAAGAATAGAATCAAGTCAAAAGCATCAAGTGAATATCATTAAAGCAGAAACGATCACAAACGCCACAAGAACCAAGAGAAGGGGTGGGGGTATGAAGAAGACATCAAAATAAAGAATAAAAAAAAAAGAGTTAACAAGAACAGATATTGGCGACAAAATTCAAATGCTGGTTCAAATGACGGACGTAGATCCTGTGCAAGATCGAAGGACGAGAATGATACTGTCCACCAAGATATGATTCAGGAGGAATCAATCACCTCGTTGTCGTATGATTCTTTAAGCAGTAGTGGCAGCAGCAGCAGCCTTCTCATCCAGAGGCTTGCGCATCACAGCGTCTTGACCAGTCATTCGTCGTCCCAAGGCGCGCTCCACCTTAGCGCCCAAAGCCAGCTTGTTGAGGTTATCGGTCTTCTCGGCAGTGGGTACAAAGCGCTGCTTCTGCAGGGGCTTGTTCTCCAAGCGCTCTAGGCCATCTCCAAGGTGGGTGATATCGATGATTCTGGGGTCTTCGCTGGGCAGGCTTCCGATTGTACGTTCGGAGGCAGCCAGAGAGGGGCTGCCGCTAACGGTGGAGAAACGTTTGGAGTTGCGGTTCTGAAACAAGCGTGTTAGAGGCATCTTGCGCTTGCTAAAAAAACCACATGGGCGACGGGGATCTAATATGGCAAATGTATGATGTCAAGGGGCCAAATGCTTACCGAGTTAGCCATGATGGGTCGCTCGGAGTCTAGGGAGGTCTGACGAGCCATTTCGTAGATAGTGAAGGGGGGGATTTTCTGAAAGTGGTTTCTGGAGACGATGATCTTCGTTGAGTATGTACAACGGTAACAGGGAAAAATGCTAGAATAAAAAAAAAATATTAGATGAGCGATTCTTGTAAGTGTGCCCAGGTGATGGGGTATTCTCGTGTTCTTCTTAAACTGGGGCCACAAGGGCGTAATGGAGCAGACATACCAACGGGGGCCAATTCTCCGTCAGATTTGGGGGTTGGGAGTGGAATGGGGTCACGATTTAGAGGAAGAGAAAAAAGCAAAGTGCAAAAGCATACGAAGGGCGGGACTGAAACCGCCTTATGCAGCCACGGTAGAACCCAGTTTCTTCTTGCTAAAACTGACTCAGGAGGCGCCAAACGGTTCGAGTGGGTCACCGTCCGACAGTGGGGTATCAAGAAAAAGGGAGAGAGAAGGATCGACCAGGATTTTCAGGTTCGAGATTCTAGGGAGAAGAAGAGATTCAGGGGGGGAAGTAAATGGAGTAGTTAATTGCTAGTTTAAAGTATGATCAAGGGAGAATACCTATGGACTCGGTTATACGGAGGAATACTAGTCACATTAACACTGAAGAATTAGTATGTATGAAATATTCAAAAGGTTCTACATTATATTCCGAGAATCTGCAACTTTTTACAGTTAAATACTAAACTAAAATACAAAGATTAAAAAGACTAAACAGCCTCTAGTGCCACTTTGCCACGTGCGGATCAGCCAGGATGATGATTTCAAGTTTGTACGAAGTACGAATTATTACTATATATGGGATAAGAGCTATATAAAGTTGAAAGTATTAATAGACATAAGAATCTAGATTTGCAAATGAGCTCAACTTCGTGTGTATCCAGATGTCTTGTATAGTACTCAGTATCACTTAACCTCGGATATTCATAGACATCTCCAGGGCTGGAGTACTTTACTGCAGAATAAGTGCCCAGGATGTGTATTGTAGTATTATAGTATTGTGTACTCCGTAAAGGAGAAGGCTTGGCACTGATCTCCACTTCCGAACATTTGAACTTTGAACATTTGATCAACTCAAACTTCAGTTGAAACAATTTCGTCTAACTTTTCATTCAATACGTCAACATAATGGGAAAACCAAAGGCTTTACTAAAGGATTTCAAGCCTAAGAAAAAGGCTGCGAAACAACAGGTATTAAAAAATCCATTCAAAACCCCTTCTCCCCCGGAGTCCAAGCCCCCCCCCCCAAAGACTAACCCAATACGATTGATACATAGCTGCCGGTTACAGCCGATGAATTTCTTGCTGGTAGGGATCGACCAAATCAGCTGATTCTAGATGGGCGTTCGGGCTAATTGATTCCATAGCGGGTGTGGAATTGGAGGAGGCCGGAGAGAAATGGCGCGCTGGTGATGCCGCCAAATCCTTGCGCTTTTTTATGCGGGCTATTACCAACTACGATGAGGGTCTACAGAAACATCCCACCGCTTTTGATCTGGCCTACAATAAGTATGTATTACGCATATTACAGTTGACATTTACAAATTGGATTCAATGCTGTGTCATACTTTTGGATTTTTGAAGATTTATTATCATTCATCTGAGTTCCAGGCTAATTCTATCGCTATAGAGCGCGAGTGCAATATGAAATCACTCAACATCCAAAGCTAGCGGCACAATTGCCTTCGCCCCAGGCTGAGATCCTCCAGCAGGCACTACAGTCGCACCGCGATGCCCTGCACATGGACCAGGATAATCCAGATGTCCTCTTTAACAGTGGGCAAGTGCTCAACAGTCTAGCAGAGTCTATGTCGGACTCTAAACACCCCGCAGAGGAACAGCTTATCCAGGCTACCACCTACCTGCAAGAGGCAATTGAGCTTTTCCAGCGGTGTTTGATGCTGCAAGAAATGAAGTACACCGAGATGCAGGAGCAGATTGATGAGATGCAATCTATGGCTCTTGAGAACCAAGCTCCAGAGTCTGCACACCCTCCACCCCAGTCCCAGCCAGAGCCTTCAGCCGACCAGACAGACTCTAACGATGAGCCACAAGAGCAGTGGGCTGCAATCGTCGAGCCGGTCACCAAAAACACTCTGGTCGATACAGCCATCGCTCAACTTGAGACACTGACTAGCCTGTGCAATCAGTTGACATACAACCCGAACGCCGGCGGCGTAGGCTGGGTGCAGGAGTATTCCTCAAATTTGCTGGACTCTCGTCTCCCAGCCTATGTGGAAGGTTCAGATAGACAATACGAGGCAGGATTGGCCCGAGCCAAGTTCGTGTGTGCGCTGCACGACCTGCTTTACCGTGGCGGACATACCGATATCCAAAGCTACCGACAGGAAGTTGCACATTCATTTAGTCCGGACTTGGATGTTTCGAATGATCCAGAAGGATTATGCAACAAGGCCGAGGCACTGACAGCGCTGAACGGAGCACTTGCGGATCTACCTCCATATGATGACCCCGAAGCACTCAAGGAATCTTTGGGTATCCGATGGACATCACTTTCGACTGCTTTAGATTCTCTGACTGCCGCATCTAAATTGCCCAGCGCTGAGAATCTCCCCAAGATCCACATCGCTCGTGGAGATACTGAGATGCACCGCTGGCGACTGGGAACAGAGCCTTGGAACCACGCTGTGGCACAGCAGAACGGAGCTATGCTCTTGCGCAATGCACAAACATATTACCGAGGAGCAGCCGCTCTGGCTCGCCGAGATGGAGCGGTTGACGAAGAGCGGGATGGCACATACAAAGAAGCCATTGCGGCTGCACTGGAAGGCCAGAGGGCCAAACTGGATCAGCTCAAGACAAGAGGTACTGAGCCATTGATCGCTGTGGCCCGGGATATGGTGGAAGATGCGCTGGTCGACGGAACAGTTTTGAGCACCGTAATTCAATAAACTCCAAAAGAAGTGATGAATCAATGAGAATTTTAGACGTTCGATCCTCGGTTGACTTCCTCGTCCATTTGTATAGCATCCTGACGAAGATGATGCTCTTTGCTGAACTGAGACGCAGCTGTCGCAGCACCCTCGATATCTGTAACAACCGATTCAAGATGAGACAACAGTTTCTCAATCTGCAATCGCTGGGCCTGCACAGTTTGCGCCAGCTCTGAGTTCTGAGCGTTTGTAGCTTCGATTGTATTATTCAGCGTAGATTGCGCATCTTGAAGATAGGGGGGTCAAATGCGCTTTATAGAGTTCTTCTGCACCGAGTACATGCGGCCTATTCAAATCAGTCAGTCAGTAATCATTAAGATCCCTGGTATATGAATCAAAACATACGCATTTCCCGATTGACCCTCATTTCCATTCTTCTCCTCATCCTCTTTCCTAGCTCTTGCCTCTGTAACCAACCGATCAAGCTCATTAAGGTGCTGAACAGCTTCTCTTTCATCAATAATCTCCTCAAACTCCGCCTTGGCACTCTCCTCTAATTTCCCATTCAACTGCCTCCAAACACTTTCCAAGCTGGCTGGAACATGTCGCGCGGGCGTGGGGAAACAGCTCGCAAAGTTGGAATATGAGTTCGCGCGAAGAGTGCGTGCTAGTGCTTGATCGAATACTTGGATCAGACGCGATGCGCGAAGACCGGGGGTTTGCGATTCGGAAGCTGGTGGGGCTGACGATGATGTCGTAGGGATCTGCTGTTGGGACTCGGCCATGGTGAGGCTGATAGGTGGGAGACGTTGGAGTCTGCTTCAGTATCTGGTGGAATTGTGTGGGATGTGGTTTGAGGAGACTTGAGGAATTTAGTAGGCATCGAACGATCGGTCATTTCTGGTCTACCGCGACGCGACATGTCACGTGTGATCCACTGAGAAGTATACAATTTAGCATTCCAACGAACCTCGGATTCAATATATGAATGTATTTTTCTTATGAATATTTGAGATAAATTTTTGATTTCTTTTAGCGATCACTATTGAGAAGTACCGAAAAGATTTACTCGTAGCGGGGCGCATCTGTATTTGGAACCACTCGGTTCATTATCAGACTCATACTCCTAGTAGTATGAATGAGAATTGATAAAAGATCAAAATTCCAAAAGAGAGAAATAAGCATAGCTTCAACTATTTGCACGGTTAAAAAGCCTGCGCCATTCTGATATACGGTATCTCAACTTAGCTTCAAGTGTCTTAAAAGCCGGCCACGAGATTGATACATAGATCAAACTGTTCCAGAATCCCTGCAATGGAAGAACAAAACTAGAAGCATAATTAAGACCAAAAGAGAATGCATCAGGCCGAACAAGAGCACATACTCTATTGGCCGTGGAAGGAACCTGTTCCTTGTTAACATTTTGAGCTCATCAACTCCAGAGACAACATTGAAGTAAAAAGGGATTCGGACTGACCCAAGTGACCAACAAAGCAACGAAGAATAACATTGCATACTTAGTATACACCCACTTTGCAGGGTTACTCTCCGTCAGAAATCTTCTTTGAATATATGATTCGCTTCCTTCAGAGCGTACTGTTCTCATAGGCTTCTCTATTTGAGAAGGACCCGCCTCGAGTCGTGAACTAGAACCTTGCGCATACTCCGAAGCTTCAGGAGGAGACTGAGTCGTTACCATAGATTCAAGATGACAAGCCTCAATGGTGACGGAGTATGGAATCCAAAACGAGGCCCCTGAGCCGCTGTTTCGCTTGGAACTATGAGGTGACCTTGCCTGGGAGACTGGCGAAGAGCAAGCAATCTCACGAGTGACCTGAATACCTGCCAAAGATCTAGTTGAAATTGAATTCCTGGACTCAATTCCTCCGATTATTTGTCGTTGACGACGTTTCTGATAAATGACTGATCCGGCGCGGAGGTAGATGGCGAACGTTAACGCGATTACGAAACATACGGGGCCATAGAACGTAGCAATTCGGAGATAATCCCACTGTAAGGAAACCCAGCACCAGAGCTATTGAGTAGATTAGCAAGCTGATAGGAATACTCGAAGAGGACCAGGGAATGAACTTACTATGGCGGAGCCATATACTCGACCACGCTCATCTGTCTGAATAAAAAAGTAGACAAAGGCAGGAATAAAAGGCAACCCATAGCAGCATATTAAGTGCTTCCACTCCAACCGGCGTAGTTGGTCGGAACTGTACTTGTGGAAAAAATTTAGGTAGACATTACAAGCCATTGCGAATGTCCACAGCGCATCCGCCGGCATAAAACTGCTCATTAAATCAACCTACAACTCTTCTTTGTCTTTTATAGGACAAAATCTGAAGCAAATACTCATAACTGAACCAAGAAAGCTTGGAATTGACATAGAGATCCTCCAACTCCAGCATGGATCCCACTTGTGAGATCAGCGTTGCGATATTTGCCATAACATTGCCCCAAGAGGCGTAGAAAACTAAGCGATTGATTGATTTTCGGAACGAAGGTGATCTTAAGAAAGTAATGACGATCATGGAAGTACCGATTAGAGATATGGTGGAGCATATACGTTCAGTGATTGATAAAGCGGACAGTTGTTGTACAGATGCTGACTGAGGCATGGTCTTGGCCTGGCGCTGTATTGATGAGTTTAGCAATGCATGGACGGATCTCAGATCGATTTCGCGGATATCATACGTTCAAATTTTAATGGTTTGATCAAGTTCTTGATTGCGTATGTATTCTCTGGTGACTCAATGAAGCCGAAAAAGTCGGGGACCAGTCCGATTCACATACTGGCGTGTCAACTATGATACTTGAGCTTCACAGCAGGGAGTTTCCTGGCAATGGTAAAAATGATGATTTCCCTGAAGAAGATCGCTGGCATGTAATGTCTGATGATTATTTCCGAGTCTAACCCTCTGCCAGTAACAGAGATGAGAATATTTATAGATATTATGGACCATGATAACGGACCAGAACCTGTATAGATGCGATTGATAATATCTCAAAGATCGAGGAGACTATTACAGTCATCAAAACACAGTACCAATCATAGCTGGTAACGACGCGAGCTTTATATAAAATTTGGTGCAAAAGTTTTGATCTCGCAGAATCTTCATTCATTGATATCGCTTAAAGGCAGTCAAATTCGTGGTTAGGAATACAAGAAACCGCATCGGGGATATCTAGGAAAACTCTCTACTCAGATGACCTTTCAGGTCGATGAAGCTTGAAAGGACGAGACACAGAGCAGTATCATCGAGTCCAGGGTAACACATTGGTGAAATTTGAGAGAACGGCCCATGACGAAGTTCCGAGGTCTCTTGTGTTCCCTGATCATTGATAGTAGGAGGCCAAATCCAAACATTTGAATCTAGGACTATTATGAAAGGAAGTGTAGAGCTGGGCTACAAGATCTCTGCATTATGACCTTGGGGAGCGACTTCTCCTGTTGACGCCTCATAATAGAATCCGATTGTGGGTGGCTTGGTGAGACTGAATGGTCGCGATGCAGCGCCAGACCACTTTTGTGGGCGTACAGACAGCCCTGGAGCCTGAGATGATCATATCTCAAGAAACGACAGGGATTCAATCCCACCTAGAAAAGATGGATTCTCCTCTCAGATGAAAGGTAAGCTAAGTTACATCCTATGAGTTCACACTTCAGCCTAAACAGACTAAGCTAAATAAAAATCAATCGATTTCAAGGGAATAGTTATAGCAAATAAATGAAAGATTTACACGTTTCAGATGGCTGGGAAAATTCATATATAAGAAGCATATGCAACTCCAAAAAGATCCTTCACTCCTTGGCTTTCGTATTGTAGACTGAATCACGAAAAATGAACTTAAAAGACAAAGAAAATAGGAAGTCCAAAAAAGATATAAGAAAATAAATAAAGCCCATCACTGGGAATAACGCCGAATCCTCCATTGCTGATCGTCTAAGTCGCGCTCATCATCTCGTTATCGGCCTCATTTAAAGCCTCTAATAGGCGGACTGAGGTGGAACCATACCCCCATATCCGCCCATCTGCTGTTGTTGCTGCTGTTTCTGCTGCAACTGAGCCTGAACCTGAGGCAGATCGTGGAACCATGGGTGCTGCAGGGCATCACTGGCACTGATACGCATCTCCGGGCGTAGCTGAAGCATCCGATTCAACAGATCCAGACCAAGTTGGTCGATCTGAGGGAGAATCAAGCTCAGGTCTTGGGTCGCATAGACATGGAAGGTTGGCTTGTATTCGGGCAGCTGGGAAATACCAGGCCACGACCGTTCAGACGGTGTTCCCATCAATCGGAAAATCTTCAGCAACTGATCCTCATTGGTTGTGCCTGGGAAAAGCGGACGACCCGTGTACATCTCTGCCATGATACAGCCGGCGGACCAGATATCGATGCTAGTGTTGTAAGTGCGACTGCCGAGGAGGACATCGGGGGCTCGGTACCACAGGGTGACGACTTCGTTGGAGAATGTGTTAACTGGGATACCGAATGCTCTCGCCAAACCGAAATCTCCCAACTTCAGCTGACCCTTCTTGTTGATCAACAGGTTCTGGGGCTTCAAATCGCGGTGGAGAACTCGGTTCTCGTGGCAAAAAGCGATTCCTTTCAGAAGCTGGTGCATGAAGGATTTGATGGTGGCGGGGTCAAGTTGTCCGCGATCGCCTCGAGTGTCCATGTATCTCTTGAGATCCCGGTCCATGAATTCGAACACCAGCATGAGCTTATTCTCTGTGTGAATAACATCGTAGAGCGATACGATACTCTCATGTTTCAGTTCCTTCATCAACGAGATCTCACGGATGGCGGTGGATGGGGTACCCTCCTCAGAGTCTAGGTGGATTTCCTTCAACGCAACCATCTCGCCGGTTTGGCGATTACGTCCTTTGAAGACCTGCGATCATCCTATATCAGTCATGGAGCGGATAGAGGGGCCATATTTGATTTCTCGGTATCTCTCGGGTATCTCTCGGCGAAGAAGGGGGTTTCAAAACGTACGGTAGCATAAGTGCCTTCACCTAGCTATAAGATGTCAGTTGGGTTGGCGATTTCACATGGGACAGAGAAATTACCTTTTCCAGCTGCTGGAAAGAGCTGGGCTGCTGGGATTTATCCATAGCTGAATATTTTGAAGGAACCAAGGTCACAGGTTTGGGGAAGAGAAAAGAACCAGGCGAGACAAGTGTAGTCTTTAAAGGGCGGGCTGCAGAATCCCTGAGTCGCTCCATGCTGTGATGGGAAGGGACCCCGCGTGGTGGGCCGGGAGTCAAACCGCCACGGCTTATGTACTCATTGAACTCATTGAACGGGTGGGATATAATTTGACATTAACATTCTATGTAGATATGTGATTCAATTCTATTTATAATTATAATTAATTTATATCATTTTTTTCTATCCTGCAATAGTAATGCATATGATTTTACTATGCCACTACCTATACCAGATATCTGCCAGTTGGCTGCCTATACTTTACTTAGTATTATACGGCAGTTCCGACACTACGGCTGGCAGAATTGACTGTGTAGGATGACTGCACCGAACATGGGATGTTGGAGTATTATCGGCATCACCAAAAAGAACGGCCTCATTTCGAACCCCACCCACATTGATAATCCCAATGGGCATGCCTCGTTTATGCGCCCGTTCCACTAACCGCCATGCTGAGTACGTCGCCAAGCTGCTTCCAAGAATAAGTAAGCGCCCGGCATCATCAATGGCTTCTTCAGCAGCAATCTTCACGACTGGGTCGATATTCTCGCCAAACATTATTACTGCAGGTTTTAAGATCCCCGCATTGGAGGTTGACATCCATGCACCGTCGGGCTCCACCTCTACACGGGCCTTTGTACCATCTTGTAAGGTAGGAGGACTCTCCAAGCATGTCGAACACGAAGGATATCGGAATGTAGAATAGGGTGCTTCTGCAAGATCAACATCTCCATCAGGGTTCAACTTGAAGCCCTTTCGTCGCTGCTCTTCAGGGTTATTAGTGTCGAGTGCACCCTGCTCCACCATGCGAGCAAGGAATTCGGCCCATGCGGGATTTAGCCTCTCAAGGGATGACTGAAACTCGGCTCGTGGGAATTGATTGCGACAGCTTGTACAGACTACTGATCGTAGATATCCATGTAATTCCAGAGTAGAAAGATCTGGATGGGCGAATGAATGGAAGGAATCGACATTCTGTGTTATCACAGAACTGATATAACCCTTGGCAGCGAGATCTCGAATAGCCAGATGAGTTGAATTGGGACTCGCTTTCACAAGGCCTGGCCATCCGACGAAGCTCCGGGCCCAATACCGTTTGCGCGACTCATGCTGGGATATAAATTCATGGAAGTATATTGGTCGGTAGGATTTATTTCGTCGGTAGGTTCCTTGGTCTCCTCGGTAATCTGACAGACCTGATGCCACTGAGATCCCAGCTCCCGTGAGCAACACAGTCTGGGAGTGTCCTCCTACATCTATTCCTCGTAGGTGGAAAGATGGTGGTGCAGATAAGAAGCTAGTCACGGCATGGATCGCTCCGGACACTGTTCTAGCTGACGGAGGAACTATTAGAGCTGGTGGTAGTGGACCCGTGAAGGGGATCCGAATTGCAGGTGTCGTCATCAAGGACACATTCTCAAAATTTCGGAGTCCAGAGGTTCTTGGCGGATAGTACTAATGTAAGTAGTACTACGGAGTATAGTATGTATGGATAGGTTGAAGATGGATCCGGATACACGTTATTGTAGACCTGCAGAGACCCAGAAGAGCTCCGGGATTGCGTAAGGGTTCTTGGCTGTGGGTCACGGCTACTAGAACATCATGTCAAAGCCGATTTAATCGGATGGGAAAATGTCAAGTCCGGAAGATCCTTGATAAGAACAGAAATACAAAAGAAATATAATAGACTTAAAAAAATCAATCATAATTGAGAAGTTCTGGAGTAATTCCGTGACTCACATCCCGTGATCTCTATACAGAACGAATAGATAGAAGGATAATGGTCATCAATCCCACATATCGTATGATCCGATCCGTAAATAGGATTAGAAAGGAGGGATTAATTCGCTATAATTATGATCATAGAGGGTTTAGATTTTTCAAATTTCAGTATATCACTCAATATAGAAAGGGGTTTTCTATGAGCATCAACATCTTCATACCTAGATCTGTACCGGATTACATGATCTCCGCCGGAAGTTGAAGGTGGGATTTTCAGTAGCCTTCACCTCTTCTTCCTCGAATTGAACTCGGCGACACACTTCTTTTCGGGTGTTTCGTTCTTTTTCTTCCTTCCAATCACCAGAGGCTTGCATTTATGATCCGGCAATGAGCACCCACCTCGAAAGAACACCCTGTCCCTTTTGTCCGTGCTCGCGTGCCTCATAATAGTAATGCCGCTGACGCAGCCCATGCGCTGCAGGCTTCGGCCCTCTCTCCGCTCCTTATTCACGACTCCACGTACCCAACGCCGGGCATTTACATCCCTGCCACCCCTCCTCAACTCCCTCAAACCTCCTCCACCACATGATAGACCACGTTCTGTTTTAAAGCCACTCCCCATGACGCAGACCAGAGGCCATACTGGCCATAGCCACGGCCACGGACATCACCACCATCACGACAATGTTTATCTGACCTCGACAAACAAGAACGATGCTGGTGTTCGCATTACTCGACTTGGCTTGCTCGCCAACCTTGCAATGGCCATTGGCAAGTTTATCGGTGGCTATGTCTTCCACTCTCAAGCTCTGATCGCCGATGCCTACCATGCCCTGACCGACTTGGTCTCCGATTTCTTGACCCTGGGTACGGTCGCATGGTCCACAAAACCCCCCAGTGAACACTTCCCGCATGGATATGGAAAGATTGAAAGCATTGGTGCCCTGGGTGTAAGTGGGCTGCTGCTGTGTGGTGGTGTGTTCATGGGCCTCAATGCAGGACAGGTCTTGCTGGCTCAATGTTACCCTGAACTGGCAGAGACACTCGCCCATTCTGGAATCTTGGGACATGGTCATGGTCACTCTCACAGCCATGGACTTGATGTGATGGGTCCCAGCATTCACGCAGCCTGGATTGCGGGTGGGTCGATCATTGTCAAGGAGTGGCTCTACCGTGCAAGTAAGTACCATCTGTGTTCTCAGGGTCAATGGCAAATCACTAACATCAATTCTTTTTCCAGCCATGAAGGTAGCCGAGGAGCGCAAGTCCTCTGTACTCGCTTCTAACGCGATTCATCACCGAGTCGATTCTCTCACGAGTATTGTTGCCCTTTCCACAATTGGTGGAAGTTATATGTTTCAAGACGCTACCTGGCTGGACCCGGTGGGTGGTCTTTTGATTTCCCTCATGGTCATCAAGGCTGGCTGGGGCAACACACTCACCTCACTCTGGGAGCTTGCGGATACAACCGTGGATGAAGAAATCAAGACCTCGGTCCAAACAGCAGCCTCGAAAGCGCTGAAGGAGATTGAAGATGGAGAGCAAGTGATCGTTCGTGACGTTCAAGGCATGAAGTCTGGTCCAAACTACCTGATGGATGTTGAGCTTGCTGTTCCTGGAGCTTGGTCTGTGACTCGGTCCCGGGCAGTGGAAGAGGCTGTACGCAAGACTATTGGATCGGGGGTTCACGGTGTGAAGCGAGTTAAGGTTCGCTTCATTCCTGTGGAAGAGAAGGAACTTACTTTCTCGGAGGAGTTCGTTTCTCAGGATGCTCAAGCCAGTCTTGAACCAGAGCATGACCATGACCACAACCATTCATCTCACGGCGCTGATCAGAACTCACACAAGCAAAAGTAAATGAAGATGGAGAAATAAAAAAAAAGATCCCAAATGCAAAGAAAACAGGGACAAAGACTTTTCAGCCGCATGCCGTTTGGAGCGTTCGAATGGCAGACATTACGCGGCTTTGATACCCCCACCGCGAGAACGATTTTGATAAAGATCTGTATCTAGGTATAGATGTCAGATATAACATAAATAAAAACCAGAATAGAATGATTTGATTATACCAGAACTTCCTGCCCGTGTAGCATCGAGCATTTGAAATTGGGAAAGGTATGTCCTTAGCACGCGAGTGCTTGGCCCGGTGTGTTAACATTCTCTCAGACAGGGATGTTCACATACTTAAGTACAGGGCTCACTCAGTAGCATCTACAGGTGACTGATGACCTAAACCTCCGAGTCTTTGTATGCAAGTACCTACGGGTTTACCTATGGGGTTACCTGGAGGGGAAGGAAGGCTACTAGTAGCTGCTACTACCCGAGTAGTAAAAGAAAAGAGGCCTATTGCACATTCTCTTGATACTATTCAAAGGGAGAAAAAGAACAATTTTGATCAAATCAAGCGCTTGCGTACGGAGCTTGATAGCCACATCCTCTTAGGCCATCTTCTCTTCTCAACCCGATTCAGGGCACCCTTTCCCACACCTCCTGCTTCGAGGACTCCTTGCATTTTCGTGTGGCCTTTCGAGGTTTGCCTTCGACGACGGTATTGAGGCCACCTCGCCCAGATGTACGCTGTCCAACCCAGTTGATCTTCCCTGTCAAAATCCACTCGGTCTCTGAAACCCATCAAGGAGTCGGCAAGAGATAAATTGTTATCTCGTGCTGCAATCATCAACGGAGTGAGGCCATCTGTATTTGTTACATTGGGATCAGCACCGAGACGGATCAACCCTGCGACCATTGCATCAGATCTATGGATAACAGCTTGAATGATAGGACAGTGGCCATAAGGGTCTTGTAAATCGAAGATGGAGTCCCCGAGAACGGAATGCAGTCTTTGGAATAGGTCGAGGTCTTTCTTTCGAATGATTTCGAATATTGGAACCTCTCCTTTATCATTGCGCATCACAAAGATCAAGGGGTTAGTCCGTATGAGAAAATCGCAGAATTCGTCCTTTTTCGCCATAGCCATCCTTATCGGGGTTTGGGATCGGCAATTGGACTGTTGAGCCATTTCAGGAAATCGTTCGAAGAGATACTGGCTCCAGTGAAAATGTCCTCTGTCCACTGCAATGTGTAAGGCATTGTTCCCTAACCGATCCACTTCAATGTGCACGGGCAGTAAGGCATTGTTCTCAAGACTATCAACTTGATCCAAATTCTCAAGACGGGTAATGCGATCCCGATGATGCCACAGGCGAGTGAGCCTTTCCATTGAGAAATCTTTCATCCACCTAAGGAAAATTGGCATTTGCCGACTGGACTCTGTATACCAGCAGAAAGTGAGATCAACACGTTCATCTTCGATCAAAAGATCAAAAAGCTTGAAAAACCTAGAGCTATACGCAGCTCGTAGCAGAATTTTCCCTTTTCGAGGAAAGTTTGGATCAACGTTGTGTCTCAATAGAAGCTTCATCGCGTGAAGGGATTTATTATCAAAGGCTTCCCAGAGTGCAGCCGAGGCCGTTTCAACATCCATTCCTTCGTGCGATACCAAGGCCTCCATCATCGACTCACTTTCGGCCCACGTCATGAACTGAAGCGGAGTCTTGTTCATCATCGAAGTCTCTCGGATGTTGAGCTTGAGGTCTGGCTTTGTCAAAAGCAGCTCGACAGTTCTCTTGTCCAGTTTCATGAGGGCAGCGCAGATTGGGGTTTCGTAATCTGGTCTGAGCCGCTCGTTGACATCGAGATGCATATGAATCACGCGCTCCAGGAGATCTGGTCGGCTGTTCTTTACAGCATACTGGAAGGCGTCCTGTCGATAGCGCCATAGGGTGTGATGGGCCAGAACTGGGTAGAGTGAGCGGGTTGTCTTAAGGAAAGCCAAGAGATCCTTCTTCTGGTCCAGGTGATCGGCGATGCAGAGGGCAATATCGGAAGGAATGTTGTTAAGAGAGATCGTGTCCATCGCTACCTTTGAATGGTAGTTGAACTTGAAGAAGCTGAGCGAGGGTAAGTGTATGAAGTTGAGAGATAGTATGGAATGGGGATAGAAATGAAGAAAGGGGGGGATAGAGAAGAGAAAGGTGAAGGTGTATTAAATATCTAGAAGTTTGCTATTGATTCTAGTGGATTATGCAAATAGTATGTAGTGAACTTGAAGCCTAAGAAATCATAAAAAGGGGATATACAAACTTGATTAGATAACTTTAAAGTCCCTAGGTAAACATAGCAGTTTCAGATTTCACTCTTAACTTAAATACAGAGAGCTAAAGTGAGAGATATCTAAAGTAGGGACTAGTATAAGAAAATCTAATATCAGCATGAGTTCAAGTTTACTTATTCTTTTTCTGCCAGCCATATAGCTCACTGGTTGATCTATCGAAATACGGAGCAGCTTGATACGGAGCGGCTTCCAGATCTCCTCGTCCTTGAGTTGATTGCAAGCTTTGACAACTTGGTTATCCGATGATGTTGTTGTGTCATGGGACTTGTTGCTTGTAACCCGTGGCTTCCGAGGCTTCGCCTGATATGTTGAGCGTTTTGGATTTAATGGGCATATAGCCTCATGGCGTGTGAGGCCTCCATGGACTGCGAGAATTTCCCACAGAATCGGCATTATAGCTTTTTTTGTTTCTTGTTGTCCATACAGAATTCTCTGTCCACAGATGCCATGTGTTTGATTAGTATTCCCCACGAATCGATTTCAAAGAATCGTCTAGGGTTTTCCATATATATGCGAAACACCATGGTCACTCCTTCAAGTTGACAAAACTCTGAGAAAATATGATTGACGTCGAAGGGGTTGGTGGTTAACCCTTCCCAGGTGAAGTATACATGCCCAGGTGTGTAGTATCTATACCCAATATGGCACGTGCCCCAGACTGAGTCATAATGAACAAAGACACCACCTGGGCATGTATAATAACTTCTAAGGTTCCCCTGTAAGATCCAATTAGTCTGATCAAAAGAAAGTACAAAATCATCATCACTTGAAATTCAAGGATTTATACCTCCTCAGATCTCTGATTTCAAGATAACTCTGGGGTAATGAAGATGACATAATGCCGTACAAAGTTTTGGGCAAAAAAGTCATGACTAAAGCTTCCTGTTTAGGATACTGGTAGTGTGGGATTTCAAAGAATTTCAATAAGCAGAACTTCTTCTTTCTCTGATCTCATTAACTCCCTGCAAATATCAATCTCTTTTGTATTTTGTACACCTTCTCTCGACACTTAGCGAGGGCGGAGCCAGGCACGGGAATCTGATTACCTGACCATGGAAGTGCTCCTCCACCGAAAACAATTTTGAACCCAACACACACCCACCCCCTCGTTTCGTGTCACTCCTCCTGTTCAACACTCTGAAAGGGATTCTGGCTGGTCGAAGATGGCAGACCAGGTGAGTCTTATCCTTTCACCCTTGGAAAATTCGGACCTTTATTTGAAGGGGAAAAAATCATCATAGCCCCTCCCCCACTGCCCCAAGTCCAACCCCTCCACCTCCGAGGGGTCACCCCAAGTCCGTACCGAGTCATTGACTTATATCTTCCTCCAGGTAGCAAATGCCATTCAGATCGCCTGGAACCCTTCGTCCGACCATGCCCTGAAGGCGCAAGCTTTCGACTATTTGAACCAACTCCGCTCCGATCCCTCCGGATGGCAGATCTGCCTAGGCCTCTTCACCGAAACTCCTCAACAACCCGAGGTCGTGCGACATGTGAGCTTGGAAATCGTTAATAGCGCAGCTCAGGCTGGCTTGATCGATTTTGCCTCACTGGTGGTTGTGCGGGATGGCTTGCTCGCCTACCTGCGCCAGGTCTACGGGCCCAACGGGACTGCTACCCCCGATGCGGCATATATCCAGAACAAAATTGCACAGACTGTTACCTTCCTCTTCTCCGCTCTTTACGCCAATGGTTGGGAATCATGTATCGACGATCTCCTAGGTCTTACCTACAAGTCCTCGACTAGCACGACTCGTGACAACCCTCTGGGAATTATCTTCTACTTGCGTGTGGTGAACTCGATTCATGAGGAAATTGGTGATGTGCTGGTTTCTCGGTCTCGGGGTGAACAAGACAAGGCAAACTCACTAAAGGACCTGATTCGTGAGCGGGATATGCAGAAGATTGCAAACTCGTGGCAGGAGATTCTCTCAGGATGGTGCGACAGCGATGACACGATTGTGGAGGCGTGTCTGAGGGCAGTTGGTAGCTGGGTTAGCTGGATCGACATTGGACTTGTAGTCAACCAATCTATGCTGGATCTTCTGTTCCAGCAGCTTGGACGGGCCGAAAAGCAGGAGCTGAGAGATGGCGAGCAGCGTGTTCGTGATGCGGCGGTGGATGTCTTCACGGAAATCATTGGCAAGAAGATGAAGCCGTCAGATAAAATTGAAATGATCATGTTCCTCAATCTGAATACGATCATAACACAGCTCTCCAACAGCCCGCCACTTCGCGAAGCTCGTTTCACCTCCAAGTATGACACGGATTTGGCAGAGACCGTGGCGAAGCTCGTCAACATCACGGTGATGGACATTGTTCGGGTGTTGGAAACTGACACAGGTCCGGTCAAGGAGAAAGCGGATGATCTCCTAATGGTCTTTCTCCCCCATATCCTTCGCTTCTTCTCCGATGAATACGACGAAGTCTGCTCTACTGTGATCCCCTCTGTCAATGACATGCTTACCTACATCCGAAAGTTGTCCAAGTCCAACCCTGCTTTCGAAGAACGGAACAAGACCATCCTCCTACCAGTGCTGAAGGCTATCGTCGCCAAGATGCGATACGATGAGACCTCAAACTGGGGCGACGAAGATGAGCAGACAGATGAAGCTGAGTTCCAGGAACTGCGCAAAAGACTTGGTGTCCTCCAGCAGATTATCGCGACTGCTGATGAACAATTGTACATTGATGCCATTTCGGAGCTTGTTGGTACTACTTTTGAGAATCTGCGAGTCTCAGGAGGTCGGATTGATTGGCGTGATCTGGACCTGGCTCTGCATGAGATGTTTTTGTTTGGCGATATTGCAGTTACCCGTGGTGGCCTTTATCAGAAGAATACCCCGACCGGCCCTGCATCAATTCGTCTCATAGAGATGATGCTTCGCATGGTGGAATGCGGTCAGTTTCCGTCCCATAAAAATTGTCAAAGCGAAATACTAATTTACAATGTAGACATCCGATCGTTCACCCATCCTGCAACACAGCTTCAGTACATGGAGATTTGCGTTCGCTACAGCACCTTTTTCCACCACCACACACACCTTATCCCCGGAGTTCTACAGAGCTTCTTACAGCTGGTGCATCATCCCGTTCGCAAAGTCAAGACCCGTTCTTGGTACCTTTTCCAGCGCTTTGTGAAGCAGCTACGAACACTCGTTGGCAATGTGGCCCACGACGTGGTGGAGGCTTTGAGGGACTTGTTGGTTATTCAGGCTGAGCTGCCATCTGAGGGTGAAGATGGCGATGAGATGTCCTCAGAGGACCACGAGGGCTCTGCGGATGCTGTATTCACCAGCCAGCTGTACCTCTTCGAGGCAGTTGGAATAATTTGCTCTACTCACGGTGTCCCTGCCGATCAACAAGTTCTGTACGCTCAGTCAGTGATGAATCCGATCTTTGTGGACATGGAACGACATCTAGAAGCCGCCAAATCCAATGATGAGCGGGCCCTATTGCAAATCCACCATGACATTATGGCTCTAGGAACTCTTGCCCGAGGTTTCTCTGATTGGATACCTGGCTCTAGCGCCCCAAATGCCCTACCAGCCCCAGAGGTCTCGGAGGCTTTCTCCCAGGTAGGCGAGGCAACTCTGGTTTCACTTGAGTCGCTCAAGAATTCTTTCAACATCCGTACCGCCGCTCGATTCGCCTTTTCGCGCCTCATTGGTGTTCTGGGAGCACGCATTTTGCCCCAGCTTCCTCGATGGATTGATGGTCTCTTAACGCAAACTTCTTCACGCGATGAAATGGCCTTGTTCCTGCGTCTTCTTGACCAAGTCATTTTTGGATTCAAGAGCGAAATATATTCTATCCTTGACACACTTTTGACCCCATTCCTGCAAAGGGTGTTCTCCGGCATCGCAGATCCCACCACCGGGACTGACGATGAGATTCAGCTTAACGAGCTCAAGCGTGAGTATTTGAATTTCTTGCTAGCTGTCCTGAACAATGACTTGGGGGCTGTCATCATTAGTGAGAGTGAGTTTCTTCCTTTCCCGTCTTGGGCTTACTTGTAATCTTGATTCAATACTAATACAGAGCAGGAAATCAACCCCTCTTTGAAACGGTCATCACCACTATTGAGCATTTCGCGAAGGACATTGAAGACTTCACCACCGCCAAAATGGCATTCTCAGTGCTCTCTAAAATGGGTAGCTCTTGGGGAGGACCAGATGTCGCCCCCGGCGCTACCAATGGAACCTCACCAAACCAGACCACGCTGCCTGGATTCGGTGGATTCATGATCTCCCGCTTGTCGCCCCTGTGTTGGGCACTCCCCATGACACCCTCTTTCAACTCCAAAGATGCCCAGGCCAAGCAGGTTCTTGCTGAGGCAGGTGGCCTCCAGCGCACCATTTATATGAAGACGGGTGTGGAATATGCAGAGTACCTGCGGAACCAAGAGCTGCCTGGCATGGGCATGGGAGGAGATCTTATTGAGGAATTCTTGACGGCATTGAGTCAGCTTGATATGAAGGGATTCCGGCAATTCTTCCCGGTATGAGAACGATCCCATTTCATTCTACAGCTGTGTTTTTACTGACTTGTTTATTAGTCCTTCATTCAGCGACTCAGCGCATGAGCATTCCTCGACGACCATTTATTTTGATTATGCTTTTTCTAGATTCCCCCACACCATATTTCCCCTTTCACAGGAACGAGGTGATGTCACCCCTCGGCGCCAATGATGTGCATTCTATCAGTCGATTGAACTCATGTCATCTATGTTTCATATGTGTCTCCGCATCCTCTCCTCCATGGATACCACCTTATGCATTTATATGTCATTCAAAAAGAACAACAAGAAAAAAAGAACTGGATAAAGCTAGGAAGCAAAATTATTGTTCCTTCTGAAATTTCTGAAAGTACATGTAGTCCTAATTCTCACGAGTAATTTAACCGGCCTGACAGTGTATAATCAAAGCCTTCAAGTTGGAAGTTTAGCTCCATGGCACTTCGTAATGGTCTCATTCCAATTTTATCTAATATCTCTCCCGACTGAACAATTTTCATCATATCACAGACCTAATCATATCCTGCTGCTCACTTGAGCAAGAACACAATCAGAATCTATTTCCTTAACCAATCAATCTTACTTCAAATTCGAGAAATAAAGAAGGGAAAATCCATCTATAATTCCGACAGAGAAAAGAAAAAGGAAACACACTATGCAAAGAGATACTTGGCCGCATGCTCGACATGATCATCCGCGAAAGTCGCCATGGTAAAGTAAGAATGGTCGTAATCAGGTTGGTAGCGGATGTTCAAACCATCAACGCCTGCTTCCTTAGCGGCAGCGGCGAAGTTCTCGGGAAGGAGTTGGCCCTGCTTGTAGAAGTTGTCGCCAGTGCCCTGTTAAGAGTATATCAATGTTAGAAGACCGATTCCCATGCTGAAGATAATTTGAAAGAGTTGGTGTGATGAACACATACCACGTCAATCAGGATATCCACTGGACCACTAGTCCACTCCTTAATAAGTTCTGTAGCGTCATGCTCCTTCCACTTGGCTTGTTGCTCATCTCCAAAGTAACCCTTGAACGCCTTTTGACCCCAGGGGCAGTTGATAGGGTTGGTGATAGGGGCGAATGCCGAAACGGACTTGTACTTTCCAGGGTTGCGAAGGAACTAGACTAGTTAGCTAAGATGACCAAGACCAGTATCGCAGCATAACAAACTGATCGAGATTAGAAACACCTACCAGTGTGAGAGCACCATGTCCACCCATACTGTGACCAGTAATACTAACTCGGCTAGCATCCAGCTGCGGGAAAGCAGCGAAGACAGTTTGGGGGAGCTCCTCAGTGACGTAGCTATACATGTTGTAACCCTGGTCATAAGGAGCCTTAGTAGCATCGACGTAGAAGCCAGCACCAGAGCCAAAGTCATAAGCGTCGTTTTCGCCTTCAATGTTCAGGCCACCTGAGATCACATCAATTAACACTTGAAACTTTGTCTTTTTCATACACGCGTAACCACGCGTGCTTCAGGTTCAGATGGAGAGTGACGTACGAGGGCTAGTATCAGGGTAAAGCACCGCAACACCCTTCTTGCTAGCAGCATGCTGGAAGAAACCCTTCTCCGAGCAGTTATCAGCGGTACAGGTTAAACCAGACAGGTAGATCAACACAGGAACCTTCTGGTTCTGGCTCTGCGGGGGCAGATAGAGGTTGAAGGACATTTCGCAGCGGGTGGTTGTGGCATTGTGACTGAGCTTAAGCAGCTTACCGCCAAAGGAGGCGATGGTAGCCTTTGTTGTGACGGACATGATGGATGGATTGAAATCGATTAAAGGGAGAGATTTGGGAGATCAAGTCGTTCGGGAGGAAATTGACGTTTTTTTACGTTACGTTGCGGGGTTGTCCCGCATGAGGGGGATCCCACTCTTACAACTTACTCCACTCCAGTGCTATCAGCGGATTTCATGCCTCTTTTGAGATGTAATATATCCGAGTCAGTATAAAATAATTGTTTCAAGTTCAAATATTTCCTGTAGTATCTGCCGTTTCCATATATTCATATGATATGCATCATATGCTGATCTGCCATCGTCATATACTAGATATTCTCCACAATAGGACCCTTCCAGTAATGCCGAGCTTGTAAAAAATAACAAGCCAATATGAAAACAATTATGAAAGTACATGTCACAGTTGAGATTGATAGTAGGTTCTGTGAGTGCCATGGATAGCTAGCGAAAACGAATATAATGACGGTGTAACAAACAGAACAGAAGTTGATCAAGATACCCCAAAATCCAGGAGCTCTGAAGGGACTCCACACAAGCTTTGCTCCAGGTGCATTGATTCTCGTATCATCTGTTGATCCATATGGAAGAATTTTACCCTTGCATCGACGGTATAAGAGGAGGGTTCCAATAATTATATATGATATGCACCACAATGGAGTCACTGCGTTGGTGAGCTTAGACCAAACAGAAGAAAAAGCTCCAATTTGAATAAGATTTATCAAAATTGATATAACAACCACAAGAGTTGTTGGATTCATAGGTAGATCATTTGAAGAAACCTAGCAACATTGAACAGGGTTAAATAAGTCACTTAGATTATAAAATCTGGATGAAAAGAGATATTTTTACCAACCTTCTTCCAAATACGCCATCCGGGAATTCCTTGGTCTCTGGATAAAGACCATATTTGACGAGACGCAGGACCTATACAGGCTAGGAGTGTACCCATAAAGGGAAGAATAAATATGCAGCACATTATCACAGTTGCTGTGCGGGACCTCGTCGTTTCATAAAAGAGCACCTCTCGTGAGTACGTGTGACCAGTTGAGATCTCATTAACGGTCTGCTTATTGAAAAGTAGAACTATAGCCATGGCAAAACCTAAAATTCCATCAATCAATATTGACAGAATCATTGTAGGACCCAATATCGTTGCAGCCTTTTCGGCCTCTTCAGCAAGCTATGTAGTATCAATATCAGGCTCAAACTTGAAGGCACTTGAGGAATATCCAGATGTCCACAAGAATAGAGGTTAATCTTACATGTACGGCACAGTCCCCTCCCACAAAAGACCACTATAGGTTAAAGCTCCAGAAAACCAGGCCAAGCCCGGTGTTGGAAACTTGAATGTTTTGGAGTTCGGAACGGGTCTGAAAATCTCGTGTCCCTTTCTATGCTCAGGCATAAAAGTCAACGGGATCAGTATACCGAAGAACCCTAGAATATGGAAAATGAAGGCCAAGACCTCAAGTTGAGGCAGCATTCGGCTATCTATAATATTGAGAATATAGGCAAGGGCAAGAATTCCCACCTCAATAAGGTATCTTTGCCATATCTGAGGGTCATAAGTTGAGAGCTGGGAAAATTCGATTATGTTCTGTATCAGCGCTGCGAGAAGTTCACAGTATTCACAAACGAGTATCTGCCACGAAATAGCAGTTGTGCACACTAATATTAAACTTAGAAAGACCTGTCCAGCGACTCAAATGCAGTGATCATGATGAAATCTTCAGGGGTTTCCAAAGCAGTCACTCTCAATCACAGGGCTAATCACATACCTATTATATAACTCAAAAGTCTCATATATTTGACAGGGGAGAGCATTGCACACCAGTGATACTGCCCAGCTGATATTGGTGCCCTGATTTTTCAACTTGTATTAGCTATGTTAACCTTGAAAATAGTCACAAAGATATGAATAAACTTATTCAAGTTGATATTCAAACGTTTTTTGGGAGAATACATTAAAGCCAGCTCCCCCAAGATGATAATAGTGCACAGTGATCCTATTCATAAAAAGATATAGGAAGAGGGGAAGACTGCTGGGCCACTTAATTTATCATTTAGCTAGGCCGACAATTCAATTTTCTTTTCCATAGATTTGGTGAATATGGACGTACATTATTATTAACAGGTCAAAGTTCCTAAGGAAGAAAAAGATCAACTGATGCCCACAGTGGAATCGCCAACTAAAATCATGCACATGTGGAAGAATCGGTGTCAACTTACATCACTATCACTTCCCAGGTAACAAGGACTATACAGTTTAACCCCACAAGGGAATTGGCGTCAAAGCTCCGCTGTATGAACACAAGTTAAAAAGCAATATTTCAAACAGAATCTATTTTCATATATGAATAATACCTGAAGTGACGGACTCTTTCCTAGCCGTCGTAGTTGGAAGTCATCTTGATTTCGAACAGTTTGGCCCGCATTATCTTCAGGAATCTCAAGAGTGAGGCGATTGACAGGTGCATTGTTCATCTCATAACTCTCCCTGTCCCTTGAGTCTGGAATGGAACATGGGTCCGACATGAAAGATTTTCGAATGAGTACAGTGGTCGAAAGTCCTATGTAGTATGATGTGCACTCAAAGTCGAACTGATAGTGGGCTAGCCCAACGCGTATAAGATCCTCGGTGTGGTTGGGAAAAGTGATAAGCAAAAGATCACAAGAGTTTTGAAAGTCTACACGAAATACTATATGCGTACCGTTACTTCAATGTCAAGCACTTGAGTGGACAACTTGAATCAAGCGTCCAGTTTTAGTTGCACAGAGTATTCAGCTCTGAACTTGAAACCATTCAGAATTTCAATTTGCACGGTGCATGTGTGGCATGTTTGTAACATTTCAAATGTTCTAGGGCTAGGTAGAACAATTCAAATGTTGAAGCAATCAATGCTACAATCTCATAAGCTTAGATCTGAATTCGGCCGGACGAGACTGTAAGTGATCTTTCAAATGTTACCTAGGTAGTACTATAAAATACTAGTACTAAGAGAGCTTGCACATGTGGAGGCGTTAGTCTTATATCGACTAAAATCAATGAGCTCCGCTGCACAGTATCCGTTCAAATGTTCAGGATCTCTTGTATTACTTTTTCCTGACGGCCGTGTGGCCTACCCGGGCGTTGATCTAGTATGTACGCGAATATATCAAATTGATCGCATAGGGATTTGTCTCAAAGTTCACCTATACTACCAAATTACTATGCTAGTCTTAATTAACGCCTTATGTAGGAGAATCAGACCAGGATCATATTTTTTAGCTGATCTCAGCTTGTAAACTCAACTATAACTCAAATTTACGTTACAATCAAGACTGATATGATGCCCTAGAAGTTAGGATCCCCCTTTAGTCCAATCGAATCGGAAGATATTCGTTTTAACATTTGAACTTAGTTCCACTGATTTCAAGGTCTATGTCGCTTTTTCAAATCAGAATTTGACTCTCTCTAATCTACTTAACATTGTCAAGGATCTGAGTCTTAAATGAATCAATTTTAAACTCAATCGGTGTTAAAGTCCCCTATCGCAGTCTGATTTTACTGCATTTCATCCATTCCCCTTTACATATAAGGACTCTTATCCAAATTTAGCTTCTTTATCCTCCACATTCAAGATGGGGGATCGCTTCAAGGGTGATGCAATGAGGCCAGCAGTCAATATGATTAGCTAGTTCTTAGTGGTGTTCAATATTCTAGCTGTGTGTGTGCAAGAGTTGGAGCGAAATTTCGATTGTTTCACAAAATGAAGATTGATGATTTCATCATCATCGCATCAATGGTATAGCTGACAGGCATTAGACTTCAGGTGTCATTTCTGACTGATTGAAATTGCCCAGATATTTAGTATCATCCAGTGCATATGTGTTTCTATGGCCATCGGCTCTGGCTATGGCAACCATTCTCACAACATCAGTGACACTGAATTCTTTGTCATAATGAAGGTTACCATACGTTCTAATCCATTGCTGCCCAGGTGGATTACAAGCTGAGAATATAACTCCCATCACATAGTACCTGTATTCGGGATACATAGTCTTCATTGCAAGTCTCTGTCTCTCCAAATTATCGCTAATCATGTTTATCCGAAACCTGACCTTAATTCCCGAGCATCGTCGCTTCGCTATAGTGGTCGGTACTGCAACCATTATATGGACTATTGTTGCGCTGTTAGGCGCAATCTTTGGTGCTGTTTTCCACTGTGGAATATCTCGGACATGGGTTCTTTGTGATGTGAAATGTTATAATCTGGTGAGTATTGAGATACATGAGCTTCAAGTGCTCAAGTTGGGAACAACGTATGCGATGAGAACTAATACATTAGATGCTCTAATTTAGGAAGCCTGGCGCTACTTCATATGCATATCCAACATCGTGACTGACGCCCTCATAGTCGCTCAAGGCTTAATGATAGCCTTGTAAATCCAGGCTAATTTGAAGAAGCGTGCGCTTGTAGCCACTGTTTTTTTCTACAAGAATACTGTATGATTTAATTGTCAATTTGAACCTATAAGAGACTGTTAACTGAAATTAGTAATTATAGGATGACCGGTGGCATAATTGCTGAGCTCATCTTTGTAACTCGCGCCGTTAACTCTGTTGACCCTCCATATCATTTCTGTCCTGTCACAATTCTACACAACTTAGTTCAATGTTTGAGCATTGTCACAGCTTGTCAGGGTCAACTAAAGCCTTTTATTACTTGGATGGAGCCAAAGAGATATCGAGTCCACGATGACACTCATCAACATGAAACTCTAACTTCTGACTCATCACTGGTCCCAAGACAGCATACATTGACGTAGATGGGATATCTTTGTTTATAGAAAATCAAGTCCTTACCCGTGGACGGTGAATTTATCTACGCATATGTGTTCTACTGTTGTTTTATCTCTATATGATGAAAGAAATGTCATAAAATACTAGTAGGTATACTACCTAGGTAGTATCGAGGACATCTGAACGGTGAGTGTAATATGAGAGCTCTGTGACCAGTTGACTGTATATCTCTCATATGAGTTCTAGCCTGAAGTAACGTAGAGTTCATTATCTACCCAAGTGATGCATATGTGAAGTTCAAGTGAGGAACAAGTGAGAAATAAGCTACGTACAGGTGACGTGATCAGGTGCTACCATGTAGGTAACTGCCAGTGTTCATGTACTGCTTTCCCCTCCATTTTCAACCTCTTCATCCTATTTACATCGCCAGTTCCTTCCAGCATACCCAATACAAACGGAAAATGGGTTTGATTGGAGTAATCAGCTGATACGATTTCCTTTACATAGTTCAGTGGATCTTTCGCCTCCGTCTCAGCTCCTGAACTAGGTGCCATTGCAATCAAATCAGCTTTGAGCAAGTCAAATATTCCCATTGAAAAGATCAGTGATGTGTATATGGGAAATGTACTACATGTTCAGAGATGCGTCGCCCATACCATATATCCTCCAGCCCGAGGAACGAATCGAGAACCTCAAGGATTTTCTGGAAACCGATTTTGGCGAACTACAGCGAGTGAATGTCGAAGCTCTCATTCGCCTATATGAGAGTGGTGAGCTTGGACCACGCAAACAGACTGATCCCCCGGTCTTTCTTGTAGACGGTAAAATCGTTGAGAAGGGACCCCTGGGAATATGACACCTACCCCAATGATGCCGTGAGATGGTGTGAGGTCTGTTCAATGTCCATCAACCTATTATCCAAACAGTTATTCTAATAATATCCCAAGACGTTCCAGCATTACCAGGTCTCTGAACAGGTGGTGCTGCAAGATGGACAACATAATATTCAGCAGACCCTTCATCAGATCATTTGGCAGACTGATTAACAGACCGTTCAGCCAATCGTTCAGCAGACCACTCAACAGGGTATTCAGAAAACCATTGAGCAGGCCATTCAACAAGCTGTTTCCCAGGCTGTTTTACAGCCCAAGCAGAGGTTAAAGACTCGGATCTCTGAGTAGTATGTTTCACCCTTAGTATAATTCTGATTTGGCTGTTTTAGTTGCTTCATGAATTAAAATGTTCTTGTCATTATCGTCATTAAACTTCCACCTCCAACCCAATATAAAAAAAGTCTATGCCAAAAACACAGGAACTCCATAAACAACAGGCGCCGCTCCATTCAAATACTTCAACACACAAGAACCACGAGCACTCGCAATCGCAGTATCCAAACCAACATCATTATTGGATTGCTTTCCCTTGAATAATCCCCAGGTATCAAAAGTAGAAGATGCAAAACGATCAATGTCCTTATCAGTAACATCCCACAATGTAGCCACGAGCGCAGGACTTCCCGCATGGAGATAGTTCATAGGCGTTCCATAGGGCTCATATTCACCAGCCTCGGTCAAGGTTCCACTGCTACATCCCATCAGGAATGTGACGCTGCATTTGGATAATCGCTTGATTGTACGCCCGCGAATATACTGGGCACCACTGCCATGGCCGAAATACAGGAATAGATCCTTTGATTCGAGACAGTCGCGGAATTCGTCTTCTGTTGGCTCGCGGTTCGTGACTCCTTTCCAGGACTTTAATCCTGACAGATCTTCTTCGAAGGTGGCTTGTGTGGTTCGGAGATCGCCGGTAGGATTCAGAAGGTAAGAGCCTGAGGCACGGTCGATAACTGCACCGGAACGAGATTCAGGGAATTGAAGGACTCGTTCGCGGAGACATTGTAGAGATGGGACTCGGGAAACAGGGTACCCTTGGAGACAAGGGAGAGATTCCCAGGGGAATAAGTGCAGAGCCTTGTCGAGTACCAGAATGGTATGACTCGGTGAACGGGAGGCCAGTTCCTCGCGTGCAGCTTCGTGATAGCCTCGCAATGCATCGAGGGTGTCGACAACCATCATGTCAAAGTCGATCTCATCATATGCGTTCCGCTCGCCTTGGAATTGGAGGATATCAACAACAAAGTAGAGAAGATCCATGAGTGTATCTTCAGGCTCCTCGGACTGCTCGAGATCTCGGAGACCGACAAACAGTTCGATCACGTTTCGATGGAGAGTAAGACGAGGCGAAGAAGAGGAAGAGGATGCCTTCCCACCTTTTTGACGTGAGGGGAGATGCTTATCCAGGATACCTTGAAATGCACTGGCAAAACGAGCCAAGGCAGTAGTATCCCGTGCAAGCGGCGAAAACACACCTCGGAACCCTCCAAACCAGATGTTCTCGATATTCTGGAGGAGACTTTCCAGTCGATTATCCAAGCTCTCGCGGGTTTTCCACCACTCTCGCTTCATTTTCTTGTCAATCTGGGCTTTAGCAGCATGCGAACTCTCATTGGCCAGCTTGATCACATCTTGCATCTCTTCCTTCCCATCCTCAAAGGTGAATTGCTCTTCTTCATCATCATCGGAGTTTCCTCTCCGAAGGGGTAGACGGAGTAAAAATGGAGAACGATTCTTCTGTAGTCGGGAAACCACAAACTCGGTATTGTCAGCGCTCAGAGATAGAGACAGCACATTCCAATTCTCGGGCAAAATATCAACATAATTCTCAGCAAAGCTGGAGCAGAGAGTTTCGTCAATTCCGATGGTTGAAGCAGAAGGATTGGGCCAGAGAAGGGGATCAGAAAAGTCGGATAGTTGTCGATCGAAATCAATAGCTAGTCGTTCGCGAGCGAATGCTCCAACACGACCAATTTCTACTTCAATATTAGACAGGTGATGGTCTGGGGAGAAAGAGTTACAACGTACCATTCATGTTCGCAGGTGACTGAGCCCAGGTTGCAGGGCCTGGAGTAGTAGCATGCGATAGCATAGAGATCCGACTCATCAAGCGAGAGGCCGCATGACTCTCCAAGGTAGAACCAAGTACAGTGACATCAGTAAAGACACTAGTCAGGCACTCATTTGCTCTGGAAAGCATTATAGAGAAATCTTCGCTGGCTTTTTGAGCCTTGGAGCGAGTTCCTCTTGTCGGGGCTCTTGCTCTCTTCGTAGCAGCAGGCTTCGCAACTGGTGGACTCAACTCATCTCCTCCTTTGCTTGGTGACTTAAGACACGGTAAAGAGATAGTGGATTCGGGGAGGACACAGTAGACTGCGTGACTTGCAAATTGACGGATTGCCTCGGCTAAAAGATGTTCGCTTTCACCAATTTCAAGCGAGACTTTGCTTTCTCTAGCTGTCGCGAATTGACGTGCCTCGGCAAGTGTACGCGCAGATCGCTCATAATCACGGAGCGCGCGTAAGCAGTCGGCTTGCTGGCGGAGTACATCACTCTTCAGTCGTAGCAAAGAATTCGACTGCACTTCAGGCAGAGGGACTTTGGGTGTCGAGGCCTTCTTAGCAGTCGCTGTAGCCGAGCTAGTTGCACGAGTGCGTCGTGTGGTAGTACTCGTCGCAGTGGTCGCAGTGGTTGTTGAGGGTGTTCGACGACTGCTCCGCACTTGCAACTTTTCCATCTTCGCTTCAAGGAGTGCAACATTCGGAGCCTCTGAGATGCTAGCAGCATCAGAAGATTTCACAGCTGTCACAGCCTTGTCAGCTTCCTGGAGCCAGCGGAGTGCTTTATCATGCTGTCCTTGGACCTTGCACAGAGATGCAAGAGCCATATGCAACGAAACCGTTTCCACGCTAGTCTGAATAAGCTTCGCTGACTCCGATGCTGCAGTGAGAAGCTCTTGTCCATCCTCCACATGGCCTCCAAGGATCCAGTAACAACCGAGCTGTGTCTGCGCTGCTACAAGACGAACATTGGCATCAAGCGTCTTGTCAATCTTCAATGCTTGCTGTCCGTAGTAAATAGCATCCTGGAACAAGCCATGGTGAGCTGACAAGGTGGCAAGGTTTAACAAGCAAGTATGATGCGATCCAAGGTGTGGCCAGAATGGAGCACCTTGAATATAGCTGCCCGAGAGATCTGGAGATGATCCATTTTGAGATAGATCGAGCTTGGCCACACTATCTGCTATGGCTTCAACATCAGAGCTTGCGACAGCAGACAATTGCTTGTCTTGCTTTCGTTGAGCTAGTTTCTCCACCTTTGCCCAGATGCGACAGTTAAGCCTGACAGATAGCTTTGCGAAGAAGAGTGCGTCAGTCATCGATCCCTGAGCAGTGGAAAGACGAGATTGAATGAAGGTGGCGTCTGCAATGAGTCTTTCCCAAGAGATCTTGGACATTACAGACAGATTGGTCATCTCATCTGATTTCTGGCTCTTTTCATACAGGGCTTTAGCTGCCGCAAGAACAGGTGCAGCTTTTTCCACTTCTCCTGTCTCAAGAAGGTACTCCACTCGTGCAAGCTTGTAAGAGATAGTAGCCAGGGAGGAGACCTTGTGTTGGGCAAGATATAGTTCTCCTCGAGAAAGAAGATCGCCGGCCTTCTGACAATGACCCAGTCGACAGTATTGCAGCACCAAACGTGAGAGAATGCTGATCGCATCTGAAAGATCGCCAGTTTGCTGGAGTTCAGCTACTCTGAGAATCAACTCCAAAGCACAGAGCTGGTCTTTCCAAAGACCATGGATTTCTGTGTAGTCAACCAGGGCCTTCAGTTGAAGAACAAAATAGTCTGTATCATTGACACAGAGCAATAATGTTTTCCAGTCAGTGCATTGACGAAGCATGGAGTTCCATGATGCAAGCGTATCTGTGAGCTCGCTGTGGTCCATTTGACCCTTATGGAAGCCAACAATAATGCGCAAGGAGTTGGTGATGTGTTGCGCATATTTCGCCAAGTCGGCATCGTCTCCAAGTTGAATTCCATCATTCAGAGCGTCCGTACTTTCATCCATGAGTCTCTCGAAGAGGCTCTGCTCAAGAGAACCAGGGTGTTCAAGTAAGCAACGAAGAGCGGACAAAAAAACCCGTCCCCGACGTAGAGGGTGGACATAATTAGGGTAGATATAGAGAAGAATTGACACAATGGGCGTCAAAAGTGATCTGAACTCTTCCTCGCTTGAACAGTAATCATGCAAATCAATCAAAATACCCATCTGCCACTCAAGAAGTACACCTCTTTGTTTGGATTCTAGCTCAACGGTGTCGAAGAAGCCGGCTGACTTGGAGCTCTTCCTTCGCAGCTTCATCTTCATAAACGCCGAGAGAACACGACCCAACATAAAAGTAGGACTTTGAGTGTTTTGACTCCCTGAAACAGCGTGGGTCACCGAGCCACTTTCAACTATTTCTTGAAGAGCATTCGATTCGATGTGCTCTGTGATGGACTGTCGGAAAGCCCTCTCAGACTCTGAGTGCATATTGCCTTCCAAGTACAGATGAGCCATTCTCTCAAACTTCAGTGCTGCAAATGCAGTGCTGCGGAGTGATGGTGGGCAACCGGAGATTATTTGAGTAGAATGCTTGAGCAGGGGCAACAGAGTATCATAACTTTGACCAGCCTCCTTCTCTTTGATATAGCGAGACCAGAATAGGTTGGAAAGCTTCACAAGCCCTGTCCCAATGGTTGAAGCATCGGAGCAAGTTTCGTCGGCACTTTCAATACTGGTGAGCAAACGATGGCAGTCTGTCAAAATAGGAAGCATATCATCCCACGGTGGTCTTTGTGACACGATTGATAATTTTCCAACGGCAACAGATGAGTCAATAGCGGCCATGATGATGTTTTTGCATCTATCGACACGCTCTGTAAATAAGTCATGTTCCTTCTCATCACTCTCCTCTGTAGGCGGCCTTCCAACGTAACGCCTCAGAAATCGCAGGAATGCTTGAAGATATTCTCGAATTTGAGATGCCACTTCGTTCTTTTCACTATCCTCATCAAGAGCTTTCGCGATAGTTTCACCAAACCAGGAGAGTGCAAGCTTCTTTAACCGAGCAGCCTCAACGAGAAGTTCATCCAGGTCAGTAGCACTACCTCGAAGTTGTAAACCCAAGGAGGATGTAGCGTCTGATGTTGCTTTCAATGCTCCCTTCAAGTATTTTCCAGAGTTCTTCAAGCCTTGAAATGATACAGAAGCAATTTTGCATTGAACAGTAGCCAACGAGAGACTTTGTGAATTTGACAAAGCTGGAAGAGCCTTCGTGAATAATTTGAGTGATTCGTCCAAGCACCCAGCATCCAAAGCAAGCTGTCCAAGAAGGACCATAATCTTGGCAGTTAGACTCACATCCTTGGACTCGGGGGGTGTCTTCTTGATTTCTGATGTAGAAGCCTGAATTCGTGTGATTGTCTTGAACACAGTTGCAAATTCGGACTTTTCAACTGCTTTGCTGCGATGGGAGAAGCTTCCAAGATATCGGAGAAGAGGATCATGGACTTCTTTGCTTTCATCGCATACGTGACCAGATATCTTCCATCCCAAGCATCGAATCTCTAATGAGAGAAGTTGAAGACCCAGGACAGTGATTGGCTTCAATGCATCCTTGTTCACTGCAGAACCTTCAGCGGATGAGGGCTTTCCAGCACAAAGAGAAAGCACGGTATTCGAAAGGAGCTGAAGCTGAAGAGCAGCTTTATCATCTGATAAGCTTCCGGCCTTCAAAGCAGCCAGAATCATTTGTGCGGGACTACTGGGATCGGAGATCTGTAAGAAGGGACAGAGCTTGAGAATTGTGGAAGCTTTCCGATCCGCAGCAAGAAGTCGCATTGCGTTCGCTTGAAAGGTAACAAGCAGACCGTATGTATCCTGTGCAGCCGAGAGATTCGAGAAGGTCAAGAGATCCGACATCCTCTCCTTTGCGGTTTCGTCGTCCCCGGTATCAGTTGCAGCCGTCGCTTTCTTTCCGGTCTTTTTCATGTCTAGGTGTTGCTGGATTCGTCGTTTGAGCGATCTTAATTCCTTGCTCGCCATCTCGTTTAGTCCCAACGATATCAATTTCCCTGATAGTACGCATACTCCTTGCTCGAGCTGCATATTCAATGTTTCTTTGTTTCCTTGGTCGCTTTTCAGAGTTCTCAATGTTGATAAGGCGAGTCGGGCGCACTCCGCGGCGGAACTGACCCCCGCATCTCCGGAGCCATTGGTCTTTTTTGTGGATGTCGGAGAAGATTTCTCGGTAGTTGTGGTCTGGCGCTTGACAGGAGGGGATTTTAACGCGTCGGTGAGGGTCTTGAGGGTGGTGTTGAATACCTCTGTGGCGAGGAGGAGTTTCTCTTGGGGGTTGAGTAGGGGCGCATCTTGGTCGACGAGAGAATGTAGCGCATCGCCCGTAGAAGCTGTCTTGGTCTTTCGGGTGGTAGTAGCTCTACTTGTTGGCCTTGATGTATCTTTCGTTGACTTTGTACCTCGTCGCACAGGCTTCTCGGGTGCTTTCGATGTTGCGCGGAGGAGGCTTTGGAGGGACAACACAGTGTTATCGGAGCATGTTGTTGTTGACCGGACAGCTAGCTTCACAGCATCAGTCATAGAGCTGGTAGGTAGTACAGTGACTGCCATAGTGCTGTAATTAGGCGAGCAGCCAGCCTGCAGTCGTCGAATTGGGCGAAATTGAGGCTTTGAAAGCTGATATCATCAGAACCCGACGAACTCCCAATCGAACGTGTGTTGTCGCAGCAACAATAATAACACGCTAGTCTAAGTTTGGGTAAAGGCCTTATCGCCTTATCGCCTCAGGCATTCAGGTACTAAGGCATCAAGGCATCAACATAATCTCGGCCAATGCGGGTCTTGTTGCGGCGGATTTTGTTGCGATCTCGCCGCTATCTCATCATTCATAGCCAGAACTATGACTTTCAAAATGAGGGTCTCAGGACTCGGTCGGAGCATCCTCTCCGCATCTACCACATTTCAACTCCCGAACCGATGCTCAGCGTCTAGCCGCCGTTTATACGCCAGCTCACACTCCCTCCCGAAGATCGCAGACACCTCAGTATGGACATCAATGATCCCCAGATTCATTCGGGAGCGCAAATCCGGCCCGTCGAAGAAATCCAAAGAATGGAACCCGGCGACCTTCTACATTGTCATGTTCACTTTGATCGGATCACAAGCTATTCGAATGCTATCACTGAAGAATGGTTATGCGACATATACCCGCAGCGTGGATGCGAAGATTGAATTGTTGAGAGGGGTTATTGAGCGGATCCAGAGCGGCGAGAAGGTTGATGTGGAGAAGTTATTGGGAACGGGGGATGAAGGCAAGGAGCGAGAGTGGGAAGAAGGTACACTATTGACCTACACCTACATCTATTCGTATGTTTTATCTAACATGGGCATCTTCAGTACTGCGCGAAATCGAACAAGAAGATAGTTTATGGCAACAGAGACGGGCTAAGGAATCTCCGAAGGAATCCTCGGAGACGAAGATGGAGTCAGTTCAAAGCTCAGAAGACAAGCAACCAACGGCGCCTGCTACAGCGAGTGTGGATAACGAGTCTGCGACAAAGGCGAAGTCGACTCGAAAATTGAACTTCTTCTAAGCGAAGATGGCCACTATAATTGGAGATTCGAAAGTCGCCTGGCTGCCGTGAACTTGGGCTTTCTCTGAATTGTACACCCAGCTTCGAACAGAGAACGTCTCACTCCAACTGTCATTCCGTCTTCCAATCTCGGGCTTTCTGTCTGAGAGCCGAATTATTGTACAAATATCTGCTGTAAGCATTCTGCCATACAGGGCAGAGAATATTCACTCCACCCGTGATCTCGGTTCTCTTGTTTGATCGCATTGTTGATGCCCATGTGTAAATAGAAGTTTGTCATATGCTAGCGAAAATGTTTTACCATCTATATTTATCTAACGCGGCGCTTGATGTCGAATTGATTTTAAAGCAATTTGGACTTCAAGGAATCTGGAGGTATAGCTTATAGTATTTTCCAAGTACTTGGATGCTCTTCATTGAACAGTAAGAACTTGAAGCTGACTCTATCTGCTCTAATCTACTATACACCTGGACAGTACTTCAAGCCAACAAGACAATATGATCCTGCACATGTGAGGCTTGAAAGATACTAGTAACAGCCTGCAGCCTGCTAGATACAGTGCTGGGATGAAAGTCGGCAAAACCATCATGCAATCAGAAACTTCAAGTTGAACCGCTTCTATAGTTCCCCCAGTGCTTTCTAATCTATGTGCTGTTGTATAATGCACATCAACCATCCAAGAAAATGAGAATAAGAAAAGATCATGCAGAAATTTTGCCCCAACCCATCCATGAGCCCACATTCATAACACAAGTGGATAAATCAAAGTATATCCGGAGGGCGATAAACCCGAGAGACAGCAACAAACACAAATGAAATGGGTCAAATATCTGATGCTAAATGGGGCGCAATAGAAAAAGGAAAAAATGAAAAGATGGCAAGTAAAATGGCAAGCACCAAATGAAAATCATCGCTATGAAATCAAAGACATATCACTGCTTGGACCCCTGCATGATCTTGGGCCAGTTCTCAGGCCGAGGGACCTGCACCCGGCCGATGTTTGGCTCCAGATCCAGGATCAGCTTCAATGCGTTCCTTGATCGGAGGTAAGGAAGAGGAGCAGTGGCACTTGCCAGGCCAACACCTGGTTCCACGTGTCCGGTAGGGGTCTCATCCTCATGAGAGCCAGGCAGAGGAAGCGCCTTCTGCAGGACTTCGTAAGCGGCAAGGGTGAAACCGAATTGTGGTGAAGAACGCAGGATACGAGCTGGGCCACCCTTGAAGAAGGCCTTCAGACCCTCCTCCTTCCAGATGGTGCTAGCACAGTGGCGCAGACCAGTGTACTTGGTATCACCCTTGCGAGCCTCTACTTGCAGACGAGTCTTGATCACATCACAAGGTGTGGTCAAGTAAGCCGCGGGCATACCGGCGATAGCACCGGCAGTCAGAAGTTGTACAACACCGAGCTTGTTAGTGGCGGTTTCACCGAAGAAGTCAGACTTCAAATGAGCGTATGTGGGGAAGTAAATGGCAGAGAATGGAACTGGAATATAGTCAGTTGACTATCACTTGGAGGAGTAGAATATCTTCAATCTTACCATCACGGAGAAGACAAGCGCTGGCTCCCTTGTACAAACCAACGAGACCCAGGTTCTTCACGATCCAGAGAGCGGAACGGCGAGGAGCACCCTCGACGTTCTTTGCAATCTCACCCTGCACTTGCAGACGAATCTTGACGATTTCAAGAGGGTTTGTGAAGACCTAGAACACAATAATCAGTACCTCTCAAGCTATAGGAAGTGTTATCTGCGCTAACTTACCACTTGACAAGCACCAGCAGTACCACCGGCCAAAATCTCATGGGGCAACTTGATGCGCTGGGTGTCCTTATCAGTGAAAGTCCCACGGACCAGATCGTTAACAGTGAGCTTAATGGCCTTCTCTGGGGCCACACCGATCAGCTGTGGGATGACACCAGAGTAAAGACCAGTAAAACCCTCGTTACGGATAACCTTTCTCGCGCAATCGATCGAGTTGTTGTACAGACGCTCACCAGGTCGGTTGGAACGCTGGTTCTGCATACGGGTCTTGACTAGATCAATGGGGTACACCATGAAGGCACCGAAGGCACCCGCGATACTACCCAGAGCAAAGTGGTGCGCCGATTCCAGCACGCCGTGAAGGAAGGACTTGGTCTTGTCAGCGGCCTCCGCAGCAGCCTGGCCAGCCATGGCAACGGGGATACGCCATGAGGCATCAATGACCTTGGCGAAATCCTTCTGTGCAAGACGGCCGGATGGCGCATCCAGACCGGCAAAGTGGAACAGGATATCAGCCTCCATGGGGGTGAAAAGAGAGAAACGGGTCACGCGAGCAGCCTCGTTCAGGAAATCGGAACGAGTGATCTTGCCATCGCTGCTCTTCTTAGTAGCTCCACGGACAACCACATCAATGATGTCCATCTCGCGCATGATGTTCTGGAAAGCACGAACGGTAGCGTAGGAGATCTTGTTGCCGGCGGAGATGTTGCACAAGGAGGGCAGGTTTTCGAGGACATGATCGGACAGCTTGTGCTTGGAGGTCTCGAGAATAATGCGCTGGAAGTCCTCGGGCTCGATGTATCCATCACCATCCTTGTCGAAAACGTGGAAAGCTTGGCGAATGCGCTCGCCCTGCAGGCCACGCAGCATCTGGGAAAACTGGGGGTAGGTCATATCGTGGCGCGTCTTGGTGCGACCTGTGTACAAGGAGGCCCATTCGGAATTCCAATCGAAGGGAATGCTTTCGGCGGTTTTGTTCATGTTGTACAGACCCTGAACGGTATCAAACTTGACGGTACCGGTTCCATCAAGGTCAAACAGGCGAAAGGCAATCTCGTACTCGGCATCGGGCTTCGCGAGGAGGTTCTCGAAGGTCGCCCAGTCGGACAAGTTGAGCTTTCCGGTTCGTCGGCGGTCTGCCACGCTGAACAAGATGCCATATTGGTCGCGCTTGATCTTGTGCTAGAGGGGTAAAGGTAAGTCAGCTGCCTGTCCTGGTCCTTGATCTCTCGGTCATAGTTTGATTGAGGTGGAATGCGACAGGAACTTACGTAGTCCTCGTGTTTAGGAGCAACGGCGTTGATAAAGTCATCTTCGGTCATGAACAGTTCACCATTTTCGTCCTTCTTTGAATAGCGGAGGAAATTGGATCGGGCTTGGTGCGACAATTGGGGCACCTCTGTGCTGCCGACCAATTGCTCCTTGACAGCTTCCTTAATGTTGGTCATTGTGGTACAAAGCAAAGGGTATATTTTTCAAGACAACGCAGCGTGACCCAGACGCGAGAATCCACCGTACACAATGGGGGGAAAGAAGGGAAGAAGGGGAGATCGAGTGGAGAAGGGGAGGGATTGAGTCAAAAAAGGAATGAACTAGCCACCGGGTGAGAATCCATATTTTTTCATTATGCATGACTCGGATTATTCATTCTTCTTTACTTTACTTTACTTTACTTTACTTTACTTTACTTTGCTTTAAATTATTACTAAATTGAATTTGTTTGATCTTAATTTATTGCATTATTCAAATTGATCTTTTTATCTTATATTTTAATTCTTAATTGATCTATAATAAGATTGGCCACATCCTTGGTTAGAACAATTTTTTCATTCACCGCTCACAGTATATAGTACATAGTAAGTAGTACATAATGTAAATTAATATAAGGGAAGTATTCCGATCCCACGCTATTCCCCTATTTACCCGGCTGATCGATCATCGGCATTGGGACCGACGCCATTTTATCATTTTGATTTAACATGGGCGTTTTATGTACTTCCTTCTTTGCATTTTGTGTATACATACGGAGTGGATTTTTTTTTTTTCTCTTTCGTGATCGATTTGCCACTCCGAGCCACGGTACCCAGCAGGGGCGACCCAATGATCTACGAGAATGCGGAAGATGGAATATGTCAAAAGAGAAAAGAAAAATTCAAAACAAAAGTGATCATGTGGACAAATCGGGGTGAAACCGGGGAGATTTTCGGTGTGCACATCCAGAGTGAACATTTGAACCGGGTGTCTCCGTGTTCGGGGGCTCCAGATGTCATAGTGCGGAGTCCTTTAAGGAAGAAAAGGAAGAAAAGGGAGAAAAAGGCGCAAAAAGTTGGAGACTTTGGAGAAGATAAATCCTTATTGGTTCTAGTCTGATTTCCCCCCATACCCCCCATTCTCGGCTTAACTCCGGCTCTCCGCATAATAACTTGGTCAACTGGTGATGAAAATATCATAAATTCGATATTCCTAGTTCAAATGTTATAGACATGATAATTCTCGAACAAAAACTTCTGGAAAGGTCAATTGGAAATATTGGAATAACTCTATATATTGACATAGTCAACTAGTAGACGCTTAAACCTGCCTATTATGGTACTCAGTATTCACGGTCCCGGTGCTCGGATAATTAGCCTCGGATGATTGTCATGCATACATAGATGAACATGATTGACTATTATTCCAAGATCTTAAATATCCGGAAGTGTTGGAATTAATACCCTTGGTTTCTGTGTGACTCATAAATAATCGATTAGAAACAACTTGAACTTGACATTTGATATATCGCAGGGCTGAGATCAGACCATACTGCCAGGTGTAGTATATACCATCAACAAGACATCACGTGCTGTCCAGTGCATAGAATCACTGTGGAGAATATACAACTTGAACTTCAAGTTGAACTTCAACCTTGGAAGTTAGTAGTGGACCACTGCTAATCTCTCGGCTTTTCCAATCGAAGCAATCGAAACAATCCCCGTTCCACAGGCAACAGAACCAGCATCACTCGATTGAAATAGAACGCCGCCGAAATAACCGCAACTCCGACCACCCCATCCAGAATGAAGTGGTTTGCCGTCGCAACAACGGTCAACCCCATCATAATAGGCCAGAGAACAGCAATCGCTCGAAGGAACACATGGGGGCTATACATCACCAAACAAAACGCAATAAGAATAGAGTTCCCAAAATGCAACGACGGCATAGCAGCAATCGTCAACTGGAACTTATTCTGAGTCCATGCAGAACCTGAGTTCCCATTATGGAGGACATCGATGAACCCATACTCCTCTGGTAATAGACGAGGTGGCATACACCGCCATAATGATATGATGCTAAATGCGATAACATTCTCCAGCGCCAAGGTTCGTCGGATACCTTGGTATCGAGCTCGAGAGAGGAATGTATAGCAGTAAACTAGAAATGCGACTCCGAGAACTATGTGAGAGTAGTAGATTTTGGCTAGAATATTCATTAGCCAGGGGTACCGATCAAGGATGAATCGTTGGGTGGAGAGTTCGATATCGAGGAAGAGGTGGTGTTCCAACGAGAGAATTTGAAGTGCATGGTCTTGGGCGAGTTGGAAAATAGGTTTATTTCCTGCGATGACCCGTGCAGAGATAGCTCGACAGCCTTGATAGATCTAAAAAGTAAAAGGCTCAGTTTGGATTCGAATGAATTTGGGGGTCTTGGGCACTGGCATAGTCTTGGGGTGTAGTTCCGTTTGAGATACATACCCAATAAGTTAACAGCCAATACAGAATCTCCACCAGAAAGGGAAATCGGGCTAATATTCGTGAGTAGAGATATTGACTGTTCCTGACTGAGCGTGATTCGGCCGCATGGATTCCCGACTCCTGATCTTCCGGATGTTCCTCAAGCAGCGGTGTACGATGGTCTGCATCGAGTATCTGTGACTTTCTCCGGTTGACCCAAGTTCCGATGGTGAAAATGGCAACGATGGCTGTGAGGTGAGTTAAATTTCTCAACTTCCTAGTGGATAGTGTTATCACTGACCCCCAGGCTCCACGATATTCTTAAATGCGCCCATTGCAGCCCAATATGTGATGTAATCTATATACAGACCAAGACCAGGTACTCGACCTGGGGAAACCCTAGTAGATACGAAATCGGGTGTCTAAAAGACCGAGAAAGTCCAAAAGGAAGGGTGGTGATACCTCTTGAAGTGGCTCGGGATCAAAACTGGGGAGGGTCAAGATTGAAAGAGCCTCTTAGCCCCAGCTTGACTCGGGAGGGGCGGTTTCCGATCTTTGATTCAGGTTCAGGGCTCAACTCCGACTTCCGTACCTCGGACGCGTATCCGGATCTGCCCATTCGTGGAGACTTGATATCCCTGCAAAAATTACCCAACTAGGAAAGTATAGGTCTCTTGCGCTTGCGTACAGAGAGCTCATCTCCACCATGTACGCCTCTGGCGACTAAAAGGGGCCATTTTTACCCAGGCGGGAAGGGTCCAGGGCACTGTTTATTTTAAGCTATTGAGCTTGAATATTGCAAGCTTTTGGACGAGTTGGAAGAGGGGGGGAAATCCATAGATGATAATTTCCAACCCGGCTGGTTTGCTGTTCATGTGGTATCCAGGTGGCACTGATGGGAGCTCTAATTCAGATCTCCCAGATGCCCCTGATCTTCACATGTGCATCATGAACTGACCCCAATCGGCAGCGGATAGATACAGATATCTCTGGTAAAGAGTGAAATTTGTCTGGGCGCTTGATTATAGTGATTACTACTCGTACTTGCGTAGGTACATGAATACGAGGATGATCGCCATGATTAAAAATAACCTTGGATTTAACACCTCTTGGAATTAAGTGGAGTCTATCCACTCGAGTTCCCCAATACTCAAATTCAGGAACCTCAACAAGGCTAATAATAGTACCTACTACTCGGTAGGAAATCCTTATTGCCTTAATTCTAATAAGAAAGGATTAATCCGTACGGAGTACTGCCAGTGGTAGTGCAGTGTGATGTGGGGAGGCAATTTTCGGATTGCAAGGATCTTGGGCGGCAACAACAAAAATAGAAGAAACAGCAGAAATAGCAGAGATAGCGGGGAGAAGAAGAAGCAGAACAACTCGATCATCCAGTTAGAGATCTTCCGAGATCAAGAGGATTGAAAAGAGGGGTAATTGTACTTTTATGATTGATACCATGTTGTCTCCTGCATCCAAGCGAGAGAATGATTGGATCTAAGCTTTGAACGGGTGCGTGGGCTGCAGTAAATGCCAGGATATCACAGCCTATCACACAGAATACTACCACAAAATACCTATTGGACCCAAATTAGGAGATCTGGTTGGTGGGGTGATCAAGATAGATTTTACTAAAGTTGGAACTAATGTGTGATGGGGAAAGTGATGGGTGCGTGGAGTTGCATGGTGTGGGCGCTTACAGCAGGATTCGTTATTGGCCCCGACCTATATCGAGCAATAACCCGCCCCCCCATTCCTGAGCTATACTTATATAGCCGCCCATCTCTTCTTGTGAAACTATTCAAGTTTCTATTTTCCATTTCTATTCCTTATTCTCATTCTATTTTCGTCGGCGCTTCGTTTTGGCTGGTTCCAAACGATCCCTTATCTTTTTAGTCTGATCTCTCTTCGACTCAACGTCAATTATCACTTCGCTCATACTCCATTACTCTACTACTCTTCTTCGCCCTTTGTTGATCAAAGCTCCTCTGCGAAAAAGAAAATCCATATACCCTATTCTACTCAGTACATCGTCAAGTGAAAATCGTCAAGTCACAATGTACGCTCGCGCTGCCCGTCCTCAGTTGGCCTTGAACACTGCCGTTGCGCAGAATACTCGCCCAACCCTCAAGCTCAAGTCACCCGTCGTGGCTCCACGAACACCAATCTCACCAGTCTCTGCACAAAGTCCAGCAGTTGTGAGATTCTCGACATTCCAGGTTCCCAATTATGCATACACCAACTCTTGTTCAACGAAGAGTATCCTCAAGAAGCACCAGTCAGGACGTCCGGAGACATCAGAAAAGCGCATTCAATTCCAATTCACACCCACAGTCTACTGTGTGACGCCTATTGAGAATCCAGATGAATACTACGGAACACATACCAAGATGTCTCGCGAAGAACGACGTTGGTCGGTTCGCCAGTGAGCTTTTCTTGGATCTCAATTCAATACGGTGGTCCTGTCCGAGTCAAGCGGAGATAGATCAAAGTCCAAGGAGTTCGACATGGTATTTTCGGAAACCTGCAGTGAAGATGAAGCAATGATGCTTTCCATGTTTGGCTTGCATCATCAGCTTTCTCTCTGAGCTGAAGATCGCACCAAAGAATCCCAACTTGGTCACTTGGTCATGGTGATAGATGGAAAGCTCCAAACTACCAGACGTCTTGCATTTGTCCGACGATGCATGATATCGCGATAGTTCATATACCGTCCGAGCTTGCCATGCACCGTCTTGAGTTTGATTCAGATTGGAGGTGTTGAGGTTGGGATATTCTGATGATTGATGACTACGATTTTAGCATACACATGTATATTCCCCTCCCCTGTATAGTCAGTCTTTACAGATGCGAACATATTTTGGCGATCAGACAATTTGATTTATTTGCATCAACATGCATGCCCTGGTGGCTGTATGAACCACTTGACAATTGCTCAGTTGGATTTCCGTCTGTGAAAGTAGATTCATACGTAGTTGCTATTATAGCATGTATTGTAAAACTGAAGAGGTCAACTGAGTCAAAAAGAGTCTTGAGTACCCGAATCGGAAAAGAGGTCTATCTCCTGTAGATTCCAGACTATTGTAAATTACTAAAGTGAACATCTCACCCTTGGAAAGGTTATATACTGGTGTTAGGGCAGGCTTTGAGGGCTCGCTGGTCCGTGCGGTTCCGGTCTTTTCTCGCGCGACACTCCAATGTTCCAGCTCTTCAATGTTCTTCTCAACAGCTTCAGTTGCGACTTTGCGCAAGTCGGTCACTGGATTATCGCGCAGGATATCCAGACAACGGAGGGATTTACTAACCCTCGCAATTGAGACATCATGGTGAGTGATCGAGATAGCTCCAGGAGTGCAAAGTAGTTTCCATACTGATACTCTTTGCAATAGTGACGACACATCAGTAGCGATCGTCGAAAAGACCAGTGAATCACCTCTTGTGAATAAAGCCAAAATCCACTTCCTCGAGAACATAACCTGCGACTCGCGAGCACACCGCGGCATCCACCCTGTCCTCGCCCTCGAATCCCATCAAGAGAACCTTGCGAACCTCGTCGATAAAGCTCTCGGATACCTACCAGCCCCCAAAAATGGAGAAAAAACAATCAGTCTCAGAGATGGATCGAGTCGCCGGCGACCGGATCTCATCTCAGCTACTAGAGGACCTGGGATGCGTTCGAATCTTTTCGTCGGACTCGATACTGGGAAGGCTCTCTCGGTTGCATGGCAAATACCTGTGGTAGGAGTTCACCATATGCAAGCGCATCTATTGACTCCTCGACTGGTCTCTTGCATGGAATCAGGAAACAATGAATCCACGACATCGGGGGCCATAACACCCGAGTTCCCGTTTCTGTCTATTCTTGTTTCGGGTGGACACTCAATTCTGGTACACTCGCAGTCTCTCACAGATCACAAGATCTTGGCTTCTAGCGAGGATGTCGCAATTGGTGATACTTTGGATAAGGCCGCCCGTGATATCGTACCTGCTTCTCTGCTGCAAGAGGCTAAGAGTACAATGTATGGCAAGACTTTGGAACAATTTGTCTTCCCGAATGGCCCTACGGATTTCGCCGACTATCGTCCGCCACTTAATCGCGGAGAGGAGGTTATCAAGAAACAGAGCCCGTGGGGTTGGAGCCTTACTACGCCGTTTGCTAATACTAGGGCACTGCGGCTTAGTTTCTCATCAGTGGCGAGTACGGTTAACAAGATTGTCTCCGCTCGAGAGGACCAACTATCTCACGAGGAGCGCGTCGATCTTGGACGAGAGGCGATGCGTATTTCTTTCGAGCATCTTGCGTCACGGACTATCATTGCACTCGAGAGTCTTCGGTTGAGACACCGTGATGAAGAAGAGATCAAGACACTAGTTGTTAGTGGCGGTGTCGCGGCCAACAGATTCTTAATGGCTGTGCTTCGATCATTCCTGGATGTTCGAGGATTTGACCATATCAAGATTGTTGCACCGCCTCCGAGTCTATGCACGGATAATGCAGCCATGATTGGATGGGCGGGCATTGAGATGTTTGAGGCCGGATGGCGATCTGATTTAAGCTGTCGTGCTCTTCGGAAATGGACACTTGATCCTGAAGCCGAAGATGGAGGAATCCTAGGTCCGAATGGATGGATTCGAGACGCCGAGTCAGCTCAATGAGTGTATATTAGCGATAGCAACAGTCCCTTTGGACGCCCCCATATTGTAAATTAGATATATTTATAGAGACAAATCTTGGTCCTGTCGGAGATCTTAAACCCATTTTATGCTTTTATGAAGTACATACAACTGTCTCATGCTAGACCAATAGTACCTCAGATAATCAAACGCCGATGCAATGTTACAGCACAGTAGGTGCGAACCTCCTTTCCTGTCCATCCGAATCCTTCCACCACATCCCAGAAACCGCCGCAGTAGGGTATCGATGATGCGCCGCTCTAATCCGTGAAACATAAGCAAACCTAAGGTCCCTGTGCTATGTAGGGACCGAAAAAGAATAATGAAACGGTAGATCCAGATATCGTGGATCAGCCTCCGACAACAGGGCCGCCTTTCTGCAGGGCCGCGACTTGCTTGCGGAGCTCGACGAAGAAATCCTTGCCGTTTGCCATCGTGTTGGCTGGAATGGTCAGTGACCAGTCCGTATAGTTGGATAATAATATTGTATCATGAGGGTAGTCTGCATACATTTCGCGCCCCAAGGACCGCCCGATCGTTGGCTGCTCGCATCTTTTCCAGTTGGTTTGTAGAAGATTGGCTTTGTTTCTGCGAGAATGAACCAGTTAGACATAATTGAAGTGGTGGTTCGATAAGGAGAGAGACGTACCATTAGGTCCTGTGATAACAATTGGGACGTGCTGGTCAGTTTAGTCGGGTACAGAGATACAGAGTCCGGCCTACCTCTCTTCAGGATGCTCTTAGCTTCAGCAGTGTTGAAGCCTCGGACAGAAACATGTTGTTCCTGAGATGAGCTAGTGTTCCCCCAAGTATTGTTTCCACCTTGCGCGCCCCCTTGTCCACCAGTGCGATCGCGGTTTGCATTGCCAGAGTGACGTTGCGACGACTGGCGACCGGGCCCACGCCACCTAGAGGATCAGCGAATTATTAGCAAGACTGGCCATCATCATAAGATAAAAAGAAGGTAGATACTTGTTTTCACCAGATCCACTCATATCTCAAAACGAAATGAGTTCCTTTTTGAAAGTTATTGAACTCGCTGTTCCAGGAGTCAGTATGCGGGGAAGCTTGTGTACTTGGACCGGAGCTGTGGCCAGAGTTGGAATAGACACCTAAGGCAGATATCCCCCCGTCTCCGCCTTGAACGATAACAAAGCAACTTCCTGAGATGCACTAATAGTATTTCCTTCAAACTTAGGCTCACTTTAATTATTTCAGCGCTGTTACTCTCTTTTTCTTAGTTGCTTGGTTTGCTTGTATCGAGTGTTGCCTTAATTTACACCACGTTGTTGTATTGCTACCCTCCCCTGAGTACCGACTTATCGATTGTCAATCCATCCCAAAGCCAACGCCGATCAACAAAAACGGGGAGGTTATCAAAGCTTCATGGAATGATATGGCACTTATGCCTAGAAAATCCATTTCAAGCAGACCATCCCGTTCTACTCCCAAGTCAACCACCAAACCAACCCGAAGTAGCCTTCACTCCCCTGAAGGTCCTCCTTTAAAGAAGCGCAAGTATGTGCCTGGCGGCCGGGGGGAGGTGGACGATTCATCGAAGTTGAACTAGCCGAAGAGATTACACCTCCTACCCCAGATAAGAAAACCACTTCACCCAACAAACCACCCACCAGCGCACGAGGTCGCCCTCCACTCAAAATGAACCATAATATTCATGCCCCTCCTCCTCCACCTCCTGTACCTACAACGCCGCCATCCGTGACGCGTCCCCGTCGTGATAAGAGCCAAAACCGCGGTCGCTTCACATCATCAACAGCCGCCGCGCTGGCGTTACAACAAGGCGATGGATACAAACCACGTGAAGAAAGAGGCTGGGAAGAGTTCCATCCTGACCTAGACATTGATGGCAAGATAGCAGTCTTCACTGCCGAGGAGGTGGACACAGTAGACCCGGCTGCTCACGCCTTGACTCTCGAGGCACTGGCTGGTGCCACTATCTCAGATGGCTCAGGTAGCCCAATGATCTTGTCGCCGGACATGGCATCCCCCATACCTTTCAAGCGCAGACCTGGACGTCCGCCACGTCGCCCAGAGGCGATTCTTAATGCTCTACTTGCTCAAAAACAGGGTCCCAAGATCATCCCTCCACCAGGTCCAAACCCTCGCGAAAAGTTAACCCTACCTAAACCCTCGTTCCGACTCCAAGATCCATTCACATTTTACGAGAAGAAAGGCGTTGGTCAACAGAACTATGTCGACCGCACTATGGCCAGTGTTGGATACCAAGAAAGTGATCTGTTTCTCCGCCACGATCGTCGCTTTATTCGAATGACCGAAGGCGCTCAAGAAGATGATATGGATGTCATTCAGCCTGCCACGGCAGAGGGTGATGTCAATGCGATGAGTGGACGCGTCGAGTACGACATGGACGAGCAAGATGAGAAATGGCTGGACGACTACAACGCTAAGCGTAGGGAGGACCAACTGGAACCTATTAAGCCTGCTATCTTTGAGATTACCATGACAAAGATCGAGAAGGAATGGCATGCGCTAGAGAAACGGATTCCAAAACCAAATCCCAAGCCTCCGCAAACACAGCGCCCGCGATCCAGCTCGGCTGCGGCTGTGAACGGAGAGACTGCTGGACCCGGGGAAGAACAGGACAGCAAGTGTGCTATCTGTGATGATGGTGATTGCGAAAACTCCAATGCGATCGTCTTCTGCGATGGCTGTGATCTTGCTGTCCATCAGGAGTGCTATGGTGTTCCCTTCATTCCTGAAGGCCAATGGCTTTGTCGGAAATGCCAGTTACTTGGACGAGGAACTACCAATTGTATTTTCTGTCCAAATACCGAGGGTGCGTTCAAGCAAACCACTTCCTCTAAATGGGCTCATCTCTTGTGCTCTATTTGGATCCCTGAGGTTTCAATCGGCAATCCATCCTTAATGGAACCCGTCACAGATGTTGAAAAAGTACCGCGCAGCCGATGGAAACTGCTTTGCTACATTTGCAAGCAGAAGATGGGATCCTCGATCCAATGTAGCAATAAGAGCTGTTTCGTTGCATTCCATGTGTCTTGTGCGCGTCGCGCTCAGCTTTATCTGAAGATGAAGATTGGCCATGGGCTCATGGATTCTCATCTTCTCAAGGCATTTTGCGATAAACACGTTCCACAAGACTGGCGACTGGAGCATGGGACCGATGCTGCGACTGCAGATGCAATAGAGTACTATCGCAATACCATGCAAGGTAAACGATGGGGCGATAGCCAAGCCGCGGCGTTATCCATGGGACCTGCGCATATTGATGAAGAGGAAGAGCGTCTCCACACTCCCCGCATCACTCTCACTGTCGGCGGTAACAAACGCAAGCGCGCGCCTCCAAGAACGATCTGGAAGCTACCTTCTGGTGCTCCTGTCATTCCACAAGTGCTTCTAACTTCAATCGTGGCTTGTCTTGCTCGGTTTACTGTTCGTGGTCGAAAGCAGTATGCGGAAGATGCTTGCAAATACTGGACACTGAAGCGTGAGGCTCGTCGTGGAGCTGCTCTACTCAAGCGACTCCAACTCCAGCTCGAGACCTTCTCATCTATGGAAATGACTCGGCGAGACTACATGGCCATGGGTGCGACGGGTCATAAGCGTATCCATCGTCGTATGGAATTCGGCGAGCGACTCTACAAAGACCTCGATCGTCTGAGAATGCTGTGTGATGAAGTTAAGAAGCGTGAGAGAGAGAAGCTTAAGGATGCTGAGATGCTTCGAAGCATTGTCGATATTGTCTACTTCCCAGTATTCCCTTTGTTGTGGCCAATCTTTGAGAAAGCTCAAGTGTAAGTTTTACCTTCATTCCTGTTGGGTGGAAATTGGAAACTAATATTCCTACAGTCTAGATGGAAAAGGAACTTTCGCGGCTGGTCTCTTATCCATTCGCAAACGCTTGCAGGAACGATTTTATCCCTCTGTATCATCTTTCTCTGCTGATCTTGCCAGTCTCTTTACTTCGGAGATCGGAGTGGGCCCCGCTGGGGATACTGCCGAGCTGCAAGCACAGATCAGCGGCCGTGCTCCCGAACTTAGTCTGGAACAACGTGAGAAACGAAAGCTTGCCAAGCGGATTATAAAATCTATCCAACCTGCTTTGGAGGATGCGATCCGCAAGGAGAGCGAGTTGAACCGCAAACCATTTGAAAAGGAGCTGAAAGAATTGGATGCCATTTTCGATCAAAGTGTAATGTCTCGCCGAGACTCGGTGGACGAAGGTGATAATGAGCTCGAGCTTGATCAAGTTAATGGTCACCCCGACGCCATGGAGGGTGTGGAACCAACTGTGACTACTGCAGAGACCACCGATGTTGAGAATCAGGGCACAGAAGTAGCTGAGACTACCGAAGAGATCATTACCAATGGCGCTCCTGCTGCCGAGCCGGTCTCAACTCCAGAGATCAAGCCCAATATCAACATTGCCTACCACCGCCACCCAACCCCGATCTTGAGTGAAGAGGACCAGCAACTTCCTTTGGCACAAGGTGGTATTCAGTGGTACATGCAACCTTTTGACCCTATTGGAACCACTGTCCATGAAGAGCGCTGGACTGGCCGTGATGTTATGCGTGGTATGAGTGAAGAGCTGAGTGAGCTGGACGAGGATGAACTCCAAGACCTGGTAGACGATGAGCTTGACCCTACTACAAAGGTTGCACCGGATACAGAGAAGCCTCAGAAGGTCCGGCGTACTCGTCGTTTACGGGGCTAGAGATTCTTTTTTTTTCATTTTATGATTTCCCATAAGCAACGGGCGCAGGCAGGAGTTGGTGTGTTTGTTCCTTTCAATCGCTGGAATAGTAGTTAATAGCTATGTAATTCATACTTTTTTTGACCACAATAAATCATCAAAATTGATCTAGAATTTTAATTCCTATATTATCTATTTTCTGCAACAAAGCGAGCTCCTGCATTGTACATATGACCAGTCACGCGCAAACTGGATGTCCAGCTGCCTTATGTAGTATTCGCGATCTGCCTGATGGCACCTTGTCCTTTCTTTCTTTTCTTTCAATCTCTATTTATTTGAGATCTTTACATAGTTTTCCTCACTTTCTTTTTTTTTCTATTTACAAAATTTCCATTCATTTGGTAGTGGACGTAGAAGTTGATTCTTGACAAAGCTGCACTCGGGGTTGTTGTTCCCTTCCGGAGTCCTAGCGCCCGCTCTTATCAGCTCACATTTCTCATCTCTTTCTTCCCTTCCTCCTTCCATCAACCGTTTCCTGTCCTTCATCATCATGGCTGACTACGATAACGACAACGGCCGTTACGCCGGTACGATATTTACGATCTCAGTACTCTACGATTTGATAATTAACCCCCCCTTTTATCTAGACGAGCCCCGGTACGACCGTGACCGTAGCGCCTCACCTCGCGATGAGCCTCGCAGCGACCGCGACCGCGCCCGCAGCCGCTCCCCCAACGGACGTCCTGATGAGCGTGAGCGTGAGCGGTATGTTGTTTATCTTATTGTTTAGGAATAAAATAAGTACAATTACTGACAATTTTTCCAGTCCCCTCCCCAAGCGCAACCCTCTGGTGCAGGAGGAGATGGAGGAGGAAGGAGCTCAGAACACCGGCTCCAACCTCTTCGTCACTGGCATTCACCCCCGTCTCACCGAATCCGATATCTCGCGTCTCTTCGAGAAGTACGGTGATGTCGATAACTGCTCTATCATGCTTGACCCCCACACCAAGGAGTCTCGTGGCTTCGGCTTTGTCAACATGAGCACTGGCGAGCAGGCTGATGCCGCCAAGGAAGGTCTCCAGGGTGAAGTCATCGAGGGCCGTACCTTGAGCATTGAGAAGGCTCGCCGTAGCCGTCCCCGTACTCCCACCCCTGGCAAATACTTCGGTCCTCCCAAGCGTGGTATGTTTTTATATCCCTCTATCGTCTCTATTTCCCCAGACTAATTTTTTTCCCTGCTTAGATGGTGCCGGTGGTCCTGGTGGCCCTGGTGGTGGTGGTGGCCGTGGCCCCCCTCGCCGTGGTGATCGCTACGATGACCGCCGTGGTCCTGGTGGTGGTGGTAACTGGCGTCGCCGTGATGACGACTACTATCGCTATGGCCGTTACGATTCCTACAACGAGCGCCGTGACTATGGCCGCGAATACGGCCGCGGTGGTGGCAGTGGAGGTGGTGGTGGTGGTGGTGGCAGTGGCAGCAGCGAATACCGTTCTCGCGACTATGGTGACCGTGACTACCGCCGTGGTTCCCGCGACGACTATGGATACCGTGGAGGTGGCGGTGCTGGTGGCCCCGACCGTTACAACGACCGTTACGGACGCGATGATCGCCGTGAAGACCGCCGTGGAGGTGGTGGTGGCAGTGGCAGTGGTGGTGCCGATGAGCCTCGCGCTGGTGGTGGTGGTGGTAGTGGTGGTGCTGCTGGCAACGGCGGTGCCTACTACGACCGTGATGCCAACCCTCCTAGCTACGATGCTGCTCCTCCTCGTGAGCCTCGTGAGCCCCGTGAGCCCTACTCTGGTGGTGCTAGTGGAGGTCGCTCTTACGAGGGCCGTGGCGGTGAGGAGCGCTATGGCAGTAGGTAATGTAACCCTTTTTCAGGAGATATTGACAAATCCCTCGTATCTCCCCCTTTATGGTTGAACGTTCCACTGCTCCCAGTTTCCTGATTTTCTTACCTCCTTCCTCACCCTTCCCCATTTGCTTTTTTTCTTCTGTTATCCCATCTCTTTTTACTCTTTCTCAAATTGTTTTAATGCGGGATTTTGACCGACGGGCTACGGGCGTCGTCTTCTTTGTCTTTTATGCTTCTTTCTTTTTTATTGCTGGTTTCCTCTTTCACGTCACGTTTCACAAACGGTAATTCGAAGCCACATCGGCCTACTGCGACCGACTCGGCAACCCATTCTCGAATCATCAATGTCGTCATGTCGTCATCTCTGGGTCGCTCGATGATGTGCCTCTCTTATTATCTGTTCGCAACGCAACTTCGGGGAAACAAAAGAAAAAAACAATAGCGGCAAGGAAGAAAAACAATTATCGCTGTAATTCGGTTCTATTGAGATTCAGCACTCTCGATCAACTTATTCGCCTTATGCACACCAAACTTTCCAGTAACGGCCCGGTTGTATTCGACCAATTTTACCTAATGTCGCCCTCTATCTCTTTCTTTCACCTTCTACAACTCTCCCAACCTTTCTATGCGCCCCCAGTTCCGTCAAGGCCGTTTTTCTCTCTCGTCTTCGCGCTTGTAGTGTTCGCCAAGCTTCAGGAAAGTACTGCAAGGCGAAATAATGTCTGATAATGTCCTGGATCTCTGGGGAGAATGCATGATTGCTAGAAGTTCCCCAAAAAGGTAAGAGGTTTTCCACGAATTTCTCCTGTGGCCCATATGGAAATTCGGTACTTGCATATGCAGGGGGATGGTTGCCCAGGTTGTGTCCCACGATTCTCTTTGTTTCATTTGACCCTGAGTTGTCCGATTCATGTGTTCTCCCTTGTCGCCTGCTAGGACTAGCTGAGGCTAGGTTCAAACTACAGTGTTCTGCTTACTTTCCCCCCTAGGAACGGTAAACAGTGATTTTCGATATCAAGCTAGCGATTCATAAAAGCATCTTATTCACCACCTCATTTTCCGCATCAGTACCAATTCAGCCTGAATACCTTGGTCATTGAGTAAATCATGATGTCTCCAGGGTTGTTAGCCGATTATATGCTAACTCAGCAACTCCAATCATTCAAATTTTGGAGTACATTCATTCAATAGAGCCGATAAAGTAATATTTGGACTTGAGTTTGAGTCCTTACTAACCTTAGACTCATGTCAGATCGCACTTAGATACCTAGATAGTACATTATCTTTATGCTCATTCATTCTCATTTCAGGGTATCACGAAGCCCATGTGTAACTACAAATGTGATAGAAATCCCCAGTAAATCTGCACAGCCACAGAATGGGGGAAAAACCAGGCTAAGACACATTGTCTGATCCTTAGATCATTGACTCATCGAGTCATTGCTTAGAGTCAAGTCTCGAGTCTCGAATCAACCTCAAGAATAAAACGCCAGAAACCAAATCAAAATCTTCAAGTCGTCAACATCTACTCGCTGTTCTTTCCATCACCTTCCAATTCGTTACTCTTCTGAATCAAAAATTCACCAAGCACACGTAACGGGTTAGCCGGCCTAGACAGGGACATAATCAGTACACAATCTCTAGGACAACAGCGACAAATACACTCACTGATCCTTAGCAATCGACTTCATCCCTTCCAACAGATGTGGCACAATCTTATCATTCAGATATACGCGAGCTGGAGCACCACCAGGTCGAACCTGCGTCGCGGCAGAGAGATCAGGGATGGGTGTACTTGTGCCGTTAGGTTCGCCCATTGTGTGTGGAGTTGAATTGGAGGTATGGTTCGGATTCGGAGTATGATTGTGATTCAGGTTCAGGTTCGGCGCAACTGGTCCTTTAGCTGCGGCTCCGTCGAGTGGGACTGAGACAACGGGTAGATTCGATGGATCTACTTGGATCCCTGTGGGAAGAGACTGCGTAGATATAAGAAATTGATCTTCAAGAATGCGTGAAGTGTAGAATCGAGGGTGGATTGAGCGAAGGTTAAAAGGTTGGGGTTTGGGTCTCCGTCTCCGGATCAAGGTTGCGCAGAGCGGAGCTGTGGAGCTTCCAGAAGCTCCCGCCGACGCGAAGAGGATCTTGAATTGTGTATATGTGACCTAGTTTAGGGTTGACATTTCTGGTGGGTTTTTTCTTACCGGGATCTCCATGATGAAGTTGGTGGGATAATGATATGGAATATTGAATCTTGCAAAGAGTTTCCCCTCATTGTGTTGACTTAGTTCATTCAAGTGAGATTTAGTTCGATCATTTAGATTGCAAACAATGCAAACATAGATTTAGTTCAGTGCAAACAGCACAAACATCATATTCCAGATTGGGTAATATTGCACACGTGATCTCGTGTTCCTCGCGACAAGGTTTCTGCAGAACACGCGAGGATCGAGAACTCTATACATACACTGACTTGACTGAAGTGATCACCTTGGAAAAGGGAATCTCCATGGCTTGTCTACAGCATGTCTTTGCTGAATTACTGGGATACTCAGCGTCCCGTTAAACGCAGAAGAACCACTGATACAGTGACCGACCTCGATAGCAATGCTAGCGATAAGCGGCCCTCGAGTCCGAGTCCATCTACAGGCATGGTGGAAATCTCCGTGGAAGATGAACCAGAGAAACCGCCGATAAGCAGTCAAACTGAACTGGAAACATCATTGCCAGCTATTCAGACGGATGACGAAGCTATTCGAGAATATGAGACGTCTCGTCTTGCGACGAATGAGGATACAGAACCTGGGCTTCATGTAAGGTTACGGGATGGAATCTGGAAAAAGGGCAAAAGCTCTATCTATGTTGATGCGTTTAATTTAGCACTGGAGACTGTGCTGGAGGAGGAGTCTCATTTGTTTAGTGCGGCTGAAATGGAGGTTTTCACACAGTGGAAGGAACTGTCTTATGAGTCGCAGTATCTGTAGGTATTCTCTTCAATGCCATATGCCCTCGGTGTAACCAGGCTAATAGCAATTTAATTAGATATGTACGACTCTTCTTGCGGAAGACCTCAGCTTGGCATCGGGTCAATCGGCTGGGTTACTATTCAGACATATCAGATTTGTTTGCAGTAGCTGTTGATCTCCAGCGCGATAGAACACTACCCAAAGTGGAAGATGAAGATCTCGAAACATCAGATCTACGAGATAGTTTTCGATTTGCAGATGGAACGCAGGAGATGAAGACCTTGGAAGAGGTGTCCTCGCTACTATTACTTGACGAACTGAAAACCTTTGCAAAAGAAGTCAAAGCGCAGGGCAAAAATAAGAAAGAGTTGCTGGCAGCTCTATGTGAGACTAGTCAAACGCAGAGCGGTCTCAAGTTTGAAAACAATACACAGACAAAATCTCCTCAGAACAGGGAGGGCCACATCTTACAGAAGATTTTGGATTACACAGGTGATTGTATTCGGCTCTCGCCAGGCCTGCGGACTCTTTTTGAGCGCGTACACTTGGTCTTCTACCGATCAACAGAGTGGACGGAGAAATCATTAACAACCATCATTCTTGCGAAAATCTCACGGAGAAACTTTCCCGAATATATTGTCTGTCGATCAAACGCCATTTTCCCATCTAGAACCGCACTCTTGGAATTTGAATCTGCCATCCGGACTCAATTTGACATTGACAACATCTTGGAATTCAATGGTCCTCCATCTACAGAATCCTTACAAAATATCATCGATCTGGCAAATAAATTTCACCCCAGGTGGCAAGGACTGGTTAAGGAAGAGCAGCAGAAAGAGGACTCCGTTTACGAAAGTGGAGAGGGTGCATATCTACGCCGATTCTCACCAGCATGGGTCTACACACGTATTATCCATAAGAGTTTACAACCTCTCAGTCGATTCAAGGAACATAAACGCGAACATGAAGTTATCACCGAGCTTCTCGCTCAACGTCTTTTCCATGCTGCGCGTCGTGGTGCTTGGTACCAGCGGAAAGCCTTACTAGAGGAACATTACATGTGGGCATTAACATCATCGGAGGGTCGAAACGAAGAGAACCAGCGCAAATTCTGGAAACGAGTTGCATTACGCACATGTGAAGAAGGTCTGGAAGATCAGCTTTGCCATTTGATATACCATTACGATCTGCAGAAACGCATCACGAAGCTTGAGAAGGCGCTTAAGGTTGTTAAGCGGGAGCAGCATGATTTTGGTCATGTTATGCTTAGCAAACCTGTTGAGAGAACTATTGAAGGTATTCGCATTGACCGAGATGAACCTGTTAAGAAGGGGAAAGCTACCATTTGGATTGATGAGCGGGAAGGTGGGGAGTGTAGAGTGGAAAGTATGTGTTTGAGTTGGTATCGTGATCATGGATGGAAGGGATATCATTCTGAAGGAGGGATTGTTCGTACTTTGGTGAGTGACTCAACAGCTAAGGCAAATGCCTATGGGTCTTTGGAAAGACACTGATTAATTAAAAATAGTTCGGATACCTCTTCTACGATATCCTTTTCACCTACGTTCCGAATGTCTTCCAAACACCCTTCCAGACCTGTCCACTTGATCTTCATACGGATGTTTTCTATCCTTCTCGAGCATCAGAGATAAATCATCGACTTGTCGAGATTACGAATGGTGATGCAGAGCGTATCATCAGGGAAATCCATACCCGCGAAGCAGCTGCGCAACCCTGTGCTATTGGAATTGACTGGTCGTTCGAATTGGAAGATCTTATTGAGATTGTTCAGTATTTCCGAGGCGAGGCACTGGCTACCATTTGCAAGGTCATGGCACAGGAATATCAACAGCGTGGTGGTGGAATTCCTGATCTTTTTCTTTGGAATCCTGAGACGAGAACGGTCATGTTTGCTGAGGTTAAGTCAGAGAATGATCGTCTCAGTGATACTCAGCGGTTATGGATTCATATACTTCTTGGTGCTGGGGTTCAGGTTGAATTATGCAATGCTGTTGCGAGAGAGGTGAGAACGGAATGATCTGTTCTCTGACAGAGATGTACAAGATATGACATGTATGCACTTGGTTGAATTTGTACATGAATGTATGACGGACCTGCCTTGTATTTATCACATCAAGATACGCAGATGAATTACGAATTAAGATCGCAGATTATCATCTACCATACTTCTCTACGATTGCCAATGGCAGAAGATTTCATGAAGGGTATAACTCGTAATAGTTCTTTTTTATCCGGCGTATCTAGCCCATGAAAAGAAATACTTGGACACAATCCATGGTATTCCTCCACGACCACGATCCTCCAAGACCACAAACCACAACACCATGAAGGCGCTTATGCGACAAGGGTGGAGGCAGTGGCGCTCTCGTAGCGCCAGGTGGGGGGGCAGGACACCGACGGTCTTGTAGTAGCGGGACAGACGGTGGATACGGGACTCGATCAGAATGAGGCGGAACTTGGAGTCCTTGTCCTTGCGGTTACGCTCAAGGTGCTTGCGGACAGCGACGGCCTAAAAGTCTGATTAGAAAAGAAATTCCAAATGAAAAATGGGGCGTATTTGACATACCTTCTTGATCAGGAAGTAAAGGTCCTCGGGGAGTTCGGGAGCGAGGCCTGTATTCCAAAAATCTCTCTGTCAGTCTTGTTCTTGACCAAGCAGAGGCTTAGCTGCTGGTGCATTTCTGCAACCAGAGTTTTTTTTACATATGGAGAATGAATGGATCCTTGCAGGTCTACCTCAAGAGTATTCTTCTTGAGGCAGTTTCCATGCAATTATACCAATTCACTTCATCCGATTGAACCGAGAAAGGGATTGGCGAAGGGAGTCCTACCGCTGGACTTCAAGATACGGAGGATCTTGTTACCTATTGACGAAGCAAAAAATTAGCGACCATTTCCCCAAAACTCCTTCTGTTTTAGCGAATTCGATTCCATTGCATACCGGTGACGATCTTGACCTGGGCAACACCGTGGCTGTCACGGAGGACAACACCGATCTGGGAAGGAGTAGCACCCTTCTTGGCGAGCTTGCAGATGTGGTCGACAACCTGGTCGGGGGTGGTCTTGACCCAAGCGGGGGCGGTGCGAGAGTAGGGGATGGCGGAAGAGGCAATGCCCTTGCCCTTGGAGTGAAGGCGACCCATTTTTGCTGAAGTGTCCGGCGAAGGGGAATCTGGTCGGAGGTTGTCGAGGTGGATGGAAAAAAGAACGTTCTTGATGGAGTGGAGATAATTGGGAGTAGAAACGGGGCGGCTGTGTGTGGGTCACGTGGTTCGCTTATTCTGCAGGAATTTTCTCTTTTTGAACTTCATTCCCGTCTTCACTATTTAATGAACTCGGTTGTCTTCATTTTTCCCTCTTTTATTTCCCAGCTGCACTGGATTTGATGTTTTCTGGACAGTCTGGATTATACTAGAGATTCTGTTTCGCTTTATTAATCGCCAAATTAATCGCCATGTTCTTTACTCACACTTTATAAGGTCAGTTTATCCTCGATTCCTTCTCCTTAAACACCCACCCCTTTTCATGATGAAAACACACTTTTTTACTTTATTTCTGGTACCTCTTATGTCAGACGGCGTGTCTTCACGGATGCGTCTTCGATGATCTAACTGGACTTCTGATCATATCAAATACGCTTTGAATATTTATCAAACATTGGAGAAGCTGTCATACTGACTGTTTCTAGATTTTACAGATTTTTATAGCAGCCGACAAAATTAGTCTAGATCAATGACATCTATATTATCATCATCTATAATCCTGTTCCCTTCTTTATCACCATGATTACATGTGTGTTCTAGTATACAAAATATCTCAACCGAGTCATCAATGTTGTTCTTGACTGGAGCAAATGTAAACCTTGCCAAAAGTTGATGCTGCGAGTGACCTTCATCGCCGGGTTCTCTTGGACATCCTCCGGGTCTCTGTAGTCTGCGACTCGTGCTTTACTTCCTCCGGCGTTGGCGTTGCCTTGCGTTTCCTCCCACGAGGCTGTTCAATTAGAGACATATCTTCATGCTCTTCCACCTTCACCTTAACATCCTCCTCCTGCTTAAGGGCTGTGAGAGTCACAGCAGTCGTTACTTCTGTCTTGATCTCGACTGTTGAATCGTCCTCTTTCACAGTCACATCAACCTTCTTCGTCGCCGCAAGCCGGTCTGCGAATGACCGTAAGTCTGCCGTAAAGAGCACACTATGTGCCCAGCCTGCTTCCTGCCCCCAAAGTTTGCGAAAATGGTTTCCCACAGCGTCGTACGTTGCCTTTGTCAATGACTTGTGCGAGCCTTTCCCAAAGCGATAATCTCGCTGCGCGATTTGCCATACTATGAGAGTTATTAGATGATGACTACTCATGTAGTATGTAAGAAGTCAAAAGTAACTTACCGTGTGTATCAACGGGCACGGATTCACCCCATCCTAGACCAAATAAGGATACACAGTCCGCCACTTTGGGTCCAACACCCTGAAGTTCAAGTAACTTCTCATGGGCCTCTCGGTAGCCCAGTCTTCCTTCAGGTCTCATCTCATCGCCTGGTGTAGCCTCCATACCAAATGCAGGTGTCTCGGGGTTACATAGACTATTCAACCATCCCTTATCTCTTTCCTCGGACACCATAATAGCGGTCCGATAGATGTACTTGGCTCGATACCCGAAACCCAAGCCGCGCAGATTGCTTTCGACGTCCTCGCCAGCGAGGGCCTCGGGCGTTGGAAAATCGTGATAGGCGCGGCCGTCAACTGTAGCCACAAATGGTCCATAATGGAGACAAAGCTTCTCTACCATTTGAGAAATCCGCGCAATGTTATTGTTGCTACTGCAAATGAACGAGACCAAGGCTTCCCATGCATCCTGGCGCAATATCCGAATGCCGGCAAATTGGACAGCCTTTTTCTTGAAGTTGGGATCTTGCGCAGACCATTGTGTATAGAGCTCACTCAGATTTGGGGTCAAATTGAGGTAATGTTTTATAATGCGCAGTGTTTGGTCATTCGTACTGTCGCCGCTGCTGTCCAAATCTGATTGCGCGCGCGAAGGGATTTCCGAGGTTGGTGGAGTGGGAAGTGATGGAGCAGTTTGAGTTTGATATGTCCGATAGTATAGATTGTTGGAATCCTGCTTCAAAGAAAGCAATCGCCCATAGAGTGTACATCGCCATTCTTCCTTTTCAGGGAGTTGATGCCATCTAGATGGAGGTTAGCACCATTAAACTCAAATTGTCGCATAGGACACACCTGAAAGATTGGCCGCAACGAAGTGTCGTATTGATACATAGTTCTGATAAGCTAACCGGCAGCTTACGCCACTCCGTAAAAGTCATCCTAATATCAAATAAGCATGGACTTTGATTGCAGTTTGATTTGAATGTTCGAGTCCTGAAGGCGATAAAACGATAAGCCTTGTTCTGCCACATTTGCCCTGGAAAGAAGGCGGTCGAGATATCACCGCCCCGTGCAGGAGCTTCCAGTTTTCCCCTTCGCTGAAGCCAGCAAAGAGAGCTTCTTCCTATCTTCAAGCTCAACATGAACGGTGATACGTATTCTGCCAGAGGTACGCTCAGTCTTATTCTAGCTATTTGAATTACACTAACAATCCTAGATTCTGGCCGTCCTCGCGATTACTATGTAAGTGGCCATTGTACAAAGAGGTGTAATTGCGACTAATCATTTCAGCGCGACGAGCGGCGTGAGCGAGACCGAGGCGACCGACCAGACCGAGGTGATCGACCAGAACGTGGAGATAGACCTGATAGAGGAGAACGAAGACGATCGCGATCTCCTCACTTCGGTCCTAGAGGCTCGCGACGTGAGCCTGAGGCCAATTCATACTCATCTAGCCGTGACTACCGTGCCCGTGAACGCGAGGATCGCTACTCCAACCGCCGAGAGGACCGGGATTGGGATCGCGGTGACCGCGGAGAGAATCGTGGCGAAACCCGTGGGGAGAATCGTGGAGAGAACCGCGGAGGAGATCGTGGAGGCGATCGTGGTGATCGCGGCGGTCGCCGCCGAGACTTTGATGACAGACCCCGACGTGACCTGTTTGACGAGCGACCTCGCCGCGGTGGCGGTGATCGCGAAGGTGGTCGCCCAGAGCGGGAGCGTGGAGATCGGGGAGACCGTGGAGGTGACAGACGAGAGCGCAAGAGATCCGCATCTCCTCCTCGAAAGAAGGAGCCTACCCCAGACCTGACAGATATTCCATCCATCCTCGAACGGAAACGCCGTCTCACTCAATGGGATATCAAGCCCCCTGGCTACGAAAATGTCACTGCAGAGCAAGCTAAACTCTCTGGCATGTTCCCTCTTCCCGGAGCGCCACGTCAACAACCAATGGATCCCACACGTCTGCAGGCGTTCATGAACCAGCCTGCAGGTGGTGTGGTTGAGAATACTGCTCTCAAGCCGTCGAACTCTCGTCAATCCAAGCGTCTTTTCCTCTACAATATTCCCTCCGGCGTTAATGGAGATGCCGTCATGTCTTTCTTTAACTTGCAATTGAACGGCCTGAACGTCGTCCAGAGCGTTGACCCCTGTGTCTCGGCCCAATTGTCCGAGGACTCACAATTTGCCCTTCTGGAGTTCAAGACCCCCGATGATGCAACCGTTGCTCTCGCCTTGGATGGTATCACTATGGCCGAGAGTGGTGATAAGGGACTGGAGGTCCGCCGGCCCAAGGACTATATTGTTCCCAATGGAAGTGCAGACCAGGAATACCAGGAAGGTGTCCTTCTCAACGAAGTGCCAGATTCACCAAATAAGATCTGCGTCTCCAATATCCCGGCTTATATCCCGGAAGAGCCTGTTACAATGTTGCTCAAGTCCTTCGGCGAGCTCAAGTCATTTATTCTAGTTAAAGATGCGTCTACTGAAGAATCGCGGGTGAGTACTGTGTGCTGAACTATTTTCTATATGCAAATCGATTACTAACATTATTCTTTTGTCCAGGGTATCGCATTCTGCGAGTACGCGGACCCAGCTGCCACCCCCATTGCTGTGGAAGGACTCAATGGTATGGAGCTCGGTGACCGTCACCTGAAGGTCACCCGTGCTAGTATCGGTACCACTCAGGCAGCTGGTCTGGACATGGGCGTCAATGCTATGTCCATGTTTGCCAAGACAACTTCTCAGGATATGGAGACCGGTCGTGTGCTACAGCTCCTGAACATGGTTACGGTTGATGAACTTCTTGACAATGAAGACTACGAAGAAATCCTCGAAGATGTCACTGAGGAGTGCGGCAAATTCGGCAAGGTCCTGAGCCTTAAGATTCCTCGTCCTGGCGGTGCGGGCCGCCAAACATCAGGCGTGGGTAAGATTTTCGTCAAGTTTGACACAGAACAGTCCGCCACCAATGCACTGAAGGCCCTTGCAGGCCGTAAATTCTCGGACCGAACTGTTGTTGTTTCATACTTTGGCGAGGAAAATTTCGATGTGGATGCCTGGTGATTTAGGAAATGGGTTATGTTTGAGTGCTGATTTCCTTTTTCTTTTTCTTACTCTCGTTGCTTCCTGTGGAAGGAGTCCAAATGTACCATAGCAGCTAGGCCCATATCGACTTTGTTATGACTTATTCGGAATCTTGGAGAGCATCTTGTGTTGCCTTGAGTAATGACTATTGCGTAGTCAAGCCCATTGCTCGGCTCCAGCTGTGTATTAGACTGGTCATTGTGTATTCAAACCCATTTCATGGTCAGCTCCAGTTGTATGTGACGGATTCACAATTGTCAATGGGTATATGGTGAAGACTTTGAAGTACATCTCGAGGGCTAGCCATCCTTGGCCCAATTAGGCTTAGCCCACAAGCTCCATAAACAGATCCCCACTTCACCACACACGAATCGCCAGGGCCTCGGCCAGCCCTGGAGGTCACTCGAGCATGGTAAGGCACATCAAACTTGAAAGATTAAAACTTTATATATCACGTGGAAAGTTCAAATGTTTAGTTCAAGTCGAGGTATAAATTCCAGGATGCCCTATCTCTCGACTCCAAAACCAATACACCCCTCTCCGAGACTGGCTTCAAGCGCTTCTACCGCACATCAACCCAAATTGTGCTAGCATCATCTACACTCACTGCCACTGGCAGGATGTACTTAACTTGATGAATCAACTTCGGGCCCACCGTACCAGAAGTGTGATCGACTACCAAGTTGATATATCCCTGGCCATCGAAATCCTCAATCAGCTTGAACTTGCTATCGATGCTCTCTTCATCAAGGGCATATACACTCACTACCAGAATGCTCTTGATTACACAAACGAACTTCTGTATTGCCTTGACAGAAGTGTGGTAGATGAGGGGTATGTTAATGATATGATTTGGCATATCCTCTAGCTCCACGCCCTATATCACTACAACGCCTGGTGACAACAGCGCGGTTCCGAACATCGTCATATGCCAGCCAAACCTCGTCAAGTAGCTCATTACCACCACGCATCCCCTGAGATGACCTGGGTCAGGTCTACCCCTCGTTCTGGTGGACTTACGCGACCAAGCCCGAACTGGCTTACGATAGGTGCGTTATGGACGTCAAGATTCGAAATATGATAGCCACACAAAACTACGTGCCCAGGTGTCTTTAGTGGATCGATTCGAGGTAGTGTATACGATTGTCATACAGCACATCACGGATCGTGACTCTCCACCGAACCTAAGAAAGGCTGTAATAGTTCAGTACTTTAGGCTGTTCAGTTTCCCAGTCAAGTAGACAAACATTCCAAAATGTTTAAAGGCTCTGAGTCTATAGGTCTGTTATTGAACCTGAATCACTGTGTTTGCTGTCTGATAACTTACAAATATAAATTCAAAAAAGGGCTCTCCGATCTTTCTTTCTCTAACTCCTCACTGCCTCTGATCACTGTCTCCCTCAAAAGTTCAATTACCCCCAAGGTACTAATCACAATGTCCTACTAGGTATAGGCCCTGGGTATAGTAAGCACAGTACACATCTAAACTCCCTATATCAGGCAAGTTCGGTTTAAGTCTAACTATAAACTTGAATCTCAGGATACCCTCAGTATCTCTCGAACTCGAAACCATTTTACTCATCTCCGGGACTGACTCCAGGCGATTTTGCCACACATCGACCCAGATGGTGGTGACTTGATAACATAGATACACACTCACTACCAGAATGCTCTCGATTATACAAACGAACTTCTGGATTGCCTTAACAGAAGTGTGGTGGATGAGGGGTATGTCAATGATATGATTTGGCATATCAACAAAGAGCTTGAACTTGTTGCGCCCACTGTGTCTTTCTTCATTACGATACACCACCCTTGCTAGCTGAGCCTTTTTTGCTTTCACTTTTTTCAGCTTGCGTTTACTTCCTCTTCTCCGACTTGGCCCTCAGCGCTTCGTGCGATATCTGATGTGGCAGTTTTGAGCACTGGGTGCTTTCACTTTACTTTTACCTGATTTACTTTTTTTCTTCCTTTCTCTTTCTTTCTTCTTTTGTCTTTTCCCAGACTGGATAAGCAGTAGAGAGGGCCTGGGAACATCGAGTAAACATCTTGTAGGCAGTAACTTAAAGTCAGAAAGTCCTTGCGTATGAAGGTAGATCTAAAGTCTGAGATAGTAATTAGTATTTTGACACCCTTCATTCACATGCAGGTGTGCACGCTGTGTAAACTTCAACTTCGGAGGTTATTATGTGTGTGATTAAACTTGAAGTACCTACTAGTTAAGGCTCTCACTCTTCAAAGGGTCTACTATCAATGGTCAACTGGTATATCCATGAATATTACCAACATTTGAACATTTGAAAAAATTATAATATTCAGTTACATAATGCTCTCTTGATCCTGACATCTGGAGCAGGCTTATGTGAATAATAATAAAGAGCTGAGTCACTTAAGCCATTTTAGTGCTACATAGCATTTGATCATTTGAGCCTTGAAACGACTCGGAACGCACATTCTGGACTTCAAATGTTGAAAAATTCTATAACTCTATATCTATACAAGAATTTATTTATCAATCCTCCATCATTTATTTCTGAGCAAGGATACGGGCAGCAGCAGCCTCGGCGATGATCATGATAGTGGCCTGGATGTTACCAGTAGGGAGGTCAGGGTGGATACTTCCATCGACAATGTACTACAGAATGATTAGCTCAAATATGCATCTATTACTTCAAGGCTTTCATCAAACTTACCAAGTTATCAGTACCGTACACCTTGGTGTTAACATCCACAACGGAAGTACCGTTCTTGCGACCATCATCGGTACCCATCTTGGCAGTGGTGGTGTAGTGCATGCCAGGAGACAAGCTAGAGATGATGGCACTGGTGTTCAAGTAAGTCTCCAACTCGAATCCGGAGTCGGGGGCGTTGAAGTCCTTGACAAGGGACTGGATGAACTGGTAGGCAGCGACACGGTCACCAGCGGTCTGCAAGTAAGGAGACTTCTCGATAACAGTGGTCTGGTTCTCGTTGATACCCAGAACACCAGAGGATGTAAGACCGTGGGTCATGTAGGTGGTGATATCCAAGACGGCGTCAGACTCGGGAGCGCATGAGCCCTGGTAGTAGCGAGTAGTGCCGTTGATGTTGTTGGAAGAGAAGAAAGTAAGACGGTGCTTTCCCTGGGTCAGAAGACCGGACCCCTTGCCGTAGAGGCTGATGTCCTTGCTGTCGCTGCCGTTGACGATGCTTTCGTAGTTGGGGAGACCGAAGTTACCGGGAGTCTGAGCCATGATGGTGAAGATGGGGTGATCCTTAAGACCAACACCAACGGGCAGGTTGATCCACTCGTGCTCGGGGGGAACGTTGATGCCACTCTTCTTGGCAGTCTCGATCTGGCGCTTGGGTCCAATACCGGAGTTGAACAGAACACGGGGAGTAGCGAGGGCACCACCGGCGAGGACGACGCGGCCGTCACGGGCGAGGGATACGATCTCGGTCTTTCCAGAGGCAGTCTTCACTTCGACACCGGTGATATGGCTTCCGGAACGCACAACGCGCAGAACCTTGGTGTGCAGGCTCAGGTGGAAGTTCTTGCTCTTCTCGGCGAGAGGGAGGTAGGTGCGGACGGGACCAGCGCGGACTTGGTCCTTGATGTTCCAGGCAGGGTGACTGTAGACCTGGTACTTCTCGTTGGGCTGAGTGATCATATCGACAGAGGTCCAGTTCAACTTCTTGAAGAAGTTGGAGAGAACGTTGTAAAGACCCTGGTCATAGCGCTTACCATCAGCAGAAGGCAGGATGGTACCGGGATTGCGCTTGTAAAGTCTCTCAGCAGCAGGCTTGAGATCCTTCCACTTCCAGCCCTGGGGCCAGTTGTTGTTGTCATCGAAATCATGCTCCGGTGGGTGCACGAAGACCATGTAGTTAATTGTCACACCTCCACCAAGGACACAGCCAGCATATCCTTCAGTGTCAGTGCAGAGATACTCATCCCAAGCGGGAAGAGCACCCACATCAGCAGACAGACCGGGAAGATCAATGTCTGTGATGGTGTGGTTCCAGGTGAGAGTCTCATTGGCACCCGTCGCAACAGTAGGTCCGGTACCTTGTTCAATGAGCAGAACACGCTTGCCAGCTTCAATGAAACGCTCAGCAGTGATAATACCAGAAGGACCACCACCAACAACAATGTAGTCATACTCTCCAGACTTGAAGCTGGAAGCTGAAGCCAGCGCACCCGCAGCAGCGAGGAGGCTCAATGAAGAGAACCGCATATTTACGTGGAATTAACTGGGAAAGAAAATTACAATTCCAGATGAATAAAAATTCAATTCAAGGGGATATGTCGATCTTTTTAATATTATTATCTTCCAGTGGCCTGTCAATTAATCTCTTCAGTCCGTACATCCGTAGGGAATCCGCAGGTACTCCGTAGTCAAATTCGAATCCACGTCTCTGTCATAATTTTTCTAATTTTTTCTATGGAATCGTGTGTCCACTTTCCCTGTCTAGGTATGGATCTTGCTTACAACAAGATTAACAATGCTGAGAGAGAATAAACGATGTGGCCTATGTGGGTCAAAAAAAAGGATCTTCGGAGGATGGCGCCGGTTAGAGTTAGCCACTGAGCATATTAAATTCTTCAAAATTCTGGACCTGTACCTGATTAAGATTAGTTTCAAATATTCTCCTTTTTGTAAGCAATTAATTAATATTATTCATTGAATTATAATCCTCGAAACACCGCTTTAGACGCCACTGACTGCGGAAGGCCGCAATGGCTGCAAAAAGGCTGGAATGAACTCCACCCGGCTTCCCGAAAACTCGGAGGAGTCGGAGCATCTCGTTTTATTCGCTAATTACCAAGGAATCCATGTTTCGGGCCGGAAAGTGTCCTATGGTGGCTGAAGTGGGAATTCTGAAAGACTGAAACCGGTTTCATTTTAGTCTTAACGGGTGCCATGCGTTATCTGATTATGATCATCACACGGGAATGACATGCGGCATTTCAGTGAAGAAACCTTAACACGGGTTATTATGGATCTGATGAAACATCTTCAGTTATAAAACACCCTTTCAAGACCCTTTCAAGACCCTGTGAAGACCCTGTGAAGACCCTGTAAAGACCCTTTTAATTGATTTACAGTCTCATATAAGGAAATTATGCTGCCTGTTTGAGATATACCCAGGAATTGACGTTTAATCTGTTGTTTCAAGGACTGTACGGAGTACTAAGCTTTGCGATGATCAGTTCAAATCGATTGATTAACTAATATGGCAATGATTATGATGATCAGGGGCAGTGCAATGACCAAATGGCTGGATCTCGAACTTAAAGACATTCGGAGGTCTACATGTATGGAGTAGATCCGTATAGAGGCCGACTTCGGACATTTCAAGTTTCAAATGTTCAAGTGACCTGTCTCGAGTAGAAAAATGCAAAAGTTGGGGAAAAGTTTCCCGTTTTCCTTCTTCGCTTTGTTTCATCAATCAAAGACTTGGAGACTCGGAAATTTCCCTTCACGATATAGCCGCAGAAAATGCTGCTTCAGCTTGCATGCCATGATCTGCGAATGCGTTCAGCTTGTATATTGAATTTGATGTGGCCTATTTCTCTTTTCCGAAAGCTCTCATCCAGGTTTGGGGAAACTAAAGATAGAAGCTTCAAGGGTGATAGACGATCTGGACTAGATATTCTAGGCAGAGAGATCGAGCAGGAGGCATATAGTATTGGGACTAATACAGGAATAGGCCGAAAGGGCCTGGGACTCTTGGGATAAGCTCTGGCGCAATTTTGAAGGCGCTGGTGCAGTATGTGATCTTGAGTATGATTTCAGAAATTCATTCAATGATTTGACTATCAAAAAGTGAGTATCAATGCAACTACTAGTAGTATTTTCCGAGAGATAAGCGCATAGATATGACCAAAAGCCATATAAGATGAATATTGCATGAAAAATGAATGAAATAAGCACTCAAAAAATCGGACCTATCTTAATTTATGTGTTACTCAGCTCAAGGCATTTACATGTTAATTTCAACTGGTTTTCAACTGGTTTTCAATTTTGGAAGTCGTGTTAACCCCCCACGAGGTTCTTGTATAAAAAGGAAATTCTCGCCGGCGCCAAGGATTTAGCGGCGCCATCAATTACCATATACGGTCAATACATAATGCCTCCAGGGCTGGTAGTAAACACACGACATCTGGAAAATCTAGAGCGAGGAAAATGTCCCTTTATGGATCATTACAGCTGTTAGAACAGTACAGGATAATACTTTCAAATGTTCCCGAGGTCAGTCTAGCTACCCAGGTGCCTTGTCTATGTGGATAACCTTGGAAGTGACTAGAGGTTCCAAGGTTGAAAGATTACTCCTGGCGATACCTCGGTTGACTCCGAGTCTTATAGTAGTAGATCAACAAGTCCTCACGCCGCGCTTCGCGCGGCACTGCCAGTACATAGAGTAGCGAGCATTTGAAATTGGGAGAGGTATGTCCTCAGCACGCGAGTGCTTGGCCAAATATGTCTACATCCTCTCAGATAGTTATATTCACATACTTAAGTACAGGGCTCAGTCCGAGTCAGTAGCATCTACAAATGACTAATGACCGACACCTCTTTGTATATAAGTACCTGCAGGGTTACATACATGGTTACCTACCTAGGTACCTCAGGCTATTGGGTAAGTTACCTATATGAATACCTGTGTACCGGGAGGGGAAGGCTAGCTACTACATAGTTAGATATAGGCAACTGGTAGCCCCACAGATATCTAAAGTGAGAGATATCTAAAGCAGCTCATAAAGCCCCGGCTGAACGATTTCCCACTACCTATGCAGGTCAAACTTCGAGTCAGATTGACACATACAATAGCCGGCGGGTTTGTGGTATAATCAAGGGAGCCAAGAGCCCCGTTTAGCCCCAATGACGAACTAATCAACCCCAGGTTTTCCAACCCCGCACTTTCTGCACTTTCTACACTCTCTCCAGGTGGAGATTCCCGGCGAGACTTTCCTTTAATTTCCTTCTATTCCCTCAAGTGTCTAGGTGTTCTAAATATTCTGATTCTGAGCTTCATGGATTTGAATATTATTTAGACAATATGCGGCGTAATAAGACAGTACCCTGGTAAGTGACCCACAGTTCAACAGGTCTACTCCAATCACTGACAGGAATTATCAAAGCCAGGAATGTCGCAGTACGTAAAAAGACCAGAACTGATTGATTACCGTTGACTGATCATATAATCTTTAGATCATCACGTAAAATGTGAGCATGCGCAAGGTCCATGCCGATATTGAATACTAATCATCCGCAGGTGATGGGCAAAAGCCGAAATGTCATCGGTGCATACGGACGGGTTCTTCCTGTGTCTGGCATGCCAACCCCTCGGGATTTCGTCATGGTTCTAGTGCGAGCGCTCTATATGATTTTGCAGAGGATCAGCCTTGGTTACCTGCTGGGAAGGGTATGTGCCAATTCATCTCCGCACGAATTTGCATCTTGATCAGTGCTAGTGCCAGTGGGGATTGAGGACTAATGATTAACTTTACTATAGTGGAATACAAATATGTCGATGAAACGACCGAGATAGCCCGAGACTATACTTTGGAGCTTGATACTATCGCATCATCACCCACGATATCGGAGAAACCCCGAAGTAATAGCTGTGTCGAGACTCGGGCTCTCGCCGAAACTTGTATTCTCAGCGATGCAGTTGCATCACACTCAGATCAATTCTTGTCACCACCTGAACCTGATATTACACTGCCAGTGGGACACTATTCCCCTTATGCGGGACAAGTGTCACCTGTGAACCATCCTTCGCTCTCATCATCACCCCCTTTCTCTCGCAGCAGCAATGCATCTTCCGGGCTCGGAGGCTCCTTTCAAGGTATCGGGGAGTTACCTAATTTAGACGAGCACGAAGCCTGTCTCATGCGATATTTTGTGGTTGAACTTGCTCCCTGGGTATGTGTTGAAGATCTTATGGCGATTTCTCTTCACTAATCTTATTTAGTTTGATATTTGCGACGGAGAAAGAAACTTTGCATGCACCCTACCTTTGCGAGCTCGAACATGTCCACCTCTTCTAAATGCAATATTCACTGCCTCTGCGAGACACCTGAGTCGGATCAAGAAATACTGGGATGGCAATCAAGTACACTATGGAGGCAAAGCTCTTCCAAACTTGACGCCCGAGACTGCGATTCATTACCATAATGAATGTATTGCACATTTTGTTTCAATCTCGGACCACTCCAGAGAAGCTCAAGATGAGAATTTACTTGCCGCGGCTGTTATCCTCCGCTTTTACGAAGAGGTCGATTGTAGGTGACTCGCCTCATAATGTTTCCCTATCTCACTCAGTTAACTGGGCTTTCCAGTCCCATCAATGGGCCAGGATACAGAAAGTGCCCTTCGAGGAATCCAGATCTTCCTAGACTCCCAAATAATGTCCGCAGTAACAGGATACGGACTCCGTCACGCTGCATACTGGATTGCTATACGACAAGAAATCACCACCGCATTCAGCAAACAACGAACCTTCCGTCTACCATTAGGGCCCTGTGAACCGTACCGATCATTCGAACCTGCAGATGACTACGTCTGGGCAGATAGATTGGTGATCCATTGTGCCGATGTACTTCAATATTGTTACGGATCCCAAGAAGAAGACCTCTCAGGAGACCGACACCACGCCTCAAATATGGGAATGGGAATCCTACACCAACGAAACGCATCAGGACCCAACATGCGAATCGCGCGGTATGAGGAACTAGTCACGTTTGAAACTCTTTGGAATGAGCTTGGTCCGCCTAGTTTTAAGCCCATCTACTCATGTGAACCGGATCGCTCGCGCGGAGAGGTTTTTCCTGAACTTTGGTACTTGAATAACTGTCATGTGGCAGGTCTTCAATTCTTGGAACTTGCGCGTATCTTGCTCACGGTTTATAATCCCAAGTTGCCACGTCTAGGACCTAGTCAACGGACGGCAATGCGATCGGTGGATCAAAAGGTCCGATCGATTGTTTTGAGACTTTGTGGAATTGCACTTTCCAATCAACATAGTCCTCCTGGTTTGGTTACTGCGTCGGCTGCAATTGGGATGTGTGGGGATCGGTTTACGGAGAGGTTTGAACAGGAAGCTCTTCTGGGAGTTTTGATCAAGTTGGCGGATGAACATGCGTATCCTACTTGGACTGTACAGGAATCTTTGAAAGTAGCGTGGGGGTGGGAAGGATGTGGGTCAGAGTAATTAGTAGTGACATTGTGCTGTACTAGGTAGTTCTATACAATGTGATGTCTCGATTTATCAATTGATCAATTTTATTATGAGAACTGGACACATGCATATTAGATCATGATTCTAACTGATTCAAATTCAGTTTTGATCAGCAATTGTTATCAAAATCATCAATAATTCTCACAACCTTGGAACCTTGCACAGAATGTAAACACGGGATGCGGGGAAGTGGAGAGTGGAGAACTTGAATCAAACCGGGGAAAGAGTCGCCGATAACTTACTCCATTGAGTGTTCAATATGATTATTCTCGCAGGATCGGTTGATTATCTGCTGAGGGGTGCATATAGCTCAAAACAACAAAAAAATTAGCTATATAACTCCAGGTAAGATCCTACTTGATCATTAATTTTTCATTCCATTATACACTTCAGTCCGAATCCCTCGTTGTAACTATTCAATTCCTTCATAATGTCTGAGAAGCTCCAAGTGGCTGTTGCTGGCATTGGTCGCATGGGTAAGACACAATTTTTATCAATTGGTAGTACCATGATGAGATTCTAATCCACGCACTGTAATAGGAATGCGCCATGCCCGTCACTTCGCCACTCTAACTCCCCGCGCCGAACTCATTGCTGTCTGTTCTCCTGTTCAGTCCGAGCTAGATGCCGCCAAAAATGAGTTCAAGGGAGTACGCACCTATACCGACTATGATCAGATGCTGCAGTCAGAGAAGACTCTCCAGGCTGTTGTTGTCGCCAGTGCCACCACTGTGCACGCCGAACAAGCTATCAAGGCGATCCAACGAGGTTTGCACGTTCTCTGCGAGAAGCCCATTAGTACCAGTCCTGAGATTGTACGAATCGACTTCATTCTGAATATTCCCCGAAATTGAATCCGGTCTAACATTCTTTTTCTACTACAGTCCCAGTCGGTTGTCGATGCCTACGATGCCTCTATTAAGAAATTCACCAACCAAAAAGTTATCTGTGGCTTCTCTCGTCGTTTCGATGCCTCGTACCGTGATGCTCACCGTCGCATGGCTACCGGTGATATTGGTACTCCATCCGTCTTCCGGTCGCAGACTTGTGATAAGCTTGATCCTAGTGGATTCTTCGTTGCGTACGCTGAGTTCTCCGGTGGTATCTTTGTGGACTGCTCGATTCACGATATTGATCTTGCTTTGTGGTTCTTCGGTGAGCAGACTAAGGTCAAGAGTGTTACTGCTATTGGTATCACGGCTGTACAGCCTGATCTGCGTAAGCACAATGATCGCGATAATGCCTTGGGAATTATTGAGTTTTATGTGAGTTCATTTCCTACATATATATATTCCAACACATATAATAGTCAAATATCTCAAGTACCAGGCTAATTCATTCATAGGGAGGCAAAATCGCCCAACTTTACTGTTCCCGCATGATGGCTGCTGGACAAGAAGATTGCACCGAGATCTTCGGCACAAACGGCAAGATCGCAATTAACACACAGCCCCAACTTAACCTTGTCAACTTATACGAGTCTTCTGGTATCCGTCGCGAGATTCCAGCTGATTACTATGGTCGATTCCGCGAGGCGTTCATCACTGAGGCTAATGAGTTCACGGCTTCTTGTTTGGATAACACTCCCCCTCCTCTTCGTTTGAATTCCGCTGTGAAGGCTGTTACTATTGGATGTGCGTTGCAAGAGTCGTTGATTACTGGGAAGAAGATTGATTTTGAGGAGAATGGAAAGAGAATTGAGGATTCCAAGCTGTAGTGGTCAGCATATGAGTGATGGTTATGATAGAATGTGTGGTCTTATAGATCGTTTTCTATTTGGATATTTATCTGAACCTTAGTATAAATTTGAGTTCGAGATGAAAGTTACAATCAAATAACATGATTCCTTTCCAAGTTTATACAGCATGTTCAGATACATGGTTATTCTCTCTTCAAGTTGTCAATCTCTCTACTAGTACGTAATAGTCACAGTACGCTCCTGCAAGTCCACACTCTTCGAACTAGATCCAATGTGAAAAGTGTAGTCTCCCCTCTCCACCATCCACTCCATATTCACATAATATCCCATCTCCTTCTGTGGAATCACAAAAGTTACAGTCTTGGCCTGACCAGGTCGAAGCTCCACCTTCTCAAACCGAATAAGTCTCTTAATAGGTAACTCAATTGTAGACCAGTCTTGACTGAAATAAAGCTGCAAAACTTCTTTCCCAATCACATCTCCCGAGTTCGTCACATTAATCGAAACCTTAAAGGCTTTTTCACCTGTCTTTTCTGTCTCAATTTCCTCTGTTTGGAACTCAGTCATGTTAAAACTGGTATAACTAAGTCCAAATCCAAATGCCATAGGCGGAGTAATCGTTATAGCAGGAAACTGCCATGCTGAAGATCCATAAATCTCCTCGCCGGAATTTCCGCCATGGTTATCAGATGGTAGCCAGTTATACGCAACCGGGAATGCTCCATTAGCCTGTGGAAGACTGATCGGAAGCTTTCCACTAGGATTCACTTTCCCGGTCAGTATCTCCACAACAGAGTCGCCAGTATATTCACCCGCGAGAAATGTATGTAGGATTGCGTTTGCGCGCAGAGTTGAGTTATTGAGAACGAAGGCTTGGCCACCGCTTAGAACTAGGATTGTAGGAACTCCTGTGTCGAGCACTGCGTCGAGGAGTTCTTGCTGAAGACCTGGGAATCCGAGATCGGCGTGTGTGAAAAATTCTCCGTCGGTGCGTTTGTCATATAGTGGATCGCTGGAGTATACGGATAATGAGCCGATGTTCACGATGGCTAGACCCGCTGATTTGGCCGCAGAGACAGCTTTGCTGATCCCGGTGGTGTTTGTGCGGTCCAGAAAGTCTACACCTGGTTCGTGGAGGATGTTTACCGAGCCAAATTTGGCTTGAAGACTTTGTAGAAGGGAGTTTCCGTGTGTCTTGTCACTGGTGCTATGTGCTGCGTAGGATCCGGGGTCGATGATTGAGGCATAGGGTCCCAGTACTGCGACTTTCTGTGAGGTTTTGTTCTGTTTCAGAGGAAGAGTATCATCATTCTGGAGTAGTACAATCGATTCCCTGGAGATATTTCGAGCGGCCTCAAGATGAGCTGGAGCCCTGAGTATCTTCGAGGCATTTGAGATCGAGGGAAGAGGTAAGTCAAAAAGACCAAGATTGAACTTCAGCTCAAGGATCTTGCGTGTAGCATTTGATACCATTGAGGTTAATTCACTGTCATCGGTCACATTGACAAGTGTTTGCGTAGCTGAAGATACTCCCGGTGAGAGCTCCATTTGCATACCAGCTTTCACAGCTAATATAGCCGCATCTTGGGATGTTGAAGCGATCTTGAACTCTGTTGATAGATCGACTAATGCACCAGCATCAGACATTATTATACCTTCAAAACCAAGATCATCGCGAAGAACGCGCTGAAGCATGAATTTATTGGCGGACATCGGAACCCGATCAAGACTAGCATAAGAAGCCATTAAGGATGCAGGGCTTGCCTCGTTGATTATCTTGATATATGGTGGAAGCATATCGTTGTAGATATGATTGAGTCCACCATATTGATGCGCGGTATTGACACCACCTGTTTCCCAACCATAAACGAAGTGCTTGATTGTTGCGGCAACTTTCATGAAACCGCTCTCATCTTTTACTTGCATGGTCTGCACGTATTTCAGGCCGAATTCACCATTCAGATAGGGATCTTCGCCGTAACTAGTATATTCAGCATCAGCTTTTGATATTTTCTGTACTCATATGTGTTTTCTTGACTCACGTTTCGCCTACACGGCCATATCTTGGATCCGTCGCAACGTCTAATTCGGGTGAAAGTACCCAGTTGATACCGATTGCTCGGCACTCTTCCCGGATTGAAGCGATGGCTGATCCGTATAGAGGGATGTTGAATGAAGATGCCATGGAAAGTGTAGATGGGAACAACGTCCCATTGAATATGTAAATCCCATTGATGGAATCTGAAACGAGGACGTAAGGGATGCCCAGTCCAGATGCAGTCTGATTCTCGCGGAGCTCATTGACTAGGCTCAGTGCTGGGAGTGCAGGATTGAATTGGTTTCCGTAACCTTGATATCAGATTAGCATTGGCACTCATCTTGAGTACTACCTAGGCAGTAGGGAGGAATACACACCTATATTCCCATTCTGTGCCTCGTTGAATATATCGAACTTCGTCTTGTTGAAGGACATGTCCTCTCCTAAGATCTGACGGATACCTCCAAGTTGTTTCACCTTGTCTGTCCATGACATTCGCGAAAGAAGATCATCGGTCCGTTGAGCTGATGAGCAGGTGGCATCTTTGTAAATATCAACTCCATTATTGCCACAGATCTCTGCGCTAGAGACATGGGGAACAACTGCTAGTAAGCTAACAGCCACTGGGCTAAGAAGCTTCATGGTAGAAGTATGAACGAATCGACTATTCCGCGAGTAGATGATCAATTCGACTGAAAATTCAACTTGTTAGCCATTTTATTTTTCAGTTTAGAAAGAAAATAAATATCTGGACCTTATATAGGGATCATGATGGATTCTAGTTACCATCCATTGCGTGCTATAGTACTATAATGGGTAAGCTGTAACAGACCTATCAGAAGGGCGTAAATCCGACTACCGCCGACTCCCGTTCAAAAGCACAGACATAACAATAACATCAAGTTAAAGCCCATTAAAATCATCAGAGAAGGATCTTCATAGCTGTGTCTTGCAGGGAACCTCAAACTTAGTATTCGAACTTGAATACATACCGATTGGATAGGAACTTGAAGGCCCAAGCACGAAATCCCGGGGTAAGTGTTCACCATGCACGACTAGTATAGAACTTGGAACTCTTTTCCACCGTCTGGCGGAATACTTAAGGAGGCAGAACCAGCCTATATCTAAGACCATAGATTTACAAATAAACGGATTTTTATTTTGTTCATTACAATTAAACCTTGGAACATGAGTTATCCCTCTTAGTTTAGCGCTCTCCTATTTTTGGATACCTCTAACATCAGCTATCTCTCACTTTAGATATCCCTAGGGTTGCCAGTTACCTATATCCAACTATACAGCAGTTAGTCTTCCCCTCCAGGTAGTCATGTAGGTAACCCCGTAGGTACTTGCATAAAAAGAGGTGTAGCTCATCACTCACCTGTATAGGTATACTACTGACTCAGACTGAGCCCTATACTTAAGTATGTGAACATCCCTGTCTGAGAGGATGTAGACACATGATCTGCCCAGGTGGCCAAGCACTCACGTCACGGTGCTGAGGATATGCATTTCCCAAATTCAAATTCTCGCTGCTTCAATGGCAGTGCCGCGCGAAGCGCGGCGTAAGGACTTGTACTACTACTACGTCATCTACATGCAAGATACTAACTGATCATACAACCATACTGAAAGACTAAATGCCGAAGCGCTGGATTGACTAACACACGGACAGACGGCCAAAACAGGACCGAGTGCCTCAATAGAAAAGGAAAAGAAAAAATTAACGAGAAAATGAGCGGGTAATAGGGCACACAGAAGAAGCGGGCAAGAACAAGAGATGGCGTAGCAAAAAGTACATCACAAGAAGTTAACAAAGGTCAATTAGGCGACCTCCGCGGATCGAATTAATCAAAACCATTCTTTTTGCGATGCGTGGACCCATCCAGTGGAAGATAAAATTGTGAAAAGTGCGTCAAGGAGATAAGAGTGAGTGTGGGATTGAGACAGTAAGGAAAAGGGAAATAACTTCAGGGAGTGAGATATGGTCAGAATTGCGGATTGGGAATCAACGGACGTCAGCGGCGGGCATGGGAATTTTAGCGAAGAGAGAAACCCTTGCGCTTGCTTCCCTTTTCTTCGATAGGTCGGCCAGTTTCGAGGCGACCCTTCTTGTCCTCTAGCTCCTGGCGCTGCCTGTCGAGCTGATCCTTCATCTCGCGATGTCGGGCGTAGAGTTCGTCTTCGCTCTGTTTGAGCTTGCTTTCCTTTTCGGATACCTTTTGCTGGAAGACCATCTTCATTTCGGCTTCCATCTTCGACAGCTTCTGTTCGTGTAGGGCGCGCTCCTCCTCCTGCTTGACAGCGGGGTTGACCTCCTTGAACACGCTGGGGTCCTGAGCAACACCCATCTGGGTGAGCTTGTCGGAGCGGTAGTTCTCGTACAGGAAGTTGTTGGTGTGCTCCTTGAGCTCCTCCATGTGGGTGCGGATCAGCATCTGGCGCAGCTTGACGAAGTCGCAGTGTTCCTCGTTGTCGACCTCGATGATACCCCAGGGGTAGCTACGACCACGGACACGGCGGCCATCGGCAGCGGTAACCTCAGAGTTCGCACCAACGACGGCGAAAGGCACCTTGGACATGATCTCGTTGTTCTCGGCAATGGTCTCCTCATCATCAAGCTCGTAACGGGGGCCCTCGAAGATCTGGATGGAGTGGTGCTCGATATCGGCAAGGATCTATCAATATGTTAGTGTGAGAAACCTTAGTCCACGGTTGGTACATTGTGGTCCACCGCGTTCCTAGGATAATTGTAAACGTACGCGCTCCTTGAACAGGGCAACCTCCTCATCAGTCAGGGTATCGGCCTTGGCGATCACAGGAATCAGGTTGACCTTGGTGTGCAGGCGGCGCATGACCTCAATGTCGAGAGGCTTAAGGGAGTGACCAGTGGGCTGGATAAAGTAAACACAGGCGTGGATGCGGTTGTCAACAATGTTGCTGCGGTTGACCTTGTTCTCGGCCTCGAGGTAGGTGTCGAAGCGCTGCTCAATGTTCTCGACAATAGGGCGCCACGAGTCGTCGTTGTTCACAAAGTCACCGAATCCGGGGGTATCGACAACGGTCAGACGGAGACGCACACCGTTCTCCTCAATATCGGCGCTGGTAGATTGAATGGAGACGGTCTTGGGGATGATATCGGCATTGGGGCCGGTGCGCTCCTTAGGAGGGTAGAGGGAGGTGTTGAACAGGGTGTTAACGAGGGTAGACTTTCCGAGACCGGATTCACCTAGGGAATATTAGATAATTGATTCCATCAATACCTTGGGGGTGTTCACATACCAACAACCATGACATTGAAGTTGAAACCCTTGCGAACACTCTTGCGGTGCCACTGGTTGGGCAGGTTGGCGAAACCGACATAGCCGGTAAGCTTGCGGCGGACGACATTCTTCATATCACTGGCAGCTTGAGCAACAGCCTTGGGGTCACGAGAGCTAACTGTTTGGGCAGCACCTGAACCCATTGGGTTGCTGCGCTCAACGAATGGAGACTCCTTGCCGCTGCTGGGCGTGGGGGAGTCGCGAGACGCGACGGGGGATCCGTTCGCAGTCGGCGAAGCTAAGGAAAATCCATCAGTTATGCGATCCATGTGCGGATGTCCCTTCCGGGATGACGATGTCTCGGGGCCGCTTACACATGACGAATGTCTGGAGAAATTAAGGGGACGAAGTGACGATAGTAAAGCAACGGTTTGAAATCCCCTAGTAGATTCTAACCATCAGTATTTTGTATTGATATACGGCTTAGTGGGGTCCCATTGAGATTGGGGGAACAAGGCTCGAAAAATTCGGGGTTGGATGATCAGTGTCAGGAGAGCACCGCAGTTGCACCATACCTTTTTTTAAAAACGAACAAAGTTCGAAGAGGAAAGAATTAATTTGCAGAAGAAAATAGAAGCGAACGAAAGAGAAACCTTCACGATGGAAAGCTTGCAAAGAGGAAAAGGAAAGGAAAGGAGGTTTGAACGGAGTAGTAGGAGGGAAGGTGAGGCCCTGGGAAAGAAAGGGGGGGGACGTGTCGAAGGTGTTCGGGCCAGCTATTCTGGAGTGGGTTTGGATCGACCCGCCATATACACGTTGGAAAAAAAAAATAAGTGAAAAAAGAACAAGAAAAAGTTACTAAATAATTCAGGGAAATAGAAAAAAAAGAGATGCATCATATACGAGATTATACTATTTAGGGAGATTGATTTGTTTTGACTATTCTATGTATCATAAATGTCCATCTGGGCATAAGTGAAAGCAAGGAGAGAGTCAAAAAAGTGACCGGATCTGGAGCATTTCAGCACATTCCTCGGGGTTTTGACTGCAGCTGCATGGTTCTTTCACCAACAGGTCCATTTGTTGCATATTTGACAAGATCTTGCACAGGTGGTAGGGTGATAATGGTAACCTATAGAAGGGGATTAGTGAAATGAAGAATTAGACCCAATTGAACATTTGGAACATTTGTGTTAGTCTCGTGACATATCATGCCATAGTAGATCCCATGAAGTTGGCATATCTATCATTTCAATATGCAGTATGCATGTTAGACATGAATTGATTGAGAAGTGGAAGAGATGCATGTATCCAGTTTAATGGATCAGGGGTTAAACGGGGAAGTCACATGACTACTCCACAACTATATCCCCTATACGGAGAACTGTTATTACTACTATTAGTAGTACTAGTATGGATGTACTAGATCATTAGGGAGATTAAAGAGATGATCCCTATAAATCCTACAGGGGTACTAAGTACTAATTATAAAGATTATCATGACTAAGGCAGGATTTGAAATTACCAGCCCTGGAGGTAAATGAACTCAATAATGGGGTTTCTCATCGAACGCCGTAGGGTACACAAATCCAGACTCGGATCCAGAATGACTGAGGGGAAATCAAGAGAAAAAAAAACTAAACTTGATGTACATGTTTATTTGCCGTTTATTTGCCGGTCTTGCTCTTCTTCTTAGGTCGGGACGCCTCATCATTGTCAGATCCAGCATTTCCCTCCCCGTCTGAAGCACCTCCCATCTCCTCATCACTATCACCACTGCTCTCATGGGCAGAGTCAAACTCCTCGGCCACATCAGAGTCTGAGGAAGCAGCAAAGTCCTCATCAACGGATTCTTCATCCTCATCAGCTGAACCACGGTCGGCTCGGACAACCTCCTCATCACTAGATTCCATCAATTCATCATTGTCAAGAACCTTAAGCAGAGTGGATGTGTCCTCCGACATCTCGTTCTTGATGCGGATACCCTTAGCCTTGAAGAAGTCCTCCAATGGTTGTTGTTCCTCACTAGAAAAGACGAAAAAAAATTAGAAATTTTATCCAATAAAAATAGTATCATTAGGATCACATACCGGTTAATGTTGCTGAACTGGTGTTCACCCAGACCGCCCTTTAGGCTGACTGTGATGTCAAAGGTGCGACTGGCCGAGACAGCACCACCAACACGCGACATGGTCACCACTGCAATATTCTCCATCTGAACATAAGTCGCAGGCTTGGGCACAAAGATCAGGCTCTTGTCTAAGAAGTACAGGAGACCCTCATTGGCCTTAATGGAACATTTGACCCCATGATGACCATGGTGGCTAATGAAGTCCTTGGACGGCATGATAACCTTCTTGCCAGAAAGACCACGGAAGATCTTGGTCACCACCTGGTGAATAGGTTCCTCGTAGTGTGGTTGCAACTTATCCTTGTATTGAGTTTGCAGCAAGTCTTCGGTCATATTCAGCTCCAAGCTGATTTCCTCATCCAGCTTCAGCTGCATAACCAGGAAGGGGTAACGAGTCTGACCCTGGCGCAGAGGAGGGTCAAGTCCCAGCACAATGAGTGTGTGAGTGTCGTCATTCTTGGGGAGTAAAAAGAACTTTTTGATGGCGGAATATTGAATCTTGTAATCGTAGGTCTTACCGCGGAGTCGGAAGGACGATTCGTACATGTCGATGTCAAAGCGACCACTAAAAAAAGATCGGTCAGTTTAGAAAAGAGAATTATGACATAGAATCGATAAACCAACCGAGGTGTAAGATGCAGAACATCCAAAAAGGTTGCAAATGTGTCACCAGCAACATCTCCGATCTCAGCTTTGTCCATAAGCGTCTCATAGAAGAGGTTGGCGGCATTCTGTTCTTCAACTTCATTCTCCTCTTCCTCACCCTCCTCACCCTCTGTCTTCTCCTTTTTCGCGGCTAAGCCAGGAATGTAGAATCGCATTTCGACCAACTCATCTTGACCAGCAGCAGCCTTGCGACCGCGGTTCTTGGTGCTTCCTGCGGGCTGTGCACTGGCATTGGCGTCTGTCGCTGAGAGTGCAAACTCCACCGCCACCTCGTTCTTTCCAGCCAAGTTGGTATTAGAGATTTCGGAGTAGGGAATTTCAAACGCCGGTCGGTTTTGGACGTTGAATGAAAGTTCGGCCTTGGTAAACTCTGCTTTTCCCCAGTTCCATCCTCGTAGGGCGTGTTCGCGGTTCTCGACGTTGATGCCGTACCAGATCTTGAAGGCCTTGGACAGCCGCTCGAAGTCCTAAATGAAGAATTAATGTGTCAGAAGGTGAGAACTCAGCCACTTATGGAATGGAGGTGCCCGTACCTCTTGATCAAAGCCGTCCAGCTGGATCACACCAGACGATCGGGACAGGATTCTCAGCTCAAAGCCTTTCGCGGCGCGGCTCCACTGAGCGCCACCGATGTTGCTGCTATCCAAGGTGAAAGTGTCACCGCCACCTGATGGGCGCCATCCCAGGCCACTCTCAGCCAACTTACACTTGCCAGCGTTGTTGGAGAGATCCAGGTGGATGTTGTCGAAGCTCTCCCTAGGAAATGGTCAGCGCTGAAGGAGTCAGGAGTTCAACGAGGGATCGTACATTATGGAAAAGCTCTAGGAGCAAATTGATGGCAGGCGAAGAATAGTAGTGAGTAATAATGGAATGGATGAGGTGGAGGTGGGAGAGGTTGAAGGAGTGGGGAGGCTCGATAGCTTTCTTAGAATTTCACCGTAGACGGGAGTCGCGTTTGTTCGCGCCGCAGGAGTTGACCACTTCGTCCTATTTGGGGTCTAGTCTGGTTGCCTCAGGTGTTCAATCTATCAATCTATCTTATCAAAAAACGTCAACATCAACACTGGCATGAAAGAAATCAACCTGAGATTTTGGAGATTTCTAATTTCCTATTTTAATCGTTCCTTCGGATGAAATTGAAGTCTCGTCCTTGTCAATTTTCAAGAAAAATTTCAGATGATTTGAAGTTCTTTTAATATTGACCCTGGGTCACGGTGGACTCGATACATATTTTGAGCACTGGAGAGTATCAGGTCATTTCATGGCCTCGGGACTCGAACGCTTCAATCATATTCTGAACATTCAATGAATGTTCAAGCTCAGGCCGATACCTAGGTACATCCTCTAGGGCTGATCCATTGGTATAGAATCAATAATGTTGACCTTGAGTTACTATATACTATATACTACCCACTAATAATTCCGTCGACTGCTCAGGTCAACTGGTGGTCGTACATACTACATAGTACCTAGGTAGATCCATCAATCCATAGATGGATGTCATTTATCGCATCATGATGCATAATTTGAGATGGAACATTTTTGGAAAATTGAAACCTTCTAATGCCCAAGTTGGAAAATTTTAAACATTTGAACTTGAAGGTTGAGAAGGCATTACATACAGGGCTTCAATCCAGAACTACTCACCTGCCCAGGTGGGCAAGTGCCCAGTTATGCCTGTGATCCATCATAGTACTACTAGTACATCCATCATGATAGAGAGTACGATTGATTGATTTTCTTTTTACCAGTGATCTGGTCATAACAAACTAAATACCTACTACTATTTTCACCTCATGGATATGCGTAGTTCAAATGTTTTGACCAGTTGACATTAAAGTGCTCGAGGATGGCTGGATGGATCGCGAATGAAAAATCCACCAGTTGGTTGGTTCAAATGTTCCAGTCTATTTTACATATTATTACACACATGCATCGATAGCCTCAATTTTCCACACTACGCGACTTGAACTTGTCCTTGCATTGGAAGCCTTTTTCATACCTCAGCACTTGAGATGTCAACCAAGCACATGACATCTGGAGGCTGTGCAGACATTGGGACTCGGAGAGGGCAGTGTATTGTAAGTGTCCAGACCCCTCTGGTATCGAAGCCCCATAAATCTGAATCTCCAGGCTGCGTGTACAAATGCGTTTTAGGCTCCATCCGTGGGCCTTGGTGCATTCTATATTTAACGATAAAACACCACGAACCTGGAACTAGGTTGTGTAGATTTCCATTTGACCCACACTGTATCGAACCATCGGGATGACCATACGTATATGTCAAGAATAATGATCATGACTACCCCATGTTCCACCAATTTCCGAGGTGAGGTACAGATATCTCTTTGTCTGGGGTCATAAAGATCGGATTTATAGTTTGATAGGTTGACGATAGGGATGTCAGGCAGATCCCAGTCTGGAGAGAACTTTCAATCAGGTAAGATTGGATGTAGATCCTCATCTTAACTTGAACTTCAGAACGAGCCGTCATTTCGATGTAATAGGAGTTAGCTACCATAAGTACCGTGGTAGCACTTGTAAGCTTGAAATCTGCCATAGGAGCTGAAGACCAGTTAATTTCATTAAGTTGAGAGACTCGAGCCTGAATAAAGGAATTGATCACTTCTGATTCCTCTTACCACATGATTGGGATAACATCACCCACGGGCAAAGACCCATAATTGAGGACGGGAGGCTGGGATATATGCAGGATGATTGGATTTTCACAGTGGAGAAAGTGTAAGATAGTGGAGAACTTAATATGTTAGCGGTTTTCTTAGTGTTTTTCCCCCTTGATGATTACGACGATTTTGTATTGTCTGTGTATGAATTTGTCGTATTTAGGAGCCTTGAAGTCAATTCTACCGCAATTTCATCGGAGATTACTCGTATTTGGGGGTATTATATGGTATTATCGTGTATTGCATGGTATCAATGAGAATTATGCGTAACTGCCGTATCAACATCCTCTTTTCTGCCCCTGTTGACTTCTCTCCCCCCCATCACCTCTAGTCATTCGTTGATTTCTTCTTTTCTGCAGCGAGACTTCGGTCTCAATATGCATACCACATTCTTTTACTTCTAATTCGGGTTTTTTTTGCTACCTTTTTTGGGGCCTTTTCACTTTTCGCTTATGCCACATTCCTTTCTTTTCCTTACGCGTTACTCCTGAATTGCTGCCTTAAAGCTTCCTTAAACCTCTTTCGATCCTCCCACATTCGCTCCTCTCGACTAGAGTCCCAAACCCCCCCCAATCAACTCTTCGCCTGTCGTCGCGCCCGTAACAATGAGGATCTCTTCATTGTTTGGGCCCGCGGCGGCTGGTTTATCGGCCCTTTTTACGATATTGCCCTTCGCGAACGCTCTCACATTCGACGCTATCTCGCTTCCCGATTTGGACCTGTCTTCATTAGGACGGGTCTCAATTACCGGTGACTTCCATGGTGTCTCCCTGTACGAATATGAGGGCCAGTCTGAGATCACTAAAACCAACGGCTCATCATCTATCCTAACTCCCTTGCCAAATGGAATCCTCACAAATCTCTCCTCTTCCGATGCCCAGATCCAGGCTATGTGCTCCTTTACGAAGAAAGACGGAACTTTTGCTGGAATTTTTATTGGTGGTACCTTTACAACACTTGGAGGCGTGGAATCTCAGGGTGCAGCCCTGTTCAACCCGAATACCAGCGCCGTGACAGCTCTGCCTGGCTTGAATGGCACCGTTTCGGCCGTGGCCTGCGACCAGAGTACCAACCGGGTCTATGTTGGTGGAACATTCACTCACAAGAACAGCTCCAACGCCATCGCATGGAGCCCTGACGACGGCTGGACCGATCTTTCCTTCGAAGGCCTCAATGGCCCTGTCAAATCGCTATTGAAAGCTGAAAATGGTCACATCATCTTCGGTGGTTCTTTTGATGGAGTCGGTAATTCAACAAATTCGAACTCGACCAAGAATTCTGGTGGATTGCAGGTTCTCAATCTGCAGAATGCGACCATCACATCCGACGCGCTGACCGACCTCAGTGGCTATGAAGATCCTTCAAATATCATCTGTTCAACAAGCGGAACGGCCGCCAAGGGGAAGACCTGGTTGCTTTACGACTATTCCCCCGGATACTGGCGCGCAGAGCTTGGATTCGAATTCCACCCATCAAAGGTTCGCCTTTACAACACCCACCTGGATGGACGTGGCACCAAGTCCTTCTTGTTTCGCGCTCTTCCCGATAACGGTATCATGAACATGACATACACGGACTCTTCCGGTAACACCGTTTCCTGCGACCAAAGCTGCCCGCTTTCCAGTAACTCCACCGAAAAGTACCGTGACTTCACCCTGGTCAACCCGGTGGGAATGCAGGGAATGCAGATTGAGATTTTGGATTGGTATGGCGAAGGTGCGGGATTGAACGGAATCGAGGTTTTCCAGGAGAACATCTTCGCTTATGCTGTGGACAAATTCAACGAGCCTACCTGTGCCGACATCGACTACCCGTCTAACTCCATTGTCAGTGGTACATGGACGGTGAACTCGACTCATCTGTCCGCCCAAGTGACCGATGACAATGACAGCGATACCTCGGTTGTTTTCGAGCCTGACGTCAAAGAGTCGGGTAACTACACTATTCTCCTCTACACTCCCGGATGTGTTGATAGTGGAACATGCAGCACTCGTGGTATGGTCAATGTCACTGCCACTGTAGTGAAAGATGACTCCGATGCCTCAAACCCCTCCCCTACAACCATCTATCAGACAAATGACGATGACAAGTACGACACTTTGTTTTCCGGATATGTCGACAAAGCTAGTGATTCTTTCCGGCCTCGCGTCACCCTTCGTCCAATTGTCGGCCAGGGAGATATCAATGTGGTAGCGTGGCGTGTTGAATTCAACGCCCTCTTCAATACTACTTCGACATCAGACTCCGACTCGGATTCAGACTCTGACTCCGACTCTGACTCAAGCTCGGGAGATCTGAACGGATTGTATGATTATGATCCAACAACTACAACCGCCTCTACCACCAACAGCTCCGATATCGACAAAGCCGGCGCCTCGCTTGACAAGGACGCCACTATCCTGAGCCTGGCTGAATATGATGGTGTAATTTATGCGGGTGGTAACTTCTCAGACAGCAGTGTCAGCTATGTCATGTCCATCACTGATGGCAATGCTACTGCAATGCCAGACGGGGGCTTGAACGCTGAAGTTTTGTCTATGACCACCCTCAATGAATACCTCTACGTTGGAGGCAAGTTCACTGACACTTCTGACGGTGGTGCCGACGGCTTGTACCATGTTGTGTCATATTCTTTCTCATCGAAGGAATGGTCTGCCATGGGTCAAGGTCTGAATGGTCCTGTTTCGACTGTTTATCCCATCGACTTGAATGTCTCGTCTTCCATCAACGAGACAACCATTGCCGTCAGCGGCAACTTCACTCAGATTCGGGCTACCGATTCGCACGACGCCGTCTCTGTCTCTGGGTTCGCTATTTGGGTTCCCTCCAACAAGACCTGGCTTCAGAGTCTCAACGTAACCCAGATGGAGTTTGCTGGCCAGCTGAATGCAGTTGCCTCAGTGAACGAGACCACCATTCTTGCTGGTAACCTGGCCACTGATGGATACACCGCCGCTGATGCGGTTTCTCTGCAGAATGCCGATGATGATCTCAGTCTCCTCCCGCTGAACATGGACCTCAACCAGTCTGCATCCACCGGAGGATTGTACACCGGCGTCTATGATGTCGAATCGGATCGTAATCTCACAATCTTCGGTGGTCAATTCAATGCCACCAGCAGCAACGGCTCATCCATCTCCCAAGTCGCGTTTTTCAATGGGACTGATGGGACGGTCTATGGCCTACCACAGGGCTTGGACAGCAACTCGACCGCCATGGCTATGGCCGTATACAATGATACCCTCTTTGTTGGTGGTAACATCACCGGCAGTATCAGTGGCTCGCCTATTGACGGTTTCTTTGTCTACGACTTGAACAGCAACGACTTTGCGTCACAACCATGGAAGCTTCACCCATCCGATGGCTCTAAAGTGACGGTGAATGCTATTGCTGTTCGACCTGGCTCATCCGTCGTCTACATTGGAGGCAACTTTGACACAGCTGGTTCACTGCCGTGTAATACTGTTTGTGCTCTGGATTCCGATGCCAACTCCTGGAGTTGGCCTGGCGTGAGTATCAGCGGTACTGCGATTGCTCTCTCATGGGCCAGCTCGAACACCCTTTATGCGGCTGGCAATCTGACTATTTCGGGCAATCAAACCCTGGTTGCCACCTATGATGTGAAAACTGATACTTGGACTCCCTTGTCTGGTGCCTCCCAGACTGAGATCCCCGGAACTCTTACTGCCTTTGCGCCCGCTTCCACTGATGACTCGACATTCTGGATTGCCGGCACATCGACCAATGGCTCAGCCTACTTCTTGAACTACGATGGCTCCGAGTTCCAATCCCCGGGTGATCTGTTTGACGAGGGCACTGTCATCCGTGGAATGGAAATCTTGCCGCTCAACAAGAACCACGATTCGGTGTCCCTGCTGAACGATGACCAGACGCTTCTCATCATGGGCCAGCTTATCATCCCCGACTTTGGTAATGCCTCAGCTGCCCTCTACAATGGAACTGCAGTCACTCCGTTTATTCTTTCCTCCAAATACGATGGTCAAGCAGGTAGCATGGCACAGTTCTTCTCCGAGTACTCGAACCCCTACGACACTAGTTCAAGCCATCACTCAAATGGTATTGTGGTTCTAGTGGCGTTCTGTTGTGCTCTTGGTTGTGTCTTCCTCATTGTCGCCGCTGGTGTGATCATGAACAAGGTCCAGCGCCGTCGCCAGGGCTACTCCGCTGCGCCTCAGACTTTTGGTACTGACCGACCCACGGATATGCAACGTGTGCCGCCTGAGTACCTATTTAACTCCATCGGACAGCCGAACCCGACTGCTCCAGTCATCTAATGTCATTTCCTCTTCCTTTCTCTCTCTCTCTCTCTCTCTCTCTCTCTCTCTCTCTCTCTCTCTCTCTCTCTCTCTCCTATCCTGCACAAAATCTCCTTCCCCTCTCAAAAACTTTTGTTTGAGAACGGCGGTTTCTACGTTTTCTTGAGTTTCGTTCTCTCTTGCTCTTGTCCGGAAGCAATGGCTGCTATACCCAACCTTCCTTAATGTTTGATTTGCTAGCGCATTTCCTATTCTCCTCTCGCGCTGGTACACCCCGCGATTATTTTTTTTGTTCGATTTTTTTTGTGGTTGATCGTGGCCATGTCCGTCTAGTCGATTTCCTTGTGCATATCTACATATATGTGTAGTAGCTGTATGTAACTTAGTTTGCGTCCTGGGGGCGTAGAGAATACAACGATCTTCCAATAGATGATATTGTTACATCGATATCTCTGTAGTTCCAAGGTTAGTACCAGTACGGAGAACTCCGAACGGTAGAGCAGACAAACTTTGGGCTGCATGATTATGAGTTTAAAATCCAAAATCCCACCACCTGGACAGATGGTATCCACTGGCATGTCCTGATGTCTGCACATGTGATTAAAATTCGACCGGACTAGAAGGAGAATGCCCTGCATCTAAGACACACATTTCGAACTTGAACTCTTTACGGAGTGCTCTGTCGATACCTAGTAGCCAATGTAAATTTTACAGTGTCGGCACAGGTTGCCCCTGAACCGGTGTGGTCGAACAAACGATCTACTAGAACATGCATAGACCAATCTTTGCTTTTTCCGTCTTTTCTTTTCGCTGTCAATAATAGAGAAACTAACGCTTATTGCATGGTCATCTCCGAGTTTTTATGCAAGAATCCAAACCTTGCAGTTATTATTAGTATTCGCGTGAGATGATAGTACTTTGTTTGGTGTTGATATTCCATTATCATCAGTACTATCATTAATATTATCAATATGATGTCTATCTCTCATATATTGAGAGTGTTAGAGTTCTTCAGGCTGCCCATCTTCTCATCCTCATCCTTATTCCTGTGATATGTAAGCGTAACCTGTAAGCCCCCTTGCCGCTTTAAGGATCCACACCGCCCTGTAAGCAGTAAGCAAGTAAGCACTTGAACTGATGCAAGCGGTCAACATTCAAGTCAAGATGAACTCCGCAAAACTTTCCTTCATCACGCTAATCACGCTAATTTATGCAACCTTCCCGAGTTACTTTCCATGTGACTATCCCCGATAGACTTGCTTCATGGAGAGACGAATACGGAAGGATTTTATTTTTATATTTTATTTCGATGATGAAATTCCACGCGGCGATACATATGCACTTCTTCTCCGCATTGCCCCTGGGGTTCTCCGCTTGATCTGACAGCTGACACTGCTAACATCAACACAAAGCGGTGGCGATGATCAATTAGGAAGGTTTGCAGGCGAGTACGAGTCATGATCTTCGGAGATAATGTGTGGATTGATGTGACTTGATTTGATGTATGGAGTACTGTAGGTTGCCTCACTCGACGTGACACAGAGGATCTTTTCCATGATTGAATATGATTGAATGTGATTATGGACTCGTGGGGGTCCCCGCGTGTTCTTAGCCGTTGAATCTGTAGATCTTGAACGGAGAAATTGTTGATGTGGATGGAAGATCTAAGTCTATAATGGTACATCTAGATGCAAGTGTACATGTGTCTCATGCTGATCACAGTATTCGAAGTTCAAATGTCACGGTTTACTACATCCATGGATAACTTGAATGTACGGAGTAGTATTATAGTCTAAGTCTATAGATCGGATCCCAATGCTCACACCTATACTAGGTAATAACTTGAACGGAGTACTCCGTGCACTCGGACCGGGTCTCATTGTCCTGGAAATCCCGAGATTCAAGTTCTGACATGACATCTGCCTAGACTTCTGGATACTCTAGACGCGTTGCCAAGAGTGTACGAAGACCGGGGCTCCTCCATGCAGGATTGGCGTGTATTAGCGGTCCACATTAATCTTACTCTTTACCACAATCACACTCAGGCTGGCAACTTTTTTATGTCTCACCGATTCTAAGCGAATAAGATCCTGTACAAGGCTCCACGGTAAAAAAAGTACATATGATTTGAAATCTCTATATGCTATTCTTGTTCAAATGTTCACTCCGAATTTCAAACCACTCGGGCATCTGGACGAACGTGGCGTTACTTTGTAGCCATTTAGACCGCCAAGTCTTCAAATGTTATATCATCCATGGATCTCACACGGGATGGCACTCTGCCACCCGCAATATGGCAATATGGAGAGGACGCCACCAGTGTCAAAGCGCGGCTAAGCATTCAAAATGTTCGGTCTTGTTCCTTGTGATATCCCGAATTATCGGAATAAATTCAATTTTTTCTTTTTTGTTTGATGTTTTTCTCATCCACGGCTACTTAGATTAGTTAATTAAGCGAACGGCTAATTGGAAGTCATCGGGAATATGGTTCCGCTCCACTACCCAATAACCAGTTATCATCACGTAAAACTGCCGTGAGTGGATTTGCGGGAGGTGTCCCCAGAATATATAGAGCCAATGATATGATTCAAAGATGTACGTAATACGCAAAGGGAAAGAGAGGAAATGGGGATCTCCACTCATGTGCTCGGGAAGGAATTCGGGGGGGATCTGGGATATGCGGACAACCACGTTGTTGATGGAGCATGGCAAGAAAAAAAGGGGGGCAAAAGAAAAAAGGAAAGAAAAGATGGAGCGTCATCGGGATCGAATTCAAGATCAGGTTCCAAGAGGATGGAGAAAAAAAAACGCCGCCAACGTAGCCCGTGTCTTCGTGCCGCAATCCCCGCGGGGGAGACAAGTGTAGCTTGGAGTCATCCATCACGGTCTCCGTAATTCGGGACCTATAAGAATGATGGGATAGGATCTCGGGTGGGCCATGAGGGCCGTGAGGGCCGTGAGAACTTGGAGATGCTACTCCGTTATGTACTCCGGACATCGGCATTGGGGTCAACCTTGGAAAGAAGTTCGGGGGCCAAGAGTAGAAATAGGCAACTGAAACGAGTTTCATAAACGACATCTTTACTGCCAGTGCCAGTGTGTACGGCGGGTACTTCGTCTGCGCCGAATGTACATTATGATTTCGGTTGTACTTAACTCGGCTCCCTGTTGTTGAGAGCAGTTAGGAAAGTATTTGGGTTATCATTGAGAAAGGCAACGAATGAGAGTGAAGAACATAAATTCAGACCCTGACCCACCTTTTATGAACTTTCATTCCCCCGTAATTCCCCGTAGATGGGGTTGGGGATGGGATGTGAGAGGTCGGACGAGTTCCTCCATCAAGTAACAGATTAGTTGATCCTCCACCTTGATCCACGATTCAATCCTATGAGCCAACCATAGAGAATAGAGAAAGAAAACAATTAAAAGTGGGATAAGGAAAAGAATTAGAGAAAAATAGAGAAAAATAAAGAGAGAAAAAAAGAGGAGAACAAAATAGGAGAGTCAAGTACCCAGTTGTGGGTAAAGTCCCTTGAACCCTGCACAGTGTACTCAGTGTATTCTACTGTGTACAGTGTGAGTGTATGTGAGTGCCTTCATTATGTGGCCATCAACATTCTTCTCTCTCCGGAATTTCTCCAGTTTCTTTCTTCTCCCACGTTCCCCCCCGAATGCGGCACAAGACGTATGTGGCGTCTCCTCAAAACCAAATTAAACAATTAAACAATTAAAGAATTGTCAAAAAATGAATGAAAAATTCGCGGTTCGAAAACGAATGGTCTAATCCACTTGGTTAGACTTGGCATTTCATCGCCAGACCTGCACACAGAAGAAACCGAACTTCTCAGCCGCTATGCATCTGATCCTTTCCCAATATTCTCGCGAGACTTGCCTAGAGTGCCCACTTGCGACGTCACCCTCTTTTTTTCTGTTTTTATCATTTTTATTATTTTTTTATTATTTTTCTTTTTTTTTCTTTCCTGGCGCAACCGTACCAATGTACCCCCATGTACATGTTCCCCACTCTAGTGGGACTCTCCATGAGAACGGGCTCTCATGTAGGAGCATGAGAAACATACATAAGACTCGCATTCTCCCCAAGTCAAAGCTTTTCTTTTTTTCTCTTTCTTGTGTGTGTCCCTCTTTCTATTATTTTTTCCTCCCTTCTAGTATAAGGTTGAGGCTTCGCCATATTCACAAGCAAATATGCGGACAACTACCCTCGGTTTACGAGGCCGCCACCTCCATTGGGCTATCACATTCACTTCCGTCGTCGGTTTCTCCCTCTTCGGTTATGATCAGGGTTTGATGTCCGGTATTATCTCCGGTGATCCCTTTGATAATGAATTCCCTCCTTTGGCCGGTGACTCTGCGCACGTTCAGGTCCTCCGTGGTGCCGTTACCTCCTGTTACGAACTCGGCTGTTTCTTCGGTGCCATCTTCACTCTTATCTATGGTGAGCGTATCGGCCGAACTCCAATTCTGGTCGCTGGTGGTCTTCTCATGATTCTCGGTACTGTCATCTCTACTGCTTCTTTCGGTCCTCACTGGGGTCTGGGTCAGTTCGTTATCGGTCGTGTGATTTCCGGTCTCGGAAACGGTGCCGATACTGCTACTATCCCTGTCTGGCAGTCTGAGTGTTCGGCCGCCCACAAGCGTGGTTTCCTCGTCTGCTTCGAGGGTGCCATTATCGCCGTCGGTACCTTCATCGCCTACTGGATCGATTTCGGTCTCTCCTACGTCGACACCTCCGTCGCCTGGCGATTCCCCGTTGCTTTCCAGATCCTCTTTGCTATTCTGGTCAGTTTGGGTGGTTTGTGTCTGCCAGAATCCCCCCCGTTGGTTCATTATCAAGGGTCGCGAACAAGAAGCTTGTCAGGTTTTGGCCGCTCTCCACGACAGCAGCCCTGATGCTGAAGATGTCTTGACCGATATCAACCTCATGAAGGCTGATCTTCAGGCTCAGGAGGGTGCTAAGGGTAGCTGGAAGACTCTTTTCACTTTTGGCAAGACCCAGGAGTTCCAGCGTATGATGATTGGATGCTCTGGCCAGTTCTTCCAGCAATTCACTGGTTGCAATGCTGCTATCTACTACTCTACTCTGCTCTTCCAGAACGACTTGAACATTGAGGGTAAGCTCTCTCTGGTTCTGGGTGGTGTTTTCGCTACTGTCTACGCTTTGGCTACCATCCCATCTTTCTTCATGGTCGAGAATGTTGGTCGTCGTAACCTGTTCATGATTGGTTTCGCCGGTCAGGGTCTCAGTTTCATTATTACCATGGCCTGTCTGGCTGCTGGTGGCACTGAGAACTCCAAGGGTGCCGTCGTCGGTATCTTCCTCTTCATCTGCTTCTTCGCCTTTACTACGCTGCCTCTCCCCTGGATCTACCCTCCCGAGATCAACCCTCTCCGTACCCGTACCATGGCCGCCTCCGCCTCGACCTGTGTCAACTGGATTTGCAACTTCGCTGTGGTCATGTTCACTCCCGTGTTCTCTTCTGCTTCTCCTTGGGGTCTGTACCTCTTCTTCGCCTTGGTCAACTTCACCGCTCTGCCTTTCGCCTACTTCTTTTACCCGGAGACCGCTGGCCGTGATCTGGAGGAGATTGATATCATCTTCGCCAAGGCTCACGTCGAGGGCAAGTGGCCTTTCCAGGTTGCTGCCGAGATGCCCAAGCTCACTGTTGAGCAAATCATTCAGATGCAGCGTGAGCTTGGCCTTGACCAAAGCGAACCCAACACCATCAATGATAGCGAGAAGGCTACTGAGACTGGTCTCAGCAGCAGTGATAATGAGAAGGCTACTCACTCCGAGTAATTTGTTTTCCTTTTTTGCATATTGGAGGAAAAGAGTGGGCATATGTACATTCGGGCCCATTTGCTTCTGCATTTTCCATCCTGGAGACGGAAAGCATGAGGTCATGACCGCCCTGATGAAATTATAGAGTGTATTGGATGCTCGCATTATTTATTTTTATCATATTCCCTTATTGTCTTATTTGTCGACATGCGGTATTGGTTAATCGCCAATAACCTTTTATTTTGGCTGTCGAATATACATTATTTCATTCATTCTTGCATAAGTTCCAATTTTTCCATATTTCTTTTCTTTTACTAAGAATGAGAATGGCCCACACGGTCAGTTTCACATATTACATTCTCCACATTAAAAAGTGTTCGGAAAGACTCCGTCCCAAGTTTCCACTCTAGCACTGTATTTTCTGTAGTCATCCTTTATCCATTTTACCGAGCAACTACCAGTAGTTTATCCCAGGGGCAAAACATGTTAAACCATGGTTAAAATCCACACATGTCACGGTGCATTGAACTGAAAAAAAGCAGAAAACGCCTCCAAGCCACTCCCGTCAGCCTTAGTCAAGTCGTTTTTTGGTGGATCTAATTACGACGCCACGCGATTTTTAAACATTCTGGGCATTTCTGGGCGTACGTATGCAAGAGGTCTCAGATCACAAAAAGCCCTGTCCGAGTCTGTGCATGATCGTCGAGAATTTTCCGACGCTTATGTCTGAGTTTATGTATGTCCGTTGTATTCCGTAGAACTACGGGAGAACATGGCCTAAATGGGGCAATGTACCAGTGATCATCTTCTCTCTGCCAGTAGGACTTTTAGAATGTCGAGTCATAATATCTTAAGGTTATACTCGGATTATAATCTGCATTTACTCCGCTCAGATGGCTCGGCCCTCTCAAACTCCTTGTTTTTCACCCTGATATTAACCTTGGATGTTCAAGTAAGTATGCCGTGCAGAACAACGAATGATTCCACTGCTATAATGTCTGTGCTAGTTTCTAGGTACATACGGAATAAGCCCGTTAGATCATGGCGAGTAAGTGCCCTGGTCCCGCACTGACATGGAGTTAATGCGTTATTACGTAGCACATGCGAGCTACCTAATCCTACAGGGGTAAGCTCAATAGAGAAGGTAGGCCACGGAGTTTTTTGTTCCGAGTTTGCTTTCAAATGTTCACTGTGGAGTACTATTAGCTTGAAGGATTGTTTACATCTATCGGATGAATCTTTCAAGTCTCGGGTTATGTCTACATTGAGATGACTCCATACTTGATTCTTGAATCTGGAATATGCATGGCATTCTTACGCCATCATATCATCTGACTAGTTATTTCAGAGTAAGGGAAGAGGCATGGCAAGATAGGACTCAGTTCAGCACAAACATTTGAATATTGTAGAGATGTTTGATAAGATGATATGAGTAAACTCCCAGACTGTAAACTACGCTGAGAGCAACTACCTATGGTAATGTAGGTGCTCATAAAGCGGCAACTGGGGACCCACTGCTAAATTAGTGGATACAAAGAAGTGCCGACTTCGTATGAATTCAGTGGACGAGGGATTTTCTCGGAGCACGATGGATCACACTTGTTGAATAAGAGGGGCGGATAAACGGTTTGCTTTTCTGGTTGTTGGATAATCGTTCATGATATGGTGGATCTAAGTAGGCAGACTAGCTGTGCTCTGATTGACCTGGATTGGTGTAGATGTAATGTAACTTTCTGAGCTTCTATAATTTCTAGATTTTCGTTTATCAGATTTATTGAGATGAGACATTTAATGGACTCTATGACTATCCTATGGTTTGATACAATTTCAAGGAATAGGAGGAAACAATATGGTCAAACATCTTGGAATCAGTGGGAACATGGATTTTACCACTCGAAGTTGGATGATTTAAACTATGCGAGACTTCAATGCACATGGATATGTTTAAGAGACAATACAGCAGCAATCGAGAAATCTGGGATATACTGTAGGCCATGTGAGGTCCGCACATTACTCGTAGTTGGCCATCTATGCACTATCATCTGTAACCTTGGGATGAGACTTGATCCTACTGCCTATAGTTTTAAGACAAAAAGCATATTTACCAGATACCCAACAGGCTAGAAGCTTTGAGATTGACATTGATGTTTTCACCTTGGATCTACCCAAGTTTTAGGATGAAAGACATAGTAACGAGTGATGGGCTCGGGCGACGCATCAATGGTTCAAGTTGAGCTACCTCGGGAGACATGCGCATGTGTTTTGATCAACAGAAAATCACTGGACTAATAGCATAGCCAGTAAAGCTGATTTTTGTGGACTCATACCTACTACCTACCTAGAAGGTATTAGTATGTAGTAGGTAGGAGTCCATCATGGGTAACAGCTCCAGCCAAGCTCAGAGTAGTCACGGTGGATCCAGGGTGATGCAGGCTGAACTATATTTCTCGGCAAAGCCTGAAACATAACATGATCTGGCACAGTAGCTTGCTGCAGTATTTTCCAGAGTGGGGCAATGTATTCTGTGTCCAAGCAGTATAGCTAGTGAGACACGGCTTGACCCGATGAACTGGTGGATCGACACTGCCAGGAGCTATGTGACGGTGGATATTAAATCCACTGTGTATGCAGATTGCGAACTTTGCGTCATCGGATCCTACCTATAGCCCCGCTATTTAACATTCAATGTTAAAGCAGCTTGAGGTATCTTAGTTACCTAGGTTAGAGTTATGCCGATGGGATGAGAGACTCATCCCATCTTTCTTGTCCCATCTCATAGAATATGATGGGACCTAGGAGGTGCAGTATTCTGTACAGCCTAGGTAACTTGAAGCTTTCAAACCCATTGAAAGGTAGTTACGTCCAATCTTGAGGTCTTTGCTGCACATGTATTCAAATGTTCGAGGCAGATTGCAGCCGCGAGGTATGTATGGTGGGGTAGATGAAACCGGAACAGGAACAACCTTGGGCAACAAACTTCCAATGTTTCTCCTCCAAGGTGGGGCAATTTATGCATTACTCTGACACGTCACCAATTTCCAGCTTTAAATATAAAAGTTTTAAATATAAAAGTTGGGCCATGTCAGGTTGTCTGTCTGTGGAGTAGTCTTTTAAGTGTCTTCTTCATCCCGAAGTCGATGTCGTTTTCCAAATCGATCCTACATCCATGAATCTCATAATCACCTGCCCAGGTGGACGGCAATAGAGATAATTCTTCAATCAAAAAAAGACAGGGGAATTTGCTCTCTCCGCAAATTTGGAAAGGCCCTAGAGCATTTAAGTCAACTTTGGAACCATGTCTGAAAATGCTAGCGAATGCCTACCACTGGCAGGAATATGCGAGCAAAATCTCACAAGTCCCTCAATCGATGATTCTTTTAGCCACTCATCGGACATTGGAGACTCAGATGCAGGCGCAACACTTAACCGAAGTAAAAGCGATCAGTGCTCATACATGTATCGCTATTTACCTCTACCATCGCGTGCAATTCGCTTGCTCCGCTTGATGCCACATGATGATGAGTACCACGGAGGTTGATGGATATGCTTTCTGCATGGCATTGAGCTCGCCACAATTGGGTCTGCTTGCGGAAGTGTCAGCAAGCGTACAAAGCATAGCCAGCTCAGTAACATTCCTCATTCGTGGTGCAGCATTTCGATCCAAAAGAGTTCCAATTCCATTGACCGGATAAGTTTCCCTCTCTGTGAGGCCTCTTGGCGAGCTGATTGATCTCTACCATGCACATAGAGCGACTATATTACACGATAAGATTTTCGCCCTACTAGGCATGAGTTCTGACGACCCCATATCTGCCGGCCTGGTACCAGATTATACGGTGCCCTGGAAACCCCTCTTTGAACAACTGATCAGATTCATTCTTGGTCAAAGGCTGTTTGTGAAAACCTGGAACGATACGGAGATGGCAGTGGTCAAGGGTAGTGGCCATATCATTGGACAAATATACCACGTCGGAAGCAGTAGCGATAGTGACAGAGAAAAAGGGTATGTGAGAGCTCGTGTGAGGAACAAGTCAGGTGTTCTGAAACGATTAATTCAGTGGAATCGATCACCTTCAATCAAGTCCGTCCAAGTTGGTGATATAATCTGCCTCATGGATGGGGCCCCAAACTCGATGATTCTTAGACCACGCGGAGATTTCTTCTCTATAGTCCTGATCATGGCTTCTGGTCTGGAAGGAAAGTCTCAAGGGCGTGTCTTCTGCGACCTCCTACTTGTTTGGGATTGGAATGCAGGAGATTCAAAAGACCAGCAGCTTTTTGAAACAGTTATGAAAAGTCGTGCATCTGAATTCGTTGAAACAGAGCCGTCGGGTCATTTCAAGCTGGAAAGTGTCGAAAGAGCATTGGGAATGGTAACTGTGTTGGAAGAGGTACAAGAGTGGTTTGCAGTAAGTAAGTGGCTTGCGGAATTCGTGAAGAGATATGAAACGCAACTTGGTGAACACAATCCACATATACTAGCATGTAAAAGGAAACTCGAGAAACTACTAGCACCTAGGTACATAGAACTATATCCGGCCCAGGAGGATTTGGACTCGGACCACACAATGGACTAAGGCCTTGGTCCTTCAAATGTTAGCTCTGCACACATATCGTGATGTAGCGACCTTCCTCACTTCACACTGCCACACACATGCAGTAGCACATGCATATTTCATCACCATCCTCCATCCATCTAGGTATGTAGTAAGAACTCTAGATGTAAGCCTTTTTCTCCTGATAAATGGGGCTTCAAGTTTCAAGTTCTGACTGTACGTGCATTCCAAGGTTAGTATTTACCTATATAAGGATACAGCCCTGGAGGCAACATTCAGACACTGGCACTCAAGGTGTCGAACATTTGAAGGGTCCTATGTATGCTCACGCCTAGATAGCCTTCAACTTGAACTTATATTCATACCTATTCCTCTCTTACTAAGTACCGACCCAGGGCATTTGGTCAAGACTCGGACGGATTAGCTTCAAACGATGACCCACAGGGATCTACCTGAGTAATCTATATAAGGTGAAGCTAATGCTGATAAATGACTCTAGAATGGACTCACGGCCTACTAATTGTTTGATAAAGTTTAGTATTTCCATGGAATAATTAAACATATTGCATAGTATCTAGAGATCGCCCATTAATGTGATCTCAGGCTTATGGGTACTGCTAATCGGGATCCACGTTAGCTGCAGGGCGACAGGGACTAGTGGGTCACCTGTCAAAACTGTGAATATTTGATGACTGCAGAACCTGAATGATATGAGAGTATTTCTACATGATAGAAACCTCTATAAGAATTAGTCGTCACCTCCATAGCCCCTGTAAGTCGCTTAGGCCTCGGGGGCTTTGCCGTGTCTGTGCGGTCGCAAAGAAGGTCGACATGGGACCCAAGGCCTTATAGAGGTCAATCATCATACCCTGTAGAGAAGAATATACAAGGAGAAGAGAGAGAAAAAAGATATAAGTAGTCTTTAATGATAAAATTCATTGTCAATATATTAATACGGCATGATAGATCCACAAATAAACATGGATTAATCTATTGTGGGGGCCGTGTGATCCCCGGTCACCTGGTCTCCCCGCAGAAACTCCAGGTTTCATGGTTTTTCCTCCTTCCGGGGTTAACATCTCATATGGAATCCCCCATGCGCCTGCTACGCCATGCGCTCTCGAACTGGCTGGTTGGTAAAACCCATCATTTTAACTTATTTTGACTAACGCCATGCAGCTTAACATGCCGAACTCGAAAGCTCAAATGTATCATCCCTTCGCGCACCTGACCCAACACCCTGGCTAATGCACACTCATAGGCGATGAACAAAAGCCTGAATGCTCACAATGTCGCAAGGGTGGTCGAGAATGTCGTCCCAGCGAAGGTATTGTGTTTCGCCACCAGCAGAACGCATCTATGAATAAGGATCCTGCGTCAACACCGGAAGGTCGTGGCAATCTGAAGGGTTTCTATTCGTACAAGAACACATTTGATAAGGATAGTGTTTGGCTTGACATTCCAAAACACGGTAGGCCTTACATCCCCCACTATACAAGGGAATACCTGTTGATTTTCTTTCAGTCATCTTTGTCGACAATTCTGATCCATACGCCGATGACCTCGAGACCTCTTTAGCCGAATCCAGTGCGATGGCCTTGGCCCAATCGCGAAATCAGAGATGGGGTAGTGGTTCAAGGGCAAGTGACGCAGAAACACATGGCCTGGAAGCCTTGTCTGCGGTCGCAAGCCATGATCGCTTCCCATATTCTCCTCTAGATCATCCCTCCGTCTCCGATAGCGTCTCATACCCCTCCCCAAGCCGATCGCGCGGCAGTGCCATGCCTCCTCCCACATCTCCCTCCATGTCCTTATCCGCCAGCAGTAATAACACCAACATCAACTTCCTCCTTAACCCGTCCCACTCTTTATCTCCATCGGTCGACTCCACAGCCCTTCATGGTGTTGATCAAAGGAGTACTTCGCTTCCCTCGAGACCTGCCGCGGTTCACACACCCGTAGAGCACCAACTAGATTGTAATGCCGAAACAGACTTCGAAGTGGCATTCCTGTTGCGCCACTATTCAGAAGGACCAGGCTTATGGTATGATAATTGTTGAGAACCTTTTGGCTAGTGCGCATCATTGATTAGATATCTTTTCTTCGCAGGATGGATCTGTTTGATCTGGGAACATACTTCGCATCATATGTTCCAGTAAGAGCAATGTCCAACCCTTTACTTAAGTACGCCGCTTGCGCTTATGCCGCAAAGCAACTCGGTCGCGTCAAGGGCGCCAAGGCAAAGATGGGCGGTGTCTGCTCACGGCAAGCCGCCATGGAGACTTGGCCTGGGAAAGATGATGATTTCCTCTGGCATGGAGCCAAGTATTATGAAAAGGCCATCCAGCTGCTCATGAAAGAGTTGCAACCTGATGCAGAGGGGCCGCCTCCGCTGAGCACACCCGAAGCTTTTGGGCAATGGCAGGCTGCGGAGCTTTGTGGTGATGGGCAGAACCCTCGGAAGCGACGACGGCGATTGTCAAATAGTCGGCTTTCGCGTGGTGTTCATTCGGATGAGGTGCTGGCAGCGACTGCCATCTTATCAGTATATGAGTTTCTTGACGCGACCGGGCCGGCTTGGAATCGGCATTTAAGCGGTGTCAAATCGTTGCTTGATGTAGCTGAGGTTGGGATCATGCCATTAGAGTCTCAGTCCGCGGATGGAGACAGTCCGTATCATACAATAAGGAAGTCTGGTCTTCCCAGGGCGCGAAAGGCGGCATTTTGGAACTTTGCGCGACAGGACTATCTGGCTGCTTGTAAGTGATTGAACCTCGTTTCTTCTTCTTCTATTTTCTGAAACATACCCGCTGACAATCCTCTCAGTCATCAATGAGTGCCATACGAGACTTAACACTGAAGACCTAGTCCTTTGGACCGAGGCTGGTCTGCGAATGGATCACATGGGATTTGTGCGTCCTAGTAATATGGCAGCGGCAGGATACCCGGAAGGCGATGATTTCATGAAAGAAGATACCATCTGCAACGCCTTGGTCTGGATCTTATCGAAGATCGTCAACTTCATCAGTTCCGGCGATAACTTAACCATGAACGATAACCAATCCGTCGACAGCGGGCCTCTGGGCATATCGCAGCAGGTTCTTCTTGAACGATGGTACCGACTTGAAGCGGAGTTAGATGCATGGTACAGAGGCTTGCCAGACACATTTCGCGCGAGTGCACGGATTGAACCATCGCAGTTATCACATTGTCACTCCTCCAAAGAAGCTAGTGATTTGGTCACCCTGCAAGAAGTGTGGCATAGTATCCCCATGTGTGCATCCAGCATGCAACATTATCATATGGCACGGATCCTGCTTTTAATTAATAAACCGCATGAATCGACCAGTCGGCGGAACACAATCACCCTCCGACTTCAATCATATCGCTCCATCGAGGCTGAGATCGGGTTCCACAGTCGTGAGATCGTCGGCATTGCTCTTTCTCGTCCCGATGGCAGTGTGCGGATTAATTCGCTGCAACCACTCTTTGTTAGTGGACAGTGTCTGACTGATCCGCGAGAGCGCCGAGTTATCATTCGGTTACTGAGAGCTATTGAGGCGGATTTGGGCTGGGCTACCGAGTACCGGGTTCAACAGTTGCTTAAAGAGTGGAACTGGGATGAGAGCTTTCTTCAACCGGCAGGTAGTTGAGTAGCAGTGTGTTTTGATCAGACGAATTTCAACCATCTCGAAGAATGGATAGGAAAATCTCCATTGTCCACGCCTTCTGTGTCACTAGATACTGAAAGTGACAACACCGCGACGCTCGTTACTATTGATGAGCAACACATGTTCAGACCCTGATTGTGAGGAGGCCGTCCCCCCTCAACCCGCCGAATCACACGGCATTTGCTCGAAGCCCTGCAACAGGCACCAAGGGCTCATTCAACAAAGGGATGCCCCCTGTCCGTTCATGCAGGGTCACATCATGAACGAGAAATCAGTAATATATCCCATATAGCATAGCATATCAGCCAGACCTGTTTGGAATTTAGGTAAATTCAAATTCAATAATCATAATCAGAATCGAAAGTGAACTGAAAATTTCCTCCTCCTCTGGCATGAGATTCAAGTTCTGCAGTTCTCGGTCAAGTTTCCTTCTGCACGGCCCAGGTTGCATCATATCCGAGTGATTTCGGCAGGTTTATTCGGACCGTCACTACTAGTACCCGATGTGTACGTCATTAGACTCTGTTATCTAGTCTAGTGGACTTGGTATTTGAATCCACTCATATTATAAAGCTTGATTCTTTCAATTTTCATTTTGATATGATCTTCCTCTATCTTTCCATCCTGGTTTCATGATTATAAAGTCACCGCTATTCTCTATCACTTACACCAGTTGACAGTGGCAGGTTTCCCGAACCGGCATTCTCTCCGCATTTTGAACTAGATCTGCTTATGCCAAGAAATTTTCTTCGGATTTCTTCCGGATTACCTGAAGAATATAGGGTAGATTGACGAATTCGGTAATTGTGAAGCCGGGAAAGCAGGTATCGCGGTATGCATGGTTCTAGACGCGGGGTGAATGTCGGATAAAAGGGATAAAGTGCGGGGGATGATCAGCATAAAAGGAGACCTTGAGATGAATCTAGTTTACAAAAGCATTTAATACGGACTGCAGAGTAGCACACTCACGCTGAGTCTAAGGAGAATACAACTTGGATACTATTTAGTGAATTCGACATCATGTCTGTGGATTCGGATGTCCTCATCATTGGAGCTGGATTCTCAGGTATTGGGTTCGCTGTTCAACTGCAGAACCAGTATCCGAAAGCAACATATGAGATTCTAGAGAAAGCAGAGAATATTGGTGGAACGTGGTGGGTGAATACATACCCAGGTTGTGGTTGCGATGTAAGCACTGACACCAAGAAACGTTGCTAGGGAACTGTAGAGAATGACTGACCTTGTCTAGGTAGCGTCGCACTTTTACTCATTCTCATTTGAGTTAAATCCAAACTGGAGCTGCAAGTTCGCACCACAGCGCGAGATAGTAGAATATCTCCAATCGGTCGCAAAGAAATATGATATTCCGAGCCATGTGCGCTTCTCATCCATTGTTCAGCGTGCGGTGTTTGATGAAAGTACTGGGACCTGGGTCGTCACTGTGCTTGATGGTCTGACAGGATCGGTATATGAGAAACGAGCCAGGATACTTATTTCAGCTGTCGGTGCTCTGTCAGTGCCACGGGACTGTGAGATCAAAGGTGCAGAGCGGTATCAGGGGATGCTGTTTCACTCTGCGCGATGGGATCATTCATTTGACTGGGCTGGGAAGGATGTAGTCGTTGTCGGTATGCTTTTCTTCACATTTCGTTTCATATCCAAAGACGCTCGCAGTGTGGTTAGCTAATAAGTCAAAGGAAATGGATGCAGCGCTACTCAATTCGTCCCTGTCATCAGCGAAGGACCCAACAGCGTCAAGAGCCTAGTTCAATTTAGTCGCCAACCTCACTGGCTTGCTGAACGCCCAAACCCAACGTATACACGAACATTCCAATGGATGATGCGCTACATGCCTTTTGCGATGCGACTGTATCGATTCTACCTGTATGCCAATATGGAGAAGGACTTCCTCGGCTTTTATCAAGAAACAGGAGGACAGATTCGCGAAGACCTGAAACGCACAAGGATCGAGTACTTGAAACGAACTGCACCGGAGAAGTATCACGATGCTTTAATCCCGTGCACCGAGATAGGGTGTAAGCGGAAGGTCGAGGATACGGGGTATCTGGCTTGTTTACATCGAGAGAATGTGGAATTGGTGCACTCGGATGGTATCCAGGAGATTACTGAGAATGGAGTTCGTACTCTCTCTGGACGAGAAGTTCATGCGGATGCTATCATTCTTGCTACAGGGTTCCAGACACAGCAGCTTCTGTATCCTATGGAGATAATCGGTGAGAAGGGAGTTACACTAAACGAGCATGTATGTTCTTGCTATTCTATTGGCCTTGTGAGAATGATTACTGACTATATCACAGTGGGAGAACTTTTCATTGGGGTCGCCTCAGGCTTACTATGGGACTTGTATCTCTGAGTTCCCGAATTTCTTCATTCTTATGGGTCCTAATACCACGACTGGTCATCTATCTGTGATTTACTCAACAGAATGCGAGATCAATTTCTCGTTACGAGTTCTGCGACCGATCCTGCGTTCACTATACCCCTCCAAGATATGGTCCGCACTCACATACCCCTTCTCTAGCCTCTTGCCTACAGCGCCAAACACTGTCGCGGTCACATCAGCTGCTGAGCAGGCAGATAATCATTGGATCCAAAGTGCGGCCAGTAAATTAGTCTGGGCGACCGGGTGCAGCAGTTGGTACGTTGATTCCCGAACAGGACGAAACACGATGCTCTATCCAGATTGGCAATTCAATTACTGGCTACGAAGCATCTTTGTACCCCTATCACGGGACTTTGTGTTCAAGGGCAGTGCAATGCAATTACCACAGGCTGATAAGAGTGAGAAATAACGTAAAGCGAATAAGAATTCTGGATTTTCGGTTGTAGGTGCTGGGATGGGGAGGGGGGGGGGGATCGGCATCGCCGTTGCGGTCGGACTCATGTGTGAATCGCACATTCATCCTAATATAGATGAGATGCGCGAGACTGAACTGGGGAAAGTGCTTAGAGGAGGATTCAACCGAGTTGGTGGCGAATGGTTATCTGTGGTGCGTGGGATGCAGAACATTACAGGGAAGAGCGTATAGGATGGTCCAGTTATGAATGATGATTTCTCATGTGACTAGTTCTATTCTCAATCCATAATGTGCGAAGGTTGATCCCTGTTAGACCAATCGATGTATCGAATTAGTGTGGTATGATATTGTCCTGGACGTGTGGTTCGATATTGGGCTTGGCCCTACGAGTCCAGATCCTGGGGATTGATAGGGATGACATCGGGGAGGATCTGGAAAATATTAGCACTGACCAGATTTGACCAGTGTCATGCATGGACTGTGAGCCCAGATTGAATAAAAAGGTCCGCTTGAGACATTATTGGTCGGTTGTAGAACGAATGTCGGGGGCGATCACGGTCGCAGGCGAGTTATCCGTGATGATTGGGTGATTTGGCGCGGGGTTATCAGGAACAAGGAAGGATGAGAGAGCATTGACCACAAGTCAGCTCAGGTTGATGAGATATTATTGGGAGAATTAATTGATAGAGAATTGGCCGAAAGCTGAGACTAGACGAATCAAGTACTAGGTAGTAGATCATGTTGTGAGTCAGTCAGAACTGGGGGCGCACAGAATTCAAATGTTGAATTGGAATGAATCAATATTTCAGACTGTAATTCTGTATTCTAGAATTTGTACCGTACAAAGTATTAACTTGAAAGTATTAAAGAATGTAAAATACATATAAAATAGAATGGAAAAGATTATATCCCATACTCCATAAGACTTCATATACTCATATACTCGGACTTGCACGGAATTCCTCGGGTCGGGCTTCCTTTCTGCATTAGTCTGATTAGTCTGATTTACAGACTGGAGTACATTTTATACTTGAGCGGAGTCATAAACTATGTAAATATAATGATAAAATATTTATACATTTTATAATAGACTTTGAATATCATTGTGGGGGTCTAAGTTCTTCATAGACTTGCCGAATCGATACAACTAGAGTACTCCGTAGTAGAATGTACATAGTTGTACTTGTCTTTTGACAGTTCTAATTAAGACTGTCAGTGGCAATATCGATCGGGGTTTTCTAAGGGAAAAAATAGATATCAGAGATTTACATATGCCTAGTATCAATTGGAACTGGTCATACTGTCCCCCACTAAGATCTTGGAGGGGTAGTGAGTCCTAAGTACTCCGCACAAAGACTTCAGGCTACTAGGTCTACTACAGACATTGAAGTCACGGTAATCCTTATTGATTACATCTGGATGTCGCTTACTATCCAATGCTCCATTGACGCGCAATATTTGAACATCACCGATGATCTACAACTCTTCATCCCTTTTCTATTTTCAAATTGTGGTGGAACCCTGGTGGATACCAGGGCTCGGTACTGTTGACGACACTAACTAGACTAGACTAAGTAATAATCTCTCGACGCGTGGCTAGAGAGCCTGGAGGCTTTTGTAAAATGGCATTGTCATTGTACTTAGATTATTTAGTGTTGAATAGTGTCTTATCTTGCGCGTTAATGACACCAATTCCATGCAGGGGGTCCCTAGTCGCGGGTACAAAGTACAAAGTACACGTAGAGTAATTATGAATCTTGATTTCTTCGGCTATTTTCAGTAGGCCCACGGTGGATTCATCTCGATCTTCAACCCCCCCCTGAATTGATATGTACTCCATTTCCCAACGTGCTTTGCTTAAACATGGTTCTATCGAGATCAACATGACACTAAATCCAGTCTAAAATCTACGTAACCATGGATTCACAGTTCACGCCATTTTTCCAGAATTCCTTGGAAATGTGAACGTGGTACAGAGTACAGAGTACATAATACTACTTATGATTACTCTCTTACAATTACTCTTGTATTATTCTCACCAAAAGTCACAAAAATCACAAAAATCACGAAAAAGTACGGGTCCTGTCACGGCTATTGATCCTGTTGGAACGCTGATCTCGCCCCAATAACAGTTCAAATCAACCGGAATCCTCTAAAAGATCAGCCCAGTTGTACGAAGATCATTACCTCCTGTAGTTTTCAAGGTTGACTGTATTTTTGACCCCCAACTTTGTGTACTCTTTACCCGGATGTTCAATACCTACATTGTCTAATACCGGAGTGCCACTGCCAACCCTGTCCACTTGTCCACCACTAAGTTTCTCAACTCCGGGTAACGAACTAGAAGGAGGACCGTGTGTAACCCCTCTCCTAGTCCTCTTAGTGTACCTCAATGTCCACGGCTCTGCAGCGCTCGTGTGCTGAGTGGGCTGAACCGGACCTATCGCAGCTTGGTCCACTACTTGACCCACTCGATGTACGCTTGGATGGAGGAGGACTTTATTTCCCCTTCGCTGGAGTGACCCACGCCCCAGTCCACTGGGAATTTTTGCTATGTATACCAGCCCAGTGCCCACCTAGACCCCGTTCCTTTTCTCGATTACCTGTGTGACCCTTACGCTCCTTTTTTTTTCTTCGACAGCGCGACCTTTTTCGCGCGCGGTCTTGTCGCGCTGGCGCGTTGGATACGTTTTTTTGAACAGGATATGTCGAATTTGACCTAATTACGCACCTTTTTACAATATGACCGACTTGAACGGAGAATGTCCCGGTGTCTTCTTGCAGGAGACCCTGTTTCCAACCTCTGGTGGATGTATGTGGGGATAAATGAACTCACTCGGTGATAGTGTGATGTTGTACTAACATATGATATAGTCATTGATGGTCGATACTGCGAGGCAATCTCTAGTGGAAATAATACTTTATCATGCTGTTTACCTTGCCCCCTCGCCGATTGGCGATATGCCGATAGTATGTGTGGTATACTATACATTGCCTGCCAGTGTGACTCATATCTAACCAATTCTAGACATTGCGCAACGAGTCGAAGTTGCTAGCTGGATCAGTGTCGCCATTCTACCTCTCTGTGTTTTTATCCTCATCTCATACGCTGTCCTTGCTCCCAAATGGACCAATCGCCATTACCTCAGTATCTGCTTTACATTGGGAATCTGCGTCATGGAGGTATGTTTACTGGAGACTAACTTATATCAAGACATTCGCTAATTGAGTATCGTCAGATTGCCTTTATCATCCCCCTCGGCGTCAAACCAAACCAATGCTACAACGAAATTACACCTAATGATATGTACAGCGATCTATCCTGTGCCTTTTCCGGATCAATGCTATTATTCGGGGGCTGGTTGGTCGTCATGTGGAGTAAGACATGCAGAACAAGTTTTTGATGATAAGACTATCTGCTAACGCAAACTCAGGTTTCATCCGCACTATCGCGTTTCACTTCCAAGTTTGCTGGGAAGTTGTCTTGGGGCCAAAATTCATGTGGGGGGGCCTTCTTGTTTGGATTTGGCATCCCCGCTATTGGCCTCGGCGTCATGTTGAAGGTGACGGGAGTATCCTTCCGATTTGGTGAGATTTGCCACATCAATATCTACAAGGGATTACACGATTACTGGATCCCGCTTATGGTCTTCGCCTCCGTCGCTCTGATATTACAGGTGTCTACAATGGCATACTGTATCCATATCTACCTGCGCTCACTCTTCGACAAGTCCGCTTCAACAAGTGATAACAGCTCTGGTCTTCCCTCATACACGGCCAGTGTCCGAACCGTCTCCGCTCGTCATGCCTGGCGTCGAATGCAACGCGTGTTACAGTTGCAATGGCGTGGAGTCACGCTAGTGCTGATCATCCTTGGAAACGTGATCTTCTTCGCCGTTGTATTCATCAAGCTGGACAGCGAGGATAGCCCCACCGCAGCCAATATGAAAAAGGCCGAGCCCTGGTTTGAGTGTCTTGCAGCTGGATACAGTAAGAAGGAATGCGAGAGCCAAGCGGCAGGCATGGGTCCTAACGAAGCCACGGTATTGGCTATGGTTTATCTTCTGTCCTTTGTGGGGTTCTGGAATTTTATTCTATTCGCCCGTCCCTTGATGTTTTCGGGCTGGCTGGATTTCATCCGCAGGGCTTTTTCACGACGTCATGAGTTTATCTCGGCTGATGCCAATGATCGTTTCGCTGATGATAGCAAAGGATTCGAGATGTTGACGACGACTGTGAAGACCCCCCCACCCAGAACCTTACAATATGCGATCCCCCAGTCCCGATCGCATGGCCGGTCGGAGTCCCGTGGATATTCCGAGTCGGATGAACAGTCTAAATTCAGTGCATAGTCCGAACCGCATGAACAGCCCAAGTCCGACATTTGATCGAAGTGTTCACTTTGGTCAGGAGGCCCGATACGTTCGTCCCAATATGAGTTTCTCAGGGCCTCGACCCCCCTAGCTCGTCACAGAATACGCGAGAATGGGACCCATCCTCAACATTTGCCCGAGGAAATGTACAATAACCGTTGGAAAAGCCCGTCAGCCCACAATTCCACAATTGGGTCTTTGCTTAATCGGGCTACGTCTGGTGGGTATCACAAAATAACCGATATGAAACGGGTTGCGAGGAATCGGTGTTCCGGTACATGCTCATTGCTCGTGCTTCATGGCGTATGAGAGGGTCCAAAAAAGGACTAATGCGCGGCTTATGACGACGGTACATTAACATTTCATGAATAATTATTGGAGGGCTTGACTTGTTTTTTTTTATTCTGTTTGCGATATCCATTTTTTTTTGTATCACCAGCGTCTACCATCCTAATTCAGGCAAAATCTTAGAGGAGAAAAATACAAAAAATCATCAAAATTATTAAAATCAAAGACATTAAAAATCATGACTCAGAAAAGTCACATTTAGTGAAAATTCGACAAAAGCCCAGCCCCCTCGAATTCAAGTTCCTACCGAATCCCAGATCAACATAACACGGCATCTCGGTCCCGCAAGTGGATTCATTTTTTTCGCCCCTTATTCATTGGCAAAACACAAAGATCTTAAGAAAGCAAAGACATTGTTATAATCTGGACTGTTTGATGCCTAGTCTTCCATTAGTACTCCATAGTGATCCATAAAGATGGATACTAGGCTGAAACAGTCTAGAAAAAAAAACCCAAAGCCACCACATGGACATCTGGACATCACAAACCACCAAATTATCTAACAGCCATTAGAGCCTTCCAATGATCTAGAACTTTGCAAATTGAAGACATTCCTCCGTTCACTTTTCCTAAATCGTGATCAAGGTGACATGAAACGGGCTACAGAGCCTTGGACTATCCCGAATTAGTTAAACCGCCCGTTCCTGCATACGCCCCCAGGGAGGACCTGCACATGGCCTCGTCAGCATACATTACGCGATGTTGGAGGGTTTGAGACTAGTTATTTCATTCTATTCTCCCATTGATGGATTTGTGTGGAGCAATTGAATTTCATGAATGTGATTATGACCCCACCACTCCGTACACCACGGTCTTGTCTTGGTGCTAGTGTGAAGGCGGAGGCAGGGTCCAGGATGAGAGAGTTTAATAGATTACAATTTCTTGATTTTGTATTTAGTGCGAGATGAGGTCTTTGTCTTTTCCTTCTAGTGGCAATTGGAACTTGAAGGTATTGGACGAATCGCCATTTATTTCCTAGGAGAATGTTTCCCATAGATCTAGAACACAATCAAAAAGACGTTTTAGATGAAGTTTTAGATGAAAGATTGTTTTCAATGTCGGACTCATTTCAGATTCTATTACATTCTACTTTCACTATTTTCACCCCGCAATCCACTTCTAAACTCTCTCTTTGTACTGGACCAATATCCGAATACGGACTTCCTCGGGTATCAAACTTGAACCCCGTGAAGATGCACATGTGCATGTGTCTATATCCTCAAAATTGAGTCGATAAAAACAAGAAATAACAGAAATATGTGCCATGGACGAACGGATTCAAATTGCCAATCGGCATATTCCCACATGGCCACCTCGGGAGGATCCATGGTACATTCCGGGGTACATGCACTGCAACACCCCGCGCGATCGGGCTGAGGCATTTATGGGGAACTCTACATGAACCATGTGTATGGATTATTTTACTTGATTCTATTGATCAGTCTTGCTGCCGTCAAGTAAAATAAGTGGAGATCCTGCATCTGCACCAAGTTTCAATTGGTAACGGAGTTGGGATATCAGACCCTCGCCGGATCTAGCAATGATCAATTGATTAATCCGAGTCGCTTTGATCGCTTCATGTCACTCATTCTAAGCTTTTCAATGTTCCGGCACGCACCGAGGTTCACGGGTACATGTGATTTTTATTACTCGTTGAAGTGCATATTGAGTTTCATGCCCGCGAGATCTACAGGTTTGACTTCATACACTGGGAAATGTATCCAGTACGCAGTATGTACATGCAGTATTGATATGGGACACTTAGTAGCCTAAGTGTGGAGTATAGAAAGGCTAACAGGAATTCAATGCATTAACTATCGAATTGAGAATGTCCATCAGGTGAAATATGATAGGGCGAAAAACAAAGAATCTAAACCGGGAATTCTATGCTCGCATCACGTTGACCTGACATCTTCGACTTCAAGGCTTACCACTCCATGCCTCAGTCAAAAAGTCATCAACAGATGTGAATTGGTAGTCAGGAAGCAGTTTGTTCCAGCTATCAGAAACATGCAGCTGGTTTGCATTAACGGCCAGCAACATACCACCAGTAATGACCTTGGCCATCGAGGCACGTTTCTCCCTTGGAATGGCAGGGTGTTCAAAAGCCGGGGTCCACGAAGTCGCCCATGTACCGGCCTCAAACTCCTGAGCCTCGCGATTTTCAACAGTGAATGGCTGACCACCTAGCATAGAATAAGAGTCAATAAGAGTCACTCTCTGTTATTCCCGTTGAGTGGGATATACATACCGCGAACTTTCTCTGCTATGGCAAGGAACTCGCCCATTGAGATGTCATCGCCTCGGATGCCACCATCAACAGGCCACTCTCCTTCAAACTCAATGGCTTGAACAACAACGTTACGGACATCGTTGACAGTAGTCAAGCTTATGCGAGCGTTCTCGCCTCCCTCAATTCCGATCCAGCGGCGATTATTCAGGTCCCATGGGAGTTCCGCGAATGGGATATACTTCATGGAAGGATATGGGCATGTGAGATAGTTGACGAAGTATCCGGGGTGGAACAGTGTATACTCAAGGACCTAGATGCATAGGGACTTATATTAGCGCTGTGGACTGCAGTTACACATTTGTTGTCGTAGTACCTTCTTGTCCTTGTTCAAGTCTTTGAGGCATTGGCGTGTGGCTTCCTTGAAGGCATACCAACCCATGTGAGTAAAACCGGAACTGCAAAATAAAGTCAATAAAAGATAAGCAGTATGATAGTAAATGTGACTTACGAGGCCCATTCGCTGGGCGCAAATCGTTTGACACCAGCTTTCACAGAGGCATCTATGAGGTTGAATTGAACAGGACTTCCTTCTCCTGTTGATTCAGTCACGAAGGAAAGTACAGTATGCACACCCTGTAAGACCTGCGTCAACTGTTCCACGCTTGCGTAGTCGACCTTGATCCAGGTAGCTCCCTCAGGGATAGATCCAGAGTCGGATGGCGCGTCCTGATACTTTTGTTAGTGAGGCGATGAAAAGAGACGACTAGATATTTCTGACCCTGCGAGAAAGAAGGATAATCTCATGCTTCTTGGTAGCGACGAGTGCATCGACGATTTCCTGTCCGACACCTAGATCAATGGTCAATATGAGGTTTCAAAATGTTGTCGAATTGGTCAGGCCTACCACCGGCGCCGCCAGCAATTGCAATCTTAACCATTTTGTCGGATAAAAATAGGAATAGGAATGATTTTGTAAAAAGATGAGTGGGGTTGTAGGAAGTCTAGTTGTTTGTGTGATAAAAAATTGAATAATCACCACCTCAATGAGTGAGTTGGATCATTTTATACTATATTCGATAATATTCAGGCCGACTACTTGGGCGGGGCAAATACTATTGCTAATAGGATTGTCGATTTGTGATAGGTTATAATTCACGCAAGGCTGTGATTTCGTCCGCCGAGCTCGGGCGAACACCTTTACTCTTCCGAGATATCTCGGTGATTCAGACAAGGCTCGCTTACTTCTCACCGAAACACTCACGCGAACCCGAAAGTTCGATTTATCAGCCAAAGATTTCTCGGTCAAAGAGAATTAAGTCTGCAAAAATGTCCGAGATGCAGCAAGATGGTAGCCCCGACGCCAAGCGAAGAAAGATCCGCAAAGGGACCCAGAGCTGTTGGGAATGCAAGCGACGGAAGGTCCGATGTATCTTTTCGTCGGAAAGTGCAATCTGCAATAACTGCCATCGACGTCGAACAAACTGTGTCAGTCAGGATCTTCCTGATACCCCTGTCTCATCTGCTGGTAATCCGGTTGAGGCTCGACTTGGCCGAGTGGAGAAGCTCCTTGAGCTAGCAGTCAAACATGTTGGCACTGCCGATATTGGAAATTTCTCAGGAAATCAGGAGATACTCGAATCCCATTTGGTCGCTCGGACAGTTGAGAATACGGAAAGCTTGGTTCAAAGACAGGCGTCACCACCAAGAAATATTGTGGTGTGTTTCTTTCTCATTCAGACTTAAACCCTCACTAACATTCCAAAGACGAACCAGACTCATCACCCTCAGGCTCGACGAGATCAGTGTTTGAGTTCTTTGAACAGCCTGAGACGGGCACCTGGAAAATACGATGAAATCAGTCGTGAATTGATCGCCGCATGGCCTAGCCAAGATGTTCTTGCTCACATATGTACCCTCCCAAGTGGTCCTACGTTGCGTTTGAATTGTGTCTTGCTCAGGTCGTGCGCTATAAACGAGAAGAATGTCGCACAATTACCACATGAGCTACTCCAGCTACCTCCGCCAGGCTCTCACCCAGTCCTGATCGCGCGTAAGCTTTTAATGCTTGGAACATTTCTTCATGGCATCCCGCCTCTTAAGATCGAGGGATTGGGAAGGAGAGGTACTGCTTACCTCGAACTTATGTCTTGTGTTATTGAAAAAGCTGTTAGACTTGTGACGACCAATGATGAACTCATTTGCTCAGTGGAAGCATTGGAGTGTATCATTATCGAGTCTGTATACCATAACCACTCTGGAAATCTCCACCGCGCCTGGATGGCTGTACGTCGAGCTACTGCGGTTGCTGAAATGATGGCGCTTCATCGCGGTTTGGATTCTCCATCGCTGAAGTTCCTTGAACCTGCTTCCCGAGCAGTCTTTAATCCGGATCAGATCTGCTTTCACTTGGTTCAATCAGATCGCTATCTTTCCATCATGCTAGGCCTGCCACCAACTTCTCTTGATACCAGGTTTGCTAGTGATGAGGCTATGAAAGCATGCGGCCCAATAGAGCGCTTGGAGCGCACTCACTGTGTTGTTTCTGATCACATATTGCGAAGATCTGAAGCTGACCTGGATGATCTTACAAAGACATACGAGCACGATAAGCTGTTACAGAACATTGCTTCTGAAATGCCTTCTCAATGGTGGCTGTCTAGCTTCACAACCGATCAGAATGATGAGATCAAGTTACTTCAAGATACGGTGCGCTTCATGGATCAATTAGCGCATTATCATCTTCTCATCCGATTGCATTTGCCATACATGTTGCGATCTTCTACAGATCACCGATACGACCATAGCAAACTCACCACAGTTAATGCCAGTCGAGAAATACTCACGCGGTACCTGTCTTACCGGCACTCAATTTCTACTCCTTTTTCCTGTCGCGGCGATGAATTCCTTGCTTTTATCTCTGTTACTGTTATTTGCATCGCACATATGGATGCTCGTCGACAGGCCCAGCAATTGGCTGAAAGCGCAGCCGGTTGTACTGTTTTCAATTTCCTCGCCCACAATCATCCTAGCGACCGTGGCTTAATGGAACGTACCCTTGAAATCATCGACAGTGGGGCGCAAAGATATGCTGACCCGATCACTTCTAAACTGAGGCGAATCATTAGTCAGCTGCTTGTCATTGAAGCAAGCTCTGCTAGTGGTACTACATATAGTACAAGCTCCTCGAGATGCGATCAGGGCGTTCTTGAACCCGATTCAAGGCTCACTGATGGTGGAAAAGCCTTACACATCTATATTCCTTATCTTGGAAAAATCAACTTTGAGCGTCGCGCTATGCCAAAGCCGGATTCTACGATCTTAGCTCAACCTGGCCCTGATGAGGGTGTTGAAAAATCTCAAGGCTCATCCTCTGGTTTTGGACCTCACACTTCCTATCAGAATAACGACCAATATAATCATGGAGGTCAGGAAGCGGAATCTCTGACATTTGGGCAACTTGCATCCCCTGTATCGAATGAATCACCCGCTTTGCATGATGGTGATATACAGTTCAGCCCAAACGACCCCCAGATTACCGATTCTGAAATAATAGAGGATTGGGATCTTCAGGGCATTGACACTGCCCTTTTTGATAGCCTTTTCCGGGGCACGGATATCCCATTTTATGACGCGGCAGAGACTTGGAGTCCTTGGGAAACGTGAGCATCGTGTTGCAATCAATATTTTTCACAAGTAATGGTTCAATTTATTTTCTATAATACAAAACGCCGCCCATGTAAATAAGATGTCCTGATGAACGTCACCTCCAATTTCAGGTCAGCTAAGAGTTTGATTCTTGCCATGTCATGCTGTGCCTTATCATGATAGTGTTCAGGGGCACCTCATCTCCTGATTCCTCGTCCGGTTGTGTTACCCGGAGTAGTACCATGGGTTTAACGAGGAGCTCATCTGGAGGACGAAAAGCTGGCTTTGTATTCGATGTAGGTGTGGAAGATTGGAGATTGGTCGTTTTCATTCTCAGGTGACCTTTCTTACTTCTGAATCGTGAAGAAATCATAACAAATAATGAGTGGAAGTTGGGTAAGCAGGCTGCGATTATACCACAGGTAGACTCGACTACACCCCAGGTGTACGATTTGCCGAGTGTCCAGGATACATCTGCTGAATTGAAATCGAACATTGTGGTAAATCGGTAGGCGCTTGTGAAAACGATACTGGAAGATGAGATGGTTAATATACTTTGTTTGATATGAAAGTGGTGGCCCTTCAAGGATATTGAGATCTGAACTCACAATATGCCAAAAATGAAAATTCCAATTATGGATAAAAAGTGACTGGTAGCAGCTTGCATTCTCCATACTGCGTGTACGGGTAGAGAAAGAATGGCGATGTCGATTATGATATTGGGAACACCATTTCCAATGAAGAGACCTTTCGGGTCAATACATGTTCCAGAAATCGATGTGTTCCATGCTCTTGATAATGGTGAACATTGGAGAACTTGTAGACAAATAAGGCTAATAGCCCATAAAGCGACAATTATCCCCAGGACAATAGAAGCGATGCGAAATCTTTGAGTTGGAAAGATGCGAGTATAAATGAGTAGAATGGAGATCTTAATCATGCTCACGGTGGCACAATACAGACATTCATAAGCCAGTGAGATCTTTATTCTGTTAGATTGATGAACTTCCAGAAGAGAGTCTATAATATCACAAACCTTTCCAATCATCACCAGGCTTTTGGCGGATAAAGTATCTGCATGTAATCCCATACCACTGCATATCACTATTCATTTTTATTAGCTTTACATATGCATGTAATAATGAAAATTAATGACTTACAGCTCAGATTGAGGCCAGCCTCTGCAAAGAAAAAAATCTGCACCGATAAGGATAGCGTGTTAGTGTCTTCAAGTAGCGGTCAGACTGCTTTGTTTATTTGTTTATCCATACCAAAGATGCCAGCACCACAAAATCCTCCAAAGGAAGTCTCGTTCCCTTTTTCCATTGTGAGAAAAATCGCAGAAAAACAATCACCGCGCCCAGCACAGTCATGGAAATCGTCACAGCAAGATACTCCTTCTGTCGACTGTCGTGAATGTCAGACATGATGTTGAGTCTTGACAGTCGTCTAAGCGACAAACAAAACCGCAGTTAAAACATAACTAAACGAGAGCAAGTCAACAAACAAAAGGAGAATATAATAGAGAATCAAGAAAGAAGTAGATGTAAAAGTGAAGAAGTGGAAAATCAGATTCATCACAAGTTGTCACTGCAGAGAATCCCTCAAAACTCATTCGACAACCTCCCGCCGATCCCACTTTAAAATTCTAGCGTCTGTCATAAGGGGTTAAGTTCGAGACTAGAAACTACTCTTCCGAACTTCTACGGAACAAGCGGAGTCAACGGTTTTTTTTCTTCTTCTGAATCTTACATTCCAGTTCCACTAGTGGAGTGGTTGATGTGGGTATATGGGATGAGCCGTTGGCTACGGTGAGAATCCGCGTGGAACCATCATACGCCCTAGATCCTGGACTCTTTTTATTGTGGGTTTACTCCTTGAAAATTCTGAATGTTTGCTCATTAATGGATGAGATGAAATTTTTCCTGTCAAATTTTAGTCCGATCCTCCTTTACATAAAATGGGGTTGATCTACATCAGTTGAGAGCAATACGAAGTACTTCGTATCGTGAAATCGTGGAATCGTGGAAAGGGGTTCCAAGGTTGTGGGGCTTAACGGCTTGAATCTCGGAAACACTTCCATTCTTAGTTTACAGTGCATGTTTCAAATGTTACTGGTCGATCACGATTCTAGAATTCTTTGTTATACCCCTTTTCAATGTTTGATTCATGGACGGAGTAGTAAAACCAAGTTGAAAAAGTTGAACCATCTGATGTTGTCTACTCCGTACGCGTCTAAAACTTGAACACGCGGATGCAATAACTTGAAACTTGAAATTCTAGAAATCAAACCATTCTAGCAGGAGAACCTAATACACCTGAAACCACCTGGTGAACACGTATGAGTGTTGAAATACCAAGAGGTGTTGCCATATGACAGAATTATTCACATTTGAATACTATTTTCCAGACACAGATGCCAACTGGTACTAGTATCTAGCCTAGTAATTGCGACAAAGTACCGTCAAAATAATTCAAGTTATATTAGTAGGTATAACTCTTTGTTCAGTTTAGCTCCCATATAAATCGTTGGCTCTCATCCCGACCTTAAAATTGCCGCTAGTAGACTTGGAAACACACCAAAGCAGTCTGCGATGTCCTTTTCGATCTAGACAACGACTACGCCAATCTATTCCATCAAAGGCATTCACTCCGTGCCGTCTTGGCCTTGTGTCCACGCGGCAACTTGAATTATCTTCAATCAGTCCATATAGGGAGTCAATGTTCGAGTTAAGGGATTAAAGTCACCGAAGTCTAAACTAAAGGCTATGCATTGATAACTCTCGAATCCTAAGAATAAAATTTTTATCCTGCAAATGACAAGTAAAATTAAACCTGTCATTTACTTAAAAATATTGATTTCGGCCTTGCGATAAAATCTGTGGGCGTTGGGGGCCCATCTTTGGCGGTTTCAGGTTTATGAAAAGGAAGAGGCTCTTAACGCCCCCAGAATCGCCCCGTATGTTATTAAATTGATATTCAAAGCTTATATTGACAGCGCTATACTTAAATCATGATTTAAGTTCAGGTTCTGAAATTCTTGTGATAGTCTAGGATCTAGGAACAATGTTGCACATGTGAGTTTCGAGTTGTTTTAATCTTAAACATCTACTCGGTGAATATCTTACTAACTCGTTTTATCTCAACCTCAGTATTGGATGTCAGATGAAATAGCAGGTTTATACCTAGGTAGAAGGTACAATTTTGTATAATCCCTATCGATAGAATAGATGTTTCACCATACTCAAGGGTTCAAATGTTGGAAGTTCAAGATCTGTCGGACCTAAATCATACCCTGTTGATATTGTTGTATAGAACCAGTACCTGAATAGGTCGAGAATGACTGATTTTCTAAATGAAGTCAATTTAGGATTAAAGAATGCTATTGGAGAAAACGATCTCAAATATTACAGATACTTGATAACATCATGTCAGACTAACTACGTTTTTCCAACTATTTGAACTTGATCTTCATACAAGTTGGGATGAACAGCACATGTGCACAATCTATATTAACTTCAGGCATCTACACGGAGCATTCATATTCCCCTAGCCGAAAGCAATCTTAGAATGAAAATCTCCTAACTGACTTTCTTTGGTCATCTGAGATACCCGCGCATTATGCCCCGACGACGATTCGGGCCATTCGGGAGGATGCACTTACTATTCAAAGCTGACGTTCTTCTACTCTCAACTCTATGCACCCGTCATAATGACCCGTCGTTGTAGCGGATGGGTGCATCAAAGATTCTACTTGAAGTTTAATGGCATTTCTTTGAAGTCGTTTGGAGTCGGGAATCGATATATTCAGTACTATTGAAAAAGTATAAGAAAGCCTGCCCCTACCAGTCATTACTTCTAATCTTCATTCTACTTCACAGTTTTTGACACTGCGTGAGCCTTTCACTCCTTTCTGAATGATTTTTTAGGTGCACTTTTGTCCTACAAGTCGACTCTGTTCTCTTGATACTCGCCAGATATTTTCAACTTTGCGGATATCAGTCCTTTTCTTCGCCACCAACATACTTAAGCTGGACACCTGTGAAATACCCCAATGATGTATCTGAGTTTCCCTCTCGCAGCTCTGGGTCTGCTGACTACTGTGGTCTTTGCCATGCCATATAGCCAAGTTCGCCGAGACGAAGGTCACCAGAATGTTGTATACTGGGGTCAAAACGGCGGCGAGGTCATTGAAAATAATGATCTCGCTTCCTACTGCAACTCCCAGTCTGGGATCGACATTATCGTACTGGCTTTCCTGTACGAGTATGGCAACGGCCAGCGTATTTCTTCTGGTGGTTTTGGCCAATCCTGCTTCATTACCCCCTCTGGTGAAGGCCAAAACTGCGAGGAACTGGGTCGAGCTATTACAACCTGCCAAAACAGAGGCATCAAAGTCATCATGTCGCTGGGTGGCGCCGTTGGTGCCTACGGACTAACTTCCCAGCAGGAAGCCGAAGCTATTGGCTCAAATATCTGGGCTGCTTATGGCAACTCGGGTTATAGTGGAGTGCCACGCCCCTTTGGTAATGCATTCGTCAACGGATGGGACTTTGATATCGAGGCCTCGAGCGGCAATCAATACTACCGGTATCTTATTTCGACTCTTCGGTCTAAATTTTCCTCGGATCCGGCCCACAGGTACTATATCTCTGGTGCACCACAGTGTCCGATTCCAGAGCCTTTCATGCAACCCATCATCGACACATCGCAGTTTGACTATCTCTGGGTTCAATTCTATAATAACCCGGACTGTTCTCTGCCTCACCCGAATTTTGACGATTGGGTTCGAAATATTGGAAATACTCCTTCTTCTGGTGCGAAGATCTTCCTTGGTATTCCTGCTTCACCTTATGCATCTACCGGTACTCTTTCTGGTGAACGGTACTATATGAGCCCGAGTTCTCTTGCGGATGTGGTTCGGCGATTTAGTGGGAACAATGCTTTCGGTGGGATTATGATGTGGTCTGCTGGATTTTCTGACTCCAATATGAATAATGGGTGCACATATGCTCAGGAGACGAAGCACATTCTCACTACTGGTTCTCCTTGCTAAGTGAGGTATGCCCTTCGGACGATTCTTTTTCGTCCTTGATCAGGGGTTTTCTTGCCATGCTCAGTGGCGTAGCAGAATTTAAGTTGTATTTGCACCAGATGATGGGGTTTTATGTGCAAAGTCGAGACATTATTCAAATGTTGCTAATCTGCATATGTGGTGACTCGGTGACTCGAGTGAGATAAGCTCACGCGACCTCCCAAGATGGAGATAACAGTCTAACAAATCTCAATTGATCGCTGATTTATTAGTAAAATGTGCCATAAGTACGGAGTACAGAGTAGTCTGAGTCAGATCTGAAATATCGATTATCAGAAAATTTACCTGCATATTATTTGTCATATTCTCGAGCCCCTATGCAGCCTGGATGCATTATCAAAGTGAAGTATATACAGCTGTTCAGATTTAAGCTGCATCGATCACGGAACACAACAGATGAACGTCTGCCGAGGTAGACGCATGTGCACTGGCAGTAATATCAGATCAGGTAAAAAAAAGAAACTGGATATTCCAAATGATAGAATAACTTAAGACCTTCAACATTTGAAGTTGTCAAGGTGCTCAGCCGAGGACATGCGTGCTATAAAATGCCCACAACTAGCGGTCAGGATGCAGCCGAAATATCCGAGGCCATAAATGTATATTGATTGAACAATATGCGATGAATATGAATCTAGAATACACCACAAGCATATTCGAGACAGGAGAGATCAGTTTGACTTTCAATATAGATCTCTTATCGAGTCAAAAGTGGCTAATTGTGGCATCTGAGAAAAGCGATCAAAAGGTCCCACTTTAGACTGGAACCGGTATCAGAACAGTAAGATATAACTCCACCATACAATAGTGAAAACACCATAGAATATTTCAAAGAGAGTGAACTCGAATAAAATTGATTATTATACTTGTAATGTGTAGATATTCAAAAGATCTATATAGATTGCATCATGATTGTCGTCACTGCGGCGAAAGGCGGAGAGAAGGGATTAGCTTAGGCTGGAAAGCTGCCACAGGTGGAAAAGCACAAGTAACTTACTAACAGGTAACACACAACTTCATCCCCGCTCAATTCCCCCCCCAGCCTCCTTCACAACTTCCGTTTCTTTTTTTTCTTTTCTTTTTTTCTCCCCCCTTTTACCCTCATCCCTTTGCTCCTTGCTATCTTTGCAAGAGTTCTCGTTTCCTCTCCCTTTCCCTTTCTCTGACCCTCGGCGCTTGCCATCTGAGTTCCACCATGGCTCCTCCTCCGCCCGCAACCCTGCCTCTGGCTGACCGATTGAAGACTTTGGCTCAAACTCTCCAGTAAGCAAACTCGAGCTACAGCTTGCAGCTGTATGGAGCTTCACATTGATTGACTGTTACTAATCTGACTCCTTATCGCAGGTTTGCCTGGTTCATTGGGTATGTCGCACTCTGAGAGATTCACGGGATCCCACAGATATTCCAGGAACCGAGGTCACTAACTGCACCACACCACAGCCACTTGACGCTTCTGCTCTCCGTCTTCCGCTACTCTCTATCCTTTGTCTTCTTCAACTACTACTCCTCCGCCGCTCAAATCTCTTATCGCCTGGCCTTTATCTCCGCAGCTGTGACCTATGGAATCGTTGTGTACAAGGGCCACTTCGCCCGTGGTGTTCAAGGCAATGTCCCCACCATCGTCACCAAGCTCATCTCCGACGAGAATGTGCAATACCTTGGTGAGTACCCCAGGATCAAAAACTGATATATAGCAGGACGCTAATATATGATAGGAATGGCTCTGGTTTGGCTGTACTCTCGCCAGCTGATTCTGGCTCTTCTCCCATTCAGCGTGTACTCGGTCTTCCACGTTGCGACCTACACCCGCATGTACCTGATCCCCACCCTTCAGCCCTCTGCCCAGGGTGCCGCTGGCGCATCCTCCCCCGGCTCCCCCAGCTCCAAGCCCGCCGTCAAGCAGAACCCCCTCGCCGAGACCATTGGTCGCTTCATCAAGCAGTACTATGATGCCAGCATGGGTGTCGTTGCCACTCTCGAAATTCTGCTGCTCTTCCGCTTGATTCTGTCTGCCATTACCTTCTCTCGCGGGAGCTGGGTTTTGCTGCTGGTTTACCTTTCTTTCTTCCGTGCCCGCTACGCCCAGAGCTCCTTCGTTCAGCAGGCTGTCCGTCAGTTGACCGCCCGCGCCGATGCCTCCATCTCTCACCAGAGCACTCCTCCCCAGGTTCGCCAGGGTTGGGAGGCCTTCAAGGGCATCGTGCGCCAGGCCTATGATGCTACCGATATCGGTCGCTACATCGCCGGCCCCGCTGCCGCCAACAAGAAGCCGCAGTAAATGAGAGTTGGAATTATGCAATAAGTTCCTCCACCGATATGTGGGACCTTCTTGCATTTCTGATCTCCTGACCGCAGTCTTTCAATGACGAATCTCGATTACAATACCGGGTATATGACATGAGGTGAAAGGATTCTCCTATGCACCAATTCAGACTGAGGTAGAGGAGAAGTATGAATGAGGATGGACCGATCGAGGATTTGTAGAAAAGTGGTGGACGTGAAGGAACTTCGCCCTGATGACGCTATACGCAACGCAACGTCATGTCTATTTTTTTTTTCTCTGTTTAATTTCTTCTAGAAATTCGCGATGCATTGTTTCTGTACTCCTTTCCATATTTTGGTTTCGGACCGCCATTTTTATGAAGTCTCATTGGCAATGATGGTTGCCATCTTGCCAATTCCATGGTTATGTTTTGTACCTCTTTGGCATTTTAACTGAGCATTCAATACAAAATTTCAACTTGAACATTGAATTTTAGGATTCCGGTCAATATGCCGATACTTTGATTATCCAGATACCGCTAACCGAGTACTAATATTTGAAAGCTCGAATGTACGCGATCGTTCAAATTTGATGCACCTCTGAAGTTCAACTCGAGGGTTCTAAGTACTGCCAGCTATGGATATCAATACAAAGAGACCCTTGCCGGGATTTCGCATGGGACGGGCTGTTTGACCCTGATTTTCATGGATGATCATCCCCAGAGTCAAGCTCACTGATCAGACTCGAGGCATCTATTAAGCAAGCGAAAGCACTCATGGCAACAACTATTGAAGACTACGCGCCGAAAATCTTAGATGCATCTATCTTCCCACCAACGAACTCCTCCAACAAAGGTAATTCTGGCAAGCTACCACCCTTTCCTAGGACCATATGACGATACCGACGGCCCTCCGCTTCATCCAATGGGTTTTGCTGGAACCGAGTATTGAACATGATCCCCGAAAATGCATCGCCACTACCTAGATGTTAGCTTCCTGGCTTAGCCAAAAAGATTCATTTTAGTAAACTCACAGAAAATAGACGTAGTACCCCGCGGCATAATTCTTAAAGAAGTGCTGGAACCTCGCTTGTCCAGATCCCCAGTTGTCACCTTCTCCATGACTATCTGGCCCAAAAAGCGAGGTGCATTCCCTGCGAATCTGGTTATACAAGGCTGAAAGATCCTTTACCGGGGTTGTGCCGTGAACTGTGAGATCATATAAAGTGCAATGGAGTTGGCTCAGCATTTGACATGCTTCGTTAACAGCCTTAGATGCAAGGAGGCGTTCAAAGAGCTCAATTGGCGGTTTCTCTGCGGGGAGGTGGTCATGCGATTTCAAATAAGCCTCTTTCTCTTGATCAGAGGTGTATGTGTAATGCCGTGATAAAGAATGCAGGATCGACGGCGTCCAGCACCAATTCTCTAGCATCAAGCTTGGAATCTCGACAAAATCGAATGCTGTACTGGTGCCATATGTACTCGCGAAGCGTGTCTGGCCAACCAGATAGTGGATGGTGTGACCAAGTTCATGGAAAAGTGTGACCACCTGTCGATGTCGCAGTAGGACGGGTGCTATGGAAGAAAATGAAGCCAGCAATGCGATGCCAGGGTAAAATGTTCTGCTCCCTCTGAAGCCCTGTATTCAGAGATTAGCGAAAGTACTATATTGGGTTAATTTTGTGAGATTCATACCGGGGCTATGTATGCATTACAGTTGTTGTTGAATTTTCCTGGCCGTTCGAAGAGGTCAAAATAGACGTACCCCAGGAACTCGCCGCCCATAGACTCTTCATTCCAAACTGCAGAGACTGTTACAGCTTCATCCCAAACCCATGCGCCAGAATCGACGGGTTGGAAGTGAAGACCAAACATCTGCTCAAATATCTTCAATATCCCTGATAATGTATGCTCAAGTGGGAAGTACTCCGCGACTGCCATGTCATTGATGTCAAATTTCTTTGCTCTGACAAGCTGAGAGTAGAAATGTGAGTCCCAGATATGGATTCTGGGATCAATCTCATCTTGTGATTTCCCCTGCTCTATGAGAAACTGCTTTTTGGCTTCCATGAGGATGACTCTCTCTGAAGCTGCCTTATCGGCCACCTGCTTCCTGATGGAATTTAGAAGCTCCATCACCTGTGAGAGATTCAACATGCGGCCTTGAATCTTGTATTCAGCAAAAGACGCATATCCCAGGAGACTGGCAACACGCGCTCGGGAACTGACCAACTCCTCGAATAAAGCGACATTCTCTGCGCACTTGTTCTCGGCAGCAATGTATACGCGCTTGCGGGTCGATTCCTCAGTCGCAAACTTCAGTACAACATCCATATCGTGTTTCTTCAAACCCACAAAGACCCTGTTGTCGGCATCGCGCTTTCCTTTTACGACATATGCTGCAGGGAGGCCTTTGAGCTCGGCCTCCTCGAACCAGACTCCTTCAGTCTCCTCTTGAACGTTTCGCAAACACTCTCTACTCAGCTCGTCGATGCGCTTTTGTAAAACCTGATACTGCTCTTTGGTTTCCCCATTGATGTGTACAGCGTTGCGGAGGAATTTGAGATATACTCGATCGAGATAATGTCTCTCTTCGGGATCCAAAATTATACTGCCATCTTCGCTTTTCTTGTAGACGGCGTCGATACCATTGAAGAGATCTTGACGTGAGTTCACCTCACGCTCGTATTCATTCCATAGCTGAAGAGCTGCGCGGGAGGCGTCACGCAGTTCTTTGTCTTTGGAAACGTATCCATAAATCTGGACCAGCGTAGACTCGAGAACTATGTGGTTCTCATCGTCTGAAAATGGTACAATAAATCCATCAAAAGTCCAGTCGGTCATTGGCTTAGCCGCGAGCAAATCCAGGCTGGCTCGAGAGGTCGCTATGCCATCATGCGTAGCTTGCATTACCTGCTCAGGTGATTGGTTCAATTTGAATGGAGGCTGCGGGGGTTGCTTGTATTCAGACATGATGTCTGCTGATGATGTCTTCAGGTAAGATGATCCGTTCTTTTTATGTTCTGTGTTTGATCACTGAGTTCAAGGCAGGAAAGTCAGAAACAAATATCGGAAGAGTGACAGAAGAGGTGAAGAAACGCAATAGAGAGCGCTAGAAGAAGGGATAATTTTAAAAAGAGATAAGGAAATTAGACCAGGCCATGATCCTAGTCACTCCTTTAGGACTTCCGCCGGTGCTCCTCTAACCCTTGTCTAGTGAATCCCCCGCCCACTAATCGGGTCTAGTATATTGACCAGAAGCGCCTCATTTTCTCCAAATACTTTCCACCCGAATAGATCATACTAGCGCAGAAAGATTCTGGCCTCTTTATCCGACCAAAGACATAGTTTTCCCGCGTAGTGGTCCGAGGTCTGTCCCGTAGAGTGTTAGCTCATGCCCCAGTGGCCTTCCCTTCCAAGGTTCCTCCTTCTCCGTGCCACCGCCGTACATAGTCCATCCTCTCAGCACTCTTACCTACTATATCACACTTACCAAGATGCGATACGACAGAGTTGCCTCTAGCGAGGAGGAGGAGGATGTGCAACTTAAAGCAACACCACAAAATTTGACACCCCCTCACCCGTACATTCAAGGACAAGGTTACCAAAGATGGTATTTGCTGGGCTTCGCTGCCATACAGAGCGTTGTTATTGTGATTCTGTCGGTCCTCGTTATTATTATGACAGGTCGAACGTCGTCTCTACAAGCTGACCAGACTCACCGCGGTACCATGATGATCTACGGATATGACAGGCCCTATATGTCCTTGAATCATACCTACGACCACTTATGGAATGAAACATCTAATTCTGGCTTGGTGGTCACGGAAGTGGAGGGAAACCGAGAAGTCGGGGCAATAGCTATGTTAGATTCCCATAGCTTGTTGCTAGGTAATCTCACAGAAATTCTAACTCTAGAGCAGGTTTCATCAACTTCATTGTCTTGTTTCAATGCGAGCAGCTATGCAAAATGCTCTTGAAGGGAAACAAATTGGTATTGATCAGACGGAAGACCACCACTGGCCACACTGCTTTGACTATCTTAGAAAGGTAACCTTATTTCCTTTCATCTTCTTTGTATCTCCATTTTCTGATGCTCCATTAGACACTCCATTGCTTTGCGGATGATACTATTGAATACGAAGATGTGAATGATAAGGGTGAGCCCCTGCATCATATCAGTGGCTTCCAGACTTCACGACAATGTCGATCAGCGCAAGCTCAGGCTCTTTACAACTACCGCGCGACTCATCAGTACATTAATCCTGTTAGAGACCCATGAATAACGCTACCAAATAAAACTGAATCCATTGTATGAGATATTTAGCTGTATTATCCAACTAAAGATGCGCCTGCGGCGGTAGTTCTGTCCATTTTATGGCTGGTCAAAACCTTCATGCAATGGTGAATATGCTCCTCTGAGTCTGCTCGTGGATCGAAGTATTTTCCGTTGATTTTGAATCGATGTTCCTTTTTCCACAAGTATAGACAGTGCCAAACATGCCAGGCATTGCTCATATGATACTGCTCAGGTTGGATATCTGAGTATCGAGACACCTCTTCAAGTGTGAGATTGACTGTACGGTTCTTATGAGCCCAATACATCCAACGCCCATCTGGCCCATCGCCTATAGCTGCAAACTCAGCAGTGAGGGCATCATCCCGACACCGATCTGGTAGCCATGCTGCGGACAGCTCGTCGTAGATACAGCCATTGCTAAGTGCCTCGGCAACTGAGTCACCACAGTCGCACGGATGCTTGTCAAATATGGCTGTCCCATTTTCATCATAGGAAAACCCATAAGGGTTTGCCTTTCCTTCTGTATGATGCCGTAGAGAGAATTGAAGCGGGAAAATCAGGGTAGCCACCCCGTATAGGGCAAAGCCTATCTGAATGACCTGGAAGACAACATACAATGGCCGGTAGAATGACTTTGCAATTCTCACGGTGCAGTGGCGAGATGTGGCCGTACTTTGCAAATTTTTCTCAATATCATCCTGTCCTTCCTCGTTTTCACTTAGCAGTGCCTCGGATGACAACCTGTTCTCTAATGAGCTATAGATGTCAGCTGTATGGTTTTAACGGGCCACTTTCCCGGTATCTCTTACTCCATAAAAGAGGATTCTTGTTCCTTTCCCATGTTGCTCTCTCAATCACGTTGTTGTCAATTTATCAGCTGCCAGAAGAGAACAGAACTGCGCCTGAAAGAAAATACAGCAACAAGAGGACAGCCCATCTGCTCAGATGGTCTCCGAATATTTCCGGCTCTCGCCCGAACTTGAAGTAAATTAATTATTTTCTAGAGTAATAGCTGCATTCACTAGACGTGCAGCAGTCAATGCTACCATTACGCAGCCACAGTATTAACTGCTCCAATAAAGCGACTTCGAATGTTGTTCCCGGCCGAAGGATAATTGTCTAGATCTAGATGTCTACAATGCCCCCGCCGGGCATTGTCCCCTCACCCCGCACGCGACATGTTTGCGTGGCATCATAACGCCACATGCATAACGCCATAGCGCCTAAGAAAATGAGCGCTGCGTCTAGTACGCACTGGCAGCAGTCATCCCACGCCAGAGCAGGCCAGGGCAGGTCCGAATTTCCCATGCATGATGCTAGTATTTTAACCAAGCATGAAAGATATGGTATACCAACTTGTAAGATTTCGCAATCGACCGGTCACTTATACAAATGAAAATTTCTTTTCATTCTCAGTAATAATCTCAAGTCTGTACACTTGAAGTGCCTTGAACGACCAATTCAACGAAAGAAACTTGAACTTCAGAGTTCCGAGTCCGAGTCCACATTATGGAGAAATGGGCACCTACTACTGAGCGCTCCCGAAAGACCAGATGGGAGATCATACTGGGCATAATATGTCTCTCGCAGACTGTCGCCTTAACCACCTACTATTTTACTGCTCCATTTGCCCAGCCTTATACAAAGCCATTACCAGGCCAGCTCGACTACTGGACTGACTGTGGTCTCTCGCCCAGTGAGGCGATGGCTCGCAACTGCCATTTTGACCCGATGCTTTACGGCTGGATTCCCAATGAATGTTTTCATCCAGAAGCAATGGACGAGTACCGCCCTTTTGAAGATCGCGTTTGGTACAGGGATCAAAAACTTACAGACCCTCTGACTGGGAACGATCTTCAGCAGCTGGCGCTGGGCAACATATCCATTGCATATACGCACACCTTCCACCATGAGCACTGCTTGTACGCGATGCGCAAGCTAGCGATGGCTACCGAAAAACGATGGCTGCTGATTGATGGGAAGTCTGCTGATGTGCGGCACGCAACACATTGCGGGAAGCAGATTGCCCAATTTGTCAAGGGCACAGTTGAAAAGACCTACAGTACGGAGCATGAGCTTGCAACTGCAAGATTGCAGTTCCCAGGATGTGTGAGAATGCCATGGAGACTTTGAGTGCGAGGAACATTTGAAATATGTACATATTTCTTTAGAAATATCAATTCTCGAGTTATAATAAGATTTCACATGTTATTCTTTCATCTGAATATTTGACGCATCTTCTACTGTTTCTGTACAGGCTTGACGGCCAGTTTTCCAACACTCCTCTCTTGCACCCAACGATGTAGGCGATCAAAATCTCGGCAAGTATGGTGATTTGCAGTGTCAATGTAGTTGTGTCCCAAGCCCGGATTGTACCTGGAGGGACTGGGGGTCAGATCAGCCGAACACATAATAGATTGCCGAATTTGTTCGATACACCGATCTATTTTCAATGTTAGGTTAGTGAGCAAACCTTGCTCTAAAGCCTGTTGTAGGAGACAAGCTCACTCATTGTAGATGAAGTGTTCTCATCGTAAGTCAGGTTATAGTATGATGGAGACAAACCGCGACGCAACAAGTCCTATGTTTGTCAGATTAATCACGTATATCTATACGGAAAAGAAAACCGACCAGACAACCTAGCGTGCGAAAAACATCGAGACTGGATCTCAAGTTAGATTCAACTCAATAAATTCCACTATCCAGTTTACTCACCTAATCACATAACCACCACGATCTTTGTCCCATAACTCGCTCACATCATCCGGCCATTGAGCTTCAACTTCTTCTTCTGTTGCCAGGAACTCTTCGCCTAATGCAAAAGTTATTGAGATTACAAAAAATTGAATGAGGTTTAGAATGATAAATACAAACCTGCCACCAAATCTTCCCAAGCCTGGTCGATCTCTGGACCTGGCTTGCCAACATATTGAACCTTGGCTGGTTTATGCTGGAACTCAATACCTGTATAGGTAAATGATGGAGACCCAGAAAATATCAGGTGTTCCAAGTCAATGTGTTCTCGAGCTGAGTCTGTGAAAAGTCAATGTTGTTTTCCCTGAGAGGTAAAGGTCCACAGGCATACCGAAATCGGTCTTAAAGCCGCTCCCAAACGAATAATCCGTTTGCTGTCCTTGCCGAGTGAATGTTGCAATTATCAACAGACCGCTAATTAGATTAGACAGAATTAGAACGTATATTAGTCCATTCTTCTGGAGTCGTGAGAGCGGCCGTGGCGACGAATTCTCAAGCTTATCCTCCTGCTCTGAGTCGACCTCGCTAGTCAACTTTTCGTACTTCACATTCTTCTCATTGGTGAAGAGAAACATTTTGATCGCCGGATTACAAGAAGTAAATCAAGACTGTTAGGAGCAGGACAACTTTGGAAATAGAAAGGCCTCAGGTGATCGCGTGACTATTTCATAATCAGCTTGTTGTACCAAGTCCATACGGATGGTAATTTAAACACCGCCATTTTACGCCCCATAGACTATATTTAACGACCTCGGGAATTTTGACCAGAATTATGATATTTTTCCGGAACTAGAGCACTCAAAAACGGCCTAATTTGCATGATAGATGCTTTGGCTGCTTCGCTGCTATCGATTCGCAAAGCGGGGTACATACGCGCTAAGCTTTTATCGCTGCACGCTGCTGCACGCACCAAGCCCGTCAGCACTATGCGTCCTTTGACAGGGGTATAGATAAAGAACTTGAAATCATTTGAAGTCGACATCGCTTTTACAAATAGCGAAGGCCGAAATTTGGAACAACAATGTAACCTCATCCTGCAGCTAATGGCGCTATCGACCTACTGTCTTCGTTACCGGACAGACACAAGGTCGTCTTCATATTTACTCCTCACGGATGTATTGTTGGCTTACATCCTAGGCTAGGCAGGGAGGAGTCCATAAGACTCTAGACTTTTTTCAACTCCCTGGCCGTGTGTACACAAATATCTACTATGCACATCTGCCATGGAAATCCGGATATGTATGGATTGCGACATGGATTCTATTGATGTACCCAGGTACTTGTACTATATCCATCTAACAATCAAAAAGCGTTCAACTTGAAGTTACTAGTACATAGTACCTACTATTGATGAACTCCGAGTCAGGATAACACCCCTCACCTACTACTACCTCCAGGCTACTACTATGTACCTATGTCACGGTACATACTACTAGGAGTACCTACTACTAGGCATTTCAGGTATATATAGGGCTCTCTCACCATCCTAGTGGGTAGTATCATCAATTTGATCATTTTGAATCAACAACTTGAAGCAATTTGAAGTTTGAAAACCCCCCCGTTGGTACTTCCTACGTACCTATTTGCATCATGAAGTTCAATCTTTTCCTCGCCACCTTTGCTTTCCTCATTCTAGGGGCTATTGCAGCCCCCACCCCGGCAAATTACAATGATCTTCCTCTGCCTCCTGTCATCGAGGGTGATGGACCGTAAGTGTTCAGCTGCGTAATGTTCCAAGTGGGGTTCCGAGAGAACAAATCATCTAATTCAAATTCTAGCGACGACGACTAGATCTCGACTCATTTTGACGCGTGGGTGCTCGTGAACCGCATGATACTCAAGGACTGTCTTAGGCTTATTCTACCTCTTGGGTGTGCATATGTGTCAAGTCGTGGAGGAGCCTGGGATAAATAACTGGAATATCTCAATCAAGATGAGTGGCATGATTTGAATAGTTATCTCATTTTTCCAGATTTGTAGTACAGAATGCCCTCACCTGGGTCAAGTGTTTAGTCGTACTAGCTACCTATAGTATGTAACAAATCGCGTCCCTGTACCCATACTATTTAGTATTACGGAGGTATACACCTGGGCACCTGGGCATAGTATAAAGTCTCTCTTCCACCTCCTCTGCTAGTGGCCACACACATCAATTTATGTGCAGAGCTCTACTTACATATGAATCCTCTCAAAATGTCATTTGCACAGCCTGCGTATTCGAAAGTCCCTCTTCATGAAGGTGACGAAGAATCAAAAGCAGCCACTGCAGAAAAACCGTCCATTCTTGGTAAGAAATATCCGCTCTCATGGTTTATTATCTTCTACCTCGCCACTGTCTGTCTCGGGGTCTTTTTAATCATTTTTCATTCATCAATGACACCGGGACAATGTCAATCCCCCTCAGAGATGTGTGAGGCAAACTTGCAAATTTACTTACTGATATATGTACTAATCTGAAATCATGAAGACCTTCCGATGACCATTCCTCAAATTCCTCAAATTCCATGGCTCTCCACACTTTGAAGCTAACGGAACCGCCTGGCGAGAGGCAGTTGACTTTTTTGCTCCATGGCCCGAAAACAAAGCCTACTTTGGCATTCAAAGCCCAGAAATTGATAATGCATGGAACAATCTCATCCAACCTCGGTACTTCTCTGTGTCAGAAGTCGAAGCAAAGCAGGCATGGGGAGCGGGATATACCAAATATCGCAAGTCACTTTCGGGAGGATATACAGCTGGGTACTTTTTATTACACCTTTCATTTCCGACGTTTTATGCTGATCCATAGTCCAATAAAGGTTCAGCATGTTTCATGCGTTGCACTGTCTGGTGAGCGCTCTCCCGCCCCTTTCCAGGTTGATCAAAGATTAACAGACTTGAACCTAGGATTTTGTACGCATGGCTCTTCAACAGGAATTTTATCCCTTCACTGAACTTCATGGCGCGGTTCATCTTGGTACGGTGTTACTATCTATATATTTGTATGGATCAATAGCTAATAAGTCTCTTCCACAATAGAACACTGTCTAGACTTTCTCCGCCAGGAAATACAATGCTATGGGAACACTACATTGATTCCACTAAAGCATTTTGAAGGCCTTCCTCACCCATATATTGATGCTGATCAAGTCCACACTTGTCGGGACTTCAGTACGTTGAAAGAATTTACGTTGGATAGACAGCTGGGCGAGAAGTCATATATTCCTCGTGTACAGTGGAGCAACGAAGAGATTCAACAGCTTAAAGAGGAGTTGAGACTAGGTAGATAGCTTGAGTTCAGTATTTCTTTGCTAGTATGGCAGGTCTCAATTTCCTCAATATTGAAAGTATTTCAAAACCTGATTCTCGTACTGAATCCTTAATGGTAGTCACTGGTAGTACTGGTTGTATTCGTATGCACGCCAGTGAGCATCAATGGACGACTTGAAGAACAAAATGAGACTACTTCAAGGCTGGCACTATACACACCACCACTAACTCTCTTTCTCGATTTTTTACATCCATATGCATTCCCATCATCACTCAAAAGCTTGGAAGTCCTCAGACAATGATCAAGTGAAATAGAATGCATAGAACAATGTTTAAAAGAAGATGAGTAAAATAATTGACGGCGCCTGTACGAGTTGAACCGGTGCTCTCTAGGCCTGGAGGCTAGTAAAAAGGAAGATAATATCACAGAAGAAATAAAAAGGATATCGGATAATGGATCATGGATCAGGAAATTTTCTTTCATTAACTCATAAATATTCGTAGTTTCTGGTCTACGCTACCCGTAGCGACCATACACCGGATCTGCATATCAAACATGTTCCCTTCAGCCTGAGTTATTTTACTCTCGAAAATATAGTAGCCTGTGATGTGTGTCCGCAAGAGGTGCTGGCAACATCTTTGGTAATTCCAGGTGCCCATTTCAAACAAGTGACAAATTGATGATGGACATCACTGATTGTCTTCACATATTTTCCTCCTTGGCTCAAGTCCCAGAAACGTAGCGTCTTGTCATCTGATACAGAGAGGAGATATCTGCCTCCAGGATGAAAAATGATTGCTCGCACCCAGTTGTCATGCCCGATGAGTGTCATGAGACAAGTCCCACGGGCATCCCAAACTTTAATTGTCTTGTCGCGTGATCCGGCTGCCATAAATTCAGCTATACTCATGACGGAGCCCTTCGTCAATCCTGTTAATGGCGCGAGATATTGATAGGCAGTTGGCGGAACAATTAGGCAACATTCGTTGAAGTTTTCATGACCGACTAATGTCAATTTGTGCTCCAAATTCGCTGATGTGTTTGTCACATTTGCTGTAACATCCCACAATCGCGCACTCATGTCATCTCCGGTAGATAAGAGAAAATTCCCATCAAATGATGGGAAAATATCTCGCACCCAGCCCGTATGACCTTCGATAGTATTCACACATGTTCCATTTAATACATTTCATAACTTTGTCTTCATGTCTTTACTTGCTCTAGCAAGTAAGCATCCATTTGGTATGAAAGGTACAGCACTGATTATGTGCTCGTGTCCTTGCAATGTCCGAGTATTCTTATACCCGTCTGCTGGATCCCAAAGCTTGATCGTATAATCTGAGCTGCAGGATGCTAACAGAACTCCTGGAGCTCCATCTGGGACAGGCAACCGTAATCAAGACCACGAACTGTTCTTGTATGACCTTTGAGGGTTACCTCCAACTCCCCGAGTTCCCAGTCCCATATCTTGATTGTAAAATCATTGGAACCCGACGCGATCGATGTATATTTGGGATGAAAGGCAATGCAGTTGACTATATCGCTGTGAGCGTGTAATGAATGTCGTGGATGTTGTGGAAGCCAAGACGCTGGGTCTTGCTTGCGTCGGGAGGAGGTAGGTGCTAGGTTCTCAAGTTCGGATTGTAAGGCTGCTTTTCGCGCTTCAAGACCTGCGATCTATTGGAAATTAGTGATAAATGTAAGGTGTCAAGACTGTAAATATGGAAACACTGACCTTCTTCTGTAGGCGGATAGTGCTGGTCCATTTCATTTCCAGTAGCGTCTCGTATTTGCTAACTGCACCTTCATCAAAGTTCAATCCTTCTTCGGTATATTCGCTGCTTGTGGGAGGCCATTTGAGGTCAAGTATGCGATGACAGATTTGTGGCTAGAAGAATATCAATATCGGTTCGAAAGATAATCATCGGTGGGGACATACAGTTCCGCGGCTTGGCTATCGGTAAGTAAACGCGCCATCCTTCCAAGGTTTAGCGTTTCAAGGTTTGTTGCGGCTATCAGGCGATACTGAAAAGGCAAGGAGATTTTATTCCATCGCCAAACCAATATTAGGAACATGAGATGCTAAGGGATTCGCGCTTATTGTGGTCCTGGGTCCTATACATACGGAGCGATGGCTCGTTCATATAGCGAACGGAACCCCTGAGTGTCGATCTAACTTGAAGTCTGGGCTGTGTCGCTTTGTTGTTGTTTTTGTGTACGAGGTGAGTCTCTAATGGTCGGATTTCAGCCTTTCCTGGTAACTGTCATTGGTGGATACCAGAGACCCCTGATGAATATTTGAATACTTTGTAGAATGACTGAGATTAAATGTGATACATGACCTTGGAAATGCCCATATATTTAATCCGAGAAAGACAACCAACTAACTAGGGAAGAGGGGAACCGTTAGGCAGTGCATTCTAGATACACGGGTCGATCCAGCTAGCATGAATGGATAACACCAACCAACATGTACGTTGTGGCCGGACTACCCCGTAGGGGTGGGATGAGAGATGTGTAGGAGTGTGTATTGTCTTCTAGTATCGAACGCCAATCTTGTACGTACAATAACACAACATAACATAACGTAAGGAATGAACAATACCGAAATATCATACCCGTACGGTACGTGTAGTAGGGGACAGGGTACCCCACTATGTACACTAGGTAGGTACCTGTACGTACTGGATTTTCCCCGACAAGTGGGGCTTTCCTAATTTGGTGACCTCCGCTTTAATGAGGGCGCTCAGGCTCAGGCTCACTGAGCGAGTCTGTAGGACACGTGAGTGCTCAGCGAGTACTCAGTGATCCTGATCATGATCGTTCACTGACTCATCGCATTGGCTGAAAGGGGGCATCTAAACGGCACCCAAGCTACTTCCTTAGGAACCCATAACAAAAGTAATATCAATCATCAACCAGGCCGATTTATTTTTCTATCAAGTTCTTGATGGCCCTTTATTTCCATATGTTCGGCATTTTCTTATATCTTAATATCCTTAATGTATTATTAGCTCTAGACTATGGTATAGATTCCATAGGGCCCCATCGGGATAGGTTGACGACTGAAAAATCCCATAGGTCAATACATGGGTCGGGCGATGGGTCGAACTTTTCGACCTATGCATGGGTTCTGCCGAAGTCTACTTCAATCTCCCACCCAGCGACGAATGGTTTAGTGCGCATGATCATGGAATTCAAATTTGCGTTTCACGACAGGATTTAAAGCATAAAATTATATTGCTAGCCTATCACATGTGCAATTCAATGTAGTGCTTTTCTACTAGGAAGCTATTTAGCAAGGCCTAGAAAGAATAGTTCATTATTTTACTTCCCAGGAGCTACTAGTAAGAGCTGGAGCTGACCGAAATTTAATTTGACTAAGATAGGACCTAGGTAATTTTCAAGTTGGTTAGAAAAGAAAAAAAAAACATCAAACCTCCGCTCGACATAATGCTCCATCTTCACTTTCCTCCCAATAATCACTCCCGACAGCAGTGGTGGCATAGAAAATCATGTTCGGGTCATACTTGTTTTTCACCTGCAACAGGCGATCATAGTTTGTGTTGTAGAAAGTGTATTTCCAATCAGGCTGGTGCGCATCTCCCTCATTTAGATACGCCCCACCCCTGGGCGTCAGTCTTTCCAGTTTCGGGAGAAGTATATTGGTAATATCCTTCTGGTACTGGATATTAAGAGTTTGATTTGTCCGGCTTAATGTTCTACCCATGACGCTCATTAGTATTCCGGGATTCGAAGTCGAAGAAATTGAACTTACTTTCCAACCACAATATCGATCGCCGCAGTTCTCCATGTAGGATTTACTGCATTCGACGGAGATGACTGGTTCTGTTCCAAGAGAGATGCATTGACAGAGATACCAGAAATCACTGCTCCAGCATCAGCGATGCTTTTCAGTTGATCTACAAGAGTCTCTGATTGGGTGTCTATGACCCTGCGTGGAATGAATCTGCCACCCATATTGTACTCAGTGACATTTACCTCAGGGCTCATAGCCTGAAAGCTAGAGTACCAGGTGGGGAAATCCTGAATATGATACGCTGAAGAAGGTCAGTATTTAGCACAAAAGAATTTCTGGAGGGTCAGCCATACTGTAGCTGATATTGCCTTGCTTGAGGGTTGAAAGAAGCGGACGCATTATGGACTGCAGTCTCTGCTTACTCCCTCCAGGTAGAGTGATAGGTGTCATCTCAAAGATGCCATCTATGATATACCAAACGGCAGCCCCGCGGGCGTCTAAAAGATGGCCCAAGGTTGAGTTCAGAAAAGTCTGCACAGCACCATAAAAGGCCTCCTGCGATGAGCCGACGGATGAGAATGTCAAGTTGGCAGTTGCAGTATGCAGCTCCGGATGAACCTTGCTCGTCATTGAAATGACCACCCCATACGTACCACCACCACCTCCTGACAGCGCCCACCAAAGATCGGCATGCTCATTGTGTGGTGTCGCGATCAATAGCTCACCCGAGCCGGTCACAACTTCCCACTCCAGGACCTGGTCTGCAGCCAGTCCATATTGTGAGACGAGCTGCCCATGACCCCCTCCCTGAGAATAGCCACCAGCGATTCCCACACTTCTCGCATTTCCGCCGACAATGGTCAATCCTTGCTTGTGTGCCGCTGCATTAGATTCAATCATTTGCACCCCAGCACCAAGCTTGACCGCCTTTCCTGAATAAGAAGGGGAATGGTAGTCCAAAAATTGGATCTCCTTGAGGTGATGGGTCCAAATGGCGAGAGCGCCTGCACCTGTGGACTTCCCTAGGTAATCATGACCGGTGTTGCGGACTACCAATCGGATGCGATGTGTGGTTGTGAAGTTCATTGTTTTTTGCACATCCAAAGCGGACTCAGCCCGCACCGAATATTGTACATAAGTTCCGATAACGCATCGTGCGGAAGGGGTCAGAAATGGGTCACAGCTTTCATTGGCATAAAACCCGGCCATAATTGATGACGAGCTCTCATAGTGTGTTTTTTGGGAAGTCCCAGTTCGCGCGAAGGTCGTTGCATGCAGATTCATTATAGGGTGAAAACGGGTTATTATTGTGGCAGGGGCTGCCAATTGGAGTGGTAGTAATGAGCCGGCCTTCAAGAGTCTCATTCAAAGCGCGCCATTGAGCTGAGCTTGGCCAGCAAGATTGTCCAGGGAAGCATAGGCAATCAGGCGTGGAGCTCGTAGGATATCCACAGATGGGGAGGTAAAGGGAAAAGAGAAGAAAAACCTTCAAGTTCAAGTTTTGAAAATTGAACATGCATGGTGAAAACATGATGCAAGTTGCTAGTACCACTCTTGGGGGAGGAATTGGAAACTTGAAGCTCAAGTATTGAGCGCGGACGGCGATAAATATAACTACTAGCGAACCAAGACCCTCTCAAGCTGCGTCAGCCCATGAAAAATATAGGGATATTATCGTAAATACTGTGGAACCAAGTGCAATTTCCGTATTGAATTGAATTGTTATTTTTTTGCAAGGTTGATTCATTCTTCAGTTCTTAAAAAAATTACAGGACGGTTGGGGGCAAAAACTTGCTTAGCTGTGGCAAACTTGGAAGAAAGTAGTAAGAATACGAGGTTTTGTATTTGCGAAGTTGCTGAATACTGTCCATGGACATTTACATGGCACGGCCGCGAGCATGAAGCCCGGACTTCGTCCGAAAACTGAACAATGTGGAGTGTTAAGAATTTTGGGAGTGCACTAAAAGCTGGGGGCCAATTCAGACAATTCAGCCCCGGGTTGGAGGAGCAATATGCAATTACACTGACCACCAACCGATCTCCACTAGTGGAGCCGCTTCTGTTCGCATGGTGTCATCATACACCTTTTCTATTTGGACCACAAGCCCCGCCGGCAGAGGACCCGCTTCACGCGCCGTCAGGTACCCATCAAGCTGGCTAATCTTGGTTGGGCCTATGGCTACTGCATCGGTGCTAGTCAGGCCAGAGTGAAAAAGTAGCCAGCGCAACGAAGCCTCGGCGATGCTCGGGACTCCCACTTCCGCTGCTGCAACCTGGAGCTTCCTCACAGCATCATGGAACAGGGGTTTATCGTACCACATTCGATAAAGCCCACCCATCAAATTTCCTTTAGACTTTTCAAAACGAGTGCCCACTAGTTGCTCCGCATCTTTTGCGAGAGTTAGCTTGCCAGTGGCGAAGCCACCAGCCAGAGGCGAGTTGGCGACGAACTTAATTCCGTTCGTCCTCAGAAGGGGAAATAAATCTTTCTCATACTGGCGACAGAAGATGTTGTACTGGCCTTGGTAGACCCTGGGAAGGGTGTAGCCCTTCTCAGTCGCGATCTCAATCCACTCTTTCACTTGCGTGGCCGAGTAATTGCACAGGCCGAGTTGGTGAAAGAGGCCCGCTCGATAAAGAGCATCAAAATTCGCGGCTTGGTCGACGAGCGGTACACTCTGATCGGGTGCATGGGCGTAGAGGGTGTTCACCTAGAGTAAAGGAAGGGGGTCATAGTCAGCATTGATAACTCTATTGTGGACATCTCTTCCCGGGTAAATACAATACCTGCTGGACACCGAGATTCTGGAGACTGCTGCGAATCGACTCTTCCATGTTCCCTTTCCGGAGGGCCTCTGGTCTGTAAAGGAGCTTGGTATCGATCACGAAGTCTGGTTGTCGAACCTTTCCGAGTAAGCTCTCGGCTCCGCCGGGGTTGGTAATTGGGTACAGCGCTGCAGTGTCATAGTGCTTGATGTTGGCCACATCGAGCTGAGCGACGAGTTCGGAAATGTTGCTCTCAGTCCAAGAGCCATCAAAACCCTGTGTGCCCATATAATACTCGGGTGCGGTCGACATGATGCGATTTCGATCAAAGGAAAATTCAATTGAATATAGAGTGTAAATGATTCAAGAATGTTCAAGAAGAACTTCAGATCGGCCGGTCAATTCTAGCGGTGGTGGGGCTAATATTATGAGGATACTCTGCTTCTTTAATAGCTCTGCCTATTGAGATTTTGGACTACGGAGGGGTTTGCCCACTTGGGCAGGTGCTCAGTGCCCTCGGGGTAGCTCGGCGTGTGGATCAGTAACGAGTCATCCTTAGTCGACTCCCGAGGTCTTGGAACCTGCTCAAATGCGCAGTTATGAAGCCTTCACTACTCATTATTGGGGGTAGGGCCTCGGGTTACAGATAATATGAAATACTCTGCATATTGCCCCCATCTGCAGATGGATCCACCAGTTGAATGTGCTGAGTTTCATGGAAATAAAAAATGGGAGAGTCGCAAAGGACCACTTCTGTATCGAGTTTCTATGATAAGGAAATTCAAGCTTTCGGTTTTTGAAGCCTTGGACACATGTGCGCGGCAAGATTTTCCGGTCTCTGAATATTAGGTGCAAAAGGAGGTCAACTCGCATTTCAGCCCCACAAATAGTAAATACAGGCATTTTCACGAGAGAAAAAGCCATTGGATCCATCTGCAGTATCCATCCGGTTGTGAATTTTACCTCATAATGATTAGATTTCCTCCATGCACACGCATCTTTGTATCAATACTAGTGAAAAACAAGGCGAAGGCAGGCTACGATCCCTCTCCAGGTGGGTCATCAACATGTGAGGTCAGGGATGGAGAGACCAGAGTTAGTATTTCAAAAACTCAGGATTGGAGCTATTAGTCGCCCGCAGCCATTCAGCTCCGTTGGGATGAGGAATATTCATTGTGATTTCACCTGATAAGATGTCTCCTTTTCAGCGAAGTAGCTTAGCTAGAAGAACTGGACCCCCGCCTAGCATGAATGATTCGTGGGCCCACTTCGTCGTTAAACCTCCTCCAGTGTCAGGCAACGTATTTTGATTTCGTGGTCAATCTTATGCAACTTATTAGTACGTAGTACCTAAAGACAGAGTACAATATTGCCGACCTCTGGAGGTACCAGCTAGTCTTATTTACTAGTGGGAATGTGGATCCGAAGTATTATGCATGCCAGTAGGCTAGGTAGTGTCGTAACCGGAAACTCCGCCTATCAATATCCAGAATACTCCAGTAAAATGATCGCCTAGAAGTTCATGTGCATGTAGCTAGATAAGAATCTCGCGTATGGAATACGATGCCCAGGTCCATGGGTGGTTCAAAATGGTATTACGGAGTACAGATTACTGTAGGCCAAATAAATAACGTAATTGGGCCTTTTCTTTTTCGGCTCCCAACCTATCGCCATTACAGTACTCGTAAACTTCCCAATGTTAGAGTGATTCCTCAGAGGAAGAATTTTACATAGATGTTAATTACGCTGTAAGATGGCTCTCATTATTGCTACTCAAATTTGATCATTCATTGCGGCACACCAAATCCACGCAAGTCCTTTGACACTAACCAGATGATACATACAGTATTTCAATACTCTCCTTGAGGATGAGTAGCCTCGTGGACCGACAACTCGTTGCACACCATTATACCTGATCCCTGTGGATATAATCCAGAGCGGGAGGTTTGATTGGGCAAGGGGCTATAAACATCCTCAGGGGCAGCAATCTGTGTGTAGCAAGAAACATCGCTCTTCGCGAGCTCCAGGTCATCATCTTGTGTTTGCAACAGCTCGGTATCACGAAGAAGATGACGTTTTGGCCAAGTGCGTTCTGATGAGCCGAAAGTGCGAATTTGAGGATCTGGCCTAGCGCCCTTGGATACAGAATTGCGCCAAAGAACGGCACCCATCATCGGTGCACAGGACACAATGATACCGGAAGATATCTCTGCTGCGACTAAAATCGAGGCATCTAGAGCGCAGAATGTTGTATCATCTTGGTCACACAGTTTGGTTTGCATAATTCGACCGATATTGATACCAACCGTACTAAATCCATGGTCAATTATAAATCAAGGCAAACTTGAAGTAGAAAAAATGACTTTGCTATGCATTACTCACATTAAACCAAGTAAGAAGGCGGCTGTTATACTAACCCTCTTCTCTTTAGGCATATTCAATGTCCAGACAGTAGGCATTGGAAGTGCAACAACAAGGAAGTCAATAATAAGGTTGAATCCAGCGGAGGCATATTCTGTCTTCCCAACATCTCCGCAGGTACCCGTCACCATGATATTCCAGTTAGAGTTGATTGGGCGACAGAGTAAAGTGATTGTTAGAATAGATGCAACCCAGTAAAGAGTAACAATAGTTCCAATGATGATGGAGCTCCAGTAGAACCAATCAACTCGGAAAACTTCGATATAGAGGAGAAGAATTCCTAGGCGAAAGGCAGCAGCACCGGTGACAAAGAACCATTCGGATGCAAAGAAAACCTGATATTCTACTATCAGAATTGAATTTCTGCTTTCAGAAAGCTATGTATCAGGACCCACCTTCAGTGAAATGGTGAGCTTGCCCAAAGACATTGTGGCAGCATCAGCGCCATATTGCCCTGCTGTGATAGCTATAAAGAGGGAGACACTTAATTCGGTGTCGAGAACAGTATATTCAAAGATACGGGGGATACCTTACCTACAATCATATCAAACATATAAGCTGTAAGACAGAGCTAAAATTTTTGATCAGACTCAGTTGAAGACAAATGGTGTGGGATAACAATATACCATTGACAAGGCTATTAGCCAGTCATGTATCTTCATAGAACGTTTGCGAACTCGATTACTCCATAGCCGCAACGCGAAGGCAGTTGAACTGACTACCCAGAAGATAGCCACGCAGATAATCAACTTAGCCTGTCTCTCTTTCACAGTTGACATTGTGTATGATGTTTTGTGAAGGAGTTTGGATTTAAAGAAGAATGCTCGGACGAGATGTAAGAAAGTAGCAAGACAAAAGAGATCAGAGGGCAAAGGAAGACATTGGCAAATAAATAGCTAAAATTCAATGGAGGCAAACAATCTTTCCTGTTCTAGGACTTGATATCTTGCAATGCATGCTGAGCGAGTGATTGGGGGCCAACATGGGGATACAGTACAAAACATGTGCATGAATTTATTCTTAGAAAATTACATGAGACTGCGTCATGAAGATTCTCTTGCGATCGGCCAGAGCTTTATTCGCTATAATAAATTATTCTAAGGTGAAACACTTTCCCGCCTCCATTAATGAGATTGCGGAGCCAGTTTTGATTGACAAATCGAAATGAATAACAATGACCTCGGGAGGGATATTTTGTATTTTGCACGAGTCGGAACGGGTCCTGACTCCTGACCGGAGTGGGGCTTGGCAACTTAGCTTACATGCATGATGATATAAGTTCAATTTTTCCCCAAGCCTCTTGAAAAATCATTTTTTATTCAAATGCATGATTGTGGGTCCCCAATTGGGGGCCGAATATGCCCAACTCGGGTCCGCAACGGAATAAAGACAAAAAGAAAAAGATCTTGTACAGTCTTCTCCCAGAATTTGAACTATCAATCTCCATCCCCAAGTATCCCGACCGAACCATAATCAACTTATCTTACAATGCCCAGCAATACACAGAAACCGACTATTGTTATCGTCCATGGCTCCTACCACACTCCTGCGCCATATGGACCGTTCATGGATGCTCTCAACACTCTAGGCTTCGAGACTCGGTGTCCTCAGCGGCCTACATCTGATCTCAGCAAGCTAAATGTTGGCGATGTGAATGCCCCTGACTTTGATAGAGGTCCTCCACCTGAAGGGTTTCCTACCGATGACGATGATGTTGCAGTGCTCCGCCAGGTCCTGGACCAGCTTATAGTCCAGGAAAGAAAGCAAGTGCTTCTAGTAGCACACTCTTCTGGCGGCTGGGTGGCAACTCAAGCAGCAGTCCTGGAGCTTCAGTATGAGGCTCGCCAAGCGCAAGGTCAGAATGGAGGGTTAATTGGAATCTTCTATTACTCAGCCTTTACTATTCCTCTTAACCAGTCGATTAATGGCTACTTCCAACCAAACGATGGCTCCTTTACTATCCCTCCATGGTTAAAATTCTGGGTAAGCTAAGATTTATCTTTTGCAGAATATAGTAATTTAAACTAACTATTATTATAGAAGCATGGTGCTGCTGGTGTTGCTACACTTGTTGATGCACCAAAGTTTATGTTCAATGGCCTTAATGCAGTTGAGGCTGAGAAGTGGACAGCAACCCTGACTGCAGCACCTATCAATACTGGTATTCTTACAAACGATGCCTACGCAACCATACCCTGTGCCTACCTGGAGCTTACAGACGATTACATTTTACCTAAGGAGTACCAAGAGGCAATGATCATGGAGCAAAAGGAGCTGGGCAATGACTTTACAGTCTACTATGCGCCCACGGGTCACTCTGCTCATCTCACCTGGACGGAGCCATTGGCTAAGAATGTGGCCAACTTCGTGGACAAGGCCAGGCCTTGATCAATAGAGCTCTGGAGAAAGACATTGATATCTAGCACAGCCAAGAGCACGAGGATTGATGGACTAGTACGCAAGTCAATAGCCCATGCCGATTTGTGCACACATCTGCCATTCAAATTTTCGCTACCAGATGTCTTTATAAACTCGAAATTTGTTCTTTTTTATTCTAATGTTCGAATTTGGTGTAAAAGAAATCATTAAAATTTACTGTACTAGCCATCATATACATAATGTAAGCAATAATTTGGTGGCTCACCTTGGAAAGAATCGATTAGAGCATCAACAATCGATCAAATTCACATAATAAACCATTTAGAACATTAATACAATCTCAAGTGCTTTAGCTATTGAGGAGTGGAACGATCTAGGCAGTGCACTCTGTGGTGCACAATTCGATTCAGCGGCAACAACCAAACCACCTGGGCAATGATCAACCAAACACCCGTACGACTCGAAGATACCCGGATCACCTGTAGGGACAATACGACGGAGTATGAAGCTCCGCGACTTCCTGCTCAGCATGGATATAATCAATTGATGCAATTCTATTTATGAATCATTCAGTAGCATTCAGTAGCATTCCGTACGGAGTACTACAGTGTCTGGCATGCAGAATTCGGCCGGCCCGCTTCTCGTGCTAGCTGTCTTTAGCCTAGCTGTACTGTCTCCTACTTTCACAAGAAAATATTGATGGTGGTGTACGTGATTTATCACACATAAATCATGGTGTTCCGGGGTGTATAAGTTACTCTAAAACGATAGTGCTTAAAGTGGATCAACCAAATTCTGCATGCCAGAGGCTGTAAGTATACCGCGCCTGGAAATTTAGATGAGCTTGCGTGGCTTGGCCCCACGGCAGGTAATGGAGGTGGGGGATACTGAGAGATAGTGGACTTCGGGAGCTGCCTTACTGTACTGAGATGAGCTAAAAAAGATCTAAGTGGCACACAAATTCGCGGCTGAAAGTGGAATCGGGTTCAAGACGGGACCTCGGAACAGGCTGAACGATCACCAGTGGCCCTTTGGGAGCCAATTTTCGTCAGACCGCACAGTCAGCACATCGGAGTGAGGGTGGTTCTATTTTGATACCACGTGATAAACTACCCGGTGTGTAGTAGTGTCTAGCTGTACACCTAGCTCGCTTGCAAAGGTTGCATTTCTGAAACACTCGTGCATTAGCTGCATCGCTAGTTAGACCGGTATGATTTATCCATAGCCATTCTAAGGTGGTATAGAACGAGATGGAATGTAGCCAGGTGGCACATGGATCTCTTCTTGCTAGTGGCTGTTTATTTTCCTAGGAAGATAGTAGCCATACTAGTGATTTCACAACATTTGAAGCAAACATCTTGCAAATATGATAGGAAAAATAATAAAAATAGTAAATAATAATAATAAAAAATAATAAAAAATAATAAAAAATAATAAAAAATAATAAAAAATAATAAAAAATAATAAAAAATAATAAAAAATAATAAAAAATAATAAAAAATAATAAAAAATAATAAAAAATAATAAAAAATAATAAAAAATAATAAAAAATAATAAAAAATAATAAAATAATAAAACATTAGACCGCCAACAACGATAGTGTTCAAACGGGGAGAAAGATCTACACCACCTCGATTTATCCGTTTTTGTGGCGTCTGGGGACAGTTTCGCGTCCAACCAGAGCCCAAATTTCATATTGGTATCCATGCGTTCAATTTTACGGGAGGACGGCTCGGCAAGGCATAGATAGCCTCCAGGGCTTGGAAGTGGGGATGCCGATCTGTATTGACGTAGCGCCTCCAGGGGGAAAAAACGACCTTACGCCATCGCAGCCCTCAGCATTCCACTTGGGAGAAAGAACTTTTGTAGATTTAGAATAATTTTTCTCTCAGCCTGGGACACAGATGGTATCAATGTTATACTAGTGTACGAACCTTGGAAAGACCCTAGTGTATGAAAGACCCTAAATATATATATATGTTCCGTACTTCTCAACTGATGAGACGTCCATGGATCCTTCCCGAGGTCTTTTCCGACCTGCTTGACTCTTCGGATTTTGTACGGCCCAGCTTTTTTTTTTTTCTACAGAGTGCATATCTTTTCATCAATCTTGTTATACTTTGCCTTTCCCGAAATGTGTAAAGGCTTTGCATGCGTTTTTCCATATTTTTTTTTAGGAACAAAATATTGTTTGACTCTAATTCCAAATACCTTCCAAGGTTGGGATTTATCATAATTTTACCCCTTTTTGGGGTTAGTGGGATTATGACAAGGCAGATAGATACCTAGTGCCCAGGTGTTCTACCTAGGTTAGTGGTATAGCGTATTTTTCAAACATTGAAGTCCACCCCCACCCGCTGGGGCCCGGTTGTCCGAAGAGCTAGCTAAAGGCCTCTTTCGCCGCTGTATAGTTCTTGACATTGAATTGAACCACGTTCGCTCCCGAATAATCCCAGCTCACCAAAGTCAATTCCAAAAATTATTTCAACATTTTCTTTTATTCTTGGTGCCAACTTGATCAAGATTTACCGCAACTTGAATCTTGGAGCTATTAAGACCACCCTAACGGAACTAAATTTTGTTGCGCATATTCCCTTGCCCAAGAAATCCGCACGGGGCATATCGTGATTCACCATAAGATGTCCGATGTTTATGCTCAAAATTTGAGCCGCGATGAGGCCGAAGCCATTAGGTACGACTTTTTTTTTGTTCTTTGTTGCGTTAACTTATAGCAACTAATGTTGCTCAAATGGACCTAGACTGGATGGACAATTTGATCTTTTGACCGAGTAAGTGAGTCCAATATGCCAATGGCCTTTTACATGCACTCCAAATTTTCTCACATAAGTTAGAAATATTGGATATCTCCTTCACCCTGAGGTGCTTGAGTCATTGTCCGCTAAATCATCTCTGAAGGTAGCCGATCTTGCTACAGGGACAGCTCGCTTCCTCTTGCGATTAGTGGAAAGCAATAGTTTCCCTGAAAATGCCATCCTCCACGGTACCGATATCTCCCCAGCTCTCTTTCCAGCACCAGCCGCAATGCCGCCAAACATTGACCTCGGTATTTTCGATATCCGGGAGCCTGTGCCTACCCATCTGGAAGGTAGTTACGACCTTGTGCATGTGCGGCAAGTCGCCGCCGGCCTTCACGCATCAGAGTGGATGCCTGTAATGGTCAATTTGACTAAACTTTTGAAGCCTGGCGGAGCGTTACAATGGGAGGAATGCAATTTCGCAAACGTTATCCATCTGCGTGGCGCCAGCAGTGCTTGCACCATAAATGGAGCCCGCAAGCTTGGTACGATGTTTAGATCCGGGCTTTGGGAGCATTTTCAACACGGCTGGAACCGCCTCGAGCAAGGCATGGTCGAAGCTGGACTGCAAAATGTCGGCTCAGAGTTTGTTAGCTCAGATCGAATCCCAGAGACAAGGGGCGCTCTAACCCAAAATGGCATACAGGTTATTCTACGCTGGGCAAATGCTAAAGCTCAAGCTGGGAATTTACAAGATGCCAATGGAAAGAAAGTGTCTGTGTCTGAGGTGCAAGCTCTGGGGAAGCAGGCTATAAAGGATATTGACTCTGGGTGCTATGTTCGATTCGATATTCATGTTGGTTGGGGATTCAAACCCAATGAGTGATTATGTATGAGTGATTAACTTCCGCCATGTACATTTTTAACAAGCATGCAACTGTCATTGCAGTTTCCATTCCATCTGTTTGATAAATCTTTGACGGATTCGTAAAGTAACCAACTTATTTTCAGGCCATGATTTGACATCGGGAAACGGCCACAGGAGCTGAACCAAAGCCAAGCATCAATCGCTAACATAACGCAAATCAAGGGGTGCTCTAAGATGCCTAGAGATTGAGTCACTCACGCTACTAATGCAACTTTAATACCACGTTATGTTGTCTCTTCAAGTTCAACACAGGGTTGCGGCACATGATACGCCTTCACTGGAGATTAAAGCACGGAAAATAGAAAAATAAAGTGCATTCCGCACAACCACTGTAATGGAGCTTTAAGGGCTGTAACGAAACCTGAAAACAAGAGATGTGCAAACAGAAATTCAATCTTGACGCGTATGTGGAGCGCCCCTGGGTGCTTAACTACAATTGTATCTCGGTCCGATTCATGGCTACTATCTAGTATACTACTCCGAGTCTACTGGGATAATCCATAAAACTTTCCGATGTTGACCTGCTGTTACTTTATGAGGTAGGTAGCTTGCACCGAGGCCAAAAGAATCCATGGGGCCAAAGTATGTAACCGAGTTTCCCATTCTGTAAAACTTGAAATTGTGCACAGGTTCGCAATTATGTCCAAGATTAGTTAGTAGCAAACTGATTGCCCCTTACAATGTGGGTCAGGTCCACTGGCAGAGGCCATTCTAATACCTGAAGGTGCATCCAACTTGAATCAGCTCTGAACATACTCCACATGTGCACCTGGACATCGGTATCAAGTAAACTATCACTTGGAAAAGGCGGAGACTTAAGACGAAATTTTTAAGTGCTGACGCAAACCTGGGTACCTCGGCCCATCTGAGGTCTAATGTTCTTTTTGATAGATACGGAACATCTGGAGTTTTTACTAGTACATATCGCACTATTTCCTAGCTCATCAGAAATTATCCTCTCCTGCATAAGCCACGTCACCATTTCTGACTACATGACTCCAAGGTTGCAATCTTTGTATGTAATTTTTTCTCCACAGAAGGTCGGCGACCATCGGTCCCGAGGTCATTCTTAGGTGTCCGTCATTGGTACACATCTGATATTGTAAAAGATTCGGAGATTTTTCACTGATAGTTTCTATCCATCTCCGAGTCTGTACTAATGATAACTTTAGATAGAGTTCAAAATATCATGGTGGATGGCATCTAAAACTAAGTAGTATGTACCCAGGCAGCAGTTTCGGAAAACAATGGCATGACATATACAGTAGCAATCCAGCAATTCCAAAGTAGAAAGGTTAAGCGGTCATTTTCCACGCTCCGTAAAGTCAAGACCCGCAATGCAACAGTGTACGCCAGTCCGAGACTCAGAGAGAAAATCTCATATCGAACATACCAGAAATGTGGGCAAATGATCCCCCAAATAGCCATAGGGATAGCGATGCTCCACCTGGCAGCTGTGTCCCCAATGACCAGCGGCACAGTACGCCGATCTCGGATAGCATCGCCCTTTTGGTCATAGAGATCCTGTAAGTGAACAGTACTGATGATAATACAGGCAATAATAAAGAGCCATTGCGGTAAATAGTACTCTGAGTTTGATATTCCCAGAGAACTATGGAGGGGGAAAGCAAGTTTCTCTCCCAAAGCCACTTCAAGAGCACCGGAGATGAAACATAGGTACCCCAGCGCGTTGATTCCATTACGAACCACGGGATTGTCATCAGCACCACCGAAATTGTTATACCATATATCAAGACCGAGGAGAAGGGTTGATTGCCGATGGCCAACACCATGGCAAATCAAGCCGTGAGTCTGCACAACACCGAAAAAAAACAACATGAAGTAGGTCGCCTGTGAGGGAGTGATACGTTTTTGTGGCATTGGACGCCATGGTTTGTTCAATGTATCTTCTGCAATGGCCGACGGTGTCCGCTGGTTGTTGATAGAAAATGGAATGAAGACAAGGCTGACCCAAAGAAGAGTCCGGAGGAAACGAATCGCGAGTAGTTTGAAAGACAAAGGTGCACTATCCCCCAAACCATAAGCGCTTGTAGCGAAAGAATTCGTCATTCCAAATATGGTGCTGGGGATGACAATAGTCTTGAAGTCGCTGCATGTGAAGAGAAAGATTGTATAAGAATGATAAGCCAGAGCTTTGACAAGGAGATATATAGAAGGTGACCTGCTAGGCCTAATGCTCTCCACAGAGTACTTCTTAGGCAATAGTTAGCCCAGGCTGCCTAGATAGGTAATAAATAACTTCGCTTTGGTTTTCTGGCTTACCTTGATATAAGAACTAGCGATCATACTGAGCGAATGATCAAAAATTAATTTGAATTGGACCTTCGTCAATCTCAAATGTTTGCTAGTGAGAATAAATGAAGCATCAAAGATCAACGGTGCCGATTCCAAAGTCAGGGCCAGAAGACTGTTTTTATAGCTCAAGTAGCCAAGCTCATACTAGTTCCGTACATATACTACCTAGTCTCTCGAAATCCTCTCCCGATATCGGTATTACAAAAATAGATTCATCAATGTCAAGAAGCTTGGAAGGCATCACGAAACAGCAAACCACATGTAAAGGGAAGGACGCCTTTTCCCAACACACTAGGCAAGATATGCACATGTGTTGCCAAGGTGGATCGTCTTGTGCATCTTGCATCTACACATGTGGGGGATTCTGGGGCCAAAAAGTGGGGCCTGACGGCTTGACTATTTTCAAATGTTTGGGGGCTACATCACATCTCCGGTGGACGGCTAAAACTAGTGGAGTGCTTATATACTGAGTTATTCTGCTCCATTCACTGTGATCTTCTCGCAGTCCTCTCACCTGGCAGATCATATTGATTAGTCATTGCAGCCATGATCAAATTAGCATCTCTTGCAATTCTATCAGGCGTCTTGGCACATTGGTGCATTTTTATTCATGGTGAATGGCATCTTAGGTTAAAATCTCTGGTGCTATCACATATCACGATCCTTGGAGTATTGTATGCTGCCAAAGCTGTGAGCGCCGAATACTATGTCATACCAGAAAAGGATCTTTTACGCCCAGCTCTCCTTATGATACTTTATCTCGCTTCCCTCTTTAGCAGTATCGTCGTATACCGTTTGTTCTTTCACCGCTTACGGCAGTTCCCTGGACCCAAACTTGCTGCTGGATCTAAGTTATGGCATGTGTGGAAATGCCGCTCCTCGCGTGGTCACCATGTTCTTCAGGATTGGCATGAAAAATATGGCACATTTGTTCGGACAGGTACGTATCATGCATTGTCGGCTACAACCATGCGGGTTTGCCTTGAAAAAAGTGGTTTGGGCTTATATTTAAGCACAGGTCCTGCTGAAATCACAGTATTCCATCCCGCGGTATACGAGGCGATGGACGGACATGGGAACAATAATACCCGATCTGATTGGTACGACTTATTGTACCCACGGGTCTCATCGATCTTCACGCGTGATCGGGCTCTACATAACGTGAGACGAAAGCTCTGGAATAATGCACTAAGTAGTTCTGGTATGCCAAATTTTCTCTTTTCCCCTCGGATTAAAAGGCTAAAAATACACTGTAGCAATCCGGCAGTACCACCAGCGCATTCTTGGAAAGGTCAAGACACTTACTGATCTAATCAGTGAAAATGAGTCTCAGCCAGTCTTAATAAACGAGGTCATGTACTGGTTTGCATTTGACTCTATGGGTGACTTTGCCTTCAGCGAGGACTTTGGAATGATGAAGAACAAGAAATGGCACCAAACTCTTTGGATGTTTCGATATGCGCTGGCCCTTTTAGGACCCTTTAGTCCAGCAATATGGATACCACGGCTGGCATTTACTCTGATTCCGGGTCTCTGGTGGGCTAAGTGGTGGTTCCAAATGCTGTCCTTCTGCGATGAGTGCATGGAACGTAGAATGAAGGCAAGTTTGCATATCAGCTACTCTGAGGTTGTTTGGCTAATTCTTCTCAAAGCGAACCTTGCCCCATAAAGACATCGCTTCATTTTTCATCGAACAGCACAAGGCCAGCGACGATGCACGCCGGGAATATTGGCTAAGTGGTGATACTGCGACTCTGGTTGTTGCCGGAAGGTATGTCTTCCAAGCTCTTATTGCGAGGTCGCAGGAAATTGATAATCAATAGTGATACAAATGCGCCAACCTTGACGCATCTCTTTTACTTTCTCGCTCGCTATCCAGAGCACACAGCGAAGATATACGAGGAGCTTCAGACCCTTTCTTCTTTGGATGACGCGGTTGGACTGTCCAAGCTTCCTCATCTGAATGGAACTATTAACGAAACTATGCGTCTTCTGCCTGCCGTCCTAACGTTTGGGACGCGTGTAACCCCCCCCAGAAGGCTTGATTATTGAGGGCACCTTCATACCCGGAGGGATAAAAATTTGTGCACCGAGATACACCATTGGAAGGTGTAAGTCTTCTCACTGTCTCTCACCTACCTAAGGGCCATAGCGTCAGTATTAATTTTGATTTGACAGTGGAGACGGCGTATGTCCGACCGTGTGAGTTTATTCCTGAGCGATGGTATAGCCAGCCTGAGTTGGTTCTGGATAGAAGAGCATTCGTTCCTTTTGGACTCGGTATGTTTTGTTTCCTCGCCTCAAATGAGACCAACTGCTATGAAGTGACATAGAAGCTAATTATTCTAGGTAATACGATGTGCGTTGGTAAGAACTTGGCCTTGACTCAGATCCGCCTGGTCACTGCAGCTTTACTAAGCCGGTTCCATGTTGAATTCGCCCCGAACAATAAAACGGGGGAATTCGTGGAAAAAGATATGAAAGATCAACTTACAGCTCAGCCGGGTCCGTGTCATGTTATCTTCACCAGAAACCAATAGTGAGAAGCGATGAGTAAGGGCCAAGCAATATGAGTATTTTGATCAATTATACAATTCGGGTATTCATTTTATTCGAAGATTGGTCATTTACTCATGAAAGAAGAAGAGATATGGTTTCTTGTATTCAATTTGAGTGATACTAGTAGTGTCAAACATTTGAACCTTACCGAGGTCAATCCATTCATTAGTGAACAATGTTTGTCTACACCATTATATGATGTATAATGACAGCCCAGACCATGGGGAGTAATCTTTGGAGCTGATTCGATCAGATCAGAGAGCTCGAACCTGACCTCCTCTTTTAAGCTATTCTACAAGAATGCCACGCCTTGCAGCGGCAATCAGGCAAATGAACAAGAGCAATCAGAAGGGAGTTAGGCTTTTTCTTTCGCTTGATCTTGTCCACAGTAGATTTTATTCGAATGAAAATTCGAATACAATTGATAAAGGCGAAGTTGATCTTCGTTGACTTCAAGTTACAATCGAGACGTTCTCAGTGCTAGAAATTGAATTATCTTGGCTTTGTACCTTCGCCACACTGAATCAAGAAAGATCACCCAACCTAGAGCATAGTTATCCTCATGAAAACAAACACGGTGGAGGACTATCAGACTTTTTGCTGCAAATAAATTCATCTTACAAATCTAACATGTCCTTGTGAAACAAAACAAGTTATCAAGAACTCAATCGCTAGACTTGAAGAGATTATTATAGGTCTCGAAGAGAGGCAACTCATCACCAATTCCAGCAATCACCTCCACAATTACATCGGAAGGTTTTATCAAACTAGTATCCGAAATCCCAAGAAGGAGCTTGATAGGGCCTCATATGAGCCCTAGAATATCGGGCTTGACCTGAATATACACTTCGATGACGCCGGCATATTCCTTAAATTGGGCAATGTATGCTGTTATTTTGCCCACTGGCAGGTGGTGAACCCAAAGTGCTTATGTACATTCTGTTTCAAACGAAAAACTAACAGGTAATATATCCCGTAACCGAGTGAATCCCTCACTACTGGTAAGTTTTTTCACAACGTGACGCGCGACATCTCTCTTTCAACAACCATCATGCCTCATACGCAGTATTTCGGCCGACTCAGACGAGTAAGAAGGACGAATATCGCTTGCAGTTCAAACCTTGAAAATGACGAAATTCCTTCTTCACGCGAAGCTGCACGTTGATCTGATGTGCCGCATGCGCACCCCTGCGCAAGCAATCCTTCAAGTGCTTATTGATTGGTAGTTTCGATAACGTCCCCAATTAGGGCAACTCCAAGCTTCGACTTATCAAGAAACTTCTCCTCATCAGCCGCAATCTGAGCAGCCGCTTCAGGGGCACGTATCTTCGCACTGAAGGCCTGGAAAGCAGCCTGATCAGCGAATGTAAGCTCGGCATAGGCATCAAAATCAAAGTCGGACTGCTTTCCGACTAGGATGATAGCAGGGGTCTTGGTGTTACGCTCACTGGCACCTTCGGGGGCAACTTCGACAGCGTTACGTGCAATATAGGTGCGCTTGTGAGAAAGAGGAAAGTGTTCCCCAGAGAGATGTTTAATAAGTTCGGCATGGCCCTCGTAGTGCTTCTTGAAATCCTCAAGAGACAGACCAGGCTTGCGAAAAATGTGGACGAAGGCCTTCACGGACATGATGGCACGTTTTAAGGTAAGGCAGAAAAGATGTAGGGAGTTTCAAGAATTGATGAAGTCCAGTTTTTGTTTCGTTAAAGATAGGAGGACGTTGCAAATAGAAGGGCCGAGAGTTTATTGATGGGGAATAAAAATCCTCTGAAGGGCAAGTACGGGAACCGGGGTGGGGGAATAAATAGACAAGGAGGAAGTGTGAACATTTGAAGTAAAACAAACATGGTTGAGTGTAAACGGTATTCTGATGTCTAATCTAAATGACTCCACCTGGGCACTAATTACAAATCCACGGGCCTTTGCCGATGTGCACTGTTTAGGGGCCAACGAACCCGTGTTGCATAGGACATCGGGACTAAGATATTGGACTCCACCTGGGCATCTGGCACTATACGGAGTATGCACCTCAGACTTGCCCATGTGGAACCAGGGTGGCCCTGCACGGGTGACACCCCGGCTATCTGGGTGATAATCTCTTGTCCCAATTAAGAAGGTGGCTCACTTCCAAGGTTCTATCACGTGTTATGTAAATACTGTATCGGCTGACACCCTAATTGGATATCCCAGGGGCCAATCACATTAAAAGATCATTCTGAGGTTGATATAATACCATGATCAGTACCTACCCAGCCTTAGAGGAATCAGATTCGTTCTTCTGTGCGGAGGTGCTGAAGATCTTTAAGTTGAATACTAGATCTAGGACTCGAAGGTCTAATTGTATCTTAACTTTATTTATTACAATTCTGTTTAAAGAGTTAATGAAAGAGCTATAGTACTTATCACTCTGTTATTATCTGTAGGTAGAAATAAATGGTGATTTGGTTCTCCACAGTCAATTTAAAATTCCACTTGAATAGTGTAAGCAGAATGTTAAATTACATGTAATTTATACTTTCCTAATTAGGCTTAGTTTTTATCACCCAGATAGCCCGGGTGTCACCCGCGCAAGGGCCACTTATGTACAGGGAGAATAATGCTCGATTTTAGACTTGAGAAAGAAGTCCCTTAAGTACTTTTTCGTCCCCTAAATAATCCAGGATTCGAATTTGATGATGAAAAAAATGAGGGACGTCATTGTAAATCGCCCGGTTCCTAGGAATAATGGGTGATAAGGCTTAATAAATATCTTGATCACCGTCATTCGTAGCTACTGAGAAATAAAGATGAAGTAGCCGTTCCAAGCTATAGCAACTAGCTTCCTAGGAGCAACTGTGATAGGGCAATTAATTTCTTTGAGCCGACAAGTAATTGAGTTGAGAAGAGTGGCTTCCGGGAACAAAAATTTACACAGTCTGATAGGCCAGAGATCCTGACTTCGCACTGCCGGTCTGTTACGGACCCACTACGGAAGGATCTCCCAGGAGCAGCTACGACCCAATCAGTTAACGGTCGGGCTAAGTGTGGACGAGCAGCCAGGATGGACGCACAGCCCAGACGGGCACAGGACCAGTTGATGCCTAAGACATCAACGGGAGCTCGATATGGGCATGTGAGGGCACGTGACCGCGGATCTATTCCAACAATAGATCCCGTCCGTTCGAACGGAACGGACCCTGACCCGACAATAGGAATGGACCTATCCTAACAGTAGGATAGGATAATAGGAAGGACTAGATATATAAAGGACGCTCTCTACTACATTATGTATTTAGTTCTTCGCAATTATTCTCTCATTGTTATTAGACTCTATAGTACGAATCAGGTTGATACTTTGCTTCATCACAATCACCTTCAAAGACAACCACTAACCAGTAGGGAGCTCACTCTATGACTTACTTACTGGTGAACCTCTGATCAAGCATTACCGTACAAGGATCCCTAGAGACTCTAGCCCATTTGTCATGTTTTTTCTTCCTCTCTTGCCGTTTTTGTCCTTTTGATAAAGGAGCTCCTGAATTGATAGTTCAGCCTATGAGTCCGATGGGTAACCCATCTGGCCCACACACTTTATAGAGGACTTCGTCTTCTAAACCGATTGCCTCATAAATTCCATTGATTGTCCACTTTATCTCGTCTTCTGTGTAATCCAACTGATGCTCCGTTTCGTGAGGGAACATCAAGCGATGGAGCGGGCCGTTTGCGTGCGCAGGAAATTCCACTCTCCGCACGAGCATATCCACATCTTTCATTTTGACCAGCGATACTGAAAGCGCCATTTGGATGCTGGCTTAGGAGAAGAACCTTTGATCTGAATTACATGTGTTAATAGTAAAAGCAAACAAGGATTTCGGTTAGCGAGTTGGTCGACAGGATATAGGCGGTATAGTTCTATTAGGTCTATAGCCAAAATATTGTGGCCTTGGGTTATAAGCCTTAGCAGATGACAACATAATCATAGCAGATTCCTGCACAATCCATAAGATACAGATCAAAAGGTTTCAGGATCTAGATACCTAGTAATTTGTGTAGGGGTAAGCTAAGCGAGCAGGAAGGAAGTTGTAAAGACACAGCAGTATATTGGGTTAAAAGCCAAGACGTAGTAGTCGGAGGGGGCGGATAGGAGAGAAAAATTATAGTTATAAGTATAAGATAAGAGGAGTTGAAGGGAGGGGGAAGGGGGAGAAAAGAGGACCGAAGAGCAAAATTGGGTCTTTTATATCAGGACAATATAAAGAAGAGGTTATAGTATATTAGGGCGCTAATCTTAAAACGGCAAAACTAACCGGATCGTATAATTCACAGGTCCTAGGTTTACAGATAAAATTCATTGGCTTTTGTCTTTGACGGAAATAAACGTACTGACATAATCAAGGGACCGAATCAGGGTAGCCAGGGGGTAAAATGCCTAAGGTATCAATAAGCTTGTGTCATAGGGTAATAAGTAAATATCTAGGCGGATCCCTAAACTTCTTTCTGTGTCAAGCAGCGGGGAGCTCCTGATAAATTAGCTTCAACTTTATGTTGTTTCATCTTCTACCAAAGCCACTTCCAATAAATATGGAAGAAACCATTAAAGAAACCATCGCTGAGTTACGACGTTAACTTAAGGAAGAGAGATAGGCGCGAAATAAAGAGAAGAGAGCGCGAGAGGAAGCAGAAGGAAGAGTGCAGTATAACACTCTATTTAGTCTCCTTAATCAGTGCTATATCTCTATGTCTTAAGCAATCCGGGTTAAGACCAACGTGGCTCTCACGACTTAAGGTGATACAACCGACCCAGTAAACCGGCTCTATCCCCGACGTATAATACCTTGGCCAGAATTTCCCGGACTCCAAGAGAAAATTTGGGGGAAACTCGACCGCATGGGCACTTTCATCTCACGGCCACTTTTTCCTTCCAATGAACAACTAGATTACGTCGTTACGAACATTCAGGATCGGCCAATCTATTCGGAAGCTTCCTTGCGATATTTTAAGTGAGAAACGGTGGATAATTTTATCGAAAAAGTTATTGAGGTGTTGCAAGACAATGAAACTCTTTAAAAAGAGTTCGGAATCTAGGGCCGAGTTATATTCTTTGACCGTGCAGATACCTTGCTAGAAAATAGTATAAAACAAATAGACCTTTAGGGCGTATAGTTACCCTAACAAAAGGCGAACACTAGATATAATAAAATAACCATATAGAACCTAAAGAGGCCTTATATACCACAAAGGCAGAATTGCTATACCAACCAGTTCTGTATATATATAGTGGCTAACGAGAGAAAAAGACCGGTATATATAGTGGAGTTTAAAGCCCTATATAAAGCGATAGTTGAAGAATAGGTAGCAGGCCTATATAAGATAGACCTGGCTCACAATATTATTGATTAGGAAGATAATATATTCAAGTATTATACCACCTGTCTTATCGCTGCCATTATCACTTAGATATTTTCATACATAATTAACATTAGGGTTTAAAATAGCTATATCCGTACTAGTGTGATATTCGCCCCAAGATTACCATGTATCTGTTACGGACCCACCACGGGGGACCTCCCAGGAATAACTATGACCCAATCAGTTGGCGGTCGAAGCCAAGCACGGACGAACAGCCATAACGGACGCACGGCCCAGAGGGGCGCAGGGCTACGATGGCGCCTGAGGCACCAACGGAAGCCAGATATGGCCTGTCGCTTACCACTACAACATATACTGGCTATACGGGAAGGACGGTGCATGAGAGGCTACTTCTGGCCCCATGGCACGTGACCACGGACCTATTCCAACAATAGATCCTGTCCGTTCGAACGGAACGGACCTGACAGTAGAAACGGACCTGTCCTGAGGAAAGGACAGGATAACAGGAGAGACTGGATATATAAAGGACATTCATTACCATCATGTATTTAGTTCTTCGCGATTATTACTCTATTGTTATTGAGACCTACAGTACGAATCAGACTACAGTTTACTTGATCACAATCGAACCCTTGAAGACGAACCTCAACTAGCGTGGGAGCTCACTCGTGATAACCTCACTCGTGACTGACTTGCTAGCGGATTCCCTGTTCAAGCATTACCGTGCAAGGATCCCTAAAGACTCGAGCCCGTGTAAGGCCCAGCGACGGCGACGGTACAGTTGCAGGATAACGGCTTGCGGTAAGTAACACTTTGGAAGTGCATACTCACGTTGCTTGACAGCCAGCCCGTAACACCGATATGCTCTATAGAATATTAGTTTACTTTATCTTGGTATGTGGGAAGTAGTTCTACCTCAGGATCAGTCACTGTGGAGATAGTATATTACTTTGAATCCGCTATATTGTCGTTAGGAAAGTTTTGAGCCAAGAGGTATTGTCTCTTAGCTAGGTGGCTATCTGACGATATTGATTGGAATAATTTCTGTGGCTAATTAGGGGACGCTGAGAGCCTAGGGGATTTATAGATATTGATAGGACCTGGATTCTAGAATTGGTCTGATTTTGCTTGTTACTTATAGTTGAATTATAGTCTTTAAAAATTAAAACTTTAATGTATATATATATATTTATAAGTTATAATGTTAAAAGAGATAGATAGGAGAGCCTTCGGTGTGTTAAAGTAGACTCTAAAGTAGAGTCTGGAGCTATATATCCTTTAATAATTAAAAATTACCGGCTTACTATAATAAAATAGAGGGGCTAAGCAAAAGGAAATATAGTGGCTATATTGGATAGGCTTATTAGGCTTAAACAACACAGCTGGTCGGACTGATTTACCCTATTTTAAAACCAGGAAGTCTAGAGACCAAAAGGCCGAACTGCTAAAAACTATTAGTGTGAGATCTAAGGGTGGCGTGGGGTATATATATTCCCAGACTGTAAAAAGCTCTTATATAGGGTTTAACTATTTATTATATATATAAATAAGGTAGTTGTCAGCAATTCAGGCAGATTGTGTGCCTGGATTCCTGGGATGAAAAGTGGCCCTTTTTGATCCAAAGGTTATGCTGACTAATTCATCCCGCGATCAAACATTTCCGTTGCGAAATGAATGATATGGTTTTGATCTGATCTATCAGATCAAAGATGATCTTCTCTCGTCCGAGAAGATCCGCAACCCGAGCCCCGTTGTTAGGATCAATGGTTGCAAGATGAGATGAAAGGACTCGATTATTTCGGATTCCGTAGCCCTTTCGTCCCATATCCTGAGACCTTTGGTCTCATGTTTGTTTAGTCTAAAGTTCTATAAAACCTGATCTTACCCCTTAGCTAGTTTAGCATCGAATTCAATCGTTTTTGGATCAGTTGTATCTTTGTTTGATTCTTTCCTTCCATTCCATCCTAAGTTCGGATCCAGCTTGGTCGTATGTCATTCCATCTGATCCGTGTTGTCTGATCTTTTGGTCTTATCTTTACCCTTTCCTCCGAAGGGTTCCCTGTAGCTTGGTGCCCCTGTTCAGCTGACATCCTCTGCGTGACGTCATCACCTTTGGTCCTGTCTTCCCCACGCTGAAAGTAGTTAATTATAAAGCGATTCAGCACATATTTCCAGGACTAGTCCAGTTCTGCCTAAGGTATTCTATACAAAATCAAGTTATTTATAGATATCGGAATACCTACCTATCTAGCTTAAGACACCTAGACCTCTATAGACTAGATAAAGAATAGGTTAAGATCTTTCTAGTTTAAATTAACAAAACCAACTAATGCTATAAGCTAAACCATACACCAGCATATCCAAATTCCAACCTTATGATTATAGCAATTATAGTCCATTTTCCTAGGTCATATTCAAAGGATAATAGCAAATTCCTAAGATTATAAAATAGGTGTTCTTTATAGCAACAAAGGTAAAGTTTACATTCTTAATAATCTAAAAATCGACGGTCTTGCTATCGCTAGAACCATAGTATGACAATTTTGATTGCTTAATCGACTTGTAGAAAATTAGTAAGGAGATCAGTTCCTCTGGGATTCTGTGTCATACCTCGATCAAGCGGCTTTCCTTTATGATCTCATGCCAGAGTGGAAGGGCCTTCCTATCCCAAAGATAGATACTTATACTCAAAGTGGAGTCTATTATGACCACTTTGTGCTTCTTGTTGATGTGTGATTTTGTCCTATCAAGAGTTTGTCCGTTGAAAAATTCATTAAGAGGGGTATCATCGAGCATATATGCCACGCTTTGGTGATAGGATATTTTGTTTAGCAAGGTAAAGGCAGAGATTAGATCAAAACAGTAAGAAAAGAATAAATGTGATAAAGTACAACACAAAGGCAATCATTATAAGATAAGTCGTTTTATATTATAATTTCCTATAATATAGACTCTTCTATTTATGCTAGTAGTATATCTTACGGCTGATCCAGAATTCCTACCCCTAGGAGCCAAATTGCTATATTTAAATATTGGAATACTTAACAATCTATAGAGGGGGATAAAAGTTAAAAATTATATATATACCCCACCTATTATATCTTTCAAGGAATCAAAGTCAATATGGATTAATATATTACACGATGTTAACAATCAAGGTTTTGATATATACTCTATTCACCCTCTCTCGAATTATTAATTTCTTTACTATCAGTATATATAATGGTATTAAACAATAAGTTATAAAAAGATACCTTGTTTATAGTTATGTGTAGTAATACTAAGTAAACAAATACCTAATACTACTCCAGGATCCAAAACCTAGATTTACTCCTGGGGATAGTCTCCACACAAAGAGCAGGAAAATAAATTCACCATCTCCTTTACCAGTCTTTAAGGCGTT